CCCTAAACCCTAAACCCTAAACCCTAAACCCTAAACCCTAAACCCTAAACCCTAAACCCTAAACCCTAAACCCTAAACCCTAAACCCTAAACCCTAAACCCTAAACCCTAAACCCTAAACCCTAAACCCTAAACCCTAAACCGAAACCCTAAACCCTACGCATGAGGGAGGCAGGCGCTTCGGGAGAAGTGCCGTAACCGACCGACTAGCTAATACTTATTACACCTAACCCTAGGTTCTCTGGATCGTACTAAACCCGAAAAGTCACTAGCATTCGCATCCTTCCTGTGCACCTGCACGACACCCTACGGCCATCACTCGTCGACCAGCACGGCACCGCAGACTTCCCCCTCGACGCTCCGGACGTCGCCGGACTCTTGCGTCAAAGTGCCTTCTTCAGTGTTCGTGTTGGGCGACAAACGACCCTAAAAAGGCCATTTTCTAAGTTTCTACGTACGCTTTCGTTCAAGAGACCCTGCGCCATGCGCGATTGATTAGCCCGCGTATTAATTTTACAACATCATCGGTGCGTGGCCACCGAACGCTTTAAAGCGCAGTTTAATTATGTCTTGATCGGGGTCGAATTTGTAGCGATCGATGCGCGCCTGCGCTTTCGCTTGAGCCTTGGCCCTCGCGGCGCGGATCTCGGCGCGGCGCTTTCGGCGCTTTTCCCTTGCTTCCAAAGCGACGCGACGACGCTCAACAGCGGCAGCGAGCTCTTCTTTTGTGAGCCTTCGCTTCGTGTGAGCTGAGTCTTTCTTCTTTCTGTACACGCCATCTGCTTTCTTACGCTGTCCGGGCTTGGGCTTCTTCGTACCAGGGGCTGCCGCTGATTTCGTTGACGTCGGCGCCGAATTCATCATCGCGCCGACGCCGTCGTAGACTCGAGTAAATATGCCAGCTGTGGGTTCTTCTTCGGAGTCGGATGATTCGTGCGCCGCCTTTTCCTTCGCCTGGCGATCCTCCAAAAACCCGAGAAAGATGAGAATGCGTTCAATCAACGTATACTCGACGAAAACTTCTTCGTCTTCGTCGGTGTCGCTCGATTCGTCAGAGTACTCGAAAGCGTCGCCGTCAGAATCCCAATCTGGATCGCTGTCAGACTGGAAGACATTTTTGTCCTCGGGATACACCTTGCTGTTGATCACCACCGCGTTTTCCTTCTGTGGTTTGATATCAGTAGACTTTGGTGACTTTGGTGACTTTGGCGACTTCGGCGGAAGGACGTCGCCGTCTTTGGCGACACCAGCTCGTGTCGTGCTGATAGGTGACAAAGAATGCCGGATGGACTGATTCGTTTTCACACCATCCGCTTCTTGTAAATCTTGGCTCATTTGCTTGCTCATTTGGGAAGGCGGCATGTCGGCGCGCTCGGCGAGAACGTCGTCGTCTGCGGGGGTGTGAAAACTCACCTGCTTCTCAATATCTGGTTGCTTCTTCGATTGGAACATACTCTTCAAGCGATCGAATATCTTTGGAGACGCAGGTGTCTGCGTCGGTGACGATGGCTGTTGATCTGTACGCCTCTTATCCGATTTTGCGCGTTCAGAATCCGAACTCGACCCCACATCCTCTTCACGAAGCGCTGCATCGTCTGGATCGCTCTCGTCGTCTTCAGAAGGATCGAGCTCTCTGAAAACCGTCAAGTACTTGGTTCGGTAAATGTATTTGTTTGCAGCGATTTGCATGACTTGTCCCGGAAGCGCGTTGTCGGTGGGAATTTCAGGTACAATGAAACCCTCGAGAATCATTTTCGTCCAATTGTCCTCGCTCGCGGCGAGAGCTGCGGCCGCTTCTTCCTCTCGCTTCAATTGCTCGAGGCGCTGTTGTTCCACTATTTCGTCATTTTGATCTTTAGTCATCTTCTTCAATTCAAGCCTTCGCAATTCTTCTTCTTGATTCTGAACCGCTTCGTCGATATTCGCGACGATGCGATCAAACCAATTCGGTCTACGATCCTGCTGCGCTTTATTACGCTCCACTTCAGTTTCGGCTTCACCGTTGATGTCTGTGGGAGCGCCCGCCGTCTCGTTGGGATCAGATGCGATCTGCTTCGCGGCGGCGCTTAACGCTCCTGGCGGCACCGCTCTCGTGTGCGTCTTCACACCAAACTTGCCTACGGGTCTCACTTGGTCTGCGCCGCTGAAGAGCGTATAGCCTTGATGCGGGCCAAGCTGATAGAGGTAACTTGGAATGCCGCGCACCGTCTTCGTTCGCTCGAGGAACGAAAACATCAGCTCTTTGCGCTTCATGGCCCATATGTGCTTACGATAAATTTGTTCAGTGATTTTAATAATGTCACCTCCTTTGCAATCGTTCATCGCGTCCAAGTCGAGACCCGTCTCAGACGTCGATTCAAAGTTGTACAACTGGATGAAACCGACGATCCCATGTCCTCCACTTATACGTCTACACCCTTGCTGCGACATTGCGGCCATCTTGAGCAAGTTTTGAATTTGCATCTGTGAGTACAAGAATGGATCTTCATCGATTCGAAACTCATCTGAAAAACGCTCGATCTTTGCCAGACGATACAATGATTTGCTCCTGTTATTGGTCACGATCATGTAATGTGTGCGAGTCTCGAAGAGTTGGTACCCGTGCGACTCGCGAAGCTCCGCGAGACGCTGCTTTGAGCGCTCGATCTGGGGATTCGGGACCACCAAGGGCGGGCCGCCGTGCCCACCGACCGTCTTCGACACACGCGCTATGTCCCAGTCGGAGTCACTCGAATCACCAGCTTGACGTTCCAGGGCTCCACCCTTCGCCCACGAAAAGTCACCTCGCGCTTTTCGTCGCGCTTCAGCATTTCGCACCTTTTGCTTTTGCTTTTCTTCGATCGCCTTCTCTTCTAGATACACCGCTCGTAGACGTCGAGTCGCCTCTTCGACGTGATTTTCACTATGCGAAGTTCCGTACACCCCCATTTTCGCAGCCGCAAACGGCATGTGAATTTGGCAATACGCCGCACACGAACCTTTGTGATTGGAGCCGATGAGCGTCATGGGCGTCTCGTTGCACGTGCAAACCGGTAAAGGTGAAAGCCCGTTTGTCTTCGCAAACATGCTCGCGCGCACTCGCATCCCGGCGTCGATCGTTCCACTCTCTTTGCTAGCTTCGGCGAGCACCAGACTGAGCTCATCATTCACCACACGCTCGCCTGTTTCGCTCTCCACTTCCAATGCGTACTTGACGGCGGCGTGCTGCGCGCGAAGCGCTTCCGTTCGTGCCTTTGACGCTGCGAGCTCTCCTTTGATGCAACGATGCCTCGCCTTGCTCTTCGGACTCATCGGCGGCGTGAGAGCTTTACCCAACGCCCTTTTGTCTGTTCTTTTCTTTTTCTTTCTCAACTTTTTTCGCGCTTCAGCGCCGTTCTCGTCGTCGTCAAACTCTTCATCAAATTCGTCGACCTCGTCGTCCTCGCATTCGGCGCTCGCATCGTCACCGTCAGTGGATTCAAACGTGTCGTCGGAGTCAGTAGGGGTGTAATACTCCTTGTCACTCTCATCAACGTGCCTGATGTGATCTTGTCTGGTGAGCATCGATGGTTTGGGCTTCGACGGCGCTTTTTTCGCCGAGCCATCGTTGCCACTGCCGCTCGAAGAGCTCGAAGAGCTGCTGCTGCTACTGCTACTACTACTCGACGCGACTGTGGATGGCAACTTCAAGGGCTGGCGCAACCGATTCGCAAAATCGTCGTCGTCGTCGTCGTCCCAGTCTTGCAAACCAGATGGAACCGCTTGCTCTTGCCCACGCCAAGCGGCAGTCTGCGCGCGCTCCCATTCAGATATACTTCGCGACGAGTGCGAAGCCGTCTCGGAACTCGACGCGTGAAGCGTCTTTTTCGACCGCACATGCGCGCTGGACTGCTTTTTCTTTCGCATCATCAACTTTCCTTGCACGAATACCGGCTTTAAGTGCTCTGGCATTTTGAGGTCAATCTCGTCGGCCTCGTCGGCGCTCGATCCTTGCTTCCAACGCATCACGGCGTCCGAGTGCGATGAATCGCTGTGGTCTTCGCTGTCAGTCTCCGCGCCTCGGCGCCAGTTGGCCGTCTGTGCCTGCCTCCATCGCTCCCTTCGATCATGCGCTGCCCGACGGCGAAAGTTCCTGTGGCGTGGCTTCGTCGCTCCCGTCGTCGTCGGCGTCGTCGTCGTCGTCGTCGCCTCGTTTGTCCCGACGTCGCCGCCGACTCGCGCGGTGGCGTCGGCGTCGCCGGCGAGCGATACGGACACAGTTGATTCCGACATCGCCCCCGCGCGCGCCGCGCTCTCACGTCGTAAGCCGTTCAACACTAAACGAAATCCGCACAGTGAGACGCGTCCCGTCGCGTGGCGGGCGCGGCGGTGTAAACGGAATCGACGGCGACGACGAAAACGACGGAGAAGTAGACGCAGACGCAAGCGTCGCCGTCGTCGCCCTCGGTGCGCCAACACGGACGACGCGAGGGAAGATCGCCGTCCTCCTTGACGCAAGCAGCGATGGCGCTCAATCAAAACGACCCGAGCTGGCGAGCGGTTTTACCGGGGAGAGAGAATGATGGCGTACGATTACCCGGAGATGAACCAGATGATCTCACGCGCGCGCTCGCGGCGAGTGGTTTCGATGACGACGAGCCGTCGACGACGAGTTCGGACGCGTACGTCACCGACGTAGAGGACGACGGCGACATGCGCGCGGGTGACGCGAGCGATTCAGATGATGACGGCGAAGACGCGGATGCATTCGAAGATGCCGCAGAAACACTCGCAAGGGGTCAGGACGCGGCGATCACCACAGGTTTACTGAGTGGTGTGAAGAAGCCCGCTTCGTCGCACGGTACGAGGTCTCGTCGGAGCGGAGCGAGTACTCGCCGCTCAGGGGATGCAACCGAACGAGGGCGAAAGAAAAGTGCCTCGGGCAAGTCATCGAAAGAAGCCCTGCGTCGGAAGGCGGAGCGCCGAGCATATAAACCGGTGACCTTCACACTTTTGTGTCGCCTGTTCTGCTTGTACGCTTCCTTCATGGCGCTAGTCTTCGCGTTCGTCATCGTCACTGCGCTCGGCGCCTACCTCAATCCAACTGGGGAAGTGTTGGAGTTAAATGCATTAGAAAACGTGGTTTGGATGATTATTTCGGTCGCGAGCTTCATAGCGATTCCTTCAGCCGTCGCTCACGTCACGGCGTACCTCACCTGGCCGCCGGTGTGGTTAGAGGCTTATCCCGACCGTTCAAAGCTATTGGAGGAGCTAGGCGGAAAAATTTACTTTAGATTCCACATATCACGTGACGCGAAGCCACTTGCAGTGAAGCGCGCTGTGGACGTGGCGGTGGATATTCTGCAACGCGCAATACCGACGACGTTGTTTGAAATCGAAGTGGTGACGACAAAAGAGATTGGCGTGTCGTCGTCGTGCGTCAGCGAGCTTGTGGTTCCATTGGAGATGAATTACAAAGTTCAAGGAAGCAGCGGGTTGTTGAACTTCGCCACGCGTGCAAGTTCGGCGACATGGGGAGACTGGGTGGTGCATTTAGGATCGGATTCGTTGCTGAACGTGCGAGCGGTTGATGCCGTGCTCGCACACTGCGCGCGAGAAACACGTCTCGCGGCTTTGTCTGGGCGTGGGGACACACACGTGCGCCGGCTCGCGCAAGGTGCGGTGCTTCCTGGAATCACTCGAACATCGAATTCCTTCATCGATGGCGTCGAAAGCGTGTTTCAATGGATCCCAGCCATGGCAGAGTGCATCCGCGCAGGCGAATCGTACGGTGCGTTACGAATGATGTATGCGAAGCACTCGCGCGTCGTCGCTCCGATTCCGAACACATATTTAGTAGTTCCAAACGAACTCGAGCTCGCAGTTGGGTTCGCCGACATGGACGTGCACGACGGCTTTGAGCTCACGGCTTTCGCGTTGCGATGTTCAAACAACGGCGTCAAGTTCTCCTGGTTGGATGCGGGCGTTCACGTGCCGATACCGACGAGCAACGTCTGGAAATTGTTTAAACTTCGAGCGCGAGATCACCATAGTGCGCTGGTTTTGATGCGCGACGAGAGTGCGCTCGATCACTCGCATCGCGCTTCTTTAACGCTTGCGTGCGTGAGCGCGGGCTTCTCGACCATCGCTCCCGTGCTCAGCGCTTTCGCTCCTTGGTGTTTGCGTTCGAGCGGCGCGGACACGTTTGCAGTCTCTTGCATCGTTGGTTTCATCACCGCTTGTGTGACATTCAAGTATGCCATTGGGTTTTACAAGAGCGCGTCCGTCGCCGATTTATCGCAAGGTGTCGTGTCCGGCGCAATATATTACAACATCCTATTTGTGTTGACGATTGTCTTGACGCCTCTCTTTTCGGTGTTTGAGTTCATCGCGCTGTGTACGTCGTTGTTCTACGACCCGAAGTACTTTGGTGGCGAATCTCAAGCGGCACGTGGACCCCGAGTGAGTATCCTGAAGGATGACGACGACATCGACTGGCTCGAACGCGGGCAAATGCGTCGAGACGACGATCAACAAGTTTTGCTCGACGACGAGGCGTCGCCGAGCGAGGCGGACCGCGCGTGGAGAAGGACGTCTTGAACGGAAGCATAGAAACCTAGAAACACATGTGGTAAGAGAACGATATACGCACGTAATTAATACGCGACTCACGTCGTCCCCGCGCTAATCAATCGCGCATGGCACAGGGCTCTTGAACGAAAGCGTACGTACAAACTTAGAAAAAGGCGTTGAATCCCCACACAACGCTTCGTTCGTCGCGGACCATGCGTCGTGAGCCACAATAGAGGAGATCGAAGCGTTGACGCATGTCCGCCACGACGGCGGTGACGCGAACGCGCGCGTCGAGAGTGACGTTCGCACTCGAGAGACGATGGTCGTTAGAAAAGCGGCGGCGGCCACGACGGTCGCCGAGAGCAAGCGAGCGAGACGTGCGAGACGTGCGAGATGTGTTCGAGCTCGTGACGGACCAAATTATCATATCCGACACCCTGAGCGTGCGATTGGTGCGACCGGTTTCTGAAGACGAAGTCGTTGAGCACTACGTCGCGAACGAGGCCTTCGACGCAGATCCGTACTGGGCGACTCTGTGGCCGAGCGCTTTCGCGGTTTCTCGGTACATCGCAAACGCTCCGGCTTTGGTGCGAGACAAAACGGTGTGTGATCTCGGCGCAGGTTTAGGACTTGCTGGTCTCGTTGCGTGCGCCGCGGGCGCGAAACGAGTCGAGCTCTTCGACCGCGAACCGCTCGCGTTGGCGTGCGCCATCCTGTCAATCGAGGCAAATGGGTTTCAAGATCGCGTTTTGGTGAAAGATTTCGACTGGAATGACGTACGCGAAGATCAAGCGAAGTTCGACACTCTTCTTGCGTGCGATGTACTCTATGAATCGCACGCTGTATTGCCCGTCGCGGAACTCGTTCCAAAGCTCGTAAAACGCGGCGGTGGCCGATTTCTACTGGGAGATCCACCAAGCCGAGCGCCTCAAAATCGTAAAAGGTTTAAAGAGACGCTTACCGAGCAGTACGGCGCGTTCGTGATGCGCGAACTACTCGTTCAAGAAGGAGGAGACGAACTCGTGTTCATCGATTTTAAAATGTAGCGGCAATATTTTTACATTATAAGTGGAACAACAACAGAACGCTCGATTAGGGAGCGAGTCAAAGACAGGTCGACCGGTAATGAGTTCAAACACGGCTCTAGAGCGACGCGTTATCAAGATCTAGCGCGCTGACAGGTGACAGGCCGCCTCGGGCGCCGCGCTTGTCGACGTAATCGACGAGAGAAATTTGAGACAACGACACCCCAAGGTTGCTTACCGGTGAGCCACCGTATTTGGAGGCGACAAGATATCGCTTGGACTTCAAATCGGCGACATTTGATTCGTGCACCGCCGTCGGTTTCGCGATGGCGAGCGGTCGGGGCGGTTTTTGAACAACCGACGGTGCGGCCGTGGATTTGTAAGAAGATTCTACTTCTTCTCGTTTCTTCGCTTCCACGGTTTCTTGCACTAACTCGCTCGTCGATGCGACATCATACATGTAGTTGCCGTAAAGCATCAATGCGGCTTCGTGACGAGCGCGAGAGCGATCGCCGCACGCGTCGTGCGCGACGACGACTCGGAAACCAGCGTTAAAGGCGCTGAAAACAGAATGTTGCACGCAAACAGACGTGATGAGCCCAGCGAATACGATCGTCTTCACACCAGCTTCGCGCAGTCGCACTGCGAGATCTGGCGCGTGGATGAAGGCGCCAAAGGTGTCCTTGTCGACGATGGTTTCGCCCTCGCGCGGTTGCGCAAACTCCTCCACCTCGGACGGATCGATCTCGTATGCGCGTCGACCTGGGTTCAATCGCTGGAAGTTCTTCAGCCACGGACACGTGTCATACGTGTATGAAGCTTTCACGTGGACGACGTGCGAGCCCGCATCTCGCGCCGAGGCGAGTAGATGCGAAACATTTTCAGGAAACGTGGGGAAAGCCGCCTGCACCTCTGGCGCCAAGCTCCAATACACGGGTTGGATATCGACGAGCATTAACGCAACACTAGGCCCGAAAGACACGGGCCCTTCGTCATGAGTGTCGACCAGTTTGCTCAAATCTGCCTCCGAAGCGTACGCTCTGGCGCGCGACAGCGTCGGTTTTGGCGCCAGCGGCGGCTTGGAATCGATGCGTGGCATCGAACTCAGCGATTGCGACGCTTGCAGCGTGCGACGCACCGTCGACGCTTCATTTCGTCGCTCGGCAAGCATGAATCCATCGTCTTCGTCCTCGTACGAGCGCGAAAACATCTCTGCACGGTTTTGTTCCGCCGCGGACAACTCCACTCGCGTGGGCCAGCGCTGGACGAGCTCCATGCGCGCCAGCACGGCTTTTCGGTTTTCTTGCGGTGTCCCGTTCGGGGAGTCCGCGGGCGCGTGCACGAAGCACTTCGACGTCGGCGTTCCACTCGCACTGCTCGCCGAAATATCCGCGTCCCTCGCGCACGCAACGTCTTCGTCGCTCCGCAAAGGCGTCATTAATCCAGTCGGCACCGAAGGCGAGTGATCGTCATCGCGCGCGTTCGCCGCCACCGCGTGACGATCTTTGTCGGCGGCGAACGCACGAGAGAGCATGAGGAAAGCGTTCACTCGAAATTCCGCGCGATGCGATGCTTGAACGACGACGTGTGTCACTCTGCCGCCGCGACGGTCAACCACCACCAGCGTGTCGACGGCAACGTTCGTGACGCTTCGGATCGACCAAAAACCCGAAGCGACGGCACTTTAAAGACAGTATTTATAGTATGTGGGATCAAGAAATAAATCATAAAAATCGTGAGGGTTTTACAACCTGAGGACGCCCTGAAATCTGGAACATCGACGTTTGAATCACGCCGCGACAGACGACGTCGCGCGGTTCGGTGTCGCCTCGCGATGGGACCTCGCGCTGTGTGGGACGACCTCGCGAGCGACGCGATGCGGGAAGACGGTGATGAGTACGATGAGTACGCATCATCATCGTCGACCGATGGAGGTGGCGATGACGGCGGCGACGCGCGACCGCCGTGGGTGAGCGCTTTGGACATCGAGGCCGAACAGAGAAGAAGAAAATACGCACTGAGCGAAGAGGAGTACGCGAAGAAGATGGCATCGCGGGTGTCTAAACACCTACAAGAGGTGCGACTGGAAAAATACGCGCAATTCGACGACGAACTGTCGACGTCCTCGTTCCCCGGTGACTTGAATGAGGAAGCGGGCGCCAGGGCCAAAGGCAGAGCCGGCGATCGGCGAGACGATGAAGATGGCGCGCACGATCCGGGAGCGCTAGCGCCGGTCTCGTTTGATTTAGATATGGCGTTATTTTGGGCACGACGTCGCGCCGATGCTGCGCGAACGACGGCGACAAAGAACGCGACAGCGGTTGAAAGCGAAGAGCGGCGTTCGAAAGCAAACGCGAAAGAGCGAGAAATTCAGGAGCTTCGAGGGGCGTTGGCGCGCGAAAAATCGCGCAACGAACGCCTGACCATCGAACTCGAGAAGAAGACGAAAGAAACTGAGCGCCTGCGTTCACAGTTGGCGAAGATAAAGTTGAGTCAAGATCCATCTTCGGCGCCAACTCCGCGCGTTGATCGACGCCGCGGAGCGACGAGGAAAGTTCTTGAAGACCAACTACCGCTCTACGCGCAGCTTCGAAGCACCGAAACTGCACGAGATGCTTGGTTCATGAAAACGACGACGCGTTGGTATTAGAGCGTCATTAGGTGATATAGTTGTATGTAAAACACGTTACAAATCGTCATATATGTGTGTTGGCGACAACTGGCAGACTTGAGAGGGATCAGACCACCTCCTGTCGTCAATATGAGGGTGTTTCTTTGCGGTTGCAGTAATAGTAAAGTAAGAAGCGCATCTAGTCTGTTATTAGTTCTGCATCAAGCCAGCGGCGCGCTGACTCAAGATTTCAGAGTCGACGGAATCGCGAGCGATGAAGCGCCAGATGCGCACTTCGCGCTGTTGCCCGTAGCGGCGGATGCGACCGATGGCTTGCGTCTCGCTGGCGATGTACTCCTGAGCAGTGTTCGTGAGCAAGGGGTGAACGAAGATGGCGTGGTTAGCCGTCGTCAAGTTGGCTCCAGACGCACTTTCGTCTCGGCTCAAAAGCAAGAGAACGCGAGCATCATCCTTCTTCAAGTTTTCTTTTTGGAACTCGTCGAGCGCGCCCGTTTGTTGATGCACCGAGCCCTTGAGCTTGAGCGTTTTGATACCAGCTTCGTTGAGCGCGGAGCTCACTTGTTGCATCAAGTCAGGAAATTGCACGAAGACCAGGATTCGTTCGTCATCCGGGATGGACTTGATGTGAGCGACGATGTCGATGATCTTTGAACCGTGCACGCCGACGCCACCATCAGTCTTGATAGACTTGGAGTCCGCGCTGGCCTCGGTGCCAAGAGAGACCGCGGTCACGACGGACGTGTCACGAGTAGCGCAATCGCAGTTCTTCACGCCACACTCTTGGTTCTCGGCGTTGACCTTGAGGCAGGTGACGCAACCAATATGGCCGCACGTAGATAGGACGCCAGACTTTGACTTGGCAAACTTCTTCGAGCACGCTTCGCACTTGACCGAATCGTCCATCTTGGCTTGTTGCAAGTCACGAACAGACTGGAAGAAGCGCAAAGAGCGCACTCGACCGACAAGCTCTTTTTGCAACTTGCGGAGACCGTGCGTATGCTCTCGCAGCTCCCAGAGCTTATCGTCGAGGGATGCCGTCTTCGTCTTCTTCATGGATACGGATTTCCCAGAGTCCATCGTGGAGCTCGGCTCGCCTTCAACAGCCTTGACCACCTTCCAGTCAACCTTGGTCAAATCTTCATCCTTACGAGTCTTGGCGTCGTAGTAGACGGAAGCTTTTTGCTTCCACTGACCACTATAACCGCGAACTTCACCTTCAATCCATTCTTGCTCTTCAACAGAAAACACCGCGATGGTCGATCCGACGGGCGGGCGCGTTTGCAAGAGGTGCGCGGTCTTAGCAGCCTTGGCTTCGGTTTGCTCCTTGAGAACGCCCTTGAGAAGTTCGCTCGCTGTGGGGTCACCGATACCTTCGCCTTGAACGCCGTTCTCCCATCGGATGAACGGATTGTCTTCCGGAGTAAAGTCAGGCATCTGAGACATTTGCGACAACATGGCGCGCGCCTTGAGAATGGCTTCACCGAATTCCTTCAAGCAATCTTCTTGTTGAGTCTTGCGAACGTTCACGATGTCTTGGCAAGTTCGAAGCGCAGTTCCCGCTTCGTCATCCAATTCGAAGTGCGCCACGCGCTTCAGAAGTGCTTCTTCTGCGGAAGAAGAGTTGCCGAGGACGGCAGCGAGACGGGCGTCGCGGTCACTCTCAGACGCGCCTCGCTTCTTCTTCTTCGCCTTCATGTCCATGGATTGCAAGTAGTGATCGAGCTCAAGGTAGATAGCACGCTCAGCTGGTCGAAGTTGAACATCACACACATCTTCTTTGAACTTGATCTCATCGATTTCAGCAATGTTTTGTCGCATGTAACGGTTCAAAAAGCCTTGCGCCACCTCCCATCTTCGCTTGTGCCATTGTTGTGTCGGCTTCTCCTTAAAGAATTGGAACGTCTCCACCTTCGTGATTTCCGACTTGTTATAGCGCGGAACTTCGTCGCTGCCGAGGTTGATACCGAGTAAAGCAGCGGTACCCTTGATGTCGGCAAAGTCGCCCACCGGCGGAGTACCAGACAAGCACCAACGGGATTCAGATTGAAGTCCCATGACGACGGCCTTATCGGACGGCTTCAAGTATGTAAACTCATCGACGATGACGCGGCGCCAGTGGAATAGCTCGACAGGAACAGACTTGATGTCACGCCAGTCGTACTCAGCTTGAGCGCTTTCGAGACCCCAATGATCTTTATTGCCATCGGCGTCAATTTCCATGCTTCGTTGCTTAACGATGCGCTTACGCTTCGGCGTCGACTTTTCCTTGACGAATTCCTCGCTTTCACTGCCATCCAGCGATTCATCGTCATCCCAATCAGAGATCTCATCATCAGTTTCCATGCTATCATCTTCAGCGTATGACTTACGCGGCGTGTTTCGCGCAGACGCGCGGATCGGTGACTTCATCGGCGTCTTCTTCGTCGGCGTCTTCTTCGTCGGCGTCTTCTTCGTCGGCGTCTTCTTCGTCGGCGTCTTCTTCGTCGGCGTCTTCTTCGTCGGCGTCTTCTTAGGCTTGGACGGCGTGACCGGAGCACTTGTCGGCTCAACATTGATCGGTTTTTGAACATTCTCCTTGTCCAAAGCCTGCTGGCGTTCCTTGTGCAAGGCCTCGACGAACTCGTAACCTTCGCCGCCAGCCTTTTCGGTCATTTCGATGAGCTTTGCGCCCTTGAGACGTTTGGGCGCCGCTGTGACGGCGACGTCGCTGAGCGTAGAAGTGCCACAACGAACGTGTTTGGCAACCTCAGCGACACCAAGTTTCTTATCGGTCAATCGCATGACTTGGTCTTCGAGGCTCGCCACAGTGTCCTTGTACACGCTCGTGAAGTGGCGCGCTTGGCTCGAAGATTTCGGATCCGGAAGAGAAGGTCGACCGGCGAGTTGCGCGAGACGCTCAAAGTACAGCGAAGATCTGAAGAGAGTCGTAGCGACGATGACAACATCTGCTTCCATGACCTCTCGCGCCGTCAAAGAGTTGAGATCAGACATTGTCTTGAGAACGACCGTGTTCAAAGAACCTCTCGCGCTGAACTTCTCAACCTCTCTCGGCCATTGGCGGAGCAACTGAGACGGCGCGATGACAAGCGTTGCCTTGGTCGGAATCGCTTTGACCGGAGCATCAACTTTAGCTTGCTTGGGCGTCGGGAACTTGAGCTGGTTCGCCAAGATGACCCCGATGGAGATGGCCGTTTTCCCGTAACCAACTTGATCGGCCACGATGCCGCCGCGAATCACCTTTGAGACTTCCGCCTTGCCATCCATGCGAAGGCCCAAAGCCGGAAGAAGTTTTTCACAAATTTCCTCTTCCACGAACGGCGTTTCGTTGATCTCTTGCTGAACCATCCACCCAAGCGAGCGCAGTTGTTCTGGGCGAAGTGGGTACTTCTTGCTCCAGTTCGGCGGTTGCGCAACTTGCTTGTCGTGACGGTTGCTCTTCAATTCAAACTCCCCAAAGTTGTCCATCGGGCGGTCGTCGTGTCGAACGATTCTCCACGACATATGCGGCGCCTTTGATTCGATGCCTCGAACACCAGACGGAGCGACAAGCGCAAGAGCACGATGAACGAGCGTAGCTGGGTTACCAGCAATCATCAAGTTGCCCGTCGTCTTCTCGCGAGTCCATTGCACGACGAATGGCTCGGGTCGACACTTGAGCGCTTGTTCATATTTGGATGCCTGCAACGGATCTTCACGGGCTTGAATCTTTTGCGAACCGACTTGTCGGCTCCACAAAAGAGTCGGCGGCGTCGGCGCACATCGCGAGCAAGCGAATTTATCGCACGACAACGCGTGATCGTCGCTGAGCTGGTTCCACTTCTCCACAACCTTCGGAAGTTCCATGCGAGACGTGAACCACTCGAGGCGTTGGAAGGTAGCATGACTCTTGTCAAGACGCACAGTCGTGTATCCATTCTCGGGCCACAAATCGACATCAACGCTAGACAAAGGAACGGAGCAACGCATGATGGCAACCGCCTTCGAGCACGAGTCCTCGCCTTGAGTCGGGACGGCGTTCACCGGCGGCGTCAACACGACGGCGTTTTGGACGACGGCGGGCATGAGGGCAACCTTTTGCGGCAGAGCAGTCCATTTTCCAAACGTGTGAGCCATGTGTTCGACAACCTTCTTATCACTCGGACGGAAACGATCTCCCGAAGGAGGCTGTCCAAGGTTTCGGAAATCCAAGTGCGCCGTCTCCATGCGGTCTTCACCATACATCAAACGACGATGGTTATCCGCAAACACGAAGTAGTCAAATTCACCCTTTTGGTTACGTCTGGGGTCCATGAAGAAGTACATTTCGCGACCATTTTGCGGGCCACCAATGCGCTTGTGCAATGAACTTTGAGCGGCGTCGCATTTGTCATAAAGCTGGTAGGTGCCGGTGATGCTGCGATCAAACTCTGTCGCGTTCTTCGGATCTTTCAGCTTAACTTCGTACTGAGTCCAACGTTCCTCCGGCCAATTCACGTCACCGTTCAGCTTGCTGTTGGTCAACATACCGAGCTTGATCTGCCAAGAATCTTCGAGTTCGCCCTTACCTTCAAGAATAACCGGCACCGCGGCGTACTCTGGCGAGAAGAACTCCCACGTGCCGTCCAAGACGCTCTTCGCCGACTTGTCCAAGAGCATACGCATCAACGGGCGTTCATGGAACTCCTCCGGTTTGCCCTTCTTGATGGAAGGATCAACGAAGATCAACCACTCGGCCGCGTTAGGAGCGATGCGCAATTCCAAGCGTACTTTGTCCTCAGAAGCGCACGAGTAATACACGCGCCAGACGTTGGTTCGCTTCATGCCTCGGAACAAGAAATCAGCTTCCCCAATAGCCTTGATCGCGTCCATCCAGTCGTCCCACACTTTACCAAGAAGTTCTTTCGGTTTCGTAAACTTGGCCGAGCTCACATCCAACTTCATGTGCATCGGCAGAGAGTTTTTCAAGTCTTCTTTGAAATCCTCCGGCAAGATGCGATCGACGACGTGCTTCTCGTAGTTGTGTTCGGGTCGCCCGCAGCACTTGATACAGCACGTGTGAGAGCAGTCACGGCAAATGACGAGAGAATCCGCATCAGTGGTGCCAGTTTCACCTTCGCACACGCACAAACGCGCAGATCTGTTCGCCTTGCTGAGGAGCTCCTTCATCCCGACTGGCTTCATGCCGAGATCGAGGGGACGCTTCACCAACTTGTCTTGCCCGACGACCTCCGTCTTCTTAGCCGCAGCAGCTTGAACGACTGTCAGCGAGCCTTGCATAGTTTGCGAGCTCTCCTTGGAATCATCGTCAAGCAGTAAAGCGCGTCGAGCCGTCTTGTGCTTCTTTGCGGCGAGGTTGTCCGTCATGAGAGTCATCGCGGCGAGCATGCAAGCGCCGACGACGGTCGTCGTCATCGCGTTGCCGGCTAAATCGCTCATTTGGTTCTCGCTTTCACGGGTCAACAACAAGTCATCGACCGGAATCCCTTGTAAGCTCAGAGCTTCAATGCCGACGAGAGGACCACCACGGTTGGTGACGAACGGCACCATCGATGGCGTCAGGCACGGGCAAATTCCCGGAGCGACCGAGCCGGTGGTACGATCGACGTTTTGAGAGAGGTTCCAAACCAAAGTCTTGTGCATGGAATCAATATCAAGTTGCGCAAGGCGTAAATAGTCGATGTCCATCAAGTCAAGCACGCGGTCGGTCTGAGCCTTACCCCAGTCGTTCCATGCAAAGTCGGGGAGCGTGCAACCGCCATCCCAATGCGTGAACGGGCGACGCTGACCCAAACCTTCCTCCAAGCGTGCGCGTTGATGACGAGATTCGCACCGTCCCCAGTCAGTGTTTGCGCGCGTCGAATCTTCACCCGGGCGAGCCAACATACGTCGACCTTCGTGTACACGAGGATCGTCGGCGTCGAAGAGGAATGCTTCGAGCGTCGCGCTCGCCGGTCGCTCGAGCGACTTTACCATACCCTTCCACGCTTCGACGAGCGATGCATCGCTCGCTTTGCACGCAAACAAGTACACACGCGTACGCGTGTGCGGAATGTAGAACCGCTTCGTGTCCACGCGCATGAAACGCGCGTGGTAGCCCTCGTCTTCAAACTTCTTCTGCACTTGATCCCACGGCGCGTTGCACACGTTCTCCAAGATGATGATCGGTGGTTGGCTCTTTCTGATCCAGTTCATCATCCCGCGGAACGTTTGACCAGACTCCCCTTGTGCCTCGAGACCCTTACGCTCGTTGTTCAAGTTGGAGTAATCGACACAAGAAGTACCCGCGACGAGCATGTCGACGTCGTGCGGCACGTTGATTTTCGCGCCGTAAGCCGTCGTCGCCTGGTCGCCGCCTAATTCGCGAATATCGCGAAAGAGGATTGGCGGCGCGAAGTTACGCTCGATGTATGCTTGCTTGAACGGTTCGATCTCGCACGAGAACACGTGGTCGACGGCGAGACGCGTACCATAGAGTTTTTCCGTGGCGTCCCCAATCTTGTCGAGTGCGAGAAGCGGCGACTCCGTGCCAGAGCACATCGTCGCGACGCGTAACGGGCGCTTCATCGCCGTCAAGAAGTTCTCCATGCCCGGAACACGACTAACAAGATCGGCAAACATACCACCGATATCCGCAATCACGGGCAAATGCTCCGCGAGTTGCGTTCTCGGGTTGCCGCTCGCGCCGCTGTCGCTGTCTCCGCTCTTGCGCGGAGAACCACCCGGAGATCTGTTAAAAATGAAACAAGAGGTGAAAAAATATTCGTCAGTCATCCATGTATACGCGCGATTTCAACGCGCCCGAAGCGCGTCAACGTCGCGTGAGGCGCGCGTTTGCCGTCGGCGACGCAGTTCGGGCGGGAAACGCGTCGCGGGCACCCGCGGGCGCCCTGATCGCGATTCCCCTTTTCTCTCATCCGCGCCGTCCTGTTCACGCGCGCAACGGAGATAAAATCAAAGAACCACTACTAGCGTACCTCTTGCTCATCGGTGTCGGCGGTGCTGATCCTCCCACGACGCGCGCTCTGTACTTCTTCGGCGTCGTGCGCCCGCTCGCCGGCGCGCTCGGCGCCGCGGCGTAATCGTCATCCCCGTCGAACGCGTAGTCCTCATCCATGTCCTCCGTCTTCACAGCCATTTCCTTCATTCTTTCTGTTGCCTTATTCGCCGTCGCTCGTCGCGGCGTTCCACGCCCCGCCGGCGAATTCGGCGCCGACGCCCCGTCCCGCGGCGCCTTCATCGTCGACTTCTTCACCGGCGTCGTTTTCGGTTTGTTTTTCGACGCATCTTTTACCGGCGTCGCGCGTTTCCCAGCCATGCCTTCGCGCGAGCGCCGCTCGCGGTGAACGAACGACGTTCGTTCTCACGTCCACGCGCGCGTTCGTCACCGAACACTCCCGCGACGCGCTCGAAATCGACGTCGCCGATGCGCGCGATCGGCGATGTGTCGAGATCGGGGGAACAAGCGAATTCGTTCGACGCCGTTCGCGCGCGCGTTGTCCGTGCGCGCTCCCTCAAGCGCGGATGACGACGCGATGCTCGCGCGGAACACGATCGAATCGATGCAGTTCGTTTCGCTCGAGATTTAGATTTATAACCTCGTCGAGCGGCGAGGTGTGCGGCGCGGCGTCGAAACTCATCCGTCATCTTGCGCGCCAAAACGTCGACAGCTGCGCCGCGCGATTTAAAGATTTGGATGCAGAACCCTATCCACTCGTGATGGCGTTTTTTACACACCGTATACGTAGATTTGATCGCATCCATTCGAATTTTCGAAAAACCAAAATATCCGCGACCCTTTGTTCGCGCGTCGCGCGTTCGCGCCGCGACACTCGGACGAACGCCGCCGACGCGTCGCGCCGTCCCATCGCGACGATGGACGCGTTCGTGGGAGAGTACGGAAGCAGCGACGACGGCGACGGCGACGACGGTGGCTTCGTGGGACCGGCGCGCGCTGGATCGGCGCGGCAGACGGCGGACGAAGCGACGAGCGACGGCGAGGATGCGTTCGTGGGACCGGCGCGACCGACGGCGATGACGACGAGGGTGAACGTCGATGATCGCGACGGCGACGACGGCGACGACGGCGACGACGACGACGACGGCGACGACGGCGACGACGACGACGACGGCGACGACGGCGACGACGACGCGTGGGTGGCGGCGATCGCGGCGAGATACGGGGCGACGACGAGCGAGACGAGCGAGACGAGCGAGGAGACGAAGGCGACGCAACAGAGAGTGAACGACCTCTTAATCGTCGCGAGACGACGAGGCGTGACGCCGAGCGCGTTGATGTTCACGTCATCGACTTTTAGGAACCCAGAGTTCATGGAGACCTGCGCGCGAGATGGAGTGTCGGCGAGCGACGCGTTCGCCACTGGGGCAAAATTTGCGTTTGACGAATCGCCAGTGGAGGAGGAAGATTTCGCTCGTGCGCTCGCTGATGAACAGAAGCGGGTCACGGAGAAGTACCTCGCCAAGCGAAACGGAATCTCGTTTCACAGCGCTGGTCCGCAACAACCCGTCGTGGCCCCACCGCCAGCGGACGAGGCGCGACAGGCGGCGATAAATTCACAAATCGCGAAGGCGCGGGTCGAGGCACGCATCGCGCTACAGAAGGCGGGAAAATTAGCGTAGGAAAATAGTGAAAATAGTGAAAATAATACATTCCCTAGTCACTAGTAGCTAATCCCATCCACCAGCGTTGAAGTTCGGGCGTGGACTCGCGAAGGCACGTCTCAGCCGCGCTCGCTTGATCGTGCACGAGCGACGTCACGGCGTCGAGTGCATCGTCTCTCCAGACTTCGGCAATCGGAGCCTCCGATGTCAAAGCGTCGTTGAGTTGCAAGGTACGCGCCTCGCACCACGCGATCGCAGCGGCGATATTTTCCGGTGAATCCAACATGCTCAGCGCCGTTTTCGCTTCATCCGCGGAACCGTCGGAACGAATGTTTTGCACTGCAAACACCGAGGTGATTTCCTCGAGCGACAACCCGACCAAAGAAGCAACTTCGTTCGCATCTTTCGCCATCAGGGTTTCTGATATCGACTGCTTGCCTTGGGCTTGTCTCGACATGTGCGCCACAGCGGCTGACATACGCAACAAGCGTATCGACATCTTGCGCACAGCCTCAACCAGGGATGCGCACGGCGGTGCGAACGCCGAGCAACGTTCGCGCAATCGCTCGATCTCATCTTCGTGTCTCGCCAGCTCGCGCCGGAATCGGGTCGTCAGCTGCTTCTCCACAGCTTTCTTCGTTTCTTCCCTCATCGACTCGATTTGCGTCTTGCACTGTTCGAGTTCATCGCGAAGTCGAGCGGCTTCTTCGACGCTCGTCGCGAGCTTGGCGCTGGTGTCTCGAAGTTCTGCGTCGGCGGATTCGACTTCTGTGAGCAAAGTGAAACCGCCTTCTGTCGCGTCGACGGCGAGTTGCTTGGTTTTTAGCTGACGTTCGAGCTCTTCGATTCGTTGATTTGCGCGCACGAGCTGCGCGTTGAGATTGGCGACTTCAGCCTCGGATTCTCCTGCCCAGCTGCTCTGCACGCGCCTGGTCAAATCGGCAATCTTTGCTTCCGACTCCTTGACGAATTCCAACAGTTTATTTCGCTCGCGTTCGTGCTCCTGACGCAGGCGTTGCATGAGCTCTCTGTAGCGCTTACATCTTTCCACGTGCGCGCGACGCTCATCATCGCCCGGCATGTTGCTCGCCTGCCATTCCTCTTCTTTTCGCTTTTGTTCCGCGATTTCGGCTTCCAAGTTGAGCAGCCTCGCCGTCATTACCTCGGCGTATGCTTGCAAAGTCGATGTGTCGCGCGCGACCAAGCGATTGGTTTCTGATAACCGTCCTTCGTGTTGCTTGAACGCGCCTTCGAGAAGAGACTTGATATTTTCGAGTTCAGTTCGCGTGGATTCGTCCATCGCGACATTTGTCGTCGACGCGCCGACGGCAGCCAAGGCGTCATCACGCCATCTGATTTCTTCCTTCAGTCGATCGACTTCGTCACGCGCAGCGGCTGCGACGACAGCAGCCGCTCGGTTGTCTTTGAGCGCGACAGTGACTAAGCTTTCCGCATCGTGAGGATCAACTTTCGCACCAAGCGTCGCCGTCGTTCCCTTTGTCGCCAAAGCCGTCTCGAAGCGCGCCGACTTTTCCAATTCTCTGATTCGATCGTCTCGAACCTCAATCGCTTTTTCGAGCTCGGATGTGCGCTGGCTCAATTTTGTCACGACATCAGGGTGTTCAGATTGTCCATCTGTCCGCTCGACGAGCTTTGCGCGAGATTCCCGTACTTCTTCGAGCTCTGCAGTCGCTCGCTCAAAGCTTTCACGCGTCGCTTCGAGCTCTCGTGTGATTTCTGCCAGTCTCTCCTGCGCATGCGTTTCCGCATTCACTCGTTTCTCTAGCTCCATAGACGCCGATGCGATCGTCTGCGCTTGTTCTTCGACTAACGCGCGCAATTGGTCCGCCTGATCTTCTAATATCGACGCCCGAAATTCTTCGTGAAGCTGCGCAACGCGGGCGTTAAGTTCGGCAATCGTGCGCTGGGCTTCGCGCAAGCGATCCTGCTCCTCGAACACTTCCTTCTTCGCCTTATCGCGGGCCACCGACATGGCTTGCATAGCGCTCGCAGCCGACTCGCGAGCGCCAATGAGTTCGCTTCCCGTGACTTCGAGCTCGTCGATGCGCGCCTTCATTAATTCAATCTTTTCGTCGCGATCGCGCAGTTCCTCCTCCATTTCGTTAAGCTCGACGCCCGTGTCCGTTTCGCCTCGCACAATTATCTGTGATAACTTTACGTTGCGAGCGTGCGTCGTCATGAGTCGATTCTCCAACGAACTCATGGCCTTGGAGCTCAGAGAGGCGTACGACTTTTGAGAAAGTTCGAGAATGGCGCACACGTGATCAAACGCTGTCTTTGTCGACTCGCTGCGATGTTCCGCCTTCTCCACGTGCCTCATAGCCGAAGTAAAAGCCTTCTCGTATTTAATAGACGTACACTCCAACAGAGCAATCGTGCGCTGCGCATCCAAGAGCGCTTCTTCAAGTCTTTGATTGACAGTGGTTTCCCCGTCGTCTGTCTGTCGCAGCGCGATTTGGATACCGCGGCAAAAGTTCGCCGCGGCGTCTGTTGAAACGGTATCCGTCACGCTCTGTTGAACTTTGCGTTTCAAATCTCCGATCTGCGTGGCGCTGTATTGACTCAACCGTTCGACTTGCAGTCGAAGCGCTTTCTCACACGACTTGAGACTGATTTCCAAATCCAAGTTGTCTCGCTCGGCGTCGTCTAAACGACTCAGCAGCTCAAGCTCCGCATCCATGTACGCGATGCACTCTTCAGTTTTCCACTCGAGTTGTGCGAACAAGATTTCTTCGCGCTGGCGCGCAGATTTGGCGATGCTCTCGTACGCCTCCGCGCGCTCCGACTCACCCTTGAGCTCGTGGCGATACTGTCGCACCTCGCCCGCGAGAAGCTCTCTCTCGTTTACGAGCGACGCATTTTCAGTCTCGAGGGCGATAATCTTCTCGCGCGCTCGATTCATTTCGTCTCGCCGCCAATCACCATCTGCTGTCGCAGGCGAACGATCACTTTCTAATACCGATAAAGTGTCTCTCAAGACGAGTAATTCTTCTTCGCGTTCGCGCAAGGTGTTGGTGAAGTATTCCCGTTCGTGTGTCGCGTTTTCAGAAGTCGCCTCCGCGGACTCTAGCGTGAGTTTGCTCGACGCGATTTGTTCCCTCAATAGCATTTCCAATCGCCCGAGCTCGTTCGCTTGCGAGTTATTCGTACTTCTAAGTTCCTTCACGACGCGTTTGAGAGAAGAAATTTTCTCTTCAGCAGAGGCAAGTTTGGCGTTGTCTCGCGCGCTCTTAGTCGCTGTCATCCTCGATGATTGCGACATCATCGAGAGCGCATCACCGATTTGCTCGCTGGTCTGCGATGATGCCATCGTATTCGCTTCAGCGCTATCCGAGGCAAGCGCCTGGCGAAGCGCGAGACGCGTCTCGGCGAGTCGAACGCGCAATCGATGCGCCGACTCTGCGGCGCCGGCGTCTTCGTCCTCCTCTTCATTCAAGATCTCGGTTTCGAACGTGGCAGCCTTGATTGAGCGTAATTCTTCTTCTAAATCTTGCGCCTTTACCCGCCATCGCTCGCCTTCTTCGCTCGCGCGCGCGCTTTCGACCGTCAGCGCGGCGACGCGAGCCGACAACGCTCTCTCCGAGGCATCCGCCGCATTCTCGCGCTCGCTCCACCGCTCATCTCGCGCGCACACCAAGCGCTGCATTCGTTCTGTCAACGCCCCCGCGTGTTTTTCGCTCGCCAACGCAAACTTCTTCGCTTCTTCGTGCGACTCTCGAAGCCTTTCCGCGTTTCCGTTTGCCTCGCGCAGCTCTCGCCTCAAACGAATGACGACGGCGCGTTCGTCTTCCAATTCCCGTTCCAATTGCCCAACGCGCGCGCCCGATGCCGACGCCGACGCCGACGTTCGACCGCGTCGCGCGTTTCGATACCGATCCTCGTCCTCGAACGTCTCCTCATCGCTCATCTCACCTTCGTCTTCGCCTCCGCGTCGAGCGCGTCTTCGCCGTTCAAACGCCGTCGTCGCCCCTTCTCTTCGCTCGCGCGCCCGCAGCTCCGCGCGCAATCGCGCGATCTCCGCGTCTTTCGCCTCCAACGCTCGCAACGCTTTGATGGATGTCTTCTCCAGCTTCTCGCGCATCGTTTCCACGGCGTCCTCGCCTCGGCGACGCGACGCATTCGTGCCATCTTTAAACACCGCGCGGTCGTCCATCGCGCGCGCGGTGCGCGCGTCGTCCCGTCGTCCCGTCGTCCCGTCGTCGTCGTCCCGTCGTCGTCGTCCCGTCCCGTCGTCCCGTCGTCGTCGTCCTCACCGCGCGTCGCGACGTGCGACCGGCCGCGCGGCGCCGACGGCCAATCGTCATCGCGAACGGCCCGCGTCGGCGTCGGCACACCTCGACGTCGGCGAGCCGCCATCACCCATGGTTGATTTACATCGCGCGCACACGATTCACGAAGATTACGCGCGTAATCATAAACTCTTCAAACTCCCGCGAACGAGTCTTGGCGCGCTGTGCGTCGCGTCGGGCGTCGGCGTGGCGACGTATTACGCGTTCCGCTCGTTCGTGACATCGACGCAATCGAACGCATCGACGGGGACGACGGGGATGACGAAACACGAAGAGGTGTGGCGATCGTCCTGGGATAAAGGATCACCGCGCAAGCACGTGAATAATCTCTGGAACGATCCCGCGAAGTGAGCGAACGAACGAACGGACGAACGAACGAACGAAGGAAGGAACGAACGAGCGCGAATGACTGGAAAGAATGCTGACTCAGCCGAGCGACGCCGGCGTTGTAAAACACACCGTGTACTACTTTTTCTTCAGCACTATGTCAGCTACGGGCTGCAAACCGCGCTTTAAATCACCCTCGGGAAACGCATCGATCGCATCGTCGTCTAAAAATGCGAACGCGCGCTTGAAATCACCGGGGGAACACGCCAAGGGCGCCTCCCAATGCGCCGGGACGACGCGCTCAAAATCCCACCTCGAGCTCACGGCGGCTACCCAACGGCGAACAGCGTTGGGATTTTGAGCGTAAAGCAGCGTGCGCACGACCGGGGGAACGAGCAAGCGACCGGCGAGGGCTTGAAAGTTGTCGTGCCAACCGTCTGTCCAAATCACCGTCCCAGGCGCCGCCGGGTCGAGCTCTTCGTGTTCGGGGAAAAAGTAACTCACCAACAACGCCGTTTTCTCCCACCCGGCGCGACGCGCCTCGGGCGTGTCCTCGGGCACGGGGTCCGCCGTCGATCGCTGGGAGACGACTAAGAGTTTTTCCACGGAATTCGCCTCCGGAGGGTCGATCGGGATCTGCGCCAAGGCGTCGGTGACGATCAAAGTCTTGCTTGGTTTGTGAAAAAACGCGGTCTCGTAAATCGTCTGCTTCGTCGATCCCACGTCAAACGTTCCCGCTTCGAGCGTCTCAAACTCGATCTCATCCTTCCAAGGCACCGCTACAGGCGATCTCACGTCTAAATCACTTCCTTGTAATACGAAGTCCACCTTTTTCCCGAACACTATTTCGTCAGAGACGTCGCGAATGGGAAACGTAAACTGCCCCGGCGAGGCGTATAACTTGGCGCCTCGCCATCGCGCGAGCGCATCCTTGGCGAAAATTTTATGCTCTAACGCGTACGTTGGCACGACGACGTATCGAACGCACGCGCTCGTACCATCCCCACAACTCTCCACAAATTCAAAAAACTCCTCCGTCGGCGCTAAGGGCGCGTGCACCCACAGCGAACCGTCGCTTAGCTTGCACGTCACGCATCGAATCGTCGTCTCGAGCGGGCCGAGCTCGATGTTTTGTTCAAACGCCCACATCTGTCCCGGCACGATCGTTCGCTTCACCGTCGCGCGCGTTCCACGACCGATGAACGGTTTAAACAGCACCGGGAACCTCTGCTCGAACAACCGTCGCGCGTCGTCATCCGCCGCGTTTGCTCCCGTCGCTCGCAGCGCCGCCGCGCTCGCCGCCGCCATGAGCGCGTCTCGTCTCGTCGTGTTTCCATTCCCGAACCGCCCCGTCGTGGTTTCACGCGTCGACGTCACACGCTCTTCGACATCATCTGCGCTCGCGCGCGCTCGCGCGTCACGTCGTCGTCCACCGCTTCGTCTCGTCGTCGTCGTCGTCGTCGTTTCGCCGCGCGTTTTATCCATCGCGTTCGACGCCGCGCCGCGCGCGTGTGTCGCGCGTCGCGCGTCGTCTGCGCGCGCCAGAGCGCGCGCGGACACACCTCGCGCACACCTCGCGCCGCGCGCCGGCGTCACCGACGTCGTCATCCCGATGCGCGTCGTCGTCGCCCCGAGCGCGTCACTTTGACGCGCGTCGGTCGCATCGCGTCGCGCAGTCATGCGCGCCGCCGCCGCCGACGACGGCGCGAGCGCGGTTGACGTCATCGTGCGCGGACGCATCATCGGTCGACGTCGCGTGAGCAAGCGCTTGGCATTTTACGACGTGCGCGTGGACGACGCGCTCGATGCGGCGGCGGTTGGCGCGGACGACGCGACTTTGCGAGACGACGGACGACGCGCGCGGGCGCACGCGGCGTTGAGCGCTGGCGAGCTGATCGAAATGGTGGTGAAGGCGTCGCATGGTGCGTTCGTGACGCACGAAGACGTGGCGTGGGCGCAAAAGACGTCGTTGAAGCTCGGGAACACGGGCGCGTTTCGCGGGACGCTCTCGCGGCGAGCGGCGAACGCGCACGGCGAGTGGTCGTTGGCGTGCGAGGAAGTGGTCGAGATCGTCGAAGAGTGGGCGAAAGTGAATCCAGGGAAAGCGTTTCAGCGCGAGTTGTACCTCCCGAACGAAGGAGGCGAGAGTGGGATCGGCGGCGAGGCGAGTTCGAGAGTCGCCGACGGAGCGAGCGTCGGCGCGTGCAAGTTCTTCATCAATAACGCATTTTGCGCCAAAGGCGACAAGTGCAAGTATGCGCACGATCGAGCGGTGCAACGCGAATGGATCGCGGCGCGTAAGGCGAATAGACGGGAAATCGCGGCTAAAGAGTGCGGGGACCCGCACGGAGACTCGGTGGCGAGCAAACAAATGCGTGCGCAGCGATTCGCGCAATTTTTGCTCGAAAAGTTTGGCGCCGAAGTTTTAAACGCGGGTACCGGCGTTTTGGACGTCGCGGGCGGACGAGGCGATGTGTCGTTTGAGTTACATACAAAATTAGGAATCAAAAGCACGCTTGTCGAACCGCGCGAGCGAAAGCTGAACAAGAAACAGCACAAGTGGCTGAAGAAGAAGTTGAAGACGGACGAGTCGACGGCGCCGGAGGCGGAATCGATGCTGTGCGAGCAAATTCGAACAGAGTTTTCCAGTGAAAATTTCGCACAGTTCAAAGATTGTTCGGCCATTATCGGTATGCATCCAGATCAGGCCACCGAAGCGATCGTCGATTTCGCGCTGCAATACAGTAAGCCGTTCGCCGTAGTTCCGTGTTGCGTCTTTCCGGATTTGTTCAAGCACAGACGAGACCGCGACGGCGCGCCGGTGACCGAGAGAATGGCGCTCGTGGATTATCTCGCGCGAAAAACGGGGGGCGAAGTACAGTATCTAGATATAGAAGGCGCGAATCAAGTCGTGTACGGCGTTCCAAAGTAGAAATTAGAAATTAGCCAACTAAGAGCGCCAAATCGCAGTCACCACACCGAGCGCCATGGTTTTGCCATTCATGCGAAGCGTCACGCGGCTTAACGTCGGTGAAATCTCGACCGGTTCGACGCAAATATTCCTAGACGTGCGAATACGCAAAATAGCGCTCTGTTCGCGCGTAATACACCGAGGACTTGCCTTTACCACGTCTCCCGTCACCGTGTCCACTTGCGCGACGAGTTCCTCAATCGTTGCGTCGCACGCGAGCATGTGCGAATGCAAAACAACCCTTGAGCCTTTGAGTAAAGGCACACGAAGCATGTCCGTCGTGAGCACACGGACTTCAATCTCATCCGTGGGCGTTATTGGATGCGACGCATGGCATAAAACGCTCCCGACTTCTAAATGCCGCGAATCCACGTCGCTCAAGCCGACGTCCACGGATGTGCCAATCGGCGCAAAGTCGACGGCTATTCCGTCCACTTCCACGCACTTCACAGTGGCCGAAACGTTGGCCGGCATCACGAGTAGCTTTTGACCTTTCATCAAGCTTCCAGCTTCGATCTTACCACCGCACGCGGCTCCACCGAGAGAGCGCACTTCGGTGATGATGTCTGCGATTGGCATGCGAAGCGGTTTCGGCGCTCCTCGAGATGGAATTTTAACCGCTCGCAACGCGTCTACGAGCGTCGGGCCTCGATACCACGAGGCCAATGCATCGGGCAATGCAGCCGCGTCATCGGGCGAAATATTTGTACCCTCAATCCCCGAAACCGGCACGAACGTGAGCTGTTCTTGGCTAAAACCGACGTCGTCGATGAGAAAGTTTTGAAGCGCATCGACGACAAATCTAAATCGCTCCTCTCCATACTCAACGCAGTCCATCTTATTGATGACGACGATGAGGGAATGTAAACCAAGCGCCCGCGCCAATCGCGCGTGCTCGCGCGTTTGTCCCGTGTGACCTGGAGTCGCAGCGAAACCGTTTTCAAATCCACCCATCGCGCCGTCAATGACCAAAACGCCCGCGTCGGCTTGCGACGCGCCGGAAATCGCGTTCGGCACGAAATCTTTGTGCCCAGGAGCATCTAAAACTACCAACTGTCGATGTCCATCTAACACACATCGCTTCATGCTGACGTCTATCGTCACCCCGCGCTCTCGTTCTTCCGGTCTACAGTCCATCACCCAAGCCCAGGCGAACGACGATTTCCCGCTCGCCTTGGAATCGCGCACGTTTTTATGCATCGCTCTGTCATCGACCGCTTTCAAAGCGTACATCAATCGCCCACTAAGCGTCGATTTCCCCGCATCAACGTGTCCTAATATCACGACGTGCACGTCACCGCCCTCCGGTGAGGTGTACGCCGCGCGCTCGGCGCTCGAAGCTTCGTATCCCGCAAACGCGGTCGCGTCGCCGCCGACTCGCGTCTTGGCCGCAAATTCTTTCACGAGCGTTTCCGTCGTTTCCATCGCCGCGCTCGCCCCAGACTTACTCCCCCGCGCTCGCGCCGCCGCCGCTGCCGCGTCCGGTGAAGGCGTATCGAACGCAAACTTCCCCGCGCTCGCGCCGCCTCCGCTCGGCCCGCGCGGCGCCGCGGGATACCTCGCGTTTCTCTCCGCCGCCATCCGCGCCTCGATCTCTTTCATCCCCACGCGCGTGGGCGTCGGTTTCGTCTTCATCAACTCCATCGCCTTGCTCGTCTTCGCCGCCCTCGCGCCCGTCGTCGCGCGCTCGCCATCCTCGGCTCGCTCGAGGGCCTCGCGCCCGGCGCCTGCGGCTTCGTCGTCGTCGTCGTACGCCTCGTCGTCGTCGTCGTACGCCTCGTCGTCGTCGTAATCGTCGTAATAATCATCCTCGTCCCCGCGTCCCCATCCGCCCTTGCGAGACATCGCGCGCGTCGCGCGTCTCGCACTGTCGCTCGCTCGTCCTTCGCGTCGCATCGCGTCATCTCACGACGCGCCCTTCGCTTCGATCGACATGCGCGCCACCGCGGTGCCGACGACGCACAACTCGCGCGCGATGCCGCCGCTCGCGGTCGGCGCCGTTCGAGCGCGCGCGTCGTCGTCGTCGCCGCGCGTCGTCGTCGTCGTCGTTCGCGCGTCGTCCAAGATGACGCCGACGAGGTCGCGCGCGCGGGCGAGCGACGCGGCGACGCGCGCTGAGGACGGGCGCGTCGCGCGAAAGACGCGCTTCGCGCGCGCGCGCGATGGAGCGGTGACGACGCGCGCGCGAGGAGGATGGGACTACGACGATCGAGTCGAGTTGGACCTGCCTCGCGAGAGCGCGCTCGCGGAGGACGACAAGCTCGCCGTCGCCCCGGGAGGACGCGTGGAGAGCGATGATTTGAACGCTGAATTGCGCGAAAAAACACTTAAAGCGATCGAGAAGGCGCAGTATCGCGCCACTGTGGGGGACGTGAGCTCGATTTCGGGGGCGAGCGTGTTCGAGACGCAAAAGGCGCTCAACGCGCTGGCGGCGGACACAGGAGCGACTTTGGAAGTATCCAGCGCGGGCGATCTCACATACGTGTTTCCCAGGTCGACACGAGGGATTTTGAGCTCGAAATCGTTCAAGATGAAGATCGAACCGATCGTGAGCGGGGCGAAAAGCTTAGCTTCGTACGTTTTTCGCGTGGCGTTTGGAACGTCGCTCGTGGCGAGCGTGATGATTGTCTACACCGCCATCTTCGCCCTCATGAGCGCCAAGAGTAGTGACGATCGTTCAGATCGGCGCGGTGGTGGCTTCGCTGGGCCGCGCTTTTACATTTCGCCGTTTGATTTGTTTTGGTATTGGGATCCGTACTACTATCGCCGACCGCGAAGACGCGACAGAGAGATGAACTTTTTTGAGGCTGTCTTCAGTTTTGTTTTCGGCGACGGCGATCCGAACTTGGATTTCGAAAAGCGGCGTTGGGAGTTGGTTGGACGCTTGATTCAAAAGAATAAGGGCGTTGTGACGGCGGAGCAGTTGGCGCCGTTTCTGGACACGGCGGGATACGAAGACGAGTCCTTTGTCTTGCCCGCGCTCACCCGCTTCGAGGGCACGCCAGAGGTGAATACCGTCACAGGATCGATCATTTATCGATTTCCTAACATGGAGTCCACCGCTGGAAAAACAACGGCGCGAAGTAGAGGCGAAAGTGAGGCGTTGGCGCAAGAGGAGCGATGGGTGTTTTCGCTCGCCGAGCCGTCGCAAAAGATTCAAGCGGGTTTACTCGGCGTTGCGAACTTAGTGGGGGTGGTGATTTTGGCGCAGATGATTAACGACCCGCAAATCATGTACCGCACCCGAGAGTACGTGGAGTTGGCGCGCGCCTTCTCGGGCTTGCTCCCCGGTTTACTGAGCTACGGCGTATTATTCTTCGTCGTTCCGCTGTTGCGCTATTTCCGCAACCAAGGCAAGAACCGGGAAATCGATGCTCGCAATAACTCTCGATTGCTCGCAGCTCGCCGTATCGCGAGTCCAGAGCCTCGTTTAGCCGCCAAGCTCGCCGCCGCGAGCTCAGCTGCGTCCCAGCGCGTCGTGGGTGACGCCGTGTACACGTCCAACGAGGGCGCCGGCGATGATTACGACCTCTCCGACTTTGATCGACGCCTGCGCGAGCGAAGCTAAAACGCGCAACTTGTAACAAACCACTTCGTTTTCATTACACTCGTATCCGTGTCGCGGTCGATGCGTTCGTTCGTTGCTAATCTCTAGATCTCTACACTCGTCTAAATCGGCGTCAAGAGCGACAAAATGCTCGGTTTCGGCGTCGTGTTCATACCGACGATGATGATGACGGGGATGATGGCGTAGTGTAACTCGTCTGACGCCAGCACGCGCGCGATCGCACGCTTGATCGAGTTCATGGCGTCTGGGTTGTGACGTGACTGAATCAGTCGAGCAAAGGTTTTCCTCGGACGCGAGGCGCACGAGCACAAGGAGAGGATACGCAACTCGTCGTCGTTTGAGTGACGATGATGCTTAGCGTGTGATAACTTATTACAGAGAGCTTCTAGTTCCAAACCCTACACTCGATCGAGCCGATTCACGCTTGGAAGCGATTATTCTGACGACGTCACGAAGGTTCGCGCACGTCGCTATTTCTTGAGCCGAGATGACGGCGAATTGTTCGCCGGCGTTGATTATACCCACGAGCACTGGCAGACCGACAGAAACGAGACCGATCTCATCAAAGGAGTCGTCGAGAGACACTCGTTCGTCGACGCCCGTGACCGCGGCGACTGCTTTGATCACCGCGTCTTCAGGCGACGACTCCTCGCTGCTACCCGAAGTCTCCGCGCTCTTCGCCGAATTCGGCCATATAATATTCCGGAAGAAGGTTATAAACTTGATCCATAGCACCGTCAGTGGAGTATTGAGCCACCTGTCTACCGCCGCCGAAAAGCACGTCGTCATTCCGACGATGAAGAAGAACTCGTACCACGCCACAGGTAACGGCTGCGGCGAGAACCAGTAATATTCCTTCGGATACGCCCACCACATCCACGACGTCTTGTCGCCAACGTCTGCGGTCTTGATGCCATTTCCATTACGAGTCGCCCACCAATACCACTGTCCAATGATCTGGTGGAACAAGAAGCAACCATAACTCGTCGGGGCGAGCACTTTGCTTAGTAAGTTTGATTCAAGAAGGCGAGTCGTTCGGCTGCCCTTCGGTATCGACAGCAGAGCGATCCAGACGGCGATCAACGGAGAATACAACCGAGTGATCATGACGCTCCATACATAGCGATTGATGCCTGTATCCCAGCGATGATGCTCTTCGGGTACAACTTCCCACATCTTGCCCGTGACGTTGGTCGGATAAGGCCAATCAATGTCAAGGAAATGGGCGAGATGGAAGGCGAAAAATGCGAGCGTGAGCACATCGGCGCAGTGGCCGTACAACGCGCGCTTGTGCGACTCTACTGGCCGTACGGCGTCGTACCAAAAGTATGCGGCCATACCCGTACCGACACATGGCACCCAATACGGCGGAAACATCATTGTGCTGAGTGCGTAGATGTTCTGCACATTTTCTTTCCAGCTCTTCACTTTGGCGACATCGTCGTGCTCTTCCCACGCCGGTAAGGCGTAGTACAATCCCAAAAGCCCGGCGGTGATAAGAGTACCGACACAGTAAACGATGAACCATCTCAGTACGGCTTTGAATTCGCCTTTGACGCGAGCGAGCGCGTTGTGCATGAAAGGAAACACGAGAATAATGAAATAGTAAACGCCGTTGAACCACGTGTAGTACATGAACCACGAGCTGAGAAGCCACAGCGGGAACCAAGTTTGCAACCCGAAAGAGAAAACGATGAGGGTCATGAAGAGCCAAGCGCCGTAGGGCATCTCCACTGGACCGGTCTGGCATTGCGCCCACGCCCCAGAGTCGAGCGTGAGCGTTGCGTTATGTGGTTGCCAGCTAAATTCGCTACTAAAAGTTTCCGGGCGACACACCACGAGGACGTTGATCAGACCGAGAAACAAAGACAGCAAGTACAGAGGAAAGAGTGTTTGAAACCTTGAATTATAGAACGATCCCCATGTTCCTTTTGTGATTTCCTTGCCGTTCAGTGCGGCGCTGAGCGTGAAGCCACCCAGCACAAAGAAAGTTGTCGCTGGAAAGTAAAACGTCGTCGCCTTGGCAGACATCCACGCTGGACCATACGTCAAAGGATCACGTTCGTCCTCGCCTTGCCAAATGGCACCTATGTGGTTAAACATCACACCTACAGCCATACAATAGCGCAAGCCTGCAAGACCATGCGACGGGGTCGTCACCTTTTTAGAGTGCCGCAAAGTGCACGCGTCGACTTTCTTCGCGACGTTTAAAATCTCGGCCAAACCCGCACGCTTATACTTTTTCGTCGATGTTTTGGGTAAATCTTCGTCAGCGACAAATTTCCAGTGTACAGGAATTTCAAATCGAGATAGTTCTTTCGATGTTCCCATGAAAGACTTGATTGAAGAGAGCGCCGAGTCTTCGTGCCCATCAAAGTCGTCGGTCAATACGATCGCGGCGCCCACTTCTTCTCCCCAAAGCGCCGAAGGAACGCTGAAGACTACCGCAACACGCACGTATGGATGCTGCACGAGCACAGCCTCGACTTTTAATGGGCTCACTTGCTCACCCCCGCGCTTGATAAGTTCCTTACTACGACCAGTCAAGTACACAAACCCATCGTGGTCCATCTTTGCGATGTCGCCAGTGCGAAGGTAACGCTTATCGGCAACGTAGAAGTAAGTCTTATTGTTAGCTTCTTCCGCATCTTGATACGCCGTCATCACGTTATCACCGCTGATGACGAGTTCACCTTGCTGTCCAAAAGGTGCCGTGAGTCTGCAATGACCATCACCGACGAGCGCAAACGAACAACAGAGAGGCTGGCCCACGGTATCCGCACGCTCGGCGAGCGGAACGTGGACACCTTTACCAGTGATCGGCATTTGTTCACTCATACTATACGTCGGTATTATCGGCACGTCCCAAAATCGTTGCAACTTTTCTGCGTCGGCATGGCTGAGCGCCGCCGCGCCAGAGCGTATGAAACGAAGAGCATGCGATGGCTTTGCGCCACGAGCCACAGCTTGACCGTATTGCAGTACTGTCAAATGAATCGTCGGTATTGCTGAGTACCACGTCGGTTTGACTTCATGCGACGTCGTAATGGTGTCATAAAACGATTGAGCGTCAAACTTACGACAGCAGATGACAGAAGAGTGCGCCGCGATCGTCGCCAAGATGGAACACGAAAGGCCACCGATGTGAAAAAGAGGCATGGCGTTGATGCAAACGTCTGAAGCTTTGAGTTCAAGAGAAGCCGCCAGCGTAGCGCCGTTTGAAGTCAACGCGCCGATAACCAACGGAACAACTTTTGACTTGGATGTCGTCCCAGAAGTTCGAAGCAAAAGACCGATCGTTTCACTCGATTGTACGAGCGGCGCGACGTCACTCGTTGACGATTGAGACGATTCCGGCGCGTACAAACCGGCAAGTTTAGTATCAGCTTCCGTCATCACGAACCATTTAATCGGTATATGAGCTCGAGAAGCTGCCGTTTCAATTGCTTCAGTGTCGGTTCCTCGAAATAACGCAAGCATTGACACTCGACACGACGTCAGGGCTTCGTAGGCGTCTTCCTCGGCGATGCCGGGGTCCAAAGGGACGGCGGTGCACTGCGACGCGACGGCGAGAAAAGCTAGCGCACCGACCGGGCCTGGAGGGACATTATACGCAAAAACAGATGACGAATCTGCCCCAAGTTTACGTAAATCACCGTCCCCTTTTGTTATGAAGTCGATCGCTTGCCCGTACGTCAATGTTGCCCCGTCCAAGCTTCGAAGAAGCGGAGACGCTCGAGGCGCCCTCGCTAGAAAGTCAAGAATATTCACTCTGCTTGACTTTAGCGACACATTACACTGAACCAAACTCGCACAGCGCGTGTTGAACGTGAGATCATTCCCGCTCGGCGCAGTTGCGGTGCTTACATCGATGTTTCGGGCGAGAGTTCTGGCTGAAGCAAATGTCGTCGCTTGGGCGGCGCGTGCGCCCTCCGCTTCTGCTCTCTCAATATCAGCCTCAGCGCGCTCGATGGTGGGCTGATTACTAAACTTGAGCGACTTATACTCTAGCGACTTGATGTCGTCGAACAAAACATCTTCATCGAACTCGTTTGACCTGTAACGACGGGGAGCCGCCTCGGTCGCCGCCTCGAGCCAGGCGTCGAATTCGGCGTGAAAACCAGTGTCCGTCTCGAGCGACGCCGGCAACGTGTGACCGCAGTCTAAATACAGAGCGTGTCTGATCAATTGGTCCTCGCTGTCGTACGCACGGAACGTATTCATGAGCACTTCACCTTGTGGTTTGAATTTGTCTTGAAAACCGAACACGTGCAACGACGGCATCGGCGACGCCGACGAGCGCACGTCGATACCCCACTTCGTCGCCGCGAGATCGAGCAATGAAGATGACGCGCCGCAACAAATCACCGCACTGTCCCACAAATAGCCCCCTTCGATCCCCAGCATGCTTAAGACCTGCGGGTTGGACAACAACGTGATCATTGCGCCGCCTTGCGAAAATCCCACCGCGCACTTGAACGGCCCGTGTTCGATGGCAAACTTTGCCACCGATCGCGCCGCCGTCATTAACGCCGTCGCTCGCTCGCTTTCCAAATTTTCAAACGTATCATCACTCGCGTCGTCGACCCAGGAGAACCACGGTCCATCGATTAATTCAGACGTCGTCTCGTCCGCCGCGTGCGGCGCCTCCTCCGAGCCATTCACGCACGACGCCTTTCTAAATCGCTTCAAAAGCCGCAACCTTCGCGCATGCAGCGCGCTCACGTCGGCGTTGCTTCGCCATCCGTGTAAAACTAAGCACGCTTCGCCATCCGTTCCTTTGTTGGAGCGTCTACGACTGATTGACGCGCGCATGCGTCGTAACGAGCGATCGACGCGTCGACTCGCGACGCGCGCGAGCGACAGCAGGCCTTGGCGCGCTTCGTCGCGCGCGACGGTGGATTCGTCGCGCGCGCACACATCGTTGTTCTCCTGCGACAACTTGGCGGCGTTTCGAGCGCGGCGTGCTCGCCGCGCGAGTCGCTGAATGCAGAATTCTGACGCGTGGGCAACGGAAAAGCGGTTCATCTTCATTGAAGATTCTTCAAGCGCCGGGTGCCTCTGATTCGCGAAGAAGAGCGTTAAATTTCATCATCTCTGGCGAGCAAGTCGTTCACTAAGGCCGAAACCACGGGCGCGCGCACTGTGGCGTGTAGATTGATCACTCGCGCGGCGTCGCGAGCGATGGCGTCGACGCGAGGACGGAGACGCGACGCGAAGACTGCGGCGAGCCGGGCGTCGCACGCCCTATCAACGGCTTCGCCTTCGAAGCCGTGAAGGAGACGAATCGTGAGCGCGGATCGTATGGCCTTGATGATGGCGACAGACATCGGATTGGCGCAATCGTCGGAACCCGTGAGCTTGCGAAGCATGTTGGTGATGGTTTGGGCGCCGTCGGACGTCGGGAGCGTCGCGGAGAGGACCTCGGCGACGCGAGACATCGCCGGTAGGTCTCGTTCCGAAGAGAGCAGAACCGCGACTCGATCGATGAGCGCGTCCACATCCACGAAAACCTCTAAGCGACAGAGTTGCGTGGAGAGCATCAAACAAGCGGCAAGCGTTTGAATGTTCTGAAACTCACGGCAAAAGTAATCGATGCGTTGCACGTCGTTTTCAAGCGTTTCCGGGATAAAGTCTTGAATCATGGCGTTGGGATTGGTAACCAATCGTGCAAAGGCGACACGACAAACACCATTCACAGACATGACCCGGGTCGGATGTAAAGTTGAACTGATTACTTCCGAAGAAGTCTTTTGCGCGCCCTCGGCTCGAGTCTCGAAACCGCTCCTCAGACGCACGCCTCGCCAGCGGTCGACATTGAGAGAATCGAGAAGAGGTGCAAATGTCGCATCGAGCGTCGGAAGCTCTTCGACGACGCTTTCAAGCCAAGCACACGTGCGAGGAAACGCAAGTGCGAGTTCGGTCTCCCCGACTTTCACATCAAATCGATGCAAGAAGCGCGTTGTCGCGTACTCGATGCCATCTGGCATCACCGCGAGCGTCTCGCGGAGTGCATCAATCGCCTCGTTGGCTGCTTCAAGGCTCATCGATTGGTGTATACGCTCGCGAAAATCAAACAAGAACGCCAAAGCATCAGCAATCGCTCGAGATAAAGTGAATTTGTCCGCGTTCGTCGCCGTCTCGAGTTCTCGCGTCAGATTGTCAAACGCAGCGCTAAGATCGTCCTTCACGGAACCATTCGCGAGCGCATTGAGAGCCGTGTAACCATGATCGAGCGAGGTTCGCAAAGCTTCTGATGTGTCTGTAGGTGTGCTTTCCATGCGCAAGATGCTCGCTTCAAGATAGTTGACGTCGATGAGGCTGAGTGAATTTTGGATCAGTTCCAAGCTCTCCGTCGTCTGGCGATCCAAAATCAAAGTGTCGTCGATGATGGCGTCTTTCCATTCGAAAATTCGAGCGCGAACGATAGATGTGTCGATCGTATCATGAACAAGTGATTCGTACACCATGTCCCAGAACGCCTTCTTCATGATTTGTACGACCTGCTCGCGTACGGGATCGTCCTCAACGGGTGACTTTGGTGGCGCTCTGAGCTTCCACTCGGGGTCCAGCATTAATTCGTGTAAAATCTGATCCTTTTGCATTTCGACAAAGTTCGAAACAACGTTTTCTTCACCAGCCATCTGCTGACGAGCGCGTTCTTTGTCCTTTTCGATCGCAGCGGCGATTTGAGCGCTCGTGGCTTCCCGTTTACGCCGACGTTCGTCGAGCCGATCCGTGCGAGTATCCTTTGCCCTCGCTGACTCTTCGTCGCTTAAGCCCGCGGCTCGAACTCTTGTAATCATCGCATCGAACTCGTCGACTGCGCTTTTACCCGAAAGCGTGAAGACTTTCTCTCTTAGAAGCGCGCGATCGTGCGATTGTGCGGAGCGTATCGCGTTGCGTTCTTCACCGAGATCGACTGTGGAATCGAGCGCGCCGCGAGCGCCGCACACACGAATCATCGAAGACTCCATCGCAACACCGATTCGTATGAGCTCTTGGGTCAAACTAAACGCGTCTTTCGATTTCCAAATTTTGAAATCTGCAGTCCACGTGTGCCAAGCGCGCTCGAACGCGTTCGTGATGGTGGCTGTGAACGTGCCCGAGCGCGACATCGTGAGTGCGAGCGCGTCGAACGCGTTAACCAACGCCTTGGATGAATCAATGAGCGACGTTTCTTCGCACGGTACCTCCTTCGCGTTCGAACCACCGAGGACCACATCGGCGTGGTAGCAAATCATGTACGCGCTCAGAACCATTTTCGCTGGAAATTTGGCTTCGCCGCGCTCTTCGACGCGCGCGAGAAGTCGCGTCGTCAGAGAGATCACGGATTCGTCGCACAGTAGCGCTTCAAAGCCTTCGTATTCGTGCTCACCGTTCAACCGTGCGTCGAGAAATGCTCGAGCGATCTGCAGCTCACGCGACGAGGCGTCGTCAGTCACGTCGTCAGTCACGTCGTTAGTCACGTCAGTTTCATGGAGTCGCGTCGTCAGAAAAGGCTGTTCGTATCTTGACTCGCAGCCTACCTCAACGTCGCGCTCGTTCGACACCGCTCGTCGTTCGTCGTTGGATGATGGATGTGTCTCGCTCGCACTTTCGAATCGCTCGCGCACGCGCCGAGGCACGCCCGCGCGCGGCGCGTCGAGCATAACGACGAGCTCGCGTGAAACGACGTATTGGGCCGAGGGCGACCCGTCGAGGAGTCGCATTTGCGCCGTCGTATCGAGCGCGCGTCGATGTCGCGCGCGCGCGGTCTCGACTCTGGAGGTGAGTGCGTGGCGTCCCTTCGCTTCGGCGCCGATCGATCGGTCCGACGACGCGCGGATGAATGGCTCGTGATGCGCGCGCGCGAGACAAGACGGTTCGAGGCCAAGTTAACAAAAAAAGCTTACAACAAGGAAAGAATGGTGGTCAGCCAGACGTGTGGCTGAGCTAGGGTAATATGCGTCATTCACGCGCGAGATGTCACGACGCGCGGTGGGAGTGCGAGAAACTAGTGCGTAAGTTTTCACTGAACGTCGTGAGGCGTGCCGAGCGGGTTTTGCAAAGCCTCGCTCTTGTCCAAACCTTGCCAGCAGTTCAGAGCGGCTTTGGTGTGCTCGATGGAATAGGCGTCGTCGTCGTCGTCGCTAATCTCGCTTCCGTCCGATGATACCCTCAGTTGCACCTGCGGCGATGTCCCGAGCTCAGCGCGCGGGACGTGCTCGCCCAAGAATTCTCGAATCCTGTGCTCGATGGCGCGGAATCGCTCCTCGGCGCGACCGATCATCGCCGTGAGCACCTCCGTGCTGTAGAAAGGCTGCTGCAGGACGTTGACTAGGAAAGGAGAACGCAGCGCCAAGCTCGATCGCTTATCGTGCTTCTTCAAAATTTTCACCAAAGCCGCGTAGTTTAAATTGGTCCAGTGCTCCAACAACACGAGCTCTCCGTGAAAGTTGGCAAATTTCTGGCAAATGCCCGTGTCTCCCGCCAAACACGCGTCGTCGTACACCCCCGCGCTCAACGCGCTCGCGATGCGCTCTTCGTTCTGATCGAATAACTGCTGCAAATGACCCTCCTTCATGACGATTTCCTCCTCTCTGTTCATGAAGAACTCGTTAAACTTCTTCAACTCGTTGGACAGCGCCTGCACGAATGCCCGCTCCCCCGCGTGAACCTCCCCCGCCGTCGCGGGCTTCACATCGCCCTTATTCTCCGGAAGTGTCTTTAACACCTGTTTCAAGAGTTTATAATCCAAAAACTACGCTTCCCGCGCGCGTGCATCGCGTGAATCCGTCAGTCAACGCCCTCGAGTCGTTCGCGCGTCTCGCCGCCCTCCGTTCGCCGTCTTCGCGCGCTCGACGCCCACCATCGCGCGCGAACCGTCCCCATTCGCGGCGTCCTCGCGCGCATCCTTCGCGCGCATTCTTGTCTCTCTTTAGAGCGCGCGACGCGCGCGACGCGCGCCCTCCCCCCCCCTCCGCGACGGTCGCGCGCTGGGAATATTCTACCGCGCCATCGCCCGTCGCCCCGTTTTGCGGTCGTCGTTCGCGCGGTCGTCGTCGCGTCGTTCCGGGCGCTCGCGCGTTCGCGTCGCGCACCTGCTCTCGCACGTTCGGCGCCATCGACGCCGTCGTCGCGGCGAAGAGCTGACCGAACTTCATCGTCCGACGCGTCGCGCGATGCCGCGACGACGACGCCGCGACGACGAGGCGGGGGACGCCGTCGCACAAATGGGGTGCGCGGTACATCGACTCGTTTCACGTTGTATACGGGGTTTCGGGGTGATTTTGGTTTTTTATTCCTACGCGTGCCGAAGAGGAATCTTTTGCGAGGGGGGCGGGCGCGGGACCGTTTTCGTCGAGTCGAGGCTTCGTCGTCTTTGTCGGCGGCCGAGACGCGAGGGGACGTGTGATGGCGTAGTGGGATAGTGTAGAAAATAGTCACAACACGAATGTCTAACATCTAACAGATGCACACATCTAGGATTTCATACTCGGAACGCGAACGCGCGAGGCGGGTCGATTTACTCGCGGCCCCAGCCGCCGCCGCCGCCGCCGCCGCCGCCGCCGCCGCCGCCGCCGCCGCGGTAGTCGCGACCGCCGAATCTATTCCCGCCACCACCACCGCGACGACGTCCACCACCGCCGAAGGAATGGCCAGAGATTTGCGTCAACCACGTCGGCACTTCCTGGTTCGCCTCGCTCATGAGCTCCGTCAACGGGCGAGCCATTTGGCCGTCTTTGGATTCTAAAAACAGCGCCGTCGCCCGACCCTTCTTCCCCGCGCGCCCGGTACGACCGATGCGGTGCGTGTAGTCGTCGATATCCGATGGCAAGTCAAAGTTGATGACGTGGGTGACGTGAGGAATATCCAAACCTCTCGCCGCGACGTCCGTGGCGACGAGGATGGGCGTCTTACCCGCTCGGAAGGATTTCAACGCCGCCTCGCGCTCCTGCTGCGTGCGATCGCCGTGGATGCTCGTCGCGGGCTTACCGTTTTGGTACAAGAAATCCTCGAGCTGGTCCGCACCTCGCTTCGTTTCGACGAAAACCAAAGTCAAACCCGGCACGGCTTCGACCAAATCGAGAAGCATATTGCTCTTTTCGTGGTACGAAGTCACGCGCTCGACGGATTGCGTGATCAACGCGTGCGAAGAGCCGACGCGACCGACCGTGAGAAAGACGTAATCGTCCAAGAAGTCCGAAGCCATTCGCTGGATTTCCCTCGGGAACGTTGCGGAGAACAACATCGTTTGACGCTCGCCACATCGCGGCATGTCGCGCTCGTCGACGATTTGTCGAATTTGCGGCTCGAAACCCATATCCAACATGCGATCCGCCTCGTCGAGCGCGAGATATTGAACTCTGCTCAACGAGATCTTAGCGCGATCGATGAGATCGATCAAACGACCCGGCGTGGCGACGAGAATGTCGCACCCGCGTTCCATGGCGCGGAATTGTTCCACCGCCGGAGCGCCACCGTAGATGACGCACGAGGCGACGCCGGTTTGGTACGCGAACTTCCGCGATTCTTCGTGAATCTGGCTCGCCAATTCGCGCGTCGGCGAAAGCACGAGCGCGAGAGGATACGTCTTGCGGTTCATATGACCGCCTTGAAGACCGCGCTTCAAGATACCGGCGATGATGGGAAAGCAAAACGCCGCCGTTTTACCGGAACCCGTCTGCGCGCACGCCATTAAATCTCTTCCCGCCAGCGAAGCTGGAATGGCGTACTTTTGCACCGGCGTCGGATTCTTAAACTTGCATCTCTTGATGTTCGTGTTCACGGCCGCCCCGAGGTCGAGGTCGACGAACGAAGTGATGGGCTCCGGCACGTCGCGTCCGCTCGTCTCCACGGGAATGTCGTCGTACAGGTCAAAGTCCAAACCGGTGTTTTCGCCGGTAAACATCTTCGTCGCCTCGGAGTCAGGATCGTTTCTCGCCGCCGCCGCTTCTTCCTCTTCCATTTGCGCGAACGGGTTATCTTCTCTGCGGAATCGCGACCGTCCGGTGTCCCATCCTCCGCCTCCTCCCCCGCGATCGTCTCGCCGCCCGAACGACGTCCCGCCGTAGTCTTCCCCGCGCGAAAACCGTCCGCCGCCGCCGCCGCCGCCCCATCCACCGCCGCCGCCGCCGCCCCATCCACCGCCGCCGCGGTCGCGTCCGGTATCCCATCCATCGCCTCGTCTATCGTCACCGCCTGCTCGATCGGAACCGCGCGCGTCGTTCGTCGTCAGTCGCCCGCCTCGGCGCTCGTCCAGGGTTACGCCTCAATGTTATCGCCCGTCGCCATCGTGCGGGGCGGTCGAGATCGCGATCGCGTGCGTCCCCTCTCTCGCGCGACGCGTTCGCGCGTCATCGCGCGCGCGCGATCGATCGATTAAAAATTCCCTCTCGTCGTCGCCGTCGCCGTCGTTCGCGCGCGTCGCGCCGTCGTCGTCGACGCACCGAATCCTCGCGACCCGCCGTCGCCCGCCGCCGCGTGCCGATTCCGCAGATGCGGCGGGACGTATCCCGATTTCTGCGGCGACGCGACCTGCGGCGCCGGCACCGACGTCGACGGTTTCGGTATCGTCGTCGTCGTCGTCGTCGTCGGTGGCGGCGGCAGTCCCGCGCTCAGGGGTGGTAAATCGCCGCTGTCGTCGGCCCAGTCGCTCATGGCGTCGTCCGTCGCGCTGTGCCGCCGGGCGTGACGTCGGCGCCGACGGCGATCCAGATGGGTCGATCGCGCGATTCGACGATCGTTCGATCGACGCGTCGAGGTTCGATCGCACCGATCGATCGCGGTGCGATCGTTCGATTTCGATCTCGACGTCGGTCGAACGCGCCGTTCGTCGCGATCGCGTCGTCGGTCGCGTTCGGTCGGTCGCCGAGAAGACGCGGGCGTCGAATCGATCGATGGAAGACGCGCGTTCGACGCCGCGCGCGCGACACCGCGAGACGCGCGATCGATCCGATCGGTCGCGATCGTCGTCGTCGCGTCGTCGGTAGTCGCGCGTCGCGTCGTCGCGTCGTCGCGTCGTCGCGGCGTCGAGCTCGAGCGCATCGCGTTCAAAAATCAATACAATCAATCACCGACCGGTGGTTCGCGCGTTCGTTCGAAAACGCGCGCGCGCGCGCCGCGTGCGACGTGGATTCCATGGACGACGACGGTGACGCCGCGCGCGCGGCGCGCGGGCGCAAGCGAAGACGAGACGCGTACGTCGAAGCCGTCGGCGTGCGCGACGGACGACTGGCCAAGCGAGACGCGAGGCGGGACGAGCGCGAGCGCGAGCGCGAGGAAGCGAACGACTCGGAGACGCCGACGACGTCGACGTCGACGATGACGGGACGACTCGCTTCGTGGGACGCGGAGATGACGACGGAGGAGGCGACGGACGACGAAGTTCTAGACGCGTCGTCGCCGGCGCGAGACGGAGGCGAGCCGGCGTCGACGGGACGCGGCGGCGGCGGGCGTCGCGGTGCGCGTCACGCGCACCGCGCGTCGTCGTCGTCGTCGTCGACGATGACGATCGACGCGATGCGCGCGATCGCGGGCGTCGGCGTCGGCGTCGCGTTTCCGTTTCCGTTTCCGAGCGACGCGGCGCGCGCGTCGTTTCCGCTCGATCCCAACGCGCGGTGACGCGACGACGGGCGATTTCGACGCGTCATCGCGACGAGCGAGCGCTGGGAAACGAACTAACTTTTTGTGTGATTCGTGTAATTCATTCACATCGACGATTCGGGATATCGACCTCGACGTTCGCGCGCGTCTCGCGTTCGCGTTCGCGTCGCCCGCCGCGCGGACGCCGCCGAGTCGCACACCGCGACGCGTCTTCGCGCGTCGCGCGCGCCGACATGGCGCGCAGCGCGGGCGGATCCACGGGCGCGGCGTCGCTGGCGACGCTCGACGCGACGACGTCCGAGGGTGACACCCATCTGAGTCCGATGCTGATGCGAACGGACGGCGCCGAACGCCTCGACGACGACGCGCTGCGGGCGTCGCCCGAGCGCGCCGCGGCGACGCGCGCGGCGCAATCGTCGGGATCGGCGTTCGGGATGGGCGGCGCGGGCGGCGCGGGCGAAGCGCGGCGACGGGGACGCGGGACGCGACGAGGGGACGAAGACGCGGACGACGACGCGGACGTCGAACGGTCCGCGAGAGACTTGGACGACGACGGCGGATACGAGACACGAATGCCCGCGGTGGACGCGGCGGCGGTGACGCGGTCGATCGAAAATCCGGGACACGCCACGGTGATCGGGGACGAAGGGGCGCGACGCGCGGCGACGCACTCGATTCAAAACTCGCAAGCCGTGCGGTCGAACGACGACGTCGTGAACGGAGACGAAGCCGGGAATGTGAGGGCGCGCGCGCGGGCGATGGGTGAGGAGGCGGCGGCGACGGTCGACGCGACGAATGCGGACGGCGCGGCGCGGCGCGGCGCGGCGCCCGGGTTGACGCGAAGTCGCGTCGGCGGGCGCGGAGGCGCGACGGGGAGTTCGAGCACGGTGCACGGACACGCACAGCGGCCGGCGAATAGTGCGGGAGATTCGAACACGGCGGCGGTGTCGAGCGACCGCGCGCGTCCGGTGGATTCGACCGAGGCGCAGAGGCTTACGAATTCGCGCGGCGAAGGCGGGCGCGCGGATTCGGGCCTGGGCAATAGCGAAGAGGTGGAATGTGGCGACATCAAGGCGGCTGGAAGCTTGCTCGCCGGTGAGGGAGGAGCGGCAGGTGTCGGTACCGAGGTCGAATCGAAGCAAATCATTCTGCCCGCGCCGACGCGGTGGGATAATCAAGAACCGTGGGACGTACCGCGAGAATCGCTCGTTCCGGCGTCGCTCGAGCTCAAGGCTCGCGCGGATGCGCTCAAGGCGATCGAGAATTTCGGCACCGCCGAGCGCGCGTACGGACACGCCCTGCGATTTATCGATCAAATTGAAATGTTTGAAACCGAAGAGACGGGTGGATCGTCGGAGCGAAATTCACAGTTGAAGACGGCGTGCTTGCTCGAAGCGAGCGCGTGCGCGCTTCGGAGAGCCGATCCCGTGCGAGCGGGTGAACTCGCAGCTCGCGCGCTCGCGCGCGAACCGAACAATGCACTCGCACTCAAGGCGCGAGCGCTCGCCGCGGTGACCGAGGGAGATTTCGGCACCGCCATCGGCGACTTGACCAAGGCGTTGGAAATGACGCCCGATGATCCGGGGCTCGTCGCGGATTTGCGCGAAGCCACTCACCGACGTGATGTCGCTCTCCACGCACCACGACGGGGTGGTATCGCATCGTCGTTCATCGGCGCACCGGGAGGAGTGTCCTGGGGGACGATGCCCATGAGCGGCATGGCGGGATCGAGCGCGCAGGGCGGGCAACTGTTCTCTTACCCCAACGCCGGCTACGTCGCCAGCGGTGGCTTGGGTATGCACGGTGAAGTTGAGGGGGAAACCGATGGCGCCATGAGTGCTGGAGTTTTCGGAGGTGGGTTCAGCTCTTTCCAAAACGTCGACGATAACGCTGCCATGGATACACGAGCGATGCTTGACGGTACGCACTTGCGCCGACCAGACAGCCCGTCGCACGCCACCGGCACGGAATCGCGCATGGATCAACCGGGAACAACTTTCAATCGCGTCGGTGGTACGCCGAGCGTGAGTAAAGGTACGACTATCTCTATGCAGAAGAATGCGATGCAGTCGGATGCCTTTATGCTCGGTGACGAAAGCGAAGAAGACGGCGAAGAGGTGTGCGGCGGCGGCGGAAAAGAGCCGGTTTCGAGCGAATGATGTTAAGCGAGCAATGTAGACGACGACTGGATTCGTAATTTTTGTTAATATGCGCGCGCACGCGAATTTTTGTATTAGAAAACTACGACACAATAACAATGACGACGAAGAACCATCAATCAGACTGGCGTTCCGTTTCGTACGCCGTGCACGCACGCCCACCCACCTTCCTCGACGACGCAAATATTGTCGAAATGACGCGCGTACTTTGCCACGACAGATGCGCTCTGCTCACCGTATAAAATCCCACTCAACGCGATTTCGCCACCGACTTTACAGTACCCCGCGAAGAGTGGCTCCAACTCGAGCACGGGGCCGATTAAAATATTCGCGACGACGACGTCCGCCTGCCCGTTCGCGCCCGGAGTTCCGGGATCGCGTCCGTCGCCAAGATACGTCGTCAAGCGATCCTCCACACCATTCAACTTGGCGTTGTCGATAGAACTCTGCACGGCTTGTTTCGCCAAATCCACGCCCACCGCGCGGTCGGCCCCCATGACGAGCGCTCCGATCGCGAGTACGCCCGAGCCGCATCCGAAATCGACCACGAGCTCGGTCTTCCCTCGCCTCGCCAAAGTCTGTTTCAGCCAGCGCAGGCACAACCGCGTCGTCGGATGTTCACCGGTACCGAACGCGATGCCCGGCTCCAGCGCGATGTTCACAGCGTTCGCATCGACGTCTTTACACCAATCCGGCACGATGTACAGCCCGTCCGCGATTTTCGTCGGCGTAAAGCTATCCTTCACCGCCTGCACCCAATCGTTTGATTTCGACTCCGCGTACGACGCTTCCAACGAAATCCCCAAAATTTCTTCCGCCGCCTCGATTCCCGCGCGCGCTCGCGCGTGATCTTCAAAGTACGCCGTCACGTGGCACTTCGCCCAAACGCGCGCCTTCGTCTTGTCGCTCGCCTGCTCCTCGAACGTGTTGGCGCTGAAGATTTCGTGCTCGTCCTCCGTCCCCGCGTCGGCGTCGATCGTCGACACGGACGAGGCACCGAGAGAAAGTAACACATCACCGAGCGCGCCGACGTCGTGGGCGTCGACGCGCTTGACGACGACGTACGGCGCGTCGCTGGCGTCGTCGCAGCCGTCGAGGCTGTGCAGCGCGCGGTCGTCGGCGGACGCGCAGAGGGGGGCGCAGACGCGCGGTTTCGTCGCGGGCGCGCTCGGACGCGCGGCGCGCGTCACTCGCGGGCGCGCGCGCGCGAAAGCGACGACGAAGGCGCGCGCGACGCGCATCGTCGGCGCGATGTGCGGTAACCGCCGCGCGGGGTCGCCAGTCGTCCCGTCGGGACGTCGTTTCGCGCTCGCGTCGACGGTCGCGAAAGGCGAAGACGCGACGCGCCGTCGGAGTCGCCTGGATAATATGTTTTGTCGGTAATGTGTTATTGCGTCGTCGGAGACGGACAAAATCAAACGTCGAGCGAGCGCGTCGACGGTTTGACGGTTTCGGATGGCGCGCGCGCGACGCCTATGGAACGCACTCGCTCGTTGTGTACGCGAACGCGAGCTCAGTTCTCACCCTCGGGTGGTCGTGTGGGAGGCGCACCGTGCGGGACGCCCATGCCTTGTTGCGGCATGTACGGCATACCCGGCATCATGCCTCGCATTTGCGGCGGAACGCCCATGCCCATTTGCGGCATGTACATCATTTGGCCTTGCATTTGCGGGATACCCGGGTACATCATCATTTGCGGTCCCGTGGGCGGCACTTGCGGCGCGGCTGGCTTTTTGAACGTCGGCACGAACTCGGCCGCCTTGGCGCTGAGAGAGAAAGACTTGGCGTCGGCGTTGAGCTTGGACTTGGACGCGTCCGCGGGCTGGGCGACGTCCTTCGCCTTCTCACCCGCGGGCTTCTTTTCCGCGTGCTGCGCGACGGTGCTCGGCACCTTGCCCGAGCCCCACGCCGGCGTCGGCGGCGCCGCGCCTTTCGGCGTGGGCAACACCGAGGAGTATCGTTCCTCTTCGTCGTAATCCGCGAGCGCCTTTTGGCCACGTTCCTCCGCGACGTGCGGGTTGTCCGAGATTTGATTCTGAATCTCGTACGCGATGCGCGCGGCCTCGGCTTCGGAGATCCCTCCCTTGGCCTTATCGATCGTCGTCGTGTACAAGGATTCGTCAAACTTGGTGTCGACGCCGAAGAGTTGCTTATTGGCGGAGAATTGGTCCCACTGTCCGCCGGATTTCTTCCCCCACGCCGCCGCCGCCGCCTTCTTCGCCCCGATCCCAGCCTCTTCCTCGAGCGTCATCCCACTCGCTCCATCGCCCTCTTCCGGCGCCCACGCGACGAGTTCGCGATCCTGTCCCGTCGCCCCTCTCGAGATGCCGCCGTCGGTGAAGTCGTCGTTCATTCGACTCGGCCCCACCGCCAAATCGCTCATCCCCACGTCTCTCGCCGTGATGCTCGCGATCTCATCCATCGCGATCGCCATCGTTTCCATCGGTTTGCTCCTCTGCGCCCGCTCTTTCGCCCCCGCCTCGCGTTTCGTCCATCCGTACTTGATCGTCGCCTCGCCGCCGTTCTTCGTCGTCTCCGCGAACACCCCCTCGATCGTCTCCCCGTTCGTCTTCGTCACCTCCACGACGCGCCCTCGCGCGATCTTCAGCGCGAACGCCGTTCGTTCGCCGTCGTTCGGCGCCATCGCGCGCGTCGCCGACGTTTCCTCGCGTCGCTCGCGCCTCCCGTCGATTCGCGTCCGGGCGTCGATCGCGCGTCCCGCGCCGTCGCGTCGCGCGGCGTCGCGCGCGTCGCGCGCGTCGGTCGCGTCGCGCGTTCGACGCGATTCGCGATCGACGATTCGAGCGCCCTTTCTCCGCTCTCGCGCGTCGTCGCGCCGCGGCGACGCGCGGTGATGAATCGGCGAGTCGCGACTCGCGTCCCCGACTGCGGCGAGGTCACCGCGCGGCGGCGCGTGGTCGCGTCGTGTCTGTGTTTGGTTCGGTGGCGTTTGGTTTGGTTTGGTTTCATCGCGGGCGCGCGCCGACGGGATCCGATCCGGACGCCGCGGTCGAGACCGAAAATCGATCGACTCCGCGATCGCTAGGACGGCGCGGACGCCGGTCGCGACGGCGGCGCGGCGGCGTTGACGTTGGCCATCAACGACAACGCCGGGTTGACTTTTTCTTGCGTCGTGCGGCGGTCGTAGGTGGACTTTTGCATGGCGCTGGAGTGACCCATGAAACGAGCCAAGGCCTCGAGCTCGGCGTCGCTGGCGATGCCGCGAGAGCGGACGTGGGTGACGATCATGTCGCGAATCAAGTGGGGATTGGTCTTTTGGCCGGTGACGCGAAGGGCGGCGCGGGAAAACGTTCGCGACAATTCGCTCACCGTCCAGGGCGTGCCGTTGGGGCGGGTGAAAACAAAGTCGTGGGACGGCGATAACGCGGCTCGGTGGGTGGAGAGCCAACTCTCGAGCGCTGGATAGACGCGAGAATCGATCACGAGCGCGGGTCGCTCGCCGTAGGCGCCGCCCGTTTTGTAATCGTCGCTGCCGTGACGCACCATCCACGCGCCGGTGGAGGCGTCGCGAAAGAGCGTCTTGTTCAACTGCAGCTCGCGCAACGTTCGCTGGCGATCGGGAATGCACGCCAAGATGGCGAACAATAAATAGCGCTGCACGCTCATCGCGATTTCGCGCTCAGAGCGCTCTTTGCCGTTGCAATCCAGCGGCGCGCACTCGAGTTTGAGATGCTCGACGAGCGCCAAGTACTGATCCCATTCGAGCCATTTTCGGTCGTCGTCCGCGGCGTGTGGGGCGTTTTTCGCGCGATCGCGCGCCGATCGCTGCACTCGAACGAGCTCTTGCACGCACGGCGGCGCTATACCGTCGTCTTCGACGAACGCGTGCACCCACTTCGCCAAGGCGACGAGACTTCGCAGCTGAAAATCCTCCGTCGTCGATTTGATGCGACGCTCGTCGCTGAGCCACTGAACGTATTCTATCGCGTACTTCGCGCCTACGGATTCGCGCTTCGGAAACGCGTCGCGCAACGACACGCCCGGACGCAACACCACGCGTCCATCGACGCTCAGAGTCGCAAACTCGCTCGCGTGCTCTGACTCTCGGCACAACCATCCCATGAATTGCTTCGCCACGGCGACGTGATTCATCGCCGTGCGCTCTCGCACGGGCGCGCGCCCACCACCGACGCGTCTCGACGTCAAATCTCTCACCAGCGTATTCAACTCTTCCTCCAACTCCGCGCTCACCTCTTCGCCGCGCAGAGAAAACGGTTTCAATCGTCGCCGTTGCGTCACGCGCACGTCGGCGAGCGCCGTCCCTCCCTCTCGCGTCACCGTCGGCGCGCGCGTTCCCGCGCCCGGCAGCGCCCCCCCGATCCACCCACTTTCGCTCTCCTCGCGCTTCGTTTCCCCATTTCTCGCCTCTACGTCGTCTTCTTCGTCCTCGTCCAGCGTCGCCCGCACGCTCGCGTACAGCCTCGCCGGCATTCCCGCCGCGCGCGCGTCCTCCGGCCCCATCCCTCGCACGTCCTCCGCCGTCTCGAACCAATTCGCCCGCAATCGCGCCGTCATCTCTTTCGCTTCCTCGTCGCCGCGTCCGATTCGCGCGCACGCCCGTCGCACGAGTCCATCGAGTCCGTCGTCGTCGTCGTCGTCGTCGTCGAACGCGCGTCGTCGCGTCGCGTTCGCGCGTCGTCGCCGACGCGCGCGACGCGGCGTCGACGCGACCGCGATCGAGACGCGCGTCGACGTCGAGACGCGCATCCGTCGTCCCTCGCGCGCGTCGCACTCGCGACGACGCGAACGCGAATTCAAACTCGAGCTGTCGCGCGATCGATTCGAATCGCGGTGCGCGCACACCGCGACGCGCGCTCACACCGCGACGCCGGCGACGAGGGACGACGGACGAGATGGAGCGGCAGACGCGACTGCGATCGCGACTCGCGTCGACGTCGCGCGCGCGCGCGATGGCGACGCGGGTGTACGCCACCGAGGATGGGACGCGACCGACGAAGCGAAAGACGACGACGACGACGACGACGACGGGACGGGACGACGAGGACGCGAACGATGGGAAGGCGAAGAAGAAGAAGAAGAAGAAGCGGGCGAACGCGGCGTTTTTGGCGCAGATGGCGCGAGGGAGGAAGGAGATGGAGACGGAGGCGGCGCGGACGCGAGACGACGACGCGGCGAGGGACGCGTCGGGGAGAGGAGGGAAAAAGACGAAGGCGAAAGCGAGCGAGGGGGAGAGGACGAGGACGCGCGACGCGCGGGACGTCGCGAGCGACGTCGGGGGGGGGTCGGACGGGAAAAAGGTGGGGAGGGGAAAAAAATTGAACGCGGCGGCGGCGGCGCCGAAGCGCAAGTATTGGAAGTGCGTGAATTTGGAAGGCGAAAAGTTTGCCGTGGGCGATAGCGTGTACGTGGTGAACGAGAAAACGGTCGATTTCGATGACGACGAAGATTGTCCTTGCATGGTGTGCGGTGAAGCGCCGAACGCGGATCGAATCATGCTCGAGTGCGATACGTGTCTGAGCGGGTGGCACATGTGCTGTCTCAAGCCGCCGCTGACGCGCGTGCCGGAGAGCGATTGGCACTGTCCGTTGTGTGCGCGGGGCGGGGAGGCCGCGAGCGCGGTGCCGCGAATCGAAACGTTGACGCGCACCGCGTGCACGGAGTTCATGGCGGGTAGGTTCCATTTAGCGCGTATAGAGCACATTTGGGAAGAGAACGGAGAGTACCAATTCGCGGCGCGATGGTACGCGCTGCCCGAGGAGACGCACATGGGACGCCAACCCATTCAGCATCGGCGCGAGGTGTTTTTGACGCATAACGTCGACGTTAATCCCGTCGATTGCTTATTTCGCGTCGCCAAGGTGTGCACGCCTCAAGAATTCCGAGATCAAGAGGAAGGATCGCACGACACGTACGTGTGCGAATACACGTACGACACCGCGTTTCAGCGCTTCAAGCGTCGCGGCGAATGGGGCGAAGAGGACGAATTCAGCGACGACGATCGCTTTGAGAATGAATTAGACTGGCGCGACGCAGAGGACGACGACTGGGACTCGAAGAAAAAGAAGGACAAAAAGTCGGGCGCCAACAGTCGTCTCGCGGGTCGTCTCGCCGCTCGACGGCGTGTGGAAGACGCGGCGGCGCGTTTGGAGATTGCTGGTTTCGGTGGCAGCGCTCTCAGTCGTGGTAGGAAGCACCCGTCGACTGTTTTAGGCGGCGTGCGCGCTGTGTTATCTCTGGCATCGACGCCGGCGACGCTGCCGTGTCGCGAAAACGAACGCAAGCAAGTCTACGACTTCGTGCACGAAGCCATCATGGCGGGTTCGCACAGCACGGGAAAATGTCTGTACATTTCCGGCGTCCCCGGTACGGGCAAGACGGCGACAGTTCGCGAAATCATACGGGTCCTTCGTTCGCAAGCGCGCAACGGCGTGATTCCAAAGTTCAACCACGTTGAGCTCAACGCGCTCCGTTTGCAAACGCCCAAGCACGCGTACAGCACCATCGCCGAAGAGTTGATGGGGCAAAAGTTTAGCCCGGACAAAGCGAGCATGGTCTTGGAGAAGAGATTCAAGGAAGGCAAAGGAAGCGATGGACGAGTCACAGTTCTCATCGTCGACGAGCTTGATTTGCTCGTTACGCACAGGCAAGACGTGCTGTACAATATTTTCGATTGGCCGACTCACAAGAAGAGTCGACTCGTCGTCATCGGCATCGCCAACACGCTCGACGTACCCGAACGCATGCTCCCGCGCATCGCGTCTCGACTCGGAAGCAATCGCGCGGCTTTCGCTCCGTATTCCTGGGAACAGCTCAAGAAGATCGTCACCTCGCGTCTGGAAAGTGTCGAGGGATGCAGCGACGCCTACGCGCCGTCGACCCTCGACTTGATTTGCAGAAAAGTTGCTTCGGTGAACGGCGACGCGCGGCGAGCGCTCGAACTCGCGCGGCGAGCGGCGGAAGTCGCCGAAGCCAGAATTAACGTCGAAAAGGTGACTACTCTCACTTTGCAAAACGCGCAACCAGAAGAGGGCGCCGCAGCGCGCGCCAAGGCTCGCATCGAAAAAGTAACCATGGACGACGTCCGCCAAGCGCAAAGCGAAATGTTCGACGGTCCGCACATGAAACTCATTCACGCTGCGAGCTTTTACGAGCGCATGTTCTTGATAGCGTTGGTTAAGGCGCTTCAACGCACCGGCACGACCACCGTGGACATGGGCACGGTGATGCAAATGCTCAAGGTGATGTGCAAAGATCCGCGCGTAAACGTCGCCGAGCCCCCGATTGGGAGCGGCGTTCGCATCGCCTCTCGCTTACGTTCCACGCACCTCATCATGACGGACGCCTCGACGGCCAGAAATTTACAACAAATTTCCCTCTCCGTGCCCATGGCTGACATCACGTTCGCGCTGGTGGAGAACTGCGAGAACGACGCGTGCGACATGCCGTGGGTCAAGCTCGTCCTCTAGCGCCGTAGTCCCGCGACTCGAACGCGCGTTGTGAGTAGAGGAAACGAGGCACTCGTCATCGGCATTCGAACGCTCGTCGGCATGCGACACCTCGCGTCACCGCGGCGCGCGCGACGCGTTTAAGCGCGCGATGTCGACGCCCGACGACGCGCGCGCGTACCCTCGACGCTCGAACGCGGCGTCGCGACGCTCGACGATTGTCTCGTGGAACGTCGGTCTGCGCGGGTTGCGCGCGCTCACGGACGCGCGCGCGGCGCAAAAAACGAACGGACGCGCGGACGCGCACGGCGTGCGTCGGATACACGGCTACGGGTCCATGAAGGCGCTGTTCGACGCGCTCGGAAGCGATTTGAAGGTGATTTGTTTGCAGGAAACAAAGCTGAGCTCGAGCGGCGACGTCGAGCGGCTGGAACGCGTCGAAGGTTGGGACGGCGCCCACGCGGTGTGCGAATCCTCCAATCACCGCGTGGGATACAGCGGCGTGGCGGTGTACTGGCGCTCGAACGAGATTTGCCCGACGTCGATCGAGCGGGGAGTGTGCGCGAAAGGCGACGCGGGCGAGTCGACCATGTGGGCGGGAGAAATCGCGCCGTTCGCGGACGACGCGACGCGCGCGAAAGAGATCGACGGCGAGGGCAGGGCGTTGTGGGTCGATTTCGGTGAGTTCGTTCTGTGCACGGTGTACGTGCCGGCCGTTTTCGGCGATCCAGCGGTCGATGAGAAAACAGCCGAGCGCGCGGCGTTCAAGCGCGATTTTTTGAGCGCGCTCGAGGCGAGATACAAGAGTCTGCGCGAACGCGGTCGAAATGTGATTTTATGCGGTGATTGGAACATCGCACCGTCGTGGAAACTCGATCGCGCGGATGAAGACCCGAACGCGGTGGAACCTCGAAATCCATCGCGCGATTGGCTCGCGGCACAACTTGCCGGGGACGCGATGGTGGACGTGTTTCGCGAATTTTTTCCGACGCTCGGCGATGCGTTCACGTGTTGGAACGTTGCGAGTGGAGCGCAGTTGTCCAATTATGGATCACGAATCGATTATTTCTTGTGCGATCGAGCGGTGACGTTGAAGCGCGTCCGAGGCGTCGGTGTGGCACAAAAATTTGAAGGGAGCGATCACGCGCCAGTCTATCTTGAGCTCGAGGAATCGATGTGGAGGCGGAGAGATTCGCAACAAACGCCTCCGTCTTTGGCGATTTCGATGCTTTACCCAGGTCGACAAACCACGGTAGATTCAATATTCGCACGCGCATCGTCGACGAGCAACGCGACGCCGGAATTTCTTAACGCGGCGTCTCAGTCGCGAGCGAAGCCGACGCGCCCAAGCGCCCGCGCCCAATCCCGCGCGGGCGTCTCAGACGCGCCCAAGCGCAAGCCCGAAGCGACGTTGAAAGATTTCTTCGTCGTCAAGTCCAAAAAGAAAGAGCCGGATGACCGAAACGAACGCCAACTAGACACAGTAGAACAACCTATAGCACCCACGGCGAACGCATTCGAATCGCGCGAGACGAAAGTGAGCTCCGAAGAAGCGCGAGGCGCGTGGATGAACACGTTCGCCAAAATGGCGCCTCCCAAGTGCAAGCACGGCGAAACGTGCAAAGTACGCACGGTGAAGAAGAAGGAGAGCCCACACTGTGGACGCGTGTTCTTTTGCTGCCCGCGCCCGGCCGGCGCGCGCACCAATCCCGATTGTGACTGCGGTTTCTTCCTCTGGCGAGAGCATCGCGCGCCGAAGTAGAGCGTCGCGCGCCGACGCGACGCCGCGCGATGAGAACGAATGACGGACGCGATTCAGCGAGAACGAATTGTACATTATTATACCGACAGGTCGACGCTTTCACGTCACGAATTCACAAGAAAGATCAAAAACCGAACGCCCGAACGCGCGAAATCGATCGCAGCGCGTCGTTAATCTCGCTTCGCCCTCGCCCGCGCGCGTCGGCGCGCGCTCGGCGACGACAACGCGCCGAAGACGACGACGCACGTCGTCCCCACCACGTTCGCCCGCATCGCGGGAAGTCCCTTCGCGAACACGGAATACCCGAGTTCGAGCGCCGCCAGCACGCCGTACGGTCCGATATCGCCGTTCACGCAATACTTGACGCTCCCCAGCAGCGCGAGCGCGCACCCCAGCGCGCACTCGCGCGCCCCCGCCTCGCCGAGCGCCTCGCGCATCTGCGCCGCCTTTCGCGTGATCCGCGTCGCCGTCGCCTCGACCGATCGACCGCTAAGGCGCGCGATCGCGCTGTCGGGGTAATAGCACGCCTCGACGACCACCGCGCGCCATCCCGCGAGTTTTCTTCCGCCGTTCTGCGCGCTCAGCCAACTCGCGACGCCGTCGACGACGGTGAACGCCGTCGCGTCCCCGCGCGTCGCAAACAGCGGGGCGCCGAGCAGGACGAGCAGGGCGAACGCGCGCGCGCACGCGCGCGGCGAGAGCGCATCGCGCGCGGCGAGCATGGCGCGACGACGAGCGCGGCGTCGCGTCGCGAAATCGCGTCACCGCGCGACGCGCGCGATGCGGTTCCACGTCGCGCGCGCGTCGAGCGCGCGCCCCGAGGCGTGGCCGCGCGGTGGCGCGAACGCGGGCGCGTCGCGCGCGACGACGCGCGGTGCGCACGCGCGCGCGCGGTGCGCGACGTCGTCGTCGGGACGCGCGGGCGATGGGTCACGGCGAACGAGCGGCGCCGCGCGCGCGAGGAGCGGCGACGGCGCGCGCGCGCGCGGCGACGCGTCGGCGTCGATGACGACGACGTCATCGTGGGCGGAGGCGATCGCGCGAGCGGTGATGGGGCCGACGGCGCGCGCGCGCGCGGCGGCGGCGGCGGCGGCGGCGGCGGCGGCGGCGGTGGCGGCGGCGACGACGTTCGGGACGCCCGCGGCGTTCGCGGATGACGTCGCGCGCGGTCGAGGGGACGCGCGGACGAAATCTGTGTCGTCGGCGGTGGAACTGGTGAGCGAGATCGCGGCCGAAGCGGCGGAGGCGGAGGCGGAATCGGAGGGCGCGACGGACGCGACCATCTTGGACGAAGCGTGGGGGTTGGTTTTCGACAACTTTTTACCGGCGAGAAAATCTGAGTCGGACGGATTCGATCGCGCGGCGTGGGAGGCGATCAAGGCCGAACACGAGGCGAATCCGCCTCAAAGTCGCGAGGAGGCGTACGAGATGATTAAGTCGATGCTGGGGACGCTCGGGGATAAGTTTACGCGCTTCATCGAGCCGGATCGGTTCACTTCGATGTTGAAATACGACATCACCGGCGTCGGTTTGAACATCGCGGAAGATGCGGACGACCCTGAACGCGTGCGCGTGCTGGGAATGGTGCTCGACTCGAGCGCGATGAAGGCTGGAGTGGCGCAGGATGATGAAATCGTCGCCGTCAACGGCGAACTCGTGCGCGGCTTGAGCGCGTTTCAGGTGTCTTCGCTCATTCAAGAGGCTGACGGGAAGAGCGTGGATCTAACAATCTCGCGCACAGGCGAAGACGTCCCGCGCGTCGTTTCTCTGACGCGAGACAGTCAATTCGAAGCGCCGAAAAGTCCAGTGAGCATGCGTCTGGAGGGCGGACACGTCGGTTACATTCGGCTTCGCGAGTTCAACTCGCTCGCCGAGCGCGATATCGCGAGAGCGATCACGGATTTAAGGACGCAAGGAGCAGACGCGTATATTCTAGACTTACGCGACAATCCTGGGGGATTAGTGCAAGCTGGTGTGGAGATTGCTCGATTATTTTTACCTGCGGATTCGACCATCGCGTACACCGAAGGTCGAGTCGTCGCCGGAGGCGTCAAACGCGATACCGACGTCTCGGCGACAAAAACCGCGAGAAACGGATCTGATTCTCAACTACCGACTAAGCTGAAGGCGATCACGACGTCGAAAAATGACCCTGTCGTCGCCGCTGACGTTCCGCTGGTTGTTCTTGTCAACGGCAGAAGCGCTTCTGCGAGCGAAATTTTAACCGGCGCTTTGAAGGACAACTGTCGAGCGACTGTGGTCGGGAGTAAGACGTACGGCAAGGGTTTGATTCAGAGCGTGTACGAACTCAGTGATTTGAGTGGGATGGTACTCACCGTGGGTAAGTACGTCACCCCAGGTCTCGTCGACATCGATCAGACAGGGATTTCGCCAAACTTTATGATGTTCCCGGGCTTTGACGCCGCGGCGAGAGAAATCGACGCGTGCAAAGTGCCACCAAAATATTGATAGATCGGACGAACTTTTAGATGATGATTAATATTCAACACGCTCGTTACAACATTACGACGCCGACGGCGTGGCGAACCACGTCGCGAACGGCGACAGGGCTTTTCGAAGCGCCGGCACCTTGGACGCCACCTTCTCGTCCAACATTTTCCAAACCTCTCTGTGGTAGTGCGCCGTATCGTGCGCGGTAAACTTGATGCGAAACACCGTGTTATCGTGACAGTGATACCTCGATCGAAGCCAAAACGCGTACGCGATCACTCGGCTAAAACTACGTCGCTGAGGACTCGCTAAATCCAGAAGAATCGTCGTCATCAGCGACACCTCCATCGTCGCGCAAATCGCGAGCGCCAGCTCCATATTTCGCTGCGCCGCGTCGAACACGCGTCCGAACCCGAGCTTGCACCACATCGTTTTACTATCCGCGTCCTCCCACACTTTATGCCCGATCGCCAGCACCTGATACGCGCTCAGCACGATCAAAGGCGCCAACTGCGGCGCGTTGGCGCCGCCGCGTCGCGCGCTCGCCAACGCCATCGACCCGTAAATCATGTATTGCCCCCCGTTCGAGCGCGCGCTTCGCGACAGATGCGCGCCGAGCGCCTTAAAATCTCTCGCCTTCACGCTCGTCGCCGCGCCGTACGCGATCCTGTACGCGAACGCGCTCGTCGACGCGTAAATCGACAGTCTGAAGAGCGCGTCCGCGCGTCGTCTGACGACGCCCGGCGCGAGCGCCGCGCACGCGCACGCGCACCCGCTCGCGCACGTCACGGCGCACAGCGCGAAGAAGACTCGCGCGCGAAAGTCCCATCGCGACGGTCGCGCCGCGACCGCCATGACGGCGCGTCGTCGCGCGCGGACGAATGGCGCCGCGCCCGAACGGCACTTCGCGCCGCGCCGCGCCGCGCCGCGATGGCGCTCTCGCGCGTCGTCGCGCGCCCGAGGCGATGCCGACCGACGCTCTTCGTCCTCGTCGCCGTCGCGTGCGCGACGCTGACGTGGGCGCACCGCGCGGCGTCGAAAGATGCGAACGCGACGACGTTCGTTCGACCGGACGGCGCGCGCGTGCGCGCGCCGCCGGCGCCGCCGTCCGCGCTCGCGTCGTGGTTCGCGCGAGGGCGAGCGGAGGATGATGATGACGAGACGCGCGCGGTGACGATCGGCGAGGCGGAGATGCGGGCGACGTGCGGGGCGTGCGAAGGGATGGGGGCGTTCGTGCGCGCGGCGGCGGGACGGCGGCGAGACGCGCGCGGATTGGAGCTGGCGTGCGGCACGGGCACGTTTTTGCGAGAGATGCGAGAACGAGGGTTTAAGATAGTGGGCGTCGATCCGAGAATCGCGCGCACGCGCGATCGGGGGGGAGATTTGGCGGCGAAAGGCGTGGCGACGGCGGCGTCGTTGCGGCGCTTGCCGTATCGACGAGCGTTTTTCGATTACGTCGTCGCGTTCGAGACGTTCGGGAAGATGGAGATGAAGGCGACGAAAGAAAACGTCGATCCGGTGATAAACGAAGCCACGCGCGTGGCGAAGAAAGGGGCGATGATGGTGTTCGCGCTGGCGAAGACGCTCGACGGTGGGAGCCCGGTGGGAGACGAAGACGAAACGTATCAAACGAGGCGGTGGTGGATGGATACGTTTTGCGCGCACGGTTGGGTCGAGGACAGAGAGGGATATCGAAAGCTCATAACGAGCGAAGGCTCGTCGTCGAAACGACGCGTCCGTCGCTGGTTCGTGTTGAAGCGCGTGAAGAAGGTGAAAAAACACGGCTCGTGCGCGTGCTTTGTTCCGCCAGGCAAAGACGCCGAGTCGTTTTGCGGAGGCCGAGGACGTCCGAACGCGCGGAAAGAGGTCAAGGCGTTCTGGAAATCGCTCGGACGGCGACGACACCAAAAACCGCGCGGTTAGGTCGGTCGGCGTTTAGGTAGCAGCAGCTGTAACTATCGACTATTGTACGTTGAAAATTACATTTAGACCACGGGCGCCGCCGAGTTCGCGAAGTCGAGTTGCCGAAGCAAAATTTGTCCCTCGAGCGGTATCACGCGCACGACGTGATAAAACCGAATCACCAATCGCGTGATGTACGTCGCTAAGATGATGGTGATCACCGACAGCACGCGCGCGGTGACATTTTTCATAAAGACGAAATTCAAAATTCGCCAAACGATGGACGCCACGCAAAACGCCACGTAACAAGCGGTGAGCCCTGGACTGTACATGCGCGCCCCCACGAACCCAGCGAGCGGGCCTATGAGTAACACCGCGATCACGCTCACCCCGCTCAGCGCGTACAACACGCACAACACCATATCGATCAACGCGAACAAACGCACCACGCGACTCAACTGTCGCGCCAGCATGAAGTGCTCCAAATCCACCGGCAGTTCGCCCTCGGGCAACCCCAACTCGCGCGCGAACTCCCGTTCCATCACCGCGCGCACTTGAGGATCATCCATGTCCGCGAACATCGGCGACACGAACGCGAACACGCCGCCCTGCGCGCGCGCGATCGTCTGCGGTCGCGGTCGCGTCTCAATCGCGCTCACCGGCGTCCCTCTCGCCGGTTCGCTCTCGTACGTCCTCGCGCTCACCAACCGCGTCGGCATCACCGGCGGAACCACTCCCGGCGTGGTGTAACTCCCCCCTCCCTCGCGCGCGCCCGTCGCGATCGTCGCGCGCGCTTTCCCATCGCCTTCGCTCGCATCGCCCGTCGCGATCGTCGTCGTCGTCGTCGTCGTCGTCGCGCCCGCGCGCGTCGTCGTCGTCGCGCCGTCCTCGCGCGCGTCCTCGCGCGCGTCGTCGTCGTCGTCCGGGTAGTACACCGCGTCCCGCATCGCGTCGCCGCGCGTCGCGATCGCCGGTCGACGCGCGTCGGTTCGATCGCCACACGTCGACGCGTTCGAGCGAACGATTCGATTCGTCGACGCGTCGCTTTCGTCGACGCGTCGATCGAGCGCCTTCGTCGCGACGCGCGTCCGAAACGAGCGTCGCGTCGTCGTCCGTCGCGAACCGCATCGCGTCGTCGCGAACGCGCCGTCGTCGAACGAACGCGGATCGCGACCCGGCGCCATCGCCGAGAAGACCAATCGACGTCGCGATGATGCGGTCGACGCGCGCGGCGGCGAACGAACTCGCGCGCGGGACGACGGTGGGGAAAAACGCGCGGTACGAGGTGACGAAGCTGATCAATCGCGGTGGCACGGCGTTGGTGTACGAGGGCGTGGATCGGGAGACGGGGGAAAAAGTCGCGCTGAAGTGCTTGGACGTCGGCGACGGGGCGAGGGTGAAGGTGCCGCTGGCGGCGGTGAAGAGGGAGATCAAGTACGCGACGAAATTGATGGCGTCGACGAGTCGAGTCGTGCGATTGATGAATGTTGTGAACGATGGGGAAGATTTGTTGGTGTTGGTGTTTGAACTCGCGCGGGGGGTCGACGTTTTGGATTTCATAAACGCGCGGGGCGGACGATTGGACGAAGTCACGGCGAGACGGTTGTTCTCGCAGCTCGTGGAGGCGATCCGGATGATACACGATCACGGATTGTGTCATCGAGACGTCAAACCCGAGAACGCGATCGTGTGCGAGCCGCACGGAGATTTGAAACTCATCGATTTCGGATTGGCCAAGGGCCTGGATAGCGTCGCGACGCGCGCGGTCGGCACGCCGGATTACATGGCGCCCGAGATGCTGGACAAGCACGACGGCGACGGGAACGTGAGACGAACAAAGTACGACGCGAAGGCTTGCGATGTTTGGTCGTGCGGGGTCTTTTGTTACATCATGTTGACTGGCACATATCCATTTCAAAATCCAGACCGCCCAAACTCCGTGAAGTTGACGCTCGAAAACATCGTGAAGGGAAACATCGCGCCGATGTCTCGATCGATATCGAACGAGGTCAAAGATCTGATTCTTCGTATGCTACACCCCGACCCGAAGAAGCGAATCACGTTACGCGAGGTGTCGAGACACCCATGGGTTCTCGCCGGCTCGCCGGCTCGCGGCACCGGCGCCGTCAGTCGCAGATTGAGCTTGGTTGAGCTTGGTCGGCGCGCGCGTGCGATGCTCACTGGCCAGCGACGCAAAAGTGAAGATACGACAATATAGTGAAGATGCGCTACGTGTAATGATAACAATATGCAATAATGATGACACAGTAAAAAGTTCGCTCGACTCGGGCTTAAATGGTCGGGAGTTCACTCGAGTCGAACGGACGCGAATTTGCGGGCGCTATGCCACCCGCGCCGCGGACGGGCGTCGGCGGCGGAGGCATGTGAACGACTACGACTGGCGCCGCTTGCCCGCGAAGCGCGTAAGGCAGAGGTGCAAGCTCGTATACACCACCCGGAACGCCGGGAGGCATCGGCGCGCTCTCCGCCGCGGGCGCGCTCTCCGCCGCGGGCGCGTTCTCTTCCGGTAGGAGCGACGCCCGGCAGTTCGGGCACGTGTGGCTCGTGTGTAACCACAAGTCCGCGCACTCTTGATGGAACATGTGTTTGCACTGCGGGAAGCGTCGCAGCTTGTCTCCCTCGACGTAATCATCCAAGCAAATCGTGCACGTCGGCTCTTGTCCGTCGGCGAGGATGCCGTCCTTCAAGTTGGGATGATAATCCACCAGTGCGATTTGCGAGATGATGTCTTCGGGTGTCCCGGGGTTGGTGTCGCGGTCGTTGCGGCGTTGCGTTCGCAATTCTTCCATCGACAGCTGCTGCACTCGTTGCTCGCGAAACTGGGTCAAGTAGCGTCGCTGAAAGTATCGCTTGATGAGGGCGACGACGAAGCAAAAGCTCATGCTCACGAATAACACGAGCGCCATGGACACCATGTTCGGCGAGTTCGTCGCCCTGTTCCGCGAAGCCGACGTCAGCGATATTCTGAAAACGCAGTCACTGTTGGCGTCAAACTTGCGATTGAAGACGGCAAAGTAGTACATTTGACTCGATGCGAGCCGCGGTAGGTAGACAGAATTGTAACCCAGGCGCAACGAACCGTACTGCGCGTCGTAATCGATGAGCGTCGGTGGCGAACCAGCCTTGACCAGGAGCAACGGATCGCCGCCGCGCTCCCAGTACACGTCTATTTCTAAGCCGTAATCTTGCGATCGACTGACTAAATTCCACGCGTCGTACGACAAGTACAAAAACTGTCCCGGAGACACCGTCAACGAGGACTTGGATCTCAAGTTCTCGTACGTCCCGTAACGATCTCTGCACGCGCTTCCGCTCGCGAACGTGAAGCCGTCGCCCGTTATCGTCGGCGACGCGTCGCACTCACATTTGGTGTTATCGCCGGTCGCCGAGCCGCTATTCACGCACGTCCCGTGGCTCGAGCAGTCCCACGCGCACAACGGCGCCTGAGTCACGCCATCGCTCGTCGAACGCACCCTGAGCTTGTACCTCGCGACGTCGGAATACGTCACCCGTCCCGTCGTCATCGACGTCTCCTGCAAGTTTTTCACTCGCAAATAATACCTCCCCGCCGACGCGCCGACGAGTTTAATCGTTCTGTAGTCATCCACGTATCCATACGCGCCGTAATTCCCCACCGTGTATCTTTTCAACGGAAAATCCCACCACTCGTTCGACTTCCCGATCGCCGCGTACGCTCCCACGATTCTTTGCCACCCCCCCGTCGACGACGAGTCCTTCTTCAAGTACACGAGCGGTATCCCGCTCTCCCGTTCCAACTCCACGACGACGTCCGACGACGTCCCGCTCACGTCGAACCGATACCACTTATCGCGTCGCAGCAGGACCTCGCCGTACTCGGCGTCCCCCCCGACGGCGAGCGTCGTCGCGCCTCGTCTGTCGTCGTCGTCGTCGTCGTCGTCGTACGACGCCCCCACGCGCGCCGCCGCGACCGCCACCGCGACCGCCATCGCGACGAACGCGCGCCGCGCGCCTCCTCCTCGCCCTCGCGTCGCTCCTCGCGCGCGCCGCGCGTCGCGCGCGCGCGACGTCGGCGCTTCGTCGCCACCTGGCGCCATCGAATCCTCCGCCGTCGTTCGTCCCGCTTCCGCGTCGCGCGTCGTTCGCGCGTCCGCGTCCGACGCGTCGACCGCGCGATCGCGCGCGTCGCTCGCGTCGCGCGGCGTCGCGTCGGCGCGCGTCGCGTCGCGGCGACGACGAATCGCGTCCGCGACCGCGACCGTCGCGAGGTCGTCTCACGACGGGGACACTTTAACACGGACCATAGTCTCACGACGGGGACACTTTAACACGGACCAACGCCGCGGCCGAACGCGTCGACGGCGCGCGCCGACGGTCGCGACTCGTCGACGCGCGGCGACCGAGGCGCGCCGCGCGACGATCCTCGACGTCGTCGCGCCGGTCCTCGACGCCGACATGGCGTCGATGCCGCCGCCGCCGCCGCCGGCGATGCGCGTCGAACGGGACGCGAATTTGATGCGGGCGATGTTCGCGCTGACGTATCTCGCGCTGGGGGTGGGCGTCGCGTGCGCGCTCGGGCGACAGATGGCGCGCGTGGTGCGCGGGAGGCGTGGGAACGATCCGGGGCGGCGACGGTTGCGCGAGGCGAAGCGACGGGCGGTGATGGGGGAGACGGAGGACGTCGCGAAGGCGCGAACGCGGGGCGAGGGAGACGCGCGAGGGGAGGCGATCGCGAGAGGGTACGCGAATTACGATCAATACGATGTCATCGAAGAGGGAGGGGAGCCGGGGCGAGGGATGCGGTACGAGGAGGTGAGCGCGGAGGTGGACGCGAGGCGCGCGGCGCGCGAGCGAAGGGTGGACGCGCTGTTGCACCTGTCGAGACAGCGGGAGGAAGAGCTCGCGGAAACGCACTAGGAAACATGGCGGTAGGAGTTGAGAATATTGATTTTAGCGGGTAAAACGAGCGAACGCACCGCGTCGCGGACTTTAATCCTTCTTCGTCGGCGGCGGCAAAGCGCGGCGACGAGGCAGCGGGAGCAACCGACTCGTCGCGTCTTGGTACGCCTTGTAATCCGGGTACTTTTTCCCCGTGATGGCTTCGGTGAACGACGTCGAGCCTTGGAACAGCAGTATCAACAGAATCGGTCCGATGAGCGCGGGCGTGAAGAACGCCTTGGACTTTAAGCTCGCCGCGGCGAAGCCGCTAAAGCTCACCCACATCGTCTGCTCGGCCCAAAAATTCGGGTGTCGCGACCACGCGAACAGCGCGTGCGTCAAGAACCCTCGCTCGTAATCCTCTTTCCACCCCTTCACCTTGCGCGCCAACCCGCGCTTGGAGCGTTGAAACCGCCACTGCTGCTCATCCGCGGCGACTTCGACGAGAAACGCCGCCGTCCACGCGCACAGCGCGACGCCGTCGGCGCCGCGCCACGCCAGCGCCTCTTTCGATCGATACGCCACCGCCGCGGGCAGGGCGATCAATAGCAACAACACGTTTTGATACACCGCGATGAACGACACGTTGAACAGCTGCCAGACGATCGGATTACGCAACAGTTTATTCTTTCGCAACTCGCCCCAGCGGTAATCCTCCTCTCCGGCGTAACCACCCTTCCTGGCAAAGTTATACGTCAGCCTCGCCCCCCACAGCAGCGCCAATCCCAGCATGAGCGTCAACCGCGCCCGCGCCGCCGTGCCGACGCCGTGATACGCGTACGTCGCGACGTACACGACCGGCGTCACGCTCCAAAGTTGGTCGACGAAGCTGTACGTCTTCCAAACCCAAGACCCGAGCAGGCACCACGCCGCGAACGCCGCGCACTCGGCGACGACCAGGACGTCGACGTCGTTGAGCTCGACGCCGTCGAGCGCACCGCGCGCGATCGGCGCCCAGGACGCGCGGACGAGCGCGCCGAACGCGTCCATCATCGCGATGACGCGACGACGAGTGACGGCACACGTCGACGCGCGCGCGCGATGACGCGCGCGCGCGACATCGCGAGCGCGCTGTGCGTCGATGGACACTCGCGCGCGTCCGTGGACGTCACCGCGGCGGCGATCGAGGCCGTATGCTCGCGCAAAGCGCGCGCGATGCCGATGAACGTCCTCGTCGGGCTCAACGTGCGACGCGACGACGACGACGACGACGACGACGACGACGCGCGCGACGGTCGGACGTACGACGACGCGAGCGCGGCTCTCATCTACGACTACGTCGAGGCGAATCAGCGCGTGTTCGCGGCGTTCGCGGCGACGGCGCACGTCGTCGAGGGGAAGGGGACGCGGTGCAGCAAGTTTGCTCGAGGCGCGAGCGAGGACGACGTCGCGAAGTGCGCGGCGTGGCGGCGCGAGAGAATGGACGAGGGGCGCATGCGATGCGACGTCGATGATGTCGTTAGAATGAAGCAGCGCGGGAAAGGGGATGGGCGAGACGGGACAGACGCGGCGAAGACGAAGGCGAAGACGAAGACGAAGACGAAGAGCGTCGACGCGACGGCGGACGAGACGAAGGCGAAGCCTGCGTTGTTGCCGCCCGCGCCGGCGCCGAGCGTGCCGGCGTGGAACGTGAAGCCGGTCAAGATGATGACATCGGAACCGGCGCCGATAGCGCGCGCCGGGGCATTGACGCGCGAGGGTGGGACGAGTTTACGGGATATCATGGCGTCTGAATCGCGGCGCGCGGCGCCCACGGGGAAGCGACAAGTCTCGACGACGAAAGCCTTAGCGCCGAAACTTCCCATCATCACCGCAGAGTTACTTCATCGCGAGTCGAGGCGGTCGGTGATGGATAAGTTCGGCAAAGTTCGGTGTCAGGTGTGTGGACGCGCGTTCAAGGCGTACGACGCGTTGGAGCAGCACATCGGCGCTTCGCATTACGGTTTGAATAATCCCGAGGCGAAGGTTCTAGAGGCGGCGCAGATCGCTGCTGGAATTATACCGACGGCCAATACGCAAGTCAATCGTGTGTCGCTGAACTTAGGCGACTTGGTGTCTTCTAAGACGAAGACTTCGAATAGCATGGTGAACTCTCTCGCGACGTACTTCAAGACGGACAAGCCGGCGAAGAACGCGAGGGCAGAGGGTAAAGAGCAGCAGATGATTAGAAGCACAAACATGGCGACGTCGACGGGCATGGTGCCCAAACGCGGCAAAGCGCGACGAGAAGGGAAGAAAAAGAAGCAATCGACGCTGAAAAAGATAATTCTTCGAGAGCGCACAACGCGGCGAGAGGAAGAATCAAAGAAGATCGTCGAAGAGGAAGTGGAAGTCGAGATCGAGGTTCGCGTCGACTGGGTGTATGTGCTTCTGACGTACGACGAGACGAATCACTCTGTTGGTGTGAATTTCATGTGCATGGATGCAGACTCGGACGATGATTCGGATGAAGATGTGTCGGACGAATCCGCCGCAGCAGAGGGCGAGAACGCCGACGAGCACAGCGTACAACAGAAGCTCGACATCATCGAAGCGCGTGCACCGGCCGGGGTGTGGGGCGTGCGAAGTTTGCTGGACGTTCTGAAAGGCGAACCAGAGCCAAAGTCGGCCAAGGTGAAGCAGGAGACTCGAACGTGTGACGTGTGCGACGTGAAGTGCTTCGGCGAGCAAGCATGGAACGCGCACGTCGGCGGTAAACTGCATGCGAAAAAGCTCGCGATTCGGGACGACCCTGAAGCGGCGGAGAAAGCGGCGTCGCAGAATAAAGCGGCGAAGACGTACGTCGGCGAAGAAGGCGCGTTAAACATACGATACGCCGAGCAAATAATCACCGACGAGCTCAACGAGGCGACCAAGACGCTCCTTTCGACGCTCAAACGCTTTCAGGACCGTCTGTACCACACCGATAAGATTAAGGCGAAGATGCGCCGGCGGTTGCTCTTCGGATTACGCGAAGTCGCGAAAAGCGTGGACGCGCGGACGAGCAAGGTTGTCGTCATCGCGCCGAACATCGAGAAGATTGAAAGCGAAGGCGGCCTCGACGACCGTGTCCGACAAATAATCGCGGACGCTCGAGAAAAAGATGTTCCAGTCATCTTTGCGCTCACCAAAAGACGCATAGGAAAAGCGCTGGGTATCCAAGCCGTCTCTATCGTCAGCGTGCTGGATTACAACGGCGCGGACGAAGAATTCAAACGCGCGCTGACGCTGGCCGCCGACGGTCGAGCGCTGTACGCCAAGCGAGGCGCCGTCCCCAAGCTCGACCTTTCCGCGCGCGAATTCATTCCTAGCGCGTGACGCGATATATCGCGACATGCAATACTAATACTAGCACTACTAGCGGTCTTCGCTATTCCAACGAATCGCCGCACCGCTCCAGCACCAGGGACATCCCGGGCCACGTCTTCGGCAGCGAAAACGGCCCCGCGGCCTCGGGTAACTTGGCGTGGTCCGCTTTCAGCGAATCCAGGACCGCCCGCGCCTTCTCTAAATTAAACGCTCTCGGCGACGCGTGCTTTTCGCGCATGTACGCGTCGCACTTACGCGCGCTTTCCTCATCCGTCACCCAAGGCTTGAAGTTTTCAACCATAAACTCGACTTCTTCGTTCGTCAACACCGCGACGCGCGCGCGTCGCGCGCGGCGAATCGAGCGCGCGCGAGCGCCCGCGCGCGTTCGCGCGCCCGCGCGCGCGATCGAGCGCGCCGCCGACGACGCGCGCGACATTGTGTCGCTTCGCCCGGCGCCGGGTCGCGTCTCGATTCGCCGCGTCCGCGCTACTCTAGGGATCAATTACAACGGCGCTCGAGCGCCCGGTCGCGGTTCAAACGCGCTACTTTTGCGCCCCGCGTCCGCTCGCGGCGGCCGTCTTGACGCGCTCGTCTCGCGCCGCGACGAGACGATCGAACGCGTCCTGCCCGATCGCGCGCGGCTTCCCGTACGCCGCGCCGTGGGTGAGGTACTGCAGCCCGCCCATGGCGGTGATGGCGCCGACGATGATGGCGAACGGTGGAACGGACTCCACGGGCTGTCGAGCGCGCGCGATCGCGACGTGCGCGAGCGTCAGTCGTCGATGTCGGGTTGGGGTAAACCCGCGCGTGGAACGTCGGCGCGCGAGAACGAGCGCGCGCGCGCGCGATGCGCGCGCGACGCGCGCGGACGCGATGCGCGCGCGATCTCGACGCGTTCGAGGCGAGCGGGCGGTGGACGCACCATTGCGTCGGTGCGGGAGTCGCGATGTGCGAATCGCGTCGAGCGGGCCGCGCGAGCGCTCGGCTGCGCTAGAAAACTGAAGTACATATTACACCAGAGCACGCGAGTGCGAGAAATGCGAGTGCGGAGAAATATCGAAGAACGCCGTCGGAGACTCGCGCCGGTCACGGCGCCGCGCGCCAGTGCTTGCGATTCATCTCGATGTCGAGCGTGTCGTTTTCGTCCTCGTCGTCGATTGCGTTGCGGAAATCCGGCTCGCTGTCGAACGAGCGACGGATTCGCAACCGCGACAAGGCGTCGATCGGGGAATCTGAATCGCCTCTCGTCTCGCTCGGCGCGTATCGTTCGACGAGCTCGTGCCTGAAGTGCAAGTGTTTCAATCCCGGAGGCCGCGCCTCGGCGAAGAGCTCCATCGCCTCCGCGGGCGTCGCCCCGAACATTTGCACTAGATAACAACAAATCACGAACCCCGTGCGATTGAATCCGTACGCGCAGTGCACGGCGATGTACTTATTCTCATTCCCCGCCGTCGCCAAGAACTTATTCGCCGCCTCCGTCGCCTTTCGCACGTCGCTCGCGCTCGGCACCGCCTTGGCCACGTTTCGCACGTGCACTCGCGCCACGTCGCTCGGTATGTCGTCCTCGTACAAACAATCGTGATTCGTGAGATCGATGATCAGCCCGATCTCCCGTCCTCGCGCGCGCTGTCCTCGCATCAGCGACTCCATCGTCAGCGCGTTCACGCAATTCTCCTCCACGTACCGCGGCGACAGCGGCGTCTTCATCGGAATCAACCGCGTCCCGCGCACGACGTCCCCGCACGACTCGTAATCCCCCCACTTTTGCAATTTTTGCAGCACGCTCGGCGCCGCGTCGTCGCGCGCCGTCGTCGTCGCGTCGTTCGTCTCGTTCGCGCGCGTCCCCGTCGTCGTCGTCGCGCGCGGCGGTCGTCCGCGTCCGTCGCGTTCGTCCGCGTCCGACGCCGTCGTCGCCGTCGTCGTCGCGTTCGAGACGCGTCGCTCGCGTCGCTCGCGTCGCGCGCGCGTCGACGCCTCGCCCGGGACGTCCGCGGACGACCATCGTCGGTCGTCGCTCGCGCACCGCGGCATGCGCGCCGCGCCGCGTCGCGACGTGCCGCGCGCGTTCGCGTCCCGTCGATGCGCGCATTCGCAGCCATCATTCGCGCGCGCGACGGGACGCGCGATGGACGGCTTCGACCGCGACGGCGTGAGCGACGATGAGCTGCAGCTCCCGCGCGCGACGCTGCACAAGATGATCAACGACGCGCTGCGCGCGATCGACGCGAATCAGAAAATCTCAAACGAGTGTCGCGAGATGGTGTGCGAGTGCGGGGATGAATTCGTGAACGCGGTGAGCGCGGAGGCGAACGAGGCGTCGACGCGAGAGGGAAAGTCGACGATAACGGCGGAGCACGTGCTGCGAGCGCTGCGAGCGCTGGGGTTCGAGTCGTACGAGGCTGAGTGCGAAATCGCGCGCGACGAGGCGAAGGAGGAGGAAAACGAAAAGCGCGAGGCGAAGAAGAAGAGGAAGCGGATCGACATGAGCGCGGAGGACGCGATGGCGCTGCAGAATAAATTGTTCGCGGAGGCTCGAGCGAAGATGGCGGGAGAGGCCGCGGGAGGGCAGACCGCGGCGGGGGATTTAGGCGAGCGCGGGACGTTGGGATCGTTGGCGTAGCGCGAACCGAGCGTCGGCGAGAAGAAAGACCGCGCGATTCGGAGTCGATGATCGACGAAGGATCGACGAAGAATCGCGCGCGATCGATGTCGCTCGTTCCACGGACGCGCCGCGCGCTAGCTAGCACTGTCTTGTGTAAACTTACAAATTCTAAAAGAAATCACCCGATTCTCCACCCGCGCCGCAGCACGCCTTGGCGATTGCCTTGAGCGCCGCGCGGCCTCCCGGTATGTAGCTCATGCAGTACCAAATCAGCGCGCACCACTGCACGACTAAGAACACCATCGTGAGTGGGAACGATTTCAGCTCCACCGCGCACACCAGCGTCATGATGAGCGCTCCCAGGTACACGCACGTCGCCGCGAAGCGCGTCCCGTGAAACATATTCTTCAGCTGCCTCGCGAACCCGGTCAGGAACCCCGTGCTCGCGAGCGAGAGCAGGTTTCCCATGCTGTACAGCGTCGCGAACTTGGTCGGTCGCGTCCAGAACACGCTCGACAGCGCGCTGCACATGACACCGAACAGAGCGCAGAACGCAAAGCCGTACATGCGCTGCTCGTACGTCAAGGATGCGCACGACGTGTACTCGTCGAGGAGTTCGGCGGTCTGCTCGCCGGGCGCGGGCGCGGACGGCTCGAGGCCAGCCATCAGGCGCACCTTATCGATGCCCTTCTGCACCACGCTCGGCATGGTCGTCGGTCGTCGCCGAGCGCGGCGCGCTGGAATCTGAGGACGCGCGCGCGAGACGCGCGTTTGAAGCGACGCCGCGTGCGCGGCGCGTCGACGATTGTGATTAGTGTTACGATTGATTGCAATTATTACCCTCCACTCGCGAGAGCGTTAAAAATCTATGTCCGTCTCCGGCACCGTCTCCGGCACGCGCTCGTACTCGCGCAAACGCCTGTACCGAGCGAAGACCACGACGGCGAAGACGGCGACAGAGGCGACGACGAGCGTCGCCCCGCTCGCGGTGAGAATAGAGTCGACATCGGTGCGCGACGCGCTGAGCTCTGCGATCTTCGCCCGATGTCTTTCTACGGGGGTGGGTCGACGTCCGAGGTCGGATTCGACGGGTGTTTCGGCGTCATCGTCCGCTGGATGGTCCGACGCGTTCGCCGCCGCCGCCGCCGCTCGGTGCTGCTCTCTGACGTAATCGACGTGCGTCTTGTTGTAGTAATGCGTGTGGTTGGTCATGTTGAACAACGTTTGCCCCGGGACGTCCGGACCACCTATGGTGGCTTGCAAACCGGCGTTGAACAACGCCAGCGTGGTGTTGTCCAAGCACTGGCAAATGCGCTCGTTCGCGAGCGGAAACGGAAGCACGCCGCCGAGCTTGTGATGGTTGCACGGAATGACGGGGGTGTCTTCGAATCTCGCGTCGACGATAGTCCACTTAGAAAAGTCAGGGTCTTCCGCCGGGTTCGGTGCTTGTAAAGTCTGGTTACCCGTCCAACCGTAGCGCATCATCGTGTTGCACTCGCAGCCCGAGGACGGGTAGTCGGAGCCCTCGTTCGCGCACCAGTGCCACACAAAGTCTTGGTGCATCACCGTGTCTGGGAACATCTCTTTCAACATCGCCTTCACCTTACCCGCGCTGAAAACATAAAACGATCTCACACCCCAGCGATTGTTGGTATTGATGACATTCAAATCCACCTCCGCGCCGAGCGAGTCCACGTCCATGCGCTGTTCGCCAGGAGCGAAGGAGATGCTCGCGTTGACGTCGCGGCTGGGAATGTCTCTCACGTTCAAGTACTGACACTTCTTCCCGGGCATGCCATCAGCGATGCTAGGAAATGGGTTGACGTATCCGAACGTCGAAGACTCGCATTTGATGGTTTGACCCGGTCTGCACACGCCGTACGTCCACTTGATGTCCGCTTGGTGTTCGACGCTTTCAAACCACGCGTCGTTGTACTTGTCCACGCCCGTATCGGCGAAACGCCCGTACGTCCCATAACGAACGACGTATCGCGTCGGAGGAGGATCGGGCAACGCATTATCGGTCTCGTCTAAGTACGAGTCTTCGTCACCCTCGCCGAGATTGGCGTTCGGGTCGGCGTTCGGGTGGGCGTTCGAGTCCGGGCACACGAAGCTCAGCCCTTCCCTCGAGCCAAACCTCCAACGCCATCCCGGCTTTCCGTGCGGCAGCGTGTCGTCGTTCAAGTTCGGCTGCACGTCACTCAGACCGTACCCGAGCGACGCGATCCCCGCGCGCGCGCGCCGCGCTCGCCCGCTCTCGCGCGGCGCCTCGTCTAACCCTCGCGCGTCGTCAACACCCAACCGCGTCGTTCCCGTTTGCGTCGCGTCCCCGCGCGCACCGCGCACCGCGAGCGACGCCAGCGCGCATCCCGCGAGTAGTTTCGCGCCCTTCGCGCGCGCGCGCTTCGTCACGCGCGGCTTCGGAGACATCGCGCGCGCGCTCGTCCCGCGTTCGTCGCGTCGACGTGTGGCGATCGTCGGATGTTGGCGCGCGCATCCGAGTCCTCGCACCGACGGTTCACGACCGGTCGATCAGGCTCGTATTCAACGTTGAAAACGCCCGTGATGCAGACCCGCGCGCGTCTCGACGCCGCGCGCGCGGCCGCGGACCCGCGCGCGCGCCGCGGACCCGCGCGCGTCGTCGAGACGCGCGCGCTCGCGCGTCGCGCCGCGCGTCGCGCGCGTCGCGGCTCGAAGCGGCTCGAAGCGCGCGGAAAGCGCTTCGGAACGCGCGCGCATGACGACGGTTGGGACGCGCGAGGACGCGGTGACGACGCGCGAGGACGCGTCGACGTCCAGATCGACGGTGAAAGACGCGTCGTGGATGCGCGATGATGTCGGTGGCGCGAACGAAGGGCTGTTTGAGCGGTGTCGCGGCGCGGCGCGCGCGCTCGAGCGCGCGGCGCACGGCGCGGTGTCGCACCGGGAGAAGTGCTCGGCGCTGTGGGGGCAAGCGGAGGCGACGATGTTGGCGCTGCGAGAGGTGGAGAACGTGTACGCGATGTATGATGATGGTGGACGGGTGCAGGTGAAGCGGCAATGCGTGAGCGTGCTGGGACGGTTGCACCACGGGAAGACGCTGGCGGAGGTTTACGGGTCGTTCACGACGGCGCAAAAACTGGTGCGGTACGCGATAGGGGGGAAAACCGATGGGAAATTCGAGGAAGTGACGCGAGATTTAGAGGCTCTGGAGCTACAACTGTGGAACATGGCCGGGGCGTCGGGAAGATTGGGCGTCGCGGGCGTGTCGAGCGAAGGGCGACGCCGGCTGCTTCGAGGCGGCGTCGCGCAGACGATCGATAGTATCTTTGGCTCGGGTGTGCTCACGATGTGCGCCGCGGGGTCGGATGGGGCTGAGCTTTGGTGGTCCACGGGCGGGGCGTTTCCCAGGCTCGATGCGTACGACATGTTCATACGTGGTCGGCGCCGAATCGAAAGTCCGCGCGTAGACGCCACGGGCGGCACGTCGTGCATGGCTCGGCCTAGCGGGGGCACGAGCTCTGCGTTCTTGAAGTCATCCATAGTCACGATGGTGAACGCACCGAACGGATCGCCGTTGTTATGGGCCGGTTTGAAAAACGGAGGGGTCATGGCGTGGGATTGCGATATGGGGCGATTGATGAACTCGCAAATCGTCGTCGTGGCGCGCAACGAGTCCGTGACGGCGATCGCACCGATCGACGGCACGCGCGCGTGGATTGGCTGTACGGATGGTACCGTAGTTGAATTGCGAGTCGTCGCGAGTACGAATGATGCTGCTGGAGAGTTCAAAGTCGCGCGCGACGTCGTCGCCGCATCCGCCACCCATCGTCCGAGTTTCCCAGATCCCGACTCGATTCGTAAAAAGTCCAAAAGCGTGTCGTGTATGCTACACAACGCGAGCGACGGCTCAGAAGGGGTGGTATTCATCGCATGCGAGAATGATTTAGTGTTGGAGGTTTGGGATGTGGCTGAGGCAAAGTGCGTGCGCATGGTGAGTTTGGAAGATCTCGGCTCCGCGGTTGCGTTGATGCAGCACCCCACGGTGCGAGATTTGATCGTCAGCGTGCACGACACGGGTGCGGTGCAAATATGGGGCGGAGATAAGTGCGCGGTAGAAACCGGCGAGCGCGTGATGAACATCACAATGGGATTCAAGGCGGTTGATGCGTGGTCGCTTTCCAAGTACTTTGGTAAAAGCATCGTCGGCGCCGTGGCTGTCGAAACGATCATCGCCATCGGACACGCGAATGGAAAGCTGACAGTTTGGCCCCTCCCCGGAGCGCATGAGTTGCACGAAGCATCTCTCCACGCCGAAACGCTCGCTTCTTCGAAAAACGCTTCACCCTTCGAGTTACGCTCGAGTAAGCTCGTCGCGCACGGTAGTGGGCTCGTTCATTTAACCAAGATAGACGGCGGTGGCTCTATCGGTGTCATCACCGTCGGTCGTTTCGGAAGCATAATGTATTGGCCTCTCTCGCAGCTCGAAGCCATGCTCGGAAAGCTTCGACAGACGGCGCGAAAGGAGCATTCACGTCTGGGCTTGGGATCGCCGTCCAAGGTGATGAATGACAGTAAATTTATTCCGGTGAATAGGACGCCCGAGTCGGCTACGTTATCAGAAACAGCGCGAATTGCGTACGATCATATTAAACTTGAACAAAAAATCGGAGAAGGATCGTTCGGTCGCGTGTTCAAAGCTACTTGGAATCACATAGACGTCGCCGTGAAATTCATCGGCGCTCAAGACATCGATGTTACGTCGAGCGGACTCATTCATTCTTTGGAAGAGTTAGAGAAAGAGGTGAGCATCATGACGAAGCTCAGACATCCAAATATCGTGCTTTTGCTCGGGGTCGTGATGACACCGCGTCCAGCCATCGTGCAGGAGTTTTGCGTTCGAGGTTCGCTGTACGCGGTACTTCAGCGACACATCAAGCCGGGCGCGCCCGAGTTGCCGTGGCGTATACGCCTTCAGATGGCACTCGGTGCCGCGGCTGGGATGCTTTACTTGCACGATGCGTCCGTTTTGCATCGAGACTTAAAGAGTGCCAATCTTATGGTAGACCGCTACTACCGTGTCAAAGTCGGCGATTTCAACCTATCTCGAGTGCACAACGACATCGTCGCCTCGGGCGAGGGCGCAGAGCGCTCAGGTACTCTTCACTCGCCTCGTTGGATGGCCCCTGAAGTTCTGACAGACGGACAGTATGGTACAGCATCAGATGTGTACTCCTTCGCCATCGTCATGTGGGAGCTTCAAAGCTTGCAAGCGCCTTTCAAGGATTTGCACGTTTATCAAATCGTCTCCATCGTTCCGGACGGCGATCGTCCAGAGGTAGATGCGACGCACGGCGCCGCTTTTCTCGACGCCGAATCATATCGCGCGTTGATGCAGCGCGCGTGGCAGAGCGATCCCTCGCTCAGACCTTCATTCGAAGACATATTTCAAGAAGTGCAGACGTTACTGGACGCGCAAGTCGCGCGCGAGCAGAGAGCGAAACGAGGCGTCGACAACATGCCGGCAAACAACACTGGGTTACCCACGCTTCCGCTTGAACGGACGAGATCGTCTTCTTCGTCCTCTGGCAGGAAAGGATCGTTCAAGGCGAGACGCGAAACGGTGGTAAAGCTCGACTTTGATGGAAAATCGCCCAACGAAGGCGACGACTCCGTCGTCGTCGAGACGCCCGCGGCAAGTCCAGAAAAGTCGAGCGAGAGCGCGCTGAAAGAAACGACGAACGTCCTCGAGGTCGGCGATATGGACACTCGAGCGATTCTACTCAACATGCGCGCGCGAGGATCTCTCAGGGAATCGATGCGCAGGTAGGGCGACGCGCGACAATTTAAACCAAGTCTATTAGTCTCACATTTCTACTCGCGATGACCTAATGTTCTCGCGGGCATACGTGTGCGAAATTACGCGCGATCACGTCGCGGACCCTTGTTGTAGTGCGCACGGCTAGACACAGAAACGCCTTGCAAGTTACCCATGTTCATCGACTTCAACATATCCATCGTGTCCCGGTCGACTTCGATGGAGTCCGTCTCGAGCGCGGACTTCTCCGGCACGAAATCCATGCGGCGCTCACGCTCCTCCTCTTGAAGCTTGAGCGAGATACCGCGCACCGGTCCGCGTTGGATACGCTTCATCAAGTGCTGTTTCCGAACGATTCATCAACCCGACGTCAGTCGCGCGTTCGCGCGTCTCAAACCCCACCGATCGAGCCTCGGTCGCACCGTCGCGCCCTCTCGCGCACCGACCGCGTTCCCGCGCTTCGCTCGCCTTAAAACGTACCGTCGTGAAACCCGCAATCTTGTTACGCAAACGCTTGGACGGAATGATCGCGATATCATCCGCGATGCGCTTGTTCGTCGCAAAGTCGAGCGTGAGCCTCGAGTAATACTTTTCGATGATTTGGCGAGACGCCTACCGCACGCGCGAACACCGCATCGTCGTCGTCGTCAGTCATCGCGCGCGTTCAAAATCACCCGCGCCTCCCCGTCCGTTCGCGCGTCCGATCGCGCGCTCGACGCCGCCCTCCCGCGCGCGTTCGTTCTCTCTGCGATCGTCCTTAGGGTTTCCATCGTCGCCCCGTCCATCGCGTCGCGCGTTCGCGCCGTCGCCGTCGCCGCGCGCGCCGTCGCCGGTGCCGCTCGCGACGCGTTCGATTCGACGCGCACCTTTTTCACCGTCTTCGTGCGAACGCGACCCATGTCGGCGTGTTCGCGCGCGTCGTGCAGAGACGGATCGCGCCGCGCGTCGCGCGCGGGGGCTCGGTCTCGCGTCCGTCGATCGTACACACACGGACCTTTACGACCTTTACGACCTTTACGGACCTTTACGACCGACCGCGCGCGCCGCGATCGCGCGCGCGCCGCGCGGCGTCAGACACGCGCGCCGCCGCCACCGAGACACATGTTTGCCGTTAGCTCCACGCGCGTCGTCGTGAACGCCGCGAACACGTCCGGGACGAAGCGCGTCGCGGGGAAGAAGGCCGCCGCGGGCAAGGTGCGCAGGGCGCCGCTTGGTTTTATCCTGAAGCCGTCGCGACCGCGACCGCGATCGAGGCCGCGAGGGGCGCGGGGCGGCGCGCGCGACGCGCGATCGACGCGCGCGCGCGACGCGCGCGATCGGCGCGCGCGCGCGATCGATCGGCCGCGAGGACGCGCGCGCGACGCGGCGATCGGTGAAAGGACGGCGACGCGGCGATCGATCGATCGCGCGACCTCGGGGGGGGGTCGATGCTGGGTCGCGAACGGTCGATCGCGAGATTGGGGCGAGGGAAGAGACCGAGGGGGAGACGAAGGCGAACGCGAACGCGCGACTGACGGATGACGCGACCGCGCGACGCACGCGACACAGCCGGGCCAAAAGAAGGGATTCTTCGATTGGTTGCTCGAAAAGTCCGTGCGCGATTCCGGCGTCATCGGCGCCGGGTACGAAGACGACCTGAAGAGCGGGCAGTACAAGCCGAAGGGCGGCTTGAACATCTCGGAGGGCGGCTCGTTTAAGATTTAAACGCGCGCCAGCTTTGCCTTAGCCTTTGAACGCGTGTGCACGATGTGGCGATGACACCGGGGGACCCCGGGACTCTATTATCAATTTTGTTGTCAATGCGAACACGAACGAACAAAGTATACGACGCGCGACGCGCGACGCGCGCGATTTCGACTCGACGCGCGGCAAGCCCGAGGGAACAAAATTGACTTGAAAATTACAGATGAAAGAGGGTAAATGTGCGGAAATGCTTCGCGAGTGAGCTTGCGCTCTTTCTTCTACTGTTCTACCGTATACAAGAAGAAAACTTCATTTGAGCGCTGACATGGCGTCCAACGCGCTCTTCGAGCGCGAGGATTCGCGCGTGTTGCGCGTCGACGCTCTTCCAAGCGGTGAATCGTGCTCTTTTTTCTTGGGTTTGCCGAGAATAGATGCGACGGTTTGAACCTTCCCGCCACTATTTCTCGGCAACGAATTCATCATCGAGTCTAAGTCTACCGGACTTCCGAGATCGAGCGATCCCACCGCCGGCAGCGCGTCGTTCAAGTCGACCATCGTCCCCAAGCTTCCGACGGGGAAATGATCTGCACCGTGCGCCGACCGATCGTTGGGGGACATGGAGAACTCGCCGTAGAAATTGTCGACACCGTCCGGGGTTGAGGACAGCCCCATGTCCGGGGGAAACATCGAACCGAACGAACCCGCGACGCCGAACGACGTGCCAAAAAACGCGCTGCTCGGACCGCGGTCGCGTTTGCCGTGAATCACCGGAATCTCACCGCTCATGCCGCTCATGCCGTCGCGCAGTTCCACTGACTCGGGCATAATGAGCGGCGATCCACCCGTGCTCGACGGCGTCCCACCCACGCTACCGTTGGCGAAGAGTTTCATGAAACTGTTTTCGTGATCCTTTCTCGCCGACCCGGCCGAGGCGAGGTTTTGGTTGGCCAAGGCGAGATTGGCGTTGACGAGGGCGGATAAGTCGGTGCCACTGCCGAAACCTATCGAACCACGCTTAGGAGTGGAGTTCTTGTCGCTCGAACTCGGACCGAAGCCGTAAATAGTGCTCGGACCCCCCTTCGCGTCCTTCCCCACGGGTTTTTGCTTCTTGAGCGCGTTGGGCTGGCGCGACGCTCCGGCGCCGAAACCTCCGATTGACGGCAAACCCGCGTCGTGTCCGCCCCGGCCGCGTCCACCACCGCCACCGCCACCACCGCGCCCCCCCGACGGGGGCTCGGGCAAAACGAACGGCGGCGGTTCCTCCCCCGGCGCGAGCTGAAAATTCGTCTTCGCGTTTGGCCCGCGAATGTGTCTCGCCGCCGCGTCGTACGCTCTCGCCGCCTCTTCGGCGGTATCGAACGTGCCGAGCCACAATCTCGCGCCTCGATTTGGATCGCGTATCTCCGCCGCCCAGCTCCCCCACGGGCGCTGTCTCACCCCGCGATACTGCGACGTCGTCGCCTTTTTCGACTGCTTGTCGCCCTTGCCGCCCTGCGTGCGTCGTCGCGCCTCGTCAGTCACCTCCACGCCCGCGTTCGACGCCCTCTCTCTCTCTCGCGCGCTCGACCTCGCGATCACTACCGTCCCGATCGCGCGTCCTCGCCTCGTCGTCCTCTGCCGTTCGCTCGCGTCTCGTTCGCCTCGCGTCCTCGTCCCGCGCGTCGTCCCGCGTCGTCCCGCGTTCCCACAATTCCCCCCCGTCTCCTCCCTCTCGTCCTCGTCTCTCCCGCGTTCGCGCTCGCACCTCGAGATCATCGAGATCATCGTCCAGCGCGTCGTCCTCGTCGGGATCCGGCGTCGATTTCCGCGAGTGCGCGCCGTGATGCGTCGCCATCGCGCGCGTCGCGTCGCCTATCGCTTCGGACTTTTGCGCTTTTTCGCGCGTTCGCGTCGACGCGCGCGCGCTCGCCGTCGCGTCCGAGAGCGTCGCGCGCGCCGCGCGGTCGTCCCTCGCGGTCGTCCCGATGCGCTCGCGTCGCGTCGCGCCGCGTCGCTCGCGCACGCGGCGGAGTCGCGCCGTCGACGCGCGGCGTCGGAGCGAAACGTGCCGACGAAAAAGCGTCCCGAGAATCTGGGACGCCGATCGACCGATCGACCGATGGCGACTCGGGAATGCGTCCCTCTCGGCGCCATCGACCGATGGCGACTCACGAATGTGTCCCTCTCGGCGCCATCGACCGATGGCGACTCGGGAATGTGTCCCTCTCGATCCTCGCCGTATGCGCAAACAGTCGGGCGTCGACGCGCGCGTCGACGCGATTCGACGCGATTTTCGACGATTCGACAGACGACGGCGCGGCGCGGCGCGCGACGACGACGACGACGACGACGACGACGACGACGACGGGATCCATACGCGCGGCGCGGGTCGCGTGCCGCGACGCGCGCGACGCGTATCACCGGTGCGCGGACGCCGCGGCGACGACGGATTCGGATTCGGATTCGGCGGCGACGGCGACGGCGACGGCGACGTGTCGACGCGCGCGCGAGGCGTACGAGCGGGCGTGTCCGAGGTCGTGGGTGACGCACTTCGAGAGCGCGCGCGCGGAGGAGGCGAAACTGCGCGCGGTGCTGGATAAGGGGGCGGGGACGCGGGACGCGTAGACGATGGGGCGGTTCGGACGAGACGACGGACGAGACGGGCGAGGGTACGGACGCGACGATGGACGCGACGGGCGATGGAGGGGGGGCGCGCGGGCGAGGTCAAGGTCGAGGTCGCCGGGACGGCGGTACGGAGGGTACGGCGCGCGGCGAGCGAGGTCGAGGTCGAGGTCGAGGTCGAGGTCGAGGTCGAGGTCGAGGTCGAGGTCGCCGCCGCGGCGGTACGGGGGGTACGGTCGCGGACGCGGCGCGCGCGAGGATTCGCGCGATGACGATCGAAGGAAGCGACGACGTGATTCGCGGTCGAGGTCGAGGTCGCGGTCGCGATCGCGATCGCCGGCGCGCGACGACCGTAAGCGACGGAGAGACGTGCCGCCGCCGCCGCCCGCGGCGGGCGGCGGGAAAGCGGTCGACGTGCCGCCGCCGCCGCCGCCGCCGGCGGGTGAGGACGAAGACGATGAGTCCGCGATGATGCGCATGATGGGATTCGGAGGATTCGGCACGACGCAAGGCAAGCACGTGGAGGATGAGTTCGCCAACGCGTCGGCGGTGCAAAAGAAGACGAAGCGGCAAGCCAGGCAATACATGAATCGCGTCGGCGGCTTCAATAGACCTTTGCCCGCGGAAGTCACTGGGCAGCGCCAAAATAGGACATAGTATTTCCTACGATGCGTTTTAATCACACGCGAATCTAGTGCTAGCGAATCAATCGACTACGCGTCTTCTATTCTACTCGTCGCGAGTGCCGGGCGGGCAGGCGCCGCACGAGCGCATGCAGTTGCCGTTCGCACGACCTCGCCCAACCATGAACGATGGATTTTTCGTGCACTCACCCGACGACGCCCAGCCCTCGCACGCCGCGTTGACGTCTTTACAAACGCCGGGCTCAAATCGCACCGAGGCGGTCGCCGAGTCTTCAATCGGAGCGACGTGCATCCATTTCGTGGCGCTAAACTTGACCCCCTTTACCACCGGACACCCCGCGTGTGAGCTCATGGCATCCGACGTCCCGTTGTGATGCAGACTTCTGAAGAATAACGCGTCACCTTTGCGCGGTTTCACCGCCAACTTCCCCGCCGCGCACGAAGACGCGTCGTCGCCGCCGCCCGGGTTCGCGCCCGCCTCGGCGTCCGGAAATATCGTCTCTCCCCCCTCTTCGACGTCGGTGAGATACATCAGCACCGTCGCCACGCGCTGCCCGCCCTTTTCGCGCTTCTGATTGAATTCGTCTTGAAAATAATCAAAGTGCGGCCGATACTCTTGACCGAATTCGTACCGCAGCACCTGGAAACCTTCCCCGTGCGACTCCGGCACGTGCGTCCACGACGCGATGCGCCTCTCGATCGACGCGACGACGTCGTCTTCCCCCCTGAGCAGGAACATCCCGCTCGACGTGCGTATATCGCTCGGCACGCTCCCGCCGTTGCTCGCGTCCACCACGGTCGAGCGACCGAGGCTCGGCGTCGCGAGCGCCTTCAAGTGGTCGCATTCCTCGCGCGTCAAGAATCCTCGATACACCTCCGCGTGCGGGCGCCAAGACACGCGTTCGATGCGATCGAACTCGATCGCGCGATCGCGCGGCGCGCGCGCGTCCGCGCCGTCGACGCGCGTCGATGGGCGTTCGCCTCCGCCTTCTTCTCCGCGATCGCCGCCGCGCGCCGCGCGTTCGGGCCCGATCCTGGCGCCGCGCGCGAGCGCCGACGCGCCGAGCGTCATCGCGCACCACGCCAGCGCGAGTCGCATCGCGCGTCGCATCGCGCGCGCGCGGCGCACCGCCTCGATGTGGCGTCGCGGTCGCCACTGCCCGCCGCGTCGCGCGCGATGTCGTCGCTCGCGCGCTCGAGCGCGCGCGCCGCGGGCGAGCCGTCGACGTCGTCGCGTCGCGCGCCGTCGCGCGCGCGCGTCGCGCCGGCGTCGCGCGAAACGCGCGCGCGGCGTCGCTTTCGGACGTCGTCGCCGCCGCTGCGCGCCGCCTCCGGGGACGACCACGACGACGCCCGTCGCGGCGCGACGCTCGACGCGCTGCCGATCGACGCGTCGTTCATCGCGCTCGTGAATCACGCGTTCACGCTGAGCGAGCGCGACGCGGCGACGTTCGTGGACGCGTTCTGCGCGAGCGAGCGGTTGACGGCGGCTTTCTGCGAGGACGCCTTCGACGCCGTGTACGCGGCGTACGCGAGACGCGCGCCCGAGGACGAGCTGACGACGCTGCTGGAGTTGGCAAAAATATTCACGACGCAGTATAAAATGCGCGCGATGCCGCTGGAGACGAGAGTCCTGGACGAGACGCTGGACGCCGGGCGACGGTGCGCGGCGGGCGACGTCGACGAAGCCGAGGCGCGAGCGCGCATTCGAGACATCCTCGAGCGCGCGTTCGCGATCGAGGGGTTAAAACAGCGCGATTACATCATCGCCCTGCGCGAATATCGCGTCAAGCTCGAGCGCGACTCGCGTTCGGGGAAATCATACGCCCTCGAATTTCTAGAAGCCGACGAGACGCTCGTCGCCGAGCTCTGCGATCCCGACTCCGAGTTGCGCGCCAGCGAGGCGTGTCGCCGCGAGCTCATCGTCGCCACCGACGTCATCTTTCGCGCGCTCGACGGTTTCCTCGAGGTCGCCGCGCGCTGATTTTCCGTCTCTTCGCGCCCTCGAGACGCGCCTCGCGGCTCGCCTTGCGACTTTCCCATCCAAACCCCACATTTATTTGCATCGACGTCACGCCGCGCGTTCGCCCTCGCGCGTCGCCGCGCCGCACACCGGCGCGCGCGTCGACCGACGCCCTCCGACGCGAGCGACGAGCGTCGCGCACGACATCGCGCTCGACGTCGCGTCATCGCGCGCGATGCGCGCCGCGTCGAGCCTCGGTCGCGCGGTCGCGCGCCACGCGCGGGTCGGCGGCGCGAGACACGCGCGCGACGCGCGGGCGCGACCGGCGACGGCGCCGCGAGGCGCGAGCGCGGCGCGGGCGATGACGCGCGGACCGCTGGACGCGCGCGCGGCGACGACGATGGCGCGCGCGACGCGAACGCGAGGGGATGGAGCGCGAGGGACGAGCGAGGGGGCGCGAGGGACGCGAGCGACGGCGGTCCCGGGACGCGCGACGCGGGGCGCGACGCGCGAATGCGCGACGCGGGCGAAGGCGAAGGGCGAGGAGACGTACCCGCAGCTGCGAGTGACGGCGCCGGGACGCGTGGTGGCGATAGGGGACCTGCACGGGGACATCGGACAGGCGAGACGAGCGCTGCGAATGGCGGGGGTCCTGGACGACGAAGACGACGCGGGGAACCCGCGATGGGTGGGCGGCGACACGACGTTGGTGCAGCTCGGGGACATTCTCGACCGCGGGGACGACGAGATAGGGATTTTGATCTTGCTTCAAAAGTTGGATAAGGAGGCGCAGAAGCAAGGCGGACGCGTGTACGTGATGAACGGCAATCACGAGGTTTTGAACGTTTCGGGAGACTTTAGATACGTGTCGCGCGGTGCGTTCGGGGAATCGACGCGATTCAGCGAGCATTTAGTGAAGTTGTTCGGGGATAAGTTCCGAGACGCGTTCGGCGTGGACGAGGAGGACGCGTGGGCGAGGCAAAGCAAGGCGCGCATCGGGTTGTTCTCCCCGGGCGGACCTTTAGCCCAGCAGCTCTCTATGCATCACACGGTGTTGATCGTGAACGATACCGTGTTCGCGCACGGTGGCTTAGTCCCTAGGCACGTCGAATTCGGCCTCGATAAGCTCAACCGAGCGGTGACGGATTGGATGCGCGGGAAAGAGATCAAGGACGACGAGACGCGCCAGGCGCTCGGCATGGCGATCGGTGGCGTGCGAGATTCAATCGTCTGGCATCGCGCGTACGGCACTGAAAAGTTTGCCACGGACGAAGATCGTTCGACCTCGTGCGAACTGCTGGGGAAGACTTTGGGCATGATTGACGGCGTCTCGCGACTCGTCGTCGGACACACGCCGCAGCTCGGCGGCGCAAACTGCGAGTGCAACGGTCAAATCTGGAGAATCGATGTCGGGATGTCTTTCGGCGTTCTGGGTGCCGAACCGCAGGTTCTCGAAATTGACGGCGACGAGGTGCGAGTGCTGTCCTCGTCGTCGGTTCGCGAGAAGACCAAGGCGTAGTCGCGTATGTAAGTTGAAATATTGAAAGAAGCGCGCTTTTACAATTACTCATCCTCATCATCGTCCATACCGTGCACGGCGCGTCGTCGTCGCGCGGGCTCACTCGGCGGTTCGTTTTCTTCGTCGCTCGATGCGTCCAAAATCTTCGGTCGTACGCGCAATATTTTCCGTTGAGGCGAGAGCATCGAGTTCGGGTTCAGCTCTTCGCCGTTCGCGACCGGAACGTCTTTTCCTAATTTCTTCGCCAGCTTTTCGAACGCATTCTTCGTCGAATCCGTCGCGCCCTTGATCTTTTTGCCGCGCTTACCTTGCACGGCTTCGTCTTCTTCTTCATCATCATCGTCGTCGCCGCTCGCCTCCGCCTCCTGCATCGCGCGCGCGGCGTCCTCGTCTTCATCGTCGTCAAACACGTAATCTTGCTCCTCAAATCCATCGTCGTCCGGGAAATCGACGTCGTCGTCTGGGAAATCGACGTCGTCGGCGACCGTCGCCGTCGCCGGCGCCTCGTCGTCGTCGTCGTCCGGGAAATCGATGTCTTCGCCGCCTTCACCCGCGTTTTCCCCGCGCTCCATCGCATCCACGGCCTCGCCGACACCGCCGCCGAAATCTAATTCGTTAAACTCCCGCACCGCCATCTTCACGCTCTTGTCGCTTTGCAACTTGTCCACCCTCGCCAGCGTCTCCTCCGCCGGCGCGTACGGGTACATCTTCACCGCCCACTCCTTGTACATCGTCGCCAACAAATTCATATCGTGTTCCTCGTGTCCCTCGCCCTTCGACCGCGCGGCAAACTTCTCCGGGAACTCTCTGTACATCGCCCCGAGCCCGTTCGGCCCGAGCAAGTGATCGTGCACGCTAAACTTCGGTCGCCGCGTCGTCCCGGCGCTCGACTTCCGCTTCTCCGCGCGCGCGCCGCGATCATCGCCCGAGCCCTCGCCGCGCGCGCCGCCCTCGACGTCGTCCGTCGTCGTCGTCGTCGCGCCGTCCTCGCGCGTTTTCAGCGCGTCGCTCGCCTCTTTTGAAATCCATCGCTCGCGCGGCACCGTGCAGTCCTTCGCCCAGTGTCCGCCCTGTCCGCACTTGTAGCACGGTTTATTTTTGCTCGACATCGCCGTCGCCGTCGCCGCGCCGCGTCGCGCCGTGCCGCGCCGCGCGCCGTCGCGGGCGCGGCGGTTTGAAAATTTGAAACGCCGCGTGTTGGTCCGTGTGTGATTGATGTTACCGACCGCCGCCGACGCCTCGACATCGTCGCGAGCGACGCGTCGACGCGGCAGTCGCGCGCGCGAGGCGACGCGAGGGCGATGTCGGCGAACGCGATGGACCACCTGCTCGTCCTGGGCGCGCTCGGCGAGATCCACGCGGCGTCGGCGTGGGCGAAAACGCCGATCGAGGAGCTCGTGGAGGAAATTCAAGGCTTCGCGGGACGCGCGCGCGACGCGAGAATGGCGGCGACGACGCCGGTGGGCGCGTTCGGAGACGCGCTGGGACGGTTTGGATTGGTGATGAGCGAGTGCGTGCGGGAGACGGCGCTGGAGTCGGTGATGGTGGACGACGAGGGGAGCGACGACCAGGGACGCGCGGCGAAGACGACGCGATTGTTGATTTTGTTGGGAGTGCTGTGTAAGGGGAGTTTCGAGACGAAGGTCGAGCTCGTGTTTCGAGCGATGGACGCGCGAGGGGTGCGAGGGATCACGTCGGAGCAAGCGATGGAATTCGCGGGTGATTGCGTGAGCGTCGTCGGCGCGTTGCTCGAGGAACGCGGCGACCGCGTGGATTTAGGTTGGGCTTCAAACATGTGGACGCGGTGCGTCAAAGACGCGGTCGACGCGTCGAACGCGGATGATGATCTCGGAATGTTTACGCTGGAAGAATTCAAGACGCTGATGCGGAAGATGTTCGATAAGATGACGCGGGCGAGCCTGGAGAGCCCGGATTTGGACAGACGAAGGCGGGCGAGCGGGGGCGAGACGCAACGTCGACGGAGCTTGGGATCGGCGAGCGAGCGACGATTGTCGCAAGGTTCGGCACATGGCTTTTTAGACGCACCGATCGTTCAGGCTGGTTTGGAGTACTTGACGGGCGCCAGCAGCGGGGGTCAGCGAGACTCTCGCGGCAGCGGCGGCTCGCCGGCGTCCGCCGCAATTTTGTCGAAAGTTTTAGAAACCGTGGCGAGTCCGCAACAATCGACGCGTCATGCACCTGATCATTCGCGCAGTCATAGTGGCGAGCACGACGTCAAAACGTCGGGCGGATTACATCGAGCGTCAGGGTCGTCAAACTGGGCGAGCATGATTCCCGAAGGCATCGCGCACGTGCTCGGAGTCGGCCCTCTAGGGGCTACGGACACTCACGAGCTAAAGCGCGAGCCCGGAATGACGGACGAGGAATGGGAACACGCAAAAATTGTATCCGAGGTCGAGGCGGCGAGACACGAGACGGATGATGCGGAGATGGGACAGGCGGTACAGGAATCAAACTGGAGCGGCATAGTCGACTTCGTAAAGGAACTCGTCATACGTATTTTCCTCTTCAACACCGTCCGTCTGCTTCTTACAATTGCGCTCCTGGGCGGAGATGCCGCGTTGTGCGTGTACGTCATCGGTCACTTCGGCACCGTCGCCGGTCTAGGTTTCGTTGTCGTCATCAACGTCGTCATCAGCGTGATTTTCATATGGTTCATTGTGAGCTTCAACAAGCGCGAACGCGGTAAGGACAACATGCAATTCGGTGCGAACTTGATGCAGAGCATCCAAGACATCGCCAAGTCCAAGGCTACCTTCGAGCAGGGATTAGGTGCGTTTAGAGGCGCGAACGAGTCGGACACAGATCACATCTCGCCGCGTTCTTGGAACATGGATGGCGAGACGACGCCTCGCGCGTTCGGGCAAGCGTCGATCACGGGCGATCAACGAAGATTTCGGAGGACCGTATCCGGCACGGTTCTCGGCGAGCGGGTGTAGGTACTAATCTAGCGAAGGTAAATTTACAACAAGATTTACACTCAGATCGCGCGACGCGCCACCGCCAACTCCTCGGCGAGGGCGTCCGCGAGAAAAGGCGTGACGCCCCACGTTGAACACATGTGATCATACTCTTCCCACGCCGCCTTCGACGCCGACGCGTTCGTGCGGATCGCTCGAATGAGAGTATTTCGAGGCGTGTGCTCCCCTCCTACGAATTCCATGACGTCGACGCGATATCCCAGCAGTCGCAAAATGTGAGCTCTGAATGCGTCCGTGAGAACGTCACCGAGACGTTCGCTGAGGATGCCGTGCCTCGCCATCGGCGGGAAAGCAACATGAGGTGCGCTTTTCAAACGCACTTGGAGATCGTGATGACAGCACGGCGCGATGAGCGCCAGTGGAGCGCACCAACGCACCGTTCGAACGATGGACTCATCCGTCGCCGTGTCGCACGCGTGCAAAGCGAGCACTACGTCGGTGAACGCGTCCTCCTCTGAACCGTCTACGAAAGTCACGTCGGCGTCGGCGATCGTGCCTTCAATGAATCTCATCGACGCATCCCAACCTAGCTCTTTGGCCACCCGCGAGTTATGTTCGCGCGCTTGGCGCTTCACGTCGACGCCCACTACGTTTGTAGGCACGCGTCTCTTCGAGCTCAAGAGCGAGTACGCCCCAAACGTGAGATACGCGTTCCCGCATCCTAAATCGCACACACGAAGCGGGCGAGTCTCATCGCCGCCCTTCATGTGTCCCGCCGACGTCGCGGTGTCGTAAGCAACGTTCAAAATCTTCAGAAACTCCTCCACTTGCTTGTACTTGTCCCGCTTGCTCGCCTTGATGGTTCCATCCTTGGCGACGACGCCGACGTATCGCAAAAACGGGTCCTCCCCCGTCAGTAACCTCGACTTCTCGCGGTCGTGCCCTTGTGGGCCGACGACGATCGTCTGCGTTCTCGCACTACCGTCTATCAGCGTCCCCTTACTCGCGTTGTCCCTAGAAATCGTCGCCCGAGCCTTCTTCGCGTTCGCCGTCACGTTGTAACCGCCGCGCGCGTGTTCGACGCGCCAATGTTTATATCCCGCCCTCAGCGCCTCCTCCAGCGCCTCCCTCGCCCCGATCGCGTCCTCATCCCCGCTCGCGCTCTTCGAAACGAGCCCTCCTTCGCCCTCGATCGCGTGATTACTCGTGAACGCCTGTCGTTCGTCGTACCGCGTCCGCTGCAGCGCCGTCCGCCCCCGAATCGTCACCCATCGAAACTCCACCCTTCGATGCGCCTCCGCCGCCGTCCCTCGCCCCGGTCCCGTGAGCGTGATCTTCCCGACCGCGTCCGCCTCCTCGAGCGCGAGCGCGACGCACGCCGCGCGCGCGTCGTCGAGCGCCACCTTCGTCCCCGTCGGCATCGTCCCCGCCGTCGCGCCGCCGTCGCGCGCGTCGCTCGCGCGCGTCGTCTCGCGCGCGCGCGCGATGGACGCGCGTCGTCGTCGCGTCACCGCGCGTCCCGCGTCGCCGCGCGTCGTCGTCGCGCGCGCCGCGAGCGCCATGTCGAGTCGCGCGCGCGTCGCCGAGTGTCGCACTCGTCGTCGCGTCGTCATGCGCGCCGCGCGCGCGCGCGCGCTCGCGCTCGGCGCGGCGCGCGCTCGACGCGCCGCGCGCGTTCGCGTCGAGCGCGGCGACGGCGACGGCGACGGCGACGGCGACGGCGTCGACGCGCGCGTCGACGCTCGCGCCGACGTGGACGACGCCGCGCACGGCGCGCGCGCTGCTGGAGACGGCGCGCGATTTGAGCAAGTTTCGCCTGAGCGCGTTCGTCGTGAGCACGGCGGCGGCGGGGTTCGTGCTCGGCTCGCCGACGAGCATGGACGCGGGAAAATTAGCGGCGACGTGCGCGGGGACGATGCTGTGCAGCGCGAGCGCGAACGCGCTGAATCAGGTGGTGGAGCGGGCGCCGGACGGGACGATGCGACGCACGGCGGGTCGGCCGTTGCCGAGCGGAAGGTGCGGCGCCGGGGTCGCGATGGCGTTCGCGGGCGCGTGCGCGGTGAGTGGGGTGGGTGTTTTAGCGATCGCGACGAACGAGACGACGACGGCGCTGGGGGCGGGGAACATCGCGCTGTACGCGGGGGCGTACACGGCGCTCAAGCGGGTGCACTTTCTGAACACGTGGGTGGGGGCGGTCGTGGGGGCGATTCCCCCGCTCATGGGTTGGGCGGCCGCGAACGAGCTCGGGACGTTGGATCCAGGGGCGTTCGTGTTGGCGTCGGCGCTGTATTTGTGGCAGATGCCGCATTTTATGGCGTTGGCGTACATGGGGAAGGACGACTACGTCAACGGGGGGTATCGCATGTTGTCGCATCCAATGTTTGACAAAACGGGACGTCGCGTCGCGGGCGTGGCGGTGAGAAACTCGTTGGCACTGCTCCCACTCGGCGTGTTAGCGTGCGCGATGGGGGTGACGACGTCGCCGTTCGCGTACGAGACGCTCGCGCTCGGCGCGCCGCTCGTCGCCGCGGCGGCGGCGTTTTACGCGGCGCCGTCGTTTCCAGCCGCTCGGCGCATGTTCTTCGGCTCTCTGCTGTACTTGCCCGCGTTTCAAGCTCTAGCGTGTTTGCACCGAGTGCCTCGCGATCACACCGTGGACGCGTACGAGTCTTTGAGGCAAGCCAGCGCCAATTTCCCGTGGCACTGCGTGCCGTTCGCGGCGGCGTACGATTGGTCGCCCGAACGAGAGAGATTGAAGCAGTTCAGATCGCGCGCCTTGGGACCGGCGCTGAGTGAAACCTCGGTTGCGCCGTTCCCTTTCCTGCCCCTGCCCATCCCGAGTTGTCCGCACGACCGCGCCTACGCGCAGGGCGGCGAGTCGCGCGCTAGTTAGTTTTATAGAAGTCTTTGTAAGAGACGCGTAGATTTTATTACTCAACCGCGATTGCTCGGCGCCTGCCAATCGAGACGAATCGGCCGACCCATGCACTTCTCCCCGTGTAACTTCGCCGCCGCGTCGATCTCGGCGCCCGAGAAATCTGCGAATCCCACGCCGCGGAATTCCCCGGTCTCTTTGTTCGTGAGCCAACGAATGGTGTGCGGACCGACGCCCGCGCCGTCCATGAAGAATTTATAAATCGTATCGTCGTCGATCTGAAAGTTCAAATTCCCCATGAACAGCGTGTAACATCCCTCAGGCTTCTCCCCCATGGGCTTGATCTCCGCGCGCCCGCCCCCGCCCGCCGCCTTGGCCGCCGCTCGCTCCTCCGCCGTGTTGCCGCGCTTTTCCCAAAATCGCACCGGCGTCTCGCGTTTATGCACCAACCGCCCCGTCGCCGCCACCGCCGCCGCCGCCGCCTCCGCGGTTTTAAACTCAACCACTCCAGCCCCTAAAAACTTCCCCGTGGCTTTCTCTTCGAACCAATTCACGCTCACGATTTCTCCGCAGTCGGCGAACGCCTCGCCGAGCGCCGCCTCGTCGATGGTCCACGCCAGGTTCCCCATGTACACGTGCGTGGACGACGTCGGAAACGTCCCCGGCGCCGGCGCGTCTTTCTTCGCCGCATCGCTCTTCCCGTCGCGCTGTTCCGTCGCCTCGTCGTCCGTCGTCGTCGGTTTTTCCTCGTTCGCACCGCCGCCGCCGGCGTCGCGTTTCGAGCGTTTCTTCTCCTCACCGCGCTCCGTCGCGCGCGCCTCCTCGTCCTCGCGCGCGCGCTTGGATTTCTTTTCCTTCTTCTCCTTCTTCGCCTTCTTCGCCTTCTTCGCCGCCTTCGCGTCGTCGCTCGCCATGGCGTCGCGTTGTCGCGACGCCGAACGAACTTCGCGACACTTCATGGCGCGCTCGGGCGCGCTCGAGCGCGCGCTCGACGCGTGCGTCGAAGCGCGCGCGCGAGACGCGTTCGTCGACGCGTCGCGGGCGCTGCGACGGGCGTTCGCGCGCGCGCGCGCGCGCGAGCGGTCGGAACGCGCGAACGAAGACGAAAACGTCGTCGACGAGGACGTCGTCGACGCGGACGTTCGCGCGCACGAGGACGCGTGCGCGTGCGCGCTGCGATGCGGACGCGGATTGTGGTACGAGAGCATGCGCGAGGACGATCGGCGCGCGTGCGTCGACGCGTGGTTCTCGTGGGAGGAGGCGGATGAGGACGAACGCGCGGGCGCGGGCGCGGCGCGCGCGTGCGTCGACGCGATGGCGACGACGCGGGGCGCGACGCGCGCGGGAAGCGATGATGACGCGATCGTGCGGAGCGCGGTGACGTATTACGTCGAGCTCGTGCGACGAGGGGTCGTGGGAAGGTTGACGCGGATGGCGGCGGGGACGACGGCGGACGCGCGCGCGGCGAAAGAGACGCTGGACGTCGCGCTGCGAGCGTTCGATCGGCTCGATCGGCGGTTTGATATACCAGTGTTTCGCAGTGTAGAGGCGTACGAGGCGGAGTTGGCTCGGCAGGTGTTGAACGCCGGCGAGGACGCGCCGGCGAGCGCGGCGGCGACGGCGAGTAGAATGTGTCGCCGCGGCGCCGCGCGCGCGGTGGCCCGAGCCACGCTGCGCGAGCTCGCGCCGCGCGTGCGCGAGCTCGGTGTGGATGCGATACGCGCGATCGTCGAGGGCGATGAAGTGCCGGCGTCGTTGGCCTGGGCGACGACCATGATGAATGAGGTTAGCGACGCGCACGCCGCGTGTCGATGGATTTCAGAACTCTTCGCCGAATGCGACGGTCACGAGTCGAGCGTGAACTGCAGCTGGCGAACTCTAGATTTAGTTTTGCGCGTGTTGCTACGCGATAGGTATTGGGCGTGCGAAGCCACGCGATTCGCGCTGTGCGAAACGTTGCTATTGCGAAAGAGCGCGCCGCGCGCCGCGCTGCCGGCGCTCTTACGGTTGACGATTCTGCGACCCATTCGTCGAGGCGCCGACGCCACGCGCGTCAAAGCGGCGAGCGATGCGAATATATTCGCACTCTTGGATACTTGGTCCGGGGAAGGTTTCGTGCGTGAGGCGTCCGTCGAGCTACAACGGACGCTCACGTCGAGCGTTCGAGCAATTCTTGCGGCGTTGCCGAGCGAAGAGTGGGACGCTATGCGAGGAAAGCCGACGCAAATGTTATTGAAAGGCGTGAGCGCGCGTCTCGATTCGCCATCATTGCGTCCGCGCAGACACGCGAGCAAAGTCGCCTTGGAACTTTCGCTGAAGATGGACGCGAGCAAGCCTTTGCGACTCGTCGATGACGGCGACGACGTCGACGCGTCATCGGACGAGGAATCGGAATGGGAACAGACCATAGAGTCGATCGTTCAAGACGACGTCTTCGTCGTCTGCAATGATGACGACGGCGGCGGCGGCGGCGACGATGAAAAAGAATCCATCGCCGCCAACGTCAATCTAACCGGTTCGTCTGGGTTTCAGATTAAAGTCGAAGACCCGGACGAAGTTGTCGATATGTGGAGCCTTCGCCGCGACGAGAGCGACTCGGATGCCTCCGATAGCGATGACTATTCCGATGACGAGCTCGTACCGTATGATATGGATAGTGATGACGACGCGACGCTTCGTTCTCGTGATCCAGCGAGTTTGACTGAAGCGCGAATCGCGTCGCTGCCGAAGCCGCAAACTTTACGAGAGTGCATCGGCGCCTTGAGGCAGGCGCGTTCGGGCGATGCGTCGACTCGGCAGACCGATATCGATATTGCGGACGCAGCTGAAGGTGCGGTGCACGCAGTTTCCGATATCGTCATGCGCCAGCCGCACGAATTGGCGTCGTGCGCCGCGGATCTCGCTGTCACCATTTTGCACGCGCAACCGCCCACGCCGGACTCCGACCCACTCGACCGCGCGCGGCGCCAAGGCTTAGCTTCGGTGCTCACGGTGACCCCTGGTCTCGCAGGCCCAACAATTATCGACCACGCGTTGTCGGAGAAATGCGACGCGTCCCAAGTTATGGACACGCTGAGCGCGTTGGACATGGCGATGACGGAGCTCGCGTCGCCGTCAAAAGCCGAGCACCTGCTCGATGCTTCGGCGTCGACTCGTTCGACTGCTCGCGTGGGTATCGAGCGAAGGTTTGCGCCGAAATCCATGGAGATGCAAGCGAAAGGTGCGACATCGGCGCCGACGCGAAGTCATCTCATAGGCGAGTGCTTCGTCGCGCCGCTCTTGCGCGCGGCGGCGCAAAGGCTCGAGCGTCAGTCCGCGCCAGAATACAACCCCGATGGCCTGGACGCCATGGTGAACGGACATATTCTCTACACACTCGGTCAGTGCGCCAAGCACGCCAAGAACGCGACCGATGGACCGTTGATCGGCCGCGCGGTGCTTGAATTCGCCGTCACTCCCGCGTTGGCAGACTCCGACCAACCCCATCTCCGCCGTTCCGCCCTCGTCGCCGGTGCCCTCGTCGCCACTTCTCTCCGAGACACCCCCGTCGCCATCGCATACGCCGAAAACTCCCCTCTGTCCACCGCTTTAGAGCATTTCACCGCCATCGCCGCGCGGCGCCATCGCGCCGACTGCGACGTCGACGTTCGCGCCGCGGCTTCCTTCGCCGTCGCCGCCGCCGCTGATTGCAAAGCTCGCGCCTTAACAGCGCTCGAGCGCATCGCGGACGACCCAATCGCGCTCGACGACGCGCGCTCGTCGGCAATCACCACCCGAATCCCTCGATTAGACGTAAAATTGTAGCGCGTCGCGTCGGCTAAGCTTCCATGCCGCCTAAACCCGCGCTCGAGCCGCCGAACTGAAAACGCGACGCCGCGTCCCCACATCGCGCCTCGCGTCGCCCGCACTCTCGCGCGCGCACGCACGAACGCACGTCGACGCGTCCCGTCGCCGTCACACGCGCTCGCCATCCCGAGCGCGCGCGCACGTCGACGATTTCGATCCGCCGTCAGGGATCTCCATCGGCGATTTGCAAACTTTGAACGACCTAAACGCGCGCGACGATGAGCAACGATAAGCGAACGCGGTTGTTCCGCGTGCGCAAGACGATTCACAAAATGCTCGCAGCGCGTGGATACCTCGTGAGCGCGAAAGAGCTCGAGAGAGATATCGATTCGTTCACGGAGGATTTCGGCGAAGAGCCAAAGCGAGAGAGCCTGACGATCCTGGCGCCGAAACGCGACGATCCCTCGGAAAATATCTTCGTGTTCTTCCCGGACGAGGAAAAGGTTGGTGTGAAGACGATTAAGGATCTGGCGAAGCGCATGAAGGATGAAAATGTGTTTCGAGCGATCATCGTGGTGCAGGCGTCGCTGACGCCGTTCGCGAAGCAGTCGTTGCTGGAGTGTCAGACGCAAAAGTTTTACATCGAACAGTTCCAAGAGACGGAGTTGTTGGTGAACATCATCGATCACGTGTTGGTGCCGGAACATATTTTGCTGAGCGACGATCAGAAGAGGACGCTGCTGGATCGGTACAAGGTGAAGGATACGCAGTTGCCACGAATTCAGATGCACGATCCGATCGCGCGGTATTACGGAATGCGTCGCGGACAAGTCGTGCGCATCATCAGGCCGAGTGAGACCGCGGGGCGGTACGTCACGTACAGACTGTGCGTTTAGAGACCTCGCTCGTGTCGTTGCAATAGATTTTAGCTAAACTAATCCTCGCTACTCGCTAATCGGCTACCTCGCTATGAAGAAAGAAATTGTACACTTGTTTGAGCGACGCGCGCGTCGGTCTGGCGTCGGGATGGGTTTTCGATACCGCCGCTAGTTGTTTGCGCACGTCGTCTTTGTCTAAGTCCGCGTTTGAACACGGCGACGGTCCCATGGCGATGCAAAGCGCCACGGCGACGGCGACAGAGTGGTCGACGCCGTCGTCGCACGTGACGCACAGACGTGCGCCTGGCGTTTCGAACGTCCGACGAGCGAAGTCGATGCATCGAGGCAGTGCTTTCATGAGATCTGTTCGGCTCACTTTCGCTTTTCTCGCTGGAACGTGCAGAAACGCAGTCGAGCACGCCTTGCTCGGATCCACGACGGTTTCCCCGACGTGAAGAAATGCGTCCGCGAGTTTTTCCATGTCAGCGCGATCGTACACGGCGAACGACGCGATCGAGCATCGACCGATGCCGCATTCTGGCGAAAGCTCTCGCATGCCGCCGGCGCAAATCGCACCGTTCGAACGATTCGCCTCCTCCGCTGCGCGGCTGTCCATCGGCGCACACCCTCGCGGCGCGAGTCGAGACCGAGGATCCAACTCGCGCGGCTTCCCGATTCGACCGTCGACGATGCGCGCGATGATGTTGTCAATGTCGCGCTCAGAAGCGTGGAGCAAAGCATCGCGGTGTTCGTGAAACATGTCAGCCGTGAGTCCACGCGACCAACTCTCCTCGTCGTCCGCGGCTCCCGGAACGTACGCGAAACTGTGCCCGTTCACCCCGACCCGCCGCTCACCGCGCCAATGCAGCGGCGCGCTCGCCGTGACGAGTATAAGCGGAGTAAAGTCCGCCTCGGCGAGCGACTCGAGCGAGAGTTCGGCGCCGTCTTCGCCCCGACTCACCCACACGCATCGAAACGGCTTTTCCAAAATCGCCGCGAGCTCGCCGACGTCCCATCCCGTAGACTTCAAACTCGCCTCAAACTCCGGCACGAGCGCGCGTATGCTGTTCCGCTCGTGTTCCGCCACCCACTCCGGCAAATGCGGTCCCTCGAACCACGCGCGATCGTCCGCGTCCGCCGCTCCCGCGTCCCGCTTCGCCCTCGCGCACGCCCTGTTCAACGCGTCGCACCAAATCGGCACCGTCTTCGACAGCGCATCCGGAAACCGTTTCACCGCGCTCCGCGTCGCGTCCACGATCATCCCTCCCCTCCCCGCCGCGCACGCCATCGCCACGCGTCGATTCAACCTCGTCGCCGACATCGTCCAGTTATTATTGTGTCCGTCGGTGCTCTTAAAGTAGCACGTCTCGTACGCGAACCTCCCCCCCCCCGCGTACCACGCTCCCGCGCGCGCGTTCGCGAACGCCGCGCGCGTCGAATCGCGCAAAAACCGCTCGCCCTGCGCCTCCACGAACGCGGCGTCGCGCGCGATCGAGTGCACGCGATGAAACGCGCGTCGGTCCTCGCGGTCGATGCTTCGCGTCAGCGCGTAAAACGACGGCGCGACGCGCGCGTTGATCGCGTCGTCGGACATCGCGGCCAGCGTGTCGTCGACGCCGTCGTCGTCGCCATCGTCGCTCGACGACGACGCGCTCGACGACGACGACGGCGCCGCGCGCGGCATCGTGCGGCGCGACGGCATCGCGCGGCGCCCGTCGCGACTCGACGCGCGCGCGGGCGACGACGCGGTCGACGACGCGGCGACGACGCGCGCGACGACGACCTCGCGTCGTCGTCGATCTCGCGCGCGCGCGCGCGCGAACGACGCGACGATGGCGGACGAGGCGAAATTGGAGACGTTGCGACGGATGCTCGCGAGCGCGACGCGACGCGACGAGGAGGCGGAGGCGCGGCGCGAGGTCGAGACGGCGGCGAGGAGGGCGGAGATCGCGAAGATCGCGGCGCAGTTGACGGCGATCACGGGCAGCGCGCCGGCGACGCCGGTGGAAAGGACGAAGAAGAAGACGGCGAAGGCGACGACGAAGGCGACGGCGACGACGAAGACGAAGACGAAGGCGAAGGCGAAGGCGAAGGCGAAGGCGAAGAAGGTCAAGGCGAAGAAAACGGTGAAACCGAAGCGAAGCGCGAACGATCCGTTGAAGACGTCGGACTTCGCGGTCGGGATGGAGGTCGAGGTTCGCGGCGAAGGGAACGAGACGTGGTACGGCGAGGTGACGAAAGTGCGACAGTCGAACGCGAAGTGCCCCCTCGAGGTGGCGTGGTTACAAAAGGAAGGCAGTGGGTTCATTTACTACGACTGTGCGCACAAGGACGTCATCGAGTTGCGCACGGTGCTCGAGACGCACGAGGCCGGTCACTTTGCGGTCCCCGCCGGCGGTCGTAGCGCGTGTTCCAAATGCAAGGAGGCGGGCACGACGTGCAGCAAGCGCGTGAAGAAGTAAATAATATGATCGATACGTGCATGATATGCACGATATGACGGTGTACAGATAAGGAGTTTAAAAGGTTTTGAAATGTTATTGACTCGCTCGCTCCTCGCTCGCAAAGCCGTCCGAGCCCCCACACACGCGCGCGCCTCCGTCATGTCGACGCACGCCGCGTCGCCGATGACCGCCACCGGGCGCGTGTTCTCCGCCCCGATTGAGCCCGCCTCGGGTTCGGCGCGCGCGCTGCTGGAGTCTTTCTTCGAGCAGCAACGCGCGAGGAGCTCGAGCTACGAGCGGTGGAACGGCGCGTACGCGTCGATGCTCGCCGGGACGACGTCCGAGGACGCGTTCGTGCTCGAAACCAAGCGCACGACGGACGACATGCGGGGTTACAGCGAAAAGGTGCGGCGCACGCGCGCGACTGGGAGGTCACCTCGCCCCGCGGCGCGAGCGGGACGGCGCCGGCGTCGCCGCGGCGCGACTCGACTCGAGCGACTGACGATGACCGCGCGAGCGCTCGTTCGTTGATGCAGATTTTAGGCATAGAAGAGGGATTGAAACGACTCGATCGCACGTCAGCGGCGATGCTCGTGCGCGTGATTCAACAGAACGAACGCGTGCGATTGGAGATGACGGCGGCGCTGCAAGTGCTGCGAAGAGCCGCGGCAAGAGAGGCGTGGTCGTGGCAACGAGGCGGCGAACGCGCGGCGGCGGAGACGACTATGAATTTGAAACCGTCATGGGCGCGCACGGAGGATTGCGATCCGGCGGCGTGTGCGATCGGATGCGCGTGCGCGAAGGATGGTCCCGAGCCGACGGAGGAGGAGTACTCGAACGCCGTCGGCGAGGCGACGCAGACCCTCGAGCGCGCGTTTGGGGAAATCAACGACGCAATCGAGGAGTTGAGATACGAGCTCGAGGACGAGGTCGACGGCGGTGCGAATTAGCTTTAGCGCGGCGTAGTAAAATCATCAAGAAATATGTGTTATGTGTTTTGCAAAAGGGCCATTCCTTCTCCTATCGACTATATCGCAGAATCTACGCGGCTCCTCTTCCTACCGAAAGAATTAGAGGCATGCTGATATCAACGAATTTACTTGATGGAGCACTTGGCACCGCCTTCTTCGAGCGCCTTCTTGGCTTCTTCGACTTCACCCTTCGTCTTGCCCGCGAGGATGGTGAACGGCACGTTGGTGACGGCATCCTTCGCTTCCTTCAAGCCCAAGTCGGTGAGGCCACGCACAACCTTAATGATCGCGATGCGCTTATCGGCGTCAACGTTGTCAATGACAAGGTCGAACTCGGTCTTTTCTTCGGCGGCTTCGCCACCGGCAGCCGGGCCGGCGGCCATCATCATGCCGCCCGCCGGAGCGGAGGCGTCGACGCCGAACACTTCTTCGATTTGAGCGACGAGCTCGGACGCTTCAAGGAGCTACGCGCGAGAGAACGATCACGATTTTATCGTCAGTCTTCGTTCCGCGTCGCATCGCGCCATCTTTCCCGCGTTCCACGCGCCTTCCCGAGCGTCCGCGCGAGCTCCGTTTTCAGGGTTTCCCCAGACCCTTATCGCGTAGGGTCGTCCGCGCGTCGCGTCATCATCATCGCGCCTCCCACGCCGCGTCCTCGCGCGATCGCGCGCGCCGCACGTACCGTGAGCGTCTTCATCTCTTCGATGATCGCATCCGTCTTCGCCGACGCGAGGACGACGGACGTGCGCTTCGCCGCGGTCGGGCGAACGGACGTCGGCTGCGCGCGCGACATCGTGGTGCGGGGTCAGTCGTCGGATTCCCGTCGTCGCGTCTCCGCGCGACGCGTCGGTCGCCCGACGCGCCGCGAATGCGTCGTGCGTATTTTATCCCATCGCGCGCGCGCGTCGCGGCGGCCATCGCGCGCGTCCGCGCGCGTCGCGCGGTCCGCGCGCGTCGCCGCCGGTCCTTCGGGGTTAGGGCTGCGCCGTCGACGTTCGCGACGGCGCGCGCGCGTCGGCGCGCGACGCGCGTCGCGTCGGCGCGTCGAGGCGAACGAGGCGTACCTTGGAGGCCTTGTTGGCGAACGCCGGGGCGGCGTTGACGCGGGCGGCGGCGGCGGAGATCGTGAACGCGGACATGTCGTGAGCGGTCGAGGCGCGGTGTGACGTCAAGGCGTCGCGACCGACGGACATGGGGGGGGTGCGACGTCGAGTCGCGAACGGTGGATTACCCGAGGTTTTCCGCGAGACGCGCGGGACGTCGAGGACGCGAATCGACGACGGCGAGGCGTTGGAACGGGCGATGTGCGTTGGATTAATCCTTTGCGAGTTTTAAGCCGCGGCGGTGGGGCGGGATGGGGGCGGAATCGCGCGGCGGCGCGTCGGAGTCGTCGTCGTCGGAGTCGTCGTCGGCGGCAAAGTCTCGAAACGCGACGGATTCCACGTCGCGCGGCCACGGCCGGGAGGGCGCCGGTGGAGCGCGGTGACGACGGGCGTGCGCGAGGGCGATCACGGCGAGACCGGCGCAGAGGATGGCGGCGATGGGATGGGCGATGAGGACGGCGGGCGCGCGGAGGCGCGGAGGCGCGACGCCTCGCGCCGCGGAGGCCGAGCGCGACGGTGGTTCGAGCGCGCGCGGCTCGTTTAACCCGAGCCAAAGGCGCTGGTAATTTTTGCCGATCGTCGACGTCGTGGAGCCGATGTGTAGAGTCAATCCCGCGCCCCAAGACGCGGTACCGCCGTTCTTGCTGCTCTGCGCGGCGAGTACGTGCGGCGATTTGAAAATGACGCCCATGGCGTTCAAGTCCCAAACGTGCGTCACGGGCGCATTGTCGCCGGTCCAGAAGATGCGCACGAGAGATGTTTTGGGATTCGGCGCGTCGCGGGTCCAACACAAGGCGTAGTATCCACCTAAGCCTTCGAGAGAACTCCCCATCCACGCTAACCCGTACGCGAATCCATGCTCGGACAAATCGACCGCCTGCTTGAACTTACCTGCGTAGTCGAACAGAATGACTCGAGAGTTTTCGCGGTCGGCCAAGGCGATTTCTCTACGAACTTGAGAGTACGCGAGCTGGTGCGCCACGCTCACTTTGCCGGCGGAGCCGAGGTCGAAATCGCCCGCGTACGCGCCGTCGGCGCCGAAGCGAGCGATTCTGTTCGGACACAGTCCATATCCGTCTGCGACGATGAATGAACCGTCTTCTAAAACTAAAACGTCCGCTGGGGCACAGAATCCCTCACCGCCCCCACGTTTCACGCCCGCTTGTCCGAAAGCGCGCACTCGCTCGCCAGAGTCGGGCGAGTACTGAAACACTTGGTGAAGCGCGGTGTCGGTGACCCAAATAGACCCATCGGGAGCGATGCGTATACCGTGGGGCATCACGTGCGCGTTTGCGCCAAAAGCTCTATCGATCGCCCCGGTGAACAGGTTCATGCGCACTATGGCGTCCTCTTGGATGGTCTTTGCCTCGCTCAACGAGGAGCCGGCTTCCCACACGTTTGGTCCGCGGTTCGTCATCCAAACGTACTCACCATCGCTCGTTGCTTGAATTCCACCGATCCCACCGAGTGCCGGCCATTTCACGCGCGACGGCACCACGCGCGCGCGCACCGCATCCATGTCCTCGATCGGTTGCTTTGCGTCGCCGACTTCGAGCGCGAATTTCCCCATCGAGCCGTCGTTCGATCCGAGGCACGACAGATATTGCGGCTCATCGCTGTACACCATGACGTACATGTTACACATCTCGTGCGACGCCCCAAATCCCGCATTCACGACCGCGGTCTCGTTGGTCGTGTCAAAACTACACGTCACCCGCAAAGCGTCGCCCGCTGACACCGTCAACGACGTCCCCTTTTCTGACAGCAACTCAAACTCTTGCGGTAACTGCGGATCGCGCTCGAGCACGCGCACGGGCTTACCCGGATCCCCACCCACTAGTCTATCTAAACGCACGATCGTCCCACGATCGTGCGTGTGCACGCGGAACCCAAACGCCTTGAGCTCTCGCGATTGCTCGTACGCGCACGTCGCCGCTACGAGCTCGTCCTTCTTTCCCGGCTGCAACGAGAAATAACTCGCCCACGCCAACACCGACGCGCTCATCTTCGGCCGCCCACTGGCCAAGATGACGTCCAGCCCGCTCTTCCCCACCGCGCCCGCGCTCTGCTTTTCCAAATAGTGCACCTCCAGCACCAACACTCGAAACGCGCCTTCGCCGACGCGAAATCCGACGTCTTCAGGCATGTGCATCGGCGGCGCGTTCTTTCCCCATCCGTACAACAGCGCCTGCGACGTTCCATCTCCGCACGTCGCGACGTGCGAACCAGAGCTGTACATCCCACCGACCACCTTATCCAATCCGCTCGCCGCCGCGTCTCGGCACCCGTACAGGAGCATGTGATGGACGATCTCCTGCTTCGCGCTCGGCTCGTACTTCACCACGTGCCACGCGCCTTCGGGGACTCGAATCGGGACGTACAAATACGTGTCTCTCGTCAGCGCGCGCGCGTCCGCGGTTCGCATGCGCAGCGTGCGCGTGATTTGCGATTTCGCGTCCGCGCGGACAGTCATCAGCGCGAGCGTCATCGTCAAGATGACGCTCGCGCGACGCCGCACGCGCGCCGTCGACGCCATGGCGTCGTCGACCGCTCGAACGCAACGCGCTCGCGACGTCGACGCGCGCTCGCCGCCGCTCGACGTCGACGCGCCGCCGCGGTCGGCGCGCACTGGCGTCACTCGGCGACGCGTCATGGCGGTCGTCGCCGCCGGCGGCGCGCCGCGCGACGACACCGCGCTCTTGGCGCGAAGCGACGACGCGCGCGATGACGACGCGCGCGCGACGCGCGCGCGCGCGACGAGCGCGACGTTTCGCTCGGTCGGTGGTTTGGTGCTCCTAACGCTTGGGTGTTACGCGATGGTTCTCGACGGTGCGCGCGAACGCGGCGACGGCGCGCCGGCGCGATCGGCGCGGACGTCGAGCGCGCGTTCGCCGCTCACGTCGCTCGGCGTCGGCGCGAGCGAGGCGAGAGGGACGATGGAGCTGGTTGATAGTTTTCGCGCTCGGGCGATCGGCAACGCGATTAGAAGCGAGCTCGAGGGACGGCCGCAGCGCGTTTACGATATCGGCGGCGAGAACGGCACGGAGTTCTTGGAAGATGTCATGGAGTACGTCAAAGATGATGAAGCGGGCGTGATGCGAGTGGCGCATTTGGGTGGGGGTCGCGACGACGACGGCGACGTCGGCGGGACGGAAAAGTTGTTGCGGTCCTTGCGCCGAGCGCGCGCAGCTTTGAAGGAGAGACAAGAGGCGGACACGGCCGCGGTGGGACATAGAAAAATGATGATGCGCGGAAAGTCGAAGGCGGATCGACCGGTGAAGGAGCGTTCTTCCACGACGCAGGCGACTCGTCACGTCAAGGAGAAAGGCCCAACACCTGGGGGCACGCCGAAGAAGAGTCGTCACGAGCATTTGCAGCGCGTCGAGGCAATGTGGAGGGATGACTTGATTAGCAACGCCGATTTTATCGCGGATTACGGCGATCATGTTTTCCAAAACGGTCAAGGCGACTCACGGGCGACTCGTGAGATCGGCGTTGCGTCGTCGCTTTCAAGTAAGGCGTCACTCGAGGGGCTGAATATTTTGCGTCGGCGTTACTACAGCAATAGCAGTGAAGACGCCGCTACACCACTGCTGGGTGGCCAAAGATCGTGCAAGATTCTGTACTTTTACCACATTCCTCGCACGGGCGGCGGAACGTTGCTTACCTTCTTTTCGCGTCTCGGCGTAGACGTTCAACGATTCGAGCGCTCAAAGTACGCGAAGGAGGGATCGGATCTCGCACAATTACAAGCGCTCGACGAAGATGAGCACTGGAAACGCGTGACAGATCGCGTTCTCAACCCCGGAAATCACGTCATCGCTCATCACGTCGGTCGATCGGGGTTGTTAGGTATGGAGGAAAGGCTGGCGTCGCTGCGCAAACGCGCCAAGCTTCGTCGATGCGAGCTGAAGTCGTTCACGGTGATGCGAGAACCTCTTCTTCGCGATATGAGCGACGTCGTCGCGAGAAATGCATCCGAGCCTCTCGCATCGAACGCACAGGCCCGTTTTCTGCTCGCAAACGCGGGTACGAAGGACGCGACGTCCATTCTACCCGCGCGTTTAACGAGCGAAACCGCGTCTTTGCCGGATGTTTTCTCGACCACCGCCGACCTCCTCCTGCGCAACTTCGACTGGTTCTTCACCTTGGAGCACCCCAAAGCGGTGGTTCACGCCGTCACGGCGTTTTTCAGCGTCCCGAGCGAAGCCACCACCGCATCGCTCGAGGCGTCCATGCGTCACGTGAGCGATTACTCCCGCGCCGAAGCCGCCGCCGTCGACGCCGTCGTTCGCGCCCACGCCGACGCCCAGGAGGCCGATTGGCTCGATCGCAAGCTCTACGCCTGGGCTCGCGCGCGCGAGACCACGGACATTTCCCTCGATTCCGACGACTCCACGACGCGCGAGCGCTCGATTCCAGACGTTCGCGGTTTTCTTCAATCCTTTTTCCTCTGACGAGCGCGACGGCGCGACTGCGCAACTGTAACGACGTCGTCGATTTGATTTGATTTGATTTCGTTCGGTGTGATTCGTCACTCGCGCGCGCGACGCCGACGCGCGCGCATCGCTCGCGAGCGACGCCGCGCGACGTCATGCGCGTCGCGATCTCGCGCGCGGTGTCCGCGCCGGCGCGCGCGCGCGCGCATCGTCGCGATTCCACGCGCCGCCGCCGGCGCGCGTCGCGCGCGCGCCGACGCGGATTCGACGACATCGACGCCGTCGCGGAGACGGCGAGCGAGGACGATTACGCGAGGTGGGCCAAGACCGAACCAGCGGCGGAGCGGTGGCGCGAGTACGCGGACGCGCGCGACGAGGGAGGAACGTACAGCGTCGGGAAAAAGCCGCTGGATGAAAAGTTTTTGAGCGAGCTCATGCTGGCGCTGCTGAGAAATCATCGACGAGGATTGAAGGCGGACGTCCTGCTGAATAAGGTCAAGGGAAACATGGAGCTGGATGGATATAAGAGCGTGCTCGTGGGGGTGGGGCGGATGGAGCAGTGGGATCTGGCGAGGGAGATTGTGGAGTTTGTCAAGGCGGGCGGACGCGAGCGCGGCGACGAGGTGCTGACGAGTAATTGGTTCGTCGCGTTGGCGACGCGACGATTGGAGGAGAAGGCGTACGACGCGACGTGTGATGTGTTCGGATACATGAAAGAGTTTGGCTCGGTACCGTCGGGGGAAACGATCGAGACTTTTGCAAAGCTTACGGTGAGTGGTCTGTTTGCGCAAACGTTTTTTTGTCCGCGCCTTCGACCGAGCGTCGTCGATGATTATACACCTTCAAAAACACCATCTTTCGGATCTGAAAGTCATTGAAGAGAAATGAATACCATTGAATGAGACGATGCTAGGCGATGTTGATGTATTTTTCGCGAACTTACCGCGCGCGATCGACATTGGTGACTGACTTTGTTCCCTCTCAGGACGCCGAACCGTTTATGAATCAAGCGCAAAAGGACCGCGTAAAGGAGATCGCCGAGTGGCTCTCTGAGAGCGACGCTGGACGAGCGTTGTGGCACATACACTTTGGTCGGCCCATGGCTGAAAATCAACCGGGCGCACCGGGGACGTTGACGCCCAATCGCACGATTAGCGTGGCGCTCGAATCGGAGGACGTCGACATTTACGGCGACATAGATAAATTGCGTGAGCAGTTGAAGGACTTCTACTGATTGTAATAATGAATTTTGTATTGGTATTCACAACTCGACATACTTAGTGCCCGTCCGAGCCTCGCAAGAGAGATTCGATGACTTCGGAAAGCGTCGGGTGGGCGTGCACGGTGAACTTCAAGTCGTCCAAAGTGGCGCCTGTGGAGATGGCGTTGGACGCTTCGTGAATCAAATCCGCGGCGTGCAAGCCCATGATCCACATACCCAAGATCTCGTTCGTCTTCGGGTTGTAAATCAACTTAGCCATACCCTCACCTTCCTTCTCAGCGAGCGCCTTGGAGTTGGCCTTGAACGACGTCTTGCGGACGGCGACTTCGAAGCCTTCCTCCTCACCCTTGGCGCGAGCCTGCTCCTCAGTCAAACCGACGAAGGACACTTCGGGGTGAGTGAAGCATGCGGCCGGAACGGAGAGGTGGTTGAGGACGTGCTCGTTACCGTGCATGTTCTCGATCGCGCTAATACCCTGGGCGCTCGCCGCGTGCGCCAACATCATCTTACCATTGGCGTCGCCGATGCACCACATGCCCTCGACAACCTTGCCATCCTTGTCCAACACTTGCATCTTTTCGTTGACCGGGATAAAGCCGCGTTGGAGCTCGACGCCGATGCTTTCGACGTTCAAGCCAGCGGTGTACGGAGAACGACCGGTGGCAACCAAGACGGCGTCGACTTCCATAGTGTCGACGACTTCCTTCGTCTTGAAGTCGGTGAGCTCAATCGTCACCGGCTTTTCGCCCGGGATACCCGGCGTGACCTTGGTCGCCAACACGTTGGTGACGTAGTCGATGTTACGCGGGGTAATCAAAATACGTTCCGCCATCTTAGCGATCTCCTTGTCGAAACCCGGCATGATGTTAGGCATGGCTTCGATGAAGGTGACGTCGGAGCCGAGCGCGGTGTACACGTCGGAGAATTCCAAACCGATGTAACCGGAACCGATTATGGCGACCCATTCCGGGACCCAGTCGAGCTTCAAACCCGCATCGGAGGTGAACACCGTCTTGTGGTCGACTTCGATGCCCGGCGGCACGAACGGCGTGGAACCGGTGGCGATGATGATGTTCTTCGCCGTCACTCTCCCCCCGGTGACCGTGCCCGGCGCGCCGTAGGAAACTGTGTGGTTGTCCTCAATCTTCGCCGCCCCGGTCAAAATTTCAACCCCAAGCCCGATCAACGAACGTTCCAAGTTACCCCGGATCGTCGACGCCAAATTCGTGGCGTGATCGGCGATGCCTTGACGATCAAAGCTCACCGCGCTCGGATCCAACTGGATACCGAGCGAGCGCAAGTGCTCCGCGTTGCGCATCTCCCGCACGCGTCCAGACGCCGCGAGCAGCGCCTTCGACGGCACGCACCCTCGATTCACACACGTCCCTCCGATCACATCGCCCTCGATGATCGCCGTCTTCATCCCTCGCGACACCGCGTGCATCGCCGCGCCGTGTCCGCCGACGCCCGCGCCGATGATCACCAAGTCGTAGTCGTACGACTTCTCCGCCGCGCGCACCACCGCGCTTCGTCGCGCGCTTCTCGCGCGTCTGCGTCGTCGAGTCGCCTTTCGTCAGTCCTCGCTCGTCGTTTTTTCTTCGCCCCTCGCCTCGCGCGTCGTCGCCGCGCCGTCGCCGTCCCGTCGCGCGACGCTTTTGACCTCGCCGTTCGATCGTCGCGTCTCGCGTCTCGCGTTCGCGCGTCGCGCGTCGCGCGCTGCGCCGCGCCGCGCCGCGCACCTGTCGCCGCGCGCGCTCTTCGCGAGCGCGCGCGCGGGCGCGCGCTGCACCGCGAACATCGTCTCGTCGCCGCGGAGTGCGACCGCGCGCGCGCGCGATTCGGATAACGCGGTCGCGACGTCGTGCGTCGTGTGGGCAAACAGTCACAGTCACGACGCGCGCGCCTTGGTATAAAACCCCGTCCCGCGTTGACCCCCGTGAGACGCGCGCCGCGGCCGCGCGCCCGCGCCGCACACCGTCCCGCGCGACCGCTCGCCGCGCGCCGCGAGCGAGCGAAACGACGCGCGAGTTTTTACCGCGCGCGTCGACCCGCGAGCGCGACGCGACGCGCGTCGGACGCGACCGCGAACGCGCGCGAGAGGCGATCGGAGATTCAAACGCGATGAGCCCGCCGGGGTCGTCGGCGCGACACTCGCCCGCGGCGTCGGGGGCGTCCGCCGAGCGGTGGTTGCAGAAGGCGTTCGGGGAGGCGAGCGTGAACGTCGTCGATCGAGCGTCGGCGCGACGGGAGGAGGTGCGCGGGACGTCGCGCGCGCGCGCGCGAACGGGTCGAGGGCGACGCGGGATTTCGAAACGGTTTTTAAACGGTCGAATTCAGAGGATTCGGGCGGACGGGCGCGGAGACGCGAGGTCGGAGACGCGCGCGGGTGATTCGAGGACGGAGAACGAGACTGACGAATGATGCGCGGTGGTTCACACGCAGGCGCGCGAATCTTCGTACGGGGGTGCGAGGTACGAGCGGGAGACGGAGCGACGCGCGGCGCCGGGGACGGCGGCGAAGCCGGCGTATTGGGCGCACGGACAAGCGGTGGATTCGAGTCAAGACGATGGACGGGCATCTCCCAAGCGGTTCTTTAACAAGGCGAACGAGCGGTTGTACGAGGCGTATTCGCAGTTGCACACGATGGCGCAAGAGTTTGATAAGCCGTTTGATTCGCCGGCGATTCTCGTCGTCGGACACCAGACGGATGGAAAGTCGGCGCTCGTGGAGGCGTTGATGGGGTTCCAGTTCAACCACGTCGGTGGTGGAACGAAGACGAGGCGTCCAATCGCGATCAACATGAAGTACAACCCTTCCGCCGTGGAGCCGAGGTGCTTTTTGATGAAGGACGACAATCTTGGGCGCGAGGACGAGCTCTCGCTTCCCGAGTTGCAGGCGCACATTGAAGGCGAAAACAGACGATTGGAAAACGAGAACGGGTTTTGGGCGAAGGACATCGTCGTGAAGATCGAGTATAAGTATTGCCCGAACCTCACCATCATCGATACCCCCGGTTTGATCTCCGCCGCGCCGGGCCGAAAGTTTTCTGGTTTGCAACAGTCTGCGCGCTTGGTGGAGGATTTAGTCAAGCAAAAGATGCACCAGCGAGACTACATCATCTTGTGCCTGGAAGACAGCTCAGATTGGTCCAACGCCACCACTCGGCGATTGGTTCTCGAAGCCGATCCCGAGCTGCGACGTACCGTCGTGGTGAGCACCAAGTTCGACACGCGAATCCCGCAATTTTCTCACTCGCAAGACGTCGAAATGTTCTTGCACCCGCCGGCGCGTCTACTCGAGCCGACCGTCTTGGGTGGTGGTCCGTTCTTTTCCTCCGTGCCCTCTGGCCGCGTTGGACTCGCACGAGATTCGAAGTATCGCTCGAACGATCACTATCGGGAGGCCGTTCTCGAGCGCGAGCAACACGATATCGCCGAACTCGAGCGCCGCTTGGATCGTCACCTGTCTTCGCACGAGCGCGGCCGCATCGGCGTGAGCCAACTGCGATTTTTCCTCGAGCGATTGTTGCAGCAGCGATACTTGGAGAACGTTCCCACGATTGTTCCCGTGCTCGAACGCGAGCATCGCATCGCCACGAGCAAGCTCTCTGAAACCGTGCAAGAGTTGGCGGACTTGAACCAAGATCACCTCAAGGAGAAGGGTCGCGCCTTTTATCAGCACTTTTTGGAAAAGATTCCGGAGATTGTCCGAGGTACGCTCGCCGCGCCGCCGCGCATCTTTGGCGAGTCTCTCGCGCACGAGCACATTCGTGGCGGCGCGTTCGTGAACGCGGACGGTCGACCTTGCATGCCGCAGCAACCCGTGCCAAACGCCGATATGCGGCTCTTCGGTGGCGCGCAATACCATCGAGCCCTCGAAGAGTTCCGCTTAATCGTCAACGCCGTGGAGTGCCCGCCGGTGAGCCGAGAAGATATCGTCAACTCGTGCGGTGTTGATGAAATCCACAACGGTGTCAATTACACGCGCACTGCGTGCGTCATTGCCATCGCTCGGGCTCGAGAAACGTTTGAGCCCTTCGTGCACCAACTCGGCTTCCGTCTGTCTCACATCGCGCGACGAACTTTGCCTGTGGCCATGTACCTTTTGCAAAAGGAGGGACGAATTTTGAACGGGCACGAAGTCTTCTTGAAGAAGATTGGCGGCACTTTCGCTCGATTCGTGGACGACCGAGTCAAGGAATGCCAAGAAAAGTGCCACGAAGACCTCAAGTCTACGACTCAGTTCGTCACTTGGTCGTTGCACTCTGGAAACAAGGCTGGTCTACGAAACGTCTTGGCGCCGCATGAAGGCGAACATGACGCGAAAGACGAAAAGCGCCGCTCCGGTGGCGAGCTCGTGATGTCGGATAAGGAGTTGAAGAACTGCAAGCTCACGGATTTGGTTGAAAACACGCTCTGGAACAGAACGATGAAGTCGGTCACGGTGGATATTGTTGACATGTTGGTTCGTCAAATCTTCTCCGGTATTCGCGCACACATCGTTCAGTCGGTCGAGCTCAAGTTCAACTGCTTCTTCCTTATGCCTCTGCTGAACGACTTCAATAGTTTTTTGCGCAACGAGATGGAAGACGCGTTTGAGATTAGTCTCGACTCCGTCTTCGACGTCAAGAGCGTCCGAAGCGCGCTCGAGTCTCGTCGTCACAAGCTTGAGAGCGAGCTCGAGCAAATGGAGCACATACAGTCCAAGTTTGCATCGATCCACTCGCAGCTCGAGGCATCGAGCGGTAACTCTCCTGCAACGCAAGCCGCCGCGAAGGCAGCCGTTGGTGGGACGACGTTCCACAGCGCAGCTGCGCGCGAGATGGCGGCGCAGGACGAAATCCTTCGAGCGAGCCACGATTTGAGTGAGGGCATCGCCGAAGCCAAGGCGCAATTCGCGCAATATTCGCCGAATCCTATGAGAGGCTCGAAGGCGTACGAGCCATCTCCCAGGCGCTCGTCGGCTGGCCGAAGCCGAGACCGCGCGCCACTTTCGCCGATGTTCCACAACTAATAGGCGTTTTATTTATCAAGAATGACGAGGGGCAAAACGGTTGTAAAAGATTCGCAGTTCTTGTATGTATTCAACACGCGCGCTTGGACGCTTTCTAAATCAGCGATCCTAATCCCGCGGGCAAAGCGTTTGATCCACCGCTGTTGCCGCTCGGGGGTGGAGGCCGCGGAGGGTTGTACGTCGGTCCGTCAAAGCTGTCGCTCGAAATTCCTGTTCCGCCGTAGGACGTTTGCGGCGCCGACGCCTGATACTGAAGCACCTGGTCCGCGGTGAGCTGACCTCGTTTGATGTCCCAAACATCTCTCGCCGGAGGAGGATTGTGCCCGACATTCACGTACAACAAACCGAGCGAGTTCACCAACCAAATACTCGCCGGACGACCACCACTGCCTTCATTCGTCCACACGAGTTGGGGTTCCATCGTTGGCTTTATTGCCCATTTCTCTGGAATGCATCGCATGGTGGACACGTCCGGTGCCTGCGGGATAGACGTCAACACCATACCAATGGCTACGCATCCAGGTGGCGGCACGGGAGTCCACGCATACACCGCCGTTCCTTTCCATTCTTGTCCCCAAACCTGTCTGAACCGGCTCGGATGTGGGAACAAGCGATCCAACACTCGTGGCATATAGTTCGAACCAGTGAGCGCGAACGCATTTATGTCGGTCACTTCGACAGCAAATGGCGCAGGTTTCGGTTGCGAAAAGTGTGGCGAAGCGTAGTGACCGAGCGAAATGCGCTCAGTCTTTTTCTTCAGCGTCGATTTACCCAAGTTTGCTTGCCACACGCTTCCAGTCGAACGGCTTCCAGTGCCGTCGCTCGTCCAAACTTTTTGGAACGATTTTTGGTGCACGACGGCTACTTGGAACCCATTAAGAGCCGAGCTCGTCAACTTGGAATCGACTTGGCGGTGCCTGCGCTCTTCAGCTTCCTTTGCCGGATCCACAAGAGCTCTTGCCTGGATTTTATCTCGCGCCGGCGCGGCGATGGTACCAGTCGAGGTGTCGAGCTGAATCATGTCGTTGCCTTCCCAGCCGTCTGCGGCATTTGGGTTTGCTTGAGTGCCGAGGGGATCGTTCAACGAGCCACCGCCAAGCATGTTGCCCGAACCGCCAGACAACCAATCATCGAACGCGGTTGACGACGCGCCGGCTGGAGGACCCAAACCAAACGGATCGTTCGCGCTTGGCTTGGGCTGTTCCTTGGCGAGAGGCGGGTTCTTCTTCGCAACAACTGGTAAAGTCGCCGCCATTCCGAGCGCGCCCCAGTCACCAAGTCCTGTACCGTCATCGATGCTCAAATTTTCCGTGCTCATTACCTTCGATGGCGACTGTATCTCAGGAGCGACAAGATCCTTACTCGACGATTTCGACCCCTCGTCGCTTCCAACGTCGCCGAGAATATCCATCAAGCTCACTTGCGCAAGCTGAGACGTCGGCACTGGCACCGAGGGAGCTAGAGTCGGTATGGGAACCTGTTCGTGGAAATCGCCATCTAAAACCCAATCGTCATCTGGCCCGAAAGCTTCCTCGAACTCTTCTCGACTGATGTAGCCGTCGTGCGTCTTGTCCACACGCGCAGCCAGCTCGAGCATTTGAGCCGACGTGAGCGAAAGGCCGAGCCACGACAAGCCACCATATAACGCTTCATACGTAAGCTTTCCAATGTTATCTCCGTCAAAAGCCCGGAACGCATCTAAAAGACGCATACGTTTGGACTTGAGCGCCGTACGTACACGAGCGACGAGTGCTCTCGACGCGAGTAAATGGAATTCATCCACCGTAGTGAGAACCTTGGCGAGTGGCGACGACGCCCATGGAATTTTAGCGCGCCGCCTGCACGCCCGAACAGACACGAAAAATTGCGCTCGCTTATCGCACGACGACCCTTGGAGCGCACGAAGCAGCAATGAAACTTCGCGGTCTTCGAAATCCAGCTGACTGTCGAGAAATCTGAAACATTGCTCGGCCGTCGCACCTTGAAACACCTGTGCGGGCGTAAATCTCGACGTGTTATCGATGAGCGTACCGCCACCGATTCGCAACGCAGCTTCGGTGAGTTTGGATGGAATCAGTTTGCCGTCACTCGCTTTACTACCCTTCGTGAGATGCATGACAACGCGCAGCGACTCGGCTTCAGCCAGAGACAACGCGACGTAGTATCGCCCACGTTGCAATGAGTAAATGTTCTTCGAACGAAGGACGCGCTTTAACTCCTCGAAAGACGTCCCAGATGACTTACCCCCGGTATTGAACGTGCGTGATTCTGCAGCAACCTCACGCGCCAACTGTTGAAGACGAAGCTCATCGTCTTCTACGCAAGCGTCGATCTCACGCAAAACCTCTCGGAGGTCGGACTCTGTCAAACGACCGTTTCCGGAAGAGTCAAACATATCGAACGCAGTTCGTAGCGCTGACTCCTGGTCTGCTGTGAACGTACCCGCCGCGACGCTACCACCGGCGTCGGTCGATAAAGCGCTGCTATCCGGTACCCAGTCCAGCACGACGGTGAGATTCTTCAAGCGTCGATGGCCGTTGAGCGCCCATCCTTCACGGAAGTAATTTTTCGATAGATATAGATACTCCGGGAAATCCAAAGGTGCTGTAGTCTTGCCGACACCTTTATGTATCTTGAACGTTTTGAGTGGGTAGAAACCTTGAGCCATTGAGCTTGGACTTTTGCACAAAGACTCGTAACTCCACGACGGCTGTTTCTCGTCGTCGCGCACGTACTTCAAGCCATCTGGGGCTTCCTCGATGATTTCTTCCTCACGTTCTTCTTCCTTCTCTTGCTCTTGTTCTTGCTCATTTTCTTGTTCTTCCTCATTCTCTTGAACTTGCTCGAGGTCCAAGGCGTGCTCCAAACCACCAGCCAAACCTTGATCACCGGACTCCGCCGCATCTGGAGCCATGTGTGTGCCAGCGCGAATCCGCTTCAACGCCGCATTCGTCGTCTCCTCCATTTGCTTCACGTCGTTCACGATCAATCGTAATTGCTCTTTTGCGCGAGGACTATCGTCGAGCAAATGTCCGAACTGCTGTACGCTCCTCGCTAACTTCTCTGAAGGCGATACACTTTGAGGAATGACATTCGCCACGACGTACGACACGCGATCTCGGAAGACGTCAAGGCACGCGTGAATCATACCCTCCGCCTTTGGTGTTCCCGGTGCAGTGGGCGATGACACAAGCTTCCTGTATGAATGCTTTCTCCAGATATTCGCCGCGCGTTGCTCTGCGAGCAAACCGGCTTGAATATTCTCACTTCGCATACTGTTCACGACGAGCCAAGCCGTGATGTCTCGTAACTTACGCTTCTCGACCGCTTCGGCCGACATTGTCGCGAGTTCAGCATCGCGCGTCGATGGGATCTGTCCACCTCCTTTGGCAACTTCGTGCGAGATGAGTCTCGCAACCTCCGGAATCACAATCACCTTTAGCGTCTGACCCTTGCCCAAACCGCGCATGCGCCAAGCACCCTGCGCATAATCGCGAAGACACATGTCTTTACCGAGGGTGATGGCTGCCTGCGACGCCGCGGCCTGTTTGATGTCCATACCGGTCGTATGAACTTGATCATAGAACGTAAATCGTTTCGTCAAAGGCATTGCGGCGACGCGTTGAAGAGGAATGACTTCCCATCCTTTGCGCATGAGAATCATCTGTCGATCATTTTCGTCGAGGAACACACATCCTTCAGCCCATTTCAGACCCTTCTCGAGTAAGAATCTCGAGACATCGAGGTTGGACATGCCCGTGACAAGCGCACCCGTATCGATGAGCGCACGTATCGGTGGGTCTACCGTCGCAATACGGGTGAGGAGAGTCTGCACGTTCCAATCAACGTCCAAAGGCATCGTCGCTGCGGTTTCCGGATCCGTCAAGTATGCCAGCATCTTGGCGTCAGAGCCGGATTCGTATCGCGGAGCACCGAGCTCGAGCGGCAGTAAGTCGCTCGGGGTACCGCTAAAACCGAGTCGGTTGGGGAACAACACATCACCACCGAGTTCTTGGCCAGTGGCGCTCAGTTTCAAATCTTGATGCTGCGCCGTTTCAGGGAAGACAAATTCGTCGAGATAATACTCGATACACGGCGGCGTCCTTCGCAGAAGTTGGTAGATTTCTTCAACCTGATCGTGATCTCTGAGATCGATAAGCTGCAAAGGCCAAACCTCGTCGTCTTGCAGACCTGCGGTGTCGTCTTCGAGCCACGCCAATCCGCGGGTATCCCCGACATTTGTAGTTCCGGTTTGCTGCGAAACGCCGCGTCGTCTTGCGGCGAGCGCTGCCTCAGCGCGCGCTTCACCTCGCACTCGCTTCCCAGTCGTACGCACCCAGTCCGCCCACCTACGAGCAGCCGGTCGCTTCTGAGGAGGACCGGCCTCGTTATCGTACTCTTCCATTAAGATTCGAAGCATTTGCTTGAAGTCGGCACGGCGCAAACCCTCGAGGCGGTATGCGCAAATTGTCAACCCGAGAACGACATCTGGATGTGAGAACTCATTCGTTCGACTCGGAATATCCTTACCCACGAAAGGAACTGCCAAAAGTCTACGGGTTTTCGGCAGACGCGATCCCGTCACTTCTTCGAGTAGCGATACGTCCGCGGGCTGTAACAAACCAAACGTTACGCGATTAATCTTCGCGAGCATGTGAGGCAACAGAGAGCAAAGCCAATCTCGCGCGAGGTTGGTCATCTTCACAGCCTCGTCTTCACATTCACGATTCAGCTGCGCTTTTGCTTCAGCCGCGCCCGGTCCCCGCAGAAGATACGCCATAATGAGTGCCTCTGACATGCCACGCAACGCGCCATGAGCACGCAGCCAAATGCTCGTCCACTGCGCCAAGAGCGGACGCAAGATATCTTGATACCAAGACTTATCGAGCAACGCTAGATGCGGTGATGTCTGCAATTGTTTCGATTCGATCGCCGTTCGAACCGCGGCGCGTATACCGTCGAGCAGATCGATTGCCTCTTGCGAACCTTCAGCCTCCGAAGCCGTCGAGCGCCCGTACGTGACTGCGAAGATGGCGTCAAGGATGTAATATGGAAGCTTCCATCTCAAACCGTCGCCTGACGCAGCCTTGCTGAAGTCGAGCGGAATACGTCGACCCATTGGCCAGTTGAGTTCGGATTTCAAAGGATGAAGAATCAAGTCGACTTCGTCCAAAATAAGCGTGCCAGTTTGGAAAATTTCAAAAATTTCCGCGGCCGCCGTTGCCTCTGAGCGCAATGTGTTTATTTCTTCGATGGTTAACCCACCAGCCTCAGCAACACGTTCACTCCGACTTTTAGCGCCACCAAAAACGCGACTGACTAAATCAGCTCCTTGTGCGAGCATACCACCGGTCTTGCCATCACGGTCAGCGATGTACGATTGATCGAGCAGGTGGCAGACTTCCAAAAATTTAAGCGCGAGAGACTTGATGCTTGTCGGTGACGAGATGACGATGGCTCGATTCTCTTTCGCTTTCCTTAAAGTTGCGAGTATTGAGCCATCGGCGAGGGATGTGTATCGGTTGAACTCGAGGGTAACGACCGAACGTCTGATGACTCCTGAGTACGCCTTGCGCAAAGTGCTTCGCGAAAACTCGAGAAGTGCGTGAGGGACTACTTGGACGACGACAGAGCTGCTCTTGGCGAGAACGAAGCCCAGTAATGGACACACCACAGTTGTTTTACCTTCACCCATGAGCATCTGTGCGCACTGGCCGCCACCGTTCTCAGCCGTGTCAACGAAATCTCGAGTCAGCTCGACTTGGCGCTTGCGCAGCACGATGCTCTGACTGTACTCGTAGACTAGCAAACGAGGATCAAAGATCAAGCGCGTTGCCTTGCTGAATGGATTCGCAGTGTCCGCCTGGAAGTAATGTCGTTCCACTGAAATCAACTCCGCGATTGCCAGAGCTTTGAGCCTCAAGTCTCGATCGACAGAATCAATACCGTCAATAGCCGCTGTCTTTGCACAATTCGTCAACGCTATGAGCGTGTCAGCCACCATACCCGCCGCTTTCGCGGCTAGCGTCGCGCGAAGCGTGAGCAGCAACGCTTGCGACGTCAAATATAACGCATCAACTATTTGCTTTGCGGTCACATCTGGAGACAAACGGGATAAAATGTGTTCGCCGCCTTCGCACGTCAAACACTCAACCAAATCTTCAAATGTCACCTCGGCCCAAGCCCCTGCGCGGCGCTGCAATCCGAGACGTAACATCTTTGTCCCAGACTCGACGTCTTTTCGTAAACCATTCGCCGTAGCAAGTGCAGCTGACATAGCCTCAGATGCGGCCGCCTTATCGTCGGCGGTGACACGACGAATTCCTTCTAGCAATTCACGTAGAACCGCACGGGCGGTCCCCGCGGCATGACCGGCGCGGCCTGCACCCGCTTCAGATGCGATCGCGGCAGTATCACTGGGGGAGAAACCCTTCAACGTCACCGCACTAAAATCACCATTCATGCGTCGCGCCTTAGCTTTGTCTGATGCTCCGGTTACGTCGGCGCGCAAACGATTGAGCATCTGTCTAGCGACGGACGTCGTAGCCGCTGGATGCTGGCTGACGTCAAACGGCAAACCACCGACACCGCCGAGCGCGACGGATTCCGCGAGTTCATCGGCTCTATCTTCCGTAAGAGGAACGACATACTTGTTCAAATCAAGGACACCGAGTGGGCGCTTCACGAGCATCTCCAGATCCACGTGCTGGAGTGTTTTCCCACTCCACGTGGTACCACCAGCCATCTCAGCGCTATCGCTCGACTTGAGAGAGAACTCGCGCTCAGAGCACGATGTATTCATGAATCGAGTCAGCGCCCATCTGCCGCCAGTAGCAATCGTACGCGCCCAAGTCTGCACGTCAGACTCGTATATGCTCTGCGTCAAGTACTCCTTGCCCGTCCAAGATATGCGACCGGGGAATTCCTCTTTTCGCTGTTGCAGGTACGGTCGTACTTTGCGAAGTAACATACCTATCGCACCGTCCGAAGTAAACATTGAACTAAACCGTTGACCAACGCTCTGTTCTTCCATTTTAGGACAATCCTGCGCGATGTTGGGGCTGGAAGCAAGTACGCGTAACGTACTCATGAGTGTACCGCACTTCATCGATTGCTCGTTTGGCACAAAACGAAGGAGAACGCAACCCCAACGATGGGGAGAATCACCAGGAAGAACGCGCAGCGGCAGGGTTCCAGTCATGAGCTCAAAGAATAACGGGAATCCCAAGTTACCGTCGAGATTGAACTTTTCCTTGTCGATCCATTGGCCGATCAAAGCGAGCGCCTGACTACCGTTGACGCTCACGTCATCTGGACGATTGTACGTTTGAATCAGACCCGCGAGTTTGCCCAGAGGTCCTTCACCCGTTACCTTATCGGACAAGCAAGTCAGGTCGTCCACGGTATCGAATCTGTCATATTCTGGCGCCACTGGATATACTAGAGGGAATCCAGAACTCGTCGGCGTAGATCCGGCGCTCATGCGCGCGATTCCGCCCACGAGCTGCCTCAAGTACGCCGCACGATTCAACAACTCTGGGGTCTTCGTTGGATCCATACTCATATCCGCCGCGCTCGCCTTCTTGGAGCCGGGGAACATGAAACTAATGACAGCCTTGAACTTGGAAGTTTTCTTCTTTGCCATGGTCTCCGTAACCAAGCTTTCGATCGCGGTGAGCTCTTCATGTCCAGTGAGGCGACAATTTGCGCTGATGTACGACCAGCAATTGACGTAATTCAGTACATCCGCCACGGGTGGCCACTTCAGCGCGAGTCGGGGTTCGATTGGAGTGTCTTTTACCATCAACATAAGCTTCACGCGAACTGCTGTGGCGTCGGGGCTTGGATCCAAAGAGCACGCATGCGCGAGCGCGTCCCACAGCTGCGCTTCCTCTGGCGTGGGCACCGCTTCTGACACACAGAGTTCCGCAAGTCTGAGCACGGCGAGATAATCGCGACCTATGAATCGCAGGATTGCGAGATATAGAGCGGCTGGCATCGACGTTGCACTGATTGTCGCATGCGAAGGATGCACAGGATACACATAGTGCTTTGTGCTGCCTATGTTTTCCACCCACTGCGTGCTCCAACGATCGATTATGAGATCTGAGCCGAGTCCCGTGCTCGCTCCATGCGCGAAGTCCGACGCAGTCGCCGCGGGTCGAGGTATTGCGCTCGCCGATAATAGCACAGACAGTGCACCGTCTCGAGCTTCGAGAAGAAGCGCATGCGGCAGCCCGGTAAGCAGAATCTCGAGCGCGGCGTTGCGTCTTTGCGCTAAAAACAACCCGGCGTGTTCCTCACACTCCAAGCGAATAGCACCACCTGACTCTATCGCATTGAACGAAACACCAAGTCTTGGAAGTTCAACACGCGATATATCGCACACACCCGCGATGTGCTCATTCGGCCCACTTTCGAGCCCAGGTTTTGATGACCAGACAAGCGAATGTGCCAATCCTTCGACGGCGGCGAGAGACTTGGTGAGCGCGAGTAGAGCGCGCCCTTGTTCACCCGCCAGCGAGGGCGCATACAGAAGATCTACTAATGTAAGCTGACCATCGACGTACGAACCATCTAGCGGGGGGAGACGCGAAATCCCATCAGCACCCATTGTTGGAAGTCTTCGCACGATGGCGCGAGTATCTACGGGAAATCCTCCATCGAGCAGTAAATTGTTTTCATAGCCCAATCGCACATGGATCATAGTATTCGGGTGCGAAGCACTTTCATTCGCGGTACCAAATAAATCACCAGTAGTTTCGCTTCGCCAAAACTGGTACTCTTCGAGCAAAACCTGGGGCAGTAAGCCACGCAAATGTCGCGCCGGAACAAACGACTCGCGTCCGATGAAGCCATTCAAGAGTCTCGTGACGACTAAACTCGGAGCTCGCGAGCCTAGACGCGCGGCAGATAGTAAAAATCGTTCATTTTCATCCTTTAGAATTGGTTGACCATCGGGATCGATATCTGCGAGGCAGAAAGAAGCATTTGATGCGAACACTAACGAACGTCGCCAACGTCGACCGTACGATTCCACGCGGAAAACTTGTACCAGAGGAGGTTCTCTAACGATCATTACCTCCGTCAAGAGCTGCTTGGCCTCTTCCACGCGACGTTGATCGTCATTGGATGTGCTCACAGTCTTTCGCTTCCAAAAACTCCAAGGTTCGCTCACCGCATTCTCAGGCGCGCCAGTGCCGGCGAGGCGAGCTATGGACCCGTGAATTGTATTTTTGGGTAAAAAGAGCTCGACACCGTGCAGATATCCCGCGCCCGGACCCTTGATGATGGGATCAAGAATAGAAAGAATCCATTGCTCGCAGCTTGCGAGACCACCAGCACCGACTGCACGACCCAAAAGTTCTAATGCTTGTGACTTTGTCTGCACGCGGCTAACGAGCGGTCGCGTAAATTCGTTCAGCGGCGGTCTTGGATCTCGATCCCACAACTGAATATCATGATTGAGACCCACGAGACGCATCCATGTACGATGCTCCGTATTCTTTACCTCCGCACAGTGAACGACATCCCCCGAATCGCCGATCACGAGCTCGTCCCCTTTGCTGAGTTCTTGGAAGTGCGACGGCTCAATCCCGCGCTTGGCGAGCACTGGTCCCAGCGCTGCGACGAAGTCCGGCATTTCACGAATACTAGCTTCTAAATGACGCAATCGGTTCTTTCGAACGGTGAATTCGCCGAGCTGAGCATTAATTTCCATATCGAAAGACTGCAGCGTCGTCTCCAGAAGCCACTCTCCGTAGTGACGATGGTTTTGAAGTAAAAGCGCCGCGGCCCGTTTGTCCCTCTCGACGAGATCTGCGAATGGGATATCCGACACGTAGCTGACAAATCTACCAGCACCACCCGCACCTGGTGCACGGCGCCACGCACGCTTCGCGCTAAACGTGTCCTCTGCATCCAACACGTTCGTTGGTGAGTTCGAGCCATCTGTCTTCTTAGTAGTGAGCGTCTCGACGACGTTCTCCAGAATGCTATTAGCGTCTTGCGGATTCGCCGCCGCCCATTCCAGAATGCTCCGTCGCTTTCGCTGGAACAGGTCAAAAATCTCCGTCGGCGCAAAGCCGAGACCAGTATCGACACCGCTCATACTCCCCGTGTCCGCCAACTTTCTATTGCTCGTCTCGCTTCCATCCGGTGTATCTGTGAAGTGGTAGTTCACGAAAATGTACTGCTGTGCCGTGAGAATAATGAGGGCCGCTTGTTTGTCTATTTCTACTCGAGGCGTCCAGTAGTACATGTACGCGAGATGTGCGTGAAGTGCGCAAGCCGCACGAATTGCATTTTTCTTCACCGCGTGACGTAACCATCGCTGAATCACTGGTCGACATCTCTCCTTGAGTGCTTTGGTGATGCGGACTTTGACGTCCGCGAGTGCCGACAAAGACGCCGACGAACAATCCAGCCCTCGCGTCAAGCCAGTGGATGTCGTGAATTCCGAATCGAGCGAATTTGCCTTGAGGATGCTATCTACGAACGCCAGCAGTCTAGTGAGCATCCTACACGCGAACAACACCCCTTGTGCGCTCGGTGCGTCGTGACGCCCGGTATCTAATTCCAAACTCAACGCCAACAGCTCTTCGGCGCTATCCGCGAGAGGCGCCGGACAGTTGATGAGCTCGTGCACGAGTAAACCAGTCGGCGTTGCCATATGCGCTCGCGTTGTTGCAGGTATTTCCTTTGGTATTGTCGTCGGCTCTGGAGGCGCCCAAGGTCCGGGCTCGAAAATCACAGCGTCTAAAACACTCTGAATGTCGTTGTGCGTCAACCCGCGCACGCGTGTCGGTTCTGCGAACAGCTTCATCACGAGCGGCAAACGAATCATGGGAGCGGTCAAGTAAGTCAGGAGCAGCTCCGACTCGCTTGGTTTAAGCAGATTGTCAAACGTTGGTACCTCGCGCAAATGAAGGACGTCTTCTTCGGTGTCGACTCGCTGACCAGCCAGGTTGCTGGGATTGGCGCCCGAAGGTGGGCATCGCGGCCGGCGATCTTGCATTCTTGCGAAAAATCCACCGCCAAAAATGTTACGCCAACCTGTCTTAGACGTGCCCTGTTCTACCTCTGGTTCTTTCCAAGGCTGAATAGTCAAAGCACGACCGAAAGCCCGCACTTCCAAGTCAAAGTAACTACGCGAACTTTCGCGTCGCGCCACACTCCAATCCAACGCAGCGTCGATGGGCTTCCAACGTGCGAGCTCTGGAAGGTCGTCTGACGTCGGCGCCATGAGTAACTTGAACATGAAAATGATATCTCGAAGTGCACTCATTTCCGGATAGCTATCGGCAAACTCACGCAACTCGCCACTGTGATACTTTGCCAAGTACTCTGGATCTTCTCGGCCGATACCCATTTGCAAACAGACTTGATCGATGAGTCTCGCCTCGCCGACGCCAAACGACATCCCACCCGCGGCTTCATTCTCCCAACGGTAAATCATGTGATCGCTCTCGATCGTTTTCTTCAAGCTATGAAAGTAATCCAGCGTCTGAGTCAACCTAATGGTACGTTCTGGGCAGTGGAAACGCAAGTACTCTGCCTCAACGGCGAACGGACCGATTTCAAAACCAAACGCCGAAATCGGACCTTCGGCGTATCCGGCGTAGTGTTGCATGAACGCAGACGGCGCGTCTGCTACTTTAAGACGAAGCGTCGCATCCGCGATTGCCGCGAAATTGGCAATGGTGAGTAAACGCGCTGCATCGAAAGTCTGCGTGACGCTGATTGAAAGCGCTGCGGCGGAAAAGTGCCGCAGCAACAAATTTAGACTCCTCAAAATTTCAGCTTGGAGCTCATAGGTGGTGTTCACCGATGCCCAAAAGCATTTCGTATGTCTCTCAGGGTGCGTAATAGGTAAAGGTGCCGGCAGGACATGTACAAACAAGTGCACGAGCAAGCTCACGCGCAAGGCGTAAGAGTTTGGCATCAAATCCGCTTGGTTTGCGAGAATCGTGCAGCAATGCAGCGCGTTTCTCAACGCCTTGGGTACGTCTTCTAGCTTCGCCACGGCATCCGGCACCAATGTGAGTTCGACTGGCCTCAAAATCGGTGGCGTTCTAGCTGCACCTGCTAACGAATCTACGTTACCTTCGCTGGCGAGGCGGTTGAAGAGTGGTAAAGCGCACGCCGTGATCGGTACCTTCGGCGGTTGCAATGCCGGCGGTAGTGTCGTTGCGCCGTGCAGGGCCTTTGTCCGCAGAATCACCGATTCAACTGAGCGCAACATCTGCGCCAGCGTTTCTCGGGGCATTGTCGTTTTCTTCGGTGGCTCACCATTACTTGCTTCTTCTGCCTCGACGCACAAGTCGGCATGATTCGCCGCGTATTCCGCAACCGTTCTACACGCCGCTTGCAACGTAACCAGAGCGCTTGCACCGATCATGTTCACGCGCTCCAAATCGCGCTTGGCCTCTTCAAGCATGACAAACCTTACTCCAAGGTTCACCAACGCATCTGCACGATTCGGCGGGCAACCTAAACTAGCGAGACCGCATCGAGCGGCTTCGAGTGCGGTAAAGACGCCGCTTGAATCGCGTCCTCTTGGCTGTTTCGCAAACTTAACAGTGCGCAGTGGTTTGGGGGTGACCGAAGCGAGTAGAGGACGACCATTCATCATGGGAAGGAGCTTGTTGTAAATCATGTCTTTCGCACTGGCGGCGTCTTGAGGGAAAATCAACGGGCGGAACAGCAGCGCCCACGCCGAGGAGTCCATCGCGACGGCTATCGGAACGTCCATCAACTGAATGGTATGAATATACTTGAAAGCATCTTTCGCAGGATCAGCTTGAATAGGATGAAACTCCACACCGTCGCCGCAGTTGGTCAAGCTCACAACGAAGTGTGCGGGGAGACGGTGAATGGTGTAAATCACCGCAGCGCCGCCTTCTTCGTTTGCCCAACCTCCCGGACACATGATCAGTTCACCTGGTCGAAGCTGACGAACGCGATCCAACAGCGCCGCAAGAAACGAAACAAAAATATTATTGTCTTTCGTACCGACTGGCATCAAGCGAGCGAGTGCGAGCATATCATCAAGAGCTCGACGAATCGTGCTCATCGCGTTAGACTCTGGCCCGCTCATGGGAATCGGCGACGCCCCCAAGCACCGTCCAATCGTGATCGCACTGTCGACCAAGCTCGTCAACGTCTCGCGCACGTATTTCGATCGTCGCATCTTGCCGAGCTTTTCGTTCAAGCACGAATCCGCCATGAGATCAACAAAGGTCAAATTCTCCCAGCACGCGTCCAAATGCACGGGGAGCGCGCCGTCGCCGAGCGGTCCGCAAAGTCCCGCCAATTCAAGCGTCCCCCGAAAGTTCTTCCCTCGTAAAACATCGTTTTCATCGCCATCGACTTGCGCGTTTAACACCGCCAAACCGGTTTTACTCGCCGCTTCATTCTCCAAACTTCTTGCCCGAGTGATTGCTTCGCTAATCGCCGTCACCCACCGTTGCATCGTCGTCAGATCCTCCGCCTCCACGACAAGCGCCGCGCTCTTCCCGCCCTGCCCCGGCATCGTCTGAAACGCAAACATCCGCTTCCCGGCATACTTGTGCGCTTTGAGCCCGAATTCCGCGAACGTTTCATCGGAATCCAAGATTCGCACCGCACTCTGTCCGTTAATCGCAAACTCCCCTTTCGCCGCGCTCTCCGCCCCGTCCGCGGGTTCGTTGGCGAAGTACCGCACGCACGCCCGCTCTTTCGCGTGTCTCGGTCGTCGAAGCACGAAATATCGCAGGCGCCACGTGGCTTTACCGTATAAATCCTTTCCTCCGCGCTTGGTCAGCCAGCCACTGAACGCAACGTGCGAGCTCGCCGTGGACGGCGCGGACGCGCCCGCGGCGCGCGACATCGCGCGTCGACTCCGGAATAACCGCAAGTCTCGCCTCCGACGCGATCGGGTGACGACGCGTCGCCGTATGATGCCGCACCGGTTCGGAATGTCGATGACTGGTTGAATCTCGCGCGGCGCGACGACGCTCTCGCGAGGATCAAAACGTCGTGCGGCTCAAGACGAACGCGAGAATCGCGCGAATCGCGCGCGTTACAACTCCTAAAATATCTACATGAACGAAACCCTCGATCTACGAGGCCGAGGACCCGACGCCCGAAAACAACGCGCTCGCGACTTGCCTTCGCGCGAATCCATTCAACTGACTCTGCGCGTCCTTCGAACACTTAAAGTACCCCACCAAATTCGTCATCGCCAAGCACAGCGCCACCAACGGGATCAACGCGTAGTTCAATTCGAACGACGCGATGGCGCCGACGAGCAGCGCGGCCCACGCGATGGCGCCTCCGTACAGCGTCGTCCAGAAGAGTCGCTTCTCGTTCGCGCTCACGCGCGCCATGCCCTCGTCGTCCCTCGCCTCGAACCGCCACCGCGACTCCCCGGCGTCGTCTATCTCGTTCCAATACCGCAGACCGACGAGCAAGCGTCCGCTGACGTTCTTGCACCACCAAAAATCGACCGCGAGCGCGAGGACGCACGCCACGAAATTTGCGACGAAACCGTCCGAATTGACGAGTTCGCACGCCAAGTACGTCGCGATCGGCGCCATCTTCAGCGCCAGCGTCACCGCCGTCGCCGTGGGGTGCGTCTGGACGTCGGGCGCGATGGCCACCGTGGCCATGCTGCGAGGCGCGGCGCGAAGTGCGGGCGAACGCGCGCTCCAGCGCTCGGACGCGTCGCGACCGAAGCGTCACACGCGGTCGCTCGACGCACCGCGGCGCGGCACCGACGCGTCGGGCGAGACGCGCGCTCGAACGACGCGAGCGCGTCGCGCGACGCGCGCGGACGCGAAAGAGGGTCGGGCGCGCGCGCGCGGTGACGGTGTCGAGTGGCTCGATCGTCGGATCGGATCGGCTCGACGCGTCGGCACCCGCTCGACGCGTCGGCACCCGATCGACCGAGGACGCGATCGGCGCGACGCGGAAGATGAAGCACGGTGCATTGGTGGCGGCGCCAGGGCACGCGGAGGCGCAGGCGGACCCCGGGCCGACGACGTCGCCACCGATCGTCACCAAGGAGATGGTGCAAGCCGCCGTGGACAAGGTGGCGCGCGACACGAACAAGATGTCGAAGCGAAAGTCGGCGACGCGCGGAGCGAGTGCGGATGGAAAAAAGAAACCTCGTAAACCGTACACGCAGACTCGGGCGCGTGTGTCGTGGACGCCGAAGGAACATCAGAGATTTTTGCGAGCGCTGGAGTTGTATAGCCGCGACTGGAAACGAATCGAGGAATACGTCGGATCAAAGGACGTTGTGCAGATCAGATCACACGCGCAAAAACACTTCCTGAAGCTGATGAAGTCTGGTCAAGGAGACCAGATGCCGCCACCGAGACACAAAAAAAGCAATCATGCAGACGGTGAGCGCGCCGTCAACTACGTGCCAGGCATGTCGCAAGCGATGCGTTTACGGCTGCAAGTGGAACCGGATGGCTCGCTACCCGTAGCGCCGAAACGCGCTCCGGGCGTGCCACCACCGCTACAAAATAGCACGAACACCCCAGATTTCGCTACCGTCTACGGTTTTCTCGCAGATTTGTTCAAAGTGAACGAAGCGCGAACAGAGCCAGAACACGCTTTGAGATTGTCGCACACGACGCCATTGGAAAATATGACGGCCATCGACAGGGAGACTGCTCTTTTACTGATTCGAAATTTGCGGAATAATATGTGCTCGAAGCAAATGTGGCAGCAGCAATCCGACCTTTTGGAGGACGGATGCTCGACGTTTCTCGACGCCCAAGATGCCGAGCGTTTGCGTCCCAAAACTTTTGGCAAAGTGTCCGACGCTTCACCCGACGATAACAGTAGCGGCGATGGTAGCGGTGACGGTAGCGGTGGCGCTAGTAACGAAGCTTTGCAAAGCGATATCATCGCTTGACGATCCGAGAATGATAAACCAAGACCCGGCACAACAAAACCGAAATGTGGCAAGCGAAAAGAAAATCCTTATCGATATCCATCTGATCTTTGTATTACTAAAAACTAATAATTAGGCCAAGTATTTGTCAGCCTGTTCGCTCAACAACTTGGCGCTCGCCTTGGCGTCGATGAATAAGTCTTCACACTCTTGCAAATCGGCAAGGACGACTTTTTCACGACCGTTTGTCTTTGCGACGACGAATGCCGGCGAAAGCAGTTGCATGGCATGCCGCAGGGATGTTCTGTCACCAACGTCGGCCAAATGCGCGAGAGATTCCTCATCGATGTCGAGTCCTTCCACCTGCGCTCGAACGGCGAGAATGCGGACCATTTCTTCGACGGTGTACGTCATCGTCCGTACAATCATCAACCGATCGAGCAAATCCGTTGGGATCCCGTGCGGGGCTTGTATATCCGTACCCTTCACGGTGCAAATACCACGGTTAGTGGCCAAAATGACGATCGGCGCGAGAGAAGACTCGAGCGCCTTGTTCAAGTACGCGAAGCACTCGATGTCGAGCATGTGTACTTCGTCGATGAAAAGTACGCCGGGAACGAGTTCAGCGATCCCTTGATCGATGTACCCATTCACAACCTTGTTGATCTCGTGCCGAAGCTTTTCGGTGATCTCAGTCTTTTTGCCCTTGCTCAACTGGTTCATCACGGCGACGATGTCGTGACCGCCGACTGGCTTGGCGTTCGCCGCGTCCAAATCGTGCAGCGTCACGTCTTGCACGATTTCTTTTCTCTTGTGCACGTCACCTTTGGGCAAAGGCACGTACTCCTCCGCCTCGAGATCAAACTCCGTCGCGTACGCATCACATCGCCCGACACGTTTCACGCTACCACTGTTCGCTTCGATGTAAATGACGTCCCCGGTTTGCACTTTTTCTTGCTGCAACGCCTCGTAAATCGCCGGGTCCAACTTCAGTTGCTTCGTCCCTTTCACCGATTTCAACCCGACGACGACGTGGGAAATCACCTTACCGTACCCCCCACTGGTGCTCTCCGTCTCCTCGGGCGTCATCTCCACCACCTCACCCTCGTACACCTCCTTCACTTCCTTAATCCGCAACCCGATGGCGCGTCGAAAGTTCTCCATCAACACCTCCGTCTTTTTAATCTCCGAGCTGTACACCTCGCTCCCGACCATCGGACAGAACGGCACCCGCGTCCCGAGCTCCTGCGAGATCCCGAGCGCGAGCGCCGTCTTCCCCGTCCCCGGCGCTCCCGTCATCAACAGCGCCCTTCCCGCCATCTTCTTCTCCCGGATCATGTCCGCGCACAATCCGCACGCCTCCCGCGCGTTCTCTTGCCCGATCCATCCCGCCGCCGTCTCCGCCGCTTCGCCCGATTCCTTCAGCCCCAGTCCCTGCGTCGTTCGCCCGTCCGCGCGTCTCGTCAATCGTCCGTTCGTCGCGCGCGTCCCGCGTCGTCGTTCGTCGCGTCGTCGTTCCATCGTTCGATCGGATTGCGTCGTCGCGCGTCGTCGTCGTCGTCGCGCGCGCTCGCGCGCTCGCGCGCGCTCGCGCGCACCTTGATGTGCGTGTGCGCGGCGACGCGCGATTTCTTCGCCAGGCTCGGCACCTCGTCGATCTTCATCGCGCGCGCGTCGTCGTCGTCGTCGTCGTCGTGTGTCGCGCGCGCCGCCGTCGATTCGATTCGACGCGCGCGTCGATCGTCGCGCGTGCCGGCGTTGACTCGACGCCGGCCGTCGCGCGCGCGCGCGCGCGGCTGAACCCTGCGCGTCGCTATCGAACCCCGTCCTCGATGGCGCGCGCGTTCGGCCGCGCGCGCGTCGCGCGTCGCGCGATCGTCGGCGCGCGACGCCGCGCGCGCGCCACAGTCGCGCGCGACGACGGCGACGACGATGCCGGCGACGACGCACGCGACGATGCGCGCGACGTCGGCGCGCGCGACGCGCGCGAGGACGACGGCGACGGCGACGACGGCGCGGGCGCGCGCGACGACGACGAGGGTTGCGGGACGACGGCCGACGCGGTGCGCGGTGAGCGCGTCGAGCGACGCGGCGCACGCGGAGGCGTCGGGAGCGATCGATTGGCACGCGATGGGGTTCGGGCTGACGACGACGGCGTACATGTTCAAGGCGACGTGCGAGCTCGGGGGGGAGTGGGTCGTCGAGGGCGTGGTGCCGTACGGCGACCTGAGCCTGAGCCCGTCGTCGGCGGTGTTGAATTACGGTCAGGGCGTGTTCGAGGGCATGAAGGCGTTCCGAACGAGCGAGGGCGAGCTGTTGGTGTTCAGGCCGGACGAGAACGCGAAGCGATGCGAGGAGGGGGCGGGACGGATGTCCATGCCGGCGGTGCCGAGGGATTTGTTTCGAGACGCGGTGTTGAGGACGGTGAGCGCGAACGCGGAGTACGTCCCGCCCGTGGGCATGGGTTCGTTGTATTTGCGACCGCTGTTGATCGGGACGGGGGCGATTTTGGGCCTTGGGCCGGCCCCGAGCTACACGTTCTTGGTGTACTGCTCGCCCGTGGCGTCGTACTTCAAGGGCGGGCAGCTCACGCCCATCGACTTGACGGTGGAGGAGACGTACCATCGAGCCGCGCCCGGGGGAAGCGGGAGCACGAAGTGCATCGGAAACTACTCCCCTGTGCTCAAGGTGCAATTAGAAGCGAAGAAGCGAGGTTTCTCCGACGTCATGTACTTGGACGCGAAGGAAAACAAGTACATCGAGGAGGTGAGCTCGTGCAACTTTTTCTGCGTCAAGGGGAAAACCATCTCCACGCCGTCGTTGCAGGGCACGATTCTTCCCGGGATCACGCGCAAGTCCATCTGCGAACTCGCCGCCGCGCGAGGTTTCACCGTGGAAGAGCGCAACGTCTCCATCGATGAGGTCATGAACGCGGACGAGTGCTTTTGCACCGGCACCGCCGTCGTCGTCGCCCCGGTCGGGTCGGTGGAGTACAAGGGTAAAACCGTCAAGTTTTGCGACGGTAAGGTCGGCCCAACGTCGCAAGCGATGTACGATGAGCTCACCGGCATCCAACAAGGTAAGCTTCCCGACGAACGCGGTTGGAACGTCAAGGTGCCGAAGTTTCCCATCTCTGGCTGAGCGCCGCGTCTCGTGAGCATCGCGTCGACCTCGCGCCGCCCTGCGGCGTAGCACCGCGCTCGGTTCGTTCGCCTCGCGCTCCTAGTCAAACTTCTTCGCTCGGTCTTCGCGCTTGAGAATACCTACAGCATTATGTATGAACGTGCATTAAAACCTCGATTCGCCTTCTCGCCCGCCCGCGTTTTTGGTTTTCGCACCCGCGTGGTTTCAGGTCTTTCTTTCGTGGATAGGGCGAAAGCCGCCGCCTCGACGCGTCGGCGAATGGAACGTCACTCCCACGCGCGTCGCGCACGCCGATCGTCCGCGCGCGAGCGAACGGACGCGAAGCGAACGCACTCGAACGCGAAAGTCCACGACCGACGCCCGCGAACGCGCCGCGCGCGCGAGGGAACGACGGTGATTGCTCTCGATCCGTGGCAAAGTTTTTGGCGCGATGGGACTCAAACTGTACGGAAGCACGACGCGGTCGCATCGAATCGCGGCGGCGGCGCGGTTCGCTGGCGTGAAGGATGAAACGCTGGAGCAAGCGGAGTGCGTGATGGGGACGACGAACAAGAGCGCGGCGTACTTGAAGGAAAAGAACCCGTTTGGAAAGGTGCCGTGCGTGGAAAACGTCGAGCGCGGGAGCGCGGCGTTTGAAAGTAACGCGATCGCGAGGTATTTGGCGAGCACTGGGGCTACGGGAGGGAGCATTTACCCCAATGATGCGTGGACACGAGCGAGAATTGATGGTTGGATGGATTCTTTCAACGTCGTGGACGTGTGCGGACCGCAGTGGTTGTATCCGATTGTGGGCATCGGCGCCGCTCGGGGAATCGTGTACGATGAAAAGAAGGAGAGCGAGGCGAAAAAGATCGTGGCTGGGTTCATGGCGGCCGTGGAGGCGTACTTATCGGCGCACGATGCTGTGTTCTTGGTAGATAACGCGCTTTCGCTCGCTGATATCGTCGGCGCGAGCGGCTTGAGCAACGTGTACTGCTACCTCGTCCCGCGAAGCGAATGGCAAGCCAACTACCCGAAGCTTTTGCGATGGATCGAGACCGTGTACGCGACGCAAGAATGGCTTGAATCCGTGGGTACGATGCCGGTGTGCGAGCAAGCCGCGACGTACGATCCTAGTGGACCGAAGGAGTTGCCGCGGCCGGTCAAGTACGTAGAAGAATGGCCGTCCTCGCGCGTCAGAGATACCTTCGTCAACTACTTCATCGAAAAGCAGGGCCACGTGAACTGGCCGTCATCGCCAGCGGTGCCTGTCAACGACCCCACGCTTCTCTTCGCAAACGCGGGCATGAATCAATACAAACCGATTTTCCTGGGCAAGGCTGATCCGAAGACGGCGTTTGCCAAGCTCACCAGGGCGACGAATACGCAAAAGTGCATTCGCGCAGGCGGGAAGCACAACGATTTGGACGATGTTGGAAAAGACACGTACCATCACACCTTCTTTGAGATGTTGGGTAACTGGTCTTTCGGCGATTACTTCAAGGAAGAAGCCATCGGTATGGCGTGGGATCTTCTCACGAATGTGTACGGTCTCGCGCCCGATCGCTTGTATGCGACGTACTTTGGCGGTGACGAGTCGCAAGGCTTGCAACCCGACTTAGAGGCCAAGGCAATTTGGTTGAAGTATCTTCCGGAGTCTCGCGTCATGCCATTTGGGTGCGCGGACAACTTCTGGGAGATGGGCGACGTCGGCCCGTGCGGTCCATGCACTGAGATTCACTATGATCGCATCGGTGGCAGAGACGCGGCCTCCTTGGTGAACATGGATGACCCGAACTGCCTCGAAATCTGGAACGTCGTGTTCATTCAGTACAATCGCGAAGAGGGCGGTGTTCTCAAATCGCTTCCCTCGAAGCATGTCGACACCGGTATGGGTTTCGAGCGTCTGACGTCGATCTTACAAAACAAGATGAGCAATTACGATACGGATGTCTTTATGCCCATCTTCAAGGAGATTCAGCGCATCAGTGGTGCCGCACCCTACACTGGCCTTCTCGGCAAGGAGGACGTCGGGGAGAAAGACATGGCTTACCGCGTTGTCGCTGATCATATTCGCACATTGTCCATCGCCATCGCCGATGGCGCGGCTCCCGGGTCAGATGGCCGCAACTACGTGTTGCGTCGCGTCCTTCGCCGAGCGGTCCGCTTCGGACGTGAGAAGCTCGGTGCAAAGCAAGGTTTCTTTCACAAACTCGTCCCGTGTTTGATTCAGCAGCTTGGAGCTGTATTCCCAGAACTCGTCGCCAAGCAAACGCACATTACCGAAATCATCGCCGACGAAGAGGAGTCGTTCGGCCGAACGCTCCAAAAGGGTATCGACCAATTCGGCAAGGTTCTCGCGGCGGCTAAGCAAGAAGGTAGAACAGTGATTTCTGGTCCGGAAGCGTTCTTGTTGTGGGAATCGTATGGTTTCCCGAATGATCTTACGGAGCTTATGGCCGAGGAGAACGGTTTTACGCTCGACAATGAAGGTTTCGCGCAGGCGTTTGCCGAAGCGCAAGAAAAGTCTCGCGCCGGCGGTAAGAAGTCTGGAGGTGTGCAGTTGCTGTTCGAAGCGGAAGCCACTGCGTGGTTGCAAAACAATGGTGTGGCAATCACGAAGGATGAAGAAAAGTACGCAAGCGGACGACCGACGCTCGAAAGCACCGTCACCGCCATCATGTCGCCAAGCGGATTCATAAAATCCACCTCCGACGCCGAAGGACCTTACGGGTTCTTCATGGACGCAACGACGTTTTACGCCGAGTCGGGTGGTCAAGTGTGTGACTCGGGTTTGATTACCACCCCGAGTGGCTCGATGTCCGTATCGGATGTCAAGGTTGCTGCGGCGTACGTGATGCACACCGGCGACGTATCCGGCACAGTGAGTGTTGGCGATGCCGCGAAGTGCGCAGTCGATTATGACCGTCGAGATAACATCATGCCCAACCACACGATGACGCACGTGCTCAATTATGCGTTGCGCAAGGTGATGGGTGATGGTGTCGATCAAAAAGGTTCGTTAGTAGATGAAGAAAAGTTGCGATTCGATTTTTCTCACAACAAGGGGGCGACGACGAAACAAATTGCTGAAATCGAGGCCATCGTGAACGAGCAAATCAAATCAAAGCTCGCAGTAGACAAACGCGAGGTAGCGTTAGACAAGGCGATGACTATCAACGGTTTACGCGCGGTGTTCGGTGAGGTGTACCCCGACCCCGTTCGTGTGGTGTCTGTAGGTCCGAGCATCGACGACTTGCTCGCCAACCCGTCGGATGACAAGTGGAAAAACTACTCCATAGAGTTCTGTGGCGGCACCCACTTGGCGTCGACCGATTTCGCGGAGCAATTCGTCATTCTTGAAGAAAGTGGTATCGCAAAGGGTATTCGTCGCATCACCGGGGCGACGCGCGAAGGGGCTAAAGCGGCGCTCGCGCGCGCTGCGGACGTTCTCGCTCTGGTGAAGAGTTGCGATTCGTTGTCCGGCGAAGCGCTCGACAAACAACTGGGTGTGTTGAAAAACGTCGTCGACACTGAAGTTCTTCCCGTCATTCAGCGCGAGGAAATTCGTGCCGCTGTCACTAGTCAAGTCAAGCGAGTCCTGGACGCGCAAAAGGAAGCCGCCGCGGCGGCCAAGGCGCAAGCCATCGTAGACGTTCAAGAAAAAACCGCCGCGACAAAGTCTGCGGGTGCAAAGTACTTTGTCGCCACCCTGGCGGACGGTACTGATGCTGGCGCTATGAAGGAAGCGGCGGCGGTCGCTTTCGCCGAAGGTATCGCGTGCACACTCTTGGCGAACTGCAAGGGTAAAGAGTTCGTTTACTGCAGCGTGCCTCCGGATGTCGGCATCGACGTCAAGGGCTGGCTTGCGGCGTCGTGCGGCCCGCTCGGTGGTAAGGGTGGCGGCGGTAAGGGTGGTTTGGCGCAAGGTCAAGGACCGAACGTCGACGCTGTTCCAGATGCCGTCGCCGCCGCCGAAGCGTTCGCGAAACTCGCCATTTAAACTAAAACATCATGCAATATCCATAAAAAAACTCCAGTGATTAGCGCGCGTTCGCGCGCGCGATGTGCGCGTCGGATCAAAATGACTGTCACTTTAGTGGCACATTCTTTATGACGTGCAAACGGCGTGCAACACTTCCATAACAAATTCCAGTGCGTCGTATTACAAATAAATCTGTCGTCGTCGTCGTCGCCGTCGTCGTCGTCGTCGCCGTCGTTCTTGGAGCTGCTTCAGCATCGTCATCATCGAGCTTCTATCTATAGAGCGCCGTTGGGCTCTCGCTATTTGCTGAGTTGTTTGTCTACTGAGTCACCGATTTTTCGCATCGGCGCCGAATCAACCGCGCGATTACTCCTCTTGACTCCTTCGCACACATCGCGCCACACGCTTCTTGAACGCCGGATAATCATCACGCCACTCCTTGGCCGCGTCTACGTTCGCCGGGCTCTCATCGTTCGGATCGGAAAGCATAGAAATCACGCTCAACATAATCGTCTCCACCGTCTGCACCGGACTCCATCGCTCGCTCGCGTCCTCGTACCCGTTGGGATCATTCCCAGGCGAGTGTAAGATCGATATGCACACCCGTCCATCGGCGTACACGTTCGGATGCCACATCTCGCTCACGAACTTCACCGTCGGCGGCTTATTCGGATAATCTTTCGGAAACGACATGTTACACGTAAAGAACCCGCCCTCGTACAGCGTCTCGGGCGGTCCCATGACCGTGACTTGCCACTCGAACACGTTGCAATCATCCACCAAACCCGCGGAGAACCCCTCGATCGGGTTTCTCGAAAGCTCTGCTCGCGTTCGCGACGCGTTCGCGTCAGTCTCCCGCGCGTGCGCGCCGAAACAGACGCGCGACACCGCCGCCAGCGATCGGTCGAAATCCCATCGCTCGCGCCGTCGTCGCGTCGCGCGTCGCGCCCGAATCCGCGTCGCGCGCGTCGCGTCGCGCGCGTCGCACCTTTGAGCTGCTTCCGGAGCAGCAACACCGCCTGATCGCTCATCGTTCCTTCCGTGCGCGCGGCGCGCAGTGCCGCCACTCGGCGTCGCGTCTCGAGTCATCGTCATGACTGACGACGACGACGACGACGAGGCGAGCGACGAGGCGCTGTACGACGACGATCGCGCGCTCTCCACGCACGTCCTGCGCGTGACGACGCGCGCGCGCGACGACGACGCGCTCGCCGCGCACCTCGCCGCGCTGCGATGGACGGCGAAACGCGACGCGCGCGTCGTCGAGCTCGAGCGCGCGCGCGCGAGCGCCGACGACGACGACGACGCGCGCGCGATGGACGTCACGATCGCGTGGCGGTGTCGCGCGTGCTCGAGCGAGGACGCGCGGCTGGAACGGCGGGTGCGGGCGTGGATGGCGACGCGCGGTTGGGACGCCGAGGCGACGACGACGATGACGGCGCCGGGATACGTGCCGCTGGGATCGATCGATGCGGTGACGAAAGAGACGCTCGATTGGGGACGGAAGGACAGGACGGATGAAGAGCGCGTGGCGGCGTTCGCAGACGCGGGCGTGGCGACGTGCTTGAAAGCGGTGGACGAAGAGACGACGCGGGAAATTCGCGAGGCGACGGAGCGATTCGTGGAACGCGTCGAGCGGAGGTTCGAGGAATCGTTCGGGGATATAGTGTACGGGCGCGATCGATTCGCGTTTCGAGAGATTGGTTCGCGTGGAGGCGAGCGATTCGATGCTCTAGTAGATTTAGAACTCGAGGAGTGGGCGACGCTTCGCGCGCTCGCGCGCGACGACGCGCCGTGGCGCGCGCTCGTCGACGCGCTCATGCCGAACGGTTGGAACGTGCACGTGTCGGTGGTGTATTCCAGACCCGGCGCGAAAAATCAAGAGTGGCACGCAGACGGTCGACATCTCGACGTCGAGTGCGACGTCCGCACGGGATGCGGTCACGCACCGCCGTACGGCGTCTGCGTCTTCATGCCGTTGATCGATTTATCGCGCGAAACCGGTTTTACGCAGTTCTTCATGCGCAGTCACAAGACGAGTAAACTCATCGGTTTTGGCGACGCGAGCTTGATCTTACGACTCTCCTTCGATGGAATTCTCGACGCGGGTCAAAGCGTGGCGTACGACTACCGCTTACTCCACCGCGGCATGGCGAACGACTCGCTCGCCAATCGACCGGTGTTGCAATTTCTCTACACCGCGCCCGCGTACCGAGAGACGAAAAACTACGGCACGCGATCGCTATGGTCATCGCAGTAAAACAGCTAGGTTGCTAGGGCTAGATCATAGGCATAGATAGATTCCCACGCTCGATTCATTCGTTCGTCCGTCGCTCGGCGTTCGCCACCGCCCCTCGTCTCGCCCGCGCCTTCGCCCGCGCCGCCGCGTTCGCCGGGTTCACCGGGAACTGCGCTCGCGCGACGGCGGTGTTAAACGCCTTCGTCGACGGCACCTCGACGTCTTTATTCCCGCCTCCCGCGAGTTTCGCGTGCGCTATGCGTTCGTACGCGATGCCATAATGTGAAGCCAGCGCTAGTCTTTGCTCGCCCCGTTCGAGCGCGTCCTCGAGCGCGGCGCCGCTGACGTCGGCGCGCGCTCGAAACGCCGCGCGCGCTTCGACGACGGCGTCCCTCGCCTCGACGCGATCGAGCGCGCGCGCGGCGCGGATGATGCGGCGAAACAGCGCCGCGGCGGCGCCGTCTCCGCGCGCCATGGTGTGTCGTTTACCGTTTCGTTCGTTCGTTCGATCACATCGCTAGCGTTTCACCTCGCGCGCGCTCACTCATCGTCCGAATCGCTGCCGAACGCCGGCCCCGCCTTGGCGTACATCTCCGCCGTGAACGTCGTCGGTCGTCCGCGCCTGGCGCGTCGACCGCCCTCTATGATGTTCGACGCGTCCACCTCGTCCCCCGACAGATCGTCCACGCACTCGCTGTCGACCGAATCCGCGTCGCTATCGTCGTCGTCGTCGTCGTCCTCGCGCGCGGGCTTCTTGCCCTCGCGCGCGTCGCTCGTCGTCGGTTTCGTCGCCGTCTGATTTAAAAAGCGTCAGTCGGTCCGTCGTTCGCGCGTCGCGGCGTCGCGCGCGGCGCACCTTCTTCGCCGGCGGCGCGTCGGCGGCGTCGACGTCGTTGACGCGCTTCGCCGGGACGGCGACGTCGTCGTCTTCGCTGTCGCTCGCGAGCGCCTTGCCGCTCATCGCGTCGACGATCGAGACGCGCCAGAGTGACGACGCCGAGACGCCAGAGCGACGCGCGATCGCGACGACGCGCGCGATGACGACCGGGGACGTGTGGACGGACATGGCGGTGATATTCACCGCGATCCTGGCGACGATCCTGGCGTCGTACGCGACGCTGACGCCGGTGAAGACGACGAGGCGGCGGACGACGACGACGGCGGCGACGAGCGGCGCGCGGTGGTTCGCGTGCGCGAAGACGCGCGCGAGCAAGGCGGAGGGGGAGATGTTTTGCCTGAAGTACTCGGCGTGCTGGATCGCGAGCGTGGGGGTGGTGATCGCGACGCGGGCGTACGAGTCGTTCGGGCGTGGGGGGTACCTGGCGTATTGCGGCGCGTGCGCGGCGCCGGCGATCGTCGCGCCGCTGATGCGCCCGAGCGCGAGCGATCGAGGGAAAGCGCTGAGCGAGCGTTACATCGTGAAGGCGAACGTGTGGATCGCGGTGTTCAGCTTTATCGGAAATTACTGGTACACGCACTACTTTTACGCGGTGCTCAAGGCGGAGTACACGTTCGACGCGCACCGCTTGAACGACGTGCCGATCTCGATGTATCTCATGACGCACGCGTATTTCATGTTTTACCACGTGTTGTCGAACGCGGCGTTGCGACGGATTCGAACGGGGTACGTGAACGACGCTTGGCGTTTCGGATTCGAGTGCGCGGCGGTGGGCGCGATGGCGTACTCGACGGCGTTCATGGAGAGTTTAACCATTTGCGGATTCCCGTATTACTCCTTCGCCGATCGGCACATGGCGTACACGCTCGGATCGGCATTTTATGGAATTTACTTCTTGGTGTCGTTCCCAATGTTCCTGCGCGTGGACGAGACGAAGGCGATGCCGATGTCGCAAGTGTTTTGGGAAGCGATGGGGAGCGGCATGGCGGTGCTGTGTTTGTTAGATTTCGTTCGCGTGTATCTGCGCATTCCGTTCACCATGCGCATCAGAGGGTGATGCCATCGAAAGAAGAGCTTGTAGTAGTCGAGATGTGATTTTACAACTTTATTACGTCAACGTACGAGTCAACTTTTTCAAGCACGCGAGCGTTTGCTCCGTCTTGACCAACGCGTCGCGCGCTTCGGTTTCTTCCTTGTATCTTCCTTGCTGCGCAAAAGTCATCGCCCGACGTCTGTGCACGATGCGATTGCTGTCGATGATATCTCTCATTTTTTCGACGCGCGTCAAAAACTTTTCGCTTACCAAAGACCGCTTGTTGGACGAGTTTTCAAACAACGCCACCATCGTGTTCACCGCGGATTCCAAAAGCGTCGGCCTGTCGCGGTACTGTTGCAGATGCTCCGTCATGGTCATCACACTGTCGGGGCATTGTTCCAACGCACTCGCGTAGTGCTTATCGCGTGCGATGATCTCGAACAAATCGTACGCCGCGGTCAACAAAGGTACTTGTGACGCCGAGCGGCTGCACTGTCGAACGTTGCGCATCAACGCGTGCAGCACGCGAGGCGAGGTGACGATGCCTCGACACGTCTTGGACAGATTCCAGTGTTCGGTGAAGAACGTGCAACCACGCAGGCAGTCATCGCGTGCGTGCGGTGCGGCGATCATATTCGCAGCTTGTTCAGCGCGCGCGTGTAAAGGATTGACAGGCTGCGCCTTGGCGGCGATTCTCTTGCGATGCCACTCCAATTTATGCACCGCGTGCTTTCGCGCGAGCCAGCCGCGAACGAAGGCTTGGATTACCACCACGTGTTGTTCGAGCAAAGCTTTTCTCGTGAACGCCGACACAGGACGCCGACTTCGCTGAGTGATTTCCTCGCTAGATTTCTCTTCCTTTTGAAGTAGATTCGCGGCGGCATCCTTCTCGGCTCGTTTCGCCTTGGACGCCTTGCGCCGCATCTTTCTCACTGTTTTTCTAGCGAGGTGACCGCGGCAGAACTTTTGAATGCATGTCGCCGCCTCGCGCTCACGAGCCATTCGCGCACGCATCTGCGTCTTCCGCGCTTGCAACTTGAGCTCTTTTTGACGCGGTAAAATTTCGTTCACGAACTTGCGACGAGTTTGCCAACGTCGCACGTATGCTTGCAGCAACGTGACGAAGTACGTCTTCCATTGAATGTTGTCGAGTCCGTCGCGCGTGTTGTATCCACGCCAGTGACGTTGAATCGTCGTCGCAGCTTTCTTCTGACGCTCGTTTTCTATCATTTGCGAACGACGTTTGTACGCATTGTAGTCCAAAAATCGTCGAACACGCCGTTGGATTGTCACGCTAGCCTTCTTTTGCGCCACAAAGGTCCGGCGCGCGGCGGCGGCGCGAGCGCGCGCTTGCGATAAAATCACGAACCAACGCAAGCGAAGGAAGTGCTTGCGCATCATACATTTTCGAAACGCAGCTTGAATCTTCGTTGCAGCGCTGTGAATTATTTTCATTCGCGCTTCGACGATGCGCTTTGCTTCGGCGCGCGCGGCAAAAGCCCTCCAGTGCATCTGTATAATGGTCGCAGCGCACGTCTTGTTCACGTATTCGTTACGCGCACAAACCGTTCGGTACCAACCTTGGATCAAAGTCGCAGCTTGCTTTTTGCGCAAGAACTGATTTCTTTGCGCGCAACCTCGTCGCATCTTTTGCACCTTTTCCACCGCCCACTTTGTGTCTTGGAATTCCAGGCGCGCCGTGTGCATGCGTTTGAAGGATTGAATCTTCACCGCGGCATTCTTCATATTGAGGAACTCTCGCCGCGCTACGCACGCGCGTCGGAAAGATTGCAGCTTTACGATTGCATTCTTTCGCGCATTTACCGCGTCCACTGCCTGTACGCGGCGAACGTGCGATGCAATTACCGTCGACGCCGCGTTCCACTTGCGAACGACTTCGGCAAACTTGGGTCGGTTTGGACGATTCCATCTCCACCAGCGTTGGATGCGGACGCAAGCGACTTCTTGCTGCCGCAATAACAGCAAGCGCGCGCTGAGAAACAGCAAGTATCCACTTACTGCCCGTGGATCAGGAGAGTCCAGGCCTTCGTCACTGGTAAATCGTATATCAAACGTTGGGTTCGGCACGCCGCCGAGCGCTTGAAGTGCCTTGGCAACCGCAGCAAAGTTGTCACGCGCCAACTCCCGAGCGTGTTTTGCCGTATCCGCATTCGCATCGTCGAGCTTCAGCGGAGCATTACCAATGCGACGCTTTGGAATCATCATGGGCGCGTAAGCGCGAATAAGAGCGCACAGAGCGCGACCATCGGTGAAAGCGCCGCCGAGATTGTTGAGCTCAACGTTTTGAGTCGCGCACGCAGCCCGCGCCCAGGCGTATAGGCGCGCTTCCATGGCGCACTGCGGCGCTTCTATGACGGAATCACCGCGTCGTGCCGCTGACAGCCGTTCGATACGCTTGATATCTGGCACTTTACCGCCCAATCTAGTGATCTCTGAGTCCAACGACTTGGGCAGGAGCAAGCCCGGCGCCGAATAGTGCATCATCAACGCCCACAACAACCCCATCGTGTGCTCGAGGTGACCATCGACGATATCCTCAGCTTTGATTCGGCTCCACGTACCAGGCAAGCCAACTTGTTGATCCTTGATCGCTCGCAGCGCAACCTCGACATTCTGCACCCTGTGAGCCCTGGATGCGCATGGGAAGTGCACCTCGCTCAACAGACTTCGCTTCCATTCCTTGTTCTTTTCGTCGTAGCTCATGAAGAGTACGTCGGCGTTCAAAACTTCCATGAGTCGGCATAGACGCACGCCGTCGCGCAAATCGACAGCCAAGTTCGTGCACTGAAAGTCGTACTCACGAATGGGATTTTGTTTGTAGTGCAACTTGTACGAACATTGACTCAAGTTGCGAATGACGTCGCCTTCGCCGTACATCGAGCCTTGCAACGCCGTGCGAAGTATGTCTTCACTTCGTTTGAGCGCCGCGTGAGGACGCATAAGTAATGGCGTGTTCGGGGGTAACCCACTCATCGCTGCGCGATCGAGAATGAACACCAGCAGTAAAACGCGCTTGAGAACGCTTCGGCTCAACGCCTCTTCGTATCCGTGTGCGAACGGCGGCGCGCCGGGCACGTGCCCGGTTCCAAATTCAATCTCCAAATCTCTATCACGGAACAAGGCGGCGATGCATTCCTTCTGAATCTCGTGCAAATCGCCGCGTCGCTTCCACACGATGCCTCCGCCGACAACCACATCGACGCCGAGTTGCAACCAAAACGGTGAGAAGCACGACAGCGCGCGCGCAAATTCCTCCTTGAGCGCGACGTTATCCATGAACGTCTGTCCGGTGTTCAATCTGAATCGAGCGTTGTCAACGTGTCTGTAGGTCTTTTTCAGGACTCTCCCGAGCTCGTCATCGTAGCTGTACAATGACGTGAGTTTGTTTCGAACAGTTTGCCGCACTTCGCGAGCCGAGGCGTTCCCTCCTCGGTTCGCAGACGGCGAGTCGTCGCCCATCGTGCCGACGTCGTCGATGACGATGGTGTGATTCAACCACGCAATGAACGCGAGCTCTTGCTGACGCAACCATATTCCCGCTTGGAACTCGTCGGACACGTTTCGACTCGTAGAACCCTCGTGGGCGTCGCCCGACGCCGAATCTTCTCGCTGAAGTTGCAGCGCTCGCGCCACCGGCGCGAGCGCCAAAGTCGCCGGTTCGTCCTCCAGCCGACGCTGCTTCGCACGCATCGCGTCCAACGCCAACTTATCCTCACCCGCGAGTTTGCGCGGCGACGTCGCGAGCGACCGCCGCGTCGCCAACCTCGCATCTCGCGGACGTTTCGTCGCGCTCGCCACGCGTTCCTCGGGCGCTTCATTCGTCAACGGTCGTAAAACTTCGCCCTTGGCCACGCCGCGAATGCGCGCCTTCATCTCCACCTCGGGCATGGGTACCGGCGCCTCCGCGACGACCACGAACGAGATTTGCCCGCAGTACGTCGCCGCCATCGCCCTCTGCGGCGTCCACGTCAACTGTACGCGCTCCGTCGTGCCGGGTTGAATCGTCAACGTCTCTCGATCGAGCGAGAAGCCGTCTCGAGCGATCGCTTCGCAATCCGCGAACGCGACTTCTTGCGTCAACGCCGTGTCGTTCACGATATCCAACCCCTCGCACCCGGTACCTCCCACGTCGACCGCGCCGAATCGCACCACCGGCACCGCGTCCGGCTCGCTCAAAACCGCCCGTCGTCGCTCCCCGCTCGCGCGAGCGCTCGGCCGCCGCGCGTCGTCGACGGCGTCCCCTCGCGCGCGCGCGTCCTTCATCTTCCCTCCCATCCCACCCGCCGTCCCATCCCGCGCCTCCGTCGCGCGCGTCTCCGACGCATCGCTCTCACGCGCACCCCCCACCGCGGTCACCGCGCTGATCGCGCGCCACAGCGCGTCGGCGTCGCCGCGTTCCGTCGTCGCCATGCCGCTCAACGTTCGTTCGATCGTTCGCCCGACGCGCGAATCCGCTCGCGTTCGTCTCGCGCGCGTCCCAGCTCGACGTCGCGCGCGACGAACACGCGTCGCGTGATCTACCCCCTCGCGCGTCGCTCGTCGCTCGCGCGCGTCTCGCGCGTCGCGTCGCGTAATGCCGCGCGCGTCGCTGTGTCGGTTTGGTTCCCCCGAAAATTTTCCATCCGTCGGCGCGAATCGCGACTTCGCGACGCGGATGGCGCCGACCGCGCCTCGGCGCCGGCGCCCGAGCGCGCGCGGGAAAAAATCGCGCGCGCTCGACCGACGCGCCGATCCGCTCGCGTACTACACCGCCAGGGTCGACCGATGGTTCGACCGCCATCCGATCGCCGGCGCGGGCGTCACCGTCGTCACGCTCGCGGCGTTTCTCTACGTCGTCTACGCCGTGTCGCTCGCGACGGGGCTGTACCGGAGGTACATCGCGAGACACACGGAACCACTGCTGATGAAACACGTCGTCCCGGCGTGGACGACGTGGACGACGCGCGTCGAGCGCGCGATGCGACGGTTGGCGGGCGACGCGTGATGGGCGCGCATATAGGGAATGTATAGGATTCGAGGTGGCTCGAATACGAGATGTATGTAGTCTACATTCGATTTATCACCGTGAAAAAACAAAAAACGCTCGCGCGCGCGACGTCGAAGAACGCGTCGGCCGCGCGCGCGCGCGCCGTCGTCGCGCGTCGCCGTCGTCGGCGTCGGCGTCGGCAAAAATCGCGTCGCCAGTGAGGTCGAATCGAACGACTCGGCCGCTAAGCCGCTACGGCTTTGAAGGCCGCACTCCGCGCCAGCGAAGCTCACCCTGGCAAACAGTTACGTCGAGGTTTCGGCCACCATCGCGCGTCGCCGCCGTCGCCGTCGAAGTTATGGGTTTCTCGCCGCCCTGCGGCGCGATCGCTCGCGATCGACGGCGCACTCTGCCGCGCGTGATCGCGCGCGTCGACGGCGAGGATGCTGCGACGCGCGTCGACGGCCAAGGACGTCATCGGCTCGGTGCGCGCGCTGTGCGAGCGCGCGCGAGGGCGCGCGGGGACGACGCGCGAGGCGACGACGACGACGGGCGACGACGGAGGGTTCGCGACGACGACGACGGCGACGGCGCGCGGAGGCGCGCGCGAGGCGCGGGCGACGCGAACGGACGAGCGAGGGACGGGTCGACGCGCGGAACGCGCGGGGGAGGCGCTGCGCGCGGGAAGAGGGACGTTCGCGACGTGGACGACGGCGGGACGACGCGCGTTCGCGACGGCGACGGGGAGCGAACGGGAAGGCGAACGCGACGACGACGGCGAGGACGGTGATGGGAACGTCGACGGAGACTCGAAAACGAACAAGCACGAGACCGCGCATAAGTTGATCGATATTCCGGACGAGGTGCCGCACGATCCGCCGTTGTTGCGGTCGACGTTGGTGAAGAGAAGACTCGACGTGACGTTGGCGTGCGCGGAGACGGTGAGCGAGGCGATTAAGATCGCCACCGATAGCGTGGCGGACGGAGATTACCCCACGTCCTCGAGACAAGTTCGCATCATGATCACCAAGATTAAGACCAAGGAGGATATTCGCGAGGTTTTTGCTTTCATGGCGAAGATGCACCGCATTCGGTTGGCAAAGTACGAACCCGTCGCGACGGACACGCCCGAGGAAGCGGCGAACCGTTCGCAGTGGGGAGGGCACATGGTTTGGCGCGAACAGGTGGCGTTGGAATTGTTCAATGAAATTCGCAAATTTGACGATCACGAAGCCGCGGTGGAGATGGTTGAAAACCACGCGTCGCTGGGCGTAAAGTTGACGCGGACGGTGGCCAAGCAGGCATTTTTCAACACGTACACTGGACCTTTTGAGTACGTCTATCGCGTGTACGAAGCGGTGCGCGAAAGTTACGGCACGGAAGACTTCACCGTGGCTACGATGATCGGGGCCTCGCTCGATAACAGGCACATGGATCTCGCTCGAGAGTACGCCGTCGCGTTTAAAGAGAGCGGCGCCGTCGTTCCGAGCAGAACGTATTTCAAGTTTTTGAAATGGGCCACGAGGATTGGCGAGCCCGAGCACGCGTTGTGGGCGAACGAAGAGCATATCGCGAGTATTCGAGCAACGCTTCAATCCCGTATTGAGCGAATGGAGCGCATCAACGCCGCCATCGAGGCGGGCACGCACACGCACAGGGGCGCCGAGAAGCTCGAAATTCCAGCAAAGTGGCGAGAGCCCGACGTGATGCCGATTACGCCTTTTTATTACGTTCACGTGGTCCGAGCGCATCTACTTAATCGCGATGTCGCGAGCGCGACTCGCATGCTGGACAGCATCCCGTCGTTTGAGCACACCACGAGAAAGCAACTGCGTACGGATATTCACGACAACACGCGCGGCTTCGAGCTCAAGACGTACAACGTTCAAGACCAGATTGTGGCAGTGCTCGCGGATTGGCCGCGCAAGCTTTACGTCGAAGAGAACTTCAACGGAGAGCCGTCCCGCGACGAGCTTCGCGAATCGATGAAGGCTGCCATCGACGGCGTCGCTCGCGACGACATCAAAGCCGCGTTCGCGTCGATGGACGTCGACGCCATCTTCGACGCCTTGGACGGCGACGCACAGGGGGATTCATTAGCAACCGAGGATGACCAGGCGGAGGAAGCATCCACTAGCGCTAGCTGAGTGAGTAGATCAGTTTTACAGACGAAATTTATGACGTCGTCGTCGCCCCTCGTCGCTTCTTTTCAAACGCCAACCATCAGCCGACGAACGACCATTCGGCAGAACGACGCGATGGCGTCGCATCCATCGTCGCCCTCGCGATCGCCCCTGCGCCCGACGCAACCGCAACCGTCGTCGCGACCGTCAGAGCCCGCGCCCGTGCGTTTCCGATGCGCCGCGTGCGCGCGCGCGCTCGAATTCGTCAACGTCCCAGCGCTGTCCAGAAACGCCACGTTGGAGGAATCTTTCGTCGTTTTAGCGCCCGAACTCGCGTTGCGCGCGAGAAAATCGGACGCGTCGAAATCTTCGAGCGGCGCGCCATCACCTGTGACGCTGGCGGCGACGCTGCGCGGACGAACGACGCACGAGGGAGGGACGATGGGGGAGTCGTTCGTGGTGCTGCCGAGCGCCGAACTGCGAGGCGAGGGAGGCGACGCGGATGCGAGCGTCATGGCGCGGATATTCGATATCGCGAGTGATTTGAGCGATATGGATCATCCGTTGTGCGATGCGTGTTCGTCGTCCGTGGTGGCGGAGATTGAAAGGCGGACGAAGGAGGCGGAGGCGGAGTGCGCGGAGTACGAGGAGACGTTGGAGGCGTTGCGCGAGGCGGAGGAGGAAGAGGAACGGAGCGAGTCCAGAGGGATCGACGGCAGGACGAGCGGGCGTGGTGGCGTGACAAAGGTGATTTCGCACGCCGTGAGGGACATGGAGAAGGCGGAGCGGGAAGCGGAGGAAACATTGAGGGCGTTGGAAATCGAGCTTGAGTCAACGCGCGCGGCGAGGAGCAAGTTGGCCAAGAAAGCGGCGGCTTTGGACGAGGCTGAGAATACGTACTGGCGCGAGTTCCACGCGTTTAAGAAGAATTTAAACGCGCACTTAGAAAAAAGAGATTCCATCGTGGCGCGAACGGAGCAAGCGCAAACGCATCTCGAACGTTTGGAAAAGACGAACGTGTTCAACGATGCGTTTCACATCTGGCGCGACGGTGCGTTTGGCACGATTAATGGCTTTCGTCTCGGGCGTCTCCCCGCGCCTGTGGTGGAATGGGAAGAAATCAATACTGCGTTTGGGCTGGTGTGTTTGCTGTTGCACTCCATGGCGCGCATTTGCAAGTTTACGTTTACGCAATACACGCTCAAGCCGATGGGTAGCTTTCCCAAAGTGTGCGACGCCAAGGGTAACGTGTTCGAACTTTTCGGGCCGGTGTCTATCATATCGTCTCATAAGTACGACAAAGCAGTTATAGGATTTCTCACCTGCCTCTCCGAGTTAGCTGAATTCATGCGGGCGAGAGATGTACGCCAGGGCGTGAATCCACCGTTTGAACTGCCGTACCCAATTTCTGGCGACAAGGTGGACGGAAAAAAGATGACGTTTACGTTTAATCGAGACGAGAACTGGACGCAAGCGCTTCAACTGATGCTAACGGACTTGAAGCTTATGCTCGCGTGGCTATCGCATAAAGACTAGAACCAAAATGCGTTTGTAAAACAGAGATTCATTACAACACAAAAACATCCAACGAGCTTCTGCATCCTATGCGGCGGCCATTCGCAAACGCGCCAGACGCTCGGCGTCAATGTCAGATAGCGCCTCGATGAATGGTCCCAAGTCACGTCGAGCGACTTGTATCACGGAGGCTTCGAAAGAGTCGTGTCGGAAACGCGCGTGAATACGTTCAGCGGCCATTTTGAACGAGTGCGTGAAGAAGTTTCCGCCAGCGGCGTCGTCGGTGTTTGGCTTGGCGGTGACACCGACGATGAGCGCGAGGGATTCATCTTCCGCAGATGGACCAATGCAGACAAGTGGCCGAAGCCGTTTCTTTGTCACGCGAAGTGCGTCTTGCACGAACAACGCGAGCTTCAACAACGACAGCGGGTGCATGAACAATTTGACATCCGCCGGCGATCCATGATCGAGCAAAGAAAAGCATCGCAAACTCCCAGTCGTGCGAATGTGCGCGGAAGAAGCGAGCGCGATCCCACCTTGTCGCATAACAGCTTGTTGCAATCGGATGGCGTGGCTGATGCCCGCCTCCATCTCGTCCCAATTGCCCAACGACAGCGCCTGCGATGCTCGCCAAAAGTTATCCGCGGGTGTTCTATCCTCCTCTTCTCTGTCAAGCATGCCTTCGAGCAACGCTGTCGCGCCGTACACGACATCCGCAGCACACACTCTCAGTGCATAGCCATGGGAATACTGAAACGACCAAAACTTGACGTTATCCAATCCGTGCGACGCGCCGTACTCATCCAACCTTTCCTCAAATTGTTTCACTTGCGCCGGAGACATGTGCGAATACTTTTGCTTCGCCACGTCCAAAGGGATCCCCACATGCGCGAAGAGGGAGTTCAAGTTCGCTCGGCCACGCTCCGTCCACGTTTGCAACTGCGTCGCAACGTAATTGCTATGCAGCATTGACTCGTACAGCGTCCAGTGGCGTAAAAGCATAAATCTAAACTCCTCATTGTACTGCAAACGCCGTTCGTCGAACGCCTTGACGATAGTGCCATCTTCTAAAGACCGCGTCGTCGGCATATCGGCGTTCGACATCGCGCTCACGCGAGTTGCGAGCTCCATGACGCACGAAGTGTACATCTCGTGCGACAACCTTTGATGCAAGTACTGATCCGTCATCGACAACACCGCCAACCAAAGCGGTAAATAATTTTCCAACCTATCCTTGCTCATTCTGTACGCTATGTCATACATCACCATCCCACTCGATCGTCCGTAGAACGACCCGCGCGCGTAATACGCCGCCCTTTCGCGCTGCTTTTCCGCCTTTCGCAACCGTCTCGTCCTCGGCGACTCTCCACCTTTTGCCCCCGCGTCGTCATCTTCGTCATCATCATCGTCGCTGTCGCTGTCATCCTCCGAGTCCGGCTCTGGAAACGACTCTTCTCCTTCCTTATCGTCCCGCATCACCAACACATCCTGATTATCCGCCCTCGTGTTCTCCAAATCCAACGGCCTGTGCGAATCGAACACGTACGCTCTCGCGCCCTCGCGCAACCCCATCACCGTCTTCACATCCTCCGTGCCCCCACAGTTTATCAACACGATCGCTCGCTGTTGCCCATCGTCCGGGATTTCCTCCCCGAGCCGCTGCAACTCGCCGTATCCACTCACCGGGAACACCGAATACGCCACGTTGTCGCTCCGAAGCATCAGCTTCAGCGTTCTAAACGCGCACAGCGCGTCCACGTCCGCCGTGGACACGTACACGAGCACGGGGCAGTTCGCGCCTTCATCGCGGATCGTGCTATACGCGAAATCTGTCGTTCGAGTCGCGCGTTCGCGCGCGCGGTGCGTCAGTCTCGCGTCGAGCGCATTCAAAATCAAATGTCGATCCGTCGCGGTCGCGCGCGACGCGCGCGCGGTCGAGCGCGACGAGTGATCGCGAAACGCGCGCGCGCGATCACGCACGGAAATTATTCGCGCCCACGAGCATGGCGCGGCGCGCGCGCGCGAGTGTGCGGAGGGATGACGGTCACCTGTCGCTGGACGAGATTTAAATTGAACACTTTGAGCGCGGAATGCATGGAATGTGAGACGAGAGAGCGAGACGACAATCTTGAGCGCTGGTGGTGTTGATGAAAACACCCTTGGACCCAATGTAGTACATAAACCGATGAAGACCTCGTTTTTCTTTCCTTTTTCCTGGGCGTGGCGCGCGCGGTGCGACGTCGTCGTGGTTCGCCGCGCCGACGGTGATGAGCGACGGTCGCGGCGAGACGACGCCGCGGCGAGACGTAAGCCGTGAAAACACAATAAAAATCGAAAGCGAGCGCGGTGTGTGGTCGAAGAGTCAGTCACCAACTGCTAGTGAAAATAATGGGTGAGGGAATCTGCATGCACGGAATCGTTCGGTGGTGTCGGATTGCGCGGGAATGGATGGATACAGATGGTACAGCCGCCCTCGCCTTAGCGGAAATTGAACCTGCGCAAAACAGATGAGTCATTGGAATCGCGCACCTTCTTGGTCTTCTCGCTAGCGTTATCGAAGCACTTCCAGAATCGCAAAGTCTCATCCGCGGCCGCCGATACCACCGTGGTACCGTCCGGAGACTGCGCCATGTGAAGCACTCGCGCTTGGTGACCCGTCAACTCGGCCATCTTGGTCATCGTCGGATACTTCCACAAACACAACTGGTTTTGGCTGTAACCGTGCGACGACAAAAGCTCCCGCTCATGCGTGTTCCACTGCAACGAGCACACTTGCGAGTGCGTGTCCACAGAGTTGAGCATGGCGCCGGTGTTCGTGTTCCAAAACTTGATGCAACGGTCGGCGGTACCGCCGCCCGAAGCGAGCAAGTTGGACTGGAACGGACACCAGGCGAGAGCCTTAACGGCAGCTTGATGCGCATCTAATCTGTGCAACGCTTGTTGATTGCCGATGGAGCTCGCATCAAAGATGTGCAACAAGTTGTCGTTACCGCCAGACGCGAGCTGATTGCCACTCGGGCTCCACTTCAAGCCACAAACCTCTTGCTGGTGAACCTGGAGCGTCGAGGTGCAATGCTCGCGAATGCGAACGTCGTGAATCATGATGTTGTTATCACGACTACCCGTTGCAAGCTGCGAACCGTTCCACGAGACCGCACCCACCCGCGCGGCGTGACCTCGCAACGTACGCACCTTCTTGCACTGCGCCGCGTCCCAAATTTGAACCTCCGCACTGTTCGTACCCACCGCAATGTGCTTACCGTCCGCACCCCAGTTGACGGAGGTGATGTAATCATCTTCGTCATCCGGGTTGGTCTGGCACAATTGGTTGATAGCCCCAGTATCCGCGTTCCACATGTACACGGTGCACCCCAACGCCACCGCGACTTGGTTCGACGACCCCCAGTCGATAAGGTTCAAATAGTAGTCATCGATCAACTCCGGCGCATCTAAGATGCGTTCGGGAGCGCTGGGAATCTGACGGAACGTCTTCTTCGCCTTCACTCCCGCGGAGTTGTTCGTGTAGACACCGCGCGCCGAGTTTTCCAACCCGCTCGGCGGCGCCGGCGCCTTTGACTTGAACGCGAGAATCTTCGCCGAATCGCTTCCGTTATCCACGTGGAAGTTATCCGCAAGACTTTTCTTATACGCTTCCTGTGCATCATATCATCGCGCGATCGATTTCGTCGTCAGTCTCAACGAACTCATTCATTCACTCCACGCGTTCGTCCGCGCGCGCTTCGAGCGCGTCGACGCGCGCACCTTCGCCGGAGACTTGATCTCCTTTACCGCATCATCCACCTCCGATTCCCCGCCCTCTCGGGACAAATTGTAGTGCGCCACGTCCAAATCCAACGCGCTACGGCTCGGGATGAATCGATCGACCTATCGAACCGTCAACATCGTCAGTCTCGCGCGTCGATTCGCTCGACGATCATCCATCCCCTCGATCGCCATCGCCATCGCCATCCGCGCGTCCCGCGCGTCCCGCGCGCGCGTCGAACCGCGCTTATCACCGCGCGCGACGCGAACGGTTTTCGCGACGCGAATTCCGCGCGCGCGCGCCTCGCCTCGCCTCGCCGTCGCGCGCGCGCACCTGCGCTCGTCCCGTCGGCGTCCCCGCTCGACAGTGCTCGAACGACGTCGTCGACTCAACCGTCGCGCGTCGTCGCGTCGGACTCAGCATGGTCGCGTCGCAAAGATCACGAAAAATACGCCCTCGTCGAAGGCCGTGCGTTGGACGCGCGATGAGGCGCGCTCGCGTCGACAAGTGACGCGCCGCGCGCGGATTAAATGAATGTCGATTGGTCTCGCGGCTTCGTTCCCCTCGACGCGATTCGCGCGCCGCACACGACGACGACGCGCGACGACGGCTCGCGTCGCGACGCGCGCGTCGGCGACGATGCGCGCGAGCGCGGCGCGGGCGAACGCGCGCGCGCGCGGCGCGATCGACGCGCGAGGGACGCGACGACGACGACGACGCGAGGGCGGCGGCGGCGGCGCGAGGGCGAGCGCGAGGCGACGCGCGGGAGCGATCGGGACGCGCGCGACGGCGGGAGAGGGCGCAGGAGAGACGCGCGGGAGTGACGAGGACGCGGACGCGGCGAGGGAGGCGCGACGGGAGGCGCGACGGCGGACGGGAGGACGAGGCGAGACGCGCGGCGACGGCGCGAGCGCGAGCGGGACGCGCGCGGGGGACGAAGAAGGCGAAGACGCGAGGGCGGCGAATGAAAAATGGATGGAAATATTAAAGGAAGAATCGGCGCGCGATCCGGAGATCGCGGCGTTGCTGGAGGGGGCGAATGGGGATCCGAAGGCGGTCGAGGCGAAGATTCGAGAACGGTTTGAGCAGAAAAAGGCGAAGATTTATCAAGAGAGGAGTGGATCTACCGTGCCGACGCTCGTGAGGTTTCGCGAGGTGAACCCGTTCAATTGCTGGATATGGGTCGAGTCGCACAACGCGATCGCGGAGATGGAAAAACCGTTGTTTGAGGAAGTGTTTAAAGCGTGGTTTGTGCTCGGAAAATTGGGCGGATTCAACTCGTACAACATGCAGGCGGGTGAAAATTTTGATTCGGTGTCGTTCATGGACTATTCAATGGAACAAGCGCACGAATTTAGCACCGATACATCGTCGCACGTGTTCCACGAAATGTCAGAGGTGGAGTACAAGGCGGAGTGGGCCCGCGTGTGGGTGGATCTGGGCACCGCGGACGAGATGGCGTTTGACGTTTTGATAAACTCTTTGATTCAGTTTTCGCGCGAGTACTTCGGTTTGAAGCAAGTCATCGTCGGTGGTGTAAACGAAGACTGGACCACTGAGGGAAGTGAGTACGGTGACGTTGATTTGATGGTTGACGAGACGTTCGGTCGAGGACCGCGCGGTCGACTCGGTTCGTCGCGATGAAGTCTAGACTTTAATAAGATTGTATTTTCAAGGGCGTGTATTTCTTCTAGTGACCTCACTTACCGCGCGGAAGGTATTGTAAGCGCGCGAGCTGGTACTCCTTGTCGCGAATGATCACCGAGTTCGATCCCCAATGAATCTCGTCCCAGCGCAAATCGTCGGCGGCGACGTCGACGTGCGCCTTCGGCAACGGCACTCCCACTTCGCGCGTCTTATCAAGCGGGAGCGGCTTCTTACTCGCGGCCCATCTGAATCTACTCTCTTCACCATCCTTTCCAGGCACGCAGCTCAACTCGTACCTCTTGTGATGCGTCTCGACGTACAAGACTTCCCGGCGAAGTCGCGCGCACGTCCACTGCGATCTCTTGAAGCCTTGATCTGCGACGAGGCTGACGCTGTACTTCATCCACGGTTCGTTGCATAAATTGTACTGAATCGTCACTTCACGAATCAAACCCTTCTTACCCGTGGCGTTAGCCGCAGAATTACGCGTGTGCACGACGTGCTCCTTCTCAATCGGGAAAAACGTTGGCGAAACCTTGCGACGCATCGTGTTCGGCGTCAAGTCGATTTCGACGCCAGAGCTCGTCACCGCCCGCGCGCTCTCGACGACAAATCCGCACCCTTCTTTGATGTGTCCCCACGATCGCGATCGAATACCGTTACGACTCGTCGAGGGATAGCCATCTTCCGGGTGCGGCGTCGCTCGAATGACGGCGCGCACCGCGCCGAGATTCGGCGGCATGACGCCGCTCGGACGATAATATCCAGTGTGCGTGAGCACGGCGACGATATCGGAATCCGCCGTGTAAACATCCGTGCCCCACAACTGCCTCGTGCGCAAGTGCTGATTCGCGGTCGACGTAGCCTCGGCGGGAATGCACACATCGAGCACGCCCTCGTCGAGCTTCAAGTGCGCCGCGAGCGACTCGCCCTCGCGATAGTCAACGCTCGTCACGTCGTCTACGATCGCGTCGAAACACCGTCCTATCGTCAGTCCCCCGTCACGCATCATCACTCAAAACGCGCGAATCGCGCGATCGTCGACGCGCGCACCTCCTTTCGTCGCGCCCTTCCCGTTTCCGTTCGCCTTCGTCTTCGCCTTGCCGGCGGGTTTCCCGTTCGCCTTCTCCGCCGCCGCCTCCGGCTCGGCGTTCGACGTCCGCGAGCTCCTGCGGTTCGACTTCGCGTTCGATTTCTATGCATCAACGTTCACATTCGCGCGCGTCGTCAGTCACCGCGTTCCGCGCGCGCGTCGAATCCGTCGCGCGCGTCTCTTCTTTAAACGCGCCGTTCGCGCCTTCGCTCGCGCGCGATCCGACGCGACGCGTTCCCGACCGTCGTCGTCGTCGCGCGTTCGTCCCGCGCGCGCGTCGCGGTTCGGCGGCCATCGCGCCGTCGCGTCGCGTCGCGTCGCGTCGCGTCGCGCGCGTCGCGCGCGTCTCCACGCACGTCGTCGTCGCCCGTCGGATTCTCGGCGATCGTCGCCGTCGTCGCGCGCGCGCGTTTGCCCGCGCTCGGCGTCTCGCTCGCGTCCGCGTCGGCCGCGTCTTCGCTCGATCGTCGTTTCATCGTCCCGCGGGCGCGCCGCGCGTCGACGCGTCGACGTGTAACGCGCGCCGCGGGGCGAGGGACGCGACGCGCGCGGTTCGGGGGCGTCGGCGTCGCGCGGCGAGGACGAACGCGAGTCGCGCGCGCAGACTACAAGGCTAGAGTGAGGCGCTAAAGCGACGGCGAGCGTCGCGTGACGTTGGTGGGATATCCGGCGGGATATTCGTACGTCGGATATCCGGCGGGATATTCGTACGTCGTGTGATCGCGAAGGCGCGCCGGGATGGGTTCGTCCGGAAAGCACTTGGCGCGGCAGCGGCGCGCGCCGCGATCGCTGAAGAGGGCGTCGCACGCGTCGGCGCTCGCGAAGGCGCCGCAACGCTGACAGAAACCAGCGGCGGGGCCAAAACTGAAGTTGCAAAATGTGGCGCCGCCCGTTTGAGGGTCTTCGCGGCACGAGCGATGGCGCTCGTCGGCGTTGGGCGAACACAGTCTGTGCTGTTCGCGCACGCGCCTCGAGGAGACGCACGCGCCTTGGTCGAAATTGAACACGCATCGCGGCGATAACTGCGCGCAATCGTGACTGTTCGTGAACACGGCGCAACGACGTTCGGCCACGCACAGGCCGGTCGAGTTCGGAGCCGCGGCGTCTGCGCCCGTGTACACGCGCGCGTCGGCGATTTCAATCGTCTCCTCGACGTGCCACGTGCACGGTATCTGCTCCGCGATGGGCACGGCTGGATCTCTTCTGCACTCCTCCTGTGACGTCGCGTGGCAGACGATGTTCGCCCGCGCGATGTCGAAACACGTGCCTTCCGACCAGTCGCACGCGCCGCCCGCCGTGGTGCACGACGCGATGTCCCGGTACGCCGCGCACCCGTGCGTCGCGAACGAACACACGCCGGCGTCTTGATCGAACGCGCACAGACTGCCCTGCGTGTCGCACCCGATTTGACTCTCAAACGTGGCGCACCCTACCTGACACGCCACCCCCGTCCACGTGCATCCGTACAGATCCTTATCTCCCAAGCACGAAGCGGGCGTCGTCCACGCCGCGCAGCGCTCGACGACGCCGAGCGCGAACGCGCTCGGCGAGAATAAATGTCTCGTCAACAGGCTCAACGCCGGCGGCGGTGCCGGCGGTTCGGGCGGTGGTATCGGTGCCGGCGATGGCGGCGTCGGCGTCGCCGAAAACGTCGGCGTCGGCTCGCCATCCAACGAAACAGTCGTCGCCGGTTCGTCGCCCGCCGGCTGCAACACCTCGCCCCAATCCACCGTCAGCGGCGTCGCCGCGCTCGCGCTCGTCCCATCCGTCGTCGTCCCGTCCGTCGTCGTCGTCTCATTCGTCGCCGGCGCAAACGTCAACGTTCCATCCGTCGCGCCGTCCGTCGTCGTCCTCGCCGCCGTCGTTCCGCTCGTCGCCGTCGTCCCGCTCGTCGTCGTCGCCAGTCTCGTCGTCTCCTCGCTCGCGCTCGCCGGCGTCGCGCTCGCCGGCGCGCTCGCCGCGCTCGACGACGGTTCGACCGCGTACAACACCGCCCCGCACAGCGTCAGCGCGACGAACCAGAGGACGGCGATCGAGTACCCTCGGCGTCGCGGCCAGCGCGCGTAGCTCGCGGAGGGTGTTGCGTCCGCGCTCGGGTCGACGTCGACCGTCGCCGCGCGCGGCTCGGCGGCGTCGCGCCCGCGCGCGCGCGACGGTGAGAACGCGAACACCGATCGCGTGGACTCGCGGTCGGAGCGCAAGGGCGTGCGCTCGCTCGACGCCATCGTCGCGATGTGTGGGATCGCGAAAGGTGTTACGAAAATAAACGCGAGACGCCGCGGGCGAGACGGGGAGGGGCGTAATAAATACAACGTCGCGGCGAGAGTCACGACGGCCGGCGCGGCGTGGACGGGGTGACGTCGAATAAGACCTGACGCATGTAACGATCGGTGAGATCGACGCCGAAGGCGCGCTCGAGCGCTCTGCGAGTCTTGACGTTTTCGAGCTGACGCTCGCAAAATCGAACCTGGGCGTCGAGCGCGACGGAGGAATCGCTCGGAAGAATGAGTTCGGGCGCGCTCGCGAGCGCGCAGTTGGCGTCGTGAAGCTTGAAAGCGTAGCGGAAGAAGGCGTCGACGTCGGCTCGGGCGTCGTCGCCGACTTTGGGACCGACGCACAGGCACAACGGGCCGAGAATCGCGCGGCCCCAGTCCGGGAGCTCGCGTCGCGTCAACCCGTCCCCGAGCGCGCGTTCGAGCTCGGGCGCGAGCGCGTCGACGTAAGATCTCGGCAGGCTCAAATCTTTCGTCACCGGCGCGACGTCGGCGATGCACAGCGACACGCGTCCGCCGAAGCCGACGACGTCCGCCGCGAACACCGGCGCCGCGCGCTCCGCCCACGGATACATCACCACGTGCAGCACCTCGAACCCACCGTCGCCCCACGCCAGCTCGCAGTGCATCTTACGAAACACGTCGCTCTCGTACACCGCGTTCTCCACCGACAGCTTCGCCTCCGCGTCTTTTCCCGGCCGCATCGACGTCATCGCCGCCGGCAGCGCGCTCGCCCTCGCCCCCGCCGCTTCCCATCGCGCGACGAACGCCTCCGCCGCGCGCCGCGTCGTCGAGCCCTCGGGCGCGCGTTCGGCGCCTCGCCACGCGAGCGTCGTCGCGCGCGCGCGCGTCCGCGCCCCGCGGTCGCCGTCGACGCGAATCTTCGGCGTCGCGCGTCGTCGCCGCGCGTCGTCGCGCGCGCGCGCGCTCGACGCCTCGCGCCGCCGCGCGCGCGTCGGCGCCGTCGCCGCGCGCGCCCTCGCGCGCGCGCGCGCCGTCGCGCGCGCGCGCTGCCGCGCGATGCGCCTCGCGCGCGGCGCGCGCGCGCTCGCGAACGCGTCGGCGACGCGCGCGCGCGACCGGCGCGCGCGTGCGACGCGCGCGGCGACGACGGCGCGACCGAACGCGCGCGCGACGAACGAACCGACGAACGAACCGCGCGCCGCGGGACGCGCGAACGCGCGCGCGGCGGAACGACACGCGCGAAAGATGCGCGATGAGATCGACGACGACACCGACCGCGCGCGCGCGTGTCGAGGGACGTGCGCGCGGTGCGGACGCGAACACGCCATGGCGAGGACGGCGGAGGCGGAGGCGGCGGCGCGAGACGTCGCGGAGAGGATACGGGCGAGCGGAAGGATGGATTACGACGCGACGGTCGCGGACGCGCGGTTCGATGCGAAATATTTAGAGACGGCGGAGGGAGGGAAGATGATCGGCGCGCTGGTGGGGAGGCGGAAGACGACGGGCGAGCGGGTGACGCTGAAGGCGTTTAGCGGACAACTGTTCGGCGAGTGGAGAGTCGAGGGATGGGCGCCGCCGGTGGGGGAGCTGACGCACGATACGGCGTATTACAAGAGTGAACACGGGAAAATAAAGGCGCTGAGCGAGCGCATCGCGAAGGCGGAGATGGAGGAGAGGATGACGCGCGCCGAGGTGCGCGAGGCGACGGCGGCGCGAGACGACGAGGCGAAAGCGCTCGCGGCGGAGGCGAAACGCGCGAAAGAGGCGAGACGAAGAGCCAGAGCGGACGGGGCGAGCGATGCGATCGTCGAAACGCTGGATGAAGAGAGTCGCGCGTCGAAACGAGCGATGTCGACGTTGAAGAAAGCGCGCGACGCCGCCGTCGCGCCGAAACTCGAAATCTTGGCGCGCTTGCGCGCTCGCATCGACGACATGAAGTCCGAGCGCAAAGCCTTATCGCGCGCGTTGCAGGATAAAATCTGGGAAGGTTATAAATTACCGAGCCTCGGTGGACAAGTTCGTCCGCTTCGCGACGTGTTTCATCCGCCCGTCGCCGCGCTTCCGTGCGGGTGCGCGGATTGCGCCGCGCCCAAACTCTTAGCCTGGGCGCACACCCTCGGGATCACTCCGACGTCGATCGCCGAAATATGGATCGGCGCGTCTCGACCGCGCGACTTTCGCGTCCGCGGCGTCGCGTACGGGGCGTGCCGAGACAAATGCGTCCCCATCATGGGACACATGCTCTGTCCCGAGCCCCCCGACGCGCGTAGCGTCGACGCCACGACCCCCTGTCGTCATAGGTAGCGCCAATCGCGCGTGTAGGTCACATTAGAGTTAGCGCACGCTTTCCCGCGCCCGCCACCGCCGCGTCGTCACCGACGCGTCGCGTCGACGGCGTTAAAAGCGCCCTTTTCGGCGTTTCGTCACGAGTGATCCGTGTTTGACCGTGGTTGCGTCCTAGCGCCAGGGTGTTACGCCGACGCCATCGCCGCGCGCGCGCGGAGCGTCGCGCCATGCAACGCCCCGGCGCGACGAACGACGACGATGGCGTCGCCGACGGCTCGGCGAGCGAACCGCGGTCGGCGACGCTCTCGCGCGTCGATTCGCAGTCGGCGACGCAACGCTCGGTCGCGGAAATGAAAGACGCGCTCGGTTGGTCGACGTACCAGTGGCGGCTGTTCTGCGTCTGCGGGCTGTGCATCATGGCGGAGAGCATAGAGGTAAATCTGTTGTCGTTCTTGACGATCGAATGTAAGCGGGAGTGGGGACTGAGCGCCGCGAAGGCGGATGACATCGCGGGGAGCGTGTTCCTGGGCGAAGTCGCGGGGTGCGTGCTGTTCGGGCTCATCGCCGACGCCGTGGGCCGACGGCCGGCGTTCGCGTTGGGTGTGTTCCTCGTCACTGCGTTCGGGATCGCCTCGGCGTTTAGTCAATCGTCGACGCAGTTGATATTGTTTCGGTTCGGGTGCGGCGTCGGCATCGGCGGTTTCAGCGTGCCGTACGATTTGTTGTGCGAGTTTTGTCCGAACACGAGTCGGGGAGTTGTGATGATGGGATTGTGGATTTGGTGGACGGTCGGGTCGTTCATGACGCTCCAGATAGCGGCGACGACGCTCGAGAGTCAGGGTTGGCGAATGTTGTGCTTGTACTGCGCGATTCCACCGCTTTTGAGCTCCATCGGTTTGTATTGGGTCGACGAGAGCCCGAACTGGCTCGTCATCAAAGGCAGACGCAAGGAGGCTGAGCAAATACTTGCAAAAGCGGCAAAAATGAATGATGTGGACTTAGGAGAGATGGAGCTAGAGGTGGAAGAGCACGCCTCGCTGGACGTGACGCTGTTGTTCAAGGATGGGAATTCGGCGCGCACGGTGATGGTTTGGATCGTGAGCTTTGCGCAAACCTTCATCTATTATGGAATCGTGCTCTATTTGCCGCGAGCGTTCTTAGTGCTCGCGGACGGTAAGAACAAAAAGACGACCGAAATGTCGACGGAGTACCCGTACTGGGCGCTCTTTGCGTCTTGCGCCGGAGAACTCTTGGCAAACTTTTTGGCGTTATTTTGCGTTCAAATTTACAGTCGCTCAAAGTTGATGAGTTTCTTCTTTGCTGGCTTCGCGTTGACGTTCCCAGTCATCATTACAGACGTTCCCGACGTGATCATGGTAGTTTTTGCAATGTTGGCGAGACTTTGCGCGACAATTGCAGGGAATCTCACTTGGCTAATCTCTCCGGAGGCGTATCCAACGCAAGTGCGCGCCACGGGACACAGTTGGGCGAACATGGCCGCGCGGGGAGGGGCATTTGTGACGACATATTGGGCATCGTATCACGACACCAACATCGTGTTCATCGGCTATTCAACAGTCGCAATCGTGGCGGCCATCACATCGTTCATGTTACCTCCCGGAGTCATGCCGGGGAGTAATCCGAGAGATGTGTTCAACCGCCACGGCGATAAAGTAGATTAATAGGAAGCATAGTGCATGCATATCGTTCGATGAACTTTAATAAAAATGCATAGCTAATCGCGTTCACAGTCTAACCGAGCAAGTCAATCATCAGCGCCTCTTGCTTGTGCGTGATTCCCGCTTCCGCGATAGTCCCCGCGTCGTCGCTTTCTATGACCCGACGAGGATGTTGCGCGACGAGTCTGTACGTCCCTGGCTCGACAGCGAGCCGAGAACTACCAGCATGGAGCTTCTCGTAACCGTCGATAAACAAAAACAGCGCTCGTGCGCTGTGTGATGATAGAAATCGGCGCATCACGCGTGAACCGTCCGGTAATCTAAACGCAATGTTCACCACGTCGTCGTCCCCGATGTTGGGTTCGTCCGGCAGCGCCTCGGCGGCGTCGGCGGCGATTTTCGCGCGCGCCGCTTCCTCGGCCTCTCTTTCGGCTTTTTCTCGCGCCTCCGCCTGTGCCTTTTCTGCCTCAATCATTTCCTTCGCGATTTTCTCCGCCCGTCGTTGCGCCTCTTTCTCTCGATCCGCCCGCAGCGACTCTTCGTACGCTCGATCCGTCTCCGTCGTGATCGACCGCGCGTTCAAAACACTCGCCGGCGCCGGCGCGCTCGGCCCGTAATCTGCCATTCTACTCGCCGTTGCGTTATCTGGTGGAATGTACGCCACACCCAACATGGCCGCCTCTAACATTCGCGCCTCCTCGCGATCGATGCCGTCCGGTAAATCGATGTCGCCGCCGTCGCGAGCCTGGAACGCCGACGCCCCCGCACCACCGAACCCAAGTCGATCTCTCGTCTCCATCCGCGCCCGAGTTCTCGCATCTCCCCCCCACGCATCTTGTCCCATCCGCGCGTTCACCGTGGCCGAATTTCCAAAGATCCGCGCGTCACTCGGGTCGTCCTCGTCCTCGCCCATCAAATCGATCGGCGACGACCCGTCGTCGTCCCAATAATCATCCGAATCCTCATCCATGGTCCCTTCGCCGTCGCTGATCACCATCGCATCGTCCGCGTTCTCGCCTCTTCGGCCCACGCGATCGCCGCTCGCGCCGTCGCGCGTCGCTCGCGTTCGATCGATCTCGTCGTCGTCGTCGTCGTCGAGAGACGCCGCGCGCGCGTCCAGCGTCCCGTTGTAGAACGCGTCCACCGCCGCGTCTAAATCGTCGTTACACGCCTGTTTGCAATCGAATCGTCGCGGCGTTCGTCAGCGTTCGCGTCCTCGCGCTCTCGCGTCGCGCGCGCGTCGTCGCGTCGTCGTTGAATTCGAAAACCATCGCGTCGCCATCGTCATCTTTAATCCGCGTCTCGCGCGTCCTCGCGCGTCCTCGCGCGTCCTCGCGCGCACCTTCAGCCCGCGCGAGCAGTACCGCAGGTCCGCGCACCCGGTGACGCTCGCGAACGTCGCGATGAGGACGTCGCGCGGCGCCATCGCGCGACGAACGCGTCACACTATGACGCCGGCAGGTCCCGACGGCGTCGACGACGCGGCGCGCGCGACGACGACGACGACGACGACGACGACGACGCGAGATAAGCTCCACGACCGCGCGCGCGCCGCGCGAGACGCGCAGGCGCGCGAAGACGACGCGCGCGAGCGTCGCTTGCGAATGATTGAAATGTCGGTTGAAAAGTGCCATCAGCGCACGCACGCGCTCGCCAAGCTCATCAAGTGCGCGCGAGAGGAAGATCAAGAGATGATTTCAGGGGCGCTGGACGTGGTCGAGCGCGTGCGGGCGCGGGTGGAGGACGCGGGCGGGGACGCGAGGGAGGAGACGCGCGGCGGCGGCGGCGCGTCGACGACGACGACGTTCGATCACGCGGCGTTTGAGCGGCGCATGGACGCCAGAGTGGATCGATTATTGGAACTCGTCGTGAATGCGGTGCAGCGGAACGCGACGCTGGTGAGCGCGGAGACGATGACGACGACGCGGGGAGAGGTTGACGCGCTGCGGGAGGCGTTGCGCGCCGAACGCGAGGCGCGCGCGAGGGACGTCGAGCGACTGACGGCAGACGTCGAGCGGTTGAAGCGTGAACGAGCTGATGGTGCGTGTGTGGAGAAGGAACGTGTGACCGCGTCGGTGAGTGCGCGCGACGCAACGCGATGCGACGAGGACGACGCGTCGGATGAGGAGTGCGAAGCGGCGGCGGCGACGACGACGAGCGGGCGGCCGGAGTTGGACGCGCGGCGACGGCGGCTTCAGGGTTTATACCGCGAGTTACAAACGCTTTCGTTTTAAGACGCTGACTATTTATTCGCGTCCGGCCTCCCCGCACGGGGCGCGTGATTTTGCTGCCACGTGTGCGTGAGTTTGTCGTCGCGGCGAAAAGTCAACACGGTTGACCGAGTTTGACTGCCGCGCGTGGCTTCACAATGCGATGCAAGCTTGGACGCACGCGCGCGTGAGCTTTACGCAAACGACAAACACTTGCTGATAACAACATCGCTCGGTGGATCGGCGTGGACTTATTGCGCGCGACGGTTCGATGCGTGCGCAAGTTGAGACACCTCTCACGTCTACGTCGACCTCTGATGACTCTATATACGTCCGCGTGCCACCATCTCGGCTTCGTGGAGTCGAAAAGCAAGCTCGACGACCAGTGACGAGTCCGTCGGCGCAGACGGCCAAGCTTCTTGTCGCAGTGCGAACGAGACCAGTTGAAGTATCGGTGGACAACGCGGCGAGAGGCGAAAACGCGGAGCGTAGCGCTACATCCGTATCGACGCCAAACGCACGTTTAACGAGCTCGACGAACGCACTGTCGTCTTCGGTGCAGTCCTTATCTGGAATTGGTCGCAAGAAGAGCATATTACGCGTCGTCAATCGCGACACAGTGGTCGTGATGGACCCCGACGAAGAGAAAGCATACTTGGACCAAGTGCAACGGCGGAGCAAGGCGCGGCGATACACCTTTGACGTCGCCTTCAACGACACGGCGACGAATGCGGAAGTCTACGACGCTACTGGTCGTGGTTTGATATCGGGCGTCGTAAACGGCATGAACTCGACCGTGTTCGCGTACGGCGCGACGGGTTCAGGCAAGACGCACACGATGATCGGCAACTACGATGAACCGGGAATGATGTTTCTTTCACTCGTTGACATATTCGATCAAATCAAGTCATTGCGCGAGAGCTACGAATTCGAAGTCAAGTGCTCGTACTTGGAGGTGTACAACGAGCTGATTTACGATTTACTCATCGTTGACAGCCCACCGCTCGAACTGCGCGAGGATCCCGAGCGCGGCCCAGTTCCGATGGGCTTGACGCGCATCGCAGTCAAGGGTCCGGACGACATCACGAAACTCTTGCACGAAGGTAACGAGCGTCGTAGCATCGATCACACCGAAGCAAACGCGACGAGTAGCCGTTCTCACGCAGTCTTAGAGATTAGCGTGAAGCGTTGGGAGAAGAGCGCCAAGGGCAAAGAGAAACACGTTTTATGCGGCAAGCTCTCCTTGGTTGATTTGGCAGGGAGCGAGCGAGCGTCGGACACGCAAAACTGCGGACAGAAACTCCGTGACGGTGCGAATATCAACAAGAGCTTACTGGCATTGGCAAACTGCATCAACGCTCTGGGACGTCACAGCAACTCGAAGGCGAAGGGCCGCATGTACATCCCATACCGCAATTCCAAGTTGACCCGTCTGTTGAAGGATGGTTTGTCGGGAAATTCACGAACAGCGATGATAGCCACCGTGAGTGCTTCGAGCGAACAGTACAACCACACCATCAATACCTTGAAATATGCCAATCGGGCGAAGGAGATCAAGACCAACGTGGCGCAAAACGTCGTCATCACTCGCGAGCGGCATCACATCGGCGATTATCAACACGTGATTGATGATTTGCAATCGAAAGTCGCGCGTTTGAAGACACAGTTGGCGAATAAAGAGGCGACGCCGAGCACGAGTCAGCCGAGAATGAGCGGGGGTGGTTCTTTCTCCGAGGCTTGGTTGGATGCGTTGAGCGACGATATAAATGAAAACGTCGAGGAGCGCATTAATATTCAAAAGGCACTGTTTGAGCTCGAAGATATCAACGCACAAAACGTGTACGAGCGTTCGGCGCTCAAACGCAGGCTGGTGGAAATCACAGAAAAGAACCCGAACAACGTCGAACGACGGAATCTTCGCGGGCGCATCGACGCCATCGATGAAACCATTCGCGCGAATGAATCCCTCGGCGCAAAGTACCGAAAAGACATAGAAGCGAATGAACTCGTTCGAGTCGCCATTCAATCGCGCATAGACGCCGCGATCGCTGAAGGTAAATCGCCTAGTTTCTTGCGAATTCTTTCACAGTACAGGCTCGTCGGGGTGAAGAACATGGAGTTGCACTTTCAGCTCGCCATTCGCGATCAAATAGTCAGCGAGCAGCGTGAGATGATTCGTGGGTTTTGGGAAGTCATGGCCCACGCTGGATTGAGTAAGACTCTAGTGCAAGACATCGCAACTCGTGAGGGTATACGCATCGACAGCGCTCGCGCGAGCATATCGCGAACGCAAAACGAGAGCTCGCTTCGCGCGAGCAAGGAATTTCAGAGTGGAATTTCCGCGCAAAACGACGACAAGTGGAAGCCCGCGGACGGTCGTTTGGAACCATCGCCACGACATGGAAGGACGCATTCCGTGGAAAAAGTGACGGGCGCGCAAGCACAAACACCACGCCCGCTTGCAGCGCGCCGGCGTGCGGTGGCGCTCGATATCGTGCCGACGACGCCGACGACGCCGGCTTCGAATCGTTCGCGAATCGATCGCTCCAGACCGCTGAGCGCGAGACCGCTGTCCGGTTCGATGAGTTCGCGTGGCGAATACGTCCGCTCGAGCGCGCCAAATAACGGCGGATTGTTTGGATACATCCAGCGTCTCTCGACGAATAGCAGTCCCCGGCGAGCGCCGAGCGAACCGCGCGCGGCGGGGCCATCTTCGCGTTTAATCGAAGCGCGAGCTTCGAGGCAACGCGCGGCGACTTCGGCGAGCAGAGGGTCGACCAGTAACGTATAGGAAAGAAATTATTGTAACATCGAATTAGTTTGCACAGGCTTTCTCGGTGCGACGGAGCATGACTCGGTACACGGGAAGCCCTTCGCCGAGCGTCTGCACCTCGCGTTCTGAAGGAATGCCGATTGGATTCTCGCTCAGCCATCCGCCGTGCACCCACGTCGATCGCCACCCATCGTCGTCGTCAGAGTCGTTATCATCCACTGGTTCGTTGGCCGCCGCTGTCGCCTTCGCGCGAACGTCGTCGACGTCGTACAACTCATGGTCCAAATCGAAGCACCCGTCGGAAAAGCGCTCGAATTTCTCGCGCATGTCCTCGGTGAGCTCTTCCACATCCGATTGCAAGTACACGCGCGCACCGGGGCGCATCTCCCTCGCCAGCTGCCGAACCATCGTCGCCTGCACGATTCGACGCTTCTTGTGCTTCGTCTTAAAGTGCGGATCCGGGTGTAAAATGGTCACCAAGTCCACCGTCGCGCCGCTCGTCTCGTGATAACTCTTGATCCACTCCCCGATGGACACCGTCGCGTTACACGTCGCGAAGTGCACGTTATCCACCACCCCCGACGCCTCTCCCCACGATAACCCTCGTTCGACGAGCGGTTCGCGGATGTCCAACCCCAGCACGTTCTTATCCGGATTCCGCTTCGCGTACAACAAATCGAACCGCCCGCCCGCGCACCCCACGTCGATCGTCAACGGCTTCCCCGCGTCCCTATACACCTCCCTCCACGCCGGCGCCGGCGCCTGCGTTTGAAACCTCTTCGTCAGCGGGTTCACGTGCTGACGCACGCGCACCCCTCTCACCTTTTTACTCGCCTCCTGCAGGTTCAAATCCGCGAACGCGCTCGCCTCCGTCATGAGCAGCGCGCCGTGCTTCAGCGTAAAGTTCCGCATCCCCGTCACGCCCAGCGACGCCGCCGGGTCGCGCTTTTGCTTTTTACCGCCCTCGCTCGCGCTCGCGCCCTCGCCGCGCGTCTCCTCGCCGCGCGCGTCCGCGACGCGTTCGCCGCCGCCGCCGCCGTCGACGCGCGCGCGCATGCTCGCCGCGCGCGCGCGCGCGCGACGCGCCGTCCCGACGCGCGCGCGCGACGCCGATCCCGAGACGACCCTTCGCGCGCTCGCGCTCGAGGCCTCGCGTCGCGCCGCGAAGCGAAGCGTCGACGCCGCGCGTCGCATCGACGCGCGAAGTGACGACGCGCGAGACGGCGACGCGCGACGCCGCGACGCGACGCGACGCGACGCCATGCGCGCGCGCGCGACGACGACGACGACGCGCGGCGCGTCGTCGCGCGTCCGCGCGGCGACGAGGCGACGCGCGCGACGAGGCGACGCGCGGCGATCGCGACGCGCGTCGACGTCGCGCGACGACGACGGCGACGACGCGCCGCTGAGCGAGGCGTCGCTCGCGGACGTCGTCGAGCGGCTGAAACGCGCGGAGGAGGATCGCGAGCGCCTGCGCGCGGCGCTGGAGGCGAAGAGCGGCGGCGCGGCGACGGTGAAGACGGTGGACGAGCTGGCGCGCGAGACGCCGCGCGGGACGACGGGCAAGGCGCGCGTGGACGGCGTCGGAAAGCGAGAGACGCTGTTCGGAACGAGGAGCGAGGGCGACGCGTGGTTGAAAGATGGAATGGAGTTCTTGGTGCGCGAACAGCCGAGCGAGGCGGGTGGGGTCGGTGAGGCTGGGATGACGGAGGAGGAGGAGAAGACGGTGCGGCGACGAGCGATCGTCGGCGCGGCGCTGACGGCGGCGTTCGTGGGGCTGAGTCAGATCTCGATCGAGAGCCCGGAGCCGGTGAAACCGTTGTTCTTTTATTTGGTGCCCGTGGTGCGGAGTCGGGAGTTGCTGCGCAGGGCGGCGACGTTGGCGGAGGACGGCGCGTGGGACGAGTTGAACTCGACGGTGAGTCGCGTCGTGGGACCGCCGAACAACGTGAAGGATAATCTATTCAAAGCCGCGGCGTACTTGAGCGGGAGTAAAGAGCAAAAGGCGCGCGAGATCGCGTTCGATTTCTTGGAGTACATGGAAAAGGTCAACTACTCGAAGTATTTCGAGAACATGGGCGCCGTCGGAGGCGGCAAAGCCGCCGAGTACGCCAAGTTTTCGAGCAAGGCGAGCAAGAGCGCGATCGGGAAGTTGGACGAATTCTTGGCGCTCATGGACCGCGAAGCCGTGCAAGCGGCGGAATCACAAGTCATGGCGTTCGAGGCCGAGTTCACGAAATCGGCGCCCGAGACGCAAGACGCGGAGGAACCCGCAATGTAATCGCACGCTTCTCATGATCACGTTACGTTACATCCGCGCGCGTCGTTACGATGGCTTAAAAATCGTCGTCTTCCGTGTCCGAGTCTTCGTTATCTTCAAATCGTAGCTTCCAACCTTCGGCGACGAGCTGCTTGCGTACGACGACGACGCTCACGCCGTCTTCGGCCGGAACGCCGCACGCGGCGAGCGTTTTGCCGTCATCGAGCTCGCGGCCGTTATACATACTGTTTTAAATCGGAAACACAGGTCAATTCACGACGCAGTCAGTCACGTTTCGCGAGACTATCGACGGAGTCGCGTCTTCGCCGTCGCCGTCGCGTCGTCTCGCGCGCACATCAACTCCCAAGGCTCGACGAACTCTTCCAATCGATGCAACGTCTCCACGGGCGGGAGCCCGATGAACTCCGCCACTCTCGCCTTCACCTGCGCGCGTGAAACGTCATCGAATGCCGCATTTCAAAGTTTTCGCGCGTCCTCACCTCCTTCGCCGTCGTCTCGTCGTGCTTCACCTCCAAGTCGAATTCGTCGAGCGCGAACGTTCTCGTGGACATCGACGTCTTCCAGTACAGGCTCCACTTCTCCTGCTGCAGCCTGGGCTTGATGTGCACCCGCATCGTCCTCGCGCGTCGTCGTCGTCGTCGTCCTCGCGCGTCGTCGTGTGCGTCGTAACGCCCGAGCGTCGCCTCGAGAGTGTCGCGTCAAAACCGTCGGTTCGCGTCGTAAACAAAAAAATTTAGGGTTCGGACACTTTCAGGTACAGTGCGTATTTAGTGTACCCGTAAGCCAAGCGGCGCGCGTCGCGCGCCGCGAGCTCGCGAAAGTTACGGGCGCGCCGTCGCGCGACGCGGCCGACGCGCGCGCGCCGTCGCGAAACGTCACACCGCGCGCGCGACGTCGCGGCGGCGCGATGGCGCCCGACGACGCCTGGACGCCGGTGACGCGCGCGGGTAAGCGCGCGATCGGCGCCAGGGCCGAGGCCGCGCTCGCCGCGCGCGCGGCGGCGACGAACCGCGCCGTCGACGCGCGCGCCGAGGAAGCGGCGCTGTCGGCGGAAGAACTCGCCGCGCGCGTCGCCGCGTGCGCGACGCGCGTCGAACGCGCGACGGCGGACGTGCGCGCGGCGTCGCGCCTGGACGCCGCCGTCGACGCGGTGCGCGACGCGGCGGCGACGCGCGCGCGCGGGCGGGCGGTGACGGTGCTCGCGTTGGGTTTGGGGTCGCCGGACGCGAGCGCGGCGGCGAGGTGTCAGCTCGCGTTCGCGTCGCGCGCGTGCGAGCGGTTGCGCGAACGGTCGAACGACGACGCGACGCGCGTGCGGTTGAAGGCGTACGATCCGTGCTTTACGATTGTGGACGAAAAGGTGCTCGCGGGCGACGGCGACGAATGCGAGACGTTGACGCGGGAAAGGTGCGACGAGTACGTGTCGGCGTCTTCGTCGACGAGGGATGAGTTGGTGGTGTTTTACATGCCGCATTGTGAGGGACACTTGTACGAAGACGTCGTTCGCGCGCGTTGGAGCGTGGGCGCGTTGAGAGATTTAGTGTGCGTCGGGAACACGTTTGAGACGTACGCCGATCGATGGCGAGCGAAGAGCGCGGATCCCGAGAAGAAGCGACCCTCGCACGTCATCGCGGCGTCGTCCATCGCTCGCGCATCACTGCTTGATCCGGGGGATACGTTTGCCGTGCAAGGCGCGTTCAACGACACGAGCGTGCAAACGTTTGAGTTGGAGAGCGATGAAGAATTACCAGCGGTGGTTGACGCTTCGTGAACGTTGGTAGACGCGCGGCGTCAATGTGCTGTATTTAATTGCGAAGACTAGATTGTGTACTTGCTCACCATCTCTTGCGACTTTGACCAGAGCGCGGTCGCGTTAGCCTCGGTGCGCCATTCAAACAATTTTTCCGGCATCCCGAGCTGCGGCGCCAAAAACTCGGTACCACTCGACAAGAACCAGTCGCCAGCTTCGACGAGTTGCGCGCGCGTGGCACCCGGGTAAACCAAACCAGGATCAATGAAGAACTTGCCGGTTTCTTTCGCCGCGGCATCGGAAGTGGCGAGCCAGACGGACGTCCGGCCGCCTTCGTCCGGGTTGCGAATGCCAGCTTTCGCCGCGAGTCGCCCCGCGAAGCTCTCGCGCTCTTTCGCCAAATCACGCTTGGACTGCACCAAGTCGGGCACCGAATAACGGACTAAATTGGTCGTTACGATTCCTGGGTGCAAACTGTTCGCCACGATACCATTCTTGCCTTCGCGGCGAGCGAATTCGTCGGCGAACAAGACGTTTTGCGCCTTCGACGCACCGTACGCGTACCAAGGGTCGTACTCGCGTCTGTTCCAATCTAAGTCGTCTAAGTCCAACGCGAAATCGCCAATCATCGAGAGCAAACTCGATACGCTCACGACGCGCCCTTTGGTTTCTCTCAACGCCGGCGTCAGCGCGTCGGCGAGTAAAAAATGTCCCAAATGGTTAATACCGAAGTGCAATTCGTGTCCTTGCGTGGTGCGCTCCAACGGCGCCGCCATGATCCCGGCGTTACACACCAATGCCTCGAGTGCCAAATCCGAACGATCTAAAAACGCGAGCGCATACTCGCGCACGCTCGCCAAATCCGTGAGTTCCAAACCGACTGGCAGCGTCACCACCTTCGCGTTCGCGCCGACGTCTTCCTTCAACTCTCGAGCCGCTTGCTCAGCCTTATGCACGCTTCTGCACGCGATAACGACTGTCTTGCCCTGCGCGGCGATCTGTTTCGCCGCCGTGTACCCCACGCCTGAATTGGCGCCGGTTATCAGCACGCACGGCGTCTTCGTCGCCGCCGCGGGCGCGACGTCGACGTCGACGTCCGCATCCGCGCGCGCCGCGAGCCCAACGCCGAGCGTCGACAGTAAAACAGCGTCGCGAACGAAGTCGCGCCGCGAACGCGCGAGCGCAGGCGGCGCGGACGCGTCATCGGGCGTCGATGCGCGCGTGTTGTGATGACGTCTGCGGGTGGTTCGTCGCGTTGTCGTGGCGCGCTCGAGCGCCACACACGGCGTCGCGCGCGAAATTGACGGAGCGAACATTGCGACACGCGTGTTAGGCGATTGGATCGCAGACCTGCACCGCTCGCGCGCGTGAATGACGTGGATAAAGATGGTCGCTGCTGGATGCGCTTTTTGGTCGAGCGAGCGACGGTGCGAGAGGCAGGTAGAGGATGCGTGTATTAAAAATACGGGATACGCGCGACGTACGCGAGATTTTCGATATGATATGATATCACTCGCGACGGTGGTGGTACGACGCCGTCTTACTTGGCGGAGTGGTCGCCCTCCTTGCCGTTGCGCGAATATTGGCCGAGCGCGGCGGCGCCTGCCTTTTCCAATTCGGCGATGTACAAGTCACCCATCTCCTTGAGCGGAAGCTCAGTCTTACCTCGGCAAAGCTCGAAAAGTGGCATCTGCAGCGCCGCAGACCAGGAGAAAGACAAGTTCCAAGGATCCTTCGCGGACTTGTGCTTGTTGATGGCATCGAGGCGAGCAGCGGCGTCTTCGAGCGATTGGCCGCCGGACAAGAAGTTGGCGCTCACCATGGCGGTCGGGAAGCATCGACGGAAGACTTGCAGATTCGCAATCGCGAGTTCGTCCACGGTGTAGTTGGTCTTGCACTTCTTACCCGGGTTCACCATGTTGGACTTGAGGAGCGCGCCTTCCATGTACACGCCGTGGTCGAGCATCGACTTGAACAGCATGCTCTGCACCTTGACGTTCACGCGAACCGCGGTCTCAAGGTCGTGATCACCCTTGAGAGAAATATCCGGCTCCACGATCGGCACCAAGCCGACGTCTTGGCAAATCAACGCGTATCGCGCCAAATCCTTCATGTTCGTCTCGATGGTGAGCTCGCTCGGCTGACCGGTGGCCAAGTCAATCTCCAACGGCGAGCGCCATTTGGCGAATTTGCACCCGGCGTCTTTGTACTCTTGCAATCGCACCGCGAGCGAGTCCAAGCCTTGCATCACCGTCGCTCCGCTCTGGCCCGGCAGCGCGTACACCTTCAAGTGCGGTTTCACGCCCGGCACGATGCCGAGTTCGCTCAGCACCTCCGGGAACAGCTTCCCGTTCGTCGTGCTCTTTTGATACAACGTTTCCGGGTCCAAAATAGCCGCGCTCAGGTACTTGTTCGCCCCGGGCGTTTCGAACAACATTTGTCGATACGCCCGTCGGTTTTCCTCCGTATTCGTCACCCCCACGTTCTCGAACCGCATCCCGATCGTCCCCGGTCCCTCATCGCACGCCGTGATCCCTTTCCCCGCCTGTCCGATCGCCGCGCACACCGCCTCGAGCTCAGCCTTGCGCTCGCTCGAGAGATGCGCGCCGCCGTGGCACGAGCACGGTCCCCAGGCGTCGCCCGCGCTCGCGCGCGTGACGATCGTTTTCGTCGCCGCGCGTCGGTTCGAGCGCTTCGCGAGCGTCGTCGCGCGCGCGCGGACGACGGGCGAGGTTTGCATCGTTCGCGCGACGGTCATCGCGGCGCGCGATCGCTCGCGAGCGCGGCGTCGAGGTGTGCCGTCTCGTTTCCCGCGTTATCCATTGTCAGTCATCCAACGCTCGCGCGCGCGGCGCCGCAGAGCGCATCGCCGAGCGCGATCGCATGCGCGCGGCGGCGCGGCGGTGCGCGAGAGCTTCTCGCGCGCGCGCGCGGCGGTCGGACGCGCGCTCGCATCGCACGGATGCGTCGAAAAGCGTGCCCACGTACGGGGCCGAGGATGCGTTCTTCATCGGCGCGACGGCGCGTTCGGGGCGAGGGGCGTACGCCGCGCGCGCGCTGGCGGCGAACGAGGCGGTCATATCGCGGGAAAGACCGTTGATGTGGCACAGAACCATGGACAACGCGCGATCGAGGTGCGAGTGGTGCTTGCGGGCGTCCGCGGGCGGGGCGACGTGCGAATCGTGCGCCGACGCGCGTCGATTGGCGTACGGCGATTTCGAAAAGACGCACGGGGTGGATTTGAGCGAGCTCGAAGCGTACTGCGAAAAGAATGGTGGTTTAAAATTTCCTTTGATCACCGCCAGAGCGGCGTCTATGATCGCCAGCGGAGCGTTGAACAAGAGCACGCTGGAATGGTTGTGCGCGGCGAACGACGTGGAAACCAATCCGCCCGCGCAGTGGCTCGAAGAGTGCGATGTGTTGCGACGAGCATTCGGCGACGCGGGGAAAGATATCATCACACCCGCGTGGTACGCCGGAATCACGTCCCGTCTTCATTTAAACTCGTTCCGAGTGGAAATTCCAGTCGACGCCGCGGCGTCGACGACGGATTTCAAGGACGTCCTATCCGCCGGATTGGACGCCATCACGCAAGGCACCGCGTCGGGTTCGGCGGTATACAAGTACGTGTCCCTACTCAATCACTCGTGCGCGCCCAACTGTCACACGCACTGGGAAAACGGCGATTCGTCGCTCACGATTCGCGCGCTTCGCGAAATCGCTCCGGGCGAAGAGCTCACGATAACGTACGTGGACGCCGATTCTCCGCGCGACGCCAGACGCGCGCGTCTCGCGAATTCCTACGCCTTCGATTGCGCGTGTTCCCGCTGCGCGGCGGGCGAACAGCGCGCCGCGAATAGTCTAGCCCACCCGTAGTTTCTCCTAGCTTTCCTCGCTCGCTCTCTTCTCCAACAGCGTCCTCGCCGCCGCGACCCCGTCGCGCCGTATCGCGTCCTCGCGCGCGCTCGCCCCTCGCGCCGCCGCCTTCTCCGCCAACTCCCGCTCCAGCGACGCCCGCGACGGGGCGTACCACAGCACCGCCGCCGGTCCCGCGGTCAACCACGTCGCCGCGGCGCTGATTTTAAAAGGCATCGTCGCGCGTTTCCTCCAGAAATACACCGCGCTCGCGAGCGACGCCGCCCCCGCGCTCGCGAACGCCGTCACCGCGTCTCGCGAGTCGTCCCTCGCGCCGACGTCGCGCGCCGACGTCGCCATCGCGCGCGCGCGTCGACGAGTGACGCCCGCGCGGTGCAAAGTCGTTACGCCCGCGCGATCGCGATCGCGCGTCACTCCCTCGCGCGCCGACGATGTCGCGCGCGATCGCGATCGCGATCGCGCGACGCGCGACGCGCGAACGCGCGCCGTGGACGCGCGTCGCGCGGCGCGCGCTGCACGTGCACGAGTACCAAGGCGCGGAAATCATGAAGAAGTTTGGCGTGCGCGTGCCGATCGGCGCGGCGTGCGGGACGCTGGACGAGGTCGACGACGCCGCGCGCGCGATGCGCGGAGACGAGGTGGTGGTGAAGTCGCAGATCCTCGCCGGTGGGCGCGGACTCGGGACGTTCGCGAGCGGGTTCGAGGGAGGGGTGCACGCGGTGGCGAAGACGCGCGCGCGAGAGACGGCGGCGAAGATGCTGGGGGGGACGTTGGTGACGAAACAGAGCGGACCGGCGGGGAAACCGGTGAACGTGGTGTACGTGGCGGAGAAAATGACGCTGACGCGGGAGATGTACTTCGCGATCACGCTCGATAGGGCGAGCGCGGGACCGTTGGTGATCGCGAGCGCGGAGGGCGGCACGTCGATCGAGGACTTGGCGCAGAGTCATCCGGAGAAGATTATTAAGATGCGGTTGGACATCGAGCGCGGGATGACGAAGACGCAGGCGGACGAGCTGGTGAAACGACTCGGAATTTTGAAACACGTCGATGAGGCGGCGAAACAACTCATGGGGTTGTACGAAACGTTCTCCAAGACCGACTGCACGATGATCGAGGTGAATCCGCTCGCGGAGGATCAAGACGGACGCGTCGTCGCCGCGGACGCCAAGTTAAACTTCGACGACAACGCCGAATATCGACAGAGCGAGTTGTTCTCCCTTCGCGATACATCGCAGGAAGATCCGCGCGAGGTGCAGGCGAGCAAATTCGACTTGAACTACATCGGATTGGACGGCAACATCGGATGCATGGTGAACGGAGCGGGTTTGGCCATGGCGACCATGGACATCATCCAACTCTACGGAGGTTCGCCCGCGAATTTCCTCGACGTCGGCGGGAACGCGAGCGAAGAGCAAGTCGTCGAAGCTTTCAAGATTTTGACCGCCGACCCGAAAGTTCAAGCCATCTTGGTGAACATTTTCGGCGGCATCATGAAGTGCGACGTCATCGCCGCCGGCATCGTCGCCGCGGCCAAGCAAGTCGATCTCAAAGTCCCGCTCATCGTGCGATTAGAGGGAACGAACGTCGAGGCTGGGAACAAGATTCTCAAGTCGTCCGGGATGACCATCGTCACCGCCGAAGACCTCGACGACGCCGCGCAAAAAGCGTGCGCCAGTCTCTCCGCGCGTTGAGTCGCTGTAATTTACAAAGCAACGCGCGCCGCGTCACTTGACCTCTAAAAGCTCCACGGTGAACTCTAAATCTTCCCCTGGCGGAATCGAACACGCATTTCCCGTCTTATCGCACCCCGCGCCGCGATCGCCGTACGCCAGCGCCGCCGGCACCACCGCTCTTCGCGCGCCGCCGACGCGCATCGGCGGCGTCGCCCCGTCCCCGCCCACGATCGCGTCGAATCCTTCGACCACCTCTCCGGCGCCGACGCCGAAGACGAAAAACTTTGCCGAGTCGACCCTCGCCTTGCTCGACGCGAGCGCGACGGTGTAATTCACCTTGACGACGTCGACGCCGGCGAGCACCTCGACGCCGCGACCGACGGTTTCTTCCACGATCACGACGCCGTCGCTCGCGCGCGCGCGCGCCGCGACGAGCGGCGCGAGCGCGCCGACGATCGTCTTCGCCATCGTCGCCCGTCGCGTGTCCGCGAGCGCGCGCGGCGCGGTCGCGACGCCGGCGAGCGTCATTCTGCCGCCGCCACTCGGCGTCGGCGGCATTGCGCGTCGCACCGCGTCTCGCACGCACGCGCGCGGTCGCGCGCGAGCGAGCGTCGAGCGCGCGCGCGCGTCGCGCGCGGGTCGAGCGGCGGCGCGCGGGGCGCCGTCGAACGCGCGCGAGGCGACGCGAAGTCGAAATCGAATTCGGAGTTCCATTGCTCCGACCGCGACCATGGGCGCGCGCCAAGGCGGGAGACGGCGCGCGGCGAAGCCGGGAGTGGCGAAACAGGCGAAATCGGGACCGCCGAGGGGGGCGACGACGTCGCGCGTCGTCGCGATCGAGGGCGCGATCGAGGGGGCGTACGCGGCGATCGAGGACGGTCGCGTCGACGAGGGCCTCGCGACGCTGCGCGCCGAGGCGAAGAAACATCCGAATGATGCGTCGCTGGCGGAGACGCTGGCGATGACGCTCGCGGAGTTTGGAACGCAAGAAGAGGCGATCGCGGCGCTGAAACGAGCGGCGATGCTGTCGCCGACGGAAGGGTACGAAAAGTTTATGTATCTGGGGCAGTTGCTGGACGACGGCGAGGCGGCGACGAAGTGTACGAGACAAGGGTTGGCGATATTAGAGGCACAGGCGCACAAGGGTGATGAAGACGCGCAAGGTGCGCACGCTTCGGCGTGTTGTGCGCTGGCGGAGCAAATTCTCGGGACGGCTGATGAGATGGACGCGGAGACGAGCGCTCAGGTGGAGGAGTTGATAAATCGCGCGAAAGCGAGCGATCCGGTCTCGGCGGAGCCTTTGCAGCTGTTAGCGAGCTTGAGAAACGAACAAGGAAAAACCGACGAAGCGCTGAAGATTTTGAAGGAATCCATACAGATGTGGCGTCAAGGGGCGATGCATCGGGACGAGGACGAAGAAAACGGCGCCGAAGAGTTTCAACACGAGTTCAACGTATCTTTTGAGTTTAGGTTCGAGACCGCCAAGCTGTTACTTGAACTGGACACCACGACCGAGATTGCTATCGACATTCTCTGTGAACTTCTTCGCGAGCGTGACGACAACGTTGACGTTTGGTACATGCTCGCGTACGCGCATCACGGCGCGCTCGAGTTTGACGTCGCGTTGGAACACTTGGAACAGGGCGAAGAGATAGTGCGTCAACGCGGGGGCGACGAAGCGGCGTTGGAGATGTTTGAAGAACTGCGCGCGGCGATCACGGAATCGAAAGCAACGATCGAAAGTGGCAAGGGTCCGGCCGACATGGATGCGGATTAATAGCGAAATGATTTTCGCGTTCGTGGAGGATCAAACATGTTTTAGTTCTCGTAATATACACACTACCCATTCATCCCACGCGATTGCTACTCGCGAGAATCATTCGCTATTCTTTTTCTTGCGTCGAGCTCGTTTCTTTTTCTCCCCACCCTGCGTCGGCGTCGGCGTCGGCGCCGCCTTTTGCTTCTTCTTCAAACAACTCAACGGATTCTTCCCACCCGACTTCTTCTTGAACTTGACGTTCGTACGAACCTTGTACACATCGCGCACTTCGCGTTCATCCACCCCGAGCGCGCGCAGCTCCTCCGCGCTCAATCCCAGCACCTCTTCCTGCTGCGACGTCAATCCCCCAGCCGTCGCGTCAGGCGGCGGCTCCATCTGCAACCCACTCGTGTGCGCGAACACAATCGGCACCGCCCCCGCGCACTCGCGCAACTTCTCCTTCAATGTATCGTCTTGCGTGCACACCACGAATCGTTCCTCGTTCTTCGCCCCGCACGCGTCGACGATGGACGCCGCCGCCGTCGCCTCTCCCGGCGCCGGTCCGCCGCCCACCAGGTGCAACTTCTTCGTCTGCATCGACGCCCCCTTGTACTCCGGGCCCATGTTTCGCAGCTCCTCTTGCACGCATCGCGTCGTGAACACCTTGACGTCCTTCGCGTTGGAGCCCAAGTACTTGGCGACGACGTCTTTGGCGTCGCCGAGGTTGAGCTTTTCGCAGGCGGCGATGAAGTTTCCGTCGCAAATCACCTTGTACGGCTCGCGAAAACCGTGCGCGGAGCGGTAGTAGCGCAGGTACTTTCGCACCTTGCGCGCGCGCTTGACTCGCATGAAAGAACCGGCGCGCCAGGCGAAGTGTGCGGGCGGCGCGTCTCGACGACGCGGCGGCTGGTCGATGCAGGAATTGGTGGATTACAATGGTTCGCTAGTCGCGCCGACTGTACGGCGGCGCGCGGGCTACTTTCGTTTATGCGTGTTTATTCTTCACGGTTGCGTCGTCCGCTCGGATTACGAGGAGGAAATCGCGGCGTTGTATCGCGCGTCCAAGATGGTTTGCGTGCTCGCCGCGAGCTCAGCCTTCAAGCTGTTCAAAACCGCCGAGCCGGTGGAGCCAGTCAGACCATTAGCGGCGGTGTAGGACTTGGAGGTCATGCCGCACACTGGGATACCGTTCATGGTCGAGATCAGGGAGGCGAGTTCTGGAACGAGCTTGAACATACCAAAGTATTCAGTCATGAAGGACTGCACGACGTTCCCGCCCTCGGCTTCGAGAGCGTCCAAGTTTGCAAATAACGCCTTGTACAGCGGCTGGTCGCACGCGCTCCAGATTTGTCTCGCCATATCGTCCATCTGAGCCGTCGACGTTTTCGTCGGAGTGAACGGCGAGGCGATGCCGCCCGGAGACTTGTGCGGAGCGTTCGCCGTGCTCCCGACGCGCGTAAACATAAACTTCTTCACGCGCGCTCGGAGCTGCCCTTGCTCGTCCATCGTCCGCAAAACATCGGTGAACAATCCATTACCGGTGATATCAGCGAACAGGCGGTTGAAATCCATGTCGTTGTAACTCAGAGGAATCACGATGGAATCCATCGCGGCGAACGCGAGCTTGGTCAACACGCACGCGGCCAAGTGATCGGTGTCGACAAAAATAGCGTCAAAGGCCTCGGGCAACGCCTGCACGGCGTCGCGAAACACTTCTCCAGCGCCAACCCACTCATCTCCCGTGCGCGCCCACAAAGGAATCTCCATCTCATCATCCGTCGCCATCGCCGTCGTCTCGCTATTCCAACTCACCGTGCCGGCGCCGGCGACCAGATACAAGTTCTTCGGCACTTCCTCGTTCACGTCGTGCGGACGAATCATGAAATCCGTCAAATCCACATCCGTTCGCGGTTCGTGTTTCAACTGCGCCGAGCTCCCCGCGCGCGAGAACCACGTTCCGAACACGCTCCTCTGCCCCGCGCGTCCGCCGTTTTCGCCGCGTCTCGCTTCGTCCCCTTCCCCTCTCGCCTGCGCCGCCACCTCCAGCGCGCGCACCAGCCCTTCCGCGCGATTATCCGCCTCCGTGATGTCCACGCACGTCTGCAGACCGCGCATGGGCGCACCGATCCCCTCGCGCGCGCTTCCGCCGAGCATCAAAGCGCTAATGTCGCTGTACAGCGAGAAATCGATGACGCACACTTTCGACTCCGGCCGCGCCCTCGCGGCCTCGCACGCGATCTGAAACGCCATGAACGTCTTCCCGGACCCTCCTTTGTTGTTACTGAACGCGATGGCGTGGCTCAGCATGGTCACGAGCGTCGCCGCGCGGGTTTGTGACGCCGATTCAGATCGACACCGAATCGCGCGTCGTCACTGGGCACTCCCGCCGGGCGCTCCCGAGCGGTCGACGCCGCGACTCCCGGTTCGCCGGACGGGCGAGACTCGACGGGCGAGACTTCCAGGAGACTCGACGCGATGAACGTCACGGCAACAACGCGACGTCGTCGCCGACGCGAATGACGCCGCCGACGACGACTCGCGCGTACACGCCGAAATACGAGCCTCGGTCGGCGAGCGCGACGGGGTCGCGTCCGAATATGGACGCCTCGAGCGCGGGAAACGCGGCGCGAATGTCGACGTCGGGACGGGCGCCGGCGTCGATATTCGCGCCGGCGTCGCCGGATTCGTCGTATCGGACGCGCGTGCTCGGACATCGAATCGTCGGTTCGTCGACGCGAACGACGACTTCGCCGAAGCGAACGTCTCGACCGCACCACGCGAACTCGTCGAAAGGTTTCAACGCGCCGTCGCCCGCGTCCTCGACGACGAGATTCGGTCGAAATCGACGCGCGAAATCCTCCATCGTCTCTCCCGTTCGCTCCCACGACGACGTTCGCTCGTACGCCTCTCTCACCGACGCCGTCGTGTTCACGTGCAGCGTGTGTTCGCCCGGCCGTCCGCCGACGTTCGCGAACGAGCACCCATCCGCCCGCGTCAGCGTCGGCGCCCCGCGCGCGCCCTTCAGCAGCGTCCCGAAAAACGCTTCGATCTTCGCTCGCTCGCTCTCTATCGCCGCGTCCGCGCACGTCGCCAGCGTCCTCCCGCTCGCCGCGCACTCCACCGCCAAGCCGCGCGCGCCGAACGCGCGTCCCCGCACGCGCGCCAGCTCGCCGTCCGTGATGAGCTGGTGAAACAGGTGCTTGTTCGAGTGATGTCCCGGGTCTTTGCCCTCGCCCGCGCGCAGGACGTCGCGCGCGCCGTCGCGTCGCCAGCGCTCGGCGTGCTCCGCGCGCAGCAGCGCGAACGCGCGGTCGTCGGGGACGCCGCCGCCGGGACGCACGACCGCGGCGTCGAGCGTCGTCGAGCGCGCGCCCTTGAGCGCGTAGGCGTGGATGCGCTTCACGCGACCGACGACGCGCGCGTCCGACGGCGACGCGGACGCGATGCAGCGCATGCGCGCGCCGCAGTGTCGCGCGCGATGGCGTCGCGCGGCGTCGCGGCGGCGACGGCGCGCGACGCGGGAAGCGCGCGCGCGGTCGGACGCGACGCGGGAAGCGCGCGCGCGGTCGGACGCGACGCGCGCGCGGCGCGAGGGACGGCGCGCGCGGCGGCGCGGCGCGCGCGGCTGGAAAACGGGAAAACGAACGACGACGACGACGACGACGACGACGCGACGACGGGACGGCGCGCGACGCTCGTCGGCGCGTGCGCGGCGGCGGTGATGACGCCGCGCGCGCGCGCGATGGACGCGACGGCGAACGTCACGGCGAGGGTGTACCTGGACGTGGGCGCGTGCGAGGGCGCGGCGAACGCGGCGCGCGCGCTCGGCGACGACGGCGGCGCGCTGTGCGCGACGCCGGAACCGTTCGGGAGGATCGTCGTCGGATTGTACGGCGACGCCGCGCCGGATACGGTGCGGAATTTTCTCGCGCTGTGCTCGAACGCGGCGTCGACGCCGACGCTGGCGGGGACGGTGTTTCATAAAATCGACAAAGGCAACGGGTACGTCGTCGGAGGTAAGAGCGGGAGTCCGAGACTGGGGCAGGTTTCGGCGCTGAGCGGGGAGAGGTTTAGTAACGGCGACGTCACGCGCGCGTCCGCGTTCGAGGGACGGCACTTTAGGCCGGGCACGGTGAGTCTGGCGCTCGAGTCAGCGGCGAAGGATGGCGAATACGGAACGACGGCTCAATTTCTCATTACGACTGGTCCAGCGCCGGTACCGTCGCTCGACAACAAAAACATCGTTTTTGGTCGCGTCGAACAAGGTTTGGACGTCGTGCAGCGGCTTTCGAATGAAAAAACATTCAAGCCGAGCGAGACGGCGCGAGCGTATAACGCGTTGGCCAACCTCGTAGGCGATTCGCGGGCGGGAAAGGCCAAGGCGGCGTGGATCAAACCGACGCGCGCGTTAGTGATCACCAGTTGTGGTGTATTAGATGCTTAGTCGCGCGTTAGTGATCACCGGTTGTGGTGTATTAGATGCTGTATTAGATGCTTAATGTCGCACGTGCGTCCTCACAACATGGCACCGCGTTCGCGTTGGACGGGGATTTTCGCGCTTTTCGTCGTGATGTGCGCCTGTGGAATTGGCGGCCCGATGTTTGACCTAGTCGAGGTTCCTCCTATTGTGCGCAATTCGTGGAGGAGTCAGATTTCGGCGATGTTTTTGTTTCCTTCGCTCTGTTGGTCTTGTTTTACTGACGATAGCATCCGATGGACGAAAACGGTCATTCTCACCCTTTTCGTCGTCGGTGTGTGCCTAGAACTGTCGTACGCGACGTGGAATATCGCTCTAGAGATGACGACGTTTCCTCGGACCGCGCTCTTCGCGCAGGTTCATCCCGTTTTCATTTTGCTCGGCGCCGCGTGTGCTGCTTTCGTGAGTAGACATGCCCAGTCCGAGTTGGTGACGTTTCCAAGTCGGACGGAGTGGTTCGGCGTGGGCGTAACCATATCTGGGGCAATCATCACAACGACGTATTCCAACCGTCGTGATCAGCAACGCCCGTCTACGATCACTGGTGATCTCGTTGCACTTTGTTCGGCCATCTCGTACGCTGGGTACATCGCATCCATGCGGCGCACCCAGAATGCGATGTACCCAGGATTACAACCCAGGATTACAAATGCAAGCGTCTTCATCGTTCAAGGATTTGCAACTATCATCATGATGATGTGCTCGTTTCTAATTCTTGCGATCGTGCCAGATCAAGCTGACTGGTCACTCACTCCGCCTTACGGCGTGTTCGCTTGGCCGCACTGCGACGATGTTCGATTCATCATCGCCGTTGGTGTACTCATCGCTGTGGGACACTTGGCGATTACCGTTGCGGTTCAAAACCTGCCACTTCTCGTCGCGAGCGTGTCGTTGACGCTGTTGCCAATCGTTCAAACATTGTTTTCACACGCCCTCGTAGGTACGCCAATCTTGACCGTGCGTGAAATCGTCGGCGCCATTGTTACGATTTTAGGCGTCGCGTTGACCACGGTGGCGCACGATAAATCGCTCGCGGAAAAACATAGAGAAAACGAGGAAGATTCACGTAGAATATCAATCGATAATCGAAGCTAAACAGTTTTCGAGAGTCCTCAGAGCTTTGGATGCGCGACGTGGAATCGAATCGGATCCATGCCGAGCACAGTCGACAGCGGTGACGCAACAGCCCAGTAGTTGTGGCGAAGCAAGTTTCCGAGTTTGCGATGGAATTCATCGTCTTCTAAAAACGTACAAGTAACCGAGGTCGGTAGGCGGCTGTCTCGAAAGCGCCACCTTGCGATCGTTAAAGATGTACCACTTGCCGTCGATTTCCACGTGGGCGACGTAATGCCCGCAGTTCGTGTTCCCGCCCATGTGGCTGATGATACCAAAGAGCTCGTATTCGCCGGCGCCGTCCAGCGTGGTGCTGTCGACGTCCGTACCCACATCGTTTGTGGCACCGTTCACTTGAGCGATCGCCGATTGGAGATCATCTGCGTGCGAAAACAACCAGTCCGCCGCGCGCTCCAGATTCCCCGCGCACGCCTTGAGCGCGGCCTCCGCGGCGTCTTCGCCGAAGCCCATGGACGTGAGCATCATGACCGATTCTGGATTCACCGCGGATGGAGCACTCACAGATGGTAACTCAGATGGATCGGGAAGCGGCTCGTTGAAGTCCGCGTCTTCCATGTGCGCGAACACCCATTCCATCGACACCTCAGTAGACGCGTTGTTCGTCGCGAGCGCGGCGCGCTTGCTTCCGTTTTCGCTAAAACCCATCGACATGAGCGCGCTTACGATCGCCATGTCGGGTTCAACGCGCGCTGGCGCTGGCGTGGATGAGGTTTCCATGGCGGCACCATCTTGGTCTTCGGGAAGTTCGACTTCCCCAGGCTGTAGCCCCCGCGCGCGAAGATGCTCGAGCGAAATCGTCTTCGGGACGTCGACGAGGACGTCGAGCTTTTTCGGCGTCCAATCGTCACCAACGTAATAACGCCTGAGCTGCACCGCGAGAAAGTTGGGCATCGTCTTCATGCGCGCCACTTTTGACGCGATCGATTTGCGTTTGAGCGCAGTGCTGTAGAAGTCTTCAACGGTCTCAGTCGAGCCGAAGACTTCAAGGCACGCAGAAAACGGCACCTCGGGTCGCACGATTTCTTCCACGTCCTCCTCCTCCTTTTTCTGGCGCTTGAGCTCGCGTTCTTTGAAAGCGGCAACCGATGCCTTGTTCGTTGCCTTGTCTAAAGGAATACCGAGCGACAGGATGTTGTCCTTTCGCGTCGAGTAGCGCACGTTCCCACTTTCCACGCACGTGAGCTTGTCCTCGATCTCAAACGTAAACTGCGCCGCAGTCGGTGGACCAGCTGATACTCGCGAGCTCGCAGCTCGTTCAGCGCGAGTCATCACGTCTAACAAGTGCTGGAAATACTCTACCGCGTCTTGTTGACGACCAGTACTAAACTCTGGATGTCCTTTGCCGACGAGCTGTTTAAACATGCGCGGGCACACCGCCACCGCCGCGTTCTCAGCCTCTGGACTCGCGTACTCATCAGAGACGAGAGCATTCACGAGTTTTGACATTTGCGTCGGGAAATCAGTCACGGGATCTTCCGGCGCGCTCTGAAAGATTTCATATTTGTCAAAGTACCGATCGCACACCGCAGGCACTTGCTTAAGCACCTGCATGACCGAGTTCAAGTAGCACGTGTTGCCCATGTTTTTCAAGCCGACGAGTCGCGGCCCGTACGCCGACTCCAACTGCGACCCGGCCTCGGTGATTTTGTCAAACTCAAAACCTTTATTGAGCTCAATTTGCAACTCAGCCATGCTCTTTTCCGTCTTCTCCATTGACAGCATGTTGATTCCCCAGTGTCGCAGGTGCACGGCCAAGTACGGATCCTCCACCATGTCGTCTTCGTCTGGGGAGTACGAATACACATCCGCGCCGTTCGCACTGATCGTACCGAGCTTCACCACCAGCGGATAGTGCTTTCCTTGCGCCTTCATCGCTTCGTAGTGCCGCAGCGCGCTCCCGTTACCACCCGACCCATCAAAATGTCTGCGCCCGCTCCCGATGTGACCGTCGCTCAAGTTGACCCACAAGTTTCCACTCTCTCCGGTCTCCTCGCAACGCCACTTCGAGGGATCGCTCGGAATCTTCTTTCCGTTGTCCTCCTGCGCGAGCTCCAGCGCGTACCTGGACACCTCGCGAATCTCTTGCCAAGATTTCGTCTCCTCGGTGTCGTGGAAGCCTTGCTTTTGCGCGATTTTCTCGCACGCTTCGCGAAGCGTCTCCGGTAATCCTTCCAAAGGCAGCGCGCGCGAGACATCGTCGAAATCGGGAGCGATCACTAACGCATACGTCGTATCCACGTCGTATTTATCGCTCTCACTCGCGAATCCACCGTCGACACCGAATCCGAGCGTCGTCGGCGTCTCGTCCTTCGCTTCGCCCTCGCTCGTCGGTTTCAACGTCCGCGTCGTCTTCACCCGAACGTACACCTCGCACCCCGTGCGCGCGGCGTCTAGCGCCACATACTTTCGCGAGTACCCGAACAGCGTCTCCGCGTTGACGTACACGCCGTGCGCGCTCAACGGAGAGTCGAACGAGAACGCGCACTCATCTTTGAACACGGTTTGGTCGTCGCGCACGCGCGCGATGCGCCCGCGCTCGGCGGCTCTGACGCACACCGCGAGCGCATCGTCGTCGACGCGCGCGGACATGGCGCGCGCGCGGGCGAGCGATCGATGCGCGCGCGTGTGCGGCGAGGCGGTTCGTTCGAGCCGGCGAGCGCGCGCGCCGCGGCGCGCGCGGCGACGACGTCGCCCTCGTGGTGCATCGCTAAGCTCTATTACACGTCGTCTAAGAAATACCACCTCTCCGTGTGCCCCGAAACGTGCGCCGCCCACGCCTACGCCTCGTCGTCGTCGTCGTCGTCTCGTCCGTGCCGTCGCGTCAACCGCCGCGTCGTATCCGCCGCCTCCCTCGCCGCCAACGCCGCCTCCCTCGCGTGCGCGTTCACCCTCGTCATCGACGCCGACGTCTGCGATAATATCCCCAAATCTCGATCGCGCGCCTTCGCCGCGACCGCCGCGCGCGCGATCGGTCCGTCTCGCAGCGGCGCGACGCACGCCGCGACGAATTTAGTGTTGGGCGCGCCCTCCCCCCGTCCGTCCGCGCCCGCGCGCGCGCGCGCGCCGCCTCCGTCGTCGTCGCTCGCGTCGCGCGCCACCACCGCGCGTCGCCGCTCGACGACGCGCGCCGCGTTCGACCGCGCGTCGTCGCGCGCGTCGCCGTCGTTCGTCGCGCGCGCGCGCGCGCTTCGCGTCGTCGGCGACGCCGCGCGCGCGCGCTCGGGCGAGCACGCGACGGCGTCGACGTCGTCGTCGTCGTCGTCGTCGTCCGAGCTCGACTCTTCGCCTCGACGCACGACCGCGGGCATGCCGTCGCGATGTGCCGACGACGACGCGCGCGCGCCCGTTCGCGCCGCCATCGCGCGACGCCGACGCGCCATGCCGCGCGACGTCGACCGGGACGCCGCGGACGCGAACGCGTCGTCGGTGCCCGCGTTCATGGGCGCGGCGCCCGCGCGACGACGCGCGACGTCGACGTCGGAGGCGGAGGATGATTCGAATCCGAAGCGCTGGCGCGACGCGTCGAACGACGCGCGACATCGCGGCGCGGCGATCGCCGAGGCGGCGTTCGACGCGCTCGCGAGGCGCGCGCGCGTCGCGCGCGATGCGAACCGCGCGATCGACGTCCCGGACGACGCGCTGGAAGCGCTGGCGTGGCTGTACGGGGCGAAACACCTGCAAAAGGCGCTCGAGGTGATGCAGGCGGGACGCGTGCGGCGCGTCGTCGCCGAGAGGAGCGGACGGTCGATGTACGCCGTGCACGGCAGCGGCGCGCACGAAAGGGCGCCGTATTTGTGCTTTCCCGCGCACTTTTGCTCGTGTCGATCGTTTTTTTGGGAGTGCGTCAATCGAGGCGAGGCGTTGGCGTGCAAGCACCAGCTCGCGGCGAAGCTCGCGAGCGTGCTGCGGTGCGCGAAGACGACGACGGTGGACGACGTGCTGTTGGGGAACATGATGATGAAGAGTTTCGAGGACGATCCGATGTGAGTAGCCGTAGCTCGGGCGCGACGCGACGCGCGCGATTGTAACCGTAGAAGCGCCGACCGAACGACCGACGCGCGCGCGCCGAGCGCGCCGAGCCCGGCCGCAGTGCAAGACGCGAACCGCCGCCGTCGCCATGGCTGGTTCGCTCCGTCGCAAGAAGCGCGCCAAGGCGGCGGCCGGGAAGAAGACGCAAAAAGTCGGCGTCACGACAAACTTCCAAACCGGTCGCGCGCGCGTCGATCACGCCGTCGTGAGCCTGCCCGGCGCGCCGCGCGCGACCGAGCCCTGGAACGTGGACGCGACGCTGACGCGAAACTACGCGGCGAGCGGACTCGCGAGCGACGCGAACGTCGCGGGACGCGGCGGACGAAACGCGATGGACGACCCGGGGGCGTCGGTGCGAGAGGCGGTGGCGACGCTGGCGACGTCGAACGGGGACGAGACGCGCGCGCTGCTGGGAGAGACGAAAACGAGCGGGTTCTCGGCGCCGAAGCGGTTGACGCCGAAACAAACGCGCGTGGTGGAGGCGCTGGTGAAAGCGCACGGAGATGATTTGAGCGCGATGGTGATGGATAGGAAGAGGAACGCGATGCAGCACTCGTCTGGGACGTTGATGAAGATGACGGAGTCGTATCACTACTGGCGCGAGGAGGCGGCGTCGGCGGGGACGACCCGCGTCGATTTTCGAGCGCCGAAGAAGTCTAAGCTTCGCGGACGCGTGTGATGATGGAATGTAAACTAACTATTGATGTGTTCAAGCGCTACGTGGGATCTATGGACTAGTGTGCTGCGTCGCGACTCCGTCGAGAAGATTGAACGCGCTCGCCTCACGCCGTCGTTCGAGATTTCTCGCCTTCACTCGCCGTTTGCGCGTCTTCGCTAGGTTTCGGTTGCTCTAAACTCGCCATGCGCGCCCCTACCTCGCGCACGCTCGCCTCTAACTCTGCCAATCGCGCGCGCAGCCTCGTCGCCTCTTCGTCGCGCCTCGCGTCCGCCGGCGCCGTGGTCTCCATAATCTTCGCCTCCCTCGCCCGTTCGCGCGCCTCCATCTCATTCACGTACACCGGCACGTAGTTCTTATCGATATACATCACGCACGCGTACGACATCGCCGCGGGCACGCACGCGACGAGCAGTTGCCACGCGTGCCAGTCCCAGCCTCGCTCGCCGCGCGTGCGACCACCACCCGTCCGCGCGCTCGCGCCCTCGCGCCTCGCGAACACGTGCCCCGCGACGTCCATGAAGTCTGGCTGCTCCCCGGCGCGCACTTTCGAGCGCACTCTCGCCGCGACGTCGTCTTCCGAGGAAGAAAAACGTCGGAAAGCGCGGTCGAATGCGCCGTGACGCTTCGACGCCGCGCCGCGGTCGAGCGTCGCCGCGCGCGCGCGCGACGTCGACGCAGCGCGCGCGACGGCGCGGAGCACATCGCGCATGCCTGCGTCGACGCGCGGCGTCCCGGACGCGTCTCGGGTTTCGAGACGGCGCGGTCTGGAGGCGTGAGCATTGGATTGTTAACTCTGCGGCGCGCGGCGAACTATTTTCGTCGCGCGGCGAGCGACGCGAGGCGTCACGGTCGCGCGCGCGGCGAGCGCTCCGCGGCGCCGGACGCGCGATTTGTGGTGGTTGACAGTGCGGTGCCGTTCGAGCGGGGCGCGGGAAGACGCGGCGTGGGACTGAATTGAGACCGGCGCGCGCGCGACATGTTCGACTCGATGGACTTTGACGCGAGCGTGGAGTCGGCGCAGTGGGATGTGCTCGCGTGCGCGACGCACGATTGTTTTCACGACGGCGCGCGCGGATTTGATTGCGACGACGTCGACGCGTTGCCCGGTTTTGCCGATGAAATCGAGGCGTTCATCGGGACAAAGGTTAGAGAGACGGGCTCGAGCGAGAGCGCGACGGATTCAGAGGAGATGACGCTCGCGGTGCGCGCTCATCCCATGTATCCGCGGCTTGTGGAAGCGTATTACGAGTGCCGGCAAATTGGCGCTGAGGGTGATGTGTTGGAAGCGCTCGATCGAGAGCGCGATGCGATGTTGTACTCGGTTCAGGTGATGAATGAAGACGCGTCGAGCTCGGGCGGCGCGCATGACGTACCGCAACGAGATTTGGACCGGTTCATGCGAGAGTGCACGCACGAACTTGAATCGTACGTCAAGGAGCTACACGCGCTATACGAAGACGCGAAGTCGTGCTGTCGAGAACTCGAGACGCGCGCGCGGAAAGTGCGTTCGGATGTGGTGAAAAGCGCCGATATTCGAGGTGAAGCCGCAGAGAGCAAACGCCGAGCGCCGGCTACGGCGGCGGAGCACGCCGCGGCGAGCGGCGACTTTGATCAGATACTGTCTAACTCGCAACAGCGTCGCGACCACGAGGAACGACTCAGAGAAGCCCTTAAACGTAAGTACGCGAGCAGTATTATGACGCTCAAGTCGGAGTTCATGCGAAAACGAAAGAAAGGCAAGCTTCCAGACCAATCCACAGAGGTGCTAAAGAACTGGTGGTCCGAAAACATCGTGTGGCCGTACCCGACTGAAGATGATAAGCGCGAACTCATCGCGCAAACAAAACTCGACGCGACGCAGGTCAATAACTGGTTCATTAACTTTCGAAAGCGCCACTGGATTAAATTATTCGAGCGAGGGGGACAGCCACGAAATGCGGAAGACGCAGCGCGAGCGCTCGCGGAGGCGTTCGACGGTAGTTTGGAACGCGCGAAAGAGTACGCGAGATCCTTGTAATGTACAATACAACAACAAATGTCTACTGCGGTGGCCCAAGCCAAGGTTTTCGGAAGATGCAATGCGTGCTCGTCAACGCGTACACTATGGAGAATGAAAAGTAAAAGCCAATCATGCCGTACGCCGCGTTCTTCCCCACGCGCCACTTGTGCACGAAGGGTATGACGAAGAGCGCGTAAAACAATGCGAACATCAGCGCACCACCGAGCAAGATCAGCTCGTTAGGCATGACGTAGCCGGTGACAGGGCCGTATTTGGCGACGTGAAGCAAAAGTCCGAACGAGGTGCCGACGAGAAGATTCATCAGTGGCCCTGCAAAACACGCGGCGATTGCCATGTTCGGGTTGCCCGCGCGAGCGACGACGGTGTTGGAGACAAAGTCACCGACTGAGTTCCCCCACGCGAGGACTGTCGCGCCGAGTAAGGCTTCACTCACGCCAGTCACCTTGCCGATCGCGCTGAGCAAAGAAACGAGCTCGCTCGCCGCCGTGTTCATCCACAGTATGGACTGAAAAAACGCAACTGCGACGAGCAACGCGCGAATCGATGCTACATCGCCAATGTGCGACCACGACTGAACGATGATGAACGCGCACACGAGAGAGACGCCGATACCATAACTCAAGCCAACCCAGCGTATATGATCCGGCATCATACCCGTGGCGAATAACAAAAACAGCGGCGCACCGATCGGCAACGCCACCGCGTGCCGCATCGAGACGGTTTCGTCGCCGAGCTCTGGCATTGTCAAACGAAGCGTGGCGACGAGTGGAATCTCCATCTTCTTGAACGCGTGCGCCACGTTCTGCCCAATCATCAACAGGATCGGTCTGTGTGAATCAGACGACGTCGAACGCGTGTCGTCGTCATCGTCGTCGTCGTCGCCGTCGTCGTCACCTTCGACTGGCGCTTCCTCGTCGCCGTCCCCGTCATCGCCCGTCTCCAGCATCGGCGCGCGAACGTCGGCGTCTCGCACAAGCTCGCCCGCCGCTTCGTCATCCGACCAAGCGACGGATGAATCACTATCACTATCGCTATCATCGCCGCCGTAGCGAACGAGCGCGACGACGGCGCGCGCGAACCGCTTCAGCCTTCGCCCCGAAAGCAAGACAAACAAATACGCCGCGTACAGCGAAAACAACGCCGCCGCCTCGTACGCCTCCACGCGCCCGTCCAAAAAAAATCCGAGCGCCATCGCCGACGCCACGGCGTAAAACCCCACGTCTCTCCCGAAGTTCCACTTATCCAAAACCAACCCCCGCCCGCTCGCCGCTCTCGTCGCGATCAACACCACGCACGGAAACACGAAACTCGCGATGAACGCGCCCGCGCCCGTCACCGCGCCAACCGCCAACGCCGCGCTCTCCGCCACATCCTCGTGACTCAACGCCGCGATCTGCGCGAATATATCCGGCGCCCCGTTTCCAAAGCTCAACAGCGTCGCTCCCGCGACGTCATCCCGCAGCGCCAGTCCTCGCGCGATGTTTCGCAGCGCCGGGACGAAGAAGCGTTCCGCCACGCTCGCGAGCGCCGCGAAGAGCGTCAGCGCGAGCGCCCCGCTCGCGATCCCGCTCGCGAACCCATCGCCCGCGAGCGAGCAGTAGTGCAGGCGTAAATACGGCACCAGCGCTTCGTCGCGCGCGCACAGCGGGTTCTGCGTGACGTACGCGCAGCGTTCGAGCGCGGGCGCTTCGAGCGGGCGGCACGAGGTGTACTCGCGCGGGTCGACCGCGGGCGCGCCGTCGCGAAGCGCGCGAGCGGGCGCGCACGCGACGAGCGCGACGAGCGCGACGAGCGCGACGAGCGCGGACGACGCGCGACGCGCGACGCGCATGTCGAGCGCGCGGTTGTGACGCCCGGGGAATCGAGATTGGATTGCGCGAGACCACCGGGACGACGCGAAAGCCTGCGAGAGCGATGAAATTACAAAAGCCGTGGAATCGTGAGTGATGGTAAAATGAATCGAACGCCGTTAATCGATAGAATCGAAAGACTTGTCCGTGAGGCACTCGCCCTCGTCCGTCATGCGAACGCAGTCGTCTTCGTAGACGGGTTTGAAGTTGCGATACGCCACGACGGCGTAAAATGGGTCGCTCTGCGAGCGTTGAAAGAACCGACGAAACTTGGAGAACAGAGAGTCGTCGACGATGTCGTCTAAATCGGTGATCACTTCCGGCGCCGTGAATCCGGCGACGGATGAAAAGTATTGCTTCACGAGCTGCGTTCGCGAGTAACCGCTCGCGTCTCTCCACGCTTGCACGGCTTTGCTATAAAACAATCGATTCGAAAACGTGATGATGCACACACCGCCCGGTTTTAACACCCGAAAGATCTCCGCGAACACCTCCTCGGGTCGTTGCAAGTACTGCACGCTCACGCACATCGTCACCGCGTCGAAGCTGCAATCCTTCGCGTCGATTTTCGGCGTCTCGTTAAAGTCCCGCACGAAGAACCCATCCAACCTCTCGTTCCTCCCGAGCTCCGTCGCGTTCATCCCGTGGCCCCACACCTTTTCGTATTCCACCTCGCGCGGTAGATGCGACACCCAGCTCGAGCACAGGTCGAGCACCGCGGCTCCTCGCGGGACTCGTCTTCTGTACAACTCGGTCACTTTGCTGATGAAATCGTCGTCGACGTGCGTCACGAAGCGCGGCTGGGCGTAGAACGCGGCGTCCGAGCTCGGATCGAGCTTCGCGCGATCGGACTTCTTCAGCACCTCTCGACGCACAGATCCCGCGGCTTCCGCGCGCGTCATCGTCGTGCGCGCGCGGTGACGCGGCGCGAGAACTCGCGCGCGAAACGACGCGGTGGCGCCGCGCGCGCGCGCGGACGCGATCGATGCGGTCGACGTGGACGCGTGCATCGCTTCGCGCGTCGACGGCGGTTCGCGCGCGTCGCGGTGTGGCGTCGAGCGCCGTCGCGAGCGTCGCCGCGACGCGTCGCGTCGTTTCGTCGCGAACCGGAACCGACGGTTGATTCCTAACGCGCACCGCACGCGGCGCTACGACGACTATGACCACGACTATGACTATATAAAATACATCATCTACACACCATCGCTCTCCGCGCTCTTCACTCGGGCGCGCGCGCGCCCAACCGCCGCGCCGCCGCCGACCGCGCTCGCTCGTCGAACGCGCTCCCCAACGCCTCGTCCTCGCCGAGCATCGGATTCATCGTCGCGATCGCCAGCGCCTCGTGCACTTCCCCGAAAAACCCTCGCACCGCTTCCTCGCCTCCGCTCGTCCTCGCGCCGTTCGTGAGCAACACCATGCGCGCGCGCGTCGGCGCGCAGTGCGCGTGCGCGTCGACGTCGTTGAATCGATCCACCACGCGCAGGTACGTCGCGTTCGTCTCCCACGACCGTTCGTCCACGAAATCGAGCGCCGCGCGCACGACGAGTTCGCGCATCGGCGCGTCCAGCGGCGCGCTCGTCTGCGCGTCGTCGTCGTCGTCGTCGTCGTCAGTCTTCCGAGCGCGGTCTCGCATCCTTCGCGCGTTCGAACAAACATTCGCCCTCAGACGCACCTCCGCGCGCGCGCCGTCGTCTTCGCGCGCGGTGAAGTCGCGCGTGTATATCGGGACGTCGTTCGCGCTCACCACCGTGAGCGCGAAGTACGACATCGCGCGTCGAGAGGCGCCGAATGCGGATTACTCGCGCCACGACATCGCGGTCGCCGACTCCGCGACCGCGACACCGCGACGCGCGACGCCGCGACCGCGCCCGGCGCGCGCGCGCGAACGCGCGAGATCGCGAACGCGCGTCGATCGCGAACGCGTCGCGAACGCGCGAGACGGTGACGTGAGGCGGCGATTCTCGAGCGAATCGAAAGATGCCATCTGGCGCGGTGGACGTCGTCGAGGGCGCGCTCGAGCGCGTCCAGCGCGCGTGCGGGACGAAGAAACACGCGGCTATCATCGATGCGATCGATGCGGTGCGAGCGATGACGCGGGATGGGACGTTTGAATCGTTGGGGACGAAGGCGTCGACGACGACGACGACGACGACGAGCGGACGCGGGGACGCGCTGCGAGAGGCGCAGATGGATGTCGTGCTGCCACCACTGCGCGCGGCGATGGACAGCGGGTCGGCGAGCGTGATCGCGGCCGCGCTGGGAGCGGTGCAGGTGCTCATCTCGAGAGGTTTGGTGGAGGGACGGGCGACGCTCGCGGGCGGGACGCTGGAGCGGTTCGAGTCGACGAGCGACGCGGCTGGACGAGCGGAGGCCGTGGCTGATGTCGACGCGCGGGATGACGGCGACGTTGCGAGCGATACGGTCGCGGCGTCGCGCGAGCGGGACGAATCGGAGCCGTCGGGTGCGCGAAATCACGCGGGTGAAATCGTGGACGCGATCTGCGGCGCCGCGGAGGTGCGAGACGAGGCGGTCGAGTTACAAGTGTTGAAGGGCATACTCACCGCAGTGAGCAGTCGTACGTTCGAGGTGCACGATAGAGCGCTCTTGCGCGTCGTGCGGACGTGCTACAACATTTACCTTTCGAGCAAGTCAGAGGTGAATCAAAACACAGCCAAGGCGACGCTAACGCAAATGTTGACGACTGTTTTTCATCGTTTGGAGGCGGATGACCCGCACGCTTCAGCGCCGACTATTGTCGTTGCGGACCTGCTTCGACCGATTGGTTCCGAAGCCGAAGTTGACGGCGTTACGGCCATGTCGGCAGCGGTACAGTCGTTCGTAAATAAAGTCACGACGGATATGAATTCGGTGGGATCGTTCAATTACTTTTCAGACCCAGACGCGGTGGTGAAATCGGACGCAATCGAGCACGAGATTACGGAGAGCGAATTCGATAATGATACCGCCCCTATGACTCCGAACGCGGTGACGCAGTCGTTGGACGCGTTTTCGCCGGGAGCTATGACGCCCGCTCGCACCTCGGGCACAGAACAAGCTTCTGAGCTCGAAACAGATGCCTTTTTAGTTTTTAGGTCGCTGTGCAAGCTCTCGAAAAAACCAGGCTCCGACGTCAATGGTGTTGCGCTCGTTCGAAGCAAAGTGTTGTCGCTGCAGTTGCTCAAGATTATCATCGAAAACGCCGGGGATGCATTTTCTTCGAGCTCACGTTTTGCCGACGCCATGCGTGAATATCTGTGCGACGCAATCGTCAGCAACGCGACACCTAATGTTCCAGAAGCGTATCAGCTAGCGTGCTCAATCTTTTTGACTCTGCTTACTCGATACCGGGCCTACCTCAAGGCTGAAATTGGTTTCTTTTTCCCTATGTTGTTGCTCAAGCCGCTCGAGCTCGTGGAGGGCGCGCCGTTGAGCGCATACAATCAACGCGCGACGCTCGTCAAGGGATTTCAAATCATCTGCGCCGACTCGCAGCTCATGGTTGATCTCTTCGTGAACTATGACTGCGATTTAGACAGCCAAAACGTGTTCGAGCGCTGTGTTCTGTCCTTGGTTCGCATCGCGCAGGGTGTCGATGTCAGTCAGGCGAGCGGCCCAGAGGCGGCCCGCGAGTCCGTGCTCAAGCTCGAAGCGCTTGAATGTTTGACGACCCTCGTCGCATCACTTGACGATTGGGTGAGGGTACAAAGTGGTGGCGACGCGAGCACGAGCGATAGTCAGCACGACGTCGTGGAAGAATCTGAGTCTGGATTTTCGACACCTTTGAAGACGAGCAGCCCGGCGGATCTGGGTGATAGCATAGCGAAGCTCAAGGCTGATAAGCAAGAGTTCCAAGAGGGAATCACTCTCTTCAACAAGAAAGCGAAGAAAGGTCTGGCTTATCTGCAATCGATTGGGCGCCTTGGGACGTCTCACAATGAAATAGCCGAGTTCTTACGCACGACGCCTGGGCTGGACAAGACTGTAGTCGGCGATTACTTGGGTGAACGCGACGATCCGATGCTACAGGTCATGCACGCATACGTTGACGCGCTAGATTTCACATCTCTAACTCTTGACGACGCGATTCGCAAGTTTTTAGAAGGCTTTCGCCTCCCAGGTGAGTCTCAAAAAATCGATAGGCTCATGGAGAAGTTTGCCGAGCGCTACCATAAGTTGAATCCGGAAGTGTACAAGAGTGCCGACACCGCTTACGTCTTGGCGTTTTCTGTCATCATGCTTAATACGGACGCGCATAACCCACAGGTTAAGAATAAAATGACCAAGGAAGGGTTTGTTCGGAATAACAGAGGGATCGACGACGGACAAGACTTGCCGAGCGAGGTGCTCGAGGATTTGTACGACCGCATCGTGAATAACGAGATCAAATTGAAGGAGCCAGCAGAGGTGGCTCTGAGCGCCGCGGAAAAGAAAGATAAGAACAACTTTTCCGCTAGATTAGGTATGGATGTCCTCTTTTCGCTCATGTCTGGTAAGCGAGAAGAAGAAACAATACAAATCGACACCGCCGATTTGATAAGTCAAGTTCGCGCGCGGGCCGCAACGACGAAAGGCTTTCTGACCGTCGTGGAGGCCGGGTGCGCGAAACCGATGCTTGAATTGATCTGGAATCCCATACTGTCGCTGCTTGGTACTGCATTTGAAGACAGTGAAAGTGTGTCCGTGATATCGAACTGTTTGGAGTGTTTCCGAAGAGTCATCAGCGTCACTTCGACGCTCGGCATGCAAGAGACTCGAGACACATTTATCGCGTCCCTTACAAAGTTGACTTCTTTGCATCATGCACACTCAATGCGTACGAAGAATGTCATCGCGGTGAAGACTTTAGTGCGCGTTGCGATCGAAAATGGAAACGATCTCGGGGACATGTGGACTACAATTCTGGCTTGTGTGAGTAGATACGAGCATCTGTATGCGCTCGCGAGCGGTTTCAACGATAGTTCGTTGTTTTCGGAGTCCGGATACAGTAGAGATGACGACGCACAAAAACAAGCCCGGCCTAGGCTCTTCCGGCGTTCGATATCATCAGACCGAGCACTGAAGTCTCCACTCGCACCGCAGTCAAGCAACGTTAACGTGCGAGACGATTCGTCGAGCACTGTCGAGGTCGAACAAAAGTTTGATTTACTTGGCTTGGATGGTTTGAACCCACCTGATCGAGCTGTGCTCGAACAACTTCATCCCGATGAACTTGATCATTTGTTCCACGCCAGCGTCAATCTCAGCGGTGATGCTATCGTGGGTTTCGTTCGAAGCTTGTGTGAACTTGCTATTGAAGAAACGTCTTCAAATCATCCGAGAGCGTACGCGCTCGGAAAGATTGTCGAGGTTGCTTCATTCAACATGGATCGTATTCGTTTTATCTGGGCCAGAGTATGGCAAGTGTTGAGCGACTTCTTTGTCAAGGTGGGATGCTCGCCAAACTTGCAAATATCCATGCAAGTAGTCGACTCTCTTCGACAGCTCGCCATGAAATTCTTAAGTCGTACCGAATTGGCCAACTACTCGTTCCAAAACGAATTTTTGCGACCATTTGTCATCGTCATGCGTCAGTCTCCGGCTGTCGAAATCAGAGAGCTCATCATTCGGTGTGTTTCGCAGATGGTGCAGGCTCGCGTGGCGCATATCAAGTCTGGTTGGAAGTCGATGTTCATGGTGTTCACCACGGCGGCGGCGGACGAAAGTAGCCAAATCGTGGCGCTGGCGTTCCAGACCATCGAGCGAATTATTCGCGAGCATTTTCACTACATCATCGAAACCGATACAGTGGCGTTTACCGACTGCGTCAATTGTCTCGTTGCGTTCACAAACTCTGAGGCGGGTTCGGAAGTTTGCTTGAACGCCCTCGCGTTTCTGCGCTTTTGCGCTCTCAAGCTCGCCGAAGGCGCGCTCGGAGACTTGGAAGAAACCGCCGCGACGGAGAAGCAGCTCGCGACGGATGGTGTCGTGGAAGTGACACAGATGAAGTCAACAGTCACCACGACGTGTTTCACAGACGCCGATGCGCACACATACTTTTGGTTCCCTCTTTTGGCTGGACTTTCTGAGCTCACGTTTGACCCTCGCGCAGAAATTCGCACCTCAGCGCTCGAGGTGTTGTTCGACACGCTCAAGTTCCACGGCGGCTCGTTCGCTCCTGGGTTTTGGTCACGCGTGTACGGACGCATTCTTTTCCCTATATTTGATCACGTCCGTGCGGATATCATGCCGAGCACGAGAACGATTGGCGGCGATGTCGAGTACGAAGTAGCGGCGGAGGACATCGATGATTGGTTGTACGGCACGTGTACGCGTTGTCTTGAACTCGTCGTCGATTTGGCGGTGCAGTTTCACGAACCAATCGTCGAGGCCGGAGTTATGCCAGATTTGCTCGAGCTATTGTGCGGTCTCGCGTCGCGTTCGCACGAGCAGCTCGCCGCGTGCGGCGTCGTGGCTTTCAAGCGCTTGCTCATCAATGGCGCTTCGTCAATCAAGGAGCGAGAGTGGCACCAGTGCATGGAGGCGCTGAAGAAGGCTTTCGGTGAAACAACGCCTGACTTCGACGTTTTCATTCGAGGTCACGATGATGCCGCATGGGAGGTGAACGTCAATGCGGCGATCGTGCGCGTTAAGACTCAAGCGCTCCTGGTGTCCGCCGCGTACGACTTGTCTGCCGAGGCGTCGTCGCGCGCGTCTTTCAACGTCGACACACTCTTCGTGTTACTCGATGTTCTTGAAGGTGTGTACGCCACCGCATCAAAGGCATCACTTTCGCTCATATGTTTCAGCGAGCACGAAACGATACCGCGCGTGTCAGCCATCATTCACGAAGCCCGTCCACACGTCCTCGGCGTCGAAGCGAGCGCCGCGTCTCTGGCGCTCCGTACGCTCGCCGGTTTGCAAGTAACGGCGAATGGATCTGAAGCGCGATCGAATCAGCTCGCGCGCACCGCGTCGGTCGCATTCAAGAACTACGAATGCTTACAGACCGTGACATCGGACGTCGACTTGCGCGAGTACTCGCGCGTGTACTCGCAGGTGTGCGTCGACGCGCTCGACGCCGTTCGCTCGCTCGACGCGGCGAGTTTCAAAACGCACCTCTCCGATATCTACCCGCTCCTTACCGCCCTCATTCGGCGTGAGGATAAACCAAGCGAGCTATCGAACGCTCTCTGCGATTTATTCACCGTTCAAATTGGTCCTCTCCTCGCGATGGCGGTACAGTGCGACGCGAACGAAGCGCAAGTCTTAGAATTTGAAAATTGAACATGTTAGTTTACATCGACACAAGTGCCAGCACTGCTCGGCGCGAAAGGAGTGATATTGAGGCGCAGAATATACATATGGCTTGGGCCAGCTAAACCGGCAAAAAATAATCACGAGGCGTCGCGTTCCATCGTTCCTTCGCGTATTACGCGAAGGAGCGGACTCGAAGCCTTATTGCGTGCAAAACCGCCCGCGACGTCTCGGGCGCATCATTCGAAGAATCATAAAAAAGTACACGTCGTCGTCATCATCAGTTTCTTTGATCGCGCTTCGTTCGCGCTTCGTCAAGCCACGTGCGGCTGTTCGAGCGGTCGTCTTCGGCGCCTGGATTCGGTCGAATCACACCAGATCGTCAGTCGTTAGGTCAGAACACCCGAAAACGGGCGGGCTCGCTCGCGCGTCGCCTCGCGCGCGTCGCGCATCGGCCCGCGTCGCTCGCTCGCGCGTTTGAACGCATGTTTTCCAGTGTAACATTCCATCGCTCCCGCGCGGGATGTCGATCGGCGTCGACGCCGCGCGCGACTCGCACGCGAAGCCCCCCTCGTCCGAGTCCCTCGCCTCGCGCACCGCCACGTCGGCATCGACGTCTCGCCCGCTCCCAACGCGCGCGCGCGCGCCGACATCCACACCACCGCCCGCACTCTTTAAAACGAAATTCTCATCGCACGAATACTCGCTGTCCTCGCTCGGCGACCGTCGCGCGCGCGCGTCGCGCGTCGTTCCCCCGTCCGCGCCATCGCGCGCCCGCGATCGCAGCGCCTCGGCGAGCAGCGCCCGTCGCGGGCTCGTCGACGCCCCCACGGTCACCGACGGCGGGCTCGTCGACGGCGTCGATCGCGCCGACGTCGTCGTCGATCCATCGCTCGCGCCGAACCCCGTCACGCACCGCGGCGTCGCGCCCTTTCCGAAATCGTCGCCGCGTCGCGCCTTCGCGCTGTCGTCCCGCGTCAGCATGTCCGCCGTCCGCCGTCCGTCCGCGCGTCCGTCCGTCCGTTCGCGCGCGTTCCCTAAACGCCCGTTCCCTTCGATCGCGCCCGCGCGCTTCGCGTGTCGTCGCGCGTCGCCGTCTCGCGCGCGCGACGCGTCGCGCGAAAAAGCGCGTCGCGCGCGCGCTTTTTCGCGGCGAGCGCTTTTTCGCGCGATCTTTCGCGCGATCACCGGAGACCCACGGCGCGTTTCGATTGGCTGACGACGTCGAGATCGCGCGTTTCGATTCGCCGACGCGCGCGATCGCCGCGCCGCGATCGCGCGCGTGGATGATGGGACGAGGCGCGTAGTGTGAGACTCTCGTCGAGTCGCGACCCATCGACGGGGCGACCGAGATCCGACGCGACGGACGCGACATCGACGACGCGCGGCGTCGCGTCGCGCGTCGGCATCGCGCGACGCGTCGGCGCGCGGATGCGACGTCGAGGTCGCTGACGGCGGCGGTGGAGGCGCGGGCGAGGCGCCGACGCGCGGCGGCGCGGCGGCGTCGGTCAACGCGAGGCGCGCGGGCATGCCCGCGGCGGAGAGCTCGGACGACGAGGACGACGCGCGCGCGGACGGCGCGCGCGCGACGCCGACGGCGAAGAAGCGACGCGCGGCGGCGGCGGCGGCGGCGGAGGAGGATGACGAGGACGCGGCGTTCGCGAACACGCTCTCGCGAGGTTTGCAGAGCGGGCACGACGCGCGCGTGACGACGCGCGTGGCGGACAGGGAGGGACAACAGAGATTTCAAGACGCGCTGCACGCGGTGGCGAATGCGTTTCGGGCGTGTAAGAGATCTGGGCGGACGCGAGACGCGGAGGTCGCGAACGCGGTGGAGCTCGTGCGAGACGCGCACGATCGATTGCCGTCGGAGATGCGCATTCCGGCGGAGTCGCCGTACGAAAAACTGATGCGATATACGCGACATCTGACGCAGCGCGTTGGTGTTCGCGATGACATGTCGAAGAACTTGCCGGAGTCGACGGTGCGCGCGATCGAAGACGCGGCGAACGCGCTCGCCGAGAGCGTGCCCGAGGCGATGAATAAGAGCGACGGTCGCAATGCGATCACATCTTTGAACGCTTTGAAGCTCACGTTGGATCGCACCCGAGGCGCGGCGTCGAGCAAAGCGGGTAGTGCGTGGGATGACAAGGCGACGCGCTGCAAGGACGTGGCGCAGGCTTTGCTCAACGTCACCGAAGCGGACACCAAGGTGACGATGCACTCGCAGTACTTGGGCGGTCCGATGCACGCACTGGACGCTTTTGCGAGCGACCAGCTCACGGAAATGTCGCATGACGAAAAGACGACAGACGCGCAATATTTGTGGCGCGTGTTGCGCGCGTTTTCGCAGGCGCTCTTTGAGCAACATTCGGTCGATTCTTTCATAGCCAAGGCGATTCCGTCGTCACTACAAAAGGAGGCGCGCGACTTCTTCAAAAATCGAACGTCCAAGGACTGCGCTTTGGATACTTTGGTGAAGCGAGTCAAGTTATTTCCAGCGCTCGTCATCGCGGCCTACGGTTCGATGTCGTCAGATAAGGTGACAAAGATTCGCGAAGTGCTCTCAAATCCAGTCGAAGTCGCGCTGCCGACGAGCATCCAGTTCATGAAGATCCACGGTCACGCGCTCGCTCCAAGCGCGAACGATGTTCTTTTTGTCCAGCGCGCCACTACAGAGCAAATAGCGCGATTAAATCGGGCCGGAATTCCGTTTCACGCCAGCATCACGAGGCAAGAAGCGAACGCTGCACTCGAGGGTGCGGAGCAACACATTAAGTGGGAAGAAGACAACGCACCGCAGAGTCACGCGCTCTTGCAATCGTTGTCGTCGTCGCCAATACCGTCACTTCCAGTTCCACCGGCGTCTTCTGTTTTCGAAAGACTCGGAGAAAAAGTGCAAGTGAAGAAGACGAAAACTCAGCTGAAAGCTGAAACTACCAAGGATTTCAAACATTCAAAGCGGTGCAAGATTTGCGATCACACCGTCCATGCGCCTACGCCTACGTCCTTGGCGAACGTCTGGGCGCAGCATCAGACTTCGAAGATGCACAAAGCAGCGGTGCAGGCGAAGAAAGATGCGAAGAATACGCCGCAGCAAGCACCTCATCCTCTCGCTTCGTTGGCCCCCGTAGAGCGTGCGTATGCGCAGATGGTCGACGTTCCTCCGCCTCCGACGTCCATGGCTAAGGGTGAGAATCAAGGAGATGTCCGAATCATGAAAGCGCAAATTACACAAGCCACGGAAGTTCCACCGCCACCACCAGAAGGGTGCGCACGCGCGCTCGGGTTCCAGTACAAAAACGCCGGTGTGTCGCATCCGTTAGAAAAGCTTTGGGTGCCCGGCGAAGAGGGCGAAGTCGTGAGTCGTTCATCGACAGAGACACACGTCGGGGCGATGAACAACGGCGCGAGATACGGTGACGTCGTCGGACGGCAAATTCAACAGCGTTTACAAAACGTACAGCATCAGCAGCAGAGTTTAAAGCGGAAGCGCATTGAGCTCTTCGCGAGGAAACCCGATCCGCCGCGCCGAGGGCCGGTGTATTGCAAACACTTCGATCGTGGCAACTGCTGGAACGGCGACGCGTGCAAGTTCAGACACGGTCGCGTCCCCGACTCGCCGTGCGATAGCTACGACGGCTAAGGAGACGCAAGTCGTCGCGCTCGAACGTGAAACACTCGCCGAGGTCGCCACCGAAACCGCACGGCGCGTCGCGCGCACAAACGAAACATTCATTCACTCATACCTAGCTCGCGCTGTACGATATCACCCACGAAAACGATACCTCACCGCACACGTCCGCGCCGCGCCTCGATGTCCACCGAGCTCGCGCCCGCCGTGCGACGCGCCCTCGCGCGCGTGGTGCAAGGCAAGGCGCGCCGCGGTCTGTTCGCGGGTAAACACATCAAATTCGGCAACAACGTGAGCGAGGACGGGGGCAACAAGTGCGTGTTCGCGTCGCGTTCGAGCGATCTCACCGCCCCGACGCACGGTCTCGGCGCGCCGCCGCGCCGCCGGTCATCGACTAACGATTCGTGTCGCATTTTCGCGCGCGCAGAACTCGCCGTCGATGGCTTCCGAACGCGCAAAAGAAGCGAGTGTACAGCGAACTCCTGGAGGAGATGATCCCGATGCGCGTCACCGCGCACGCGCTCCGCTGCATGGACAAAGCCGGCGGGTTGGACGAGTACATCTTGCGCACGCGCGATCAAGATTTAAAGAGCGTGTTCGCGTTGGAGTTGAAGGAGCGTTTGAAAGCGGCGAAGTCGGCCATCGACTCCGCGACGGCGCCGAGCGCGCCGTGAGCGCAGAGACGAGCGCCGGCCGCGCGCGCGATAGAATTAGCCACTCATCCGGAGAGATCACAATCCTAGGTAGCGTTGATCATCATCACGAACTCTTCTTAGCCGAACGCGCGCTCGTCGACGTCGCTCGCGCGCGCTCGCTCTTCGCCGCACTGTTCGCCTCGCGCGATGGCGAGGTCGAAGAAATCCGTCCCCGCCGCCTTCCCGCCCGTCCCCAAGCGATGCGTCGTCACCGGCGGCATGGGCTTCGTCGGCCGTCGCCTGGTCGAGATGCTCGTCGAGCGCGGCGCCGAGCGCGTGGTGGCGTTCGACGTCGCGCCGAGGCCGAGCGACGCCGAGGACGACGACCGCATCGTGTGGTTTCAGGGCGATCTCACGAAGCCCGATGACGTCGATCGAGCGTTCGAGGGCGCGGAGTGCGTGTGGCACATCGCGGCGCTGGTCGGGCCGTATCATAAGCGCGAGCTGTACGACGCGGTGAATCGCGTGGGGACGCTGAACGTGATCGCGGCGTGCAAAAAGCACGGGATTACGAAGTGCGTGATGTCGTCGTCGCCCTCGACGCGGTTCGATGGGAACGATATCAATGGAAAGCGAGAGAGCGAATTGGGTTTCCCGAAGGTGTTCTTGCAGGAGTACGCGGAGAGTAAGGCGATGGGTGAGCAGGCGATGATGGACGCGTGCGACGGGAAGACGTTTTTTAGCGTCGCCGTGGCGCCGCATCAGGTGTACGGACCGAGGGATATGCTGTTCATGCACAACTTCCTGATCAACGCCAAGAGGTTGAGGATTTTCGGGAACGGGGAAAACTTGATCAGCGTGTGTTACGTGGATAATTATTGCCACGGGTTGATTTTGGGCGAGCGAGCGTTGTATCCAAATTCGCCGGCGTTGAAGAAGTTTTACATTTGCACCGACGGTGAGCCGGTCAAGCTGTGGGACTTCTTGGATCGCGCATTCGTCGAACTCGGCTATCCGTCGTTGAAGAACAAGTTCAAGCTTCCCGGTTGGACTTTCATGATGCCGCTCGCGTACGCGTGCGACGCCGTCGGCTACCTGTGCGGCAAAAAGTTCAAACTTACTCCGTTCTCCGTGCGCATGTTGCTCATCAACAGATGGTTCAACATCGAGGCCGCGAAAAACGATCTCGGGTACGAGCCGATCTACACCCCCGACGAGGCGTGGGCGAAAACCAGAGATTGGTTCGAAAAGGTTTGGAAGCCGAAGTATGGATGACGATTCGCCTCGCCGAGGCGAGCGATTCTTTCCCCGTCGCGCGCGACGGGTTGTACGCTAGACCAACATATTTGCAACGCTCGCAAGTTTCACATCACCCGTTTCGCTTCGCTTTCGTCCCGCAATCCATCGTTTCGCGACACGATCGGCGCGTCCGCTCTCACGGCGTCTGGCACACTGGAAATGACGTCAGAGCGACTCGCATCTTATCCGCACATCGCGCCGTGCTCGCGCCCGTCCGCGCCCTCGCGCGCCTCGAGACGAACGATGAGCACCGCGCGTGCGTCCGTTTTCACTCCGACCGCGCGAATCGCGCGCGCATCGCGCGCGCACCGCGCGCGCGTCGCCAAACCGTTCGCCGCGACGGCGGAGGCGCCCGCGAACGCGGCGCTTCGGCAGTTCCCGGACGCGCCCGCGAAGATCATCGAGCACGACGACGTCCTCGGGTGGGCGCAGCTCGAGTCGAAGCTCATCGCCGCGTGCGCGACGAACGTCGGGGACTCGAGCGTGAACGCGAGGTTCCAGGCGGCGGCGCTGCTGGGGGCGACGACGACGTACGACGCGGTGAACGAACTGAGCGTGGTGGAAGTGTACACGCAAGTGTACGAAGGCGATCTCACGACGTGCAGCACGATCATTGATGTGCACTTGCGCATCTTGTGCGAGAGCATGATCGACGGGGACTGGGAACGAATCGGGAACTGCTACAAGAAGTTTCACGATTTGCCGCCGCAGTTGAAGCGGCAGAGCTTGTTGGCGACGTCCGCTGTCGCGGAAGCCGCGCTGTTATTCACGAAGGAGGAGTACGAATACATGGTTTCGTTCTTGCAAGACATGTACGAGTCGCCGGACGCGACGGAGGAGCTCAAGGCGGAGTATGAGGTGAACTTAGAGATGGTGACAGCCATCGACCGCTTCATCGACGAAATGCAAAAGAACAAAGACGAGAGAGATCGCTCTTAGAGTCGCCATCGATGTCTAGTACTGGTAGTTATCGCTTGATTTATTAACCATATGAATTGCTTTCAATCATCGCACCGTGTGGCGCGCTTCTAAAAAACTACGGTGATCGCTATTGTCAAGCCGGAGCGCTTCGCTCACATGTGCTCAGTTCCGGGCGCGCCGAAATAAAGCGCGTGCAACGCGAAACCGAAGAAGAGAATACCACCGACGAACGACACCGTTCGAGGGGAAATCTTCATGGCGACGATTCTGCCTCCAGCAACCGCCAAGGAGGTGCAGAACGTGTGGCCCAGGATACCGCCGATGGCGACGCCGTACGGGTTTTTATGCGTCGCCAACGCGATGGTCGTGATCTGACTTCTGTCACCCCACTCGGCCAAAAAGATCAGCACAAAGGCTTCGATGAACACTGGGGACGAAATCTTGGCCAAAACACGCGCCACGCGCGTGCGCGTGCTCACGGACGTTCCCTTTTCCAACTTTTCTTCAACCTCTTCGATTTCCCCCGTCATCGACGCCGCGCCGTCCGATTTGTACGCCAAGTACATCAACCGACATCCAAAGAACGTGTACAAAACGAACGCCGCCTTACTCACCGTCTCTTTACTAATCAACTGCGGCACCACCAACCCGAGCATGACGGACAGCACGGTCATGATGGTGAGCGCGCACAGCCCGCCCGCGAGGACGACGCCTCGCGAGTTTCGCATCGCCATGATGGCGGCGATGATGAACGTCTCGTCCCCGAGTTCGCTCACGAGCACCATGCCGAGCGAAGACACGAACCCGTCGTTGAATCCGCCGTCGCCCTCGGGCACGGCGTCCGCGCCGAGCGCGGTGAGGTCGTCGCCCGCGCGATCCGCGGCGGATAAGCGCGCGGCGTCGACGACGCCGCACAGCGCGCACGCCGCGAAAACCACCGCGACGACCGCGGCGCGGGATCGCGCGCTCGCGCGAGACATCGTCCTCGCGCGCTCGCGCGGCGCCATCATCGGCGGCGTCGTCGAGTGTCGCGCGTCGTCGTCGCCGAAGTCGTTCGAGCGCGCGCGCGCCTCCGTCGTACGTTTCAATCACGCGCGCGGCGCGCGCGCCCCCGCGCGCGCGACCGCGCGCTCAAACTCTACTCTACTCATTCTAAACAAACTCTCGTCCGCGCCGTCGCGCGTGACGCGCCGCTCGACCTCGGGCTTGAACGCCGACACCATCGCGCGCACGCGCTCGTCCGACCAGTCCGCGAACCCGTTCGCGTCCGCCACGCGCCGCACGTCGCGCGCGGTGAAATATCCGCGTCCGCGCGCGTCCAGGAGTTCGTACGCGCGCGCCAGCGCGTCGTCGCTCGGTCGTCGCGCGCCGCGCGCGTCGTCCGCGTTCGATGCGTCCGTCGCCATCGCGTCGCGCCGCGCGCGTCGCGTCGGCGGCGCGCCGTCGCGGCGGCGCGCCGTCGGCGTCGGCGACGACGCATCGGCGTCGGCGTCGGCGTCGGCGTCGCTCGACGCGTCGACGCGCGCGTCCGCGGTCGCCATCGCGTCGCCGTCTGCGGGGCGAGACGCGACGGCGACACTCCGCCGCGCGATGCCGCGCGCGTCGCTCGACGCGCCGTCGCGCGCGCGCGCGTCGCTCGACGACGCGACGCGCGCGTCGACGTCGCTCGACCGCGCGCGCGAGCGCGGCGACGCGCGCGATTGCTTCAAGACGCCCGAGGGGCGGTACAACCTGGAGCGCGCGGTGTCGCTGCGACGCGCGGGGGCGCGCGCGCGAGGCGCGGGCGCGCGCGAGGCGTACGACGCGAGAAATCGACAGCGCGTGGAGGTGGCGACGGTGGAGGGGCGGCGGTACGCGCTGGTGAACGCGGGAGAGGGGGTGCGCGCGATGGCGTTGGACGAGGCGAACGACGCGAAGACGGCGGCGAGCGTGACGTTCGGAGGCGCGTGCGTGACGTCGCTGGCGTGGAGGGCGAAAGAGGAGGGCGAACGATGCGATTTGCTCGTCGGATTGGCGAACGGGGAGGTGTGTGGGGTGGATTTGGGGAGATGGTTGGGGGAGAAGGCGAAGCGGGCGACGGCGACGACGACGCGATGGAACGCGGACGGCGACGGGGTGAACGCGTCGAGGACGACGTGCGTGCGGTGGCGAACGAGAGGGGACGATAAGGAGAACCTCGCGACGGGGTTCGATTTCGTGTCGTTGCACGCCGATGGGAGCATGTACACGTACGATTCGTCGAAGGATGTCGTCGCGGCAAAGTTTGAGGCGTTGGCGGACGCGTCGGCGCTGAGCGTCGCCGCGTCGCAAGTTCCCGGGTCGAATCCGAGCGCGCGATGGCATTTCGGACGACATACGCTGAATGCCGCGGCATTTTCTCCCGATTGTCGTTATTTAGTCGTCGTGAATGGGGCGGGGATGTGTCGCGTGTTGGACGTCGAGCTCGACAGGCCGAACATCGTCGCCGGCTTCAAGTCCTACTACGCCGGTTTCAACGCCGTGACTTGGAGCCCGTGCGGTCGGTACGTCATAGCTGGTGGTGAGAGCGATATGCTCGAAATATGGGGGTTGTACGAGCGAGAAGTCGTCGCGTGGGGGTGCGGCGGCCATCGCAGCTGGATCACCGACGTCGCCGTGGACGAGCGCGCCGCCGGCGAAGGTCATCGCTTCCTTCGAATCGCCTCCGTGGGCGAGGACTGTCGAGTGGCGTTCTGGGACTGGCATTTCCCCGAAGACGACGACTTCGGCGAAACCGCGGCGCGCGACTCGAACACCGCCACGCTCGCGGACCAAGCCTCGCGACTCTCCGTCGGCGCCGCGCGCGCGTCTCGTCGCGCGCCCTCTTTCGTCGGCCCCGACGCTAACATCGTTCAGTCCGCCCATCGCGACGAGGTTGAACGTCTCGTCCCTATCATGACCCACAAGCTCCACACCTCGCCCGTCACCGCCGTGCGTTTCACCGCCGAAGCCGCGCTCACCGCGACGCTCAACGAAATCAAGCTCTGGCGCCGCCCGTCGCATCCATCGCGTTACGTCCACGACGACGACCATGAAGAGAGCGATTTAGGGTTTCCGTGATTTGATTGTGTGATTTTCCCGCGCGTAAGCGCGCGTTGTTTAGTCCTCGCGCGCGCGCTAGCTCGTGTATTAACTTATCAAGCGCCGCGGCGCGCACATGTGTTCCCACAACCCTGTACTCGATCGCGGGTACCAAAACGAAGCAATCGCGCGCACAATCCGTCTCTTTGCGCCTCGCTCGCTCCCGCGCGACACCAAACGCACGAAAACAAACATGGCGCCCCGTATCACGTACAAGCGACGCCACGCGTACAACACGCGCTCGAACAAGATCGTCAAGAAGCGATTGCCCGGCGGGTCTTTGGGCATCGCCTACGTCAAGAAGACGACCAAGGGCGCGCAAACGCCGGCTGGTGATGCCGGTCGCATTCACGGGGTGCGTGTGGATAATTACTCGTCGTCGATTCGCGGGCGCGGGCGCGGGAGCGCGCGAAGAGGCGCGCGAGGGCGCGGCGATGTCGATCGGTGTCGACGCGCTAGGGCTTTCGTCGCGATCGATGTCGTCGACGCGACGCGCGCGCGACGCAAACGCGCGCGAGGGAGGACGCGTGCGGTGAAGAGCATTTTGACTGACGTTGACGCGCGTTGATGGTCCGCGATCGATAGGTTCCGCGCGTGGCGACGCAAAAGTATAGCCGCAAGCACATGTCCAAGAACAAGAAGAGCGTGACGCGCGCGTACGGCGGCGTCTTGTCCGCTGGCGCGGTTCGTGAGCGCATCGTGCGCGCGTTCCTCGTCGAGGAGCAAAAGATTGTCAAGGTGCGTCGCATTGCGAGCGGTTTGTGCGCGTGTAAAGGCGATGTGAAGCGACGACGACGAGCGCGGCGACTAACCCACGCGACGAACGCGATTTTCCTCGAAACAGAAAGTGCTCAAGCTCCAAGCCGCCAAGGAAGGCAAGTAAGCGCAGGGCGTGAATGATCAATCTTAGCGAGTTCTACTTAGTGGATATATTGGCTTCTCAGGCGGCGATACCGTCGTTTGAGAAGCGGTTGTAATCGAACGGAGTCGTCGAAATCATATCGCGCGGCGCTCGTCTAAATCGCATTGCATTTCGCTCGCAAAGTCACGAAGCGGTGACTATCTATATCGCTATGTTTGTTTGTACTCCCGCGCGCGCTCACGCCGTCGTCGTCGTCGCCACGCCATCGTCGCACACCTTGCATCTGCACACCGGACACGTATCGCGCTATATTCGTCGTCAGTCCGCGCCATCCGTTCATCCTCGCGCGTCGTCGCGCACGCACCAGTTTCAACCACTCCGTCAAACAATTCAAATGAAACTCATGCGAGCACTTCGGTATCGTTTTCACGCGATCGCCGCGCGCGAACTCGCTGAGGCACACCGAGCACGTCTTCTCGTCGCCGCCGTCCCACGCGCGCTCCGGAAGCGCCTCCACCGCGCGCGCGTCGCACGGCGCGTCGAAGTTTCGCGTGTCCAACTGCGTGAAGTCAAAGTCGCCGAACGCGCCGTCGCCGTGCGCGACGAACGCGGGACCGAAGACGACGGAGATGCCCGTCCTTTGACCGCGCGCGGGCGCGGCAGCGGACGACGACTCGGCGCGCTCGAGAAAGATGCCGTCGCAGGACGGGCACTTGGCGTCTCGCGAGCCCTGATCCAGCGCCGCGGCGGCGACGTGCACGCGCCGAGCGCAGTCGTGGCACCACACGGACTCCATCTCACGCTCTGAAGTGCGGACGCGGCGTGTGCCTCGCGCCTCGCGCGAGACGAGACGCGCGAGAGTCGGCGAACGGCTCGGCGACGGACGCGGGCGCTGGTGCGTGGAAAACGCGGTGGTTACGCACATCGTGTGATGTAATATTTATCGCTTCTATGTGTCGCCGCACGCGTGGCGCGCGACGTCGCTACTCGCTGAGCAAAAATCAAACAAATCGCCCTCCGAACGCCGCCGTGGTCAAAACCGATCGACGAGCGTTTATTCGCCGTTCACGACGGAGTCCTCGACGCGAAGGAGCACAAAACCGAAGGCGAGACCGATGAGGGTGATGATGAAGCACGTCGTGGCGATAGACGCAATCTCCGCACCCTGGTTGGCGATTTGCGCAACCTCAACCATGGAAGCCTTGGTCACGGCGGCGCCGCCGCGGACGGACTTGCGCGGCGCGACACGGGCGCTGCGTCGTACGAAAAAATAATCAAACGTCAGTCTGCGTTCAGGCGTTATCCCACTTCGCACACGAAAGACGACGACACCGCGCGCGTTCGCGAAAATCGCCTCCGCGCACCTCTTCACCGGGACGCCGGCGACGGCGCGCGTCGCGGAGAGTCGCGTCGCGCTGCGTTTCGAAAATCACCCGCGTCATCACGTCAGTCCTCATCCCACGTCCGCGCTCGCTCGCGCGCTATCCCTCGCCCGCGATGAATCACCCATCCTCGCCCGAACCTTCGTCCACGAACGCCCCGTTCGCCGCGCGAACCGCCGCGCGCGTCGGTTTATCCAGTGGATAGGGCTTCACCGCGCCCCCATCGACGTTCGACGCCCGCGCCGTCTCCGATCCCGTCTCCCTCGCCTTCGCGCGCGTCGTTCGACGCGACGCAAATTCATCCACGCGCGCGCGCGTTTCCACGCCCAGAACTCGCGCGCGCGCGTCCATCTCCGCGCGCGCGCGCGCGATCGCGCGATCGCTCGCGTCGTCGCGTCGCGCGCGTCATCGCGCGTTCGTCGTCGCGTTCGCGTCGCCGACGCACCGGTTGACGCGCTTGGCGTTCGCGGACGTCGCGTTGACGCGGACGGCCGAGCTGGCGATGGTTTGCGTGATCGCGTTCATGGCGTCGTCGTGTTGTGTCGCGCGCGTCGTCGCGGGATCGACCATCCGTCGGATTCGCTGCGACGGTTCGCGACTCAAGCGAAACGGGGGTCGTTCATATAATACGCGCGCGAACGCCATCATATCATCATCGCGCGTCGCCGCGTCGGCACACGCGCGCGCTCGGAGATCGATGTCGCGACGCGCGCGCGCGCGCGCGGGGTGGTCGACGCGCGTCGCGATCGCGGTGACGCTCGCGCTCGGCGCGGCGACGCGCGGACGCGCCGCGGCGGAGGCGTCGGTCGAGCCATCGGCGCCATCGGCCGCGGCGTCGCGCTGGCGCGAGCTCGCGCTGGACGAGGACGCGTTCGAGACGGTGAAATCGTACGATCGACCGAGTTATTACGTCGACGCGGGCGGACGGGCGCGGTTCAGGGGATGGTTCTCGAACACGGCGACGACGGAGGCGGGGAGCGACGCGCTGGCGACGCCGCTGCCGGCGGAGGCGCGACCGACGCGAGACGAACCGTGGAAGGTGACGATGAAGGGCGCGGAGCGCTCGTTGACGGTGACGATGGATGGGAAAATAGTGGTCGGGGACGAATACGACGCGAACACGTGGTTTGTGCTGAATGGATTGGAGTTCGACACCGCGGCGGCGTTCGCGGAGGAGGAGACGTGCGACGCGGCGAGCGGGTCGTGTCCAACCGCGCGCGACGAGCTGTAGGTAATATGTAAATCAATCAATATTTATCGCACTATTTCAACGCACTCGCACTCGCGCACGCCCTCGGGAAGCTTCCCTCGACTCCCCGCGATGATTTTCCCCGCCACGCTCGCCAGGGACGCGTTCTCCGCCGTCGTCCGCGGCTCGTCGCGCGCCCATCTCGCGTAATCCGCCGCGAGCTGCGTCAAAAACCACGGCATCACCGCCCCCAAGCTCCATCCTAAGATCGTGTTCAACCGCGTTCCCGCGCGCGCGAACACGCCCTCTCGAAAGTCCCCCCACACGTCGATTTGGCATCGTATGCTCGCCCGCCCCGTGTCCTCGCAGCGCGTCGCCGTCACCTCGTTCCTCAACCGCAGGTCCTTCAGGCTCGCGTTGATCGCGTCGATTATTTTCGTCGCCTTCGCGTCGTCCGGGTTACGATTCACGATCACCGCGTCCACGAGCGACTGCACGCATCCCTCCTCGCTCGCGTCGACGCGCACCGTCCCGCGCGGCTCGACGTCCAGAAACAGCAGCTTTTGCCTCCCCGCGCTCACGACGAACCCGTTCGCGTCGTCGCTCGCGCGCGACACGTTCTCCGGGTCGATGAGATTGTACTCCGTCGCCGGCAGCGCGACGTACTCGCGCGCGGTGCGCGCGCCGTCGCGCGCGGCGTCGCCGAGGTCGACGGCGAACGCGCGCGAGACGCGCACGAGCGCGCGCCCGGCGTTCCGCGCGTCGCGCTCGACGTCCGCGAGGTCGGCGTTGACGTTGGCGCGCGCGCGCGCGCGCGCCGCGCGGACGTCCGCGCGCGGGCGCGCGAGCGCGAGGCGCGCGAGCGCGGGCGTCGGCATGGAGTGCGGCGTCACGCGAGCGCGCGCGATGGATAGCGACGTCGCGCAGCGCACGTTCGAGCTCCCGCGCGCGCGGTGGGCGTACGTGAGGATACGACTGTGCGTCGGCGAGGCGAGGCGAGGCGCGCGCGCGACGGCGAACGGACGCGTCGGCGCTCGCGAGGCGCGCGGGAGGACGAAGACTGGAAGACTGACGACGACGACGCGCGCGCGAACGACGCGCAGGATCACGCGAGACGCGACGTGGAAGTGGTCGCGCGCGGGCTTGGAGTCGATGGTGCGCGCGGCGGTGCGACGGGCGCACGGGGCGATCGACGGCGGGTTCGAGGTGGAATTCGTCGGCGGCGAGCGCGCGGGCGCGGGGGAGGCGTTCGCGGGGACGTTCGTGGTGAAGGTGGCGCACGAGAATCGTAGGAAGTTGTGGAGCGCGTTGAGTTTGACGGGGTACATGGACGAGTCGCAGGAGCGGGCGTGCGCGTGCGAAATCGTCGCGGTGTCGCCGACGTTGTCGGCGCTCGCGGCTTGAGAGTTTTAGCGTAGCGTAGTCTTTAGCCTAGTCACACGGCGCGCGTCGGCGGAGTCGAGGGTTTAAAATCGACGAATTGCGTCGCGTCTTGAAATAATCGTGTTGTACCATATTAATTGCACGCTAGCTACTTGTTCTGGACCACCACGGTCTCGGCGTCCAAGTCGGCGTCTTCTTCGACTTCGTACGCGGCGCCGATGATGCTATCCTTTGCCGTGACACGCGCGCCGATGACGGCGCCGGGACCGACGATACAGCCTTGAATCTGTGCGCCATCGTGCACGACGGCGCCTCTAAGAATGAGAGAGTTGGAAATTTTAACGCCCGACCCAAACACGCAATCCGCGGCGACGACGGATTTCTTCACCGAACATTTGTCCTTGAACGTGCACTGACCAGCCACCGCACATCCCGGTCCGATCGTACTCTTGGCCCCGATCACCGTTGATGGGTCGACGACGTTGTCGTACTTGCTCAGAGGTCGTTCGAGCAAGTGATGGAACTCGGCGGCGATTTCTCGCGACGCCTCGAGAAGCGCCGGCTTCGCCGTATCCACGGCGACGCAATACTTGTCCGGCTTCACCATGTACGCCGCCACCCCGCCCGCGGTGGTGCCGCGAAACTGCTCGGCGGCGAAGTGCGGCACCAAGTCGAACCGTAAGCTCTTCAAATGCGTCTTCTCTCGCAGCGCCGCGAACGTCTCTCGCGCCTCCAAAGCGTAAATCCCCACGTCGATCACATCCGTCCTGATCACCATCTCCGCCGTCGCGTTCAGCGCCGACCGCTGCAACTTCAACCGTTTCTTCGCCTCGTCGTGTTCGCCTCCCGCGAGAAAAACCACGCGCGTCTCATCCGCGTTCAACCCGACGTATCGCATCCCCTTCGGCGCTCGCCCCGCCTTCGTCTCAACCTCCGCCCACGCCCGTTTCTTCGCCAGCGCGCACGTCGCCGTCGCCGCGTTCACCAAATGTGTGCTCAGCACATCATCCAGCGCGACATCCGTCACGACGTCTCCCTGCACGACCAGCAGCGTCGTCGTCGTCTCGTCCGCGAACCGTTCGCACGCCGCCAGCGCGCGCGCCGTGTCCGTCCCCTCGTCCGCCGCCACCACGTCGATCGTCGGCGCCTCTCGCAGCGCGCTCGACGGTTCTCCCCGCCATCGCTCGATTCGCTCGCGCGCGACGCTCGCGTGCGCGTCTCCCGCGCACACGACGGTGATTTTCTCGCAGCGATGTCGCCGCATCGACGCGATCGCGCGCAGCGCGTGGTGCGCGAGCGGCGCCATGCCGCACTCCAGGTCGTATCTCGACGCGTCGCCGTCGCGCAGGAGCGCGTCTCCGAACGGCGCGTCGCGCTCGAGCGCGAGCACGACGCCGTGCGCGCGCATCGCTCGCGCGAATCGCGACGCGGCGCGGCAGAGTGTGACGCCCGGGTCCGCTCGGCGCGCGAATCATGTCGACGCTGCGCCTGCGGGACCTCATCCGCAAGGTGCGCGAGTGCAAGACCGCGGCGGAGGAGCGCGCGGTGATCGCGCGCGAGTCGAGCGCGATTCGGGAGTCGTTCAGGAACCCCGACGAGGCGCGATTCGTCCCGAGAAACGTCGCGAAGCTGATGTTCGTGCACATGCTCGGACACGCGACGCACTTCGGGCAGATGGAGTGCGTGCGATTGACGGCGAGGAACGGGTTCCCGGAGAAACGGATCGGGTACCTGGGGCTGATGCTGCTGCTGGACGAGGACCAGGAGGTGACGATGCTGGTGACGAATAGCGTGAAGAACGACTTGAGTCATAAGAATCACTACGTGGTGGGACTCGGGTTGTGCATGTTGGGGAGCATATGCAGCGCGGAGATGGCGAGGGACGTGGCGGGGGAGGTTGAGCAGTTGATGGGACACGGGAATTCGTACGTGAGGAAGAAGGCGGCGCTGACGGCGACGAGGGTGATTAAAAAAGTGCCAGAGTTGACGGAGGGGTTCGTGCCGGCGGCGGAAAAGTTGTTGAGCGATAGGCATCACGGGGTGCTGCTGGCGGCGTGTACGCTGGCGACGGAGATGTGTGAAGACGATGACGACGTGCGGCAGAGAATGCGAGCGCAGGTGCCGCAGTTGTGCAAGGTTTTGAAGTCGTTGATTTACGCGGGGAAGAGTGTTGAGCACGACATCGCCGGTCACGCGGATCCGTTTTTGCAAGTGGCGATTTTACGATTGCTTCGCGTGCTCGGTCGAGGCGACGCGGACGCGAGCGATGCGATGAGCGACATATTGGCGCAGATCGCGTCGAACACGGATGGCGCGAAGAATGCCGGGAACGCTATTCTGTACGAGGCTGTCGAGACCATCATCGCCATCGAGGCCGTGGGTGGTTTGCGCGTGCTGGCGGTGAACATTCTGGGCAGGTTTTTACAGAACAAGGATAACAACATACGTTACGTCGCGCTGAATACGCTCGCGAAAGTTGTCGAGGTGGACATGCAAGCCATCCAACGTCACCGCGCTATCATCGTGAATTGCGTGAAAGACGCGGACATCACCATTCGGCGAAGCGCGCTGCAATTAGTGTACGGCTTGGTGAACGCCAAGAACGTCACCACGCTGTCACATGAGTTGCTCGAGTACTTGGAGGTGTGCGATGAGGAGTTCAAGTGTGAGTTGGCAAAGAAAATATCCTCCTTGGCATTGAAGTTTTCGCCGAGTAAGCAGTGGTACATTGACACGTTCATCGCCCTCCTCATTCGCGCTGGGCAGTACATTGACGAGCTCGAGTGCAACGATTTCATGGGGCTCGTCGCGCGGACGCCTCAGCTTCACGGCTACGCTGCGCGTTCATTGTATCGCGCGGCGTGCGACGATTATGCTCCCGTGCGTTTGTGCGCAGTCGCGGTGTGGGTGTGCGGGGAATACTCAGACGCGATGGTGCACGCGCCGTCCGTCGAGGACGAAGTATTGACCAAGGTGAAGCATAACGATGTCACGAAGCTTATGATCGCGATTCTGAGCGAGGAAAAGTACCTGATGTTGAGACCGTTAGTCATGACGGCGCTTGCCAAGATTGCGGTGCGCGAACCGAGCGAACAAGCCGTCATCATACCCGTCTTGGCCAAGTATGAGACAACACTCGAGCTCGAAACGCAAAAGCGCGCGCACGAGTACAAATCGATGTTTGAAAAGATGCCAGATCTCCGGGATATGCTCTTCGAGCACATGCCACCTCCCGAGGCACCGAAATTCGTCGCTGCGGATACCATGGAAACTCTAGCTCAGAAAAAGGCTGCGGACGCGGCTCGACCGGCGAGAAGCTTTGGCGACTTGTTGAATTTCGATGAAGGTGACTCGTCGCAGGCGCAAACTAGCGGCGCCGACTTGTTGAACGATTTACTCAGCCCTAGTTCGGCAGATGCGCCGACGTCGGCGCCGGTGACGCCTGCGAAACAAAGTCAGGCGATGGATTTACTCGGTGACATGCTAGCCGACGTAGCGATACCGGCGAGCGCGCCACCGAAGGCGTCGGCGCCGGACGCGTTGGCTGATCTTTTCGGTAGCACCGATATGAGCTCGGCATCGGTGTCACATACTATTACTTCGGCACGTGTTGATGTTCTCGGCGATCTGATGTCGTCGTCTTCGCCAGTGCCCACGACGGATCCGTTTGCTAACATGGACGCGGCACATCCGGCTGCCGTCGCGGGCTTGATGGATCTAATGTCAGACGATGTCCCGGTGGTTTCTTCGTCCTCTACCGGATCCTTGATCGATGCGCTGGGTGCGCCTACGGCCCCCACGCCTCCGACAGCACCGCAACCGGCGTACGCGAAAGGTTCTTTGTCAATCTTCTTGTCGGCGTCAAAGCCGAATCAGCTCGACCAAAGCAAGACGCTCGTGAGCGCTCGCTACGTTAACGCGGGTCCAGCTGATATCGAAAACTTTTCTCTACACGCAGCGGTTCCTAAAACCATGACTCTTAGCATGCAAGCGGCGAGTGGGTCGACGATATCATCGAGCGCGCCGGTGACGCAAAACATGCTCGTCTCGGCGGCGGCGGGACACGAAGGCAAGCCGATAGCGCTCCGTCTGAAGTTATCATGGGTCGAGAACGGCCAGGTAATGAACGAAATGGCGACAATTTCGCGAGTTGACTAGAAATAATGTAATTACAATTCGCCAGACAAGGCAGAACGAAGACGCTCGCGACTCATTTGCTTCAACGCCGCGCTAGTCTCGACCACGCCCAAGGGCTGATTGGACGAGTCGACAACGACGGCGAATGCGCCGTCATCGGCGAAGTCGACGTCTCGTAACTTGACGTCGGGCTCTATGACCTTCACGTCGATCAATGCTTCAGCGACGCGCGCACGCGTATCAAATCCGCGCTGCACAATGGCATCCGCGATGCTACTCGGAGTGACGACGCCGACGAACACGCCGTCGGCGACGACGAACGCGCACGGCGGCGGATTTTCGGAATCAGATACCCTCAAAAGAGTCATCGAAGCCGCTTCAATCGTAGTCTCCTCATCGATGATGACGATATCGCTCCTCATGAGATCACGCGGACGGGCCACGAGCGAGCTAGCGAGAGCCGCCACGCCGCGCGTCTCGATGTCGCTCGTGCTGAAAGGCACCGCGCTCGTCTCCACTGAATTCACGATGGAGGTTGCGACCGTGACGGTACCCATCAGCGGCAAAATTATTCTATAATCACCTGTGAGCTCGAACAAAAGCAATATGGCTGTGAGAGGGACGCGACAAACGCCCCCGAGAACGCCGGCCATGGCGACGAGCGCGTATGCTTGCGGCGGCGCGACAAACATAGGTGGGAAATACGTCGATTCCAGTGCGCCACCGAAAGCCGTACCCAAAGCGGCGCCTAAAAATAGAGAAGGTGCATATACGCCACCGACCAACCCTGAACCTCGACAAATCGCCGTCGCGAGCAGTTTCGCGAGCACGAACTCGCCGAGAACCAATGGAGTATACGTCGCCGCGGCCCAACCAGCGCCGGCATCGTTTTGCACAAGCAGCGCGTTGACGTTATCGAAACCTTGGTACGTCACCTGAGGAAACTTCAACGCCAGGCAGCCGAGCAGAAATCCCCCTATCGGGGCGTGCCATATTCTAGAAATGCCCAACCCGCCTTTTTCGCGTTCTACGGCGACGAAATTCTCCGCGAAATCGTCAAAAACGACATTCATCTTTCTCAGAGCAGCGGCGGTGACTCCACACGCGAACCCGAGCGGCAGGTACAAAGGAAGCTCGACAAAGTCCGAAATTTCAAACGGCGGCACGTCCACGGAAGGCAGCGCGCCGAGGACGGCTTTACTCGCCACTGTCGCCAAGACACTCGCCAAGATGACCATCTCCGTCGTCACCGCGCCAGCTTTGGTGTCGCCATCACCACCAGCTTTCGACCCGGGCACGAGAATTGACTCAAACCCGAAGAACAACCCGGAAATCGGCGCGCCGAAACCCGCGCTAAACCCCGCGGCGGCCCCCGCGGCTAATAATCCCAATCTATTCGGCGCCACGGATGGAAACGCCGCGCCCACTCGATCCGCCACCGCCGCGCCAATCTCCACGCTTGGCCCTTCTGGCCCGAGCGAACATCCCGTCCCGAGTGTGATCGCCGCCGCCGCGGTCTTCGCGAGCACCTTAACGCCGACCCTGACGTCCTCGTTCTCATCGAACTCATTCAAATCGATCCCCGCGTAATCGTCCGTGCTCGCGCTCCCCGCGTTCGCGCTCGCCTTCCCAAACATCCATCCTCGCTCCGGTTCTCCCGCGAACCCCCCCGCGAGCGCTCGAAGCGCACTCACGCACAATCCTCCGAGCGCTGGCACCGCGACCGTGCCCAGCGCGTTCCCCAGTTCTCCTCCCGGATCCAGCGCGCCGAACGCCGCCGCGCCGTCGCACCCGACGCTCGCGCAGCTCGCGCTCGCCACCACGTTGATCGCCTTCTCCGTCGCCGCGAACGCGGACACCGCGAGTCCGCTCGCGACGCCGACGACCGCGGCGGTCGCGAGCAGCGTGTTCTGGTCCGCGTTCTCGGGCGCGGGCGACGGCGCGCGCGGTGCGTCCGCTCGCGTCACCGCGCGCGCGGTGACGGCGACGCGCGGCGCGGCGCGGCGCGCGCGAGGATCGCGCGCGCGCGGTGACGACGCCGTCGAGGCGGCGGCGCCGGACGCGCTTCGCATCGCGGCGTCGCAGTCTGAGAACTTTTCGTACGTTACGACTACAACATCTTCGCCGCGCCGGCGGCGACGAGGCTTTGCATCGCCTGAAACTCCGCGTGCGCGTCTAAGAAGTTTTCGTACACGGAATCATCGACGAAGGACGCGGCGACGCTGACGCAGACGTCGTCCGAGGCTTCGCACGGGAGCGGCGAAGCGGTGTGCCACCACATCGACGGCACGACTAATATTTCCCCCTCCGAGACGTCCACCGTTAAGCGGCGGGCGCGTCGAAACTCTGGATATCGCTCGAAGACGTCCGGGGCGTCGATGTCTTCGATCATCGAACGATTCCCAGTGCCGCCGGATTGGTACAGTCGCGGACCTTCGCTCGGCGCGAACAGCGTGAAGCGCTTGCGACCGAGAATTTGATACGACGCCGCGTGCACGCAGCACGAATCGCGATGTAAAAAAGGAAACCCGGCGCAGTGCTTCGCGTGACACACGAACAGCTCGAACCAATTCCGCCAGACGGCGGGCGCGTTCGGCGTTTTCGTCTCGTCCGCCAGCGCGTTCTCGCCGAACAAATCCTCCGGCAACCGAATCTCCTCGGCGAGCTTCGGAAAGTACCGCGACAGGTGCAAGTTTCGCATGTACATCCCGCGCGTCTCTTCGTCTTCAAACTTGAGATACTCCGTCAAGACGCACGCGCGTTCGTTCGCGCCCGTGCGCTCGAGCGGGACGGCGTCGCGACTCGCCGCGCGCGCGAGCGTCTCCGTCGTCCACCGCGGCACGCGCGCGCGCGCGTCGTCATCCACCAAAATCAACGGCGCGCGTCGTCGCAGGAGCGCGTCCACCTCCGCGCGCGTCGCGGCGTCCAGGCGAAGCCTCGGGACGTCGTACGCGAGCGTCGCCCCGCGCGCGCGCGCCGGCATCGTCGCCGCCGTCGCGCCGCGCGCGCGTCTGACGCGCGACCGCGCACCGCGCGCGAGTCACATCGCGACGCTCGAGCGACGCCATGCGCGCCGCGCGCGCGCCGACCGTCGCGCCCGCGCCGGTCGCCGCGCGTCGCGCGCGCGCCGCGCGCCGCGTCGCGCCGCGCGCGCTCGACTGCGGCGAGATCGCGTGCGCGGTCGACGACGACGTCGGCGCGCGAACGGCGACCATCAACGGCGCGAGCGTCTCCGCGGCCGCGCTGCGCGCGTGCGAGATCGTCGGCGCCGACGGGACGCGCGCGCCGCTCGGACGCGCGACGTCGGGCGCGCCGAACGTCGTCGTCGTGCTTCGTCACCTCGCGTGACTGTTTTGTTGGAGCTACGCGCGGAGCGTGGCGGACAGTCGAGGACGGATCGAGGCGGCGGGCGGGAGCGTGACGCTCGTGAGTCTCGGGACGGCGGAGCAGTTGAGGACGTTTTTGGAGTTGAATCCGGAGATTCCGAGCGACATCGCGTTCGTCGACGATAGCGACGATTTCGCGCTGTACGACGCGTGCGGATTCGGGAAATTTACCGACGCCAAGCCGGAGAAGGTGGATTTGAAGCCGACGAACTTTTCGTTCAAGGATTGGTTGGCGTATCTCGGGAACGCGGGGAAGTTGGCGCCGATCAAGAAGGGTCAAAAGGGCGTTCCAGAGGGTGTGTTGCGTCTCGGCGGCACGTTCGTTTTAGCCGGCGACGACGTCGAATACGCTTGGGCCGACGCGCTCCCGGGTGCGCATCCCGAGATCGCCGACGTCTTAAAAGCCGTCGGTATTTAACCACATTATTTCGCGTCGTCGTCGTCATCCATCGACGACGCCGCGCGCGATATATCCGCGTTTCAAACGTCCGCGGAGACGACGTCGAGCCTCTCCGCTCCGTGACGCGCGAGCGGTCACGCGCGCTTCGGCGCGCCCCGCTCGCGTCGATATTCCGTCTCCCGCGCGTGCGTCTCGGATTTTCTCGCGCATCATCATTAGTTCGCGTGTATTCACAGCGGCCATGCATCCATTTCGCGCGCTTCGTCGCGCGCTTCGCTCTCGCGTTTCGCTCGTCGTCCCGCGGCGCCGTCGACCGGCCGACCGTCGCCGCGTGACCATTTCCAAAAAGTGATTCGCGCGCGGCGCGCTCTTCACACGCGCACGCGCGAGCGCCCGCGCGTGCGAGCCGCGCAGCGAACGGACGATGCGCGTCGTCGCCGCGCCCGCGCTGGGCGTCGAGCGATCGCGGTGCGACGGCGCGCGCGCGCGCGCGTCGAGCCGCCGGAATCAAAAAGCGACGCGTTTCGCGCACGTCGGCGCGCGACGCCGCGCGCGAGGAGAGACGTGCGAGGCCAAGGCGCGAAGCGTGTACGATGGGTTCGTTCGCGTCGGCGCGCGCGCGCGACGGGACGCGGTCGGAGGCGACGGGGGAGGCGAACGCGCGATCGGGTGTCTGGGAGACGCGCGAGGGACGACGAGACGCGCGAGACGGGTCGCGATGCGGTCGTCGAACGGTGATGGAGACGGCGAGAAGGAGACGGTGGATGTGACGGTGAGCGCGGCGGGAGGCGCGTCGACGACGAGAGCGGTGGTGGAGGAGGCGGACGAGTTGAACGTGACGAACGCGCTCGTCGCCGTCGGGGTCGGGGCGTTTTTGCGGTTCGGGATCGGTTGTCCAGCGGCGCTGGATCCACCGGCGTGGGACTTGTTGAGTATATTTGTGAGTACGGTGACGGGTTTAGTGCTGAAACCGATGCCGATCGGGGCGTGGGCGTTCGGGGCGTTGACGGTGGCGCTGGCGACGAAGACGCTTACGTTTACGCAGGGTATGAGCGCGATAACGAACGAGGTCGTGTGGCTCATCGTCGTCACGGGGTTTTTTGCCAGGGCGTTCATAAAAACTGGCTTTGGTGATAGATTGGCGTTGCTTTTCGTGTCCATCGCGGGTGGGACGACGCTTTCACTCGCGTACGGTTTTCAAATCGCCGAGGCGTTGCTTTCGCCGGCGATGCCGTCCACCACCGCGCGAGCGGCTGGTGTCTTCGTACCGGTCATCAAGTCGCTCGATAAGCGCACGCGAGAGTATCTCATCGGACAACAAATCCAAGGCACGAGCGCGACGTCGACATTTTTGTTATCTGGTGCCGCTCAAAACTTTTTGGCGATGCAAATCGCACTGCAGAGCGGAATTCCATTCTCGAACCCGTTCAATACTTGGTTCGTCGCGGCGAGCGTGCCCGCGCTCGTGTCACTTCTCGCTACTCCGTTCGTAGTGTTTATGCTCGATCCACCGGAGCTGAACGAGACCCCGGAGGCGCCCATGGCGGCAGCAGAACGTCTCAAACAACTCGGCCCTTTGAGTAGCATCGAGAAGAAGATGGTCGGGTCGCTCAGTTTGACTGTGTTTTTGTGGGTGTTCGGCGTCCAGCTCGGTATCAGCGCCGTAGTTGCGGCCATGATTGGCATGTGCTTCATGCTCATGTTCGGCGTGCTGTCTTGGGACGAAGCGCTCGGGCAAAAAGGCTCATGGGATACGCTGATTTGGTTCGCCGTTTTGGTCGGTTTCAGCGGCCAGCTCAACGCGATGGGCGTCGTCTCCTGGTTGAGTGGATTCGTGTCTACGTACCTCTTGAGCCTGAACTTGGGCGTGTGGGGTATGTTCACAGCGCTCCATGTGTTTTACTTCTTCTTGCACTACTTCTTCGCGTCTCAGTCGGCGCACGTCGGCGCGTTGTATCCGGCGTTCCTGACGCTCCTCTTGGCGGCGGGCGTGCCACCGCCGCTCGCGGCGCTTTCGTTGGCATTCAACACGAACAACATGGGTGGTTTGACGCACTACGCCAGTGGACAAGCTGCTGTATACTTTGGCGCGGGTGAAATCAGTTTGAACAAGCTTTGGAAACAGGGCTTGTACATGTCCGTGGTAAACTTTTTCATCTATGGCACCGTCGGTATGTCGTGGTGGAAGTTCATCGGTCTTTACTAGCGCAGAGAGAAGTCTTAAGAGGACGCATGTTTGACTTAAACATTTATGTGCATTTTAACACGTCACACGCCTTGTAATTAAATTAACCGCCTAAATCAAAGACACGAGTCCGGATCGACCTCGCACGCGTCGAACGGCGTGAACCGCTTATCGATATCCGCCACCGATCCCACCGCCTTGAACGCTTTCAATCTCAACGGCCCATTATTCTCCAACGAGTCCTTGAACACCGTGACGACGAAGTGCACGTCGGACTCGCCCTTCGGTATCGGCGCGTCGATGCTCGCCAACACCGTCCTCGAATTCCCATCCGCGTTCACCGTCGCCGCGCTGTTCCCTTGCGCGTCTTCCACGAACCCAAACACGTTCGCGCTCTCGATCGTCCGTCCTTTCACCGCATTCGTCGCTCGCGCGGTGAACCGCAGGCACGTCGTCTTCTGTTTGTTTGGCACGTACTGATTCTCCGGACACCTCTCCATCGCCTCGTACCGCACGTCGTCGAGCGCGATGTCGCCGACGAACGCCCTCGCGACGTCGACGTCGCGCGCCAGCGACACCGCGAGCGCGCCGGCGACGAGCGCGACGCGCGCGCCGGCGTTTTCCGACGTCGCCGCGCGCGCACTCTCCCCGCGCGCGCGCGCGCGCGTCGCTCGGCGCGCGTCGACGCGCGCGCGCGCCGTCGCGCGCGCGCGCGCCGGCGTCCGCGGCGTCGCCATCCGTCGGCGCGACTCGACGCGGCTCGACGCGACGCGCGTCGTCGTGTGCGGGCCGCGCGCGCGCCGCGCGACGAGACCGTTGGTCGGCACACGCCGACGCGCGATGCCGACGCGCGCGACGACGCCGACGCGCGCGACGACGCCGACGCGCGCGACGCGACGCGATGCGTCCGCGCGCGCGTGCGACCCGCGCTCGAGGGCGAATCTCGTGCGCGTGACGCCGTGCGTCGGGGAAATCTTCCGCTGCGAGGCGCTCGGGCTGGTGCGCGGCGACGACGCGACGTCGACGACGGCGCGCGACGACGACGGCGCGGGCGGCGCGGACGCGCGCGACGTGCGACGTCGAACGTTCTTCGCGACGAACGCGATCGCGCTCGCGGCGGGGGCGTGCTCGACGGCGACGGACGCGGCGAACGCGCTGGAGGACGTCCCGAGGGACTACGCGAGAGTCGCGCGCGAGCTCGTCGACGCGCTGTCGACGTCGCTCGAGCACGAGGCGCGAAACGCGAATAAATCCCCGGGAGAGCGGTATAAATTCGCGAAACCGGCCAAGGAGGCGGTGAAGGCGTACATATCGTACGATGGCGGCGGAGGGAGCGCGTCGGCGTCCTCGAGCGCGTCGTACGCCGACATCGCCGAGGCGCTGCGCGAGTTGAGCGCGTTTTACAAGAAGAACGGCGCCACGGCGGAGATGAGCGCGGAGGTGCGCGACAGGATTTTATCGCGTCTGTACGAGGCGCGCGATTTATTACCCGCGCCCGAGCCGACCATCATGGATAAATTACGCGCGTTGTGATGCCACTCCGTTCTCCCTCGTCGGCGCGTTTCGACGAGCCATTCTTCGTCGTCGGTCGTCACTCTCGGTCGCGCCGTCATGCCCGCGCCCGGCCCGAAGGACGGGCACGCGTCCAAGGCCAGTCGCGATCTCGGCGGTCGGCGCGGGCTGACGCGCGAGATTAAAAACGTCAGCGTCAAGTCGAACGGGTTCAAGGGCGGCGGCCAGGGCGGCGTCGCGACGACGAATCGCGGACTCGCGGGCGTGCGGCTGGGCGAGGGCGGCTCGGCGCGCTCGGTCGCGGCGCGACAGCGATTGCGCGCGCGGTTCCTGGCGGGCGAGGCGGGGAAGGCGGCGAAGGCGGCGCGGACGGTGGGGAGGAAGCGCGCGCGAGAGGCGGCGGCGACGGCGACGACGACGACGACGACGACGACGACGGCGGCGACGGCGACGACGACGACGACGACGACGACGACGGCGGCGGCGGCGGACGCGCGCGCGGTGGAAGGCGACGTCGTGGAGGCGAAATCGGACGACGCACACGTCGCGGGAAGCGAGAACGATTACTTTTGCGACGTGTGCGCGTGTAAGTGTGGGTCGCGGAACAACTATGAGACGCACGTGGCGTCGAAACGACATCGTCAGAACCGGGACGCGGCTCGAGGACGCGAAATTTTGGCCTCGTTGAAGCGACAGCGCGTGGAGATATCGGGAGAGGCGTGACAGACTAAGATAGAGATGGTGTATTATAACTCGGAGTGTACTGCTACTAGTGCGAGTGTGCGTCGTCTAACGGTTCTTCTTGACCTTTTTCTTGCTCGAGTTTTCGCCACCTGAGGAATCGCGCCGCTTCTTCGACTTTTTATCTTTCTTCTGTTTCGGGGCGTCTTCTTCAGACTCGCTCCCGTCGTCGCCGTCGTCGTCGTTCGCATCGCTCTTGGGTTGCATTTCGACATCCGGCACAGCGCGATCGAGGAGAGCGCAAATGCGCTGGAACGCTTTTTGCGCCTTTTGCGGCAACGCGGGCGGGCGAGACATTTGCTTCGCCACAGCGTCGATGATGGCGTCGACGTCGATGATAGTCTTGATTTCTATCTCGCCAATCAATCGATTCAGTGACTCGATGCAGTTCGCCGCTTGTTGGCACGCGTCTGCGCGTGTGTTCTTGTTCTTATAAGGCGCGCCGATGGCTGCCGCCAAAGATACCGAAAGCGTCTTCATCGACTTGGTCGCGCTCTTCGCCAACGGCGGATAACGTTTCTTACCCGACTGAATCACTGGGTTCACAAGTTTCAAGGCCTCCAGTCGCAGGAACTCGCCTCTTGCGTTGGGTTTGTCGGCATCGATGGCGACGAGACTGAACAATTCGGGCAAGAGCGCCGAAGCGAGCGCCGGATGTCTCGCAAAAGTTTGCGAAAAGAAGCCCGTTTTCAGCTTGCTCTTCTTCGACTTGAACATTTTCAATGCTTCGCGGAAACAATCGATCGCATTTTCGCTCGCAACTTCTTCACCCACCTTTGCGGCTTTTCCGCCTTTCTCGTGAAGAGCGACGGCTTCGAGAACGCGCAACAAATACGCCGCAGCAGCGCCGGCTGCTTTGTTGAACACCTGCGCGTCACTGGCACCCCGGTTTGCGGCGACAATGACTTCCAGCAACTTGGACTGGATTGTTTTTGACGTCACCTCGTCCCCAAGGAGCTCGGGCAAATCGCGCGCGTGCGCGATGTGCTTGCTGATTAGCGCCGCGATGCGCTCAGCGAGTTGCGCGCTTTGTGGATCTTGCTTGCCGAGCGAGTCGCGCATAGCTTCCAAGAGTGTTACGACCGCGTTAGGTAGATATGCACTTCCCGGCTGCGCTTTCGCGTACAACTGGAACAAAGAGATGACTCGGAATTTGAAGTCGCGCGTTGCGCGCTTCAGATTCTTCTTACGCATCAAATCTTGCTGTCGACTCTTGAACGCCTCGGCGAGAAGTTTGTCGATTCGGAACATCGCGGCGTCATCCATACCTTCAGACTCTGAGTCAGAATCATCCGAATCTTCCGCCGCAGTCCCGACGATTTTACTCGCCGCAGCGCGCATAGCCGCGATTTCCGCATCGTTAGCTTCACCGTAGTCTTCCTCGTCATCGCTCTCTTCGTCATCGTCGTCGTCGTCGCTCTCTTCGTCGTCGTCATCGTCGTCATCGACGTCGCTATCATCATCTTCCATGAGCACGTCTTCGTCTTCACCGTCGCCCTCACCCTCGCCAGCATCTTCACCGACTTCTGGCCCGGCGATGATTCGCAGCATGTCCTGAATACCTTCTTTGGAAACTTGTCCAGAGACGGCTTTGAAGGTGTGCTCGACGACATCCCGAAGCAACGCGCTCGGTTGAGCAAGCAAGCTGAGAAGAATATCAGTGAGCACATCGATCGCTTCAGGCTCGTCCTCTCCGTCTTTCTTCGACTTTTTCGACTTTTTTGACTTTTTCTTAGGATTCACGAGTTCTCCGACGCAACGCGGAAGGTCCTGCAATGCCGGCGTGAATTCGCGCCAGTCACCGACTTGGAGCACGGACAAGACGCGAATGAGTGGTGCGACCTTCGCCGCCAACTCGTCGCCGCTACCGACACACGCGTCGAGGGCTTTGAACAGCTCAGCGCGCACTTCTCTGCACTCGTCCGGAATACTGTCGATCATGTCCACCGCTGTCTCGCCCTCGAGAGCGCGGCAAAACGAAGTGGCTTCGCTCAATAAATCGACGACGTCTTGCTTGTCATCCGACTCCTTACTTGCCGCCGCGCGTTGCGCGCGAACGTTAGAATTGATCATCGCTAAGAAGCGCGTCGAGCACGCCGAGCGCACGGACCCGGTGGGTTCTTCGAGCGGTGACTTCAGGATGCTCGCTGGAATGTTGGACTTGCCCTTCTTCCCCGCCTTACCATCCGTGGCTTTGTAATATGCGTGGAAAAGCATAAACTGCATCAATTCCACGACTTTATCGCTCGGGAGCATCGGCGCCAATCCAGCCATTTGTTCGAGCGCCCACAGGCGGCGCTTTTGACCCGTACCGTTCGCTAACGCGCTCGCGAGTTCTTCTTCTGTGCCGACGACGTCGGAATCTTGTACGGGCGCCTTAGTCACGACGGCGTACATGCTCTGCAAGTAGTGCAACGCATCGTCGCTGTCCAGACTCTTCACCAAGTCCTGCACCGCGTTTGTCTTCGTCACGTTATCGAAACGTGTCGGACCTTGACGCTGAAGCGCGGCTATGACGGCAATCTTCTTCTCCGAGCTCGTCTTCTTATCCGACGCGAACGCAACGATTCTCGCCAAACAGTCCACCGCGCATTCGTGGAGGTAGTTGTCCGGCGCGCTCAGGTTGTTCAACAAGCACTTGATAAAGTTGCTAGAAAACAGTGCGGGGATTTCGTGAGCTTCCGCGGAAGAGAGTAAGGTGTCGAACACGCGGAATCCGAGAAACCGACGCTGATGCGAGCCGGAGACGAATAAGCCGTCTTCGCACACAATCTCCCACAGCGGTACGACGCCTCGGGCTCCCGGGGCTTCGCGAAGCATCATCTCCCACGCGCTGTGCATGCGCGGGTGCGTGTGCGCGGTGTCCAAAAGCGCCTTTGAAATCTTACTCAAATGCGTTCGAGTAAACATCTCGGCCCAATCAACCTTCTTGCCCTTCTTCGTCGCCCGCACGCACTGAACTCTATCGCGCGTCTCGCGCGGCAACGCCTCAAACGTCTCGCACGCCAGCCAAAGCGTATCCGCCCCGGCGTCGCCGCCGCAATCCCCGCTCAACCACCGCTCCAACCCTTCTCCCGCGTCTTCGACCACCCCCGCGAACGTCTCGTCCCCCAACGAAGCCCTGAGCTCGATCACGCACGCCGCCGCGGGCTCCGCCAAGTACGTCTTCTCCCTCGACAGCGTCTCCGCGCGTCTCGCCACCTCCGCCCCGCACCGTCTCCGCTCCTCCTCGCGCACGTCTTCTCGCCCTCCCAGCGCTAATCCGATCGCCGCCGCCCCGAACAGTCTTCCCAACAGTATGTCTCTCGCCTCCTGTCCCTTCGTCGCCTTCGTGATCGGCGCGACGTTCGCGTCCAGCGCGTCCAGCGCCTCCGCCGGCGTCGCCGCGTGCGTCGCCAGTTCGCTCAGCGCCAGCGCGAACCCCTGCCTCGCGCCCGCCCGTCCCGAGCTCAGCCCTCGCGTGAGTCTTCGCAGCGCGTACGCCCGCGCGTCCGCGCCTTCGTCGCCGTCGTCGTCGCCACGCCGCGCGCGCGCGCCGTCGGCGGCGGCGGCGGCTCGAAGATCGCGCATCAGCGCCTCGCACGCGCGCTTCCGCGTCGACGCGTCGTCGGCGCTCAGCGACCAGAAGTGCGCGAGGATCTCGCCGCGCGCCGGCGGCGCGTCCGTCATCGCGGCGACGCGGTGTGCCGCGCGACGGCGTCGACGCGCGCGTGAAAGACCCATCGACGAGTCGTGACTCGAGCGCTGGGGACTCGCGCGCCGAAATCGCGCCGACGTCACGCGCGGCGCGACGCCGCGCGCGCGCACACGACGACGCGACGGCCGAGCGCGCGACGCGACGAAGATCGACAGACGGCGCGCTCGAGCGACGACAGGCCGAGACGCGCGCGACGCGAGCGAGACGCACAGCGCGACGACGACGCATCGGAGGTTGACGAAGATTGCTTCGATCGACGGCGGGACGACGAACGATGCGGCGGTTTTTGCGCGAGAGCGCGGCGCGGGCGACGAGAAGCGCGGTGCACGTGCGTCGGCGCGCGCGACGCGCGAATCGACGCGACGCGAACGGGCGAACGGGCGCGGGGAGGACGGCGGGGGGGGGGTCTCGACGCGCGCGGTCGGGACGCGCGCGGGAGAGGTTCGGGACGACGGCGACGCGGGACGAGAGACGCGGCGATGGACGCGGGACTGACGATGAACGACGCGCGATCGCGTGATTTTTCTTTATCGACAGAGATATGCGGCGCGAGACGCGATCGCGCCCGAGGGTGGATGGTTGAACGCGAGAGCGGCGTCGGCGGCGTTTACGCGCGGGTACGCGAAGGGCGGCGACGTCATCGGGATCGATCTCGGAACGACGAACTCGTGTGTGGCGGTGATGGAGGGAAAGAATGCGCGCGTGATCGAGAACGCCGAGGGCGCGCGAACGACGCCGTCGATGGTGGCGTTCACGGATAAGGGGGAGCGTTTGGTCGGGCAGCCGGCGAAGCGGCAGGCGGTGACGAACCCGACGAATACCTTGTACGCGACGAAGCGTCTCATTGGGCGCACGTTCGAGGACGAGCACACGCAAAAGGAAGCCAAGCTCGTGCCGTATGAAATTGTCAAGGCGTCGAACGGCGACGCCTGGGTTGCCGCCGGTGGGAAGCAATATTCTCCCTCCCAGGTGGGCGCCTTCGTGTTGCAAAAGATGAAGGAAACGGCGGAGGCGTACTTGGGACACGGCGTGTCGCAAGCCGTCGTCACCGTGCCGGCGTATTTCAACGATGCTCAAAGACAGGCGACGAAGGATGCGGGTAAGATTGCCGGTCTCGACGTTCTTCGCATCATCAACGAGCCTACTGCTGCCGCGCTTTCGTACGGCGTCGACAAGAAGGAGGGCCTCGTCGCCGTCTACGATTTGGGTGGCGGTACCTTCGACGTCTCCATCCTCGAGATTTCCGGCGGTGTGTTCGAAGTCAAGGCCACGAATGGTGATACGTTCTTGGGTGGGGAAGATTTCGACACCGTATTGTTGGACCATTTCGTTGATAACTTCAAGAAGGACCAAGGCATCGACCTCAAGCAAGACAAGCTCGCCGTGCAGCGTCTCCGCGAAGCCGCTGAAAAGGCGAAGATTGAGTTGTCTTCCGCGCAAAGCACGGACATCAACTTGCCGTTCATCACTGCCGATGCGTCGGGCCCGAAGCACATGGCGATGACGCTCTCGCGCGCCAAGCTCGAAGAGCTCGTGGGTAGTCTTCTCGAGCGCACCAAGCAACCGTGCAAGAACTGCTTGAAGGATGCGGGTGTGAGCACGGGTGAAATCTCCGAAGTGTTGCTCGTCGGTGGTATGTCTCGCATGCCCAAGGTGCAAGGTATCGTCAAAGATCTCTTCGGCCGCGACCCGAGCAAGGGGGTGAACCCGGATGAAGTCGTCGCCATGGGCGCCGCCATCCAAGGGGGCGTCCTTCGCGGCGACGTCAAGGACATTTTGCTCTTGGACGTCACCCCGCTCTCTCTCGGCATCGAAACCTTGGGTGGTGTGTTCACGCGCTTGATCAGCCGTAACACCACGATTCCGACGAAGAAGAGTCAAACGTTCTCCACCGCTGCTGACAACCAAACTCAAGTCGGCATCAAGGTGTTGCAAGGCGAGCGAGAGATGGCGGCGGATAACAAGACACTCGGCCAGTTCGACCTCGTCGGCATCCCGCCCGCGCCGCGCGGCGTCCCGCAAATTGAAGTCACGTTCGACATCGACGCCAACGGCATCGTGAACGTGAGCGCCAAGGACAAGGCTACGAATAAGGAACAAAAGGTCACCATTCAGTCCTCTGGCGGTTTGTCCGACGCGGACATCGAGCAAATGGTTCGCGACGCGGAGTCGCACGCTGAGTCCGACAAGCAGAGAAAGGAACTCATTGAAGTGAGAAACGAGGCTGATACGTTGGTTTACAGCGCCGATAAGAACTTGAGCGAGCACGGCGACAAGTTGCCGCAAGACGTCAAGGACGCCATCACCAACGCTCAAGCCGAGGTGCGCTCCGCGGCCGAGGGCGAAGACCTCGCCAAGCTCCGCGAAGCGATCAATGGTCTCCAACAAGCCGTGATGAAGATCGGCGAGGCGCTTAACGCCGGCGGTGCCGCCTCGGGCGCCGCATCCGAGGGGAACACGTACGAAGGCGAGACCGTCTCCGAGGAAAAGAAGGAGGGCGAAAAGTAATCCACGCGCGATCGTCCCCGAACATTCGCCGCGTTAATAAGCAAACACAAATTTCTTCATCTATTACAACAACGCCTCCTGCTGTCGCGACAGCAACCGCTCGCGGTCGCGGCGACGCTTTTGCGCTCGCAGGTGACAATACATGAACGTCAAGAATCCCCCCACCAGCGCGCTCGTCCCGACGAACAGCTCGCCCGCGAACTGCGCTTGGTGTTCCCACTGACTCGCGCGCTCGCCCATCCGCGCGCGCGCGCGCCGCGCGACGCGCCGCGAAGTGGTCGTCGTCACATCGCGTCGCGTCGCTCCGGAATCCATGAGCGCCGCCGCGAACGCGCTCACGAATCTCGCCCGCGCGGCGGTGACGATCGGCGTCGGCGCCTCCGTGGCGTCGCAGGCCATCTACGACGGTGCGCGACGCGCGCGCGACGCGACGCGACGCGACGCGACGCGACGACGGCGAACGCACGCGACGACGCCTCGATCGAGGGTTGGTGACGCGAATCGTCGACGAGCGCGCGTCGTCGACGCGACGCGACGCGACGCGAAGGCGATTGACGCGCGGCGCGTAAATGATACGACCGCCCGCGCGGCGCGAAGGCGCGCGAAGACTGACGAGACGCGCGCGCGGGGCGTAATCGTACGCAGTGGACGGGGGCGAACGCGCGGTCATGTTCGACCGCTTCAGAGGGGTGCTTCCGGTGACGTCGGGCGAGGGCACGCACTTCGTGGTGCCGTTCATTCAGAACCCGACGATTTACGACGTGCGCACGCGAGCGAAGTCGCTGACGTCGGTGACGGGGACGAAGGATTTGCAGCAGGTGAACTTGACGCTGCGGGTGCTGTGCAGACCGGACGTGGACAAGCTGCCGAAGATTCATCAAGAGCTCGGGCAAGACTACGATGATCGGGTGTTGCCGTCGATCGGGAACGAAGTTTTGAAGGCGACCGTGGCGCAGTTCAACGCGGATCAGTTGCTGACGCAGCGTCAATTGGTGAGTCAGCGAGTCAGCGAGGCTTTGCGACTGCGAGCGGCTGATTTCGGCATCATCTTAGACGACGTCGCGCTGACGCACTTGAGCTTCTCCTCCGAGTACACCAAGGCGATCGAAGCAAAGCAAGTGAGTCAACAGGAAGCGGAACGCGCGGCCTACGTCGTGAAGCGGTCCGAGCAAGAGCGAGAGGCTGCGATTATTCGCGCCGAGGGTGAATCCGAATCCGCGCGTTTGATCTCGCAAGCGACCAAGGCTGCCGGCCCAGCGCTCGTCGAGCTGCGCCGAATCGAAGCGAGCAAGGAGATTGCGCAGACGCTCGCGCGAAGCCGCAACGTCATGTACTTGCCGGGCGGTGGCGCGAACATGTTGCTCGGTTTGCAACAATAGGAATTTTAATCGACCGACATCATTTTAGACTACTTCATCGTATTGAACAATTTCGGGCCGATTAGGTGCCGAATCTATGCCTGTACAACGGCTGCGCCAAGGACTTGAGTACGTCGGCCCACGGACGCTCGATCAAAAGTGCCTTGTTCACGCCGGCGTAACCCAAATACAAGCACGGGTTGTCGAGTTTAACGACGCGAACGCCTCCGGGGGCGTCGCTTGTGGCGTAATTTTCGGGAGCCCCACGCTCGCGCTCGCGTCTGCGTTTTTTCTTGGACGTTGTAGTCGCGTCGTCGGTGATTTTGGCGTTCAAATCCACCCGCGCGATGGCGGTGGGCGTGTGCGCGAGCAACACTGACTTTTTTGACTTTGGATCAAAGCTCAAACCGCAAATCTGGCCGGGCATCTCGCGAAGTGCTGTTGGAGCGTCGACGCCGGCGTCGGCGAGCGCGGCGCTCCACTTTGTCGGTTTCACGCTGTCGATGTCGTACGTAAAGAGCGCGTTGGAAGGGCCGGCGAGCGCCAAGACACCGTCGGCGCTCACCGCGACGGACGAAATCGGCGGCCACAACGCGTGCGTCTTTGGGGGAGGTAAAGATACGTGAAGCTTCATCGTATCGAAGTTGTATACGTGAACACCGCCACCGAAGGATGGCGCCAAACCATCCACGGCGCGCTCGGCTTCATCACCGCCGCGCGCGGTGACGACAACGAGCCATTGGTTGTCGCTACTCACTCTCAGGTGACTCACCACGGGAACCGCGATGTCGTTTGCGGTAACCGTTTCCACGCCTTGACTCGATTGACGCACCGCCTCCGCGAGAGCCTCGGCCGCGGCGCTTTGCTTTGGCAAGTGCGACTTGAGGACGTTCGAAACCACCCAGTCCTCGAGGTCTATGACGTACACGGCGCCCGAATTCGACACGGCGGTGAGGTGCTTTCCATCGGGCGCAAACGCGAGAAGTTGAGCCGAAGTCACGCCCGCTGGGGGTTCTTGACGACGAATCGACCACGTCAAGTCGTCGTCGCCTTCTTTTGGTGATTGGATATCGAACAGTCTCAGGCTGTGAACGTCGCTTACCGCGATCATTTTACCATTTGGTGAAATAGCCGAGCATAAAATGTGCCGCGTCCCCGCAAGCTCGGCACGCAACACGTGCGCCGGTGCCGAAGCGAGCTTCATCGTGCCTTCTTTTTTATCCGCGCGCTTGCGACTTTCACCAATGCGCCAAATGTCTAACCATTTTGCGTGCTCTGCGAGAAGAAGCGGCGGATTCGGTCCCCCAACGCTCGTGATGGAAATCGGCGTTCGCTGCGGCACGCTCACGACGCGCACCGGATGCTGCTTCCTAAACGACCCCGCATTGTACGCTAAGAGTTGCGCGTCGTTACCACCCGAAATTAATATACCGTCCTCGTCGTCCGCGCCCGTCGTCAGCATGGCGAGCGCGCGCACGTCGTGCGTGTGCGGTCGTTTACTCGTCGTGTACGTCCACTGATTGTATCCCTCCTCCTTGTCCAAGTGCTCGTCGAGCTTTTCAAACTCCGCCACTTGCGAATCCACACCCGAGGCGAACACTTTGTTCCCACTCGGAGTCGTCGCAAGCGCGAGCACGTCAGCCTTGTGCTGCTGGTATCGCACCAACTCGGTGGAAAACTTCCCGTCCCAAAACGTCACCGCGCCATCCGAATCCCCAGTCACGAGCGTCCCGTCCGGAAGATACTTGAGCGCCCACACGCAGTGCTCATCTCCGGCGTTCAGTATCCCATGCGCCCCGTGAGGAATATTACACACCGACACGCGCATCAGCTCGTTGTAATTGACGCAATCCATGACGTGCGCCGCGCCTCTCGACGACCCGCACGCCAACAGCGGTTCGCTCGGGTGCCACGCCAGGCTCAGCAATCGACCCTGCACTCGCAGAAACGCCCGTTTATGCGCCAACCCGCTTCCCACGTCTTTCCCCGCCACCATCGTCAGCACTCTCGCGCACCCATCGTCGCACGCGATCGCCACGAGCTGCGCGTCGCCTCTTCTCGTCCGCGTCCTCGGCTGCGCCTCCATCGCCCAAATCGCCCCTCCTCGGCTGTCCGTCTCGCTCGTCGTCCGTCCCGTCGCCAGATCCCACGCCCGAACGCGTCCATCGAGCGAGGCGCTCAGCAGCGTCGCTCTTCGCGCGTCCGCGCCTCCTCGTCGTCGTCGTTCGCGTCGTCGTTCCTCTTTTTTCGTCGCCGCCGCCGCCGCCTCCTCGTCCCGCGTCGTCGCCCCGTCGTCGTCCGCGAACGCCTCGCACCACGCCAGCGCGCTCGTCGCCGCGTCCGCGCTTCCCGGGACGCGCGCGACGCACCGCCACTCGCCGTCGTACGCCTCGATCGCGCCGCTCTCGCGCGCGCACGCGACGAGGGCGCCGCCGGGCGCGACCGCGAGCGCCGTCACCGCGCTCGGCGTCCACTCCACGAAGCGCCCGCGGTGGAGCTCGAGCATGGCGACGACAGGAGCGCGTCGCGCGTCGCGCGTCGCCGCGTTCGCGCCGTCGCGCGTCGGCGTCGCGCGCGTCGGTCGGCGCTCGACGCGTCGCGATGTGGCGTCGGCCGCGCCGGCGCGACATCGCGACGCGCGACGGGCGCGAGCGCGCGCGTCGAGCGCGATGCGCGCGACGACGCGCGCCGCGCCCGCGCGCGCGCGACTCGGCGGCGCGCGCGCGCATCGCGACGCGCGAGGCGCGCGCGCGAGCGACGCGACGACGACGCCAGCGCTGGCGCGACGACGACGACGCGCGACGACGACGACGGGCGCGACGACGGGCGCGCGCGGACGCGCGGGGTGCGTCGCGCGCGGCGTCAAGGACCCGTTCCGCGCGGACGACGCGCGCGCGACGCTGGAGGCGCTCGCGGCGGAGGTGCGGCGAGCGGACGGTTTGAACGGTTTGAACGCGGCGCGAGACGGCGGCGCGTCGACGACGCGCGAACGGTCGGTCGGTGATTCGACGCGACGGGCGGGCGAGGGACGAGACGGAAAGGCGTGGGAAACGATGGAGCTGCGGTCGAGCGAAGGCGCGACGGCGAGGTTGGCGTACGCGGTGAAGGCGCGCGCGGGCGGGGGGGCGACGCTGACGCTGCGGACGAGCGAGGTGGACGCTCGCGGAAGCGATTCGAGGAACTTGTTGCTACACTGGGGGGTGCAGTCGCGCGCCGGCGGCGAATGGTGGTCGCCGTATGATGCGCTGCGAGCGGTGCCGATGAATTCGCGCGCGCCGGATGGGAAGTCGTGCGAGTCGGGGTTTCGGGACGACGGGAGCGGCGAGCAAATCGTCGAGCTGGCCGTCGAACCGCGCGACGGTGACGTGGCGTCGGTCGTGTGCTTGATTCGCACGCAAGATTGCAAGGTGTGGTACAAGCACGATGGGAGAGATTTGGTGTTTGATCTTTCGGGCGCGATCGGTGCGGTCGATTCGCCGTCGCGTCAAGAGCGCAGAGAAACGCCCGAGCGGCGTCGGGAGGTGCCGAGCGCGGAAGCGCCGTCGCCGCCGCCGCCGCCGCCACCGCCACCGCCACCGCAAGTCGAACCGATCAAAGTCACCGAAGACACGAGTTTCGCGGCGCTGAACCAGTGGCGCGGTCAAGAAGTGAAATTACAAACGCACAAAGGCGGCGGCGGCGAACGTAACCTTCAGTGGAACACGGATAATCTCGCCGACGCCGCGCGCCGTATCGTCGAGGGCGATCGCGACTCTTCTTCATGGAGACAGAAACTGCAAATGGTTGAGAAGCTAATTTGCGATGACGGCGCCGACGTTGACTCTTTGGCGTACGCTACTGTGTATTTATTTTGGATATCTGTCGGCGCCATCGCGTGCGTCGAGGACGGTACGCACTACCGTCCAAACCACCACGCCGGTTCGGCTGAACGTATGTACGGCGCAATCGAGGCTGCGGAACGTTTCGCGAACGATGTTGCGAGTGGTGGTGATATTTACCGCGCGCGTGAGCTTCGTGCGTTGATTCGCCGTCTGCATCCACGACTCCCCGCGTTCACCGCCGAGTTCACGCAAAGCGTGCCGCTGACGCGCATTCGCGACATCGCGCACGGCAAGGGTGATCAACATGGGAAATGTCGCGAAGTTCGACAAGAAATCAAGCACACGATTCAGAACAAACTCCATCGCTGCGCTGGTCCCGAGGATCTAGTTGCGACGGAATCTATGCTCGCCAAACTCACCGCTCCGGGAACCGACTACCCCGAAGAGTTTGTCAACGAGTTTAAGATTTTCTATCGCGAGCTCAAGGAATTCTTCAACGCCTCCTCTGTGGCCGATCGCATCGATCGTATCGCGAACGAAAATGGCGCCCCTGGCCGTGCGGCCGATAGCTCAAAGAAGTTTCTCTCTGCGAAGGCGACCGTGGATGCGCTTCCTGCGAGCGACCGCGTGGGCGATCAAACGACTATGAGCGCGCTCGTCGCGTGCTTGCGTGCTATTCACGACGCGCGAACGGACATCACCGCCGCCTTGGAATCGGGCGGGGATTTGGGTCAAGCTGAATCATCGACGCGTCAACAGTGGCGCTTGGCCGAGGTGAGCATGGAAGATTACGCGTTCGTGTTGTTGAGCCGATTGCTCAACGCGCTCGGCGCAGAGTCTGAGCCGCCGCGAAACGACATCAGCGCGAGCGAAGTAAAACTCACTCTTGAGGCGCTGGCTTTGACTTCTCGCACCATGGCGCTGAGTGCAGGAGGCGATAACGAGCTAGAGGCAATCGCGTCCGAAGCCGAAGCACTGGCTCGTAATGGTTTGCCCGCGGGCGAGGAAGGCGGTTTGCGCGTCCAAGCCGTCGCCGAACGCGCTCGACGCGGCGCCGTCGACTTTTGTTCGCTGTTGGAATCTTTATTCGATGGACGGGCGTCGAGTCTCGGCAATGCGCTCGGTATTGACCACGGCTCAATCAGTGTGTTCACAGAAGGTCAGATTCGCGCGAGCGTAGTGTTCCAATCCGCCAAGATCGCTTCCTTGTTGCTGCGAGTCAGCCGGCAAATCACCGGCGCCGCTGGATGGGATTGCGTCGTGCAAGGCGAGGCTATCGGCGCGCTCAAGTGCGTCGAAAGGCTCACGCCCGAAGAGTGCGCGCAGTTCACCGAGCCAGTAATCGTGCTCGTTGCTAGTGCTGATGGTGATGAAGAAGTGTCGACGTGCGGCCCGAACGTGCGCGGCGTGGTGCTGTGTCACGCGTTGCCGCATCTCAGTCATTTGGCGCTTCGCGCGCGTCAAGCCAAAGTGCCCCTCATCGCCGTCGAAGACGACAAGCTTGTCGACTACGCGCGTTCTTTGGCGAATGAACCTGCCGTGAAGCTCAGTGCGGAAACCACTGGAATTAAGCTCGAGCCAACGACGGCTCCGGCGTCTGTTGCGGCTGCTTCAAGCGAAGCGGGGCCACAGGCGACGAAACCCGTGATCCGCCTCGACACTGATCTCTCAAGAGCGGGAACCGTGTTCGATCTCGTCGCGCTGGACAAGCGTGGACTCGAAAAGTCGATTCGCATCGCCGGTACGAAGTCCGCTATGTGCGCACGATTGAGCACTATCGCCGAAAACTCTTCTGGATCGGCGGCGTTCGCCGCGCCCGCCGGTGTCGTCATTCCATTCGGCGCAATGGAATTCGCGTGCGCGAGCATCAGCAAGCTCGAACATCTCGACAGTTTGCTCCTCGAACTCAACCAGTACGCGGACGACCCAGTGAGGATGCGACACACGTGCGAAGCCATCCAGAACCTCGTTCGTTCGCTCAAGCCGTCCGCGAGCGCGCTGCAATCCGTCGCTGAAAAGTTTGGCCCGAATGCGCGCGTCATGGTTCGAAGTAGCGCCAACGTTGAAGATCTCGAGGGGATGTCCGCGGCTGGTTTGTACGATTCCATCCCAAATGTCGACCCGAACTCGGAAGACGCATTCAGTCGCGCTGTTGGCGAGGTATGGGCGTCCCTGTACACCACTCGCGCCGTGGCTTCTCGCGCCGCCGCCGGCGTCGATCAACTCGAGGCGCACATGTGCGTCCTCGTCCAAGAGATGCTCTCGCCCGAGGTCAGTTTCGTTCTACACACGAAGCACCCGCTCACAAATGATAATAACGAAGCGTACGTCGAGTTTGCGCTCGGTTTGGGCGAGACTTTGGCGTCGGGCGCGGTTCGAGGATCGCCCTGCCGCGTGAGCGTCGACAAGCGATCCGGCAAAGCGACGGTGAATGCGTTCGCCTCGTTCGGAACCGCCCTCGTCCGCGATGACGACTCGGCAACCGGAATGAAATCTGTCGCCGCGGATTACGCATCCCACTGGCTTCACAACGACGTCGCGAAGCGCGACGAAATCGCCACCAAACTTCTCGCCATCGGCTCTGAGCTCGAGCGCGAGTTGAGTCCGCGCGGCGAGACGCTCCCGCAAGACGTCGAAGGCTGCATCCTTCCCTCTGGGGAAATTTGCATCGTCCAAGCGCGCCCGCAGCCCTAACCACGCCAGGCAAGCTACCACACATATATATAATACTACAACCGCCCGCAGCGCTACGTCCGCTCACTCCACCGCGTCCACGAAATCCGTCAACCCGCGCGTCATGTGCGCGCGTAAAAACTCCAATTCCTCCGCCTCCAACTCGCTTCCCAGTTTCTTCAGCGCCGTCAGCGCCTCCACCCGTATCACTTCACCCCGCTCCGCGCTCATCTTCCCAAGCATCACGTCCCTCGCCGCTCGCTGCATCCGCTCTCGCAGTTCGTCCGGCTGTCGCAGCGCGAACATCTTCAAAACCTCCGGCGTCCTGAACGCGCTCGCGATCGCCGCCTTCGTCGCCGCCTTCACCGTCGCGAGCTCGTCCTCGAGCGTCACGTCCCCGGTCGTCATGCGCTGCAGCGACGTCTTGAACGCGTCCAGCTGCGTCAGCGTCGCCGCCTTCGTCTCCGCGTACTCATCGTCGTCGAACTCCTGCGTCGTCGTCGTCGTCGTCGTCGTCGTCGTCGTCAGTCAGCCATTCGCAATCGTCGTTCCACGCATTCATCCGTCGTCGCCGCGTCGGCCGTCGCGCGCCGTCGCGCGCACCTCCCGCGCGTCCTCCAGGTCCGCGAGCTGCGTCAGCAAGCGCGCGATCTGCTGCCGCGCGTTCGCGACGAGCGACGCGGTGTCGGCGGACATCGCGGTCGCGCGGTCGCCGTCGCGTCGCGAAGTGCCGCCGCCGCAGACGCGCGCGCGAGGACGCGGCGCGGCGCGAGACGGCGGCGATGGCGACCGCGACGGTCGCGCGCGCGCGCGTCGGCGCGCGCGCGTGCGGGGCGCGCGACGCGCGGCGCGCGGCGTCGACGAAACGCCGCGACGCGACGACGCGGCGACCGAGACGCGCGCGGCGCGGGAGCTCGAGCGGGGACGTCGCGCCGACGACGACGTCCGCGACGGACGCGAAAGACGAGGCGCACATGCGGCGCGCGCTGGAAGTCGCGGCGACGGCGACGACGGCGGAGACGTTTCCGAATCCGCGCGTCGGGTGCGTCGTGGTGGACGCGCGCGAGGACGTCGTCGTCGGCGAGGGATATCACCCGAAAGCGGGCGAACCGCACGCCGAGGTGTTCGCGCTGCGCGCGGCGGGAGAACTCGCGAGAGGGGCGACGGCGTACGTGACGCTCGAACCGTGTAATCACTACGGACGGACGCCGCCGTGCGCGCGCGCGCTCGTGGACGCGGGCGTGGCGCGCGTCGTCGTGGGATTCATCGATCCGGATCCGCGCGTCTCTGGCGGAGGGATTCAGACGCTGCTGGACGCCGGAATCGAAGTCGCGGTGGGGTGCGAGGAGGCGCTGTGCCGGGAGATCAACGCCGATTTCATCGCGCGACAAGTCGCCGCTCGAGACGCGGCGAGGTGACCTCGGCGACGTCGCGTCGCTAAAGCTCTGAGTTTTGTATTCATACCGCGCCGCTCGCTCGGGCGCGTGCCTAATTAATTCCCTACGCGTTCTCTCGTTCGGCGTTCGCGCGCGTCATCGTCGGCCGCACTGCAGCAACGACCCGGCGCTCAGGAAGAGCCCGAAGAGCGCGCTCGACCCCACCGTCGCCCTTCCGATGTGTCGCACCTTGAGCATTCCCGGCACCTTGTACGCGAACGCCTCGTACGTGCCGTAACACGCCCCCACGGCGCCGCCCACGGCGGCGCCGAGCGCGGCGCCCGTGGTGACGCGGTTTAAGCACCGATTATCCAGCGCCATGGCGAAGGATTGTTGGATTGAATCGGCGCTAAAGAAACGTTACACGCGGCGGTGCGCGACGTCGAAGGACGAACGAACGCGCGCGCGCGCGTGCGATGACGTGAACTCGTGAACGCGGCGTCCGCGCGCGACGACACGGCTCGCACGACGAGGACTGCCGCGAGCACGCGCGCGCCTGGAGCAAAGAAGAATCGGGACAAATCGGGACGCGGCGCGCTTTCGACGATGTCAGGTTGATGATATATTGAGGATCAGCTTACAGTGTGGCACCATCTATGTGTGTGATCTATCGCATGTTGTTAATATTGTACAGGACGCATCCCGAGACAATGTGTCTCGACCATGAAGCTCGACTTGGAATCGATGTCGTCCGCATTCGTCTTCTTGACGAACTGCTACCACGGTCATTCTCGACTCGCTTCTGAAGAAGCAAAGGTTGGATTATGTTTGTTCGAACAAAATTGATTGTGTTGAATTTGTCGTTTGGACATAGGAAATTGAATGGTCGGCTCAGTCCCCGCGCTCAGCGGTTTTGAACGAGCGTGCACGCCGGTCGATCGTTTGCGTAAACCAAATCTGAGAGCTCTTTCTCCGTCGCCGTGCTCGTCATCTTTTCGCTACTCACGTAGAAGCAAAGATATTTCGAGCACAGGATACCGTTGAAATCGCACGCACCAGCCATGGTGTAAGCTCCGGCATCTGGGAACATGAGCCAGTCACCGTTGGACAGCTCCGGCAGAGGAATGTTTCGCATGACGCAATCGAGCGAATCGCAGGTCGGCCCGTACACGGTGGACGAAATCTTAATCTTGTCGAAATCGTTATCGATTCCAGCGAGCGGGGCAACCTTGTTCGGTTGCAAGAAGTACGTCGGCAAGTCGAGACCGTCATAGATGATGCCGTTGAACGAGCCGTACAAGCCGTCGGTGATGTAGTAATCCATGTGACGCTCACCTGCATCGTTCGTCCCTTCGCGCGTACCGTATACGAGGCACGCCATCGTGACCGGAGCTTGCGCGAAGTAGCGACCGGGCTCGTCGATGATTTGCAAACCTTCAAACGTTCCGTCGTCGGGAAAAATTTCATCGAGAGCGTCTCGAACGCGATCAAAGTTGGATGGCGCTTCGGTGACGTTGCCGTTGGCGTCGAACGAACCGGTGAAACCACCGCCGATATCCAAGAGGTGCATGTTGAAACCTATCTCTTTCGCTTCGTCGAAGATTTTCCTCGCAAACTGAATGGCGTTGCGGTAGGCGTCCGGATTGCGCGAGGAAGAACCGACGTGAAACGAAACGCCGGCGACGTCCAAGTTGAGCAACGCGGCGACAGAAAGAAGCTCTGAGACCTTGTCAAGTGGCGCGCCGTACTTGGCTCCGAGCGGAAGACGCGCCATGGGATCATCAGCGCGAATTCGCAAGATGAGCTTCACCTTGACCTTGGACGCGAGAATCTTGTGCAACTCGGACACAGAGTCAAAGGTGGTGTACGGCACCTCGTACTCGGCGATGCAGCGCAAATCGCACGGCCGCTTCACGGGGTGTGCGAGGATAATGCGTTCAGAAGGCACACCGAGACCAGTAACCAACTCAACTTCGCCTTGAGACGCGCAGTCGAAACCGGCGCCCAACGCGGCGAGGGTGGAGATGATGCCGCGGTCGGGCAAGCACTTGACGGCGAAATGCGGCCGCACACGCGGAAGCTTCGCTTTGTGGTAATCGTAAAGCGCCTTCACCGTGGCCAAGTCGACGATGCAAAAGTTTTCCTCGAGAGAATGCTTTTCGACGAGCTCCGCGGCGCGCGCGTGCACGTCGACCAGCCTTCGCGACGGGATGGTCTCCACCGTGAACGCGTCGTACACGTGCTCGAGCGTCAGCGTCTTCGGCTGCTCCGGCACCGGCACTTCTTCAGCATCCGGTTCATTCTGCAGCGAATCCTTAAACCCGACGGTATGCGCCAAGCCCTTGACGTACACCCCGAGCGCCGTCGGCACGTCCGCGTGCACGCCGCTCGCCGTCGCGCTCGAGTACGCGTTCGCGTTCCCGTACGACGCGGTCGCGCGCGTATTCTTAATATTCTCCAGCGCCGCGACTAAATCACGATCTTGCACCGAAAAAGACGCGCCAGATCGTCGGTAGCGCGCTTGAATCCGTCTCTTCGGCATCGGCATCGCCGGCGCCTGTTCGCTCGCGCGCGTTCGTCAGTCCGCGCATTCACTCAAAATCCACGTCGCGCCCGCGCGCCGGCCTCGCCGCCTCCCCGTCGCGCGCGCATCGCGCGAGAGTCCCCCCTTCTTCGTTTTCGCGCGTTTTCCGCGCGTTCGCGCGCATTTCGCGCCCTTCACCGCTCGCGAACGTCGTCGTGACGCGTTTTCCCATCGCCATCGCGCACGCGTCGCGCGTCTCTCGCCGCGTCGCACCTCGTCGTTTTCGCTCCCGCGCGCGTCGTGCGCGCGCGGGAACACGTCGGTCATGACGTCGCCGCCGCCCACGCGCCGCCCGCGCGCGCGACGAGCGCGTCGACGGCCGAGAGGCCCGCGAGCGCGCGCCGAGGAGTGACGATTGGCGACCGGCGCTGACCTAGCGCGTTGAGGGTGGTGCGTTTTTTTCGGCGCGCGCGCTCGAGAGAGGGTCGAATTACACGTTGCTGGCGACGCCCGTGAGGACGCGGCGGAGACGAGTCAAGGGCGCGCGAAGGGCGTCGCCGCTGTCGGAACTCGCGGGCGAGCCGCGCGACTCGGCGGCGCGCGCGGCGCAACACGAAGGGAGCGGGTCGGCGTCGACGCCGGGCGTCGGCGCGCAGCCGGGACAGTCTTGCTTGTCGCTGGGAGAGGCGAAAGAACAGCACGCGGTGGTGTTGGCGGCGACTGGGGCTTTGGCGCCGAAGACGATGTGGCCGATGAGGAGACCGACGATGACGGCGGAGAAGAGGACGAAATGGTACGTCATGGAGACGAGCATTAAGAGATAACCGAGGGTGATTTGTACGGCGTACAGCGCGACGGCGTACGCGCGCGATTTGGAGGTGGGGATGTTGTGGCAGTTGCAGAAGCCGGGATTTTGTAAGTTGCGTCGAAGTGACGCTAAGGCCTCGATGGACATCCCCATCGCGACGGTGGCGAAGAAGCCGAGCGCGAGCAACGCGGGGGTGTGCAATGACCAGCTTTTGAACAAAAGCGCCACGCAGGGCTGCGAAGCGCCGCCGCCGTTGAGCTTGAAGCCATCCATGTACATCGTCGTCGGCGCAATGCGCGTGTTACACATTCCCGTCGGTGCGGTGATATTTGACCCAGGGCACTGCGCCGCGCACGTGCCACAGTGATTGCCCGCCGCGTTCACCCACGGGTTCCCAGTCGCGGTGTCGATGCACACCGCATGGCTGGCGCTACTCGTATCTGCGCACGCCGCGGGGGCGTCGACGCACGTGAGCCAACAATAAATTTTGCCCGCCGGGCACGTGTTGTCATCGGATAGAATACGTCTGCGCGACGTGGCCAAACCGGACTCGTCCACCGCCGGCGACGGGCACGCGACGGCGGCCCAACGCTCGTTCTCCGCTCTGTCATTCGATTCCATCGCCGCTTCGATCGCGCCGGCGTGCCAGGCGCCAAAAGTCATTTCACCCTCAGGATGCGCGAGCGAGGATTCCGGAAGAACCATTCTACCGAACCACGCACGCTCGCCCGTGAGGCGCATCGTGTGCGTGGGCACTTTAATCAAACTTCGCAACTCCGCGCTCAATCCCGGCACCCACGCCCGCGCAGCCTCGCCTAACATGACGATCATCCCGTCGTCCGGCACGTCCGGTTCGATATCACCGATAAATAAGCCTCTAGATCCGCCCGTCCCGGGTTTCTCCCCGCGAAGCAACGCGGGCGTCATCACGATTGCGACGCCGACGTCCGTGTGCGCGTGCTTCCCTTCGACATCCAATTCCTCCTCAATCTCACCCTCCGCGCGCCCGACGTTCGGCGCCCCGTACGCGTGAAAGTTATCCAAACTCATATCTGATCGCGCGCTCCGCTCGAAGAACCCGCGCGTGGCGTTATGAAACGCCGCGTCCAACCGCCCCAGCGCCGCGCGCGCCGCCGCGTCCGCCCCGTCTCGAACAATCTCCAAGTCTCCCCGCATCACCGCCGACCCCCCGCAATCGTCATCGACGTCCATTTTCAGCCTTTCCTTCGCCAAGCTCGCGATCGTCGTTCGCACGGCGCCATCGTGCGCCTTTTCCCATCCCTCGCTTCGTCCGAGCGTCTTCCCTCGTCCGCCGCTTCGTCTCGCGCACGCCGCGAACGCGTCCAGCCCTCGTCGTCGCGCCTCGGCGTACGTCGCGCCGATCTCGCGCACGACCATCGCTCCCGGGGCGTTCGCGCCGATGAACGCCGATCGAACGACGTCGTCGGCGCGGGCGCGGAGTAAATCATCGAGCGTCGCCGTCGGGAGCGCGGTCGGCGCGGCGCGATCCGACGACGCGGCGTCGACGCGCGCGGCGACGAGCGCGAGGAGCGCGAGGGAGAGCGCGAGGGGCGCGCGCATCGGCGCGTGGTGGCTCGCGCCGCGAGCGCGCGCGGGCGTGTGACGCGAGCGCGCGACGAATGGTGGAGGGATTCGCGGGGCGCGGGCGGCGGTTTAGGGTCGCAACGTCGCAACGTCTCTAAAGCTAACGCGCGTTGGAGGCGGAGGCGTCGTTCTCGCGCACGATATCCTCGGTCGATGGCTCGGAAGATACGGGCGTGTGCTCGTGCACGCGGTAGTACACCTGAGCGCTGCGACTGGGCGATAAGACGAACATCTTCGCCGCGCGAGGCGTTTGCTCGTACGGGCCGACCCAGCTCTCGACGGGCTCGGGCGAGGTGAAGTGATCGACGCCGAAACCGCATCGGGAGGCGCCGCCGAATTCACCGGCGTCGGTATCGAGAGCGAGACGGTATTTGCCTTGCTCGGGGACGCCGATCTCGAGCCCTTCGTACGTGTTCGTGGGATGGAAGTTGAAGACGAAGAGGAGGTCGCCGCGCTCGAAGACGAGGATCTGGCGACCGTCGTCGGCGGTGCTCACGTGTTGGTGGGCGGCACCCATGTACGGGTAATCGTTGTCCAGCGCGAGCATGGCTTTGTCGAACTTGAGAAGGTGTTGGTAACGCAAGTGGTCGGCGTCGGCCAAGTCCCAGCGTCGGCGGCAGTAGTCGTGGCTCCAGTTGTTGCCTTCGCGCGGGAAATCCACCCACTCGGGATGCCCGAACTCGTTGCCCATGAAGGTAAGGTAGCCCTCACCGCCGAGAGAAGCGGTGACGAGACGCATCATCTTGTGAAGCGCGATGCCGCGTTGGATCACGATGGATGGTTCGTTCAAAGTGGACATACCAGAGTACATTTCCGCATCCATCAACCAAAACGCCGTCGTCTTGTCGCCGACGATGGATTGATCGTGCGACTCGACGTACGCGATGGCCTTCTCGGTGTAACGGCGGTTGCACAGCGTGCTCACCATTTCGAACATGCTCCATTGCTCATCGGGGCGTTCTTTCAGATACTTCACCCAAAAGTCGGGGATGGACATGGCCAAACGAGCGTCGAAACCGACGCCGCCTTCGTTGACGGGCAAGCACAACGTGGGCATGCCGCTCACGTCCTCCGCGATGACTTCAATTTCAGGGTACAACGAGTGAAGCATCTCGTTCGCGAGCATCAAGTACACAACACCGTCGACGTTCGTGGCGGTAGAAAAGTATTGTTCGTAATCACCGGAAAATTCCATTTGTAATCCGTGGTGATGGTACAGCATCGACGTGACGCCGTCGAATCGGAAGCCGTCCAATTTGTACTCGTCGACCCAGTAGCGTAAGTTCGAGAGCAAATACCGCAACACTTCCCAGTTGTCGTACTTGTACAGGCGAGAGTCCCACAACCAGTGATAGCCAGCCTCGCCTTGACCGAAGTACGAATCCTCGGCGCGTTGTCCGAAATCAAATCCGGCGATGCCGTCATTGACGTTGCTCGACGCGTGCGAGTGCACGATATCGAGCAACACGCGCACGCCCAAGCCGTGCGCCTTGTCGACCAAGTACTTCAAGTCTTCAGGCGTCCCGCTTCGCGACGACACCGCGAACGGACTCGTGACGTGGTAGCCGAAGGATCCGTAGTACGCGTGCTCCATCACCGCCATGAGTTGCACGGTGTTGTACCCACCGGCGGCGATTCTCGGCAAAACATCATCGGCGAACTCGCGGTAAGAGTTCACCTTGGCATCGTTCGAGCTCATCCCAACGTGCGCTTCGTAAATTCGCGACGCCTGCGGCTTTTTCGGCGCCGCGTGTTTGAACTCGTACTTTTCCTCGGGCGCCCAGTAGACGCCGTCGTATCCGGCGCCCATCACTCCCTCCTCGACCGTCGCCCGGCGCACCCACGCCGGCACGCGATCGATCTGCGCGCCATCCCCGGTAAAAATCCTCACCTTCACCCGAGATCCGTGCTCGATCGCTCCCTTCGGCAGCTTCACCTCCCACGTTCCGTACTCGTCCCGCGTCATCGCCGTCGCCTCGCCGTTCCACCCGTTAAAGTCCCCGATCAACGCGCAGTGCGCCGCCGCCGGCGCCCACTCCCGGTACGTGATCTCCCCGCTCTTTTCATCCGCGTTAAACCCGTACTTTTCGTACGATTTCGAAAACGCATCCAGCGATCCCTCCGCGCTTTCGATCGCCTCTCGCCGCGCTCGATACGTCGCGTACCGATACTTCAAGTGTTCCTCGTGTCCTCGCAGTCCCTCGTCCCGCGCGATCGCCTCCGCGCCGTCCCGCGTCGTCGTCGCGTCGACGTCGACGCTCTTCGCGCTGTCGACCGCGTTCGTCCGCGTCGCGTCGCGCGTCGCGCGTCCCTCGCGCGTCGTCGTCGTCGTCGCCAGCGCTGGCGGTCGCGGCATCGCGACTCGCGCGCGTCGCGTCGTCGCGCCTCCGGCGCTGGAGCGCGCGTCGCGTCGCGCGCGCGTCGTCCACGATCCGTGGGACCGCGCGGCGGCGTTCGCGGCGCGCATGGGCGCGTGCGTCGCGCCGTGCGGGCGACGACGCGCGCGAATTTGAACCGCGGTCGCGGCACTGCGCGACGACCGACCGCGTGACGACCATGGCGACGGCGACGGCGACGCGCTCGAGCGCCGGCGCGCGCGCGGCGACGCGCGAGGACGCGCGAGGACGCGCGCGACGACGCGACGCGCCGGCGCGGCGACGCGCGAGGACGCGCGCGACGACGACGGCGACGAGCGCGGGACGCGCGCTATCCGCGACGGCGACGGCGACGACGACGCGCGAGCGCGCGAACGCGCGCGCGGCGCGGCGACGCGGGACGACGACGGCGGCGAGCGCGTACGACGCGTTCCGCGCGGGCGTGAGCGAGGCGGATCGCGCGGCGATCGGCTCGGAGTGGGATAAAATCATGCGCTGGGCGGCGTTCGTGGAGAGCGCGCACGCGAACGACGAGAGCGTGCTGCAGAGCTCGAAGAAGGTGGCGATCATGGGCGGTGGGAGCTTTGGAACGGCGATGGCGACGCTGTTGGCGAGGAATAAGGCGGATTTGGACGTCGTGATATTGATGCGGAACGAAGACGACGCGAGGGCGTTGAACGAGGAGCATAGAAACGTAAAGTATTTGCCAAAGTACTCGCTGCCGGTGAACATACGGGCGTCCACGGACGCGAAGGAGGCGCTGGCGGGGTGCGACTTTATCATTCACGCCGTTCCGGTGCAACAATCGCGGAAGTTTTTGGCGGGGGTGAAGGATTACATCGATCCCAAGACGCCGATGCTGTGCTTGAGTAAAGGATTGGAGACGGGGACGTGCGATATGATGAGCGAAATCATTCCCTCTGGATTGGGACGCGATCAGCCGCTCGCGGTGCTTTCTGGACCGACGTTCGCGGTGGAGCTGATGCAAGGGTTGCCCACGACCATAGTCGCCGCGAGCGAGGATGAAAGTTTGGCGATAAGCGTGCAACAGCTCTTCGGGTCGTCGTGTCTTCGAGTGAACACGAGCACCGATGTGACCGGTGTCGAGCTTTCGGGCGCGATGAAGAATGTCTTGGCGATCGCGGCGGGTATTGTCGAAGGGTTGGAGCTCGGCAACAACGCCATGGCTGCGCTCGTGGCGCAGGGCGTGGCTGAGATTCGCTGGCTCGCCGGGAAGATGGGCGCCCGACCGGAGACGCTCGCGGGCGTGAGCGGTACCGGCGATATCATGCTCACGTGTTTCGTCAACTTGAGCCGAAACCGCACAGTTGGTGTGAGATTAGGCTCTGGCGAGACCTTGGAAGAAGTGTTAGGGTCCATGAACCAAGTGGCTGAGGGTGTCGCGACGGCGGCTGCCGTCGTACAATTAGCGAAGAGATACCGAGTGCACTTGCCCGTGCTCACCGCGGTGGCGAGCATCTTGGACGGGCACATGGACGCGAAAACGGCGGTTGATAAGATAATGCATCTTCCGCAAGTGCCTGAAGTCTAAAATAGTCGAGATTCATTAATACAAACGCTATATTTTTTCATTCAATGAAGGCGATGCGCCGGCGAGGCACGTCGTAGACGATCGTTTTCTTACCTAATAATCTCGCGCAAATCATCCCACAACTGTGCTCGGAGAGACTGAAACCCTCTCCCGAAGCTAATAAAGTGTCGATGTTTTCAAAACGCACGCACTCACCCTTGGCATCGGCGCTGACGAGTTGCAGCCATTCCATCGTCGTACGGTACGTCAGCGTGGCGCCGCCACTCTCGCCGTTAGCGCCGCTCACGCCTCGCACGCGACTGGAAACTCTTCTGCCTTCGGAGTCGAGAAGATCGCTCAAACCGAGCTCATCAACCGCTTTGGAATGAAAAATCACGTCCGCGCCGCCTGCACCACTATCAATCATGAAAATGTTTGGTTCGGTTTTGTGCGCATCGTTGACGCCAGAGAACGTCGCGGCCACGTGCGGCACGTTGGACACGAGTCGAAGTTCCTGCCACGCCCAGTCCTCATCGATCGCACTCAGTTGCCTCGAGTCGTAAATATTAACACGCTCGCCTCCTTCCGAGACACTCAAAATTGCACTTTTGAAGGCATCGAATCCGATTATTCCGGCGATGGGTTTCGACGCCCCGCTCACGATGCCGTCCAATCCCATCTCCATGAACAGCGGCTTCTGCAGCGTCAGTGGCCCGAGCTTGAGTTTGTTCCCCCGACGAAACTGACAAGGTACGCGCCCGGAGACCCCGGAGACGTGCACTTCGCCGAACGCGCGAAGACCGAGCGTTTTCGCGGCTTTTGGCGTGATGACTAAACCGCTCGCGCCCGTGTCTAATATAAACGGTCCCGCGCTCTTACCATCGATTAACGGCTCAACCAACACGTGCGACGACGACGCTCGAATGACCGGCACCTCCGAACTCGAATCGGGATCGACCGTCACCGTCGGCGTCGCGATCGTCGGTTTCTCAAAAATCTTACGCCCCTCCTTCCCGCGCCCCCACGCGACGCCGTCGGCGATGAATTCCTGCACCCCACCGTTCGCCCCGTACAGCTTCGTCGTTCGCGCGTACGTCACCCCGCACGCACTCGTCGTCCAATCATCGAACGTCCACAAGTCCTCGTCACCGCACACCGCCACCGCGAGCTTCTTCGGCGTCCACGCCGTCGCGTCGAGCGTCAACTCGCTCGTCACTCGCCCGCCGCGAAGTTTCATCCCCATCCTCACCACCCCATCGCGCGCGTCCTCTTCCGTGCGGTCACGAAGCGTCAGCTCTAAGTGTTCGTTCACGCACTCCTGCGTGGCCCAGTATCCGCTTCGCGTCCACGCGCTCATCGTCGACGCCTCCGCGTCGTCCAGCTCCAGCGCCTGCGCGTACCCACTGAAATCAACCTCCCAGCACCCACCCGCGCGCCCTTTCGCTCGTCCGCTCACGTAGCACAGCTCCGCGTTCATCGTCTCCTCCACGAACCCGTCGTCGTCCACGCGCAGGTACCATTTCGCGGGCAATCCGAGGTGCTTCCCGTGTCCCCACAAACCGTACGCCAAATTCTCATTCGCGTTCACCGCGTCTCGCGCGCGCTCGAGCGCGCGATCGAGATCGACCGCGGTCGACGACGCGCGCGCGCGCGTCGCGCGTCGCCGGGCCGCGCGCCGCGCGTCGCGAGGCCGCGCGCGCGCCGCGAGCGGCTCGGACGGCGCGACGGCGCGTCGGCATCGCATCGCGGCGCGTCGACGTGTGACGACGCACTGCGCGGCGCGCGCGACCGCGCGCGACGAAACCGCGCGCGATCGGACCGCGGGTGAACATGCGCGACGCGGGAGGGGCGCGGGGAGGCGCGCGCGCGGCGAGCGACGCGAACGAGGACGGGAAAGGACGAGGATTGGGCGGCGAAGGCGCGACGCGCGACGGCGGCGCGGACGCGGCGACGACGACGCGCGCGGACGAGACGACGACGACGAACGGAACGCGCGCGAACGTCGTCGATCGCGACGTCGCGCTTCGCGCCAAGTTTCGCGCGGCGCTCGGCTTCGACGACGACGCGCTCGACGACGCGCTCGACGACGACGACGACGACGACGACGCGAGACGCGAGTCGGTCGGTGCGGACGGCGACGATGCCGACGACGACGACGACGGGAACACGACGCAGCGAGCGCTCGTCGAGCGACGGTTGAAGCGCATGCGCGAGCTTCGGTCGATGTATAGGGATCAGTATTGGCGCCTGCTCGAGGAGTTGCGCAAGAAGCATCGAAGGTTTGAGTTACGACGCGGACACGGGGGATCGCGCGACGCCGCGGAGGAGGCCGAGGCCGCGCGCGCGCTCGAAGGGACGACGTCGGTGTGTCAGGAACCTTCGTGCGAGGCGCGGTCGATGCCGTGCGTGAGTTATTGCTTCGCGCACGTCGCCCTCGACGAAACGCAAAAGTTGTACGCGCGCGCCGCCGACGGCGCGCCGCGCGAGACGATGGGGTGAGCGCGCCGCCGACCGTCTCGCGATCGTAGAAATAATTTTCGATGTAATGTGTAGTCCACGACGTGCGTAGCCCATCGCGCGCGGCGTCTTTCGCCTTCGCGTTGTCCGCCGCGCGTTCGCGTCGTTCGCGTCGTCCGCCGAGTCGTTCGTCACACCGACGCGCGCGCCCGCGCCGTGATGCCTCCTTCGATCGCGCGCACCGCGTTCGACGCATCGTGCTCGACGCGTTCGACGCGTCGCGCGCCGTCCCGCGCGCGTTCGCTTCGCGCGCGTCCCGATAAAAGATGCGTGACGTCGCCTCGAGCGACCGCCGAACCTTCGTCCTCGTCCTCGCCGCGGCGCGTCGTCGTCCTCGGCGGTGGATTCGGCGGGCTCTACACCGCCCTGCGGCTGGACTCGCTCGAGTGGGCGGGCGAGACGAGGCCGGAGATCACCGTGGTCGATCGCGCGGAGGCGTTCGTGTTCAAGCCGCTGCTGTACGAACTCGTCAACGAGACGCTGGAGCCGTGGGAGGTGGCGCCGACGTTCGAAGAGCTGCTGAAGCCGACGAAGGTGACGCACGTGAAGGGTGAAGTCGTGTCGTTCGAGCCGGAGGACAGGGGTACGATGCGGGATGGGACGCCGTACAGCGCGACGGGAGGGTCGATTACGCTCGGGGACGGGACGACGCTGGCGTACGATTACTTGGTGCTCGCGCTCGGGACGTCGACGAGCGATGGAGGTGTGGCGGGAGCGAGAGAGTGTGCGGTGGCGCTGAACACGGCGGAAGATGCGGTGCGGATCGCGGGAGTGCTCGGGGAGCTTGAACGCGCGGGGCGAGACGCGCGCGTCGCCGTCATCGGCGGCGGGCTGTCGGGCGTAGAGTTGGCTTCGGTGATCGCCGAGCGCTTGAATGGGAAATCAACGAACGGTGTGGTGGATGTGATCACGCCAAATAAGCGCGTGATGGCGACGGCGCCGCCAGGGCAACGCGAAGCGGCGCTGCGAGTGCTCGAAAAGGCGCGGGTCAACGTCGTCGGCGGTCGAGTCATGCGTCTGGACAAAGTCGCAAACGACGAAGAGACTGTGAGTACCGCGTCAAAAATCACTCTCGCCGACGACGATGGGGCAGAAGGAGTTGAGACATACGACCTCGTTTGCTGGACCGTCGGGCAGCGCGCAGAAACACCGAGTGATTGGCCCGTGGCGACGACGCCGGCGCGCAAAATCAAAACGGACGCGACGCTTCGAGTGAATGGACACTCGCGCATTTATGCCGTGGGTGACGCTTCTTCGAGCTCGGCCGAGGTGATGAACGCGGACTGGGACCACTTACCGTCCACGGCGCAAGTGGCGTTCCAACAGGCCGACTACGCGGCCTGGAACATCTGGGCTTCGATGAACGGACGAACGGAGCTTCCGTTTCGCTACCAACACCTCGGCGATATGATGGTTCTCGGTAGTCTTGACGCCGCCGTCGCGTTTCCCGTCGGCGACATCACGTTAGAGGGACCTGCTGCGGCGGCGCTGCGGCGGCTGGCGTACCTCTATCGTATGCCCACAAACGAACATCGTCTCAAGCTCGGGTCGAAGTGGATTCAAGACGGAATAGAGACGTTTCAAAAAGATCCAGTGGGATTTTTAGAAGACATTCGCAAATCCATTCCTTTCGCGCGCTAAGCAGTTGTTACACCAGTCTTACTGAATTTCTAAAGCTTGTTCTACAGCTTACTATTCACAACTTGCTATTCATTTGCATCACCCAATCAACCATCATCGGCTTTCGCGCGTAATCCGGGCATCGCATCACCGTGTATGCGAGCGTCTCGTGCCGCCTCGCTCTCGTGAACGGGTCCGAGCTATCTAAAACGGCATCCTCTAAGATGTCCTGTATGACAGGTATGAGTGGAAAGTCGACCAAAGTGACGAGCTGAAAGAGTAATCGTCTCAGAGGCTCGACCGGCGGGTCTTCTGAACTCATCGTTGGCGGCGCCGCGTCCATGTTCTTCACCTTTTCAGAGAGCTCGCGCGCGACGAAGAGCGCCAACTCACTTCCAGCTTCGCCGAACTTGGTCACCAATCCAACAGCAGCGACGAGCGGCTCTAGGGGCGTGGATGCAGGGTATCGTTCGAGCGACATTCGAAGATAGTCTGGGAACAACTGTCCGTTGAGTTCTGGACGCGCGTGGAAAATGCCCACGTACGCCACGTGCGCCGCTTTCACGACGTGCTTCGCCTCGTGGTCGCAACATCGACGCACGTAAGGACACACATCAACGATGATGCGTGGCGTCGTAAACTTCGACAACGCAAACGGCAGTAGCCTGAGGATTAGGTGCATTCGAGCGCCGAGAATCTTGTCGCCGCGCCACGCGTCGCCCGCGAGCTCGGGTAACGACGCGAGAAACGCCATCGCGGCGGGCGCGTCGCTACTCGACGGCAAACTATTCAGCAACGTCGCGAGCGCGCCAAGGACTTGAGCGTACTCAAGACTTGTTGATCTAGCGAATTCAAGGTGCGACAAAACAAACATCGCATCACCGACATGCGCCTCAAGACGTCCTCGTAGAGCGTTCTTGAGTGTAATGAGCGCGAAGTCATAAATGTTCGCACGCGCCGCGCGCACAACTGAATTATCCAAAGTGTCAGTCCAACCCGCGCACTCTGAAGCAGCCAGCTCCTGCGCCGTGTCGTATACGTTTCTTGAAAATTCCATCAGCATCGGCAGCGATTGCCGCGGATCCAGACCGTCGTCTCGTGAAACCGCTTCGGCAATGAAGTGCGCATTCATGTAAATGGGCGACGTCGTGAGATCCTCTAATATTCTCGAGGCTTCTCGCGGATCCCGCCCGCGCGCTAGCGATTGCAACAAGGAAACATTCATGAGAGCGAATATCTTGCAAGTCGCTCGCGCCACGACGGCGCGCACGGACTGTAACGGTCCGTTTTGCCCATCCATATCCAAGCACGCCGAAATCGTCGACACGCTCGCAAACGCACGCGCTTCCAGCGACGGGTCACGCGCCGTGCACGCGATCCAGCGCTCGAGGACGCCGACCGAACGCATCAACGCCACCCCACACGAGGCACGCATGGCTTCGTCGTTCAAAGCCACGCTCGATCTATACATCGCCGATAAGACGTACACGGCGCCGCAGCGACCGTCCTTCGCGCACGCCGCGACGACGACGTCCGCGTTCGCCTTCGGCACCGCCCCACCCGTCACCACGCTCTCCAAAACGCGCCGCAGCGACCGCCCTCCAAATAGGCACTTTCGTAACACCGCATACTCGTCACCGACGTCCACGCGTTCCCAAGCTTCGAGTAAAGCGCTCGCCGCCGCCGTCCCGCTCGCGCGCTCCGCCGCGACGCCGTACGCGTACGCGTACGCGTATTCCAACGCCGACGACGGCGTTTCAAACGCCACCGCACCGATACCCGATCGCACCAGCACCACCAACGCCTCGAACGACTCTTCGCTTCCGATCGCCGCGAGCGCCAACGCGCTCGCCGTCGCCGCGCCTTCGCCGCGCCTTCGCTCTGCGAACGCCGCGGCGCACCGCGTCGCCGCGCGCGACCCGAACGCATCCTCTCTGAACCGTCGTCCGCGCGCGCACGCGGCGATCACGCGCGCCGCGCGCGCGCCCAGCGCGTCACCGCCCTCGCGCGCCGTCGCGAGCGCGAGCGCGTCGAGCGCGACCTCGAACGCGCGCGCGGATTCCACGACGCGGTCGTCGAAACGCGCCTTCGCGACGGCGCCGCACGCCGTCGTCGCGCCGCGAACGTCTCGCATCGCGACGAAGCGCGCGAGGACTTCGACCGCGTCGAGCGGCGCGCCGGCGGCGGGCGCCGGCGGCGCTACGAGGCGCTCGAGGTGCATCGCTGCGCGCCGCAGAGTACCGGTATTTCAGGCGACGCCACGCGAGCGACGCGCGAATGAGTGAAACGAGCGATGCGCGAGCGGTGAGTTACAAAAGATGACGCCGCGTTCGACGGCTAACTGGACGAATCACGCGCGGCGTTCGCGGTCGTGCGCGCTTCGAGCGCGCTGCGAGAGAGCGCGGCGATTTTACGCTTGTCTTCGCGCCTGTCGCGGCCGAAAATCCACGGGTGCGCGATCATGTTTCTCGCCAACATGCGACCGCTAGGGTCTTTGTTCAAGCCCAAGGCGACGAAATTGTCGAATTCCTCCGAAACGTTGAGCTCGGGTCGAAGACAAGGCACGGGCTCTTTGACGACGACATCGAGTAGATCCCAAAAGCTATACCGCCTCGCGACGTCGGGCGAATTGTACGGAAACCGACCGAGCGCGCACTCCATGACAGTGAGAGCGAAACTCCACACGTCCGCGGTGAACTCGTATGACTCACCCTGAATACGCTCGGGTGACATGTACGTAACCGTTCCCACCCACGAGTGACATTTACTCGCGTCGACGAGATGTCCGCTCACGCCGAAATCGCTCAGTTTCGCCTCGCCGCGTAAATTGAGCAGGACGTTACACGGTTTGATGTCTCGATGGACGACACTCAATTTCGTGTGTAAATAATGTAATCCATCCGCTAACATCGCCGTCGCCGCGGCTAAATCGTCCTCTCCCCACGGTCCGAGATACTTGGTTGCGTCGCTCATCGTGCCCGCCTCCATGTACTCCATCACCAAGTTGACGCTCCCCTGATCGAAAAATGCCCCTAGACTACGAACGATGTACTCGCACGAGCTCTTGTGCAACGTACGAAGCTCGGTGATGATGCGTTTTCGCCCATCGTCGTCCCTCGCGAGTGAAATCGCGATATTCTTCACCGCCAGCGCCTCGTCCGTTCGCTTATGCTTCGCCAACCGCACCACCCCTCCCGACCCCGTCCCGATCACCCCCACGATGTCCAGATCCGCCACGCCTAATATAAACTCATCCTGTTCGTTCGCTTCCCTCACCTCGCTCGTCGACGCCGACGCGCTCGGTCCGCCGTCGTCGCCGAGCGCTCGCAAGTTTTGCGCCGACACCCCGAGTCCGAGCTTGTTCAACCGAAACTCATCCATCGTGAGCGTCCCCGACCCCGTGCTGCGCGACGACGCGCGCGCGCGCGCGTTGGGTCAGTCGTTCGTCTCTCGCGCGCGCTTCCGCCGTTCTTCCGTCGTCGTCGTCGTCGTCGTCTCGAAAAGTCATCGTCTCCCGCGCACGCACATGTGTTCGCCTCCCTCACCGCGCGCGCCGCCGCCGCCGCCGCCGACGTCGCCGGCGTCATCGGCGTCGCGTTCGCGCGCGTCGTCGTCCGCGCCCGGGACGACGATGCGACAGTTGCTCGCGCGCCGTCGGTGCATCGCGTCGCGAAGTCCCGCGCGTCGCTCGCGCGCGTCACATCGCGCGCGCGTCGGTGCGTCGCGCCGCGCGCGATGCAGACGCTCTCGCCGAGCGCATCGCGCGGCGCGCGCGACGCCGCGAGCCGCGCGCGCGCGAGCGACGGCGAGGACGCGCGACCGAGCGAGCGCGCGAGGGCGACGCACCGCGCGGTGGTGAAGATTCAAAACGCCGTGCGTCGGTACATGCGCGCGAAGCGCGGACGCGGACGCGATGGACGCGACGGGGAAGACGCCGCGACGCGCGCGATGCGCGACGTGCGCGCGCGCGGGCTGAAGTGCTCGCTGTTGGTGCTCGTGTGGTTCAGCACGGGGACCGGGTTGGCGCTGTTCAACAAACAGATTCTGGGCGTCGAGCGAGGAGGGTTTCCGTGCCCGATATTCCTGACTTCGATGCAGTTTGCGATGCAGTACGCGATGGCGAGGGCGTGTCTGGGAGCGGGCGTGCTCGAAGACGCGGAAAAGGCGCGCGGGAAGCGAGAAGAGGTGCCGTCGGAGGTGTACTGGCGAAATTTGGCGCCGGTGGGGGCGGCGATGGCGTTGGACATCGCGCTGAGTAATTTGTCGTTGGCGTTCATCACGGTGTCGGTGTACACGGTGGCGAAGACGAGCACGATCGTGTTCACGCTTGGGTTGGCGTTTTTATTTAGGTTTGAAAGGCCGACGTGGTTCTTGGGCGGCGTGGTGACGCTGGTCGTCGTCGGGCAGGTGATGTCGGTGGAGGGCGACGCCCAGTTTGATGTGTTTGGTTTCATCATGTGTCTCATCGCGGCGCTCATGAGCGCGCTTCGGTGGATCTTTTCGCAGCGCGTGATGCATCGCGACCGCGATGAGCCCGGAGACCACGCGAAGGGGATCAAGGATTCGCATCACGTGAGTCATCCGGTGGTGTTCGTGTCCTTGATTTATCCGATAATGTTCGTCATCGTTTTCACGTTCTCTTCGTTGAAAGAGCGGTGGTGGTTCGCGATTCCACACTCAAAGTGGCTCGCGAGCCCTATCGACGTATTCGTCGACTTGGTCGTGTTCGCCTGCGGGGCGTCGATGGCGTTTTGTTTGACTTTAGCCGAATTCGAGCTGCTCAACGAGACGAGCGCGATGTCCATGATGTTCATAGGAGTGTTGAAAGACATCATAAACATCGTGTGTGGGATGTTGCTCTTTGGCGACAAGTTCGGATCCGCGAACGTCGTCGGCCTCGGACTTTGCATGGTGGGCGTGGTCGGATACAACAAGTACAAGTGGGAACAGCTGAAATTGAAAGCGTTGACGTCGCAACGCCGCGGCGACGATTCCGACGCCGTGCCGCTCGTGGAAATCACCTCGATTTCATCTACGAGTCCGCGTCGGCGATTGGACGATTTCACGATTGCGTAGCGCGCGCCAGTAGACATAGAATCAATAGAGTTGCATTAGAATCACAAACTGTTAGCACTACCGCGTCAGCGCTCGACGCTCGACGTCCGCGCCCCCTTCATTTCCTCAGCGCGTCCTCGACCTCCTTCAACAACACCACCGCCGCCGCATATTCCTCACTCGCCTCTACCATCGCATCTGACTCGAAATGCTCCACGGTGACTTGCAACGACCCGAGCGCGTCGTGCAAGCGCGTCGCGTTGTCTTGCACCATCATGGCACTCTCCTCGAGCACGTTCTCCTGCGTCCCCGCGCGTCGACCGCATCGCGCGTCAGTCACCGTGAGCGACGAAAACGCATCGAGGTCGCGTTGCTCGCGTCGTTCGCGCTCGGGCGCGCACCTGCTGCTTGATGTCACCGTCGTCGACGTTTTCGCGCTTCATCGCGGCGACTTTCGCCTCGCCGCTCGTAACTTCCTCGGCGTACATCGCGCGCTCTTTAAACAGACGCCGCAAGGAGCCGGTTTTGATGCGTATCGCCTTCACGGCGTCCTCGGCACTCATCGTGGACGCGCGCGGGAGAGTGACGCGACTCGTCGGTCGCGCGCGCGCGAACTCGGGCGCGTTGACTTTTCGAGTTTCGTGAAATGTTTCTGTAGAGTTTCGTTGTGGAAGGAATCGATATGGTTACAAGTGCGACGTTCGGGATATTATTCGTCTTCTTCGCCTTCGTCTTCTTCGTCTTCTTCGTCTTCTTCGTCTTCGTCGTCGCCGCTGTGAATTTCGGGTAGTTCTCCGTCCGAGTCGTCGGAGAGCTCCATGACGACTTTAGACTTCCCACTGCCGAGACCGACGGGTTCGGGATTGGTGTCCCACATGTCCGATTTGGCCTTTTTATTCGCGGGTGCGGAGAAGGAGATGAAGTCCGTCGGTGGTTCGACATTTGCCTTTGGCGCGGCGAACGCCGGCGCGCCGGCGGCCGCTCCGAATCCGGAGACGGGGACGTTTTTGAACGCCTCGACCTCGGCCGGCTGCACGGTTGCGTTTGCATTCGCCGGCAATTCGCTGTTTTCCATATCGACATTCTCGCCGTCGGGCTCATCATCGACGGGTGCAGGCGCCACGGCATTCTGTTTGACCGCGGCGTTTATCGCCGTCGGCGCATCCGCCGTCTTGTAATAATCACCAACGCTCGCTCGCAGCGCGTCAGCGGCGCCGACGTTCGCCGCAGTGTGCGCGTCAAATGTAAATGACGCCCACTGTGGTGCCATCGCGTTACTTTCGGCACCCATGCGCTCGACAGGCGGCGCAATGGCTTGCGAAGCCAACGGCGGCGCCGACGGGTGCAACAACGCGTTAATCGCGAGCGCCGCCTGCGCGCACTTCTTCGACGTCTGCGGATCGCACGAACCCTTGGCGAACACAGCCACGGCTAAGGGTAGATTCGGCGATCGGAAAGGTCGAGGTGCCAGCACGGACGCGAGGAGAGCGTCGAACGCCGCATCGCGGCGTTCGGCGCTCGCGTCGTCCACCTCAGCCATCGGCGCGGACAAATCGCACACTTGCGCGATTGCTTGTGAGATCGTGACGTCCATTCTCGATCGAATGCCCGGAGCGAGCATGGCGCCGGCGATCGTGAGCATCGCAGTCAGCGCTCGCAGCGCGGATGTTTGCAACTTGATGGCTTCCAAAGCCGCCGACCCCGCCGAGGGGCCGCTCATATCGTCCAAAGCCGCAGCCGTAGTGAGATCGTCCAAACCTTCTGCCGTGGCGTTACCCCACGCGCCACCTTTTTTGCGTTTCTTCGCACTCGCTTTGCTTTGTTGACCACCGCTGGCGAGCGCGCTCTTCCCCGTTCCACACGGTTTCGCATCTTGAATGACGAACGAAGCGACCGCGGATGCGAGCTCGCCGCTCACGTACGCCCCGCCGAGCGCGTACGAAGCAATGGCGATGGCGTCGTGCGCGCACGCGCGAGCGTGCATGCGATGCCGAATTGGTTCCCCATTCTCGACGTCGCTCGGCGAAGGCGCGCTAGCCCGCAGCACGCCCTCGAGAGCTCTAGCTATTCTACCTCCCTGCGGCAGCGCCGTGGTTCGCGCCGTCTCTAGTAGCGCCTCTAATACCCCCAAAGCCGCGATGTGCACGCGCGGCAACGCGACGACGAGCTCTGGCGCCACCGGAGACGGTGGAAGCCCCGGTATGGACGCCACCGGCGTGCCATCGCACGCGAGCGCTCGAGCGACGAGCGTCACCGCGGCGGCGGTGGGCATCGGCACGGCGCACGGAAATCGAGCGCGACACATTTCCTCGAGACACTCCAACATTGAAACCAAAGCCTCGATCGAACCGAGCGGCCACCCTCCCTCGGTGAACGGTTTCGGCAACGTTTCGGTCGGAGGTGCGAGCGTAACGTCGAGTTGACGCTTGAGCTCGCCGTCCTCGGCGCCTTCGAACGCGTCGTGCATCGCCGAGTGCGCGGCGTACATCACGCGCCTCGCGTGCGCGCTCCAAGCCCCAGCATCGCCCGCGATTCTCGGCAGCGCCGCCAAACACACCACCGCGCGCCCGCGCGCGTCTTCATCCTCGCTCGAACTCACGATCGCCGCGCACGCCTTCTCCAGCGCCGCCGCGTGCGGCCGCAGCGCCCCCGGATGCCACCTCGCGCACGTCGTCGCCAACTCGAACCCCTCGCGCGTTCCCTGCGTCATCATCCGCACCATCCCGCTCGACGCCGTCGCGATCGCGTTCGAGCACTCCTTCCTCACCCCCGGCACGTCCGCCAGTCCGCCCGCCCGCGTCAGCGTCTCCCGCAGCGCCTCGCTCGCCGCCCGCGTCGCCCCGCTCGCCCCTCCTCGCTCGCTCGCCCTCACCCGCTCGCTCAGCGTCGTCGTCCACGTCCCCAACCCTCGCACGAACGCTCTCGCGCTGCATCCTCGCGCGACGTGCGCCAGGCTCTCGTACGCGTCCTCGCTCGCGTCCTTCGCCGCGCTCGCCGCGCTCGCCGCGCTCGCGTACGCCCCCGTCTCGCGCTCGATCGCCCGCTCCGCGCGCGCGCCCAACGCGTGGTGCAGATCGACGTCCGCGCGCGCGCGCCGCGACGCCGCGCGCCGTCGTCGCGCGCCGCCGTCGTCGTCCGCGCCGCCGTCGTCGCGCGCGCCGCCGCCCTCGAGCCGCTCGACCGCGCGACGCAGCGCCGCGCGCGCGCCGTCGAGGTCCGCCATCGCGCGCGGTCGACGCGGTCGACGGTCGGCCGTCGCGCGTCCCGTCCGCGCGCGCGCGCGCGCCGTCGTGTCGCGCGCGCGTCGTCGGCGGCATTGGACGACGCGGATTCGCGACGCGACGTCGCGACGCGCGGATTCGCGACGCGCGCGCGTGCGCGCGGATCGGCGCCGTGCGCGGCGATTCGAGCGACGCGACGCCGCGACGCGCGACGCGCGACGCGCGCGCGACGATGGGCGCGGCGGACGCGCCGCGGTACGTCTCGGCGCTGCCGTCGCGATCGACGCGCGGACGACGGCTCGCGACGCTGCTCGAGGACGAGGACAGCGCGGATGAGGCGTTCTGGAACCAAGACGCGCTGGCGGAGGAGAGCGGGGACGACGCGTACGAGAGCGAGGAGGAGCCGGAGGACGTGTTCGAGGACGACTTCGACGAGAGCGAGTCGAGCGAGAGCGAGGGAGAGGTGCGAGTGGCGAGAGAACGCGCGAAGAGGACGCTGAAGGCGCCGGAAAGGCGAGGGAAGGATGCGCGAGGGGCGGGGGGAGGAGGGACGGGCGAGGGGGGGGAGGCGGCGGCGGTGGGGGACGGGCGCGGCGACGCGAACGCGCGGGGGGCGAGGGCGACGACGGCGGCGGCGGCGGCGGGAGGGGATTTTGAGATGCGGAAATCGAAACGGTCGACGGCGCAAGCGATTTTGGAGCGGAGCGAACGAATGCGCGCGGAGCGCGCGTCGAAACCGGCGCAAGAGCGGCAAAAGGTTGAACACAGGACGTGGACGCAGGAGGAGTTGCTCGAGGAGGCGAAGGAGACGGAGTATTGGAATTTGATTGATTTGGAACGTTTACTCACGCTGGAGGCGGAGATGAAGAAAAAGGCGCCGACGGTCTCGAACGCGTATGAAGGACCATCGTTGGTGTATCGCAGCTCGGCGAAAGTCGACGAGGGGGCGACGATGATTGAGCTCGCGCGCGGCGCCGAGACGCCCGAACCGTTGCGGCAAAACAAGCCGACTCCGGCGCACAAGGACAAGTGCGTCATCACCGGTTTGCCGGCAAAGTATAAGGATCCCGTGACTGGAATGCCGTACGCGACGATCGAAGCGTTTAAGAAGGTGCGCGCGCGGTATCCGCCCTTGCCGCCGAAACCGAAGCCCGCGCCCGAGGAGCCCGACGCGGCGGCGGCGGCGCCGATCGAACCAAAGATTGAAGTCGTCATCGACGTTCCCATGGAGCCGGAGGCACCGTTGGCGCAGAAAACGAAAGCGAAAAGCACAAAGAAACGACCGGGGAAACCGTCGGCGTCTCAATTGTCCACGGTGGCGAAGAAAACCCTCGCAACGGCGAAGAAAACTTTAAAGCAAGAGCCCGAGGACGCGACCATGACCGTCGCCGACGACGAGGCGCTCGCGGGGTAGAGTTCAAAAGTGTACATATAATCGAATCACGTAGTTCAGTTCGTATCATATCGCGTCGATCGTCTCGCATCACGGGCTCGATCGACTTGACGCGACCTTTAGCGAGTGCATCTTCGCGAGCAACACACCCATATCGTCGATGACTTTATCTTGGCGGCGTCGAATTTCTTCAACCTGTTCGAGCGCCTGTCGCTTTCGCGATAACCTCACGGGAGACACACTGTGTAACAGTCTCTCGGCGCGTTCAGCGCCTCGACGCTTGAGTCGTCGAAGTTCGTCCTTCGGACTCTGGTTCTCGTCGTTGTCGTCGTCGGACGACGCCGAGCGATATCGACGACGAGACGTTGGCGGAGAACAGCCCGGCGGTGTCACCGCGAACGCCTTCACGCGCACGACGTCGTAATCGATCTCATCGCCGGTACCGTGCGAAAATCTCGACGCCGTCGCCGTCGGGTGTGGTGTCGCACACCGCGCGCCCTTTGCGCGCGCGGCGGCGCCAGAAGGCCAACCGTCGCGGTCGCGCGCGCGAGTCCGTCCTCGTCCGCGCGGTGGCGTCAGTCGCGGGCAACGCGTGAAAAATTCTTCGACTGCGTCGTCTTCGGCCTCGTCGAGCGTCTTTCGGACGTGGTCGTCGTCGTCGTCGTGCGATCGGAGCATCATGTTGAGTCGCGTTGTGGGGTTCGATATTAAATTCCAATGCTCGCTATCGGCGCTCACAGCGCCGGCATCCCCGCGCCGCACATGATGAACTTCGCGAGCGCGGGCTTGCCGGCGTTCATGTAACACTCCGCCAAACGCTGATTGACGGTCGAGGATTCGATCTCACCCGCGGCGATTTGGTCGAGCAAGAGCTCGCCCTCTTCGCGCGCGAGTTGCTTTTCGCTCTTCGGGCCGTCGAACGCCGCCGCGGATGGACCGCGTCGGCTCTCTAGGACTTCTTTGATCTCTGCCACGGTCTTACCAGACCACCCGGCGACGTCAATCATTCGCGTGATGGCGTCTCTGCCGCCGATGGTGGACCACGGCGTTTGCAACGCCTGTCGCGCGGCGTCTCGCGCCTCCTCGTCGCGTCCTAATTTGGAATATAAATCAGAGATGAACACGTGCGGCGCCCCCCAATCGCCGAACGTCGCCTTGTACAGATCACACGTGATCAACGCCGACTGTTCGTCGTTTCGTTTCAAGTGTCTCCGAACCAGCCCCTCCATGGACGACGGAAACTTCCCGATTTGCGTCGTCACGTACACGTCGAACTCCTTCCCCGACGTCTTAAACGCCCCGTGCGCGTGCAGGCTCACCCCCACCGCGCCCGCCGCCGCCGCCACCGTCGTCGTCTGCTCATCGCTCATCGCTTCCTCCTCGACGATCGCTCTGTGCACGTAATCCCTCGCGCTCTTCGCCAGCATCGTCGCGTGCGCGCCGTCCCGCACCTCGACCACCGGCGTCGCCTCGCCGTCGTCCTCGGTCACCATGAGTCCGATCACCCCTCCCTCGCGCGTCCTCGCCAGCGGCATCACCAGCGGGTGGATCCCTCGCCGCGCGTTCGGCGCGATCGTTTCGCACCCCAGCGCGTCGAGCACGCGCGCGAGCGCCTCGAGCTCCGCCGGCGCGCGCGTCGCCGCGACGTCTCGCAGGTACGCCGCGTGCGCTTCGCCGTCGTTCGGCGTCGCGCGCGCGCGGCCGCGGGTCCCGCGCGTCGCGCGCGTCGCGCGCGATCGCGTCGCGATCCAGCGCGCCGTCGTCGCGCGCGCCGGCGCGCCCGCGGTCGCGCGCGCCGTCGCCATCGTGTGTCGCTGTCCGGCGTGCCCAGCGGCGCGGTGTCGAAAAGAGCGTCGGACTGTTTGCGCATATAAAAAGTATAAAAAGGCTTTTTATACTTTTTATATGCGCAAACAGTTTTATTTTTTAAAAAAGCCACGTGGCGATCTCGCGCGCCATCGCATCGCGACGACGACGCACATCGCCGCGCGACGACGACGACGACCGACATGACGGCCGGCCCCACGGGGTGCTGCTGCTTCACGTGCGTGCCCACGGGCACGGTGCAGGTGATCCAGCAGTGCGGGAAGTTTGCGTTCTTCGCGCGCGAGGGGTGCCACTTCGTGAACCCGTTCATCGGGCAGGCGGTCGCGGGGACGGTGTCGACGCGCGTGCAGTCGCTGGACGTGAGCGTGGAGACGAAGACGAAGGATAACGTGTTCGTGACGATCGTCGTGAGCACGCAGTATCAGGTGCTGTCGATGGACGAGACGCGATTGTACGACGCGTTTTACAAACTGACGGATTCCAAGGCGCAGATTCGGTCGTACGTGTTCGACGTCGTGCGATCGACGGTGCCGAGGATCAAGTTGGACGACGTGTTCGAGAGCAAGGAAGAGATCGCGCAGAGCGTGAAGGAGTTGCTGAGCAAGTCGATGGAGGGATTCGGGTATCAAATCATGAACACGCTCGTGACGGACATCGCGCCGGACGCGCGAGTCAAACAGGCGATGAACGAGATCAACGCCGCGCAGCGCGCGAGAGTCGCGGCGCAAGATCGCGCCGAGGCGGATAAGATCATGGTCGTCAAGGCTGCCGAAGCCGATGCGGAGTCCAAGTATCTCGCGGGTACGGGGATGGCGCGTCAACGTCAAGCCATCATCGCCGGTTTGCGCGAATCCGTGGTTGACTTCCAAGAATCTGTGGATGGTATCTCAAGCAAAGACGTTTTGGAGATGATGATGATGACGCAGTACTTTGACACCATGAAGGAAGTCGGCACGCAAGGCGGCAACTCGACCATTTTTGTGCCTTCCGGTCCGGGCGCCGTCGCGGAGGCGTCCCGCGATATTCGCATGGGCTTGATGCAAGGTCAAGCCGCGCAAATCGGTCGCGGCGCGTAAGCGCTCGCAACCAATAACTGATCATTCAAATTTTCTCGACGAGCAACGTACAGCACTCCCCTTTAATTTCAGCAGCACTTATTAAATTACACTTTTAAACGGCGTCGAGGAACATCGGAGCCATGACTAGAGTAATCGTCGCGAGCATCTTTATCAACACGTGTATGCTTGGTCCGGCGGTGTCTTTGAACGGATCGCCAACCGTATCTCCTGAGACCGCCGCTTTGTGTGCTTCGCTTCCTTTGCCACCGTGCGCCCCGGTCTCGATGTATTTTTTGGCGTTATCCCAAGCCCCTCCCGCTGTGTTCAAGAAGAGCGCCATCAAAATACCGGCGACGGTGGCGAACATCAAGAACGCGGCGACCGCTTTGACGCCGAGCAGCTCTTGCGCTGTCGCCGCGCCAAGGTTTTTGAATACGATGCCAACCACAACTGGGCTCAAAACTGCGAGCGCGCCAGGTCGAACCATCTCGCGCAACGCGCTCTGGGCGACTATGGCGACGCATCGAGCGTAATCTGGCTTCTCTTCGCCCGTCATGATACCCGGACGTTCGGCAAACTGCCGTCTCACTTCTCGCACGACTTCTTGCGCAGATCGTCCAACTGCGGTGATGGACCACGCGGAGAATAGATAGACGAGTGCGGCACCGAGCAGGCCGGCGACGAAGACTTCTGGAATCGCAATGTCAACTTGATTGAAAGGCTTCCCCGTGAACGCGGTGACTTCATCCATAAAGGCCGAAAATAACAAGAAGGACGCCAGGGCAGCGGAACCGATGGCGTAACCTTTCGTCGTAGCCTTAGTCGTATTTCCGACGGCATCAAGTTCGTCGCAAATATCGCGAACGCTTTCGGGTTGATCCGACATTTCGACGATGCCACCGGCGTTGTCGGCAATCGGCCCGAAGACGTCCATAGTGAGCACGTACGCCGCCGTCGATAACATACCCATGGTCGCCACAGCGGTGCCAAACAGCCCACCGATCGCTTTACCATTAGCGTCCGTGATACCACTCGCGTTGCCGCACCAGTACGCGGAGATGATGGCGATCGAGATCACGATTACGGGCACCGCCGTGGATTCCATGCCGACGCCAATGCCGGCGATGATGTTCGTGCCGTGACCGGTTGTCGACGCTTCGGCGATGTGACGTACGGGCGGGAACTTGTAATCGGTGTAGTACTGCGCGATGAACACGAAAGCATACGCGCACGCGATACCGATCAGCCCACACATGTAAAAGGAAAACCACGCTCCTGGATGTTTGTCCGAGACGAGCATGACGCGACACGCCACGCCAAATCCGACGACGGCGAGCGAAATGGCGACGTTGTACCCACCCTTGAGAACTTTGTAAGGATCCTCACGACGAGTAGACGTTTCGCTTATCGACATGATACCGCACGCGCTCACGATGCAGTCCATCGCGTGAATGACGAGTGGAAACATGATGAAACCGGTGGAGTCTTCGATGCCCGCGCTCTTGGCCATGGTGGCGCCCAAAATCATCGCCGAGATGACTTCGGCGGCGATGGACTCGAACAGGTCCGCCCCGCGCGCTGAACAGTCGCCGACGTTATCGCCGACCAAATCCGCGATCACCGCAGGATTTCTTGGGTCGTCTTCGGGAATGCCCTGCTCAACTTTGCCGACCAAATCGGCGCCGACGTCGGCGGCTTTGGTGTAGATACCGCCGCCCAACTGCGCGAAGAGCGCGACGAAGGACGCGCCGAAGCCGTATCCGACGAGCATGAGAGGAATTTCATGCACATCCATGCCACCGTCGCGACCGACGCTGAAGATGAACGAAAATACCGAAAACAAGATCGTCACCCCCAGCACCGTCATGCCGACGACGATCAACGCCGCGAATCCGCCCGCGCGCAGCGCCACCGTGAGCGCCTCTCGCGCCCCGTGTCTCGCGCTGCTCGCGACGCGCACGTTCGCCCGCACGCTCACCCACATTCCAACGTATCCACTCACTCCACTACACACCGCACCGCTCACAAAACTCACAGTCGTGAGCGTCGCCATCGTAAACGCGCCGACGCCCGCCTCTTGCTGTTCGGGCGTCGTCGCTCGGAACAAGTACACGAAAAAGATCGACCCCGCCACCACGCCCGCCAATCGACTGATCAATCCGTATTGCGTCGCGAAGAATCCATCCGCACCGTCTCGAATCGCATCGCTCACCGCGCGCATGTCCTCGCTTCCCTCGTCCACCGCCAGCGTCCACCGCGCCAGGTGTCCCGCGAACGCCAACGACCCCGCGCACGCGACGAACACGCTCGCCGCCGTCCACGACGCGCGCCACGCCAGCAAGAAGCACACGACCGCCGCGACGATCGCCGCGTTCGTCAGCGCCTTCGCGTCGCGCTGGATCGCGCGCTGCACGCGATTATGAATGCCGTTCGGATGCGCGCTGAATTCATTTCGTTGCGTCTTTTCGCGCGCGCCGCGTCCGCCCTCGACGTCCAGCGGCTCCGCGCTGTGCGAGCGCGAGTGCGACGCGAACGATCTGTTCCGCACGACGTCCGAGTTGGCGCTCGCGGTGGCGTACATCGCGACGCCCTCGCGCGCGCGTCAATGCCGCCGCGGGCGACGACAATCGACGAGACGATCGTCGCCACACCGCGTCGCGCGCGCCTCGCGCGACGCCGCGCCATGGTGAGGTTCAAGAACCGCTACTTGGTCGTCGAGATCGCGCACAACGACGGGCGCGCGATGGAGGACGCGCGCAAGGAGAGGGATTTACTGGACGCCATTCGGGACGCCGTCAAGGAAAACTTTGGCGACGTCGGCGCGGGGCGCGCGGTGGCGGCGCTGAGCGTGCGATACGCGGACGCGATGACGGGGGTGTGCGTCGTGCGATGCGATCGCGAGCGGGCGCGCGCGGTGCGAGGGGCGGTGACGACGATGGAGGGGTTTCGAGGACGGCGAGCGGCGTTCGCGGTGACGCACTGCGGAGGCACGGTGCGAGGGGCGCGCGACGCGTGCGTGCGAAGGCTCTCGGCGAGGTTACACGCGCTAGTCGCCGAGGGACGGGTCAGGGAGGCGGACGTGGAGGGGATTTTGGAGACGCAAGGGAAAATCGTGGCGACGGCGGTGACGAACTGACGCGAACGTCGATGTGTAATAAGAGTAGTTGAGTAGATCGGTAGACGAACGGTGAATGCGTGCGTGACTGCGTTGCGTTGCGTTACATTGTCTGCGATGGGTTCTTGCGTTGCTCGTTCGTGCGCGCGGGCAAGACGCGCCATCTATCGTTTCGTCGAGACGAGTCGGCGAGCCATCCACTCGACGATTCGTCGGAGTCGGAGTTCCGCGACGATCGGACAAAACCGACGGATCACGTTCACGGTTTTTACGGTCGACTTTGATCGAGGATGGGCGTACCACGACCACGCGGGAGACCACGAGGTGGCGTCGTGCGGCTTCGCGACGATTGGCTTCGGCTCGGCGAAGGCGTTTTTGTTGGCGCGACAGTCGACGTACGCGCGCCGCCACGCGAGCGCTGATTCGCGGTTTTCGTCAGCGATGCGTCGCGCGCGACGTAATCTCTCGATAAGGAGCACCTTTTCATCCATGAGGGTCTCGATCCATTTTCGCTGCATCTCGACGACGCGCGCCGGATCGTAGTACGCGACGATTCGATTCGTCGCGCCGCGATACGCCAACTTTTCCACGACGCGCATCGGGCTCAACAGTCCGTCTTCGCCGCGCTTAAACGCAAACGCGACGAACGACAGCGAGAGACAGACGAGCAAGAACGCCAAAGTCCATCTCGCGCGACGCGGGTCCGTTTGAAAGTCTCGTTCATCGGCGTCGGCGTCGCGTCTCGTCTCGGCGCGCGCGAACGACCCCGACGCCGTCCTCGTCGACACCGCGCCGTCTTCGCGCGCGCCACGCACCATGGCATCCTCGGCGCGCGTCATCCACGCGGCCGCCTCCACGGTCCCGTCTTCGTCGTCGAGCACGACGACTTCCGCGCGCTCGGCTTCGGCGCCGTCGCGAAACCGACGCGCCCCGCGCGCGTCTTCCCCATCCTCTGGTTTCGGCCACGACCGCGAGTTCAGACGTATCAAATCGCTCTCGATGGCGGATAACTCTTCATTCAGCGCGTCATCGAGCGCGTCGTAGGATTCGTCGTAATCATCCACCGCGGGCGCCATCGCGTCTCGTTGTGCCGCGCGTCGCTCACCCGCCGCCGCACCCTCCCATGAACGTCGACGCGTCCGGCACCGTCTGCCCGTTAAAGCTCGCGTCGCTGAAATCGAATCCAGGATTCTCCGCCTGAAACCGCTCCAGCATCAACCGCTGCTTATCTCGCTCGTCTTCCTTCGCGTCGCTCGCGTCGCCGTGCGCCGCGAACGGCGACCGCCACGCCTCGCCTCGCGTCGCCTTCACCAGCGTCAACGCGAGCTCGCCGTCCGCGAGCGTCCACGTGGATTCGCTCGCCTTGACGCGCGCCCAGAGCTCGTGCTCCATGTACGGCGCGTTTCCCTTGACGCCGACGCGCGCGCGCGTCGGCTCGAGCGCGACGTCCAAGTCGCGCCCGCGCGCGCCCGGCGGCGCGCGCACGTACACCGACACCGCGTCCAGCGTTTGCTCCCACTCGTACGCGACGCGTCCGCACGCGAGGACGTGCGCGCGCCGCGCGGGCGGCGCGAGTCTGTCCATGCGCGCGCGCGAGTGACGACCGACCGACCGAGACGGCGACGCGGCGCTCGGCTACGTCTATCGCTGATCGCTACATCTATCGCTACGTCTATCGCGCGCGCGCGAAACGGCTCGCGGTCATGTTATTTTACGGCGCGCGCCGCCTCGAAGGCGTCGTAGGAATCGCGCGTCGTTCGCGCCCACGCGTCGGCGAACCGCGGCGTCGGCGCGTCGGCGGCGTCGCGAGCGCGCAGCGCGTACGTCGTCTCCTCGAACACCTCGCTTCGACTCCGCTCGACGAAACCGAACGATTTAAACAACGCGTTCGACGCGTCGTTGCCGAACCCGATCTTCGCGACGAAGGTGGTGACGCCGAGCGAACACGCGCCGTACGCGGTGAACGCCTCGAGCGTCTCGCGCGCGAGCCCGCGCCGCCTGAACGCGCGCTCGGCGATCATTATCTCGATCTCGCACGCCCTGTCGTCGTCGTGGTCGTTGAAGAAGAGGTTGCAGTCGCCGATCATCGCGTGCGTCGCGGCGTCGCGGACGATGAAGGTGCACTTTCGCTCGTCGCGCGCCCACTCGCGCTGCATGGCGAGCTCTTCGTCCGCGCTCAGGCGCTCGCTCGCCGTGGCTTCCAGGAGGTGCTCGTCGGACATCCACGCGTGGTAACGCTCGACGTGTTCGGCGCGATACGGCACGAGCTCGACGCGCGCGTACGCCAGTCGAGTGTCGGCGTTCGCGCGCATCGGCGACGAGTGCGGACGAAGCGTCGAGCCGCTGGGATTTTTATTAGTTACACGAGACGCGCGGGACGCGGCGCGGTGCGCCGACGCGCGCGTCGTTTATATTGGTGCGACATCGCTCGCCTCACTTGCGCGCGAAGACGGAGGCGAACAGACCGCGAACCGTGGATGAGACTTGCGGCGGGACGTAGTCGTCGGCGCCGCTCTCCCTGTACGCGGCGGCGAAATCGCGCAACAACGGAATCTCGCCCTCGTCCTCGTCCGTCTTCGGTTCCGGCACGCGCATCACCGCGTGCGCGGCCGCGAACGCGAGCGCCACGGACGCGGCGCTGAAAAACACGTCGGTGATAAACTTCCAAAAGAAAATCGCCGTCGCCGCCGCGCACGCGACGCCCTGCGTCTTCGCGCCGAAGACTCGCCCACCGATCTCGATCGGCGCCCGTCGAACGCGCGTGACGTAATGATGTCCGATGAACGCTCCCGCGAGCATCACCGCGAGGAGCGCGCGCGAGAGCGCGTTATACGCCGCCAGCGCCGCCGCCAGGCTGACGTAGCAGTATCCAAACTGTTGCAAATTCTTCTTCATCCGCCCCGGCACCTCCGACGCGGTCGGACACGCGAACGTCAACTGCGCGAACGACTTCCAGTGCGGCTGCGCGCGCGCGAACGGTCCCCTGAGCGCGCGCGCGAGGCGTTTACCTCCGTCCGCCAGCGTTTCGCGCGCGTCCAACACGTCGTCCGCGCCCGCGCCCGCGCCCGCGCCCGCGCCCGCGCTCGACATCGCGGCTCGCGCGCGCGCGCGCCGCGACGTCCTCCGCGCGCGTTTCTCTCGCCCGCGTCGCGCTCGCGAGCTCGCGCGATGCGCTGTGCGGACGCGCGCGTCGCGCATCATCTTGTCCCGCCGACCAACGGCTGGGACGACGCGACGCGCGCGACCGCAGACGACGACGCGCGGACGCGCGCGCGGCGAGCATGAGCGCGGGCAAAGCGAAGCGAGTGAACACCTCGAACGATGCCGGCGCGCTGGCGATGTCGCCGAACGTGCGTGGGGCGAAAACGACGCGAAAAGCGACGCGACGACGCGCGAGCGACGCGACCGAGACGACTGACGACGACGACGGCGACGATGCGACGCCGCGACGACGCGCAGGAGCGCATCCTGAAGAGCATACACGAATTGTACGAACGAGGACCGAGCCCGGGGGCTGGGTCGTCGACGTCGCGAACGTCGATCGGGTTGCTCGACATCGCGAACGACGCGCTGCTCAGGGTGAAGTGCTTCAAGCCGAGGAAGAAGGTGAGCGCGATGATCATCGGGAATCACTCCGCGGGGAAGAGCTCGTTCATAAATTGGTACATCGGAGAGAGCGTGCAAACCACGGGGGTTGCGATCGAGACGCGTGGGTTCACGTTCGTGACGAGCGGAAGGAAGCGGGAGACGCTGAAGGGAGACGCGACGTTCGCGTTTTACGATTATTTGGAAGGCGTGCAGAACGTCGAGGGTTTGAATGCGAACATTTTTACCGAGATTTCGACGAGTAAGGAGAAAAACTTTAGTTGCGTCGACATCGTGGACTCGCCGGGGTTGGTGGATGGCGATATGTGCTACCCGTTTGACGTGGCGAAAGTCATCGAGTCGCTCGCCGACCACGTTGACTTAATTTTGGTGTTCTTTGACCCGATCGGTCAGGCGCTGTGTAAGCGCACGATGAAGGTCATCGAGGCGTTGAATGAGAACCACGCGGACAAGCTGGCGTATTACATGTCGAAGGCGGACCAGGTAGAGAAGGAGCACGATCGACAGCGGGTTTTGATTCAGATTACGCAAAACTTGAGCTCGCGAATTAAGAATTCGCACGCGTTCAAATTACCGACGATTTATCTGCCACGAGACGATTTGACCGTCCCAATTCCGAACGCTATCGAGGAGGTGTGTGAAGACATCGATAGAGCGATTCGTTTGACGGTGCAGAAAAACCTGACGACGATGAAGGAGGATTGCACGCGCATCGAAGATCGCATCGATCAAGTTATTAAAACGAACGAATTGAACAAGAAGGATAACTTGAAACGATCGCTCCGTGGGATCGCGCTGATGCTCCTCGGGTGGGTGTTCTTGTTCTTGTCTATTTACGTCGCGGCTTTGGAGATTTGTGCGACGCCCGTCATCGCCCACGGCTTGAGAACGCTTCTTCCGCGCGTCCCGCAACTCGAGGGCTTGCTCCCGCGAGAAGGGCAAATTCGTTGGTCTGGTATCAAGCACGGCGGTGCGTACTCCTTGAGTGCGAGTTTGATAACTTATTTCGTGATCCAATACATCAAGCACGTCGTGTGGCGATTGCATACGTTGCTCACGAAGAAGGAGCTCGCGCGCTTGCAGCAGTACAAGCGATACATCGCCGGCTTCATGTCCATTCGCGAAGGTCTGTACAAGGATTACTTCGCGCAATTGCACCAAAGCTGATATCAGTAGCTCGGTAGGATTTAATTAAAGAATCGACTTTCGCTTATATATATCTTACACAGGTGTCCTAAAAAGCAATGTGCGTGTTCATCGCGCGTTCAAAGCCACCGACGACACTTCGTCGACGGCCACGGGAGCGCCGCCCGTCAGTGGCACGAGGCGATCGCAGAACTTATCGTACACACGAGAGATGACTCGCGAGGTAGTGGCCTGCAAGACCTCGCGCTCGTTCTCATCGAGCCTCTGCACGGCGGCGATCAAGTCTTCGAAGCTTTGCTCTTCGCTCTCTTCGCCTTCTGGAGTGACGCGGCGAAGCGAATCGCGAGCGTTTGCCGCCAACTGTCGCACCTCTTGACTGCTACCGATGGGTAACTCGCCCGTGGCGATGATGCTCAAGAACAGCGCCGCGATGGCCTCCGGCTCGAGGAACGCATCACCGGTCAATACCGTCGCCGCATCTTTACCAATCAGACCGGCGGCCAAATCCCCGAGGGAGATCGCAAACACCTCCTCTTCGAGATCGAGCTGTGGCGCGGCGAGGTCCAATAACTGCCCCGGCGACGCGAAAGCCGGCGCTGGCGTGGAGCTTCCGCGGACCGGTAACAATACTGGCCCACTGATATCGAGCGGATTCGGCAGCGAGCTCGCGAACGGCAACCAGGATGGCGGCTTCGGCAATTGCGCGAAGAGGCGCGTCGCGCCCTTTCGCAGCGACTGGCGCAAGAGCAAATCAGCCGCAGTCTCCGCCTCACGCTCGAGCAAGTTCCGTAAGCTCGCCGCTTGCGGCTGAAGTAAATACTTCAACGATTGGTCCAGCGTCGCGGCGTCTTCCGGAATGGTTTCTAAATCGACAAACACGTCTTCGCTCTTCGCCACGATGCCCATTGCGCTGTTCAACATCACTGCGAGTCGACGTCCTTGCAAAATGCTCCCACCGCCTTGCGTCGAGGCATACAACACCTCCTGCAACGCCCGCTGCGCCTCCGGACGGTCTTCGCGAAGCAACTTTCGAGCGACGAATGGGTACGCCTCCATCACGAGCCTATAATCCGGGTTGCCCAGAAGCGCGATGCCCTCGAGCGTCACGACAGCGCGTCCGAGGAGTGCGAAATACGGCGGAATCGAGAACGGGATGTCGTTCAACACCGTCAACAAATCCTGCGTCATCGCTTGAAATCCCCCGGCGGTGGAACTCAACGATCCATCCATGTTGTACATGCGCTTCAGTTCAGCTTCGTACTTTTTCGCACCACCACCCTTGACGTACGGTGACAGCGCTTTATCCATCAACGGCACGACCTTGGCCCGGTCGCAGTCCGTCGGTAAAATTTTAAGATTGATGAAGTCGTCGACCAGACTTGGGTAATCCTTGTTCGCCAAGTGAATGATCGAGCTCACCATGGTGTCCATGTCTTCTTGTTGAATAGAAGCCACGAGTCCAAAATCCAAAAGCGCCAGCTTGCCCTTGGACGGATCGTTGAGCTTCATCAAATTTCCAGGGTGCGGATCGCTGTGAAAGAAGCCAACTTGCAAAAGCTGCACGAGGAAACACTCTTGACCGATGCCGACCAACTCGCGAATCTCTTCTGGCGGGCAATCGCTCAGTTTGACGCCGTCCATCCATTCAGTTACGAGGATACGACGCGTGCAAAGCTCGTGTTTCACCTCTGGCACGTAAATGTCCTTGACTTCCTCTTGCATCAACAGGTCGCGCAGCTTTTGCTGATTCGCAGCTTCGTTCAAGAAATCAAGCTCGGTGTAAAAGCCGACCGCCCATTCGTTCAATAAACCGACGTAATCCGTGCGCTGTTGCGGCGCGAAACGCTCAATCAAGCCTTGATACACCTCCGCCGCGCGACGCAACACGTACAAGTCCTTCGACACGGTGTCCAAAATCTTAGGCCGTTGCACTTTGACAGCGACGTACTCATCCTTGCCCTTCAGTTTCGCGCGATACACTTGCGCCAGCGACGCCGCCGCGACGGGTGTTTCGCTAATTTCATCGAAGAATTCAGCCAAAGGCCCGCCGAGCTCACTCTCTATGGTATCGATGGCGACCGACGTCTCGAACGCCTTGACCGAATCTTGCAACACCGCCAACTCGTCCAGCGCCGCCTGCGGCAACACGTCCGGTCTCACGCTCATCATCTGCCCCGCCTTGATGTACGTCGGTCCAAGCTTTTCGATGATTATCCTCGCATCCTTCGCCAACGCTCTGTCGTTTTTGCTCAACTCGGCGCTTCCGCCCGTGATGGCGAGCGTCGCCACTTTCGTCAAAAACGGCACGCTCAGGCTTAAAAACTCCCCCCATCGTCGTTGCAACGCCCCGCCTTGCTTATCCCAGTACTTTTGAATCTGTGCTTTATCGTACACCAGCGGCAATCCGTCCTCGTCCATCTCCAACGCGCTCGACCGCGCGACGTACGATTTATCCACATCCGGCGCCTCCACGCCTCGCATGCGCACGCTCTTCGACACCTCCAGCGCCGCCGTGCCCGCGACTTCCGTCACGCGTTTCACGTCGATCACGCCCGCGAGCCGCGCCGTCGGCGTCGCGCGCGTCGTCGTCGTCGTCGTCGCCCGCGCGCGTCGCCGCCGCAGCGTCGCGATGAAATCATCGCCGCGCGCGCGCGCGCCGACCGCGCCGCGCGCGCGATCCCGCTGCCGCAGCGCGCGCCGCGCGGTCGCGCATCCGCTCGCGCGCGCGCCGCGCGCGATCGTCATCATCCGTCGCGTCGTCGTCGTCGCGTCGCGTCGCGTTGTCGCGCGGCGTCGACGTCACGGCGTCAAACCACGGCGTCGTCGCGCGATGGCGTCGCGCGACGCCGCGCGCGCGCGCTGGAGGGCGGCGCGGTGCGCCTTCGTCGCGCACGTCGCGATTTACGGCGCGTGCGTCGGCGTCGCGAGCGCGGTGGCGCCGTTCGCGCGCGACGCGCTGAGCAAACGCATCGAGCTGAGCGCGGCGACGGACGCGGTGCGAAAGACGCTCGAGGGCGCGCACGCGGCGCGCGCGCTGGGCGCGTCGGCGTACGACGGGAGCGCGTTTCACGGGCACCCGTGGACGGTGGCGGCGGCGGGCGCGCTCGGGGGTGGATTCGGATTGGACTTGGCGACGACGGCGGCGGACGCGTTGGCGGCGGCGGCGCTGTGCGCGCTCGCGTGCGGCGTGACGCGCGACGAGGGGAAAGTGAGACGAGTGTACGCGATGTATGCGATGAATCCGCTGCACGCGATGGCGCGCTTGGCGCGGACGACGGCGACGGCGACGCGGGCGTGCGCGTACGCGAGCGCGTTGGCGGCGACGCTCGGGAACGACGTCGTCGCGGGCGTCGCGTTCGCGTTGGCGGCGCAACTGAACCCGCATTACGTCGCGCTCGCACCGGCGCTGATGTGGACGAGCGCGCGCGCGGTGAAAAGTCGAGGAGGTCGAGCGGTGGTGAGCGCGGGGCGGTTCGCGGGCGCGTTTGCGGTCGCCGCCGCGGCGTCCTTCGTCGCGATGGGGGACGATTTTCCGAAGTGGTGGCGCGCCGCGGTGACGTTCGCGGTGATGAGCGAAGATCAAACGCCGAATCTTGGGTTGCATTGGTATCTATTCACGACGATGTTTGATCAGTTTCGTCTGTTTTACGTCGTCGCTCTGAACGCGATTCCGCTGGCCCTGTCCGCGCCGCTGACGCTTGGGTTCGCAGACGATCCTCTCGTCGCCATGACGTTGTGTTTGATAGCCATCTCGACGTGCGCGCCGTATCCGACCGCGAACGATTTCGTGACGTACGTTTCCCTGCTCTCCGTCGTCGCCATGGACGATCGTGGAAATCCGTTGGTGTACGTCAAGTACGGCGCCGTCATCGCGGGAGGTTTCTTGTACGTCGCTCTGTTGAGCCCTTTGACGTGGTACATGTGGATACACACTCGGGTTGCGAACGCAAATTTCTACTACGCCATCACTCTGGTGTACGCGTGCACGCAGACGCTCTTGTCGACGCAAGTGGCGCGAAGCGTCGCGCGGTTTCGCCGCGCCGGGAAGAAGCGCGATTAGCAACGCATTAGGAACGTAGACGTAGCACGCTAGCTCAGTACGATAAATTACATCACGCGGTGGTCACCACCGCGATGCCATTTTTCACGCGCCAGTACACCACGTAATTCGCGCAAACACCGCAATCGGTCAACGTGTGCTCGAGCGGCCCGAGCTCGCGCCCCGCGTGCACGAGCGACACCGCGCACGGCATCAATCCCAGCATCTCCGCCAACTCCTCGACGACCTCCCCGATCGTCGTGAGTTCATTTCTAAACGTATACTTCACCACGCACGTCTCGTCTCCCGGCGAGGCGTCGAACGGTTTCAACCGCAACGGCGTCGGCTCGTCCGGCGGCCTCGTCGGATCCGCGCGTTCCCTTCTCAAAATATTCAACGCCCGCTCCCCCGGATCATCGATGTCCATGTCCAAGTCTTTCGTCAGCTCCCCGAACGACTCGTGCGCGCGCGTCATCTGCGTCGTTCGCGCGCCGTCAGTCGCGTCGTTCCGACCATCGCGCGCGCGACGTCTTCGAACGCACCGCATCGATCGATTCTCGCGTGTATCGCAACCCCTTCGACGCGTCGTAGTTGCGCCACGTCTGGCACTCGTCCCTGTACGACCAAATCGTGCGTCCATCGTTTTTTTTCGCGTCCGTCGCCGTCGCGCCGCCGCCGCGCGCGCCGTCCGTCGCCATCGGTCGCGCTGTGCGGTCGCGTCCGTGCGTTTTCGCCGAGGCGTTTCGGCGCGCGTCGCGTCGGCGTCGGCGCACTCGCGCGCGCGAATGACGACGCGCGCGACGCGCGCGATGCACCGCGCGGCGCGCGCGGCGACGCGGCGCTCGTTCGCGTCGCCGCCCGCGTCGTCGCGCGCGTCGCCGTCGCGCGCGTCGCGCGCGCGCGTCGTCGCCGCCGCCGCCGGTCGACGTCCCGTCCTCGCGCGCGCGTCGTCGTCGAGCGCGTCGTCGTCGTCGACGGGGCCGTGGAACACGGCGCCGCTGGTGATGAGCGATGACCTGTACGCGTACGTGCTGCGTCACACGCGCGAGCCCGCGGTGCTGCGCGCGCTGCGAGAGGAGACGAGCGCGCTGCGCGGCGCGCGCATGCAGGTGGCGCCGGAGCAGGGCGCGCTGCTGGCGCTCGCGGTGGAGATGATCGGCGCGCGGCGCGTCGTCGAGATCGGCACGTACACCGGGTACAGCTCGATCGCGATGGCGCTCGCGATGCGAGGCGAGGGAGCGCTGTACGCGTGCGATAAGAGCGAGGAAGCGCTGGCGACGGCGAGACGGTATTGGGCGCGCGCGGGGGTCGAGGGGATCGTAAAGGAGAAGTTTGGCGACGCGAAGGAGAGCGTGAGGGAGTTGTTGGACGCGCACGGGGCGGGGTCGTTCGATTTAGGGTTCATAGATGCCGATAAACGCGCGTATAGGGAGTATTACGAGGCGCTGCTCGAGCTCGTGCGGCCGGGCGGTTTGATAATCGTGGACAACGTGCTGTGGTACGGTAAAGTCGCCGACGCCGAGGTGAACGATAAACAGACCGAGGCCATTCGCGCGTTCAACGAGTTCGTCGCCGGGGACGAACGCGTGAGTTATAGTATGATTCCCGTCGGCGACGGCTTGAGCTTTTGCCGAAAACGGTAGCGTCGGCGTGAAATTTCTAAATACCATTACAGGAAGTAATCGGGCGTCGCCCTCTTCGCCGGCACCCCGCGCGCCTCTTGCGGTGCCGCCTCGAAAACCTTGAAGTCGTGCGCCAGGTTTTCGTCCAGTTCTAAGATGGCCGCGACGTTGCCGCAGCGGTAGCAGTAATTCGGCGCCGACCACACAGTGACGAGCCGTTTGTTAAACATCCACTTGTACCCCTCCATCACGAGCTGATGCGCTCGCGCGATCATGTCTACGCTATTCGTCTGTGTGAACGACGTGCACACGTCGTCGCCGAACAAATACCCCGCCCCTCGAGGGGAAAGCCCCCAGCCGGAGACGTCCTCGGGGTCGCTCCAAAGCAAATCGCACATCGCGCCTTCGTGCGGCACCTCTTGTTTACGATCGATCGTTCGAATCTGATCGATCGTCGTGATGCTCGGGGACAACCCCCCGTGCACGCAAAATATCTTGTTATCTATGAGCGCAGACAACGAAAGGTAATCGAACACATCCGTGCAATATCGCCACACGTTGACGCTCCCGTATTTGCGCAAACACTCGTCGTAAAACCCGTACACCTGCGTGATCTGTCGACACTCGTGATTCCCCCGAATGAGATACATTCGATCCGGGTACCTCACCTTCAGCGCCAGGAGCAACAAAAACGTCTCCACGCTGTAAAACCCGCGATCGACGAAGTCCCCCATGAACAAATAGTTTGTATCCGGGCAGTCGCCGCCGACTTTAAACAGTTCCAACAAATCGTAAAACTGCCCGTGAATGTCCCCGCATATCGTCACCGGCGAATCGATCGTCTGCACGTTCGACTCTTCCACCAAGATCTCGATCGCCATCTGACACAATCGCTTGACGTCGTCTTCCTCCAATGGCTCGCATTTGCGCAGCGCCGCGATCCACCCGTCGAGCTCGTGACTCATCGCACTCGCGCCCGCGCGCCCGCGCCCCTCGATCGCGCCTCGCGTCGACGCTCGACGCTCGTCGCCCCCTCGCGCCGTCCGCCGTCGCTCGCACGCGCGCGCGCGAGAGATATCACCGCGAATGCGTCGGAATGATTCAACGCCTCGCGCGTCGTCCCGTCGATGCCTCCTCGCCGCGTCTCTCGCGCGCGCTCGACGCGCGCGCGCGCGTCGCGGACGCGTCCGCGCGTCGCGTCCGCGCCTCGCGCGCGCGATCGTTCGACGCGCGGCGTCGGCGAATGCCGCGCGGCGAATGCCGTTCGGTCGCCGACGCCATCGCGTCGCCATTGCGTCGCTCGCCCGCGCGTCCCGCCCTCGCGCGCGCGCGCGCGGAGTCGTCAATCGTCGTTCGTCGCGTCGCGCGCCATGTCGCGTCGCGCGCCCGCGACGAACGACGTCGAGGCGCTGCAGACGCTCATGCGCGCCATTCAGCTCGGCGGCGCCGACGACGTCCGCGCGGCGTCCACGGCGTTCGCGCACGGCGCGTCCGCGGTCGCGACGATCGTCGACGGCGATGGACGGTCTTGCGCGCACGTCGCGGCGGCGCGAGGGGACGTCGGCGTGCTCAAGGCGCTGGTGTGCGAGCTCGGGTGCGACGCCGACGCGCCCGACGCCGAGGGCTTCACCGCGCTCACGACGGCGGCGGCGCTCGGACACGTCGAGTGCGTGAAGACGCTGGTGAGCCTGGGAGCGGACGCGAGGAAATTAACGAAATCTGGGGCGGGAGCGATGCATCAGATCGTCATGGGGGCGCACGCGAAAGGGATCGGCGCGGACGCGACGCGCTGCGAGGAGGCGCTGCGGACGCTCGCGAGCGGGACGTACGGGCTGACGATATCGGAGGCGATCGAACAGCGGTGCGCGAACGTGGGGACGCCGTTGCTGGTGGCGGCGATGAGAGGGTGCTCGGGGATGCTGGAGACGCTGTTGAAGCACGGGGCGAGGTGTGACGTCGCGCTCGAGGGCGGCGTCGCGGCGACGGCGCTCGCGTGCGCTTCGGGAGATTTGAAGAGCGTGGAGGTGTTGATTGACGCCGGCGCGAACGTGAACGCGGGACCGGAGGGGAGTATGACGGCGTTGCACATCGCCGCCGCGCATCCCGCGACGGAGACGTGCTCGGAGGCGATGGTGAAGGCGCTGTTGAAGGGCGGCGCCGACGCCGACAAGGCGGATTCGGGAGGCATGAAGGCGATTCACGCCGCCGCGGCGACGAAGAGGCGCGTCGTCGTCGACGTGTTGCTACCCGTGACGACGCCCGATGACGAGGGCGAGTGGACGACGGATGCCATCATCGCGCGCGTCGCCGCGAAACTGAGCGCGATGCAAAGAGACAGTGGCGTCGACGCCGGCGAGGCGCCAGCGTCGACCTCGGAACGATTCGTCACGCGAGACGCCGAGGCGGCGGCGAAGACGAAACGTGCGGGTAACGAAGCGTTCGTGGCGGGGAAATTCGAAGAGGCAGAAACGGAGTACTCGTCATCCCTCGAACAGGATGGTTCGTGCGCGAAGACGTGGGCGAATCGCGCGGCGGCGCGTCTAAAGCTCAAGAAATACGAAGGCGCGAGGGACGACGCGCGCGCGTCGAGGACGCTCGATCCGATGTTCATCAAGGCGTGGTACCGCGAGGGCGAGGCCGCGCTAGAGTTAGAGGAGTACGAAGACGCCGCGTTAGCGTTTTTTGAGGGTTTGCAAGTCGACGGTGATAACGCAGACTTGAAACGGATGTTTGATCTCGCCATCGCTCGAGGTCGCGAGGCGGCGAAGAAGAAGTGACACTAGTCTGTGATATTGAGAAAAGAATGAGGTCTAAAAGTACAACAAAACATCAGCCTCGCGCGAGATGATCACACGGGACAATACTGCAAAACATCCTCCGATTCGTCGCTCCCCGCGCTCGGCTGACGCTCGCGTTCAAAACACCGCTCGAGGTCCCCGGTCGAGGCTTCGCGCTCGGGCGGCGCGCCGCCGTTGACCATGAGCTCGCGACGATCTCGCAAAATCTCATCGAGCATCATCTGATCGTCGTCCCCGCCTCTGACGAACACAGACGGCGCGTGTTTGTGAATCAAATACGTGATCCCGTGCGCTCGCGCCAACTCCGGCGCCGCCGTCAAGTGCGCGTGCGCCGTAAAGCACATCGCGCACAGCGCGTACGCGCCGCCGTCGTTCCCCGCGCCCGCCCCCGCGCACGCCAAACACTCGAACGAGTACCCGACGACGTGCAATCCACACGACGAACACTTCGACGGTTCACCCCTGGGCGTTCGATCGACGTCCGCATCCGCGCGTCCGATCACCTCGCACACCTCGCGCGCGAACGCGACGCGCGGTCCGCGTCGCTTCGCCGTCCCGCGCCCGCGCGCCGCCTTCACGCAGCTTCGCCTTCCCTTCCCTCGCGTCGCCCCTGCCCCGCTCGCGCCCGTCTGCGTCGTCGTCGACGTCGTTTTCGCGCTCTTCGCCTCCATCCCGCTCAGTTCCGTGCCGCTCCGCGCGCGCGGCACGCGCGCGAGCGTCGCCATCGCCGCGACGCCGCGTCAGCACGTCCCGCGTCGTCCTCGCGCGTCGTCCTCGCGCGACGCGCGTCGTCCTCGCGCGCCCGGTCGCGCGTCGCGAATCGCGCGCGCGGTCGATTCGCCCGCCCGCGCGCGCGCCGTCGTCCGTCGCGCCGGCGTCGCGCGCCGTCGCGTCGCGCGCGCCGTCGAGGTGTGCGGCGACGACGGCGCCGTTTCGGTTCGCCACGTCAGCGCGCGCGCGCCGGAGCTCGCGTCGCCGTCGCGCCGTATTTAACGCATCGCGTGCGCGCGACGATTCGCGAAATGTGTATCGGGACTGCAAACACAGTCGCGCGGTCGCGGTCGGTCGCCGCGCGCGCCGGAGCTCGCGTCGCCGTCGCGCCGTATTTAACCGTATTTAACGCATCGCGTGCGCGCGACGATTCGCGAAATGTGTATCGGGACTGCAAACACAGTCGCGCGGTCGCGGTCGGTCGCCGCGCGCATGCCGGCGAAATTCATGGACGCGCTCGGCGCGACGTCGAGCGACGACGACGACGACGACGACGACGACGGGGAAGAAAAAACGACGAAAGGCGCGACGGCGCGACGCGCGGCGGTGTCGATGGAGGCGCTCGCGCGACACGGGTTTCGCGGCGCGACGATGCCGACCGCGCGCGACGGCGAACCGACGCACACGGCGTGGTCGCGCGGACGCGCGGGCGACGGCGCGGCGCGCGCGTACGGGGGCGAGGAATCGGCGAGGACGCGACGGGCGGGAGGGGAAGGACTCGCGGAGACGTGCGCGAGGGCGATCGAAAGCGCGAGGGCGAACGAGAGGGCGCGAGACGACGCGCGGCGAGAACGCGACGACGCGAACGCGAAGGCGAGGGCGAGAACCGCGGAGGCGAAGCGCGCGATTCGCGAGGACGACGCGCGGAGGCGGACGCGCGCGCGAGAGGAGGGAGACGCGACGCGCGAACGACGTCGCGCGAGGATCGACGTCGACGCGGGGACGACGGCGACGGCGACGGACGACGAAGCGCGACTCGTCGAGAGCGGCGGGTTCGATTTCGGGGACGAATAGGCGGCGCGCGCGAACGCGGGCGATGGATTGCGGAGGAATGTGAGATTATTGTTTTCGTGAAAAGCCGCACGGGTCGTGCTTGAACGCGCCTTTGGCTTCTTGGGGAAGCGACGTGGGCGTTTCCAACGTCTCGACGACGGTGCCTTCGCCCCGAACGCCCCGCGCGCCCGTCTCCGACGCGTGCACGACGCCGATGATTTTGGTTCTGCGACAATTCGCGCGAGCGTTGACGTCGACGAGCACGGCGTGAGATTTGCCCCCGTTCACGCTGGACGCGGCGACGTGCGCGCACGAATGGTCCCACAGCCACAGTCCGCCGACATTGGCGTCGATGTCGCAATCGTTCACGACAACCTTTGCCGTATTCGAAACGTCCACGCCCGGGCCTTTGTTGTCTTGTACGACGCATTTGCTCATCACCACGTTGGACTGTTCCATGACGACGACGCCGTCTTCTTCGTTGTTTTGCACCGCGCAGCCGTGCATGATGACTCGTGATTCCTTCATGGCGAGCACGCCCTGTAATCCCGAGCGCGTGATGTTGCAATCGATAAACGTCGGCGTTGCTTGGGCGTACGAGCGAACGCCGCTCAATTTTCCCGTGATTGAGCAGTTGCGAAATGTCGGCGCAGATTTGCCACCGACCGCAACGCAGTCGCCGCCGCTCGATCTGATCACGCAATTCTCGATCAACGCGTTCACGCGCGAATCTCCCTTGATGCGAATCGCCTCGCTAAACCCTGTGAAATCGATGTCGAGATTTTGAATCACGCACGGACGCTTGATGCGAAATAACGCCGCGTTGTTTCGGCAATCGCACGTCGTGTCTCGAAGCGCGCCTTCGCCTCGTATGAGCACGCGCTTGTCAATCTCAACCACGGTTCCGAGCCCGTTGTGAACGCCACGCAGTAAGAGTATGCGGTCACCGTCGTTTGCTTTAGAAATTGCCTCCGGAAGTGACCTCGCGTGCACGGGTTTCATCGAATTCGCGTCCTTCGCCGAGCCGCCACCAAACATAGGATCCGCGACTTCGCCTTCTAGCTCATCGAAAGCCGCGTTCAAAGGAGCCTCTCGTCCGAGCCATGCGTCTTCGCCCGCGCTTCGGACGTAAATTAATTTGCCGTCAAACCCGGCGACGGACCCGTCCTCCGCGGCGCAAATCGCGATTTCGTCCAGCACGTCGCGAAACGATTTGCTGAAATCGCCCTCCTCGAACTGGAGTTTTTCGCCCAGACGCGCGTATGTGACGGCGAGAGTGTACGACCCCAGGCGTAAACACGCCTCAGCGAGTCTATGCTTGGGTTTACTCCAAGTCGGCGCGAGCTCTTCCGCGCACTTGGCGTCGCACAACGCGGCATCGTATTCGTTCATCTTGTGAAACGCCAACGCGCGATTACAAAACACCACCGCTCGAAGATGCGCATCCTCTTCTCGCGCGGCATCCAGCGCTTCGCCGTATAACGCCTGTGCGAGTGCAAAATCGCCGCACTTCATCGCTTCGTTCCCTTTCAGCCGCAATCCCGCGCCTGGCGCGCGTTCGTCAATCGACGCGTTCGGCGTCGCTCGACGAGACCCCGCGACGCCTTCGCCTCGGCCCCTCGGTGCCCGCGATGAATCGAACGTTTCGATGAGCATCGCTTCTTTACGCGTTGCCTCTTCGTCCGCCGCCGACTCACTCGCCGCCTCCACGCTCCGTTCGCGCTTGGGCGGCGTGTCCGCGCGCGGCGCCGCCTCCTCGTACGTCTTCGCCGCGCCGACGTCCTCGCTCGAGCGCAACTCCACATTCTTTGCTCGCGCCATCATCGCCCTGCGTCGCATAAACGAGCGTTAGTGTCGTTCGCGCATCGCTCGTCGCCGTCGTCGTCGTCGCCCGCGCGGCGCGGACGCACCGTCGCTCGCGCGCCTTCGCGATCCCCACGCGCCGCAGCGCGTCCTCGACGTCGGGGTTTTTGCGTCCGTCCGCCGCCCAGCGCGCGCGCAGCCGCGCCTCAACGTCGCCGTCGTCCTCGCGCGTCGCCGCCATGTCGCCCTCGCCGCGCGTCGCGCGCTCGCGCGGCCGAGGGCGCGGCGGTCGAGGCGGTCGCGCGCGGCGAAAAACGCTCAAAACGCTCGACGGCGCGAGATTTCGCCAAACGACGGCGGTGACTCCCGGGGCGACGGCGCGCGAAGGAGGCGAGACGCGAGGTCGAACGGCGGCGACTCGAACATAGAGAAAAGGAGTAAATCAAAATTGTCAAAAAGTGACGGCGACGTAGGTTCGTCGGTTTCTCGACTTTGTCGCCGACGGTCAATTCGCGCGGTGGAATCACAAAGATGAACCATAGCGCGGAATGTCCACCTTGTCGAAGGCTTCGCGTTCGCGCAGCTCACTCTCATCCGCGGGCAGCGCGATTCTTTTCTTGATGATCATCACGAGCGCGCAGATAGCGAACACGACGATGGCGAGATCGGACAGAATCAAGTTTGTGGACGTCTTTGTCGCGGACGCGCTCGGAGCGAGACGTCGACGACGCATCCGCCCAAGTCCGATGGCAAAAGAGGCGGACGCGTCGTCGCATTCGTTCAACGTTCCATCCGAGTTATGAAGCGTTGTAAACTTGCGAATGAAAGAAGACGCTTCGTGACCAGTGCGATCTTTCACGCCTTGAACTCGCACGGTGTAAACTCCAGATTCCAGATCTTCAGGATATTTCATGATCCATTGTCCCGTTCCGCCGACGTTCACGCACGCAAGCGTGAAGTTGGTTGTGCCAATTTCTGTGCTCGTGGATCGGCACGATTGATCAAAACTCTTCGTGATGGTGACTCGCTGCGAGCGACAGTCGATATTTTTAGAGTACACCCCCCAGATGGTATTGCCTTGAACATCGGCGAAATTTCCCAAACCGATGAGCGGGGTGAGGTCATCTTTGGATGCTTTCAAAATGTCACAGTCATCGACGACGTCACCCACGACGTAGTTTATCGTCAAATCGCCGACGAAAGGGTTACCGGCTTTGTCACGTATGTCTCTGACGGTGACTCTGTACAATCCAGGATTCGGAGCATCCTCATTGTTGGGATATTGCATCATCCACTTTCCTTGAACGCCGGTGTTGAGGCACGTTTGCTCGTAAGACTCACGAATGATAGCCGCGCTGACTGTGCCATCGCCCGCGACGGCGACGCAGGATTCGTCGTGAGTTTGCGCCACTTCGAAGGTCGGTGGATCTGCGCAATCGATTTCCTCCGCGTACACGATGGTGACGGTGCGCGCCGCGGGTGACGACACGTGCTGCTCGACGAGCGGGTTTTTCGTATCCGTGAAGAGTAATAGCGTCTTATCGCCGACGTACTCGTGCACCTCGGTCGCGGCGAAAGCGTCACCGCCCGAGCAAAAGTTTTTAACGCGAACCTCGTACGCACCGTCCTTGTATCCGCTGAGTAACTTGTCGTATTTGTTGTTCAAATCCCAGTCCCACGTGCATCCGCTCGTTCGAGAATGTTCGCAGATGAGATTTTTCTTGTACGAGTCGTCTTTGTACTTCACATGATCCTCCTTCGCAGTAATCCATTCGCCACCCGAAAGCGGTCTGTACTGTACGACAACCTTTTCGAGTCTACTGGCGCTGCTAGGATCCCACAAGTTTCCAGAATCGGGATTGACCACCACCAAACGAAGCGGCGGCGCAGTCGCGTTTGCGCGCGTGATTTCACTGTCAATGACGGTGGACTTGGAAAACGTCACGCTCGGACACTTGGATTCCCATCGCATCTTTTCAAGTTGAGCCTTGACGGCGATTGGATCGCGATACAGACCAGCTCCATCATATGAGATTTGCATTTCGCACAGAGATCCAATTTCAACTTGAATGTGTTCAATGATAGGATGCGAGGTTTCCGTTGGCTTGAAACCCAAGTTGAACACAGTCTTGTGAACGGTCCGTTGTGATTCAAGAGCATCGCCGATGACATGCTTCAAAGGAAGCCACTCAGCGACAGGTACCACCTTCTTGCCGTTCACGGTAATCTCTACATCCTGTAACGGCGTCATAGCCGATTTACTGACGCTCTCGACTTCGGCGACGACGACTTGCATAACACTCAGGGCAGTCGCGTCGCCGCTGCCAGCTGCCTCTTCAACTTTCTCTATGACAGTGGCCATGGACAGGGATGCCGAAGCTACTGAGTTTGCAGCAGTGTTCGTGACAACTGTGGCTACATGTTGTGCCGAAGCTGATTCATCATCCTTGATGATGTTCAGCGCTGCGCGCACCAGCGATCGTAACGACTCTGAGTGTCCATCAACGATACGTAAATACAGCGGTCGGGCTTCTCTGTATGGAGATTCATTCTGAATAGTTATTTCGTGAACAGCGCGCTCTCCTGGGTTCAGCGGGAGCGTACCAAAGGATAACGAACGAGGTCTTTCAATGATATTTCCCGATTCGCGCCACATCGTCGTCAATTCGCCGGGACACATGGATCTACCGCCCATTGTCATGAAGAGCGGTGTGCCGAATCGCGCATCGCTTCCGACTTTCAGAACAAATTTATCGCCATAATCTGGATCCGCGAGAGAATACACCGTCGTCATCGTTCCGTACTTGTTCCACGCAAAGATACGATCCGTGGACAGCGTTCTGGCGATGTCTGTCGCTCGATTAAACTCGATGGTGGGTATTGGTGAGCCCGAGAACTTCATGTTGTTTGTGTTTTCGGCGCTTGCATCAAAGTCAAGCGAGTACGCGAATGCATCGCGGTTGATGGACTCCTTTGCGCTGAAAGAGAATTCCAACGCATGTCCACCACCACCAAAAGTTAAGTATATCGTCTCCTCTTCTCCGCCGCTCGCGACGGCATCCTTTTGAAGCATTCCGGTTGGACCAGGAGTCCCAGTAAGAGACGCCATTAAGCGCGAAGGGTCCGTGGCGCGAAGGTCGCCGGTCTCACCCATGGCGTTCAGTGATCCTCCGTACAACACGTCATGTGGTGCGGCGTCGAATTCTCCACTGGTCTCGCACAGTACACCGTCGCACTTCTTGACCTGCGCATCGAGGTCACGAGCGGCGACTTCGTTCATCCCAAAAGAGTACATTCCGATGTTTGTTTGGTCATTTACCACTTCATCGAATGACCACGCACCCTTTGACGAACGTGGGTACGCGATCGAAGCAAAAGACGCTGCTCGTGAATTTTCGAGAAATGGTGCTAGTCTCGGAATTTCCAGTCCTGCAGTGAGAAATAAAGCAGGGATGTGAGGTTTCGAACGAAGCATGCCTCTGTCACCCACACTGAGGAGGGATTGCTCGTACCACATTTTACTCAGCTCGAATGCAACCCTCAGAATCGATGGATCACGCTTGGAATCACGCTGTGCCAACGCGGATGACATGCGCCGTTCAAAGAGGGAACGTGAATCGATGTACGGTTCATTGATGCGATCGTATGCTTTGTAGTTCTTTTCATAACTCGCACCCTTTGGCATCCAGTAAACTTCGGGCGAGGACCAAAGCAACGTTCGCTTCCACGTATGGATTCGTCTCAGTATGTAGCTTGCCCAATGTTGATTCATTTCTGAGTTAGAGCACGGCGATGACGCGCACTCATATCGCATACCCGATCCATCCTTGACGATTCTATCTGACGGTGTCTTCGCCGTATTTTCGCCAGACTTGGCGACAGTATACAGAAAGTAGAGATTCGGCAGCACTTGAGACTCGATGGAAAAGACGTTGAACACGTAAGAGGTTGGTCGACGCGGTAACCAGGTTATACCAACACCCGTAGTTAAGCAGTCGTCAACAGTACCTACGTCGAGCGTATCTGATACCTTGTACACGAGTTCGATACCACCTCCTAAAATGACGTCGCCCGGACGTCCAGGTGTGCCTTCATCGTCGCTGCTCCGGATGTGTCGATCCATCGTAACCGTCGTCTCCCACACTTCTTCGGACGTCGCCTTCGCGGTGAAGTGTGGACCAGATTCTTTGTGTCCGAAATCTTTCTCCGTCTCCAACGTGAGAACGCTCGATTTTGTAGCAGCCTCTGCGGTGTAACCGGCGTTAAAGCCTAGATCAAACGTAGTTTTACCTGCGAAACCGAGGTTGAGCTCGATCGATCTGCCAACTTTCACAGAGCGAGCTGAAGCGATTTCCCACTGAATCGTAATCTCAGATCCAGATTGCAGCTCGGCTACAGAATTACCACCTGGCGGATCGTGCACCACTGTGTATACCAATCCATCAATAGGCACTGTCGCCCACAAGGTGTCATCTCCCGTGTCAAATCCTCCTCGTGGCTTGGAGCCCAATGGGATAAGTACTCGCGTCATCGTTGCTTGCAGCGATCGCCCAAGACCACCGTCCAAGGGTGTATCGTCGCGTGTCACAGTGATCGTGACTTCTCGTCGATACGGGTTTGCAAGGTTTGGATACCCCGCGGCAATGACCATTTGGGTAGTTTCCTGATCCGTATCTTCTTCCGTCGGAAAGATGAGTTTGCCGACGTCAGCCGTTGATATATTAACTTCAAAATCGCACAGGGGCCCACCCCCGCGATTTGGATGACACACGTTATCTTCTTCATTTGTGACAGTCTGTCGAACGGAAAATTTCGTGTTTCCCGTGCGACTTTGCGTATTTGGAAACTTTGTGCATTTAAATGGGGCATCTGCGGCATTCGGTGTGAGATCGTGAAGTTCAAACACCTTCACCCTCAACGATTTGTCAGCGGCGACGCTGATTGTGTCGTGATCAGACGAACCCAGTAAATGCTTCTCTGTCAACATTCCGGAAGTTAAGTTGCCTACGCAAGTCTCGAGTCTGAGCTCGTTATCAGTGATTCGAGGAATGTCCATTATTTGTGCGCAGATATATCCGTGATACTTGTACCTGATGGAATTCCACGCAAATTCATCTCTCATCAGCGCAAGTCTTTCGAGTGAGTTTCGATTGCGGAAAAATTGACGCATGTCGTCTGGCTCGACTTGACATCCATCCCAGTAATCTGGGCATGCCTCGTCTGGACACGCTTTTTCGGTAACTCTACTGATGTCGGAACCACTCGCTAGCGTGATGGAGTAATCCATCGCCGCGAATTTCCACACGCGGGCGTTGTCGCCAACCTGCTGGCCTTCCGGTAGGATATCCTCAATCGTATGCCATCGCTCGTTGATGTCGGTTTCGGAAACGATGACGGGTTTATGACAGCCGTTGACGGGCGTTACCCTAAACTTGACATCTTCGCCCGTGTACCTTTCTTCGCATTCTCCCGCATACAAACCAAGGTCAATATTTCCGCGCGTAATATCTGTAAAGTATAAAAAGTTGCCATCGCCGACACGAGCGAGCGTGTGGGTCGTCTTGACACACGCCTGCTGTCCTCCTTCGAAATCATAGCCATTGGGTGACGTCGCGTCTTGAGGCTGACTTCCGGCGTAGCAAATGGTGTGTCCTTCATAAAAGGCTTCAATTCTGAAGGTCTTTCCACGCGTTAAAGCCATCTCGAACGAGCCATCTTCTTCAGTCAAGTATACATCTGGCTCGCCGTCTTCTTCCACGTCGTAAACACGAATCATGGCTTCAAACAATCCACAGTTTGGACTGCCGCCCGTGAGATGCTGTGGGAAAAGAATAGCGCCTTTGACCACAGCGGCGGTGTCATCTGTAAATGTTTTTTCTCCAATGCGCTTGTGTTCAAGTTGGAGTCGGTTTACTTCTATACGCGCAAAGTTTGAGAAAGAATTCCCGAGATCGTTATCCACCACGTGAATTTCATCCTCCTTGGATGGACCCGAAGAAGCATTTTCAGGCTTTGGAATTTTGTCAAACACGTGTACAATATCCGGCAGCCATAAATCTGAACTGATGGCAAAATTGGAGTGCATGGTGCCGAGCAATTTGGTGACATTCTCACTGGTACTCTGCTTTCGCCGCGCCGAATCGAGGTCAAGAAGCCATTGCTTCCTAGCCATGGATGAGAGCACCATGGGCATGGCGAGCGTGTCCTCTTCTCTGCCGAGCACAACCATGTCTTCTCGGTGAGAGCAGTCGACGTGAGTAGTCGGCTCCATGTCTCGTTTTACTAGAGACTCGTAATAATTTCGCCACTCAGATGTATTGTACGGCACAGTTTTATTGTGTCGAAGTAGAATCGCATTCTCACAACTCGCAGCGCAGCTCTTGAACATAGAAGATTTCATGCCAGCAAAGCCGTTCGTCGCCGACGTCGCAACGGATGCAACCATGTAGCGGCTCCATCTGTCATAGATGGGTGGCGTGATGCCACATTTCGAAGACACCAGGCTTGGCCACATCTTATGAACTTGGTCAACGACGATCGAGCACTGACCATCTTTCTTTATCACGCGAAACTTTATCACCGCACACACGTTGTACGTGAACCAGGTGCCGACAGAAACGCGCGCGCTCGCGATGTACGTAGTGTCTCCATTCTTGGAAGCTCCCAAGCTGTAAATAGTGGTCGTCGACGGTGTGCCAGCAAAACCATTTCCCCATAATGTAATCTCTACAGGCTCCTTCTCCGAAGTCAATTCGCACGAACCAAGCGACGCAGAGGGACCGTCGTAAGATACGGCGTCACCCACGCAGGCACTAGAATCACTCCTGACTGATTTGGAAACCTTGAAGCCGTAGCGATGTTTTATCGAGCGGCTGGGGTAGACGATGATGGGATCAACGTACAGCTCGTGAGTGTGCATTTTGTAAGACGCGTGCTGGAACTCAATCTCACTCAAAACACCGTCCCCGTCGTCGTCGATATACTGCCAGATTTCATCCATCACGATGGCGTGTCCCAAATTAGGGAAGCCTGTTATATTTTCGATGAAATCCTCGAACTCCTCGCGTGTGATGTGCGGAATAGCCGCGGCCGTGTTGATGCGTGGATCTACATCCGCGGATGTAAACTGATGCAATGGCGGCGGTGAAGGCGGGGGCGGCGGGGGCGGTGATGGTGGCGGCGGCGGTGAAGGCGGTGGAGGAGGAGAAGGAGGCGGTGATGGAATTCGTTCAATCCAAACAACTTCACCCAGTCTTCCGAAATAGACTTCAGCGTCTGCGTGAAGCGGATACTGAGGTGTCCGTTGACTGGTATACACGCGACGCCGATTCTTGAAGTACTCGATCGCGCCATCCCCATCGTTCACGACGATTTGTAGCGTGTCCGTTTGTGAACAACTATCCTGCAAGTTTCCACTAGCACGCCATTTGCGCGATCCCTTTTCAAAAACACCAAGATAACCCCATTCGCAACACATGGCGAAATCGATGTTAGAACTATCAACCGTCTCGCGATCCGCAGAGCTCGTCAGACCTACGCAAGTGTGACCCATTGAATAAGGCCCACGTTCCAAAGTTGCAGATATCCCTCGAGTGACATTTGAGGACGAATGGATCGCCCGCGCGCTCACTGCAGCACCCTTCGAATTCCATCCGACCAAGAAAACTCCCCCCGATGAGGTACTATCGACGTTCTTCTTCACCGTCCAATCGACGCTGTTACCTCTGATAGCTTTCGCAGGGGGCGGCGGCGGCGGCGACGGCGGCGACGGCGGTGGCGACGGCGGCGGCGGCGGCGGTGAAGGCGGCGGCGGCGGCGGGGACGGCGGCGGCGGCGGTGGTGGTGGTGATGGCGGTGGTGACGGTGGCGGTGGTGATGGTGGCGGTGATGGCGGCGGTGAGGGAGTCGGCACTGTCCAACGTATGTCGGCGTCGCTCAGCGTCACATTTTGTGAAATTACCACCATTCGCACAAACAAGGGGCTGTGTGCTCTTTCTGCGTACGCGACCGGTACTATGAGTTGAGCAGGTTCATGGTACTCATGCAAAGCTTGGCCCGTGTGCGAAACGTCGGCATGTGCGCCCAGGGAAGACTTGTCGCGCGCAGAGTACGGCGGCGTTTGCTCCGCGTAGCCGTACGGTGGCGTTTGCTCCGTGTAGCCGTACGGCGGCGACTGTCCACCAGTTTGCCACGTCTGAGTATGGTGAAAATTTTCATGCTGCACCGGATGATCGTACAGCCAATGGCCTTGCGTTTCATAAAACAAAACACGCCCACTGCGTGTAAGTTTAATGGTGAATGTCTTCTTCATACACATGTTTGAACGATAGCCTCGATCGAGATAGTCATCGATGTGGTAGGGTGGAAAATAAGTAGACGTCGTCGCATCATACGACTGAGGATACTCATTCGTTTGCGCATCATACGACTGAGGATAAGAGTTCAATAATTGACTGCTTGGCGTCGGGCTCGTCGTTGGATACTCGTTTGACGTCGGGCTTCTTGCAGGGTACGAACTCGTTGGAGCCAGTAGTCGCCTCTGCGCTGCTGCATATGAGAAATCATTCGCCGTGGAGATGGGTGGCGAAGATGTGATGTCAGTTGACTGGTACACATCGTATAGATCCGTCATGTGATGCGATGGTCTCGTCTCCATGGCCATCCGATAGTTATTTGAATTTGCGTAAGAGCGACCACCTGAAATGATGGCTGGCTCATAGCCTTTACCACGACAGTGAATGGCAAATTCGGTCGCTGCTTTGGAAAAGTTAGCTATGTGCTCTGCGTAGCTCAAACCAACGACATATTCGCCATCATCGCAGGAGCATTCGACCCTGATACCCTCAACCGCGTCCATTCCAGTAAAACGACCCGTGACATTAAACATTGACTGATTCGAGGACCCCCCTGCATTCCAACCATCAGCAACTCCATCTTTCTTCATAAGAGTTGTGTTTTCCAGACGTAAATTCGTCAAACTTTGGAACTCTACTTTGGCGGCAGGAACGCCTGAATCGTAGGCGTTATCGTAAATAGTGTGCACATATGGCGTGTTGCCGAACGGTGGACTGTATCCATGTTGATCCGGATACTGATGCGTTTCGCCGTCGTAGTAGGAGCTGCCATACGGTGGACTATATCCATGTTGATCCAGATACTGATGCGTTTCGCCGTCGTAGTAGGAGCTGCTGTAATCCGGGACTTCATGCCCGAGACGCGCCGCAAGCGAACTGTTCTTTCGACGAAGTACGAGTAACACTCGCGTCGGAACGTTTAGCGAATCATCATCGCCATCTGAATCGCTCGTATCCAGGAGGGGAACTTCGAATTCTTCACCAAAAACTTCTTCCTTATACGCGCCGATGAGCATATTCGCCTTGACGGGGACGTTCCCGGAGCGATCGAGTACATCGATTGCATAGCGCCCATCGTCATCACTTATCGCCGTGAACGTGCATCTGCCACGCTGACCAACAACACGAATTTGCGTCATTCTCACGTCGTCGCCTTCTTCGACGGCTGCGGTTACGAACTGACCATGCAATGTCGTAAGCTTTGAGCCCCGACAGGTGAAGAAGAAGCAAGTCACGCGCGATGCGCTGAAAGTTTGGGTTGCGTTAGTTTCTCGTAATTTGCACTCGTGACCGTGATTCACAGAGTATCCCGGATCGAACTCCCGCACGAAAGTTCTGAAATTGTTCTCTCCGGTTGCGGTGCACACTTCGACCTCTTGTATTGCGCTCCAATAGTCGAGGTTGACGCGCAAATACTGTCCTCTTGCGACACGAATCGAGTCAGGCTTCAAGTGTAAGCCGTCCGTAGCTCGATGCGCCTGTTGTTCTGCTGAGATAGTGAGATTAGATGTGTGAACGACGGGCATGTGCAAAGCCAGATTAGAGTGATTGTGACTGCGATACATCAGAAAAGTACCGTTGGGCTTCACGAAGTCTGCGCAAATGCGGACTTCGCCAACAGGAACAACCGACTTACCGGCCATCACTTCGCCCACAATTTGACCAATCCAAGGCGTTTTAAAATGAGTAGTGAGCGACAAAAAGCTTACATCGACATCGTCCGTCTTTGTTTTGATCTTGTACTGCCAGCGAGAGTTGGGCTGCTGACCAGCCTCTCGGTCGAGATACGTAATCGACGAAAACATCGACGCACAGCCGTTCAAACCACCGTCAACGAGTACGACTGTATCAAACGCGTTATCGCCACTTGGATCGTGCGTGCGTCGCAAGATTTCAAAAGATGATTCGTGCCAAGCCGTGTCGCGGAATTCGAATGCGACTCCAGTGAGATCCATTTTCGCGCGCACTTCAATGGCGCCGCCGTCGTAGTACAGGGCACCGGTGCAGGAATACGGCGCACGGGCGTCTCCTCCACTACTGTCGTGGACATCCAGCATGACACATACGACGCGACGTGAGTTTGGCGTTGCGTGTGCTCGAGGTGCACACTGAGCACCCAACGCGTCGCACTTATACGCGTCTATGAATGTGTTGTTCTTTACTCGGCCAGTGTACACGCGAAGATCGTCGTATTCTATTCGGTTCTCTTTGAAAAATTCACGACGGTGCATCAAATGCAACGTGTCTCGCAGTCTCGATTTCCACTCATCGTTATTGCTCGGCACCTTGATTTCATGTGTTACCCTACCTCCCTCAACGCTGAACCTGTACAACGTGAGACCATCTTTTGGGTGGAAAGAAAATCCAATTGACGTCCAGCGTCCAAACGCACCCAGAGGAATGGGCTCTGATAGCTCATCTCGATGACCCGTCACGCTGTTTACTTTTTCATGTATAAATTGAAGTGAAAACTTCGAGAGTGCCGTGCCCAATCGTAACTTGATGCTGTGCTGCATACTACCAGATGCATCTGAAGTGAAGCTCATGAGAGGTTCCGACTTCTTCCGAAAGCCAGAATTGCTCGAAAGCTGTGTAGGAATGAATATTTGCATCGACACGGCAAAATCATTCTTGAACGGTTCCCCAATGTACTTGTACGAATGGAAGGTACAACCTTGGCAGCTGTTCAGGCACGCCCCGTGTTTACCGTGTTGAGAAGCCGTGAAGACTCGCAGACTACCTGTATACGTATCATCGATGGAGAGGGTTGGAACCACTTCTTGGCCATCCGCCCGCGGCGATTCTGAAGAAATCAGCCTTGCGTTTGACACGCCTGCGAACGTGAAATGCGCAGCGAGAGATTGCTCTGCATCATGAAAAGAGCCAATGACAGGGCGAATATCTGTCACGCTGTTCTGCATCGATACGGCGTTTCGGCTCGTTTGGGCGAGCAATTGACTGTACAAAAGCCCGTCGATGTATACGCACGACCAATCGCCGAGTTGCATTGATCGAGGAAACGACCACGTGGTCTTCATAGATCCCGCCATCTCTCCGCATTGCCTGGATCCCGTTTCACGTCCAGGATCACTCGTTGGATACGTCGCCTCCGTGAACGTCACGACGTCACCGGCGCCGGATTGACAACCGCGAGGCGCGATGTCTGCCGACATGAAGTTCGAAAGTGTGAGGAACAGTCCATCGCCACCCTCAGCGTCGACGATGTCCTTCCAATGATTCACTATCTGTGTATCCATGCTGTGTGCCTCAACACCGATGAGGATTTCTTCGTGATCGAGTCGGCCATCTGTCGGGTTTGAATCGAAAATACGGAACACGGCCTCCTTCGCGGCGTAAATACTCTTCAAACTCGAGCAGTCAGCGATATTGAATTCATCGGCGCCACTGAGGAGATACGCCGCGAGCTCTGCTTTGGAATCTCGATTCAAATTCATTTTCAAATCGCACCCTTTGGATACGCTGAACTCGTGCAGCGTCTTCTTCACCTTGGTCGGCTCAGGTACGAGCTCGCCGTTTGCGAGTTCAAAGTAGCATTCATACTCAATGACGTAATCGCCTTCGACGATGTCACCATGCTCATCCGTGAGGGTTAAAGTTGTTGGATAAAAGTCATTCCACAGCCTGCAAGGCATGTGACGACCGAATGTCGCACAAACTTGGTCCTTCTTTTGCACGGTGACGTCGCACCTGAGTCCGACGTGATGCTCGCTCACGTCCGTCTCGATGTGACTCTCAAAACAATCGTTTTGTGAATCGCACGAAGGATGTGAGGTGAGAATGTGAAAGTCGTACGCATCTGACACTCTCGGCACGGGATCGTTGATGGATACCTGCACGGGAACAAACTGTCCCGGCGGCGGCGGCGGTGGCGACGGCGGCGGCGGCGATGGCGGCGGCGGCGGACATGGCGGTGCCTCGCAATCATGTCCATAAGACACATGCCCGTTGACATGAGGACACCGTCGTCCATCGTACGCGGGATCGCGATCGATTTGGTATCGCTTACTATACGTGCCTGGTCCGCAGCTTGGGCAGCCCCCTTTGTTGACGTCGATCCACCTCGCCGAACAGTGCACGGGGGACGGCGACGGCGAACCACCGCCCCGAGCGACGCCTAAGAGCGACGCCAAAGCGCACAGCGCGAGCAGAAGCGCCGACATCGACGCGCCGCGCGCGAACCGGGCGCGCATCGCCGCCAAAGCGCGACTTTTTCTTAACCGTCAACTGTTCGCGCGCGTCGCGCGTCGCGACGTCGAACCGGGGCCGCGACGACGGCGCGCGGGGGCGCGGAGCGCGACGTTAACGACGTTCACGACGTTCGCTACGCTTCGTCGGCGTCGGCGCGCGCGGCGACGAGTGCAGGCGGCGCATCCTGGTTCGCCGCGATGGATTGAGTTGATGACTCGGCTCGGCGGTCGGTCGGACCGCGCGCCGATGCCCGACTCCCGGGTCTCGAGTCGTTACGCGCGCGCGCGCCGCGCGCGCCGCGCACACGCGCGCGCACGGCGCTCGCGCGACGCATGGCGCCGAGCGACGCGCGCGCGAGCGCGTCCGATCGCGCGCGCGCCGAGGACGCGACGCGCGACGCGACGGGCGCCGCGTGCGAATCGTGTCCCGAAGGCGCGCGGCGCGCGGCGAGTTGGTACTGCGCGCAGGACGAGGTGCGCGCGACGGCGCGCGCGGTGACCGGGAGACGACGCGCTCGCGACGCGTCGACGACGCGCGGGACGCGCGCGCGCGACGCGCGGCGGCGAGGCGCGGTCGGAGAGGATGGCGCTTCGGATAACGATAAGACGACGACGACGAACGGGGACGTTCGGACGACGCGCGGCGACGAAAGCGCGCGCGAAGACGCGCGCGACGACTGACGGTGGTGCGAACGACGGTGACGCAGGCGTACCTGTGCGATGCGTGCGATGCGCGCGTGCACGCGGCGAACGCGATCGCGAGTAAGCACGAGCGCACGGCGCTCGGGACGAACGGGCGAGGGGTCGGCGCGCACGGCGCGGAGGATGCGGATTCGAGACGGATGAGCGATGCGTACGGCGACGGCGATGACGTTGAGGTGACGACGGATGATGTGATCGGGATATGCGATGAGTATTTGAGTAATCCCATGATGCCGTCGTCGTCGTTTCCGGTGGAAACGTTGGACGGAGCGTTTTGGGACGAGAATTTGGGCGAGCTTGACGCTGATGGGATCGATCCGGAGAGCTTCTTGAGGGACCCGCTCGATGATGAAGATGCGGCGAAGGATGGGGTGGTGAATCGAGAAATCGACGGGGAGCGATCGGGAAGCAAGTATAGCGACTCGGTGGGGATGTCGAAGAGCGAAATCGAGGCGTTACGTCGGGTCGGCGAGTATGCCTCGTCGAGCGGCTTTTTAGGTCCAATTTTGGACGATTCTGCGGTGCGGTTTTTAGAATTGAATCCATCGTACGGCGCGTTCGGCTCGCCATCGCCTGAGTCTAGCGATATGGGTTTTGAATCTCTCGCGGGGAAGCTGAGCGCGGTGGCTGTCAAACGCGAACCCGAGAGCGATTTGGACAATCAGACGGTCGCATCGAGCGGCGCAGGGGATGCGAATGGACATTCTGCGATGGCTGACGCGTTACGCTCGATTCCAGAAGGCCCACCTTCGGGATCGGATACGTACGCCGGGTTACCGCAGCCGCAGACGCGTCTCGAGCGATTGAAACGATGGAAGGAAAAGAGGAAGAATCGAAACTTCAACAAGGTGATTCGGTATCAATCGCGCAAAGCATGCGCTGACAACCGCCCGCGAGTCAAGGGCAAGTTCGTCAAGGTTAGCTCTGTGCCGGATTTATCAAAGATTCGAGAAGCCGCGGGCCAGTCGGACGACGACGACGCACGCGAAGCCGAAGAAGAACGCGATAAAATCGCTGAGCTTGGCCTTGACAAGGGCTTGCGCGCGCCGCCATCTATGCGAAAAATGAAGAAGGGTCTGGTATCATCGGCATCGATGCCAGACTTCTCCATGTACAACACTATGGATGATTAAAATCCTTGCAATCGAACCAAACGTTCCGCTCTTCAAATACACTTCTACTCTAACGCGCTTTGAGCGCAAATATTTTACACCGGAGTCGGGTCGTTCAACCCTTCCGCCGTTAAGAATCCGTCGAGCGCGTCCATGACGGGCGCAAACTTCGCCACACACGCGCGCATCTCCTCCTCGCTCCCAGCCACAGCGCAGAACTGCGCTCTGCTCGGCGGCATCGCCAACGCCGCCGCGAAAACCCCTCGCAACGCGAACCCGTGATACGGCTTCAGCGCGCGCTCGTACGACCTCGCCCCGCACGTCCGGAGATCCAAGCTCGCGTCTCGCGTGAGTTCCCCGAGCAAACCCACGACGAAGCCGCCGAACCGCCGCAACCAGAGCGCCGGCACCCAGACCCGTCCGCCCGCCTCGCGGTCGCGCGCGATCGCCTCGAACAGCGACGCCCGCGCCTCGCCGCGCGCCCGAACCACGTCTCGAATCCGTCGCACGTTCTTCGATACGTCCGCCTTCGCGAGCTCGAACGCGAAGCCGAGCGCGGCGATGACTTCGAGCATGGCATCCATGACGTCGCAAAACCGCGCGGCGTCCACGTCCCCGGGGCGCGTGAACTCGACGTCGGCGTCGAGCGCGTCGAGCGCGTCGATGACGCGCGCCACGCGCGACGGCATGCCGCCGCGAGGCGCGCTCTGCCGCGCGAGGCCGCACTGCTCGACGCTCGGCATGTTCGCGACGACGACGTCGAGCGCCGCGCGCGTCCGGGCGCCGCGCGCGACGACGACGGGGAAGCGCTCGATGCGCGCGGCGTCGGCGCGCGGGCGCGCGGCGCGGCGTCGCGCGAGCGCGGAGGACGAGACGTTTGAGATGCCTGACGTCGATTTCATCGGCACCATTCTCCAAGACGTGCGAAAAGGTCAAAAGGGCTTCGCCACGCGCATGAGCGTGCACGAAGACGCGCGCGCGGACGCGAGCGAAGGGTTTCCCGTGACCGGTGACATCGTGAAGATTCAGTTCGGCGTGGAGACTGGGGAAGGGGAGGTTTTGCAAGACGCGGCGGCGACGGAGGCGGTGACGTTTGAGGTCGGCGCGAGCGACGTCATGGGAAATCCGCTGTTTAAGGCGTTCGATGAGGCGGTGCGGAAGCTGAACGTTGGAAATAGTGCGGTGGTGAGCGCGAGCGGGGGTGATTACGATCCGAACTTGTTATTTAGCGTGCCGGCGAATCACGAGGAAATCGCGCGCTTGCGCGCCGAGTGGTCGGATAAGGGAGGTTTGGTCGAAGGATTGACGGTGACTCTCGTCAACGGGCAACCCGCGGTGGTGCGCGCGATGGACGCCGAGAAAGTTGTTTTGGACGCCAATCACCCCTTCGCGGGAGCGGACGTGTTCTTCAAGGTGACCTTGCTCGGCGTCAACGTGGACGAGGCGTGAAACGTAATAACGTTTCACGCCTATTGAATCGCGAGGCTCGATTCTCGCCGCTGCGTGCGCACGACCGTTGACATTTATTTCGCTAGAATTGATTTAATCACCGCCATAGCGCGCATCTTGCCTTGTCGAATCCGATCGCGTTCGCGTCGTTCGTTCGCGCTGGCCCCGTCCCGCCCGCACAGCGCCGCTCGTCATGTCCACTCGCAAGCGTCTCGCTGACCTCGCGTCCGCGGGATTCGCTCGCGCATCGTTCGCGTCATCTGCTTCCGCGTCGGCGGTGTCCACGGCGCGCGCGTCGCTCAACACGGGCGCGTGCAAATCTTTCGACGCGTCGGGACGCGTGAAGTCATCGCTCGCGAACACACGACCGCGGACGCGCGCGCACGCGCGCTCGTTCGCCGCGGATGCGCAGGTGGGCGCCCCTACGGTACATCCAGACGGTATGCCTCGCTATCCGAACTTCACCGTCCCAGGCGCGCTACGGTTGGCGGATTACTTTGGCACGAGCTCGTTCGCGATGACGGGGAGCCTGCTCGCGGCGGCGAGCGGGATGGACGCGTTCGGATGCACCGCGGTCGGCACCATCACCGCGGTGGGCGGGGGTACGGTGAGAGATATTTTGCTCGGTCAAGGACGGCGGGCGTTTTGGATGGAGGAGCAGGAGTACTTGTGGATCGCGGCGGGCACGGCGTTGGCGACGTTTTGCGGCTGGGAGAGCGCGAAGAAACAGTTTGGATTTACCGATGATGATTATTGGATCGAGGCGAGCGATGCGTTGGGAGTCGGGGCTTTTTGCGTCATCGGCACGCAAAATGGCATACGCGCGGGCGTACCTATGATTGCGCAGGTGTTGTGCGGAATTATGACGGCTACGTTTGGGGGCATCGTGCGCGATATTTTAGTTCAACGGCCAACGAGAATCTTTCACTCGTACGCCGATATCTACGCCACGACCGCCGCCACCGGGGCGTTGGCGTACATCATCGCGCGTCAAGCCGGTGCGCCGCCGTCTTTGCGGATCATCGCGGGCGTAAGCGCAGGTATCGGTCTTCGCGTGGCGGCGGACACGTACGACATCCGCCTCCCGGTGTACAACGCGGAGAACGCGAAAAAGTCCGCGGCGAGCAAGGGTGACAAGCGTCACGTGTGACGATGATATAGATCGACACAAACTATGTACGATAACAAACATGTGTCTTTTTCCTACTTCGGCTTCACCAAACCTTGCGTGCACTCGATCGCCTTCCATTCAGCGAGCATCGACTCGTCTTTGCGAATCTCGCCAAAAGGCGGGTACGCCTCCTTCACCAAGCATCGCTCTCCGTTCGCCAGATACGCATCGAGCATCGCTCCTTTGTTACTGCTCGACGGTGGTACTTGCGTTTTATCCCACTTCAATCCCTTCGCGTCTAAATATTCGCGCTGCGTCTCGACGATGACGTCCAGGTTCGTCGTCTGCGAAAACGAATTCGTGTGTCCTTTGTGATCAAACTTGTACGTCGCGAAAAACTCGTCCGCGGCTTTGCGGTACGTCGCGTACGCGTCGCCCTTGCCGTCGCGCAGAAGCTTGCGCTGCGCGTCGAGCACGGCTTTGGCGTCGGTTTCGTAATCAGTCTTCGCCATCGCGGCGTCGTTTCGAGCGACGACGGTGAGCGAGGGGGCGAGGAACATCGCGAGCGCGGCGCGGCGCGTCGGCGCGGACGCCTTCGTCGCGCGCGCGGGCCCGACCGCGGGCGCGACGGCGAGGACGCGCATGGGAACGCGTGTGTGGGAATGAGGAGGTTGTTATCCACTCGTCGGTTGTTTTGCGAGCGCGCGCGGCTCTGCGAAGAATGCGTTAAAAAAATGGACTATGTGTTGCGCGTCTCAGCTCGAAGCGCTCCGAGCGAGACCATCTATGCTATGCTAAATCGATCGAGCGCACGAGATCGAGCGCGGACGGCGCGATCGTCGTGGTCTTGGTCTTGGCGCGTCTGCGTTTTGGTTTCGCGGGCGCCGTCGCCATCGACGCCCTCGCGTCGTTGGACGTATCCAAATGCTGTGCGAGCGAGACGGTGACGCCATCGACAGTGATACCATCTTGTCGTTTGAGGTTTTCGAGCGCTTTCTTCTCGAGGTAGCGGACACCTTCACCGGTCTTGTTGAGCGCGGCGCCGATTTCGGCGAGCGTCATCGGACCGTCGCCGATGAGACCGAAACGGCGTCGGAGGACGTACGCTTGCGGCGCGGGTAGTCGGTCCAAACTCGCTCTGATCTCGTTTCGAAGGAAATCCCTCTCAATCTCCCGCGCCACGGCATCGGATGGACCGAGTTCGGCGGCGTCGTCGGGGCTTGCGAGATCGAGTTCGTCCGTTTCCTGCGAGGCGTTCGCGTCCAGGCTGAGAGGATCCATGCTCAAATCCTTGAACTTCTCCAGCATCTCCACGGTGAAGCGCGACGAAGAGTCGGCAATTTCTTCTTTCGTCGCGCTGCGACCGAGTTCGCTTTGCATCTCGAGCTGCTTTTCGTAAGCCGCCTTCTTGAGAACGTGAGCGTGCGAAGGGACGCGAATCGTTCTGCCGTTGGCGTGCACGCCGCGTACGATGGCCTGACGAACCCATGCGTGAGCGTACGTCGTGAATCTGAATCCTTTTGAAGGATCGAATAGCTCACTCGCGCGAACGAGACCGGTGGCGCCCTCGTGAACCATGTCTTGCCTACTCATCCCCGCCTTTTCCATGGCGGGAATTCTATCGTACAGCTTTCGCGCGATGCTCGCTGCAAAGGCCATGTTCGCCGTCACGAGCCTCTTCCGCGCCATCTTCCCCTCGCGCTCCGCAGCTCTCATCGCCGCCGGGCTGTCGTACTCTAATCGCAACGCGAGCGTGTCTTCGAACAGACGCTTGGACTGCTTGGCCGCTTTCTCTCGCAGCGCCAACGCCTCGACCGCGCCCAGCGCCTCCGTCGCTTGAATCCTCGTCGCCGCCGCCTCATCTCGCAAAATCTCCGCCTCGCGCTCGATTCGCAACAACGCCTGTATCGCCCGCCCGAGATTTCGCTCGTCCTCGACGCTCATACGTTCATCTTGACCCATCGACGTCCCTCTCGCTCGCGACCGCGCGTCCGCCCAGCGCGTCCTCGCGCGTTCCTTCTTCGTCTGTCGATCCCTCCCTCCAGCGCCGCGTTCGCTCCCTGGCGCGCCTTCTGTCGTCATCGTCGCGTCGACGACGCCATCGCGCGTCTCCTTCGTCGTCGTCGCGCGTCGTCGTCGCGCTCGCGCGCCGCCGCCCGTCGCGCCGCGCGGCGCCTCGCGATTCGTCGTCCTCCTCCCCTCCGCGCTCGCGCTCGCGCGCGCCTCTCTCGGCGTCTCGCTCCCTCGCTCGCGCACGACGCGCGTGCGCACGACGCCGTCGTCGCGCGCCGTCGCGCGCTCGCGCGCGCTCGAGCTCGCGTCGACGTCGCCGCGCGGGCTCGGCGTCGCGTCGACGCGCGCGCGCCGACGCCGCGCGACGCCGACGCCGACGCCGACGCCGACGCCGACGCGCGTCGCGCGCGGTCCCGCGCGCATCGTCGCCGCGCCGGTCGCGAACGCGCGGTGAAGTGCGGCGCGACGCGGCTTGGACGCGACGTCGATGGCGACCGGAGTGAGTGGATAACCCGCGAGCGGGACGGGACGCGCGTCGACGAAGGGCGAGGGGAGAACGCGAGCGCGAAAGCACGATTACAGGCTATCGAATAAATCGTTGGATGCGATGTAGTCCTGGACGCGGGCGCGCCAGGTGTCGAGATCGATGGATGGGTCGACGGCGCGAGCGACGCGCGCGGCGACGGCGACGGCGGAGGAGGCGATGCGATCGACGGGCGGGTAGACGGCGCCGACGGCGAAGAGGTTGGCGTCGACGGATTCGGCCAAGGCTTCGGCGGCGGTGAGAAACATGTCTGGAGTGACTTGTTTCGCGCCGCTGACGATGGTGGCGAGGGCGATGGGTGGGAAGATGAAGGCGTTGTTGGCGAATCCGGGGGCGAACGTCTTTTCAGCCGAGAATCGCACCGGCGGAAATCGGGTGCCGCTCGCGAATATCGCTCGGCCGTTGCTCCACGCGTACGCCTGCTCGGCGGTGCACTCAGCCTTGGACGTCGGGTTGGAGAGCGCGAAAATGATCGGTTGGTCGTTGAGTTTGCTCATCGACTTGACGACTTTTTGAGTAAACGCCCCGGGCACCGCGGCGGCGCCGACCAACACCGTCGGCTTGATGCTTTCGATCGCTGATGCGAGGTCAGTTTCCTCCCTCGCGTCTTGTGCAAAAGGCAATTTGTCATCACTCAGCTGCGACGCGCGCGAGCGCACGACGAGGCCTTTTGAATCAAACAGCCACACCCGTTTCCTAGCGTCGGCTTCCGCGACGCCGCGCTTCGTCAACGCGAGGACGAAGAGTTCAGCGGCGCCGATATTCGCCTGTCCAGCGCCAAAGAACAATACGCGCTGCTGAGTGACGTCACCACCTCTCTCTAGCGCTCGCACCGACGCCAATATCCCGCTCACCGTAACCGCTGCGGTGCCTTGGATGTCGTCATTGTACGTCACGACATCGGGCGCGGAGTAATACTTTTTCAATACCCTGAACGCGTTCCTCGGCGCGAAGTCTTCCCAGTGTATGATCGTGTTCGGACCGAATCGCTCGCGAATCGAAACGACGACTTCATCCAAGAGCGCGTCGTAGGCCTGGGAGCGGTCGCGCTCGCGTTTGAGCCCGATGTACAACGGATCGTCGAGCAACGTCTTGTTGTTTGTACCGGTGTCAATCTGAATCGGCAACAGCGCACTCGGCGGCACTCCACATGCGGCGTACACCATGCTCTTTCCCGCGCTAATTCCCATCCCGTTCGCTCCTTGATCTCCGAGCCCTAAAATTCTCTCCCCATCCGTGATCACGGCGATTTTCACGTCGTCGCGCGGCCAATTGCGCATCAATTCCCGCACGTTCCCCGCGTCGTCCGAGCTTACCCACACCCCCATCGGTCGTTGTATCAGCGTCCCGAATCTCAGACACGCCTCGCCGACCGTGGGCGTGTACAACAGCGGCAGCAACCGCTCGGTGTCCGATCGCAACAATTTATAAAAAGTCCGCTCGTCCGTCGTCTGCAGCGCCACCAACTGCTTGTACGACTCGAACGCGCCGTCGCACTGCCCGAGCGCTTCCCTCGCCCGGCGCACCTCCACGTCGTCCTCGACGACGTTCGGTGGCAACAACCCTCGCAGACCGCGTCCCTCGCGATCGACCGTGGCCAATCCTCGATACGTTCCCGCGTCGCGCAGCGTCGCGTATCCCGGCCCGCACGGCGGTCGCGGCGCCGCGCGCGCCACCGGCCCTCGATCCGCCATCCGCATCGACGCCCGCACGGGCGACGCGCGCGCGACGTCCGCACCGACCATCACCGTCGTCGTCGACGCGGCGAGCGCGAGCAGCGCGCGACGCGACGCGTCGAACGTCGACGCATCGAACGTCGACGCGTCGACGTCTTCATCGTCGTCGCGCGGCGCCGGCGCCGACGCGCGCGACGCGCGCGCGTCGGTGCGTCGAACGTCGCGGTGGCGCTTCGCCGACGCGCGCGGTGCGGCGACGCGCGACGACGGCGACGCGCGCGATCGCATGTTCGCGAGGTGAGGACTGGGGACAACTTGGCTTTGCATTTGGCGCTAACGATTTTGGTGGCGCACGCTCGCGGTGCAGACGGCGGCGACGACGAGCCAACACGCCCAGAGCAAGTACACGAAACCGAGATTAGACGACGTCGTGCCGGTGACGTCGTAATACGAGGTGACGCCGACGAGGGAGCCGTCGTCGGCGAGAAAGACGGGAGGCTCGACGCGAGCGAAGTGGTTGAGCATTTGCGCCTTCCAGCCGTATCGAACGAATAACGTCGGTGGCCACCAGGTCCAAGCGCGCGGGACGTCGTTGATGTTGAGTAAAACACCGGCGAAAAGGACCTGAAGGACGTTGTACACGGGTAAGATGGCGTTGGCGGCGTCGACGTCGCGGGCGACGGCGGCGCAGAGGTAGGCGACGGCGCCGCCGCATTGTTGCATGCCAAAGTACGCGAGCCAATCGACGAAGAAGTTGCCTCGCAGACCTGCGGCGTTGTATAAGATCGCAGTCGCAACGAGTGAGACAATGAGCGCCACGAGTGCTTCTTCGATGATTTTGTACGCGATGTACGCCAAGAGTGGGTAACATCCGTCGTCGAGCTCGCGGTACAGAAGTGGGCGTTCCATCAAGATTGAAGGCAAGTATCCACTCGCAGCGAACGCGGGGAGGACGTTGTTCATAAACAGCATGTTAGAGACGTTGATTTGGGCGTCGAGTGACATGACCTTTCCTTGGCCCGCGTACATGGTCGCCATGACGGCGGCGAATATGAGGTGCCCGGCGCAGCGCGCGCCGACGAATTGCGCGTCGCGGTAATTTCGAGACGTGCGGTACTTTAACAGCGTGCGCACGGCGCTCGCAAAACCGACAGGTTTTGGGGCGTTTGCGAGCAGCAGAGATCGCGTGTCGCCTGCTTCCCGCCGATTCACCACTTCTCGCACGTACTTGCGCACTTCGTCGCGATTACGCTTGTGATGAAAACTCGCCGTAAACTCTCTGGCAAAATCCGTCGAATCGTCGCCCGCGGTGGCGATTAAGAAATCCGCAAAGTTATCGTTCGGATCAAAGTAAAACCCGAGCGAATAAAAGTACGTCTCTGCGCCCTCTTCGCCGAATAATGGACCCGCGTAGGTGACTTTGCCATTCTTCAGCATCAACAGACGATCGAATTGACGAAACGCCTCCGAGCTCGGCGAGTGAATGGTGGCGATGACCGTGACTCCGGCGGTGTCGCAAAATTTTCGAATGACTCGCATCAAATCGTACGAAGTTTTCGAATCCAATCCGCTCGTGGGCTCGTCCAAGAACAAAATACGAGGACGAGTGACCAAACTTATGCCGATGTTCGTGCGCTTTGCTTGCCCGCCGGAAATCCCTCGCGACAAAGCGCTGCCGACGACGACGTCGGCGCACTTTTCCAACTGCAAGTCTTCGATCAATCGATTCACTTGCTCCTCGCGCGCCTTGGCGTCGAAACCTTCCGCGCCTCGCTTTAACTCGGCTTGATACATCAACGTTTCTCGCACCGTCAACGACGCGAGCAAGCAATCAAACTGCTCGACGTACGCCGCGCACGTCTTCAACGCCGCCTTCGTCGCCGGCTCGGCACCGACGACGACGCGCCCGCGCAAGCGTCCCTGCGTCTTCCTCCCGCTCATGACGTCCAGCAGCGTCGTCTTCCCCGCCCCCGACGGACCCATGAGCGCCGACGCCCCCCCCGGAGGAAACACCGCGCTGACGTCGTCCAGCAACCGCGTCGTCGCGCCCGTCTTACGATCCCTCACCTCGTACCGCACGTCCTGACACACCACCGCCAACGGCGTCGCGCGTCCCGCCTTCCCACCGTCGTCGCCCGCGTCCGCGTCGTCCGCGTCCGCGCCTCCGCGCGCGTCCGTCGCGCGCCGTCGACGCGCCTCTCGCTCGAGCGCGCGCACGTCCACCTTCCACGCCGTCTCGCGCGCGTCCGCCGTCTCGCGCGCCTCGCGCGCGTCCGCCGGCGCGAGACGCCGACCGTCCATCGCACGCGCCCTCGCGCTGGCGTCTGCCGCGCGTCGTCGCGCGTCGCCCGCCGTCGCCCGCCGCGGCGTCCGTCGCGTAACGCTCGCGCCGCGACGAAAACGCTCCGTCGTCGGACGCTTTTATCGCGCGGTTCGTCGCTATGTACTACCGCTCGCGGACGCCGCTCTACGAGAGTTCGCGACGGTCGGTCTCGTACACACACGGACCAAACACGGACCAAACACGACGTCAACGGCCGCGGACGCCCGCGCGCGGCGACAGACGACCGCGCGCGCGACGATGGCCGACGCGCGCGCGCGCGACGACGCGCGCGATGTCGCCGCGCTCGTTCGAGCGCTCGTCGAGCGAACGCTCGCGAACGCGATGCCGACGAACGCGACGCCGACGCACGCGATGCCGACGGACGATCGCGAGGCGACGCGACGCGCGGACGCGGGACGCCGGGTCGCGACGCGCGTGCTCGCGTCGACGCTGGGCGAGGGAACGGCCGTGAGGGACGCGATGGACGACGGCGAGGCGGTGGCGCGGGCGATCGTGCGAAGGGTGCGAGAGAGGCGGGGGGAGGACGCGGCGGCGCGCGCGGCGGAGGCGTGCGAACGCGCGCGAAGGCGCGACGCGAGCGGGTCGACGCGACGCGCGGGAGTGCTCAGGACGCTGTTGGCGATCTCGGAGGACGCGGAGGGCGCGTGGGGAGCGGGCGGGGGGGTGGGCGCGAGCGCGCGAGGGATGCGGCGGTTGGATTTGGACGCGGCGGCGAAGGCGTTGACGCGAGACGAACGCGCGGGCGCGGCGACGGCGGCGGCGACGAGACGGTTGGATGATGGCGAGGCCGCGCGCGCGCTCGCGGGCGGTGAGAAAGGGGCGCTCGGGTTGCACGCCGTCGGTCGGCGCGCGGATGCGTACAGGACTTTGGAGATTGAACGCGCGGCGAGCGGGGAGTGCGACGAACGCGAATTGGTGCGAGACGTGCTGTACGCGTGTCAAGGCATCGACGGCGAGTTCATCAAGTTTTCTCCGGCCCAACAAGCGTTCGCGCTGGCACCGAACGTGAACGTCTCGGCCGGGCGACGAAATTTGATCAAGTGCCTCACCGAAGTAGGGTGGTTATTTAAGAAGGTTTCGGCGGCGCTCGGCGACGGCAGGACGGCGGGCGTCGACGTCGACGACGGCGACGGCAGCACGCGGCAGGCGTTCAGAGCGGCGATTCAGCGCGAGCTTGCGAGTTACTACAAGTTGATCGCGGTATTAGAAGCTCAAGCGCAGATTCCGATCGTGGCTTACCTCGAACGAGGCGACGGCGCGGCGAAGGGCGGCGACAGTTACCTCACCCTGCGTCGACTCTTCGTGTGGCTCGCCGATCCTCTCAAGATGTTACGGACGCTAGCGGTTTTGGTCGACGCGACGCACGGCAAGCGAGGAGGCGCTGCTTTGGCGGCCATGTACAACTACTCTCAACACGGCGACCCGTCATCCACCGCGTTGGTACGAAGAGTTTTGAGCGCGAGCGCGACGCCGTATTTGGGCATGGTGCATCGATGGACGGTGAGCGGCGAGCTCGAAGACCCATTGTGCGAGTTCTTCGTGAGCGTTGATCACTCGATTTCGGATAAAGATTTATGGCGCCGAAAGTATGCGTTCGATGAGGACATGCTGCCCTCGTTCATCACGCGCGAACAGGGGAAAACTATACTTCGCCTCGGCAAGAGCATAAACTTTCTTCGCAGATGCTGCGACGACTCGAGCTGGACGCCCGAACGCGCGGACGTCTTGAACGCGGTGGAAAAGGCTGGAGGGCTAGACTTTGAGAATCCAGATGGTTTGACGACGTTGATTAGCGAGACAGCAAAGCGTGTGGACGGAACGGTGCGTCGCGTACTCTTCGAACGCTTCAAGCTCGGAGAGCATTGTCAAGCGCTCAAGCGCTATTTGTTGCTCGGCCAGGGGGATTTGCACGAGTGCTTGATGGACTTGATGGGTCCGAGCTTGGAGCAGCCCGCGAATTCATTGAGTGTCTTCAAGCTCAGCGGTATGCTCGAACAAGCCGTGCGCAGCAGTAGCGCCCAGTCGGATTCTCCAGACTTTCTCGATCGCTTACGCGTGCGTTTGATGGCGCACTTGAACGAAGAAGTGGGATGGGATGTCTTCACGCTCGAGTACGTCGTAAATCAGCCTTTGACGACGATATTCACCGAACACGCGATGAGCAAGTATTTGCGCGTGTTCAACTTTCTGTGGCGTCTGAAGCGAGTGGAACATTCGCTCTGTGGGACGTGGCAGATGATGAAACCGACGGTAGCGCATTTGTTGTCAAGCGAAACCGCCGGCGGGGGCACGTCTGGCGCGGCGTTGGCTGACATGCTACGCAGCTGTCATTCATTGCGAGGGGAGATGCACAGCTTTATTTCTAACTTTCAGTACTACGTCATGTTCGAGGTGCTGGAGACCTCGTGGGTCGAGCTCGAGGAGAAGTTTGCCAAGCATTCCGATTTGGATGAAATCATCGCGGCGCACGACGTATTCCTCGACGCCGTCGTTCAAAAGGCTTTGCTCGGGTCAAAGTCGCAGCTAGTTCTGCAGACCCTTTACGCACTTTTTGAGGTGATGATGTCGTTCCGCGAAGTCGCAGCTGATCTTTTCGACATGGCGGCAGACGTCGTCGCGAAGAAGGCGGCGACGCGAGAGCGCATCGCCGAGCGCGAGAAGAACAAGCAATGGGGGACATACGTCGGCGAGGAGTCGAATGCGAGCGATTTTATCGATAAGGACGAGGTCGCCGTGGCGCAGAGTCGACTGGCAAATTTGCGCGACGACTACGCGCGTGCATTGGACGGTTTCTTGAACCTTTTGCCACTCCAAACGCACGTGGACACGCAATTCTTGTTGTTCCGCCTCGATTTCAGCGAGTACTACGCCTCCAAGGGCGTCGGTCCTGGTGACATCGCGCCTCAGCGAGTCGCGCGAGGAATACAGTAAAGCAAATAAATACATTGTACATAGCAAAGCAGAGCGCGTACCGCAACTAAACCGTGATGCTGCCTAGACTTCGAGCAACAAAGGCGCGAGATCCTCCTTTGCGATGGCTTTCGAGAGCGCCTTCGCCGTTGGACGATCAGGACACTTGAACCGCATATATCGTTCGGGCAAACCGTGAATGGGTAACTCGACGAGTGATCTCCGAGCCGCTTCTTCGATTCGTTTTAATTCAGCCTCCAGATCCACTTCCGCGGCCTCGTTCGCGGCCGCCGACGTCTTCTCCGCGGCGGCCTCCATCGCTCCCAGCTTCGCCTTCGCCTCGAGGAGGCATCGCACGCCAGCTTTCACGTCATCATCCGCGTTCGATTTCCCTGAATCTTTCATTTCGCGCACGCGATCCGCCGCGGCCGAGACGGCGTCTCTCGCCGCCGCGATTTCGCTCTCGCTCGGCGCCGGCTCGGCTTCGGCGTCTCCCTCCAACACTTCCACCAGCGCCGTGCGCTCGAACCCCCCCTCCATGGCCGCCACGTATCGCATCTGCGCCATCAGCGGTTCCTCGTCGCCGCACAAATCCTCCGCGCTCGCCCCCAACGCGATCGCCAACTCGCTCAACCGCGCGCGCGCGTCGCCGTCCTCGCTCGCCCGCAGCGTCGACACGTCCACCACCACGCAATCCTCCCCCCCCCCCACGTCTTGTTCCGTGCACACGAACACCATCCCCACCGCATCGCAGTACGCCCGATGCGTGTTCACCAACGGAAACCGTCGTCTCGCGAGCCCGTCTCGACTCGCGCTTCGCGTCTCCAGCCCTCCTCGCCGTTTCGCTCGCTCCCACGCCTCTCGCTCGTCTCGCGTCAGCCTGTACGGCGCCTCGCGCTCGACCACGCCCATGGACTTCGTCTTCTCCCCCCTCGACGCCCGTTCGACGTCGTCGATCGTCGGTCGTCCGCTGACGTACACCTTGTAGCTCTTGTTCGTCCGCTGCGACCGCGTCGTCTTCGAGCTTCCTTTCCCGCCGCGCGCCGTCGCCTCGCCCGCGCCGTTCGCGGACTCGCTCCCCTTACCCACGCGCCAGTGCATCGACCGTCCGGCGTCGCGGTTCTTCGCCTTGGCGACGCGCGCGACGTGCAGCGCGCGCCGCATCGCGTAATCAGCGTCGACGAGTGACGTCGGCAGACGTCGGCACGCCGCGGAACGCGACGCCGCGCGATGGGCGGCGGGCAGAGCAAGCGCGGCGCGCCGCGATCGGTGATCGTCATCTTCGGACCGCCGGGCGCGGGCAAGGGTGCGCGAGAGACGCGAGAGACGCGAGCGTCGGCGACGCGAGACGACGGCGATCGACGCGCGACGCGAACGACGCGCGCGCGGTGACTGACGGACGCGACGGACGCGCGCGACGCAGGAACGCAAGCGCCGAAGATCACGGAGAAGCTCGGCGTGCCGCAGCTCGCGACGGGAGACATGCTGCGCGCGGCGGTGGCGGCGGGGACGGATGTCGGGAGACGCGCGAAGGCGGCGATGGATTCGGGGGGATTGGTGACGGACGACATCGTCGTGGCGATCATTCGCGATCGAATCGCGGCGAAGGATTGCGCGCGTGGGTTCATTTTGGATGGGTTCCCGCGGACGATCGAGCAGGCGAAGAAGCTGGATGAGATGCTGGCGAAGCGCGGCGAGAAGGTGGACGTCGTCGTCTCGCTCGAGGTCCCGGACTCGCTTTTGGAGAAGCGCATCTGCGGCCGATGGGTGCACAAGGCGAGCGGTCGCTCGTATCACGCCACGTTCAACCCGCCGAAGAGCCTGAAGGCGTGCCCGGGTAAGCAAGCCAAGCCGAAGCGCATGTTTGACGACGAGACTGGCGAGCAGCTCGAGCAGCGCAGCGATGACACGAAAGAAGCGCTCGTGACGCGCCTCGAAGCGTACCACTCGCAAACGAAGCCCATTTTGGAGCACTACTCTCCCGTCGTCGCGAAAATCGACGCGGCAAAGGACATGAGCGAGGTGTGGACGGCCATCGAGGCGGTCTTGCCGACGCGCGAAAACTAAGGATGCGCGACGAGCGATCGAGTCGCAGAGTCGTTTCTAGCGTAGAGCTCGACGCGTGGTTCGAGGAATGATGCGTGCAATAATAATACACATCCATCAAGCGCCGCAGGGAATCGCGTAGGGAATTGAATCTGAATCTTTTTACATTTGAGCGTGAATAGTCGAGCACCGAGCAACACGCCGCAACGGCAAGAGCTAAAAGCGGAGGCTATATTGCCTTTCTCGCGCTACGGTGGTGGTTGTTTAGTTGATGTCGACGGGACGATCGTAAATCCAGGAGAAGGTTTCCTTGGCCGGAGGCTTCTTCGCCGCCCTCTTCTCGGCGAAAGCGACGAGCTTGCGGATGCGAGCGGGTTGCTTCATCAAGTACTCTTGCGCGGCGGCCGCCTCGCCGCCCAAACCCGTGATGTTGGCGATGTCCCAACGCTTGTTGAGGTGATCCATGATATCGGCGTAATCGTGGCCGGTGTACACGCCCGTGCGCTCCGCGACGGCGGCGAAATCGACGAAGAGGTCGCGGCCGGTTCGCGCCTTGTGCTGGCCGTCGCACATCATGTGCGCGGGCATGGTGATTTGCTTCTCCATCATGTCCGCGTACGCGAGGACGGCACCGTCGGGATCGCGCGCCAATACTTCATCGATGATGCGCTGGTACGCGATCTCGTGGCGGCCTTCGTCGGCGGCGATGATGCCGCACATCTTCGCGAACTCCGGATCGCCCGCCTCCTTGGCCAAGCGCGCCGTGTTCCCGTGGGAAATTTTCGTCGCGCGCTCTTGGAAAGACGTGTACACGAAACCGAGGTACGGGTTGTTGTCCGTCTTAGGGTTCATGCCGCTGCCGATGAGCTTCTGGATCGTGGTCTCGACCGGCTTCATGTTCACCTTACCCGTCATCCACAAGTACTTGTTCATGAGGTCGCCGTGACGGTTTTCCTCCGCCGTCCACTTGCGCGTCCACACCGCCCACGGGTGAGCATCCGCGCCAGAGTTATCCTTCGTTCCTTCGAGCGTGTTCAACATGTTCATGTACGTCGGCAACGCCTCTTCGGTGATCATATCGCCGACGAGCACGACGAAGAGATCGTCGGGGATGTTCGCCGCGCGTTTACGAATCTCCGCCACCTATCGCGATCGCGACGCGTTCGCGCGCTCGTCAGTCACCGCGTTTTCGCGCGCGCGCACGCCTCCACCCACCCCCTCGCCCATCTCGCGCGCGCCTCGACCTCGCCTCGCGCGTCCCGCGTCGCGTCTCGTTCGAACGCCCTCGACCGCCCTCGCGCGGATAAACCATCCCTCGCGCGCGTCCCCTCGCCCCCCCTCGCCCTCGCACCTGATCCAAGAAATCCGGCGACTCCGGATTCGGCAGCCAATCTTGCGGTTGCCAATTCGTGTCCGGGTCCTTCAGCAGTCCGCTCAGTTCTCCCGCCGCGAACGACGTCATGTCCTCGATCACCGCGCGTCGTTTCTTCGACAGCCCATTCGTGGTCGTCTCCGGATCCTTGCCGCCCTGAACGAGGATCGTCGGCGACGCCACCGCGGGTCGTCGGTGCGTCTTCGCGCGCGTCGCGCGTCGTTCGTCGTTTTGCGCGCCTGGAGCGTTCGCGCTCGACGCGCGAGGCGTGCAGGCGCGCATGGTGGGCGCGCGCGCGATTGATTGTGCGGCGCGCGCGCGTCCACGCGCGTGCGGTGTGGTGTTCGTATGAGTACGGGGTTTCGTGTCCTGGGTGGCCGTCGAAAAGCTCGAATGCGTCGTATTTAAGAGATGCGGTGAAGTAAATGAAAGAAACGAAACCAGGGGGGTATAAGTAGTGTTTACACGCGCCGTCGACGAGTCGGGACTCGCGCGCGCGCCTCGAGATTTTTTCACCTTTGTTCGCGGGCCCCAGGGGCGAGAAAAGGTGAAAAAATCTCGTCGCGAGGCCCCAGGGGGGCGACGTCGACGATGCGGTCGGACGACGCGCGTTGACCGGAAGCGCGTCGCACCGCGACAAAGCGCGACGCGGCGACGGCGCGGGATTCTTCGCAAACGCGCGACGGAAACGCGTCGAACCGTCTCGCGTCGGAAACGCGCGACGCGGCGACGCGAGACGGGTCGACGAGGCACATGCCGCGGGACGGCGTGGACCTCTCGCGTCGCGCGCGCGCGCGACGACGCGGGGACGCGAGCGCGACGCGCGCGACGGCGCGGGAGGGCGAGGGCGCGCGACGGGCGAATCGCGGCGACGCGAGCGCGGCGCGGGACGTCGGGACGGGCGTCGGGGGGGAGACGCGGCGAGGCGAGGCGACGTACGCGCGCGCCGACGTGCGCTCGCACGACGTCGGGAGCGATTGTTGGCTCGTCGTGGGCGATGGGGTGTACGACGCGACGTCTTGGGTCGAGAAACATCCGGGGGGGAGCACGATTCTGGAGCAGTACGCGGGGAGAGACGCGACGGACGCGTTCATGGCGTATCACGGGGGGGAGCGGCGCGCGCTGGCGCGCTTGGAGACGCTTCGAATCGGGCGCTTGGTGGACGAGAGCGCGGCGCCGCCGACGCATTTAAAGGCGTTTCGTCGGATGAGGGACGCGATGGAGGGTAGTGAGAAGTTGTTGAAGAGCGATCTCACGGATTACGCCTTCATCATCGCGAGATTGGTCGTGCTTTTCGGCGGCGTGTTGGCGTGCGTGTTGTCGTCGGGCGCCGGTTTCAAGACGCACATGTTCGGCGCCGTCTTGCTCGGTTTGTTTTGGCAGCAAAGTATGTTCATCGGCCACGATGCTGGGCACACATCGATCACTTATGATCGCAAAAAAGACGCCATGATCGGGTGGTGCGTTGGAAACCTCTTCAACGGCGTCGGCATCGCGTGGTGGATGGCGACGCACAACGTCCACCACTGCGCGTGCAACTCGTTGGAATGCGACCCCGACATCCAGCACATGCCCGTGTTCGCGGTCTCCAACAAATATTTTGGCTCGGTGTACTCTCTGTATCACCGCAGACGCATGACGTACGACCGTCTCGCCAGGACGCTCGTTCGATTCCAGCACTACACGTTCTATCCAATTATGGCCGTCGCTCGCATCAACTTATACTTGCAGACGTTGATCTTCTTGATCAAGGCGAAGCGCGTGCGGAGCCGAGCGATGGAGTTTTTAACACTTGGTGTGTTCGCCACGTGGCTCACCACGCTCATCGCTCAGTTACCCGTGGGTCACAAAGTGCCGTTCTTCTTCCTCTCGCACGCCGTCGCCGGCGTCATCCACGTGCAAATTTGCCTCTCGCATTTTTCGCGCGACGTCTTCGAAGGGCGACCTGAAAACGACGAGTGGGTGAACATGCAACTCGCTGGGACGTTGGACATCGACTGCCCGCGCTGGCTCGACTGGTTCCACGGTGGTTTACAGTTTCAAACCGAGCACCACCTGTGCCCGCGCGTACCTCGACACAAGCTTCGCGCGTTTCGCGAAGACGTCGTCAAGCCTTACGCCAAAGCCAACGGTCTAGGGTTACATTCCGTCAGTTTCTGGGCCGCCAATGCGGAAGTTTTCCGCACCCTTAAGCTCGCCGCCAAGCAATCGCGCTGGGCGCCTCACTTTTCTTCAGCCATGCACCTCTGACCGAGTTGACTCCTTCAGCGCGCCGGCGACTTACTTCTCGCAATCTTCCGCCTTTGCAAGCGCGCGCGTCGTCACCACTCACGGCGTCTTCATTCATATTTATTTACTGTAGGTTCTCTTTTTTAGTCTCTGATAGTGTTGTATTGCGTATTGATCGAGTCTCGCCGCAGCGCCCGACCCGACCCGACTCATCCGATCCGGGAGAATTGAATCGTCTCGAAAATCGCGAATCCGCCGCGATTCCCCGATCGCGCCGCACACGTCGACGCCCGCGTCCGACGCCCACGACCTCGCGCGCCGCGCACGCCCGAACGATGTCCGACGAAGATAACGAACAGCGCGAGATCGACGAGGATAACCCTCGTCGCGTCGCCGACGAACCCGCCGCCGATGAGGGCGGCGCCGCCGATCACGGGGACGGCGACCGCGGGGCACCGCCGCCGCCGGTCCGAGACGAACCGCCGAACCCGCGCGACTTGCCGGGAGTCTCCGTGCTCGTGCGAAACATCTCGTTCGACGCGCACGAGGACGACATCCGGGATAAGTTCCAGGCGTACGGAAACGTGCTCGACGTGTACATGCCGAAGGATCGCGAGACGGGACGCAAGCGAGGATTGGCGTTCGTGAAGTACGCGATTCAGGGTGAGGCGGACGATGCGGTCGAAAAGGCGACCGGAATGGACATCATGGGACGGGAAGTTCGATGCGAGATCGCGAACGAGCGAAGAAAGAACCCGGATGAGATGCGAGGGCGAGGCGGCGGCGGATACGACGACCGCCGAGGCGGCGATCGCCGAGGCGGGTACGACCGACGGGATGATCGTCCGTACGCTCGCGAAGACCGCCCGCGAGGTGTGTGCTACGCTTGGAGAGAAAACCGATGCGATCGAGGCGACTCGTGCCGCTTCGCGCACTCTGAAGACGGCGGCGGCGGCGGCGGCGGGTACCGCGGCGGCGGCGATCGCGGCTACGGTGGCAACCGCGGCGGCGATCGCTGGGGCGGCGATCGTGATCGCGGCTACGGTGGCGACCGCGGTGGTGATCGCCCGCGTGGCGTGTGCTTCGACTGGCAAAAGGGGCGCTGCGACCGCGGTGAGTCTTGTCGATTCGCCCACGAAGGCGAACAACGCGCCTACTAGGCGCTTCACCGCGAATCACGCTTTCGCAATGTTTTTTACCGTCGATCGATTCGACGACGACTACGACGAACCACGAATCAAAATTTACGACGATGTTTACATTTGTTGTTGTTGAGTACAGTAGAAGGATGAGTACAGGAGATGTTTGTTTGACTATGAAAGAGTTCCTAAAATCTAATATGTGTGAAAATCGTGTTTCGCGATGGTTCCATCGCTTGTGTGAGCAGACCGTTTCTGCACGTTCGTTTCATGCCTTGTGAGGTGAGTCGCGAGTTCAATAGCTGAATTACTCGCTTGTATCGCGTCTGCTTTTGTTGAAGGACTTTCAAGAAGGCTTGGATAGCGAGAAATTCAACGTGCGAGTCCGGCAGTCTCCCGACGCTACTGCAGTGCGCGCGCGCGCTGCTACTCTGACGCTGTATCAATATTTGTCCGAAACGAACGGCGTGCTTGATCGCGCGATAAAGTGCAAGCGATGAGATTTGCTCGCATCCCGGAATCGCGCTCGTCGCAGCGACGTAGCTGTGTGTTTTCATCGCCGCCATGAGGAAGAGCTGGTAGACGTTGACGCGCACGGTGACTTTGCTGTTGATACTCTCGTCGAAAAATATAGCCGCACATTTTGGCTTCAAAAAGCCACAAATGCGTTCGGGTAGACGCGTCCACGCCTTGCGCCCGAGCGGTAGATTCATCGACTCTCGAACGAATTCTCCCGAGTACCTCGAGTAGTCCACCATTATTTCTAGCGTTAGGCAATCGATTAATATACCGCACCACGGGATGTAACTTCGCCCATCCGCGTTCACAAATGTCCTTTGTCGTACGTCTTCTCCGTGGTCGAAGTTTGAAAGCGTTTTTGTGGTGTTTAGAGTGCAGCCGTGCGCCTCGAAACCTTTCTTACACATGTCGACGAACGCTTTGGCCCGATCAAGATCGGTGGTGACGAGAAGCATGTCGTCCATCCATCGACACACGGTTGATTGCTCGCCACAGAAACCGCTCAATAATCCATACTCGTGTTCGAGGTGGCCGTAAAATAGGCTGCACAAAAGCGGAGATACAATCGAACCCTGCGGGATTCCGACGGTTTGTAACAAGAACTTGCCGCGCGCAGAGATGATGTTTTCTCGTAGATGTGCGCGCAATAACGGCACTATGTTTTCATCGGAAATTTCCTTAGCGAATCCTGCGTCAATGACGATCGAGTTTCTGCTCTCTCTACCAAGAATCGCCGCACCGCCGGTGTTCGAAACGCGCTGCGCTTCAGTCACGAGAGGTCCCGGCACTCTTTCGCCTTTCGCCGCGGTCGGAAGGGAAGACACCAACTTTTTATATTTTGCCTCACCGTTTTGTTTCACGACGGCATAATGAAGCGTTTGATATGATGAGCTTGAGATTAGGTCCAAGGCCACGCGCTCGAGAGATTCGAGCGGAAGATTATCGAAAGCGCCTTTAATGTCAGTCGCGAGAATGTACGCCTGAGGACGCCGTCCAAGTAACTTTTGGCGACGAATCGCGCGTAGACACGGTCCAAGACGAAGAAGAGCCGCCTTATAATCTCCGACGGCTGCGCCTAAGACGTTCGGATCTCGAACTGTCTCGTGGTGGAGAATATCCTGCACGTCTTTCAACCGTCTGTTTATCGCATCGAATTTCTTCAACCACCGCATTGAATTCTTCCCGCCGCCCTTGACGACAAAGGTCGTCGGTTTGTTCAGCGTCGCTAGAGGTCGTAACCCCGAGCCTTTCGGTAAAAATCGCATGTTCGAAAACCCCAAGTTGGACGCATTCGATCTATCCATCATCGCTGTCACTTCCTTCGCCGTGAGGCGCTTGAACGACGTTTCTTCCAAGCTTTGTAGTGTGGCGGTGACGAGCCGAGACCAAATCCCTTTCCGGTAAAAGAATATCCTATTTTTGTGTGTTTGCGTATCCGTGGCGTAGAAATGACATCGTATGATTGGGAAGACCATCTCTTGCACGAGCCAGCTGATCCATTTGGTGACCATTCTCCGCTGACTCGCCTCCACCTGTCCTGCGTTACTCGCATTGGTCGTTTTCGCCTTGAAACACTTGAAGTCTGCCGTTCGGATGCCTTGCATGACTTCATGCAAAGTAAACCGCTCGTATCTTCGCAACGACACAATTCGGCGAATGCAACCGTACAGGCTTTTTCGTGTTTGGACCGACCCCAAGAGTTCGACGGGCACGAGGCGCTCAATGACTTCCCAAACAAAGGCGGCTACTCTTCGTGGTGCCGTATACGCAGATAACAGCGACGCTTGACTCAATTCACCGACTCGTTTCGTGGAGACCATTAGCTCACGCGGCATGGGAGCGTGCTTGTTGAGGATGTTCGTGAATGGGCAACATCGAACCTTGTCCAACATCGCCCGCAACGTCGGTAAAAGTGTGTCGCGGTGCTTTTGCGGAATTCTATACGTACTCTTTGCCTGCCGCAAAGCGCGATCTGTCTTGTGCTTCGATGTAGCCTTCGTAAGCTTTTTTGCCTTAAATATCGTCAGGTAAAGGCGCCTTGATGCGCGGACGCCCAAGCCGATCGATCGCAGAGTATGCGTCGCCGGCAAGCCTGGTTTCTTCGTGAAGCTTGAACGAAACATGAACACCCCTCGATCGAAGACCTCGTCAGCAAGTTTCACCTCGTTACCCAAACTCGCATTCTTTTGTCGATTCACGATGTTGCCGGCGGTCATTTGCTTCACTTCTCGCGTCCGCAAACTCTGAGCATGCGTTGAGTTCAGCCGCGCTTCACGCTTACGAAGCCAACTCGGCTTTCTGTACGACTTCGAGCGCTTTCTCGACGTTTGCAGATATTCCGTCGAGGCAGGCGACAAAGTCACCTCCTCGCTCGTCAGTCCACTAGTCTCGCCATCCCCGTCGACTGAGACATCTTGTGAACAACGATAGACGTCGCTCAATCGAATGACTTCCTTCACGTCGATGTGCGAAATGAATGGGTTCGCGGTGAGCGGCTTTTCGGACATGCACTTCGACTCAAGCATGGTGGAATCGGTCTCCAACGCGCAATTCTCTGCCGCCTCTTCATCTTGGCGTCGCTTTCGCGCCCTCCGTTCGCGTCGAATTCCCGCTCGCGTCTTACTCGTAGCCATCGCGGTCGTTATGGCCCGCTTGCGCGAGGAGTCATTCATCGGGTAGCCACAAATCTGCAACAACGGCGTGTCTCTGTCCGTACCGACTCTCACAAACACGCTGCAGTACAATAAAATGTGCAGAAACATGTCGTCTCCCACTCTATCACAAAATGTTTCCCATACCGGTGACTTGAACGCCTCGTACGCGCTCGTCGAGCACCGCACGCTCACCTCTGTCGAACCGCTCAAAAGCGCGCCTCGAACGCCGCCGTCACGTCGCTCAACGCGTCGGCACATCCCCTTACACAACACATTCCGCGGATTCGCCGACGCGCGAAATGAATGCTCGATCGCTGCGCGCACGGTATCCATCACACCACCCCTACGCTCGCCTCCTCTACCCGAAAACGTTGGCGCAGAATCCGGCGCGAACGCGTACGTCGATCGTAACAGCGCGTTCGCGTACGCGCCCTCGTCCCCAACCCTCCGCAACACCGGCTGCGGTCGCCCGCTTCGCGCGCACATCTCCTCCACTAGCTCCTGTCCGCGATCTCGACGCCAGCGCGCCTTCGTCAGTCTCTTCGCGCGCGCGCGTTCTCTCGCGTCAAACCGGGCACCCGCGCGCCGCCGTCGCCTCGAACGCCCATCCCAATCGTCTAATCATCGCACCTCCAGCGTCCGCACGCGATCGTGCGTCACCGCCAGCGCCAACGGCGCCGTCGACGACTTCCCCCGCGCGCGCACTTTTCGTCCCGTCGCGTCTCGTCGCGCCCGCTTCGCGCCGTTTCGCGTCGTCGCGCGCGCCGTTTGCAAAGATGATTTTTGAACCACCGTCGAGAGATGCGCGTCGTCGTCGCTCGTATCGCGCGTCGCGCGCGGTCGCTTGCGCGACATCGCGCGTCGCGCGTCGTCGCGCGTCGTCGCGCGTCGTCGCGCGTCGTCGCGTCGACGCCGCGCGGCGCTCTGGCGTCACACGTCGTCGCGCGGATGTTTCCTCGCCTCGTCGCCTCCGCGTTCGCGACCGGCGTCGCGTGCGCGGGCGTCGTCGTCGGCTACGGTGCCGCGCTCGGTGGACGCGCGTGCGATTGCGAGCGCGTCGACGCGCGCGCGCGCGACGCGGCGTACGATCGCGAGGCGAAAACCTTTGACGACGCCGTGAGGTCCAGTGAATACTGGTCCGGCATCGAAAACATGCGCGCGTCGCTCGCGTACGGCGCCCGCGGCGACGTGTTGGAGGTGGCGTGCGGTACGGGAAGGAACTTTTCGTATTATGACCCGAAAAAAGTGCGCACGCTGCTGGCGATGGACGCGTGCGATGGGATGGTGGAGGAGGCGCGCGCGAAGCTGCGGACGCGCGACGGCGGGACGACGGTGCGAGAGGCGATCGTGACGCGAGGAGACGCGCAAAGGATGAATGTGAAGACGGGAAGCGTGGATACCGTGGTGGATACGTTTGGGTTGTGCAGTTACGAGGACGCGGTGGGGGCGTTGCGAGAGATGAAGCGCGTCGTTAAGCGAGACGGCGGTCGGGTGTTGTTGCTCGAGCACGGACGAAGCGAGTACGGCTGGTTGAGTAATATTCTGGATCATTTCGCCGATGCACACGCGCGACGATGGGGATGTTACTGGAATAGGGACATTTTGAAGCTAATCGAAGACGCGGGGTTGGAAATTGTGGAAAAATCGACGCACCATCTCGGCACCACGTTTGTCATCGAGGCGACGCCGCGAAAGGGATAGAAGTCCTTTTCGTTATTAGTCGGATGTTACAACTACAATAGGGTTATTAGTACGAGTCTAGATGTGTGACATCTTCGCGACGGGCGCGACGGACGCCGCCATGGATGATGTATTTGATGTATTTGCCGCGCTTTAGTAATATCCAACCGAAAAGACTCTTCGGAAACCGCCGAGGACGGCGATGACAAAGAAGTACGTCACACTCCCGGTGAAAATGTACGAATCAAATCGATCGAGCAAGCCGCCGTGACCCGGAATCAGATTCCCACTGTCCTTCATCGTCGCATTTCTCTTCATCACGCTCTCGAGGAGATCGCCAAAGACGGAGGTGAAGAACACCGTGACGCCCAAAAACGCGCCTTGCCACGCGGTTCCAGGCCACCCCATGACTGAAAACAAAGCCGCGCACGTCCCCGCGCAAGCCAACAACCCGCCGATCGCGCCTTCGACCGTCTTATTCGGGCTTACCGCCGTGAGTTTGTTTTTACCAAAGTTTTTGCCAAACGCGTACGCCCCGACGTCCGCGCTCACGACGGAGAGCACGATGGTGATCGTCGCCGCGAGGCCGAGGGTCCAAATCCCCGGACCACCGAGCCAAGCGGGCCAGTGATGAAGCAAACTGTCCGGAGTGGCTAGCGAGACGCCGCTCATGCCGCGAAGCTTGACCCAAAACGTCGGCAAGAAGCCGCAATAAATCAAGCCAAACAGAGACGACGTAAACTCGTTAAAGTGGGACTCTTCGTTCACGATGAGCGCGGCGCAGATCGCGGTGAACGAAATCACCGTGGCGACGATGATGGACGTCATCTTACCCCCCGTGGCGTGCAGGAGAACTGGTAACGAAGCGCACGCCGCGACGCATAAATTAATGCACCACTCCGGCGGCGGATACGGAAGCTCCTTATTCATCTCTCGCACCATTCCAAAGTATTCCACGCACGACGCGCCGTTGAAGAGCGCCATCGCCAGCGCCCATGGCCACCCACCGGCGAAGATCACCACCCCGCCCACGGCGACCATGAAGAGAGAGCTCACGGTTCGCTTCAACAAATTCGACACCCCCTTCCCCTTCGTCGGCTTTCGCTCGCCCTCGCCCACCGCGGCGTCCGACGCCGCGCTCTCGACGCGCGCGCCCCACCCTCGCCCGCGCGCGCCATCGCCCCACCGCTCGCGCGCCCCGATCACCGCCCGCGTCCTCGCCCGTCGCGCCGCGTCCTCGCCCGTCCGCGCGTCCCGCGCGCTCGCGCGCGTCCCCTCCCAACCTCGCGCCCGCGTCCCTCCCGCCCCCTCGCGCGTCCGCGCGTCCGTCCCGCCTCGCGCGGTCGCCGTTCGCCCCCCCCCGCGCCGACGCGCGCGCGTCTTCGCGTCGCCGCGGCGTCCGTCGAGCCCCGTCGCCACCGCGCCCCGCGTCGTCATCGCGCGCGCCATCGCCGCGCGTCGCCGTCGCGCGTCGCGCGCGCGCCGCGCGTCGCTCGAAAGCGTCGCTCGGACCCTCGGTCGTCGCGCGTCGCGCGCGCGCCGCGCGTCGTCGTGTGCGCGCGTCGATTCGCATTCGGTCGGTCGCGTTCGGCGCGCCATCGCCCTAGACCCTATTCGCGCGCGCGAATCCCGCGCGTCTGCGATCGCGCCGCGTCAGAGCGGCGAGCGACGCTCGACGCCCTCGAGCGAGCGCGCGCGCGCCGGCCGAACGCGTGCCGCATCGCGCGCGCGATCGCGACGGGCCGACGCGCGGTCGCGGGACGCGCGACGACGCGCGCGCGCCGCGCGATCGCGACCCGCGGGACGCGCGACGACGATCGCGCGTGACTGTTTGCCCACACGCGCGACCGCGGTCGGTCGAGGTCAATCCGCACAAGGCGCGGGGCGTTCGAATGCCGGGCGCGAACGGCGCGAGCGACGGCGGGGGGGCGAAGCACTCGTGGCGCACGTGGCAATCGGACGACGACATCCCGCAGAGGAAGATTCTGATTCAACACATGTGCGTCGCGAAGGCGAACGGCGCGCGAGGCGACGCGGGGGGGGGAGGCGCGAACGCGGATCTCGCGGACGAGGCTTAGGTCGCGAAGACGCGCGCGAACGCGCGCTCAGGCGAAGGGACGACTGACGACGGCGTGGACGCGCGAACGGTGCGCAGATTGCGAGTGTTTAAACAAAGGAAACCGGAATTGACGAACGAGTGGAAACACAAGCTACCGGACTTTGTGCTGCGATTGGAGGAGGCGGTGTATCGCGGAGCGCGGAGCAAGGTGCGCGGTTTCGATCGGCGCGCGCGACGAACGAGGCGGTTGAGGCGCGCGCGCGCGCGGGTGATGACGTTCGAGGACTGACGGTTGGATTGTGGGGGTGTTTTTGCGATCGTAGGATGAGTATTGCGACAAGGCGACGTTGGAGGCGCGACTTCAAGCCGTCGCGCGCATCATGATTTCTCGTCAAGGCGCGCAACAGGGCGGAAGAGGAGGCGGGAGCGCTGCGGCGGCTTCGCGTCAGCAGATGGGAGCGTTGTTCCCAGGGGGATTAGGGGGGAATATGGCGCAACCCGCGGCGGGACAGATGATGGGGGGTAACGGTATGTTACCGAATGGGGCGCCGATTTTGCGCGGCGCGGCGGCGGCGCAAGGATCGCAATACGCGGGAGGATCTTCGCAAATGATGGCCGGCGTGCCACCTGGGACGATGATTCCGACGCAGGGTGTGGGTTCGATGATGCCTGAGGCAGCGACGGCGGCGGCGCCCAAGGGACGAGCTAAGGCGCCGCCGAAGGGTAAAAAGCTCACCAAGGCGCAGCAGGCGGCGCAGGCGAAGCAGCTCGCGCAACAGCAACAGATGGCCCAACAGCAACAGGCGGCGATGCGCGGGCGCCAGCAACCGGGTAGTGGTGGGGGTGGTGTCGTTGCTAATTGGCGAGACATCAATGACGAGCAGTTACGAAAGGCGTACATCGTGAAACAGCAACGATGGCTTCTCTTCCTTCGACACGCGAGCAAGTGTCAGGCGCGACACGGGCACTGCCCCTACACGCCGCACTGTCACGTCGCGAAGCAGTTGTGGGAGCACGTGTTGAAGTGTACGCTGACGCAGTGCAACTATCCTCGATGTTTGGCGTCGCGTGAGTTGTTGAAGCATCATCAGACGTGCAAGGACGCTGGGTGTCCGGTGTGCGGTCCCGTGCGCAACGCCATGCTCAAGCAGCGTCAACAGGCGCAAATGCAAATGGCGCACGGCAACAAGAGAATGAAGCTCGATCACGATCTCGATCGTGGTCAACTCATGGTGAAGGGTACGAGCGGTTTGAAAACGGATCGCAAGCCAGGTGGCGAAGGGACGTCGTTAATGGAGTGCTTCACTCCGGAAGAAATCCGTACGCATCTCGCCGCCTTGCGTCTCGCCGACAAGGAAAAGGTGCAAGGTCAAGGTCAACCGAGCGCTCGTCAGCTTCAGAAGGAAGCTGAGCGGGCGGTGATCAACGCGACAGAAAGTTCGTGCCGTGCATGCGGCGTTGAACGATTGACGTTCGAACCACCGCCGCTTTACTGCTACAGTTGCGTCGGTCGCATCAAGCGCGGACAAGTATTCCACCAGATGCCTAGCCTCGGGGGCGAGACTCGAAGAGATGCGTGGTGTAACCCGTGCTTCAACGCCATCCAAGGGTATGTCGATGTCGAGGGTCAACGGTTTCCGAAAGCGACGCTCATCAAGAAGAAGAACGACGACGATCTCGAGGAGCCATGGGTGCAATGCGACTACTGCGAGGATTGGTATCACCAACTCTGCGTTCTTTTCAACGGTAGACGCAATGAAGGCGGTGAAGCGCCATTCACGTGTCCAAACTGCATCTTATCGCAGTTGGATAAGAACGAACGTCAAGTTACTGCTGAACGTCCGTCTTCACAACAGCCGGCGAGCTCGTTACCGAAGACAAAGATGTCGACGTTTTTGGAAGAACGCCTCGCGTCGAAGCTCTCGGCGGAACGCGTGGAGCGCGCGAAGCAGTTGGGCGTACCCATAGAAAACGTCCCGACCGCTGAGAACTTGACCATTCGTGTTGTGTCTCAAACACTCAAACAAATGGACACCAAGCCGCACTACTACGCCCACTTCAAAGAACAGGGCATTCCGGCGCACTTTACTTACCGTTCGCGCGTCATCCTCCTGTTCCAAAAGCTTGAGGCCACCGATGTGTGTTTGATGGCTATTTATGTGCAAGAGTATGATGACGAGTGCCCTGAACCGAACCGGCGAAGAATTTACCTCTCGTATTTGGACTCTGTCAAGTACTTCCGACCGGACAACGTCACCGTGGCCACGGGCGAAAACTGCGCGTTGCGCACGTACGTCTATCACAACATTCTGATTGCGTACCTGGACTATGTCAAACAGCGCGGCTTCACGTCGTGCTTTATTTGGGCGTGTCCGCCGTTCCAAGGAGACGATTACATTCTGTACTGTCACCCCAAGGTGCAAAAGACGCCAAAGGCTGACAAGCTTCGTGAGTGGTACCTCAAGATGTTGCGCTCGGCGCAGAAGGATGGCATCGTCATTTCAACTTCGAACGTGTACGATGAATTCCGACTCGGCAATCAAAATCACGATATTCGATGCGCCACTGAGTATCCGTATTTCGATGGTGATTACTTCTCCGGCATTGCGGAAGATTGGATACCGACCATCATGAAGGAACTCGAGGAGGCAAAGAACATCGAGGCGAAGACAAAGTCGTCCACGGTTAAGATCAGCGCGCGCAAGGCGGCCAAGGCAAAGAGTGGCACGATCGCCGCTGACGCTGAACTGAATAAAGAACTAATGAAGAAGCTCGGGACGACGATCAGCAACATGAGAAACGACTTCATGCTCGCCCATCTTGCGCACCAATGTTTGTGCTGCCGCAGAACCATCGCCGGTGCCAACCGCTATTACGCGACGGAAGGCACACCCTTGGTGCTTTGCGAAGAATGCAAGGAGACTGAAGATGCGATGCCAGAGAACGAAAAACGTTACGCTGGCCGCAAGCTCGAGTGCGAAAAGTGTGAGGAAATTCCCACGCTGACGAAGGAACAGAAGGACGAGGAGGAAAAGCTCGAGAGCGAATTCTTTGACACACGTCAAGCGTTCCTGTCCTTGTGCCAAGGCAATCACTTCCAGTTCGACTCGCTTCGTCGCGCCAAACATACGACCATGATGGTGCTGTATCACTTGAACAATCCATCTGAGCCTGCATTCGTCGCATCATGCAACGTTTGTTCACGCGAGCTCGAGCCCGGAAAGGGTTGGCGCTGCGAGACGTGCCCCGATTTCGATATTTGCGACAACTGCCGCATCAGAACTGGTCACCAGCACCCCCTCATGCGACAAGGTCGTACCGCCGGAGATCGCACGGCGTTGTCTCAAGCCGAGCGCGAGAACCGCGCGGCGCAGATCGAGCGAACCATGGAACTCTTGCTCCACGCGTGCAAATGCCGCAAAGAACGATGCGAAAACAGCAACTGCCCGAAAATCAAACACTTGCTCAAGCACGCCTTGAGCTGCACGGTCAAATCAGCAGGCGGGTGCCAGCTCTGCCGTAAAACGTGGACGCTGTTGCAAATTCATTCTAAGGGATGCATGGAGGACGACTGCCCCGTGCCCAGGTGCCGCGATCTCAAAGAGTACCGTCGTCGCGGTCAAGAACAAATTGAAGAGCGCCGACGCGAGCAATACAGACTTTACCTGAACGCCGCGCGATGAGCGCGCGACGATCAGAACAACACGATTAACGACATTCAAACGACATTCAAACACACACATTAGAAATACCACGTGTAACACAAAAAGCAAAAGTAGTCAAGTCGAACGAGGCGCGAGACGCGAGCGAGTTCAGTTGGCGCACAGACAACCGTCGCACGCCATCGTGCGACGCGCGCGCGCGATGTCCCTCCCCGGGCGCGCGATCGACGATGTAGACGAGCCCTCGTGCGCGAGGCGTCTGCGAGTGCACGGCAAGCCCCACGCGCGCGCCGGCGACGACGCATCCGAATCAGAATCGAACGAAGACGAAGAAACCGATTCCGACAACGAACGCGACGGTCGAGCGTTCGATGGACTCGAGCTCCTGCGCGAGGGAAGACTGGCGGAGAAAGTCGTCGCGTACGAGCGGTCGACGCTGGCGGGCACGAGCGATGGGTCGGGAGGACGCGGTGGAGGTACGGCGCGTGACGACGACGACGACGAGGCGACGGCGCGACGAAACCCGACCATGGCGGCGTTTTTGCGCATGGGCGGCGTGAACGAGAGTAGGAAACGGCGGCGAAAGGGGCGACAGAAGAAGTCGGCGCGGTCGAAGCAAGCGATGGAGGCAAACGATTTAATGAGTGATGCGACCATATTGTACGCGCGGGGCGAATACGCCGAGGCGGTGAGTAAGTTGCACGCGGCGATTGTGAAAATCCCGCATTCGAGCGAACCGTACGAGCAATTGGCGCTGGTGTACGAGGAAACGAACGATTTAGAAAAGGCGTTGGATAGTTACTCTTTGGCGACGGCGGTGAAGCGTGGGGTGGACCCGTCGATGTGGTATCGCATGGCGTCGCTGGCGGTAAACGTGAACAACAAAGATTACGCCATACATTGCTTAGCAAAGGCGGCGAGGTCTGACCCGCACAATTACGAGAATAAAATGGATCAAGCAACGTTGTATTCGGAGCTTGGAGATGCGAAAAAGGCGATTGAGCAACTTGAGTGGGTGCTGAAGGACGATTTGCCGCCGCTCGACGGCGCTATTTTGCGTGACGCCGTGGTCTTGCTCGCCAAGTTGTATTATAGTGCTGATATGCGAGATAAGGCTGAGCATGCTCTAGAGCACATGCTGAAAGCGTATCCACAGCACATCGACGCCACAGTGGTGAACATTTTGATTGAGTTGAAGATTGAGTTCCGCAAGTATTCCGAGGTACTAGAAATTGTCGAGCGTTCGCGCGCGAATATTTTAGAGCACGTCGACTCTGGACAGCTGCCTTTGGACATTTCCGTAAAACAAGGTCAATGTTTGCTTTACGAAGGACAAACGGAAGAAGGCATGGAGCGCATTGAAGAGCTCTTGCGGCACAAGGTGACTGAGTTTGATGACTTGTACTTTGACTGCGGAAAAACTCTGATGGAGGTTGGGTTGGCGTCGAAGGCGGAAGAGGTGTTCATGCACTTAATCGCGCTCGACGAGTACGACAATGTCGATATGTGGCAGCGCGTAGAGCGATGCGTTCAGCAATCGAGGGGCTTGCGCGCGGTAGTCGAATTTTACGACATGCTCCATGACAAGCACCCGAGCGACGTATTCATCGCCGTATCTCTAGCCGATTCGCTTTCGCGTTTTCAAGACGACGAAGAATCGTTGAGGCGGGCGAGGTCACTTGTGTCAAATTTAGATGACGTCGAGGTACAGAAATATGGCATTTTATTGCGCGTGACTGCTTTACAAAGAAAGCTCTTGAGCGAAGCCGAACTGACTGTCATCATTCCAGCTGCGTTGAAGCTCTTGGAAGACTTGAGCGAAAAAAGATCGCAACGCAAGCTCCAACGCGCGGGACAGGGGAGCGATGATTTCGTGGACGATAACGTTCGGATATCAGATGATGATGTGTTTGCTAATATTATAAGCGGTGCCGAGGTCGCTATTCGGCTCGGTCGACACGAAGAAGCGGGAACCATCGTGAATCATGCGCTTTCATTCTCCGCGGGGAGCGTGCTGACGCGAGAGCAGACGGCTTCGCTACGATACCTAAAGTCGCTCGTGGCGTACATGATGGGCGATTTGCAAGAGTCTGCGGCAAGCTGTCGTAGTGTTCTTGAGGTATTCCCGAATTCGGTAACGGTTTGGAACATGCTGATGCACATGGCTATCGATTATCCTCGAGCGCTCAGCGTTGGAACATCAAAGCTCGCCAAGCGTCTCGTCGCGAGTAGCCTCGACGATGCCTCACGCGAACGTCTGCTACCTTTGATGGCATCTGGGTACGTTCACACGTGGAACAAAAAGTGGTCTATAGCAATGCACGATTTCCTCACGGCTCTCACGATCGCGCCGAACGATCACGAGGTGAATTTATGTGCGGCGATTTCTCTTTTGCACATGGCAACGAGAAATTCAAACGAGCAGCAGCGTCACGCACTGGCGCTTCGAGCTGTCGTTCTGCTCGAACGTACCGCGGAGTTGAACACGACAAGCCCACAAGAAGGGATGTACAACTTGGCCCGAGGCCTGCAACATCTCGGCTTTCCGCACCTCGCTCGTCCGATTTATGAGCGTTGTCTGGAGATGCCGGTGAGCTCCGAGGCGGACGATTTGCGTCGCGAAGCGGCGTACAACTTATCCCTCATCTATCGTTCTTCGAACGCAAACGGCTTAGCGCGCGCGATTCTACGAAAGTATATGACGGTTTAGGCACCGATAAGAAACCGACTTGCGGCACGTAGTACAATGTGAAGATTACAAATCATTAGCGACGTTCATCGCTTGAACAAACCGGCAATGCGCGACGCCAACTCAGATGTCGTTGACGGTACACGACGCAACGTTGGGACTGGCGCGACCGCTCGAGCCTGTAACTGCGCCCGCAGGTGATTAACCTCCGACTCCAATCGCTGAATCGTCTTCGCTTGCTCGGTAATAATCGAACACAGTTTGATAACTTCCGACGTCGACTCCTCACCTTCGACCTCGACCCTCTCTAACGCCGCCGGCGACAACGCCCCGAGCATGCTTCCGAACATATCTAATCCACTTGCTGGCGGTTTCATCGTTGCCGTCGCCAGCGTTTCCAATCTCGGGCTCTTCATCCCACTCAACGGTCTTGGCGTCGGCGGTTGCGCACCGTACTTGCGCTGATTCATGATATACGACGTCGTATTTTTAGGTTTCTTCGGCGTCGTTCGCCGCCCGTCCGACTTTGTGCTCGACCGAGGCTTCTTCGCCACGCCCGCAGACGTCATCTTCGGCGTCTTTGGCGTCCTCAGCGCCTTGGGCGTCATATTTTTCTCCGTCAACTTCGCCGGCACCGTCTTTCCCCTCGTCGGCGTTTTCTGCAGCGCCGCGCGCGTCGTCGCGCGGTTCGCGGGGGCGACCTTCTTCTTCTTGTTCGACTTGTGCGCGGGCTTGGTTTTCTTCGCCTTCGTCATGCTGCGCGTTCGATGCGGCCGCAAGTGACGTGCGATTCGGATTGCGTTCATCTTGCGCCGCAACTGGCCAGTCACTGGCGCGGCTGGCGCGAGATGCGATGTCGCGCGAGGACGACGATGGATCAACGGATTGAGCTAGTTATTTTACAATGCAGTTAAAGGCTACGCGCCGCGGGCGCCCAGAGGCACACACGACCGTCGGCAAGACCGACGACGAGGCACTCGTCGCGCGCGACGGGTGAAATGGAGACGACGCCCGCGTTGGCGACGTTGATTTGCGCACGAATCGATAAATCATGCACGGCGCGGACAGTGATGTCTCCGCGACGATTGCCGATGAGAATATGTCGCTCGTCGCGGGTGACGCAAAATGCGTCAAAGGCTTCGTGCCGACTGAGCGATTTGGCGAGTGTGGCACCGTTGACATCATGCACGGACAGCGCGCCGGCGACGCCGCACGCGCACACGACGAGAGATGATTTTGGAAGCAATTCGATGGACGATGGGATGCACCCAGGTGGGGTGCTTTCCAATGCACGAACGATGTGCCCATCCCGGCTGTCGTGCAGGATGAGGGTGCCATCAATGCTGCCACTCGCTACCAAGTTGAGCGATGAATTCACAGCAACGCACGTGATGGCTTCGTCATGACCGAAACAGATCATTTTTGGTTCGGCGCTCAGGACTTTGGTGCCTTTACTAAAGCCCCAGCCTCCTTGAGGGAGCACCATCTCCCAGATCGCGAGCGTGGTGTCGCGACTTCCCGTAACCACGATGACTTGGTCCATTTGGTGCGAAGCCTCGTCCCAGCTCCTCGAGCTCCCGAGTTCGCACAACGCGAGACACGTCGTCACATCTCGATGTGCACTGATACGCTGCATCTCGCGCCCCTCCTCAATGTCGAAAATACGCATGCTTCTGTCCCAATGGCCAACACTCAGCAAGACTTTGCCTTTCAGAGCGACATTGACGGATTGCGAATGCGCAAGCGAATCGGCGTCGACGTCAATTTCGAGCATGAGCCGGGATGTCGTCTCTGGTTCGAGCGCGTACGCGGTTGAGTGATCGACGCCACCCAGCCCGAATGTCGTTCCAGGACGTTGTAAGCGCTGAATGGAAACCATTCGTCCAGCGGTGACCACGGCAATACGCGAATCGTACGCGGTGGCGTGCACCACCGCTTGCGCCCGCATCGGTAGGCCGTTAGACTCGGATGAGACAACTGTCGCGAGTTTGAGCGATTCGGGAGAGATTGAAACCACGTGTTCTGTCGCTTGGGGCGGCAGACGAACTGGGTGCGCGCGCCTGAAAATTTGCGCGGGAGTCTGACCGAAGTTGATGATTTGTGTCTCGATCGCGTTCCGTTGATCATCATCTTCTAATGTGTCGATATCCACGGCGCCTTCGTATGTGAGATAATAAAACACGTTGCATCGCTCGACCGCGGCGGCCCCTCGCTGTGCGTGCCCGAAAATCAAATCAACCCAGTGGTGCAGATTTTCGCTTACGTAGTCCGATTCTAGCGATTCCCGCATCACTCGAGTGAATTCGTGCCTCGAACCCTTGGCCCAAGGCGGGAGAACTACATCATCAATAGTCGATCCGTCCTGTCGCACCCCAAGTTTTAGTCCATTTGTATTCGTCAAGAACTCGGACGAGTAGTAAAATTCTGGAATAAGTTCCTTGACATCAGCGGATGATTCTACGCAAGCTTTGAACGTTTCCGCGACCGAATGGAATAAGCGATCTGCTCGATCAAATCTGTCGCCCTGTAATGCTCGAGCGAGTTTCGTGTAAGGTTCCAGGCGTAACAAGAAGAAAAGTACGATCGGGGACGATGAGTAATGACTGCCGTAATGGAAAGGCGGCGTGTCAGGGTCGTCCAACAGCGACTTGTATCTCTCAACGAAGTTCTTGAGACGCTCTTCGTTGAGCGCGCCAACGGGTTTTCTCAGATCTCGATACACCGAAGGGTCGGCCAGATCTATTGTTTCAGCTTCGTATTCTTTCAACACCCAAGGGAAAACGGGATATTGACTCAAGTCGTGCAACGTTCGCCCGGCGAAGACGTTCAAGGCCATAAGATAATCGAAAGTGCTCAGTTTTTGTCTGCGCCAGAGCTCCTTCGCGCGTTCGGCTGCTTCAGTTTTCGCACGTCTGTTCATCAAAGTCGCCCCCGCCGATGATGCCACGCGCGTAGCTGCGTATCGCGCCGTTTTCTTGGTATCGAACGCAAAAAAGGCACTGGTGTGATCCGCGCAATGCATCTCGAAAGCCTTGTGCTGAAGGCGATATCGCATGTGATGTACCTCGACAATTTCACTCAAGCTCCATCGCCAGAAACGTTTTCGATGATCTTTCGCACTCTCATGCGTACGATCGGCGGCAAATACAACGGCATCACGACTGACATTGAGCTTACCCAGTACAGTTCTCGTGAGCGTCACGAGTGATGCCGGCGTGCTGAACACGACTTTACTCCTATTGTGCATCGCGTTCTCCTTGTCCACAGCGAGTTTTTCTGCGAGTTCGTCTGCGACATCATCGACATCAACGTAGTCGCTATCCGAATTCATCTTCCATTTTTGACCCATGCCGACGAGGCGAACCGCTTGGATATCTTGTACATCGCTTTGTAATGTTGATTCGCCACCTTTTTGATTGTCTTCGTACTGCACAAACTTATAATCGCGCTTCAAACGAGATCGTCTCATCGATGAGTCCTCAGACTTGTCGAGTTTCCAGTGCGCCTTTGCATCACAGTTTTCAGCCGCCCACGCGCCTCGCTCACCTTGTAAGTCGCGCAACATCGCGGACCACCGACGAGCGAGCACATCGCAACGTTCTTCAAACGTCAGACGCTGCATCGCGCGACGTGCGCGCTCGCGCTCGCTTACCGGACCCAATTTAGACTTATGAGTCTCTAACAGTGCCGTCTCGGCTTGCGCTTGCCTTTGCTCGTGCCGCGTACGTTCGGAAAGAAAGTTTTCACTCACTTTTGAGCGCAGCTCTTTGACTTTCCTAGACTCTTTGGCCTCGATCGCTGCGGCGGCTGCCACCTTTTGTTCAGAAATCAAATCACGGCCGTCCAAATGCGCGCACTCCTCGACGCTCGCGCAATCTGAAAGCAGAAGTCTACCAACCTCAGATGCGAGTCGAACGAGATTTACGACGAGCTGCGACCGTGTTGACGCATCAGGATCTTCACTCTTTTTAGCAAACTCGACGTAACGCATCAAATCCGCGATAAACAAGTGCGCTCTGTTCCCTAGCGGCGCGGTATCCATCGCTTTTCCATCCTTGTCGACCAAGACTGGGGCCAAAAATGATGGTAGAAGTCCAATGCACGTATTCAGTGCTGTCTGCAACTCTTCGAGCGCGCTCGCTCGCACGTAAAGTAAGGTCAACCTGAATCCCATTCGCTGACAAGTCTTGCGCAGAGCCTCAACGGCTTCGACGCTATCAAACTCGCTCTCGCTATTGCTCGAAAATGGTAAATCACGAATCATACTCTTCGCTCGCCTGTGCAGCTTTTGAGCCATGTTTGTGGATTTTACGGCATCCGCCGTCTCTTCGGGCGCGTCCACGGGATGACCAGGAGGAGAGATCGCATCTAATAGGTTCCATAAGTTGTCGTAAAATCTCCAAGAGATCTTCTTAACGCTGGACTTTGCATCGGAGGCACTCGGTACTCCAAGCGCGGCCGCTGTCGCGGACGTGTCGGAAATGATTGAGTCGAATATGTGCAAAAGTCTCGAAAGGTTGCGACGACATATCGGTGACTCAACATTTTGCACTTCAGACCACTCGTCTTGCTCGGACGAAGACGCTCGCGTCGGGAGAATGCACTCAAGCAAATCCGAAAGGAGTTCCTGCGCTAAGTCTGACTCATCGGCTAAGACGCCGCGTTTGATGAGAATGTCGATGACGCCAAGCATGTTCGACACGTGCTGGTGACCTTCGTCAGTCTTGAGCACCGCGTGCGAGAGAAGTGCCGTTATTAATCGTCGAGCCATCGATTTCTCGTCGTTTTGCGTTTCGTCACTGTGGTCTTTGAGGATGGGGAGGATCCAAGTCTGCCAGCCTCGCTGCTCCAGCACAGCCTGTGCGTTCACGCTTGCACCTTCCACGAGTTGGAGAAGCAGCTCGAGCACGCTTAAACGCATTTCCGCATTATCGCTTGAATTCATCAGTCGAAGCAACACCCCAGCGGCGCCTGCATTGACTATACCGGGTACACCAACGCTAATACACTCCTTATCTTTGGTTTGCGCGTCGTTTCCGTGGCCTGTGACTTTGGCAAAGAGCCTGCCAGCCGCAGCTCGCACGGATGAATTCTTTTCCCTGTTCAACCTTTCGGCTACTTTTTCCGCTGGTAGCGCCTGGCCACCAAGTAAAAGCTCAAAGAGCGCCGAGCGGGATTCAGCGATATCGAGGGGGAATTTTTCGAGGGCGTTCGCGACTGCAGTGAAAAAGCCGACTTCAAAATCCTGACTCGCTGTCGCCGTGAACTTGCCGCCGAGAGTGGCAGTCAGCGCACCAGCGGCCGCGCCGAAAGCAGCAGATATATGAGAGGCACCCCCAGAACTCTTGCTCGAAGCCTCGAGCGGAGGCATCAAGTTTGCAAGCCACAGAAGAGCGAAAGAGCGGACTCGCCTGGAGCTCCTGCTCAAAGGCGATAGCGCCAGCAGTGGTCCGCCGAGCTTGGTGAAAGCCTGGTAGAGCGTGGGCTGAACTTCCTCACCCGGTTGCATGCAGTTAACTAGCCAGCGCAGAACATCACCAACGGTGTCTTCGTCGGCACATTCTTCGATGACGTGAACGATAGTTTCCGCAGTTTCCTCAATCATCTGATTCGGGGCGTCGATAACAAGCTGCTTCAACACGTCCAACAAAACTCGACGACGAGACGTTCCACTCGCACCTGGAGTGAAATCGAGGGCATCGATGAGATCACTTGTTGGCAAATGAAATCGTAATCCATCCGAGTGTTTGGTCGCCAAACTCAACAAGTACTCGCCATGCGCTTTTTGAGTGGCGTCATCGGCGAGGGACCAAAGATGCAAATCAACGACGATGCGTGCCGATGCCGATTCGTGCTCGATCCCGCCCGCACGACGAAGCCTGTCGAGTGCTGGGAGTAAATCTGGACAGAGTAAAGTCGTTGCATTCTCTCGCAGAAGATTTGCAATCAAGGCGTACCCATCACACAACGTTAACGTAACTTGATTGAGTCTGCTTCCATCGAGTAAAGCAACGAGCAGATGAACCCCTTCGCAAACAATTTGTCGCCGTTTCGACGTCTCGGCGGCGTGCAGGATGTCAGAAAAGATTGGAAGAACGACTTGAACACCACCGAGGCAGTGCACGACGTCTTTGACTGAGTTTGTGACGCAAACTTTCGCCCCTCCGATCAAATCATATTCGTTCACGTCGTACACCTCCGACTGAGCGCTTCGACCGGCGACGGTGACTGCGCTTATACTAATCAGTCGATGATCGGCGAGATACTCGCGAGTATCGCGAGCCTCGACAGCGTTCACGCTGATTGCCTGAAGGATTCTTTCCGTTTGCGATTCTGTTGACTTAAAACGTCCGACATAATCTGCACCGAGTGCATGAATCATCGCAATCGCCGGTTGCGAAAGGGCATCATCGAATATATGCGTCGAACCCAGTTGGCCGAAAAACGGTGACACCTTGACGTGCGCGTTCTCTAGGCTAACGTCGAACGTCACGGAAGCAATGCGACAATACGATATCGCTTCCGTGGACTTGATCGGGTAACGCAACTTCGCCTGACCAACCATGCCAGCATCGAGGAAGACACGAACCAGGGGTTGCGACATTCGCACCGGAAGGTGCACAATCGTTAAGAAAGTCCACTCGTTCTCTCGTACTGTGATGTCGATCGACGCGGTATCAACTGTGCCCGTGGATCCTCGAATGCCAAGCGTGAGCTTGTTCGCATGTAACTCTCCTAAAATGCCGTTACCAGCGCCCGATAGTAAAGAAAACAGCGGCACTGGACCGCCGTACTCCGGAAACCGCTCGATGCGGAACCACATCGAGACGGTGTAGCCGTTTCGTACTGGAAGAGTTAGTTGTTTATTAACGTGAATCCCGCAACCAGGTCCAGTGAAATCGAAAAATGTAGAAGGACCAACTCGCTTTGCGGAGTGCTGTAGGACCCGGAGCAGCTGCAATTGATCGTCCGCTGAAATGGAGTCGCCCTGCAACAGACGGAATATTTGACGCACGTGCTTGGTGGACATTGAAAACGAGCTGCAAAGCGCGATGACTTCGAGTACTGCTTGCCGGCGATTCGCATCCACGTACCATTGAAGACAGAAGTCTAAAACACCAGCCGCATCTGCGGTGGCTTTTGACGTCACAGACGCTGACAACATCTGCTTAAAAGCCTTGAGAAGCTCATCCTTTAACTCGTCAGACGCGCCGAGGTTTCCTATCAGAGTGAGCAGCATTTGTAGCGCCTTAGCGTTCCGCAAAGCGATGCCGCTGGACTCGCCCCCTGTGCCATAGTCGTCATCAATAACAAAGCTCATGAGGGCGTCGAACAGAGGTTTGGATACTGGACCCGCGCCGCGAGCGCACTGTATGGCGTCAATCAATGTGTCGTATCCAACTGAGCGCTCAAACGTTGAGGCTGACGAATGCGAGTTAGAGATCACTGCCTGTAACGTCGCTATGACATCCAACCCAACCTCTTCACCAGCGTCACCATCGCAAAGCGCAACGATTTGTACAAACTCTGCGCCGTCTTCAGACGATATCCATTCTCGCAGACTGTCTCCGGAGCCGTTTGGATTGTTCAACATTTGACGCAACCCAGAAAGCATCGCCGATAACAACGTGATATCGGTACCTCGTGCACGGGGAAGGGCCTGGATGAATCGGCGCGCCACGCTTGACCATGCTTCACGATGCGCGCCGCTGGCGTGAGGTGATGGAGCGTGCAGACGCAACCCCACCAAAGATACGACGGCCGATATGGCTAAATCGCGAGTCGTGTTTGTCCACAAAAGCTCGTTGAAAATCAAGTCAGAAACACCATCGTTGTTGAGTGCCGACGCCGCGAGCACGTCCGGACCATTCAGACACGCCCTCAGTGCGCTTAGTGTAGAACCAAAAGCAGCGGAGTTCGCTGTCGCTCCTACTTCACCGATGAACGCTACCTGGTCACACCCCCAGCATTTCAATTGCGCGTTCAACGCCCCCGCAAGTCGACCTGGAGCTTCCACCTCGGATAACGCTTTACACACACTGTGCGACGAATCGATTAGCAGAAGCTCTAGAACGCGACAAAGCCGAATCGCAACCGACGGCTGTATTGCTCTCGTCGTGATGGTGCCGATCAGAACGTTGCATTCGTCCACACAATCAGACAATTCGGCGGCAATTTGACAAGCTTTGAGAAGTAACGCCGCGGTTTGAATTTGTACACGACGCCGTAAGATCGACGTCGTGCTCTCTGACACCGATTCATATTCATTTTTGTGATCCACTGAAGGAATTGCGCCGTACGTATCGGCGTCTAACAACATGTCCCACGCGCGTGCTTGACGCATCACGCGCAAGACCGCGGGATCTATATCGATGGCGTCACTAAAAAAGCGTAACACGTGTGCTCTAAATCTCACACACTCTGAATCGCTCTTGAATGACTCTTTTGAACTCGAGCACGCTTCAATAATCGAATCGAAGAGACATTTTAAGATCATTTCCCTCGCTCCTTTACTTGCCCAACCGCCAGCGGCGCTGGTGTCTTGATGGACGAATTTCAACAGTCTCTTAATCACCTCACTAGGATATCCGTCCGTGATGATGACTTCATGACAACGTAGGGAGTCGTCTAAGAGCTGCGCGCTCCATGGAACACCAGCGACTTCGCCTTCCGTCGTTGACGTGCTCGCCTCATCTGAGACGAGTGTTTCGCTCAAATCATTCGCCGCGCGCATCAGACGGGCCACTCGCGTAAACAAACCAATGCCTTGAGCGCGCTCAACGTTGGACTTATTACCAGCAAGTAGCGTGTGCGATATTTCGAGATTCATGAGCGACGTCTCGAACCCCGCGATATCGACGCTGACGTCAGCCTCGATTGGGTACACGCCTTCAAAAAAAATATCCAAGCCTCCTGCTCCTGCTATGCTCTTTTGTACGGCGGCATCGCCGTGCATGACGCGCCCGATCGCGCGCATGGCCATTCGCTCTATTGAAATTGCCATCTTACGGACGTCACCGTGGACACGACCAACGACCACTTTTTCCGCACGTAATACTTCAATTAAAGCCAACAAAGCGCCGTTTTCGTTGAACGAACGAAGTGCCCAAGCGTCGCCCAAGAAAGAATCAATCACATTCACCGCGTGCTCCACGACGTGCTGCAACGCTTCCAACAGCGCTCCAGCCTCGATTGAATTTTCTTTTGAAGCCGACGCCGCCCCCGCGCTGAACGTCAACATTCGCTGCGCGCACGTTTTGCACGCGTTTGCCAACGCGCGACTCGCCCCGCACTGCTCCATGAACACTCTGTTGTGCGCCGACCTCGACATAATCTCCAGAGCTCGAAAGGTTTCTACACCAATGCTCGCCATCCTCTGCTCGATTCCACCGACGTCGACAGTGCCCGTGAGCGCACGCTCCAACCGTTCCCCCAGACCCGCGGCGTCCTCCACCGCCGCGAGCGTCACCGCGCGAGGATGCGCGACCGCGCACCCGACGTCTGAATCGTCCCCTTCATCTGCACCCCTAGCCCTTGCCGGTTCCCACCGCGCGTACGTCTCCGAAAACGCGTCGAAGAACGCGTTCGTCGCTTCGCGTCTGCTGCTTTCGCCCGCATTCGCGGTGCCCGACATCAACTGCCACGAAAACACCAAATCCCCGTCCCTGCCCTCGTCAAACATCGAATTCATCACGCGCGGGACGTCGATCGTCTCGGCGGATCGAAGCTCGACGCGGGCGCCCGCCGCATCGGGCGCGGACGTCGATGGTGGCGTCGCGTCGCGCGCGTCGAGCGTCGGATTACTCGAGTTGGCGAAACGGCGAATAAAGTTCATCGCGCGCGCGCGCGGCCGCGGCGGAGCGACGGACGCGCGCTCGTCCGCGAGTACACACTACTCGACGTCGCTCAAGTCGTGCGACGTCGGCGCGACCGCGCGAGGTGAAGCGAGCGTCCGTGTGAGGCCATCTCTGTGAAGACGCCGAGGCGACAGTTGGCGGATGGAAAGGTCGTTGGTCGTAGAGTATTGAAAATCGTCGCTGTGTCGGTAAACGTGATAAAGGTGGGTAGAGAAGGTGAAATCGAAGTCGCCGGCTCGCGTCCAAATCAGCCGGTGATTTCGTCGATGCGCGTGTTGGGGTCGATGTCTTCGAGGTCGTCGGCGCCCGATTTGCTCGCAGTCATCGTATCGGGAAGCTTGACGCCGTCCTTGTACCACTTGACGAATTCACCGAAGTCGATCTCACCGGTCTCGTTCTTGTCGAGGATGCGCATGGCCATGTTGACGTCCATGTCATTGATCGTGTCGTCGCCGAGCGAGCGAAGGAGCTTTGAGAGCTCCTCGCTGCGCAGCGTTCCGCTTCCGTCAGTGTCCCATTCAGAAAACAGAGAGGCAATTGCCATGCACTGTTTCGAGTCAAGCCCATAGTCCTCTGGTTTGAAACCTTGCTTCGCTTGAGCGTTGGAGTACTCGAAGTACGCCGCCAAGTTGTGCAAAGTGCTCTTGTGCGTCGGCGTGATGATTTCGGCTTCGGAATGCAACGCGTCGCGAAGGTTATTCAACACGTTCACGACGTGAACGAGCGTGGACGCGCGCTTGATGGTTGACGATTGCGGTACGACACCGATGATGTGATCGTTATCGCCGATCCGTTGCATGGATTGCACGAACTTTCTCAAATCAGTCGTCTCGAATCGAATCGTGCTGTACACGTAGACGGCGGTGATGAAGAGATGCGCGCCCGCCTCGACTGCGAAGATTGCGGCACCAACCATGCCTAACAACGTCACGACGTAATTCCAGAAGCTCGGTATGAAGAAGTCGGAGAACTGAGCCGCGGCTGCGAGCGAGAACAAACTGAAACACATCAATCCGTTGAAGATCGTTGCGAGCGCTTCGATGCCAATCATCGCGCTCGATCGTTTCGCCACAGCGCGGCGCAAATCTCTCGGTGACTCCACTCCTAGATCAACAAAGCCCTTCGCGATGAGCGCCGCGGCGCGCGGACTCAAAGAAGTTTGCAACACGCGCGTCATTTCCGCCAGCGCTTCGTCGTCCGAGTCCACGTCTGCCTTCTTCGTCTCGATGGCCTCGGGTGTCATCACTCGGTGAGGTTCGACGACCTCAGCTTCGACTTCTTTCGTCGCGTCTTCGACGGAAGTGTCCGTGGCGTCTTCGACCTCTGCCTCGGGTTCTGTCGTTCGCACGTCGTCTGGATCCGCATGGACAACCATCACTCTCGGCCGCGCCGGACTCGTGCAGACGTGCGCGGCGCCGCGGGGAGGCTTTCTCAACTTGACGACGCGCGAGTTTCGCGGGAATGCAACGCGAGCACGCAGCGAATGAGCGTGCGTATTAGCTTGTGTTCGCGACGCCGTGACGACGATTGGTCGGGCGAGCATCGGTGCGTCGCGTTATGTCGTGCGTTGTGCGTTGTGCGTCGTGCGTCGTGCAGTGTCTGTTGGTATTCTCGGCACAACATTTCGCTAGCGCGGCGCCCTACTTCGTTCGTCTGGATTCGGCGATGGCGAAGCGCGTGCGCTAAAACGATGGACGTCGCACTCAATTCGCTCGACGTCGCACTCAGTTTGTCTTGCCCGCCTCACTCGCTCGCCACTCCGCATACGATCGCGACGCGTTGTACCACGATACCGCGAGGAGTAGATTCGCGGCGGCATTGACGTCGTCGAGACGTTTCTCGCACGGCGTCAGTCGCGCGTTCTTCGCGAGTTTACGATCATACACGATCGCCGACGTGGGATGGAGCACAAAACGGCTCGGTTGCGGTCGCTTGAAGGAACGTTCGGTCGCGTAAAAGCGCTCGCCAGACGAAACGATTCGTCTCGCAACGCCTCGGAACGATTTCACGCGCGTGGCAACGCCGCGGTCGACGCAGTCGCGGTCGCGCGCGCGCGCGATGCGATGTGAACGACCCGCATCGACGATGCAATGTAGGCTGGTGAGCATGCGACGTGGGTCGAGGCGCGCATTGCGGCGGGCGCTTTCTCGCGCGCTCGACTTGACAAGACGCGTCGCTTGGTTAAAGTCGGATGTGTGATTAAAACTAGCGGGGCAATACGTTCGGTCGTTCGCTTCTTCTGACTGGTGTTATCGAGGGTTCGATTGTGATACTCGTGCTATTCGTTCGCGAGACCCTCGGCGATGGCCGATCGAGAAGGCGGCGCCGTCGATGTGCTTATTCCTTCATCACGCACTGATCGTTGTCGTACGGCGCGAAAATCAAACCACTGCCCATATCCTTACGATCGAGCTGCACTTGATACGGTGCGTACTGTCCCGTCGGCCACGTGCTTCCGCGATACCAATGCGCGACGACCGTCCCCGCGGCCCATCCATCTTCGCCCGGTCCGATGCGGCACCGTACGCGGTCGCCCACCGCGAACCGCAACGCGTCCGTCGGCACCGGTCCCGGCTCCTGCGGTTCCGGTTCCGGCGGCCACGGCGTCGGCTTCCCCAGATACCAATCCTCGATCACTCCCGGCGGCGGCATCTGCGATTCGATGTCTTCCTCCTCCACGTCTTGCACTTCGCACGGAATTCCGAAGATCGTCCCGCACGACTCCCTGTAAATGATCCTCACCACCGCGTCGATCGGCGCGCAATTCGGGTCCCCGCACTGCACCTCGCTCACGTCCACCACCGCATCGCGATTCGTCAGGTGTTCACTCGGCAGGCGCGCCTCGACCCACGATTTCACGCGCGCGATGGCTTCCTTCTTCATTTTCTCCGTCGCCGCCGCCTCGGGGTCGGCGTTCTGGAGTTTAAACGGTCCACCGCGCATCATGACGCGCGCGCGCTCGAGTGCGCTCGACTACCGTGCGTCGCGCGCGTCGCGCGTCCTTCTGTGCGCGTCGTCGCGCGCGCGAGTGTGCGATCGACCCGACCCGACGAACCTTCGACGTCATTCGACGGCGCGCGCCGACGCGTGACTCGCGCACGCGCACGCTCGACGACGCGCGCGACGCGCGGACGCGATGAGTTTCGTCAATAGATTGTTCTCGTACGTGTTCAACGAACTCATGGTGAACGCGCTGGCGAACTCGAGGACGTTTCAGCGCTTCGCGGTGAAGTCGGACGCGCTGATGAAGGAGGCGGCGGCGACGGACGCGGCGGAGATGGCGCGACGGGCGCAACAGGCGGCGCAGGACTTGTCGAAGAGCGTGTTTGAGCAGAGCAAGGGGGGGAAAGGGCCGATGGGGAGTTGAAGGCGGTCGTCGAGGACGGCGCCGAGCGAGGGCGCCTCGCGCGGCGGCTGACTGACACGGCGGGTGTAATATCAAATTCAAATGATTGTTTTATCGCGTTGCGCGCGCGTTTGATCACGTCGTCGGACGACCGGGGTAAAATAATTTATCCGCCGCGGCGTAAGGCATCTTGAATCCGCATCGCTTGAGCACGACGCCCTGGGTGGCGATCGAACCCGGCGCGCTCACGCGCGTCGGCTCGCGCTTGGCGTAGACTTGCTTGCCCACGGGGAAGCCTTCGCAGTCGATGACGGCTCGCTCCTCGTTTTCTGCCCATAGCTGGATGACGCGACCGTTGGCACGAAGTTGTCGATTGCCCGGGCCGAAGTACGTGCCGTCTTTCAGGATGCAACGATCGCGATTCACAGTGTACGCGTAGCCGCCGCCTCCATCGCGCTTTTGCGAGCGCCCAGCGTTGAATTTAGTGATTTGCGTCGATATCCTCGCGGGCACGCTCGGGTTTGACTCACCGACGGCGTTCACGTGATAATCACGCACGTCTGTCAACGCCGAATCGATGCACTTTTGAATCGTGGCGTACGGTCTTGCCGCGGTGCCTTGTCCGGTTGCGTCGCTCCCCGACGGCGATACGTAAATGTCGCCGTACAAAAAGTACAAGCACGATTTCGACGGATGACCCAAGTCGGAGTTTCCAGGAATGCCCAAGTACTCGTTTGAGGAGCCAGCGACGACCCACCCCGTGCCTTTATCGAGGTTATGTCCCATAAGCGTTGTGCCATCATAAAAGTTCAACGGCGGATTGTTGGAAACTTGGCAATCGCTCGCTGAGCCCGTACTGCGACTCCACATCCAATATCCCTTTACCGCTGCGGTGTTGTCGCGATATCCAACGTGCGTGGGCGTTGCAGCCGCGTTACCGATCACAGGAACGCCGAACTTGTTGTAATTGTTGCTCACTTGTACGAGATCCTGGTGCGCCGGTTTAATCGACCCATCGCTTCCCGCTTGGCCCAGCGGTGCGAGAAGATCACCGCGATCTTCCGGGCTATTCTGACTATATTGATTGACCGCGTACAGACGTCGCCCAGGATTCGCTCCTGGTACACCCGAGACCGCGACAACGTCGTAAGGCGCGTCGGTGACGTTGTAAATTCGCCCTCCGCTTCCGTCGTCCACCCACGAGCCGTGCGAGAGCTGCGGATCGAGCTCGGTTTCCCCTTTCCCTTGCATGGTGTACGCCCCAATCGACGGGGGATCATTCGCCGATGTGAAAAGTTCATTCGCCTGCACCAAGACGTACGGCTTTTGAGGTGATATCGTAACCACAGGCGCGGAAGTGTACGTATTACCGACGAACGTCAGTCGCAGCGATACGACAACTTTGTCGTAGCATCCATACTCGGGGAAACAATTGGCGGCGGGACCTAGAGTTGCCACAGCACGAGCGTGCTGCATATGCGTACCCAGACACGAGTCACCCCCGCCGCTACACGAAAACGTCACGTCAGGCGGCACGGTGTAACCGCTTCCCGCAGCCGTGAGCGTAAGCGCGCTCAACGTTCCACCAGAGGCGTCGAGCGTCGCCGTGGCGGTGGCGCCAGAGCCCTGATTATAAGAGTGCCCCGCGTTCGTGATCGTCACCGCGTTGACGACTCCGCTCGAGTCTATGGTCGCTGTCGCCGTCGCACCCCCTCCTCCACCACCGATTATTGTCAGCACCGGCGCGGTGGCGTAGCCTCGCCCGCCGTCGACTATGGTGACGGTGGACGAAATGCCGTTGTTGGCATCAAAGGTGACATCTAGCACGGCGCAACACCCGATGGAGGCCGCTAACGTCGAACCAGCTGGATATTGACGTTGTTGTGACGCAGGACCGAACTCCGGGGTTATACAACGAATTTCCGTGCTCGAAACCCACCGAACACGTCCGCCGGGCGTGCCGACGACGTGCGACACGTCGTCGCTTTCCCATAAATTTTTACCGCTCTCCGGTATACCCCCAAATTTGCATTTGAGATACTTGCTAGGAAGGAAGTTCGTTCCCTTGACGATGACTTCGGTGTTTCCATCAAAAGGGCCTCGAGCGCCCCAAACCGAAGACTGCGCCGTGCTAATGCTAGTCACTGTCGGCAACGGATCCGCGTACGTAAATGTAACGTTGGCGTAATCGTAGTTGATCCCATCGTTGGAGATGTGCATGTGGCACGCCGTCGACGGAATCGGATCGCCCACTGGCACCGGCATCGGTGGTGTTTCGCACTCAACCGACGTGTAGCTATGCCAAATTGCTGGTTGCGCCGTGACAAAGGTTTCCGACCCGTCGCTAGCGATGCTGGAGTCTTGATTTACATCGATGTTGCACGTCATCCTGCACGTCAACTTCGAGCCCGGATAGAACGTCCCATGCACCGGCGGACTATTCATCACCGCATTAGGGTCTGGAAAGTTCGGATTCGGCGACCCCGCGCCGTCTGTCGGGCCTACGTACGTAGCGCTTGACGACAACGTATTCGAGCCCAAATCCAAGTTGCGCGCGTAGACGCGCACGATGGTACCGCCGATGTACGGCCCCGTCGTGTTACTCGCGCTCCACAACTCGTGATACGCGTTCGTATTCTCCCCTTGTCGCACGCCATCGTAAAATCCAGCCAACGAATCGTCGTAGACGTACGCCAAAAACGTCCCAGATCCCTTTGTGTACACGTTCGGCGTCCCGCTCCACGTCTCCCCGTCGTTCGCCACCGTGACTTGCGTCCATCCCGCGCCGACGCGCGCGGGCGTCACAACCGTGATCATCGTCGACGAGTGATACGTCGCGTACGCTTCCGTCGTCTCCTCGCCCCTCGCGAACCTCACCTTCAACCGCGCCGAGTTTAGGAAACCGCCGCCGTACACCGCGAGCGTCGTCCCGCCCGCGACGTGCCCCTTGGGCGGTTCCAACCACGTCACCGTCGGCGCCTTCATCGGTTCAACGCGCTGCGCGACGACGACGCGCGCGACGACGACGAGCATCGCCACCGCGGCGCCGCGCGACCACCGCGCGCCGCGCGTTCGCCCGCGCGCGCGTTCGCATCTTCGCGCGCACCCCGCGGCTTCGTCGTCGAAACGGCGCCGCATCGCGCGCGCGCGCCGCACCGAACGGGCGTCCGAGCGCGTCGATCGCGCGCGCGTCCGCGTTTCGCGTGCGTTCGCGCGCGCGGCGTGCGCGACGCGCGCGTCGACGCGTGCGGCTCGCGCGGGCGGCGACGTCGCGTCCCGCGGCCAAACGGTCGTCGAATGATTAAAAAAAAACGCTCGGGAGGGCGACGCGTCTCTGACCAGTCGGACGCGCGCGAGATCGACGCGCGCGCGCGCGAGCGCGAGGCGCGACGAGGAAGGTCGACGAGACGTCGCGGCGCGGCGAAGGCGAGGCGGGGCGGGGCGGCGCGGGCGATGGTGCGGATACGCGAAGTGGAGGTGGTCGATGAAGAAACGCTCGATGGGGAGGGCGATCGCGAGCGAAGGGCGAGGAAAGTCGCGGGGCGGTACGCGAAGCATCGCCGACCGCGGACGCGGGAGACACCGCCGCAAATGGTGGATCTCGACGCGGTCGCGGTCGATGGAGCGTCGTCGTCGTCGTCTTCGACGACGACTTTGAGTTTGGGCGGGACCGCGACGTCGGCGCCGGCGCGGGCGGAAAAGATGAAGACGACGCGCGCGGCGTTCGAGCGCGTCGTCGTTCCAGAGGCAGTTTCGCGCGAAGGCGAGGGGGAGTTCGTGCGCGAGGGTGTGCGCGTGATGACGATCGCGCCGGATGGGGCGAGCGTGTACGTCGGGATGACGAACGGCGTGGTGAAGCAGATTCGAGCAAGCGGCGACGTTGGCGCTGGCGCGATGCGGAGCTTTTATCCAACGCCGGTGAACGCCACCGGAGACGAGTTTAACAACGCAAACACACCCGTGCGGATGTTGCAAATATCGAAAGCCAGCGGCGAAGCGCTCGTCGGGTACGAAAATGGTGGATGGAGTAAGGTGTCGCTGGACAACGGAGAGACGACGACGTGGAGCGCGCCGCACAGCGATTTCGCCGATGTTTTTAAATACGTCAACGTAAAAAAGCTGTCCAAATACACAAACACCGCGCCACAGTGTCGTTCGATGGCGGCGAACGACGACTTGTCGATCATTTATCTGGCGTCGCCCTTGTTGCGAGATGGAAGAGTTTATGTGTGGGATTTAACGTCTTCGCCTACAAACGAAGAAAGAAGCAGTGGCGAGGACCTCACGTTCAAGCATACGAGCAAACTCGACGACATCGATGACGTTGATGCGTATGATCGATGTTTCGAGAGCGCTGCTGCGGGTGAGAGAGAAATTGGAACAGTGAAACATTTGGAATTTCACAGCGACTGCGTCACGTCGTTGGTGAGAGTTAACAGCGCCATCGTGAGTGGTTCGCTCGATGCATACATCGCGATATGGGACTTGAAGTCGAAAGTCACACCGATGCAGCCTCACTCGACCACGAAGATGACTTCCGCGGTGCGAGAGATGACGATCGCGAAAGACGGTCGAACGCTCTATTGCGCCGGTGCGGATGGCAGCGTGCGCATCCACGACGTGCGAGGAAAGAGCGGCAAATTATCGTTACAATGGGTGCGATCAGTTGGTGGTCAGGAAGGATATGTCAACTCATTATGTACGATTAAGAACGATCCTTTCATCGTCATCGGAAGTTCCAAAGCGGCGCAAGCGCCGAAACCGTATTCGATCATTCGCGGCGACGGCGAATTAAGCGTTTGGCGCGTCACGGATGGCGAACTCATGTTCAAAACGACTATTCACGACGCTGACGTGAACGCCATTGTGGTAACAACCGATGGTAAGGCGCTGTACAGTGGCGACGCGAAAGGCAAAATTTGCAAGCACGCGCTCGGCGCAAACGTCGTCGAGGCCAAGCCTCCCAACGCGCCCATTCGCAAAGGATTCTTCTTGTGAGCGTCCACACATCTTGAGATTATTGACAATAGCTAGTTCTTCTTCGTTCTTTTCTTCGGCGCGTACTTTGCCTCGAGCGCGGCGAACATATCATCCGCCTGATCCGCTCGCATCGCGTTCTTGCGTTGAATGAGCGCAAACAAATCCGCGTCGTCGCCGCCACCCTTCTTAGTCCCCTTTTTCACCTTCCGCGCCCCCAGCGGATCTTTCGGCGCCTTTCGTTTCCTCACCTCTCGCGCCCACGCCTCGTACACCGCGTACGACTCCGCGCGTCCATCCCTCACGGCTTCGTCCACGACGTCGGCGAATCGATGCGAATCGTCCGCCTCCTCGCTACACATCACCCACGCGAACACCCGCGTCATGTCTCCCTCGTACTTCGCGTAGCGCTCCAGCACATCTCGTTTTTCCGCCTCGCTTCCCCGATACTCCCGCTCGAACGCCTCGATATCCTCCGTCGACACCTCCTTATACGCCCCGCGGTAATATTCGTACAGATTTTGAAACGCCTCCCCTCCCAACTCCGCGTCCTCCACCCTTCCCGTCGCGTCGTACGTCCGTCGCTTCGTCTCGTCGCTCAGCACGCCGTACACGCGCTGCAGCGTCTGAAACTTTCCCGCCGCGCTCGCGTCGCCGACGTTTTTATCGGGATGAAGTTCGAGCGCTTTGCGATGGTACGCGCGCTTGATGTCCTTCGCCGACGGATTCGCCTCCTTGCGCAGGCCGAGGATCGCGTACAGGTCCTCGCCGCGCGGCGCGTCGTCGGCGTCGCTCGCGTCGGCGTCGGCGTCGCTCGCGTCGGCGTCGGCGTCGCGCGACATCGCGCGCGCGCGTCGCGATGGCGCGACATCGCGACGCGACGCGGGACGACATGTCGCGGCGATTGCTCAAGGATCAACTCGCGCGCGCGTTGGAGTCGCTCGGGAGCGGCGCGGCGGGAACGGCGACGGCGCGGCGCGGCGGCGGCGGCGACGGCGGCGGCGGCGGCGGCGCGGGTGCGAAAAAGGCGAAAAAGCGCACGAATAATAAACACGCGCTGGACGTGAAGCGGATGAACAAGCAGGCGGTGCGCGCGAGACAGCGAGCGATGCGTCGAAGTGGTGACGACGCCCCGCGAGAGGCGCTGGGGGAGGCGGCGAAGCGGGAGGTGAAGAAGAGGAACGCGGCGTACTTCGCGGCGACGAGCGGGGCGGACGCGGAGACGGCGGAACACGCGGCGAGGGCGATCGGAGCGATGACGACGAGCGAGGGGATCGAGGACGGTGAAGACGATGCGGATGATGATATGTTATGGTAGCGCGCGTTCGTTGCGTGAGGGATTATCTAGAATGTACAATGTAACTCTGCGAGGCGCGTTTACGCCAGAGACGCTTTGAGGTGTTTCGTAGCTCCGCTTCCGCCGAGTAAGTTGGCGATGTCGCCCCACGTGCTCGGCCGACCGCCTCTGGGGCGCTCCTGGGCGCTACACAGCGCGCGGCGTTCGGCTATGTCGCGCGCGGTTTCGCCGTTGACATCTTTGATCGATGCGTCTACGTCTCGCTCGAGGAGCGATTTGCACGCGTTGCGATGGCCGTTTACCGAGGCCCAGTGCAAGGCGGTACGTCCCCAGACATCGAGAGCGTTGACGTGCAACATCAACGCTTTTTTTGACGCTTTACCTTTCGCGGATGAAGTAGACTGCGCGTCGAGTAAGGTGCCGATGACCGAAGACGCCGCGCCCACCCGCGCCGCGGCGTGCAAAACAGTTTGCTTGTCCTCGTCGACTGCGCCAATCGCGGCGCCACGTCCCAACAGAATCTTCACGAGCTCAGATGTACACATCGGCGAAGAAACGGCAAATATCAACGGCGTTCTTCTGCTAGTACCGAGCGCGTTCACGGAGGCACCGGAATCAAGGAGCGCTCGCACGCATTCGACGCGCGCATTGGCGCACGCCACGTGGAGCGGCGTTGAGCGTGAGTTTGGATCGACGCTAACGCCTGCATCGACGAGCAGCTTTACCAAACTCACGTGACCTGCCGCTGATGCGCGAATCAATACGTGCAAGCCGATATCGATATCACTGAGCGTTGCCTCGGCTTCATCGGCGTCTGAATCCGTGGCATATCTTGAAGGCCAGTCTTCGACGCTGCCGCGAATAAAGCGCGCGTAGTCATTTAGCCGTGAGCGCTGTAACAGTTCGATGGGCGCAAACGCCCCGAGTGCTTCGCCGAACGTACCACCACCAGCGTCGACGTCTTCTTTTATGATGAGCGCTTTTACTCGCTGAACTACTCTAAGCGCTCGTAGCGAGTCGCCACCATTCGCTGTGAAATCCGCATCACCGTGCGTTACATCGACACCAAGCTCATCTGACCATATTCGTGCCAAATCCGCACCAAACTCACCAAACTTGATTGCGCATCCCTGCTCGCGCACATCGACTTCGCGCCGCGACAAATCCGCGCGCGAAACTTTTCCTGTCGACGTCATCGGCAACTCGTCCAAAAACACAAACATGGATGGAACCATGTGCTGAGGAATCTCTCGGGCGACGGCATATCGCATGGCCGCCGTGACCACGGTGTCAACGTCCGTGAAAGATCCAGTGCAATAAGCGATGAGCTGTTTTGTTGTACTTGCCAGAACACACTTCACTTCACGTGTGAACGCGCTGCACGTACGGCGAATCGCGTCTTCAACTTCTCCAAGCTCGACGCGCTGACCGCTTATCTTCACTTGATCGTCGCGACGTCCGACGAGAATGTGCTGGCCGTCGGAGGAAACTTTAACTATGTCGCCCGTTCGGTACAAATTATTTTTAAAACGCGCCGATGTGAGCTCAGGACGGTTCAAATATCCGTTCCCGACCTGGCGCCCGCCGATCCATAGTTCTGCAAGCTCGCCCGCTTTCGCCGTCAACGTCGGATCGTCGCCGGGATCGGCGGCAAATATGAATGTATTACCCGGAAGTGGATCCCCCAACGTGCGCAAGTCATCGTTTGACGCTTGTTTTATCTCACAGAACGTCTGATACGCGACACATTCCGTGACGCCGTATGTGTTTGCCACTCGAACGCCGGCATCGAGCCAAGCTTGCGCGAGCGATTTAGACATCGTTTCTCCGCCGAGCGCGACGAGCCGCAAATATTTCAAACTCGGAATTTCTCGTACCGAACTGAGCAAAATAGGCGTCGTCAAACAATGCGTTGCGCTCGATACTCGCAAAGCATCACCGAGTCGCGCGAACGTGACTTCACGCGACGCTGAAGTCAACGTACAGCCGGCGACGATGGCGCTGCAAAAATCCGTAAAGTGCGGGTCAAACATGTGACTGCTCGCACAGTACACAACACTTGTACCGTCAATTTCATGTGCAATGTTCTTCGCTTCGCAGTATGACAACAGCGCGGCGTGTGAAGCCACGCAGCCCTTCGGTCGCCCCGTAGATCCACTCGTGAAAAACACGTGCGAGGCGTCGTCGGCTTTTACTGCGATGGTCGCAGTGGCTGATCGTTGTTGGGCCCTGAATAACGCTTCGACGGTAAAAACTTTCGCATTCGTGAGTTCGCCCACCTTCAATGCCTCGTCCCCATCACGAACGATCACGATGCGGACATCCGCGTCTGCAAAGACGCTCGCCAATCGTTTTGCAGGATCTCGCGTACTCATCGGTGACACCGCCATACCTGCAAACATCGCCGCCAACTGGCATGTGAACACTTCCACGCCGTCTTCAAGCGTGATCACGCAACAAGGCGGAGAGTCACGTACCGCTGACTTCGCGTACGGCGCGAAAAAATCGCTCAAACGCGTCGCCTCGTCGACAAGTTCGCCAAAGCGCAACGTCGTCGGCGCGCCGTTCAACGTTTCATAATATCGCACCGCCTCGCGAAATCGCGTCGTGGGATCGCACGCTCTCCATCGTGCGTAATCACACACCGTGTGTAGTCCATCTGCGTTCACCATCGCGACGTCAACGTCGCGTACCGGCGTCGATTCTTTGCTTCTCTTCCAACGCCAGCGTCCCCGCGTACTCGCCTAGCACCGCATCCTGCACCCTCTGCACCTCCTCCGCGCTCAGCGCGTCGATATCTTTCCCTCGCACCTTCGATGCGACCTTAAACTTGCCTTTACTCAGCACCATTCGAGGCGAGGCGCGGCAGAGACGAATAAACTTCGCCGCGGTGTCGTACTCAAAGCCCAACTTCAATGCGAGGATGGAAAAGACGGCGCGCTCGAACGACAGGTCGGGGCCGCCGATGCAGCACAAGCAGTTGGCGGGGTGCGTGGGCGCGGTAGATATCGTCGCCGACGGCGTCGAAGGGGATGCCGGTGGCGCGGCGGCGGGCATGAACCGCCGGCGTCTGAGGACCGGCGCAGGCGGCGGCTGCGGCGGCGACGCGTACGATCGTTCGCGGTGGTGTCGGTATCGGTGTGTATTGAATATTAAAGTATTGAATATTAAAGTATTGAATATTAACGAAACTCGCGATAGGACGAGTTCGGACGAGAGCGTCAGACCCCTGGTTCCTGTCGTCGCGGCGCGGTCATTCGAGAACGAGCGTTCACGCGTTTACATTTCCTCCAGTGTGGTCGGCGTGCACAGAGAACTGTCCACGGTTTCGACGCGATCGAACGGCAACACGGCGATTTCAATCGTGCAATCGCCGTTCTTCTTGACGTTCACTTTGCGAACGGTGCCGACGCGCTGGGGCTTACCGCCCATGCCGAAGAAACCGCCGCCCGCCGCCACCTTGACTAAATCACCCTTCTTCATCTTCAGCTTCTCCCCAACCTTCAGTCCGACCTCACCACCGGCCCACCCGCCCGTCAACAAGTTATCGCGACCTGCGAACTTTTTCGCGTCACCTTTAACGTATTTACCCTTGCCGACGTAAATAGTATCGTCGCCCTTGGCGTACTCTGGAAGCTCATTCTTCGCGCTCTCCTTCGCCGCCTGCGCGGCCGCAGCCGCTTCTTCTTGAATGAAAACTTCCTTCAGTTGCTTCTCTCCGCCCGGCCATCCGCCGGTGAACCAGTTATCGCGCCCAGCGTACTTCTTGGCGTCGTCTTCGACGTAACGTCCCTTGCCAATGTACACCCGATCCTTCCCATCGCCCTTACCACTCGCGCGCGTCGTCGTTCGCGCGCCTCGCTTCGTCGGTGCGTTCACGATAGTCTGTGCGCGCGCTCGGCGCGTTCGTCAGTCGTCCGTTCGCGAAACGCGCGCGCATCCTTCGTTCGAACTCGCGCCGTATCTAAACCGATATCCAAAACGTCGTCGCGCGCCGTCGCCGCGCGCGCCCACGCCGCGTCCGTCCGAGCTCGCGAGGCGCGAACTCGCGCACCTTGATCGTCCCGCATCGCGCGCGCGGCGCGACGCTCGCCATGTCTCGCGCGCCGTCGTCGCCGTCGCGCGTCGCGTTGTCCCGAAGGCCGCCGCCGCCCGCTCGACCGCGACAACGCGACGCCGCGCGCGCGCCCGCGAAGCACGCCACCGCGCGCGCGATGCCGAAGATTGAGCTCGGATACTGGCCGATTCGCGGCCTCGGCGCGCCCGCGCGCATGCTCTGCGAGTACGCCGGCGCGGATTACGCCGACGTGAACTACGCCGACGCGGGATCGTGGTTCGCGGGGAAGAAACCGGAGCTCGCGAGCGGGAACGCGCTGATCAACCTGCCGTACGTCGAGTGCGACGGTCAAGTCGTGACGCACTCGAGCGTGGTGCTCGAGTTCTTGGGTCAAGTCACGGGCGTGGACGCGTTCGCGAGCGAGGACCATAGATGGGCGAACGCGCAGGCGCTGGCGGAAATCTACGACTTGCGGAACGCGTTGATGGGCGTGGTGTATCCGTTCAACGGCAAGACGACGACGAAGGAGGCGTTCGAAAAGAACTGCGATGATCACATGAACGCGACGGTGGGTAAGTTCTACGCGAAATTCGAGACGTTGCTGAAGCAACGCGGGATGGAATTTTTGATTCGCGACGCGCCGTCGAGCGCCGACTTTCACCTGTTCGAGATGCTGGATCAACACGAAATCATCGCGAACAGGCGCGGTATGAAGTCGCCGTTGGAGACGTTTCCGGAGCTCAAGCGGTACCACGCCAACTTTAAGGCACTTCCGCAGCTCGAAAAGTACTTCGCGAGCGCGGCTTACGCGCTGCCAATGAACTCGATAGGGGGGGGAGCGTGGATTTACTAGATTCTACTTCGTAGGACAGTTCTTACGACATTCTTTCGATTTAGGCGTGTGTGCGTTCTACGCGAGCAGCTTATTACTTGCATTATTAAAGAAGACACATCTGTTTTAATTACGCGCCGCCTCGCAAAAGCGCTCGAGCGACGAATGGCCAGACGTATTGTCTCGTCAGTTGCAACGCGGCGTACCCGACAGCGCTCATAAAAGACATAATGACCGTGCCTTGCATAAAACGGTCGAGCCATTTGCGCTTGGCGATCGCGCTGAAAGACCACTCTTCCCTTTGCAGCATTTGAATCGTGTTGGGCATGAAGAGCCAAGGCGCGACTTTGTTGAAAATGGAATCGACGATGAGAGGAAGGACAAAGGTCATGAAACCTCCATCGAAGCTGCGAGAGAGATCGACGAGCGCCTTGGCGTCCGCCGCACGCTTCTTAGAGTAGTGTGGTAACGCCACAGAAGTGTCGCCGTTGGCGTCGTCGAGAGCCTCGACGAGCACTTTTACGTCTTCCCAAGCCGAATTCACACCCAAGCCAAAGTACGGCTTCACGGTGTGGATAGCATCCCCGAGAAGCGCGCCCTGACCACCCATATTAAGGGACTTATCCACGTACCCGAACGACGGCAAGCCGAAGAACTTGCTGTTGGCCATGCTTTCGATATCTTCGTCCTTGATCCAAGGCACGAACATCGGAAAATGTTCGTCGAAGAACGTCTTCAAAGATTCTTTGTTGCTCAATTTGACGCACGTTTCCTCATCTTCGGGTTTCACGAGCATGATACCGATTAAAAGACCTTCTTTTGTCGGCAAGCACTCCAACGCGACGCCGGCTTTCGTGCGCGCGCTATAGTTGAGATCCTTTCGCATGTCGCTGGGCAAGTGGATGGGGATGGTCTTGTACACCCGCGGATTAGTGTTCGGGAACTTGATAACCTTCACCCCGCATGCGGCGTTACGATCCATCTCTCGAACGACCGCAGAATGCATGGTGTTGCCCTCGGCACCGAACACGACAGGCGTCACCGTCTTGCCTTGAGCGCGCGCGGCGGCGAGATCGCAGTTTTCGCCGCACGCTCCGCGTTCGAGCGTGACTCCGTCCGCACCAAACTCACAATCGACGCACGCGACGTCGTAAGATACCGAAATCTTCCCCGCATATTTCTTCTCGATCTCTTCCACGAGCACCGAAACCAGCCTGTCCCTTTGAATCACTTGCGTATCGTACGTCTTATTCGCCAAGCGCTCCTTCGGCTCGCCGTTCGGTCCCCAGTCCATGCGTCCCTTCACCACCGCGCACTTATCGATCACCGCATCGAAGACCCCGAGATCCTTCAGCACGGCTTGCCCTCGGCCGCTCAATCCGACGTTATACGATCGCGAGGCATCCCCCCAGACCGAAGAATCGCTCGACGGCGGCTTCGCGAGGCGTTCCCACACCTCGATGTTCCCCCAGCCCCGCCGCGCGAGCGCGATCGCGCACGCCAGCCCCGTGGGTCCACCGCCGACGATCACCGACGACGCCGGCGCGTTCGCGTGCGTTTTATCGTCCGCGAGCACCGCGCGGACGACGCGCGCGCGCGCCGACGTCACCGCGCACCGTTGCTGACGCGGCGTCGTCCTCGCCGTCGCGCGTCGCGCGCGCGCGGCGCGCGGATCGCGCGCCGGCGCGCTCGGCGCGCGCGCGCGCGTCGCCGTCTCGAGCATCGTTCGCTCGCGTCGCCGGCGTCGGCGTCGAGCGCCGCGCGTTGTAACGCGCGACGATTGAATCAATCCGCATTAATCCGCGACGACCCGCGCGGGCGCGACATGGCGAAATCCGGCGCGAAGAAGCGGTTGGAGGAGAACCGCGCGAAGTTGAAGTTTCTGAGCGATGTCCTGAACGGCGCGATGGCGCTGCACGTCGTCGTGCGCGTCGTGTTTCGCTGGAAAAGCGTGCGATTGTTTCACCTGTGCGTGTTCGCCGTCACCGCGCTCGCGTGTCGAGCGTCGCTGGGCTCGCTGCGCGCGTACGCGAAGCCGACGTTCGGGGAGAACGGCGAAGTGCTCGATGGAGGGGAGTCGCTGAGCGGGGGGTTGACGGAGTATTATCAGGATTTGATCTACGTCGGCGCGTTCGCGATGGCGACGTCGACGTATTCGGATCGGTTTTGGTTGGTGACGCTGATCGTGCCTTTGGTCGCGGGGTACATGATAGTGACGAAATTCGTGCTGCCATACGTGTTCGCGCCTCGGGCGGAGGAGAACGAGGAGCGGGAGGAGACGAAGGAGGAGAAGCGTCGACGCGAGCGGAGCGAACGGCGGAAGGCGAAGCGGTTCAGATGATGGACGCAGCTGTAGTGTTTTAAAGAAGAGAGTCTATTATCTATCACAGGTCGTCTCGCGGGCGATAGCACGCATGTCGCAGAGGAAGTGTCGTATGATGCTCAGTCGCACGCTAGTGTCGCTCGCGTGCTCGCGTCCTGTGGCGCAGCGGGCGACGTGCGAGCGCGACGTGCACTTGACGAATATGTTCTCAGTCGCCATCTTCACCAAGCTCACGGACGAGTGCTTAAGCGCACACTTTTTGGCGAAGTGTGTCATCGTCGTCATGCTCGCGCTAGTGCTTCGCATGTTAGACTCGAGCAAGCGTTTCATGCCGCCGAGGCGCGTGTTCAACGCCAAAATGTTTTCGCGCGAATCGTCCACGTACTTGTTATGCGCGTCGGTCAAGTCGTCGTGCGACCGTGCGGTCACTTTGAACTGATCTTGTAATTGATGATTCGCCATCACGAGGGTCCGGTGACGATCGAGGATCTCTTCCACGAGTTCGTAAACGTCTTCAGCCTTGGACGAATTGCGCGCAAGCACGATTTGACTCGAGCGGCTTAAAAACTCAAAGTATTTCGAGCTCGCCTGAATTTCATCTGAAACGTGTGCACACTTTGCGCGGATGTCTTCAAGTTGTGCGCGCAGCCTGGCGATGTCGCGCATGCTACTTCGCTGGGACTCCGCGTCCCGTTTGACGTTGTCCTCTGCGTGCTCGCGTTTCGCATCCGCCTGGCGCAGCATATCATCACAGTTTACGATGTTATCCTCGATTCGCTGCTGCTTGTCGACGAGACGTTCTTCCCACTCCGCGAAATCGCGTTCCTTTTGAGCGTGCTGCTTGATTTGCATCTTGAGCGTGGCGCGAACATTCCTCTCCCTCTGTGTCTGCGCGAGCAACCGCTCGACGTCGGTGCTGGACGCCATAGCGTAGTGGCGCGCGATGGTGTATCTTCAAGCTAACGCGCCGTCCCCAGATCCCATTGCGCGCGTCGCACGAAGCTTGCTATGCGCCGTGCTATGCGCCACTCCTAGTTTGGTTTGATGGCTCTAAATTTGGAAAGTCAACGTCGGCGATGCATCTTCCTTCAAGGCTCTCTTTCACGCAAGTACAAGTCAACTCTTGGAATTTTAAAAAACTCTGTCAAGGCTCTCTTTCACGCAAGTACAAGTCAACTCTTGGAATTTTAAAAAACTCTGTGAACCGCCCCATCGACATTGGAAGCGCGGTCTCAACGCCGTGCCCTAAGCCGCTCACCTCGAGAAGTCGTCTCTCGGCGACGTTTTCGTCGGAATCACCTTCCTGTCGCATCCACTGCGACGCCATCTGCATCCAACGCGCGGAGTTGTCCAACGGCGAAACGTCGTCATCGTGTCCATGCACGATATACGCCGGGCAAGTCACCGTCGGATACTCGGGTAACGTGCTCGCGTCGTCGACGAACGCCTTGCTGAACTTGACGCCGTAACTCTTCTCAAAGTTTGTCAAAATGTTCGCCAGCCCCCACGTCGGCGCGAGAAGAAACACTTTGTCAACCCTGTCTCGGTTCCTTTCCGCGTACAGCGCCGCCACCAATGCCCCCGTGCTCGACCCAATCAACCGAACCGGTCGCTCCTTCCGCCCTTCCCCGCCGTTCAGCGCCGCCGTCAACTTTTCCAACGCGCTCGACACCGTGTACTCCGCGTTCCCACACACCAAGTCTGGCGTCTCCAGCTCGATATCAATCATTCCTAGCGCATCCTTGAGATATTTACCCGCGAACGAGTCCCCCGATCCGCTCAGCAGATCGTGCGCGAAGACGTACCGATAGCTCCTCGCCTCCGCCAAGCGCTCTTCCTCGGCCGCCATCGCCGCAGCTCGCATCTTCTCCACCTCTGCCTCGCTCGGGGGGTCGGTGATCGCCTTCGACCACGCCCCGATCCAGTCACTCGCGCTCTTACTGTTGTTCGCGGCGTTAATCTTCTCGAGTTCTTCGTACATGGCTGCGTCAGACGCGTCGTCATCGTTCACGCCGGACGACGCCCGAGCGACGCGGTGACGGCGCGAACGATGGCGGCGGGCGCGCGGTGCGGCGCACTGAACGCGCGCGGTGGCGCGCGCCGCGACGATCATCAGGCGTGCGCGCGTGCGCGAGTGAAGCGCGTGACTCGTTGTTGGAGTGAGTATTAGCAACGTCGGCGAACGAGCGCGCGAGACGAAACGAATCGAATGTGTAGTTTAACGAGGCAGGGCGCCGGTCAAAACGCCAGATTCCACGGTTTGCTTGACGTGATCGCGCGCCCACAAATCGTAGTGCACGATGTCGTCCAGGGACGGATCGAGCACGAGCTCGTTCTTGTGCGCCTCCATGGCCAACTCGATGACTTTGTAAATGTCGAAGTAGCCCATCTTTTTGTCCAAGAACATGGCGACCGCTTGCTCGTTGGCGGCGGAGAAAACGCCCGTCATGGTGCCACCGGCGCGACCGGCGGCGTAGCCCATGGTGAGAGACGGGTACTTTTCGAAATCGGGCGCGCGGAAGGTGAGGTCGCCCATCTTGACAAAGTCGAGTCGCGGCCACGTGACTTCGGAGCACTCGACGCGGTTGGGCCAAGACATGGTGTAAAGAATAGGCAAACGCATGTCAGGCCAGCCCAATTGCGCCAAAACGGAGCTATCCGAGGTCTCAACCATGGAGTGCACGATCGATTGCGGGTGCACGATCACGTCAATGTTGTCGTAAGAGGTGCCGTAGAGGTAGTGCGCCTCGATGACTTCGAGCGCCTTGTTCATGAGCGTCGCGCTGTCGCACGTAATCTTCGCGCCCATGTCCCAGTTCGGGTGCGTCGTCGCCTTCTTGTGCAACGCCGCGGGATCGGACACCGCGAGTTCACGCATGGTGGCGAGGTCCATATCGCGGAAAGCGCCGCCAGAGGCGGTGAGAATGATGCGTCTCAGCGCGCCCTCCGGCATGCCTTGAATGCACTGGAACAAGGCGCTGTGCTCGGAATCCGCGGGCAAAATTTTCACCCCATGCTTCACCGCCAACGGCACGATCGCGGGGCCACCGGCGATGAGGGTCTCCTTATTCGCCAAGCAAATATTCTTTCCCGCCTCGATCGCCGCCACCGTCGGCGGCAATCCCGCGCATCCGACGATGCCCGTCACCACCGAATCGCAGTCGGCGTGTCTCGCCACCTCAACCATCCCATCCTCCCCATACATAATCTCCGGCATCGCGCATCCGAGTTTTTGCAACGCATCCCTCAGTTTCGCCACGTCCTCTCCGTTCTGCACGCTCACCAACTTCGGCGAGAACTTCGCGCACTGCTCCGCCACCAGCGTCACGTTTCGCCCCGCGCTCAGCGCCACGACCTCAAACTTATCCGGATGTTCCTCGCAAATGTCCAGCGTCTGCGTCCCGATCGACCCCGTGCTTCCGAGCAGCGATATCTTCTTCACGTTTCCGTTCCCGAGCGCCGCGACGTTCGCCGGCACCTCCGCGCGTCCCGGCCAGCACGCGCCGTAGCGGTTTTCGTTGTTGCTCGCCCTCGTCGCGATCGCGCGTCGCGCGCGCGTCTCGCGTCGCGCGTCCCGCGCCGTCGCTTTCGTCGTCGCCGTCGTCGCCGTCGTCATCATCGCGCGCGTCATCGCCATCGCCATCGCGCGTCGTCGTGTGTCGCGCCGTCGCATCGCGCTCTATCCATCCGCGACGACGCGCCGAATCGTCGCGCGCGACACACGACGCCGCGACGAGGGCGCGATGATCAAGCTGTTCTCCGTCAAGGTGCGCGCGCGACGCGAGGACGACGACGCGCGACGCGCGACCGCGACGCCGACGCGCGCGACGAACGACCGCGCGGCGACGCGCGCGACGAAGGATGCGACGAAGGATGCGACGAAGGACTGACGCGACGCGCGCGCGACGACGACGACAGGCGAAACAAGAGAAGGAGGCGGCCGAACGCGAGGCGAACGGAGGCACGACGTCGAGACAGAGCAGCGGGGAGGTTCGCGTGGCGAAAGGTGCGCGAGACGGCGACGCGAACGGGGGAAGCGCGAGGACGCGGGACGACGGCGAGACGACTGACGCGCGCGCGCGAACGAAACGAACGCAGACATATCGGAGCTCGCGCTTCCGCGGACGATGTCGATAGCGTTCCCGAATGGGAAGGATGATTTGTTGAACTTTGTCATCGCGATTAAACCCGATGAGGGGTACTATCGCGGTGGGACGTTTGAGTTTTCGTTCGCGGTGCCGACGATGTATCCGCACGAACCGCCGAAGGTGCGATGCGAGCGCAAGGTGTATCACCCGAACATTGACTTGGACGGGAACGTGTGCTTGAACATTTTGAGAGAGGATTGGAAACCGGTGTTGTCGATCTCGAGCGTCATCTTCGGGTTGTCTCTGCTGTTCAGCGAGCCGAATCCGGACGATCCTCTGAACAAGGAGGCGGCGGAGGATTTGGCGCGCACGCCTCAGAATTTCGCGATGAACGTCCGGCGCGCGATGCAGGGCGGGTACGTGGGCCAGCACCGATTCTCATCGTGCCTGCGATGAGCGATGCGCCTCACCGACGCGCGACGCGATACGAAGACACGTCACGACGCATAGCACTTAGAATTTGACTTCTCGACCCACCGACGGACCGACGTCACTCGTCACTTCGACACGCGATGTTCGCCCGCGCGCTCGCCCCGCTCGCCCCCATCGCGCGTCCGCACGCGCGCGCGACGAAGCGCGTCGAACGCGCGCGCGCGCGCGTCGCCATCACGCGTCGCGCGAGCGACGCGGACGGCGCCGACGCGGCGAACGAGGCGGGGGCAGAGCCGAGCGCGGCGATGCTCGAGTTCGCCGAGGCTGGGTTCCCGAGCGACGAGGACGACGTGCTGGACCCTCGCGCGCGCGATCGAGCGATGAATAAGGTCGTGGATGAGATTCACGAACTCAACGCGGCGGAGACGGAGGTGCTGAATAAGGCGTTCGAGCTGGTGGAAAAGTTTGGGCTGAAGCGGAAAGGCGCGGGATCGGACGCGACGGAGTGAGGCGACGATGTTTGTAATTGATTGAAGTGGGAGCTTATACACGCGCGCTAGAGTCGCATCGAGTTGTTGCTACTGACCACCACCGCGGAGCGTTCGAGCGACGTCGAGTTGGCGCTCGAGATTGAAGCATTGGACGTTGGCGAACCCGCGGGCGATCGAGTACGCCATCTCGTATCGCGTGCCGTCGACGATTTGAAGCTCTTCGACGAGCTTCGAGCTGAAATCCTGGAAGCGCTCTTTGGCGCGGCGCGCTTGTTCTTCTTTGACGGCGTATTCGTCGGCGTTCTTGGGCGAGCGCTTCTGTAACGCGCCGAGCTGGCGGTCGAAGGCGTCCATGTCTTGCATGTAAGCCGCGCGTTTCGCTACGCACGCCTTGTACGCCGGGAGCTCTTTCGAGCGGTGCGCCGCGGGTTCGACAATGTTCCAATCGAACACTTCCTCGGTGAGAGGCGTGCATCGCGCGACGAGAGCGTCGGCGACATCCACCATCTTGCACGCCTCTCGCAACGCGGCTTCTCTCGCCACCGTCGGCGCGCCGTCCCAAACGTTATTCTTGTCCCCGGTTTCGACCAAATTCCGGATAAGTGTGGCCAGTCGCTTGCTCATATCGAACACCGCGCGTTGTGCATGTTTATACGCGGTGCTCACTTGCGCGATTTCCTTCAAGATGGACTCCTGCTGTTGCACGCTGTTCCACAAAGTCTTGAACTCGTCGTCTCGCATCTTCTCCGCGGTGCCGAAACTTTGCAACAACCGCTGAGACGTGCGGCGCGTCGCCGCGCTCAATTTGTACCCGATCCCCTTCACGACCTTTCCGCTTTCGTCCACAGTTGGTGCCGCCGCGCCTTCTCCTCTGCGCATGGACTGCAACGAAACGAGACCCGGCGCGCGCTGCGCGCTCTGACTCGACGCCGTCTCTTGCAACCGACGCAACAACTCCTTACCACCTAGAGCCTTCTCCTTCGCGCGCGTATCTCGCGCCGCCGCCGTCTTCTCCTTCAGCTGCGCCGCTAGCGTGGATATCTTCGCCGTCGCCACCGCGAGCCGATCGCTAAACGCCATATCGTCCGAGCTTCCGTTGAACGCTTCGACCGAGTGCCCGCTCGACCCCGCCTTGATCACCGCCGTCGCCGTCGCATTAATCCGCTCATCCGCGCTCACCTCCCGCGGCTTACGCGCGCGCGCATCACCGACGTCCCGTTCTTCAACGTTTTCGTGTTGGGCGCGATCATCGTACGACGACGCGCCTCCTTCCGCGCCGCCGTCGAACCGTCCGCCGTCGTCCCGTTCCCCGCGTGGACCCCAAACCCGACCATCCTCGACGTTCGCGTCCCGCGCGAGATCGTGCGCGAGCGCGTGCACGTCCACTCTGTTATCACTCGCGCCCACGCTCGCGGTCGAGCTCGCGCTCGCGAACGTCGACGCGTCTTCGTGGAATGGATTCATTCCGAAGGTTCCGAATCCGCCACGTGGATGCGCGCGCGCGTCGCCCGCGCGCGTCGCCCGTCCGCGCGCGCGCGCGTAAACGACGCGCGAGTCGCGTTTTCGCGCCGCCGGCGATCGTCCGTCGCGCGTTCGTCGCGAGTGCGCGTCGGTGCGCGCGTCAGTGCGGTCGAGCGTCGGTCGAGACCGACCGCGTCGTCTCCGCGTGGAAAACGTAAAAAAAAACGCTTGCGGAGACGACACACCGCGACGCGCGCGACCGCGCGACGACGGCTCGCGCGGCGCCGGCGACTCGATCGCGCGCGCGGAAGAAATAAATACGACGCATCGCGGCGACGCGCGGACGCGCGCGAGCGATAGAGACGCGAGGACTCGCGCGAACGATGACTGCGGAGGAAAAAACCGACGACGCCGATGTCGACCGAGACGCGTCGACGACGACGACGGCGACGACGGATGCGCCGGTGACGGCGAACGAACGACGAACGATCACGCTTGGGTTGCGAATCACGCACGCGAGCGCGAACGTGCCGAGCTTGGCGCACTTGATGGAGACGCACGAGATCGAAGTCGACGCGGACGGCGCGGACACCGCCGCGGACGTCAAGCGGAAGCTCGCGGCCAAGGCTGGCGTTCCCGCGCACGAGCTCTGCTTGCGTTGGTTCGATAACGTCATCGGTCGCGAGCACGTCGGTCAGGACGTGTCCATCGACGATCGCGATACGCTCGCGAAATTCAACATCCCGCGTTGGCTCGAAAAGTTTCCCCACTGGCGATGCACGCTGGCCTTGCTCGATCCCGCGCCGCGCGACCCGTACGAAGCCATTCACACCGCCACTGCGATTCACAAAGGGATCAAGGACGTCGACAAGTACGTCGACGATTTGCGCGGCACCGACGACTGGACCGATCTCGTCAAGTAATCCGACGTCTACTTTAAAAATCAACGCTTCGCTCGCGCGCGGCCAACCAACCGAAAGCGCTGCCAACGCCACACATCGACGCATCATCGCCCTCGCGCGCGCGCCATGATCGTCCGCGTGCGCACGCGCGACGGTACCGAACGCATCACGGTCCCTTCCTCCGACATCACCGTCGCGAAACTCAAAGAAATCCTCGAAACCGAGCTGAAAGTGCCGAAAGACGAGCAGATTCTCTCGACGTCGCTCGATGTGCTGACGAGCAAAACACCGGAAGAATTCAAAGATATGGCGAACGGAAGGGCGAAGATCGCGTCGTGCGGAATCGACACGAACGGGGCGGTGGTACACTTGATGTATGGGTGCGAAAGAGAGCCGACGAAGACGACGGCGGCGGTGCGGGACGCGGCGAGAGGACTCACGGGACGAAAGATGACCGTCGACGACATGATCGCGGCGCAAGTACGGATCGAAAGGCAAGAGGCGCCGCACTGCGTGAGCGTGTCGTTCGATGCGAACGCGGCGAATGTGTTTCAGAGCTACGTGAATTATACGTTGGGATTTAAACAGGTGAGGTTCGGATGGTTGTACGGCGCGCGAGACGACGACGGGAAGACTCGGGTGGACGCGATTTACGAGCCAGAGCAAGAGGGCACAGAGGAAGATGTGGAGGTGTTGGAAGACACGCTCGAGGATGAAAAGGCGGACGCGCTCGCGGGTGCGTTGGGAATGATCCGTGTGGGGTGCATAATCAGTACGCCGAAGGATGAACGCGACTTTACGCTGAGCGCGAGAGAGGTGTCGCGCGTCGCGCGGTTGCAGTCAAAGTTCGGCAAGGAGTTTGTCACCGCCGTGGTGAGCACGTTCGAAGACGAAGACGACAACTGGCAGGTGTCTTTCGAGGCATTTCAGCTGAGTGATGCGGCGATGAAGGTTCAGGAGCGTGGTTGGTTCACCGGTGAGTGCGGCGTCGACGAGGATGGAGACGAGTTGAAGGGAGTATCCAAGCTCACGAACGAGGTCATCGTGCGTGACGGTCCGAGCATCAACGACGTGAATGCAGTTGATAACGACATGTTTCTCGTCACCGTGCCGATCTTGGACCACGAAGGCGCGATTTCAACTACGTTTCCCGTCGAGAACCGTTTGCATCCCGTGCAAACCGTCGACGATTTAAAGGACGCATTGCGCAAAGACAAACCGTACGGAGAACGATTGCGCGATTTCCACTTACTCTTGTTCTTGGCGAAGCACATCGATATCAACGAATTAGCTGTTATTGCAAGCGCGGTGCATCACGGCGAAGACGTTCCGGAGGGCTACACGTTACTCATTGATTGTTTGGCTGGTCTGGCGTAGAATTTGATTTGTTACATTTGCGATTCCTTTTCAGTTCTTGCGTCGTCTTCTTCGGCATTCCTCGGGAAGCTCATCTAAAATCTGTCTCATGTGCGTGCGATGAAATCTCGCAGTCAACGGGCGCGCCATCGCGATGTGCTTGCGATACGATACGCTCGTTTCTAGTTGCGCCTCAGTCACGTCGAAAGTCGTCGTCATCATGTGAATGATATCCTTCTTCCGTTGCTCTCGTACACCATCGCGCTGAGAAAGCTTTTCCTCGCGGAATTGCTTTCGCTTTCGCTTCTCTAACAATTTTTTTTCGTTTTCCTCGGCTTCACGCTGGCGTTTTTGACGCTCGCGTGTGACAGACTTTCGCTCATCCACGTCCGCGCGCCAGTATAGCTTGCGACCAGGAGCTGGGTTTCCATATGCGCTGTATCTATCGCTGGAGAATGGCAAACCTCGGTAGTGTTCCGGCAGCGTATCCGGGTCCCTCTGTAGGACCTCTTCAGTCACCATGCGCACTCGCATGCACCTCTGGCACAGCCGCGCTCCGAACCCCCAGAACACCCACTTGAAGCTTATGAGCGGATGATTGTCGCAGCTTTGGCACCCCGTGCCCTCAAACAATCGCAACTTCTGCGCCGAAGTCATCGTAGGCGGCGCTTGTTTGTCCCCATTCTCCAAGCTGTCGTCCAATCGCTTCACCCGCGCCCACAAAGTATCGCACATATCCGCAAACAATCCACCTTCATCGCACACCTCCTTAAACGTCTTGCTCACCGATGGCAGCGCGAGCAGCGTGCGCGCTTGCGTTCGAACAAAGTCCACGCGTTTCGCGGTCGTCTTGCGGTGCTGGCGCCTGTTGTGCCAGAAACGCACCCGCTCTTCGTGCTGGTGCCTGTTTCGCCAGAAACGCTCATCCTCATCGTCGTCTAGGAATCCTCCGAGGACTTCGACGAGCCGGTTCGCATTCGGCGGTTCGCATTCGGGCGGCGACGGCACCGCGACGTCCGGGTCGGCGCTGTCGAGAAAACGTCGAAAGATGAACTCCCAACAATCGCGCGCGAGGTCGACGTCGTGCGTCGCTTTGCGCGGGCGCCCGGGCGGGCGGGGCATCGCTGCGCGGCCGACGCGAGGGCGCACGCGTCGGTTCGCGCGCGCGCGATGCGACGCGCACGTCGCGCCGGCGATGCGTCGCGCACTCAGGCGCGCGCGGTCCGACGGAGTGTTTCTGTCAGCGCGACGCGCGTTTCAAATTTACACGGTTGTTACTAGGAAAGGAGACCCACTGCGTGGCTAATCGCGGTTGGGACTCAATGCAGCATCGTCTTTGCGCTCGCCTCCTGCGCCTGAAGATCCTCGCTGACGTACTTGGCCAACAGTTCCTGCTTTTTGCGGTTCAGCACTTCTCGCTCGATATCGGCCTCGTCCACGAGCGGCACGTGCGCGACGAATTGTCGGCCCGCGTCCGCGACGGTGCTCGCCTTTTTGCGCGTACCACCGCCGCCTTCGAGCTCACGTAGTTTTTGTTCCGTCTCGTACTGCTCGATCGCCGCCGCTTGCAGCTGCTGCTCGGCTTCAGCTTCGTCTTTGAGCAACACGCCGTCCTCCTCGTCCCGGAAGCCGTAATATCCGCTATCGATGTGTAGGTTCATCTGGTGTCGCGTTCGACGCACCGCCTTCGTCACGGGCGCCTCGAACAATTCCTTCACTCCCGGTAAATTCTTCGCCGCACCGAAGTATTTGTACGCCTTCCTATCGCCCGCCGTCCCCGGCGGTTGCACCGCGCCGCCGTCGGCGTCCTCCACCTTCGGCGCCGACGCGATGTAATTCGGCCCCCCGAGCTCGATGATTCGCATCTCCCACTGCCACTTCTCCTTCAACAACTGATTTATCTCATCGTTCAAGTCTCGAATCTTATGTTCCCCTAAACCAGCGTTCTGAATCTCCATCACTTTTCTTCCGACGTCGCGCAGCACGTCGCTCCGCCACCGATCCGCCTCGTTCAGGTCTTTCGCCGCGTGCGTGTGAAACGGCCGCGAGCGCGACACCGATCCGCGCAGCGCGTCTTGTTTCCCGCTCGTCCACTTGTTAAACATCCCCTGCGCGCGCGTCGTCGTCGTCGTCGTCGTCGTCAGTCGTTCGTTCGTTCGTTCGCGCCTTCAACCTAAGTCGCGCGCGTCGCGCGCGCGCTCGCGCGCGCGTCGCGCCCGCCGCGCGCGCCCGCCGATCGACGCACATTCGCCTTCTCTTGATTCCGCGCCATGGCGTCGTCGCGCGCGTCGCCGGTCGCGCGCGCGGTGCGGTCGCGGCGTCGTCGTGTGCGGCGGCGGCACTCGCGCGCGCGATGGACGCCGCGACGGCGTCGTCGATCGCGCGCGCGCTCGAGGACGCGGTGAGGACGGCGAACGCGCGCCCGAACGCCTCGAACGCGCGCGACGGCGCGAGCCGCGCGGCGCTCGCGAGGGAGGCGCACGAAAAGTTGGGATTCGATTATCCGCTGGTGAGCGACGACGAAGTGCGCGCGCTCGCGGCGGCGATGCGCGACGCCGCGCGCGCGGACGGCGGGCTCGCGCGAACGCCGTTCGCGCTGACGCGGGCGCTGGCGCGGAACGCGCGAGAGGGAGGCGGCGCGAGCGACGCGAGGGACGATGGGGAGGACGGCGACGACGCGCGCGGCGACGCGTTTCGGAACTTGCGGGCGGTGGTGTACGTCGAGGTGCCGCGCGCGGTGATGCGCATGAGCGATGACGATGCGTTCGAGGCGCTCCGGGCGTACGCGCCGGAGGAGCACGAGGCGGAGGCGGAGACGGAGGCGGAGGCGCCGCGCGAGACGCTCGCGAACGGCGCGAACGGCGCGACGGCGAACGCGCCGATCGTCTCGGAACCTCGGGAAGATGGCGATGACGACGACGACGCGTGGGAGCCGGTGGAATCTACCGTCTCGTGGTTTTCGCCCGTTAAAGATGACGCGCGTTACGCGAAAATGTCGAAACGAGAGGTCGTGAACGCCAAGTTGCGCGGTCTGATGAGCGAGTTGCTGCCGGCGCGCGTCGGCGCTACGTCGACGAATGTGGGAGTGAATTCCGATTGGGAACGCCTCGACGTCGCATCGGGATTGATGGACTTATTCGAGGCGATGTGCGCGTCGTGCGACGTCGAAAGGCGCGCGCTACGAACGATTCCCTTGCGCGCGCTGCGCGAGCGATGGGCCATCGCGGCGGGCGGCAAGTTGGGCGTCGAAGCGGGCTTGACGCGCGCGCTTGATGCGCTCAAGTTCGCACAGAGCGACGCGATGGACGAGCAGACTGAAGATCACCGAATTGCGTTGGAGCTGTTGGCGTATTTGTGCTTGCGCCTCGGCGCAGAGACGATGGGTGTACAGGCACTTGGCGAAGGGGAGAACAGCGCTTCCTCGGCAAGAAGTAAACTTTGGGCACACGTGCACCGAGCAATCCCAGTCGTAACGAAGACTTTAGAGCACAGTCTGCGCGTCATGGATGCACGCAAGGAAGATCCAGATTGGCAGGACACAGTCGGTTTGAGCGCATTATTGCTCGCGTTTTACACCACAAATGCGAACGCCGTCGTCGTGAAGGATGTGGGCGAAAGATTGCTGCGCACTGGATGTTTACGAGCACTAGTGAACATCTTCATCGCTTTACATCGATCGCCGCTTGCTGAAACCGTTCGACGAGCATTGCTGCTATCGACGCTCGCGTGCGATGGAGTGTACGAGTTCGTCAGTCGCGTCTCAGGTGTGCGCACGGCTTTGGCTGGCGCCGAGTTCTCGTTTGACGGGACGTTCGCGATGCACGGGGCAATGTGGAAGATTGCGTTGCGGGATCCAGATGCCGAGTCACATCTTGCGAAATGTCTCGATAGATTTGCGTCGACACTCGACGACGAAGCTAGCGTGCACGCGTTAAGAGACGGGTTATTGCTAACCCGAGCGAGCGAGCGAGCGGCAAAGGCGAGTGGCCGACAACTTTTCAAACATGAGGGACACGTGACGACATCACTCAAGTCACTCAACGCAAACGTCGTCGACGTTATCACGACCATGGCCCGCGCCCGTGATGAGCACGCGCACGGCAGTGCGTGTGACGACGACGAAGAGAAGAAGAGGGACGAAAATCCCAACGCGCCGATTGTAGAAAAGCGCCGCGAGGCAATCGTAGAAATTAGTCGCAAACTCAAGATTTTGCTCGCCAGCGACGACTCGACGGTGATGCGCAAGACTGATTAGCAGCTTGTATTTTAGTTATTTCGTTCGTAGCACTACAATTCATTCATTCGGGTTTTCGTTGGCGCTCACTTTTTGCGCGAGTTCGGCTTCTGATCGCCTCCCGCACCGACGAGTTCTGCCTCTTCCTTTTGTTCTAAACGCTGCGGTTGGAACATGTACACAGAGTAGATGACGTTGCGTCTGATTTGCGCCATCATCTCTGTGTAGAGGTTGAAGCCTTCAAGCTTGTATTCGATGAGAGGATCCTTTTGAGCGTAACCGCGCAAGCCGACAGCTTGTTGCACAAACTTGATAGCCTGCAAGTGTTGCTTCCACAAATTGTCGGTTTGCGACAAAATGAAGAAGCGCTCCGCTTCCATCATCAGCCCCGCTTCGGTAGCCTCAACTTCGCCGCATTTGGTCATGTATGCATCCTGACCCTTCTTGACGAGGAAATTGCGCAATGCGTTGACGCCACCCTTCTCCGCGATGGGGCGAATGTCGCTCTCATCGATTTCGCCGAAGTAGTAGCAGTATTGTCGCAACTTGCCGACGAGTCCTTCAAGCGGCCACTCGGACACAGGCTCCGACGTATCGATATTAGCGTTCACGATGTCATCGATGGTAAGCTCGGCGTATTCAAGCATTTGTTCTTGGAGTTGCTCTCTGCTCGCGGTGAGCGCTCGGCGGCGTTCGAAGTAAACCTTTTCACGCTGCGAGTTCAAAACGGCGTCGTAGTCGAACAGCTGCTTACGAATATCGTAAAAGTAACGTTCAACCTTCTTTTGGGCTTCATCCAAGGAGTTCGTGAGCATGCCGGACTCGATAGGCATGTCCTCAACTCGGAAAGCGCTCATCAACGCTTGAATGCGATCGCCGCCGAAGATGCGGAAGAGGTTATCCTCCAGTGACAAGAAATATCGCGTGCTTCCCGGATCCCCTTGACGGCCTGAGCGACCTCGGAGCTGGTTATCAACGCGACGCGACTCGTGTCTCTCAGTGCCGACCACGTGCAGGCCACCGAGCCCGAGGACTTCCTTCTTTTCAGCGCTCGTGTACACCTTGTATTCGGCTTCAATCGCGTTGAACACCTTGCGTAGCGCGAGAATGGCTTCGTCTTCGGACGGACCCTTTTCGCACGCGAAGGACAAGCGTTCCTCAGCATCGAGAGCCTCGAGAGATCGATCGCCCCACACCGAGCACGCAGTGTCGACGGCTTCGCCGAGCATCTTCGCGGTTTCCGCGGAGAGCTCGCACGGATACAAGCCTTCCTTGACGGCCCACTTGTTCCCGCCCGACTTGGCGAGGTTCCCTTTCTTTTCGAAAGCGATTTCGCCGTCCTCGGGCATGACGACGCGCTGCATGAGCGACTCACGAACGCGAAGACGCGCCATGAATTCGGCGTTACCGCCCAAAAGAATATCCGTACCGCGACCAGCCATGTTGGTGGCGATGGTCACCGCCCCTTTGCGGCCCGACTGAGCGACAATTTCAGACTCCCGCTCGACGTTCTCCGGCTTGGCGTTGAGCAACTCGTACGGAATGCCGTCTTCGTCGAGAAGTTCTGCGATTTGCTCCGAACGCTCGACCGAAGTGGTACCGACGAGCACGGGCCGTCCCTTTTTGTGCATGCGCGAGATTTCCTTGCGCACGGCGTTCCACTTGCCGGTTTCCGAGCGGAAGACGACGTCGGTGGAATCCTCCCGCGAGACCGGTCGGTTTGTCGGCACGACCGCGACTTCGAGCTCGTAAATGTTACTGAACTCGGTGATCTCCGTTTCGGCGGTACCGGTCATACCACCGAGCTTGGGGTAGGACTTGAAGAAGGCTTGGTACGTCACCGAGGCGATGGTGACTGTTTCGTTTTGAATCGTCACCCCTTCCTTGGCTTCGACGGCTTGGTGTAAACCATCGGACCATCGACGTCCCTGCATAGTACGGCCAGAGAACTCATCGACGATGATAATTTCTTGGCCACGAACAATGTAGTTGACGTCGCGTTTTTGGAGTTCCTTAGCCTTGATGGCGTTGATGATGTACAACGCCCACTGCGTGCGCGGATCGTACAAATCCGTCACTTGCAACAAGTCTTCCGCCGCTTCGTAACCTTCTTCGCTCAACAACACGCTCTTTTGCTTTTCGTCGACTTTGTAGTGGTAGTCTTTCTCGAAGGCGTCTGCAATCTTTGCGGCTTGAATGTAGCGTTCGCTCGGCTTATCCGCCACGCCGGAGATGATGAGCGGCGTTCGCGCCTCGTCGATGAGAATGGAATCAACCTCATCGATGATACAAAAGTTGAAATCGCGCTGCACCAGCTCCCCGGTGTTTTGCGCCAAGTTGTCGCGCAGGTAATCGAACCCGAGCTCGGAATTTGTGACGTACGTCACGTCACTTCCGTACCCGACTCGTCGCTCCTCCTCCGCCATGCCCGCCTGGATCAACCCGCACGTCATCCCGAGAAACTTATGAATCTGCCCGATCCACTCCGCGTCTCTTCTCGCCAAGTAATCGTTCACCGTCACCACGTGCACGCCCTTCCCGCTCAGCGCGTTCAAATACGCCGGCAACGCCGACACCAGCGTCTTCCCCTCCCCCGTGCGCATCTCCGCGATTTGCCCTTCGTGCAAAATCATCCCCCCGATGAGTTGCACGTCGAACGGCCGCAGCCCGAGCACGCGATCCGCCGCCTCTCGAACCACCGCGAACGCCTCGACGAGTAAATCGTCCTCGCTCTCGCCTCGTCGCAATCGCTCGCGGAATTCCTCCGTCTTCGCCCGCAGCTCGTCGTCGCTCAGCGCCTTCGTCCTCGCCCCGAGCGCGTTCACCGCGTCCACGCGCGCCTGGTACCGCTTCTTCGTCTTCTCCGACGGGTCACCCTTGAGCATCTTTTCGAATCCCGCGAACATCGCGCGCGTCGGCGTCCCGCGCGCCGCGCGTCGCGCGCCGCGCGTCGCGTCCCGTCCGCCGCGGCGGCGCAGTCCTTCGACGTCGGCGCCGATGCGCGCGCGTTCGCCGCGCATCGCGCGCGCGGTCGCGCCGAGCGCGCGCGACATCGTCGAGTGCGTCGCGCGCGGTCGTGTCGCGCCGTCGTCGGCGTGCGCGCGGTCGTCGGCGCGCGCGCGTGTGCGGATAAGAGGGCGCGCGCGATGCCACGTCGACGGGGCGCGTATGGGTAAACAGTACGCGACGCGCGCATCACACGCGCGCGCGCGCGCGACGCGACGCGCGCGATCGCGCGCGACGCGTCGCGGTGCGATGTTTTCCGTGGACGCGCGCGTCGCGTCGCGCGCGCCGGACGCGCGCGACGGACGCGGCGATGCGCGGTCGCGCGCGCGCGCGATGTCGACGCGATGCGCGCGCGCGGCGCGCGGCGCGCGCGCGCGGCACGCGCGGCGCGCGACGGACGCGTCGACGTCGCGCGAACGCGATGACGAGGACGATGACGAGGACGAGGACGAGGACGGGCGCGAACGCGCCGAGCGATTGGCGGCGGTGGTGAATTGCTACGACGTCGCGGCGCTGAGCGCGAGCGCGACGCGCGCGTCGTCGTACGTCCGCGAGGAGCTCGCGGGAATGACGACGGCGCAGAAGATGATTTTTATGGACGCGCTGTCGTCGACGGGGATCGAGAACGCGTGGACGATCGCGGGTGAGGGGTACGCGTTGACGCGCGCGGAGCGCGCCGCGAGCGCGGGCTCGACGAAGGATTTTCACGCGGCGAATGAGATTTTAGGCGACGACGACGCGAATGCGCGCGGTGACGGCGTGCGCGTGTTCGAAGGACGCGTCGCGAAACTCCCGACCAAGTTCCTCAATCGCTTCGCCAAGGCGTTTTACGTGGACGAGGACGACGATCCGATGCGAAGCGCGGCTTCGCGACGATTTCTCGGTCGAGCGCCGATTAAAAAAGGCCCGCTCGACGCCTTGCTTCCTCTGTATTTCGCCTCCAACGACTTCACCGACGACTCCGTGACGATTCCCGGCACCGGCGAGCGCGCTGATTTATCTTTGGATTACCGCGACGTCCCGGTGTTGGCGACGCGGCGGCCTCTCGCGTCCCGCGCCGGCGGCGTCTCCTGGCCCGCGCCTCGCCTCGCGCTCTACCCGTTCGACGCCTTGGTCGATTACATCCGCCCGCTCGCGCCGGGCGTGCTCGTCGGTCGCGGCTACAGGTTCAAAGCCGACGTTCCGCGCAGGTTTTTAGATTTCGTGCTCGTTCGTCGTGAATAGACACGCCGCCGCTTCGCCTTCGTCGCCTTCGCGCCTTCGCGCGCGCGTTCGCCTCGCGTCAGCCCCTCATCGTCCCATCGGCGTCGCGATCGGCGTCACAACTCGCCCGCGACGCGCCCGCGCGCCGCACGGACGCGCACACGCGCGACGCGCGCGCGCGCGTCGTCGCCGTCGCCTCGAAGCGCGCGCGCGACGCCGCGCGACCGGATAAGCGTCGCGTCGACGAGGCATGCCTTCGTTCGCTCGAATCGCGTCGCGCGTCGCCGAGCGGGCGCGCGCGCGCGCTCTGGACGTCGCCGAACGCGCGCGAGGACTCGATCGAGGGACCCGAGCGATCGCGAGCGGCACGCGCGGCGATTGGCGCGCGCGAACGCGAGGCGAAGGGGAGGGCGCGGCGAACGCGAGGGCGGCGGGCGACGCGCGAGCGAGACCGAGCGTCGGGTTCGCGAGCGCGCACGCGGTGCCGAGGGAAGAGCTCGCGTACGATGACGCGGTGCCGATAAATCCGTTCAAGATCGTGGACGATGAGCTGAGGGCGATCGGGGAACGGATGCGAAGGGCGGTGACGAGCGATATACCCGCGTTGTCGACGGCGAGCGAGTATTTTTTCAAGCTCGGTGCGGAGGGGAAACGCGTGCGACCGACGGTTTTGATGCTCATGGCGAGCGCGATGACGAACGGGGTGATGACGAGCGCGGCGCAGGGAGGGTGGAGAGAAACGGATCACGCGCCCGCGCACCAGGCGCCGGCGGACGTGCGGCGACGACAACAACGCCTGGCGGAAATTGCGGAGATGATCCACGTCGCGAGTCTGTTGCACGATGACGTGCTCGATAACGCCGCCACGCGTCGGGGACTGCGGGCGTTGAATTTGGAGGTGGGCAACAAGCTGGCGATTTTGGCGGGCGATTTCTTACTCGCGAGGGCGTCGGTGACGCTGGCGTCGTTGCGTAATACAGAAGTCATCGAGCTCTTGTCTCGAGTTCTCGAGCATCTCGTCGCGGGAGAGGTGATGCAAATGACGGCAAAACCGGAAAGTTTGTCGTCCATGGATCACTACGTGAAGAAGACGTACTATAAGACGGCGAGTCTCATCGCTAATAGTTCAAAAGCCATCGCCTTGCTCGGCGGGCACGGGGAAGAAAGCGCGCAACTGGCGTACGATTATGGGAAAAACCTCGGATTGGCGTTTCAGTTCCAAGACGATGTTCTCGACTTCATCGGATCTGAGTCTCTTCTCGGAAAACCGACGCTTGGCGACTTGAAAGAAGGCATCGCTACGGCGCCGGTGCTCTTCGCCGTGCAGGAATTCCCTGAACTCTCAGACCTTGTCGAGCGAAGGTTCAAGCACTCTGGCGACGTCCAGCGCGCGCACGAGCTCGTAAAGAGCAGCCAGGGCATCGCGCGAACTCAAGAACTCGCGCGTGAGCACTGCGACTTGGCCATCGCTGCGATTGACCGTCTTCCCGCGTCAGAGTCCAAGTACGCGATGCACTGCAGACGTGCGCTCAAAGAGCTCGCCAAACGCGCGGTGGAACGCTCAAAGTGATTTTGCTGGTTTTTTCCTAGACGATTTTAGTGTGATATTAGACTATTCTACTCAGTTTTCTCCGCCAGTTTCCTTCGCCTTTTTCGCCGCCTCTGTCTTCTCGCGCTCCTCGCGTTCCTTTCTCGCCGCCTTCTTGGCCCATTTCGCCTTGCGCTCCTCCATGAGTTTCGCCACTTCCGGGTTGGGTTTGATTCGAATCGGAAGTGCGTGCAAGACATCATCGTCCGTGTCGTCCGTGTAGTAATCATTCACGGTCGGCTTTAACAAATCAGGCAGCCGCGCCGGATCGAGCGCCTCGAGCGCGCGCGGTGGCTGCTTCTCGACGGGCGGCTTGGCGTCGAATTCGTCTTCCTTCTCCACGTACTCCTTGTTATCGACCAAAGTCGTGAATGTGGGATCAAACGCGCTCCAGTCCTCTTTATGCTTGCGCGCCCAAACGTAAATATTGCCGTTGCTTCCGAGCGCGATGCCGACGTCTCGAATCGGATGCGCCGCGAGTTGAACCACGCCCTTCGCCTCGGCCGGACCTTCGAGCACGCACTTCAACTCTCCAGACGCGCGATCCCACACGTGCATTTCGTGCGCGGCGCCACTGCACATACCGTAAACGTACTCGCCGTTCCATGGATACGCCGCCGCGCTCCACTGCAATCGGCTGGCGGACGGGCTCTCGTACTCCACCATCCTCGTCAGCACGTCTTCGCCGTCGCTCGCGGCTTCGTCGACGTCGAAACCACATATTTTCTGCCCATTCGTCACCGCGAGCAAGTGTTTGCCATTTCTACACAGTTCTAATCTCTTCACCAACGTCGCGTCTGGGATCGAAATCGACTGCGCTAGTCGCAGCTCCCCCGACGCGTCGACGACGGACACCGTTCCCCGCGCGTCGCCGACGAAGACGTACCTCCCCTTTTTACTCGACACCGCCAAACCCGTCACCGCCACATCGTGCGACGACGGCAGTTCGGCCTCTTTCTGCCCTCGCGCGCTCGTCCCGCGCACGTACGGCGCCCGCCCCACGCTCGGACTCACGATCACCGTCGTTCCGCTCGCGTTCGACGCCGCGAAGCTCACGCTCGAACACAGCCCCACGTTCGACATCACCGCGATCACGTCCTCCTCCAGCGCGTCCCACACCTCCACCACCCCATCCGATTTCGCCGCCGCGATCTTCCTCCCGTCCAGGCTCCAGTGCACGCTCAGCACCGCCGCCCGCTCGCCGTCGTCTTCGTCGCGTCGAAACTCGCGCGTCGTCGCTCTCGTGTCCCAGCACCAAATCACGATCGTCCCGTTCGACGTCCCGCACGCCAGCATCGTCCCGCGTCGATTCCACGCGCAGCACGTCGTGCGCTCGCGCGCCAACCGGTCCTCGACCACCTCCCACATCCTGCGCGCGTTCGGCGCTGCGAATCGTGTCGTCGTCAGTCGTCGCGCGCGTCGCGCGTCTCGCGCCTTCGCGCGCGTCTCGCTGCGGTTCTCGCGCGTCGCGCCCGCGTCTCGCGCGTCGCGCCCGCGGTCGCCGACGCACGTTCGAACGCGCGAAACATCGCGCGCGCGCGTCGCCCGCGCGCGTCGTCGCGCGTCGACGAATGTCGTCGGCGCGCGCGCATTGGCGCATTCGCGCGCGACGTCGCGCGCGTCACGCGCCGACGCGACGCGCGCCCTCGCGCATGAGCGGGCGCCCGCCGCTGGACGCCACCGCGCGCGTCGCGCGGCAGCGCAAGAAGAAGAAACTCGCGCTCGACGACGCGCGACGCGCGAACGCGCGCGTCAGGACGGACATCGACGAATCCGTCGCGTTTCGAACGCTTCGCGACGTCGAGCGCGAGCTCGACGTCGCGTGCGCGCGATGGCGAGGACGCGCGCGCGATGCGAACGCGGCGCGACGGCCGGGCGGGCGCGAACGACGGACGGCGACGGTGCGAGTGTACGTGTTTCACGCGCACGGGGGCGACGGGACGTACGCGCTGCGCGTGGCGGGACGACGGGTCGACGAGCGACGAGAAGACGTCGATCGAGGAGGGGCGAGCGACGGCGCGTGGACGCACGATGAGATGGAGGGGAGATTCACGAGTTACGTGCGACGGATGACGATCGAGGTGGATGGAGACGCGGAGGAGGCGAGGACGAGGACGTGGACGCGGGAGGGAGAGGCTTCGGACGCGCTCGGGACGGGACGGGCGAGCGGACGCGTGGATGGGTTCGAGATGCGTGGGTTCACGAAACGAGGCGCGGTTGAGGCGACGATTCGGTTGGAAGTGAATGGGATGCGCGAGAGGTTTAGGGTGGGGAAGGATTTGGCGGAATTGATCGCGACTCGGTACGCGTCGAGGCGAAGGGTGATTTCAGAGTTGTGGACGTACTTTTCGGCGAATGAGTTGGTGAACGAGGACGACGTGAGCGAGGTGCGAGTGGATGAGCCCATGCGGATCGTGTTCGAGGACGCGGGCGTGTCGCTGCCGAAGTCTCCAGAAACGGTCAAGTTTCAGCGCGTGTGCGACGTCGCGTGCGAAAAGTTTCTCACCGCGCTCGAGCCCCTGGAAATCAAGTACAACATCAAAACCTCCGGAATATCACCGTCAAAGCCTGATTGCTACGATATCGAGGCCGAAGAGCCCGACTCTGGGCCCTGGGGTCTGGCGCCGCCGTATGAGCACGATTATCGAGTGGCGAAGGACGTGGACGCGTGCGAGCAACACATTCGTCTCGCGTTCGATTTCATAGACAGTCATTTGGAGCGTCGTGACTTTCTTTTGCGCTTCGCTGAAAGTCCCATCGACTTCATCAACTCTTGCGTCTTAAACCAAGCTAAAGGGGTGTACAAGGCCGAGGATGTGACGCAGGGTTCGGCTGACGAAGTGGAACTGAGACACGCGTCGCGCGCATCCGACGCGTTCAGAGAACCTTGGGTGGACGAAGCCATGTTGCGACTGCTCGAGTGAATCGTGAATTAGAATACAGACTGTGTAGGATGACAAGCTAATAGTTAGAAATCGTTGCTCGGCTCGACGAGCGTCACGCGCCAAGACTCCACGCCGTGCGTAGAGCGAAACTCGACGTCCATGTCTTGAAACTCTCGCGCGTGCGATATGCGGTCTTCCCAAATTCGCACTCGCTTCGGCTTGTACTTTTTCACCAACCGCCTCAGTTCATTTTGCTTGTACGACAACGTGTCGTGTCCCGTGCAGTTAAAAATGTGTTCGTGACAGTTGATGTCGAACGACCGCATCACCGCCTCCACGGATTGCCTGAGTTTGCCGCGGCGACCCGTCATCATGACGCGCGCCACCGTCGCGTTCGCCGCGCTCTCCCTGTACTCATCCAACGCCGGCCCCGACGCCATCGTCAACGGCGGTTCCAACGACTCCGCACGTCCCCACCATCCCTGAAACGGCCACTCTCGACCCGTGGCGATCTCGTACGATCTCATCCCTTCCTTCGGCGTCGGCGTGTCCACGAGCGTCCCATCGAAATCAAACACGTGTAACTCCTCGAACCCATCCTCTGCGCCCACCGCGTCCTCCACCATCGTCTCGCTCGCGTCGGTCGCCATCACGTTCGTCTCAAACCCGCGCGTGCACGCGCTCGTCCGAGAAAACCTTCGTCAAATGCGCCGCCGACGCCTCGACGTTGTCCACCTGCGCCGCCGCCAACCGCAGCGCCTCCTCCAGCGTCTCCCCCTCCGCGCTCGCGTGCTTCTCGTACTCCGCTCGCGCTTTCGCGCGCACGTACGCCGTGCGATTGTCCTGCGCGTCCGCGTCGCGCGTCAGTCCCGCGTCGTCGCGTCCTCGCGTCCTCGCGTCCTCGCGTCCTCGCCGCCGTGCGTCAACGTCCCGTCGCGCGTCACTTTATCCGCGTCTCTCGCGCGATCGCGCACCGTCGGCAGCCTCGCGCTCGCCCTGAACAACTGCCTGTACAGCGACCTCGCGCGTCGTGCGCGCTCGCTCGCGCGCATGCGCTCGCGCGCGTCGTTCTGCCGTCGCGCGCGCCGCACATCGCCGCGCCGGCATGGCGGCCGAGCACGTCGTGCGGCGCCTGCTGTCGCCGCTGCGCGACGCCGCGATCGTCGACCGCGCGCTCGCGGACGTGCCCGAACTCGCGCGCTCGCCGCGCGAGGCGTTCGCGCGCATCGTGCGCGCGGTCGACCGCGCGGAGGCGGCGAACGTGTCGGTGACCGAGCTCATGCGGTCGCCGCGCGAGGCGTTCGCGCTCGAGGCGTCGACGACGACGCGCGCGACGGCGCGCGCGCGCGCGACGAAGGCGGTGGAGAGCGCGAGCGACGCGCTGATGCGAACGGTGAGGAAAGACGCGGGATCGGCGAGCGCGAGAGATGGACGAATGGATGGGAAGTGGCTGGTGGCGGGGACGATGAAGGGGACGTCGACGCGCGAGGAGGATTTGAAGGTTCGGTTTTGGAACCTGTGGGGGGGGTCGAAGGCGTGTCGGACGGTGATGACGAAGAGCGCCCGAAACAGCGCGTATAGGAATCCAGAGCGGTTGGAGCGGGCGGTGTTGAATCTGGATCGAGTGGCGCCGTTCGTGGACTCGCCGATGTTGTTGCATCGCGCGCCCGAGCTGTTGGAGTACCCGACGGAGGAAATCGTCCGACGGTTGGTGCGGATGAAGTTTCTGTTCGCGGCGGTGGATGTTGGGTTCGTGGCGACGCAGACACCGAGTTTGTTGTTGCTCGAGCCCGAGACGTTGGCGCGAGCGGTGGGCGCGTTCGCCGACGGCGACGTCGCGACGCTCGCGGCGCGAGTCGCCGAATTCGTCGAACGCGACGGTATCGATGCGTTTGCGGCGCTTGGAACGATGACATCGCGCGTGGAAGCGGCGAACGAAGCCGTGACGAGTGTTTAATGGATATTTTTTTGCTGTATTTCATTTCAAAGGCGCCACGTGTAGACGTCGGCGCGCTATCGTTTAGGATTGTAAAGGCTGTACATTTACTTTTTTCGAGGCTCGTCGGTGGAGGAAGTCGCCTTGCGCTTGCGTTCGCCAATGACGCTGGTTGCTTTGTCCTTCGACTTGCGTTCGCTCTTGTCGCTCTTGGACTTTTCCTTGTCACCCTTCTTTTCTACCTTGGAACTCAATTTGGTCGTGATACGGCGCTGCGCGCCCTTGCCGTCGCCGAGCTGAACGGCGTTCACTTGCGAGGCAAACTTCAACGAGCACATCGTCTCTTCGGTGCTCGTGTTTTCTGGATTGATGTTAACAAACATCAGCGTTTTACCGTCACCGCCGAGACACGGCTGCAACAGATAAGTGAGCTTGGAGTTGCGATACGGCACGTGCGCTTGTTTCGCGGCTAACGCAGAAAAGACATCACCAAGCGACGAAAGAGACTTGTTGATGGCGCAGGCCTCCTTCAAGCGCGCGCCCTCGGCGCCTGATCGACCAACGCGTTCCGAGCCAGCCAAATCCACCAAGTTGAGGCAGCCCGTGAGTTCACTTCCACTTGAGGCGTGTTCGCCGACGATGTACAACATGAATATGGTGTGCGAACGCGAAGACTGTGCGTTCATGTTCGTCGCTTCGACCACGCGAGCTGCGGAAGCACGTCGAACCAAAGCCGCCGCAGACTCAACAGAGTCAATGACCTCGCGTTGGACGCCGCTCACCTCCGTCACGCCATTCTTGTGAACGATGGAGTGTTTGTCGCTGTGCGAACTTCCTGGCTTGAGCAAATCGCGCACTTGTTCGTTATAAATTTCGACGTACGAAGCGTGCATGGTGTAGGACCAACCCTTGTGCGCATTCTTCTGCGACGCCTCGACAATTTTAGCGACCGAGCGAGGGATTATACCCCGCATGTCACCGTTACCGTCACCGAGCATGGTATGCGTCTTACCCGAGCCGGTTTGCCCGTAGGAGAATAAGCATACTTTGTAACCGTCGAGCGCAGACTGCACCAGTTGCGAAACTTCCTCGAAAATTTCTTCTTGCTTGGCGCTCGGATCAAACACGCGATCAAACTCGAACGCGGCATCTTCTTTGCCCTCGACGCGTTTCAAATTCAATGAGCTCCCGTCAGGGGCACACTTAACTGCCGCTTCGTTCTCCGTCGGGCGCACTCGGCAGAACACGCGCACGTTGCCACGCAGCTCTTGAATCTGGTTGTGCAACGCACGTCGCATTGATTCGGCTTCGAGGGCTTGCTCTTCAAGCTCGTTTATACGCGATTGCCGTTCGTCGAGCTGTCGCTGCAATTGCTCGGATTCTTGCACCAGACGTCTCGCAGCGTCGACTTCACGTGTTTGCTCAACCAATCGCGCTTCGAGAGCCTTATTCTGCTCGTTGCCCTCCGTGTCCTTGCGCATAGATTCAGCCTCCTTGAGTGCGTTAAGTTCAGACTTGAGTTCGGTGCGTTCGCGCTCGAGCGCCTTTTGCGCGGCCATGAGCGATTCGATAGTGGTTTTGTGAACCGTCGAGTTATCCTTGAGCTCTTTCTGAAGGCGCTCAACTTCCTTTTGCTCGCTCTCGAGTTGCGCCACAACACCAGCGATTCGAGCTTCGTGGCCCATGACAGCCTCCTCGCTCGCCTTCAAGCGCTCTTGTGCCGCTACAATATCAGCCATGCTAGCTTCGTTCGCGGCCTCCATATCGTGCTTCGCCTTCTCGAGGTCGGCAAGTTGCTGAGCGATAGATTCCTTCTCCTTCAAAGCGTCTTGCACGCGGGCTTCAACGTCTCCCTTGGCTTGCTCGATTTCGCTGAGCTTGACTTCAAGCGCATCTCGCTCGCCAACAAGCACATCACGCTCGGCTTCCATGGCCTTCAAACGCGTTTCGAGTTTATTCATCTTCTTTTCGTGCTTTGCGGCAGAGGTTTCCGATTCCTCAGCGAGCGACTTTTGCGCCTTTTCGAGCTCGGCGAGCTGCTTCGTCAGAGTAGCCTTCTCGCTCATCAAAGCATCCTTCTCGCTCGTCAGGGATTTTTGTTCTTTAGTGACGCTCTTGAGTTGCGCTTGAAGTTCGGTGACGGCTTCAGTTTCCTTGACCAACTTTGCATTCGCCTTTTCGACTTGCGTTTCCTTCTCCGCAGAGAGCTTCTCGATCTTAGCTTCAGCCTTTTGCAGCCGATCTTGTTCAGCCGCGAGGTTGGCAGTGATTTCTTTTATGCGCTCTTCTGCGGTCGACTGTGCACCTGAGACTTGCTCCGCTAATTTAGCTTCAAGTTCTAGTTGCGCTCGCTTATGCTTCTCAGCGAGACGTGCAGCCTTGTCCTCCGCCGTCTTCTGAACCGCAGCCAATTCCTCAGCCGCGCCTTGAATCTCATCGTCGAGTTCTTTTTGAAGTGCTTCGAGAGAATCGTTTGCGTCGGCGAGTTGCTTTTGGAGTTCGGCCACATCTGCAGACGATGCAGCGGTGGTTTTTTCCAATTCCTTCTCCGCCTTCTTCAAACTCTTCTCAAACTCAGCCGCGCGCTCCTCAGCCGCGGCAAGCTTTCCATTCGCCGTATTGACGCGCTCTTCGGCCTTTTCACGAGTAGATTGAATCTCCTTTTCTGCTTTTTCTTGAGCAGCCATGGTAGCGGCTTCTGCGCGACGTCGTTCTTCCGCAACGGCTTCTCGGTGACGATCTTCTGCCTGCTGTAAATCAAGACGCGCTTGCTTCTGCACTTCTTGCAAAGTCGCTGATCCGTTCGCGAGTTGATCACGCCTATCAGCTTCCATACTCGCCAGTTCTTCGCGCACTTGCTTCAACTCGCCCATCATGAGAGTTTGTTGCTCGATGAGACTCTTTGACTGCGCCTTGGCATCCGCCAAATCAGACTCGGCTCGCTTGACATCCTTCTCCGCACGCTTCAGCTCAGAAGCCTTGGTAGCCTTTTCGCTCTCGAGCGAAGCCTTGATTTGAGTTAGGCTTTCACTCGTAGACTTGTGTTCATCCTTCAACGAAAGAAGGTCTTCGTTGCGTGCCTTGAGTTCAGCGCTCGTCGCCGCGAACTCGGCCTTGAGCTCCGAGTACGAAGATTTCATTTCAGCGAGCTTGGCTTCCAAATCTTCAACTTGTGCGCTAGTGCTCGAGTTTTCACCATTCAGAGCCGCGATATCACTTTCAAGTTTTTCAATCTTTGCGTTTCTCTTCGCGAGCATATTTTCTTGCTTGGTCAAAGCCTTTTTGGTTTCCTTCGCTTCTGATCTCAACTGTGTGATGGTGTCCTTAGCGCTGATTTCGTCCGCCGACGCCTTTGCTCGCAACTCGTTCAGTTCCGCCTCAACCGAGTTCAACTTCGATTGCAACTCTTCGGCGGAGCTTCCAAACTGTTCGGCTTCGCGTGCGGCCGCCTCTTCAGCCATATTTACCTGCACGCGCAACGACTCACACTCTGAGTTTGCCTCGCGAAGGCTGTCTTCGAGTTGAGCGCGCGCTGCCGTCGCCCGCGCTCGCTCAGCTTCGAGCTCACTCGTCTGCTTGCGAAGTTGTCCTTCAAGCGCGCGACGCTCCGCCGCGAAGGTGAGCTCGGCTTGCTCAGCTTCAGCCTTGAGCTGCTTGACGTCTCGTTCGAGTTTACTATTCGCCTCCTTGGCGACGCTTTCGCGAGTCGAAGATTCGGTGTACGAAGACTCAAGCTTGGCGTACTTGCTCGCAGCATTCTCGAGTTCCCTAGATTTCTTTTCCAAATCTTTCTCGAGCGACGCCAACGCCACCTTAGCCGCGCTCATCTCTTCCATCAGCGTCCCTTCGGCGCGCTCGCGCTCGTTCATCAGCTCGGCTTCCTTTTCGTTCGCCTCGCTCTTCAATGTCTTCACCTGCGCTCGAAGCGTTTTCGCTTCCGCCTCTGCCGTCGATGCGCACGTCTTCAAAGCGTCCACTTGAGCGGATAAAGCCTCGTAAGATTGTCGCTCGTTCGACTCATAGCGATCCAACTCCTTCGAGAAGTTTGTCCCATTCTGAAACACGTGTCGCAGGCAATCCTTCGACGCCTTCACAGCCGCCGTCAACTCCTCGATGCGATTCTTGTAATCGTGCTGACGAGCCTTCGGTCTAAAGTTAATCGCTCGTTCACACTTCTCGATGAAGTCTTCGTTCTCGTAATACTCGCGATACAGGCTCGACACTCCGCTCGACGTCGGTTTAGCCTGGGCGCCGACCGCCGCGCTCACCGTCGGCCCCGCACTCATCACTACCGGCGCCGCGCTCACCACCGGAGCCGCGCTCGCTACCGCGGCATCTTCTGTTTTCACGCTTTCTTTCCTCGCCGCATCCAAGCGCGCGCGCATCGACTTCAAATCTCTCGATATCCCCGCGACGCCGTTCGCCGCCCCCGCGCCGTTCGCGCCCATCTTGTGTCCCGGCGCGATCGCCTCCGTCGGCGCGTCCCCGCCGAGCTCGCCGCCGTTCGACGCGTCCACGAGGACGCCCCGCGCGCGCGTCGCCGCCAGCGCCTCGGTCGCGTCGTCGCTCGCGTCGACGGCGTTCGCTCCGTCGTTTAGAGACGAACCGACATTCGTCGTTCCCCCGCCACGTTTCGCGCGCGTCACCGTCGCCGGCGTGGCGTGCGTCGCCGCGCGCGTCGCGCGCGTCGGTACGTTTTCTTTCACTTCGTCCGACATCGTCCCTGTCGACGTGCGCCGCGGCGTCGCGCGCGGTCGACGCGCGTCGATGAATGTCGATGCCGTTGGGCCGGCGCGCCGATGTGATTTCGGATGTCGCGATGCGATTCGCGAATGGTTTGTTTTACAAGCGGCGAACGGATCGATTCGTCTAATTCTTCTTCCCTCGCCCGCCTCGCCCGCCTCGACCGGCGCTGCGATTGCGCTGGCGGTTGCTCTGCGGTCGGCGGCCGCCGGGAGTGCGACCGCCCGAGGCTCGACCGCGCGAGCGACGGTCGGCGCCGGGGGCGTCGCGCGCGGATTTTGATTTGCCCGCGGGCGAGTCGTCGGCTTCGGCGGTGGATGGATCGTCGACGAGCAGCTGCTCGACGAAATCATCGACGTCTTCGAGTTCGCCTTCTTCGGCGTCGTCGTCGCCGTCATTATCGTCGTCGTCGTCCCCGTCATCGTCATCGGCGGCGGCGGCGGCCTCGACTTCGACGACTGGCGTCTCGGCGACCGGTGCTTCGGCGACGGGCGCGGGAGTACTATCGGCGTCAGTTTTGCGCGTCTTCGTCGGCGCTTCATCTGTTTGCGCGACATCTACATCGTCGACTTTACGTTTCGTGCCCAAAGAGGCGGCGGCTTTCTTTTCGTCGAGCTCTTTGCGGAGCGCGTCCATTTGCGCTTGAAGTCTTTGCTTCTCCTCCGCGGCGTCGTCGGGCGCCTTCTTCGCCTCGGTTTTGACCGCGAACGGCACCGGAGCCGCCGGTGGCTTTGTAGTTGGGACAAAATCCTTCGCTTTTGACGCCAACTCGGCGAGTGGTGTGGTGGCTTGCGTCAGCGGCGCGCTCTGTTGAGTCTTCACGCCCGCAAGTTTCGCCTCGAGCGCAGAGCGCAGCTGGTCGGCGAGCTTGAGTTTTTCACGCGCACCATCGAGTTCTTTCTGAAGAGACGCGCATTTCTCCGACGCGACTGTTCGATCATTAAGCGCGGCAGCGAGTTCCTGCTCTTTCACCTTGAGCATATCTTCCGTCTCTCGAAGTTTCTTCGCGGCTTCCATCGCCTCCGCCTGCATCTTCTGAGCCATGACCTTGAATCGATCCGACGTGGGCGTGGGTGGTGCGGCAGCAGTTTCCCCTTCTTCAGCGTCTTCGGCTTCTTCTTGTTTGGACACGGGTTCGGTTGGAGCTGAAACGGTCTTCGCGACTTCTTCTTCGAGCTTCTTAATGTTTTCGCGCAATTTTTCGACTTCAGCCGTCGTCTCGCCCAAAGCCTTCTCGGCGCGCTCCGCCTTTTCCGTTGCCGATTTCACCTTTTCATTCGCCGCATCGAGTTCTTTCTTCGCAGTAGCAAGCTGTGCGACAACATCAGACTCGTCTTTTTTCTGCGAAATCGCAGCCTTTGTCGCCGCTTCGAGCTCGGCGAGGCGCTCGCTTTGCTCCTTTTGCTTCTTCTGCCACTCGGGAAGGGCGATCTTGTCTGGATTGTACACGCGAATGTGCTTCATGCTTATAGCCAACTGCGACTTAGCCTTCTCCGCGCGAGCGCTTTCAGCCTTGAGCTCCGCCTGCGCTTCGGCGAGCGCCTCTTCCATCTGCGATTTGCTTTGTCCTTGCTCATCGGTTTCGACGTCGCCATATTTGCCGACGAGGAGCGACGCGCGTTGTTCCCAGTGCTTGGCTTCCTTACGTACCGTTTCCATCTCAGTATCATGTGCCGCGACTGCAGCCTTTGCTTCGGCGAGTTCGGTCTTGGTAGCTTCATGAGTTGCTCCAAGTTCGCTCTCGCGCGACTTCGCCGCCGCAATATCAGCTTTGGCCGCGTCAATCTCTGCTCGAAGCGCGCTGTTTGATTGCTCTATCGCATTGAGTTGCTCCACTTTCTTCATGAGCGATTTGTGCTTCTCTTCTCCCATGGCGCTAGCTTCGCTCGACTTCACGCGCTCCTTCGCGCTCGCGGCTTCTTGCATGGCTACTTCAGCGTCGCGCTGCCACTTGTTACGTTCAGTTGTGAGCGTAGTGACCTGCGCAAGAGCGGCGTCGCGCTCTTGGCGCAAATAGCGCAACACCTCGCCTTCGCCCGCCGCGGCATCGCCTGCCGAATCAGTCTTCGATTTTTCGAGCATGTCATGCAAGCGTTTGTTCTGTTCGCTAGCGTCTGATAACTTGGATTCGGCATCGCGTTTCGCTGCCTCCAGTGCGTTCTTCTCGGCAGTCACCTTGGCCTGCGACGCGGCGAGCTCGCGCTCCGCCTTCGCTGCCGCATCTTTCGCTACATCTAAAGCCTTCTCAATCGAAGCCTTCGCACTTTCCGCGGCCGAAATCTTCTCCGCGTCAGCCTTTCGAGCTGCAACTTCGTTTTCGTATAGACTTTGCGCGTCTCTCCACTTTGTGTGATTGTCTTCGACATCCTTCACAGCCTTCGCCGCACGTTCCTCCGCCGCCTTGGTCTCGCCCTTGGCGCGTTCGAGTTCGGCGCGAACGCTTTTCATCTCGGACTCTAACTTTGAGTATTGCGCAACCTTATCTTCAGCTTCCTTGACGGACTTGGCGAGCTTGGCGTCAACCGCTTTCGCCGCATCAGCCACTTGCGCCTTGAGCTTGGCGCACTCTGACTTGAGTGCGCTCGCCTCCTTTGCGCTCTGCGCCTTGTGTTTCTCGAAAGCCTTCGTCATATCCTTGAGTGCGGCGTCACTTTGCTGCGCAAGATTCTTAAACTGTGCCGTGTGTAACTTTTCAGCTTCTGCTGCAGCCTTGGCTTCATCGGCAGCTTCGCCCGCTTTCAGCGCGGCTTGAAGTAACTCTTGCTCTCGCGCCGCGGTGAGGGCGCCGGCGGCGCCCGAACCAAGCACGTTGGCCTCGCTCGTTCCCGTCATGCGAGATGCCAGTCGCAGTTTATCCTCAGTCTTTTCGAGCGTGGCTTGCATCATCTCGAGTTTCGCTTCAGCGATATCTGCCCGCTTCTCTGCCTCCGCAGTTTGCTCTTTCAGCGTTGCGCTGGCGTCCACGTCCGCCTTGGCGCGCTGTGCAAAGTCAGAACTCGCCGCCGCGTGCGCCGCTAACTGCTGTCGAGCGCGTCCGCGTTCGATATCGAGCTCCGATCGCACGCGCGAGTAATCTTGTTGCAACCGAGCGACTTCGTCCGTCAGCCGAGCGTACTCTCGCTGATGTTCTTCCTCCCGAGTCGTTGAAAGTGCGAGTGCCGAATCGCGTGATGCTTCCAGCTTGGTCTTGATTTCTTCCGCTGCGTTCACGATATCGGTCAAACGCGTTTGCTCGATGATGAGTAAAGCATTTTCGCTTTCAAGCTTGGATACCAGCGTCTGTGCGTTGCGCGCGCGTTCTTCCGAAGCGTCCAAGCTCGCGGCTTGCGTGCGCAACGTCGAGGCGTTTGAAGCATTCTCACGAGATAACGCCGAACTTCTCTCCGTCAACGTCTCAACTTCACGCCGCGACGCACTGAACTGTTCGCTCAGTCGCTCGTATCGTTGTCGTTCGAATTCAGCCGATGCCTTCGCAGCGTTGGCCTCCCCTCGCGCTGTGGCGGCGGCTTCTCGATGGTTATCCACTTGCTGCTGCAACTCCTTGATGCGATCCGCGCTCTCGCGCTTGAGCTTTTCCAAATCGTGCGATAGTTCCTTGTTCAGCGCGACGAGCTCGTTGTTCGTTTCCATCATAGCGACGCCACTACCGCTACCAATGGCGACGAGTTCAGAGTTTCGACTGTCGAGATCGTTTGCGTCGGCGCCGTCGCCGTTGCCGCCGCCCGTCGCGGCGGCGTACATGGTCTTGTACATGTCGCGTTGACGCACGATAGCTTGAACCATGTTTTCTTGTTGCACGCGCTTGCTCGACAGCTCCTCCAACTGACGACTCGTCTGTTCTTTGAGTTCGCGCAGTTTTTGCTCGTATTCCTCGCGCGCATCAGTAGATTTGGCTTCTTGCGCCTCGGACAACTCGCGAATGACGAAGAGCATCTCTTGATTCTTCGCTTGTAAAGATTGAATGTCTGTAAAATCAACCAGCCTGGACGTAATCACCGCCTGTGCGTCTCCACCGCGATTGCCGGCGGCAGGAATGGGCACCGGCGGGCACCCCTTGAGCTCATTCACTTCATTCAGCAAGAGCGCGACTTGTCGCGCCAAATCGGCGCTTTGCGCTTTAAAACCATTGAGCAAGCGCTCGTGATCTCGCTTGTTCATGTTCGCCGCGTTGAGTTCAACCTGAATCGCGTAGCGCGCGTTTTCAGACTCCTGTAGCTTCGATTGCAGCACTTGATGCGATTTCAACGCACGCTGGTACTCCTCTTGCTGCTCGGTGAGGAGCGGAGCCTTCTTCTCGAGATCAAACATAATCGCGTCCAAGTGCTCTTGCAAGATGGCGCGCTCGGTGCGCTCGACGCGCAGTGCATCTTCCGCCTCGACGTACTTGGTGTACAAATCCGTCGCCGACAGGCCATCGCGTTGAAGTGCGACAGACCCCGCGGCGGGTGACAGGTGCATAAGCTGTTCGGCGTGGGGCGAGCGCCGCGATTCGCGCGCGGAGACGACGGATTCGCTCGCTTGCTTCTTCATATTGTCCATGTCCGTTTCGGCGCGTGCCTGCGCGTGCTTTGCCTCGGCAAGAGCAACATCGAACTCAACCTTTTTTGCGTCGAGAAGTGCCTCGGTGGAGCTCAAAGACGCTTCGAGTTCTTTGATGCGCCCGTCGCGCTCCGTCACGAGTTCCTTGGACACTTCCGAGATGCGTTGCGCAGTGATGAGTTCCTTCTCGAAATTCGCCTCTGCGCGTGCCATATCGGCACGCAATTGCCTAAGCTCGGCTTCAATCGTAGAAAGCTTAGCTTCCGCCTCCGCATTCTGTTCCTTCAAAGCGGTCGACTCTTTTCGTCGAGCGTCGGAGACGTTTCGTTCCCTCTCCAATTCTTGCGCTAACCGCAACGTCTCCGCTGAGGACGTCTTGGTCGACGTCAGAATAGCCTGTGACTTAGCCTCTAGCTCTTGCGTCAACCACGCGTTATGTTCCTTCAACGCGCGCACCTCGCTCTCGAGCTTTGCCGTCGCCGCCGTCGCCCCGCTCGAGTCCGCCGTCGCCTTGCGCGCCGCCGCCTCAGCCTTGTTCTTCCCCTCCGTCGCCGCCTCCAGCGCACGCACGTACCCATCCATCGACGCCTTCATCGACTCTCGCTCTCGATCCTTGCGATCATTCGCGTCGAGCAACTCCCGTTTCGCGTTTCGCGCTTCGTCGCGTTCCCGCGTCGCGCGTTCGCACTCCTCTCGTCGCGCGCGTTCGCTCTTTTTCGCCGCTTCCAGCGCCTCTCGCGCCGCTTCCGCGTCCCGAACGACGCGCGCGTTCTCTTGCGTCGTTTTCTCCAGCGCTTCCCGCGCGCTCTTGAGCTCTTCCCGCAGCGCGTCGTGCCTGCGCTGCATCGTCACCGCGAGATGTTCGCGCTCGAGCGCGTCCGCCTTCATGCGCGCTTCATCGACTTTCTTCGACGGATACTCGGTGTCGGGCGTGCCCGGACGCGCGGCGTCGCCGGCGTCGGCGTCCGGCATCGAGCGGTGGACGACCGCGCGCGAAGCGGTCGCGCGTCGTCGAGTGCGGACGAGATTCGACGCGCGATTCGAAATCGAACGTCACTCCGAGGCGCGGATTCGATCGATCGACCGACCGATCGATCCCGAGCGCGCGCGCGCGACGGACCGAGGACCATGGTGCTGTTGGAAAACGATGCGTTTCTCACCGAACTCACCAAACTGTACGAGCGCACGCGCGCGAAAGGGTCGGTGTCGTGCGTGATGAAGATCACCAAGCCGACGAACAAACCTCGACCGAAAGGCACGAAGCGACCGGATCCGACGCTGGAGGAGATACGCGCGCCGGGAAGCGAATACGGCGTGCTCGTGCGCGCGAGCGATGGGAAGCGCAAGGTGAGCACGTTCGTGAAACCGGAGAAGGCGAGTAAGTTCTCAAAGAGTTATCAAACGATTCAGCTCGCGTACCTCGACGGGTTGAGCGCGGAGACGAAGAAGAAGAAGAAGAAACCGACGGCGAAGGCGAAGAAACCGACGGCGAAGGCGAAGACACCCGTTGAAGAATCGACGTCGACATCCGCGGCGAAAGAACCGGCGCCGGCGCCGGCGCCGGCGAAACCAAAGCCGACGGCGACTGCGAATCCGAAACCGAAGCCGCCGCCGGGCGCGAAGGGCGCGAAGAAAAAAGGCGCCGGCGCGCGAAAGTGACGTCACGAACGCCCTAGCACGTAGAACGATTCCATATAGCTCTCACTGTAACGCTCGATGCGTTCGTAGGTCGTAACGCTTCGCTCGAGCGTTTCGCGAACGCGACGACGCGACTCGCGAGACTGAACCCCATACGAGTCGTCGTGTCGACACGATGTCGTCACGCTCGCGTTGGCACGCGCGTCACTCACGCACGCGCCGATCTCGTCGACGCACGCGCACGCTCAAATCTACAAGAACGAAACACACGATGCCGTCTGTCAAGCTCTCCCTCGCCGCCGTCGCCGCGTTCGCGCTCGCGGGTCGCGCGAACGCGATCGCCATGGATCTCACTACCGAAAACTTTGATTCCCAAGTCGGTGGCGGAAAAGGCGCTTTCATCAAGTTCTACGCTCCCTGGTAGGTGACGATACATCGCTCGCTTCGCGCCGCGCGCGGCGAACGCGCGACGGGGGGCGGATTCGTCGCTGCGTCGGACGATTGCCCACCAACACCAATCTCGATCTCGCGATCTCGCATCTTGTCGCGATCGAGGCGGTCGCGACGCGATGCGCGGTTGATGCGGCGTGAGAGTGACTCTAGGTGACTGACGGGTGATGATGTTTCGAGATATCGCAGGTGTGGTCACTGCAAGGCGCTTGCGCCGGCGTGGAAGCAACTTGGTGAGGCTTTCGCCGATAACGAAGGCGTCGTCATCGGCGACGTCGACTGCACCAAGCAGGAATCCCTCTGCCAAAAGTACGGCGTGCAAGGTTACCCGACGCTCAAGTACTTCACCGGTGCCACGTCGGCGACTGGTGACGCGTACCAAGGCGGCCGCGACTTTGAGGCGCTCCAAACGTGGGCGAGCGAGAACCTCGGCCCGTCGTGCGGCGCCGAAAACATCGACTTGTGCAACGAAGAGCAAACCAAGTTGATCAAGGAAAAGCAAGCGTTGACTCCGGATGCGCTCGCGGCTGAAATCGACGCGTTGGATGCGGAAATGAAGCAAGCCGGTGACGATTTGGAGGCGCTCTTGAAGGATCTCCAATCGCAATACGAAGCGGGTAAGACGAAGAAGGACGAAGTCGTCGCGGCCGTCTCCCCGAAGATTGGCCTCTTGCGCTCCGTCCAACGCGCCGCCGAAGCCCCGAAGGACGAGCTCTAATCGTCGCGCCATCTAAAGGCGCTGTGGCGCTGTGTTGAACGTATTACCTACTATGAATTTGAGTTTGTTTGTACACGCGGCTACCGCGGCTAGAGAGTGTAACATTTCTCTTACTTTCATCAACGTTCCGATTCGCCGCGGCCCATGAAGTCTTCCCACGACACCCAATCGCCACTTTTAGCGTAGTAAGTTTGAGGAACTGCTGGCATATTCCACGGCTTGTTCCCAGCTTTGCACCAATTCAAGAATACCGAGCGCTTGCCGACTTCAAACTTCCATTTTCGCAGCTCTGCTCTCGCCTCGACGTACGACATTCGCGACTGTCGCAAGCTCATCTTACCAACCTCGGCTATGACGTGTGGGGAATATTGTCGCAGGGCGTACCGCAAATCGTTTCGTCCGTGCTCGCGGAGCTCGGTATCGGAAGGCACGAAGACGACGACTCGTTTAGTCAAGCGAGGACTCATCGTCGTCGTGATGTCGTGCTCAACGGCGAATGCTCTTAACGCCTTCGCCGCAGCGGTCACCGTGGGATACTTCACTCGAGCACTTTTGCTAGGCTCGAGCTTTAAACGCCTTGCAACGGCGGAAAATCCGCCGTGGATCTTGATGAATTTCACCAAATCCTCTCGATCAACCTCTTCGAGTTGCGACGCGCACGGAAGCTGTCCGGGACGAACGCCGAGTTCGACGAGCGACTCGTCTTCGACGAGCTCAAGAATCTCCTCGCGTAGCGCATCGAAGGAAAGCAAGTGCCTGTTTTCAATTCGTCGCGCGTGTGTCCATCCGAGCTCTTTCGCCACCGCGCGGTATCCTCCGTGAAGTACGACGGCGTGGTGCAAATCCCAGCGTCTCGCCTCCATCAAGTTGCCCATGGTCGGCATCACCGGCACGTCTAAACCGCCTCCGTCGCCATCGGTCGGGGGTGTCACTCTCAGCGCACCGCTGATGTCGTTATACCAAAACACGTCGTCACCGTCCGTTTCTTCGAACCAAAACGCGTCCACGAGCTTCAACAACGCATCTTCTAAATTATCTATGTTGTCCCAATAATACCACGGCGCGGCGTCTGGTTTCAAATCCAATTCCAACGCGACTTCGCGCCAATCTCCGAGCGCCTCGACGCGCTTCACGAGCTGCCTTTGGTCTTGTTTGATCAACGAAAGACGCTGGGGCATCCCATACACATCCGCACCGAGCGTACGACAAAAAGGCAACAAATCGTTGCGAAGTTCGTTGAGTTGCACTTCGCGCAACGCCAGATCCAGCAACCCCGCGGGCGGATCGAGAAACAACGCCTGCGCGTTCGGAATCCATCGAGGAAACATCGTCGGCACGAACGGAACGTAATGAAGCGGTCGCTCACCGAGCGACGTCGCGTGCAATCCCTCGACGAGGAGCAAAAACGCGTCGTCCGAATCAAACGCGTCGTCCGAATCAAACGCCTCCTCGATGGACAACGACACGTTCAACCGCGACAAAAACACCCGTTCGTCCTCGCTCAAATCATCTCCATCGATCGTTTTCGTCATCGTCGTCATCGTCTTCGCGTCGCGTCCGCCCGCGATCGCTTCCTCGCCTTCGTCTTCGCGTCCGCCGTCGTCCTCGTCCTCGTCCTCGTCCTCGTCCTCGTCCGCCGCCGACATCGCCGCCACGTCCGCCACGACCCCGACGAGCGTCTCCGGATCATCGTCCAGGTACACCTCCCACCCGATGAACGCCGACGCGTGCCCCAGTCGCACGCCGTCGCGCGTCTCGTCGCCGCCGTCGCGCCACGGCAACGGTTCGCGTCCGCACGCGTCGTCCCTCGCGACGCTCGCGCGGCGCGCGCGCCCGCGCGGCGCGCGCGCCCGCGCCCGCGCGCGCGTCGACGTCGACGTCGACGCGCGCGCCGACGACGTCGCGCGCATGCCGCCGAGTGCCGCGACGCGGCGTCGGCACAGATGAGCACGCGCGGCTCGCGACTCGAGGCGCGGAACGCGCGCGACGTCGTCGCCGCGCGCGAGGGACGCGTCAAGGCGTGGGAGATGAGGTGCGCGACGCGACGCGCGCGCGACGGCGCGACGCGAGGACTGACGGCGACGATCGGGCGACGACAGGTGGGTCGAGGGCGAGACGCGCGAGGGACAGACGGAGAAGACGAAGACGACGTTTCGCAAGTGGACGCCGGTCGTGGACGCGAACGGGGCGGACGCGGAGTCGCGCCCGCGCGGGCGCGAGGGGTGCGCGTACGAGTGCGCGGAGGAGGACGAGGGCGCGGACGGCGGCGGCGGCGGCGCGTGACGCGCGGGCGCGAAGACGCGAGACGTCGTTCCGGTGCGCGTTCGAACGCGCGCGCGATTCGCGCGCGGGGTGGCGTTCGCGCGCGCGTCGTCGAACCGTTCGACCGGCGCGCGCTCAGCGGCGGCGGCCGACGCGACTCGGACTCTTGGGACGTTTGCTTTTTCTCGACCACGTTCGTTTGTCCTCCTCGAGAGGACGGGGCAGCGCGGCGGCTATGGCGCAGCCGAGCGCGAAGAGCGCGACGGCGCCGATGAACGACGTCATCGGTCGCGTTGGTTTCGGCGACGCGGGTGCGTCGCGCGCGCGCGTCGCTGTGCGGTGGTTCGCTAAGGACTAGAGGCTAGGATTACAAGGGCGAACGACGTCGGACGCGCCTTTACATCGGCGGCAACGCGCCGCGGCACGTCGGACACTCCTGCTTGATGTCCATCCACCGCATCAAGCACTTTGTGTGGAAAAAATGGTTACACGGTGTCACCATGCGATCGTGCACGGCGCGGAACTTGACTGGATTCATGCAAATCACGCAGTCGGGACCGGCGGCGACGTCGCCCATTTCGACGTCTCGTTCGCGCGCCTCGTCGTCTTCGTCTTCATCGACGACGCCGCACTGCGCGAGGACTTCTTCGGATACTTTCCTATGATAGTCGTACACTTCGGGGAAAATGCCGATGGGGAATCCGTATCTAGGATTGATGTAATACTGCGCGAGCAACATCGCCGTCTGCGCCGTCGTCCACGCGACCATCACCGCGCAGTGAAAGTAGTTCGGACGTATCTTCAGAAAGTTGGACGGACACCCGAGCACGTACAGCGGCGCCGATAAACGCATGAACGACGTCGTCACAACGTACCAAGGCTTCAACGCTTGTCGGTGGTTGTGGTAGGCGTTGCGTACGATTTGAGGAACCCAATACGAGTTCGCGAGCAACAAGAAGATGATGAATCGATCGGAGAGCCAATACATCGCAAAGAGACCCGAGATGAATCCGGCGTAAAATCTCGAGTACACCGCACCGAGGTTCACTCGAAGTTCTATCCAGTTGGTAATATCGGGCGTGCGCGCGCGCCACGCGGCGATGAGCAGGCGCATCTCGAGTATACTAAACAGCACGAAGTAGCACAGCGCCACGAGCGCCAGCGGCATGAATAAATCGTCCACGAGGATGCCACCCGTGAGATGGGCGAGGCAAAGGTACGAGTCAACCACCGAACGCATGCCGATCGAAGCGAGCGACATTCGCATCATCGCCGCCTGCGTGCTTCCGACCTCGATCTGTTTCCCCAAGACGTATCCTTGTGCCAACGCCGCGGCGATCATGGCGTACGAGTACAATCGAGCTTGCCTGTACCAATGCTCGAGCTTTTGACTTTCTAACGCGACGTGCACGGTCAACCCACAGTTTTCGCTGACGAATTTCCCAACGAGGGACGTCTTCTCGGCCATGTCCGCGAACTCGAGTGGTCGCATGTCTTCCACCTGCGCCTCCAATACGTCGACGTCGTCGAACGCTGTCGCGTCTCTCTTTTGCGTTGTATCCGCTAGCGAATACGACCCCGGCGTGACGTACGCGTGTAACTTAAACTGACACACCATCGGGTACACCCCCGCGTCGTGCGCACCGACGAACATCGCCCTCGCGCTTTTCCCCGCGCGCGCCACTCCCGAATCGCGACGGTACGAATCCCGCGCCCCGAGCGCGGGGTTCCGTCCCTCCGCCGTTTCTGAGCCTCCCACCATTCCCTCTAAAATATCATTCGCCACCGCCCGCACGCTCGCTCTGTACGCGCTCATCTCCCGCCACGTCCCCCGATCGCTGGCGTTTCTCGCGCTCAACATGTCCTTCGTCGTCTTCGCCGCGCCGTGCGCGTACAGCCCCCCCGTCGTCTCCGCGTACACCCCCTCCAGCGGCACGTGCGCGTCTCCCTTTCCTATGTACTCGCTCTCGCGAAACGTCGCGTCCGCGACGACGCCGTGCACGCGCGCATCGGCGTCGAACGTCGTCCGCAGCGTCAGCGCGCACGTCCCCCGTCGCCAACCGTCCCGCGTGAGCGTCGTCGCCGCGCTCGCGCTCGCGCCGTCCAGCCACCACTCGCCCCTGAACGATCCGCGCAGCGCCCGCGGGTACGCCACCGGCGCTTTCGCCGCCATCGCGCCTCGCGCGGTCGCGACGACGACGATCGCGACGACGCGCATCGGCGTCGGCGCCGTCGGCGTCGCCCCTCGCGCGCGCGTCGCGGTCGCGCGCGTCGCCCGCGTCGGCGACGCCATCGCGCGCGTTCGCGTCGACGCGCCGGCGCCGACGCGCGACCGCGCCGCGCGCCGCGCGCGCGTGTGCGGCGCCACAATCGCGCGCGCTCGACCGTCGTCGCGAATGGGACGCGGATATAAACCGAGCCGCGGCGGACGCGGACGCGGCAATCGCCAGAGCCAAGAGGAGCGCGAGGCGAAGGAGAGGGAGTGGCGTCGCATCAAGCGCGGCGAGGACGCGACGGACGGCGACGAGAGCGACGAGAGCGACGACGACGACGACGAGGACGAGACGAGCGAGGAGGACGAGGCGCCGCGTCGACCCGCGCCCGGATCGCTGCCGCCGAACAGCTCGGACGAGGACGAGAGCGATGACGACGACGATGACGCGGATCTGCGAGCGATGACGGCGCCGCGGGAAAAGCCGAAACCCGAGGAACCGTCGGCGGATGAGATTTTGGCGCAAAAGAGTAAAAAGGAACTCGCGGCGGAGATGGAAAAGTTGCGATTGGTGCGCGAGCGACGGGAGCAGCAGCGCTTGGCGAGACTGGAGGCGGACGGAGGGGTCGATCGATACGCGCCGGGGGCGGGGAAGAAGGCGGGCGGTGGTGGTGATGAGGATTCGGACTCGAGCGACTCGGACGAGGATTCGGAGAGCGACTAAACGCGGCGCGTATCGAAATGAATTTAATGAAATACAACGCCTATTCGAGCTTACGTTTCGCCGCGATCGAGAGCGTCTTTGCGAAGCATGCTCTCTATGAAAAATTCGCCCGCCTTGTACGAGCTTCGCACGAGCGGGCCCGAGGCGACGTATCTAAAACCGATCACCTCTTCCCCGTACGCCTTCCAAAAGTCAAACTTTTCCGGCGTCACAAACTCCTTCACGGGCAGGTGCTGCGGCGTCGGTTGGAGGTACTGTCCCAGAGTGAAAATATCAACGCCAGCCTCTTTGCACGCGCGCATACACTGCTTGATCTCCTCGTCTTCTTCACCCAAACCGAGCATGATGGACGTCTTCGTCACCAAGCCTTCCTTGGACGCCTTGGCGTGACGCAAAACCGCGAGCGATTGTTCGTAATTCGCGCGCGGATCGCGGACGCGCTTCTGCAATCGCTCCACCGTCTCTACATTGTGCGCGAAAACGTCCAATCCCGATCGCGCTAAGTGTGCCACCGCGTTCATATCACCTTGGAAATCCGGCGTCAGCGCCTCGACGAGCACCGAACTCTTAATCGTCTTCAACGTGCGAACCGTGCGCGCAAAGTGTTCGCTCCCTCCGTCCGGAATATCATCCCTATCGACGCTCGTGAGCACGATATACCCCACACCCCACTCCGCGATCGCGTGCGCGGTGTTCTCCGGCTCATTCTCATCCGGCGGCGGCGGCGTCTGCGACGTGTTCACCGCGCAAAATCGGCACCCGCGCGTGCACGTATCCCCGAGCAACATCACCGTCGCCGTCCCCGTGTCCCCATTCCAGCACTCCCCGACGTTCGGACACATCGCCTCCTCGCACACCGTGTTCAATTTCAACCCCGTGAGCGATTCACTGAGATAATCAAACCGTTCGCCGCTCGGCGCGCGCTGTCGCAACCACGGCGGTTTCTTCAACCCGGGCGGCAGCCCCTTGATGGTTTCCCCGCCCGTCCCCGCGTTCGCCACCGTCGTCGCCGTCGGTCCGCACATCGCCGCCGCGACCGTCCGCGCGTCCACTCTGCGCTCGACGACGACCCCGTTCGACGCCGCGAGCGCGACGAGCTCGCCGAACGCGTCGCCTCGCTCCAACCGCGCGCGCTCCGTCTCGTCATCGTTCGACGCCCGCGTCGTCGCGCGCGCGCGTCTCCGCGCGCGCGCGTCGCGTCGTCGCGCGAGACGCGCCGTCGCCGTCGTCGTCGGCGGCGATTCGCGCGCGCGCATCGCCGCCGTCGCGCGCGCCGCGTCGTCGCGCGCGAGGGTTTGACGTCAGACGCCGACGCGCGCGCGCGCGCGCGACGACGCGCCGATTCGAGCGCGCGCGACGACGCGACGCGCGACGCGCGACGCGCGCGCGGTGAATCGGTGCGCGCGTCGCGCGCGCGCGCGCGCGGCGGCGTCGAGGGCGCGAACGCGCGGTCGACGATGCCGCCGCCGGCGAGGCGACGCGCGACGCGACGACGGCGCGCGCGGGGTGCGGTGCGGTGCGGTGCGGTGCGGTGCGGTGCGTGCGGGTGATGCGACGCGACGCGATGCGAACGAAGGCGCGCGCGGGACGCGACGCGCGCGGGACGTCGACGCTGCGTCGCGATGATAAATACCTGCAAACACGCCAGTTCTGCTTCTGAGCGCGTCATTGAAGAACGGTATCGATTCTGAACGCACGCCGACGAGAAGATTTTCTGCCCGCGACGGACGCGATCGCGAAACCTCTCACAGTGTCAGAGTGTCAATATTCTTCACCTGATTGCGCACCTTGGGTGAGTAGGGACATTGATATTCTTCGACGACGCGCGAGGCGGGGTCGTCACGACGACGTCTTTGCGGCGGCGAAGCGACATTTGTTTTTGTTTTGAACGCGTACGGACGGATGATGTTTGCGATGATGACGAAAATATTAGATGACGAATCTGACAGCTTGCGACCTCGCGGTCTTCGCGACTGCAAGCGCTGTTTCGACAGCACATGATCGATAAAAGAGGCATTTGTCTGCAGCAAACGAAAATCATCCGTCGACGCCATTTTTTTTGTGCGGGGATTCGATTGAACTCGTACTGACGCGTACTTTCAACGCAGGTGCAGGTGAAGTACTAGCGAGTGGTAGCATTACATGATCAATAAAACAATCCAACGATATTCTCTTCTTCCGCTGACGTCGTTAACACGTGCGCAAAATACGATCCCAGCATCCTCGGGAGCGCGATGAACGAAAACGGCACGCTCAAGGCTAAAATCGCGGGATACGTCGCCGCGAAGGCGGGAGCGCGCGAAGCTGACATCCGACAAGCGAAGATGGCACCGAAGACGAGTAACTGAACTGCAGTGTACGCGTAAATGATGCGTTTGGGCACGCGTCGTAGAAACTTTGTGGGAACAATGCTTCCAAACCCGCCGGGCAGTCGACGGACAAGTTGATTCGAGCCGAGGCTCGCCAAGCCCATATACACGAGAAAACCAGAAAGCGAAGCGATTGGTATGTGTCCGAACGTTGAGCGAAAACACACGACGACTATGAACGTGATAACGTGTGCGGCAAAGTTCGTCACTCGCGTTTCCGTTGCGCCGTGCACGCGAGAGCGAATGATCCCGTGTCGCTTGCTCTCGACTGAGTTACCGAGCAGCTTCGCGTGTAGGTGCGAGTGTGGCAGAGCCGGGACACTAGGAGGCAGTCCGAAACACGCGGTCGCAACCGTGAAACCACCGATAAGGAACATGTCCCAGTTGAACGCCGTGCCTTTACGAAGCTTATTCTCCGGTCTCGCGACGAGCATGGCGCAAATATTCGTTTCCAGAATGATCTGCACGGCAAACATCAACGCGGGTACAAGGGCAAGCGCGCAGTGCTGCGCGCTCAAAGCTAAATCTACCGCGGTAGGCCAACGTGGCAAGTGCTCCGCCGCCGCGTTCACGCGATCCACTGCAACGTTTGGAAAGGCGTAAGAGAGCCCCGTAATTGCGGTGACAGCCATGAGTGGAGCAAAGTCGGCGACGATCAGTCGCACCGTCTTGCGAACGCTCGCCGATTTTCTGAATTCTAAAATTTTGAACGCCAATATAACCGTCCCGAGGTGGAGGATGAAATATTTGAGGAACTTGGCGTCGTCGTCGCCAATCTTTGCTTTCATCGTCGCCATCGCGTCGAAGCCCGCAAACACAAACGTCACCGAAATGAAGAGGGCCAAGTTTTCCGACGTAAACCGATTTATCGCCAACGCGAGCTCGGCGCCATTGAACGTAGCGAACAGCATCACCATGATACCCGCGTAGATGTTGACGAGACTAGAAAATCTGACAAAGTCCACGGGTAGCGCGTCTGCCCAATACGTCAAAATCGTTAGAAACGTCTTCGTTGGTCCCGTGACGCGCAAAATCAACAAACTTTGCCCGCCTATTAAGGTCCAAGCAACGTTTGACAACGCCTCAGAAAGTAGAAAGTCAACGTGAGTCATCCTCCGCGAGCTCTGGGATTGCATCGAAAGCCCAAGAGCAAGCGCCGGGATGAAGGTTGTCGTTGCGATCCAGATCGTCGTACTAGCGCATCTTACCATAGTCGATTTATCACGAAATGCGTCGAGCCAATCCGCGGCGTACGAAGGCCATCGTCTTTTGATGTCAGATATAATCCCTTGCCCAGGGGTCATTCGAGACGGGAGACGAATCTTCGAAAGGTCGCAATCAAACGCGACCGTCGGGGTGATGCTATCGCGCACATAATCGAGGACGGCGCGCCGAAACTCTGTCTCGTCGTCGCAATCGAGTGCACGTTTGACGAACGCGCTTCCCATCAATGAAGCTAATGTATGTGATGTCGCGTACACGTTTTTTGTCGGTGTCTCGCCCTCGCTCGCAAACACGATTATGATGAAGCTCGGCGCGCCATCGTCGATGGAATCCTCGACGGAATCATACGATTCATCAAAGTCCACCATGGCGCGTCCCAATCGTGCCACTAGCACAGTACGTCTTGAGATCGTTCGAGACTCGTAGGGTACGACGACTGACTTCACGCCATCATGTTTTGTGTAAAAGGCTTGACGAAACGCGCGCCCCGCGTCTTCGCTATCCACCGGCGCCAATACAGCGGCGATGTTTTCGTCCATCAGTCGTCCTCGCCGAGCCGCCTCGTCTAACATCGCACGCACGACGTCCACTGGTCGAAACCCGCACTCCAAATTCATCATCACCAAGAAATCAATCGATTTGCTCGGCGCGTTTGACGATCCGTCTTCGCGCACGATCGCATCCGTCGCGCCTCCGAGCGCCAATAAATCGCGCATGGATTGCTGTTCGAGAAAGTTTTCCTTATTCGGCAGCACGCGCACGGTTTTCCACGCGCAATATCGTTGCCCGCGATGATCACGCTCGTCGAACGCATCGCTATCGACGGTGAGGAGCGTGTTCGTTCGCGCGGTAAACGCACGGGGGATTGGCTCGCGCTCGTGGGAGGCGCGCTCGTCTTCTGTGACGCTTGAGGTGCGCTCGACATCCTCGACGGCGTCAGCGTCGCGAGCGAGCCCCCAGTTATTGATGTAGACGTCCATGCGTTTTCGTTGATTGAACGCGTTTAACGAGCGCACGGGTGTGCCGTTGCAACCTCGTTGGCCCTCATATAGTCACATGTCGACGTCGTCTTACACCGAGATCGGATCGCTACGCGTTGGCGACGTAAGCGCCTTGTAATTCCGTGAGCGCGTCACTGACGTCGCGCAGCTTCATTGTCTGTGGATCACAGTGACGAAACCTACCCTGTCCGTCCTCCCGACGATGCTCGTCGGGTAAACCTAAGTTCGCCGTGGCGGCGACGTACTCGCACATCAATTTGGGGACGTCGCCCAAGCGCACGTCGTCTGCATCGCAAGACGCGATATGGTGGCGGAACGCCGCGTCATTGCCGTCAAAGACGTCGATCTTCGCGTGGCATCGATTCTCATCGATTTTCGCGCGAAGTGCATCGACGAGCGCTCGAGGCGACGCTCTGGCCTCGGCAGTGATGTCGGCGTATTCCATATCGTCCGCGACGAGCCACCACGCGTCGTTGCACGCGTTTGCGCCGTTGAATCCACCAAAGCACAAGCACTTGTGCAGGCTCACCTGCGTCAGCGTGTGGTACGCGCGTGAGCTCGGCCCGTTGCCTTCGCCACTAAACGTTAGCTTTTGCCATTTGGCGTTGTCTCCATCTAAAAAATACGCGTCGTCAAAATAAGTTCTCTCCTTGACGAGCCATCCGTCGTCGCCGACGCCTCCCGTAACGACGACATTCGGCGCCGCGATTCCGCCCGCGGATATCATCGACATCCCATGACCCGCCCTCGACGTAGGCGGCGATCCGCGCAAGACGAGCCGAACCCATCGCCAGCCTCCGTCGCTCTCGCGCCTCAGGCACCACGTATCGTTGAACGCGCTCCCGTTCGCCCCTTGCCCGCCGTAGATCAACAAATTCGGCCCGTGAGCCACCATCGCGCTCCCACTCCTCGGCTCCGGCGTCGCTCGCCCACTCCCACCCGCGATGTGCGACGTCACCGCCTCGATCGCCTCCAACCGCGCCGGCTTCGCCTCCGTCGGCGTCCACGAGGCGTCGCTCTCGCTCGCCCTCGTCAGCGTCTCCGCCTCCCCGATCCATCCTTTACCATCGAATCCGCCGAACATGACTATGGAATCCTCACCCATGACCGCCGCCACGCTCGCGAAATCCCTCGGCGTCGTCTCCGCGCGCGTCAACCGCGTCCACGTCCACGTCTCGCAGTCCAACCGCCACGCGTCGCCGTGCTGCGCGCGTCCGTCCCGCCCGCACGTCACGACGACGCATCGCCCATCGCCGGTCGCGCACGCGCAGTGAAACGCGCGCGGCGGCGGTGCGTCGACGTTCGCCGCGCGCGGCCTGAACCACGCGTCCTGCGCGACGTCCAGAACGACGACGTCGTTCAGCGCGCCCTTGGTCGCGCTCGCAGAGGCGCGATCGAGACCGCCGAAAACGACGACGTAACGCCCGCCCGCGCACGCGGTGGCGGTGTGCCCGAACCGAGGACTCGGCGGGGCGTCGCCCGACGCGGCTCTGCACGCCACCCAGCGCATGACGCGACTCGATGTGTCGCGCTCGGGCGCTCGCGGAGAATAATCAGTCGCGGACGAACGCGTTGAATAACAATGACGCCGCGCGCGGCGTTCCTACGGTCGCTAAGCGCGCTCAATCGACGTATCCCGACCCTCTACACGCGCGACACAGAATCATCCCCGCTCCCTTGCACGCCGTGCACTCGTACGGATTCCTACGCGTCAGCCCGAGGACGCCGTCGTCGTTTCTGTCCCGCTGCGTGATCTTCACCGGCGTCGACCGGCGCCCCGACGCGTCGCAGAACGCGCACGGCTCGCCGCCGGTCGTGGAACACGCGGCGCACGGTTTGGGCTCGCCCTTGGCGCCGAGCGCGAGCGCGGTGAGGCCGAGCGCGGCGACGGTGCCGGCGACGCTCACGAGCTGCGTCGTCTCGTACGGGTCGACGCCGTCCAGCGCGCGCGCGGGGGCGAGGCGGTGCGCGACGCGCGACGCGCGACGCGCGCGCGCGCGTCCATCGCTCGACGACGCCGCGGCGTTCGAGGCGACGCGCGCGAGCGATGACGGGGCGCAACGCATGATGACGTGCGTCGTCATCTGCCGCGACACTCCGCGCCGACGACGGCGCGTGGACGACGATGTCGCTCGTGCGAGCGTCGACGATGACGAACGTCGCGCGCGTCGGCGTCGCGCGCGTCGCGCCGCGCGCGCGCGCGACGCGTCGCGCGCGAGCGGTGGATAAAGCGACGACGACGTTGCGTCGATGCGTCGTGGTGCTGCGCGCGCGCGATGACGAGGATGAACGCGCGGAGACGAAGACGGAGCGCGCGGTCGTCGCGGTCGACGCCGCGCCGTCGCGGTCGTCGCTCGAGGCGGCGCGCGCGCGCGCGCGGGTGGTGTCGTCGACGCGAGGCGCGGGAAAGGCGACGTCGACGCTCGACGACTATCGCGAACGCTGGGACGTGCCGTGGGGCGGCGGAACGGTGGCGCTCGGGATCGTGGCGTGGGGTGTGTCGTTCATCGGTGTCGCGGCGATCGCGTTTCCGCTCGCGATGGCGCAGTTGGGGGTGGATCCGGCGAAGATGGACGCGAACGCGCAAGCCGAGTACTTGCTCGCGGTGCAGTGCGCGGAGACGGTGGTGAGTTTGAGCTTGGTGTACGCGCTCGTGTCCCCGCACATGGATGTGGTAAAAGATGAGTCCAAGGACTGGTTTAAGTTTGATTTTAGCGATCCGTTCGAACGCGAGCGGGGATGGGCCAAGTACGGATTGATCGGATATGGGACGACGTTTTTAGCGCTCGCGGCGACGGGATTTGTGCTCGACGTGGCGGAGAAGGCGCAGGGGGGTCAACAAGCGATCGAGAAGGCGTCTGAGCAAGTGGGCACGATTGATGGCGTGCTGCCATTGATTTCAAGCGATAACAACGGCACTCTTCTCGCTGTGTTGACGGTGACGAGCGTGTTGGCGCCGTTGCTCGAAGAGGTCGTCTTTCGAGGCTTCATCCTCGCGTCGCTCACGAAGTGGTTGCCGACGCCCGGCGCAGTGCTCTTTAGCAGCGTTTTGTTCGGGCTCGCGCACTTCGCGCCGCGAGATTTCGTCGAACTCGTCGTCTTGGGGATGGTTTTAGGCTTTAGCTATGCGCGAACTCGCAATTTACTCACCCCGATGTTAATTCACTCGATGTGGAACTCGGGCGTGCTCGTCGTCGTCGCCGCCGCCATCAAGGGCGGCTTCGCGCACGAATTGGGCATCCCAGGATTTTAGCTTCGTCTAGCGTAGTAAGTAGAGTGTGTCATTACGAGATTGGTGTTTCATAACAACGTTGTTTATGTAGTATTTTAGTCTCTTCGCGTCGTCACAACGACTGGCAAGTTGCCAGACGAAGTTTGATTAAAACAGACAAAGCAAGCGTCGCTGCGGTTAAGCAGCTACCAACGACTCCCGTAGCTACGCCGTTTCACTGGGCATGGTCCCAGTGGGGCTCAAGTGTGGCTGCGGTGACTTGGTGTACGCTAAAGTCGCGCGTAAACGCGCGACTTCAGGGATGATGCTTCATCGGAAGTGGTCGCTTAGAACAAGCGGAAGGGCGGGCCCATCGTGGTCTTGATGTACAAAGACTTGACGTTTTGCCAGTTCTTCTTCAACAAAGAGACCAAGAAGTTGACGGACATTTGGATGTTGATAAACAACTCCTTCTCCGTCATTTCGACGTGACCGACGGCGACAGCCAAGCAAAGAACCTTCTTAAGCTGGAACTTGACTTGGGACTTGACGTCGTTGATCTTGTTCTCGAGCGGCTCGTTGTGAGTGGCGAGCGTCGGGAACTTACCGGCCTTGTTCAAACCCGGACCAAGGAGACGAGGAATTTGCTTAATCACAGACTCCGACGCCAAGAAGTGTTGGTACTTCTTCGCGAGCTTCTTGATGAGCTTCTTGTTCTTGTTGAGCTTCTTCAACGCCTCGACGTCCATCGAGTCGATGCCGTTCCCGGTCGCCTCTTCGCAGTGCTTGGCGTCGCCCAAGATGCACATCTTGAGCTTCGGGCGCGGAATCACCGGCAACGAGACGGTGCCGTTGAAACGCTTGTCCTTTTGCGGATCATAGTTCTTCAAACCAATTTGAAGTTCAATCGTCTCCACGAACTTGCGCGGCTTCTCCTTGGACTTTTCCAAGAGGAACGTGACGCCTTCCTTGAGGGTATCGGTGTTGAGCTTGCTGCGCGCGCGTGAACGAGCGTGCATTCGTCGTCAGTCGGTGAACAATCATCGCGCGCATCGATCGAGCGCCGCGCGCGCGGCCGCGGGTCGTCGCATCGCGCGCGCGACGTCGGCTTCGTCGGTCTCGAGCGATCGAGTAGGGTTTCGCGCGCGCGGCGCATCGTCGCCCCTCCGCACGACGCGCGCGACGCTTCACGCCGCACGCGCGCGACGACGACGACGCGTAAATATTCCCACGACATTTCGCTCGCGCCCGCACCTCATCTGTGCTATTAATCGACTGACGCGTCGCAAAGAGACGGACCGAGGCGCGCCGTCGGCGATGTCCAAGTATCGAGACTCGCTATAAACACGGATCACGCGCGTCGCGGCGTCGTCGCGCGCGTCCTCGCGCGCGCGCAGACGACGACGCGCGCGATGGAGGCGCTCGCGCGCTGCGGGACGGTCGTCTCGACGTCGGCGTCGACCTCGGGACGCGCGGTGCGGTCGACGCGCGGCGCGGTGCGCGCGCACGCGTCGCCGCGCGCGCGCGCGGAGACGCGCGCGCGCGTGGAGACGCGCGCGCGAGGACGCGACGCGACGAGGGCGCGCGCGACGCTGTGCGAGAAGGCGCGCGCGCGCGCGGTGCGCGCGCGAGGAAGCGGGACGAACGCGACGAGGGCGGTCGGAGACGGCGCGAGCGCGGCGGCGCCGGGCTTGCCGCCGCGCGTGCTCGTCGAAGCCGCGATGCTCGCGGCGATGACTGGGTTGGCGTTCCACATATCTTCACTGTTTCGCTTTGATGCGTATTTCGGAGCGTTATTTCCACTGCCCGTGGTGATCGCGTGCGCGAGGTCGGGGCGCGCGGCGGCGATGCGAACACTCGTCGTCGCCTCGCTGTTGTTGTTGATGATCAGCGGGCCGCTGCGAGCGTTGAATTATTTCTTTCTGCACGGCGTCTTGGCGTACGTGCTGAGTTCGCTCTGGTCGTCGGGTTCGAGCTGGTGGGTCACCGTGCCAGCGAGCGCGCTGACGCGAACGTTCGGGATTTTAGCCTCGCTCTCGATTTCGTCGCTCCTGTATCGCGAAAACGTGATGAAGTTGCTCGTCACGCAGATGTACTCTCTGCTCGATCAATTCGCGGCGAACGTGGGGGCGACGTTCGCGCCGACGATCGGCTGGGTGTGGGCCACGGCGTTATTTTTCATCCTCGTCAACTCGTTCAGCTACACACTGATTCTCCACATGGTGTACACCATCGTGTTGAACGCGACGACGGGTAGGAATTTCGTCAACGCGCCGCTCAAGGTGTGTCGCGCCCTCGGCGTGTCGTCGTCGTCGTAGCATTCAGAATACAATAGTTTGGGTTTAGGGTTTGTGATAGTCGCGCACGACGCGCGCGCAGCGCCGTCCCGCGCGCCGTCTCCCGAAGACGTCCTCGAGGCTCTCGCGCGCCAACCGTCCTCCCGCCGCCGCGCGCCCTCAGACGCGCGCGCGATGTTTCCGCGCCTCGCGCTCGCCGTCGCGTGGTTCGCGTGCGCGATCGGCGTCGCCATCCACGCGTTCGCGCCCGTGGACGACGCGCGGCCGAGCGCGAAAGCGTCGTCCGTCTCGTGCGCGGCGTGCGCCTTGGTGGCGCGCGACGTCGCGTTCTTCGCGCGGACGCGCGCGACGAACGCGGACGACGCCCTCGCGCGGGCGTGCGCGGGAGAAAACTTGCGCAAGTACGATAAATTGTATTCGGTGTTCGGAGAGGCGCATTACGCGGAGTCGAGCGTGCCCGCGGGCCCGCGCGGCGTCGTCGACGCGGATGCGTCGCTCGCGTGCCGACGCCTCGCGAGGAAACACGTCGAGGTCGTGCGCGCGGCGTTCGAGGCGCGCGCGCACGAAGACGAACGCGCGTTCATCGACGCCGTGTGCGCCGACGACGCGATCGCGTGCGAGCGCGGGGCGAGTCACGCTGAAATCAAACGTCCGCTGCGCTTGCGCGGCGACTGGCGCTCGTGGGCGCCGCGAGTCGCCCTTCGCGCCGCGCCTTACTTCATCGTCTCCGCCTTCATCCCGATTCTGCTTTTACCGTCGTTGTATCCCCCGAAAACGCCCGAATAGCTTAGCCCGTTAGCGAGTGCAATAGATGCCGTTTAGCGCGTTGGACGTCGCGGACGCGCGCTCGAGGCGTCCGCGCGCGGCGGGCGCCCGCCGCGACGCGAACGCGATGACAGTTCGCGACGCGCGCGACGGGCTCCACGCGACGGTGCGCAGAACGATAAACGTGCGCGACGCCACGGGACGCGGTCGCGAAGCGGCGCACGGCGCGCGTCGCGCCGCGCCGCGCGGTTGAATCTCGACACGGGTCGGCGGCGGCGGCATCGGCACGCGAAGATGCCGCGCGAGAGCGACGTGCGACGCGTCGACGTGGAGACGTGCGTCGGGACGTCGTTCACGGTGAGCATCGACGTCAAGGCAGGGGTGAAAGCGGCGAGGGAAGCTATTCGACGCAAGCACGATGAGAAGTACGGCGCGAGGTTCGGCTCAGCCGTCGTCGGCGACTTGCACGCGCTGAGAATCTTTAGCGGCGTGAAGAAGTGGATCGACTTGGACGATGAATCGATGAAATACGATGCGTTCGATTCGTTGTTTGCGCAAGTGGAACCCGAGCGCGGGGTGGATGAAGGGATCGCGGCGTATCGCGCGATGTGCACGCCGGAGGCTTTGGAGGAGAGAAACAGAAAGGTAAACGTGAGCGTGCTGTTGGTGAACTCGCCGTTTAGTCCTGCGATCTCACCGCTTGCGAGCGCGGGTACGCCGATGAACTTGAATACGACGGCGTTTGCGACGACACCGATGCCCGTGGCATTGGCGCCGGTAGAGACGCCGAAGGCTTTCGCGAAGCGTGAGACGCCTGCGCTACGCCAGGACGTCGAAAAGGTTACAACGAAAGACACTAAAGCCGGAGACAAACGGGATAGAGACGCGAGTGCTGACAAAACTGAGACGCAACCGGCGAAACGCAAGCGCGTGGAAGAAGTTCCAGAGGCTAGTCCTTGGGAGATGGTGGAAGAAATAGCTCCGGCGCCGGGAGCGGCCTCGGTCAAGCGTAGTACGTCAACGACGTACGACGAAGTCAAGGCATTGCTCGATAAAAATCCTGGTGTGCAGTATAGCGTCTTCGTAAAGACGTTGCTCGTAAGTAAAGCTTTCATAAACGCACTGGAACGTTTGAATATGGATACCTTCGACACTCTGGTGAGAACGACGAATGCCGTGACGCAGCAAATCGCCATCGTGCAGTACGAAACCGGCACCCTGATTTTCAATGAACTGGGCGAAAAGATTGCAAAAATGACCCCTGCCGTAAATAGGGAAGTCGGCGACTTTCTCGCGGTCGCGCTTCTTATCGCCCGCCTGTACCGATCCGGTTACGCACAACATAAACGCGTGCCGACTTGCCTGGTTGACGGATTTACGAAACAAATTCCAAGACACTCATCTCAAAGGTTTGGCGTCGTCGAAAGAATGCTTACGCAAGCGATACTGGGCGAACTCGGGTACGATGGTGAAATGCCGATGTGGCAAGATGCCGAAGACGGAACAGCGGCGAGCGCGAAAGAGGACGACGAAGCGTCGCTGAGCGGCAAGGCTGATCTAACTTCACTCCCCGAAAAGGATGCCAACAACGAGAAGGACAGCGCGAAAGCAGACGAAGCGACGCAACCAAAAAACGTGGAATCGAACACAGGAGCGATTAAGTCTCGTTCGAGCGGTAGCTCATCGTCGAGTAGTAACTCTTCTAGCTCTTCTAGCAGCAGCGACTCATCGGACTCATCGTCGAGTAGTAGCTCTTCGAGTTCGTCAAGCAGTAGCTCTTCGAGTTCGTCGCAGAAGACGGCTGAACGCGTGACTGCGACGAGTAGTAAAGCGTTGACGCCGCGCGACATGACGACCGCGAACGACAAGGTGTTGGAAAAAGTCATTCGAGCGCCAGGTGGGTTGAGTCGCATACTCTCTAGCATAAATGTTGCCGCCCAGTCGTCCGGCGGCGACTCGTCCAAACAGAGCACGCCAGGAAAGGATGTTGTGGCGAGTGCGGCGAAACAGACCACAGAACCCGCTGAAGACACAATTCAAGTCGCCGCAGTCAAAGGCGAATCAAAGAAAGGCACGGCAAAGGTAAAAATTACGATCAAGCGACCCGCTTCGATCAACTTCGCGGTGAAATGCAAAGAGTTGTTGGGCGAGTTTTTCATGAATGAAAAGGGCGAGTCCAGTATTCGCATGCCCGAAGGCGAGACAATAACTAAGGCCGCTTTCATGAAGCGGGCTGGTTACCGCGGCACGAAATGGAAAGATTTCATAATCGAACAAAAGTTCCGTGACGAAGCCGCTGACGAACAAGAAAAGGAGACTGAATACTCTGTGCGAATCGGCGATTTGGTAGAAGCACTTTGCCCGTCGACTTAAGTCGATTGGTTAAACGTAGCGGTAGCAAAGATTGATTTAATGAATACTACTTGATGCTCATCGTTGGAGCCTATACTCGAGGTCGGAAGCCAACTGGCGCGCCTGAGTGACTATTTCGTTCAAGCTGAAAGTGTCGGTGACTTCGTGAAGCAAACGTCGCCGTGCGCGAGCTCGTTCCAGCGCTGAGACGCTGACCGTTGCGTTCGCAGCAGGTGTCGAAGGGTCGACTGCTCTGAACGGCGACACGCTTGGAGGTGTTGATGCGAGCGCTAGCAGCTCTTGCTCTCGGCGCCTGAGACGATTTTCGGCTTGAGTCATCATTCCTTCCGCATTACTCAACAACTCGCGCTCACGAAGCTTGAGCCTATCCTCGGTCGACTTCATGAGCGTTTCGGCATCGTTGAGCAATCGTGTGAGGTGCGTAGCCTTGTGCTCAAAGTGGTGACTAGCATTCACACTTTGCATCTCAATTTGACCAGTGGCGCGCAGCACCTCGCGTCGTATGGCATCCTCAACCGATTTCTTATCCAACGCGAGTGACTTTCTCAACTCGTCCTCACGACTTTCTGTCAGCGTCAACGCTGTCAACTGCTCAGTTTTGACGCGGTCGAGCTCTTCTTTAAGCTGATATAAATCCCATTCCATAGAAACATCGGCCTCGGCGTCGAGCGCAAAGAGAGGAGAACCGGGCGTTGTCACGTTGCTTGGCTCACTTTCGCGTGCAGCGGCAATCATGAGTACTTTTTCCTGGTCGGACCTCATCTGATTCAGATCTTCGTGTAAACGCTGGATCTCACTATCAAGGTACTCATCACCTTTGTGCACTTGTTCCTCTAACCCACCTCGTTCTAAAGAAATGGACTTGGCTAACTCTTCTTCGAGCTCTATTCGCTCCGCCGCGAAAGACTCCCTTAGACTTCCCTCCAACTTGGCGCGCTCGATAGCGAAAGTCTTTTTCAGCTCGCGCTCTCTGCGCTCGGATCTATCCTTCAGTGCTATCTGCTCGGCCTTGACACGCTCTAACTCTTCCTTTAGCTGAGCTAGTTCTTGTACTTGCAACGACTGTGTCGGCGGATCAATCTTCTTCGCCTCAACCAGCAGCTGGGCGCGTTCAAGTTCAAGCGATTGCCGCAACTCCGCGTCTCGTTGTTCGGTCATCTTCACCATCGAAGCCTGTTCAGTCTTCATGCGTTCCACTTCTTCGCTGAGCCGACGGATCTGATCGGCGTATCGCTCGTCCGCGACGACAACTTCTACGGCGGGCGCTTCATACACCTCGACGATGTCTTTCGTAATTACGACTGGCTCTTGATCTAATGCGACACCCGTGACGTCTGCGTCGTCCAATATATTAGATTCGTTCTGAATGACATCATTCGGTTTCAACTCGGACGCCACGGCGACATCTTCGCTGCCTGCTGCGGCAACAGACGCCGCGAACTCGGGCGGCTGTTCGCCAATTTCGTCGGATAAATCGGCGAACGACTGCGTGAGAGCTTCCTCCAAGAGCTCTTCGAACTCGTCAGATTCACTATCGAGCGCAAAAACGCGTCTAGCGAGTTTTACTTTCGGCGAAAGCACCGCGTGCGCAAGGCTTTCTGTCATTTCTCGCGCTCGATTATCCACGTCGTTCATTGCCCAAGCGTTGTTGCGACACGCGAGAAACCACTCGCGCAGCACTCGAGAACCGAACCGCACATCGTCCACGCTGAGTATTCTCAAACTCGCGCCTTCCTCAGAATCGCTCGCGAGGCGTTCTAAATCGTCCTCGATGCGTCGAACGAACGCTTTTGCCTCCGGATCTGGAGACATCGCGATGTCGTGCGCAGATTTGCTACGGCTTTGCGGCTGCGGTGAGACATTATCATTCCTACCGCCGCCGTCACTGATGTACGACATCTCGTGTGAGAAGTCTATCGCGGCGACGGGCGATATGTCCACCGTCTGTGGCGTCAGAAGCGTTGAATCGGGTGCAAAGACGCGCAACACATCTTCGCCGTCGACATTCGTCGCGATCGACTGAGGCGACAAAAGCTCCGTGAACTCGTCTGGCCGAATGCCGTTCGCGCCGTCGAAAAGGTGCATCAACTCTTGCATGCGAATCGGAGTCTCTGACGCTGACGCGATTTCCACATCCGCGTCTCCGATGATTTCGACGTCGGCTTGCGCAGGCGTTCGACGCGCGAACGAGCGACGTCGTTTGGGCTTGAGAACACCAAAAGGTCTACCCACCACGCGCGCGATGCGCGAGAGCACAGAAATCACATGGTGGGCTTCTACGGTCACCCCCACGAGAGGTGGAAACTGCACGTGTACTCCGCGAAGAGCGTTTCTCGCCAACGACGCCCCCCTCGTCGCCGCCTCCGTAGCGTTCCGTCTTGAATCCTCCTTCGTCAACTCCACCACCACGGCCGCACCCAAACGGAACGCGCGCCTCGCGTACGCATTCAACACCATGTGTGTCACTTTCGCGCCTCTAATCGTCGTCGCTCGCACCCGTTTCGTCCTCGCGCTCGCCTCGGCGCACAGCTCCCGCACCGTTTTCGACGTCGTCGTCCTCCTCCGCGACTTCTTCTCCCACCCCATCTCCATCGTTCGCGCGTCTTCCACGTACTGCGTCAGCGACGTCTCGATCTCTCGCGCGATCCGCGACCGCGTCTCCCCCCCGTCGTCTCTAGGCACGATGTCCACCACCGCGCTCGCGCTCGGCTCGCCGCCGCCCGCGATATCCGTCCCGAACCGTCTCGACGTCCACCACCACCCGCGCCGTCCCCTCGACGCCTTCACCGCGCGCGCGCCCTCCTCGCGCCCGTCGTCATCGATCGCCGCCGTCGCCCGCGCCCTCGCGCTCGCGCTCGCCGCCGTCCCGCGCGTCGACCGCGCGTCGTCCGCGTCGTCATCCGAAATCATCGCGTTCGCGTTCGGCGGTCGCGTCGCGTCCACGAGTCCGCCCATCTCCACGAGTCGACACGACGCGCACGGCGGCGTCGCCATCCGCGTCGCGTCGTCGCGCGCGCGTCGCCCGCCGCGCGCGCGACGCCGGCGTCGCCGACTGACGACGACGCCGAACGGTCGCGAAAAAATCGTGCGCGGTCCGTGTGACGGTTTAGGTCTCACGAACCAAAACGCGTCGCGAACCGTCGCGCGGCCAAAACGCGTCGACGCGGGACGCGGCGGCACACCGACGCGCGACGGCGATCGAGCGCGGCGCGAACGGATCGCGCGCGCGAACGAACGAACGCGCGAACGAACGCGCGCGAGCGTCGGCGAGAGCGCGCGAGAGAGAGAGCGACGCGCGCGCGCCGGTGGGCTCGAACGCGCGCGACTGTTGGAATTGCGAAACGACGCGTTTTGCGAACGACGCGTTTTGGTCGAGCGCGGCGCGCGTGCGCGCGATTTGAGGGCGCGCGCGCGCGCGTGAGCGGTGGTGATGGCGTTCTTGCGGAACGTCGGCGCGTTGCGGCCGACGCTGCGGTTCGCGGCGCTGACGCACGAGTTGAGACCGTTGGTGGAGGGGTTGCGAGGTCTTGGAGTGGGCACCATTCTCGACTTCGCGCGAGAGCATCGTCCGACGCGTGAATCGGCGCACGTGGCGCACGTGATCGCGGAAAGGATGAATGAGTTTCCCTCCGCGATGCACGCGCTGAAGCTCAGCGCGCTCGGGAGCGAGGAGAACCACGCCACGGCGGAGAGACACGCGAGGAACATCGCCAGGCGGGCGGCTCAGTTGAAGACTTCGGTGTGTATCGACGCGGAGGAGAACGCATTACATGCGGCTTACTCTCGGACAGCGTTTGATTTGATGCGCGAATATAACACCTCGCAAAACGACGGGGGCGAGTATCCGACTGTGTTCAAGACATACCAAATGTACCGCGCCGACGCCGTGGACGAGTTGCGCGAAGACATCGAGCGATCGAGGGATCTCGGATTCACGATCGGTGCCAAGCTCGTACGCGGCGCGTACCTTCGACTCGATCGAGAGACAGGAGCGCTGTTACCGAATAAGGCGTTGGTGGACAAGTCTTACGAACGCGGCTTGGAAATTGCCCTGCAAAGCGGCAACGACCACGTGACGACGCTCGTGGCCACTAGAAACGTCGCGAACATTGATCAAGCGCTGGAGCATAAAAATAAAGGACGCGTGCTTTACGCGCAGCTCCTCGGCATGGACGACGAAACCACGAACCGGCTTTTGGAGCAGGAGGCAAACGTGCTAAAATACGTGCCTTTTGGTAGATTCAGCGAGCTCTCGCCGTACCTGTATCGCCGGCTGCTTGAGCGAATGCACTGGTCTTGACACGATGTGTGCTGGGCTTGCTTTTAGTATAGCCAGCGCGCGCTGCTTTTAGTATAGCCAGCGCGCGCGCCATACATGTACCAACACGATTTTTACTTATTGAAAGTCCATCCGACTCAGCTCGTTATACTTGTACGCTTGTAACATTACAGCAGGTCACAGTGGATGTTAGCTTTGTTCAACTTTATAAGTCTGCCAACGGTAAGTGCCTCACCTCGGTCAAGGGCTAGGCTCTCATGCAAGACTGTTCGAAAGACGGGGGCTGCATGGTGAACATCGATCCGGGTTCATCTTGTTATACAACAACGTTTTTTTCATCACTACTACGAGCGTCTCTACTGCGATGATCCCTTCACAAACATTGCCCTGAAGTCTGCGTTAGTTTTTGCTTGTGCGCCTTCGCCGTTGTCCGTACGCGTCACCGTTATCGCGCGAGGCATAAGGCCCAAGCCTCCGCGACCACGTCCAGAAGCCACAGACGGTGCGGCGCGCCCGCCACCACGACCACCGCCACGACTGCCACGTCCACCGCCACGTCCACCGCGACCATCGGGTCCGTCGTCACCGGGAGGCCGACTCTTCGCGATATCAACCAGTCTTCCCTTGAGCGCCTCACCGGATCGCATGATTGCAGCGTTCAGAGCAGCTTCTTCTCCAAAGTCAACGTACGCGATTCCTCGCGAACGACCAGTGGCTTTGTCCTTGACGATTCGACAGCTCACCGCGCCGGTGAAGAACTCCATGAGCTCGGCGTCCGTAACGTCCCAGGACAAATTTTTGACAAAGGCTGTTTGCGTGTCTCTTGTTGGGAAAAGCGTCTTGACACGAGCGTCATGATCCATTCCGGCAAGATTCATATCAGTCTTGTCGCCTCCCTCTGGAATTTCGCGAGTTCGTTTGCGTGGAATGGGTTCGGCTCCGGCGCGACGCGCGGCGGCGCGTTCGCGGCGGCTTCCACCGCTTTTCATGCGCTCTTTCGCCGCCGCGTTCGCAGCCAATCGCTCACACGCGAGTTTTAACTCGTACCGCCGCACAGCGGCCATAGCGTTGGTCTTTTCGTTGAAATCGTCGTACTTTTTTGGTGCAAATGTCGACAGATATCGCGCCTTTGCTTTCAGTAGCATAGCCGTTCCAGCCAATCGACGGGTCTCTTCATCTACCGTCTTCTTCGACAGGCCGACGGGTTCCACGGTTCCTCGCTGTAACGCTACATCGTACAGGTCTAGTACTTCCTTTTGCGTCTTCTTTATAAGGCGCGACGTATCAGTTCGAAGGATGACAAATTCAGCGGCGGTCTTGAACGGTGCCCGCTCCGCGAGTTGCGCAAAAACAGCGTCTATGAATGACGCGACCGTCGTCTTGTGATCTTTCATCAACGCGTAGTCTACTAGTTCTTTCAAGACATGGATCGCCGCCGCCGCCATGATGTTGGGCGAATAATCCTTGGCCATCTGCTCGAAACCAAAAGTCACGCACCCGGACGCTTTTGCCCAATCGTCCAAACGTACGCACTGTGTGAGAACTTTTGTAAGAACCGCACCGTAGTCGTTCGGATCTCTGAACTTCGTTCTCAGCGCATGCGTGTACAAGTCGTACGACGACTCCAGCTCGAGCACCGACTTCCACAGAACGCTAGACGGGCACATGCGAACGGCGCGAAGCATCAAAGTGCGCGAAGCTGCTTCTGCTGATTTGAACGATATCGACCACACGTACAACACGTAGTCTCGCCAGAGCTCTGCGACATACGGCAGCGACGAAAGCGCGCGTTCGTACAAGTGAACGACTCTGTCCGGAGATCCGCTCGCCATTTCAAAATCAATGTAGGTTGCGTACGCTCGAAGCAGCTTCGCGTCGCCTTCATGCGAACTCGTCACGGCGAGCAGACGCGCCTCGTAAGGCTCGCGCAGTACTTTTGCAGCATTACCAACCGCGTACGCTTCGTGGAACGCGGCGTCTGCGTTATGAAGACCCGCGTCGGCGGCCCACGTCTTTGCCGCCTCGAGCGTCGCCTGAGACTGCGCTTGTGGAATCTTCAACTGTCGCAAATACAGCGCCTTCACCCGCACTTTCTGCGTTTCCGACGCCGCCCACGACAGTTCAAACGCTCGATACGCCTGCCAAATCAAATGCCCATCGTTAAAGTTCATCCCCGGTCCCGCCGTCGCCGTCTCGTAAAGCGCGCGTCGGTCGCTCTCATCCGCCTCCAGCTCCATCGCGTTCCTCGACCTTCCCATGTGCAACCGCACGCTCGTCCGTCCACACTCTTCGATCGCCCTCGCGAACAACTCATCGCATCGCGTGTGCCGTTCGCGTTTCGTCCCCGTCGTCTTATTCGCCAATTCGTCTTGAATCCACGCCGACCAGCGCGCCTCGTCCATCGCGAACGCTTCGTTATATCGTTCCCTCGCCGTTCTGCACCGCTCGCGCAGGTTCGCCGCGCGCAACAAATCAATCAATCTCCCCGCTTTCGCGTAATCGCGCCAGGAGTCGCTCTCGAGCTCTTGTTCGAGCGTCATTATCGTGTCCAATTGCGCATCATCCAATTCTACATCATCGTCGTCCTCGTCGTCGTCCTCGTCGTCGTCCTCGTCCTCGTCGTCCTCGCTCGAGCCTTCGCTCGCGTCGATCGCGTCCTCGCGCGCGTCATCGTCGTCGTCGGAACGGTCCTCGTCGCCGCCGTCGCGCGCGTCGTCGACATCCATCCGAAGCCGATGCGTCGTCAAATGCCGACGACGGCGGCGCGCGTCCTCGACCGCGTCCTCGCGCGCGACGCGCGCGCGTTTTCGACGCCGCCGTCGACGCGGCGCGCGGCGCTCGTCGGCGTCGCGCTCGGCGGCGCGCTCGCGAACTCGCGCGTCGGCGGCGACGCGACGGCGACGGCGACGACCTCGCGCGTGTCGCGCGTCGTCGTGACGTGCCCGACGGGCGCGCGCCCGATCGATGGCGCGCGCGCGTTGATCGCGGCGAGCGGTGATGGGCTCGCGGTGGAGCGCGAGGACGAGGCGAGCGCGACGGTGCGCGACGCGAACGGGTTCGTCGTGGAGTTTCAGCGCGGCGACGCGGCGAGGCGAGGCGACGACGGCGACGAGGTCACGCTGCGCGGGGTGGTGATCGGAAACGAGAATCCCGCGAGAGCGCGGAACGCGGCGATTCGGCGAGGCGCGCTGAGCGCGGCGAATGGTGAAAATTGTCGCGGCGACGCGTACGCCGGTTGCGCAGTGTCCTCGAGCGCGTGCGCGCTCGAGGCAAAGTTCGTCAAGACGGGGAAGCCGTGGGCGAGCGGGAGTTCTTCTGTGGTTCGCGTCGTGTTGTGCGCGAACGATGTGGACGCCGTGGCGAGGAAGATTGCGAAGACGCTCGGGCCGGCGGCGTTGAATCGGCGCGGCGAGTTTAAGGCGACTGGAGTAACCGAGTTCGCCGCGGAAGACGCTCGAGCGGCGAGCGCGTCGACATTCTTGGGCTACCCGACGCCCGCGTCCGTGGCGATCGAAGTGAGTGGGTGCGACCGTCGTGCGGGCGCGTTTACCGTGAAAGCTTTCCATCTCGCGTTGGATGAAGGGTGCGGCGTCGTGTACCTCTCTTAGCCCGTTCGCCATATCTTTAGTTCGTGTTCAATTCAATTCTTCTGTTGTACTATAATTCATCGCGAAGCCGCTAGTCTAGATATCCGACACATTGAACAGCACATCTGTGCGAATGACGTACTTGAACGTTTCGCCTCCGTTCAAGCTCGCGGTCACGGCGCTGCCTTCGTGCACGGGCGACTCCTCGGCTTCGCCGTGCGGGAAGCAGAGCGCGGCGCCAAGTTGTGGCACGACACCTCGCGCGCTCAAGACTCCAGGCTCGCTCGGCGTAGCGGTGTAAAACGTCGTCGATCCACCGTTGAAGCCTTCGGTGAGATAAATCAGAAAAGTCAACCTCGAGCGGACTTTGCCATCGGAGACGTCGGTGACATATTCGCATTCCTCGTTGAGTGCGCCCTCGGGCCAGGACCCATCCACGTGACGGCGGTAAATCGTACCAGGACCGTAACGGAAGAACCTCCAGCGCGCGTTAATACCCACAGCACCGGGAGGCATTAAGTCTGCGATTCGTCGCCACAGACCTTGAATATTTTGCGGCCAAACCATGAACTCGCAGTATTGCAAACGAGACGCGCCCGTGACACCGTCGACGTCGCCGGGATCGGTACGAAGCCCAATCGCGTGACCGGCGGCTATGATTGCTGAGCATTCGCTTTTCGTGAGAAGATTCGTCACGACGAACGCCCCCGGAACGTGCGGCACGTCGTAACGCGCCGCCTCTGTCAATCCTGAAGGCGCAAATGGGATTACGCCCGGGTGCGCGGGCGCGTACAGCTCAAGCGGCAACCTATCCACCGGCCGACGTCGTCCATCGTTATCGCAAACCATTTTAAAGCTACCCGGCGCGTATTCAATATCGCGACGCACCAATGGCGCGGGAATGTCGTCGTCGTCCTTCGTGCGCGGCACCGCGAACGGCATTTGCGCGCGAATCGTCGCGGTAGATCCCGGCTCCCAAGACCCGCACATGATACCGCGCAGCGCGCTTTCCAATAATGCTAAACCTAAATCCCCATCGACGCCCCCTGGGCACATCGCGCACGCTCGCACGAGGACATCCTTCCCTAAGAAACGCTTTCCTTCGCCGTCGAGCCGCGACATCAACACCAGCGCCTCGCGCAACATTCCCCGCTTCGCGCACGCGAAGAACGCGCACCGCATCGCCTCTCGCGACGGCGCCATACCGTTCGCTTCCATTCTTTGCAGCAATCGCAGCGCCGGTTTCGCCTTCTCTCGCGCCTGACACAACGCCAGCACTCTCGCGCACGTATCCGCCCGCACCGCGACGCCGCGCGCCAGAGCCGCATCCAGCGCCTTGCACGCGTCCACGCACGACTGCGCGAGCAGGGCACGTAAAATAGTCCCTTCGCTCACGTCTCTCGATCGCGCGCCGTCGTCGCGCGCGTCGTCCACCGCCATCGCCGCCGCCGCCACCGCGACTTGAACATCAGTCGTCGCGTCCGCCGTCGCGTGCGTCGGCTTCGCGATCGCGCTGCCGTCGCGCACGCCGGGCGCTTGCGACGATTTCTTTCGCGCGCGCTTCTGCGTCTTGCCCATCGTCGGCGCGCGCGTCGCGGTGTGGGACGTCGCGCGCGCGGTTCGAGCGTCGGTTGCGGCGATGAAAAAGTGAATGAAAATGTACAGCGGACTACGCGCACTTACCTACGCGCACTTACCTACGCTATCGGTGTAATACGAACCCGCGCGCGGGAGATATGTCGCACCGGTGTCGCACGCTTCGAACAAGACGCGCACGGTGTCGGCGGTGTCGTCGCCCGAGCGAAACGCCGTAAAGTGCAAATGCGGCTCGGGGCTGAATCCCACGGAGCCGGACTCGCATATGACTTGTCCACGCTGCACGCGGTCGCCGACCTTAACCTTGGCGCTCTTGGCGCGAATATGCACGTACTCGACAAATAAATCACCACCTCTGACGTCGTACGTGGAGACGTCGGCCTCAGTCGTGGTGGCGCACTCAGCGCTCGCGTTTCTCAGCGGCGTCTCCGGCGTCGAGCGAGCGTCGAGCTTTAACACGATTGAATTCCATTTGAATAGATTCGACACCGCGATTCCAGTGAGCGTGTTCTCGTCGCACACTTCGATTACTTCACCATCGCCCACCGCGAGCACGGGCGTGCCTTCGGGACATCTGAAATCCACCGCGTGCAAATTCCCGCTGAAAAAGTGCGTCAATTCGCCCCCTTCATTCTGCGTGCACAAAAATCGCTCGCCTCGCAGAGGAAACCCCACCGATTGGCTGTGCGTGTCATTAGGTTTCGGATGCATCGACCACGCGCGAAAATCGCTGTCGATTCGCACGTCCCGCACGTCCCTTCCCTCCAGTCGCAAAAAGCACAGGTGCGCCATCGAGCGCGGCGGCACCAGGCACACGAACGTCGTCACCGTCGACCGTCGTCCATCGTTATCGATCGTCACGCCCTGCGCGAGCGATTTATTCCCTTTCCCATAACACTTCACGTCGTACACCGTGATGTACGCCACCTTCACCGCGTCTGATCCGTCCGCGTTCGTCGCGCTCAGTCTCGGCGCGTCCCCGCGTCCATCCGCGTCCAACGCCACGTCCGGGAACTCCGCGTCGTCCGAGTACTCGTCCGGGTCCACGACTTCCGCGCCGAGCAACCACGACGAGTGATTCGCGCGCGCGACGTCCAGCGCGATGTGACATCCGACGCCCGCGTCGCGCACGAATCCGTCTTCGTCACCGCGCGTCCCGGCGGCGCCGTCGCCAGCCCTCGACGTCGCTTCGCGCGCCGTCGTCTCCCCGCACCGCATCGCGACGTCGCGCGGACGCGCGCGCTCGACGATCGGCGCGCGAATTCGCGCGTCGGCGATCCGACGCGCGCGCGCGAGTGCGGCACTTCGACGCGCGCGTCGAACGACATGTCGTTCGCGTTCGGCGCGCCCGCGCCCGCGCCCGCGCCCGCGCCGAGCGCGCCGAGCGCGCCGGCGCCGAGCGCGCTCGCCGCCGCGCCGCTCGCGCCGACGTCGACGGCGACGGCGACGGCGACGCTGCCGAACGCGCGCGCGCTGTTTTACGCCCTGGATGAGACCGTTCAGCGCGGCGACGTCGTCGACGACGCGACGACGTCGACGCTCGAGGACGCGCTCGAACACGTCGCGCGCGCGTGCGAAACGTACGGACCGACGCGCGCGGCGAGCGCGGAGGCGCTGCGCGGCGGGAGCGTGGAGTACGGGGGGAAGACGCTGAGGGTGAGCGCGACGACGGCGAAGGTGGCGACGGAGTGCGCGAGACGATTGCGGTTGGACGAGACGCAGACGTACGTCCTGCTCAGACGCGCGCTGGATGAGAGCGAAATGCCGCGACCGAGCGAGGCGACGGAGGAGGTGGTGCGAGAGGTGATGCGGTTTTACTTTCGGGAGCGACTCGGGACCATCAAGTGCGCGCACGCGCTGCTCTCGAGAACGAGCGGGGACGCGTCGAGCGGCGCGGATGGCGACGCGTGGGAGCGCGCGGTGACGAAGATGCTCGATCTTGGGTTCGAGGAGAACGTGTGGCGCGCGCTCGATCGGCACATGAGCGGGGCGAGCGCGAGCGGGCCCGAGGGGGCGAGTCCGGAGGACGCCGCGGCGTGGGCGGGGCAAACGCTCGAAGAGACGGTGGCGCTGCTGGAGGTTCTATTTTTGCTGTACTACAACCGCGTGAAGTGCAAACCTGAAATGTTCATGAAGTTGGCTCGAATGTTTGAGAAGGGTGCGCTCAGGCGCGCGCCCGCGGCGGCGATTGAGCTCGAGTCGCACGCGCCCCAGGCGCACGTGAACGCGTTCACGGAGGATATTCGCGCGCTGTGCAACGTCACCCTGATCGCGGCGATGGATTTAGAAAACTTAGTCGATCGATTTTCCGGGAAGAGCCTGAATGCGCACGGTTTTTTGGAAGCGACTGTGCTAAAGTCCATCACTGAAATGATGGAAAAATGGCAGAGCGACGCGGCGCACGGACCAACGCTGCTCGCGTGGTCAACGTTTCTCACGTTGCTACCGGTGGATGCTGAGTACATGCCGGGCGGATTTTCGATCGAAATCATGACGCAGAAAGCGAACGAATGCGGGCTCTCTGCGCTGTCGCACTTGCTCGATGCGGAACAGTTGCGAGGCGAAGACGCCACCGTGACGCTCCACAAGAGCGTGCTGAAGAATATGTTCTCCACCATTCTCGCCGCGTACGACATGCTTCCCGTTCACCGCTTGCCCACTCACGACCTGAACCAGATTTTGAGCGTTCTACGAAAACTTCTCGCACATCAGCCAGTGCTATGCGAGCAGTTCTGGGGTGGTGCGAGAGAGGACGGCCAAGAGGCTCCGCTCTTCGCGCTCTTGGAAGGCTGTCGAGAGCGGTTTCCTTACGATTCCGCCCCACTGTTGAGAGTACTCGCGGCGTTTTCCGAGGGCCATCGCGCGGCGGAGTGCGCGTTGGCATACATCGCACAACTGCCGACGGTTGCTCTACCGGTGCCTTCTCCAGACATCATGCAGCAAGGCTTGAAACCAAGCGAGGACGCTGTGATGGACGTCGAGTCGGGCTTCGCGAGCGGTTCGGTCACCGCCATCCATCGGCTTACAAGTCCTTACATTCCCGGCGGATTCATCGAAGCTGGCATGTCCGGTTTGGCAATTGATATGGGCACACAAACCACACCGTTGATCGTCTGGGCCGCACCTGCTGACGGCTTGCATCTTTGTCTGACTCGCCTTTCCCTGCTCGCGAGTGCGGGGTTGAGCAGAGAATTGACGACGAGCGAGAGTGATGAACTCGACGCGACGACGTTATTCTTGTCCAAAGTTTTGACGCACGCACCATCATTTGCGAGACCAATGTTATCATGTGACGTTTCTGAGTCCGTGCCGAAAGGGTCACCGACCGACATCCTCACAGGTCTTTCGTTGGCGTTGCACGTGCGAAGCAAGTCTCTTCATACGGAGCAAAGCATTCAATCGACCGCCACCGTGTTACAGGCATTATCTGCACTCGCCGCGGCTGAGCCCACTAGAACCGTTGCAGAGGTACTCGAGGCGCCGCTCCTGTCGGGCACTCCAGGCACTGGTGTCCCCGGGTTGATTCGCGCCATTCGCGACAGCGAGTCGCGCCTCGGTGAATATCCGTTGACGTTGGCCGTGCTTAGTTTAGTGGAGACATTACTCCAACATGGTGGGCTTGGCGATAAGCTCGAGGCCCTCGTAGATCATGTCCTGCAAGAAATTGCTGTCCGTCACGTGCAGTGGCGGTACAGGCACAAAGCTGAAAAATGGATCGTTCACGCGGCGGTGCAGCGCATCATCTATCAAATTTTCACTCCCCGACACGGCGATTTTGCCATTAGACTTCGTGACAAGGTGCTGTCCTACTTGATCAACGACAAGGCGATTTGCTTTGGATCGTTTGCACCACTCGTGTACGATGCAGCGTCTCTACGCAAGTTGCATGAAGAAGGCGGTGCGCCTCGAACAGAGGAAGTTACGGCTCTCGAAGAAGCAATTGCGACGGTGCTCAGGTCTATACCACTCATCGTTTATCACGCAGGTGATAATTTCGGTGGTGTACTCGAGCGAATGCTGCTCATCGAAACTAGTAATAATGGTGCTCCCTTTGCGAGCTCGATCGCGTCATATGCCGGATATCCGTACGCTGCGGCGTGTTTTCCACTCGCACTTCCGGCCCTCGTGCCTTTGTGCGCGGCGGCGAACGCCGTTCCCATGGCTGCAACGCTAGACAGACAAGATCGAGCGGAGATTCTGAGCTCGATGCAGCACATGTTCAAGCACGCTGATTTGGACGCCGTGTGTGACATCGCAGATTTACTCAGCGCAGGTATCGCAAATCAGCCGGAATGGGTCGCCACCTTACTCGTGCCCGAAAAAGAGCCCGAAGAAGAGCGCCCCGCTTCATTACCAGCTCCGACTGCTTCCGGCGCACTTGCCGCACCTACGACGCCGACAAATGCTCTCGCACCTACGACGCCTACGACGCAACCACCACCGACGCCGCCGCTCCCGACAAAGACGAAAAAGACTGTTGAAGGAGCGTTGGCTTTAGTGTGGGACATCCTCGAGGACACCACAAAGATACGCTCGCAGTCGCCCCGTTGCCTGGCGGCACTTTTGCGCATGCTCGATGCTCTCTGGCGCCGCCAGCCACTTCTCATCGAGTCTATTCAGACACTCAAGGTCAAGGACGTCGAGTTGTGGAAAAGACTGGCGACGTGCGTGGATCAACCGGAGAAGGAAGTTACTCCACCGGCGGTGGCGCATAGCTTGAGCGCGGCTAGTTCTGTGCTTTCGCTATTCGCCATCGAAGCGGAGTCGTCTATGAATGCTCTCGACGGGACGTCGAGCGCGACGTTTAACGCGCAGGTACGAGAATGGTGCGCGAACTCACGCATCAGTTCATGGATTGATACGTGTCTCTCGCACGAGAGTTGCGCTTTGTCGCGCCAAAAGACGCAATTCGCCGCGCAAGCGTTCGTTCTGCAATGCATATCGGTTCTTGAGCGCGAAGATATGAGTGCGAAGCGCTCGCCGTTGATGGCAGACGCGACATTACAGTGGATGTGTGGAAAAATCAGAGACGCTTTGCTCTCGCACGCGTCGGCGAAAGATTTGAGAGCGTCTGGGGCGTCGAATGTCGCAATTCTAGAAGCCGTCGCTCGAGAGGCGGCTACACAAAGCCCGAGCTCTATTATGTCAGCCGATGCGGTGCATAGACTCGTGCAGGCGGCCCGCGATATGCACGTCGAGGCCGTGGCGTTCGCTCCGGCTCCTCTCAGCGTCGCTGGTACTGCTGAGTACGGTGAATCGTATTTGTACGACTCCTATTGGATTCGCGTCGCTACGGGATGTGTGGGTTCGAACGCGGACGATCAGTGGGGCGCACCCGAAGGAGCCCTAGCAGACATGGGGCGTGCGATGAGCGCTCAGCTCGCCGAGACGTGCCTACTGTCGTCGATCACAGACGCGCAGTCGTCCGCTATCTGTTCGTTGAGCTCCTTCATCGCCGCTGCCGCCTTTGGTGAGTTGCCGAAGATGCACGCCGGGGTGTTCACGCAACCTGCCTCAACGACGACAGGTGCGCCGAAAACTCTCCTCGATGGGCTTTCGAGAGATAGTCGAAGAGATCTCGTATTGAACGTCGCTGAGCGTTTGCAGAAGATCATCGTGACGGATTCAGCGAGCATGCCTTCCTACGTCAGCCCGTTGGCGAATGAAATGGCCACGTTGTTGTCCGTCGTGACACAGTTGTGGAGCGTTTCAGTATCCAGTGCGTCACCTCAGACACCAGCGGAGAACGATTTCGAACCGGTGCAGCGCGTGATATTGGTTGTGTCGACGGTTTTGGCTCCTCGAACAAGCGCTTCGGGATCGCCATCGCGAGAAGCGGCGTCTCTCGTGAACCCATTGCTCACCGCCATGCTGTTCGCCATCCGAGCGTGGCGCGCCGGAATGCAATCTGCTAAGACAGTGCAGCCGAGTTATGAGCTTGGCCAGTCCGCGTTGCCTCTCATACCTCTCATTTGCCAAGCTGCTGCAGGGGACTCTGGAACGAATAACGCTAAGGCTTCGACGACATCGAGCGTGGCGCTCATGTTGCTCGCAGACATCGCCAGCGACCTGCTTCCGACGTCGGCGCTGCTTCAAGTGCTCAGTACCTACAAGATAATGCCGGCGCTCCGGCCGGCGACAGGCGACGACGACGTCGACAGTGTGACCATCGCCGCTCTAAACACGTGCCTGAGCCTTTCCAAGAGCGATCAAGGAGCGGAGATTTTACTCGCGTCGGACACCGTCCGTCTTCTCGCCATCTTGTGCGTCGAGTCAAACAAGGCCGAACGTCACAACACGACAAATCACGATATATATTGCTCCGCTCTGCGCGTCACCGCCATGCTCGCGGGATCGCCGCTCGCCGTGCACTCTGTAGACGTCGGGGCTGATCTCGTTCGCTTTTGCGCGGCGTTGGAAGCTCGAATGCTCGCCGCTTTGGCGCCAAAAGAGATCACACTCGCGACGCTCAAGGAAGTCGAAGTGACGGCGTTGTTCTTCAGCCGTCTCGCGTCCACTTTCGGTGCGCAGTGGCAAGTTTCTTCGCCCGAAGGCCAGATGCGCTGTCGCGTGGCGTGCGTGAGCTTTCTTCGATGGTTCGCCGCGCCTCAGGTTGTCGGGGGCTTGCGATGTCCTCGAAAGACGCGAGCCGATGAAACGTTGGCGGCAAAACCACCGGCGACGCGTGCCACTCAGGCATGGTTCCAAGCCACCGCGAGAGGTGACTCCGTGCGCGAACCCACGTCGCCGCTCATCGGTACGGCGCCGCACGGCTCGCCCATCGCCGACGCCTCGACGCGAAAGACTGGCAATGCGTACTCCGAAGCCGTCGCCGTGGCCCTCTATCGAGCCGCGCGCGCCGCGTGTGACTTCCTCGCGGTCTTCCCGCGCGCCGTCGACCAAGCCGCGCTCGGTTTCGACGTCACCGCCAGTCTTCGAGACCAGTGCGACGCGTTGTCGTGCGACGACTTGACGTCGTCCCCCGCCAACGCCGACGAATCCGCCCTCGTCGCCGCGCTCGACGGTTTAAAATCCGCGGCATCGAAAATCGAGCGCCTCGAAGCGTCGTCGCTCAAACCGTCCGACGCCCGCGCCGACGGTTCCCCGCGTCCGCGCGTCGCCGCGTCGTCCCCCTTCGCCTAGCGCGCCCACGCGAAAATAAAAATCTTCAATCTTATCCACTTCGCGCGGCTCCAAACGCCCGTCGACGTCGTCGGTTGAAAAAATCGCCGAAAGAGAAAAAGCGATCGGTCGAGGGTCGCGCTCGAGTCGTGACTCGCCATCGAGCGCCCCCCCGCGTCGGCACCGGGCGCCGCGAACGACAATCAATCCGCGGCGACCGCGACGCGACGCGTGCCGCGCGCGAGACGACGACGCGACGCGATGCGGACCCCCCCCGCGCGCGCGGCGAGCGAGGGGATTTCCGTCGCGGTCGTGCGCGACGACGGCGGTGACGATCGCGCGAAGGCAGAACCGCGCGCGGCGACGGGATTGGTGCGAGATGAAGCGATGCGACGTCGCGATGACGCGCGAAGTCGCGACGACGCGCGAAGCCGCGACGAGCTATGCGAGCGATGACGGCGCGAAATGGTGCGAACGTAAATGACTGACGGAACTGCGCGCGCGATCGGGGCTTTTCGACGACGTAGGATGCGATATTCGCCGCGATTCCAGCGTCGGAATTGCGCGCGTCGGATAACGCGCGGGCGCGGGCGACTTCGAACGCCAAGGCGCGCGAGGTGCGGCGACAAGCGGCGGAGGCGAACGCGGCGAAAGAACAGAGGTTGCAGTCGCAACGAAATGCGGGGGTGCCGACGATGAACGCGCGCGCGAGCGGGGACGGTGATGCGGCGAACGCGGGGAAGCGTGCGCGCGCGAAGACGGAGGTCGGCGGCGACGAGAAGAAGCGCGAACCTTTGCCGAAGCCGGATTACGCGGTGGCGTGCCCGCGGTGTAAGAGCGACGATACGAAGTTTTGTTACTATAACAATTACAACATCAAGCAGCCGAGGTTCTACTGTAAGAAGTGTTGCAGGTATTGGACCGAAGGCGGGTCGTTGCGCAACGTGCGCGTGGGCGCGGGACGGAGAAAGAAGAATTCGCTCAAGGATGTACGGGGGCGATTCGCGGTTGCGCAGGGCAACGATGATCAACATGTTGGCGGTAAGCGGGCGAGATGCACGCCGGCGACGCCCGCTGAGAAGGGCTCGAACAGAAATCGGAGCAAGACGGCGCGAACCAAGCGCGACGGTTCCTCAGACGGAAGCGCCACCGAAGCCGAGCAAGGCGAAGGCATGAACTCGGGTTACGGCGGACGACAGCCCTCGGGATGGAACACCAACGGGTCGAACGCTGGTTCAGACACCGCGCTGCGCGACCGATCGCCCACCGATGAGCAAGGGAGCGCGGAAGGGTCGCAACAAGCGCCCGTAGGCGACACCGCCGCGATGGGCTACAACGTCTCAGGGTGGGGCATCGACCCGACCGTCGCGGGATACGTGAACGCGGGTATGTTGTCGACGAGCGACAAGCACGCCCAAGCTCAAGCTGCGGCCGCTGCGGCGGCTTCGGCAGCCATAATGTCAGCCGCCTCGCGCTGGGGGATGCAGTTTTGGAACAAGAGCATGTTCCCATTTGGCGGCATGCAGAATTCGGCGTCCCTACCACAACCTGCGCTGAGCGGCGCGCACGTCGCACCAGCCACGCCCATCTCTGAGGCTGCGCTTAAAACAGACTGTTTATCGCATCCGACGCCTTCTTATCCTACAGCTGCCACCGCGGCGACGACTACGTACGCCCCGGCCGCTCGGGCGCCCGGCTCTGGAAACGTGATGTCGGCGATGCAGTACTCATCGCTGTTCCAGAATCCGTGGGCGCAATTCACAGATCAGCAAGATCATTCAAATCCGGCAGTTTTCCAAGCGATTCAGCAACAGATGTTTAACCAGCAGATGGCGGCGCACTTCATTCAAATGCAACAGTTCCAAGGAGCGATGCAAAATCCATACGGCTTTGGCTCGGTGGCGCCCGCCGCAAACACTTCCGTAACGGCGACAACGTCGGCAAAGATAAAAGCCATCAAGACTGAGAATGAAACATCCGAGCAGAAAGAAAAGACTGAAAAATAATCCACTGGTACCATTTACGAACATTCATCAGAAACGCACGCGCGCTGAAGTCGATTGACTTCTATTGACTCACCTGTATTCTTCACTGCCGCCTCTGTAACCACATCGCAGACCGCTGTAAATCATGCTTAAGTGACCATTTATAATCATTTCCATTTCATAGAGCTACTTTACACACTCGACACTTTCATCGAGTCCTACTTTTTCTTTCGTGCCCCTCTCGTGGGCTTCTTCACTTTGAACGAGTCGAGCTTCATCTTGAGCTTGGTGGAAAACGTGTCAAGCAGCAACTTTCGACGGACAGTGACGAATATATTCGCCGTCGAAAGCAGGCCCTCGTTCACAGCGTTTTCAGTAAATTTGTCCAAAATGGAGGCGATGATAAGGCTCAACAACACGTACGCCCCCAACAATATGAAGCTCGTGAAGAAGAGCGCCGGGACGAAGATGTAACTGCAATTCGCCGCGACGCCGTCCACATTGTATTCACATTTCATCGTGTCGAACATGATACGCTTCCAATTATCACGCGTGATGACTCGCAAGAGAACCATAAGCGATGCGCCAAAGTTCCGAAAGTTCTCCACACGTCCACTCGGATACGTGGTTTCGTAGTCGCCGAAGAGATTCATGCCAAGCACCGCGTACACAAACATCAACATGAATATCAGGAAAACGACGTTAAACGCGCTTTCAAAGGAGCTCAATAGCGTATTGAAAACCGTACGTAGACCCTTCGCTTGTTTAAACAGACGTAGCGCGCGTCCAAGTCGGATGACGCGGAGCACCGTGGTACCGGCGAAATCCACACCTGCGAGGTCGGGAATACTAGCCACGACGATGATGAAATCAAACACGTTCCAGCGCTCTGAAAAGTAACGTTTCGGGAACAGTGCGACCATTTTCAACGAGAGCTCTAACAAGAAGATCCAAGAGAAAAACACATTCGCCGCTCGTTGAATTTCGGCATAGGCTTTCGGTTGTCCGTCGTGATACGACGCCATGGTGATAGTGTTGGCAATGATGCAGCCAACGATGAAAGCCTCAAATCGAGGGTTCGTGGCTAAGGAGTAAGCCGATTTTCGAATGAAAAACCGTGGCGCCCCGGTTGTGTCGTCATCCAATATTTTGAGCTCGGCGTCGTGTTTTTTCATACGCAAAACTTCCGCCCACTCTTGCTGCTCGGCGTTGAGCGTCTGCGTCGAGTTGCTCAACACACAAGCCTTCTTGTAACTCTCGCACACGAGGGCGACGATCATACTCAACCAGACGAAAGAGAGGATCACAATAAAGCTCAAAAAATAAATAGCTGTCCAGCCACTGTTGTTTAAAGATGGCTGCAAGTCCGTATCCGTTGAGTCCATGCCTTGAAACGCTACAGAAAGCCATCCGTCACGTGTGACGATGACGAAGAGACTCAGTAGAGCGAGCAGGGTGTTATCGAAGTTCAGTGGCGGATTGAGCCACCGGCGAGTCACGTGTGCACCTTTCTCGTCAACGAACGTCCCGACGCACGCGTGCATTCCAGAGACCGTAGGGTCGTTGCAGTAATCAAATTTACCAGCAAATAACTGCGAGCCCAGAATTGCGAAAATCAAAAACTGAAACAATCCCAACAGCATCACACTCCCAAGATCAGGTAGGACGTGAAGCAGCGTCGCAACGACGATTTGCATACTCTTAACTCGATTTAACAGGCGCAAAGGACGCAGAGCTCGAAATAACCTGAAGCTGCGCATAGACTTCAGTGCTGACGCGCTCATGGTTTCGACGGCGAGCGATACGATGACAATGAAAAAGTCAAAGCAGTTCGCAGGAGATCGAAGGTATGCTCCTGGGTGCATAACGAAGCCCATCGCAATTACTTTTATGATTGCCTCGCCCAAAAATATGAGCGTGAAAGATACGTCCGCTGCTTTGAGAACGCTGGCCAAATCACTTTCTGGATGCACTGTGGGCGCGTCGAGCGCGAGCTGGATGCACGAGAATACGATGAGAACGAGCATGAGCGCCTCAAACGCGGGATGCTTGATAAGCATGAATAGCAAACGTCGCATCGGGCGTCGCGGCTTGATGAAACCCAACGACGGGTACATCATGCAAATCTCATCCTTTGTCGCACCGGCATTGCGTAACCAGTCCTCTTCGGCGATGTTCTTCTTTGAAGATTTGTCAATTTTCGTCTCATCAACAACGATGTCACGCACGGGTAATCCCAACGCCTTCCTGGCTTTACCGGCGTGTACGTCTTCGGATATCCTCGGGAGGCTGTAGTCTATGTTCAGCAAGGGTGGCATCGACGTATACTCCACGATGGGCACGAGGGTGTTGTACGCGTGCGCAGAATCTCCAGTTGTTTGCGAACCGCGTGAACGCGAGTTGCGGGGACTTCGTGCCGAGTGTGAATTTGACATCGTATCTCCATCTCTGCTCGGTGACGCACTAGATATGTTATCTTCGTTGAAAGACTCTGTCACGGGACCGGGTCTTGGTCTATCAGCCATACCTCGCAGCGATTCCGACAACGACTTGCGTTCTTCGCCAGGCTGCGTAGATTTCACCCTGGCGCGCCAAGAAGCCGTCTTCCGCTCCGTCGGCGGATTGACAGGTGATGGAGCTAGTCCATCGTTGGCGTCGACGTCGTCGGACGCCGCGGGCACGTCCTCGTCGACTGATTGGCCACGTTTCTTCTTTATAGCTTCCAAGCGCTCTGATTCGCGAATTCGCATGCTCAGCAAATTTGCCTCGGCGATTGCGGCAGCGCCTTCGGCGCTCATTCCGTCTCCTTTGAATTTGCCGAGATGACCACTTTTGTTGCCCTCCGCTCGACGTTGTGCGATGATCGCAGTTTGTTCTTCTGGTCGCATCCGAGCCTCCGCGCTCTTCATCGCCAAGCCAATTGTGGGCGCCTGCGACGCCCATTGAAGCGCGTCTTTAGTACCCGACTCGCCGCTACGCTCCAACAGACTGCGTCGAAGTTCAGCGAGCGCATGTTCTTGCAAGTGTCTTCGGACCTCCATTGCACTGGCAGCCGTGCCGTCCGCTGTACCGCCGTACTCATCCCGTAGTGTGTTTGTGTTCTGGATATTCATGTCTTCGTCGCTATCGCTGCCTTGTTCCGCCGCCGCGTCAATTCTCCAACGTCGATAGGCCGCCCTTACCTGGCGATCATCCATGGGAATCGGGATACCAGTAGCGACAAGTGCGGATACTTTTCTAGATGCCTTTTCTCGCATGAGCGTCGTCAGTTGGCTCTCTGGCACGCCATCATCAACCGCCAACTCGTCAACTAAAAGTGCTCGGTCCTTGACGAGCTGTTCATTGGCATCCACCGCGTTGTCTTCACTATCGCTGTCAACATCACTATCATTTTCTGTGAAACCTATTATCTCCAGCCACCTTTCTATCAGCTGCACCTCTCTCGCAAATGCTCGCTGTTTGCGTGTATTCATCCTATTCACGATGCGCTTGGCATCCGGATGGCGTCGAATCTCGTTTGGTTTCATCAACCGTGTTAACTCCGTGCTTATGCCTTCCTGGTGCACTTCCACCTTATCCATCTCATCATCATTGTTTCCCTCGAGAAGAGTATTGATTTCTCGTTGACGTTTGGCCTCGGCCTCTCGGCGTTCCGTCTCTTTCTTTTCCTCGCGCAAACGCTCGAGTTCGAGCTCCTTTGCTCGCATCGTGCGTGAAAATGTGTCAATGAGCATCGCCGCGATGAGATTCAACAGCACAAATGAACCGATGAAGGACCAGCAAATGAAAAACAAGGCTGCAGGGGCGCCGTACGAGCCACTCATGGCGACGAGCATCAACTTGTACCAATGCGATCCCGTCAGAATCTCGAATACAGAGAGAAAACTATCCCCAAAGGTGTTGAAATTCGGCCGCGCATCCCAAAACTCGTCGCGTCCACCAAATAGCTGCATGCCTAAAACCGTGAAGACGAAAACAAAGACGAATAGGACACCGCAAAAGTTCAGAATAGCACTGAAGCTCTCCATGGTGGTATCTATCAAACGCCGCATGTTCTTGTTTCTTGTGATGAGGCGAGTCGTGCGCATCACTCGCAACAGACGGAACGCGCGTGCGACGGCCAAGCTGCTGTTACGATATGCCAGCTCTATCAGACCGGCAGTGACAACAGTCGCGTCGAACAAATTGTAGCGATCCTTGCTATATCCTAAAATTCCGAATGCGAGTACTTTCATCACCAACTCGAACACGAAGACTGACAAAAGCAAGTAATTCAGATTATTCACAGCTGTCTCCATCTCGCTCCCCATACCACGAAAGTGCACCGCCAGTATGATTGTATTTACCACAATCGCACTAGTTATACCATTTTCGAAATACTTGTGCTTCACAAACATCTGCAGCCAACGCTGGTAGATGAACTCCCGCCGCATGAACGCCAACGGTCGTTCCATCATTCGCTCCAGGCGCTCTCCATAGCTAAATCGGCCCGCCCTCCTGCTCGCCAGCACTCTCTTACTTTTTGGATTGCTCAACGCTTTCGATTTGTCTTCCGTCTCGGCGTCCAGCGCCCTTTTTTCGTCTAAAATTGCCGTCTGTCGATACTTTGTCGTCACCGCCGCCAACATAAAGGATGAAACAAAAATTGCGCCGACGGCGACGATGATGATGAAGTAAATTATCGCCAAAACACGATCACCGGTGGCGTCTATGACTTGATACATCAAATCTGTCCACCCACGCAATGTCAAAACTCTATAAATTATAAATCCCGCACCCATGATGTTGTTGAAAGTTGAATGACCGTCGTCCATGCCCGTCAACGCAGTAGCGATGCACACTTGCATGGGTCCACAAGAACGACCGCCGGTAGATTTTGAGCACGGAAACTCGATTTGTTCCATGACGAGATCGAGTGTGCTTGCGTACGCGCATCTGTTCGACAGCTTACCCGCGTAGCGCTGCACGCCGAGGATACCCAAGACTATCATTACGACGAAGAGGAAAAACACGACATCCCTAACCATACCCATCGACGCAAATGTCGTCGAGACGAACACGCGCAATCCAGGGAACCCTGAAATCGATCGCAGTGGTCTCAGTGCACGAATACCTCGAATAGCTGTGAGACCTCCTCCAGATCCACCAGCGACCATAACTCCGACGGAGACCCAACCGCCGATGACGACGGTGAAATCTAAAACTCGCCATCCATCCCTCAAGTACACGTCCGATTCGGGCGGACCGAATATAAAGTTATTCGCCACCACGCGCGCTAAAAACTCCAACGTGAACATCACCGTAAAGATCGTTTCGGCGACTTCTAAATTTTGATTCGTTCGTCCGTGCTTCTCCAGCGGCCGGTACAACGCGAGCGTGAAGCAGTTCGCCACGATGAGCATGATCGTCACCCTCTCGAACCACTTCCACGCAATCAATCGTTGCGCGTTCCTTCGCACGCCACTCCTGGGCGGGAACAAGTACAACGAGGTATCGTTTTGATTCAACTCGTACCAATACCGCTTGGCGCGCGCGTGATTCCTCACGAAAAAGTTTCCTCGCTGCGCCTTCGCGTACTCCGCCTCGCGAAGCGCTCGCGCCGTGCGCTCGCGCCGTTCTACCTTATCATCCATGATCACTATCCACTCCTCGTTCGCTCCTCCACCTTCGCGCGCGCGCCTTTCGTCAGCACGCGTCGACGATTGTTTGCGCGTCGGCAGTAACGGCTCGAACCGTCGCGCATCAATCGTCCCACGTCGCGTCGCCTTCGCCCCGCGCGTCGTTCGCGCGCCGCCAACGTTCGTGCCGTTCGCGCGTCGACCCGTGTGCGCCGCGCGCGCGCGTCGCGCGCGTCGTCGTCGCGTTGTGCGGCGCGCGAACGCCCGCGGCTCGTGTCCCCGTCGTCTCGCGCGCACTTTTGTCCCGAAGCGACAGTGTTTCGCGCGATGGCGCCGCGCGGGCCCGCGCGGACGTCGCGCGCGCCCGTCGGTGCGCGCGTGGCGCGTCAGGGGCGCGTCTCGCGCGGTCGAACGCGACGCGCGGCGCGCGAGGACGCGCTCGGCGGGCAAGATTTCATCTACTCGCAACGCAGCGGTGTCGAAGAAGAGCTCTTTAAAGGAAGCGTTCTCGGCGTCGACGCGGACGTCGCGACGGGCGAACATCGCGAGCGTGAGTTTCGAACGTTCGCCGCGCTCGATGGGTTTCACGTGCCGGAACGCTTCGCCGAGCGCGTGGCGACGCACGTGGTGAAGAACTTGTTGAAGGATAAGGGGGCGCTCGGCGCGACGTCTCCGGCGTTAATTTTGGGGATTTGGGGACACAAGGGTTGCGGCAAAACGATGAACGTGGAGTTGGCGTGTAAGAAAATGGGGTTGCAGCCGATCGTAACGAGCGCGGGGGAGTTGGAGGATTCGACGGCGGGGGAGCCCGGGGCGATGTTGCGGCGAAGGTATCTGACCGCCGCGCGAGCGATGAGAGAGACGGGGAAGTTGAGTTGTCTTATTATCAACGACATCGACGCCGGGATCGGTAAGTTTAAGGACGATCTGGGGACTGTAAATAATCAAATCACGCACGGGACGTTGATGAACATTTGTGACAATCCCACGATCGTGAGCGAGGGACTGGTTTGGAGGACGGACTCCAAATCTACCAACGCGCGCGTGCCAATCATCGTCACGGGGAATGATTTTTCTCGACTGTATGCGCCTCTAACGAGAGACGGTCGAATGGATCTTTGGATGTGGGAGCCGACGTCGCAAGAGTTGGTTGAGATGATACACGCTATGATGAAGGATGACGGGTTGACGACGGCGTGTTGCGAAACGCTCGTCGCGACATTTCCGAATCAGCCTTTAGATTTCTTCGGCGCGTTACGCGCGCGTGTGTATGATGACGCCGTCAGTGATTTCGTGTTCAACGTCGGCTTAGATGGTTTAAATGACTCGCTCGTCGGTTTAGATGAACGTCGGAGGTTGAAATTAGGCGACGTGACGATCACGCTGGAGCGGCTGTTGGCGTGCGGACGCAACGTCGTTGGCGAGCAAGAAAACGTGAATAATATTCAGCTCGCTCGAGAGTACATGCGTTGGCAAGAGCCCGAAGAGCTCGTCGCCGCTCGACGCGCGGCTACGAGGAAAGCCGCGCGCGATGAAGCACGTGATAAATTGTTGAAAGAGCCCGACGCCGAGGCGGTAAAGATGCGAGAGGACGCGAAGGCAAAGTTGCGAATCGCGGTGCAGGAACACGCCAAAAACGCCGAACCTGTCATGATCGTAGAAGAGGAAGATGAAGAGCCCCTGCCATGGCGCGTCGAAAATATTGGCGAGGCGCAGCGCTTGATCGAAGGCGGCGCCGTTGTCTTTGACATTCGTCCCGTCAAAGACTTCAATCGAGAGACGCTCAAGGGAGCAACGTCCATGCCCGCGGCGATTCGCACGGGTGGCTTATCAGACGCCGTGGACAACCCAGCCGTGGACGTGATGATAGACAACATCAACGCTGATGGCAAATACGCCGACAAATCGTCCCCAGTCGTCGTCTTTCATGCCGCCGAAGCCTCCGAGGCGTATCATTTGGACGCCTTGCGCGCGCTCGCCGAAGTCTTCGACGACGTCGTCGAAGTCGAGGGCGGGCTTCCATTTTATCTCAAGCACTTCACTCCCGCGGGTAAACGTCGACCTCGTTACGTCGGTTACGGCGCCGAAAACGAGGAAACGTTCTGGACCGCGTCGAATTGACACCTCGTTATTTGTAGTTTCTAGTTTCTAGCGTAGCCCGCCGAAGTTCCGCACACATCCGCGCGTCCTCGACCGCGCTCCCGATGCGCGCGATGCCACACGCGCACGCTCAAATCGTGCTGTCGAGCTCTCGCGTCGCGACGCCGCCATCGACGTCGTGCGCGCGACCGCGCGCTGTCCCCGTCCGCCGCCGCCGCCACCGCGTGTCGATTCCGTTCCCGCGCCGCGCGCTCGCGACGCGCGCCAAGGGACAGTACGACAGCGCGGCCGACGCGGAGGAAGATTTATTGTTTTGGAACGAGGAAGACTTGGAGGACGACGACCCGATCGCGATCGAAGACGATGAAGACTGGGACGACGAGGACGACGACGAGGACGACGACTGGTTCTTCGTCCCGGAGGGCGCCAACGTGCGCGTGGCGAATGAAGATTTGTTCAACATCGACGACGAAGACAGTGGCAATGGATATGTCATGGACTTTGTGCGCGTGCCGACGAAGAACGATCGCGCGAGTGGGAGTTCGGAGGCGGTGAACACGTCGTTAAAGTCGCCGAAGAAGAACCCGCGCGGCGTCGCGGCGGCGGATGCGAAGCCGAAGCGCGTGGTGGGCGAAAGTAGTGAGATAAACGCAAAGAGGGATGATAAAGGGATGAAAAAGGAGGACATCGAGCGCATGGTGCGCATGGGGGTACCGAGGGATCTGTTATTTGCAATCGAGGAGGAAAAACAAGAGGTGGCGACGTTTAACAAGAAGAAGGAATACGAGGCGACGAGAAAAACGCACAAGCGCATGACCATCGTGGCTGGAAAGTATGCACGAAGAAAGCTTTTGTCGCCGAGCGGTTTAGACACGCGACCGATGATGTCCATGGTGCGTGGGGCGACGTTTGATATGATGTTAAACTTTCTCGGTTCGCGAAGCAACGTGCAGTTTCCGCCAGACTCGAGATGGTTGGACATGTTCTGCGGCACTGGCGCGATCGGCATCGAGTCGATATCGCGCGGTGTCGTCGAGGCACATTTCGTCGAAATGGACCCCTGGGTGGTGAACAACGTCACGAACAAGAATCTGAATTCGCTCGGTCTCACCAAGCAAACGACGACACACACCGCAAGCGTGCAAGCCTTCATGAACCAGCACCACAAAAACGCTCGAGGCGTCGGCGGCGCGTTCGATTTCATATCGTTCTGCCCTCCGTACGAAAAAGTATCGTATCCCGAGCTCCTCCTCCAGCTCGATGAGTCGGCGCTGGTCAAAGACTCGACCATTTTACTCGTCGAGTACGCCAAAGGCCAAGCGCGTGACATCCTCCCGAGCATCGGCAAGCGTCTCCGCCGCGTCCGCGACCGGCGCTACGGTCGCACTTTCGTCGCTTTATACGTCTGCGACGGCAGGGACATCGACGGCGAGGACGACGACGAAGGTCCCGAAGTCGCGACCAAGTTCGCCAAGCCCGTTCGCCGCGGCCGCCGGCGCGACGACGACGACGACGCGTGATCGTGCCATTCGTCCCGCGCGCGCTAATAAAACATCAGGACACGAGCAAGTCACTCCATCAGCAGCGTCGTCGCGCGTCCACACTTGCGCACGCGCGCGAGAACGTCCTCCGCGTCCAACGCGTCCCCGCGCACCACGCACCGCTTCGCCTCGACGTCGATCTCGACCTCGCGCACGCCCTCGATGCGCTCAGCGATCCTGCGCACAGACGCCGCGCACCCTTCGCACGCGAAGTCGACCGCGAGCGTGACCTCCGTGCGCGTCATGCGCGCGATCGGTCGCGAGCGACGCGTCGCGATGTGCGGTGCGATTCGAGCGCGCATCGACCCGCGGCACCACACGCGCGCGCGCGCGCGAACGCCGTCGCGAGGCGTCGATCGGTCGCGCGCGAAGGCTCGCGGCGCGCGCGCGAGCTCGCGCGCGCGGGCGAGGCGCAGAATTTAAACGCGCGACGCGAACGCGACGCACCTGTCACTCGGCACCTCGGATTTCGTCGGCGCGGCGACGGCGGGGACGCGCGCGCGCGAGAGCGAGCGAGGATGCGGAAAATATGCGAGTACTTCATATCACGCGCGATCGCGCGGTTGGTGCGCGACGGCGGCGGTGAGGGCGAACGCGGGCGAGCGAGAGTGGACGCGAGCGCGGGCGAGGCGAGACTCGAGGACGTCGAGCTCGACGCGAACGTCGTCACGGCGTGGACGGGCGACTTTGAGGCGCGAACGGGTATGGAGTTGGTGGCGGTGCGCGTGGGGGCGGTCACGGGGCGGATTCCGTGGGAGGCGATCGGGAGGGAGTCGTGCTCGTTGGAGCTCGAGGACGTGACGGTGACGACGCGACCGAGCGCGGGGAGCGGCGAAGCGGAGGTGTTTGACGCGCTCGAGAGAGAGGATGGCGCGCGCGCGCAAGGGTCGGCGATCATGCGGCAAGCGTTGAATGCGCTCTGTCGTGGGCTCAAGGCGCGATTGAGAGGGGTAAACGTAGTGGTGCAAGACGCAGCGGGCGCGGGCAAGTTTCTCGTGCGACTCGAATCGGCAGAGTATACGCACGGGCAAGGGGTGAGTTTCTCGGGGATGTCTGTGCGACGAATCGCAACTGGCGTTGAATGTTCGGTGTCCGAGGTCGTGGTGCGCGACGTTTCCGGGCACGCAGAGATACCAAGTGATTTCAGTCGCGTCGACGTCGAGTTGGAGACCATCGAAACGACGGCTACAGTGCACGCGGTGAAGAATTTCGTCGATCTCGTGAACGCATTTGGTTCCAATGCATCTTCTGCTCGCCTAAAACGGCCATCGACGTCGAGACCGCGACGTTCATTCATCGACGATGTGCTATCGAGTGGGTCGGCCGCCATGTACGCAAGCGCGTATGAGGAAGCGAACGACGCCATGGGCGAGAGCATGGGTGACAGCGTTTACGAAGACTCAAACGAGGAGCTGAACGAAGAGTTCTTCGACGACGCAGAGGTAGCAATACGGGAGTTGTCGGAATCATTGGGTATCGATTCTTCCGCGGAGCCTTCGAGTGCAACGACGGTCTTCACCGTTCAATGTCCACAGTTTTCTATGGATGCGCCGTTCGACGACGTGGTGTGCAAACTGACGATGACGGCGATTAGAATTGAATTGTCGGATCGATTAGATGTGAGCTGGAGTGACGCGCGATGTATTTACGGGTTCGACGACGACCATGAGTTGGTTTTGCATCTTTCTTCGGTTGGCGCCGATGACAGGTGCGGTGTAGTCTTGCGTGACGACTGCGTGTCGATGCAAATGGGTCACGCCAAACTTGCATTGAATGGTGTCGAGTGCGTGACAGCGGCGTCCTTAAGTGAAAATATCACGGCGACAGTGTACTGGCTCGAAGATCCAGCGTATCGTCTAGACGGTTCGCTTCCCGAACGTTGTTTGGCCAAGGTGAAGAACAGGCGTGAAGCGAATGAGACAGATACATGTCTTCGGGAGCAACTTGCGAACGACGCGTCACTGTTCGTTAAATTGAATGTGCCAATTATCGAAACTAGGTTGAGCATCGATGTGGTGGAATCGGTTTCCACTATCATTCAGTCAATGTACGAGCTTCCAGACAATCACCCTATGGCGCTGCGAGTCGCGACGCCCGACTCCGTCATGACCCCCTTGGCGTTTGGAATCGATGTCGGCGCGCTTCGCATGCAGCTTGATGCCCCACTGACAGATGGAACGTGTTCGACTTCCACCGACGATGACTCTGTACTTGTCGAGTGCGAATTGAGGCGTGCGCGTGTTTTTGCGGCGACAAACATCGCTGGCGTTCTCGGTTCAGATTTCGTATGGACGCAGTTTGATTCGGCTCGGGTTACTACTGATAACGTCGAAACAGTCTTTGTCGAGTGTCGTAGTTCAGATCAAGGCGCTTCGAAATCATCGCTCGCGTTTGCTCGCATGGAGGGCGAGCCAGCATGCGCAGACGTAAACGTCGTCGGAATGTCGGCCTCGTTAACGCAGTGCGAGCCGCTTATACGGCGCCTGAATACTTTTGCTCCCGCAAGAGACGTCGATGCCGATACAAATGTGTGCGATTCTTCCACACTGTGTTTCTCTTTGAGTTTATTCGAGTTGGTGCTCATATACAAGTCGAATGACTCGTTCGCGCTCATTCAGAATGATTTTTTGCGCATTTCTTCCAAAGGGGTAGAATGTTCGCATGATGCGGGGGTTTCGACCAGCTTTGGCGTCGAAATGTACTGCAACGAGATCAGTGCGTTTATGGTGCCTCCCGAAATCAAGGCAACTGACGGCATTCGCACGTTACCGGCGTTTCCATTCACGAATTCTACTATTTGCGCCGCGCGGTTTGCGCCGGTGATGAATGCAAAGGCGATTTCGTTGATTACGTCCTCTTCAAGCTCGAAGACTGCGATCGCCACCGTCAGCACTCGATCTTGCGTCGTGTCGCTTCAGAGAGACATTTTGCGCGCGTTAAAGCGGCTATTCATGTCGGAAGTTGAAGGCGCTGATCGTCCAGCGAGTCCGGCGAGCGGCGACGAGAACGAGTACGTCTTCGTGAGTCCTGTGAAGAAGGCCAGAGATATCTCGCACGCACGATACTCGTCGAGCGTAACTGAGCATGAAATAGCCGCCGCGACTCGCGATCACGACGAGATGTTTCCTAGGCGACTCGAAGGCCAGAAGCGCGGAAGTACGGAAACTAGTGAGGCTCATCACAGAAGTCTGTTAGTGCGACGTGACACGAACGCCCGAGTTGGACCGAACATAATCGAGAACTTCTTCTATCGCAGCAATCGACGAGTCCGTCGGAAGCGTAAAACGGTGTTGTTAGCGGCAGGGAGTGTCACGGCGGTGAGAAAGCATAGTTCAAGTCGAGCGCGCGCCGGCGGCGTGAACGCCTCCATTATGAGTCGTAGTCGATTTGCGGGTGAATTCGTCGAAGCACGTCTACCGGCGATGCCGCCGTCTTTACCGCGTGTCGGCGACCATGCGCACACTCGATACCTTCCGCTTCCAAAGGATGTCGTCGTGCCGCAAAGCACGGTTCATGTGAATGGCGAAACGTTCGATGTACACATCTTGCCGGGGCTATTCTGGTCCGAATCGCCGACAAGTTTGCCGAGGCACGCGGATTCTGTGGAGGTCGATCCGCTCGGTGTATCTGCAGGAATCAAACTTTCACTGAAAACGAACACCGTGCGCGTTGACTCGTTCCCACAGCGCGAAGGCGAAACCGCGCATCGCATCGCGTGCGCGGTGCGCGACGCTGTTTGTACAGACGTCACCGCGGGCGCAACGTGGCCAAACGTATTGAAATACGACGTTCTCTCGGGCGAACGAGGCGATCGAAGCGATATGTGTTCGTTGGACATAATGGCTGTTCGTCCGGATGCGAAAACACCTTCCGAAGTTGAGTATCTGTTCAAGGCCTCGTCGATACCGATTCACGTCAAGCTCGATCAACGCGTCTTGAAGCTCGCGCTCGATGTCTTTGCCGACGACTCTGATGACTCTTCTCATGTCGCATCACCGCCACGTGAAGAGTCGATATACTTTCAAAAGATTGAGATCGATCGGCTTTCGCTTCGTTTGGACTATTGCGGTCGTCAAGTTGACATTGACTCGCTGCGGTCTGGAAACTTGCTCGAGGCGCTGAATCTCGTGCCTTGGGACGGGGTCCTTCTCGACATCCAGCCGCTTCGGCTTACCGGAATCGCTGGTGTAGTCCCGGTTGTGCAAACTGCCGTAAATGCATGGCTTGATGACATTACGCGCACACAAGCACACAAGTTTGTGCAAAGTGTGAAGCCAATCAAATCGGCGACCAACATCGGCCGTCGAGCCGCCGGTCTGGTGTCCAAACCTCTGGAGTTTCATCGAAACAACAGACGCGGCGGTGTTGTCGCTGGGTTCGCTCTCGGCGTCGCTTCTTTCGTTAAAGAGGTGTCACTATCATCGATCGAACTCGGCGCTTTCGCCGCGGGTCAATCCGCTGCCCTTCTCGCCGCCGCCGAAGGAATGATAGTGGACGCCGAACGCGAAATCGAAGATGTCTCTTCGCCGACGAACGTCTTTCACGGGCTCTCCCTCGCCAGTAAAACCGCGTGGCGCGGCGCACGTCGCGCCACCGACGCACTCGTCGTCGAGCCCATCCGAGATTACGCCACCGGCGATGTCACGTCGTCTGCCGCGCTCCTCGGCGCCGTTCGCAAGGTTCCCTACGCCGCCGTCACCGGCGCCAAAGGTTTCACCAAAGCCGTCGATCACGCCCTCTCCGGCGCGGTCGCCTCGTTCCGTCCACCTTCGCGCGACGCCGACGCATCGTGCGACGCCGATGATTTCCCTTAGCCCTCTCCGTCAGTCGCCACTCCCGCTCGTGTGATTGCACGCATTCATTCCTTCGTTCTCGCGCCTCGCGCGCGCGCTCGAATCTGCACAGGTTATCCCTCGCGCGCGCGCCCGCGCGGGTCGCCACTCCACGCCTCGCGCGCCGCCGCTCGACGACGGCGCATCGAACGACGACGACGACGATGCTCGCGCGCGCACCCCTCGCGCTCGCCCCGCGCGCGCCCGCGGTCGACGCGCGACGCGCGACCGCGACGTCGTCCCGCGCGGCGACCGCGCACGCGCGACCGCGATGCGGCGCTGCGACGCTGTCGAAACCGCGCGACGCCGCGCGCGACGTGCGACAGCGCGCGTACGCGAAACAACCGCCGGCGAGCGGGACGTTCGACCCGCTGGGGCTGCTGGACGTCGAGCGAGGCGACGACGGGGTCTTCGCGCCGGCGTTCGGCTGGACCAAGCCGAGCGCGACGCGCGCGATGTCGAGCGGACGAAGCGGAGGACCGAGCGGCGACGCGAAGATGGGAGATTTTTTTGGTGGGAAGTTGCCGGGGAAGATTGCGACGATTTTCGCGCTGTTGGTGCTGTCGCGAGTGGGGACGTACATTCCGATCAGCGGCGTCGATAGGGCGGCGTTCGCGGAGTCGCTCGCGGGAGGAGGGGGGATGATGGCGTACGCCGATACGCTCACGGGAGGGAGCATCTCTAAGCTTGGGATTTTTTCGCTCGGGATCGTGCCGTACATTAACTCGAGCATCATCTTTCAGTTGCTGGGGAGCGTGTTTCCAGAGTTGAAAAAGTTGCAAAAGGAAGAGGGCGAGGCGGGACGGCGCAAATTTCAACAGTATCAAAGGTGCGTCGAGTAGTTGTCGGTCGAGTAAATGCGATGCGATGCGCGTAAGCGGTGATGTGACCTTTTAGGTCTCGTTCGATTGAGCTTCGGCGCGTTACGACGCGTCGATGGCCTGAAAAGAATAACGGAAACTGAGCTACGCGACACGAGCACGCGTTTTTTATTCGACCATGAATGGAGACTGACAGAGACTGTGTTTCTTATTTTGTAGGTACGGCGCGCTTGGATTTGCCATCGTCCAAGCCGTGGGTCAGTGCTTGTACGTGCGCCCCTTCGTCGAGGATTTCACGCCGATTTGGTTGTTTGAACAAAGCTGCGCGCTGACCGCCGGCGCCATGATTCTCATGTACATCGGCGAGCTTTTGAACGAAATCAAACTCGGTAACGGGACGTCTTTATTGATTTTTGCCAACATCGTCAGTGCTTTGCCGTCTTCCGTGGGTCAAACGGTGTCAATGGCTCAAGAAAAAGGTGACTCGTCTGTGCTCGCGGTGTTTTTCGGCGCTTTCGCGCTCACGACGTTGGGAATCGTGTACGTTCAAGAGGCTGAACGTAAGATTCCGATGAACTATAGCACGCGATTCAACGCTGGTGGTTTGGCTAAGTCATCATACCTGCCGTTCAAAGTGAACAGCGCCGGGGTGATGCCGATTATTTTTGCTTCTTCTTTGCTCGCGTTGCCCGCGACGCTCACGCGCTTCACGGACAACGGCGCCGTGCTCGGCGTGGCGCGGTTCCTTAGCCCTGGTGGTGGTGCCGGCTACGTCCCGGTGAACGTCGCTATGATTTGCTTCTTCAATTACTTTTACACCTTCCTCCAACTCGAGCCGAAGGATGTCGCAGATCAGCTCAAGCGCCAGGGCGCCTCCATCCCGGGCGTTCGTCCCGGCGCCGCGACACGCGATTACATCACTCGGGTCTTGGAGCGTTTGTCGGTTTTAGGAAGCGTATTCTTGGGAGCGCTCGCCTTGACTCCGGGTGCGGTAGAGCAAATTACCGGCTTGCAAACTTTCCGCGGTTTTGCGGGCACTTCCTTGTTGATTCTCGTAGGCGTCGCCACGGATTCCGCTCGCAAGGTACGATCCGAGCTCGTCATGGAATCGTACGATACGAAGCTGGATGAGTTCTACTCGTCCAAGCCGAAGAAGTAGAATAAGTGTGATATTAACGAATGGATTACAACACGTCTAACACGTCTAATAGCGTCCTCGACCTCTTCCGCCGCCTCTACCGCCGAAACGACCTCCCGGCGACCCTCGTCCTCGCCCGCCAAACCTTCCTCCTCCCGGAGAGCGACCGCCGCCGCCATAGTTGCCGCCACGTCCACCAAAACGACCGCCGCCACCGCCACCGCCGCCACGTCCACCGCCGCCATAGCCTCCGCCACCACCGCCGGATTGCGGCCGCTGACTCAGCTCTGGTAATTCTTCACACGCGGTGATGGACACGGCAGACTTGCCGCTCGATGCGGGTTCGGACAAGGCGCAAAACTTATCGGCGAGCTCAGAGGGCACGTCGAAGACCGCAGCCATATTGTCCACGCTCAATGTTAAGCGACGAAGCTGCAAATCGTTTTCGTCCATGCGTTGACGCAAGAAGTTCCACACGTACGTCGGCGTTCTGATTTGCGTCTCGCCCGCGGTGAACAACAGCGTCGTCTGGCCCGAGTGAGAAGTCAACAACGACCGTTGTCTCAGCTCGCCGTGGCCGGCGAGCTTGGCGATCGCCATGGCGAGCACCTCAACCGGATCGCGACCTTCCTCACTATCGCTATCTTCGCCCTCGAGTAAGTCTCGGGCGACGTCCATGAAGAGCTTTGCGGCGCCCTTGTGCACCTTGCGGATTTGCTCTCCCGCAATTTTTCCCGCCGCCTTTGCCATCTCCGCCGGTTGCGGCGGTCCGATGCGAACAAACTTGAATCCGCCTTTTCGTTCGATGTTCGGTACGGCCCATTCGGAACGCGGCGTGCACAGCGTGACACTAATGCCAGTGGCCCCAGCGCGTCCCGTGCGACCCGAGCGGTGAATGTACGTCTCGGCGTCCTTCGGCGGTTCGCACTGAATCACGAGCTCGACGCCGGTGATGTCTAAACCTCGCGCCGCCACGTCGGTGGCGACCAAGACTTGGAACTTATCTTCTCGAAAACCAGCCAAGACGACTTCGCGCTGACCTTGGCTGACGTCGCCGTGAAGCGCCTTCGCACCCTTCGGGATTTCCTTTTGCAAGTTGTCGCAGAGCTCGCCGCAGTCGCGCTTGGTATCGCAGAACACGATGACGCGTCCGCCGCCCGGGGCCTTGGAACGAATGACGTCGCAGACGAGGTCGACACGATCGCTCCATTGACAAGGTAATAGCATGTGCTGGACGGCCCCGCTCGCCTTTTGCTTTTGGTCGCCGACCAGATCAACCGTGGCGTAGTCTGGCTTCAAGAAACGTTTCGCGATGTCCTTCACCCACGGGGGCAAGGTGGCCGAGAAAAGCAGTGTCTGAACGTCTCCGGAGCTCTTCAAGATCAACTCGACGTCGTCCACGAATCCCATGTTCAACATCTCGTCGGCTTCATCGAGCACCCTGAATTTGAGCTTGTCCATCATCAACGTCTTGCGCTCCAAATGATCCTTCATGCGTCCGGGAGTACCGATGACGACGTCGCACCCGCCGCGCAAACCCATCTCTTGCTCGCGATACGGCGTCCCACCGTACACACAGACGGACTTAAACCCGAACGAGTTTCCTATCCAGTCAAAGTCGGCGAACACCTGTTTCGCGAGTTCGCGCGTCGGCGCCAGCACCACGCACATCGGCCGACGACCTTGTACGCGGCGCCCGTTCGCCGGCATGGGCGAAATCTTCGCCATCTCCTCGACGATCGGCAAAACGAACGCCAACGTCTTCCCACACCCCGTGCGCGCGCGTCCGACCACGTCCTTACCACTCAGCGCGATCTCCAGCGTCTCGGCTTGAATGGCGAAGAGCGCGTCGAATCCCTTCTTCCGCAGCGTCGCCTTCACCGGCTCGCTCAGCGCGAAATTATCCAGCGCCAACGGGTTCGGCTCTTCGGGCTCGGGCGTCCCCACCTCGATCGCATCTTCACCCTCGACGTCCTCCCTCGCCTCGCTCGTCGACTTCTTCCTCTTCTTCTTCTTCTCCGTCGTCTCCCGCGAATCCGAATCCTCCTGCGCGCGCGACCCGTCGTCGGCGTCCGTCGTCAGTCTTCCCTCCCTCTCCCGTCGCTTTCGCGCCCCCATCGACGCGATCGCGCGCGCGCGTTCGTCCGCGTTCCCTTCGTCCGCGTCTCTCGTCGTCGTCGCCTCTCGTCGCCGCTCGCACCGTCTTCCGCTTCTTCTTCGTCGTCGTCGTCGCCGCCGCCTCGAGCGCCTTCTTGTCCCGCTTCTCGCGCTTCTCGCGCTTCTTGTCCTCCTTGGCGTCCTTGGTCTTCCCCATGCCGCCGGTCGGTTGGCGTCGACGGACGACGTCGCGTCGGAGTGTGCGTCGCGTCGCGTCCGTCGTCCGTCGTCCGTCGTCCGTCGTCCGTCGTCCGTCGTCCGTCGTCCGTCGGTTCGCCGCCGTCGGCGGCGCGTTTCGCGCGCGACGCGCGGGCTGGACAAAACGCATTCGCGATTTCTGTACACATGGTTCTAAATCATGTTAAATATGTAGAAAACTCGACGAGAATGAGTGCCATGGCGCTCGCCGTGGCCTCGATGCGAGGCGACGTCGCGCCGGCGCGACGGCTCGTATCCTCCCCGGCCGCGTCGGTTGGCGCGCATGGATTGATTGATTCATTCGTCGACGCGCGTGGGATACCTACCGATGGCGAATACCGACGGCGCGGACGACGACGAAAGACGCGGCGACGCGGCGCGCGCGCGCGCGGGCGCGCACGCGCGCGCGTTCGCGTGGGATCGCGCGCGGGTGGCGCGCGCGCGCGACGTGCGACGGATGGCGATTGACCCCGCGATGCGGCCGTGCGTGGCGCCCGCGGGCGCGGCGGAGGACGGCGACGAGGACGACGAGGGCGGAGAGGGAGGGACGGAGGACGCGCGAGGGCGCGCGACGGGAGAGGACGACGCGAACGACGCGAACCGCTAGGTTTTTACTGTTTTGATGCAACGACTTCGCCGTCCTTCTCGGCGGACGTTCTGGGAACGACGTGAAACGTTGGAAACTCCAAGACGGTCTTGCCTCTCAACGCGCTCGCGATGGTATCGCGTAAATCGATCGGGATCCAAACCTTGGCGTTGGCGGGGGTGTCGAACTTCTCCATCACGACGTCGAATCGGACGTCGCCGTCGCGCTCGGCGAGCTTGAACGGCGCCATCGACGCTTTATTCTCCACCGCCAACGTCATCTCCTTGACGTGCGCCGCGTACGCGTCGCGCAGCGCGCTGCTTTCCTCTACTTTTTCATCGATGCGCACGATGCGCTCGCTATTGATGTGAAACACCCACTCTAACCTCCACGACAACTCGTCTCTCTTGCGATGATGCGTCGTCGTGTTCGACCGTCGCCGCGCCATGCCGTTCGCCATGAATCGCACCTCGACCCCGCGCTCGGCGCATTTCGCTTTCAACGCATCCATCGCTCGCTGCGCCTGACTCATCGCGCCGTTTCCCCTACCTCTCCCGCGTCCTCCGCCGCCGCGTCCGCCTTTTCGATTCGCGTCGCCGCCGACGTCCTCGTCCCCGAACGTCGGCCGCCACCGCTTCGCCCGCTCGCCCTCCGCCCCCACCTCCTCCAAGAATCGATAATCCCGCACGACGTCCGCGTCTCCGAACTCGCGAATGTCCACGAACGCCGCGCGATTCCGCTTCCCATCGCACGCGTGCGTCGTTTTGTGCCTTCGCACGCACTCCAATCCGCACGACCGTCGCGCGCATCCCGGGCACGTGTACTTGCTCGGACCCCTCCCGCACGTCGCGCACGCGTCGTCGCCGCGCGCGCCGTCGCGCCGGGACGCCATGACACGCGTCGCGGCGCGAAGTGTCGCCACTCGCGCGCGCGGCGTCGATTCGATTCGGTTCGTTCGGCGCGTTCGGCTCGCGCGACTCGCGCGCGCGCGATGAACGAGGAGGGCTCGCTCATGGCCGTCATCGGCGACGAGGACACCGTCACCGGCTTTCTGCTCGCGGGCGTGGGACACATCGACGAGAGACAGCGCGCGAATTACCTCATCGTCGGCGAGCGCACGACGGAGAGCGAGATCGCGGACGCGTTCAAGGCGTTCACGACGCAGAGGGACGACATCGCGGTGGTGCTCATCACGCAGGTCGTGGCGGATAGGATACGGTTTCTCGTCGAGGCGCACGCGAGGGCGATCCCGAGCGTGTTGGAGATTCCAGACAAGGAGAACCCGTACAGGCCCGAGGCGGATTCCGTTCTGGCGCGCGTGTCGCATCTTTTAGGAGGCGAGGGCGGGGCGTGAGGCGCGCGAGAGAGAGGTGATGTAGATTGTAGTTTCTAATAGTCGACGCGCGCGGAGACGCGATGCGCCGAAAATGATTTGATGAAGAATTCCTTCGCGTTAATATTGCAGGCTTCTTCGTCGCTCGTGCTAGAACGAGCGACGCGTCGGCGTCCTAAATCGGGAGTTGAATCTAAGCTTACTTAACGACAACCTCCTTCTCCGCGATGCGCTCGTACACTTCACGCACCTTGAGGCCAACGATGGTCTGGAAGAAACCGGTACCGTTGTTGGAGCCCGGGCCGTTTTGGTACTTGAGCATTTGTTGCGTGATCTCGCCGTAGAACTTCGTGGAGGTGTTCGACAAGTGGGATTCGACGTAGATGAGCTCTTCGAGCTTGTCGAATTGACCGTCCATTTCGAGCACGGTGACTTCCTTGCCGTAGAAGGTGTCCGGACCGTAGAAGAACTTGATGCCCGGGTAGGAGCACGTCAACTTACGGCCGCACGGGATCCAAGAGATGGTGGAACCTTCGTCGAACAAGAACGGAGCGTCGAAGTTTTCGAGGCCTTCCTTCATGATCATGCGCACGCGCAAGATCTTACCCTCGTTGTCATCCGGGATGAGCTGGGTCGGGAGCACTTGGATGATGACATCGGAGAACTCCTTTTGCGGGTCGACGAAGGCGTCGAAATCCGGCTTGCGCGCTTCGATGGACGCCTTGATGGACTCAAGGGAGTGACCACGCTCCGCCATGTCGCGTTGGATCTTCCACGCGAACTTCACTTCGTCGGAGATGTCCAAGTAGATCTTGAAGTCGAACATGTCGCGCACGCGGGTGTCCGCGAACGGGTGAAGACCTTCGAGGATGAGAACCTCCGGGGACTCGATCTTCTCCGCCGGGTCGAAGACACCGGTGACGTGGTTGTAGATCGGCTTATCCACGGACTTGCCTTCCTTGAGCGCCTTAACTTGTTCGTACATCAAGTCTGCGTCATCGCGTAAACGTTCACGCGCGTTCATCGTCAGTCATTCGTCTCGATCGCGTCCCGATCGCGTCTCGCGCGTTGTGGATAACACGCGATCGTCTCGCGTTTCGCCTCGCATCACTCCCATCGCAACGCACCAAAGTTTTGCTCCTTGAGGTTCAACGCCGTCAAACCGCTATCCTTGCGTCCTTGCCTGTCGTTCAAGTGGTAATCATCCAAGCAAAGCACCGTCGTCGTGTCCGAAATCAGCGTGTTCGAGTCCGGGTTCCCACCCTCGGGCGGCGTCGCCTTGCCGCCGAACAGCGACGTCATGCGTCGCATGAACGTCGACTTGCCGCATCCGGAGTCCGCGGCCAAACCGATGATAACCGGACCATCGCGTTTCGCCTGCGTGACGACGCGCGCGCTGCGCGCCTTCGGCGCCGTCGCGCGCTTTTGCGCGGCGACGGGGCGCGCGCGCACCGCGGTCGCGAATCCGAGCGCGGAAGCCATCGTGTTTGGAGAGGTTTTGTGCGTGCGCGACTGAGGTCGAGGACGGTTCTTCGAGAAGAACGCGTGCGAGTTTTTGTTTAGACGTTCGGCGCGTGCGTGCGTCGAAGAGTGCCGCGTGGGGAGGCGCGGACGCGCGCCGAGCGCGCGCGCGGGCGATCGGGGTGGATAGGGGCGGGCGCGCGCGCGCGAAAAGGGCAAACTCGCGCGATTCACCGTACGCAAGGGCGCGATCGCACTATGTGATTTCGCGGCGATGTCGATGCGCTAAAAACGCGGGAGGGGGTACCGGCGATTCGTGAACCGAATCTGACTTTTTTAGCCTGGTCGGTCGCCGGTTTGGGTCGTCGGTCGGTCGGTCGGTCGGTCGTCGGTCGGTCGGTCGGTCGCCTCGCGCTTCGTCGGCTCGCGTGCTACGATGGTTACAATAAATAAATAGATGCTGAGGTGGTAAATGGTGCGCGCGACGGGATCACGCGCGTAAGGTTTCGGCCCAACGCAATAACGCGGCGTTGGATTCGGTCGGGGCGTCGTCATGCGGGCAGTGACCGCCGAGGACGGGAGCGTACACGGCGTTGGGCTTGATCTCGCGAATGCGCGCTGCCTTGGTCGGGGTCATCCAAGGATCTTTCTCGCCCCAGAGGAGCATTAAGTCGCCGTCGTAATCGGCCAAGAGGTCGCCGGCTTTGACTTTGGTGCGCGAACCGGCGAGGGAGAGCTGATAAAACGTTTTGATCGCGCCCGGGTCTTGCGCCGCGAGATCGATCGAGCGGACGAGGTCGTCGTCGACGTCGAACTCGTACACTTGGTTCAAAATCTGCCTGATGCGGAATTTGGTGGAGTAGAAGATGGCCGTCGCCACGGCGCGACTGAACGTCTCGCGAAGCTTGTCCGCGAACGAATCAGCCGACTTACCGTCGATTTCTTTCGCGTCGCCCACCGCGCGTTGCGCTAACGTCTTCTTCTCCGGCCCCGGTGCGGCGTCTGGTTCAAAGTTACCCGCGGAGTTCACCAAACACAATCCCTTGCACGCCTGCGGCTGCGTGCTCGCGGCGAACAACGCCGCCAACGCTCCAATCGAGTTCCCGACAATGATCGTCTTATCCGTCTCCGATGCCCCAGCGACTTCTTTCGTGAAATCGACAACCTGTTGGCCCCAGAACTCCATGCAATACTCCTCCTCCACCTTGGGCGACCAACCGTATCCCAACATGCACAGCGCGTACACGCGATATCCCGCGCGCGCGAGCGCGGGAATCGTGTACCTCCAGTGATAGCTGTGCGCCCCGAACCCGTGCACCAATGTCACGATCGGTCCATCGTTATCCTCTCCCGCGGAGATGTAATTACACGCGTACCCTCGCCAATTCCACGTGTTCCATCCCGACTCCCGAAGCTTCACGCGTTCGACGCCTCGCGCGTCCGTCTCGAGCTCCAACGCCCCGCGCGCGGAGATCGAGTCCATCGTCGACGCGCGCGCGCGCACGCGCGATCGCATCGTCCCATCCTCGCGTCTCGTCGTCGTCGATCGCGTCGCCACGCGGCGTCCCGTCGACGCCTCGGCCGTCGTCGTCGTCATCGGCATCGTCATCTTCAACGTCGTCGCACGTCGCGCGCTCGATCGCGCGCGCGTTCGCGCGACCGCGGGCGCGCGCGTCGTCATCGTCGTCGTCGTGGCTCGCATGCCGGCCACCGTCGTCGCCGCGCGACGTCTCTTTGTGCCGACGTGGACGTGGACTCGCGCGATTATTCTCGACACTTCGCGTCGCGCTCGACGAACGACGACCGACTCGCGAACGACCCGCGAACGATGGAACGCGCGACGACGAGATGCGCGAACGCGCTCGCGATGCGCCGCACCTGCGCGTCGATGCGCGCGAGCGCGAAGAGCGCGCGACGCGCGACGACGAAACCCGCGCGGGCGGGGACGATTCGCTGCGGTGCGGTGCAAAAGATGAACGCCGAGGAGCTGGAGATCGCGATGGCGAACCGTGATCGACCGATGGTGATTGATTTCTACGCCACGTGGTGCGGGCCGTGCGTGCTGATGTCGAGCGAGCTGGAGAAGGTGCAGGAACAGCTCGGGGACAAGGTGCAGTGCGTGAAGGTGGACACGGACGAGGAGAGCGATTTGGCGACGCAGTTGCAGATTCAAGGCTTGCCCACGCTGGTGTTCGTGAGCACGGACTCGTCCAAACCCGCGCTGCGCACGGAAGGGATGCTGCCGGCGGAGACGGTGATTTCAGTCATCGAAAATGAACTTTAAGAGCGGTGGCGAGAACGCGACGACGAATCGAAACGCCGACTGCGCGACGCGCGACGCATCAATAGCTTTTTTTGGAACGCGCGAGCTGCATGCACTAGAATATCTAATCATCACACATCTAATTACAATCACCAGCCGTACTTGCGTCGATTCGTCGCGCGCGTTTGATTCGCCTTGAGACCGGCTTCGAGGATGCGCGATTCCTCAACCTTGGCCTCGTGCAGTAACGATGTGAGCTGATGCTTATGCTTCGCCGTTGCGCTGGTCTGCGTGGTATGAATGTTCGATAGCGCGCCTTCGTGCTGGATGATAGCCGCCCCCGGGCGTTGAGGCGCTTTGCGCAAGTCGTCCGCGGAGATCGTCATAATCTCAATATCGCGACCGTGTCGCTCGCGCTCCACCTTGGCCGCCGCCGCGAGCGCTTGATCGACAAAGTCTCCCGAGCTGAGATTTGCACGTGTCTGCTCCGCGTCGTCACTCACCGCGTACGCGTCTGCGGCGTATACGTGCGCGTCGCGATTGACGTATTCGCCGTCGTCGTCCACCGCGTACATCGACGCCGCGTGCGCGCTCGGACCCGCCTCCTCGTCCTCATCCTCGTCCTCGTCCTCGTCGTGCCCCCGCGCGACTGAGTCTTTGCCACCGTCACCTAAATCCAGCATCACGCCGCCGCCGCCACCGCCGAGACCGCCGCCGCCGCCCCCCAACGCGCGTTTAGGCTTGGGCAACGCCGCCGCCAGGCTCCCTATTTTCCCACCGCTCGCCTCCGCGTTCGCTCCCGCGCGTCGCGCGCGCTTCGCCGCGTGATCGTCTGAATCGCTGTCGTCGTCGTCCTCGAGCGCGCGCGCGAGCGCGGGCGCTGGAATCGTCACCACGCGTCGCGCGCCGCCGGGTTTCGGGAGATTTCCAAAGCTCGGTTTCTGCGCCGCCGCTGGGCGCGGGGCGTCGACGCGCGCCTCGCGCGCGCGCGGCGCCGGCGAGGGTTCTCGTTCCTGCGCATCGTCGTCGCTGGACGACCCGTACGCGTCGAGTCCGAGCATGGCTGACGCGTCGAGGTGTGCGTCTCGGTCGTCTACGCTGGCTAGCACGTCGTTACAAATGAAGTGAACTACTCGCACACGATGTTCGAGCCGAACGAACCCAAGCCGCCCGCGCGAGAGCACGACTTGACGTCCAAGAGTTCGATGTCGAAGACCTCCCACTGCTTGGCCGAGAAAAACGTGGCGGGACCGGTGGGCGGGCCGAGCTCGGGCGGGACGATGATTCTGCGCTTGCCTCCCGGTCGCATATCCTTGATCCCGAGTTCGAAACCAGGAATCATGCCGTTGATCCCCAAACGCGTGCTCGCGGGCGCGCCGCGACGGTACGTACTGTCGATCGTCCCGCCGTTCTCGTTGTACGCGACGTAATTGAAAGTACACTCTTGATTATCCTTCGGCGACTCGCCCTCGCCTATCAAGTAATCCTTCACGATGAGCCCGTCTTCGCGAACGGTGTAATCATTCCCATGAATCACTTTAACGTCGTAACCTTCGCGCAAGAACGCCGGAAAATCAACCGGGGCGTTGTTGTACGTCTTGATGCGCGTGTTATTGAGCAAAGCCTTCGTGTCCACCTTGGTCGAGCTCTCCGTGACGCGAGGCGGCGCCGGTTTCGGCGCCGCCGGTTTCGACACCGCTTCCGGCCCCGGCGCCGCCTCCGGCGCCGCCGCCGCGCCTCTCACCGCTTCATCTCTCACCGTTTCGTCCTTCGCCGCCTCCGTCTCCGTCGACACGCCGGGTTTCGCGCGCCCCTCATCCGTCGTCGTCGCCGCCGTCCCGCTCGTCTTGACTCTATCCAAAACTCTCGCCCCGTCGTTCCGCGCGAACGGATCGTCGTCGAACGTCGACGACGCCGCGCGCGCGCTCGGCGCGCGCACCGCACCGAGGTCGATCGTCACCGCGCGCGCGAGCGCGAGCGACGCCGCGAGCGCGCGTCGGCGCGTCGTCGTCGTCGGTCGATCGCCGCTGCCGCTGCCGTCGACGTCTTCGCTCGACGCCGCGCGTCGCGTCGGCGCGCGCGCGGCGCCGCGCGCGCGCGAGGACGCGTCGGCGCGCGCTCGCGCGCGCTCGCGCGGCGCGACGCCGCGCGCGACGCAGCGCGTCGTCGCCATGCGTCGAGTCGCGCAATGCGGAACGTCAGTCGACGACGCGCGCGCGCGCGAACGCCGTCGCCGCCGCGCGCGACATGCCGCCGCGCGACGACGGCGGGGACGCCGACGACGCGACGGACGTCGAACGCGCGCTCATCGCGCGCCTGCCGCCGTTCCTGAGGCGCGCGCGCGCCGAGGACGTCGCGCGCGTGGCGACCGAGGTGTTCGGCATCGGCGCGAAAGTCGCGCCGCTGACGTCGATCGAGGACGTCGTGCGGCTGCTGGTGCGGTGCGAAACGTGCGGGAGGGTGGTGCTCGAGGACGGGCTCGTGACGCACGCGCTGAGGAGATGCGATGGGGGGGCGGCGGCGCGCGACGCGAACGCGAACGCGAGCGCGAGCGCGAAGAACAAGGCGAACGCGACGAGCGAACGCGGCGGAGGCGCGACGGGCGAGAGGAAAGCGGTTGGAAGGGCTGATAGGGGAATGGGAAGAACGGGTGCGGGCGGCGTTGGACGCGGGGCGAAGCTTGGAGGACGAGAGTCGAGAACGCGCGAGCCGAACTACGGGAAACCAAAACCGCTCGCGACGAGAGTAGACGTGCGGGCAATGCGTCGCGTGCGCGACGCCACCGTGTTCGCGGCGATGTACCACGCAGACTTGCAAACCGCCGCCGACGACGGGCAGCTTCCTGGGAAAAGAGTCAAGTTGCCGTCGACGACGCCTCGCGAGCCTTAGAGCGGTAGTATTCGGCGTCTATATGTATTAATGTATTCATAGCGTTTGGTAGAGTTTACATCGTCGTTGGCTACAGCGGTCGGAGCGTCAATAATCTATACGGGTCGTCTAACAGGGCGTGCGGCGTCTCCTTGGCTCGCAAAAAAACATTCGCATTAGGAAGCGACGCGGATACAATGTCCACGACAAAGTATCTGCGCGCTGCGAGAACGAATCGTGCGAAGACTTCGGCGTTATTCGTGCGCAACGTTTGAACGATGTAACACACTCTTCCTGGCTTTAGACGCAAACGAAGTGCCGCGAGCAAGCTCTCTTCCTGGCTTGAAAAGTACAACAAGTCGGAGCCGATGACGATGTCGAAGACATCCGTTGGCGCCATTGGCGCCGCGAAGCCAGCGCCCTCGTTCTCAAAAACTCCCACGTTCGACCAATGTCTGACGCGCCCAGGAATCTCTCCGAGTCGTCGAGCCTCAAGGATTTCAAAATCCTCCTCCCACAAGTGACGCCGAATTTTGACGTTTCCCGCAAACGATCCACCACCTGGTCGCTTCGCGACTAAATTCTCGTAACACGCGAGCGTCTTTTCTAAGTTAAGCATTGTTTGCGGACCGCAGTCGGCGATGATGCAATCCGCGCCGCACGCCGCGGCGTAAAACCCACACGCTCCGCAACCCGCGCCGACTTCCAAAATAGTGCGGCCTCGCAGCGTCCCCGCGTTCGCTCTCAACCAGTCGCACAGAATCAGCGCCGCGTTCCAAACCACCGTTCCGAGCTCGCACTTGTGAATTTGCGCTACCGTCAACACACCGAGCTCATTCGGCAGCGTCAACGCGTATTTCGACGCGTTGACGTCTCCGCGCGGCGCCGTCGTGGTCGCCGGTGCCGCGTCGATATCCACGTTCACCGCGTCAAGTTCGGCTCGAGCGAATTTTGCCGCGCTCGTGGACGGTTTCGCGCGCACCTCGCCTTCGCTGTCCGACGTCCACGCATCGTTCAAGTTCAATCGCCACGTGTCGTCGTCGGAGTCGACCTCCATCTCGCGCCGAGTCCGGTTCTCTCGACTCGGGGCTCGATGCGTCGTGACTTTTCGTCTGACGATACTGAATACCCATATAGACGGCCACTCGAGGATAGGAGGTTATTTGGCGACTGGAGGCGACTGCCCCAGCTCGTCGCGCTAGAACTAATGCACTAAAGTTACATATACTCACTTGAACAGGCTGGCTATGATGCCGTTCGTAAACACGCCGTAGGGATCGAGGTACTTGCGGGCGGCGTTGAACTCCTTCACCGGGTAGTGCTCGCGGAGCTTGGTTCGCGTCTTATCGAGTCGGCGAATGTCCTCGGGAACCTCGATCTTTGCCCAGTGTGTGCGGAGTTCGTACTTGTCGCCGAGCGCGTCGAACTCTTTGTAGCCGTACTCCGTGAAAGCATTGGTGATGGCTTCGCGTTCGGCTTCAACCGTGGTGGGGAGGTACATGATTATGCCGACCCACGAGTGAAGCGAATTCGGCGACCCGGCAGAGGGCGACATCGGCGACGAGCTCCCGCTCGTCCAACGTTGCTCGATCGGCGCATGTGCAGGGATTTGATTCTCCACGATCAGTCGTCGGAGATCGCGCATGAATCGCAAGTCGGCGCGAAGCGGTGCGTCGCTCGCGGGCGGTGTCGATTCCAACTCGCCCGCCGGAAACGCGACTTCGAGCACGTGCTGCTGTCCACCGCAATCAAAACCGAGTATTTGATCGCTCCAGTCGACTCGCGTCCCCGTGCTCCGCTTCCAAAACTCTGCTTCCGCGGCGTTCACTCGCTTGACGTGCTCGAAGTCTAAAGGATTCACCTTAAGCAGTTCGTCGCGAAGTTGTCCAAAGCCCATGTTCTCCGGATTCACGTCTGGCGCGACTTCTTTGAGCAAACGCACGAGCGGTTCGACGCGCTTCTTCTCCGACATTCCCGATCTAATCCAAGGCTCTCGCTCGCCAGGTTTCAACGGATTACTGGCGACGACCACCACGGTCTCTGTGTGTGGAATCCACATGTACCGAATGTGTTGATACTCGCGCAGCCATTTTTCGTGATTCTTTTCGATCTCCCCTGGTGTTGCCGTCCACGTGTTTTCCACTAATTTATGCGCGTCTACGCACTTTATCGTAAGCTCCGTCACCGCACCGAGCGCGCCGATACCACATTTTGCTAATTTAAACAACTCTGGCTCGCTCGTCGCCGACAACGTCAGCGTTCCGCGCGCCGGCGTCACGAGTTTCATCTCCACCACCGTTTCATCCACGGGCGGAATCCTCGCCCCCGTGCCGTGCGCGCCGACTTGCGTGAACCCACCCATCTGTTGTTCTCGAATGCTCGCGTAGTTTTGCAGCGTCAACCCGTGCGGACGCAACGCCTCGACGACTTCCCGCACCCTCGCGCCCGCCTGCACGCGCAACAGTTTCTTCTCCGCGTCCACCTCCAGCACCTCGTCCAGGAGCGCCATCGACAGCATCCCGCGCTCCTCAAACGCCACCCCATTCGGGCTCAGCGCGCTTCCGCACGGGCGCAGCTTCCGATGCTTCCCGCTTCGCACCGCGCGCTCGAGCGCCTCCGCGCTCTCCGGCGTCAGCACCTTTTCGCACTCCACCCGCTTCGTCCCGCTCCAGTTCTCCACCGTCGCCCGCTCGCGCTCGACGTCGTCTTCCTCGCTCGCGCTCAGGTGCGTCCACGCGACGTACGCGGACGCCGCGACGAACAGCGCGCCGCGCGCGGGCGTCGACCAGCCGCGTCGTCCCGGCGTTTGATTCTTTCCGCCGTCTCCCCGCGACGTCGCGCGCCGCGCGACGCCGCGACCGCCGAGAACGACGTACGGTTTCGAGCTCGTGGCGTACGACGCGCGCGCGAGGCGCGAGGCGACGTCGCGCGCGCGCGACATCGAATCCCGAACGCGCGGCGAAGTGCGGCGACCGCCGACGCGACGCGGCACTTCGCGTCGCGCGCGCGCGCTCGAACCGCGCGAACGAGTCGACGCGAACGCGCGCGTCATGGGAGGCGCGCCGTCGGCGGCGAAGCGCGGCGCCGCGCGCGAGGACGGCGACGCGAGGAGCGGCGGACCTACGCCGGCGGCGAACGAGGTCGAGGACGCGCGGATCGCGCTCGAGGCCGTCGACGTGCGCGAGCGCGCGAAAGAGGTGGACGATGACGCGCGCGCGAAAGAGCGCGCGGTCGAGGACGCGGGACGAGGGGTGAAGGACCCGCGAGGGGAGCGATTTAGCGTGACGACGGCGATCAACTACGCGAACGGGGCGCCGCACATGGGACACGCGTACGAATCCATCTCCACCGACGTCCTGGCGAGATACCATCGAGCGTACGGACGGCAGGTGTTGTTTCAAACGGGCTCGGACGAACACGGGCAGAAGATAGCGGAGGCGGCGGAGGAGAAGGGGATGGCGCCGTTGGCGTTCGTGGACACGCACGTGGCCGAGTTCCAAAACTTGAACAAACGATTGGACGTGTCGAACGATGTGTACAATCGCACGACGAGCGAAGCGCACAAGAAAGCGTGTGCAGAGCTGTTCAGACGCTCGAGAGATAACGGGGACATTTATTTGGACACGTACGAGGGGTGGTACAACGTGCGCGAGGAAACCTTTGTGACGGAGAGCGAAGCGCAGGCGAGCGGGTACAAAGACCCAGTCAGTGGGAAAGACTTGAAAAAGATGAAGGAAGAAAGTTACTTTTTCAAACAAAGCCGATATCAAAAACAGCTCATCGCGCACATTGAGTCGAATCCGGAGTTTATTCAGCCCTCGTCTCGACGAAACGAGATTTTGGCGCGCTTGCAAAACGACGATCTTCGAGATTTGTCTGTATCGCGCACGACGTTCGATTGGGGTATTCCAGTGCCCGATGCCCCAAAGCACGTCATGTACGTGTGGTTCGACGCGCTTACAAACTATCTCACCGGTACGGGGTGGCCTGAGGAGACTGAAAACAAAGATTTTTGGCCCGCAAGCGTGCACATCATCGGTAAAGACATCATCTGGTTTCACTGCGTCATCTGGCCGTGCATGCTGTGGAGCGCCGGATTGCCGCTTCCGAAGACGGTTTTCGGTCACGGTTTCGTGACCGCGGATGACGGACAAAAGATGAGCAAGTCGATCGGGAACGTCGTCGATCCGAACGACGTTTTGAAGAGGTTTTCGAGTGATACGTTCCGCTACTACTTGATGCGCTGCGGCGTTTACGGCGCGGACGTGCCTTTCAGTGAACCTGCGATGATCGCGATTCACAATGCTGATTTAGCCGACGTCATCGGAAACTTAGTGCACCGAGTCACGAACCTTTGCAAGAAGAATTGCGGAGGAATCATCCCGGATTGCGCCTCGGAGAATGTGTTTAGCGTCGGCGTGTTGCGAGCGAAATCTGAAGCCGCAATGTCTAGATTCAACATTCAAGGCGCGTGTGAACTCGCCATTGAAGCCATCAAGTGTACGAACAAGTACCTCACGGACTCCGCGCCGTGGGCAGTCAAGGGCGAAGGCGCGGAAGAGCGCAAGAGCGTCATCATCAAGAGCACTCTCGAGGCAGTGTACGTGGCGATGCACTTTTTGCAGCCTTACGTTCCAAAGGCATGCGGCTTGGTGTTTGAAAAGCTCGGTGTTCCGGCCGTGAAAATTTGGGAACTCAAGCCGTTCGGTGAAAACGTTCCCATCGGGGCGACGGTCGCCATCGGTGACGTTTTGTTTGCCAAATTTGAAGCCGAAAAGATTGAGGTGAAGAAGAAGGCGGCCCCCGTGCCCAAAGCGCAGCCAGTACCCTCCGATGCCCCCGTGGACGTCTCCCGTCTCGAGCTCGTCGTCGGCACCGTAAGAAGCGTGAAGCGCCACCCCGATGCGGACTCGTTGTACGTCGAAGAGATCGATCTCGGTGGCGATGCGCCCCGTCAAGTCGTGAGCGGACTAGTCAAGCACATCTCTGAAGACGATTTCACCGGTTTGCGCGTCGTGTGTGTGGCCAACATGAAACCCTCCAAAATGCGCGGCGTGGAATCTACCGCCATGGTTCTGTGTGGTACGAACGCCGAGGGCAAGACCGAACCCGTCGCGCCTCCCGCTGGCGCCGCCAACGGCGCGCGCGTCTCTTGCGAAGGTTTCGTCGGCGACGCCGACCCGACGCTCAATCCCAGGAAGAAAATTTTTGAAACCGTCAGCATCGACTTCTCTGTCACGCCCGAGGGCATCGCCGCGTACAAGGGCGTTCCATTCGCGTGCGCAGAAGGTCCGTGCACGCTACCGACGATCCGAGAGGGCGTTATCAAGTAGAATTTTTTCAATGTCAAACGCGCCGAAAAGCCTCTATCCATCTTGCGATGTCCCGCACAGCGCCTCGCGCGACGTCGACCTCGTCGTCGATACCGCGCTCGATCATGCGTGCGGTTTCATCATCGTGCGCGTCCACGAGCGTCGATCGCGCGCCGCTCGCGCGCAGTCGCGGCGACGCGGCGCTTCAGCGGTCGCGACGTCATCGCGCGAGCGCCCGCGCAAACGTCCGCGCGGGCGCGCGCGCGGACCCGTTCGCGGACCCCGTGCCGCGGCGAACGGACGTTCCAGACGTCACGTGGCGAACGACGGTGGAGATCGGCGCCGGCAAGCGAAGCGACGCGTTCGAGGGCGACGCGCTGGAGATTCGGGCCTTTGGAGGCGAAGACGTCGGCGAGGTCGCCAAACTGTTGCTCGAGAGCGGCATGCAGGGGTTTCCCACCGAGAGACGGACGCTTGAGGTATATTTGACGAACGCCATCGGTGCGTTTCCGTACGGGACGTACTTGGTCGGGACGTTGAGGGGCGAAATCGTCGCGACGGTCGGGGTGTCGTTTACGCAGGAGACGCGTAGAAAGTTTTCGTCGCTCGCACCGCCGAGTGATGGGGGGTACTTGTCGGATTTGACCGTTGCCGTCGATAAGCGAGGAGCTGGGCTCGGCGCCGCCATGCTCAAAGGGGCGGAGAGTTTCGCGCGCGCGATGAAGAGCGAGGAGATGTGGTTGCACGTCGCGTTGAAGAAGCCGGGCGTCATCGCGTTGTATAAGGATCACGGATACACGCTCGGTGGGGTCGATCCGGGATTATTCGGCTGGCGTGGTCGGCTGTTGCTGAAGCGTAAAATGTCGATTGATTGATTATTGCGTTCAGTTTAGAAAAAATTAGCGAGCACTTGCAAATCGACTATGGCGATTGATTCACACGCTTCCATTCTTTCAGTCGTTCTTCTTCGTGCGCCAACTCGTCACGTCGAGCCATATTTTTCGCTCTCGTGACGTGTACTCCGCCTGTGAAATCATAAATTGTCATTTTCGTGCCACTCACGACGTGCTGCTCCGTTTGAAAGTTGTTCAAAGCCTTGGTGCGTTTTTCCGCAACGATTTGCTTCATGACGTCGGCATGTTCGGCCCACACTGCCGTGTAATCGCGTTTCCAACCTTTTTGCCGCTGGATCTCGGTCGGTTCAGGAAGCGAGTCGACGTCAGCATTCATGGAGAAGCGTTGTGGAGAGAGGCGGTCGAGGGTACTCGTAAAGTGCACGTCGTGGGAGATACAAACAAAAATTAACAATTTACAAATCAAGGCGTCGGCATGACGTCGCGAGCGAAAACCTCTAAGCCACGAACACCATACACACGAGCCAGAATGGCACCATCGCCTCTACTATCCGTTTTTTCGACGCGAATCCAGCCCCCTAGACCAGACACCGAAAGATCGACCAAAGGGCCGACTACGTTCGTCGGCGGTACAAAGTCGATCTCATTCACCACGCGCAATGCCGCTTCTTCTTGTCCAGGCGTCGTCGGTGGAACGTCCGAGGTCTTGATGATATCCACACGCTGCGATTTGGGTCCGTAGAACGAAAAAGCTACGTTCGGTGGACACCGCACGACGTCCACGCGCACGAACGAACCCCAACACAACGAGTACCCTTGAAAAGAATCAAACCCAGGCGGCTCGGCGCATTCAGGCGTCTTTGGCACGAACTTTTTCAATGACGCGCCGAGTTTCATCGTCGAAAGATCATCAGGCCCGAGCAAAGAGTTCAGTCTGTGATGTAAGAACAAACCAGGTGTGTCGAACAATATGCCTTTACCCTCAAACGCCTTCAACGGTATCACTCCGAGCGTCGTTCCTGGCATCGCACTCGCCACGGGAAGTCGCTTAGAAGGTGCGAAATAATTACCAGCCGATCGCAGCTCATCCATCGCGGCCCGAATGAATGAGCTTTTGCCAACATTCGCGGCGCCGAGGACGTAGACATCGCGACCGTTTCGCTCGCGCATCATCTGTAGTACGGCGTCGCGCATCCCAGATCCTTTCCTAGAACTCACGAGCGCGATTCCCGCCAGTGAAAGCCGTCGCGTCTCGGCTTCGCGCCCGACCCACTCCACGAGTGCATCGAGGTCCGTTTTCGAATCTAACAAATCAACCTTTGTCACTACGAGGAGAATCGGATTCCCGCCGACGACGTCTCTCACCTTTTTCAGAAAGCTCCCATGAAAATCTGTCACATCCACCACCTTCACCACCAGCGCCTTTTTCTCCCGGATCGGTTTCAGTTGATCTCTGAGCTGCTTCGGCGTGATCAATCCGGGCGCCGCTTTCAACCCGCCCTGCCCCTCGACCGCGTTTACGAATTTCCCGTTGCTCAGCGCCGCGCACCGCGCGCAGAGCATCATGTCGTAATGTCTGTGCACCGCCTTCGTCGCGTACTCCGCCGCATCGACGTACCCCGCGATCGATTCATCCTTCGTCTGCAGCGCGACGCCGCACCCGTAACAGTTCCCCTATCATCACCCGCCGCGTTCGTCGTCGTCAGTCGTCGCGCTCGCGCGTCGCCGCCGCGTTCGCGCGTCCGCGTCCAGCCCGCGCCTCGCGCCCACGCACCCGCTCCCGTCGCACGTCGACGTTACGATCGCCCTCTCGCACGTATCGCCGCTCGCTCCGCGCGTCGTCGTCGTCCATCGACGCGCGCGCGCGCCCCCATCGCGTCGCGGTCGTTGCCCGCCGCCGCCGCGTCGAAACCTTCGCCGCGTCGCGCGCGCGCGCGATCCGCGCGCGCGCGCGGCGCGCCATCACCGGCGCGCGCGTCATCGCCGACATCGTCCGCGTCGCGTCGCGTCGCGTCGCGTCGCGGTGTGTCGCGGCGTCACTCGGTCGCGCGCGATGTCGACGCCGGTGCCGATGCGAACGACGCCGACGCGCGCGTCGACGCCGCGCGCGGCGCGCGCGCCCGCGAAACCGGTCGTCGCGTTCGTCGCCGCGGTCGCGATCGCGTCGCGCGCGCCCGCGGACGCGGCGACGATGTTCGTCGGCGCGGGAGACGAGGCGTTTTTGGAGCGGCAGTACTTGGACTTGAAGTACGCCGGCGTGCGAGACGTCGCGCCGGGCGCGCTCGACGGCGCGCGAGGGGTCAGGGTGACGTACGACGAGTCGCGGATCTCGTTCGAGGAGCTGATGCGGACGTACTGGCGACGGAGCGAGCCGACGCGGTCGGATGGGCAATTTTCAGAGGTGGGCGCGCGGTTCGCGCCGGTGATTTACGTCGCGAACGCGGACGAACGGGCGATCGTGGAGCGAGCGAGGGATGATTTGGAGGCGTCGAACGTGTACGGCGCGGGGGCAAAGTTGACGGTGCGCGTTCTGGACGGTGCGCCCGAGACGTTCGAGGAGGCGCCCGAGAGGGACGCGTTGCGAGCGAACCCGAAGAAGTACGCAAAGATGCTGAAGGCGCGAGACGCGGCGTTTAATCGACTTTGGGGCTTCGTGCAATTTTGCGCGGATCGAGTTTGCGGATACGTGCGATTCGCACCGAATTGCAAGACGACGTGCTTGAAGGTGTTTCCGGAGTACGAGGCTCGGAACGCGGGCATTCCCGACATCGACGCGAAGAATATCAAAATCACGGCGCGTAATTAATTACGGCGCGTCGATGATCGGTTTGTAACGTCATATGCTGCTATTTGATTAAACACGTCTAGATTTCGATCGATTGCTTCAGCGTGATCTTATCGCCGAGCGAAAGCGCGATGCCTTGCGTCTTCGAGCGGATTCGGATGAAGCCACTGATCTCACCGTCGTTGCTCTCGATCGAAACGTTTACCAGCGCGTCTTCGCCGAACACGGACTTGGCGTACAAGTTGGCGGCCAGAAACCCGCATTCGCCATCGAGCGCGCTCGGCGGAGTGAGGCACTTCATATTCGTGCTAGTCACGATATGATCCAAATACTTGCGAACGTCGGTGATGTTTGTGCTCACGGCAACCTTGTTCTCCCACTCGAATTCAGCCCACATGCTTCTAAACACCGTGTCGCTGCACGTCGCGGGGATGATGTAATCCATGATATCAATGTGCACGTCGTTCAACACGATGACATTACGATCGGAGCGAGCGGTCTCGTACACGATGTTGCCGAAGATGACTCCCGTTTCGGTCGAGCTCACCTTGATGCTCGCTCTCAGGTTGTGAGAACCGAACGGTGGTAACGAAAATGGTTGAGGACGCTCAACAAGCTTCAAATCACCCATGGTGGAAAGTTCCAACATGACGTTTTGCAGCGGCTCGTCCGTTCTATTGATCATCGTCACGTCAAGCGTGATGTCGTACTGGTGCACGGTGACGTACGTCTCCGCGTAGACTGTGTCGCTCAAACCGGTGAGTTGCATCACGCGGTCGAGGCTACGTCCGTTCTTCTTGACCGAGTCCATGAAACCAGTGGCTCGGGCGAGATCGGTCGCGACGGCATCTTCAATCTCAAGTTGCGTCATACCCTTGCGCGACTTGAGATGATGGAAATCAATCAAATCGTCAGCCTGCGCGACTGGTGCGGCGTCGGAGTTCGCGCTCGCCTGAGATTCGCGTCTAAGCTTTTCTTCAATCATCAAAGCGAAAGATTCTCCGCACGATTTCAACCAGACGTCGGTATCCGCCTCTTCCGGATGACCGATGACGTGGAAGCATAACTCCAACCGAGCCTTAGAGTCTCTATCCATTTCGATCGGCACTTTGCCACTCGTTCCCAAGCGCAACATGCTCACAATGTATAACATGCACTCGGCTTGTGTCGCGTTCTTTTGCGCTTGAGGAACCGAACCAGATCCTATCACTCTGAGCGCAAGCTTGGTCAACGTGCTCGCAATCACCGCCGAAAGGAAGGAGTCACCCTTCAGCAACATTTCGCGCAAGTTCGGCACTTGAGAAATCGCCGCCGAAGTCGAGTACGCCGCTTGCGTCGCATACGTTCCATCCGCCAACACGGCCGGGCGCGTCGTCGTTTCCGTGGTGTCTTCGTCCTCTTCTTCACCGTCCGGGCCATCGACGAGCGGTGCCGGACCGAGGCTCATACGAATGACTTCGAGCGCCGCCTCTTGCTCCGCCTGCGTCGTGCTAAACTCACCGATGATCCACAGCGCTGTCGCGCACACTCGGCTGCTACGAATGGTGGAGAACAAATCTAACAGGTGCTCGATAATCCCCGGACGCAGCGACTTGTTCGTGAAGGCGATCTCACGAACAAAGTATGCGACGTCCGCCGAGCTCCCGCTGTTCGCGTCGCTCAGGAAATCCATGAGCAAGTAAATTACCGACCCCGCGACTTCGGGGAACTTCAACGCACATTTGTGAATCGCTTGGACGAGCAACTGTCGGTACTCTCCAGTCTCACTGGTGTTCTCAGATTGAGACTTGATCACCTCCGTCTTTAACATGCTCGTGACGTCGTCGATGTTGCGAGGCGTGATCAAGTCGAGCACTAAATCGAGCGTCTTGCGCTTGATGTCGATGTTCGGCGAGGAGATCGCGCGTAAGATATCCATGATCATCGCTTGCAACAATTCTTTGTTGTCCTTCTTCAAGTCAGTCAAGCGATCGAGCACGATGAGCTTGACGTTGTTGTCGCTTTGGTTCACGAGGAGTTGGCAGTAGCAGTTGGCCGCCGCCTTGATCGCGGTCGGCGCGTTCGAAAGCGCCACGAGGGTGTTCGCACACTCATACACCACCGATGCGTTGTTCGTACCGAGCAGCATCAAGATGACCTTGATGTACTTGCCCTTTTGCGTCGGATCCGAGCGGCAAACCTTGCGAATCAGGTCGAGCACGACGGTTTGCAAAATGTCCCCCCAGTTTGACACGGATTCCAGATTGTTCATCAAATAGTTCACCGCGCGCTCTTGGGCGTGCGTGTACAACATCAAGAACGCGTTCCTACGCGTCCCCAAATCGTTTTCCCCGCTCATCAAAAATGACTCGATGATTTCCGGCGCGTCGGGAATCAAGTGCTCGCCGTCGGGCAAGTCGTAAATCTTATTGATCGCCATCACCGCGTTTCTCCGCACGTACGAGTGCCTGTGCTCCAAATTTTGCACGATCGAAGGTATCAGCGGCTCCAACAGGTCCGGCTCCGTGATTCGGCACAAGAACCGCAGCGTGCACCCTCTCAAAAACTCATTCGGGTGTTGCAAATTGTTTCGCAAGTTTTGACACAACAAAATCATCTCCGGTAAAATCTTCCCATCCGCCCCGCATTTCTCAATCATCTCCATGTACAGCAACAAAAGCTTTTGCACCGTGTGATCGTCGCTCGGCAGCACGTACCGCACGATCGTGATGAACACCTGCGGTATCGCCTCCCCGCTCAGCAGCAGCGAGATCACCTTCTTCATCGCGTCCGCCTTCTCTTCCGCGTTCCCCGTCTCGAGCGCCTCCTTCAGCTCCACCGCGCTCGTCGCGCGATCGAAATGCACGAGCATCGAGCACCCGCGCTCGACGACCTGATTCACCGTCGCCATCGTCGCCGTCGTCGCGCGATTCTCGTCGTTTCCGCGCGCGCGTCGCTCGCGTCCCGTCTCGCGTCTCCGCGCGTCGCTCCCGTCTTCCGCGCGCGTCGTTCGCGCGCGTTCGCCGCGCGTTCCGATGCGCGGAAATTCGTTCGCGTCGTTCGCGGGCGCGCTCGCGCGGGCGCGCGCTCGCCGATCGTGCGCCGCGCGCGGTGTGTCGCGCGCGGATCGACCAACGGCGCGCGCGGATCGGCGCGCGCGTCCAAAACACGGATCATTCGAACGCCATCGCGATGACGGCACCCCGCGCGCGCGCGACGACGGCGCGCACACGCGCGCGCGCGCGACGATCGAGCGCTCGACGGCGGTGGGACGATCGAGGTCGACGGTTCGCGCGGTGGCGCGACGCGCGGACGCGAAGGAGACGACGCGACGACGCGACGAAACGCGAAGACGCGCGATTTGAACGGGCGAGGGATCGACGCGCGAGATGGAGACGGTGCGCGCGTACGTGGCGCGGATGAATCGGCCGCTGAACGCGACGAACGTCGGGGACGCGCTCGGCGCGAGCGGGGTGAAGAAGGGGCTGGCGCAAAAGTATTTGGACGCGCTGGTGGATAACGGGGCGATTCGAGTGAAGGATGCGGGCAAGCAAAAGGTGTACTACGCGACGCAGGACGACGAGGTCGCGGACGCGGAGGCGCTGCGAGCGATGGGCGCGGAGGCGGTGGCGGTGAGCGAGGAAAACGCGCGCGCGAGCGCGGAGGTCGGGCGGTTGCGATCGCAGTTGCGAGCGCTGCGGAACGTGCAGAGCGTGGAGGCGATGGCGGCGGCGAGACGCGACGTCGAAGACGAAAACGAGACGCTGGAGAAGAAGATCGAACCGTTGCGGCGAGCGAAGGCGAACGGAGAGGTGATCACGGAGAGTGAGCGCGTGAAGATTGAGGACGCGTTTTTGAAAGGGATGGAGGCTTGGCTCGATCGTCGACGAAAATTCAACAACTTGTTTGAGACGGTTCTCGAAGGCACGGGGGAAAAGAAACAAAAGCTGTGGGGGGATATCGGCGCCGAGACTGAGAAAGACGTCGGGATCGATTACGACAAGTATAGAAACATTTACGATGATCTCAAGAAGCAACGCCTCGCCGATTCGCGAGCAAAGCGCATGAAGCGATGATTTGAATTGAACGACGCATAGACGCGACGCCGAATAGCTGTAATTTTTCAACCGAAACGAAGTCGATACGAGCGCAACAACTTTGTAGTTCACGTTACATCACACTCGACACTCGATTATTAAAGGCTATTTCACTCGAGACTACGGACACTTGCGCTGAACCAAGTTCGCGCCATGCTCCTCGTACTCTTGCTTACTCATCCAGAGCTGCTGGAACGAGCCTAAAGAAGCGAGAATAGAACCCCCGATCCACGTCGCGAAGCGACGCTCGACGCTGTTCATGCTCGCTACGACCTTAGTCTTTACGTTTTGCGGCGCGTGATCGAACAATGCCGCTTCCAATCGCTCACGCATGTTAGCGAACATACTACTACCGCCACACAAAACCAAGCTGCCCCACAAGTCTTTTCGCACGTCGACGTCCGCGTTGTTGATGCACTCCAAAACCAGTTCTTGGATGCTCTTCAAAGACTTGAGCTCACCGAGTTCGGGGACGTCCACATTGAGTTCCCGCAATATCTCGGGCTGGAAGAACAACTCCGGGATCTGGAATCGTTCGACGCCGACCTCGATGGTGTTCCCATCCGGCAACTCGTACGTCACGCCCGCCACATTCTTGTGCTCGTCCGAGTTAAACGTGTGATCGTCCAGCGTGCAAACGGTCGCTTTAAGATCTTCTATGATCTCACGACGTTTGAACAGCGCATACGATGCCGTCGTCTTGGGATGATTCACCGCCTTGACGTCGAAATCGCCGTCGCCCTTCTGCTTCTTCGTAAACGCGTACCGCGGGCGAACGTCAACCTTTTTCTTCTCTAAATACTTCAAAACCACATCCGTCAGAGCTTCGCCACCGAGAGGTGAGCGCACGACGGACTTTTGAAGCGCAAAGCCGTCGTGAATGGCCGAGACCGTCGTGTGCTTACCGCCCATGTCGATCACCAAGCTCGACGCTTTCCCGACGGCGAACGAGCTCAACACAGGACTCTTCGCCAAAAACAGCGCCGGCGGCGCGTGCTTTTCAAACATCAGCTCCACCATCTTCGCGCGTACCGCATCCGAGTTGTGCACGGGTTCGCTGAGCAGCACTGGATGCTCATCCGTTTGCAACGCCAACCGCTTCTTCAACGCGTGCTCCCAAATCGCCTCCACCGCCTCCCAATCCTCCAGCATCCCATTCTCTCCGTACGGTGACGTCACCTCCATCCCGTCTCGTCTAATTCCCATGTTATCCACCTCAAAATGTCTCGCAGACGCGTTCTCACCCTCCGCCGTCATGTCCGCGTCCCCGCCCTTCGCGCACTCGCCGACGGCGCTCGGAAACACGTGCTGCGGCGTGTCCTGTCCCGCGTACCCCGCCTTGACGCTGTGCGTCCCGAGATCGATCACCACCGCGCTCACTTCATCGCCACCGTACATCGCGCGCGATTTCGCTCGACGTCAGCGCGATTTCAGCGCCGCGCGCGCGAGAACGTCGAATGCGATTCAACGATTGACGTCTCCGCGATCGCGCGCGTCCACGAGCGGCGATCGCGCGCGGTCGTCGACCGATTCGCGACCGCGCGCGCGCGAACGTTCACGCGCGGCGTTTCGCTTCGCTCGTGGACGCGAAGACGAGGGATTCGCTCGCGCGCGCGAGTGAATTTGACGATCGCAAAGCACACACAGGGTTTGGCTCTCGGCGCCGGCGCGTCGACGCGCGTCGACGCGACGACGCGCGTCTCGGCGAGCGCGACGCGAAATGACGGACAACATGTGACTAAAAGATATTACGAGCTCGATGCGACGCGACGACCGACGCGGGACGCGCGAGAGACGCGCGCCGCGACGCGCGAGCCGCGCGAACGCGAGGTCGAACGCCTACTTGGTGCTCTCCTTCAGGTACGCGATCAAATCCGCGCGGTCTTCCGGCTTCTTCAGACCGGCGAAGACCATCTTCGTGCCCGGAATGTACTTCTTCGGGTTCAACAGGTAGTCGTACAGGGTGTTCTCGCTCCATGTGACGCCCTTGTTCTTGTTCGCCGCGCTGTACGAGAAACCCTCCGTGGTGCCGGAGACGCGGCCGAACAAGCCGCCGAGGTTAGGACCCTATCGAGCGATCGAGCGTGCGTCGCGGCGTCAGTCGATCGTCGCGATTCACGCGCGCCGCGCGTCGTCGTCGTCCCTCGCGACGCGAGCGCGCGTCGAATCGAGCGCGTCGTCGCGCTCGATTCGCCGCGCCCCTCGCGCGATCCCCGCGTCGTCGTCGTCTCGTCCGCACCTGCTTGTGTCCACCGCCCTTCTCCGCGACGTGGCACTGCGCGCACTTCGTCTTAAAAATCTTCGCTCCTGTTCTCGTCGACCGCGCGCGTCGTCGCGTCGTCAGTCGTCGTTCCGTCGCGCGCGATCGCGTCGACAACGTCACCCATCCATCTTGCGCGCGTTCGCGTCTCCCTCGCGCGCGCGCGTCGTCGTCGCGCGCGCCGCGCGTCGCCGCGCGATCGACGCACCCTTCGCGGCGTTCCCCGCCGGCGCTTCGCTGAACGTGCTCATCGCGGCGTCGCGTCGAGGCGTCGAGTTGTGCCGCGAGCGGTCGCGACGCGTCGCGGCACTTCGCGACGCGCGCGCGGCGCCGCGACGCGCGATGGCGGGCGCGGCGGGCGTCGACAACACGCAGCGTCGCAAGTGGGACCGCGACGCGTACGCCAAGCGCGCGGCGGAGCGCGAGCTCGCGGAGAAGGAATCCGAAAAGAATGGCGGCCGCCCGGCGCCGCCGGCGCGCGGCGCCGCGGGCGCGATCGTCATGCGCGAGGACCTGCGCGTGGATAAGATCATACAGAGGGACTACAAGCGCGACATCGAGAGCCGCGTGGGGACGAAGTCGATCGTGAACCCGGAGACGGGCGCCGGGATGGGGTTTCAGTGCAAGGAGACGGGGGTGGTGCTGCACGACTCGGCGGCGTATTTGGATCACATCAACGGGAAGAAGCAGATGAAGGCGCGAGGGATGTCGATGCGGGTGGAGCGGTCGACGGTGGATCAGGTGCGGGCGAAGTTTGAGGCGGTGAAGAAGCGAAAGGCTGAGGAGAAGGCGAACGGGGGGAAGGCGAAGGCGTACGAGGAGAGGTTGGCCATCGCGGAGGCGGACGAGGAGACGATGCGAGCGAGAAAGAAGGCGAAGGAGCAGGCGAGGAAGGCGAAGAAGAGAGCGGAGGAAGAGGCGGCGCTGAATGAGTTGTCGGCGGGGGTCGATCCGGAGATGGCGGCGATGATGGGATTTTCGGGTTTCGGCGGCGGCAAATAGAGCGGCGAGTCGCGTGTGATAATGTACACTAATACATGACTAGCTAGAGCTGTTCCCTTCCGCAGCGCGCGCGAAAGTCGGCTATTGTTTCCTTCAGCCGCGTCGGGCGGTCGGTGAGAATGCCATCGACGCCGTAGTTGAGAAAACGACGCATCCTTTCGTCGTCGTTCACCGTCCACACGTGCACGTCTAGTTTTGCGCGCCTCGCGCGGCGCACGAGATCTCGCGTCACCATCTCAGATTGTATCGCGACCGCGTGCGCACCTCTGACGCGACCTCGGGTCAATCTATCGTACCCTTTCGCGCGCATTTCGAGAGAGAAATTCGCGACGACGTAGCCCACTCGCGGCGCGCCCAACCGCAACGCCTCTCGAATCGTCTCGTCGTCCTTCCCCCACATCAAGCACTCGTCGCACCGCATCGACCGCACCACCTCCACGGTCTCCCGCGCCAGACCTTCGCGCCCTAACGGCGCGTTTTCCTTGAAATCCACTGTGATTTGTTTGAATTTCGCGCGTCGCGCGACTTCGAGCGCCGCCGCGAAATCGAGCGCCGCCGCGTCGCCCTCGTTCCACATCTCCAACTCCGCCCGGCTCACCTCTCCCACCGCTCCGATGTCCCCTCGAGTGTACCGCTTCACATCGCGCGCGTGCAGCGCCACCAGCGCGCCATCGTTCGTGCGCTGCACGTCGATCTCCACGCACGCGTGTCCCGCTCGCGCCGCGCGCTCCAGCGCCGTCCTGGCGTTGGCCATCTCCCCCTCCAGCACCTCTCCGCCGTGCGCGCACACCATGGGATCGCGCGCGCGCGCGCAAAACGCATCGCTCGGCGCGTCGTTCGCGCGCGCGTCGTCGCGCTCGCGCGCGCGCCGCGTCAGCGCCCACGCGCACGCCGACGCCGCGACGAACGTCCACCACGCGCGCGCGCGCGCGCCGCGTCCTCGCGCGCGCCGCGATTCGCGCGCGAGGTCGCGCGCGAGGTCGCGCGCGAAGTCGCGCGACCCGACGGCGCGACGCCGGTCTCGCGCGAGCGCGCGTCGCATGCTGCGGGCGCTGCGGACGCGCGTCGCGAGAACGCGACGCATGCGACGCGCGCTCGCGCGCCTCGCGCGCGACGTCGCGTCGAGGCGGTCGAGCGATGCGCGCGCCGTCGCGCCGCGTCGCGCGACGCGCGGAAACCACGACGGAGACGCGCGCGGGTGCTGCGACGCCGCGGCGACGTCACCGCCTCGGTTCACGTCGACGCACGAAATCGTCAACTGCGCGCACGCGCACGGGGCGAGGTCGACGTACGCGGTGGGAATGAGCGCGTACGCGTTTGAATTGATCGGTGACGCGACGCGCGTGGAGCCGACGCGCGCGAGCGGGGAGACGGTGGCGAAGGGGGAGACGCTCGCGAGGGTGCACTGGAGCGGGTTCACGCGCACGGCGGGCGACGAGCTGTATCACTCGCGATGGGCGAACGCGAGCGGGACGAGAGAGATCGCGGCGCCGTTCGATGTGAAGGTGGTGCGGTACAACATGGAGGCGCTGCGGGATCCGTACATGAACGTGCGAGGACCGGAGACGTGGCTGGCGGAGGTGGAGGCGGAGAGCGGATCGACGGCGACGCTGATGGACGAGGAGGATTACGACGCGTTGGTGGAGCGAGAGGAGATGGCGGCGGCGGATAAGGCGAACGCGGCGTATCCGTGAGTGAGTTGGGGGGCGCGAGCGGTCGCGCGCGGCTTGTTGTTATTGAAATTAATTTGTATCGCGTCACCGCTTGGGCGCCTTGGCCGTCGAGGCTAGCGATTCGTCGACTCGTTTTCGCTTAGCGGTCGCGTCCGTGATTTCGACGTCGTCGTCGACGATTAATAGTTCGTCGTCGACGATGGCGTCGTCGGCGCCCGCGTCCGTGGCTTCCTCAGCCTCTCGCGCCTTGACGTCTTCGCCGCGCACGATGAAACCGTCCGGCTCCTTCTCATCGTCCCAATCTTCGCGGTGGGTCACCATGAGCTCAAACTTGAAATCTTGCGAGTAATCCTCGATGAGTAAAATAGTCCCGTTCACGACGCCACCGCCCGGGAGCTTGTCTAAGGTGCGCGGGTCGAGCGAAGCGTAGTGCTCCACCTCGTCTTCGTCTAAATCCTCGCCCGTCTCGTGAAGGAGGTTCCCACCAAACTGCACGGTGGGCTCGTTCACGCTGAACTTCCCCTTGAGCACGCGCTTCACTAGGTCGCCCTTCGTGAACTTTGTGGTGTCGCACACTAATTCCACGCGTGCGTTCCCGCAAACTGCACACTTTGGATTCGGGTCGTCTTTCGACATGGGTTGCAGCAAACGTCCGTTGCTCGCGTGCTCGAGGACGAACGTGTACCGGGTTTGGTCCATTCTTTTATGAAGAATCTTGATCGCCTCTATGACGATGAGACCGGATACGATCGCGTTGGTCGTCGCGACGGCGTGGATGATGTTTCCAGCCATACCCTTGGCGTCGAATACGCTTTGCGGAGGAATACCGTAATTCACCGAGCGCAAATTACTCACCGCCGTAACGAATTCCACGGCGTCGTCGTCGTCCTTGTCGAACTCAATCGGGCGCTCGCGCTCTACAAGTCGGGCTGTGGCGCTCACAAACACCTTCGCGCACTCGGTCGGGGACCAAACCACGTGGGGATCCATCAGACCATGCGCTCGTCGCGCACTCGACGCCGATGAATCGGTCTCCACAAACTCGCAATCTAAGCCTACGTCCGCCGATTTCAGCGGTTTCGGTCTGGATCTCGTCTTCCACATGTCATCCTTCAGCAGCAAACCCTCGATCTTTGACCCGAAAACGTACGCAAAAACGCGTTTGGCGAAATCCACGCCGGACTCTCCTTCGTTTCGGCGAAACGCCCCGGCTTCCACCGCGTCCTCCTCATCTAAATCGCTCTGCACGCTCGCATCGCCGAACAGTTTGCTGAATAAAAGCTCTTTTGCGTACACGATGCAATGAATCGGTTTGTCCGGCGTATCCCTCAGCGTACAGATCGGATAACTCTTCGGCGTCGGCTTCTCCGTGCACTCAAAGCACGCGCATTGTTTGCGCGCGTGCACGGTGACTTGCCCTTTATATCCAGTCGTCCCACTCTCCACGAGCGGCACTTCCGCCGCGAGACACAACCGATTGACGTGTCGTCGAGCCTCCAAGTTATCCAATCCATTCAACACGACGTCGAACCCCTTAAAATACTCCTTATCGAATCTCGCCTCCTTCACGTTCGCTCGCAGCGCCGAAATCTTCGCTTCTGGTCTAAACTTCAACACCGACTCCCTCGCCACCTCGCTCTTCGCCATCCCCACGTGCCGCCGCCTGAACAAAAACTGCCTGTTCAAATTCGACACGTCGATGGTGTCCAAATCGATCGCCGTGACGTCTCGAAATCCGTGCAAGACGAGCGTTTTCAAAAGTTCACACCCGATGCCCCCGGCGCCCACCATGAGCACCTTGGCGTTCTCCACGACGTCGCGATCGATGTGCATCGTCGCCCCGCGTCGAAAGTCGACTCACCGCGCGATCGCGCGCGACGCGCGTCGTCGCGGGCGCGCGCGCCGACGTCTGCGGTCGTTCGTCGGGACGCGCTCGGGACAGCACTGGCCGACGCGTCGTCACCGACGACGACGCGCGCGGGACGCGCGGCGATCGGCGATGCGACGACGGTGAAACGCGCGATGACGGGATCGAGCGGGACGTCGCCGCGGGCGCCGCCGACGACCGTCGAGCCCGCGAGCGGGTGGTTGGGGACGGTGCTCGGACAGCTGACGCCGGGAAAACTGGCGCGGATGCTGTTTTCGACGCCGTCGCCGTCGCCGCCGCCGCCGCCGCCGAAAGCGACGGCGGCGAGACGCGCGCCGCCGCCGCCGCCGCCGCCGCCGAAGAGACAACCGCCGCCGCCGCCGCCGTTCGCGGCGCGAACGAAGGGAGAGAATCAAGAGAACGGGCTCGCCGGCGCGGGCTCCCAAAAGTTGCCCGAGTTGGAAGAGGGACAGTTGGATGAATTGCCTCCGCCGAAACCGCCGCCGCCGAAACCACCGAAACCGCCGCCGCCGAAACCGCCGAAACCGCCGCCGCCCAGACCGCCGAAACCGCCCGCGGGGGCGCCGAAAAGCGCGTCGAAGAAGCGCGTTCGAGCGAGCGCGAAGGAACGAGCGATGTCGACGAAGGCAGCCGAATCGAAAGCAAAGGTGCAAAAGCCAGAGTCGTCGGACGAAGAAGAAGAGTTGGAGGATGGCGAACTTCCGAAACTCGTCAACCTGTACGATTCAAACGACGCGATGCTCGTGGACGACGAAGACGCGAAAACGCCGGAAGGGAAGCTCGAGAAGATTGAAAAGATCGCCGCGAAGAGCAGGGAGGTGTTGGGAGGAGGTGAGTTTGACACGATGGAAAACATCGCACGGCTCCGCGACGACGCGGATGAGACGCTGTTGAACAATGTGAATTCCCCGCAATACAAAAAACGAAAGCCGAAGCGGCGTCGAAAAGCGAGTACGAATGCGTCTACGGACGACGTCTCTCTCGGAAAATCAACCGGCTCGTCGATCGATAAGACGAAGAAAATGCATCCCTCGCTCGAGCGTTTGATTGCGTCGAGAAAGCTCGCGCTGGTGTTGGATTTGGATCACACGCTTTTGAACAGCGTGTTGGTACCAGATTTACGAATGGATTCGAATTGGTTACGTAACGCGATGCGTCTTCTCGATGCCGACGTCAAGCGCGCGGAGGACGCGAACGACCCGTTAAAGCGTTCGGTCTTTCATCTCCAGCATTTCGATTTGTTGACCAAGTTGCGGCCTGGCGTTCGAAGGTTTCTCGAGCGAGCTTCGCGTTTGTTTGAGATTCACATCAACACCATGGGGTCGCAAGCGTACGCGGATCAAATGGTAGAATTACTCGATCCCGAGAAACGATGGATACATGGAACCGTAAGAGGTCTCGGGGAAATGGAAGGAGGGAAGCTGTGGGCGCCTGCGGAGAAGACGCTCGACGGCGCGTTGGAACACCTCGCCGACGCCTGTTTGATTTTCGATGACACCGCGAGCGTGTGGGAATCGCATCGACGAAACTTGGTCACGTGCGAGCGGTATTTATTCTTCCCGCAGGCTCGACGTCAGTTTGGTTTATCGGGGATGTCGCTGCTGGAAATCGGCCAGGACGAAAGCGAAGATGAGGGCATGCTCTCGACGGCGATGAAAGTGTTTGAATCCGTCCACTCGGCGTATTTCGCCGGCGGCTACGATAAGAACGTCAAGCACAAAGTCAGAGCACTGAAACAACATGCGAGCGACGTGCGCGCGGTGCAGGAAATTCTGTGCGCCCAACGCAAGAAGGTACTCGCAGACGTGCGCATCGTTTTTAGCCGCGTTTTCCCCATCGACGCCGACCCCACGACGCATCCTTTGTGGATCTTAGCCGAAGATTTCGGCGCTACGTGTGGACGGACACTTTGCGACGACACCACCCACGTTGTAGGCACGGCGAGCTCGACGGATAAGGTGAAAGCGGCAAAGGCGCGAGGAAACGTGCACGCCGTAACCCCTCACTGGCTCGAATGTTCGATGCTCCTCTGGCGTCGCGCAAACGAAGCCACGTTTCGAATTTAGCACACTAGCGAAGAAATTTGTATTTAGTACACGCCTAATGTCTTCTAATGACGCGCTACGCCGCGTCGCGAACGGCGTCCGGCGCGGCGGCTTCCCCCGCGCCCGCCGCCGGCAACACCACGGGCTCCTCCTCCGGTGCCTCCGGCAAAGGCTCGTCCTGCAAGTAACTCGGCACCCCATCCGTGAGCTCGGATTCATCTTCTAACATGTCCAACTCCAACGCATCGAGCTCCTCGAGTAAATCATCCTCGTCCAACCCGTCCGGAACGTGATAACTCCTCCCGAGCGTCTCCTGAATCTCCTCCCCCAGATCCAGCAAGTCCGCCATATCATCATTCAGCGCATCGATCGCGTTCAAATCGAACTCCTTCGCCTTAAACTGCGTCTTCAAAGCCTTCGACGCGCTCTGCATCGCCCGCACCGTCTCCACGGTGTTCGCCGCGTTTTCGCTCGCGAACGCCACCTGCTCCACGTTCATCAATTGCCCCCCCAACTGATCCCTCTGCTGCTCATAAATCTTCTTCTGCTTCAGCACCACCAGCGCCCGTCGTTTCGCCGCGTCCTGCCCCGCGCCCGGTCGCGCGCGCTTGATCTGCTCCCGATGCTTCACGAGCTCTCGATCGAGCGCGGCGATTTTCGCCTCGATCGTCTTCGCGCGTTCGTCGAGCGTCCGCGCCGTGTCCTCGAGCGTCCGCGCCGGCGCGCGCGGTTTCTTCGCCCCGAACAACCGTTTCATCGCGCGTCGATCCCGATCGTCGTCGATCGTCGCTCGTCGTTCGTCCGCGCGCGCCGATCCGCCGCGCCGCGCCGGCGTCGCCACGCGGCGCAACGACCGCGCGGTCGGTCGCCGGCACCCCTGTCGGTCGCGTATGCGAATCAGTCCGATATCATTTATACTCCCATCGCGCGTTTTTTATGCGTATTCAACGACGAATGCGCGGTAGACGCACGCGCACCGCACGCGCGCCGCGCGCGCGCGCGTCGACGCCCCGCGACGGCGCTGACGCGATCGCGCCGATCGCGCGCGTCGACACTTTCACGCGCGCGACACACGAGCACGATGTCCACGATCACGCAGCCGCGATGCGGCGTCAAGGTGAGAAATATTAATCGATCGACGCGCGCGACGACGCGCGCGGGCGCGCGCGCGCGCGACCGGGGACGACGACGCGGGACGAGGACGTCGCGATGTTATCCACTCCGCGCGAGGGAGGCCTTCGCGGCGCGCGATGCGCGGTCGTCGACGACGCGCGAGGGCGCGCGAGGGCGCGCGAGGGGATGAACGACGAGGAAAAATAAATTTTTACTCGATCGCGACGCGCGGGAGGGGGCGCGGGCGCGCGGGCGCGCGCGCGGCGAGGGGGTTGGGACGCGCGACGGCGGTGACGACGCGCGAACGGCGATCGAGGGCGGTGAAGTGCGCGCGGTGCGAACGCGGGAGCGATGACTGACGGCGCGCGAACGGTGTGATTAAATGTGAACAGGCGAACGCCACGGCGAAGCGCGCCGTCGCGCCGAAGACCTTCCTCGGCGCGCGCGTCTCCTCCGTGTCGAACGGTTCCAAGGTTGAGATGAGCCGATGGAAGGGCATGGACATGGACATTTCCGACGACCAGCAAGACATCGCTCGCGGCCGCAACATGGTTGACTCCAAGTTCCAAGGCGCGACCGGAATCGGTGGTACGCACAACGCCGTCATGTCCTCGCAAGATTACTTGTCCGCGGGCATGAAGACGTACTCTGCGCACGACAACATCACCACGGAGAACTTCTACATCTCCCCGTCGTACATGGACAAGGTGATCGTGCACGTCGCGAAGAACTTCATGAAGTTGCCGAAGATCAAGGTGCCGGTCATTCTCGGTGTCTGGGGTGGTAAGGGTCAAGGTAAGACTTTCCAGTCTGATTTGATCTTCAAGAAGCTCGGCATCTCCCCGATCGTCATGTCCGCCGGTGAGCTCGAATCCGGCAACGCCGGTGAACCGGCCAAGCTCGTGCGTCAGCGTTACCGCGAAGCGTCCGACATCGTCAAGAAGGGTCGCATGTCTACCCTCTTCATCAACGATCTTGACGCTGGTGCCGGTCGTATGGGTGGCACGACGCAATACACCGTCAACAACCAAATGGTGAACGCGACGCTCATGAACATCGCGGATAACCCCACGAACGTTCAGTTGCCGGGCCAATACGAAGTCATCGAAATCCCGCGTGTGCCGATCATCGCCACCGGTAACGATTTCTCCACCCTTTACGCGCCGCTCGTCCGTGATGGCCGTATGGACAAGTTCTACTGGTCCCCGACCCGCGAAGACCGCGTCGGCATCGCCAACGGTATCTTCATGGCGGATGGCATCGAGAAGGAAGACGTCGAAGTCCTCGTCGATACGTTCGAAGGTCAATCCATTGACTTCTTCGGCGCGCTTCGCTCCCGTGTCTACGATGACTTGGTGCGTGACTTCATCCTCGAAGTCGGCTACGAAGCTCTCGGCCCGCGCCTCATCAACCCGCGCAAGGGTGAAGAAGTCAACTTCAACCCGCCGAAAATGACGCTCGAAGTCCTCTTGGCGTACGGTAAGGAATTGGAGAACGAGCAAGAGAACATCAAGCGCATCCAGTTGGCCGATGCCTACTTGGACGGCGCCGTGCTCGCGGGCGAAGGCGGTTCCTCGAACACCGAGAAGTCGCTCAACCAGTAAACGCGACGACGACCCATATTGATTTGATGTGTCTTTTTAGCGCCTGCACGTAGCGATGATTCGAATCGTAATGAATCCGTTCTAAACCACGATGTGATAACAAAACACTACATTGAACTTCATTGTACTTCATTGAATGATCGCGATCCCGCGTCTCTCGAAGCCGCGCGTTTCAGGCGCGGCGACTCAGCCGTCGAACCCTCACACCGCATCGCTCTCGGCGACCCGTCGGCGCTCCATCGCGCGGCGTTTGCGAAAGCAAGAGTCGTTTCCGCGTCATCGAGTCATGTACGCCGCTCGAGCACCCGCGCGCGTCGTCCTCGCGTCGCACCCGCGCCACGTCACCAAACGCTGCGTCGTTCGAACACGCGTTTGTGCGCGCGTTTCGCGCTCGAACGCGAGCGATGACGCCGTGCGCGCGCTCGAGATCGACCGTCGGCGCGCGATGTTCGCCGTGACGGCGTTGATGACGCTCTCGGGCGCGGCGCCGCGCGCAAAGGCGGAAGCGATCGTGAATCCACAGCCCATCGACGAGGGGTGGTTGAGGTTTTACGGCGAAGCGACGTCGTCGTCCTCGTACGGCGGCTACGGCGGCAACGAGAACAATTTCGATAAGTTCAAGTACTACTACGACGTTCCGCAGGGATGGGAGCAAGACACGGTGAACAAGGTGGAGAAATCGACGAACGGCACGGACAATCGCTGGAAGTCGAAAAAGAACAAAGACGCGAAGGTTTATTCGATCACGTTGGCAGGGTACGGAAAGTTGAAAGAAGACCGCGAGGCTATTATCAGCGACTTGGCGTTGAGCGATTATAACCTGCAAGATGCGATCATCGGCGCAGATTCGTTCGTGACGAAGGATCGCGACGTCGACGGGCAGACGTACGTGGACTACGACCTAGTGGGATTTTATGGAAACATTTTCGCTTCCATCACCGTGTACGGGGGACGACTGTACTCCGTGTTCGCCTTCGTACCCGAGGGCGAGAGTGTCGAAGCGGGACGGCGCATGAGAGATAGTTTTGCGACCATTAACAACAAAACTGAGCAAGAAACCGCCGCCGACATGGCGTTTTATCGCAGATCGTGAGGTGGGCGTATTCGCCCACCTCGGATAGGAAAGCGCGCCGTGTAATGATAGATATGATCTTTTGTTATTATTTAATGCTCGAAAAACTATGCCACGTCAACGTACGCGAATATTCGCGCGGTATTGATGCGGGGCGCGCGCGCGTTTGACGACGTACATGTGTTATTGTCCAAAACCAACTGCTCTCGCAGTTGCCTGGTAGCGCGACAACGTTTGGCCTACCAGTAGCCGAGGATCTTCCACCACGGGAAACCGACGCCCAAAAAGGTGGCGATGTAGAAGATGGACATACCGAAACCGATCTTCCACCAGGTGGCGAGCGGCACGTAGCCGGCACCGAAGAAAGGTGGCGCGGAGCCGATGCCGTAGTGCGTGGTGCAGCCCATGACGTTGGACAAGATGCCGAGGGTCAAGGCGGATACGAGAGGCGGCGCACCGCACGCGATGAGCACCGACAAGAAGGCGCTATACATGGCACCGATGTGCGCCGCACCAGAGGCGAAGAGGTAATGAGAGTAGAAGTAGACGAGAGTCACGATGACAAAGGCCGGTTGCCACGCCAAGCCGAGGCCGGAGACGACGCCGACGACGCCTTTGGAGAAAGCCGGAATCAAACCGTACGTGTTCAAGTAACCCGCCATGGCGATGAGCGCGGCGAACCACACAAGCGTATCCCAAGCCGGACCTTCGGCAAGACATTCTTTCCAGGTGATGACACCGGAGACGAGGAGGATGGCCAAGCCGTTGAGCGCGGCGGCGACAGAGCCGACGCCGAACTTGGAACCAAAGATCCAGAGACCCACGGTCAGAGACAAGGCAGCAGCCATGATCTTTTCGTCAACAGACATCGGACCGAGCTTCGCGAGCTCTTCTTGCGCCTTGACCGGAGCGTCTGGCGAGTCCTTGACTTCCGGCGGATACAAGACGTAGAGGATGAGCGGCGTGGCGACGAGGCAGATGATACCCGGCACGAGAGCACCGATGGCCCACTGAGCCCAGGAGATGGTGATGCCCGTGATGGACGCCGCCAGGTTCACGCTAAGCGGGTTAGCGGCCATGGCGGTGATGAACATACCGGAAGAGATCGTAGAGGTTTGGAACACGGTGGTCATGACGTACGCGCCCATCTTCTTCTCCGTGCCGTTGGCGGGATCGGAGCCGCACGCGACGCAGAGCGCCTTGGCGAGGGGCAAGAAGATACCACCCGCGCGTGCGGCCAAAGAAGGGATGGCTGGCGCGAGCAAAGCTTCGGAGAACACCAAGGAGTAGGTCAAACCGAGCGTGGATTTGCCGAACAAGCTCACGATTTTGTACGCGATGCGGTTGCCCAAACCCGTCTTGATGAACCCGCGGGCGAGGAAGAACGCGAGCGCAATCAACCACGGAATCTCGCTCGAGAACGCCGAGAACGCAGCCGAGAACGGCAACAACCCGGTCGTCATGCTCACGCCGAGCCCGATCATCGCCACCGCGCCGAGCGGCAGCGGGTTCGTGATGATCCCGACGATCGTCGCCACGAAAACCGCGAGCAAGTTCCACGCCTGCGTCGTCACCCCGGCCGGGGCCGGAATGAGGTACAGGATCAACCCAGACAAAATCGAGTACCCGAGCGGCTTGAGCTTCGCCCCCTTCCAATTCGCGAGCGCGTCCGATCCCGCGCGCACCACCGGCGCGTTCGGCGTCCCGCTCGATCGCGTCTTCGTCGTCGTCCCGCGTTCCCGTTTCGCTCGCGTCGACGCCGCGACTCGCGTCGTCGCGACCGCGATCGCGAGTTCGTTCTCACGGTTCTCGCGCGCGCCGTTCGCGTCGCCCGCGCGCGGCGCGATTCGCGCGCCTCGTCGCGTCGTCGCGCGGTGTCGTCGCATCGCCGTCGCATTCGTCGGCGTTCGCGTCGTCGCGCGCGCGTGCGCCGCGCATCCGGCCGCGACGGCGCGCGACATGTCGTTCGTGCGTTCGCTCGCGAGCGTTTCGGCGCGTCGGGGCGCGGAGGCGACGCGCGCGAGTCGCGGATTGTCGAGGTCGTTACGCGCGTTTACCCTAACCGACGACCGACGCGCGTCGTGTGCGCAAACAGTGAGACGACTGCGATGCGATTGCGATTCGGTGCGATGCGTGATTAAAACGCGCGCGGCGTCACGCGTCGCTCGGCGCGAAACCGCGCGGCGCGAGGGACGCGCGATCGTCGTCGACGTCCGCGTCGTCGGCGAAGGGATTGTCGAACGAGGATAATTCGACGAACGCGGCGCGCGAGACGGAGGCGGCGGCGCGATGGCGCGACGCGTAAGCGAAGAAGGCGAAGAGGACGAAGACGTAGAGGACGAAGAGGACGGAGTGAAAGCGCGCGGCGACGGATTCGTCGCGCTCGGAGAGCTCGTCTATGCCGGATAGGACGGCGAAGAAACTGAGGATGAAGATCAAGACGCCCACGGCGCGGTGGACGCGCTCCCAGGTGCGGCGGGCTTGGGATTTGAGCTCGCCCTCGGGCGGGTTGGGAGGGCGGAGGAAACCGCCGACGGGTTGGAGGCACGCGACGACGACGATGGCTAAGCCCACCTTGCCGTGCGCGCCATCGTAATGCGTGGCGCCGATTTCTGAAATTTCGGCGTATGAAATGCCCGCCGCGATCACCACGAGAGCGACGGCGGCGAGCATGAGCCATTTGTGCCACGAGAGCCACGCGGCGGAGGGCTTGTCGTTCGGGCCCGGTCGACCGAAGCGCGACCACCCGACGGCGCCGGGCATGAGCATCCAAATCCCCGTGAACATCATCCCGCCGTGCACGACGAACGCTCTCACCTGACGCGCCTCGTCCTCTGAACCTACGCTACTGTCTCCTACTTCCGTGGTGTCATCGTGCGCCGGCGCGACGTCCGACGCGTTCGTCCCGTTCGCGCTCGGCGGTTGCAAACCGTCGTTCTCGCGCACCGTAAACGTCCCCTGATAAAGCGCGTTCTCCGCCGCGCTCGCCGTCGTCGCGCGAATGACGACATCCCCCGTCCCGCGCGCGGGCGCCCACCATATCAACTTATGCTTATTCGTCCGCAACGAAGGGTTCACTCGCTTTCCGCCGCACCGCAGCGCGCTCCGCGACCCTCCGTTCTCGCTCACGTGAGCCTCGTGCATGCTCACGTCCTCGAACCTCCCCTCGCTCGTCGTCAGCAGCACCATCCCGACCGCGATCGCGCTCGTGTCCACGACCAGCGTCAACCGCGCCTCGGGTTTATATTCGTCGCCCGTCGCGCTCGTCGCCCACGAGCTCGGCATCAGCCTCCGCGTGCTGTTGTCCCACAGCTCCCACGCCTGCGTCTCGTTCGAGCCGTCGTGCGCCGACCAGAACAGCGAAAACGACACGCCGGCGTCGTCGCCCGCGTACGGGTGATCGCCCGCCGCGCCCGTCGGGTGCGCGGCGTCGCCGCACGCGCGCGCGTTGTAGTACGGATATCCGCGCGCGGGCGTCGCGCGGAGCGCCGCGCACGCGACGACGAGCGCCGCGCGCGCCGCCGTCGCGCGCGTCCTCGCGCCATCGCGCGCCGACGCGCGCCGCGGCATCGCGCGCGGCGAAGTCGCGTCGTTCGACGCGCGTCGCGCTGTGCGGCAGATCGCGGCGGCGCGGCGGCGCGGCGCGATGGCGACGTCGATCGCGGCGACGCGCGCGGCGACGCGCGCGGTGACGTCGCGCGGCGCGACGCGGCGGCGCGGCGGCGCGACGCGCGCGACGCGCGACGCGACGCGGGCGACGCGACGCGCGGTGCTCGAGGCGGCGGTCGCGGCGGCGGCGACGCGCGCGCTGGGCGCGGGCGACGCGCGCGCGAAGACGGCGGACGTGAAGACGGCGTACGACGCGTACGCGCCGACGTACGACGCGCTCGACGGCGGCGGCGCGGCGCGCGCGCTGGGGCTGGACGCGCTGCGCGCGGACGCGCTCGCGCGGTGCGAGGGCGACGTGTTGGAGCTCGCCGTCGGCACCGGGCTCAACCTGCGCGCGTACGACGCGAACAGGGTGAAGACGTACACGGCGATCGATCTGTCGCCGGGAATGCTGGCGCGGGCGAAGGCGCGGGCGGAGACGCTGGCGCTGGGCGAGAAGGCGCGGTTCGAGGAGGCGGACGCGACGGCGCTGCCGTTCGACGATGGATCGTTCGACGTCGTCGTCGATACGTTCAGCCTGTGCGTGATCGAGGATCCGTCGGCGGCGCTGCGAGAGGTCAGGCGAGTGCTGCGATCGAAAGGACGGGCGGTGTTGATCGAGCACAGTAAGAGCGACGTCGGCGCGTTGGGCGCGTATCAAGATTTGACGTCGGCGCCGGTGAAGCGCATGAGCAAAGGATGCGTGTGGAATCAGGACGTGGAGTCGCTGGTGCGACAGTCTGGCATGCGCGTCGTGAAGACGCAGCGCGCTTTACTCGGTTTACTCGTCGTCGTGGAGGCGGCGCCGTGATTCGGCGTCGCGGGACGGCGAGGATCGTCGCCGTTTGTATTACTACGTCACATCTAGCAGTCGCGAGCAGGACGCAACATCAGCTCCGTCGAGGCGATGACGTCGTAATCTCCACGTCTATCTCGCGCGCGAGTCGCGCCTCGCCTCGCTCGCCCTCGCGACCTCGCGCGGATCGCGCGCGCGCGCGGCGACTCGACGCGTGCCAACTTTCCCTCGTGCCTAGATCTCGCGAAACGCCCCACATCGCGTCGACCCTCGCGCTCGGCCGCCCTCGACGCGACATGGGTCACCGCAGATCAAACAGCGCTGGCTCCCGCGGGTTCAGCCGCGCCTCGAGCGCGCGCGCGTCGAGCGGCGCGCGAAAATCATTCCGCGCCGGAAGCGCCGGCACCGCCCCCTGGAAGAGCGCGCGGACGCTCGCCCGCGCGAACGCGCGTCACGTCACGACGGGACGCGCGCGCGCGCCGCGGCCGGTGAAGGTGTACGACAACGCGCACAGTCGAGTCGTCGTTTACGACAACGGAGGGACGACGACGCAGTCGCGCGCGCTCATCACGAACAAAACGCCTCAGGTGCGGCGTCAAGGCTTCGCGCGAGCGGCGAATTATCGCCTCCTCAACGAGAAGAATCACCCGTACGTGGGCTTGGCTAAAGGTCCGTTTGAGAATGGACGAGACGTGCGCGATGGGCGTCGCATCGCGGCGCACAAGGCCGGTCACGGCTCCGCCGCGACGAGCGAAGACAGGCGGCACCGCGTGGACGTCGTCAATTTGCACGCGACGCATCATCAAGCTAAGCAGGGCGAGACGAAACTGTACTACGCCACAAAAGTAACGCATGGAGACAGTACGCGCGGAGCCGGACACACGAGGCGTCGGTCCTTGGGTTGAGTGCGCTTCAGTCGCGGGTACCGCGCAACTCTTTTGTGTAAATCGGTATCTCTCCACTCACACACCTAGTACACGCGTGCGTCCAACTACTTCTAAAACGAGCGATCTCACAGACTCGCGCAACTTTCTTGTTCCTGTCGACGGCGCTGTTCTTCCAAGAACTCTGAGATCGCCCCGCCCTCGGAGGTGTCGTATAAGTCAAACGGGACGCCGAGCTGCAGCCCGGGGCGAATGTGTCCCTGCGATTCGATGATGCGAAACTCTATTTCGTCCGCGTACCCGCGCGCGTCGTCGCCCTCCGCGCGGTCGCGATTCATGGCCTCTAGTTCGTGCCATTCGAAGAGCAAAGGAAGCGTCGTCCCGCCCCAGACGTTGAAATCAATTATTTTCACCTTCTTCGTCTTCGGCGTCACGTACACGTCGAACACGTAATCGACCTGATCGTCGTGCCACGACGTGCACGAGACGTTCGACTCCCAGAACAGAGCGATCGCGTCTTCGATCGCATCCTTGTCTCGCACCAAAAACTCGTAGAAGTCGTTCACGTGTCGCTGCGACGCGGCGACTAAATTTCTATTCTTCACGAAGCATCGAAACTCCATGCTCGGGTTCAAATCGTACCACTCCCGAAGCGTCAGCACCGACGCCGCGTGCTCGCGCACCGCGCGATCTTCCTCGCTCTCCTCGCTCCCATCACCGCGCGCGTAATCCTCACACGCCCCGTACGCCTCGGTCAAATCGTGCGCCACCGCGTCGCTCGCCTTGAGCAACAGCACCACCTCGTCCGCGTTCCGGCACTTCATCGTGTTCCCAGCCGCGACCCACGCCGCGTCTTTCGGCGCGCTCCACGCGAATTTCGGCGCCACCTCTCCCCCCAGCGCTTCGATCGCGTCCTCGATCGCGCGTTCAAACGCCGCGAACGTCGCTCGCCTCGCGCCGTCCCGCGCGCTCGCGTCCTCCGCCTCCTCCTCTTCCATCGTCGTCGTCGTCGCCCGCGCGCGCGCGAACCGCGCCGCGCTCTCCGCCGCGTCGAACGCGTCCTGCGCCACCCTTCGCGGCATCGCGGCGTCCGTCTCGCGCGCGACGACGCCGTCGGCGAGGACGTAACGAATGAAATCTTCCGGCACCTCGAGCGCGACGGCGCGGAAGCCGTGCGCGGCGAACGTCGCGCGCCAGCGCGCGTCTCGACACGCGTCGAGCGCCGCGCGCGTGGGCGCTGGGACGCGCGCGACCTCGCGCGTCGCGGGCGTCATCGCGCGTCGACGCGCTCTGGCGCGCGCGACGCCGCGCGCGCGACACATCGCGCCGCCCTCTCGAGCGCGCGACGCGACGCGGACGCGAGCGACGCGGGAGACGCGCGCGTCGCGATGTTCGGCGCGCGACGCGAGCCGCCGCGGTCGACGTGGGCGATCGCGCGCGCGTCGATCGAGGCGCCGTGGAGACGCGTTCAAAAAGCCATCGCGGGCGACGCGCGCGCGAGGGCGCTGCGCGACACGCTGCGGCGGTCGTACGCGCTGTACAAGCGAGCGCTGGTGAAGCGGCCGGAACTGCGACGGTTTCGCAGGGATCTGCCGCGATGGATCGCGACGCGGGCGCGGCTGAGGGCGTGGGCGATGGACGACGACTGCGCGACGGCGTTCGTGCTGGCGGCGCCGTTCGCGCTGATGTTCTTGGTGTGGATCGCGGTGATGTTCGTGCGATGGCTCGACGGGAGGGATAGAAACGATGCGCTGAATGCGGTGTTCGACGCGGCGAGGAGACGAAAGGCGAGGGAGGCGGCGGCGAAGGCGTTGCCGAATCAAGCGCCGGCGCAGATCGACCGGACGCAGAGCGGGCGGGAGGTCACGATGACGCCGAAGGATCTCGAGTCGTTGCGAAAGTTTAGGGAGAAACTGAACGCGGCCGCGGCGGAAAATTCGGATTTGCTCGGGACGCCGGCGCTGCGGGTGTACGTGGACGACGCGTGCTTGTGTCGATACCTGCGCGCGCGCAAATGGAACGTGGACAAGGCGCTGAAAATGATCATCGCGTCGCTTCAGTGGCGAGCGACGATGAAACCGGAGGCGTTGACGTGGGACGACATCGCCGATGAGGCGCTCACGGGGAAGCAGTACAGAAGCGGTCGAGATAAGCGCGGCCGCCGCGTGCTCGTGATGCGCCCGGACCGCGAAAACTCGTACAACCACGTGGAAAACATCAAATTCTTGGTGTACACGTTGGAGAACATTCTCTGGAAGTCTTCGCGCGAACGTGAACCTCGTGGCTCCAAGGCGGACCTGGCGCCCGAGCAAATCGTCATCTTGATCAACTTCACCGATTGGTCCCGCAAGAACGCCGTTCCGATGGCGACGGCTCGCGAGACGCTCTCCATCTTACAAAACCACTACCCCGAGCGCCTGGGCCTGGCCGTGTGCTTCAACCCTCCGACCATTTTCCGCGTGTTTTGGTCCATCATCTCGCCTTTCATCGATCCCAAGACGTACTCCAAGATCGTCTTCGTGAACAAGAAGAAGAAGGAAAAAGCCGCCGCCACCATGGGCGCGGTGTTTCACTCGAGCGCCGTCGACGACGACATGGGCGGCGTCGTCCCTTCCGCGTGGAATTTCGACGTGTACGCCACGCACATGCGCGATTACGACGCCAAGAAGGCCATCGTGATGGCGTCTTGGCCGTAGCTCGCGCGCCTTACGTGTATTTAAAAGCAGCCGCCGAGCACACGACTGCCAAACCAGCCGTTAATAACGGCCCGTTATCCGCGTCAGCGCTTTTTCGCGCGTCGTCGAATCTTGCGCTACTTCTCCGCGTGCAACCGTCGTCGACGCGCGCGTCGCGACGCGAACGCTCGCACATAAACTTCCACATCGTTCGCGCGCGCGCGCGGTCCGCGACGCGCGACGCGCGCGCGTCGAGGGCGCGAAAACACCGAAGCGGCGCGGGAGGTTAGACGGTCACATTCGCGAGGCGACGCCGCGCGATGACGCTCGATTGGGGCGCGCTTTCCGCGCCGCGCGTCGACAGTACGCGCGCGAGAATTCCGCGCGTCGTTTCGCGCGCGCGCGAGGCGCGACGAGGCGTCGCGCGAGGCGCGCGAGGCGCGGTCGTGTCGACGAGACGACGGCGCACGGTGCCGACGGTCAGAATTGGAGCGACGCGGGATGGGGCGCGCGAGGCGCGAGGCGCGCTGGAAACGGGCGGTGATCAAAGAGATGTGCGCGCGGGGGCGACGCGACCGACGGCGGGGGCGCTCACGGGGGCGCCGCATCGCGGGTTGCCGTACGAATTTCCGAGGCTGACGCGGCCCGAAAGACCGAGGGAGACGACGCTGCGATGCGGCGAGGCGAAACTCACGGTCCGGGACGATGGGAGCGTGGTGCTGAGACGTGGGGGTGAAGTTGTGTGTGAGGCGCAGTGTGCGCTTCCGGCGTTGGCGTTGACGGAGGAGGGAGTGGTGACGAGAGAGGCGAACGGCGGCGCCACCGTGACGTGGGGACAGCGCGCTTCGTTGACGATTAGACCGAGCGCGGGATTGAGCACGGGGGAGCAGTGGTGCGATGGGTTAAGCGATGGGTTTCTGCTGGACTACTCCGTCGCCGATGGGAGCTTGATGCACGCGACGGCGGAGATCATGATTGATTTGGAGCGAGTGGGAGACGTGTACGGCGGGTCGCATTTGATGGCTCAGCACTGGCCGTTGAACGATGGATGCATGGAGATTGGCCCTCATTATCCCTTCGACAACGGACCTAATGGATTGAACACGCTCGTTTCCACGCATTGGGTGACGAGTAACGGATGTGCAGTCGTGGCGGATCCGGATACTCCATTTTTCCACGTTGGTCTCAACGCGCCGAACGCGACTTGGTTCGACGGATTTTTTAGTAAGCGAGCGTTTGGTGTGGGCATTCAAAACGCGACTCGGACGATTTTACCGTTTCATAAAGGGCGTCGCGTCGGTGACGGGCTCTTGCGCTTACAAGCTCGCAATTCATTTCACAAAGGCTACGGGCCGTTCAGCATGAACCACCCGCTCGTCGGTTGGGTATCGCCTAAGCATGCGCACGCAACGCGAAGACACATGCGCGTGGCGCTGTGTGCGAACAAGAACGTCAAATTGGCGACGATCAACGTCCACAAGACTCTGCATAAACCGAAAGCAGCTCCGCCCTCGGAAGTGTTTCGAGCCCCGATTTGGACGACATGGGCGAAGATGAAGACGAACGTTTCGCAAGAAAAGGTTTTGAGCTTCGCGCAAGAAATTCTTGCGAACGGTATGAGCGCCAGCGTCATCGAGATCGATGACAAGTGGCAGTGTGGGTACGGTGATCTCGATTTTGACGCCACAAAGTTCCCAGATCCGAGTTCGATGGTGGACGAGCTTCACGCCATGGGCTTCAAAGTGACGGTGTGGGTCATGCCGTTCATCGCCGAAGATACAATGGCGTACAGAGAAGGGAAGGACAAGGGTTACTTTGTCAATTCGAACACGCGAAATGGTTTCTTCAGGTGGTGGCAAACGCCGCCAGTCGTCGCGTTAGACGTCACAAACCCGGAGGCGGTTGATTGGTTTGTATCTCGGTTGAAGCGTCTGCAAGAAAAGCACGGTATCGACGGCTTCAAGTTTGACGCCGGTGAACCATGCTTTTTGCCGCGAAGATTCATCACACACACACCTCTTTCGCACCCATCAGAGTACACGAGAGCGTGGGTGAACAACGTCGCTTCAAAGTTCGAACTTGCAGAAGTTCGAAGCGGTCATAACAGCACAGGGAATTCTTCCCTCGTCCGCATGGGCGATAGATTCTCCGACTGGGGCATTGAGAACGGGCTAGGGTCGATTATTCCCGCGCTGCTTACATCTGGCGTGCTTGGGTACCCGTTTTGTTTGCCAGACATCATCGGTGGAAACGCTTATTTTGGCAAACACCCGGACGAAGAGCTCCTCGTGAGGTGGGCGCAAGCCAACGCGCTGATGCCGGCGATGCAGTTTTCCCTCACTCCTTGGGCCGCAGGTAGCATGGCGAAAGACTTATGCATCTCCGCATTGGAGATGCGCGATCAGTTCGTGGAGACCCTCATCGATCACAGCGAACGCGCGGTCGAAACGCTCGAACCCATCTGTCGTCCGATGTGGTGGCTCGATCCCGAGGATAGCGAAACGTTCCGCATAGGAGATCAGTTCGCGCTCGGCGAAGATATCATCGTCGCCCCCGTCACCACGCGAGGCGCGAATGAGAGAGCGATTTATTTGACCGAGGGTCGATGGCGCGATTTATCTAATGGCAAGGTCCACCAGGGTCGGCGTTGGATGCGCGATTTCTCCGCCCCGATCGGCGCGCTGCCCATTTTCATTCGCGAAAAGTCGTCGTAACGTCGAAGATTTTAATTCAATTTGTTGCGCTAATGTTTATCTACACACGTGCTGGCTGTCGTCGTCGTCCTCGTTTGGTTGACACACTACCACAGGCCCTGCATTCCCGGAGCGGGTTGTTGTTGCGCTTGCTCTCCTTGGAAGAAAGCCGACGCCTGCTCCTTGGAAAAGTCTACGCCCATGGCAGGCGCGTTCGGGAGGTTGTTTTCGTCGCCCATCATCGCATCTTCCGAACCCGCGTTCTCCATTCCAGGGATCGCTTGCGCATCAAAGTCGCACGGGAATCGAGTCACGCGCGGCTTCTCAGCCAAAATGTTGCGAACAATTCTATCGATTCTCGGCTGCGCTGGCGGGTTCTCCTTCAACTCTTCGTCGGCGTACTCGTTGTTCACGTAGTACCCGACCCGGATGAACTCTTGGTTGTTGTACGAGCACGTCACGAGAAGCACCGTCACGCCCAAGATGTCTTCCTGCGGAATCTTGCTCACATCCGGCGGATTGGCCTGGAACACAAACTTGTACGCCCCGCGAACCACCGGCCCCACGAGCACCGTGTCCAAAATCTGATCGCACTTGTCGTCCTCCGCGCTCCCGACGTACGTCAGCTTCCACTCGAGATCTGCGTCGGCGCGTCGCGCGTCATCGCCTCGTCAGTCTTCGCGCTCGCATCGCGCGTCACCGTCGTCCCTCGCCCCCGTCTCCCCGCGCCCCCTCGTCCCGCCCGCGCCTTCAAATTTCAAATTTCCAGCTGTCCGCCCCGTCATCGCGCATCGATCGCCTCGCCTCGCCTCGCGCGCACCGTGCTGAAGATCGTGCAAGCACTCGTACTGAATCTCAAACTGCAGCGGATTCGCGAAGAACTGCGGATTATCCAGCACCTGCACCGACGTCACGCTGATCGCGCTCATCGCCCGTCGTCGCCTCGCGCGCGCGTCCGATGCGATTCAAATCCCGACGTCCCGCGCGCGGTCGACGCGCGCCCTCGCGTCGCGTCGCGTCGCGCGTTCTCGCGCGGATTCGTTCGCGATGCGTTCGACGTCGACGTGCGCGCGTTCGCGTTCGGTCGAGCGACGTGCGCGTGGCGTCGCGCGCGCGCGTGTGCGGATTCGAACGCGCGCGAATTCGAGATCGCGCCGTCGCCGCGGCGCCGTCCGTCGCGCGCGCGTCGAATCGTCGACGTTTTTTCGCCGATTCGCGCGTTTTTTTCGACGCGCGCGCGCGCGCGCGCCGCGCCGAGGCCCTGTCTGCGCTGTCTCGGTGGTGTAAAGTGTCTTCGCACTGTTTGCGCACACGACGATATCGTCGAGTCAGGACTCGTCGATCGAGGGGGTCGCGTTTCGGCGGCCGCCGGCGCGCGCGCGCGCGAGACGCGCGCGCGCGCGACGCGAGACGCGCGACGATGCGCGCGGCGCGCGCGGACGTCGCGACGGCGCGCGCGCGCGCGACCGGCGACGCGCGACGGCGACGCGCGCGACGGGCGACGCGCGAGGCGTCGAGGCGCGCGACGACGCGCGCGACGCGCGCGACGGGCGCGAACGACGGCGACGGCGACGACGACGGCGACGGCGACGGCGCGCGCGGCGGTGGGTACTTGGATTACTCCGCCGCGATGGCGAAGGAGTTCGTCGAGGTCGAGGTGCCCGCGCTGTTGTTCCCGCGGCGAGAGACGCTGCTCCCGGGGTCGAGGCTGACGCTGCACCTGTACGAGGCGCGGTTCTTAGCGCTGCTCGAGGACGCGATGAAGCGCACGGGAGGGTTGATCGCGCAGTTGACGTTTTTGCCGAGCGAGTCGAGCGAGGAGGAAGGGCTCACGGTGAACGCGTCGGCGACGCTGGCGAGGATCGAGACGGTGACGCGGGAAGCCGTCGGCGCGCGCGTGGACGTGGTCGGCGAGGCGAGGGTGAAATTGGAAGGGATCGCGGGGCGAGAGCCGTTCATCACGGGAGTGTTCACGCACGTGCCGCAGATGGGCGACGCGGGGACGTACGTGCCGAGCGATGCGGAGCTGGCGCAGGTGAAGGAGGTGACGGATTACATCGAGGGCGCGGTTCGGGACGTCTTGTTGCTGAGCGCGAGGTTGTTGGGCGACGCGCCGAGCGACACTGACGTCGAGAGCGCCGAGAGCGATGCGAAGGACGAGGACGCGGACGATGAAAATACCGTAAATGAGTTCGACGACGCGTCGTTCGAAGGGATTTGGACGCATAAGGAGGTCGGCGACTTGCGCTCCGCCATGGCGTGGGTGGACGCGCCGAGCGTCACCGTCGAACGCATCGAAGCCGAAGTGACGATGGAGGACGCCGATTGGACGACCGTCCCGGAAGGATTCGCTCATAGCCCGCTCACACGCGCTGAACGTCTGTCGTTCGCCGTGTTACAAGTCGCTCCGGCGTCGACGCCGACGGATTTACAAAAGCTCATCGCCTGTCGCGCCGTCGCCATGTCCACCGACCACGGTTTGATGGACCGCCTGCGACTCGGCGTCTCGGTGTTGGACGACCAGCTCCAAACCCTCCGCGCTAAGGTGGCGCTCAAAAGTTTAGGTAATTCGATCAATAGCTAGCGAGGCAGCACTCTAATGTATTCAACGTTTATTCTTTCAGTCGGTCCCAGTCGCGTCACCGCGCGCCTCGCGTCGTCGGCGTCATGCCGTGTACGTGCGCCTCCCCGGACGCCTTGGACTGGATCAGGGTCACGTTTCGCGAGTGCGTCAGCGATGACGTCCAACTCGCGGGCTTTTATCTCGCCCTCGTCACCATAGCGTGCTGGATGAGCGCGCAAGTCCCGCAGCTCGTGTTGAACTATCGCGCGAAATCCGCGCGCGGTTTAAGCCCGTACTTCTTGCTTCAATGGCTGGCCGGGGACTCGTTCAACTTGATCGGATGCGTCCTCACCGGGGACCAAGCGCCGACGCAAACGTACACCGCGGTGTACTTTGTGTTGAGCGATTTGGCGCTGCTGTGTCAGTACACGTATTACGAACGCGACGGCGCGCGAGCGCGAGCGAGCGCGAGCGATGACGAGGGATCGGTGTCTGGGTATGAACCGCTGCGAGGAAGCGAGGATGAACGCTCGAGCGAGGAGGAGAACGTGCGGGAGAGGACGCGCGGAGACGAGGGGATGCGAAGCCCGATGTCGCCCGTGGGCGGCTTCGTGTTGGCGGGCGCGGCGGCGTTGGCGTTGACGACGATGACGACGAATAGCGCGGGAGAAGCGTCGAATGGGATGTTACGCGAGGCGATGAATGTCACTGATTGTGATTATAACGCCAATCCGGCGTGGATGCAAAGCTTTGGTCGCGGCGTTGGGTATCTGGCGACGTGTTTCTACTTGGGCGGTCGTTTGGCGCAAATAGCAAAAAATAGACGACGGCGTTCCGTCGAGGGGTTGTCGCTCACGATGTTCGCGCTCGCCATCACAGCGAACGTCGCGTACGGAACGTCGGTGTTGTGTGCGAGTCACTCGAGAGCGGACGTGATACGATCGTTGCCTTGGCTTTTGGGGAGCTTTGGCACTGTGTCGCTCGACGCGACGATTTTAGCGCAGAGTGTCAAGTTCGCTAGGCGACGACGGCGCGCGTCGAGTCAAGACTTAGACGCAGTAGAAGAATTGTAAAGTCCATGGCTGTACTGTAGATACCGATTAAAATACTACTCTGTCCCTCGCGATGATCTCTTTTTACCGCGTTCGGAAGAGATCGCTTCGACGTCAATCTCTTCAAAAACCAAAGAGTCGAGGTCAGACGCCGCATGCGTCTGCTTCACCGATTGCTCATTCTTGTGGGTATGTACTATGGCCTGGTCGTCTAGCGCAGCCTGGTTACCTAACTTGACCTTGGAATGATGATGATGATGCTTTTTGACGTGCGATTTGTCCTCGTCCTCGTCCTCGTCCTCGTCATCTTCGTAATCTTCCTCATCTTCCTCATCGTCGTCGTCGTCGTCGTCGTCGTCGTCCGCCTCCACCGGTATAGTACTTTCTTTGGAGTAGTACTCGTCATCGTCTTCACCTTCGTCTTCACCTAAGCCGGCACTGTCGCTATGCTTTGAGTGCTTTGAGACGGGCTTGGCATCGATATCGTCATCGTCATCGTCATCGTCATCTTCGCTATGCTTGTGTTTGTGTTGATGGTGCGACTTCACAGACTTCAACTTCAACGAATCTGCATCTTCGTCGTCTTCGTCGAGTTCGACGGACATCGTATCGGGTAAAGATTTCTCATCCCAATCCTTTGGGGGCGTTTCCGGCGGCACGTGGTATTGCGTGAGCTTTGCGCAATACTTTGACTTCACGTCGTACTTGTCGCACACCGCCATCGGACACGTGGGCCACTCATTACCGGCCTTCTTCGCGTTCTTCACGTTACAAAAGCGGCACGCTGCGCCCGCACCGAGACAACCGGGCAAGCCCGACCGTAAACACTGCGAGTCGCTGTATTGATACCGCCCCAAGCCGTGATCCTGCGAATTGCCGTGGCACTTTCCAATCTTGATGCCCGCCACCATGCTATTGTGATCGAGCACGTGCTGGCGCAAGATATCCCACGCCAACTCCCGTTTAGTCATCTTTTTCCCCGACTCCGACTTGCACCCGTGCACGTCGTTCTCCGCGCACACCGTCGCCGGGCACACCGGCCAGTCGTGGTTTCGATTCGTCGCCATGTGCGTCTGGCAAAATCGACACATCGATCGATGTCCGACGCACCCCGGCGTCGACAAATCCTCGCACTTCGACGTCTCCATCTGAAACGTCCCCGCCGCGTTATCCGCCGCCGCGTTCACGCAATTCTTCGTCGAGCCTTCGAGTATTTCCTTCTTGTGCCCGTGATGGCTTCCCAGCCCCGCGCGCGCGGCGACGCCGCGATCGCCTCCGAGTCCCGCGACGCACGCCAGCGCGGCGAGCGCACCGACGAGCGCCAACGCGCTCGAGAGACGCCCCACGGATCCCCGTCGCGTCGTCGCGTCCATCATCGCGCCCCTCGCGCGCGCCAACCACCCGTCATCCTCGTCCGTCGCCCCAACACCCTCGCCCGCGCCCTCGCGCGTCGCGCGCGCGCCCTCGCGCGTCGACACCGCCGCCTCGACGTCGCGCGCGATCAGTAACGGCGCGCGTTCCGCCATGCCGTCGTCGATCGACGCGCCCGCTCGCGCCGCGCGCCGTCGTGTGTCGACGACGCGCGCGAGGTGGGTGTTACGCCGCGGTTCGACGCCGACCGCCCGCAGACGTCGACGCCGTCGTCGCCGCGCGATGGACGCCGACCCTCCCTCCGGTCCGGCGAGGGTGAAAAAACCGTGTCGCGCGTGCGGGCGCACGTGCGTGGGACACGCGCGGTACACGAAGCGCGGCGAGGACGGGTACTGGCACCGCGCGTGTCCCGAGGCGTCCAATCCACCGGACGCCGACGACACCGCGGGACCGACGACGAGCGGCGACGACGCGCGCGGCGAGGAGACGTCCGATGGATACGTCACGAGCCCGACGGTCGGGTCCGGGCGCAGGCGGACGATGCGAAGGGCGGGACGAACGGGGAAACTGGCGATGGAGAGCGCGGCGCGCGCGTTTCGAGCCGCGGGGACGCCGACGACGGCGGGAACGCCGACGGCGATGGAAGCGGACGTGTCGCAGCTCGCGCGAAGCGTCGATCGGTGGTATCGAGCGGTGACGGGCGTTGAGTTCGACGCGCCGTGGGTTCGTCGAGCGCTCGCGGCGTCGAGCGCCGTGTACGTCGCGGGCGCTTGGCTGTACGTGTTGCCGAGCTCGCTGCGAATGGCGGCGAACGCGGTCTTGTTCGTCTTACAAATCATCACCGTGAGCGCGATACTCGCCGGGACGTTCGTCGTCGCGGGCTTGGTGTCGCGCCGCGATCTCAATCGCGACGGGTTCTCTCGGCGCTTGCTCGAGCTCAGACGAAACGCCGTCGATTTGGCGCGCGGCGTCGCGACGAGAGAGAGAGACTTCATCGCGCGCACGCCACCGGTGAAAACACCAAATAGATTTATCGAGACCGCGACGGTTGAGTTGGCGGATACGCCTCGACGAAGTCCCGCCCCGACGCCCACGGCGTCGCCGTTTCGCGGCGACGAAGAGATTCGTCGACTCGCGGAAGAAAAGCGCCAAGCCGAGACCATGCTCGCGGAGGCGAGCGAAACCATCGAGTTTCTTCGCGATGCTTTGCAATCCGTCGACGAAGCGCGCGCGAGCGATCGTCGTCGGCTCGTGGAGCTCGAACGAAAGCTCGCCAAGGATTCGCACACGGTGAAGGCGTTGAGCAAGCGCGTTCGATCGAAAGAAATCGACCTCGCCGCCGCCGAGCCTTGGATGTTAGATCCGTGACTAGTTTATTAGCGAATCATTAGCAGTCGCTCGAGCCGCGCGGTTCGACTCGCGACGAGGTGTAAAATAGATGTAGCGTGAAGTATCCCAGAGCGCCGCGACGCGCGCCCGACTCCATTTTCCATCGCGCGCCCGATGCGCGCGCGCGCCCTCGCGCTCGTCGCGCTGCTCGCGCGCGCATCCCTGGCGTTCGCCGACCTCGACGACGCGAGCGAACGACGCGAGATCGATGACTATCACTACGTCTTTTCCGCCGATTGCCAACCGTACATGACTTGGCAGGCGCGCGCGCTGTATGAGTCGTGGCGCGCGATTGGCAGCCCTGGACGCATGACGCGATTGATATCGTGCACGGATGACGAGTACGCGCGGTACGAACACATGGACGTGGTGCCGGACACGGTCAAGTGCCCGTCGTTCGTGTGGTACGCCAAGGAAAAGTTTGGGGACGACGACGGATACTCTGCGTATAACTTGCCGGGAGGGATGAATCATTGGGCGCAAAACGTCGGCACGGATCGAAAGTGGGTGGTGAAGCTAGACGCGGACATGTTGTTGCTAAAACCGCTGAGCGTGAGAGAGATTCCAGCGAGCAAGGGCGTCGCCGCGAGCGGTCAATACGATTATCTCGTCGGCACGAAGAACGGAATGGCCAAGTGGTTCGTGGACGAGGAGGTGGAGAAAAGGCTCGCGCCCGTGGGTGGGTGGGAGATATTTGACGCTGAAGATTTTGTGAACATGACGCCGCACTGGTTTGCGCAAACGGTGAAGGTGCGCATGGATAAGAGGATTTGGTTTCCGTATCGCGGCACCGGCGACGTGTACGTCTCCGAGGAATCGCCAAGGCCGTGGATTTCGGAAATGTACGGGTTCGTCTTCGGTTGCGGGTTGGCGGGGTTGACGCACAACGTGATGCGATCCGTACAGCTGTACGCAGGTATGAAGCCGTGGGATGAGGCAAGCGCCGACCCGTTCATCGTGCACTACGGTTTGAGGATGGACGAGGGCCCGTACTCGTGGGATAAACATTGGGAGCCTGGGCACTTGGAGCGTATGACGTGCGCCACGCGAGATGTGGAACCGTTCCCCGTTGTGCCTTACCCGAAGCGCCCGAGCGCGCACGCGTTGCAGCAAGAGCGTCACAATTACATCAAGGTGAAAATTATGTACATCACGGTGTCGGCGATCAACGACGCAGTGAAAAAGTACAACGATGAGAAATGCGGGCGGGGCGCTCGTAGTCATCGAGTCGAAACAAAGTCGTTGCCGATAATACCTAAAGGAAGAGACGTACCGATGAAGCCATCGCGAGAGGATCCTAAGGTGAAACCCAGAATGACGCAAAAGCCGACGCCAGTCCCGGTGATGCATCGAGCGGAGCGTGCGGGTGACGCCACAGAGCGTCTGTTAGCGAGGAAAGCCACGTTAAAAGTCGAGCGAGAAATTGCGCACGAAGAACGGATGCATCGCATGTGGACGATGGGAAGCCTTACTTGGGTCGTTGGCTTTTGCGTCATCGTGTATCGCTTCGTTCGAACGAAGACGAGGCAACGCAGCGAACAGCGACGACGACGCGAAACGAACCCGTTTCGGGAGGTTTAGTTGAATTAGCAGGCGTCACAAAATTAGTCTATTGTAGCGAGTTGACGAACATGATACCGACCGCGAAGACGGTGATGAAAATCGGCACCGCGCTCACCAGGTACAACGGCAAGAAGCCAAAAATCGTGCCCTCCTTCTTTTCCTCCTCCGCCTCTTTCGCTCGAACCCGCCGCGGGTTCGACGTCTTGATGCCCGCCGATCGCATCGCGATTTCTTCATACCTCGAAGGACCGGCATCCACGCTTTGATCCACCACCGCGTCCAATCCCGGCCAATTCCTAAACTCTTCCAAAAGCGTCGACACCGCTCGCGCATCCGTCGGCGTTTCCCCTCGTTCAATCATCTCAAGCGTCTCCACCTTTTCGTCCGCGCTCACCCCGCTCTCGTCTTCAATCCCGTATCGCTCTCGATTTTCCGCCAATCTCGGGTCCTCGATCCCGACCGTGAGCTTGATTTCGTTGAACGACATCTCTCGCTTGACGTACAGCAGCTTGAGCCAGTCTTTGATCTCCGTCACCATGTCCGCGATGTACTGCGCGTCCTCGTCACCAGGCGTCGTGGAGAACCCATCGAAAGAAGAACCACTCGTCACGGTATCACTCGCGTCGTCGTTCGATTCATCGGCGCTCGAGGCGCGCGCGATGGCGTCGCGAACGCGCGCGATTGGGACAGAGGTCTGGCGCGCGAACGACGACGCGACGCGACGCGCGCGCGCGCGCGCACGCGGGTGCGACGGGTAGGACGCGAACGCAGGCGCGTGCGCCGTCGATGCGGACAGGGCGAACATGTCGATGTCTACTCGAGCGCGGCGGTTTGAGGATTTTGGATTCTATCTACTAAAAGTCTACTGCGAGCTCCGCACGTCTACGCACTCGAACGTCTACGGTGAAACACACGTCGTCGTCTTCTAAGTTGTCCTGTAGAAGCGCTTGCGCGCGGTATGCGACGGCGTATTTTTGGTTGCGCAGTACCGCTCGCACGACGTCGTCGTTTCGTGGAAATTCTTCGCACCGCGCGGCGGCGTACAGCGCTCCCCACGACTCGGCGTCGCCCGATTCGAGCGCCGTCGTCACGGCACGCCAAAATATGTCGAAGTGATGCGCGTAGATGCAATCGTGATGGTGATGCGCACGACTGGCGTCCGATTCCTCCGTCGAACGAGACGCGGATGATTGGGCTTCGCGCAGCGCGTGACTCAACGCAGTGGCGATGTTTTTGTCAGGCGTCATCGCTTTCAAGTACCGAGTCATGACGGAGAGGTCGATGCCGTCTTTTAACCAAATGCGAGTGATAAATGCGTTCACTGTTTTTTCGTTCTCTTTGCGAGACTCGCGCTCCGTTCCGAGCTCGAGGCGATTTTCCTTTGTGATCAAACTCGTTCCGCGACGCGTTAAAAAATCAAACACGTCGTCCCACGGAACGAAGTTGCCAATGTACGCATCGAGTACTCTATACGTCAGCGTCCTATTTTTGACGAGCTCGCGTTCCATGATTTCGCGAACAACGGCGCGACAGGACTCGGTTTCGTTGTGTACGGAGACGTCGAGCGCCGATTCAAACGCTCTGCGAAAGTGATACGTGCTGCGTCTCCCGTCACGGAGCACCGTTTCGAGAGCTGCGTTGAAATCGTTTCGCCACCAATGACTCACCGCGACTGTAAACGGGGCCGACGTCACTTCGTGATACCAACCGCTCGGAATAAAAATGGATTCGCCCGGCCCGAGCGTGAAGAAACGCCACGTCGGCGCCGTCTCGAGTTTTCCACACGCGTGGTTCGAGTCGTCGGCGCCGGCGCACACCCCCCCAAACGGCCTCTCACCACCACCCGCGCAGAACGAAGGTTGAATCAGGCGCACGCGCTTCTCACCCGACAACACCGCGAGAACGTTATCGTAGTTGTCGTAGTGCAAATTCGTCGTCGCCCGCTTCGCGCCGTTGACCCAGCAATGTCTCTGCGCGTCGTGCCTCTCGCAAAACCTCCGAAACCCTTCGTCGTAAAGCGTTCCATCGACATCCAATTCGCCCACGCGCGCCATCGGCACCTGCGCGGCGTACAGCGCCCGCGCGTCCCGTCGCTCCGACGCGTCCGCCAAAATCCCCTCGAACGCCTCCGCGTCCAGCTCCACCCCTCGCGCGACGCCCGGTCGTCCGCTGAACGCATCGCGCGCATCACCATCGCCGTCGTCGACCGCCTCGCGAGGCGCCCGTCTCTCGTCCCTCGTCGTCGTCGTCAGCGCCGACGTCGTCTCGCCCGCGCGCGGCGTCGCGCCCAGCGCGCGCGACAGCGCCGTCGCCGCCTCCCTCGCCCGCGCGCGTCCGACGCCCGCGATCGCGTCGACGCCGCGCGCGTTCACGAACGCGCGCGCGTCGTCTCCCGTCCACGCCGCGACGTCGCCGCGCGCGGACGCCTCGCGCAGTCTCGCCGCGGCAGACCAACCGTCATCGCCGTCGCGTCGCGCGCGACGCGCGCGCGCGTCGTCGTCGTCGTCGTCGTCGGCGTCGCGACGCGCGCGCGCGCGCGCGCGCATGCCCGCGTCGCGCGTCGCCGTGCGTCGTCGCGCGCGGCGTCGCGGCGTCGCGGCGTCGTAACACTAAACGTTGACGACACTGAGAGGCGCCACACGCGCGCGCGCGCGACGCACGGCGCGCGATGAGCTCGAAACACCTGCAGTTGAAGCGCGAGATCCTGCGCGCGATCGCCATGCTGGAGGACTACACGAGCGCGGCGACGGCGGACACGGACATGGAGATCGGGTCCGAACACCTTCGCGAGGCGCGAGGGATCGCGTTCTTGACGTCGTACACCGTGGGATTCTTCGGCGGAGGCACGTTCACGCACGGCGTGTTGATCGCGAAGAAACCCGGGAGCGAGGCGTGGGGCGCGCCCGTGGCGCTGAGCGGGGGCGGGGCGACGGGGATGTTCGGCGTCGGGTACAAGGAGGACGCGCAGGTGTACGTGCTGGACACGGATGAGGCGGTGGAGACGTGCTTCAGCGAGCAGAGCGTCAAGGTTGGACTCACGGCGAGCGTGTCGCTCGGACCGCTGGGTCGGTCGATCGATGGAAGCGCGTTCATCGGGATGGATTCAAAGTACGTCGACGGACGCGAGGCGCGAAAAGCCGTCGGCGTGCACCACTACTCGTATTCCAAGGGCGTCTTCATCGGCGCCGGGGTCGAGGTGACGTATTTTAGCACGCGAGACGATGATACGCGAGATTTCTACGGCCTCAACGACGCCAGCGTTCCCGAGGCGCAGTTACCGACGTCGAGAATGATCGTTCGCGGCGAAGTCGCCATCGACACCAACGCCCACCCAGAGGTGGAGCAGCTGCTGAGCGCCGTGCAGTTCGCCGCCGGGGACGAGCGTCCGGGGTCCGCCATCAACACTCGCGGCACGAGTTGGTCGACGACGATGTGACGGAACGCTAGATTACGATGTAAAGCTTTTTAAACGCGCGCGCGCCGGTTCGCAGCCTCGAGCGCCGCGCGCGTCGCCGCATCGCCCGACGCGCGACCGCGCGCGATGGCGCGCGTCGTCCGCCGGGTCGTCCGTCGCGGCGTCACGCGCGCCATCGCGCGCGCGGGCGCGATCGCGTGCGTCGTCGTCGCGCTGGGCGTCGTCGCCGCGCGCGGCCGTTCACCGTTCACCGCGCGCGAGACTTTCGCGCCCGAAACCATCGACGCGCGCTCGAGCGACGCGCGCTCGAGCGCGGCGAACGCGCGCGCGATGGTCGCGGACGACGCGCGCGGGCGCGCGATGGAGCGCGCGCCGGAGGCGACGCGACCGCGGGACGCGCGCGGAGACTTCGCGGGACGCGCGCGAGACGGCGACGACGGGACGACGACGACGACAACGCGCGACGCGATGGCGACGGCGCGGACGTCGACGCACGGTGAGTTGAGCGTGCCCGAGGCGTGGGTCGAACGCGCGCCGAAGGCGGCGCGAGGAAGGGCGTCGTGCGCGGCGCCGGGCGAGGCGCGAGAGGCGACGCGGGACGCGACGCTCGAGACGACGGCGTGCGCGCATCTCGCGAAACTTCGCTCGGAAGATTCCGCGGAGTTTGGATTTTTGGTCGTGTACGGTGGTACGATCGACGCGCGCGTGCGAGCGGCGAAAGCGTCCGGGGCGCGCGCGGTGTTGGTGGCGACGACGAGCGAGACGGAGAAGGCGACGTGCGAGACGGCCGGCGTGCCGTCGCATTTGCCGAGCGAGGGTGCGAGCAGAAACGAGGGAGGATGGATGACGGCGGCGGTGGTGCTGCAACGCGGGCACGCCGTCGCTCTGGCGTCGTCGACGGTGAAGTTCGCGTCGAATCCTTTGACGGCGTTGCTCGACGACGGCGCCGACGTGAGCGCGACGATTCGAGGAGACGGAAAGAGGAGCGCACGCGTGCAAGGCATGGCTGATCCCGCCATGGGGTGGTCGCAGTACTCGCAATCGATGGTGATTCCTCTCATTCGGACGACGTTCGTGGTGCTTCGACCTACGCGAGCGACGTATTCGCTCGTCCATTGGTTGGCGTCGGAAGCGTCCGACTTTGACGGAAGCGACGACGCTCTCACGGATGAAATTCTCCTACCAGCGCACGATGCGCGGCAGCGTGCGGGTGTATCGTTTCGATTACTTAATTCGGAGTGTTTTGCCGAAAAGGGGAGCGTCGCTCACGTGCCCGACGGTTCGACGCATTGGGACGGTCAGACGACGGATGAAAACGCCGTCGTGGCGCAAGAGCCCAACTTTAAGGATGCGAAGGCGCACGTAATGCGAAGGGAGAAATGTGGCATCGTGAAGGCAGACGAGAGAATAGGACCGAAGCCGCGAGAGCTGCGATACATCGCCGAGCCCGAGGGTGAGTACCCGGTCGCGTGCGACGAGTTTGCGGATTTGTGCGAGGTGGTTAGAAAAGTCGCGCGAAACCGCGAAGTTCTCGCGGCGGTGAGTAACAAGAACATCTTTCACATGCTTGAGCTGTACATCGATGGGTTGAAGCGGACGGGGATCACGAACTACGTCATTGTGGCTCTCGATAGCGAGACTGCGGATTGGTGCAAGCAGCGCGAGGTGCCGTACTATCACCGCGAGCTAACGTCAATCACAGGTAGTACTGACAATCACGCGACGTCGGGATTAAAGTTCCGAGTGTTGAATGAATTCGTATCCACTGGGACGTCGGTGTTGTTATCGGATGTGGATGTGGTTTGGATGCAAGATCCTTTCGCTGCAGGTGAGAGCGCGAGAAACAAACGCTTGATCTATCGAGACGCCGACGTCGAAGGAATGACCGATGGATGGGACGATCCGACGTCGTACGGTTTCTCATGGAACGGTCAGCGACGGTTGATCGCACGGAATAGCGGGTTGTTTTTCGTCGCGGCGACGCACGAGACGAAGGCGATGATGTCAAGACTCGCCGAACGCATGGCGTCGGAGAAGAATACGTGGGACCAGACGGCGTACAACGAGGAGCAGGTGTATCTCTGGGGTCAGTCCAAGCATAAGAAGTATTCTGGAACGAGCCAGCGCGTGATGAACTACATGTGTTTCCAGAATTCCAAGTACATGTTCCGCTTCATGCGTTACGACGAGGATCTGTACCCAGATCACCGACCCGCAAGCGTGCACATCAACTACCACCCTGAAAAGCCCGATCGCATGGTGTCCGTCATAGCGCAGTACTGGAAAGGTGAAGCAAATGCGATTGATGTCTGGAACTGGAGCGAAGGGAGGAAGGGAGCGAAGGAGTGTAAGTTGCGAGCGCAACACAACGGCATCGATAATTCGCCGCTCGCTCTGGCGATGTCGCAAAAGACGGAGACCGCACCCGGATCTTGGGGAGGTAATCCGGGATTAGTCCTTCATAAAGATGGTACACTCGACACGCCGTGGGGCAAAGGTAAATGGGGCATCGCGCCAGCTCAGGATGGTTCGCTTTTCATGGACTTTATCGGCGCCGCGCACATACTTTCCCTGGTGAGCGGCTCGCCCGACGACGACGCGCCGACGTTCGTGCTCAAGTCCAAACGGTGCACGGATGGCGACGAAGTAGAAGTGAAGATTTGATATTAGCAATGTTATTAGATTTAGATATTCGCGCGAGAGCAGACTTACTTCTTCGCCTTTTTGCGCTTCGGTCCGTCGTCGGATGAATCCTTTTCGGAAGACTTCTTCCCTTTTTTCTCCTTCTTCTCCTTCTTCTCCTTCTTCTCCTTCTTCTCCTTCTTCTCCTTCTTCACCTTCTTTTCAACGCGTTCATCCTTCGCCTTTGCCTCGACCGCCTCGGCCGTTTCGGCGTTCCCCGGCGTCTCGCCCGCCGCCCGCGCTCTCGCGCTCCTCGCCTTACTCTTGTGCTTCTTCCCGCTCGCGTGCCCCGACAGCGTCTCCTCGCTCGTGCACGACACCCCGCAGCACGAGCACCTCCACGGCGGCCTCGTCGACAGGAACTCCTCTCCGAACGTCTCGCCGCCGTCCCCGCCGCGTCGCTCCGTCCCCTCCGCCGCCACCGCTCGCGCCCGCTCGTGTCCCGCCGCCCCCTTCGTCGCCCCCAGCGCGTACTTCTCGTGCTCCGTCACGCACGCCACGTGATTCTGCACGCTCCGTCGATCGAACGTCGCGCTGCAGTCGATGCAACTGAACGCCTCGGCGGCGCAGCGGTTAAAGTGCGCCTTAATCTTCGGCTTCTTCAGCGTGTCCCCGCACGACTCGCACACGAACCACGGCATGCGCGCGACGTCGAGCGTCCGGGACGCGCGCGCGCGTCGCGAGCCGCGCGCGTCGGCGTCGTCGCGCGTCGCGAAGCGGCGCGCGCGTCCCGACCGCGTCCCGACCGCGTCCCGCGACCGACGCGACCGCAGAGCTCGACGCGCGACGACGCGCGCGCGACGACGCGCGCGCGACGACGCGAGCGACGCGCGACCGGACGTCCGACGCGCGCGCGCGCGCGACGGCGCGAGGACGCGCGCGCGACGCGTCGAGCGCGTCGGAGGCGCGCGAGGCGACGCGCGCGCGATAAACAATCGTAAAGGCGCGACGCGCGAGGACGCGCGCGCGCGCGACGCGCGCGATGGGACTGCTCAAGAGATTTCTCAGTCGCGCGCGAAGCTCGAAGCGAGGCGGGAGTAGGTCGGACGGCGTCGCGGACGCGGCGGACGAGCTCGCGGGGACGACTTTGAACGCGGACGACGCGGACGCGGCGCGCGTGGCGGTGAGCAACACGGCGAACGAGCATCACACGTACATACGGATCGAGTGCGCCGATCGCGTTGGGTTGATAAGCGAGATCGCGACGTACTTGACGCGGAAAGGGGTGAACGTGGTGCAGGCGGACGTGGTGCGGGACAGTCGACGCGTGTTGTACACGCTGTACGTGTGCGAGGAGGAGACGCGGTGTAAATTGAGCGAACAGTCGAGCGAGCAGGTGAGTCAAGAGTTGGAGGACATCGTGCGGAAGAAACCGGAGAAGAGGCAAGCCGCGCTGGAGGCGGTGACGGAGGAGGACCCAGAGGACACGGAGAAGTACGGCCCCTTCGCGGAGGAGGAGCGAGACGAAACGTTCGTGTCCAAGGAACGAAGCGTGCACGGCGTGCTCTTCGACGATAAGGATGTGGAAAACGCGACAGAGATTAAAATGCAAGTGCTAGATCGACCGGGGCTGATGGCAGATTTTTGTACCGCGTGCGTCGCGAGAGGTATTAGCGTGATTCGAGGAAATTTATTCACCGTCGGCGACACGGTTGAAAATTGTTTTTTACTTTTGGACATGAAGACCCACGGCAAGGTGAGCGAGACGGACTTGGCGTACATTAAGTCGGTTCTCCTTTTAAGGCGTCATCGACGCGCGATTTCGCAGCGATTTTCCATCCCTCGAGACGCCGATTTCGTCCCGACGGAGCAAACGTTGCCGGGCGTGAGCGAAGGCGCAAGCGGCATTCAAAACACGCAATACATCGACCTCGTGACGCCGCCGCAATCGTGGGAGCTCGATATTTTCGCATCGGCGCTTCGCTCGATTCCAGCCGTGCGTCACGCCGGTTTGGCCGGGCTTTTAGTCGAGGCGTTGAGCAAGGCGGCGACGCGCTTGGTGTTCCCGGAGGGGGCCACGGTGATACAAGCGGGAGAAGGCGCGGATACGTTTTACCTTCTCATTGATGGCAAAGTTAACGTCGTGCCGGATGGAACGACATTAAAGTCTGGTGACACGTGGGGTGAAGAAGTGCTCACCGAACCGACGCCGTCGCCTTCAAAGCTTGTCGCCGCGGAGGATTCTGTCTTGCTCGGCATCACGCGAAAAGTCTTCGCGGCGGTGATTCAAGACGTCATGTCCAAGGCGCGCAAGGCGGCGTACGATGCCGTCATACATTGTCCGGTGTTCAAGCCATTTGAACACGCGAGTTTAGAGGCGTTGAGTGAATTGCTCGTGCAGCGCGGTAGACGCGCTTACCGCGCCGGTGAAGTCATTTTCAGAGAAGGCATGCAAGTGAAGATGTTCATGGTGATGGACGGAGAAGTCGAGTGCTCTATGAAGGAAAACGGACGGACGAAGGTCAGAAAGATCACGAGCGGTGGATACTTCGGCGACGAAGTCTTGGCGGGAGAGACGACCATGCAAGGGGTGTACATTGCGCTCACGGATACGGTGATTTTGACGTGCACGCAAAACTTTGTCTTGCAAGTCATCGGTGTCGATTCCGTCGGCGCAGACATGGAGCCGAGTAGGCGCGCCGACGAAGAATCGGGCGTCGGAATTCCAGGTGCTGAGAGCCGGCAACGAGGATCGAGCAGCGCTTTGGCTGGTCTTCGGATCGCGGCGAATCCGAGCGCGCCTAACCTCAGCGCGCCGGTGTCGACGTTCTTGGATCCGTCGCCACCGTCGCCATCGAGCGGATCGCAATCGAACCTGTTATCAACGTCCAGCGAGCACCTACGTTTTGGCAAGAAGTTTGCCGCGTTTGGACGAGCGAAGAAGTCTCCGCAAGCTGGATCAGCGGGTCATTTGCCAGTGCTCGCGGAGGAGACGGCGATGTTGCACGAGCCGCCGGCGACGTCGCTTAAAGAGAAGCGTTCCTCAGCGCTCAGTGGCTCGCTACGATCGCACAGTCCCACGATCGTAGAGCTTCAAGGTACGAAGAGTCTGAATGAGTTCGAAGTCGTGGACATCCTCGGACAAGGCATGGTCGGTCTGGTGTTGCGCGCCAAGCACAAGGGCTCGGGCAAGGTGTGTGCGATTAAAACCATGCCGAAATCGCAAGTCATCGAAAACGGTGAAGAAGAGCATTGTATGGCAGAAAGGCGCGCGCTAGAAGAACTCCGCCATGCACCGTTCGTTTGCAACTACTATGCCTCGTTTCAGGACCCATGGGCACTATATCTCGTCGTCGAGGATTGCGTCGGCGATATGTTTGACTTGTTCAACAGAAGCGGATTACCCGGCATTGGGCAAATCAAAGTGTACACCGCGCAAGTCTTGCTCGGGCTGGAGTACATTCACAGCGCCGGGTATGTCTATCGCGACATGAAACCCGAAAACTTGCTCTTGCGCTCGGATGGCTCGATCACGATCGGTGACTTTGGATTTGCGAAAAAGTTGGAAAAAGGCCAACGCGCGTACACCATTTGCGGCACGCCGGATTACCTCGCGCCGGAGCTCATCTTGCATCAAGGATGCACGCGCGCGGCGGATATCTGGGCGTTCGGTATCTTGGTGTTTGAAATGATCGCCGGATTTCCGCCGTTTCGCGACCGACAGCGTCGCGATTTGTACAAACGCATCGTTCGCGCGGATTTCGCCGCCGTCCCCGTGCCGCGACGCATGGACAACGACGTGCACGAGATGTTGTCGCAAATTTTCGTGCGCGACGAATCGCTCCGCTTAGGCATTCGTGCGCCGGGCTTGGGCGCTATCAAGGGTCACGCGTGGTACGAAACCATCGACTGGGAAGCCGTCATGAGCGGCAAACTTCGCCCGCTTCATTTCCTCCCCGAACAGCTCTCGCGAGCCGACTTGTCGAGCATCAAAGACGCGAAGACGGGTAAGTTTACGTGGATGAACGGTCCGCCGCCGAACTCGAGCGAAGAAAAGTTCGTCGGTTTCTAATTTCTAAAAATGTTCAATACAATTCAATCAGCGAGTCGACGCCACGCCGCGCGAAACTCGTCGTAAATCCGCCGCTTTGACCGAATCGGACGTTGATCGCCGCCGTACGTGCGATCGTCGGCGCCGCAGTTGGCGCAACGCGAGTCCCAGTCTTCACCGAACCACCACGGCGACCCGCACTCCAAACACGGCATGTCCTCAAAAAAGTACCCGACTTGCCCGTCCGGAAACGTCTTTTCTGATTGCCCCGCGAGCGGCGGCGCGAAAGCCTCCGGAACGCGCACGTCCCGGAACGCGTCGCCGCCGCGCTCGCGCGACGTCGACACCGACATCGCCGCCGTCGACGCCACGACGCCGTCGACGCCACCGCTCGGGTAAAACGCCTTGTGTTTCACCCCGCGCTCGACCGCCTCCACGCCCGCGCTCGCCATCACCTCCGTCGCCGTCGGCCACGTCGAACCGCAGTACGACTCGTTCGCGCGATTCGTCTCGTCCGCGTCCTCGGCTTCGGTCAGCAAGCACGCGTCCAATCGCGCTTTAATTTTCATCGCGTCGAGATCGCGGCCTTCAAAAACTACGTGCTGCCTTCGATCGCCGAAGAAGACGCGTTCGCTCGCCTCCGCCGGCGTCTCGCACGCGCCGCGGCCGTCCTCGTGCCACGCGCCCGCGCACGCGACGACGACGACGCCGTCGTCCCCGTCGTCCATCCTAAAGATCCCGCGCACGTTCGGCCGGGACGCGATCCAAACCACGCCCGACGCCGCGCGCGCGCCCTCGAACGCGCCCTCGTCGCGCGCGGCGCCGGCGATGACGTCGTCGCCGCCGTCGCCGAAGCGCGCGACGTCAAAGTTCGCGCGCAGGAGCGCGGCGAAGCGCCGCGGCTCGAACGGCGCGCGCGCGACGTACGCGAACGCGTCGTCCGACGTCGACGCGGCGTCGTCGGCGGCGGCGACCGCCGCGCGATCCATGGCGCGGAGTGGCGGTCGGCGGTTGGACCGCCGAAGAGCGCGAAGAGGTTGCGCGGTACGATATTACAACAAACTAGGCGCGCCGGTCGTCACGTCGCGCCGTACGCCGGCGACGCGCGCGCGGCGGCCTCGGCGCGGTCCTCCTCGCGAATGCGCTCGACCCAATCCGGCTCCGGGTGGTCGACGTTCCACTGCGCGAAGAAAACCGTCGGCGCGGGTCCCTCGTCGCCGCGCGCCGACGCCTCCATCGCGGCGCGCTCGTAATCCTTGAGCATCTCCGTGAAACGGGCCTGACGCTTGGCGTGAACGCGCGCGCCCATGCCGTAACGCGGCCAGCACGAGCCGCAGCACCCGAAACAGCACGCGAACCAAAACGCCATGTGCACGACGAAGTACGCCAACGCCAACGCCAACGCCAACGCCGCCGCGGCCAACAACAGCACCAGCGCCAAGAACCCGATGAGTTGCGCCAACACCGGCGTCGCCATCGCTTTGATCAACCACGGCGGCAGATGCACCGCCGCCGCGCCTTCCTTGCTCTGCCACTCGCCGAAGGAATCCGCGTTCGCGTCGCCGACGTCGACGCGCGCCGCGTACAAGTCGTACGCCGCCCTCAGCGCCGGCGTCGTCAGCGTCGAGTGCGCCGAGGTGACGATCGCCATCGCGTCCGTCGCGCGCGGGTCATCGCACTTGTCCGGGTGCAGCACGCGCGCGAGGTTTCGGTACGCCTTCTTCACGTCCGCCGCGCTCGCCGCGCGCGGGAGTTCGAGGACGCGGTAGTAGTCGCGCTGCGTCGCGAGCACGCGCGCGCACGCGGCGCGACCGGACTCCGCGCGCGCCTCGCGCGCGGTCTCGACGTCGGAGAGATCCGACGTCGACATCGCCGGGCGCGCGACGATGTCGGCCGCGCGAGATGTCGCGCCCGGTCGGTCGGCGCGCGCAAAGAAACCGTAACACGCACGAACGCGCGACGTCGCGGTTGGGGGGGGACAAAAATCGTGGATGTCGTATATTACGGTCCTTTCGGCCATCTATGCCTCGTTAGCTCAGTTGGTAGAGCGCACGCCTTTTAAGAGACTCTAATCAGTCTTCGACGGCGTAAGCCTAAACGCGCGAGGTCGCACTCGCGACGCACAACGACACGACGAGGGCGCGCGAGCGCCCGAGAGCTGTTCAAGGACAGCGTGTGGTCACGGGTTCGAGCCCCGTACGCGGTATCTTTTTCATTCTTTTTATTTTTTTTGTTCTTTTTGTGTTCTTTTTGTTACGTTTACAACCCGAGGCGCAGCGCGAAGAGGCGCGCGAGCCGATGACGCCACGGGAACACGAACGCGGCGAGCGCGAGGCATAGCGCGAACGCGAACGCGAACGCGAACGCGCGGCGACGTCTCGCGCGGCGCTCGTCGCTCGACGCCGACGTCGCGTCGTCGTCTTCGCTCGCGAATCCGTTCGAGCGTGACCAACGCGCGAGCAAGTCGTTGATTCGATCTTGACGCGGACGCCTGAGCATGGTGAACGAATCGTTGAGCGAGACGCGCAAGGTGGCCGCGCCGCGCTGAAGCCACGGCTCGCCGTCGATTTGCACCGGCAAATCGCGCTTGAGCTCGATGCGGACGTCGCATCCTTGCGCCACTTGCACGGGTTTGGCCAATCGCGCGTTGAGCTGTCCTAAGTGCAGCGCCCCGCTCACGGCGACGATCTCCAAGACGCCGTCGTCTTTGAGCGATTTCGTAAACTCGTCGCTCGTCGCCCACATCCGTACGCCGCCCGAAAAGGAATTAATGTTGAGCAAGATGATCCCTTCGGTGTCTTCGGGGAAATCGATCACTTTTCCATCTACCGTGACTTCGACGTCGCGCTTCAACCCGGCGAACGAGTGCTCTATGAAATCGCGCGCGCCGAAGACGGCGTACAGGAGCTTGTTGGTCAGCGCGTGGACGAACAGCCACGTCCAACGACGATCTTTACGCGCGCTGTCGAACGCCAACGCCGCGCGCGCGTCGACACCGATGCCCATGTAATTGCTAAACAATTTCTTCGTCGTCGATCGTCGTCGCGGGCGAGTGATTTCGAGCGACCATCGATCGACGCGTTGCAGTCTCGCGCGCCGAAGCGTGCTCACGACGCGCCGCTCGCTAAACAATCTCGAATCATCCCACACGTCGCCGGACCAACCTAACACGCGCGCCAGGTCGTTACCGGTGCCCAAGGGCGCGATCGCGATCGGCGGCGGCTCGCGACGCCGCCGTCGAAGCGCGTCCACCACCATTCCGACCGTACCGTCGCCGCCCGCGACGAGCACGCGCGTCTCCGCGTCCCAATCCACCTCGCCCCGATCGATCGCCCCTCGCACTTTCGTCGCGTCGAGCACCACGTGCGGCGGTTTCAGCGTCTCCCTCAACCGCCGCAGCACCTCCCTCCCCCGCCGTCCTCCCGATTTCTTATTCACGAAGACGAAGACCTTCGTCGCGCCGCCTTCGTCCCCGCGCTCGTCCCCGCGCGTCCTCGCCACCGCGCGCACGCGTCGCCTCCCGCGCGACGGCGCTCTCCGCGCGCCCTCGCGACGCCATCCGACGCGCGCCGTCGTCGCGACGCTCATCGTTCGCGTCTTCGCTCCGCCGCGCGTCGCGTCAGGTACGCGTCCAGCGCTCGCTTCGATTGCGGCGGCTTCGGGCCCTCCGGCGGGTACACCACGTACGCGCGCTGCGTCGCGAACCGAGATCGACGTCGAGCGCTTCGTCAGTCGACGTCCGCGCGCGCGCGTCGCGCGTCGCGCGCGTCGCGTCGCGCCCGACTCGAACGAAACGCACGTTTCGAATGATGCCGTTCAGGTTGTCCGGATTGAACGCGAACGTCACCGTGAGCGCGATCGGCACCGCGAGGTACGTCGCGAACTTGAACCCCTCGAGCCAGGGCTTGCCCATCCCGGCGCGCGCCGCGCTCCGCGGCGAACGGGTGAACGACGCGCGCGGTCGGCGAAAATCGTCCCGCGCGCGCGTCCCGAAGCGCCGAGCGCGGCGCACCGCGACGCGCGAGCGCCGGACGCGGCGCTTCGGGACGCGAAAAGGCGCGCGCGATGCGCGAGGGCGTCGACGCGCTCGAACGGCGCGCGCGGGCGCTGCGAGAGGAGCTCGAAAGCCGCGATGGGATGCTCGAGGCGGTGCAGACGCAAGCCAAGATGGACGTCGAGAGCGCGCGACGCGAGCGAGACGAGGCGCGGCGAGAGGCGAAGGCGGAGAAAACGATGCGGATGGAGGCGGCGGCGATGGCGCTGACGGCGCTCGAGGCGAAGGCGCGGTCGGAGGCGGCGATGGAGGCGAGGGACGAGGCGACGCCGCGCGAAGTCGAAATGCGGCGCGAGCTCGAGGACGCCGAGGCGAGACTGAAGCGCGCGGAAGAGGCGGTGCGGGCGAGAGGCGCGGGAGACGGTGACGTCGCGCTTACGCCGGGGCGATCGCCGAGCGCGGCGTCGTTCGCGAAGAAGGTGGCGCTCGTGGAGGCGCGCGTGCGCGGCGACGTCGAACGCCGGCGAGACGAATTGCTGCGTTTTTTGCGTCGAGAGCGAAAGGGTGGGAACGCGCGCGGGCGCGGCGGCGGCGGCGGCGGCGGCGGCGATGGTGGCGCGGACGAGGTCGACGTCGAACGCGCGCGCGGTGCGGCGACGCCGACGACGTCGGATACCGCTTCGGACGACGGCGACGCGTCGCTCGGGACGGACGCGCGCGGAGCCGCGGTGGAGTGGGGCGTGGCGCAGAGCGAAGCGTATTCGACCGTCGTCGAGCTCATGAAGCGAGTGATGATGGTCTTAGAGCGCGCGAGCGAGCTGGCCTCCGTGGACGACGCGGCGATGTCGACGGATGAGGACGACGTCGAGACGAAACGTTCGTGGTCGGCGGCGGCGGCGGATTTGCGCGATCCCGATCCCACGCTCGAGCAGCTCGTGCGCTGGCTCGAAGCCGTCGAACTCGTCGACGATGAAGAGCACGCGGTGACGCTGCGCGAGCTCATGGCGCGCATGTGCGCTTTGACGCACGCGGTGGTGTTTTCGCTCAAGCGCGCCGTCTCCGCCGCCGCGGAAGCGCGGGAGGAAACCTCGGAGGCGTACGCCATCGCCGAGGAAGCCGCGGAGGTGTACCGCTTACACCTCGCTCAGGCCGAATCTCGCGCCACCATGGCCGAGCGTCGCGCCGTCGCCGCGGAAGAAGCCACCGAAACCATCACCGAGCTGTGCGCCGACGCGCGCCGGAACGCCGAGGCGAGCGCTCGCGTCGCCGAGCACTCTCGCCGCGAGCTCCGCCGCCGCGAATCCGAGCTCGCCGTGCGTGAAATTCACGCCCGAACGACCGCTCGCGAATCATCGACGCAAACTTCCGAAATCGCGCCACCGGCGCGCGCCAGCCTCGCCCCGTTCCCGACGCCGCCGCCCAAGTCGTCGCGCGCCGACCAGAGCGCCAGTCCGACGCTCCGCGAGCTGCAAAATTTGCGCCTCGCCTTTGCCGAATTCGCCCAGCCCACGCCCGCGAGACCGACGTTTGGCGCCGATTCTTAGCGCCCGACGGCGTCTCCGAAAACGCGTCGAATTGTAATCACGACCCGCGACGCCGCCCTTCGTCGTCGATTCGCGTCTCGCCGCGTCGGCGCGCTGTTTCCCCTCTGCTCACATTCGGCCGTTCGCGCCCCACACCGCGACGTCTCGACGTCGCGCGACGCCCGCGAGCGGTCAGTCGCGTCGTAAAACGCGCGTGCGACGCGCGCGCGCGCGCTCGAGCGCGCACCGCGAGGACTCGCGCGCGCGTCGACCGTTCGATCGCGTCCCCGACGAACCCTCGCGATGGGTTGTTTGAGCTCCAAACCCGCCGTGGACGCGCCGACGGTCGACGCGGACGCGACGTCCGGCAAGTCGTCGAGCGAGGCGAAAGCGCCCGAGAGCGCGGCGGCGGCGAAGGGCGCGAAGGGCGCGGCGGCGAGCGATTTTCAAGAGGTGAGCCTGAGCCCGAAAGCCGGCGGCGGCGGCAAACGCGGGAAAGGAGGCGACGCTCCGGGAACGCCGATCGCGAAACCGTCCAAGGTGGACGACGCGATGGTGAAAGAGATGGAAGCCGCGGTCGAGAGCGTGGCGAAACCGACGGCGAAGGGGGTGAAGACGATTCCGAAACCGAAGCCGGCGACGGAGGGGAACGGAGGAGACAACGGCGACGGAGGGGCGGAGAAGTCGAAATCGCAGAGGAAGAATGAGCGCAAACGAGAGAGGGCGAAACAGAAGAAGCTTGAAGACAAGGCGAGAATAGCGTCGGCGTCGATGAAGAATTCCGTGAACACGGAACGCGACCTCTACTAGGCGCGCCCGTCCTGTCCGTGGTACTACGCCGCTTAGCGCGTTCGAACGGTATAACAACATCTATATTAACTTTCTACGATGAACTTCGTCCTCATCCCGGATACGACGACGGCTGCGGCGGGGGCTGTCGGGAAAAACTTCCCGTGTAGTACCCCGCGTAGTACCAACTCAAGAGTAAATTCGCGAGCTCGTCCGGGTCGTACCCGTCGTCTTCGTACGACCGCGCCGTCTCGAGCGCGGACTCCGTCATATCCGGAGGCGCGCGCGGTGGCGTCGCGCGAATCCCTCGCGGCGTCATCGGCGGCGCGCGATGAGGATACCCACCGTATTCGCCGGGCGACGGCGGCGGTCCTCGCGGCGGTCCTCGCGGCGGTCCTCGCGGCGGTCCTCTTCCGCGTCTAAACGGCGAGAACGCCGCAAACTCATCCTCAAAGTACCCATAGTCTTCATCTCGCGCGGCGTAGTACCCACCGTACGCGTCGTACGGGTCGTGGCCTCGTCTCGGCGGCGGCGGCGGCGGCGGCGCGCGACGGCCGTACTCGTACTCGTACTCGTCCCCGTACGACGTCTCGGCGTAGTAATGCGGCACCGGCGACGCCCGCGCGCGCGTGTGTTCGCTCGACCGCGGCGTCGCCTCGCGCCGCGCGTCGCCCGAGCGCGTCGGCGCGTCGTTCGCGCGCTCGTCCTCGTTCGAGCCTCGTCGTCGCGCCGTCGGCGCGTTCGACGGCGCGCCGTGCCTCGCGATCGCGTCGTCGTACGCGCGGACGAGCGCGGTGTCATCCCAGGCGTCGGCGTCGGCGTCGTACGGGCGCATCGTCGCGATGACGGCGGTGTGTGACGAGACGCGAGGCGAATCAAAGCGTGTTACACGCGCGTTTACGAGGCGAGGCGCGTTCGGCGAACGTCACGCAAAGGCGAATCCAGCGCTTCCGTGGCGCAGCGCGCAAAACAAGCGCTCTTCGAGCAATTCTTTCGATGGGTAGCGCGGCATTTGAAGCGTGTTGAAGCACGTCCAGGCGGTGGGGAGCTTACTGGCGTCGCGGTGAAGACCGACTTCGATGCTCCACGGAGGACACAGCGCGGCGAAAGAACCGACCGGAAGTAAACTACTCCCGGTGGAGAATTGGAGGAGACGAGATTTGTCGTCGTTGTTCATGCGTTCGACCACGTCCCAAAACCATTCCATCTCTGGACTTGGTGAGAAGGAGGCGTGTCGGCGCCATTCCTTGGGGTCGATCGATTGCGAGCCGGCGGCGACGAGGCCAAACTCTTCGGGCGCCAGCACCTCGATCTGTGATTTTCGCATGATTTGGAGCAAACCTGTGCGGATCGCGTGCACGGATGCGTCGTCTACGATGCTCGACACCATTTCGCGAATTTTTTGTCGCTTGAATGCTTGCAAGTTTGCCTTCGTGACGTCTGTCTCTTCGTTCGTCGTCGGATCGATAAACGTGAGACAGAGCGATTCGACGTCGTCGGTTTCAAGCACAACCTTGATCGACTTCACCACTGCGGGCTCAACGTCGGCGAGATCGTCTAGAGTGAACGCGTCACATTTTTCGTTGGCGATGACGCGCCTCAGGAAGACTTTGGAGAACGGAATCGGTAAAACGGCGCTGCCGAAGAGCACCACGTGCGCCAGAAGTTCGCCGAAACACTGGAGCTCTTTCAGCACGCTCGGGCGGTCGATACCTTCCTTACGTTTGTACGTGCGCGCGTCATCCTGTGTAAATAGCTGGCGGTCGGCTCTGTTTCCATCGCACAACTCGTTCGCCATCAAGCTGAACGCTTCACGCGTTGGTCCCGGACCTACTGAAACATCCCCCGATGGCTGCCGCAAGCCCCAACTGAGATGTCGAATCTTCAAAATCTTTGGCGAGACGGACCAGACATTTACGAAAAAGTCGTGCCAAGCGTCTTGCGCAGACAAGGTGAAACTTTTCGAGAGAGCTAAATTTTGCAATCCATATTCATTGAGCCACGTATTGCGCAAGAACGACACGCGGTTGGCCAAATTGATAATAGTAATCGCTCCACATTCGCGCAGCATGTTCATGACAGGGCCCAAGAGCGACATGTCTCTCCTGATGCAGTTGTTTATCGCATCGTAGTACGCTGGTTTGGCTGCGAGCAAATTCAAAACCTTTTGTACCTGCAACTTGGACTTCCCATCGTCCTCCGATGCCACCGCAGTGAACATGGTCTGCAATTGCTCCGAGACTTGTTTCTCGAGCAAGTATAAAACTGCCTCACTCTTTTCGTGAAAATTGGCGTAGAGCAACGGAATCCAACCCATTTTGTCAATCGCTAGTCTGTTGGCGCCCTTCTCGAGCAACACTCGGATCGTCTCGTGCCGTCCTTCCATAGATGCCCAATGCAATGGCGTCGAATCGTTGTAGTCTTTCACCTTTAAGCACGATGGATCTTCCTTTAGAAATTTCTCCAAACAAACCACATTTCCGGCGACGGCGGCGATGTGCACCGCAGAACATCCTTCTTGTGGCTCTTGACATCGTATCGCGATTCGCACTGCGCGTTGGCCGTATGTTCTGGCATCCCTCAAGAGCGCTTCAACGCAAGACCCCCACTCGGGACCTGCACCCGCAGCGATCATCAACGGCGTGCGTGCGCCGCGAGCGTCTTCGTCGAACACCGCAGCCACGGGCATGACGCGCCCTTTCGGTGGTGACTCCGCCATAATCGCCGCTGCAACGCACTCCGCGCTCGCTTTTTCGTTATCCGCCGCCGAATGGACGAGTGTGCCGCCCGTCGCTGAGGTCGGCCAACCGCCGGTGTCACCACCTCGACAGAACTGCGCCAATCCGATTTGGTCCCTCACGGCGTGAACGAAATCCACGTTGCCTCGTTCGCACGCGATGTGAAGCGCGTCGGCGATGTCCGTGATGTGCGGTTTCTTGGATCCCCTCTCGTTCAACTGACCATTTACTCGAATACCATTCGCCAAGAACTCGCTCGCTACGTTTATGGCGTTGTGCGCGGCCGCGGAGATGAGCACGCGACCCGGTCGAGGTGTCTCCTCTAGACGTGAGAGAGCGCGTTTCAACGCTGCGACGTCGTCGATGCTCAGAGCCTCGTCAACGCTCGATCCCAGACTCAGCCGGGTTCTTCGAGGCGTGAAGTCAACTTCAGTCGCAGTCTCGTCCTCGTCGTCGTCGACGACAAAATCCAATTCGGAAGAATCCGAAGACGACGCGTCGTCCTCGACGATTGATTCGTCGTCCACATCCATCGTTGGACGCAACAATGAAGAGACGTGTCTCGCCGCGTCGGCCGCTTTTCGTTTCGCCCTCGCGCCCACTCGTGTGCTCGCGCGTCGCGGCGTCTCGACTCTCACGGTTTTTTCTTCGTCCTTTTGTCTCTTCGTCGACACTCTTCTACGTTTACGAATCGGCTTGAAATCGTCGTCGTCGTCGTCGTCGTCGTCGTCCGATTCGAATGGATTCGAAGCTTTCATCCGCCTTCGTCGACGGACCGCACGAACACCGTCGTCGTCGTCGTCCGATTCGAATGGATTCGAAGCTTTCATCCGCCTTCGTCGACGGACCGCACGAACACCGTCGTCGTCATCCTCCTCACCATCTTCGTCGTCGCTTCCGCTCCGCCTTTCATCGTCGCCTCCGCTCGCCTCGTCGTCGTCCTCGTCGACGAGCCACTCTTCCTCCGATTCGCTCGCCGAGTCCAACTCGTCGTCGCTAAACTTTTCCATCCCCACCACGCCTCGCACTCGACTCCGATAATCGTACCGCGTCGGTTTTTCGCGCGAGCCCCGCGCCGTGAACAGCGTCTTCGCGCGCGCGTCGTCCGGCCACGCCGCCGCCGCGCGTCGTCTCGTCGTCTCGCGTCGTCTCGACCGCCGCGCCGTCCTCTCCGCGCGCGAACGCATCGTCGTCGCGTCGCGCGCGCGCGTCGTCGCCGTCGTCGCCGTCGTCGCCGTCGTCGCCGTCGTCGCGCTCGTCGCGCTCGCGCTCGCGCGTCGCGCGCGGCGCGAGCGCGCGACTGTGCGGAGTAACCGTCGTAACTGTCCCGTCAGACTGTCGACGCCGAGGCGACTGCGAGTCGTGCGGTGTGATGTAAATGTACAAGGACGCTAGGCGCGATCAACGCGGCGCGGATGGCAAACGCGCGCCCTCGCTCGACGCCTCGTCGCGCGCGTCGACGCCGCCGAGCTTCTTCGTCACGACGTCGAGACCGACGGAGACGCCCTCGCCGATTTTCTTCGTCACGCCGTGCTTTTCGTTAAATTCGCTCGCCGCCCTCGCGGTGCCGGTCACCGCCTTGGCCGTCTTCTCGCGTATCTTATACTCGTCGTCCAGCTTTTTCACCGCCTTGGCGCCCGTCGCGCACGCGGCGGCGGCTTTCGTCGTGACGGCGTGCTCGCGATTCCATCTCTTCACGCTCGAGTACGCGTTCGCCGCCATCTTTCCCGCCCCCGAGCACGCGCTCCCGACGCCGTCGCGCCGCGTCGTGCCGTATGCCATCGCCCCCGCGCCGACGACGGCGCTCACCGGTCCGAGCAACGCGAATCCCGCGCACGCGCCGACCGCGGCGGCGCCGCCGACGACGCGCGCGCCGCCGGCGTCGCGCGTCTTCGTCTCCATCGTCGTCTTCGCGCGCGCCGCCCCGCTCGCGACGCCGACGAGCGAGGTGTAATCAACCGTCGTCTCGCGCGTCGTCGCCTCTAATTCGTCCGCGCGCGCGCGGTATTCGCGCGCTTTCCGTCGCAATCCATCGGCGCCGTCGGCGTCGGCGTCGGCGTCGGCGTCGAGCGCCGCCGCGGCGTCTCTGTACGCGCGCGCGGCGGCGGGGAAGTCTCGCGCGACGTCGAGTTCGACGGCCGCGCGCGCGCGCTCGAGCGCGCGCGCGGACGCGGGCATGGGCGTCGCGGAATGGCGCCACCTGTCGGTTCGGTCGGTTTGAAATTGAAAGTCGACGCGGCGACGACGGACGCGACGAGGTCGACGCGGCGACGGAGATCTATCTAATCGCTGGATATCGTATAAAACAAACAACTGCGGCGCGACGGCGCGCTCGACGTCGAATCGCGCGCGACGCGGCGACTACGCGCTCGGACGCCGACGGCGGACCGACTACGTCGGCCGCGCGCGCCCGCGCCCTCGACCGCGACCGCGCCCTCGACCGGCGCTCGCCGCCGCCTTCGCGCGCGGTTTCCCTTGCTTGGGCGTGTCGTCTACTAACAAAGTGTCCAGATTCAAAGAGTCCGGAAGGATGTAATACCGAATCGTGTTCCCTCGAACGCTCAGGTGTTCGACCGCCGTCGGGTTTTTACCCTTGAGCGTGAGCTTCACCTGCTTCAGGTGCGTGTTCATGCTCACGTCCACGCCTGTCGATCGCGCGCGACGCCGTGATTTTCGCGCTCGTCAGTCTTCGCTCGCGTCGCTCGCCCTGCGTCTCGTCCCTCTCGCGTCTCGTCTCCCGTCGAGTCTTCTCGCCGCGTCCCGATCGTCGCCGCGTTTCCCGCGTTTCGCATTCGCGCTTCTCTCGTTCGTCCTCGCGCGTCGTCCTCGCGCGTCGCGCGCCGTCGTCGTCATCGTGCACGCACCCATGATCGTCCCGTGCGCCGTGGTGCCGTTCTTGAGCTCTATCGTCACGCTTTCGTTGGAGAGTTTCTGCAAAAACCGCACGAGCTTCATGGCGTCGCGTCGCCTTCGAGCGTCGTCGACGCGCACCGCGCGCGCGACGTTCGCGCGACGGCGTCGGTGCGCGTCCGCGTTCTCGAGCCGCGCTCGTTCTCGGGCGCGCGCGTCGGTGCGCGCGGCAAAGCGCGACGACGAGTGCGGCGAAACGAGAATCCAAAATCCAGAATCGCGCCGGCGGCGACCGCGCCCAGCGAACCGGGCCGAGCGCGACGCGCGACACGGCGGGGAGGCGCGCGATGGAGAAAATGTGAGGAAATATGAGAAAATACAGAGATGAGTGGAGCGATGATCGACTCGAACGCTCGAGCGCGAGACGCGCCGGAGGGACGCGTCGATCAGTCGAACGCGCCGTAATCGTCGACGCGCGCGCGGCGAGCGTCGTCGAGGCGGCGGCGGCGAAACGCGGCCGAGGCGAAGGCGGCGGCGAAGGCGACGACGAAGACGGCGGTGAGCGCGGATGGTGACGTTGGCGACGACGCGCGCGCGCTGAAACGCATGCGAGAGCCGAGGGAAGATTTGGACGCGGGCGTCGCGCCGTGACCGAAGTGCGTGAATCCCACCCGGTCCTCCGTGCTATCGCTTTTGCTGAAGCCGCATTTGTTCTTGCTGGCTTGGTAGTCGAAGGCGACACAACCCGCGCAGGCGTCGCAGAGCTGGGCGCAGAGCGTTTCGTACGTACCTTCGATCGCTGCGGCGCAGCGCGAATCGCCGGAGTTGCCGCAGCACCGGGCGTTGTACTTGGCAAGCTTTGTGTTCGCCGTTGGCGTGTACGGTTGCGGCGGTGACGGCGCGGGGCACTTGCCCGCGGACGGGCACTCGGCAAACAAATCCGTCGTGTACCAGTTATCGCCGCCCGCCATGACGGCGTTATGCACGGTGTTGGTGTAATCGGCCAGTATCATACCCATTGGCTGAGCCTCGCACTCGTCGTCGTCGTCGCCGAGACGCGCCGCGGATTGCGAGGCGGCGCTCGCGCCCGAGGGCATGATCGGCATGGGGGCGAACAGTACCTGAGCGAGAATATTGCCCGTCTTCGGCACTTGCGCGTAGCCACCAGCGCCTGCGAGTGAACCTGCGCATGCTGCTTGATTTTTGCTCGAATAAGAGAATCCGTCGGTCCATTTTGGCACGAGCTCGCCATATCCCGAGTCGCAGTTGGCGAAAGCCCAGGTGTCGACCCCGACGTAGACGTCTTGGCGCGCTTTGATCCATGGGCCGACGCAGTGAGTCCCCGCGCACAGCGCTATCCAGCCTTTCTTTATCTCAACACTCGCGCCTACCTGCGCGCTCGACTTACCGGCTGCGGTGTACGTCGGAACCAAGTTCACGGCGGGCGAGCCCATGGCGAAGTTTGGTGTATTCGAAAGTTCGAGAGATATCGGGATATCGATATCGAGACCCAAGGCAAAAGATGCCTCCATGTCGATGTTGACGTAATATGGCATCGAAAGCAACACGTCGTATTGAAGCGCCGCGGTTAAACCGGGAAACAGAGGGGCGACGTGGACGCCCGCAAAGCTATTTGGAATATCGAGCTTGTCGATGATGTCGCCGATCTTGTAGACGCTCGCCTTCGCATTGATGGACGTGTCTCCTTTCACGTTGATTGACATATCCGCCTTCACGACTGTCGTGTCTGCCATAGATTTAAGAGCCGTCTGCAAATCGTCGGCGAAATCATTCAGGACCTTTTCGAACAAGTTCTCGCCGCCCAGAGACGGCACGTCATCGCGCGACGGCGTCCGTGTTGTATGCGTCAAGTATTCGGGCGAATGAATGGTGTCAGATATTTTCAAAAGTTCCTCCAGAACGATTGTCTCCGTCTCTGCCATCCGGTTTTTGACTTCGACGTATTTCCTCAACAGATGTTTGCGGTCGTCGGTGGAGAAAGACGGTCGATCATACGATCCGAGCGCCGCCGACGACCCAAACATGTCCTTTGTCAGATCTTTCACGTCATCCACGACTTTTTTCAGTCCGCTCTCTTCGTAAAGTGCTGCAAAGAGCGCTTCGAACATATCACCAAAAGCATTCACCAGTTTCGTCGCAACTTTCTCGTCCACCTTAAACTGCGTGATCTCGCCACAGATGTTGAATTCCAGGCCCGGCATGTTCACAACGACGGCACCCGGTGAGTCCGATATATTCTCCAAGGCCTTCGGCCAAGGCATTGGGAAATCCACCTCGCTGCTACACGCGAACGGGATGTGATAGCAACACTGCCCAGCGCCTAGATTAGGAACGATTGGACGCGCTGAGTGCGTCGGAGTCGAGTCGCCCCGGAACGCAGCGCGCACGCCGCGATGAATGTCATTTACGAGGGCGAGTCGTCGCTCTTCGCGCGCGGCTCCGAGCGATGCCGTGGAACTCGACGATGCGCATATTGAACCCTTGACGTTATTTTCGATGAACGATACGACTTCGGACGACGAGCTCGCAACCGTACCCCAGACATGTTCCACCAAGTTGCGGAGTTTATTTTCGAGGCCGTTGGCGATGTCCTCCAAAGCGTCCGTAGCTTCGTCGAGGACGTTTTGCAATATCGACGGTAACACTCGCAGATCGAGAAAGGCGTCGACCGTTGACGTCGTGGCTATTTTCGCCATCGACTCCATCGCTCTAAACGCGTCGTCGGCTTCTTCGAGCAGATTACAGACATCGCCCGGCCCACCCAGTGTTTTGCAGGGTAATGCCAAATCACCGAGTGATCTGATGTTCTTTATCTGTGTAATCGCACTCGCCGCTTCTTGCATCTCGCAGTAACCTGGAATATTGACGCACAAGTTCGTGCACTTGTTTGGAATTTTAAACTTCGTCGTCGGGACTCTGATGCATTTCTTAAACTTCTTCCCGAGAATTTTGATTTTAGCGCAGACTTTCGGCACCTTGATCTTATACTCGAGATTAAGACCGAGGTCACCAGCGCACATTTTGTAGCAGATTTTGTCGTCTGAGGGCGAAGAGCACGAAGCCGTTACTGTCTTCGTCATGACGCTTTCGTCAACGGATCCGGAGACGTCGTCGAGGTGTTCATCGGTCATCTCTTCGTCCAACTCGTCGAAGTCTCCATCATCTAAGTAATAACTTGAATACTGCTCTTTGTAATCGTCAACGTCCACCATTTGTTCCACCGGAAATTCTTGCTCTGCGAGCTGCTGAAGCGATGTCGCATCCGCGGTCATACCTTCAGCGGCAAAACCTTCTTCGATCTTCGCCTTGACGTAATCGACCACGCACTCTCGGAAAGCGTGATTAACCATTCCAGGGTGTAGAGGATATGGCGCCCCCACGCTCCAATACGCTGTCGGATACGAATCGAAATTGCAATTCGAGCACGCCGAAGAATCCGTCGTCGGATGTTTGGCCAAACATCCCGATTCAAAGACGTACTTGTTCGCGTCGCACCAACCGTGATACAGCAGCTCGCGCGAACACCCACTCAATTCGTCCGTCGGTTCGCTCGGGATGATGCAATACTTGCTCGTGTCCGCGAGCATTTGACACACTCTTCGCTGGTATTTATCGAACGTGTTGCTTCCGCCCGACTCGCACGCCGCTTCGGGGTAACACGCCGTCCCCGCCGTGTACGCGACGGCCGTCCCGCTCGCCATCGCGAGCGAAACCATCGCGCCGGCGGCGCTCGCGCGCGTCCACATCGCGCGCGCGCGCGCCGAACGTTCGACCGAATCATCGAATCCACGTCGGCGACGTTCCGTTCGCGTCGTCATCGTCGTCGTCGTCGACCCAGCGCGCGCGCGTCTGCGGCATCCCGGGTGTCGAAAAACCGTTTCTCACTGCGCGCCATACGAACGCGACGGCACGCGCGCGCGCGCGGTCGCGCGACGTCGGCGATGACGCTCGGCGCGCGCGCGACGACGACGACGGCGACGACGACGCGTCCGCGCCGGCGCGCGGGCGTCGCGACGCGAACGACGCGGACGCGGACGCGAACGACGCGAAAGGGTGCGAAACGACGACTCGAGCGGGACGCGGACGCGGACGCGCGGTGCGTCGCGCGCGAGGCGAACGGACGAGACGCGGACGGTGAAGCGAACGCGGACGCGGAGGCGGAGGCGTCGTCGTCGATCGCGGTGATCGAAAACCTCGACGCGGCGACGCAAGAGGAGTTGGAGACGCTGTACGTGGCGTGCAAGGAGAAGTACTTTACGGGCGCGCCGGCGGTGAGCGATGAATATTTCGATGCGCTGGAGGCGAAGTTGTCGTACGCGGGGAGTGGGGTGGTGAAAAAGTATCCGCGGTGCTCGGTGCGCGGGAAGGCGGTGTATTCGGATTGCGTGGTGGATGAGGCGCAGATGCGCGCGCTGCAGACGTCGTACCTGGCGATTTTGGCGCTGGGGACGCTCTTCGCGTTGGTGGATTTCGGGGACGACTTGCGCGCGGTTTTTTCGGTCGTGCTCGGTGATCACGGGCCTAATGTGCCGCAGTTTCGCGTCCCGATCGTTGGCTTGGTGGGATTAGGTTTGATTTCGCGCGGACTGGAAAAGTTGAACGCGGCGTCGACGGGCGAGACGCTCGCGATGACGGGTGAGTGTCCGGCGTGTCACGAGGATGTGTACGCGTTTTTACCCGTACGGCGAGGGCAGGCGCGAGAACGCACGGAGTGCCACGTGTGTGGTAGGAAAATCGTGTTCGAAACGCAGTTTGAACGTCGAGAGACGTCGCCTTGGCGCGTGACGGGCAAAGGAAGAATATATCTCGTCAGCGAAATCGCCGACTTTTCAGTCGATAAAAGCGCCGACGACGATGCGTAGGGTTGTAGTTCAGCTGTAATTTGGTTGTACATGTATGATGACAGCGCGTAAACGATCAACGACTCCATCGATGCACGATGACGGTCAAGATGGCGATGAAGAGTAACGCGCTCACGCCGTAAAACGCAAACTTGTTTGCCTGCGCGCGACGACTCATGTTGCTGAGGATCTTTCTCGACCGCCCGATCGTGTCATCCGCGCCGTGCAGCGCTTCGCGGCTTCGCTCGATGGTTTCCCGCTGTCCCTGTAAGTCTTGCAGAATGCTCACGCCCAAGTCCTCCGTCTCCAGCAGCGACCGGCGGCTATCTTTAATGCGCTCGCCCGTGCGCGCCAACCGTTCGGTCGTCTCCATCGCCTGTCCGGACATCCCCCCGTCCGACGCCCCCGCGGCGTTTCCACGCTCAGCCGTGTTCAACAACTCGTCTCGCGCGTCCGTCTCCGCCGCTTTGGCGCTCGCCTCTCGCGCGTCTCGCTTCAGCTTCGCCAACTCGCTCTTATAGTCCCTCAGCTTATTCAACATCGGCGTCTTCACCGCCGGATCGCTCACCGACCGCGCCTCGAGATCCATCCTTCGCACCAACGCCTCGCACTCCGCCACATCCGCCTCGATCGCTTTCGCGTGTCGTCCTCGCGTCGTCGCGTCCGCCGCCGTCTTCACGCCGTCGACGCCTCGGTGGATCGAGCTCGAGAACTCGCAAAACTCCCGCTCGTAGCTCTCGAATATCTGCGTCCGCGTCCGTCGCGTCGCGGTCGTCGTCGTCAGTCTCTCTCTCCCGTCCCGTCGCGTCGCGTCCCGTCGCGTCGCGTCGTCGGCGCGTCGTCGTCGCGTCGTCGGCGGCGCCGTCGCGAACGTCTCGCGCGTCTTCTCGCGCCGTCGCGCGCCGTCGCGCGCGTCCGAGGCGCGTCGCGTCGCGTCGCGCGCGCACCGCGGACATGTCGCGCGCGTCGTCGCGCGTCGTCGCCGCGCGTCGTCGTCGTCGTCGTCGTCGGATTCGACGCGGCGCAGTGACGCGCGCGGCACTGCGCCGCGCGCACCGGTCGCGCGGCGCGCGGAGCGACGGCGGCGCGACGCGCGCGGCGCTCGCGAGATGCGCGCGCTCTTCGCGAGCGCGACGGCGAGCGAGCGCGAGCGAAGCGCGAGCGGCGCGCGAGACGGCGAGCGCGCGCGCGAGGCGACGAGCGCGTGGGTGCGCGATTTCGACGGCCCGAGCGCGAGCGACGACGCGCGCGCGACGGCGACGACGACGGCGACGACGACGGAACGCGCGCATCCGCTGGCGCGCGAGTGGGGACGGCGGATCGCGTCGACGGCGGTGCGGAGAGAGTTTTTGAATGAATCCATCGACGCGTACACGGAGCGACGACCGCTGCGGGTGTTCGCGGGGACGTGGAACACGAATGGGAAAGCGCCGAGGGCGGACGCGGACGTCAAGGAGTGGGTGCGCAATCGCGGGAGGTTGGACGAGGGCGAGGGAGGGACGTGGGACGACGACGACGCGGCGGACGTCGTGGCGGTTGGTTTTCAGGAAATCGTCCCGCTCAACGTTGGCAAGGTGCTCGTGGGAGAGGACAGCGCGATGACGGAGGCGTGGGAACGCGTGCTGGATAAGGCGTTGAATGGCTCGGCGGCGAATCAGCCGGCGACGAAGCGACGCGGGGTGCTGAGTGATTACACCGCGGAGTTTGACGCCGACGACGCGACGGAGGCGTCGTTCGCGACGACGTCGGGGCAAGCAACGCCCGAGACGGTGAAATGGGTATCCTTCGACGGTGGTGACGAGGAGGAAGATATAAGTGACTTTGCGATTCGTGAGGGTTCGAGTTGGAGGCCGCCAAAGTCGAAACAGGGCGCCGCGAAGTATAGACCTGTGGCGCAGAAGCAACTCGTCGGCGTGTACATAACCGTGTGGGTGAAGGCATCGCTGCTGCCGCATATCCAAGACGTACGCGTTGGAACGGTGGCGACTGGGTTTAATATTGGCGTCGGTATACTAGGAAACAAGGGTGCGTGCGCTGTTTGGATGAAACTTTACAGCACGCCTTTGGTTTTCGTGTGCTCGCACTTGAGCGCGGGCTCGAAACCGGGCGATGAAATCAAGCGGAACGAAGATTATAGCACAATTATGGACCAGCTGAGATTTTTGCCGCCCGAAGGCGCGGATGCGTCGGAGTATTCCGTCGCGGATGCTGCGAGCTCGATCTGGATGGGGGACTTGAACTATCGATTGACGTTGTCCGACGACGTCGTGCGCAAGTCAATCGCCGCGGGAAACTATTCGAGCCTACTGGCGTCTGATCAACTGAACATCGAACGCAGTGCCGGGCGTGCATTTAGAGGATGGCACGAAAGCGAAGTCACTTTCGCGCCGACGTACAAGTATAGACCGGGCACAAACATTTATAGCGGAGCGGGCGATGCGGATCTGGACGAAGTTGGCGGCTCTCAGAGAAAAGAGGAGGAGAAGAAACGCACTCCAGCCTGGTGCGATCGAGTGCTGTGGAACGGTGATTTTGATATCAACCTGTTGGAGTATGGCCGTGCCGAGCTGACGCACTCAGATCACAAGCCAGTGTACGCCGTATTTTCGCTAGTGGTTCGAGAGCTTGAACCAAAAAAACTGCACAGCCTTTTGTTCGATTTGCGTCGAAAGCTTGATCACGTCGAGATGGCGTCTATGCCGGTATGCGCAATAGAGAACGCAAGCGTCGATTTGGGCCGTTTGCGCTACTCCGAGGAAGTGGCCGGTAAGTTTAGGCTTTCAAACGTCGGCGACGTCCCGGCCAACTTCAGTCTCGTTTCTCCGATACCGGGTGGTCCGGCGACTCCCGGTTGGATGTCCGTCTACCCGATGAGTGGTAGCTTGTTACCAGGTGAGGAAGTCATTCTGAACGTCACCGCATGCGTTCGGGGTGGACGAAGGTCGGGTCCGAGCGCGTTTAGTCACGATTCGCTGACGAGATACGGCGACGACTCGCTCATACACGTGGATGCCAAACCAAAGCATGTCGACGCGATTTTGGTCGTCAGGCTCGAGGGTGGGAGGGATTTTTTCGTTTCTGTCCAAGGGACGTACCAACCATGCACGTTTGGCACGCCTTTCGAAGATCTTCCAACGTCGGCGATTCCGCCAAACGTTCCGCAAGTCGTGACAAGTCTCGTAGACTTTCTACACGAGAAAGTGAGTGCGGCGCCGGGACTTTTCCGCGTACCCTTTGAGAATGTTCGTACACGAGGGGTACTTGCGAAGATTGCCAATGCATTCCACACTAATCGAGCGAATTCGGTGAAACTGAGCGCCATCGGCGGCAACGCGTACGACGTCGGTGAAGCACTCATCTCGCTCTTCTCCGCGCTCCCGCAGCGCGTGCTGGAAAAGCCAGAAATTACGAGCGTCGTGGACTCCATGCCTCTGGATTCTTTCCCAACCAGAGATTTCATCAACAGCGTCCTTAACAAGCACGTCTCGGGGAAGACGAGAGCGGCGCTCGCACACGCGGCGACGCTCATCAAGCGCATCGACGACGAGCGTGCGCAAACAAGTTTGCCCACCGACACCGCCGCCGTGTGCGCGACCTTCGCCCGGTGCTTTTTCGCAGAATCTGATGACAGCGCCGATGAGCCATCACGCCGTCGCGTTGCCTTCGTCGGTGCGCTCGCGGGATGCCATCCCTCTTTCATCGACTCGTACCGCGCGCACGAAGTTCAAGCCGCTGAGACGTCAATTTTCACCCCGAATTGGACTCTCTTCGCCCCTGCGTTTCCGTCAGCGCCGTCGACGTCCTCGCAACCGCCATCGGACGCATCTGGACCCGCCACCGGCAACTTGATCGACTTATAACCCATTGTATTTGTAACGCCTTGCGCACCACTGCGCTCGTCGCCAGCCGTCGTCCAGCCGTCGTCCCTGGCATTGCTCGATCCTCACATCGTGACTCGCGTCCAGTCCACCCGCATCTCGCGCGTGCGGCCGTGCGATCGCGAAACTCATCACCGCGCGTCACGGCGCGCCCGCTCGGCGTCCCGATGGCGGCGCTCGCCAAACTCGCGCAGCTCTCGCTCGTGAACAAAGTCACGAAGGAGCTCGAAAATCACCTCGGGATCGCCGATAAGACGCTGAGCGAGTTCGTCATCGCGCTCACGGACGAAAACGACACTCCGGTGACGTTTCGGAAGGCGCTTGGCGCGGTCGGCGCAGAAGTGGACGATGCGTTCGCGGAATCTTTGCTTGGGCTGATTCAGCGGATGCGGAAGAAGCCGAGCGGGACGGCGCGCGGGACAAATGCGGCGACTGCGGGAAGCGCGGGGACGTCTGGAAGGTCGAGCGGCGACGCAAACTTTCCTGGACTTGCGGTGCGGGACGATGATTCGCACGCGAAGGCGTTGACGAGGGAATTATACGGGGACCGGGACGCGCTCGCAAACGCGGCGGACGACCCGAGCAAGAGCGAACGGGCGAACGAGAGGGAGGTTTCGCACTCGCTTGCGAGCGCGCAGACGAAGAGCGATGAGAAGACGCGAGATGGTGAGCCAAGTGTGGGTGGGGTGTACCGCGGAAGGGTGACAAATGTGATGGATTTCGGAGCCTTTGTGGAGTTGGTGGAGTTCAAGCGCAAGGCGGAGGGCTTGGTGCACGTGAGCGCCATTACCGATCGACACCTGAAAAGCGCAAAGGACGGCGCGAGGCGAGGTGAGAGCGTGTTTGTCAAAGTTTTGAATCGTAACGGAAACAAGATATCGCTGTCGATGAAGGATGTGGACCAAATCTCGGGGAAGGAGACTGCGCGCGCCACGTTTGGCGGTAACAGAAGTAATCCAGCGCCGAGGAATTTACCGCCACCCGGGCCGTCAGCAGCAGGGGGAATGGCGTCACTTAAAGGCCTTTCTGGCATCGATGCCAGCACTTTGGATGAAGCAAACACAGCCTCGCGCAAACGACCTGCAAAGAGGCTGAGTTCGCCGGAGCTGTGGGAAGCTCGGCAGCTCATCGCGAGCGGGGTGTTGAAGGTGCAAGACTATCCGCAATTCGATCCGGAAAACGACGGCATGCTATCCTACGAAGAAGAAGCTGAAGAGGAAGTTGAAATCGAGATCAACGAAGACGAGGCGCCGTTCTTGCAGGGACAAACTGCGGCGAGCACGGGTGACGTTTCGCCGATTAAAATTGTCAAAAACCCAGATGGTTCCATGCAACGCGCCGCCATGACGCAAGCCACGCTGGCGAAAGAGCGACGCGAGCTTCGCGATCAGCAGCAGCGAGCAAATACTGAGGCCGAGGGTCAAGTAGCGGCGCGTCCGTGGGAGGATCCGATGAGAAGACAGGGCGATGCGTCGTTGACAGAGGAGGCTCGACAGTACGGCGGCAGTCGCGGAGGCCGCGATATGCCCGCTTGGAAGGCCAAGTCCATGGGCCAAGGTCAAAGGATGGGCCAGCCACAGACGATGCCCATTCATCAATTACGGCAGACGCTACCGATTTATAAACTGCGCGATCAATTGATTCAAGCGGTGAATGAAAATCAGATTTTAGTGGTGATTGGCGAGACGGGTTCGGGGAAAACGACGCAGATGACCCAATACTTGGCCGAGGCTGGGTATACGTCACGGGGTAGAATAGGATGCACGCAACCAAGGCGTGTGGCCGCAATGTCCGTAGCCAAGCGTGTCGCCGAGGAGTACGGCTGTCGACTCGGTGAAGAGGTTGGTTACGCGATTCGTTTCGAAGACTGCACGTCACAGGACACAGTTATCAAGTACATGACCGATGGTATGCTACTTCGCGAGGCTTTGTTGGATGACTTGTTATCGCAGTATTGCGTCATCATGCTCGATGAGGCACACGAAAGAACGATCCACACGGACGTATTGTTCGGATTGCTGAAGAAGTGCTGCGCAAAGCGAAAAGACTTGAAAATCATCGTGACGTCAGCTACTTTGGACGCCGAAAAGTTTTCGACGTACTTTTTCGATTGCCCCATTTTCACCATTCCTGGTCGAACGTTTCCTGTCGAAGTATTGTATACTAAAGCTCCCGAGAGCGACTATCTTGATGCCGCTTTGATCACGGTGATGCAAATCCACCTCACAGAGCCCGAGGGCGACATCTTACTGTTCCTCACGGGTCAAGAAGAGATTGATGCGGCTGCGGAGATTCTATTCGATCGTATGCGCGCATTAGGTCCAGCGGTTCCAGAGTTACACGTCTTGCCGGTGTACTCTGCTCTTCCTAGCGAACAGCAGACGCGCATTTTTGAGCCGGCGCCGCCCGGCAGTCGCAAGTGCGTCATCGCGACAAACATTGCCGAAGCCTCGCTCACTATTGACGGCATCTTCTACGTCGTCGATCCCGGGTTTTCAAAACAAAAAGTGTACAATCCTAAGATTTCCATGGACTCTCTCATCGTGGCTCCGATTTCACAGGCTTCAGCTCGACAGCGAGCCGGTCGCGCCGGTCGTACAGGTCCCGGCAAGTGTTATAGATTGTACACGGAAAGTGCGTTCAAGAACGAAATGCTCCCGACATCGGTGCCAGAAATTCAAAGGACGAACCTGAGCATGACGGTGCTGACGATGAAAGCTATGGGGATCAACGACTTGATTAATTTTGATTTCATGGACCCGCCTCCACCGGCGACGCTCGTCACGGCTTTGGAGCAACTGTACAATTTAGGCGCGTTAGATGAGGAAGGCTTGCTCACTCGACTCGGGCGCAAGATGGCAGAGTTTCCATTGGAGCCGCCGATGAGTAAGATGCTCATCGCGAGCGTTGATCTCGGGTGTTCTGAGGAAATTTTGACCATCGTCGCCATGCTGAGCGCTCAAAATATCTTCCACCGCCCGAAGGAAAAGCAAGCGCAGGCGGACGCGAAGAAGAACAAGTTTTTCCAAGCCGAAGGCGACCATTTGACATTGTTGTCGGTGTATGAGGCGTGGAAGGCTCAAGGTTTCAGCGAACCTTGGTGTTACGAGAACTTTTTACAGGCGCGTTCGATGAAGCGCGCGCAAGACGTCCGTAAACAACTTCTCACCATCATGGATCGATACAAGCTCGGCACCACGAGCGCTGGACGCAACTACAACAAAGTTCGCAAAGCCATCTGCTCGGGTTTCTTCTTCCACGGCGCCAAGAAAGATCCGCAGGAGGGTTACAAAACCATCGTCGAGCAGACTCCGACGTACATTCACCCCTCGAGCGCGCTCTTCCAACGTCAGCCCGACTGGGTCATCTACCACGAGCTCGTGCTCACGACCAAGGAGTACATGCGTGAAGTCTGCGCCATCGACCCCAAATGGCTCGTCGAGCTCGCTCCGCGCTTTTTCAAGCTCAGCGACCCTCGCCATCTGAGCAAGCGCAAAAAGAGCGAGAAAATCGAGCCCCTGTACGATCGCTACAACGATCCGAACGCGTGGCGATTGAGCAAGCGTCGCGGCTGATCCGCGCCCGCGCGACGCTTAGAGTTTAACACCACCACATTCATCGCGATTCGTTCGTCCGTTCGTTCGTTCGTTCGCGCGCGCGCGCGTCCCTCGCCCGCCGCCCCGCGCGCGCGCCCCCTCGACCCTCACCCCTGTGCGAAAATGTTAAAATCTTCGCCGCGTCGGAATGCGCGACCGACCGCATCGCGCGCCGATCGCGCCGCACTGCCTCGCGCCCTCCCGCGCGATCGCCCCGAGAGCCCCGCGCGCGAGAGTGCGAGCGTTTTCGAGCGCGCCGTCGCGGTCTCGCGCGCGGCGCGCGCGTTCGGCGCGCGACGCGAACGACGCCGGCGAGGGTGGTTGAGCATCGAAACCGTCGCGGGTGGTGCGACGACGCGCGCGCGCGATAAAAGGCGTCGCGCGCCGCCATGGCGACGCCGACGCAAGAAAACTACGGCGCGACGCCGACGAGCGAGCTCACGAAGGTGCAACCGCCGCGAACGCGAACGCCGTGGGACTCGGCGGCGTGGATCACGGCGACGCTGTTGGACGAGCAAGGCCAACGGTGTCCGTGCCCGCCGGGATGCGCCGGGGATTGCGCGGTGCGCTCGCATTGGTTGTTTAATGAGAAGGATAACGACCTGCGAACGATTCACACGCTGCAAAGCACGTCGAATCCGCCGATGGTGAGCTTGAACGCGGGTAACGTGGCGCCGTGGGGTAAGGTGGCGCAGGTGAACGCGTCGAGTTATCGCGTCATGGGTGGGTGTCCGCCGTCGGATCAGATGGACTGCATCGCGTGCGATACTGGTGCTGGATACTATCCGGTGGTGTACGCTGGCGACTTTTCTATCGAAGGTATCAAGCAAACGGGCGCGGGTATTTCGTGCTATTATCTGGAGATTTGTGACAACGACGACTCCTGCGATACGCAGATCGCAATGTCCGAAGTGGGGACGCTGGTAGGGTCTTACGCGGGTCTGTTTTCATTCCTTCTCATCCTCTTTGTTATGTTGCGTAAAATCGTATGGCTCCGGATGGCGATCGACTCGGCGGCGTGGGTTGAAAAGGGCAACCCCAAGTACCCGCCGCGAGAAATTCAGATTCCCAAACCGAGAGACGACAATGCATGGTCGTGGCTTTATGACGCTTATCACCGCGATAATAATTGGATGAAAGAGTTCACCACCCCAGACGAGTACATGCTCGTCCGCTGGTTCAAGTTATCCAGTCGCTTCTTCTTCACCGCCGGCGCCGTATGTTGTCCAATTCTCATGAGTTTGTACGCCGCCGATACCGTACCAAGCGCAGATGCGGGCTCGAAGATACTTACAACTCTCGAAAAGAGCGGTATCGCGAAATACACACTGCTCAATGCTCGAACCGAATCTTCTTTCGCGGCCGCCATGGCTTTCACCTGGATCACAAGTCTCTTCCTGATTTCTTTGATTCGCGTCGAGTCGCGTAAGTACGTCCACATGATGTGGACGGTGGATCCCGATAAGACTGGTATTAAAGCGAACGCAATCCTCGTCAAGGATATGCCCTTGTTAACCACGGCTCCGGCACCGAAAAAGTTTGAACAGCTTAACACCGGCAGCGTCAAAGATATTCTTAAAGTCAAAAAGAGTGTGCGAGGTTCTGTGAAGAAACTCGACAAAATCTTCGACGACGAAGAAGTCGGCTGCCTGGGGAGATTTAAGCTTTTACTCAACGATGGCACCGTGCAATCTTCCGGTGATTCCGCCAAGCTTCGGCTTTTATACAAGGAGGAGTCGATGAACCTTGTCATCAGCAAGTTTGAGAGCGTCCTCGGCAAAGACTGCATCGCTTTCAAAATGCTCGCCTCGGATACTCGAAAGCTTGATAGCGCCGCGAAAGCCTGGGCGAATGCCCGCGAGCACGTCACACAGAACATGCAAGCGATCGCCGACTTACAAGAGACCGAAAAGACTGGAGGACTCAGCTGGGGGGAATCGACTCAACTTGCGAAAGCGTTGAAAGATATGGATTCGTTGAAGAGAGCCGAGGCGCAACGCTTCGATGTTTTCATCTCCACTCGCGATGAATACATCAACAACCACCGACCCGCGTGTAGTGCGGTCGTGGTATTTGCGAGACAAATGGACGCCGTCATAGCCTCTCAAATTCAAATTGACGACGTTCCCGGGCAGTGGGTCACCGAACCGGCGCCAGGCAACTCTGATGTCGTGTGGCACAATCTCTCCTTGACATCCGTCGAACGCGCAAAAAAGACGACTCAGGCTTTTTTTATCGCCGTGGCCATTTCTCTATTCTTCATGTACCCTGTCAATATCGCTGTCGCGGCTGTCGCCGACGTCAAGGACTCTCTCGTGAGCGTGTTTGGCGAGTCTATTTACAACATCATCCTGTCAATTGTGTTGACGGTGTTCCTCGTCGTCGGTCACATTTTAAGCTTGGTCGTGAGTCGGCAAACTGGCTACGTCTCGGTCAGCGCTATGGACTCATTCGGTGCGTCTATGTACTTTTGGCTTCTCATTCTCAACTTGGTCTTTTCCAACCTGAACACGACGCCCCTGTGGAAGGACGTCCTCGTGTGGATGCAAAAGCCGCACTTGTTCACGTACCAGTTCATCTTGAGGTTGATGAATACCAGTACTTTCTTCCTCCAGTTCGTCATGCTTCGTACCGCGACTTCACCGGTTCTCGAGTTGATCCATCCTCCGGTACTCCTCGGCTTCGTCACAAAGTGCTTGCTATACCGCAGTCGAGCGCGCACGTGGCCGGCTTTCGCAAAGAGACTCATCTGGGCTCAACCGACGCCCACGCCGAGCCATCGGGTTCCCGCGCAAACGATGTTGGTGTTCTTCATCGGCATAATTTACACCGTCGTCGCACCAGTTTTACTTCCGGTGTGCGGCGTCTTCTTCGGTTTTTTCTACATTTTCTGGAAGCACAACATGGTCTATCACTACATCCAACAGTACTCCGCGGGGACGTCCATGTGGGCGTGGCTCGTCGGAAAGATGTATTTCAGCCTCGTGTTCAGCCAAATCATGGTCGCTTTCGGTCTTCCGACGCTCGGCTTCAACACGATGAAGTATCGTGTCTTCATCATACCTCTCGTTTTATTCACCCTTCTCGAATGGTCGCGCGTGAATACCATCCTCAACGATGCGTTCAGGGTGCCGGTACACGCGGCTGGCGCAGCGTTGAAGCGCAGAAGCGGCAAGCATGAAGAAGACTCGGACGACGAATACTTCGCTTCGAGATCGGCTTCGAGATCGGATGTTCCAGCGCTCGAGGAAGACGCTCGGCAAGAAATCTTCGTGAGCACGACGCGAATCGGTGATTCAAGGAAGAGGAAGGTTATGCGCGGCATCGTGCCGGTGGAAGAAATGAAAAAGAGCACACGCCGGCAAAAGAATATTCTCGAAAACACTCGAGAGCAAGGAAAAGCTGAGATCGAGTACAAAGTGAAGAAGGGAATCTGGCAAACGTACGCGCCGAGCGTGTTGTGGCCACTCGCCGCCGAGAAGTCTGCCGGTTCCATTTTCTTGCGTCGCTGGAAACAAATCAAGGCGCGAAAGCAAGTCGAAGCAGACATGTTGGCCGCCGTGGCGCACTTACCCGACGACGACCAGAGAAAGAAGGCAGTCATCAAAGATTTGGCGCTCAGGAAACAAGTGCGCGACTCCGCCGCGGAAGCCATTCTTCGAAAATCCACCTCGCCGTACGTGAAGCAACTTCGACAGAAGCGCGCCGCCGAGGAAGCCGAGAAAGCCGACACTCGAGCTGGCTCGACCAAGTAGTAAAGTCTAAACCACCTAAATTAACACGAGCTAAGCTACCTAAACTACCCGAATGAACTTCGCCGTTCATCGCAAACCGCTCGGCCACCAACGCGCTTCGCCCGCGTCCAACCACGCGTCGAACGCCGCGTTCAACTTCCCCTCCGCCATCGCCACCGCCGCCGCCCCTCCCGCGCCGTACCACGCGTCTCTTCCCTCCTCGTCCTCCTCCTCGCCCTCGCCCGCGCGCTTCGCCCGCGCCGTCGCCGCCGCTCGCGCCAGCGTCTCCGCGCGTCTCGCCGCCGCCTCCGCGCGCGCGCGCGTCCCGTCGTCCCCCGAGCCCACCGCCCTCGTCCCGTCCCGCGCCCGCCCTCGCCCCGCGCGCGCCCTCCCGCGTCGCGCCGCTCGTTTTTTCGCCGTCGCCGCGAATCGCGCCGCCCACGCCGCGTCCAATTCGTACGCGCACTCGAACGCGTCGTCGTCGTCCGCGTCCGCGTCGTCGCGCGCGGACGCGTCGCGCGTCGATTCGCGTCGTCTCGGTCTCGGCGGCGCCGTCGCCCACAGCGGCGGCGTCGGCGCGCGCGCGTCGATCCGCATCGCGCGTCGCCGTGTCGCGCGACGACGCGGACGACGCGTCCGCCGTCGCGCGTCGACCCTCGATCGAGGGTCGACGCGGACGCGTCGATCGACGCGCGCGCGGTCGAGCGCGCGCGCGGTCGAGCGATCGATCGAGAGGAGACGCCGATCGACGCCGCGCTTCTAAACCCTAAACCCTAGTTCGTTTGGGTCCGCTTTAAGTAGTTTGGGTCCGCTTTAGTGGTATTTGGATCCGTTATAGTGCTATCTTGGGTCCGCCCTCGGTGGTCGTCCGGTTTTCGTCGCCAGGGGGACGAAGCGTCGAAACTTTAATCGATTCGCTGGCGTCGAAACGATTCGACGCGGTCAGTCGTCGACGCGGCGCGCGACGCGAATTCGCGACGACGACGACGACGACGATGCTCGCGATGCCGACGCGGACGCCGACGGCGACGACGCGAACGACGACGATGCATCGAACGCGCGACCGCGCGACGATTCGCGCGACGATTCGCGCGACGATTCGACGACCGACGACGGTTCGCGCGGCGCCGGGACGCGGCGCGGGACGACGACGCGCGATGCCGACGGCGCGCGCGACGCGAAAGAGCGCGTTTCGAAGCGCGCGCGACGACGAGCGCGCGCGTCGGGCGGTGCGGCGAGACGCGAGACGCGAGACGCGGGACGACGACGACGACGACGCGAGACGGGAAGACGCGCGCGAGGGCGAAGACGCGGTGACGACGGCGCTGCGAGGGGTGTTCGCGCAGGCGTGCGGGTTCGTGCGATGGGGACTTCCCACGACCGGTGGACTCGCGTGCTGGGCCGCGGCGGCGGCGAACGCGGGGACGGAGGGATTGTTGAGCGCGCTGAGCGGGTCGCTCTTGGTCGGCACGACGCTCGGGGTGTGCGCGTTGATTTTCGCCGCGGCGAGCGCGTGCGTCAGCGGGGTGACGCTGATGTGGATGTACGCGAAGCGAACGATGGTGAACGCCGTCGTCGGGCGACGCGCGCGGGACGCGGGTCGGCCGCGGCGACGCGCGAGGTCGACGGCGACGCGCGAGACGGCGACGCTTCGTTCCCCTCGTCGAGGCGCGGCGGCGCGCGAAGACGATCGAGGCGAACGCGCGCGGTTGGACGAGGGCAAGAGTTTCAGCTTTGGCGAGTGGCGACCCGAAGTGCCGGTGGTGGATCCGCGGGCGCCGGGTAGGTGGGGCGGAAGAGACGGCGCCGCGGCGTCGAGCGACGAGTGGGGGACGCACAAGACTCCGGCGGATTTCCGGCGAGAGATGTCCTCGATGGACGATTCGAGCTTCGACGCGCGCGATGGGCGTCGACCACCGTCCACGGGACCGAGTCAGTGGAAGTCTCGCGCGGCGTACAGACAGCACGCCGAGGGATTCGACGATCCCGCGCTCAACGGCGTCGCGGCGAGCGCGACGACGACGACGGCGACGACGACGACGACGGCGACGCGAGATCCGCGCGAGGAGATTTTGCGAAAGTTCGAGCCCAAAGAGCGTCTGTTACCGCGAACGCCGCCGAAACCGAAGCATCAACACATCTCCACCGAAGTCTTGATCGCCATGGGCGGCGCGTCGTTGGAGACGCACATCGGAAACAACGCGCGAGATATTTTAAAGGCGTCGCGAGCCAACCGCTCGAGCAAGACGCTGTCCGGCACCGCCCCGCGCGGAAGCATGCAAACGGTCAACTTGTTTGGATTCGGAAGCAAAGACGTCGACGCGTCGCCGTCCTCTCGCGACGAACCGCCGCCGCCGCCGCCGCCGCGCGAGCGCTCGACGCCGTCGGACGCCGCGCGTCGCGCCAGGGAACGATTCCAGCGCAATCTCTCGTCGTCGTTCGATCACGAGCCATCGACGAGCTCGTCGTACGAATCCGCCTTCTTCAACGAAATGATCGCATCTTACGACGACGACGACGACGACGACGACGACGACGAGGATGCATCCGCGCGCGGTCTCCGCCGCGCGCGCTGAGGATTTGGATTTTCGTCAAACCGAGCCCCCGCGCGTGGCCTCCTTCCACGCATTCCCCACCTCCCGACGCCCGGTCGCGTGTACCATCAAGACGTAGCTTTTTTATCGAAATCACCCTCTTTTTTGTCCCGCGCGCGCTCGCCGCGTCGCGCCCGATCGCCGCGGCGTTCGCCCGTTCGCCGCGTCCCGCTCGCCGCCGTCGTCGTCCGCACTCCCCACCGCGCGGATGCCCTCGTCGCTCGCGCCTCGCGAAGACGCGCGCGCCGACGCGCACTGCCGCGCCCTCGTCGTCGCCCTCGACGTCGTCCCCGCCGCCGCCGGTTCCGCGTACGTCGAGCTCGGCGACACCAAGGCGTCGTGCGCCGTCTACGGCCCGCGCCGCGGCCGCGCCGAGCTCGCGGGCGTCGATCGAGGGACGCTGGACGTCGACGCGTACCGCGCGCCGTTCGCGACGGGCGCGCGGGCGCTGGATGGGGCGAACCGAGCGCGCGCGCGAGGACGCGGCGCGAGGACGGCGGACGACGGCTTGGCGCGGACGGTGAAGGAGGCGCTCAGCGCGAGCGTGCTGACGGAAAGCTTCCCGAAGACGCAGGTGGACGCGTGCGTGACGGTGCTGGACGCGCGGGGGGGCGAGGCGGTGGCGTGCGTGCTGGCGGCGTCCGCGGCGTTGGCGCGCGCGGGGGTGGCGTGCCGAGACTTGGTGAGCGCGTGCGAGTGCGCGCGGGCGGGGGAGAGGATGATGCTCGATCCGACGCGCGAGGAGATCGAGACGAGCGATGGGATGGTGTTTTTAGCGCAGATGTCGTCGATGGAGGCGTACGCGAAGACGGAGACGTTCGGGCGGTGGAACGCGGACGAGACGGAGCGCGCGTTGGACGCGTGCGCGGCGGGGTGTAATCGATTCGACGCCGTCTTGCGGGAGGCGTTGCGGGCGAACCCGAGGGATTGATGCCCGCGTCGCCAATATTTTGTTGTGATGTTACATTTCGTATGCGTAGAATGTCAACGATGCGCGCGCGAATGAATGGTGCGTGTGATTTACATTTCGAAAGAATCGATGGATTGCGCCAACGAGGCGACGGTTTCCGGCGGCGGCGAACCTTTGGGTGAACTCTGAGGGGTGTAGAACGTCTCAGAGACCGCGTACTTGGCGTTGTATTCGGCCTCGAGCACGCATTTTTCGGCGAGTTGTTTTTCGATCGCCCTTCGAGTGCTCTCGCCTTTGTCGGGCATCTTGGCGACGACGTCGGGCATGCTCAAAATCACGCCCAACTTGGCGCAGTCGTCTTCGATGTGTTTGATTTTTGCTTTAAGCTTCGCCTCCCCGGAGACGGGCTCGGGCGACTCGTCGTCGTCGATTTTCATCTTTGTCGCGCTTTTCGTTTCCTTCGGTGGCGTCAGCGCCGCGAGCAAGGCGCCGCCGAGCAAACCGCCGTCGCCTCCCCACCCGGCGTTGACGTTTTTCCAAGCCGCGCCGCCGGGCGCCTTTCCCTTCGGCGTCGTCGCCGCCCCCGCGGGCGCTGATTTTGCGGCGGCACTGCTTGATTTCGACCCGCTCGTCGTCGCTTCGTCGTCTTTGCTGAACAACAAATCGTGATCGCTCACGCCGCAGACAAAAGGCAGCGACTCGACATACGGCAACTCGGCGCGAAGCTCATCCGTCCACTTGCGATCCGCCGCGTGCAACGCGTTCAATTGTTTCATCGTATCGCTCGCGCGCATGGCGTTTTCGCGCGTTTCGAACAGCTGAGTCGCGTCGTCCGCGCCAAAGTATTGCTTCCCGCTCACGCCGTCCGTCGCCGACTTGGACACGCCGCCCTTGAAGACTTGACGACGGTAAATCTTTTCCTCCACCGTTCCGCACGTGACGAGACGATACACCACGACGTCTTTGGTTTGCCCAATGCGGTACGCGCGATCGACGGATTGATTGTCCGTCGTTGGATTCCACGCCGGATCGTAAATGATGACGCGCGTCGCCTCCGTCAGCGTCAAACCGAGACCGCCGACGCGAGCGGTGAGAAGCATGACGGGAATGTCTGCGTTCGAACGGAACTGCGTCACGCGACGATCTCGCTCGTCGACGTTTACTTTACCGTCGATTCGCACGAACTTGATGTTCGCTTCGCGAATGCACGCTTCAACAACGTTCAGTGTCGCCTGCGACTGAGAGAAGACCAACGTGCGACGTCCTTCGGCGCGAAACCGATCCAACATGGCCATGAGAAATCTAGATTTGGCGCTCAAACTCGACGCGCCGCGGGCGAGAGCGTCGGCGTCGAAATCGCACTCGCGAACGGCCGCCGCTGCCGCCGCGGCGGCTTCGCCCGCGCAGCTCTTCTTCAATTCGGCGTCTTCTTCGTCTTCGATTTCCTCCTCCTCCTCCGCGGGCGGCGACGCGTCGACGTCGGCGTCGTCCCGCGCCGCGACGCACAGCGTCGGGTGATCGCAAATTCTCTTCAGAGCGTTCATGCACGAAATCGCCGAACCGGTTTTGTTGATGGCGTCCTGAACGGGTTTCGAGGCTAAGAATTTTGAGTACAGCGCCGATTGCGCCGGCTCAAGCGGTATCCACGCGATGAAATCGTTCTTCTGCCCGAGCGCCGAAGGCGCGTTCTTGACGTGCTTCCACGACGTCGCGGCCGCGCTATTCGGTTTCTTCGCGTCGTCGACGGGCGCGACATCCTCTTTGGCTAGTAAGACCTCCTTCTTGTCGCGGCGCAAAAAGTACGGACGAGTCATTTGACGCAGCGTCGCCGTGAGCTCTTTCGATTCCGATCGTTGTTTTTGCGTCGCCGACGCGGCTTGACCGGCGGCGATCTTGTTGGCGAATCGTCGACGAAACTCGTTTTCGCCGCCGAGAAGCCCCGGACACGTCAAGTCGTACAGCGACCACAGTTCGCCGAGCGCGTTTTGCACCGGCGTTCCGGTGACAATCATGCGCAGATTGGCGGGCAGTTGTCGAACCTTTTGCGCGAGCCGCGTCGTCGCGTTCTTCAACGCGTGTCCTTCGTCCATGACGATCCAATCCCAGCGAAATTCGCCCGCGAAATCTTTCGGCGCGACGCCGCGCCCCTCGCGCGCGCTCGCTCTCTCGGCTTCGTCCTCGTCGCTCGGCGCGCCGAGCTCGCTCGCGCGAGACGTCACCATCCCGTACGACGCCAAGAGCGCGCCTCGACCCGTCGCGCACGCGCGCAACTGTTTGTCGAGCGCCCCTCGCGAGCCGCCGTAGTACTTAAACACCGTCTCCCCTCGCCTCAGCCCGCACGTCTCGAGCTCTTTCAACCAATGCGGCAGCAACGTCGTCGGCGCGAGCACGAGCACGCGCTTCGCCGCGCCGCTGCGCAACAAACCGGCGACGAACGCGCACGCCTGAAGCGTCTTGCCCAGGCCCATGTCGTCGGCGAGAATCCCGCCTCGCCCGGCCAAGTGCAATCCCCACATCCAACGCACGCCGTCGCGCTGATGATCGTACAGCCTCGACGCGAGCGCCGCGTCGAGCTCAAACTTCGGCCCGCCGTCCTTGCCCTTCAATCGCAGGGGCTTGCGCGTCGCCGCGACGGCGTCGACGTTCGTCGCCGCGACGGCGTCGACGTTCGTCGCCGGCGCCGGCGCGTCCTCGTCCGACGCGTCGTCGTCGGACGAGTCGGACAGCGCGCGACGCTTGAGACGCACCGGTCGACGCGCGGCGGCGCCGTTGACGTCGCGAAGCGGCGAGGCGACGGCGCGCGACATTCGTTCGTTTCGGATTCGTTCCCCCGATGGGAATCGAAACGTCGCGGACGACGCGCGGCGCGAGGACGACGCGCGAGGGCGTCGCGGTGCGCGCGGTGCGCGCGCGCGATGGGTTTGAACGACGAGGCGACGCGCGGAAGAGCGACGACGCGGACGGGCGTCTGGCGCAAAGGCGCGCGACGACGCCGTCGTCGAGCGACGCAGACGTCTGTCTTTTCATCTTTTTCATAGAACAATGTATCGGCTGTAGGTACGCCTTTAAAAGATAAAAGTCCCATGTATGATATGATAATCTTTTAGGAAGATCTTTACACGGTAGCACCTCGCCGTGGCAGATGTCGCCGGGCAGATCTCGTCGTCGGCGCCACTCGTCGACGTGAAACCGCGCGGAAGGCGTGACGTGACATGGGCCAGAACTGCTGCAAGCCTAAATACTGGCACGACGAGCTCCTCGGGGCGGTCACGTTCGGCCCGCGCGTGGGATGCCAAGAGATCGGATGTGGGAGTACCTACCACTGGGACGATCTGGGCAACGTCGCGTGGAGGTTTAAAGACAAGGCGTGGAAAAGGGGTGGCGCCTTGCGCGTCGAGCTCGAGGAGTTCTTGGACCGCGCGATGGAGCGAACGGAAGGCGCGGTGGAAGAGCCTCGTCTCAAGTGTACCGCGAGCGCGTGCTGTTGCGGCGGCTGCTGGAACCCGGATTTCGTCACGCCCGAATTGGTCGAAGAATTCAGCAAAGTGTTGGAGGAAAACAAAAACAAGAAGCTCTCCGATATGGGTCTTCAGTGTAGGGCAATGTGTCTCGGAGTACGCGGTGGTCATGGTGCGACCCCTACGTTGTTCGTATTGGTGGAAAAAGTTGGAGATTACGAACGATTCACTCCGAGCGAATCGTACGCGATCGACCGCACGTGCGTATGCTTATGACCTCCGGGCATGTGAATCGGACCAAAACAACGCATCGCGCTCTACCTAGGCACGACTCTCAAATGACAGCGCACGTACCGTCTAGAAGTGGGGCTCGTAACGGCAGCGGCTAGAGGTGCAGTTTGTAATATTTTTGTAATGCGCGTCGTTACATAAACGTACGATTTCTATCCCAAGTAAAATTAAGAATGTAATTCGGCGTTTGCCATGAGTGGACGTAACCACCACCCATCTCACCCCGCGAGAGAGTTCAGAACCAACCCTCCGGAACGCGAAGCGTCTGTGTAATAAAATTTGTCGGCGGCCGCGCCGCCGACGGCCGTCGGGCGCCCGGCGGCCGCTCACGCGTTGTCGACGCCCTCGATTTTATCTTCGACCTCCATATAGAGCTGTCGCAAACGATCGATGTTCTCTTCGGACGTCTCCCAGTAACCTCTGCCGTTGGCTTCCAAGAAGTTGGCGACCATCTTGCGGAACGAGTTCGGGTTGGACTCCATCAAGCGCTTTTGCATCTCCGGATCAGCCATGAAGGTCGTGTTGGCGTCTTCGTACACCCAGTTGTCGACGGCACCAGACGTGGCGGACCAGCCGAGAGTGTTGTTGAGACGCTTTTGGATCTCGCGAGTACCCTCGTAGCCAGACGCCATCATGCCTTCGTACCACTTCGGGTTCAAGAGCTTGGTGCGGGAGTCCAGACGCATCGTCTCGGACAAAGAGCGCACTTGAGCGTTGGCCGTGGTCGTATCGGCGATGTAAGAAGCCGGCATCTTACCGTCCTTACGCACACCGGCGACGAGCTTGGTCGGATCAGAGTCGAAGTAGTGGCTGACGTCGGTGAGCGAAATCTCGGAAGAATCCAAGTTTTGGAAGGTGACGTCGACCTTGGACAAGGCAGACTCGAAGAGTTCCTTCCTCGTTTCCATGCCAGCACCCGGAGCATCAGAGTTGAACGCGAAAGACTTACGGTTGAGGTACATGTCTTGGAGCTGGCTCTCGTCGTTCCAAGAAGAGTTTTCAACCGCGAGGTTGACGTTGGAAGAGTAGGAACCAGACGCGTTGGAGAAGATGCGCGTCGCCGCCTCGCGAATGGACAAGCCAAGCTCCTCGGCTTGCTCAGCGGCGTGCTTGCGGACAAAGTTCATGTCCTCCGGTTCGTCTTGCTCAGCGGCGAGCTTGACGGCGCGGTCCAACAAGTTCATCTGGTTGACGAACAAATCGCGGAAGACGCCAGAGCAGTTGACGACGACGTCGATGCGCGGGCGACCGAGCTCTTCTAAACTGATAAGCTCGAGCTTGTTCACCCGACCGAGCGCATCGGGGGCAGGTCGCACACCCACCATCAACATGACTTGCGCCAAAGATTCACCGTACGTCTTAATGTTGTCCGTACCCCACAGAACGAGCGCGATGGACTCCGGGTACTTGCCACCGTTTTCGACGCGCTCGCGTTCAATCAAACGATCGACGACAACCTTGGCGGAGGCAACAGCCGCACCGGTCGGGATCGCTTGCGGGTCAAGAGCGTGAATGTTCTTACCGGTCGGCAACACCTTCGGGTTACGGATCGGGTCACCACCCGGACCCGGAAGCACGTATTGACCTTCGAGGGCTTCGGTGAGCGCGCCGAGCTCGTTGTCCTTGACAACTTGCTCGAGGCAGAAGCGCAAGTAATCGAACAAAGTGCGCATCTTTTCGACATCAGCAGATTCAAACTTGGTGCCCTTCAAGGCATCACCCCACGGAACCGCGACGGCAGCGCTACCGAAGAGCTTGCCGACGCTCGCGAGCGCGCCCGCGGCGACGCGACCAGACGGGTCGGCGGCAGCCGTGACAAACGTGCGGACGCACGAGCGGCACGCCTCGGTGATGTCTTGCAAGAGCTGAACGTCCTCGAGGTTACCGGCATCGTTGGATCTGTAGATGCTCTCGATATCGCGACCGACAGCCATCGCGAGGAGACCCGGGAGCGCGGTGATGTTTTCGTCTTCACGGTCGATGGACGCAATGTTCACGAGCGTGGCGACGGCTTCCTCCGCGGACGGCGGGCATCCGACGACGTGGAGACCGCACGGCAAAAGACGAGACTCGATTTCCATGAGCTTTTGGTACACCTTACCGACGATCAAATCGCGGGTGTCGGCATCAAAGTTCGCGGCGTCAGCCTCCGGATCAGTCGGGATTTCCTCGACATCCTTGTCCAAGTTGCACGTGATCGCGGTGGAGATGATGGTGTTGACGATGGACGGACCACGGCCGGAATCCTTCAACGTTTGGTAAGAAGAGATCAACTCCTTGAGTTCCTTCAAGCCCTTGTACAAGCCAGCGTTCTCAGCCGGCGGGGTCAAGTACGAGATGGTGTTCGCGTAAGAGCGACGCTTGGCAATCGTCGCCTCCGAGGGGTTGTTCGCCGCGTAGTAGTAGATGTTCGGAATGTTACCGATCAAGCGATCCGGGTAGCACACACCAGCCATACCGACTTGCTTACCCGGCATGAACTCGAGAGAACCGTGCGTACCGAAGTGAAGGACAGCGTCGGCTTGGAACACGTGCTCGAGGAACGTGTAGTACGCCGCGAAGCCGTGGTGCGGCGACGCAGACTTGGAGAACAACAATCGCATGGGATCACCTTCGTAGCCGAACGTCGGCTGGACACCGATGAAAACGTTGCCGAACTGCTTACCGTACACGAGCAAGTTTTGGCCGTCGGTGTTCAAGTTGCCCGGCGGCGGGCCCCAGTTCTCGTGCAAGTCCTCAGAGTAGAGGCAGAGCTTTTGGTACTCGGCAACCGGCATGCGGTAGGCGACGTTCATGTCCGGGGACGCGTATTGCGCCTCCTTGTCGTTGAGAACGGAGTTGATGAGCTCTTCCTCGCTGGACGGGAGCACACCAACGTTGTAGCCCTCGCGGCGCAAGCCTTGAAGCACGCGGTAGATGGAACCGAAGACGTTCAAGTACGCGGCGGTACCGACGTTGCCCTTATCCGGCGGGAAAGAGAAGACGGTGATCGCGAGCTTCTTGGCCGCGGCGGTCTTCTTGCGAAGGCCAGCCCACTTGATGGCGCGGTTCGCGATTTGCGCCGCGCGATCTTCGAGAGTGTGAGACTTACCAGACTTGGAATCGCGACCGGAGAAGATCATCGGCTCGAGGCCGCCGTCGAGTTCCGGAAGCGCGACTTGGAGCGCGACTTGCACCGGGTGCAAACCGAGCGTGGAATCCTTCCACTCTTCGGTGGTTTGGAAAGAGAGCGGGACGGTGACCATGTACGGCACGTTGAGCTTCTTCAAGGATTCAATCGCCTTCGGGTGATCTTGACGCGCCGGGCCGCCGACGAGGGCGAAACCAGTCAACGACAAGACGGTGTCGACGTACGCACCCTTGGTGATCGGGTCAAAGAAGAACTGCTCGATCGGGCCGGAGAAATCGAGGCCACCGGCAAAGATCGGGACGACCTTCGCACCCTTGGCTTCGAGCTCCATGACCATACCGTCGTAGTGACCAGAGTCGCCCGTGACCAAGTGCGAGCGCTGGAGCACGAGACCGATGACCGGGGCGTCCGCCTTGAACTTGATGTCCTTGCGCGTGTCGTACCAGTTGAGGTACTCCTTCAAGTCCTCGTAGTACATCGGCGCGGACGGGTGCCAGATGCCAACATCCGGGAACACTTCCGGCTCAGCCACCGTGAGCTCGACGCCCTTGAGCTCGGGGACGTACGCCTTGGAGATCATCAACAAGAAGTTCTCCAAGTTGTCCGTGGAACCGCCGAGCCAGTACTGCAAAGAGTTCATGAAGTTGCGCGCATCCGCAGCCTTGTCCGAGGGCAAGTACTTCAACACCTTCGGCAACGTGCGGACGAGCTTCAACATGCCCTCCTCAAAGCCGCCGGATTCCTTCTTCTTGCGCATGAACGAGGCGATGGCGGACTTGGACTGACCGAGCTGCGCCATGGAGAACGTGCCGAGCTTGTTCAAGCGCATGACTTGCGGCATGGACGGGAAGATCAAGCACGCGTCCAAGTTTTCGCGGCACGGCGTCACGATTTCGACAATCTTCTCGGCGAGCTCTTCGATAAAGATGAGAGAACCGATGAAGATGTTTGAAGACTCGACATCCTTCTTGAGCGCCGCCAAGTTATCGGCGTTGCGCAATTCCTCGAGCAAGTAGCCGGTAACCTCGACGCACACCTTGTCGTTGGTTTCATTAATCTGTTTCACCGCCGCGGACAGCGCGGACTGGTACTGCGCCTCCAAAACGACGTACGTCACCTTGACCACGACGCGACCCTTCGCCTCGGGCACGATGCGTCGCACCTCCGGATCAACCGTCGTGAACAACCCACGAGATCCCGAAGACATGTCCTCGATCTTGTCCTCTTCGCTCTCACCCTTCTTCTTCAGCGGTCCTCGCGGTCCAGTGGCGACGGCGCGCGTCACCGGAGCCGCGCGCGTCGCGCGCGCCGCGCGCGTCGTTTTCCCCCTCATCGCCTGCGCGTTTCGAAAACCCCCGCGTCGTCAGTCGTCCCGCCTCGCGCCTCCTCGTCGCTCGCCGCGCCCATCGCTCGCGCGTTCGTCTCCCTCGCCATCGCTCCTCGCCATCATCCCTCGCCATCATCCCTCGCGCGTCCCTCGCCCGTCCCGGTTCGCGCGCCTCCGCGCGGGGTTGTAGATAAGAGCGCGCGCGCCGCGATCCCGACCCCCCCCCGTCCCTCTTCGCCCGCGTCGCGCGCGCCCGATCGCGCGCGCCGATCCCATCCGAACCCTCGCGCGCGCTTTCCGCGTCCCCGCGCGTTTTCTCGCGCGTCCATCGCGCGTCGCGTCGCGCGCGCACCGTCGTCGTCGCGATCGCCGCGCGCGCGCTGACGCTGGCGCGCATCGCCATCGTCCCGGTTCGCGCGCCCGCGACTCGCGAGATCGCGCGCGCGCTCGGACTCGACTCGACGATCCGTGCGCGAGCGCTCGTCGTCGATCGCGCGTGCTCGCGCGCGTGTGTGCCGCGCCGTTCGTCGACGCGATCGTCCCGTTCGCGCGATCGACGACGAGCGCGCGTCGCGCGCGTCGCGCGTTCGCATTCAGCGTGCGATTAAGCCCATGAGATGGCGTCGACGTCATTTTTATCGCGCGCGCCGGATAAAAATGCCGCGCGATCCGGGCGGCGGATAAGGCGCGTGGTCGCAACTTTCGGGTTTCATAGATATTTCAGGGTGCGCAGTACGATGCAGTATGACGTAGTATCGCGAGGTAAGTGTCTACATAGAAGCCCGCGAACGCGCACGCGCGGTCGCGCGTCGTCGATCCGGCGCCGGCGGGACGCGCGGCAGACGTCGACGGGTCGTCCGGCGTCGAGTCGACGCGATCGATCGCGCGCGTCGCGACGAACGATTCGAACGCGGATCGATCGTCCGACGACCCGGTCGCGGATTCGGTCGCGAGACGCGCGACGCGACGGATGGGGGCGCTTCGGGCGGTGCTGTCGCACCCGGGGGACGTCGCGCCGCTGGTGCGGGTGAAGATGATGGCGAACGCGGCGAAGAGATTGCCGAAGGATCCGGATCTGGCGTACTGCTACGACGTGCTGAATAAGGTGTCGAGATCGTTCGCGATCGTGATTCAGCGGCTGGACGCGGAGCTGCGAGACGCGGTGTGCGTGTTTTATCTCGTGCTTCGAGCGCTGGACACGGTGGAGGACGACATGAGCATACCGATCGAGAGGAAGGTGCCGGATCTGCTCGCGTTTCACGAGTACATTTACGACGCGAATTATAGCGCGGATTGCGGGGAGAAGCACTACAAGGATTTGATGAAGAATTATCCGCGCGTGACGTCGGTGTTCTTGGGATTGAAGAAGGAGTATCGAACGGTGATCGCGGACATCACCAAGCGAATGGGGCACGGGATGGCGAAGTTTATCGAGAAGGAGGTGATGGACATGGCGGATTTCGACGAGTATTGCCACTACGTCGCGGGCTTGGTCGGCATCGGTCTGTCCAACTTGTGGGGGGTGTCGAAGATGGAGAGCGCGGAGTTTGTGGGCGAGGAAAAGCTCTCGAACGCCATGGGATTGTTTTTACAGAAGACGAACATCATTCGCGATTACTTGGAAGACATTCAGGAGCTTCCCGCGCCGCGAATGTTCTGGCCTAGGAGCGTGTGGAGCAAGTACGCCGAAGAGCTCGACGATTTGCAACACGAGGAAAACCGCGAAAAGGCGGTGCAGTGCATGAACGAATTGATCACCAACGCCCTGTCGCACTCGTTGGATTGCTTAAAGTACATGAGCCGAGTCAAGGAGATCTCCATCTTCCGGTTCTGCGCCATTCCTCAGGTGATGGCCATCGCGACGTTGGCCGAGTGCTACGGCAACGAAAACGTCTTCAAGGGCGTGGTCAAGATTCGCCGAGGCCTGAGCGCGCGCATCATGCTCAAGTGCAACAACATGCTCGAGTTAGCGAGCGGCTTCAAGCACTTCGCCAACGAACTCGTGCACAAGGTGGACCCGAAGAGCGATCCGAACGGCGAGGAGACCATGGCGCGCATCGAGGCTCTCGAGGAGGCGTGCGACGAAATCATCGCCAAGGAAACCGAACGCATGCGCAAGGAGCAAATAGAGGACGACTCCATTCCCATGGCGACCAGAATCGTCCTGTGGTTGTTGTGTTTCGGCTACTTTTTGTACGCCTGGAATCTCGAAAACGTTCGCGAGTCGCTCGGCGTCAACAGACACGCCGGCGATCCTCTCGTCGACGACGCCCAAAAAGTCTTGGCGACGATTTGCATCATCTCCACGACCGCGCTCGTGATGGCGGGTAAAAAGAGATGATTTCGGTTCGCGGCGCGCGAGCGAACGGGTAGAGATTTTAATAATTCTAAGGCTTTCGTGACTAGGATTAAAACGACGCGTCTCTGTTCGACGTTATCCAAACCCAAACCGCGCGCGTCGCGACGCGCGCGCTCAGTACCCATCCATCTTATCCTGCGCCTCGCTCGCCTCGTTCGCCCCATCGATCCCTTTCTTCCAAAAGAATCCCGCCAGCGGGAACCCCGTGAACACGAACCATCCCAAAATCGGCGCGTACAGCCCCGAATCCGCGCCGACGACGCCGAAGATTGGATTTTTATACGCGTACTCGAACATCGACCCCGTCGCCGCGATCAGCACGATCACGCTCAGCAGCAGGTACGCCGGCCACGGAAGTCCGCCCTTCGCGTCCGCCGCCTTGCGCTCGAGCTCGCGGCGCTCCCAGATCGGCACGTCGTCGTCCGGCGTCGTCGCCGCGCTCGTCGACGTCGTCTCGACGTCATCGGTCGATGCGTTCGCGCGCGTCGCGACGCGGGCGCACTGACGCGCGGACGCGACGCGCGCGATCGACGCGCGGTGCGGTCTCGCGCGCGCGCGGCGCGCGGGCGCGACGGCGCGGGCGTGGACGCGAGCGATGGCGGTCATCGTCGTCGACGCGAGGCGACGAGTGCGACGCGACGAGCGACGCGCTCGCGGGACGCGCGGACGACGCGCGGGTCCGCGCTCGAGCGCGCGAATCGCGGTGGCTCAACGGTGCGGTTGGTTATTTCAGTTCGGGAGCGCCCACGGAGGCGGCGGCGTAGGACGGTAATCCGCCGATTTTGTTCGGCGGCCAATACTTGGCCGTGGCGCGGCCGATGATGCGATTTTTCGGCAGCGGTCCCCAGACGTGGGAGTCGAAAGAATTGTTTCTGTTATCGCCCATCACGAACACGTCGCCCTCGGGCACGGTGAACGGGCCGTACTGATACTTGATCGGCTCGAGCTTTAACTCTTTCCCTCTCGAGACGCCGTTGACGAAGAGCTCGCCGCGCTTGACCTGCACCGTATCGCCCGCCACCGCCACGACGCGCTTAATAAACACCTCATTGCTCACCTTCATCGTTTTCGGCGTCTTCGGTGGATTAAAGATCACCACGTCTCCCGCCATGGGCTCGCGATTGAACCGATACGTCAGCTTCTCCGCGATCAACCTATCGCCGACGTCGAACACCGGATACATCGACAGCGACGGAATGTACCTCGGCTCCGCCACAAAGTGTCTGAATCCCAGCGACACCGCGAACGTGATCAACACCGTCGCTATATCCTCTCGATTAAACCTCAAAAACTCCGGCACCCACTCCGGGTAGTCGACGTCGACGACGTACTCGTCGTCGCCGTCGCCGTCGCTCGACCCGCCGCCGCCGCGTCCCGCGCCCCCCGGCCCGCGTCCCTCCGTCTTCGTCTCCGCGCTCGGCGTCTGCGCGCGCGCGACGTGCGCCGCCCGCGCGTCTCCTCGCGCGCGCGTCTCGATCGCGCGCGTCCACGCGCGCCGCGACGCCGTCGTCGGCGTCGTCGCGAACCTCGCGCCGTCGTCCCGCGCGCGCGACGACGCGACGACGCGACGCGCTCGGACGCGCGCGGAGGCGCGCGACGACGCGACGACGCGCGTCGGCGCCGCGGTCGACCGCGCGAGCGTCGGCGGCATCGCGGCGAGCGTCGACGGCGCGTCGAAGTGACGCGTCGCATCGCATCGACGGACGCCGCACTCGTCGACGCCGCGACGCCGCGACGCGCGATGGACGGCGACGCGCTTCGCGCGGAGGCGACGGCGGCGATCGCGCGCGCGCGCGCGGCGGCGGCGGCGGCGGCGGCGGCGGCGGCGGCGCTGTCGACGACCCCGCGGAACGCGCGACGCGACGCGACGGCGACGGCGACGACGACGACGCGCGGACGCGCGCGCGGATCGCCGCTCGGACCGCCGAGACGGGTCGCGGCGACGCGCGACGCGCCGACGGCGCTGGAGATTCCGCGGGCGTCGCGCGCGGCGGCGAGGGACGTGGTGGACAGCGCGAGGAGCGTGGCGACGCGCGACGCGCGGAGGACGACGACGCGAGACGGCGCGTTCGCGAGCGGGAAGACGAGGACGAACGAAAACGATCGAGCGAGCGCGGCGCGACCGCGCGAGGCGCGCGCGTTTCGACGCGAGACGCGCGCGCGGATCGACGAGACGACGCTCGAAAAACTGTTGCGAGTCGCGGCCAAGGCGAGAGCGCGCGACGAGACGAACGCGCGCGACGCGTTCGATTTGAAGAGCGTCAAGGAAGCGGTCGAGTTTTTGAGCTCGCCGAGGACGAAGACGTCGCGAGTCGCGAGTCAGAGAATGCATCCGCGCTTGTGAGCTTGTAAGCTGATTGTAACTTTATACCGTCTACGCGGAGACGCGCGCGTCGACGTCGCTCTAAACTTTGCCTCGGAACACGCACTTGGGTAAGAAGTACTTGTCGCCCCACCAATATCGACGGGTGACGCCCTCCCAAATCTTCGCATCCGCGGTGTCGATGGATTTCATCTCAAACGTCACCTTGAGACCCAAAGCTCCGAGCTCGACCTCGGCGACGCGATTGTACACCATGTGAAAGAAAATGTTGTCGGGACACATGCCGTTGAAGTAGCTGTACAGCCCGCCCTCGCGCAAAAGTTTGGGCAAAAAGGCGTGAAACCGACGCATGTCGTCGTACTCTTCCCCGTACGTGTCGAAATAAATCGCGTCAAACTTTCGACCTTCCTCCACGAGTCTCGGCAGCACGTCTTGCCACCGTCCAAACTCCACGCGCACGCCCGCCTTCGAATCCCATCCCGCGCGCGTCATGTGCGCCCGCACGTCCGGATGCGCCTCCACGATCGTGTGACTCCTCGGCTCTCGAGCCTGAATGCATCCATCGATGATCCCTAAGCCGAAACCGACGTTCATAACGTCGCCGTTCGTCTCGCACAGCGCGTCCGCGTGCGCCTCCATCAACGGCGCCTCCCAGCTCATCATCACCGCGTCTCCGCGCTCGTCCAACAATTTATCATCACCGCTATACCTCACCTTTGTCGCTAAATATTTCTCGCTCTCTTCGTTCCTTCGGCTCGCGCCCTTCGTCGCCGACATCGACGCCTCGCCGTCCCGCACCTCGCTCGCCGTCGCGTGGTCCATCATCGCTCGCGCCAGTTCCGCGTGTCCGTGTCCGCTCGCGTACTGTCCCGCGCAGTCACCGTCGTCATCGACGTCGTTCCATCGCACGCCCGCGCTGAGCAGATGATCGACGATCGCCGCGCAGTTCGCCGCCGCCGCGTGGTGCAGGCAGTGCGCGCCGTTTTCGTCCCGAGTCGTCGGGTCGGCGCCGCGCTCGACGAGCGCGAGGAACGCGCGGACGTCGCCGGCGACGGCGGCGGCGCGCGCGTCGTCGTCGGCGCCCATCGCGGGAAGCGCGGGGGCGAGCGCGCGCGAGTGTGGACGACGCGCGCGCGGCGGCGGTTCGCGCGCTTTTCGTTGACACTGACAACGACGACGGGACGAAGACGACGAACGCGCGAAGAGGAAAGGAGACGCGAGCGCTCAGACGCGAGCGTCGGGGACGGCGGTGGCGGCCGCACGCGCGGCGATCATGGTGGCGTGATCGCCCGAGGCGATGGCGGCGAGGACGGAGGACGTCGCCGAGGCGCACGCGTCGGCGGTTTCGCGGTTGAACGCTCGACGAGCGAGCGCTCGACGAGCGGTGGTGATTTCTAATTCGGAAGCCTTGACGCCGGCGGATTGAATCACCGCGGGCGGTAAGCACGCCATGCGAGCCACGTTTAAACCGAACGAGCGATGGGCGACGCCCGGGGTGAGCTTGTACAGGAATTGAATTCGCGGCATTTCCTCCGACGAACCTTCAAGTTCGACGTACGACGTGAAGCACGACGCGCAGTGCGTCGGGTACTTGGCTTGCACGTCGCGCGCGACCGATGGGTAGTGCGTCACGAATAGCGTGAAACACTTTGCATCTCGAACGAGGTGTTCGAGCGTGGCGGCCGCGATGGCGACGCCGTCGTGCGTCGACGTCCCTCGACCGAGTTCGTCCATGATGACGAGCGATCTCGGCGTGCACATTTCTAAAATGTTTGACGCCTCGGACATTTCCTCGAGGAAAGTCGATGAACCCATGGCGAGATTGTCGCTCGCTCCCATGCGCGTGTAGATTGCATCGAGCACTGTGAGGCGGGCCTGTTTTGCTGGAACAAAACTCCCGACCTGCGCCATCACGCTCAACAACGCCACTTGACGAATGTAGCAACTCTTCCCACCCATGTTTGGTCCGGTGATCACGAGAGCGCGCGTACGGTCGCCGTGGAGGTCGATACTGTTTGGCACAAAGTCATCCAAAAGGTGCGCGTCGAGCACTGGATGCCTACCATCGACAACGTGCAGAGATGGTGGCGCGGAATCGTCGAGCAATTCTGGTCGGACGTATCCTTCGTTTCTTGACAGAATCGCCAACGCGTGCAACGCGTCCAACGTCGCCACAGCCGACGTCGCCGATCGAAAAGCGGCGTAGTTGTCTCGAAACGACGACAGAAATTCTTTCCATGCCGCATCGGCGGCAAACATGTGTCGTTCATTCGCGCATTCTAACGCCGCCGCCGCTTCCGTGACTTCCGGCGGGTGGTAGCGTACAACCTTTTTGCTCTTGTTCGAACTCACCTTGATCCACGTCGTCGGACACGAGCGATCCATGGGGACTTCGATGAGCCACTCGCCGCCGCCAACACCGCCTACGGTGGTGTAACCAAGACGCGGCATGCCGAGCTTACGGCGCAGTTCCGGGAGTAAATCGTCCATCGCGCGCTTCGCCTCCTCCACCGCCGCAGTGGCGGCGTGCAAATCCGGAAAGCTTTCCGCGTCGTCCTTGAAGAGTCCAATCTTCGTCTTCGAAGGCTTGTCCACGCACGCAATCTCCAGATTCAGCGCGTTCAAAAACTGGTCTGCTAACGCGTGAAGAAGAGGATCGGTGACGGCTTCGATTTGCGCTTCCAGCAACGTCGACTTGATCTCCCCAGAGACGCTCGCGCGCATCGCTGCGCACGACTCGCTGAATTTTGCGAGCGACGTCAAAGCCCCGACGAACTCACCGGGCGTTGCCGTGCCGTGAAACACGCGCGCGAGACTTCGTTCGAGATCTGGGAGCTGTTTTAGTTGAATCTTCAATCCGTTGAACGTGTTGTGACTCACTTTGTCGTGGTCCATCATCGATCCTTCCTCAAACGACGTCAACTCGCGCAGCGCGTCGACGGCGTCCAGTCGGCCTTCGATGGCGGACTTTGAACGCAGTGGATGACTCACCCAGTGACGCAGCAAGCGACCACCCATGGGTGTGACGGTGTGATTCATCAACCAAAGTAAGCTTCCCTTGTACGTTCCCGCGGAAGACGTCAAAACCTCGAGTTGACGCAAAACATTCGGCGAGAGTTTCATTTCGTCCGCGCCCTCGAGCGGGCGAAACGCGGCGTCGAGATGAAGAATATCAGCTTGTCCGAATTCTCTCAGATACTTGGCGCCCGCGCAGAGTGCGGTGTGCACCAAGGGTGTCGCCTCCTCCGCCTTGGTACCGGTAAGCGTGACGCCAGTGAGTTCGTCTCGCGTCACGCGCTCCACGCGCGCCGCGTTCGCGCCTGAACCGTACATCGCCTTGATTAAACGCGCCGTCGGTTCGCTAATTGGTTCCACGAGAACGATCTCCGCGGGTGAAATGCACAACAACCGCGACTCCAACCCAGGTCGTTGCATGGTGTCCATGAACTCTCCACTCAGTACGTCCCCGGTGCTTGTTTCAATCGCCGCCAATCCCACGCGCGTCGACGCCGACGTCGACGCCCCGCCCGCGACGCGATCCTCGGCGACGCACAACAAATGATTCGACAACACCCCCGACGCCATGCTCGACTTTTCCCCGTCGTCGCCCGCGTCCGACAACGCCGCTCCCGCGTCTAACGTCGCTTTCGTGTACAATCCAACCAATTTCCGTTCAAACAGCCCCGATTTATTCCCCGTCTCCCCGCTCGCCTTCAACGCCGCCGTCTCCGTCTGTTTCACCACCCCCACTCGATACCCCGCCTTGACCAACCGTCGCACGTACACGTTCAACCGCACCACGGGCACGCTCGCCGTGAGATAGTTCCTCGACTGATACGCGAATATTCCCAAAACCTTGCTCGCATCCCGCGCGTCATCGCCGTAAAAGTGATACTTGTACCCGACTTCGATCATCAGCATCGTCCCCGGATATTTCGCCTTGAACGTCTTCACGCTCTGTTCCAACGGCGTCATCTTCGTCCCCGTCTCCGACGCGCCCGCGCCATCCTTCGTCTTTCCATCCGCATCGACCTCTAAATCTCGTCGTCGTCGATCGAGCGAGAGCTTTTGAATAAACTTCGCGCGCGTCGTCGGCGACGACGGTTTCAGTCGCTCGAGCGTCGCCCGCGCGTCGTCCTCGTCCGCGTCCGCGTCCTCGCGCCGTCGTCCCTCGTCCGCGCGCGCGTCGTCGGTGAGCTCAACGTCATCCTCGCGATCGTCCGCGTCGCGAGTCTTCGCGCGCTTCGCCGCCGGCGGCGCGTTTTCGTCGTCATCGTTCGTTCGCGATGCCGCATCGCGCGTCGCGGTTTCGCTCGACGCGCGTCGCGACGACGCCGCGCACGGCCGCGGATTCGGCGCGAAGAAACTGCTGATTGTTTTTTGTCCCTTGGGCGGGATTTCGGGCGGCGCGCGCATGACGCGCGTCGAGACGGCGCGCGCCGAGACGTGCGGATGCGTTTGAAACCGACGCGCGGCTGTCGCGACGCGCGAGACGAAGAGACGCGAGGCGAGACGCGCGAGACGCGCGAGGGAGGAAGGATTGAGCGTCGCGTCTATTGCGTATTAAATCTATGGTATGTAATATCGATGTGGTGATCGCGGGTTCGATCGCGGTGTCGCTACGCGGGCTTGGATGTGTCCAAGCGCGAGGCGACGAAACGCGCCCAAACGAATCCCCAAGGCGTGAAACCGTTGACCCATTTGATGGTGTCCCAAACCGTGACCGCGAGGGCGTAGACGAAGGCGGAGGCCACGATGTGCGCGCTCAACGCGAGGGCGCGTAATAGTAAGATGGGCTTGCGAATCAATCGCGACATGTGCGTGCCGAAGAGAAAAGAAAGAGCGCGCTTTTGGGCGCGATCCTGGCGTTCGCGAATGCGACGCGCTTCGTCGGATTCGGGCCACACCGGCAAAGCGGCGACTTTGACTGGATTTCGGCGCACAAAACGCCGAGCGGTCCAAAGATCTTGGAGCGTACGGCTGAGCATTCTGATGCTCTTCGCGCGCAGCGCCGTGCCTTGAGGACCGGATAAGTACTCGACGATTTGTTCCGTGTTAGCCGCGAACGCGACGCGACGCAACGCGGTACCTTCGGTCGAGCCCAAGAGTCTACCGACAACCTCTTTGCTGCGCTGCGCCATGAGCGCTTGGCTATCGCCGAACACGTCGCTCTCGGTATCCGTCGTCGATACTTCAGTGGCGGGTGTCTCGTCTTCGTCCACCGTGTCGTTCAACACGAGCTCTTCCATGCGATCCCATCGCAACTCGTTGGACTCGTTCAAAAACGTCTCGCGCATCGCTCTTTGACCTTCCGGCGTTGAAGGCGCCATGGCACGTCGAATAGCGTACGGTAACGCTGCGGTGTAAATGTTAAAATTCGGATCCGCCTTCTCCGCGATGCCTTCGAGCGTCAAAAACGTTCTGATGAGAAGGATGATGTAAGGCGGCGTCAGGAACTTGAAGTTCGCGCTGAGCTTGGCCAATCCGGTCGCGAGCGCACCAAAACGACTTTGACCACCTTCTTCCGAGGACAAAGTCTTCGCCACCGCCGCCGTCATCTCTTCCAACGTCGCCGGTTTGTACGTGTCGCTGCGGTCGTCGCGCTTCAAGAAACCTTCCTTTGGCGTGAAGCCAACCTCTTGGAAAACCAACACTAAACCCTCCCAGTTCCCGGAAATCATGTGCTGAATGCCCTTTGCGAAGCCTTCCATGATGAAAGGCTCCACTTCGCTCATGAGCCCGAAATCCAAAAATACGAGCATGTCGTTTTTGTCGAGCATCATGTTCCCTTCGTGCGGATCCGCGTGGACAAAACCAGTGTAAATCAGCTGCGCCACGCACGCTTCGACCGCCATTTGCGCCATGATGAGCTTTTTCTCTTGAGTTAAATCCGCGATGTGATTGCCATCGATCCACTCTGTGGTGAGTATTCTCGCTCGACCCTCTGGTCCCGTGTACTGCGGCAGCCACTCTGGCGCGCGAACGAAACCCAACCACTTATGCCGCTCGTTGAACTCGTCCATGTGCGCCGCCTCTTGCGTGTAGTCCAGTTCTTGCCAAACGCCTTGCCCGACCTCATCGGCGATGACGTCGAGCTCCGTCGTGGTCCCCCACAAGCGCTTGAGCGTCGAAAGGGAGAGCGACCAGCACGTCCAGTCGAGGGCAACTTGTCGCATCACCTTCGGTCTTTGCACCTTCACCGCCACGTCTTCACCTTCCCACGTCTTTGCCTTGTAAACTTGTCCTAATGACGCCGCGGCGATGGGTTTCGCGCTAAATTCTGCGAACAAAGGCTTTGCGTCTGGGTTCACGCCGACGTATGCGTGATTCGGCGCGATGGGCCCATCCCATTCCAAATCTTCCACGATCGTTCTCCACGCCAACCGATCCGGAAACGGCTCATTACTTTGTTGCAGCAACTTCAATTCATCCGCCGCCTCTTCCCCGATCAAATCCGGACGCTGCGACAGCGTCTGCCCGATTTTCACAAACACCGGCCCCAAGCGCGTCATCGCCGCTCTCAACTCCGCCCCCCGCGTGCGCTTCTCCGGCGCCCAATCCTCCTGCTTCTTCCAGCTTTTTATCACCCGTCGTCCGACTCGAATGATCGTCGCCAACCGTCCCGCGACTTGCAACGGTCGTCGTCGAAAGAATCGCAGCAACTTTGGTTTATCAAACTCCCCGCGCAGCGCGTCGTACGCGTCCCGCCGTCTCCTTCGCCGTCTCTTCAATCTCCGCCCCCCGCGCTCGACCGAATCGCTCACGCGCACGATCCTCGTCCCCGTGGTCGTCATCGCGTCGTCCTCGATCGCCTCATCCACCGACGACGTCGTCGCCAGCAGCGCCAGCGCCGCGTCCACGTCCTCGTCCCCCGTCGCGTTCGCCCGTCCGCGCCCTCGCGCGCGCGCGCGCGCGTCGCTCGTCGCCGTCCATCGTTCGCGCGCGCGGTTTTCGAGCGCGCGCGCGCGTCCGAACGCGTCGAGCGCGACGTTTCGCGCGCCGGCGACCGCGACGTCACCGCGTCCCGGTCGGATGCGTCCCGGTCGCTCGCGCGCGCGCCGCGTCGCGGACGCGCGCGCGCGCGCGCGCGCGGGCACCGCGGACGCGCGTTGATGCGCGCGCGACATCGGGCGCGTCCGCGACGCGCGCAGGGCCGACGCGGTCGACGAGCGAGCGAGCGATCGATCGATTGATTGATTGATGCCGAGGCGAGGAGTGCGTCGCCACATCCAGGGTGGCTCGAGCGAGACGCGGCGCGGCGAAGCGATGCTCTCGAAACGCGCGCGGCGCGTCGCTCTTCGCCGCGCCCGCGCTTAACGTCTGGTTGATGAAATCTCGACGCGCGATCACGCGAAATTCTCCACGCAAATCGCCTCGAAAACGTCGAAAGAAACGACGCCCAAGTGCCTGTCGTCGGTGAAGTGGCGCGGGTCGAAGTACGGCGCGAGCAAAGCGCGAGGGATCGGACGGCCGAGGGCGCTCGAGGCGCCGGCGACGAATTCGTCGATGGAGAGGGAGGCGGAACCGTCGGCGTCGAGGAAGTCGAAGATGAGACGGAGCGGAGATTTAGAGCTGTGGGAGTGCTCGGTGCGACAAATCATTCGGAGGGTTTCGTGCCAGGATTTGCGCCACGAGGCGTCGCCGGTTGGATGAGGGAGGGCGGCGTCGGCGGCGGCGAGCTCGATCCAGGCGCACTGGAGGGTGGACGCTCGGAGGAAGGCGAGCCGGGAGGCGAGACGCTTGAGCGCGGCCTCGCGCTCGGGCTTTTCGTCGGGGATTTCGGTGATGTTTAACTCTCGACGGACGACGTCCCAGACGTCGGCGCCGAAGTAGTCGAATTCGAGCACGGGGGTGAAGGATTCGGCGGTGAGCACGCTCCAAAGGGTGTCGTCCTCGACGGGATCGCGAGGAAGTCTTCGACCGTTGATGGTGACGTTACGTATGACTTGAACGTCTTTGTAATCACGCACCGCGGCGCTGACTAAGTGCTTCGCCACGCTCGCTTGCTCGTCGCAGTTCAGATCGAGTCTGTAGTGCATCGTGAACGCCTGCGGCGAATCGCCGAGGACGTTTCTCCATCCCATGCGAGCGCCAAAAATACTTTGCTCGAAACTTGAATACCGACCGACGACGGCGGGTACGTTGGCGTGGTCGATCACGCGATTGAATAAGATCACGGCCGCCTCTACGCGATCGGGACCGGGTGGAAAAGCGTCGCATACTCTCTGGTATTGACGTGCGTTCACGTGCACGCGCACCGAAGCCTCGCGAAGAGCGTAAAGCGCCCTCACTGATCTCACGGCCGCCCATTCGCTCGTTGAGTTGGTCAAGACTGCGACTGAATGCAGAAACGTGTGAAGTTTCTCATCGGTTTCCGCCATCGCGCTTTCTGACGCGCGAATGTTGCTCGTGTAATCGAATTCGAGCGTGCCGACGTTTGGCATGCATCGCATGAGCGACTCGGGAACACCTGACGGCATCACATCCGTGATTCGCGTCCGATTCAATCGCACGTTTCGCCACGTTCGGCGTCGCCCTTCGAACGTTGCGCTGTCCATCATCGTCGAAGCGATCGTTCTGTCTATGTCGACAGCTAAGTTTAAATCGTACCGCCCTGTGGGATTCGCCGCGCGAAAATGTGCGTAAGAACCAAGTATGTTCCGAAGCTTTTCGAACTCAAACTTCGATGTGAACATCTTCTCAGCGTTTTCAGCATCAAGTAAGCGCGCGTAAATAGCTGAGGCGGCTTGTAAGCGATCGGTGCCTTCGAGAATAAAGGTATCTAGAAGTTTCGCGGCGTGCGAGGTTTCAAAGTAGTAGCTGCGGCAAAACAGCATGAGTCGACTGAGCCGCTCGAAGTCTGAAAGCCGATTGCTTCGAAGTTGCCTCAAGATATTTTCAAAGTCTTCGTCTTCGATGACCACAGGCCGTCTCGCCAAACGCGCTGCGCTCGTGACGAATTGAATCTCGATCACGCCGCGCGAGACGCCGCTCAAGCCTTCGCGCTTGAAATCATCCAGCACATCCACACCCGAAGGAACCTTTTTAGCGCTCGTCATGCTTCCAGGATTCTCGCTTTCTAAGTGCCACAACTTTGATGCGATGGCGCGCTCACCCGTGTCGTCGAGATTTAGCGTGTATCGGCCGTCTGGATTGTGCGAATTGAACGCCGCGACGCCGTGTTTCGTGGTGGATTTCCTCTTCTTCTTCGGCACGTCCACGAAAGAAGATCCCGAGCACGTCAGCACTGTGAGACAATCGTTTTCCAGTAACATGGACATCAAGTGCCGCCCGCCGTCTTCGCCCATGGCGTTGTGATCTAGTCGAAGTGTCGTCAACACGTCGTTCGTTCGCAAGCCTTCGCTTATGACCATCGACGCGTCGCATCCCAATCGACATCGCGATAAATCGAGCTCCAGTAGCGATCGATTGACGCTCAGTGAGTCACCTATGTGTTTACCACCTTCGTCACCGATGCCGTTCCACGCCAAGGATAAGAATTCTAATCGCGTGTTCAGCTTCAGACCGCGCGACACGTGCGCGCACCACTCCGAGCCGATGGCGTTCCAGGACACGTTGAGAACTCGTAACGAAATGTCCGCGCCCAAGGCGTCGCCGATGCATCGACCACTCGCATCGGTCAACTTATTCCTTGATAAATTCAAACTTTCGAGTCCGCACGTGTTGCTCCGAAGAGCGGCGAACAACGCCGTCGCGCACGCGTCGTCGACGCCGCACGCCGAAAAATTCAAAACCTTGATTTTTTTCACCGCTTCCGCGCACGTGGGCGCGATCGCGCTCGAAACTTTGTTTTCACTAAAATTCAGCGCCCGCAGAACCTTCGCGCGCGCGGCCGCGGCGCACAACGCAGAGACTCCGTCGTCGTCGATTTGATTCCGACTCACGTTTAGGCTCTCCATCGTCGCGTTCTCCGCCACGCCCGCCGCGATCGCCTTCGCGCCGCTCGACCCCAGACCCGAAGACGCCACATCGGCGTACTTTTTCTCCAACTGTCGCAGCACTCTCGAACTGACGCGCGCACCGTGTTCGACGCACGCCGCCGCGTACGCCGCCGCGCGCTCGTCCCGCGTCGCCAGTCTGCGCACCCGCCACGCGCCGATCTCCTCTCGAGCCACCCGTCGCGGATGCCTCGACGATCCCTCGCCCCGTTCAACGACTCGAACGACGTCCACCGTCGCGCGGTCGCGCGCGCGCGCGTCGTCGTCGACCGCGCGCACCGCGCTCGACGCCCGCGCGACTTCCTGCTCTCTCTGCAGCCTCGCGCACACGCGCGCCTGCGCGCGCGCGTACGCCTCCGCCACCGTCGGCCGGTCGCGCGCGACGTTCATGGTAATTTTAAAGCCTCGTCGCCGCCCTCGATCGTCGACGCGCCGCGCGCGCCGCGCAGTGACGCGCGCGCGCGCGTCCCAAAATAGCACACTCGGCAGACGAATCGACACTCCGACGCGCGCGGCGTCGCGACGCGCCCGCATGCGCGCCCTGCCGTCCTCGCGCGCGCCGCGATCGTCGCCCTCGCGCGGTCGTCCTCGCGCGCGCGCGCGACGCGCGCGCGACGCTCGAACGCGCGCCGCCGCCGCCGCCGCCGCGTCCACCGACGGCGCGTCGACGCCGCCGCGCTTCGACTACGACGCGCTGTTCGCGCGCGGTCGACGCGGAGGCGCGGTGCCGACGTTCGCGGCGCCGATGGAAGGGCTCGGCGACGCGCGGTTCCGCGTCGCGCTCGCGGCGAACGGCGCCGGTGGTTTCGACGAGGCGTGTCGAGAGTTTATCAGAATTCCGGGCGCGCTGCCGAACGGCGCGGATCCGACGAAATTGGTGAAGAATCTGTGCGCAAATTACGACGCGGATGAGTTGAGATTCAACGCGACGGCGCGCGTGCCGCTGGGGGCGCAGATCATGGGGAGCGAACCGTGGTTGCTGGAGCTCGCGGCGAGACATTTGGCGACGGAGAAATCGGCGCCGCGAATCGACTTGAATTGCGGATGCCCGGCGAACGTGGTCACGGGGAAAGGCGCGGGATCGTCGCTGTTGAGAGATCCCGAGTACGTGTACGCGTGCGTGAAGGCGGTGGCGGATGGGGCGAGAGGAAGCGGCGCGCACGTGACGATGAAGCTTCGGAGCGGATACGACGATTCGTCGTTGTTGCGGGAGAATTTGCTGGCGGCTCGCGAGGCGGGGGCGAGATTCGTGTCGCTACACGCGAGAACGCGCGCGCAAGGGTACTCAGGTCGAGCGAATTGGGAAGAAATCGCGTTCGCGAAAGATGTTTTGGACATTCCGGTGCTCGGGAATGGGGACGTCACGAGTCCGCAACGCGCCGCTGAATTGCTCAGGGTGAGCGACGCGGACGGCATCATGCTCGGTCGCGGGGCGGTGCAAGATCCATTAATCTTTCGACGCATCGCTGCAACAGTCTCGCGGGACGCTCAAGGAGTTGTGCGAGTGAGCGATGATGTCTTCGAGCGCGAGTTCGAAGTCGAGCTCGTGATTGACTTTTTAAGAACTTTCGCGGCGGAGGTGTTCAAGACGGAAAATAAACCAAACGGCAAGCGCGGGAGCGGCGTCCAGGCGCAAGAGCTCGAGACCTTCAAGGTGGGGAAGATTAAATCCATCGTGAAATATTTGTTTGCTGGGAATCCCAATTTATTGCCTCACATGAAGTCTGTGATGCAGCTCGATCCAACGAAAACGAGCGCAGAGGACGTGTTGCGCACCGTCGAGACGCTCGTGCGCGCCGAATGGCAGACGCCTCAAAACGTCCTCGTCGACGCGTTCTCGAAGCGAAATCAGTACACATAGTAGCATGCATAGTAGCAGTAGCGCGGCAGTAGCGACATTCTTTGTTTTGTAGAAAATATAAATATTATTGGAAGTGAGGCTACAGTACCTACCGTACGACTGAGCAACTAAAAAAGAGCTACGTCTAAGTGAGTCTGAGTTGAGTCTTCCGCTTGTGAGAAAAGGTGGAAAAAATCCAAAGGATTGTCTCCGAATCTTGAAATGTACGAATCTTGTCGTTTACACCGTCGTCGTCTCGACTGCCTCGAGAGGTTTCTCCTCGATGCCTGTCCTGCCCTTCTTGAGCAACTTGACTTTAATCAACGGTTTACGGGCGGATTCGCCGCGAAAGTACACGTCGAGCCAAGAGAAGAACATGGTACCGAAAGCAGAGAAGACGACGGCGAGGATGAACGTGAGGAGAGTGCGCTTGCCGCCAAAGGCTTGCAAGCCACCGCCTTCGATGGTTGTGCCGTCCGGAAGCCAAAAGTTTCCAAACGGACCCCACGCGCGGTGAACAATCGGCGGGTTAACCATGGCCGCGGCCCTGGTGGAGTGCACCGCGCCGTACTTATCGGTCCACGCGCCGTCCAAATCGAGGACGGCGCCTTGAACGATGACGGCGATGCAGCCACACACAACGCCCATGATTGCACCGAGCTCGGTCGGTGCGATGATGAAGGAGTTGATGTCTTTGCGGATGAGACCGAGGTAGAGCGCCGGCGCGGCGAGCGCGCACACCAAGTCAACCATCAAAAAGAGAGACAAGACGTCAATCTTATCGACGGCGACGAAAATGGCACCGACATTCAACGCAGCGCAAATTACTCGCACCGAGTTTGCTGGAAGATCGTAGTTCAAGATGTCACGGTATAACACAGAAGTTAAGCCGTTTTGGATGGAATCCACCGAACTCACGCAAAGCGAGGTTGCAAAAATCAGAATGATTACGTGCCAACCCTTTGCGAGACCTTCGGCGAGTTCGAAGAACGCAAGGTAATGGAGCCTGGAGAAGTCGTCGAAATCGGCGCGGTACTTGGCCACGGCGGTGACACCGAGAATACCGAAGAACCACATGACGACAAAAATCATACCGGCGCCCAACGCGAGACCTTTGCGAAGATCTTGCGTGGAACGGGCGGCGTACACGCGCTGCCACTGACCGGCGTTGAATAATTCTGCGCCGAGGGTAGCGATGATCAGAGTGATCATGACGACAAACCCGTTCGTGGTGGACTTGGACACCGCGCGCATCTGCGTCGCGGTGACTTCGTTCTTCGCGAGCACGACGCAGCTGAAGAGCAACATGAAACCGGTAATCATCACGCCTTGCACGCGATCGGTGATCACGGACGCGGGTAAACCCGCAATCATGGTGTACGAAAGCGTGATGACGCAGACCGTGCCGAGAATGACGTCGCGAGAGTACTTGGATTCCGCACCCTGCACGTCGGAGAAGAGCGCGGCGACGTTGGCGATGGTGGAAATTTCCGCGCACAAGAAGATGAACAGATACATCGTGCTCATGAACGCGGCGACGAGTTGCATGCAACGACCGAATCGCGTGAGCGCGAAATCAGTCACCGAGAACCCATTCTTGTCGCCCACGAACGCCTTGATCGTCGGCGCGATGAAGATCATCAAAATCGCCGGCGACGCGCTCGCGAACGAGTACCCGAACACCCCCCACCACGACAACCGCGTGTTCGCGCCCATCTCGGTCGTGCCGTAGTACACCCACGCCCCCATACCTCCCGCGAAGTACGACAGCCCCACCTGTTGCCACGGCAGCGAGTTCTTCGCCGACATCCATCGCACGTTCGGCTTCTTCGCCGCCCTCGCGAACTCAGTCGCCGTCATCCGCGTCCCATCCTCCCTCCGCACCGCGAACGCCATCGCGACGACGAAAAAAAACAGCGTCGTCGCCTCCACCGTCGCGATCGCCGCCCCGCTCGTCAGCGTCGGGTACGCCATCCTCGCCGTATCGTTCGCGCGTCGCTCTCGTCGCCGTCGATCCCTCCTTCTGCGCCCCGCGCCCCGATGCGCGCGCGATGCGCTCGCGTCGCGCTCGACGTTCGGTGATCCTTCTCGCACGTATTACCGTGATCAAGTTCGGACGATGTATTCTCAGAACGCGCGTCGCCGCGCGCACACTCGTTCACCGCGTCGCGTCGTCGCGCGCCTCGACGCCGGCGCCGCCGCCGTCGCGCGCGTCTCACGCGCGTCGAGTCGCACACACGGACCGGTCGCGCGACGATTCGAGACTAAGTCTCACACACGGACTTACCACTTCGGCGCATTCGCGACGCGCATTCGTTCATTCCATTCATTCGCGCGCGACGCGCACTCGCGGGCGCGCGATGCGGACGACGCGCGTGTTCGACGACGACGCGTCGATCGATCGCGCGCGTCGCGCGATGCCGACGACGTCGGCGCGGTACCCGTTCGTCGGCCGCGACGACGAGGGGAAGACGCGCCATCGCGAGACGCGCGGCGCGACGACGCGCGCGAAGCGACGGGACGGCGCGACGACGCGAGGGAAGCGCGCGACGACGCGCGAGGGAAGCGCGAACGCGGGCGAACGAACGGTCGGGGCGCGCGTGCGCGTGGAGGACGTGCTGGAGAGCACGCGGGCGGCGGAAGAGGCGCTGAAGCGGGACGCGCGGGACGCGCGAGACGGGCGAGACGGGACGAGGGAACGGGCGGGATGGGAGGGCGCGAGGGACGGTGCGGGGGGGGCGGTGCGGATGTTGGCGCGAGAGCGGGGGGAGAACGCGCGGTTGAGCGAGGAGAACGCGCGATTGGGGGAGGAATTGCGCGCGAGGGGGACGGAGACGCCGGCGACGCGGGACGAGGAGGAGGAGGAGGAGGAGGCGCTGGATGAGACGGTGAAGGAGCTGTTCGATCTCGTGGAGAGCGAAAGGCGAGCGCGACGGGCGTTGGAGGAGAAATTGAGCGAGTACGAACGAGGGGCGGGGGAGGAGCGGGACGAGGACGCGACGCGACGCGCCGAAGAAGCCGAGGAGACGGTTCGCGAACAAGAGAAGAAGCTTTCGCAGGCGGCGGACATCATCGGTGAGCTTCGCACGACGTTGTTGCAAGTGATGGAAACGGAGAATCGCGGTGGCGCCCCGGAATCGGTGACGACGAATTCGCAGGTGGATGGCGAAGAGCGGAGAGACGGCGGGACGCCGTTGGAGCGAACGACGGCGGCGGTGAAGGTATGGGAAGGTAAAGTCGAGAAGCTCGTCCTGGAGACGGTGAAATCGGCGTTAGAGCGCGCGATGGATTCGCCCGCGCTGCAGACGAATAAGCGCGAGGGCGAGCAAGTCGTGTCGAGCGTCACGGATGCCATCAATCACGAACTGAGCGCCATCGTGGAAAACGCGATGTCGGGCATAGTCGACGAGATGCGATTTCAGTTCGGTCAAGAAGACGAGGACGAGGAGGAAATGGGATCCGTCGGTGGACGTAAACGATTCATCGTCTGGCTCGCCGATGAGAACATGCGTCGAGCGCAGCTTGAAGAACAACTCACCAACGTTCAAGACGAGCTCGCGCGTTCAGAGGCGTCGCGGCAAATCGCCACGCAGCGCTGGCTGCAAGCCATGAACCAAATAGACGGCAGCGCGTTTGACGACGAAAGCGATCTGGGCGAAATTCTCAGTCGAGTCGACGACATGTCCGACGACGGGACGTCCGTGTACAGCCTTGAACCGGGAGATTTAGGAAGTCCGCGGCGGCGAAGGCCGGCGGCGAATCGCCGCGCGATGTCCGTCGTCGGCGAAGCGCCCATGCGATCGGATGCGCGCCGACGCGCGACGAAATCGGAAACACACGAGCACGTCAATCTTCATGACGTCTCGATAGGACCGCACGGGCGTCTGGAGACGTTTAAAGAAGAGGAAGACGATCCAATCGTCGATCTCGCCATAGAAGCCACGCCCGGAGGCAGCGTCTACTTCGCCCTCCGAGCCGCCGCGCGAAACGTCCTCGTCCCGTGTGTGACGCGCGCTGCCGTCGTCATCTATCGCATCGCACAACACATCCACGCGTTGTGCGTCTACTGCGCCAGCAGTCCGAACTTCGAGCTCATCTGGCCCGTCGTCCTCCTCTTGGCGGCGTTTTACTGGAAAATCGGCGCCTTTGACGGCGCCGTCGTCGCCTCGCCCGCCGTCGCCGTCGTCGCCGAGCGCACCGCTCGCGCGCGCGTCGCCGCACCGCCCGCAGTGGCGCATCACCCGCCGAGCATACGCATCGTAGACTAGCGTGTACATCAAAAATGTAGCGTAGCGAACAGCCGTCCCGTCCCGCGCGCGGCGTCGCGCCACACCGCGACGCTCGAGCCATGCTCAGAGCGCTGTTCTTCCTCGCCCACGTCCCCGCGGCGCTCGCCCTGGACGCGACGACGCTGCGCGATATCGCCGCGTCGTCATCAAACGTCGATGCGCGCGAAATCCTGTCGCAATCGCGCGCGACGCACGATTACGTCGTCGACCTGCGACGAGAAATCCACAAAAATCCCGAACTCATGTGGACCGAACGCGCCACCGCGGACGTCATCGCGCGCGAGCTCGACGCGCACGGGATCGAATACGACCGAGTGACGTCCACGGGGATCGTCGCGCGCGTCGGACGAGGCGAACGAAGCGTGGGGTTGAGAGCGGATATGGACGCGCTGCCGCTGCGCGAGGACACCGGGTTGGCGTACGCGAGCGAGAACGATGGAAAAATGCACGCGTGTGGACACGATGGACACGTGGCGATGTTACTCGGCGCGGCGAAGGTGATAAAGGCGAGGTACGACGCGGATGAGACGTCCGTGCCGGGAGTGGTGCGGTTCATATTTCAACCGGCGGAGGAAGGCGGGGCGGGGGCGAAGGAAATGTTGCGGCCGAGCGACGGGACGACGGGAATGCTGGATTTGAAACCGCCGATTGAAAGCGTGTTTGGATTACATAATTGGCCGTATCCTGAAATGCCGAGTGGGACGATGGGCACGCGCGGTGGAACGATCATGGCTGGAGCGGGGAGCTTCGACGTCGTCGTCGTCGGACGCGGCGGACACGCGGCGGTGCCGCACAACAACGTGGACGTCATCGTCGCGGGTAGCGCGATCGTCACCGCGTTGCAGACGCTCGTGAGTCGATTGACGGATCCGTTAGATAGCGTGGTGATCAGCGTCACCGTGTTCAACTCGGGAACGGCGAGCAACATCATGCCAGACACGGCGAGTTTGCAAGGCACGTTGCGAGCGCTCAATCCGAAGACTTTTGCGAAATTTCAACAGAAAATTGCCGACATGGCTTCTGCCATCGCCAGCGCGCACGGTTGCACGGCAGCGACATCTTTTGAACCTGAGCACAATGGCGTGAAGCGAATTCCGTATCCACCGACGGTGAACGACCCGCGAGCCGCAGGGTTGGCGATGAACGTCGCCGCGCAACTGTTCGGAAGCGAGAGCACGCGCGACGTCGTGCCAGTCATGCCCGCGGAAGATTTCTCGTTTTTCGGGGAAACTTACCCATCTGCCATGATGTGGCTCGGAGCGTACAACGAAACCGCCGGTGCGACGCATCCTTTGCATAGCACGAAGTACATTCTGGATGAAAGCGTCTTGACGTCTGGCGTCGCTTTGCACGCGATGTACGCGCTCGAATTTCTTCATAGTGGGTTGTAACGAACACTCATTCAATTTCTTCATAGTGGGTTGTAATGAACACTCATTCTATTTTACATATCTAGGTTATCGAACTTCATCGCGGTCAAGTTCACCCCCATCGACGTCGTGTTCTCGAAGAATTCGTTGAAATTGAATCGCATCAACAACGCTCGCAATTCGGGCAGTTCTACGACGTAACCGCCGCGCAAGTTGTCGTAAAGTTCAACAGAGTTCTTTTCAAACTGCCGAGTCAGATACGCGATGCGCTCGTCCCAATCTGCAGGTAGCGGTTGTCCGTTGGCGTATCGCGCGCTCGTCTCGCACAGCTCTCGCGCGAGCCCGAAAATGTCTTCGAAAATTGTCATGATTGAACCGACGTCGAGAAATGAGTGCGCCATGATGGCGGCGAGATATTGCCGGTGTGCGAGCGCACACTTGTTAAAATCCGTCGTTTCAGCAATCTTATCGAGCATTTTCTTGAACTCCGTTTCGATGACATCGACTTGAATATACGTGCGCCAGTTTTCAATCAACTGATCCATCACGTGACGAAGTCGAAGCGTCCGCGTCAAACCGCTTCGACGTAAATGAATCCACGCATCTTGAAGATCAAAGTGCACGCGCCTGAGCCGGAAGAGGTACTTAAATATCGTCTTGTATCTATCCAGGGTGTCGTTTGTGAGAAAAATACCCATGGGCCAGTGAACCTCACACTCGAGGCTAACGCCGTCCCAAGCGTCATACTCGGGAATACGCACGCGAGGCACAAACGCGCTAGACGGCGTCGCGGTTGTCGAAGATTTTTCATCTTCAGACTGCTGCGTCAACGCAGACGTGTACGCTAATCTAAACCTTGATGCTAATGCTTCGTCGACGATCGTACTCACGGCGGCTTGCGCGAACGGCGTGGACAGCTCGCGCGTCGCGCTTCCCGGTTTGGGTGGCAACGAGAAGAGCTCGCGCGCCTCGTCCAAAAACGTGGTATAAAAGTCACCCTTTCCGAGAAAGTAGAACCCACACATCGCGTTCAAGTGCGATATCAAGCCAGAATCGTTCAACAACACCTCACCCAACGATGCCGCGATCTCCGAGCGCATAGCCTCCACCTCCGCTTCAAAGTCGCGAGGATCGAATGACTCCGCCGCGGCGAGACGCCGAATGCGCGACGTCGCGCGCATGGCGTACCCATCCGCATCGAAATGACCACGCATATTCCCACCTCTCGTCGGATGTGTCAGTATACGCACGCCACGTCCGATGAACGACACCGACTCTGCCGTGGACAGCTCCACCCCCGGCGGCAAACGTTCCAATGCCACGCGATGGCTCTCGTGCCAAATCACGCTCCCGTCATCCTTCGCGTCATCCTTCACCTCGTACCCCTCTTTCCGCGCGATCGTCCGCACGAAAAACTCATCGTACGGATCCACGATCGTCCCGTGCGCACACCACCCTAACAATTGCTGCATCATCACCTGCATCACCTTCCAATACAATCTCCCGCACGCCTCGCGCGCCGCGGGATGTCCCGCTCGAAGCCACGCGTCGCGCGTTTGTCGAATCACATCTCCCCCCCTCAGCGCATTCTCCCCTTCAAACACCGAGACAAAGCGTTCGCACATCATCGTCAACACCGCACCATCATCGCTCAGCGCGCTTTCGATCGCATTCACCGCTCCGCTCGTCGTTCCTCGTCGCAGCGTCTCTTGTTCCAGTTTTAAAATTTCCTCCTCGTACTCGCGCAATCTTTCTTGAATTCCGATCGCGAGCGCTCGTCGGTACAGCGACTGCGGCGTCGTCGCGAACGACGCTTTCGTGCTTTCGATCGTCGTCACGCGTTCGAGCGTTCGGTACGCGCCGCCGACGCGCACGAGGGCGTTCAGTCGTTCGACTTCGTGTCGTTTTATAAAGTGCAAGCCATCGGCGACTCTGAGTCGGTCGACGACGGCGTCGTTCGACGTCGGATCGAGCTCGAACACGTCGCCGGGGACGCCCATGAGGGCGAGTAAGAGGTCTGGAATCATGACCGGGGCGCGCGAGCGCGCGACGCCGAGGTTTGAGGGTGACCGGTGATGACGACGATGACGTTTTGAAAGTAAACAGTTGACCGGGACGCGAGGGGTCGGCGCGCACGGACGATGCGTGTAGATGGAATTACAGCGGTAGTTACTGATACAGCAATAGTGAAAACGTGGGAAGAAGGTTATCGCGGATTTCCAGGTTCCGGACGGCGGCACGGTTCGATGCCCCAGATATCCTTAGCGTACTCGCGAATCGTTCTGTCGCTGCTAAACTTGCCGGAACCGGCGGTGGATTTGATGCTCATCGTGGTCCACTTGGCCTGATCCTTGTATGTTTCATCGACGAGGTCTTGGGCGCGGATGTAATCCTCGAAGTCGTTTGCGAGCAAGTAGTAATCGGCACCACCGTGCACGGCGTCGCACACCGGATTGAGGAAGTCTGCCCAATCAAAGGCGCCGCCGCGAATCTGTTCGACTATGCCGTCGAATTCGGGCGGCGGCTTGAAGCGCGCGCGCTCCGAGCGCAAGATTGGGACATCTGCCGAGTTCGCACCGAAGATGAACATGTTACGTTTGCCGATCTCTTCTGCGATTTCGACGTTGGAACCGTCCATGGTGCCGATGATCAAGCAACCGTTCATGGCAAACTTCATGTTGGACGTTCCCGACGCCTCCGTGCCGGCGGTGGAGATGTGCTGGGACAGCTCCGCAGCGGGTACGATGACTTCGGCGCTACTGACGTTGTAGTCGGGGATGAAAACGAGCTTAAGCAAGTCACCCACGTCAGGGTCGTTGTTCACCTTCTCCCCCACCGCGCAGACGAGCTTGATGATGCGCTTGGCCATGTCGTAACCCGGCGCAGCCTTGCCGCCGATGACGACGACGCGCGGTACCATTTCTTTGCGCTCCTCCGGCGTCGCCGCCTTGATCTTATTGTACCGGTGAATCACAGAGAATACGTTGAGCAACTGACGCTTGTACTCATGGATGCGCTTGACTTGAATGTCAAACAAAGCGTTTGGGCTCACCACTGTCCCCGTCTTTTCCTCGATCAATTTCGTTAACTTCTTCTTATTCTCGAGCTTGATGGCGCGCCACTGCGCTTGGAACTCGGGGTCTTCAGCGTACTTGTCCAAATCATGGAGCATGTCCAATTCGCGAATCCAAGAGTCGCCGCCAAGTTTGCTGGAGATCAAATCACGGAGGGCCGGATTACTGAAGGCGAGCCAGCGGCGTTGGGTGACGCCGTTTGTCTTATTTTGAAACTTCTCCGGCGCCAACTCGTAAAAGTCTGGAAACATGCGCGTCTTGAGAAGTTCGCTGTGGACCTCGGCCACGCCATTCACGGTGTGACAGCCGACCATGGCGAGGTGCGCCATGCGCACGAGTTTTCCTTCCGTAGTTTCTTCGATGATGCTCGTACGACCAAAGAGCGCAAAGTCTTCGCCGCGCTTCTGGCTGAGATCGCTGATGAATTTCCAGTTGATTTCGTAAATGATTTGCATGTGGCGCGGGAGCACCTTTTCGAGCAAATCGACCGGCCATTTCTCGAGCGCATCCACGAGCACGGTGTGGTTGGTGAAACTGAAGACCTTCGAAGTGATTTCCCAAGCCTTCGTGTCCGAAAGCCCATGCTCATCGATGAGCAGGCGCAACAACTCCGGGATGGCGAGAGAAGGATGCGTATCGTTCAGCTGCACCGCGACTTGGTTCGGGAACTCGTCAAACGAGTCGTGATTCACCAAGTAGCGGCGAATAATGTCCTGGATGGTGGCAGACACCATGAAGTATTGCTGTTTCAAGCGAAGCTCTTTGCCTTGGTACGTACGATCGTCCGGGTAGAGCACGGATGAAATCGTTTCAGCGCGCTGCTTTGCCAAAATCGCTTGCACGTAATCCCCGGTGTTAAACGACTCCAAGTCAAACTCCCGCGATGGTTTCGCGCTCCACAATCGGAGGTTGATCGTCGTTGGCGTGTTCCAGCCCGGAATCGGGTTGTCGTACGCTACGGCGCTGATATCTTCGCCACCCACCCACTTGTTGACTTCGTGGCCGTCGATGATTTGTTTCTCTACGCCGCCGTAAAACTTGATGGGATAGCTGATGTATGGACGCTCGATTTCCCAAGGATTACCAAAGTTCAGCCAGTAATCGGGGTGCTCGTGCTGGAAGCCATCGTTCACGGTTTGACGGAACATACCATACTGGTATCGAATGCCGTACCCCCACGCCGGAAGATCCTGAGTCGCCATCGAGTCCAAAAAGCAAGAAGCCAAGCGACCTAAACCACCGTTCCCGAGCGCGGCGTCGCGTTCCTTATCTACGAGCGTTTCTAACTCGTATCCAAGCTGACGCAACGCTTCGGTGTACTGCGGCTTGATGTCCAAGTTGTACAGCGAGTTCAACAACGAGCGACCCATCAAAAACTCCATCGACATGTAGTACACGCGCTTCGGGCTCTTTTCTCGAAAGTATTGCTGCGTGTCGTTCCAGCTTTCGATGAGACGATCGCGAACCGAAAATGCGGCCGCGTTGTACGCCTCAAAGTCATCAAACTGGTACCTATTTCTCGCCATCGTGTACTCGACGTGATTCACGATTGACTCCTGCACGCTCATCACGTCGTTTCGCAGATACCTGTCCATGAGCGAATACAACAAGTCGTGCTGTCTTCGCTCATCCGTACCTTGCGGCGCCGAGCTCCGACGTTCATCCCCATCGTGTCGCGCCACATCGCTCCCGCTCTGGAAGTGTGTCTTCAAAATCATCGCCAAGCACGTCCGAATGTTCTCCACGTCCTCCGCGTCCGTCACCTTCGCCCCGCTCGTATCCGTCACGTGAAAGCAATCGCTCACCCGATCGTCGTTCGCCGCGTCCACGATCGCCTTATCGATATTCAACCCCAAGTCCGCCAGCGCCGTGGTGATCACTCGCAGCGTCCCGGGCTTATTCGGCGCGTCTCGAATGTGGATCACCGTGTAATCCGCCTCCGTCGTCGTATCGATCTCGATCGACACCGCCGATCGCGCATCCTTCTCCGCGTTTCCCGTCGACGACACCGCGCGCCGACGCACCATCGCGCGTTTCATCGTCGCGCGCGCGCGCGTCGTCCTCCCGCCCGCGCATCGCGCCGTCGCGTCGCGTCGCAGCGTCGCCGACGCGCCAGAGATCATCATAATGCTCGACGCGAATGCGCCCGTTCGTCGCGCGGTTCCGTCGCGTTCGCGCGCGGTTCGCGTTCGATCGCGCGTATCGTCGCGCGCGCGATCGCTTCGTGCGTTCGCGGGCGTGCGCGGGCGTGCGCGCGCGTCGTCGTGTGCGCGCGCGCGCGATCGAGCGCGACCCCGCGGTAACGGTTCAACATTTCAACGTAACACACGGACCTTCGAAGATCCATTCTTGAGTGAGGACTCATCGCGACCCCCTCAACGACGACGGACGACGGACGACGCGCGGCAGCGCGCGACGCGCGCGGGACGATGACGCGCGACGACGCGCGCGATGCGTTTCAAGCGCTCATGCGACGCGCCAAGTCGACGACGACGACGACGACGCGCGGTGGCGTTCGAAAGCCGTCGGCATCGGCGCGAAAACCGTCGACGCTCGTGCCGTGCCCGATGTGCTCGCGGCACGTGTCGAGCGCGGTGATCGAGGCGCACGCGAGCGCGTGCGACGGAAAGCGTCCGCGCCTGCGCGACGAGGCGGGGAAGATGCCGTCGAGCGAGAAGCGGAGGGACGTGCGAGAGGATTACAGAGGACGGCGCGCGCACACGGGACGAACGACGACGGGGTTCGTGGCGAAAGATGACTTGGAGGGCGGATGGATCGCGCGCGCGGGCGAATGCGGCGCGAGGAGCGACGGCGCGAGGTCGGATGCGTTCGCGGCGCTCGCGCGCGGGGCGAAATTGCAGGCAAAGGTGAAACTCCCCGGGCACTATATCTTGGAAAATTTCATCACGGAGGACGAGGAGCGACGGATAGTGGACTGGCTGGACGACGACATCGCCGCGGGTCCGTGGAGAGATTCGAGTTTTAATGGTGCGCATCAGGGGAAGAAGTACGGCGTCGAGCCGAATCTATTGAAACGCTGCGTCGAGCCCGCGCGAGTGCCGATGCCGAAGATTTTACGAGACCTCGTCGTCGCAAAATTCGCCGCGGCGCACGAGACGTTGAAGCATTTCACTCCGAACGAGTGCAACGCGATCAACTATCGCAAGGACTTGGGTTCGGTGCTGACTCCGCACTGTGACGATCGTCAGCTCTCGAGTGACATCCTCGTTAACCTGTCGCTTTGCAGCGATTGTACGATGACGTATTCTCACGAAAAGTTTGCGAGCAAGCGCGTCGACGTGCGGTTGCCGCGACGAAGCTTACAGATTCAGAGCGGTAGCACGCGATATGATTACATGCACTCCATCGCAAACGAGAATTTACACGGAAACAGACGCGTGAGCGTGACTTTCCGCGAATCCGGCGTGTTGCAGAAATCGCCGCAGACGCCCAAGTGGCGACCAAATCAGTAGAACCTCGACGAGGAGGAGCGGGACGTAGCACAGTAGCATAAGTAGCACGAAATTATAGAGCGCGCGGCGAGCGCCGCGCCTTAGACCGATTGATTGAAGCCAAATGATTGTTAACTTTGCGCGTCGCTTCGCGCTGTCGAACCAGACGCAAACCGCGGTGTCAGACGCGCGCGCGATGGCGTCGTCGACGCCGTCGCTCGCGAGCGCGCTTCGCGTCGTCTTCGACGCCGATTCGAAGTCGCTCAAGCGCGCGTCGTCGTCTCTCGACGACGAGACGACGAGCGATGTCGCGCGCGCATTGAATCTTCTGCGCGCGCACGCTCGAGACGACGTCGACGCCGTCGTGGACGCATCGCTCGAGCGCGCGAGCGCGTCGCGAGGCGCGCGAACGGTTTTGGTCGTGCTCGCGCGCGAGCGGTCGAGCGCGCGCGCGCTGGGGGAGGCGGTGATGAAGAAGTTGGACGCGTCGCGGGACAAGCGCGCGGCGTTGGCGGCGTGCGCGGGGACGAGCGCGATCGCGCGCGGCGATGGCGTGCGCGCGGAAGACGTGTTTGACGTTAAAGGGGTTTTAGTTTCGCTCGCGGCGATCGCGAGGGAGGGCGCGGCGGGGTCACCGACGCGGTTGAGCGCGGCCGCGGCGGACGCGTTCGCGGCGGTGAGTACGCGAGCGGCGGCGGCGAACGATTCGGACGCAAGTGCGAGCGGCGGTGAGCGCACGTTGATGGATTCGTTCGAGGTGTGCGACGAAATAATCGGTGTCGTGTCCTCGTGGGCGCGAGTCGACGAACGCGGGTCGTCGGGATTGTTTAGGGAGTGTTGCGACAGGGCGCGTGCGCGGTTGGCGTCGCTCGCGGCGAGCGCGCGCGACGTAGAGGGCGGCGACGATGCGGCGGCGCGCGCGTTGCGCGTGAAATCGCGCTTGTTTAATCGAGCGTGGAGTGATTGGGTGCCTGCGCTCTCGGTGAGGTCTAAAAATTCGGATGGGGATATGGTGACGGCGTTGGAATCGGCGTTCGGCGCGGCGAGCGAGATGGTGAATTCAGACGACGCGGGCGCGGGCGACGGCGTCGCGCACGCACTCATCACGGTGGGTTTGCACCTCGGGAGAATAGGCATCGATCACGAAAATCGTCAGGTTTTATCTTCGATGGTGAGCGAAGAGACGGCTGCGACATTGGATTCGATGTTGCAAACGTACGCCGGATCTGCGCTGCTCCCGGCGCTTCGCTGCTCGAACGAAACCGCGCAAAGCGTGGCGGCTGTATTGATACGCATTGTACTCGCGCCCGAGCACTTAGGATGGACGGAACAAAGCGAATCTCTTCTCGGTGGAGTGCTCCCACTCGTCGAAGAAGGTGACGACGTGATTTCCGCCGGCTTTGCGAGACTCATCGCGGATTTAGTCGCGAGAGATCCGCGCGACGAATCCTTGACGCGAATATTGCAGATTTGCGGTGGGAGCTCGAGAAGTGCGAAGGTGAGCGCGTTGCGCGTGCTCATGGAAATCATGCGACAGAAAGGGTCGAATTTGAGCTCAGAGACGCTCGCGACGGTGACACGCGCGATACTTCCAAGGTTGGGCGACAGAGATTTGGAATCGCGCAAGGCGGCGGCCGAGGTGTTTGCGCACGCGACGCCGTCGAACGTGTTCCCAGTGCTCGTTGATCTTTTGCTGTCAAAAGATTCGGAAGAGCGTTCAGCAGCTGGTGATGCCGTCGTGGCGACGCTGCAACAGCAACCGTCTCCCGCGGCGGCGCTTGATACGTACTTTGCCACTCTGCTCGCGCCGGCGATGTCCAGCGACGTCGCGACGTTCGGGGAGAAAATCTCTCGCGCAGTCAAGCTACTATCACGTTTCGCTGAAACCGTGCGCGCGAATGAGTGGAAAAGTGTCGTTCAGACGTTGACATCGTCTATTTTTCGATCACCCTCTTCGTCCGCGTTGCATCAGGCTGTCGCGGCGCTGACGCCCTGGATCGGAAAGCCGCCGGCGAGCGATTACGTTGTCGAGGCGTGCGCGCGACAATTATCAACGCAGAGCATCGATAAAGGCGTAAACGAGCGTGAAGTTTTCGACCGTTTAGCACCACTTTTACTCTTGCGCGTGCTTCCAGTCGCGGTGTGGGATGAATCCAGCGAGAACAAAGACGCGATTCGAAAGTGCATGCGACGGCGAATGTTGAACATCCGCGGTGAGTTTGAAGACGTGCGCCGCGTGTGCTCGGAGATGTTCGGACGATTACCGCAAAATATTTTGGACGAAGAATTGTTTGAGGACTTGCGACGCCTGAGAGAGACAGCACGAAGCGTGAGCGATGATCTCGCCCGCGTTCGCTCGTGCATGTTCTCGTGCAACTCCGCCCTCGCTCTTCGTGGAGAATCGGCACTGTCGGAACGCTCGCGGCGCGAAGTCAGGAGTCTATCGATGGACATTTTGACGTGGGTCGATAACGCACAGGACGACGTCGAGCTCAGCAAGGCACACATGGGCGCCATGGAAACGCTGGCATCTCTCATCGTCGCCGAGATCGAGGCACGCAAGGAAAGTCCTCATCAATCGGCGAAGAAGAAGACGTCGAGCGCGCTTCTCGATACGAAACCGCCTCTGCTCGCGCTGAACGAAAGCAAAGCATCTTCAGGTCGGGCGCTCATCGTGGAGTTGGATGGTGATGAAGACGTCACGCGCGAGCGCGTTGATTGCGCGCGAGAGACGCTTCGCGGCGTGTTGCATTTGGCGTGCCACACAAAGGAAGGCGTTCCAAAGTGGGTCGACGACGCGCTGACGAAGGATTTGTCGTTGCGGCTCGCGATGATGAATGTCATTATCGCTGCGGCGCGGCGTCCGTCGATCGAGAAGGCTTCGCTCATGGACGAATGTTTTCCTCCACTCATCGCCTGCGTCGAGCACCGCGGCGAGCCAGAAGTGCGCGCGGCGGCGCTCCAAGCGCTGATGATGATTTTCCACGGCGCCGAGCGCGACGTGGACGAAACACACGCAGTAACGCTCGTGCGAACGGTTACAAACATCCTTCGGGACCACGCCGCGGGTGATGGCCCACGAATGGGCGCCACCAAAGTCGCCACCGCCTTGCTGGCGGCTGACGAGGACGTTTTGAAAGCCATCGAGCCGCACCTCGAGGCTTTGCGTCAAGGTCTCGAAACCGCCGCGCGCATCGCCGTCGATCCCGAAGTCGCCGCGCTCGCGACGAAGCTCGCGACGTGCATGACGACTCCGAGCTGAGCTTTCGCGGCGCATTAGACGCCTTAGATTTTAGTGAATTGTAGCCAAAAATTAGGAGCGCGCGAACGATTGTCAGTTTCGAAAGTGTATTGCATGGAAATCGTTTCGTCGTGTGTTGGGGGTCTTGCATCGCGCCGCGCGGCGCATCATCGTGAAATCATCATTGAATCACGCGATCGATCACGTGTACGACGCCGTTGTCCGCCATGATGTCCACCTGGACGACGGCCGCGCCACCGACGTACAGCGTTCCGTCGACCATGCGCGCGTCGACGTCGCCGTTCAACGTCGTCAGCGTAATCGGTCCAGCGCTCACGGCGTTCACCGCGTCCGCGGCGAGAAGTTTGCTCGCGACGACGTGCTTCTTCAACACATCACCCAAACCAGGCGAAGCCAAGAGTTGTTCGGCGGTCAATCCGTTTTCGGCCAAAAACGTCGCGATGGCCTCGTTGCTCGGCGCGAAGACGGTCCAAGGCCCCGGCGTCTCGAGCGTATCCAGAACTTCGGGCACCGCCACCACCGCGGTGACGAGCGTCGCGAATCTCGGATCTTCGATCGCGACGTCAACGACGGTGCGCTCGCCGTCCATCGTCGGCGCCGGGGCCGGGGCCGCGGCGTCGTCGGCCGGCGCCGGCGCCGGCGCCGCGGCGGCGTCCGCCATCGCGTCCCACGTCACGTCTTTAGCAAAACAGGTTGGCACCATCGCCGAGAGCGCCAGCGCGCACACGAGCGCCCCGGTGATCGTTTTCGTCGTCATCGTCATCGTTTTCGTTGTCGTCGTCGTCGGTGCGTCGTCGCGTCGGCGTCGTAAAGTGACGTCACGCGCGTCCGAGGCGTCGAGACGACGCGAGAAAACGACAGCCACGAAACGCCGGTTGAGGTCGCCGCGGAAAAAAAAACGTAGTCGGCGTCCTGCAGACGACGAGTGCATTTATCCTTGATGACGAGACGAGAAATTTCGTCGTCGACGATTTCGTTTCTCGATCTTCGACGCGATTACGGGCGCGCCTCGCGCCGACGCCGTCGCCGTTGTTGACTTTCTCTGCCCAGCCCGCCCGGGCGAAGCCCGTAACGACACCGACGCCACCGCGCCCGCGCGCGCCGGATCGATTTTCTGCGCACGCAGTCGCGTAGACCGTTTGATGTTCATCTCCACTGACGGGCCTCCTATTTTTTCCCGCGTCCGACGACGACGACGACGCGGATGCCGATCGAACGCGACCGCCGCGAACCGCCGCGACGGCACACGCGCGCGCGATGCCCCCCGCGCGGGTCGCGCGCGGCGTCGACCGCGCGGTCGTGCAGCGCGCGCTCTGCGCGTTCGTGCGCGCGCGCGCGAGCGGCGCGCGCGACGACGACGCGGCGCGCGCGTCGTCGCTGCTTTTCGACGCGGCGCCACCACCGCCGACGACGTGGGGCGAGAGCGCGACGCGACTCGCGCGCGTCGTGCGGTTGAGCTGGAGCGAAGCGCTGGCGCGGTTGAACATATGGCGGTTGGATCACGTGCTGGCGCTGCGGATGCTGTCGCAGCGAGACATGGGGGGGGCGATCGCGAGAGAGGTGGCGAGACGCGGGACGCGCGCGCGTTTGAACAGGACGGCGAGGACGGCGGACGATTCGAACGCGAAAGAGGCGTGGGAGAAGAGTTTGAGGGAGATAAAGATGGCGCTGACGTATTCGAAATCGTTGCGCAGGGCGCCGGATTTGAAGACGGTGGCGGCGCAGGGAGGGGTGGGTCAGGAGGCGATTTTGTTGAGCGATTTGGCGCCGCGAATGATGCGGCCGGCGTACGTGTTGTTTCGGGACGAGGATGAAAAGCGGTTGGTTTTTGTCATTCGAGGCACGCACAGCGCGAAGGATATGATAACAAATTTAACTGGCTCGGTGTGCGCGCATCACACGATGGTGTCGACGTCGGATGACGAGGAGGCGACGTTGCGCGTCGGGTACGCTCACAGCGGATTCCTCACCACGGCGAGATTTCTCGAGCGAAAGATTAAAGACGACTTGCTGTCTTCGCTCGCGGCGCACCCCGGGTACGAGCTGAAGATCGTCGGGCACTCCTTGGGTGGTGGTGTCGCGGTGTTGCTCACCGAAATGTTACGACAAGACCCGAGGTTCAAGCGAGTGGGCTTGCACTGTTTCACCTTCGCGTGCCCGTCGACGCTGAGTCGCGAGCTCGCCGAGTCGTGTCGATCTTTCGTAACGACGTGCGTGAACAACGCCGATTTAGTCCCGATGGTTAGTTTTAGCAAAGTGAGCGAGTTACAGCGCGAAGTCGTGAGTACGGCGCTCGAGCAAAGATTGTTGGATAAATGGAGAGAGAGTACCGCGGCGATGGAATGCGCTCGAGGACCGACGCCGTCGCGTTTCGCCGCCGCCGCCGCGGCTCTGGGAAAACAAAACTACGGCCCACAAAAGTACCCACAGTGGTTGCGCGCGCTGAAAGGATTGAAGACAAGGCACGATAAGTTAGTCGAGTCGAGTTCGCTGTACAGACAAAGCCTGCTGATCGGCAAACGCGTGAGTAACACGAGTTCAAAATTAGCCAGTCTCTCGGGGGCGTTCATCGCCGGCATCGTCCCCCCGCGACCGAGGAAGAAGAAAACGCTCGAGCGAGCAGAGCCGACGGGCGAGAGCAAGACTGAGTTCAGCAAGACGAATCAGCAAGTAGGCGACACCATCTCTGCCACCGTGCTCGCGACCGATATTTGTCACGACGCCCATCTCGCGCACGCGCACGCCGCCGCCGCCTCGCCCAAGTCGCAGGAGGAGCGCGATTTCCAGGAGTACATCGAGAGCGCTCGAATCGCGCTCGACGAAGACTTCCAGAAACCGCTCACCGCTGACGATATGAAAAAGATTTATCGCGCTGAGGCCAACGCGGCGCAAGAGGTGCTGGCAATGCAAGAAGACATCTCCGTCATGAAAGCAGCCGAATTGTTGGGAGACGAGGAGGCGCTCATGACGGCGGATTACTACGGCGCAGACTTACCGCCGCCGCGCATGGACGACACCGCGTCGTGCGACGACTCCGAGCGCGAGCCCGTCGTCAAACGCGTCAAATCCGCGTCAAGCGACGCCCGCGCCGACCAAGACATCGCCAAGCGAGGCACCGTCTTACTCTACCCCGCCGGCCGAATCCTTCACTTTGTCTACAAATCCGGCCTCGACGAAGCCGTCGACGAAGCCCGCCGCGAGTCCCGCCACGCCCTCTTCTTCGACGTCGATTTAGACGTCTACCGCAAGATCATCCTATCTCGCACCATGATCGCCGACCACTTTCTCTCCCAGTACGAGGACGTGCTCGACTCCTTCGTTCGCGAGTGCGCCCGCGCGTAGCTTCCCCAACTGTATTTCACGCACTCACCTCTCGCACGCGTCGACTCGCCATTGCCGGTCATGGGCTTTCTAAACTTTGTCAAATCTCTCGCCGCGGCGTCGCCGAACGCGAACGCGCGGGCGGGAGTCATCGGCGACGCGCGCGCGCGCAAGTCAACGCGAAGACGCTCGGCGACGCGTTCCCACCGTCGGCAAAGTTTTTTGGATTGGAAAACTTTGGCAACACGTGCTACTGTAACTCGGTGCTCCAGGCGCTGTACGCGTGCGATGAGTTTCGAGAACGATTGATCGAACATCACGCGGCGGCGAACGATGGGACGTCGACGAGCGGACGAGGAAAGGAGACGCCCGACAGCATGCTGGCGGCGCTCGGGGATCTGTTTCGAGAGATTTCGGGACAAACGAAACGCACGGGATACGTCAGCCCGAGGGCGTTCATCGAACGGTTGAGGAAGGATAACGTGTTGTTTCGAGGACACATGCATCAGGATGCGCACGAGTTTTTAAACTTCTTGCTGAATGAGTGTTGCGAAAATTTACAGACGAAGTTGAAGCGAGACGGCGCGTGGGAACCGGGGAAGAAGACGTGGATACACGATGTGTTCGAGGGGAAACTGGCGAATCAGACGCGGTGTTTATGGTGTGAGAACACGACGAATAGAGAGGAGTGCTTTTTGGACCTGTCGGTTGATGTCGAGCAGAACACTTCCATCACGGCGTGCTTGAATAATTTCAGCGCCAAGGAGTTGTTGGACAAAAACGACAAGTTTCAGTGCGATCGATGCGGTGGGTTACACGAGGCGCAGAAGCGAATGCTGATTCATGAAGCGCCGAAAGTATTGTCGTTACACTTGAAGCGGTTCAAGTACATCGAGGCGCTCGGCAGGCACGCGAAACTGAATCATCGCGTGGTGTTCCCTTCCGAATTGAAAATTCCCAACTTGATAGACGAAGCGGAGAATCCCGATGCGAGTTATAAGCTTTTCGCCGTCGTCGTTCACATCGGCTCCGGGCCTAATCACGGACACTACGTGTGTTTCGCCAAGAATAATCATCGCTGGTTCTTGTACGATGACGATTGCGTTGAAGTCGTGGATGAAGAGCAGCTTCAACAAGTCTTTGGCTCGACGACGGATGGCGGCTCCGCGGGGAGCGAGCACGGATACATTTTGTTCTACGCCCGATCTGAAGGTGGCAGGGCCGCGGAGAAGGAAGAGAAGGAGAGTGCTCCCGTGTCTTTACACTTTTAGTGATTGATTTTATTAATAATACGGTAGTGAGTACAGAAGAAGGTGCGACGACGAGGGCATCAAAAAAAAAGAATATTCAATATTCGCTCGACGCGCTACTGCGCAAGCAAGAAATCGAGCATGAGCGCGGCGCTCAGGGCGTGCCAAATGCTGTGTAACACGACGTAGGCCCAGTATTTTTCGGCGCGCTGGCATATCATGGCGGTGACAAGAAATACGGTCGGCAAACGACCGGCGCTGAGAATCTTCTCAGCGCCGAAGCAAGTCGCGCAAAATACGCCGTAGATGATTGCGCATCCTATGTCCATCGCGCACAGCCATCTCACCAACTCACCGGGATAATTATATAAAGACATGGTCGTCACCGAAGGTTTCGTCGGCGACGGCGAACATGCCGCACTCGCAGAGAGATCTCGCGCAGAGTCCGAGCGTAAACGGTCGAAACCGACGCGCTCGTCTGAAAGCTGCCTCAGCGACGTCACCTTGAGCGGCGAAGCCTTGACCTTCTTTGACGTCGTACCAGTTCCAGGTAGCGTAAATCCACGAAATTTGAAGCAATCGCACGCTGAGCGCGACGCCCTCGAAATCTCTCGATCCAGACCGAGCTGGTAGAAATGGTACGCCGTCGAAGCGGACGCGATGCCAAAAACAAGCAAAACGTGAAACGCGTGCGAACGACACAAATCACGCGCGCACTGAGAATCATCAAACATTCCTGATAACGCACGTTCCACGCACCGCCGTCAGTCTCACGTTTCGCGCAACATTTCCAACGGCGCGTCGTCTTCGCTTCGCTTCGCTTCGCTCGCGCCTCACCCGTCGAACGCAGCAACTTCCACGCCAGGACCCAATAAAACGCGTTCGTAAGCGCCAATCCCACGCGCGCGAAGAGAGGAATCTCGACGCATAGACCGTGGTTGATCTTCACGAAACCGTCCACCGCGTCCGTCGCGCAGTTCGCGCGCTTTCGCGCATCTACTGAGACGAAATATTCAGTCAGCGCAAATTCACGATGCGCCGGCATGCCGTCGTCCACGCGCGACTCGACCCGCGACGCGCCGGCGGGAAGATCGATAATCGCGTTTGGAATCGGCGCGCGGTCGCGGCCACGCGATCGTGGCGCGCGCGCGGGTGTGTCGGATGTGTTCGACCGAACGTTCGGTCGTCCAATGAGACGTTTCGTGTCTTCTATGGGTAAACAGTATTCGGCGTCGACGTGCAGTCGTCCGCTCCGCACACGGCGACGCGCGCGACATCCGCGGCGACCGCGCGCGCACCGCACGCGGAAATCGCGGTCACGGTCGCGGTCGACGCGCCGCGGCGGCCCGCGAGCGCGCGAATCGACGGGAATTCGTCGCGATCTTTCGGAATCGGCGGAATCTTCGATTGCGTTCGTCGGAAGCGCGCGACGTCGACGCGCGATATGCACGGCGCGAACGCGGTCGAGAGCGATGCGGATATGAGCGCACAGGACGCGATCGCGGCGCTCGTGGCGCGCGTGGCGGCGGGGAGCGGGAATGAAAGAGGCGGCTCGCGAGGCAACGGCGACGGCGAGACGACGTCGGCGAACGGCGAGGAAGACGATGGTGGAGACGGAGAGCCGGCGTGGATGGCGGATATAGACGCACGCATAGCGACGGTGGAGGATATGGAGGTAGAGACGGTGAATGGGACGTATGGGATGAACGACGAGAGCGACGCGGAGGGAGCGAGAGTTGACGCGCCGGGGCAGTTTGATGATTTGTTTGACGAACGCGCGGAGACGATTGTGGATTTGGATGAATCTAGTATGAAGACGACGTCGATAATGGCGTTTTTGGAGACGTTCGCACTCGGGCCGGAAAGTTTGAATGGTGGACGCGTGACGCCAACGATGGGCGAAGTGCTCGAGCGAGTCAAGGCACGCAAGCCAGAATCTTTACCAGAGTGGACGATGACGGCGGCGGCGGCGGCGAGCGCGTATCAGTTTGCCGTCAGTAAAAAGCGCGCCGCTGATCGAGCCGTGGCATACGCCAAGGAGATGAGAAAGAAACACTCGAAGGTGCAAGCAAAAGCTGACGCACTGGCGAGTCAGTTGCATGTGTTGCAATACGGCAAGACACCGGACGGAAAGCCCGTGAAACCGGGTCAGCTTAAAAACCCTCCGCATCAAACTCGACCACGTGGGAAGATGCCACCGCCGCCTCCCGAGCATATTTCTAGGCTGTGGAGGACGTCTCTCGAGGATTACGATGTGTGTCACGTCTGCGGCCATCAAGCGCCAGATTGGTGGCATGCGAAGGATGAGATTGTCTTCTGCGACGGATGCGAAATTCAGGTTCACATGTCTTGCTACGGAATCAAGAACCTTCCTGAGGGTGATTGGTACTGCACTGGTTGCAAAGAGGGCGTCACCAAAGGCCCGCTCGTGAGCTGTGGAACTCCTAGGGGTATCTGTGCATTGTGCCCACATCCGGGTGGCGCACTCGTGCGTGTGGTCCCAGCGTCGAAATTCGAAACACCATGGCTTTCGCCGGGTCACCATGCGCATCTTGCGTGCGCTTTGCACTTACCCGAAGTAGTCATGCGTCATCAAAAGACTGGGGAATCTCCCATTGTCGACATGTTGCTCGTTCAGTCGAAACGCATGAAATTGAAGTGTTCGGTTTGTGAAGAAATAGGCGCGTGCACGCAGTGCGCGATGCACAAGTGTTATACCGCGTTTCATCCACTATGTGCGCGTGCCGATAAACAAATTATGTTGAGGCAAGCGGCATCAGGACAGCCCATGGTGTTTTGCAAGGCGCACAGCGCGCCCGAATTCGAGCAACAGCGTTTCCTCACGTGTGGATACCGCGAAGATGGCACGAGCGATATGTTACGTAATAAGAATGTGTTTTGGGATGTGAAGGCGCAATCGCACGAGGAAGACGCTGCATTTGTGGATCCGAATAGAAGCACTGCGAGCGCCCAAAAGTCGCATCCGAGCGCGCAGGAAGAGAAGCAAAAAGATGTGACGCTGGAAGTTTTCCCGCGGGCGACGAGCGCTGAGGCAAAGCGAATTGCGACGATCACATGCGTGCGCCATTACTTGGATTCGACGCACAAGGGAGGAGCCCCGAGCAAGCTCTTACGGGATATGCAAGACGCCTGTAAACATCTCGAAGCGGAAGAGGCGAGTCGCTTGAATTCGCTCAGTGACGAACTCGGGGAAGCAGAGATTAAAACGGCGTTGGATCATTTGACCAGATTGGCGCCGAAGATTCCGCAAGGCAAAGCTCTTTACGCGGATCTCGCGCCTTGGAAATATTTGAAGTCACATCAAATCGACGCGATTCATTGGATGCGAAACCTGCATTCGCTGGGCGTGAACGGGCTGCTTGCTTTTGAAACGGGCCTGGGCAAGCGGCTCACGTCGCTCGCTTTTATTCAATGGGTTCGAGACGGCTTACGCGAACCGGGTCAGCACTTGATTCTTTGCCCGAAGGAAACAGCACACTTATGGATCGCTGATCTTCATCGTTGGTGTACTTCCCTGCGTAGTGTCACGTTGATGTCTGAAGAGGATGAAAAGAGTGCGAACAATGTTCAAATGATAAAAGCACTGTCGTATGATTACCTCGTCGTTTCGTACGAGCGCATGAGTCAATGCGAAGCGTTGAAAACTACGATGTTCAAGAGCGTGATTTGTGACGACTGGCGAAATGAGGCGAGTGTCGGCGCGCTTTCCTCCGCTGTCCAAGAGAAAGTTCTTCAAGCAGGATCCACGTTCTTGTTGGGCAAAGCCGATGACTTTGACGGCCCTCACGCCGTCGCCTTGGGACGCGTCATTTTCCCAGGACTGGGCCAAAGTACGAAGTCTCTACCGGTAAAGTGGAGAGATCTGATCGTACATAGCACGAGTGAGCGCGTGGTTGAACCACCCGTCGTTCCCGCGCCACTGGCCAAGTTTTTACAGTTTGAGATTGATGCGAAGACGAATCCCGTCGACGCTCTCATGCATATCCTTCAGACGATGCGCAAGCAGGCGCAGAAAGTGCTAGTCATCGCGGAGGATGAAAATGCGTTGAATAGCGCGGCGGAAGGGATGAGTATGGCCAAGTTAGAATACGCTCGCTTGGACGAAACCGATCAGCCTTTGGGCGTTGCGCTGTACTCTGCGGCGAGATTCAACACCATGGCGCCAGAGAACAACATCTCCTTTCTGTTGTGCAGCTTCCACAATCTTGGACGTCAGCAAGGTTTGCTTTCGGGCGTTACTTCTATTTTGCAACTCGATGGCGAATTCTCGAGTAAGATCGACGCCTCTGGTGCGCCGAATTTGATGAACATGTGGCGCATTGCGAACAGAGTTTGGGGATTGGATCCGGTGAAGCGCACGACGTACTTCATGAAAGTCGTCGGCACCAACGGGCAAGATATAGCGTGGAAGCGTGGTGCTGCGTTGAATAAGTTATCTGCAAACCCGCCGGAATCGCTCGTGTCTTCGCTCGAGAAAATTCCAGCGAACGGGAACGTGCCTCCGGAATTCGCCTCAAAAGATGCCGAACTCTGGGACGCCGCCGCTGAACGAAAGCAAAAGAGGGCAGAAGTCGAAGACCCCACGTGGTGGACTTTGCACGAACACAACTGCGTGTACTGTGGTGGAGTGCCTGGACAGTGCAAAAACATTCCGCCCGCCTTTCTTCCACCGGAAAAGGCTGGTTTGAAGATTCGCTGCATTTCGTGTCCGCGCATCACTTCGATGGGGTGCGCGTACATTCGCACCGTTCCGCAAAAGGGTTGGAAGTGTCCACAACATAGTTGCTTGGTGTGCCTCAAAGAAGCGTCACCGAATCACATCACATTCCGATGCATCTCTTGTTCGCGGGCTTTCTGCGATTCGTGTTCTTCCGGGGCCTCATTCGACGCCATCGCCGACCATCCAGTGTGGGCGCCGTCTGGCTTTCAGCTCCCGAAATTCTACGAGTACGTGCGATGTGCGATTTGCGTCGATTCCATCCTCGCGGAAACGAAACGTGCGAGACGAGGGAAATAAATAACGAGTGTTTACACGCATAGCTCCATAGATTAAAATCCTTTAGTAGTCATCTAAGAATCCGATCATCGAAAACTCTTCGGCGAAATTGCGGGAGACGACCGTTCCGAGATTCTTTTCGGCGTCGCCAATCGTTCGAACACGTTTTCGCATCGTCGAGCCAATGGACTTCGCGATGGCGATGATGCATGCCTGATTGTATCGATCTTTCCCTCGTACTTGGCGTACGCGTACGGTGACTCGTACGTCCTACGTTCGCCCACGCGGGTGGCTAGTTTCTTCTTCAACTGCGCGTTCTCCTTCTCCGCGCGTTCACATCGCCCTTGGCTCATCGCCAACTCTCGCTGCAATCGCTGTACCTCATCCCTATACGCATCTGCAATCACCTGTGCTTGTCGACTCAACTCTCCACGCAAGCGCACGATCTCTCGTTCCCTCCGAGCCGCCGTCTCCGTCTCCGTCGTCGTCGCCGCGTCGCCCGCCGAATCCTCCGCGCGTCTCCCCTCCCGCACCTCTGCCTCCAGCGCGTCCACGCGCTCGCTCTTCTCTCGCAACCCCACTCTCAGGCGTTCATTTGCCGTCTCCAGCGCCTTGACGCGTGTCTCCAGCGCGTCTCGCTCCAACGTCGACGACGCGCCGCGTTCCGCGTCGGCTAATCGTTCCCCCAGCGCCTTTGCGCGCGTTTCCGCGCGTCCCGCTGCGATGGCGAGCGCCGCACACGATTCCTCCAGCTCACACACTTTCACGCTCGACTCGCGCGCGCGCGTTCGCGCGTCCGCGAGCGCGCGCTCGAGCGCAGACGTCGACGCGGCGTCGTCGGCGGTTCGCGCGCTCGATGCGCGACGACGACGTTCGTCGGTGTCGCTGACGACGGCGAGGGCGGTGGGAGACAGCGCGAGCATGCTAGAAGAAGTGTAATCCGATGCGCGCGTGCGCGGATTTCGGGCGCCGAACGCGCGCGGGTGGTTGAGTTCGGGCGCGATGCGTCGCCGAGTGACGAAGTGTCGTTTTGTTTCTCGGCGTCGGGGCGACTGCGAGCGGAATTTCCGCTGCGGAAATTAAAGAATGTTTCATGCAATGCGTGCGTCGTCTAGTTGACCGACAGTCTACGTGTTCCAGGAATCTTCGTCGGCGTCGTCGGAACGGGTCGTGGGTCCGGTGCCGCAGTCACCCACGGCGACGGCGCCCTCCGCCTCTTGAACGCACATCCAACCAAAGCCCGTGGGGTCGCGTTCGAATTCCTCGCGGTCCTCAAACGCGTCTATGAGCTTGTCCAGAGTGCCCCATTCCGAGCCGTGTTCGTATTCTATGAATCGACGCAATAGGCCAATGACGTCGATGCTGAGCGCGCGTTTCACCTTTGCCTTGGACCATTCGATGTCGCCGTTTGCGTCGAAGACACGCGGGAACACGCGTTGAATGAAGGGCCGCAACGGCGATTCGGTAACGGTCGCGCGACTTTGTTTGTGATCGTAGTTGACACCACGCATGACGGCGCAGTAAAAGTCCCAGTAGCGCTTTTGATCGAATCCAAGTTCAAGGAGCGTTTCGCGGTCGTTTAAAAAGCGCGGCGAAGGCGCGATTTCAGAACTTGGGGATAGGAGAACGTCATCATGTTCGACGCTCTCCTTCACGGCTGGACTCCATTTCTGCAACACAGCGTTGGTTTCATAACTCAAGGGAATGTATCCATTTGGTGTGGATCTCGCACGTTTCAAAGTTTCCACCCACGCCGAAACGTTGGACTTTTGCGCCACTGCTGCGGCTCCGACGACGATGAGATGTCGCTTTGCACGCGTGAGCGCAACATTCAGACGCTCCGCATTCGTGAAGGTACTCAACGGTGCACCACACAATGTGATGATGATGACATCTTTCTCTTGGCCTTGAAACGCATCCACCGTACTCACTTGCACGTCGGATGGGAGAAAGGATTCAAAATCCTCGTCATCGTTGACGTTGGTCATCTCGCGAGCGACGTCGTGAGGGGCGTGCGCAAGCTTGTTTGACACGCACGACGCCTGCGCTGCATAAAACGCAATCACGCCGATCCTACCAGCCGGAACGTCGTTATCGAGCAAACATCGCACGACACCACTCACGCGCGTCGCTTCTTCAACGTTGAGTTTCGATTGCCCCTCCTTTGTGTCAAATCCACTCGTGTCCCACCAGACGATGGGCGACAAAACACCGCCCGTCGTCAGTCGAATCAAACTCGTCCGATCGCTCGCACCGATGCCGTCGATTAAGACACCGTCATAGAAACACTTGTTTGGGACGGCACTAAGTGCCGGATGCAATCGATACTGCGTGCGCAACGTCACTTTGGAATGCCCAGCGTCGCTCAGGCGAGAAAAGAGCGTTCGTTTGAGCGGGTTGCGGGTCACGTTTGCTTTCGATCGATTGCTTTCCGGAACATCGGCGACGACTGGCGACAACTGCAAAGGGTCGCCAACAGCGACGAGCGTTTTGCACCGTGACTGTACCACCGGAAGCAAACTGCTCGGTTCTGTCATCTGAGAGCACTCATCAAGAACGACCACCGAGAACTCCATGTTCTTGAGATCTTCGTGAGATGACGAGTAACACGTGACGCCAACGACGCTACACTTTTTCAGCAACGCTTTCCGCATCCCAACTTTACCTGACGACAGAGTCTCGATTTCTTTCTGCAAAATGGCTCTTTTTCGCACCGAAGTCGTTTCCTTGAGCATGGCTTCGAGCTCTTTCGCTTGCGACGGTCCTTTGCCAGTCTTGACGTGAAGAGAATACGGAAGAATCACAGGATCAATCTTTCGAACACTTCCTACACGAATGAAATCAGTGAAACCGGCTTCGAGAAGAGACTGAAGCACCCGATCGACAGCGACGTTGGTGTGCGCAGCGATCATTATTCTCCCATTCGAAGACTTCAAAAGCTCGGCGGCTTTGGTGACAAACGCCGCAATCGTGTGCGTCTTACCGCTTCCAAAAGGCCCGTGAATGAGACGCACGGGTAGATGCGAAGCTGAAGTCGCGCTTGCGAGCGCTCCTGACACCGCGCGAGCCTGGTCGTCGTTGAGTTTAAAGCTTCTTTGTAACGGTGCGACACCAATGTCTGCGTCCTTCAAATACAGCTCTGCTTCCTCTTCAAGTTCCTTCGGCGGTGGTTTGCCTAGTATGCTATCGATGAGCGGTGACGGGCGCCCAGCGCTAAGACTCAAAATATTTTCGAGCTCATCCGTTTCCGAAAAAGCGTTCAGTGACGTGTGCATGGCGTAAACGTGTATCGTGGCATTGTCGCGCAACCGAGGAGGTCGTGGTCCCAACAATTGCACCTCCATCCTACCCTCGTTGTCCATACCATGCCACTTACACTCGACCACGCCCAACCAAGGCGCGCGATGACGATCACCGATCTCCTGTAATGGCTTCACTTCGAACCACGGCTCGGTGCTCACGATCCAGAAATCTCCCTTCGCGTACGGCTTCGGGCCCTTGATGGATTTGAAATCTTTCACCATCAATCGCACGCACGTCTTCTCCGTGTTGTCTACTTTGTCTGTCCATTTTCGCGAGCTAATCTCGCACTGCGTGAAATAGCGCAGTTTGTATCTATGCCAAAGAATTTTCGCGAGCAAATCTGGCTTCTGTGCCGACTGCGCGCCATCGGTGCGCAGCTTGTGCATAGTCGACGATACGTCGCGCAGGCGAAGCATCAGATTTTCACATATGGCCGACACGAAATACGCCTGATATTCACGAACCGTCGCAAAAGTCTGTGCCCTGGGGAACTCCGAGCCTGCGTAATTATACGAGGGAAACGTCACGCACACATCCGTCGACATTTGCGCCGGCGCAGCCGCCGCGCCCAGCGCCGAGACTCTCCGCGCCGGCGCACTTGTCGTCGCCTCCGGCGCACTCTGTGGCGCCGGTCTCGTCGCAAACGGCACATGAACCACTGGTTTTGCCTTCACGTTCAACGCAATCGGTTTTTTCGCCTCACCACCGTTTCGATCGACCATATCGATCGCCGCGTCCACGTCGCCGTCGAACATTTGCAAAAGCTTTGCCAAATCCGATTTCGGTTCGTTCTCCCCCCCATCGCGCGCATCATCGTCCACGTCATCATTCACCACCATCGGCGCGCGCGTTTTCGCTCGCTTCAACATCGGCGGCACGAACTTCTTCTGAAACGCCGGATTCACGTGTCGATGTCGCTTCGCTCGCTCCGCGCCCGCCTTCTTCGTCGCCTCCTTCGTCGCCTCCACCGACTCCGCCCCTCCGCCCCCCCCGCGGTCGACGAGATCGTCCAGGTACACCCCCACCCCCCCCAGCGCGATCTCGACGCCGCTCTCCAGCGTTTCCCACGTCTTCGGCGGCAATTTCTCCCGCGCGACGACTTCAAACGAAATCGTCCCGTCGTCATTCTCTTTCTCGTCATAAAGCGTCGCGCTGCGCGACGCGGCGTCGACATCGAGTCGACCGTCGCGCTTCCGAGGTTTCTTTTTGTGTCGCTCCCTCGTCCACGTCACGCGCCATCGCGCGGACATCGCGCGGCGACGCGATTTGACGCGACAGACGGACAGACAGCTGGTCGACGTTTCGACTTCAAAGTTTGGTTCGGAGCGAGCGGATGGTCTGAAACGCGCGCGCCGCGCGTCGGCCGCGAAAGCGCGTCGCGCGCGCGCGAAGGAAATTTTTATCGTCGGCGCGCGCGAGCGTCTCGGTCGACGCGCGCGACGGTGGCGCCGCGACCGCGCGCGCGGCGCGCGGTCGTTGTTGAGCCGAACGCGACGACTATTGTGTGACGCGGCGCGCGCGGTTCGCCGGACACACCATGACGCCATGCCGACGACGTACGCGGAGACGTTTTGGTTCGATCTCGTGGTCGTGTTTCTGATCTGCGTCGTCATGCCGCTCGGGGTTTTACTGCTTCAGAGTCGAAGGTCTCAAAAGCGCGTCGTCGCGTTGACGCTCTTGCTCCTCGCCGCGGCGTGGATCGGTCTGTTCGAGCACGCCCGCATGCGACGACCCGAGATCACGCGCGCGGGGGTGCGAAACGCCCTGCGCACCGTGCGCGACGTCGACGGCCGCGACGGTCGTTTCTCGCGCGCGGCGTTGGAGAGCGCCCTCGCCGAGGGTCGAGCGCTCGCGCCGGCGAACGCCTCGGCGTCGTCCGCGTTCGCGTCCGACGCGTCGTCGACGCCGCGCCGCCTCCTCGAGCGCCATCGCGCGCGTCGCGCGCGTTCGAACGTTTAATCACGCATCACTCCACGCCGCGCTCCACCGTTCGTTTCGCGCCCGCGCTCGCGCGCGCCGAGCCTCGGTCGACCCCGCGCGCGTCGCCGAATCCGCGCTGAACCTGGGCACGAGACAGTGCCCTGTTTCGCCGCACTGATCGCCTCGCGCTCGCCCTCGAGCGACGCGCGCGCGACGCCATGGTATCGCACCGAGCGAAACCGCGCGTGGTGGATCAGCGCAGGTGCGAGCGACGCGCGCGAGCGAGACGGCGCGCGCGCAGACGCGCGCGCGACGCGATCGGGGGACCGACGGAATCGCGACTGACGATCGATCGCCCGCCGCGCGTCGCGCGACGCTCGAACGCGCAGGAAAATCCTGCAACGCACGAAATCGTTGCTCAGGTTTCTCGGTCTCGGACACATGCGGAACATGGGGGCGGAGCTGCCGTACAGGAAACGAGTGGAATTCATGCTGGTGACAATCTTCGGGACGACGTTTGATAAAAACTCGTACTGGTACGGGGCGCCGGATCCGGACACGTTCTTCGCGACGATTTTGAACATGGCGGGGGCGAACAAAGCGGTGAGTGCGAGCGATGGGAGCGAGATATTTCGGATCAAACCGGGAACGACGTCGTACGAGGTGAATCGAGGGAAGCTGCGGGCGCTCGGGGTGTCGGAGAGGACGCTGCGGGACTTGTTCGCGAGGACGGAGGCGGCGGATGTACAGCACCAAATTGAACCAGTGGGGCCGTTGGAGGTGCCGTTACCGGAGGCGGTGATGGCGTACGCGGCGGAAGATCGGTCGATGACGCCCGATGCGCCCGCGGAAGTTGAGACGCAAGAGGACGCGGCGCGCATGCTCGTGGACTTGTTCGGGGGCTCGCAAATGGAGGAACAGAAAACATTCACGAAACTAGTCACGCATGGGAACACGAAAGTCCCCATCAAAGTCAAAAAACGAGCCTCTGGGAAGAGAAAGAACCGTTCGGACACGTTGAGGGAAACGGCGGATGAAGCAACGACCAAATCAGTCGCCGAGACGGCGACGACATCCGCAAGTCGAGATACTTTAGCCGCAACGATAACGGCGAAACCAGAAGCAAACGGCCGAAACAGAAGAAAGGCTAACGCTCCTTCGAGGAACAGCAAAGGCAAAGAGCTAGACCTGGGTGACGACGACGAGCCTGACGACGCCGTCGCCGCTAAACCCATTCCTGACGACGACGACACGCACAGCAAGGCGTTGGAAGCTAATCTAGCGCGGCGCTTGTGCCTAGCTCCGCGCGACGGATCGCACAGACCACTTCCATTTCTTGATTACGGCTGGGATCCTGAGCTCGAGCCGAAATCTATCGCTCAGTTGCACGAGGATAACGAGTTCTTTCTCGCTCCTGAAGCATCTGGCGATGATGCTCCAACGTGCGGAGCGGCGAACGATGATCCTCTGTTGGGCGTTGAGGATTTCGTTGATTTCGATGAAGTTTTGAATTCGTACGTCTTTCCCTCATTCGAACAGAATCCGGAACTTGAACATAGGCGCCAATCTACGCGAATGCTTTTTTCAAAGTTTCGAGCGGAACTGCACGACATTCTCCGAGGCACGGAGGTGGCCGAAAAAGTGTTCGAACAACTCGACGTTCTCCTAGAGACCGCAGATATGGGTCTCTTGAGGAACTTTGCACTACGTGGGGAATGAAATCTTCGCGCGCATGTGGGTTGTAGAAACGAACGCACTGTAATTTCAACATGCTACTCATGTTACTATCCGATTCGAAAGTCGGCGCCGATGCTCACGTGATCGCTCGCGTATCGAACGCTCGGTAGTTTTCCATACCGCAGAACGTCATCTAAACTCGGACTCTGTAGAACACGCGTCGGTTCGAGATTCGATGTGTACCAGATGTAATCATTCGTTCCACAAAACTTGTTGTGGCACGTCGTAAACGCTGGCTCACCGCCGGCGACAGCGACGTACGCGCTTGAAAGTTCGGCTTCGAACGCATGATGCACCGTAAATCCGCCCGGAGTCAGGCGCATCAAATTTTTTACTTGCTCTACGTCGGTTCCCCGCTTTTGCGTCGCACTTTGAGACGCACTTTCTAATTCTACGCCCGTTCGGCTTGGAAAAGGCGTGCTGCGGTCGCCGAGCGCGAGAGCCAGCTGTGACGCGCCCCAACCTTGATTGAACGCTCTGATCGCCGTGTCTTCCGTTTCCGAACGCCCGATACGAGTGACTTGGTCATCACCTACGTTTCTATCGTCTAAAACATCCACGAGAGTACCCGAAAGCTCGCGCCTATTCACCTCGCTCAAATCAAGCCTTCCGTTTGAGAAGAAATGGTAGAGCGCAGAATTTGGAGAAAAATTAAAATCGCCGCATATCACGCAATGCGCCATCAGCCCGCGATCGACGATGTCTTGGCGTATCCTCGCCACAGTCGCGAGCAGCACGCGCACCTGTCCAACCTTCGCGTCGCCGCGCTTTGGGTTGAACAGCAAGTGGGCGTTTGCGACGACCAACCGAAAACCGTCTCGAGCGCGATGTCGCAACGTCACCACGCATGCGGCGTTATCGCCCAACCCGTAATCATCAAACTTCAACTTCTCTGTCGTTTCACACGTGAACGCACCGCGACGGATGAATATCGCGCACCCCTCCCGCTTCTCCGCTCGCTTCTCCCCTCGCGCTTCTCCGCTACGCTCGCACAGCGCCGCTCGAGCGTACTCGTCGCCCAAAAGCGCCTCGTTCCCTCTCCACGCCTTCTCCTCGTACTCTTGCGCGCACACGACGTCACCGCTCAGCATCTCGAGCTCGCATCGCAGCGTCTTCGCTCTGCTAGACCACTCCAGGCGATGCGGACCGACGCGATACAGCGCTCGACCGAGCTGTGTCGTGTACTGTCGCGCGAGGAGGTTGTACGACACGAGCCGGAACTCGACCGCGGCCGCCGCGGCGCGTTTTCGCTTTCGCGAGGACCATCGTCTCGCGCGCACGCCCGCGCGGGCGTGACGCTCGGCGGGCGTGACGCCGTCCGGCATGTGAAGGAAAAGTGCAAAAAGAAAAAAGTGCAATGCTTGTTGAATGTGCGCTCGGGACGCTCGAGTCGCTCGCGTCCACGAGTGGGGCGAGCGACCGATCGAGGCGCCGAGCGGTTGATGTTGCAAAGAGACTGCCACGCGTGAGATAGACTGCTCAGGGGTGGTAATTATCTTTGCGTTGGTCGAACGAAGCGCGCGGGTCGAGGCGACGAGACGAGCGCGCACGGTTTGGAATCTCGAGAGAGTCGTATTACGGTGAAATCTAGTCAGCCTCGGAAGGCTTCGCCCCACGAAGACGACCAGTGCGTCGGGCGGCAATAAGACCGACCTTGGCACCAGCCGAACGGTCGCGACGAATGGTGGACGCGTGACCGATGTGCTGGTGGTTACCACCCCCGTGAGGGTGCTCAACCGGGTTCATAGCCACACCACGAACCTTCGGCCAGCTGTTGCGCTTGACCTTGTACTTGTGGTAGCTCGCACCAGCCTTAAGCATGGGCTTATCGCAGCGACCACCACCCGAAACTTGACCAACCGTCGCGCGGCAACCGGAAGGAATCGTCTTCTTGGCCCCAGACGGAAGCTTGATGCGGGAGAAACCCGTATCGAGGTTGTGCGAGATCAAGATGCAATATTCGCCAGACGCCTTGGCCAAGGTACCACGATCACCGAGCTTGGACTCAACGTTGCAAATGATCGTACCCTCCGGCATAGAGCTGATCGGCAAGATGTTACCAATAGCCAACTGCGCCTTCTTACCGGCGTACACGAATTGACCCGTGTACGTCCCTTCCGCCGCGATGAAGAGCTCCTTTTGGAGACCGTAACGCTTGGTGTGACGGAACGTCATCTACACATCGCACGAAAAAGTTTATAACATCGTCAGTCACTGATTCAAACACGCACAGGGGCGTTCGAATCTTCCCTCGCGTCGAACGCACGTCCCTCCGCGCGCGCGCGCCTCGCGCGTCCAAAGCCCTACTCCCGTCGAGGACGATCGAGCGTCAGCGCCGTCGAACACATCGCAAACACGCACCTTGGCCAACGGCGCGCCTCTACCCGGGTCGTGAATGATATCCGTCACCACGCCCTTGACGTAACCGTGTCTTTCGGCGTAATCCTGCGTCGCGGCGTCGAGTCCCATCGTCAGTCGTCCGTCTTAGGTCTTTCACAACTCCATCCACGTTTCACCCCGTCGCGCGCGCGCCGACGCGTCCCCATCGCGCGCGTCGACGCGATTCGATAACACGCATATTCCATCACCCATCACCGCGCTTCGAGCGGTCGATCGCGCGCGCACGGCGCGCCAATCCTCGAGCGCGCGTCGCGATCGCGGTGCCATCGCGCGTCCCGTGGCGTCGCGCGCCGGTCGTCGTCGACGCACCTGTTGGCGATGCTTCGCCGCGCCCTTGCGGGTGTGGGTGTGGGAGGTAAACACCGACCCTTTACCCTTACGGCAACCTCGGATGACGCGACCCATGGCTAGTGAACGAGCGTCGCGAAGAGGCGGATGCGTGCGCGCGGCGCGGCGTCGGGCGCTCTTCGAGAACGGGCAGTTTATTTCCATTCGAGTATGTTGGTAGGTTATTTCGTTAGCCTTTATATGTACACGTGTGGCATGATACTCCGTATGTCCGAATGCCGTATATAGGTAAACAGTTACACGTTGTAAAGCACATCAAATTCTTCGAGCGGGATACAAACGGTCCTCTCGACGCCGCGCAACTGCGCGACGCTCACCGTCCCCGCGCGCGACGCCTCGACTCGAGACGCCGCGCGAGCGCTCAGAGATTAATATTATTCATCCTCGCGCTCGAGCGTGCGCGACGAAGACGACCGCATCGCGACCGCGCGCGGCGTCGAAAAACGGGGGAACGACACGAGGCCGGGACATCGACGCGCGCGGATGCCGACGACGCGACGGGCGACGCGCGCGAGCGCTCGGAAGCGCGCGTGCGACGCAGAATCGTCGCCGGTGACGACGCCGAGCGACGGACGACGCGCGGTGACGTCGTCGATGGCGAGCGAGGACGCGCGCGAGGACGACGACGAGGACTGCGAGGTGCGCGTGGAGGGGACGCCGAGGACGAGCGGAGGTGAGGAATCGCCCGTGACGGCGAACGATGATGGATTTGAGGATGCAGAGGATGGTGATGATGCGTGGGGGTCGATGGCGGAGAGTCCAGGGATGGGACGACCGGCTACGCAGACACCGCCGGTGCGAGTGTGCGCGCGCGTCGCCGCCATCGAGGAGGCGGCGGCGAAGCTTGAGGAGGGCGCGGAGGAGGATATGGACGGACTTGAGACCCCGGAGCGTAAGATGACGTCGGCACGAGATGATGGAGACGAATGCGAGGACGAGGTCAACCTCGGCGGCACCCCCGAGGGCGCGGATGAGGACGAGGAAGCCAGTCAACAGGAAGCGGCGGGAAGTCAAACGCCGCTCATGTCACCGGTGGATCGGTTCCGTCGGAGTAACGTCGAGCCGAGAAGTAATATGAAGCCTGGTGGCATGTGGGCGTCCATTGGTTCGCCCATGACGGCACCGTTCGAGAATAAAGTGCTCGGAAATTCCATTGATGCCGGCGCAACGCCGTCTCGTCCGAGCGCGGCGGCAAAGAAGCGGGCAGCGATGCGCATGTCTCTCCCGGCGAACGTCGTTCCCATGACCCCGATTCCAATCTCTCGTCAAGTTCTTGAGCGTATCGAGTGCCTGGGTCCGTCGTTGAACATCGTGCAGCGCTTGATGCTCGTAGTTGGAATCTTGCTCGACTTTTACTCCAAGACGCAGTTGGTGCGCGAACTTCATCGCTTCGCTCGAGCGGGATCTTGGTTGTGGTTCAGCATGGTTTTGACGTTTTTCGTCTTCTCGGCGGCGTGTATTACTGGATACTGGGTGCTTCACTATCCCATGCCCAAGAAACCGGCGAAAGGAAGTGTGGGCAAGGACCAAAAAGTCTTTGGATTCAGCAAGTACGATTTCAAAGTCGTCGTCAGGCGCTTTGGTGCCGCGTGCGCGATGTTGCAGCTCGGCACCGCCTTTGCCGCTTGGCGTGCGCTCCGAACGAATGATGTGCGAGCGAGAAAGGCTGAAATGGATCTTCGTGGGATGCAACTCGTGGATACCATCTTCTTAACGCTCCCCATGGCGACGCTCCAGGCGTACATTGGAATCTCGTGCTCGTCTCCCACCAGCGTCTGCCCGGGTCGGGAGGGATTCGACATGCTCCTGTTCCTGGCCGTCGCGGGTTCGATCACCTCTGGTACCTTGTGTTTTGTTTCGTTAGACTTGCACGAAAAACCGCCCGCGTACTCGTGGAGAGAGTACTGGAAGATGCACAAGGCACACCTGTCTGAAATGATGGCCAAGGCGTGCTACCGCTTCTTTGAGCTCGCGGCACGAATCTGCACAATTGGCCTTTTTGCCGCGGTCACAGGTCCGTATGTCATGCTTGTATTTTTCTTCCACGCGTGCGTTATCCTCGGTTTGTTGAAGATCCGTCTCCCGGGCACTCACGACCGAAAGGTTTGGGAAAAGTTTTGCGAATTGCGCGAGTTTAAAATTTGGGGACGGACTTGGAAGTTGCCCGTCCTCGATGACGTCAAGCTATTGGTTGCTTGCTTGATCTGGCCGCCGTCCTCGTACGTCTCTAACTCTACTGACCGCAAGGGCAAGTTTTGGTGGCGTTCCACGTCGTGCCCGAGGAAATCCTTTTGGGGGCTCACACGAGAAGACGCTTTGATTCCATTCGCTGTCATCATCGGCGTTCTCGCCATAGAGGCCGGTATCATGCTCATCGTTGTCTCGCTCGTCGCCGAGGAGCACTATTACAGCTATTTGAGCATCGCTGTGGCGGTCAACTTCTTGTGGATGATCAGCGCCGTGAACTGGATGAGCGCCGCCGCGTTGTGGAATCCTTTTGTTCCCGAGGGTCCGCCCTTGGGCTACCCCAGCGTCAGCGCCATCAACAACGCGATTGGTGGAAGGCAACTGTTCAGCGGGCTAAAGAAGACGCCGATTAAAAGTCCTGGCGCTAGTAATAACGTCGCACGATCTCCTGCGCCGTTTTACCGCTCACCTTTGGAGCCGGTGAACGAAAATAAATTATCGGTCGACCTGAACACGGGCGCCGAAGCAGTGGACACGCCTGAGTTTGGGCACCGAAAGACGGACAGTAACGTATCCAATACCTCGTCGCTAGGTCCGAGAACGACACCGGTGATGATCAAGGGAAGTCCCAAGCCAGTGGAAGTGTACATCGACATGGGTGATGACTCAGCTGATTTGAACGAGGATGATGAAATCAACCCCATGGTGACGGAGGCAATCGGTGAGGAGTCCATGTTGCGTACGAGCGTACAATGGCGTGATTCCATGGAGTTGGATCGAACTGCTTCAGGTGATATGGATGTTGCCGGAAGTCAAGATGATTTAGAAGCAGCTCGTCAAGCCCTCAATGCCGTCGCCGCACTGAATACGACTGGAGAGTACGACGGTGGCTGCACGCCAAACGTCGACATGGTGTCACCATTGTTTGTCGATAAAGAAAACTCTTTCAACGACACCCCAGAAATGGCTGATCCGTATGGAGATCCGTATGGAGTGAGTCCGATTTTGGCAAACGCCTCACCAGAGCAAGTGAGAACGTCGGGTGGATATTCCCCGCGTTAAAGCGATGTAAAGTACATAAATTAAAATCTCTGTTATTCCTTATATGGCACAGCCGCGTCTCGAACAATCATGTTTGAAAATGCTCCCTTCGCCCGAGCCGAGTCTTCGCGATTTCCAAGCTCAGCCGCGCGAATTGATGCATCTTCTATCGCGACGGCGACACGGCCAAGCGCGACTAATCCAGAAGCACCCATATACGTCCCGACGGCGCCGAGCGTCAACATCGATCCAACCAACGCGCCGGCGAATTTCACCGCCCCGGCAGATCCCCGACGGAGTATCGTAGTGAACGCGGCAGCACCGAACACGCCGGACAAAATTCTGTTAGTATAGTCGACTGGTTTTGCGTCTGTCGGCCATTCGTTCAGATATTCGTTGAACTTTGCGCGCGATTCCGAGCTTTCAACTTCGTCCCAGAGTTGCTGGATGCCCGCGATGTGACCGGCTCCCACAACGCCGACGACACTCGATGCCGTGGGGTCCCGTTGTAGTGCCGTCGCCAAGATCAAATCACGCTCTCGAATAACCGTTTCAGCCGTCGCCCAATCCATGATGCTCATCTTTTTGGCGCTATCGACCTTTGATAATCCGGGACTGAACGTCGGGTTGCCATTGAACGACTCAACTCGCACGTACTCGACAACCCTACGAGCACACTTTCGCACGCGCATCAAATCATCCACGCGTACCGGTATGCCTCTCATGCCGCTGTCTAAAATTTCTAGCGCGGATTTAATGACCGCCTCGCTATGTTCACATCCAGCCTTCTCCAATATATGCTTTGCCTTTTGCACGCCGCTTCGCTTCGTCGCCGCGTCGGCGCGCGCCAAATCCGTCTCCCCCCCCAAAAACTCTCCAGTTTTGGCCAGCTCATCGAACAGCGTTGATCCACGTCGCACACGCGCCATCAACCTCCCCACCGTTGCTCGCTGATTCCTATCTCCAAGAACCACAGTCGCGCCGACGTCCCGCGCCGCTTCCACCGCAGCTATGAACTCTGCCCCGGGCCGCGTGTCCAACACCGCCCCGATCGTCGAGTACCCCAAACTCCCCGCCACGATCGCCAATTGTCCATTCACCAGCGTGTTGAACGCCTCACGCACGCTCGCCACTCGCCTCGCCGCGTGCATCGCGGGTCGGTCTTCGCTCGCGCTCCGCAACAAACTCTTCAATCTGTCCCCGTCGAGTTCGATGACCACCAAATCTGGTTTACCCTCTAGAATCGCGCGCGATACCTCGCGTGCGGACGCCTCTGAGACGTGCGCGCTTCCGATGAGCGTGATTTCGCTTCCACTCGCGGGATGTTGAAGCTTTTTCGCGCACTTTGGTTTGTCTTCTGGATGGTCATCGATTTGCAACACTCGGACGCCACCGTGCGTCGTGCCCAGGGACACGCCGGGAGGGAAACCGTCGTCATCGGTGGACGATGATGGGTCATCATCGGCGTCCACGCGGTCGAGCGACATCGTGCATCTGTGTGAGGCGGCGGTGAGGCATAGATACGATGGTTGCAACGTGAGCTATTTATTTCAGTTGGGCGAGCGCGGTGAGTTGGGGGACTGCCGGTCGAGGTCAACGTACGGGGCGCGTTTTCTCGGGGTGAACACGCCAGCTAATGACGCGGAATCGGTGAAACGCCGGGCGAACTCCGAAGGGCCGTCCCCGAAGACGCTCTCGCTGGCGTCGCGATGAGACGCTGTCTCGCTCGTCGAGTGCACGACGCCGTGCGCGTGAAAAGTTTTGAGCATCTTGACGAGGATGTCACGCTCGGTTTGGAGCTCGCTCAGGGCATTTTTCATCATTTGACGCTCTTGAGCGAATTGGGTGGCGCTCACGGAGGCGATGGACGCGACGTTATCCTTCGCCTTCGCGGCTTGTTCATTGGCTTCACGGAGCGCCTCGGCGGCGGAGGCATCGTTCTCCTCAGCAACTTTGAGTCGTTCTTCCAACGAGGTCAGGCGCTCGTTCGCGACGCGCAGACTTTGCTCGAGAGTGGATCTTTCCATTTCGGACTCTTTGAAACGCTCGCTGACCTCAGCGAGCTGTGTGCGAACACTTTCAATGCCCGAGGCTTCGACGGATGAACGATTCAGCGCTTCGTTTGTCAAGCGAAGCTCCTCTTCCATGACGGCATTACGAGTCTCTGCCGACTCTAGATTCGCCTTGAGCGATTCCACATCCGTCAATAACGTCGCCTGCACTTCCTCGTGTTTTTCCGTTACTTGTTGATTCTCTGCTCGAGCGTGCTCAAGACTCTTCTCGAGTTTCTCTTGTAGCTCCGTCCTCGCGGCGGAGGCATTCTGCTCAAACGCGGTGAGCGCTTGCGTTTTATCCGCGAGCTCTGCACGAAGAGCCGCGAGCTCTGCACGAAGCGCTTCGAGATCGGTTTCAAAACCAAGGGCTCGTTGACGAGCCGCATCGAGGCTCGATTGGAGTTCGTCCGTCGCTGATCCCGTTGAGGCTTGCGCAAGCTCGAGCGCTTCATGTTTCGCCTGAAGCTCGCCTTGAAGGGCGCTCACCTTGGACTGCAGGGCGTCCCTTGCGTCCGATGCACTTTGTGCCTCACTCGTCTTTGATTCAATTTCCGCTCGCGCAGAGCTCAATTGTGAATCGAACAATTCCTTCGCGGCTGCTTTTTCTTGTGCTGCAGCGTTCGACGCAGACTCTGCCTTCTTGAGCGCCTCGGTCTTTGACGCGAGTTCGTCTTGCACCATCGCAAGTTGAGACATTAACGTCGTTTTCATTGTTTCGACTTCTTCTGCGCTTGAACTCTTCGTCGCTTCGGCGCGCATGAGTGCCTCCTTCTGTGCGTCGAGCTCTGCGCTCTTTGCTTCAAGCTCTGCTTTCACTGCAACAAGCTGAGATTCCAACAACTGAGTCGTGGCTTGAATTTCTTCCACGTTCACACTCGACGCTTGCGCTTCCGCAAGAGCATGATTCTTTTCTACAAGCTCTTGCTTCAGCACGGATACTTCCGACTGCGATGTGTTGCGAGCGGTTTCCAACCGTTGCTGCGTCTCACTTGACAAAGCCTGCGCCTGCTCCAGCGCCTTCGATTTCGCCTCGAGCTCAGAGCGCGTGGAAGCCAGCTCCGCCTCGAGCTCGCTTGTCGCCACGCTTGAAGCCTGCGCCTGCTCCAGCGCCTTCGATTTCGCCTCGAGCTCAGAGCGCGTGGAAGCCAGCTCCGCCTCGAGCTCACTTGTCGCCACGCTTGAAGCCTGCGCCTGCTCCAGCGCCTTCGATTTCGCCTCGAGCTCAGAGCGCGTGGAAGCCAGCTCCGCCTCGAGCTCGCTTGTCGCCACGCTTGAAGCCTGCGCCTGCTCCAGCGCCTTCGATTTCGCCTCGAGCTCAGAGCGCGTGGAAGCCAGCTCCGCCTCGAGCTCGCTTGTCGCCACGCTTGAAGCCTGCGCCTGCTCCAGCGCCTTCGATTTCGCCTCGAGCTCAGAGTGCGTGGAAGCCAGCTCCGCCTCGAGCTCGCTTGTCGCCACGCTTGAAGCCTGCGCCTGCTCCAGCGCCTTCGATTTCGCCTCGAGCTCAGAGCGCGTGGAAGCCAGCTCCGCCTCGAGCTCACTTGTCGCCACGCTTGAAGCCTGCGCCTGCTCCAGCGCCTTCGATTTCGCCTCGAGCTCAGAGTGCGTGGAAGCCAGCTCCGCCTCGAGCTCACTTGTCGCCACGCTTGAAGCCTGCGCCTGCTCCAGCGCCTTCGATTTCGCCTCGAGCTCAGAGTGCGTGGAAGCCAGCTCCGCCTCGAGCTCACTTGTCGCCACGCTTGAAGCCTGCGCCTGCTCCAGCGCCTTCGATTTCGCCTCGAGCTCAGAGCGCGTGGAAGCCAGCTCCGCCTCGAGCTCACTTGTCGCCACGCTTGAAGCCTGCGCCTGCTCCAGCGCCTTCGATTTCGCCTCGAGTTCAGAGCGCGTGGAAGCCAGCTCCGCCTCGAGCTCACTTGTCGCCACGCTTGAAGCCTGCGCCTGCTCCAGCGCCTTCGATTTCGCCTCGAGCTCAGAGTGCGTGGAAGCCAGCTCCACCTCGAGCTCACTTGTCGCCACGCTTGAAGCCTGCGCCTGCTCCAGCGCCTTCGATTTCGCCTCGAGCTCAGAGCGCGTGGAAGCCAGCTCCGCCTCGAGCTCACTTGTCGCCACGCTTGAAGCTTGCGCCTGCTCCAGCGCCTTCGATTTCGCCTCGAGCTCAGAGCGCGTGGAAGCCAGCTCCGCCTCGAGCTCACTTGTCGCCACGCTTGAAGCCTGCGCCTGCTCCAGCGCCTTCGATTTCGCCTCGAGCTCAGAGCGCGTGGAAGCCAGCTCCGCCTCGAGCTCACTTGTCGCCACGCTTGAAGCCTGCGCCTGCTCCAGCGCCTTCGATTTCGCCTCGAGCTCAGAGTGCGTGGAAGCCAGCTCCGCCTCGAGCTCACTTGTCGCCACGCTTGAAGCCTGCGCCTGCTCCAGCGCCTTCGATTTCGCCTCGAGCTCAGAGCGCGTGGAAGCCAGCTCCGCCTCGAGCTCACTTGTCGCCACGCTTGAAGCCTGCGCCTGCTCCAGCGCCTTCGATTTCGCCTCGAGCTCGGACCGTACTTGGCCGTACTCGACTCGTGCGGCGGCTAATTCTGCCTTGAGTTCGTCTGTTGCAGAGCTTGTGGACGCTTGAGCGTCTGTACTTGCTTGCAGCTCTGCTGTTACCGCCGCTAACTGAGACTCTAGCGACACCACGGCTTCGCGTGTTTTAGCGCCGTTCGCTTCTTCTTGTTCGAGCGAAGACGTCGTCTTTTCGAGTTCCGACTTCGTGACCTCGAGCAAAGACTCGAGTCTTTCGGCTTGGGCTTGCGTCTGTCGAGTCTCCGCACGTGCCGCCGCAACTTCTTCAGACGGCGCCGCGCTCGCTCGCTCCAAACGCTCTACCGTGGCGTTTTTCTCGTTCACTTCTATCCGAAGCGAAGAAACTTGCGACTCCAACGTCTGCACGTTGGACGATAGCTCCGCGTTCGCCTCGCTTGTGTACTTGGCGCCTTCCTCGACATTCGCGAGCGCGTCCTCTAATTCTTTAATTCTCCCCCTCAACTCAGCCTCCGTCGCGGCAAACTTTTCCCTGTCTTCAATAAGAACCTTTTTAATCGCTCGCGCCTCCAAGTGCGCCTTTTGCTTGAGTTCATCTATGGCGTCTTCTCCCGCGTCGCCCTCCGCTTTCCCGCCTCGAGCCCGCTCGAGCTCCGCCTTCAACGCCTCGATCTCCGCCGTCATCTCCGTCCACGCCGCCGACGCTCGTTGTCGAACCTCTTCTTTCTCCCGGCTCACCGCATCGAGCTCACCGCGCACCCTTTCGTATTCATTCGCCATCCGCCGCATCTCCCCGTTCAGCGCCGCCTGCGCTCGCTCCAACGAATTCGCGTGTTCCCTCGCCTCGCGCAGCGCCTCGCGCGCGTCTCCGTCGTCCCCGACCCCCCTTAACGACGCATCGACATCCATGCTCCCCCCCGCGGACGTCTGTCGCGCCTTCGACCGCGCCTTGGTCGTCTCGACCGCGCTCGAAACCTTTGACTTGGCCGCTTGAAACGCCGATTTCATCTTTTCGCTCATCGAAATCGCCCGTTCGCGCGCCGATGCGCGCGCGTTCGCCCCTCCGCTTCGCGCGCGCGCGCGGTCGTTCCGTTTCCTCGCCTCGTCGTCTCGCGAGACCGCGCCGATCGGGCGCGCGCGCGCCAGTGTGTCGCCGCGCGCGCGCGAATTCCGTCGACACGCGCCCCGCTCGAGGTTCGCATTTCAAACCAGCCGGACTTGACGACGCGCCGGCGCGCGCCCCGGGTCGCCATGGACGCCGCGGGAGTGTTCAAGATGCACAAAAGGACGATCGCGTCGCGGGAAGACGCGCGCGAGGGCGAAGAGACGAGGGAAAACGCGACGGCGGCGACGCGAACGGGCGATGATGATCAAAAGACACCTGTCGAGACCGAGACGACGAGAGACGCGACGACGACGAACGGACGCGCGGTGAGACCGAGCGACGACGGGGTCGAGGATGATGAGGATGCGGATTACGACGCGAGCTCGATCGACGAGGAGGACGAAGACGAGGAGGAGGACGATGACGATGACTTTCACGCGTCGACGCGAGGACGAAGCGCGAGCGTCGGCGCCGGGGCGAAAATCGTCGATGGGAAAGTGGTTGGGGCGAACGCGGAGGCGAGCGGTGGGGATGAACAGGCGGCGAAACGGGTGAAGGTGACGACAGGAGGGGCGATTCGGGCGGATCGGAGCGCGGATGATCCGACGCCGGCGTTGCTGGAGGCGTTGCGAGAGTACGTGGCCAAGTGCGGAGGACAGCTTTCGGATGATTGGACGTGCACGGCGACGATGCGGACACAAGGCGCGAGCGCGGGAACGTACGATGCGCTGTACTGGTCGCCCGATAAGGAGAGGTATCGATCGAGATTGGAGGTGGTGCGCGCGCTCGGGCTCGCGCCGCAAAAAATTCTCAAATCGTCCGCCGCGGCGAAGAAACCCGAACACTTCAAGCCGCTGTCTCGCGAGGAGGCGGTGAAGAAGGCTCGAGAAGCCGAGCAACCGACGGTGCCGATGGATTTAGGAGAAAATTTGGTTGTGGAGAGTTTCGGCCAAGTTCTTGGCGATAACGATGAGTTTCACGATGACGTGCACATTTGGCCACTTGGTTACAAGACGATTTGGAAGAACGACTCTGGCGTGACGTTTACGAGTGAAGTCACGAAAGCTTCCGATAATGCGCCTGAATTCGTCGTGTCGACGGAAAAAGACGGTTCTACTGTGAGTGTGTGCTCGGCTTCTCCGCTCGGTGCTTGGCTTGAGATGTGCGAAACCATCGGCCCCATGGTTTCCATTGGGATCCACGACCACTTTTCGTTTGATGATGTTCGCGTCGTTCGTGCAATCGAAAGTTTGCCAGGATCTGACGCGGCTGCCAAGTACCAATTTGTCGAAGAGCGTGAGGGGTGGTTTGAAGAACGAGTTCGCCGCTCCAAATCGCGTCTCTGCGATTCCAAGGAAATTCTCGCCAAGATTCGCGAGATGACGAAGAAGGAAAAGACCGAAAAGTCGGCACAGAGCAGGGTCGAGAAGTCCATTAGCAAGCTGATTGAGCGTCTCATATCGCGCGTTGACAGCGCTGCGACGCGTGCGAAGCAAAGAGAGGAGCGTTTGGACGCGAAAAGAACGCTCGCGGACATGATGAAGCAGCATCGCGACTCTTTGCGGGAGGCTGCCAAAGCAGAGAAGGAAGCGGCGAAGCAAGCAGCTAAAATGCAGAAAGAAGCTCAAAGGGAAGCGGAGAAGGTTGTTCGAGAAGCGGCGAAGGCCAAGGCAGCGATCGAACGCGAAGCGCAAAAGGAGATAAACAAGGCAAAACGTGCGAAAGAGGCCGAGGAGAAGAAGAAGCGTGATGCAGAACGCGCCAAAATGATGAACGAACTCGAGAACAAACAGAAGGAGTGGCTCGTTGGTATGAGTGAACGCGAATCGGATAGCGCCGATACGACTTACTCGCCGCCTGTGATGTCGCCAAACTTGAAGATCGAACCAGATTTCAAAGAAAAGTCAGAGTTGGGCGACATCATGGAAATTTGGATGTTTCTCGATCGCTTCAAGCGTGAACTCTTTGGATCCGCCGCCGATGTGAAATCACCCCCTACGGTTCAAGCCTTGGCGCGCGTGCTGTCGAATCCCAAGGAATCAGAAGAGTTCATGGCTTCTTTGCACTTGGCTCTCATCGCTCCGTGCGTGGCTGACGCTGCCGCGTCTGTGGATAAGTCCAGCGCAAGCGCATTGCAGCTCCTTCCAGATGCGCATTCGCATATCTCGGATACGAAAGGTGTGTGGCAAGAACTTGTGCGTCGATTTTTGTACGCTGCTTCTGTGATCCACGATATGCCCGCGTACGAGCCGTACTTGAAAGATGCCCCGCCGATTCTCCCTGAAGCCGCGGATGTCTTCACTCGTTACATGTGTTCAGGTGATGCTGGCATCGATCCGCTTTCATACGCGGAAGGTGCAGTTTGGCATGGTCATGCAGTCGAAAAGTACAGCGCTCGAGTCTCCCCTGCTCTTTGCGCGTTGAGTGACGCCGAAGCTTTGGCGGCAGCCGAGATTGAGATGTACGCACTGGGCTCTGGCGTCTCTGATGACTCCTCTTCGCGCGTCGTTGAGTCTCGTCGACAAAAAGCTAAGAGTGCAGTTGCCGAAGCGAAATCGTCGCAACACATTCACGCTGTTCGATGTGCACTGAGGAACATGGCGTGCCAGCATTCGATGAGCCAAGTGTGCCTTCGCGGTGACGGCGCTGCTGTGAAGGGACAACATCCAAGAGGCTTGGACATTCGTCTCCTCGACGCTCGCCTCGGCGCGGGCGTGTACGCTGCAGCGGCGCATTCGACGAGCAACGCAGACGAGATGGACGAACTCATCAAAGCAGACGTACTCGAAGCGGCCACAAACATGGCCAGTCTCACTAATGGCAACGGTGCCAAGGCAAAGAAGGAGTTAATCGCGGCTGTCGAAGGTGCGCTCAAGCAAACCAAGGCGGGATCCGACGAACTTCCGAAGACCCCTTGGGATGAAGGCTGCTCCGTGTGCGGATTAGATGTCATGGCCGGAACTGTGCTTTTGTGCGATTCTTGCGATGGGGAGTACCACGCAAAGTGCCTCGACCCTCCATTGCTCGCCGAACCAGAAGGTGAATGGTTCTGCCCAACTTGCGTGCGCGAGAAGGAAAACAACGATGCGCCCAATGTGAGTTGTTGCAAATCCTTCGAAGGCACTACGTTGCACAAAGCATCCACGGGCGAGATGATTATCGCACGAGACGCCATGATGGAGAAAGTCGACAACGCCGCCGAAGACGCCGTATACACAGGCGGTTGCCGTGGAGCCTTTGCGCGACGATTGAGATCGCTGGCGCGCGATATCGACGCTGTCGGCTTTGATGGTTTGTCTCCTCAGGCTCGCGTCACTTTGTTGCGGACGTTGATGACGGTAGCGTTAGATTCTGTCGCGTTGCGAACCTCGATTGACAACGGAGTGAACTTGGCCAACGAAACCAAGAAGGATATCAGACAGCACATCAAAGCTTGGAGCGAATATCGGTTAGATCGTGAAGATGGCAAGGGTGAGGCGCGTGACGCTGAGGAAGCGAAAGCAGCCGAGGAGGCGAAAGCGGCCGAGGAAGCCAAGGCTAAGGATGAAACCCAACCGATGGATGTTGATGAAGCGCAAGCGTCGCCCGCCGAAGAGGTGAAGCCCGAGGAGAAGAAGGAAAAGAAGGCAAAGGCACCCCAGCAAACAAAGCAACAAAAAGTGCCGACGGAAGAAGAACTCGCGCAAGCTCGCGTGCGATGGCAAAGCAAGTGGCACGAAGTCGAAGTGCCCCAGCTGCAAACCGCACCGCGACGGGAGCCTTTGGGCTCGGATCGTCATAGACAAAAATACTGGGCATTGGGCAATTGGGGCGAAGTCATCGTGCAAGCGGCGAAGGATAACGAGCATCATGACGTCGAGCCGGAGTATGGAATTATGACGTTGAGCGAAACTAAGGTTTTGATCGACAACATAAATCCGAAAGGAAGAAAAGAAGGTGATCTTTGGCGCTCGTTGCAACGTCGATACGGCGCGGATCAAGCAGCCTTGAAGGATGTCGATGCATTGCCTTCTCGGCCTGACGATGGCGAATGGGCGACGAGCGGAGTGAGCGATGATGTCGAAGGCATTTCTCGCGTTCGATCCGCATTCTTGACCTTGGAAAGCGAAATTCCCGACGTTGCCTTTAACTCTGTGCTCGGGAGCGAGACGCGCCGAGCGATGTGGCGAAACCTTGCCGGGTCGGCTCAAACGCTTTCTGCGCTCGCGGCGGCGATCATCGTCTTTCAGCGTGCGATCGAAAGCGATTGGCTCCAGCCTGGCTGGTTGCCGTGGAGCTGGATGGCTCCTCTACTTCGCTGCTCGCACAGATCGAACGAAAAGAGTGATGCACGTTGCCTTCGTCTCCATCTCATAGCGCTTCGCCGAGCTTTCAAATGGAACAAGGCGACGCGCGCTTCGGACAGGTTGGTCAACGCCGCGCCTGATTTAGAGCTCCCAAGGTCGTCACGAGCGAGAAAAGCGACCATTGTAGAAAGCGATTCGGACGATGAGTACGAATCGATCTTCTCCGACTCTGATGAAGTCATGCCTTCGAAGACGACGGCGGAGAATCGACGATTTCGACTTTGATTAAAACAATCTTCATTTGTCTAAAAAATTACCGATCGTAACGAAAAAACATCGCCACATTCCAACGAACACTGCCTCTCTCCAAACAAAAGAAAAGACAAAAGTCGCGCGAGTCCGCGAAGACGCACTAGAAGAGCGCGTGTCCCAGGAGCGTTTCAAGAACGATCATCGAAGCGCAGCCAATCATGGCGGCGCGGCCGTTCAGCTGTTCAACCTCGGGCGAAAAGACATCCTTCACCGCGAGCCACGGCGGGCAACCGCGGAAAACAAATTCCCATTCCTTACTGTCAGCCATCTTGAACGGGTTCGCCTCGTACCCCTCGTTCGAACTGAACGCCGGGAAAAGAGACGCCAAGCTCCACACGAACATCGTGCGCGTGAGCTCGCCAAAGTTGTTCGCCGCCTGCGTCGTGAACGACTCCCCCGTGGCGATTTCGCCCGTCAGCGCCAGCACGAACCCAAGCATGGCGACGCGTCCGTTAATCACCTCCGGCGCCCATCCCTCGAACGCAAGAATTTCTTGCGGCGTTTGCACTTTGGCGTTGATCGAAAACGCCGGAAAAACAACCTCGTCCACGACGTGCACGACGACGTTGCCCCCGAACGCCGCCTTATCCGCCTCCGTCACCTTGACGCCGTCGACCTTCACCTCACCCCCAGCGACGTCAACCTTCACAGAGCGTCCATTCAGCGTCTTCACTTGTCCACTCTTCAAATCGCTCGACTTCACCGCGCCGCTCACGACGTGATACTTCAATATCTCGTCCAAGTTTTCGCGTTCGGCGAGTTCCTCGAACGCCAGCGCCCTGTCCCGCGCGCACCGCTCGAACGCCTCGTCCGTCGGCGCGAACACCGTCAGCGCTTCGTCGCTTCCTGCGATCACGGACGTCAATTCCGCGACGTCCAGCGCGCCGAGGAGCTTGGAGAATCGTCCGTCACCGAGCGCGCCGAGATCGCTCGCCGTCGTCGACGTCGATTCGACCGCGACCGCGCGGTGCGACGACGACGCGCGATGACGGTACGGCGAGGCGAGGCGAGGGCGAGCGTGCGCGAGAGCGTACGCGCGGGACGTGGCGAGCATGGCCATCGGACGCGCGCGCGGCGAGGTGTGGCGTGGAGACAGACGATGGAGGATGATGAGTAATCTCAGCCGCGCGCTTTATCCACGGAGCGGGACGCGGAACGCGAGACGAGCGAGTTGGCGAATGGGAACGACGAAAGGTGTTGAATGGTTGCGTGCGCGCGTGACAAGTCGTAAAAGTCGTCAGCAGCACCCGCTGGAGGGTGCGGCGCCGCGCGTGTCGATGCTAACGGTGTCCGGCAAGTACACGTCCTCCTCGGCGTCTTCGTTTTGCACGGCGAACCTCGCGACGGCTTCAAAAGCGGCGTCGACGTTGATATCTTCCTTCGCGCTGCACTCGAAGTGCATCAAACCACCCTTTGACGTGCACCACGATTTTGCCTTCTTCTCGCTGATCACCCTCTTGCTGTCCTTGCCGTCCTCTACGTCGATTTTATTCCCCACGACGACGACGGGAAATTTCTCTGGGTCGCTCGGCGACGCCTGCACGAGAAACTCGTTTCGCCAGTTCTCGAGCGACTCGAACGATTTCGCCGAGTTGACGTCGTACACGCACATCACGCAATCCGCACCGCGATAAAACGACACGCCGAGCGACTGAAATCGCTCCTGTCCAGCCGTATCCCAAATTTGCAACGTCACCACCGTGTCGTCGATGACGATTTCCTTCGTCATGAAATCCGCCCCGATCGTCGCCTTGTACTGCTTGGAGAACTTATTATTTACGTATTGCGCCATCAACGACGTCTTCCCAACCCTACATCGCGGACGATCGTCGTCGCGTCAGTCGCGTCCCGAGCGAGCGTTCATTCGTTCGAGCGCCTTCGCCTCGCCGTGCGCGCGTTACTCACCCCGAGTCCCCAAGGATGATCACCTTGAGCAGAGTACGCTGCGCGCGCATCGACACGCGTCGACGATCGTCAGTCACGCGCCGGTCGTCGTTCAAATTCGAATTCAATCCGTCAACACCAAATCGAATCGCAAACGGGCCGGCGTAATCAATCGCGCGTCATCGATCGCGCGCGCGTCGCCGCGTCGCCGCGCGCGCGCGCGTCGCGACGCGTCGACCGCGGTGCGCGTCGCGCGCGCTCGCGCACCTTTTTCGTCGACATCTCGGCGTCGCGTCTTCGAGTGCGACCGCGGGCGCGCCACACGATGACGCCCGCGCGCGCGCCGCCGTCGCCGTTCGGCGACGCGGTGAGCGAGGTGTACGAGCGATGCGCGGCGCTTCGCGAGGCGGTGCGCGCGAGGGCGTCGAGCGTGGATGAGCTCACGAGCGCGCTCGACGCGGTCGAACGCTCGAGCCGAGCGCTCGCGGGGGCGAGCGCGGCGAAAATCTCGCGCGAGGCGCTGGACGCGGTGCGGGACGCCGCGCAGGGGGCGATGGAATTGGGCGAACGCGCGGTGTGGGATCTGCAGCTCGGGAGCGCGAGCGACGCGAAGGAGACGAAGGCGAGGGAGGCGCTGCGAGAACTCGACGCGTGGGCGGAGGCCGCGGAGGAAAATCGGCGCGAGCGGCGAACGATGGGGAGACTGGGGAAACAACCGGGGATGGGGGTCGTCGAAGTGTCTTCGCGACGCGTCGGGGCGATGGCCGAGGTCGAGGCCGAGGCCGAGACGAGGAATCGTCTCGCGCTCGCGGAGTTGGAGCGTCGGTTTCCGCAGCCCAAAAGAGGAGGGGCGGCGGCGGGGAACGGTGACGACGAGCGACGCGAGGTTGGAAAGAAACGTCGCGAGGAGGTTCTGTTACAGATTGATTCCGCGCTCGCATCCATGGCGGAGGAAGCCGCCGAGGTGGGTGCGAACGTCGGCGTTCAACCGCAGTCAAAGTTTCTGCGCGTCGGCGTCGGAATCGCAATTTGCCTGACGTTCTTCGCAATCATGCTCATCGAGTATTTGGTGGAAGAATCGACGACCAGCGATGATCTCGTGGTGACGCGACTCGCCATGCCTGCGAGTCCGAACGGCGCGTAGGAAACGCGAACAATCTTAGCGTCGGCGCTCGGAAGTCCTCCGCAAGCGAGTAGCGGTAGCAACGTAGAAGAACAAATAGCGGCGCAGAGGAACGAGCGTTCCGTCGATGTAAAGCACAAGTGTACGATTAAAGAAGCATTATGTTTGGCAATCACAAATCGCGTTTCTTCTGACTAATAAAGGAAGGTCCTCGTGATCGTACAGCAAGCGCTCGAGAGTTTCTACTATGTCGCTTATCTCGGGGAGACGGTGATCTCGCTCTCCGGCGCCGTGAGCGTACCGTTCTTGAGCTCAAGACCGGCGAGGAGCGGCCACGCACCCGCTTGGAACATCAAGCCGAGCGCCTTCGGGACATCGATGATGATTTCACCTTGCGTCGGCTTGGCGGCGGTTTCCTTGTTCATTTGAACGTAGGAGCGGCCCGCGTAGCCAATCCAGCCCGCCACGTAGAGGAAACCCAAGCCCGGCACGGCGAACTCGCCAAGGTGCTCGAGGTTACCATCAACAATCAAGTGCGGGAGACCATCCTTACCGCAGAGGAGACCGGCTTCGCCGTAGTTGGCGAATCGCGTCTTCGTCTTTTCGATCGTCGCGTTGAGGGCGAGCGCCGGGGCGGATTCCGGGTCGTACTTCTTGAGACGCTTTTGGAGCGCCTTAATTTCGGTCTTTTGACGCTTTGCGAACGCCTTGGACGTCTTGCACGGGGTCAAACCGGCGTACGGTTGCACGTCGCGCGCGAAGGCTTCTTCGACGACGACCAACGGCGTCGCCGCGACGGCGGCGGCGACGGCCAAGGACGCCGCCTTGCGCGTCACATCGGCGGCGGAGCAGTGCGCGGCGGTCTTCACCGTGCGCGCGTTCACGCGCGCGGTTTGCTTGAGACCAGAAACGGTCACCTTGCTGGAGAGTTGAACCTGCGTCGACGCGTCGAATCCGTTCTAGGTCAGTCTTCGCGCCTCGCCCTCGTCCCCGCGCTCGCCTTCGTCGTCGCGCGCGCCCTTTCGCCCGCGCGCCCCGCCCTCCCGACCTCGCGCGCCACCGCGTCCGCGCCCTCTCGCGTCGCGCGCGCCGCCCGAATCCGCCTCGCGCCCGCGCCCGCGCCGCCTCCGTCGTCCCGCTCGACGCCCCGCGGTGGCGATCCACCGATCGCGCGCGTCCGCCCTCGATCGACGCCGCGTCTCGCGCGCGTCCGCGCCGCGCCGCGCGCGGCCCGCGCGATCGCGCGTCGGCCCCCACCCGACGCCCGATCGCCGCCGCGCGTCCATCGCGCGCGCGACGCGACGACGCGACGAGCGCGCGATCGACCGATCGTTTCGAACGCCGATCGCGCGCGCGCCGTCCCTCGCGTCGCGCGCGCGCGTCGTCGCGTCGCGTCGCGCGCGCCGACGACGCGCGAACCGACGCGTACCTGAGCGAGCGCGTTCATCGTGCGCGAGTCCCGTGCGCGTCGCGACGCGAAGTGCGGCGCGCGCGACGCGCGCGACGCCGCGCGCGGCGAAAGATACGACGCGCGCGCGGATCGGATTCGATCGCGCGCGCGCGTTCGCGGTGATGGGCGATTCGGTGGTGATCGTACGACCCGCGCGCGCGCGTTTTCGGGTTTCGAGCGAGGGGTAAATCTCGGGCGGGGCGCGCGGGGACCCCCTCGCGATGGGTCGCGAACCGTCGAATCACGCCCAGCGCCGGTTCGCGTCGTCGACGCGCGCGCGCGACGCCGCGACGTGGTTTTGATTTGATTTGATTTCGACGCGACGCGTGCGACGCGCGAGACGGCGACGCGGGACGGTGACGGGACGGTGACGGGACGGTGACGATGGACCGCGACGGCGACGGGACGGCGACGGCGACGGCGACGATCCTGCGACGCGCGAACGCGCGCGAGACGGCGACGGGGACGCTCGAGCGGATGGTGCCGCGCGCCGCGGACGCGTGCCTGGCGGTGCGGAGCGCGAGGGATTCGCGCGCGAGGGCGACGCGGGAGGGGTATGGGTTTGAATTCTACGCGTCGGCGCGGGAGATGTCGACGAGCGATCGGGATTGGTGCTTCGAGGTGACGGAGGCGAACATGCGCGCGGCGTACGAGCGCACGTGGGGATGGGACGCGACGGAGAAGCGGAGGGAGTTGAATAACGGCGCGGCGAGGTTTGTGCTGGTGCGATCGCGCGAGAGTGGACGTCCGGTGGCGTTTGTGCACTTTAGATTCGAGAGGGAGGACGAGGATGTGGATAATCCGGTGGGGTACGTGTACGAGTTGCAGTGCGAAGCGGCGCACCAGCGACGGGCGCTCGGGGAGACGCTCGTGCGAACGGTGGAGACGGTTTCGAAGAAACTGGGGATGGAGGCCGTGGTGTTGACCGTGCTCAAGACGAACGTCGGGGCGTACGAGTTCTACACGAAGAAGATGGGCTACGTCGTGGACGAACTCAGCCCGGACGAGAGCGTGGACGAAGGGAGCTCGCACTATCTCATTCTTTCAAAGCGGCTCGCGTGAGGGCTATTGTGATTAAATTTCTAGTAGGAGTTCAAGCGCGTGCGCTTGGACGCGTTCTCGTTCGCTTCGAATCTCGACGTCGTTTTCTTTCGAATCGCCTCTATGTCTTCCTCTCCGTCTTCCTCTTCCGCGGCGCGTTCTATGATGATGTGTCTGCCGTACAAGTGCGTGCCTCGGAGCGCATCCATGGCGGCTTGCGTCTCTCGTCGCGTGTTGAACTCGACGAATGCGAAACCTCGGTGCGCGCCGTCGAACTTTTTCGGCAATCGGACTTGCTTGAGTTGTCCGAACGGGTTGAACAGCTTCTGAATGTCGCGCTTCGTCGCTTCAAATGCGACGTTTCTGACGACAATTTTCGTCGCGCTAAAGCCCTTCGGAACTTTCCCAGCCTTGTCGTCATCGCGTTCGCCGCCTCCTTGCGAGCTCAACTCCAGCTTGAGCGTCTTACCGTCGAGCGACGATCCTTGAAGAGCGGTCAAAACCGACTTTGCGACCATGGGAGTGTCAAACTCTACAAAGCCAAAGCCTCGACTGAGCATCTTGCCTCCGGGCCCGCGATGGGTGACGACGCGAGCGGCGATGATTTGGCCAGAGACGCGTTGCGCCGCCGCGGCGAAATGCGAACGCAATTTTTTGTCGGTGGTACCGAAATCCAGACCTTTGACGAATATCGACACCGCGTCGTCGCTGACGGTTTTACCGGCGAGATCATTCGCCGCGTCCACTTTCGCCTTTGTCTTGTCTCGCGCCTCCTTGGCTAAATCGCTCGACGCGTCGGCGACGGCTAGCGCCTTGGCGCCCTTGATGTCGACCTTTGAAGTCGAGGCAAAAATATTCTCGGGCGCCCATTCTAAATAAAGTGGTACATGTCGATAGCGTTTGTACGCCAAACCCGTGAACGCGCGGCGCGCTTCGGAGGCTTCAAGGAACTCCACGACGGCGATGGTGTGCGTATCGGGTAAGATGAATCTCGCCACGCCGCCAAACTTTTCGCAGAGTTCTCTAAGCTCATCCTCCTCGGCTTCGTAGGGTAAGTTTTTCAACAATAACACGCAATTACTGCGCTTGACTCGGCTCGCACTTTTCGCCCCACTCGAAGCCGCAGACTGCTCGAGCGATTCCGCGTCAATGCCAGCTTCGCCGAGTTGTTGCTTCGTCGTCGCGATGACGTGCGCTTCGCCGAGCGCCATGCGCACTGCGAGATCATCCGCACCAGAGTCGAGGAGTTCGGCTTTCGTGACGCCGTAGTGTGCCGCGATCGCCGCGGCCACGGTATCTTGACGCATGAATAAAGAGTTCCACGCCTTTGTGTTGCCCGCGTCGGCTTTGCGCTCGGCGTCGCGTTCCGTCTTGAAGGAATCCTTCTTGTCGTCTTCGCCTTCACCTGTGCGTCCAACGCCACCCATCGTAGAATCAAGCTGTGGCGCGCGTTTGGCGGGAAGTAAGTGGATCAAACGACCTTGAAAGATTGAGCCGTCCACCGCTTCCATCGCCTTGACGCCATCCTCGGGTATGACAAAAGTCACGTACGCCAAACCTTTGCTACGCTTTGTACTGCGATCGACGAGAATGTGAACCGCGGTGAGCTTGCCAAACTGTTCGAACAACTCCGCCACTTCTTCTTCCGTCGCAGTATAAGGCAAATTGCGCACGAAAATTCGACCGGTTTCGGACAACGCCTCCATGTCGGCCGCGTTGACGTCTTTCGATTCTGGTTCCGCGGCGTCTGTCTCTTCCTTCTCTAGTGTGTCTGGATCATCGGAGGCGTCTGAATCAGAACTCTTCTCTTCATCATCAGACGCATCAGGGCTTTGGCTTTGCTCGTCGTCGGAAGAAGATTCGGAGTCATCAGAATCGGAGTCCTCGCTATCGTCCTCGTCGTCTTTCCACGTCGATTGTTTCGATTTGAAGTAATCCATGTCCGACACTTTATCGTCATTCGCCACCTTGTCGCTTTCAGACTCAGACTCCGAGTCTGACTCCGACCCTGATTTGTCCGATTCTTCCTCCTGTTCTTCGTCTTCTGACTCGTCCAAGTCTTGATACTCGTCGTCGCTGCTCCCGGCGTCTCCGTCTTCGCGAAGCGCTTTTTCGGAATCCTTCCTATAACCCTCCAACTTGTCTTGATCCTCGAAGAACCCATCGCTCCAAAACTTTTGTTTCGCGGGAACCATGAGCTCCATGAACTCGCGAAATTTTGGATCAACCTTCATGAGCTGCTCCGCCTTGTACCTCGGATCGTGCAGCTCGCGAGCTTTTTGCTTGGCCAACTTTTTCGCCTCTCGCGCGCCGATCCATCTTTCACCCTCACCATCCGCCTCCGCCTCGCCCTTTCCCCCGTGCCCACTCTTTATCGTCTCTTTTTCCTTATTCGCCGAGCTTCCCGCGCTATACTTCGACCACGGTCGCGGTATCTGCGCGCTGTGCACGCTCCGCGCGTACTGCACCTCCACCCGCGACGTATCGATGAACGTCTTATCAAAGTACTTCAATGCCTTCGTCGCCATCGCCTCCGTCTTGTACCCAACGAACGCCATCTGTCTCGACGTCCCGTCCGCCGTGCGCACGATCTTCACGTCCGTCACCTCCCCCATCGCCGCGAAGTGTTCGCGCAGTCTGTCATCCTTCAAATGTTTCGGCACATTCTTCACGCACAACCGGCTCGACGGCGCCGCATCACCGTCCTCCTCTCCCGCGCGCTCGAGCGAGGCATCGTCGACGTCGCGACCCGTCGGTCCGGCGCTCGCGCGCGACGTCCGGCGATCCATCGCGCGTCGCGAGGTGACCGCGGCGTCGCGCGCGCCGGCGGCTGCGCTTCGAAAAAGCGCCGCGCGCGGTGTGATTTTCATTTTCACTCCGTGATGATCCGCATTTCGGACGTTGAATACGTAGAGTCCCACGTCTCGAGTCAATCGACGAGTCAATCGACGAGGCGATGGTCTCGCGCGCGCGACGCCGCGCCGGGCGCGACGGCATCCGTCTCTTCAAGACGCGCTTCTGAGGTACGATCGACGCGACGACGCGCGCGCGCGCGCGAACGCGATGGAAGATATAACGCACGATGCGCCGGCGACGCGCGAGGGCGGCGGGCGGGACGACGCGCGCGAACGGCACGCGGGTCGACCGCGCGCGCAAGCCCTAGTTGGCCGATCGCGCGCGCGCGATGGGAGCTCGCGGGACGCGCGCGATCGATCGCGGGCGGGCGCGATGGCGAGGAAAGGTTGAATGCTGATTGTGGTTGTGGATTATGAACGCGGTGTGGGCGTGGGCGCGCGGGAGGAAGCGAAAACGCGGGGCGATGGGATGAAGGAGAAACCCCAAAGGGAGGCGGGACGCGCGAGCGCGCGCGACGAAGAACGAGCGGCGATTGAGCGTGCGAGAGACTGACGTGTCGATGACGTTTTCGCGTGAAATAGACTCGAGATGAGACTTATCAAGAGAGAGATCAAGATCGCCGTGCCGGAAGGCGTCACGGTGACCGCGTGCAAGGCGCGCAAGATCAGCGTGACTGGCCCGCGCGGTTCGCTTCACCGCGACTTCCACCACATCCCGAAGCTCGACCTCACGCTCAACGAAGAGAATGAAGTCGTTGCGACGATGTGGTTCGCGAGCAACAAGTTGTCCGGTAGCTTGCGCACGACCGTTAGCCACATCTCGAACTTGTTTGACGGTGTCACCAAGGGTTTCCGCTACAAGATGCGCGCTGTGTACGCTCACTTCCCCGTGAACATCAACATTGAGAAGAACGGGACGGTTGTTGAAATCCGCAACTTCCTTGGCGAAAAGCGTACTCGCGTGTGCAACATGCTCGAAGGTGTCAAGTCGTACCGCGATGAGTCTGTGAAGGATTGCATCGTCCTCGAAGGCAACGACATCGACAACGTGTCCAAGTCGGCGGCCCTCATCCACATGGCGTGCTTGGTGAAGAAAAAGGATATTAGAAAGTTCCTTGATGGCATCTACGTTAGCGAGAAGGGCACCATCGAAACCGAAGGTTAAAGAGGATTTGTGGTGGTGCGTTGTGGGGGTTGTTAGAGGGACTTCTCCACTTGGCGATAACTTAGAGGGTGTAATTGAGCGGATTGGCTCACTCAAAAACATTCTGCATCACGCGCCTCCACTCGCTCGCTCGCTCGCTCGCTCGCTCGCTCGCTTCTCGCTCGTAGCTCGCGGAACGGCGAACACCGTCACTTCTCGCCTCCCATGGCTGACGCCGAGGCGGTCGTCCCGCCCGACGCGGCAGTCGTCCCGCCCGATGATTCCCCGCCCGAGGACGGTCAACGCGCCGTCGATGCCCCACGCGGTCGCATCGCTGGTTTCATCGCATTCGTCCGCAAACACATGCCCAAACGTCCGGTTTTGAGCCGTTTCGAGCACGCGGTGGTGAAGTCCAGAATGCTGAAAAAAATTCGAAAGCAGTTTGTAAAGTTCGACATCGATAGATCGGGGACGATCGACCGCGAGGAGCTGTGCGCGGTCGTCGGTATCGACCGTCGGAGCCTTTGGACGCGAAAGCTGCTGGACTTTTTCGACACGGATGGCGATGCCCAAGTGAGCTTTGAAGAGTTCATTTCCACACTCGGGATACTCGGCGCGCGAGTGGACAAGTACGCGAGTGGACACGGGCGAGGACACAGAATTCCGAAAGAGGTGTTTTTCATAGTCGCTCTTTTGGATCTCGATGGCGATGGTGAGTTGAACCGCGGGGAGTTAGCGCCGGTGCTTTGGGAGTGGCAGCGAACGAAGGAGCGCCAGTTTGGAAAATTGAAACGCCTACCGGTGGTGAATTTTTCGGCGATGGATGCGAATTTAGGGTTAGAGGTGACGGCGACGGAGAAATACATTGCTCAACAACGTGCAGATCGCAGAGAGTTCCTTCGTCCTGTGCGCGCGCGTGTCAGGAGTGCCATTCTTTACATTTCTCGTCAGTGTCCGCCAAAGTTGAAGATTGAGGACGTTGCAAAAGTTTACCACGAGTACCCAGAACTCTTCGAGGTTGCCGTTTTTATGAACAAGAAGCTCTGCAAGACTATTCCACGATGCTTGAAGCTCATTTGCGAGCTGCACGATGGGATAGATGACGTTGAAAACCTCCAGAAGCAAACAATCGAGCTCTTGGTGCACACTCGCCTCGCGCAAGAGGAGGCAAAGGGCACATGGCACTGGGCGAAGAAACTTCACCGTAACGATAGCAAAGAAGATAGTCATCGTCTAGACGAGCAAACGATAGCAGAGATTGCGCAGATCAGTAGACTGCTGCGTGGGGAAAAAATAATGAAACCAAGTTCGGAAGAAGAGCATGAATTCTTGGGCTCCTTCTCGTTTCGGAGGGATGGCAGCTTCAGACGAATGGAATCGCGACGCCTACGAGGTCCGCGGGCGACCGGTCGCGGTAACAATTCTCATGAGACATTACGAATGCGAACCCGTCAATTGACGTCTCAACCACCTCACGACGCCGCCGTAGTTCTCGCCGAACTCGGCGTCACGGCGCAAAAGGAAGTCATTCGGCGTCTCGACCAAGATGTCGCTGCGAACATCATCGCGGAGATGGGACAGCTTCAGCAAGACATTTTATTGAGTCATTTCAAACTTCTAGAGCCTTTGGTGAGGAAGGTCAAGCGAGAACGGCACAGTCTAGTCACCGAGTCGACGCCACCTAGCGACACATAGCTTTGTAACATCAGCGCGCGCGCACACCGCCCGGACATCACGACGCGTCAAACCACCACGATCGACATGGCGCACCTCGCCGCCGGTAACGCTTTGTTTGGTGACTTAAAGTCCTCCCAACCGTTCTTTTTAATGGCAGGACCGAACGTCATTCAATCCGAAGAGCACATCTTCGCCATGTGTCGAGAGCTGAAGCGCGTCACCGACGAGCTCGACGTGCCGTTCATCTTCAAGTCGAGCTTCGACAAGGCAAACAGAACGAGCATCACGTCGTTCCGTGGCCCTGGAATCGACGACGGTTTACGGATTCTGCAGGCGGTGAAGACGACGTTCGACGTACCGATCGTGACGGACATTCACACCGAGGAGCAGGCGGAACCGGTGAGCGCGGTGGCGGATGTGATGCAGATTCCGGCGTTTTTGTGTCGACAAACGGATTTGTTGCTCGCAGCCGGGAGGACCGGTCGAGTGATTAACATTAAGAAGGGGCAATTCTGTGCGCCGAGCGTGATGAGAAATTCGGCGAAGAAGGTGTTCTCAACCGGAAACGAGAACGTGTTACTATGCGAGCGTGGGAGCACTTTTGGGTACTCCGATTTGGTCGTAGACATGAGAAATATTCCATTGATGCGCGACGCAGGTTGCCCGATCGTCGCCGACGTTACGCACTCGCTCCAACAACCAGCGGGCTTGGCGGGCGCGGATGGCGCGGTGGCTTCGGGCGGCTCGCGCGAGCTCATCCCAACCATCGCTCGATCGTGCGTCGCGGCTGGTGTCGATGGACTTTTTATGGAGGTTCACAATGATCCGAACTCATCCCCTGTGGACGGCCCCACGCAGTGGCCTCTTCGTCACTTCCCTGAACTCTTGGCAGAGCTCAAAGCTATCGCGCTCGCCACGAAGGCGAGAACGGGACACAATGCACAACTAGACCTGACGCCAATGAACATCATGTAATATCATCAGCATACTAGTACAACATTGATCCATTGTTATATCCCGCTCTTCGACGGAATTCGAAATTGTGTTCGATATAGCCAGCGAGGCGCGGTATTCACACTATTGAAACATCGGAACAACAACGCCGCCATGTGTCGCCGCCATGTGTCACTTCTCGCCTCCACATGCGCTTCTTCACGCTGCAAATAATTCTCGCCCTCTTACCTTCGTGCGTACTCGCCGATCACGACGCGAATTGGTTTCGAACCACTGAGGCCGGACGACACGGCGCTCTGGAAGTCGGTTCTCCTACACAAGCGACGACGTGTTTACCCAAGGATGCTTTCGTTCGCGTGAATGGAAACAAGTTTGAGCTCGGTGGCAAAGAATTCATCTTTGCCGGATGGAACCAGTGGGAGATGATGGAGGCGGCGACTGGAGCTGGACCGCCGGCGCGCCACTTGCCACTTCCAGGCAGAGAACACATACAGCGTTTGCTCAACGAGGGCGTCGCGGAAGGTTTGAAAGTCGTTCGCGTTTGGGCGCACACAATTTCGAAAGGAAATGAGGTTCAGAGTCGTCCAGGCGTCTGGGACGAAGATGCTCTGCGTGGGCTTGATTTTTTCCTTGATGAAGCCAGAAAGCGAGACGTCAAAGTCTGCCTCGTGTTGGCAGATAACTGGTATCCCGTGGGCGGCGTCGACCAGTACGTCGCCTGGAGTCAAACGGCGGATAAACACCAAGATTTCTTTACTGATTCGAATTCGAAGCGCATCTTCAAAGACATGATAAAAACCATCACCACACGGCGGAATACAATTAATGGTGTTCGATACGGCGACGACGCTACGATCATGTCTTACAATCTTGTCAACGAAGCGAGGTGCCAGAATTGCCCCGCGAGCACTATCGGGAAATGGATCGATGAAATGGCGACTTATTTGAAATCATTCGCACCGAATCAGCTCGTTGGTCTCGGATACGAGGGGTTTTTCCATTCCGACGACCCCGCGGAGAGGCAGGCGACAAATCCAGGCGAAGGCAGCGACTGGGCTTCGCGTGAAGGTCAATCATGGGCTCGACACTCGCGGATGGATTCCATCGATTACGTCAGTATTCACGTCTGGCCTGACAACTGGTTTCCGACGCAATCTGTCGAGTTACAGCAAAAGTTCATCAAATCGCGCATCAACATCGCGGAACGCATCGGGAAACCGTTCGTACTGGAAGAGTTTGGCAAAAAGGTCGATCGAAATGAAGGCGCGACAGGATTTGCAGAACGCGACAAGTACTTTGCCGCTGCATTCGACCTTGCGGAGAGCGCTGCGCGAGACGGTAAGCTCTCTGGTACAATATTTTGGCACTGGTATGACCGAGGCGTCGGGCTTACGTCTTCGTATGGCATTCACAGTGACGAGACAACTTTCGATCTCGTGCGACGACACGCGAAGCGAATGAACGCCATCACGGGCACAAAAAATTTCTGTTCATCCGCGTGAGCGCTTTCGAAAGAAAGAATCAAAATCATTCGTGTTACAAAACCTACTCAACAACTCGACAACTCGACAAATTTTCAATTCACGGCGACGCATTGCCACGCGAAATTTTCTCGCAATACGTCCTGCGACGACTCGCCGCTCGCGTCCTTCTTCATGTACTCGGTTCGATCAAATCCCAACTCTCGCACCTCGCTCGAGCACGACGCGTTTTTCTCCGCCTCCCACTCCCACATCACGTTCTCGAACCCACTCAGGCTCGCCCGCATCGCGTCCTCGTCGCTCTCCGCCTCTCGCAAGCTATACGACGTCAGCACGAGCGGCGTTCGCTCTCGCACCACCACTCGTTCGATCGTCGGATGCCAATCGCTCGGATCGTACCCCCACACTCCCGCGTTAAACGCGAACGCCACGTCCGCCGTTCTCTCGACCGTTTCCTCGTGATACAATCCCGCTCGAAACTCCACCCGCAGCGCCGCCTCGTCCCGCGTCCTCTCGCCCGCGTCGTACTCCCTCCCCAGCTCGTACGCCTCGCCCACGCGCACGTTCGGCCCGACGCACAGCACTCGCACCGTGTCCACGCCGCACGCTCTCGCCCGCGCGCGCACGCTCGCGAACATCGTCGCCGTCTCCCGCGGGCTCGTCCCCTCGGCGCGGTCCGCGCCGAGGATGACGACGTCCGCGACGACGTCCCGTCCGTCGCGCGCCGTCCCGTCCGCGCGCGCGTCGCCCGCGACGCCGGCGAACGTTCCGAGGCGTTCGCACGCGTCGAGCATCGTGCGCGCGCGCGACGTCGCGCCGGCGTCCATCGCGCGCGCGGGTGCGCCGCCGCGAACGGCGCCGCGCGCGATCGACGGACGCATCGATCGATGGATTCGATGGATGGATTCGACGACGGCGCGAACGACGCGCGGCACACGACGACGCGAACGCGCTCGACGCGGTCGACGCGCTCGACGCGGTCGACGCGAGCGAGGCGCGCGCTTCGAGCGACGCGAAGGCGTCGGACGCGAACGCGAAGGCGTCGAGCGCGAACGCGGGACCCGACGGGCGGTGAAGGCGCGCGACGAAAGACGAGGAAGGCGCGCGCGAACGATGAACGCGGAGAAGAGGGCGGAAATATACACCTATGAGGCGCCGTGGATGATCTACGCGTGCAATTGGAGCGTGCGTGGCGAGCGAGGCGATGGATTGGGGGCGAGCGCGGGAGAATTGAATCGCGAGGGGCGACGGAGGAGACGCGACGGAGGAGACTCGGGGACGCGCGCGAACGGTCGATCGGAGATTAAAAATGGAGACGCGCGAGTGAAGACGCGAATGGCGTGGACTGACGACGTCGAATTGAACGCGACAGGTTCGACAAGATAAACGCTTCCGCCTCGCCTTGGGTTCGTTCGTGGAGGAGTATAGCAACAAGGTTGAGATCATCACCTTGGACGAGGAAACCGGGGAGTTTCCGAAGGAGGCGCAGTGTTCGTTCACGCATCCGTATCCTTGCACGAAAATTTTGTTCATTCCGGACAAGGAGTGCACGAAGGAGGATTTGTTAGCGACGACGGGGGACTACTTGCGAATCTGGCAAGTGCAGGATGATAACACGGTGCAGATGAAATCTTTACTGAATAATAACAAGAGCAGCGAATTTTGCGCACCGCTGACGAGCTTTGATTGGAACGAGACCAAGCTTCAGCGAGTGGGGACGTCGTCGATCGACACGACGTGTACGATTTGGGACATCGAGCGCGAGTGCGTGGACACGCAGCTCATCGCGCATGATAAGGAGGTGTACGACATCGCGTGGGGTGGTCCAGAGGTTTTCGCTAGCGTAAGTGCGGATGGAAGTGTGCGAGTTTTCGACTTGAGAGACAAGGATCACAGTACGATCATTTACGAGAGTCAAACTCCAGACACGCCGCTGCTGCGTTTGGGGTGGAACAAGCAGGATCCGAGATACATGGCCACCATTTGCATGGATAGTCCGGTGATCATTCTCGATATTCGCTTCCCGACGTTGCCGGTCGCAGAACTTCAGAGTCACAGAGCGAGCGTGAATACATTGGCGTGGGCGCCACACAGCTCAAGCCACATGTGCACGGCGGGCGACGACAGTCAGGCGTTGATTTGGGATTTGTCGTCCATGAATCAACCACCCGAAGGCGGTCTCGACCCTATTCTCGCTTACTCTGCTGGAGCAGAAATCAATCAGTTACAGTGGAGCGCGTCGCAACCGGATTGGATCTCGATAGCTTTCCGAAACAGCCTCCAGATCCTCCGAGTTTAGTCAACGCGCTGTCAGGTCTGCGCCGACGCCACTGTATATTACCCGAATTTCCGGATACGCGACACACGACACACGACACGCACGCACGTAGACAATACGTAGATAATAATGCACGGTATGTTTTTTAATTTTAATATCGACCGCACTTCTGAACGGCAAAAGCCAACCACCAACCACATTCGTCGACGCGACGCTCACCATGAGCGACGACACGTCCGAGTCCGAACTTCCCTCTCGCGCGCTCGAGTCAACCGCGCCCGAGTCACGGTTAACGTGCGACCACGTGTGTTGTTCTACGTCGAACAATGTCGCCAGCGCGCTGTTCAACGCCGTCGTTCGAGCCGTTGTGTTTCAATCGAGCGTTTTGTCGTCCACTTCGTCCAAACTCAAAAGTGCGACGGAATGCGCGAAAGAACTCGAAGAAGCGCTCGTGAGAGGCGCGAAAGGGAGCAACAGAACGCTTGTCGACCTGTCGAACGCCATCAACGCGTGGACGGCGGGGAAGAAAGGGCTTATGAGTGGTGTGTTTTCCTCTACAGAGGATGGCGTAGCGGCGACGACAACACTGCTTCTTGATAATGATGACGCGTGGCCCGAGGCGGAGCGTCACAAGTTAGCCATTAGGTTGGTAAGAGATTATTACGACACGGACTTTCAGGCGCATTGTCGAAAATCTTGTGTGGATGAGGATGCGTTGTTTGAGCACAAGATAAGCTGTAAATTTCTTCCGGTTTCGTGTTCGAACGAAGGATGCCCCGCGAGTTTCAGCAAGCATTCTCAAGAAAAACACGACAACCGATGCTCTTACAAGCTCATCGACTGCAGACTGGAGTGTGGGCGGCAAATCGCCCGAGGAGAGATGGAAGCCCACGCAGCAGGCGACTGCGCCATGCGAGAAGTGGAATGCCCTTACGCTGAGTTGGGATGCCAGCATCCCGTCAGACTAGGGAAAATGTCTGAACATCTGTTTGAGAATGCTGAAAATCATTTGCGCATGCTTTATACCGCCGAGACCAAGGTATCGACGCGTGTGAGCGCGCTCGAGAGGTGGGCGCAAGCCGTCGTCGATGACGACGAGCACAGGCGCGAAGGCCTTCGCGCGATCGACACCGCCCTTCTCACCCTCGAAACCAAGCATGCAGAACTCGACAAAAGCCATGTGGGGTCTAAATCTCACATCACCAAGCTGGAGTCGCGCGTCAAGGACCTCGAAGCGACGGTAAAGAAGCAATCTGCCGAGCTCGCTTCGTTTCGCAAAACCGTCGACGGCTTACGGCAATCGTTCGCGCAAATTGCCAAGCAATAGCCCCGCGCGCCGCGCATCATGTAAAAGTTCAGAAAACTAGAACATTTCTTGTCCGCTGATTCCCATCATCCCGCTCGCATGCTTCGAAACAATCGATGGAAATCGAAATCTGGCACCGCAGTCTGAAAAACGTCCCTCAACCGGTGAAGTTGCCACATCGCAACGCACCACATCGCGCCTCGCGCGTCTTCGCGCGCACGTGCGGCCTCAAACCGAGATCGACACGTAAGACGCGTCTCGAGCCGCGCGTGATGTCCACCGTGGTCATCATCACCGGTTTCACGGATGAGCAAACGGTGCGTCGAGATTTGAATCCGAGAAGACAGCCGACGATCATCGCGACGACGACGACCTCGAGAGACTGACGGTGCGCACGAACGACGAGTGTGATGACGTAGGATGAGATCGAGCAGCTGGCGCAGGCGCTGGACGTGACGATCGATCGTGGATATCGTCCCGGGTCGCACTTCGACGTGTGTCTGGCGGCGGCGACGACGACGCTCAAGTACGACGTGGCGAGACAGCTGAGGAAACCGGTCGTCACGGTGGGTTGGTTGCGAGCGAGCGCGCAAGGAAAAAGGTTGGTAGCGCTAGATCGTTTCATGGTACCACCGTTCTTGGGATGTGTCGTGTCGATCACGGGATTTATGGACCTGACGCATCGAGAGCGATTGAAGTTGGAGGTGGAGCAGAACGGCGGAACGTTTTCGCCAGATTTAGTCCAGGGAAAGTGCACACATTTGATCGCGTTGAAACCGGAGGGTGGCAAGTATAAAAGTGCACTGAAGTGGGGCATAAGAATCGTGAGTCAAAAATGGTTGGACGACTGCGTGAGAGCGAAGGCAAACGTCGGCGAAGCGTGTTACCCGGTGGTGCAGCAGAGAGTTGTTGCACCGGAAGTGGTTAAGTGGGTGCCTCCTCAATTGTTAGAAGACGACACGCCTTGGGACTCAAATCATCTATTCGGTTGTCGTCTTTACATGGTCGGTTTTGACGCACACGAACGAGAGACGAGAAATCAAGAGAAGAAGAATCTCATGCACGAGGATACGTTTGAAAAGATGAAACTAGTTCGTCAAGGGGCGGGGATCACCACAAAAGACATGAACAAGGCGACTCACATAGTCATTAGTGAGCATGCGAGTGCGGTTGATTATTATCGGGTCCGCATGGAGCGAGATCGCTGCGTGACGGCAGCGTGGCTTGTGGCGTGCGCACGCGAGAGCAAGTGCTTACCGATGGAAGATTACTTGATTGAAGACAAAATCTGGGAGGAGAATGTCAACAAAACCATATCAAATCGACGAACCGATTCAGGGATACAATCTACCAGGTCGCTATCGAGCGAACGTCGTGATGAGATCGAAGAAGGTAACCGAGGTAACCGAACGAGTCGATTGAATCCGGGCGCGAAGCAAGATATTCGACAACCCGAGATCGTGACGAGAGATCAAAATCCGCTCGCGCGCGAGAATTTATCTCGAGTTCAAGTGCCTGAGACGTCTAAAATGACAGGAACAGAGCTGCCTGCGACGGAACCGATTCGTTTCGATAGACAGGACGAGTCTGGCCAGCCGACGTCAGATAGTATTCCGTTCGTCGGTAAGCGAATCGCGTTGTCTCCTCTTTTGCAAGAAGATGAGGCTTCGGCGGCACGTGATTACATCGGTCAAGGTGGGGGGTCAGTAATTGACTCGCGTACTGGTAGAGAGTTCATGAACGCTGACTACATGGTGTGCCCATCAATGCCGAGCGCGGATGAGCGAAGGACGCTCAGGAAGATGGCGCTGGGCAAGATGGAACTTGTGACGTGCTTTTGGTTGGACGAATGCCTGAAGCAAAGCTGCATTCTTTCTCCCGAAAATTCGGTGGCTTTCAAACCACTTCCGTGCGACGTACCGATCCCAGGTTTGAGTGGGGGTAGTATTCGTATGAGCACGTCAAACTATACCGAGGATACAAAGCGTGAGATTCGCATGATGTGTGTGCTCGTTGACGCGAAGTATTCAGACCAACTGAGTCGAGCGAAAAACACCCATCTATTGTCACCGGTAGCTTCCGGTAAGAAGTATGAAGCTGCGATGAACTGGGGTCTTAAAGTTGCCACTCGCGAATGGTTGGAAACGTGCATCAAATCTGGAAAGCTTGTGGACGAGTCCGAATTTAAGCCAAAGTCTGGCGAATCGAATGCGGAACCTGCAGCCGGTGAAACTCACGCGGAGATTCAAGCGGCTGCAAAGAAAGCTTTCGCGCCTCAAGTCGTTGGAAAAGATCTTTCCGGGTTATTACAACCCTCTGCATCTCCGCTGCATACGACGAAACCTTCCACGCCGAGTACGATCGCGAAGAGCAGCCCAAGCGGCGACAGTAGAATGCCCAAGTCGACTGGTTCTCGTGGGAAAACACCGCTCTCACGCACCGCATCGGGCGTGACGCCTGGAAGTAAACGACTGAAAACGCTGACCGGGCGACCGAGCGCGGGCGAGCAAACGGAGGCGCTGTTCGATCAGGTGATGCAAAATATGGAACCCAGGGATGAAAACACCGATATGCCTAAACCGCTCGGTTTTCCGACGCCCGTGAATCGCTCTACCGTCACGAGGACGGTAAAGAATGCGATGGGCGCGTCCAGTCTCCAACTGTCTCAAATGGATAATAAGCACGAGACGCAGTTCGGGTATGCAGATTACAAGCAAAACTCTCCGCGCACCAAGAGTGAAAAGCGCCCCGACGGCAACGACAAACTCAACACGCTGTTCGCGACGCATAACAACGCCTCAGCGCGCACGCCATCTCAGGGCGACAATCAAGAATTAGATGATTGGATTTAACTAGCTCACGCACGCAGTAGGTACGATTAGCAAACATTAGAAATGTTGTCCGTAGACAGTAGACCGGGCCAACCGCACAGCGCGACATGCTGTCATCAACCTTGCGAGCGATCGGTGAGAACCTCAACCTCGTCCCATCGCGCTCAAGCATTTTCCGTCGCTCGCTCGCGTCGCGTCGCGCCCCCGCGCCGCCGCGCGCGTCCTCGTACCGCACGCCGAGCGACGTCTGCCGTGTTGAGACGGAAGTAAAGAAGTCGCGCTTCGTCGCGCTCGCCGCGCCGTGTGCGAGCGCGGACGACGCGTTGCGGTTCGTTAAGGAGCGAAGTGACCTCAGCGCTAGTCATAATTGTTGGGCTTTCCGCTACGGGGAGGCGCAGTACAGATTTAGCGACGATGGTGAGCCAGGCGGGACAGCCGGACAGCCCATTCTGAACGCCGTGACGGCGAGCGGTCTGGACCATTGTGTCGTGTTAGTGACGCGATATTACGGTGGCACGCAATTGGGCACGGGAGGCCTGATACGTGCGTATGGAGGTGCCGCGCAATCAGCTCTGGAGTTGGCGGCAAAGGAAGCGACCGAGGTGCGAGCGAAAGTCGACGCCGTCGTCAACGCCGCGCCGGGGGATTTGGGGAAAATATTTCTAGCCTTGGACGAATTCGCGGCGGAGAAGATCGACGAAGAGTACTCCGATGATGGTTCTGTGCACATACAGATCGAGTGCGAGGAAGAAGTCGCGGAGACGTTGAAGGAGCGGCTCGCCAACGCCACGAGTGGGCGGGCCTCGTTCAAGTTTTGGGCTCGATGAATTACTTTTTCAACGCGCGCGCTATCGCACCACGGCTATTGGTGCGTGTCTATAATATTCACTCGAGTTGTTTCATTCACGGCGCGCGCCTCACGTCCATTCGAGCTCCCAAGGATGCCAATCCTTCTTAGAAGGAACGACGGATTTCTTCGCGACGTCCCGTCGCATCGCCTTTCGCATGTCGTACGCGTCCTCGTCCCCGCTGTAATAATCTAGCACTCGTCTGTACACCGTGTACCCAAACTTTTCATACATCCCTATCGCCAGCGCGTTGGACACCCTGACGAACAAATCCACAAAGTACGCGTCGTGCGCCGTCTCCGTCACCAGCTCCAGCTCCCTCATCAGCGTCTTCGCCAGCCCTTGTCTTCGGTATCCCGGCGCCACCGTCACCGCGGACACGTGTCCGTGAAACAACTCGCCCTCGCCCTCGCACTTCCCCATGACGTACCCGCACACGTCACCGAACGTCGACGTCGCGGCGCTGAAATACTCGGGCCACGTCGCGAGGTACTGCAGGTAAAACGCCAGCCCGTACGTCTCCGTCAACGCGTCGACGTTGACGTCGTTGTACGCGAACAAGTCCGCGCACGCGAACGGGCGCACCGTGGTCATCGCGTCGTGTCGACGCCCGTCGCGACCGCGTGTGCGGGACGCTCGCGTCGCGACGAACGATGAGCGGCCGCAGACGACGACGCGGCGGTGCGACGAGACGCGACGCGATGACGCGCGCGGTGACGCTAGAGAGCGACTCGGACGAGCTTCGACGCGCGCTGGAGTTTCTGCGCAGGCACGAGCTGCGAGGAAGCGAGCGCGCGCTCGCGAAGGAGTTGAACGAGAGAATGGGCGGCGGCGGCGGCGACGACGACGACGAAGCCGACGAAGCCGACGACGACGACGAACGCGGGCAGAGGATGGCGAAGGGCGTCAGTGCGCGTCTCGCGGGTGACGCGGACGAGAGCGAGGATGAGAGCGAGGACGAAGGTGAAAGCAGTGCCAGTTGGCAACCGTCGCTGTTGCGGCGGCTGCAGAGCGTGAGCGTAAACGGAGGCGCCATGGCGGCGATGGTGCCGAAAGAGGAAGCAGAAGAGAAGGTGCGCACGCACGTGCGGTCGGTGTCGGCGATCTTGCCGTACGACTTGCTGGAGAACGCGTCGTCGTACGAAGAGGTCTTGGAAGACTGGCGAAGAAAGGCGGAAACGGCGTGCGAATACGTCGATGAAGAGGATGAGGGATTCGATCGGTATTACGTGCCCAGACACGAGGTGAGGAGACATTTGGTGGACACTTTTGTAGTGGATGACTGTGGGGGGGAGGAAGCGGGTGGCGAGTGCGTCGATGGACACGTGCAGTTTTCGCCAGACATGAAGGCGAACGCGGAGCAGACGACGAGCGCTGAGAAGAAGACGCGAGTGCTCGATCGCGGCGAAAGTTTCACGTTTGGCGACGTTCCCGCGGTAGACGCAGATGATGGACTAGAAACTCCAATACCACAAGGTTGGGTCGATTCTGAGCGCGATGCGGCGAGCAACGCGTTTGAAGCTTTTCACTTGAAGGTGTTTCACCAAGGCAAAAAAACTGGCTTCCAAGACTCGAAAGATTTCATCGTGAAACACGGCGATGTGGTGGCAAATAGGTACAAAATAATCGAAGGCATCGGTCGTGCGGCGTTTAGTAAAACCGTGCGAGCGCACGATCTTCAGACGAACACACCCGTGTGCCTGAAGATCGTGAGCAATAACAAGGACCACGTGGACCAGGGACTAGACGAGATCAAGCTGTTGCGATTGATAAACGCCAAGGATCCGAACGACACGCACGGACTGCTGCGAATGTTCGATTTTTTCTATTTCAAGGAGCATTTGTTCATCGTCAGCGAACTTTTGCGAGCGAATCTGTATGAATTCCAAAAGTACAACGCGGAGACCGCCGAGACACCGTATTTCACTCTCTCGCGCGTGCGTTGCATCGCGAAGCAAGTCCTCGAATCACTCACTTTCTTGCACAGCCTGGATCTGATTCACTGTGACTTGAAGCCCGAAAATATTCTGATGAAGTCTTACGCCGATTGTAGCGTGAAGCTCATCGACTTTGGCAGCTCGTGCTTCACCACGGATACCCTGACCAGTTACGCGCAGTCGCGCGCATACAGGGCGCCCGAAGTCATCATCGGAGCCAAGTATTCACAAAAGATTGATGTTTGGTCGCTCGGATGCATTCTTGCCGAACTTTATAGCGGACGTATGTTGTTTAGAAATAGTTCCGTGCCCTCGCTGCTGGCACGCATGGTGAGCATCAGAGGGCCCTTCGACACCAAACTTCTCGCCAGAGGTACGCAGAGTCACAAGTACTTTACTAAGCAAGGATTCCTGCACGAAATCGAGGAAATGAGCGGGACTATGAGTATTTTACGACCAAAGCGTACGTGTTTGAAAACGAGACTCGGCGCTAAGGACGATGTCTTCATTGATTTTTTGGAAAAGTTACTAGTCGTCGACCCGGAGGCCCGTTTGAGTGCGAGCGAAGCGCTTCAACATCCTTGGCTCAGTTGACAACTGTTTTATGCAATTTGATTCACAATTCATTCTAGTACCGGCGATCATACTTGTCGTACTTGTCGTACTTGTCGTCACGTCTATACGGTTTGTACGAGTCTCTCTCACGGCTTCGAGAGCGTCGCCTGTCGCGGTCGCGCGAGCGCGAGCGGTCTCTATATCTAGCATCATCTCGTCCCCTGGGCCTACCGTCTCTATCATCGCGACGATCGCGGTGACGATCGCGATCATCCCGGGGTCTATCGCCGCCGCCGTCGCCACCACCGTGCGCCTTTCGTCCCACTTGCATCGAAAGCGAGTGCTTCACCGACTGCGGTCGCCCGTTGCTCGAGTCGTTCCTTCGAGTACCCCCTTGACCACCGCACCCTAATCCTCTGTCGGAGTACCCTAAATCTTTTATTCGCTGCACCATCTCTCGGCGGGCGACCTCGGGAATCCTAGGAAAGATGGTTTCGAAATAATGTTGCTCGAGCAACAAGTCTCGCACGTACGTCCCCATCGTCACCTCCTTCCCGCCCGGCGACGGCGAGAACTTTTCCGCGTCATCGAAAAATTCCTCGCACCACCTCAACAGCTCCCGACCATTCTTCACGTATCGCACGTACAGAAACCCGATCGCCCGTATGTACGGCGAATCTCCGTGCCTCAGCAGGTGCCAAATCTCTTTATCGCTCAGTTCCTTCTCGCAAAACCGAAACAGTATGCAAAACCCCGTCGACGCCCCTCGCGCGTTTCCCGACATCCACGGCTCGACGTGATCGACCAGTTCGTATATCTCGTCCACGAGCGACATGAAGTCCATCCCTTCGCCGTCCACCGTCCCCGTCGCGCTCCGGCACAGCTTTCGATAGTACTCTGAATTCACCACGTTTTGTCGCAGCACCGCCTCGACGCCGTGCGTCCGTCCCGTCGTCTTCGCCGCGTTCCCGAACGGGGTCCATATCGCGTGTCCGTGGTTTTCGACGTCGCTCGGCATCGCGCGCGTCGCCGTGTGCGCCGCGCTCGAGCCAATCCAATCGCGCCAATGGACGCATCGATGGACCCATCGTTCCGAACCCGTCTCGAACGTCGGTCTGGGGGGTCGCGACGAGTCCCGACCCGTCGCGACGGTCCGACGGTCCGTGTTTCCCGGCGGCGCGCGACGGTGGATTCGATTGATTATCCGCGACGACGACGACGACGACGACGACGACGAACGATCGCGACGACGCACGACGCGACGCGCGGCGACGCGGACGAATCGACGCGGACGCGGACGAACGAGCGCGCGCGAGCGAGCGAGCGAGCGATGGCGGAGACGGGAAAGAACACGGCGCGACGCGACCTGTTGCTGGAGCTGCAGCGTCGCGCGCAGGGGAAGTGGGCGCGGGAGAAAACGTTCGAGGTGGACGCGCCGAAGGCGAGCGATGGCGAGGGAGGGAGGGATAAGTTTTTTGGAAACTTTCCGTATCCGTACATGAACGGGCTGCTGCATCTCGGACACGCGTTCTCGCTGAGCAAGCTGGAGTTTGCGAGCGCGTATCACAGGCTGAAGGGCGATCGGACGCTGTTTCCGTTTGCGTTTCACTGCACGGGGATGCCGATCAAGGCGTGCGCGGATAAGATTGCGAAGGAGATTGCGGCGTATGGGAATCCACCCGTGTTTCCCGACGCGAGCGTGATGGAGGCGGAGGCGGAGGCAAAGGCGAAGGCGGAGGCGGCGAACGCGGGGCCGGCGGACCCGACAAAGTTTGTGGCGAAGAAATCGAAGGCGACGGCGAAGAAGGGGACGCAGGCGACGCAGTGGGCGATCATGCAAGCGAGTGGGATCCCAGATGAGGAAATTCCGAGCTTCGCGGAATCTATGCATTGGTTGAATTATTTTCCGCCGCTGGCGAAGCGCGACGTCATCGCCATGGGATGTCAAGTCGACTGGAGACGTTCGTTCATCACCACCGACGCGAATCCGTTCTACGATGCGTTCGTTCGCTGGCAGTTCAATACGCTTAAGAAGATTGGTAAGATTGTGAAGGCGAAGCGTTTCGCCGTGTACTCGCCGATCGATGGACAGCCGTGCGCCGACCACGACAGAGCTTCGGGTGAAGGCGTCGGACCGCAAGAATATTTGCTCATTAAGATGGCTGTGTACGATGAATGCCTCACTGGTGATCTTGCACCTTTGGCCGGTAAGAAGGTATTTTTGGCTGCCGCGACTTTGCGTCCGGAAACGATGTACGGTCAGACAAACTGCTGGATTTTGCCCGACGGCGACTATGGCGCGTACGAGCTCGCCAACGGTGAAGTCGTAGTCATGTGTGAGCGCGCTGCTTTGAACCTGTCTTACCAAGAACAGTTCGCGGAAGAAGGTAAACCCAAGTGCCTGCTTACGTTCAAGGGTCAATCCTTGATCGGTTGCGCGGTCAAATCTCCGCGAGCTGAGCTCGAGAAGATTTACTGCTTGCCCATGATGACAATTCTCATGAACAAGGGCACGGGCGTTGTTACCTCCGTTCCGTCTGATTCTCCGGATGATTTCATGGCGCTCAGTGATTTGAAGGCCAAGCCTGCGTTGCGAGAAAAGTTTGGTGTCAAAGACGAATGGGTAATGCCTTTTGAAGTCGTCCCTTGCGTGCACATTCCCGAATTCGGCGACGCGTGCGCGCCGATGGTTTGCGCTGAACTCAAGATTCAGTCACAAAATGACCGTGTGAAGCTTGATGAAGCCAAGCATCGGACGTACTTGAAGGGTTTCACGGAAGGCGTTATGATTCTTGGCAATCATAAGGGTAAGCCTGTGAAGGAAGCCAAGCCATTGATCAGACAAGAGATGATCGACGACAACACGGGTATGGTGTATAGCGAACCTGAGCGCACCGTCATGTCGCGCTCTGGTGGCGAGTGTGTCGTTGCCCTCACCGATCAGTGGTACCTCGAGTATGGCGAAGAGGCTTGGAAGGCAAAGGCCGAGAAGTGCCTCGAGAACATGAACTGCTACCACGACGAAGCTCGACACTCATTTGAGCACACTCTCGGTTGGTTACGGCAGTGGGCTTGCAGCCGATCCTTTGGCCTGGGTACGCGCATGCCGTGGGATGAGCAATATTTGATTGAATCGTTGTCGGACTCTACCATTTATATGGCGTACTACACCGTTGCTCACTTGCTTCAAGGCGGTGACATGTACGGTGAAGCCCGCCCGTCAGTGGATCCGAGCAAATTGACGGATGAAGTTTGGGACGCTATCTTCTTGGGCACCGCGAAGCCTTCTGAGGATGACTTCCCGCGTGACTTGTTAGATCGCATGATCAACGAATTCAACTTCTGGTATCCGTTCGATCTTCGCGTTTCGGGCAAGGATCTGATCCAAAATCACCTGACTTTTGCGATTTACAATCACACCGCGATTTGGGAAGACGAAAAGATGTGGCCGCGTTCGTTCAGAACGAACGGCCACTTGCTGCTGAACAACGAAAAGATGAGTAAGTCTACTGGTAACTTTAAGACGCTTAAGCAAGCCATCGAAGAATTCAGTGCTGATGCGATGCGTTTCACATTGGCTGATGCGGGAGACACGGTTGAAGACGCGAACTATGTCGACGACACCGCGAACGCTGCCATTTTACGTTTGACCAAGGAAATCACGTGGTACGAAGAGCAAATGGCTGAAATCGAAGCAGGTAATCTGCGCACGACCGAGCCGAATAAATTTATCGACCGTGTCTTCACGAACGCGATGAACACGGCCATCGCACAGACTCAAGAGCATTACGAGAATATGATGTTCCGCGAAGCGCTCAAGAGTGGTTTCTATGACTTGCAGTCGGCGAGAGACGCGTACCGTCTTATGAGCGCTGAAGAGGGTGGGATGCACGCAGATCTAACTAAGCGATTCATTGAAGTTCAAACGCTCTTGCTCGCGCCGATTTGCCCGCATACGTGCGAGCATATCTACGGCACTATTCTCAAGAAGGAGGGCAGCGTCACCAGCGCAGGTTTCCCGAGCGGCGAGGTAGAGGATGTCGCTCTCACCGCGGCGAACAAGTACTTGGCTGATCTCATCACGAACATGCGTAAGGGCATCGCAAAGTGCACGGCACCCCCGAAGAAAGGCCCGAAGGGCCCTCCTAAGGTTGCCAAAGAGGGAACTATTGTCGTGGCGTCTGAGTTTGTGGGTTGGCGAGCGGTGTGTCTGAGCATCTTAGCGGAATCGTACGACACCAAGTCCAAGACTTTTCCTCCCGTGCCGGATATTTTGGCCAAGGTCAAAAGCAGCGAGCTTTCCGCAGACGCTAATTTCAAGAACGTGATGAAAATGGTCATGCCGTTCATCAAGTTCAAAATGGATGAGGCCAACGTTGCCGGCGCATCAGCGTTAAACACGAAGATCATCTTTGACGAAATGGACGTCTTGAAGGAGAACATTGACTTTATCAAGCGTGCATTAAGTCTATCGACTCTTACCATTTGCTACACAACTGGTGAAAACGCGGGTTCAAAGGCGGACGACGCCACGCCTGGCGCCCCAGCTTTTGAATTTGTTGTCACGTCTGATGAGGACCTCGCCGCCGGAGTCGCAAATATGCTCTTGGGATGAAAAAATTAGCACTATAGAAACCAAACGCATTCAATTCACATTCCTAAAATCTAATAAGCTACAGCCGTCTCGATATGTTATGTTCTGAGCGGCGATTGTTCGGTCTCCATCCTCTGGGCCCCGGGATCGCCGGCGCGTCATCGTCGTGATACGTAGACGTAAGAATTTTTCGCTTGACTTCGGCGAGCTCGGCTTCTTCAGCCTTCAAAGCCTCTTTGACGTTGGCGACGAACTCTGCGCGTTCCGGGACATTGAGTTCTTTTATCGTTTGTTTACCTTGGTTCTTTACCAGCATCTTAAACGCTATCGTCCCCCCAGTGTTGTTCCTTGAAGGATTTGCGCTTGAGTGATTTCGTATGCCGCGACTTCCCAGCATCGACGTCGCAGAGGCACCGAGGAACTTGTTCATCTCGCGATCAAACTCTCGCTGTTCTTGCAAAGATGCTCGAGAAAGCTTCGCACGAACTTTGACTTCTTCGTCTTGCTCGGAAGTCTCGGATCCGGAGTCAGTGGAGTCATCATCGTCGACGTCCACTTCGGTCGAGGATTCGCCATCCGTAGATTCGTCTTCTGATTCATCCGACGACACATCGTCCATATCTTCATCTTCGTGTTCTTCTTCGCTCTCTTCGCTCTCTTCGCTCTCTTCGCTCTCTTCGCAGACGTCCATTTCTTCTTCTTCTTCTTCTTCTTCTTCCTCCTCCTCCATCACTGGTTCCATGCCACCAGGGGTAATGCTCGGCTTTTCAAGAAGCTTTTGGCACTCACCGTTCGCCTCTTCGTACGTCTCGCAAATTTTCATTCGCGGATTCATCGAGGACAACAACTCCATGACGTCGTTAGATATATCTAACGCCACATCTTTTGTCAACGCGTATCGCTGAAAAAAGATCAAGAACCTGTCGATTTCTTTCTTCTGCGCGTAACTAATGGCTCCTCTTCCCTTGAACGCGGTTTCCAAAAGCGTACAAACCATGCGCAAACGAATCGTATCCGTCAGATAGTCAGGCGCTTCGCGTCCGTCGTAGCCGATAGAAATTATCAAGTAGAGCGTATCCATAAGCTCACGGAAGAGCGCGACGCGCTCTTTGTACAGAAGTGCGAGGAGTCTCATGTTCGCAACACGGCGCTGATGCATCCACGTTTCGTTTGTCTCTAAACCAAATCGAATATCCTCTAGCAATGTATCAAGCGCTCGCACTGCGAGAGTCGGGTAGTATTGTGACAATCTCGCAATCAACGCTGCGACGAGTGGTACGGATGCGTATCTCCCTTTACTCACTTTGAGGAGTCTTTTCAACAAGTAAGGTTCAGTTTCATCCCAAGGAAGTTTACGAAGTTGCGTCGCCACTTTGTCGAGCGTGTGCTTTGACAACTGTAAATAGATGAGCTCTCGAATATATTCGTGCAATGGTGGTCGTATCTTTTCCACTACGACCCTCTGCACTGGCCTACATTTATAATAAGCGCTATCCACCAAAGCACACTGCCGAGAGTCCAACTTGCTCACAGCTTTTAGGCGCAGGAAGATGTCCAAAATGCTTCCCATACGTTTCGACGTCGACGGCGTTCGAGTCAAGTAATAGCCCGCTACGTCAAATAAACAGCAAAGAACGTCGACATTGTCACCATGAAAATCATCTAAAAGACTTTTCACGATCTCAAACACCGCCAAATCGTCGAAAACTTTGAACTTGATGAGCTCGCCGATGAATTTGATATTCTTCAAGCGCTCGCTTAGATTTGCTCGTTTGCCCTTCTTGACCAAATTATAGAACTCATTCTTCAGCGGTTCGGAAACGGCGGGCGCGATGTCATCGAACACATTCGCGAGTGTGGCTATTATTCTACCATAGAATGGAATGCGATCTACCTCCGAGCGGTGTACGCTCAAAAATTCTTGAATCAACCGTCTTCGTCCTCCTCGAGCGGCGATGTAACAGAAGTCGGTACAAATCGTATCAGCCTTGTCTTTCGACAGCGAATCGGACAAACGCATGATTAAACCTTCGACTTTTGCGCTTCGCCCTTCTGCGTTTTCTTCCCTCTCGCGTTTCAGACGCTCGGCTTCCGTTTCGTTTTCGTTCGTCGCGTTCACCAGGAGCACCGCGGGAATCGAGGCTCGCAAATCTGGAAGTGTCTCGTAAAAGTGCTGCTGTTCCTCGTCTTCCCACATATCGCTGCGCTCGCCCGACGATTTCACACCTCCACGATGCAGCTCCATCGTGCCTCCTCGTGCGACCTTCTCTTCCACTTGCTTCTTCATCTCTGGAAGCTCGCGACTGAGCGCTTCTGCGAGCGTCGTTGCCCCCTTCAACAACCCATCAAACACCTTTGTGAGAGCCGCAAACTCCACCGATGCTGCCTCACTAATAGCACCCGTGCGTTCTAATAACCGCGACATCTCGCGTTCTTGCGCTGTGACGGCTGAAAACGCCTCCATGAGCACGAAGAAGAGTCTGTCGCAATACTCATTCAGCGTCGTCCGAAACGCCTTTTGCACATCTGGCGCCAGGATAAAATCGTTGGACGCCATCTCGACCTCGGGTTCGGCACCGAGCATCTCCACGGCAAATGTCTTGGCGAAACTTGCCAGCGTGCTGAGCGAGTGTTGGTATAAATCCGGCGCCGTCTTGTACTCCAAGCGCGCCAGCTCCTTCACGGCGTCGAGCACGGGCTTTACTTCGGGGCACACACCGACGAGATGAAGCTCCATGAACAATCGTAATTTGGTTCGACGCTGCAACGGCGACGGCAACGCCTCTACCTCGCCCTCTGCCATCTTCAACAACGTCTCGGGCTTGGGCGGCAATACGTACGCGCTCAACGCCGCGATGAGCGGCGCCGCGAAATCCGCGTACGTCTGGTGCATGCAAGAAATGATCTCCACCGCCGCGTTGACGTCCGAGCTCTTCATCTTACCCTCCACGCACGCCGTCGCGGCCTCGGTGACGTACTTACTCACGTTCACCCTGCTCAACTCTTGCGCGAGCGCCGCCCCGTTCTCCTCCGTAATCGTCCTCAACTTTTTAATCAGCGTCGTGTTCTTCTTAATGCTCGAATCTCTCCCCTTGAGCGCTTGTTCGTCCGGCCTCGACGGCGACGCGTTCCCCTCGCGCGCCTTCGCTCGCGTCTCTCGCGCCCGCTCGATCTCCCGTCGCTTCGCCTCGAGCTCCGCGCGCGCCTTCGCCGCCGCCGCCTCCGTCCTCGTCGCCTCCTCCGCCGCCCTCTTCGCCGCTTGCGCTTCCTCGCGCGCCCTCGACCGCGCCAGCGCCGCCTCTTTCTCACCCTCCGTCAGCGCCTCCGCGCTCGCGCTCGCGCTCGCGCCCCCGCCTCGCCCGCGTCCCCGTCCCCGTCCCCGTCCGCGCGTCGTCGCGCGTCGTCCCTCGCCGTCGCATCGCGCCCCCGTCGTCGTCGTCGTCCCGCGTCCGCGTCCACCGCGCGCGCCGCGCTCGGGCGCCATGTCGACCGACGCGACGCCCGGTCGCGCCGTCGTCGTCTCCCGTCGTCACGCCGTCATCCGCGCGCGCATCCGCATCGTTCCACGCGCGCATCCATCGCCGCATCCATCGCCGCGCGCCGTTCGAAGTTCGACCGCGCGCGGGCGTCGATCGCGCGCGCGATCGATCCGATCGATCGCCGGACCCGCGCGTCTTTTCGCGCGGCGCGCTTTTTCGAGGTCGAAAACGAACGAAAATCGTCATCGACCGTTCGTGACTCGTCGTGACCCCCCCGCGATCGCCCGCCGCGCATCGAATCCCGCCGCCGAATAATCCGAATCCGCACTTCCCGCACGCAAGCACGCTCGCACGATGTTCACCATGTCCACCTCGATGACGGCGCTCAGGGCGCGCGTCGCGACCAAGTCCGCGCAGGTGCGCGCCCGAACGCGAACCGGAGACCGCGTCGCGCAGGGGGGACGCGCGGACCCGAGACGCGGCGAGGGACGACGCGCGAGCGCGCGATCGTCGCGGACCCTATCCACGAGGCGCGAGCGAGACGGGACCGCGAGCGAGACGGGACGGGCGAGAGAAACACCCGCGAGACGCGAGAGAAACACCCGCGAGAGGACTGACGATGGGCGAAACGCGAACGCGACGCGAACAGGGACGCAAGACGCAGGCGAAGAGCTTCGCGGTGCGCGCCGCGAAGGAGGAGGGCGAAACTCAAGGCGCGTCCTTCGCGCGGGCCGCGTTCTCGGCGGCGCTCGCGTTGACGCTCTCCGCGACGTCGGTCGAACCGTCGTTCGCGACGTCCACGACGTCCCCGGCGGCGCGACGATCGGGCAAGCGCTCGGCCGCGGCGGTGTCCCCGAAGACGGCGAAGCCGGCTCCGGCGGCGGCCCCGGGGGTGAAGGCTAAGAAGGCCACCGCGTACAAGGCGAAGAAGACCACCCCGGTTGCGACGACCAAGAAGCGCACGACGAAGCGCGTTCGCTCCAAGACGAGCACCGCCGCCGCCCCGGCCGCGCGCAAGACCGTCAAGCGCACCGTCAAGTCCGCGCGCAAGCCGGTCAAGACCGTTCGCAAGTCCTCCAAGACTGCCCCCGTCGCGGCGAAGAAGTCCAAGACGACTTCCCCGGCGCAACGCAGAAAGTAAGCTATACGCGTGTGATCTCTCAATTGCGCGCTGTCGATATTTGATCGCGCGTGCATAAATGGCAAATGTGGCTCTGAATTCTCTCGACTCGCCGGGGCGCTAGCGCCCGCGGCGCCTCGTCGACTGGCGAACTCGAGAGTACTTTCTCAATACGCATTCTGTCCATATCCTCTATCTACGATCACCGCGCGCGCCGTTCGCTCGCTTTTCTCGATTCGAGCGTCCCGATGCTCCATCGCTCGCTCCGTCTTCCCGCGAGCGTCCCGCAAAGACCAAAAAGCGCCCGCGTGCCGGCGAGGCTGGGGATCGACGTCGGCATGACGTCATGGCTTTCGCTATTTCTCGACGCTCAGACGATCATGTTGGCCTCGATGAACGCGCTCACCGCGCGAGTGACGCCCACGAAGGTTGTCAAGGTACGCGCGCGCGCGCGCGCCCGCATCGCGCTCGAGAACGCGCGCGAGCGTTGCCGATGGTTGTTTCGAGGCGAAGACGATCTATCGGGACGCGTCGCGACTTTATCGGCGATTTGCGACGCGTCGCGAGCGAAGACGCGCGAGACGGACGACTGACGGCGAAGATAACTATTACACGCGTAGGTTCGACGTTCCAACGCGCGAAGCGCGGTGGTCGTGCGCGCGAGTGCGAGCGAAGAAGGCGCAGCGGGGAAGGCGTTCGCGGCGGCGCTCGCGCTGACGCTCGCGACGACGTCCGTGGAGCCGGCGTTGGCCACGACGGCGACGTCGCCGGCGGCGCGAAGAGAGGGCGTTCAGTCTGCGGCAAAGGTGAAGTCCACGAAAGCTAAGGTTGCGCCGGATGTGCAAATCAAGGTGAAGCGCACGTCGGCCAAGGCGACGCTCACTCCGAAGCAACGCAAGGAGTTGGAGCAAGCGGCTGCGGCGCGATACCAAAAGGTTGCGCCGAAGCGCGCGGAACCGAACCGATTGAAGGGAACTGCACTTAAGTCTGCCGCAGAAGTGAAGAAGACGAAGACTCCGGCCCAAACGAAGGCGGCGGCAGCGGCGGGCGCTGCGACCAAGAAGCCGACGACGAAAAAGCCGGCGGCGGCCAAGAAGTCGGCCCCGACTGTGACGGCCCCGGCGCCGAAGGCTGCCCCGGCGACAAAGACGCCGGCGGCGACCAAGGCGGCGGCGACAAAGACGCCGGCGGCGACCAAGGCGGCGGCGACCGCCAAGCCGGCCAAGGCGGCGACCACCACGCCGGCGGCGGCAAAGCCGGTGACGACGCCGATCAAGACCACGACGCCGGCGGCGGCAACGGCGACGACCACCAAGCCGGCGGCGGCGAAGGCGAAGACCAAATCTACCAAGAAGGTTACCCGACCGGTCAAGTCCGTCACGAAGAAGGTTGCCAAGCCGGCGGTGAAGAAGGCGGCCAAGCCGGCTCCGCGCCCGAAGAAGGTGAGCCGCGTGAACCCGCTCTCCATCATTGCCACCGGTCTCGGTCTCGGTCTGTTCGCATACTCAAACCGCAGAGAGGGTCAACCGTCCGTATCGACGGCGGCGACGAAGACTACCACAGTGTCTAGCACCCCGGCGAAAACCGTGGCCAGCGCTCCAGCCAAGCCGACCAAGTCTGCCACTAAGGCTGATGAGGCACAAGCGTGGATCGAGAACTGGAAGAACAATTAATCGCAACGCGCTCGATGTAAATCGGTCAATTCATCAATAACTCTTATATTATCACACGAAATATATGCTGCAGCTGCCTATTTCCCCTCTTCCGGACGCAAAACATCCATGCCACCGAGGTACGGTCGCAACGGCTCGGGTACGACGACGCTTCCATCTTCTTGCTGGAAATTTTCGAGGATGGTGACGATCATACGAGGAATCGCGCACGCCGTCGCGTTGAGAGTGTGGCAGTGCATAAGCGGCTGCTTCTTGCCATCGACGGCATTCGGTCTGTACTTTATATTCAGCCGCCTCGCTTGATAATCCGTGCAGTTCGAGGCACTCGAAATTTCGCCGTACCGTTCGAGCGCGGGCATCCACGCTTCGACGTCGAATTTGCGATATGCCGGTGCGCCTAAGTCCTCCGTGGGCATGTCCAAAACTTTGAAGTGGAAGCCGAGCTCTGCAAACATTTCAGTCTCGATGCCGATGAGCTCCTCGTGAAGTGCGTCAGATTGCTCAGGCGTGGCCACGACGAACATCTCCACCTTGCTAAACTGATGCAAACGATACATGCCCCGAGTCTGCGCGCCGGCGGCGCCGGCTTCAGTGCGGAAACAATGACTGAAGGCCGCCATTTTGATAGGGAGTTGCGATTCTTCCACAACTTCATCCATGTATACTCCACCCAATAATAGTTCAGCCGTACCCGCCATACAGAGATCGGAGTTTTCAATGCTATACACTTGCGTGTTCTCTGCCCGCGGCTGGAATCCGCACTTCTCCACCACGCTGCTACGCACCATGTCTGGCACCATCATGGGCTTGAAACCTTTGCTCAAAACCTTGGCGAACGCCCAGTTGATCAGAGCTAACTCAAGCATAGCTCCAACACCGGTGAGGTAGACGAAACGACTACCACTCACCTTGCTTCCAGTCTCGAAGTCGAACATCCCAAGCTTTTCGCCGACGTCGACGTGATTTTGCACTGGAAACGTAAACGCGCGCTGCTCACCCACCGTCGCCCGAGTCACCGTATTTTCTTCGCTGCCGATCGGCACATCCGGGTGTGTCAAGTTTGGCAACCTCTGCGCCATGGTTTGTAACTCGCTCTCGAGTCCGGCGAGATCGCCTTCGAGCGCCGCGAGCTCGTCCTTAATCGCCTTGCCCTCGGCAATCAACCCGTCCCGAACCTCTTTATCCATCTTCCCCTTCATGCTCTTCGCGTTCGCGTTTCGACGCTCGCGAAGTTCATCGCACTTAAAGTTCAACGCGTTCAACGCCTCGTATTTCGCGATGATTTCCTGCACATCCACGTCCACCTTTCTCGTCGTCGCGTTCTTTTGCACCAACTCGGCGTTGTCCCGCACAAACTTGAAATCGATCGCCGCCTTCCACGCCAGCGCCTTGTTCGTCTCCCCCGACGCATTCAACGCGGGCGCTTCGCTCGTTGCGCTCGCTCGCGTGGCGAGCGTCGCGCGCTGCGCGGGACGTCCGGGCGTCCAACGTCGCGCGACGACGCTCGCGGCGAGCGGCGAGGACGAGGACGAGGATGACGTCGTGCGCGTGCGCGCGGCGGCGGCGGCGACGACGCGGCGGTGCATGGCCGACCTGACGAATGTTCTGTGCATCGCGCGCGTCCGGCGCGACGTCGATCGTCGACGAGCGCGGTGTGGCGTCGCGAGGCGCACGAGCTATGGTGGTGACGTCGAGCCGTCGGGTTTTTTTCGCTTTTTTCTATCTCTATTGCACAACACACGACGCGCGGGGAAACAATGATGAGCTAGGACGGGTTACGCCGGAGGCGACCGCACGACTTCGGCGATGGTGGAGACCTCCGCCATGGCGCCGACGCCAAAGTCACCGCACGCGAGGTGCTTCTCGATCGGCGGAACGACGACGACGCCGAGCTCGCGCGCCGAGCGCAAATGTCGCTCGGTGAACGGGCTCTCCCACATCTTTGTGTTCATCGCGGGCGCTATGAACACGCGTTTGGCGGGGTCTTTAAAATCCCACGCGCGAAATACACACGTGAGGAGATTATCACACAACCCGTTGGCGATTTTAGCCAGGGTGTTTGCGCTGAGTGGCGCCAAGACGAAGACGTCAGCCCACTTGACCAACTCGATATGCATCACGGGATCGCCCTTTTCGCCCCATTCACGCCACTCGTCGTGATCGGTGAAAGTTTTTATGTTATTTTCTTCCGCTCGTGCGATATCTTCCGCATCGATGAACTTCAACGCGTTATCTGTGAACACGAACCGAACCTCACACTCGCCGCTCGCGCTCCACCGCTCGCGCGCGAGCTCGTCGAACTTGATCGCCGCCACGGATCCTGACACTCCGATGAGAACCCTCGTCATCGCTCGAGGTCTCACTTCGCTCGCTCTTCCTCGAGTTTTTTCGCCAATCGCGCCTTGGACTCGCGCGCGAGCTTCAAGTTTCTTCGACTCTTCCACAGCTTTTGCTCCTTCAGGCACGCGTCGAGCGTCCACTTTTCTTCGTTGCACTTCCCGAGGAACTTGCCCAGGGCGTTTTCGGCGTGACAGCGCTTGAGAGCGATGACGGCTTCGCGGCAGATCGGGTGCTTGTCCAGCGTCAGCGGCGGGTGCATCGCCGACACGCGCGTCGCGGTGTCCCGAGCGTGCGGGCAAAAAAGTGTCTCGAGCGGGACAAACGCGTCGGACGTCAAAGTGCGCCGCGTTGCCGCGCATCAGCGCGTTCGCACGGTCACGAGGACGAGGTGCGCGACGTAAGCGTACGTGCGTCACACGTCGCGCGTCATGGGCGACACGCGAGATGCCCTCACGCTTTGGTTCGCGCCGGCGTTGGGGAGCGCGTTGGCCCAGGTCATGTTTCTGAGCCCGTTCCCGGAAATCGAGCGGTGCAAGACGAAGCGCTCGCTCGGACACCTGAACGCGCTGCCGTATCCGTTCGTGGCGGCGAATTGCGCGGCGTGGATGATTTACGGTGGTATCAGTGGGAACTATTGGGTGTATATTCCAAACTTTACTGGATACTTTTGCGGGACGTATTACTCTTTTGTGGCGTATGCGCTCGACGAGAAGATACGGGGAACGATGGAACGCATAGTTGCGGTATTAATCATCTTGGTTAGTTTCATAGGGATGGTAGTGAGTTGTGTGATGAAGAATTCGAGCGAGAGCGCGCGCCTTGTGGTGGCTGGGATCTTGGCAAACTTGATTCTGGTGGTGTACTACTCGGCGCCGCTGTCGACGATGGCGGAAGTCGTCAGGACGAAGGATTCAAAGTCCATGCACTTTCCTCTGGTGTTTTGCAACGGACTCAATGGCCTGTGCTGGACCACGTATGGCATAGCGTTGAACGACTGGTGGATCGCCGCGCCGAATCTTTTCGGTTCTGTGCTCTCCATCGTACAGGTCGTTCTTATTTTCTTGTACCCAAGCTCAGAACGCTTACGCAGTCGGATCACGCCGACTCCCTCCGTCGAAGGGCTAGTGTCGATGAGTTCGGATTCTTCTCCGCTTTGATATTATCAAAAGCGTCGATATTCTTTGGTAGAAACGAAATGCAAACTAGAATTAGGCGGAGAGTTGAGCGCGCAGTGACGGCGCGTATCCTCAACAATCCGCGAGTGTATCAATTAAGCACAGACTTTGTCATTCAAAAGCTAAGGCCTAACGCGCCGCAGAACACACCAGTCCCGTCGCATCCGCTCCGATTTTGCCTAAGTTACACACACCGCAAACGTTCCCTGCTTCTTCCACGACGTAGTGCGCACCACACGTAGGGCACACGCAGTCCTTCGTCCCCTTGTAAATTGGAACAAAGGTAGCAGAGCAAACGGCGAACGGATTGTGAGGATCGTAGTTGACCTCGACCTCATCCTTAGGTGCTCGTTCGCACGCTTGTAACACTTGTTTCGCTTGCGTAGCCACCTTGACAGGCGGGTTGAGTTCAAGTAATCGACGGCAGAACGTTGCGGCGGTGACATAGTTCTTCAGCTTGAAGAAAATTGACATTGCCGATCGCAGAGAAAGAGACAGGTGAATCGGCTGCATCTCAGAGTGCGTAAAATACGCGGCGAGCTCAGCTTGTCGAGTCGCGTCATCCTTGACTTCCTTTCTAGCAATCTCAATCCTCAGCGCACACGCGTATTCGCGAGCCACCTTCAAGAGCTGTTCCACGTCCTCAACTTCGCTCGGATCCTCCACGCTCAACAAGGTGATCGCGTGAATGATACCGACAAACACTTTCAAAGCTTCCACAAACTTGCCTTCAGTAGTTAACTTGAAAGCGGACTTGAGGCGTTCCTGGAGAATTTCCGGAGAACAGATCATCGCAGGCGGCAAAACACCCGTTGCGCGCGAAGACCAGCCGCGGCCGAGCGGCATCGGTATCTTGGGACTTGCGGGCATGCCCTCGAGGGTCACATGCGACGCATACGCCAAATCCACGAAATGTTGCTTGAGTGGAGCGAAATTGACGATCCCTAACTGACGGCTAAGCAATTTCATGGCGCTATCGAAATCGCCCGCAGCCACGTGCTCGCCGGCAACGGCACTCTTCTCAGTCCATCGTCGCGACGGCGGAACGCCGGCGGTTGGTGCGATGAAGACATCGCTATGAAACGTTTCAGCGCCAGTGTCATCCACTGCACCACCCATCAACTCTTCCGGTAGTTCTAATTCATCCATGCCCCAGCCATCGTTTTCATTGTCGACGTCGTCGAACTCAACATCGGGCGCAATACCAGCCTTGGCGAGCGGATCGACGCGCTCGTCGTCACCGATATCAATGTCAGCGTCACCCCATCCAAGACCAACACCACCCATGCCCATGACATCATCTTCAGCGTACTCGTCGCCAGCGATCTCGCCAGATAGAACACCTTCGAAGAATCCCTTGGACACCGGCAACAACGGCCAGTTATCCCCTCTAAACAAGGGAGCGGGCGGTTGAAGCAGCTTTCCTAAGCCACTCACGTCTGGAATAGCGGCACCGTTCTCGTTTAATGTTTCTGCTATGCGCGCTGCATCGTCTTCCAATCCATGTGTCTTGGCGGTTAAGTACGCGAGCGGGTAGTGGCCAACATTCTCAAGCACCTTGACTCGCTCGGCTACGTCACCCAAGTAGAGTGCGTTGTGGAACTGTCCCATGACATCGGCGCGCATTTCCGAGATCTTCAACATCTTACTCAACTTTTCGAGGTTACCGGTGATGAGGTACAAGAATGAAAGACGCTCAAAATTCTTCGTCTTTTGGTACGCAAACTCAACGATTTGGTGGTTACCTTGATTCAACGCCGCAACACCAAGCTTGTGCCATGTGTCTTTGTCGTCGATCTCTTGAGCGCTAGTGAGGGCGACTTCGATGTTACCGCATTCCAACGCCAACTCAAAGCGAGTGCGTTCATCCTGTTTTATGAAAAGAATAGAGACGTTAGTCAAGCCGCCGTCGGCGAAAAAAGAGCAGCAAATGCAGTGTCGCTGGAACACTCATACAAAAAAATAGCGAACAAGAAATCTTCATAGACTCTCGGCATTCACCAAGGAAGGATCCGTAAGGTTGTAGATAATCATCGTGTGCCAAAAGGTCGTCGAGAAAGCGCCGAAAAAGTTGCACGAGAAACTCACCTGAACGAAGTGGAGCGCGATCTCCGGGTAACCCTTTTGCTGCAAGTACGCGATGATCGATTGGCCGCAGAGCTGTCCACTTTTGATCATCGAAAGCACTTGATCGAACCTCTTCGCATTGAGCGCGAGCTTGAACATGTACTCTGACGGGTCAAACTGAAGCTGACGGTTACGTCCATCACGATCCAAACAGAAAATGACATTGCCAAACACCTTGGTGAGGTACACGGGGTTATCCAACGTGCGAATAATGCCCGAGTCACCATTTGGTAAGGCGTATTTGATGTGGTTGAGCGTAGTGTAGATGAAGACACCGTGATCGTCCCAGGCTCCCGACTTTACGCGAATGGTTTCGTGCACCGTGACAGAGTGACCAAGCTTGCGATCCGCGAGAACGATGGCGTGCTTACTCAGCAGAGCAACACGGCTCATATCTGACGCCCAGACGACGTACTTGATGTGTGGTGCAGCAAGCTCGGCGATAGCGGCGCGCTGTTGGAGATCAAACAACACCATCTTCTCATCGGAGCGGCACAAGAGCGATCCTGTGCCAGCATAGAAGATCATGTCAGTGCCCGGGGTAGGGCAGGCACACTTCTTGGTCATTTCGTTGTCCAAGTTCTTGATGATGATGTTATTCGATTGCTTATCCAGTGTCGCAAATCGGTTTCTGGCCACGAAGACCGCGCCAATACCGTTACCGCGACGTGAGTCGCCACTGACTTCGCCTCGGCCGCTATCCTTTGGTAACATGAAAAGCTCGTAGTTTTCACCACCGGCATCGTACGTAATGAGCACCGCATTCTCCGCTGGGTTGTATGACATGGATCTCGGGCTCGAGTTGGGACCTCCAACGGTGCGTCGGATGGACACCAACGGATTATCCCGCTGAGACTGAAAGTCATAGCGGCGCAAGTAGCGATCCTTCACGTAGAACAAGCTACCTTGGTGGCTGGTGTACGCCGGACGTTCACGTTCGAGCTTGAAAACAATCATACCACTGTCATGGCCTGCGGCTAACAAATTGACTTCAGGATGCGCGGCCAAGATCCAGAACCGATCATTCTCTCGTCGGAAGGTTTGCGCGTCGGCTCGCTTTGACATGTCCCACACACGGATCGACTTGTCCTCTGAGTTCGACACAATCACATCCTGCCTGGCATGGAAAGCGACACAACTCACGTTGTTGACGTGTCCACGAAGAGAGTCAACTTCCCAAGCCTTCGTGTCGTTCATGCGCCAAAGCTTCACTTGACGATCGTCCGCACCGGACACAATCAGCGGCAACGTCGGGTGGAAAGCCGCCCAATTGACGCCGCGGTCGTGACCTTCTAGGATGTACTTCACCACAGTGTCACCTCCACCAAACAGATCGTTGTTCATTTGCGGCATGCGGAGCTCATCCGCCGGACTCACAGCCTTGCGCCGGAGACCGCTAATGTCCCAAACTCTCACCGTCTGATCCAATGACGCCGAAACCACCAAGTCATCCTTGTGATGGAATCTCGCGCACATAACGTAGTGATTATGTCCCGTGAGAACCGCAATCGAGCTTCTGCTCTGCCAGTTCCAGATCCGAATCGTCTGATCATCCGAAGCGGAGACGATCCACGGGTACTCTTGGTGAAACTCAACCGTTCTGATGTAGTCCAAGTGACCCAAAAGCGTGAACATACACCGTCTGAGCTTGTAACTCCAAACCTTGATCTTATAATCATCCCCTGTTTCAGCGCAATAGCGCGCGGTCAGTCTCAATTTCTCCCCCCGTCGCATTTTCCTCGCCTCGCGTTTGCGATCGCGTCTCGGGTCGATCGCGCGCGTCGCCCTCTTCGCCTCGCCCCATCATCACGCACCTCCTGACACGAATAACGGCTGCGAACTGTGAAAGTGTACCCCCCGCACTGGACCCTCGTGCTCATCGAATCGATCGATCAGCGTTCCCATGCGATAATCCCATAACTGAATCACCCCGCTGTGCAGCGACGCCAAAATCCACGGTCGCTTGGGGTGAAACGCCAACCCTTTCACCCGGTTCGATTTCGTCTGCGGTCGTCGCGCGCGTCAGTCCCGCTCGACGATCACTTCTCGCGATCCACGCGTCGTCGCGGCGCCACATCGCGCGTCGTACCTCGAACTTCGTCAACATCTTTGTTCAGATCGCGACCAAACGTTGCGATCGAATCGCGCGTTCGCGCTCGCGCGCGCGCGCGTAAACGGCAACGTACGACGCGCGGACGCGTGCGTTTGACGCGCGCGCGTGTCGTGCGTTCGTCGCACGCGCGTCGTTCGCGCGAACGCCGACGACGCGCTCGACGTCGAGTGCAGATCCGAGGTCAGGCGAGCGCGAAACCGCGGAACCGCCCGTTGAGGAGAGAGCCGCGCGCGCGAGGTTTCGCGAACGAAGCCCTCGGCGAGCGGTGAATGGAGGCTCGAGACCAGAACACTGAGGAGTTGAGACGAGAACACTAAAGATGCTAAAGATACTATTAGAATCAACATCATCGCTAGGGGGCGTAGGCGTCCATCTTGGACGAGAGAAGCTTCCAGACGTCGGATTTGTAGGAGCGCTCGAGCGCGCCGGCGGCGGAGAGACGGTCGGGATGGAAACGAAGGGCAGCTTTTCTGTACGCCGAACGCACGGCAGTGATAGAAGACGACGACGGTTCAACGCCGAGCGCGGTGAGAACTTGTACCAAACCTTCGCGCTCGAGGGTGGCGAGTGGGGGGTCGGACGCGCGAGAGGGTCGCGGCGCCGAATGCGAAGGCTTTGGCGGTTCGGATCGCAAAGTCTCGCGAGCGTGCTCCGATCCCGACGCCGTACGAGGCGTCGATGCCGCGGTAGGTTGAGATGAGTCCCATTTTGACTTCGCTTTGTTCGCTTGTGCCGCGCGATCGGAAATTTCGCTCTCCCACCGCTCGCGATGATACCGCTCCGTTTCTTCGTCGCGCGCTCGCGAGGCGGGAGACGCGCGAAACGACGCCGACGAAAATCCCGACTCTGACTCGCGATGGCCCGCACCGGGAGTATAGTTCAAATTCTGCTTTACCGTCCTCGCTTCGTCGGCCTTCCCATCACCCCCCGGGCGTCGCATCGACCTCGCGCGCCGCTTCAATTCCTCCCGCTCAGTCTCGGCGTTCGGGCTCGTCTTCGACGCGTCCAACATCCTCGACAACGCCAAATCCACGTCCCATCCCACGTTCCTCAAATGCGCGATCGCTCGATCCACACTCGTGGGTACCATTTTTACGATCAAGCACACGTCCTCCGCGCGCGCGTAGTCACCGTCGAGCACGTCCACCACGCGCTGCGCGTCTCGCGCCGAGACGCCGTGCCGCCGCTCGAGCCGCTCCGCGAGCGTCGCCCGCGCGTCATCGTCGTCGTCCGCGAAATCATCGCGCGCGCGCGCAGGACGACGCGCGCGCGCGTCATCGACGAGCACTCGTCCCGTTCGTCCCGCCGTTCGCGTCGACGCGCCGCTCCCGTTGACGAAACGAGGTGAAGTCGTTACGTGTGGTGCCGCGGATTGTCGTAGCGAATTTCGCGCCGAGGACGACGCGTGAACGTCGTGTGAGGTCGACGCGCGCGCAGATATCTCGAGCGCGACGCGGAGTTGCTCCATCTCTTCGTCGTAGGACGAGGGGATGGCGTGACGCAGCGACTCGCGCGGCATGCGTCCGTCTTAGATGAGGCGCGAGGCGCGCGCTGAGGCATCGCGTGGGAGATTCAAGACTGAAGATTGAAGATTACGCGCGTTTATGCAACATTACAACGTCAGGCTGATCGGCTATTTTCTAATGCAATTCTTAGAGCGGCTATTTCGGCCGCCATCTCCAGCTGTGCGTGCTGCATGTCGGCGAACATGCGCGCGGTTTCCTCTTGTTGAAGTTGGTGCTGTCGCAAGAGTTCGAGATGGACGTCTCGAACGCGAGCGGAGAGGTCGCCGCCGAACTTCTCCACGGCGGCGTCGAGCAAAGATGACACGTCCGCGGTGGTGGGGATGGGATTTGTGCCGACGAGTTTCAACTCCTCGCGCGCCAACGCCGCGGCTGGCGGTGTGTGCGCGCGTTGACCGTGGAGCAAGCGATTGGACTTTTCCGCGACGGGCGTCATGGGAGAATCCGGCAGGTTGTCTCCACGCGCGGGCGTGCTTTCGACTTGAAACGAGTGCGGAACGGGCTTTTGCCAACTGAGCGAATTCACCGCACCTTCGTGCGCCTTGACGTCGTAGATTTTGCACGTGGCGATGTCGGCGCCGCCGCTAATCTTTCGCGTGTCCAGCCAAGTCACGACACCGTTTGACGTCCCCACTACGAGCCCGAAGCCCGAATAATGCCAAGCCATGCACGTCACTTGCGTCGATCGAAATGTCAACGCGCCTGACGGCGTCGGAGAGGCGACGTCTTGAAGCACCACTCTCCCATCGCTCTTGACGTATCCGACCAAGCCCGGAGCCACGGGTGAAAATTCAACTTGATAACACTCAGACCCTCGAACCGTGAGCGTCGACTGCAGCTCGCCGACTTCGGCGTCCCACAGTCTGACCGTGCCATCCGCACACGCCGACACCAAGTGTTGGGGCGAGTACTCGGAGAAATCTATCGAGGTCACTCCGCTCAGCGTCGGCGGCGACAGTTTCGCCTTGGTCGCCCCGCTCTCGACGTCCCGCACGAGCACCGTCCCATCGTGTCCTCCGCTCCCGACCACTCGGCCGAACATGCCATATTTCACCGTCGCCACCCCACCCGTGTGTCCCGAGAACACGCGATGTTCGCGTTTCCGCTTCAAATCCCACACCCGAGCCTCTCCCGTCCCGCCAGCGACCAAGTATCGCGACCCCGCGGAGAAGTCCACCGCGTGCACCTCTCCCTCGCCCGCCACCGCGCGTTCGGGCACTCGTCCGAGATCGCTCAGGTCGGGTTTCATCAGCACGCACCCCGCCTCGGTCGTCCCCGCGCACAGCGCCCCGTTCGAGGGCGACCACGCGACGCATCGCGCGTCGCCCTCGGCGCGTCGTTCGAGCGCGCGCGACGCCGCGAGCGTCGCGCGTCCCGCCTCGGGGTCGTACACCCTGATCGACGACCGGCCGTCGGCTTCGACGCCGCACGTCGCGACGAGCGCGGCGAGCGTCGACGACGACGACGACGTCATCGCGCGTCGCGCCTCGCGATGCGGACCGCACCACCGATGGGTGTTGCGTCAGACATCGGCGCGATGCGGGTGGTGCGACCGATGTCGAAGCGCGATCGAACGTCGTGGATGACGGTGGTGGTGTCGTTCGTGAACTTTACCTCGTTCCACGCCGTGCGCGAGGGGTACATGGCGTGTAAATCGACGCTGCACGACCGCGCCAAGTACCCGACGGTGCTGCTGGGGGAGATTGACTTCGGGTTTTGCGCGAGCTACGCGTGCGGATTGTTCACGGCGGGGTACCTCGGACGTAAATACGGGGTACGAAAAACGATCGCGATCAGTTTCTTGCTCACGGGATTGCTGTCGATCGCGTTCGGGGCGGTGATTGGGTACGCGCTCGCGCCGAAGAGCGAGGACGAGGCGTGGACGGTGGCGTGGACGGCGCACGTGCCGCTGTGGATGGCTTCGGCGTTCGTCCAGGGGTGGACGTATCCAAATTTTATCGCGCTTTTGAGCGATAGTATCGAACCGTACTTTAGAGCGACTGTGTTGACGGTGTGGGCGACGGCGTCGCCCGTGGGCGACATCGTCGGTTTGCAAATCGCGCAGGCGGTGTTGCGCGAGGGAGAAGAGCACTGGCCGTACGTCATGTTCGTCGCGGGCGTGTTCGTGCTATTGAATCTCGTGCTATTCTTGGTGTGCATCGGAGCGAACAAAGCGCGCATCGTGAGAGATGAGGAGGACGAGGACGAGGAGGAAGCCTCCTTGTTGGACGCGCCGCCGGTATCGGAGACGGTTGAAGATGAGTCCCCGCAGGCAGGCTTTTGGCGAGTCATGAGTGACGTTTCGAAAATTCCTGGCGTACTTGATTACGCTTTTTCCGTCATGGCGCTGAAGGTCGTGGTCACGTCCTTGCTATTTTGGATTCCGTATTACGTCGAGGAGCGTTTTGATTCGCATAGTTCGTCCATAGTTTCGACGCAATTCTTTGATTTATCGTTGATTCTTGGAATGGGCTTCGCGGCATTATTGAATAGATTGATCGGAAGATGGGTCTTGTTGTTCCTAGTTAGTTTAGTTTTAGGACTTGTGCCGCTGTTGGCGATCCCGTACTCAAAGACGTTGGGCGGGACAGTGTCTTGCATCTTCTTGGCTGGATTCCTCATCGGACCAGCCGCGGCGTTGTTCGCGGGTGTCATGAGCGCGGAAGTGGGAAAGAAAGCAAAGATACATAGTGATCGCGGCGGTATCATCGGTATCATCTCTGGATTGATCGACTCTGCAGGTGCTATTGGAAGTGGTACCGGTCAAATTTTGGTCGGCGCATTGGCTTCGACGTACGGCTGGCACACGGTGTTCAAGGTACTCGCTGGTTTTGTAGGCATAGGTGCCATTAGCCTGGTGCGAGTGCGGCGCATGGAAAATGAGGAAGCATCTACTAGGAAGTAATTGTATGAATTTCAAATAAGCTAGCTATGAGTATCTACCAACGCGAGCGTGTGATTAAATCCACACGAAACATCTTTGACTTCACCTGGAACAGAAACTTCGTGTGGTTCCCAAAAGTCAAACTCATTTCCTAAACCTAACTGACCACCGCTGGACATTTTCTCGTCCGCGTACGAACCCATTGAACCGCCAAATCCCCACGCGAACAACTTGCCATTCGCGATACCAGCAGAGTGCTTCCAACCAGCGGCAAGTTTTGACCAACCGCGTGAGCCCATTTTAATGGGTTTCGGGACAGCTGACTTGATATCTGAATGGTGACCATGCCCGAGTTCGCCGTGTTGATTCGCCCCCCACGACACGACTCCGGCATTTGTGTTTGCGAGACTGTGTAAACCGCCGCACGCGATTTCATGTACAAATCGAAGCGACATGACAGGCGAAGGCGTCGTCTCGTGGTCCGAAGGCTTCGCACTCAATCCAAGTTGGTTAAATCTTCCTTGACCCCACGTGTACAAGTTCCCTCGGTCGTCGATACACGCCGAATGCATATGCCCAGCGGCGACAGCCACCACCTTTTTGTCCTCGAGCGAACGCACCAATCTCGGCGCCAATTCAGCCCTCGCGGTGCGATAAAACCATCCGTCGTTCCAGGTCTCTGATCCGTGCCCAAGCACACCATCCGTACTCGAGCCCCATGAGTACACGCGTCCGTCGTCAGCCACGGCGAGAGAATGCTCCGCGCCGCACGCCACCTGCGCCACGCGGGCTTCCTTCGCAAGCGCACCAATCTTCCGTGGAATCGTCCCGTCGACGTTTCCAGTCCCGAGCTGCCCCGCAGTATTTTTTCCAAATGCCCAGACGCAGCCGTCGACGTCGACGCACAGCGTGTGACCGTTCCCAGCGGCTACGCTTACGACTTCGACGTCCAGTCTCACCAGCATGGGCTCCGGCGAGAACGGCAGCCCCGCCGAGTGTCCCAGCTGTCCATCCGCGTTCAGCCCGCACGTGAATACGTGTCCACCGGCGACGAGAAATACGCTGTGCGCACCGCCGGCGGCGACGGCGCGCACATCGAGATCGCTCACGCCCTCGACCGGGTGAAAGTAGTTGGAACTTCGAGGTGACCATCCGTCATGGGCTTCGTCGGGTGAGCCGTGACCTAGACGACCGTGATCACCGTTCCCGGCGCTGAGAGCTATGTATTCGCGCCGATACTGCGTGAGTACGCGCGCGGCGCGCGCGCACGCTCGACGTGCGTGGACGATAAACGGCATGCGGCGCGACGCGCACTGAGGGTCACTCTTCGTGAGATTTTTGTACTTATTGAATATGTCTACGAGGTGCGTGAACGCGACGGTGATGATTAATCGCTCGATTTGGGTTTGAGGCGAGTCACTTTACCGATGGCGATGGTTCGTCCTTCGTCGCGCAAGGTGAAACGACCGAGCTGAGCGTAGTCGGCGAACTTTTCTACGCACACCGGTTGGGCAAAGCGGAGGCGAACGTTACCGAGGCTACCACTCTTCAGGAATTTCGGCTTGCCTTCCTTCGGTTTGCGTAGTTTCGTGTCGATTTCTGAGACTAGCTTTGTCACCTCGACTTCTTCCGTTGCCGTGTGGATGTGAATCACAGCCTTGTACCCCTTCGTGAAGACGGAGTTGTGCTCGAGCAGTTCCAAGAGCGCAAGCTGGCATTCAATCTCTTCGCAGATGTGAATGGGCTCCTTCACGCTGCAAAGCACGAAACCAGGTTGGATATCACTTTCTTGAACACCCGTCAACTTTAAGCGTACGTTCTCTCCCGGCAAACATTTCGTGCATTCCACTTCGTCGCGAAACAAAGCGGCGACCTTAACGCCGGCCTTGTTTGGCATCAACATGAGCGTCTGACCCATACGCAAGGTACCAGATTCAATCTTACCCATGACCATCGCACCTGCTTCGTTATATTTGTCCATAACCGGTAATCTTACCAGAGCGTTCGGGTCTCTAGGAAGCGGCTCGAGATCGTCGAGCGTGTCGAAGAATGACTTTCCTTCATACCACGAGCACACGTCTGATCCAACCTTCTTCTGCATGTTCGCCCCCGTCAAGCCCGAGATCGGTACGAAGGTGACATCTGCATCAATCTTGTAACCACACTGCTTCAAAAATGGCGTGATTTTCTTTTCAATCTCGTCGTAACGTTCCTTCGCCCATTCGACGCTCGGATCATCCATCTTGTTCACGACGACGACTAATTTTGTGACGCCTAACGTCTTTGCAAGCTGCGCATGCTCTCGAGTCTGACCACCTTTATCGAAACCAGTTTCAAATTCACCCTTACGCGCCGAAATAACGAGCACCCCCACGTCGGCTTGCGCCGTACCGGCGATCATGTTGGGTACGTAGTTTTTGTGACCCGGAGCGTCCAAAACCGTGTAACGCTTCTTTTCCGTTTCGAAGTGCGCGCGACCGACTTCGACAGTCTTCCCTTTCGCACGCTCTTCTTCGCTGGTATCCATGATGTACGCCATGTACCACGAGTCGCGATTTTTCTCCTTCGCCTCTCGCTCGTATTTCTGAATCACGCGATCGTCCACCATGCCCGATAAGAACAAGATCTGCCCACCGATCGTCGATTTCCCCGCATCGACGTGTCCGATGAACACCAAGTTCAGGTGCTCGCGACGATCGAACGTGTCGTCTTCGACATCGTCCACCACTTCGTCCTCGATGACGACCTCCGCGACTTTCGCCGCGACCTTTTCAACCTTGGCCGCGCTCGCCGCCGCCGCCGCCTCGTCCCCTTCGGCGTCGTCTTCGCTCGCCTTCGCCTTCGCCGGTCCTCCGATCGTCACCGCCTTGGCCGGTCCGCCGATGGACAGCGACACCGCCTTGGCCGGTCCGCCGATCGTCACCGCCTTGGCCGGTCCGCCGATCGTCACCGCCTTGGCCGGTCCGCCGATGGAGAGCGACGCCGCCTTCGCCGGCGGCGCGCCCGGCGGCGGCGTCGGCCCGCGCCCGTCGTCTCCCGCGACCGGGGTCACGGTGCGCGGTTTGAACTCGAACGCGCTCGCGCTCGGGTTAAAGTTGAAGCTCGCCGCCGAGGCGTCGAGCCGAGGCTTCGCGGCGTCGCCCTCGTCCGCCATCGTCGCCGAGTGCGGGGCGACGCGCGGATCGCGGCGTCACGGCGCGAATTGGTGGCGTGCGCGAAGGGCGTGCGTTTTTCGTCGTTACGCGATGATATTTTTTGTAAACCAATTCGACGCGCCGACCGCACGCGCGGACGCGACGACGAGGGCGACGAGGGCGAAGCGATGGGAAAACGAGATGGGAAATTAAAGGGCGTGAACGCGGCGTGCGCCAAGTTCCTCGTGAGCGAGATGTTTGAAGGCGCCGCGGACGCGACGGAGGCTGGCGCGGAGAGCGAGCGACGAGGGGCGGGGGGCGACGACGAGCGACTTGAAGACGCGATGGGTGGGGAGCCAGCGCGCGCGGATGAAAATTGTGATTTATCCGCACAGTTAGAGCTCGAGCGCGCGTTCGTGGACTGGATCGCTCCCGAAGAGGTTCTGTTGGCGACGCGCTGGGACGACGTCGCCTTGGCGCCCGCGAACGACGACCGTTACTTGGATGTTGATTTGTTCGATATCATCCTCGACGACGACGACAGAAATGAATCAATATGCACTGTATCAGTAGCGGGCGACAGCGCGCGTTCGCGTGAACGTGGCGAGAAAAAGAAGCCAGAAACGGAGACACGCGCGACGCCGACTGAGCGTCGCGGTTCGCTCGAATTCCACGCCTGGCTTGAAAGCCTGAATGATTTCACCCCAGAGACCGAGGATACGAAGACATCCCTCGTGTAAAACCAAATTGTACCGCGCGATCGCATCCTTCGGATCAATAATAATATAAAAATTGTACGTATCACATCAAGTTTGAAAACAACGCGCTCGCTCTTGCACTCTATCCACCCTCTCTCGTTTCGCTCACTGCCCGATGAAACCCGCCGCGGAGGCGATGGCCAAGATGATAAACGGCACCATGATTCCACCGATCCCAATCAACGCCATGGGATCCTTCAACGGATTCGCCCCCTCGCGCTCCATCTCGCTCAACCACGCCTCCTTTTCATTCTCCCTCGTGAGCTTCTTCGGCCCGTTCTTACCGTCTTGCGTCGCCCGCGCGCGCACGCCGTCGCGCCCTCGTTTCGTCACTCGCGCGACACCGCGAGCACGAGTGGTGTCACGTTTCACCACCGCTCGCGTCGTCTGCATCGTCGCCGTCTTCATCGTCACCGTCAACATCGTTCGCGTTCCCGCGCGCGCGAGTGCGGTGACGTGACGTTCGCGACCGCGCTCGGACGGCGATTTCCATTTTCGCGGTCGAACGACGCATTCGACGGCGTTCGAACGCCGTCGAATGGAAATCACCGAACTCGCGATAAAAAAAGATCGACCGCGCGCCGAACAACCCTAATCGCGCGATGTCGCGTCAGCGGCTCGGCTCGTCTGGCGCGAGGGTGGCTAGGGCGGCGCGCGCGAATCGTGGCGCACACGTCGACGCGCGCTCCGTGCGTCACGAACAACGCGCGCGTACACGCGAGCGGAGAGTTTGTCAACGTCTGCGCGCGAGCGCGGAGAGAAACCCGCGAACGCGAGTCGCAGAGACGCGCACTAACGCGCGCGAGAAGGTTCAAAGCGGACGAGCGACCCTACGTGGAATTGTGTGGCGATGTCGACGATCTCGACGAGCGTTATGCTGTCGCAACGAAATGCGGTGACGCAGACGAAGGTTGTGCAGCGCACACGCGCTGCGGAAGGGCGCGCCGGGCGCTCTGCGCGCGCTGGGGTGCGCGCGAACGCGGACGCCGACCTGGGGAAAGCCGCGGCGCGGGAAAACAAACCTTTGGAAAAGGCCAACTTGTTCAGCGCGAAGTTTACGCCGTTCGCGGGCGATGCGAGTGAAGAGTATTCCTTGGATGAGGTCATTTACAGAAGTAAATCTGGTGGCTTGCTCGACGTGACGCACGACATGGAGGCGCTCGCGATCTATCCTCCGGAATATTGGAAGGCGTTGTTTGACGAGCGCGTTGGCAAGACTACGTGGCCGTACGGTTCTGGGGTGTGGAGTAAGAAGGAGTGGGTTCTCCCAGGGATCGCCGATGAAGATATCGTGTCCATGTTCGAAGGTAACTCCAACTTGTTCTGGGCCGAACGGTACGGACGAGAGTACCTGGGCATGAGCGACCTCTGGGTGAAGCAGTGCGGTAACTCCCACACTGGGTCTTTCAAGGATCTTGGTATGACCGCGTTAGTGTCCCAAGTCAACCGCATGCGTAAGATGGGTAAGCCTCTTTCCGCCGTCGGCTGTGCGTCCACTGGTGATACTTCCGCCGCGTTGAGCGCGTACGCGGCCGCTGCGGGTATCCCATCCATAGTCTTCCTTCCGGCAGACAAGATCTCTGTTGCACAACTTGTCCAGCCGATCGCCAACGGCGCGCTTGTGCTTTCTATTGACACCGATTTTGACGGATGCATGCGTCTCATTCGCGAAGTCACCGCGGAACTTCCGATCTACTTGGCGAACTCTCTGAACTCTTTGCGCCTCGAAGGTCAAAAGACGGCGGCGATTGAAATCTGCCAACAGTTCAACTGGGAAGTTCCTGATTACGTCATCATCCCGGGTGGCAACCTCGGCAATGTCTACGCTTTCTTCAAGGGGTTCAAGATGTGCAAGGACCTTGGTCTCGTCGACAGACTGCCGCGCATGGTCGTTGCGCAAGCGGCGAACGCCAACCCGTTGTACCGCGCCTACAAGAAGGGTTGGGATAAGTTCGAAGCCGTCAAGGCTGAGCCGACTTTCGCGTCCGCGATCCAAATCGGTGATCCTGTTTCCATCGATCGCGCGATTTATGCGCTCACGGAAACGAACGGTATCGTTGAGGAGGCGACGGAAGAGGAAATGATGGATGCTGCCGCGGAAGCCGATTTGACGGGTATGTTTAACTGCCCGCACACTGGCGTCGCGCTCGCTGCGCTCAAAAAGCTTCGTGAGCAACAAGTGATCGCGCCGAGTGATCGCACTGTTGTCATCAGTACCGCTCATGGCTTGAAGTTTACTCACAGCAAGGTTGCGTACCATGAGAAGAGGCTCGAGGGGCTCGAATCGAGATACGCCAACCCGCCGGTCGTCGTCAAAGACGACTTCAGTGCTGTCATGGATGTTCTCAGTACTCGCTTGAACAAGTAAATCCGTCACACTTTAGTCTCTTGTCTTTATCCCGAACGATCGCATCTAGTATAAATAATTTGTGAATGAACATACACACACAAAGTGCGCAACTCCCGCATATCGCCGAGCGCAGGGTCCCTGTCAACACCTTTTCACTTGCGCACGCGAAAGCGCGCGCGAGGGATACGTATCGACATGCAAGGAGGCGAGGGATGCGCGAGAACCACCCAGCCGGTGAGGGATTAGCACTTACCTGTAGTGCCATGTAAAATTATGAAAGACAAGAAAAAAAATTACGCGAGTGAGCTCTTGATTTTTTGGCGTGCACTGTTTTAGTTTACAAAGCAGATTTATTGCCACGGGGCGTCAGAATCTCTCTCTTGTTCAGAATATTTGACGAATTCCCCGTAGTTTTTTACAGAAACGTGGAAATAACATGGAATGATGGAAGTCTTCGTTCATCAATCGTCAGAAGAAAGGAACACCGTCATCGACAACTTCGCCGTCTTGAAAGTCGTACATCGCATAGTTGTCTGTGAAAAAAGGAGAGTCAGTTCCAGGACGATTGGAATCATTCATCAAGAAGCTTTGAAGAACATATCCAGAGTCATCTGGGTGGTTGAGGTAATTAAGTTGGTCTTGCGTCAATAGAGGGTTGGGCTCGTTGATGGTGGCACGCTTGCCTTTGGCGCGCTTCGTCACTTTTGAAGGTTCTTCTATGGGCAAAGCGCGAGTCTCTTCTTCAAAAGTAGTGGCGATGGACGAATCAGACATTGATTTGAGCATGCCCCGCTTTTTCTTTCGAGCTTCTTTCATGACCAGACTCGGTGGTTCCACTTCAGGAGGCAGGTTGACCGGTTTCATCGAAGGCCCGGTGTCTTCCGAAACTTTCTCGCCCAATTTCATCCGAAGCTTGACGTTTTCGGCGTACAATGTGTCGACCTTCTTCTGCAAGTCCGTGATCGTTTTACGCATGCTGGCACTGTCCTGCAGCAGAGTCTCTGCGGCGGAGAGCAGTTTTGCGTCCTCAGCCTTCTTCCTAATCTTTGAACGCTTGGCAGACTCGCGATTCGCGATCTTGCGTCGGTACATCCTCAACAGTTTCTCACGCTCCTTCGCGTCCATATCATCGCTCAGACCCTCGATTGTGATGCCCATTTTCGCCAATTCGCTCACGCTAGCCGTCTTGATGGACTCATCGAGAGCGGATAGAACGACCTCGGCACTCTTCGCCATGGTCGCCGAGCCGAAATCAAGATGATGTGCGGTTGACGATCCGACGTCCGTGTTCGGTCGCGACTGACGTGCGATGCGAACGCGCGCGATGCGACGTGACCGATATCGACCTCCTCCGTGACGCTGTGAATTTGCGTCCTAAAGCGCCTCAAACTCGCGCCTTAAATCCCCCCAAGATCGCTCGAGCGTGGGATCCAGTCGTTCCAAGCGCGAATTCGCGCGCGCTTCGACGACGATCGCGCTCGCGCTCGATCGTCCGCGCTCGCGCCGTTCGCGTTCGTCGACGCGTTCGTCGTTCACGCGTCAGATCGCTTCGCTCCGTGCGCCCGACGCGGTCGTGCGAGCAACTGTGCGGCGCGCGCGGTCGCGTCGCGTCGCGTCGCCTCGAACGTCCTCCGTCACTCGTTTCGCCCGCGCCTCGGTCGGCGGTCGGCATTCGAAGACGGCGACGCGGGATTTTCAGCGCATCTGGAGGGGCGAGGTTGAACCCTGGTGTGCGCTTGATGGCGGTATCGTGTCGTTGAATGCGTAAAAAACAGCCGACGCGGCAAACGTAAAAATGAAAACGGCACCGCGCGCGACGGACGCGTTGGCGCCGAGCGCGCGCGACGCGCCGCGTGCCGTCGCAATCGCGCGCGCGAGACGGCGAGCATGGGGACGGATGATGAGGTGCGAGTGGTGAGCTCGTTAGAAGAGATATATGACGCCGCGTCGCTGGAGACGCACACGCGCGCGCGGTACGCGACGGTGCGCGATGCGTTCGTGAAGGCGTACGGACGCGAGCCGGACGCGTTCGCGAGGTCGCCGGGACGAGTGAATTTAATCGGCGAACACATCGATTACGAGGGGTACTCCGTGCTGCCGATGGCGATCGGGCTCGACACTATCGTCGCCATCTCCGTGAATGCGAGTTCGGGGAAGATCGCGGTCGGGAACACGAACGAAAAGTACACGCCGAAGACATTCGAGAGCTCGCCCGAACAAGACGTGGACGCGGCGTCTTTGCACTGGACGAATTACGTCATGTGCGGCTACAAGGGGGTGTTCGATTTCTTGAAAGAGAGCGATAAGGCATCACCCGCCCCCGTTGGGTTGGACATCATCGTCGACGGCACGGTACCCACTGGAAGCGGTTTGAGTTCGTCCTCGGCGTTGTGCTGCGCCGTGGCGGTGGCGGTGATGCACGCGCTAGGATTGAATTTCACTCAAGGTGAAATTGCTGACTTCACGTGCAAGTGCGAACGATACTCAGGAACGCAGTCGGGGGGTATGGATCAAGCTATTTCCATCATGGGCGAAGCTGGTGTGGCAAAATTGGTCGATTTCAATCCCATAAGCACCAACGACGTCAACCTTCCGGAGGAAGCGGCGTTCATCATAGGCAACTGCCTCGCAGTGAGCAACAAAGCGGAGACCGCACACGAGCGCTATAATTTGCGCGTCGTAGAGTGCCGTCTTGCGGCGATTATTTTAGGTTTAAAGCTAGGTATGAACGCGGAAGAAGCGTCAAAAATAGAGACGCTCAAGGAAATCGAAGACTTTGTCGGCTCCATGTCTGCCGCTAAGGCTGCGGCCGAGGAACATTTGCACGAGGGATACTACGATGCAAGAGAGATTGAAGAACTCATAGGAGTAGAAGCATTCATGGACGTCTTCTCTTCACCAGCGTCGAAGTTGGTCTTGAGTCACAACGAGAAGGGATATAAGCTTCTGGCGCGGACGTTGCACGTCTACTCCGAGGCCGGTCGTGTGCACTTGTTCGCTGCGGCGTGCGCGATGAAGGTCGACCCAACGGAGCTGGGCGTGTACATGAATGGTAGCCACGAATCTTGTAGAGCCCTGTACGAGTGCTCTTGCGCGGAGCTGGATGAACTCGTGGATGCATTTAGAGCGGCGGGTGCTCTGGGCGCGCGTCTTACTGGTGCTGGTTGGGGCGGTTGTGCCGTAGCAATTGTCGCCAAGGATGCGGTAGAGAGTGTTCTGAAAGCGGTGCACGAGTCTTTCTACTCTTCTCGCATCGCTGCGGGCCTTATTTCTGCTGACAATATGGCGACGACGCTCTTCGCAACGCTGCCCAGCTCTGGTGCGGCAATTTTGAAAGGCGTTTCGTTCGCTTAGATCGGTATTTGATACGTGCCGAACATGAAATATGTGATACTATGCATCGTCTACTTTTCATACATATGTCCCTAAACAAGTACTTTAACTACTCCCGTGCGCTCGTCTACTATCCTTGGTCGCACGGCGTTGTTTCTTCTTCAGCAGAGAACCACACAGTCGACAACTGATCTCTTCAGAGTCTTTGGGTAAGCCACACGCTGGACAAGACCCGTATGCGTTTATTTGCGTTCGCGATAGCTCGTTTTCTCGCGCTAAAGTAGTCGCTGACATGCTCAACCACGCCGACAATTCGGGAATGTCTTCGACGTACGCTTGGGCGGCTTCGCGGAGGAACGCGACGCGACGCGCAATGGGGGTATCTTCTTTCGTCGCACCGCCCAGAGTCGGTGCTCTAAGACCTTGTCGCGCTTTGTCTCTATTCATCACGCATTACCGCGCGAGATCCCGGTTACGGCACGAACGAGCGGCACAATGCAGGTTCTCTGCGCGAGAGGCGTTCACGAGCGCGTGGAGTGGTGCGGTTGTTTCTACGCAACTACGTGTATCTTACTTTTTACAATATAGATTGGGACTCCGATGGTAATGCCGAGTAATCATCGTCGACACCGTACCACATGTCTGATAAATCGTCGTGCTTCCACGCTAAAATTCCCGTCGTCCCGACGACGGTGGGAACTAAATACGTCAACGCTGGTTGTCCACCTTGGCCTCCAACCTCAAAATAAAGCGCCGTGAACGTCAAGCACATCCCGACAACGTATGCAACCATACTCCAGAAGAAGTAATAGTACCTGGTATCCGAAAAATTGCGCTTTCTGTTGTCAAACAACAAGTTGTGCACGATGAGTAAACCGGGAAGGATGACGTCGCCGTACCCCAGCATGGAGAAATCCCCTGGACTTGAAGCTCTCGGGAATAAAAATAGCATCGGTAAACTTTCACCTTCATCTCCGCCGCGCGCAACGGCGACCATCACGCTCTTCTTACCGAACAAATGTGGCTGAACGTAGACCCAGAAGATGTCGTACAACATCGCGCAACATAAAAGTATGGTGGCCACCTTGAAGTTGGGCAGATGCACCAAACGCAACACGTTTACCAAGAATGACAAACCCATGATATCCTGCAACATCCAAGCCCACGTGGCTTGCCGGAATATAAGCCACGTGGCAACGATTAAGCCAGCGAATACAGCCGCCGGAATGGCCAAAAGGTGAACTGAGCCGACGATGGGCAACAGCACTCTTGAATCCCTCGAGGTCGACTTTCGTCTCGACATCAACGCCTCGAAACATATCACGTACAATCCTTGGAAGGAAGCGAAAGAAAACACCAGTCTCATCACCACGAATACCCAATGTTGCATGGAATAAAACAAGATGAGTAAGACCGCTGACGCCATGATGACGAACCAAAACGCGCTGTACTCGTTTATCTCGATGCCCTCATGGGCTTCTCCTCCGTCACTACTATCGTCGATGTCATCATCATCACGTTTTGAGCTCACGACGGCTCGTTTGTCCTTCAACGACCACCTTCCACCGAGGGCGATGGTAGCGAGGGCCAACGCAACGAGAGCCGCAGAGGCCAAGAAATCAAACTGTCTCGGCAGTGCGTCGGAGCGTGCGATCGTAATCGTCGCGCCCACTTCCGTGGTGGCATCGAGGATCGCCTGTCCAGTCGTTCCCGTCACTAAAACGGTCACGACATCCAGTTTCTGATCCTCGTTGCACGTCATCGCGGTGAAGTCTTCCCCATCGCTCACCACAAAGACCGCCTTTGCTCCGACGTCTTGCGCCACCCTAGCCTTCTCGTAGAACTCACACTCCCCTCGCTTCACGACCAAGACATCTTTACCCGTGAAATCGTCTCCCACGCTACCGATCGCGCATCCGTAGGCGTCCGCGCTCGCCCCCCCAATCGTCCACGGCCCGAGCGTCGCGTTCGCCTCCACGTCCCCCCCGAACAGCGCAAGCCCTCCCGTGACGATCGTTTGCCACGCCCCGGTGTCGAGTTCTACGTCCACCGCGCGCGTTTCGCTTCGTTCTTGGCACTCCGGCTCTCCGTTCGCCCCCAAGAGCGTCGTCAAAAACGTCAAAATCCCGATCGCCCCGCACGCCGCCCATCGCGTCCGCCTTCGCGTCGTCGTCGTCGTCGTCGTCGTCGTCGTCGTCGTCGTCCGTCGCGTCCGTCGCGTCCGTCGCGTCGGCGTCCTTTCCCTCGCCATCGGTTTCGTCGCGAGACGCGCGCTGACTTCGCGCCGACTTCGCGCGCCGACGCGACGCGCGACGACGTGCCGACCCGCGCGCGGAGGGTGTTCAAAGCCCGACCGCCCGACCGCCGCGCGGCGGGGCGACGTGATTGCGTCGCGCGCGACGTCTGGGCGTCCCGGACTCCGCGCGCGCGCGACGAAACCGCCGGGTCGGGGCGGAGAAAAGAAAAGAAACAAACGACGACAACGACAACGACCCCGCGACCCCGCGCCGAGCCAGAGCCCGCGCGCGCCCGTGGCGCGTCGGCCGCATGGAGGATGTGCCGCCACCGCCCGCGAACGATGCGGGGCGACCGCGTTTCGGCGCCGGGGCGTCGACGGCGGGGTCGACGGCGGAGGATTGGCGCAAGTCCAAGACGTCGGACGACGGAGGCGATTGGACGAGACGGCAACCGAGCGTGCTGGCGACCATGGACGCGCACAAGCGATCGCGCGCCGAGGGAGAGGCGAAAGCGCTGGAGGAGAAGGAGAACGAGTTTCACCTGCGGCAAGCCAAGGTGCGAGCGGACATACGAATAAAGGAGGGGCGGGCGAAGGCGATCGATTTAATCTCCAGGAATGTGTTCGCGGAATCGTACGTCGAGTTCGATGCGTTCGTGAACCCGCTCACGGTGTTGAAAGGGTTGACGGCGCACGAGCTCGGGGAGACGAGGAAGGAGTTAGAAGAATTGCGCGAGCTCGACACGAAGAATGCGCAAAGGCGAGAATTTTGGAGTGCTTTGATCGGGTTGACGGAGGAAGAGATGAACGAACACCGGAAGAACGCAGAGATCGAGCTCGCGCGGGTGCGAGGGCAAACGTCCGAACGCGCGGAGGCGACGGGCTTGCACGCCGACATCGACGAAGACGTCGTAGAAATCGTTGGCGGCAAATCTGCGTCGGAATTAGCCGAGCTCGAGAGTGAGATCTCCGAGCAAATTGAAGGCCCGGATGCGAGTGAAGTGGAATACTGGGGTGCGGTTTTGCAGCGGGTTAAACTTGCCAAAAAGCGAGCGATTGTCGAGGAGACGCACAAAGAGCTCAAGGTCAAGTTTGAGCGCGAAGAAATTGAAGACGGTGGTCGGGCACGATCGCTTATCACCGCCGCACCAGCTGAAGAAGATGACGACGACGATGATTTGCTCGGTGATGACTTTGGAAAGCATACAGCGGACGATGATGCTCGCGATGGTGGAGAGTGGGACGACACGGGTGACGAGCCGGAGCGCACGGCGTTGGCAGAGTTTGATCCTTCTTTATCCCCGATGCGATTGCAAGAGGTAGAGGATGGGATCGAAATAATCGACATTGACCAAGAAGAAGCCAATCTCACTCGCTTTCGCGAGGAAGAACGCATCAAGAGCATGTCGCGCTTCAAAAAGGTGACCTCTGAGAACCGGGTGCTTCGAGGTAAGACAGAGGAAGATGTTTACAACGCATTCAAAAAGGCGGGAGGCGCACATCACAACACTGGTGTCCTCGCCAATTTGATCACTGGAACGACTGATTTTAAAGACATCGAAAAGCAAGCGGATAAGAAAGCGAAAGACTTGGTCGAGCGCATGATGGGCGCCACGGAAGACGGCGACGCAAACTTCTCCGCCGAGGTTGCGTTGGAATCTCAGGCGTACTGGTGGCACGATAAATATCGTCCACGCAAGCCTAAGTATTTCAATCGCGTTCACACAGGCTACTCGTGGAACAAGTACAACCAAACGCACTATGACTCGTCAAATCCGCCTCCAAAGATTGTGCAGGGGTACAAGTTCAACATCTTCTACCCGGACCTCATCGACACCACCAAGGCGCCTTCTTACAAAATCGAGCCCGACGGTTCGCCAAATGCCGAAACGTGTTTGCTCAAAATCACCGCGGGCCCACCGTACGAGGATATCGCGTTCAAGATCGTGAACAAGGAATGGGAATACAGCCACAAGCGAGGATTCCGATGCACTTTTGAGCGCGGCATCTTCCACCTCTACGTCAACTTCAAGAGATCGAGGTATCGACGATAGGTATTTTACTAGACAACGATTAGCGATTTGCAAAATCACATAGCAGCATGGCCAAAAAGACCGGAAGACGACTCGATTGAAGCTCTACAAAACAATTTACAACGCGTTGGGTTGTCAATGCCGAACGCTTGGCTACTCGACTAAGTTTTGCGCGCGAAAGCGACTCTACTTTTCCGCTTCCAACCGGCGCGCGGCTTCCTCCCTAGCCCAAGACGTCATCCTCGTGTCAGGCTTGGCTTGGAGACCAACGCAGAGAATGGCGGTGGCGAGGGTGAGTGCACCGTACCACGGCGCCTCCCAGTCTTCCCAAACTCTCCGCTTGCCCGGTGCCGGCGGAGTTTCGCCGAACAGGTAACCGTTCCGGCCCGTTTGCGTACCCTCCGCGAAGTATCCTCCCGGTGGACCCGCACCGTAAGAGCGCACCGACGTGCGCTGCGCACCTCGTACAGCCGTGCAAACGGCACGACGGGCAAAGTTCATGGCGTCGTTCTCAAGTCGATCGCCGCGCGTGGGTTGCACTAAGAGGCGCGAAAGCGTTGCGCTTTGCGTCTACGTGTACGTATTAAACCAAATACGCGCTCACGCGCGTCTTCGCCGGCGGCGTAGCGTCACAGACTGCGGCGAAGCAGTGATCTAGGTCAGACAGAGATGCGCTGGGCTGGGGCTTCGTCAGAAATCGTTCAAGGCTCGTGCAGTGTGAAAACGATGAATTTCACAATGCGCTACGTTTGAAGACATGAGAAGGCGCTAATCGCTTTTATCATGTCTCGATAAGTACAAGAACGCATCGCGCTCGTAAAAGTAGAGCGTGACGAGGAGAATGGCGAGTATTATCGCCCCGCACCCAGTGTGCGCTAGTAAACCGAGGGCGCTCGGGTCACGACGTAACGCCTGGTCCGAGAGCCTGGCAACGATCGAGAAAATGACCAAGGCCTGCGCGTAAAGTGGTTCAGTGTTATAGATTGAGTGGTTCGCGCCGCATCATACGTACCGAAAGATATGTTTTTGAGAGGAACTTCAAGCGTGCATTTGCCTTTTGGCTCGCAAAGCGCTTGCGTATATACGAGCTCGTGAACGTGATTCGGACGATCATGCTCAAAGCGTTCGCCACGAGCAAGGCAACTGGCCCAAGTCTACGCTGAAGCATCAAAGTACCGCCCTAATTCATCAAATTAGTCGGATGGCTAGCCGTAGCAAAGAGTGAGCACGTACCACATTGACGAAAGAACACACGAGAAGCCAAATATTAGACGAGCTTAATTCGGACGAGGACTGTGTAACGGTCGTAAATCAGTCAAACGCAATGAAATGCTATAAATGATCACTTACCATCACCGCGTGGGCGAAAGCCTCCGTGATACCGTTCACCTGCGAAGCAGCGACAAGTCAGAGTTAATGAAATAATTCACGCCCACGAGAACGCATAAATAATTAATTCCCACGCATGCGCGTTGAGAAACCAATTGCCACCGTAGCACGCGCGACGCAATACTTACCGCAAGTGGTAGAATCAAAATGGCGTAGAAACCGAGCGTTTCAGACGCGAAATGCTGGTTTGCCCACCGTTCACCATATAAAATTCTGTCGACGAACCGAAATAATTAAATACAACACCTCAAAAGCTGACGCCAAAGCGACTCACCTCAGCGCTAACCACGAGAAATGAGGTCCCATGAATGCCTGTTAGCGTAAGTGAGTCAGTTCCGCTCGTTCAAAGACGACAGGCTCGCGTAAGATCACACACTCACCGCCGTGCTCCCGAAAATAATTGCTACGCGTAATAATGCATTGAAGACTTCCTTTTCCTTCGATGATTGCGACTTCGAAGAGACACTGCGCGTGAAAATAACAAACGCCGCCTCTTCAAAAGGTTGTAGCACCAATCGTGCGAATGCCGCGCTGTTTCAAAATATTTAGTCGACAATTAATTAATTATCGAAATAGTTCCAACTCACCCGAGGGAAGCCACGAGGCCGTAGACGCCGACTTCATCCGCAGCGGCGACGGCTATAAGAGCAGCCTTTTCTCCTTCCGCCAAAACGAGCTTCCACACAGCCTGCGTATGTGTGATCGTGAGTCGAGACGCGTTTTGTGCACGAGAAATCACTCACCTGAAGAGAAAAAATACCAATTAATTGCACTGTTGCACCATCTCTCAACATCGACTTCTCCGGCGCTTTCGTCGTAGCACATACGTATATCACCGCCATTGATATGGCGTACAGCAACTGCACCACGAAATTCTCGTCAGTCGCGGTACGATGCGGTGTGATTTAATTCCCGCGTGAAATAAAATTAACTCTCACCTGCGAGTACGCAAACGCCATGACGACGTTGTTTTGGTTCGCTGAAACCAGCGCGTACGTCAAGACACTTCTAAGGACCGTGGACGTGGTTTCTGCGAATAGTCTCAGCTTGAACGCCGACATTCGCATCGCTCGAATGTAATATGGCTCCGCGCACAGTTCGATGAACGCTGCGGCGCCGTAGTAGAGTAGCGCCAAGCCGTACGGTTCGCGGGTGGATATGTTTTGCGACCAAATCACGCCCAGAGGAATGACGATGGAAAGAAAGCCACCGATCGGAAGTACGAGCCAGGCGTACCCGAGCGAGGCGTCCTTCACGGAATCTCTCATCAGTGCTCGACGAAAGCCTTCGCGGGTGGTGAGAATCGCCGTGGACAGCAGATAAAAGTGCACGGTTGGAACGCCGAACTCCTCCGGCGTGAGTCGGCGGGCCACCAGGGTGTTGATGAAGAACGGTAAAAGTTTCGACGTGAGTTGCGTCGCTTCGCGATGAAAACCTCGTCGTCAGTCGAGTCGCGACGCGAGTCGCGTCGAGCGCGTACGATGTCGTTGGTGTCGTTTGACGCGCATCGCGCGCGACGGTTCTCGCAGCCGTCGTCGTCGTGACGCACCGAGTAAATACGCGAAGCCGACGATGAAGTTTGGCTTTGATTTCGTCTCCATCGCGCGCGTCGATCGCCCGACGCGCGCCGAGGCGCTCATCGTGGACGCTGGTGAATAACGACTCTGCGAAGACCTGCGAGATTGGCGCCACACGGGAGTTCGCGTCGGCGGCGATGGAAACTGCGCTTTCGCATTCGCCGGCGCGCGCGTTTCCGATGTCGACGGCGGAAGAATTGAGCGAGGCGTTGGCCGATGCGGCGCGTTACGGTGAGTTCGACGAGTGTCGGGCGTACTTGGACCAAGGCGCGCTCGCGGACGCGTACGACGGACTTTTGTTCGCCGCCGCGAATGGGCATGTGGAAATTGTATCGCTCTTTCTCGAGTACGGCGCGGACGTGAACAAGACGAACGATCAGGGTAGCACGGCCATGCACTGGGCGTGTCTGAACGGTCACGCCAATATCGTGCAACTGCTCCTGGACAAAGGAGGGAGCGCGAGCGTTTGCAATCAAGCCGGCAGAACGCCGCTGGACGAAGCGATGCACAACGAGCGGGAAGAGTGCGTGAAGGTGATCATGGAAGCCGAGGGCGAACAAGACATCGAGTTGGAAGAAATCGATGAAGAAGCTGCCGAGGACGTCAGCACGGATGAGGAAGAGCAACGCATGGACTGAGGTCGAGGCGCGCATAGCATAGCAACACAGATTTTATCAGCGCGCTCTGTATCTCGTAGCCTGATTGATGCACAAGCAAGCCAATAATAATGAAAGAAGAGTAATTTATGAGGAAATGTTTTGTTAAGTTTGTTTACATTGCGCTCTTAAGGTTTTCACCGACATTCTGCGAGGGATGAGAAAAGTTGTCGCGATTTCGTCAGTCTACGGCTTCGCGGCGCCCTGGTGTGTTCGCCTCGATTCGCCGATGTCCCATACCTTCCAGTTGATGATCTTCCACAGGTTTTTGACGTAATCCGGGCGAAGATTCTTGTACTGTAAATAGTAAGCGTGCTCCCAGGTATCGACACCGAGGATCGGGGTCAGTCCCGTGCTCAAGCAGACGTCTTGGTTTGCCGTCGTCGTCACGGCGAGCTTCTTGTTCGCCTTGTCGTAGCCCAACCAGCCCCAACCAGAGCCTTGCACGGCCACTGTGGCTGCCGTAAATTTATCTTGCATCGCGTTTAACGATCCAAAGTCGCGCTCGATCATCTTCAGCAGTTCGCCCTCGGGAAGCGCGTAGTCCTTCGGCGGCGTCAGGCACTTCCAGAACAGCGCGTGGTTCACGTGTCCGCCGCCGTTGAATTTGATCGCCGGCTGCATCGCGATCATCCCCGCGTAATCACCCTTCGCTTCCGCTTCCGCGTACTTCTCTTGCGCGATGTTAAAGTTCGTGACGTAGGTATTGTGGTGCTTTTGGTGATGAATCTCCATGATCTCTGCGCAAATCACCGGCTCGAGCGCGCTGAAGTCGTAGTCCAAATCGGGAAGCTTGGCGCTCACGAACGCGCGCGTCGGTGCGCGCGACGACGCCAACGCGCGGCATCGTCGCGCGCTCGTCGTCACCGCTCGACTCAACATCGTCGTCGTCCGTCGTCGTCCGTCGTCCGTCGTCGAGTGCGGTAAAAAGTCGCGTCATCGGGCCGTCGCGCGCTTTTTTACTTTTACCCCCACAGCGGTCGCGACGGTTACGGCGGACATCGAAATCGAAATCGAAATCGAAATCCATCAATCAAATCTTCTCGGCGCGCGTCAACGCGCGACGCGTCGCGTCGCCGTGCCGGGACCCGATTCGCGCGTCGTCTCGATAACGCGAACGACGACGACGACGACGACGATGCGCGCGAGCGTCGACGACGTCGACGTCGAGCTCGACGTCGCGGCGACGTGGGACGCGGACGCGGCGGAGCGACGACGAGGACGCGACGACGAGGGCGCGGGGACGACGCTCGCGAACGACGACGACGGTGGTTGCGGTGACGAGGGAAACGAACGCACGATTGATGAATTGTTCGACGAACGCATCGGACAGGCGAATCACACGCAGCTCGCGCAGTTCGCGCTGAGCTCCGTCGCGTGGCTCCCGGCGGCGTTTCTCACGCTGACGTCGGTGTTCACGGCGCGCGAGGTTGATTGGAAGTGCGCGACGGAGAACGGATGCTTGGACGGGGACAGTGGAAAATTATTAAATATATGCGCCATGGACAGAGAGCTCTGGACGTGGGTAGACGCGAAGAGTTCAATCGTATCGGAGTGGGACTTGGTGTGCGCGCACGAGTACAAGGTGCAACTCGCGAATTCTATTTTCTTTGTCGGTTTCTTGATGGGGGCTGGAATTTTGGGCCAGATCGCCGATAGCAAAGGGCGCATATTCGGCCTATACGTCTCCACCGCGTTGGCGAGCGCGGGCGCTATGCTCGGGGCGATGGCGGGTGGTTACTGGACGTACTTTTGGTGCACGATGCTGCGTGGATTCGGTTGCGGCGGGCTCGGCGTGGCGAGCTACGTCCTGTGCACTGAGGTGCTCGGAATAAAGTGGCGAGCCGTCCTTGGGATCTCAACGCAATACTTTTGGTCCGGAGGGATCGCGCTGATGGCCCCGGTGGCGTATACGATGCCAAAGTGGAGGAATTTTTCCACATTTTGTGGACTCAGCGGATTGGCGTACGTCGCGCTATCGTCCAAATTTCTGTGGGAGTCTCCTCGTTGGTATTTGGCAACTGGGAAGGCTGACAAGGCACACGAAGTGATGACTCACCTCGCAAGAGGGAACCCGAAATTTACTGGTCGACTGCCGCCGCTGAAGCAAACTCGCGTGGTGAAAGGTTTGAACGTCACCGCGGTGCTCCCGTATCCGGTGTTGCGACAGCGACTCGTCGCCATGGCGTACATTTTCTGCGTCACGAGTATGGTGTATTACGGGTTATCACTCAACGTTGATGCTTTGAGTGGGTCGGTATACATGAACACGTTCATCAGTGGCATCGTTGAGTTTCCTTCGCACGTTTTTGCGCAAATATACGTCGACAGACTCGGACGAAGAATGACGCTGCTCGTGCTTATGGGGACCGCCGCCGTGGGTGTTTTCTCGAGCTCGATGTTTAGCGGTTCGTCTCAGGTTTTCGTGTCGATGATTGGGCGGTTCGGAATCGCTGGATCGTTCAACATGATTTACTTGTACACCACTGAGTTGTTTCCCACCATCGTACGATCGGCTTGCCTGGGAACGTGTTCGCTCGCCGCTCGCGTCGGCGGTATCATCGCGCCTGGGATTATTCTCGCGCAAACTATCAGTGCGGCGATTCCTCCCGTCGTTCTCGGTCTCGTCGCCGCATCAGCGTGCTTAACAACGCTTACATTACCCGAGACTCAAGGGATCGTGATAGAGGAATCATTGGCGGGTGCGGCTCGACAAAACATGGGCGGCGCCGGTCGCGCCGGCGCGCGAGACGTCGGCTTCGCGCGTCTCGTGGAACAAGGCGACGTCGACTCCGCAGCGATCGGAGACGACGAAAACGCGCAGCTTTAAATTAGCGATACATTAGCGATATATCTTGTCGATGTTGTTGTTGTTGTAACACGATAGTTCCCTAGGCAAAACACGATTAATCCTTCCCCGATTCCCCCCACAAAATCGCGTTCACGTCTTGGCCTTTTCGCGTGTACACCCCCCCGTTATCGATCAATCCCGGGCACGGTCTGTACGCCTTGATCGGCCACCACGCGAACAGCGGGATCGCCCCCATCCCGCCCTGGATTCGCCCGCTCCCATCGCACTGCATCTTCTCCTTCGCCAGCCCGCACGAGTCGCACGACCCCGCGCACGCGGCTTTGGTTGCGTCCCCGTCGGGCGATGCGTTCGCGCGCGCGACGTGCGCGCGTCGCGTCGCGCGCGTGGTCGCGCGCGTCTTCGCGCGCGTCGTCGTCGTCGTCGTCGTCGTCGTCGCTGTCGTCGTCGTCGTCGTCGCGCGCATCATCGCACCTCGCGTCCGCGTCGCGCGATGCCGCGACGCCGATGCGGATAACGCGCGCTCGAGCGTCTGCGGGACGTCGACGTCGCGACGATGCGACATCGCGCGTCGCGCGTTCGGCGATGACGTCGACGGCGACGACGACGCGAACGACGACGCGTCGTCGTCCCGCGCGTCGCGTCGTCGCCGCGCGCGTCGTCGCCGCGTGCGTCGCGCTCGCGCGCGTCGCGCGCGGGACCGCGGGCGAAGGCGCGTTCGCGCGGGCGCAATTCCAATCGTGCCCGGGATGAAAATTGAACCGCCTCCCGGAGATCAAGACGTTCCTGAAGGAAGTCGTCGAGGTCGGGGGGTACGGCGAACGCGTGGGCGTGACGTGGACGCCGGGACACCCGCCGTCGCTGCACATGCAAGACGAACGCGGGAACAACGTGGAGACGGCGAAACTGACGAGCGAGTGGACGGTGGAGCGCGTGGAGACGTATTTGAACGAGCGAGGCTTTTATAGACCGGGGCAGGAGAGGGAAACCGCGCGCGTGGAGCTTTAACCGCGACGCGGGGATGGAAACGAGTCGCGCGGAACGCGCCGAGCCGTGACGCGTCGTCGCGCCGGGAGCGCGAGCTCTGCGACGACGCCGATATCATATCAGGCGCATCCGACGACTAGAATTTGTATTTTTGTATTCATCAATTCTCTAGGCGTAATCCTCTGTGCGTTCGTTATCGCTTGAGCTGTCGCGCGACGTTTGAAAAGCCGCGGCGCTCGGAGAAGACGCTGTCGGTGCCAGAGACTGGACCATCCGATGCCGTTCTGTTCGGATTTACGAGTTCAATTCCTTGGACCGGCGTGAAAGCCAGGCTAGATGCCATCCCGGACGTCCCAGCCGTGCTAGCAAACGTGGATTTTCCGCCCTTGTTATCCGTCTTGATGAGCTTGGCCGCCTTCGCGGCGAGTCGCATTCTGCCGGCGACGGCGGCGGAGCCCGCGGCGGAACCCAGCGTGCCGAGACCTTCGCCATCGTATCCCACCTCTTCTTCGACTTCGTTGAAATTCACGCGATTCGCCGCCTTGCGCATGTCCGTGAGACCGTATCTTTCCTTGAGCGCTCTCGCGCGGCGACCGCCTCGGCGTTTCTTTTGCTCGACTCCAGGCGCGGGTAAAGGTTTCGCCGTTCGCGCGGGAGGCGGCTCCTGCCACTTTTCAATTTTTTTCATGATTTCTTCGGCAAACTTCTTCCCAGTGGCACCGTCCGGGGACTCCCCGTACGCATCGACGCGCGCCATAAGCGAACACTTTGCGCCAATCAGACGAGCCGCCTTGCTTCGCCACGCGGGCGGCGTCTTCTTTTGGATAATGTCGCAGTCGTAAATGAAGCCAGCGTGCAAATCTCCCGCTCGCACAGCCGATGCACTCGACATGCCCGCGGTCGCCTTCTTCTTAGACCCCAAAACTTGGACGTTACAAGCCGGCATTTTCGACAGAGCGTGCAAGCCGCCGGCGATGCCGATGAGCTGCGCCGCGATGTCGCTTCCCAATACTGCGCTCAAATTTGGCGCCGTGTCCGCCATGCGCGTGGCGACGTAGTTGAACATCTTCTTTTTCGCCTCATCGAGCTCTAACGCTCGATCACACGCGCGTAAAGTCTTCTCCAAATCGCTCTCGCTCAGCGGTTGTCCAGACGTCGTCGATCCCGTGACGCTCACCACCATGATGGTCGCCGACGGCAACACGCCGTCCAATTCCACCCCCATCATGTCCATCTCGTTCCCGATCGCCTTCACCACTCGCGCGTAATCGATCGGATGCAGCACCAAGGACTCTAACTCTGGGAATTTACTCTTATACCTGTCTTTAATGTACTGATGCACGACGGCGACTTCGTTGTCCACCTCCACCGTGAGCGCGTTGCACTCCACCACGAGCGCCTCCGCGCCCTCGTCGATCGCCCCCGCGCGCTTTCCCGACGCCGTCGTCGTCGCGCCGTCCATCCCATCCCTTTCCATCGCTTCGTCCACCGCGCGCGTCACCCTGAGATACCTCTCCGTCGTCGTCAGCGTCGCCACGTCGTCCAAATCCTCCGCGCGCGCCGCCGCCGTCGTCCCCGCGCGCGCCGTCGCATCGTTCGCGTTCGCGTTCGCGCGCGCGCGCGCGTCGTCGTCGCCGTCGCGCGCGTCGTCGTCGCTCAGATCGTCCAGATCCGCCAGGAACGAGTCCGCGAGCGTCGTCATCGCGTCTCCGCGATTCGACGTCGCGATGTCGCGATGCGCGACAGTGCGCGACGCGAGGCGGTGCGAGGAAGAAAGACGTGGACCCGATGCCGACGCACGCGGAAGAGGACGCGGCGCGGATGCGACGACGCGAGAGAGAACACGAAGCGCGATGCGAATACGCCGAGGTGCGACCAAATCGACAGACGACGAGACGACGGACGACGACGCGAATGAATCAAATCAATCAGCAGCCACGCGCGCGTTGACTGCAGTTTAAACTTAGCGCGAGGCGAACGAACCGGAGTGACGAATGTGGATTTTTGTTTGTGCGACCCAGGCGCTGCGAGAGCGACAGGAAGACGTGAATTGGCGATCGAGAGCGCCGGAGGCGGAGACGCGATCGATCGAGGCGCGAGAACACGAACGAAGAGCGCGGGAGCGGGCGGCGGCGCTGACGCGGCGAAGAGACGCGCTTCGAGTCAAACTGGCGAGCGAGGAGGCGCGATACGAGGAAGAGATGGCGGGAAAACGCGTCAGCGCGGCGGCGCGACGGATGGAATTGGAGGCGCGCGCGCGCGAATTGTTGGCCAAGCGCGAGGAGGAGCGGAAACAGCACGTGGAGGAGATGACTTACAAAAAGTGGAAAGAGTCAAACAAGACGGCGCGCGACGGCGCTCGCGCGGCTTTGGCGAATGAAGTGCAAATGGGTCGACAAGCGCAGGTTGAAGAGCGAAGGCGCCTTGCGGTGGAACACGCCGAGCGCGAGAAAAAAATAAATGCAACGATTTCCGCGCTTCGCGCGGAGGATTCGGCGCGCATCGATGAACGAGATGCGGCGTTGAAAGCGGCGCGAGAAGCGCATTCGCGCGCGCTCTTTGAGCAAATGTCGTCGCGAGAGCATGACAGACTCGCAAGCTTAGAGGAGCGACGTTACGAACGGGCGCAACTGAACGCGCGATGGGAACAAGAAAATACGATCGACGCCGCGAATCAGCGGGAGGAAGCGCTCAGGCAGCGCCAAGTCCACGCGGACTTGCTTCGCTCGAACGCAGAGCGGCAGTTGGAGTCGTTGGCGGCGCTCGAGGAGGAACGGGCGTGCGACGCTCGATTGGTTGAAAACGCGATGGAAGAGGAGCGCATACATGCCAAAGAGCACGCCGAGCTCGTCGCTCGGCGACGCGAGGAAGAGATCCTCTTCCGAAAGTATCTAGAGGAGCTCACTTCAGAGAAGCGCGCGAACAAAGAAATAGACGACGTGGCTGTCGAGGAGGCGCGACTGGAGCACGAAAGAAAATTGCGAGCGCGCGAAGAACTTGAAGCACATCAAAGAGAACAGTTGATGAAGGATGTGATTGATGGTCGTCGCCAACAAATCGCCGAGGCCGAGGCGAAGAAGCGCGCGGAGAAGGAGGAAGAGCTCGCGTGGCGCAGGGCAAACGAGGAAGACATGGAGCTCGCGAGGCGTCAACTCGACGAGAAGCTTCGCATGGCGACCGAAGCGAGTCTCCGACATCGGGCAGAACTAGAGGCTCAAATTAGCGAACGAAAATCCAGATTAGGCGACGGAGACGTATCGTCTGCATTTGTCGATGTCGACGTCGAACGAAACGAGCGATTCGCTCGACGTTTCGCCGAAGAGAAGCAGACGTCGAAGGTGTATTCTTTTTAGACTCTTTGGAGGAAATGTAATTATCGATGCATTGAGCGCTGTGTATCATTCGCCGAACCCACGGTGCTGGAGCTGCGACTTTGGCGGCGCGATCCAAGGTGGGTGGAAATTCATTCGAACCGTCGCCGGCTCAATCTGATGCGGCATCGTGAAAAGCGAGACGCACGGATAGTACGTACCTGGTGTGATTTCGTTTACGAACGCACGTCCGAGAGACAAACCATTGAGATAAAACTCGATGTACGATGAGTCACGCCGTCGTAGTCGGCGTGAAATCCTCGCGAACCAACTTTGCGCGTCTGAAATCTCGAGATTTAGACAAACGCCGACGACGTCGCCCTCCTTCACGCGCGCGTCCGCGTACGGCGCGGGCGCTCGATCGTGCACCACGCTCCCTGTTCTCTGAATGAACGCGTACCCGTGCGCGTCCGCCCCCACGGAAGCGTCCAAATTCGCCTCCCGCGAAGCCACGCCGACGCGCGCGAACCCCGTCGCCCCCAGGCGTTCCAACGCCGTCTCGTAGTACGCCACCCCGCGGTCGACGCCCGTGCACTGCGGTCCTCGCGCGGCTCGATGTCCGCACCGACTCGAAAACGTGCATCCCTCGCGTCCCTGGCTCGCGCACCTTCCCCCCGCGCCCACCGAAGTCGCCATCCTCGCCAGCCTCGAGGCCTCGTTCTGTCGTTTCGACTCCCCGAATCGCGATTTCGCACGAGGGCTAGGGTTTGGGTCGGCGGGCGGTGCCGACGGGTCGATTCGATCGTCCGTCGTCGTCGTCCGTCGTCCGTCGCGCCGCACACGCGCGCGACGGACGCGCGTCGGCGCCGAGGGAACGCGCGACCGCGTCGACGATGACGGGCGGCGCCGCGCGACGCGCGCTCGCGCGGGGCGCGCGCGCGATGGGCGCGATGGGGACGACGACGACGAGGACGACGACGACGACGACGACGCGCGGCGCGACGCGGACGATCGCGCGCGCGATGGACGATCGCGCGATGGGAAGACGCGAGATGAGCGCGCGCGGTGGGTGGGAGACGCCGGCGCGCGAGCGATGCGCGTGGACGCGGGCGCTCGGGAAGGAGGGGTTCGGAGGAGGGGCGCGCGCGCGTGGATTCGCGAGTGAAGGAAAACCGGAGGACGAGACGACGGCGGAGGACGAGAGTGGGGAGGACGCCGAGGGCGATGGAGAGGGCGAAGATGAAGTCTCGCGACTTCGCGGGGAGCTGGAGGAGAAGGACGCCAAGGTGGCTGATTTGACGGATAGGATTCTGAGAACCATGGCGGAGATGGAAAATTTGCGCGAACGCACGCGTCGTCAAGCCGAGGATGCGAAAAAGTTTGCGATTCAGGGGTTCTGCAAAGATTTACTCGACGTCGCCGATAATCTCGATCGCGCCATCGCCACGGTGACCGTAGACGACGATGAAAACGACGTGGAGAAGGTGAAGACAAAGCTCAAGAGCTTTCATGAGGGCGTGGTGATGACCGAGAAGACGCTGTTGTCGGCATTTAAAAAGCATGGTGTCACAAAGTTCAACCCCGAAGGCGAAGAATTCGACGCCAATTCGCACATGGCTCTTTTTAATGTCCCTATACCCGAAGGTTCCGACGCTAAAGCGGGCACGGTGGCGGCGGTGACGAAGACGGGATACTCGCTCCACGAACGCGTGATTCGCGCGGCTGAGGTAGGGGTGTATCAGTGAATGAAATAGAACAACAACGCGCTTACTGCTAGCATAGCTTACATAATAAAGTACAAATCAATTACTACTAAGTTTATGGAGGATCACAAGCCTGTCGGGGAAAAACGCACGTCTCGCGCGGACGTGAACGCAGCGTCGTCCTTCACCTTCGCCTCGGCTTCGGCCTTCATGCTTTGCGCCGCAGCGACTACCGTGGGGTCGCTATCAGCCTTCAGTATGATGATCGCCGCGCTGATATCCGGCAGAGAAATGTATGTGGGATCGAGTCGAAGAACTTCGGTTAAGAAGTGACTCAGAGCCACTCGAACCGCCGCGACGGAATCCTCGGCGAGCATGACCAACAGCGGTAACAATTCATCTACCACGAATCGTTGCTCGACTTCTCTCGCGAGCGCGAGGCAAATGTTGATGTATGCTCTGCGGTCGGACCATCTGTGACTCGTGGCGAGTAGTTTAATGGAAGACATCGCGTTCACGATGGTTTCCGAGTACCACGACAATTCCCTCGCCGCGTTGAAGAGAACTCTGCCAGCGATCTCGACGGTTTTCTCGCGCACAACGGCCGCGGTGTCATCTAAATACGCGAGCAAGATTGGCACGATAAACTCAGCAGTAGCCGCACCAGACAACAATTCGGCCACGGGGAGAATCTGTTTGGCCAACGCAAAACGAATCCTCCAATTCCCGATCTTTTCGGCATCCTCCGACTCAAAGGTCGACAAAAGTCGGATCAGCGAAAGCCGAGACGCCGAACCGATGACGGCGAAGATTTCACTCAAATGTTCAATCACACCGATCTTGACTTCGTCAGTGTCTTCTAGAAAACTCTCCAACACTGGTAGTAAATCTTTCTCTGCGTTGTCTCGACCGATGATGGTCGCTATCTCGTGAAGCGAACAACCCAACGTTCGACGGACTCTCCAATTCAAGCTTGCGGCTAACAATCGAAACGCCGGGCGTAATTCTGTCCATCTCGCTGATGTCAACGAGAGCACCACGCCTGGTAGGTTGTATGCGCAAGTTTCTTGTAGCGCGCTGCTGCTTGTCGAACTCTCCGCCATGCTCGTGAAGTAGTCCACAAAGATAGTCGGCACCTCAACAGAGCTCAACGCGAAAATAAGTTGCCCGAGCTGCTCCAACGCTGCTGTACGCACTTTGAAGCTGACGTCATTGGCCAAAGGCTCGAAAGTCTCCGAAGCAACGTCGAGCATTCTGTCCGTCGGCACCGCTCTGACGAGTTGCACGACGTGCTTCGCGCATGTGGCTCGGACTGCCCATACACTGTCCCTGGACAAGCGCGCAAACGTCGGCAAAGTCGATTCCAACGTGTCGTTAGCATCTAAAATCTCAAATGTGTCGCTCAGCGCGGAGGCGACGGCTTCTCTAACTCTATATTCTGCGTCACTCGCCAAATTTAACAGACTCGGCAGCAAATCACTTTTCGTCATCTCTACGCCGACAACAGCTGCTAATCTCCCCAGCACCTTCGCCGCACTCATTCTAATTTCTTCTTCATCGCTCTCCGAGAACGATTTCAACGTTGGAAGCAACAAACTGCGTTGCTTCTCGGGTGACAGCAACGAAGCCACTGCGCCGCACGTTTGTTCTGCGGCGCTGACAACCTCCTCGCGATCATCCTCTATCAACATAAAAGTCACTCCGAGCAGTTTAATCGCGCATACATGATCTAATCTTTCGCTCAACCTCCCCACACACGCTGCGAATCGGTCGAGTTGCTCGGCCACGCTTCGGCGCACATCGTCGTCATCATCCTCGGCCAGCTCTGCGATTAAATCGATTGGGAACGCCCCAACGTCGTCTTCTAGCGTCCGTTCGCACACGCGCGACAGTGCAGCGACGTGATACAACCGTTGACTCGCGACGTGGCAGTCTCGGCAGTATTTAGACGTCAAATCGAGCTCGGAAGACCCGGGGACGTCGTTGGAATAATCGTCTGCCAACACCGCGCGGTCGTCGTCGACATCGACGAAACGCTCGAGTTCGAGCACGGTATCCAGGGAAGAAGCCGCGGGACGATCACTCGTCGAGCTGGCGTCGCGGTCAGCGCCGTCAAGGGCGTCTGACATCCTCGCTGGCGCCGCGGCGCGCTCTGCGGCCAAAAGGCGAACGCGCGACACGCACCGAGTCGCCAGAGCGACGGGGCCAACACTGCGAGCAAGATAAAAACTAAATCAGGCGTGAGACGCACGGCGAGCGCGTTTGAGAAGGCTGCGCGAGGCGTGGCGAGCGCTCAAAGTACTGTTTTGATTTCGCTGAACGTTTTCTAACAAAATCTCTATCCCAAATATCACACCCTCCTCGCTGACACTGCTCCTAAGTTGGCTAAGAAGACCCAGACATTTATTCGTCTTCTTCGCTGCGGAGACGAGCAGACGCGTTCGTCACCTTCACGTTGAGTTGACGAGCGCGCTCGACGATGGCCGCGCGGTTGCGGGTCGCGACGTTGTGCGCAATCTCAGCGCAGTACTTGCGGTTGTGCATGAGAAGGAGGTCGAGATCCTTGACGTTGTGGACAACGAACTTCAAAAAACCGTTCGGCAACAAGTGTCGCGTCTTCTTCGCCGAACCGTAACCGATGTTGGGCATCGGCGGCAAGCCCTTGAACTTGCGGCGCTCGCGAGAGTCAATACCCTTCGGGCGTCTCCATGACGTCTGTGCATCGTACAAAGCCGACAAGCGATCATTCGGTCAGTCTCGCGCTCATTCAAGGTCTTATCTCGCCTTCGATCGAGATTCCATCGTCTCTCGTTCGTTTTCGACGCCGTCGTGTCCACCCGCGCGCGGCGCCTTCCGCGCTAGGGTCTGTCCTCCTCGCCCGGACGTCATCGCGTTCTCAACCACCCTCGCGCGTCGCGCGGCGCATCATCGCTCTCGCCGCGCGCGTCGACGCCATTCGAATATTTCGCATCGTTTTCTATCACGTACGTTCGCGATGCGCTTGTACCGATCCGACTGGTACTTCTTGAACGTCTTCGTTCGCTTCTTGACGATCTTGTGCTTGATGAGCGGGGTCACCATGGCTGCTCGCGAAACACGCGTTTTCACGCGTTCACACGTCGTCAGTCACCGATCGCGCCGCGCGAACGAAATACTTTTCACCCAGCGCCGTCGTCGTCTGCACCACCCGCGCTCGCGCCCGCGCGCGCGCCCGCACGCAGTCGACGACATCGCGCTGCACCGTGACCCTAATCGCGCGCGCTCGGTTCGCGCGCGCTGCACGCGCGATCGACGCGCCGTCCGCGCGCGCGCGCCGATGCATCGATGGTCACCGCGTCGTGCATTCGTTCCGCGCGCTCGCATCGTTCGCGCCGCACCTCTACTCCGCGCGCGTGTGAAAGACGGACGGCGTCGCGGCGACGCGCGACGAGGCGCGCGAGGCGAGTCTTCCTCGCGCACGTCGCACACGGACCAACCACCGCGCGCTTTTTTCCCTTATCGATCTCGACTCAAGGGAAGATCCATCGTCGTATTCGGTGAGGAAAAGCGCCTTCAAACGGTTCGATTGGGAAATCGTGCGTCTGACTGCGCGCCAGTGACTCGGCCGTTTTGGCCGCGGTCCGCGGATTGACGCGGCGTCGGACGCGCGGGGGACGCGCGCGGCAGAGCGCGCGGTAGAGCGCGTGCGAACGCGACGAATCCGTCGATCGACGCGACGACGATCGAACGCGCGCGGGCGACGTCGATCGCGCGCGTCGGACGCGCGGACGGACGCGGACGAAAATACGTCGTGGACATCGGGGCGGCATCGTTCAAATTCGTGCGCGCGACGGGACGGGACGTGCGCGAAGAATTCAGCGGTGATCGGCTCGACGCGTTGAGGGCGGCGAGAAATAGGACGTAGACGTCGAACTGGACGGAGACGATGGGGAAAGAGGCGCGCGCGCGGTCGATGGCGAGGGTGGAGAAGGTTTGAACGCGACGCGAGCGGGACGACGACGACGCGCGGGATGAGGACGAGCGATATGAGGTCGTTTCGTCCATCGCGTGCGATTTGGTTGGTTTTATTCCTAATCACGGTGGCGGCGTGCTTCGCGTGCGGCGCTCGAGGATTTGAGATTCCAGAGGTGGAATGGATGTATCCGAGCGCGGGACACGTGGGCGGCGGCGAAGTCGTCACGCTCTCGAGTAAGCAGCTGGCAGCGGTTCAGAATATACCAGGGGCAGAGCTCACGTGCAAGTTTGATAATGAGTTCGTTCGGGCGTATTACGTAGACGCCGAGACGGTCAAATGCACAGCACCGTCACACACGGAGGGTTTCGTAAACGTCGAATTCGCGCTCAACAATGAAACGGGAGACTTTTTGAGAACAAAAGGATATCAATTTGTGAGTGGCGCCAAGGTGGACGCCGTGAACTCTGTGTATGGTATTTCAGGAGGTATCGTAGACGTATTCGGTGCTGATATGCACGTGTCGCAGTACTGTCGATTTGGCGACCTCACGACTACTGGGCACATCGTCTCGTCTGGTTTGATGAAGTGTGAATCACCTTCGATCGACAAGGGAACCGTCGCTGTGGACGTGTCTTTGACTTCCTCAAACTTTTTCGAGGCTTTCAGTAGCGTCCAGCACATTTATATCGGCGCGCCGTCGATAAGTCGCGTCAGTCCAGCAGTCGGTACTGGCGAAGGGGGCACGTTGGTGACGCTGACGGGACAAAATTTTGCGCCGACAAGTTTGTTGCGGTGTCGCTTCGGAGCAATTGAGGTCTCCGCGATTTACCAGAATGAAAATACATTGGAGTGCGCGACGCCTGCATCTTCTTTAGCGGCTAAGCCCCTGAGCGTCTCGATGAATCATCGAGACTATGTGACATTCTCAAACTCGTTCACTTTTCTATCGAGTCTCGTTGTCGATGCAATCGCGCCGTTCCAGGTCTCTTCGGCAGGATCTTCCCATGTGTCTATCACGGTACAGAGTGTCGTGCAAACACCAGAGCTTGCGTGTAAATTTGGCTCGCATAAAGTTCCAGGTCTCGCGGGAACCAACGCTGTGACCTGCGTAGCTCCAGCTGGAATCGGTTTTGTCTCCGTTGCGGTGGCCTCGAACGGTCAAGATTTCCAATATTCCGTCTTTGCATCAGACAGTGTGCAGCTTGAATTAAAGGACGTGATTGAAATTACTAGAATAGCGCCCAGAGTTGGTGCCATAGGAGGTGGAACATTAGTCCACATAGAAGGGGAGCATTTGCTGCAAGACAATCCTGTCTGTAGGTTTGGTACGACTACCGTAGCGGCAACACATGTTTCCTCGGCGTTGATGATTTGCGAAACGCCTAGCATGTTTGAAGGTGCATATGCACTGGACGTATCGGTAGTAGCAACCGCAGTAGAATTAGCGATGAAGCCGCAATTTTTGTTTGATCCACCTCCAGTGGTCACGGCTCTATCACCATCAATGGGTTTAGTCGAGGGCGGTACCACAGTCACAGCTGCCGGGCACTCTTTCAGTGATTCACACGATCTCGCGTGTAAGTTTGGCTCAATTGGTCCTGTCGTGGGCGAATGGATCGCTGCAGATGAATATAGGTGCCTAGCGCCTGCGCACGTAGAGGGTTGGGTGAATTTTGACATCGGCATGGTCAGCGAGTTCGGCGCCATGTTTGCTGATGGTCCGCAGGTGACTTTCTTGTATACTACTGAAGCGTCAGTGACCACAATTATAAACAACGATAATAATACCGCAACTGTGACTGGTACGGGATTTGTTCCTGGTCAAGATGTGTATTGCAATCTTGGAAATGGTGACGCCTTGGTCCCAGGCATCGTCCTCAGCGATGGTTCTGTTCTCTGTGGGTTACCCGAAGATAACAACGGCGTAAACGAGTACGATATAAGAATTGTCGATAGCTCCGGCAATAACATCGTCTCCAGTACCGATGCAAATGATATTTTAACGAGGAAGGTGTTGCTGGATCACTTGCTTCCGCTGTCTGGCCCGTCCATCGGTGGGACAGCCATCGTGGTGTATGGTGATCACTTTTCTCCCTCTTCTTTGTGTCGATTCGGTACATTAGCTCCATTCCGTGCAGCGTTTATTTCACCCTCGCAAGTGATGTGCGAATCTCCGAGCATGGAGGTCGGATACCATGACCTTGCAGTCTCAAACAATGCCTTTGATTGGTCGGTTCCAGGCTTACCGTTTGAGTTCATGAACACATCTTCCTCGGTCATACATCGGGTAGTTCCCAAGACTGGGCCGTCTCAAGGTGGTACTATTCTTTCATTTGATGGCCTGGCGTTTCGAAACGACGTTTCACTGGCTTTCAGGATTGGAACCATTTCGAATGTTCTTGGACGATGGTTGTCCATGAATGCGGCGTCTTGCGTCTCTCCTGCGCACAGCGCAGGTTCAGTCCCAGTCAACGTGTTCCATCACAATACTGCGTTTGAAATTAAGCTGAGTCAATCGGCGGCTACATTTGAGTACAAGGTGATCGCGACGTTGTCATCAATGACAATACCAGAATCGAGTTTTGTTACCGGCGGCACCTCGGTGACTTTGTTCGGTGAAAACTTCTACGGAAGTCATCTTTCGTGTAGGTTTGGTTCAACCACTACGAATGCATTCATCTTCGGATCAAATACTGTTTGCAATGCTCCGGCGTCTAAATCTGGATTCACGGTGATCGATGTCTCTATGAACTTGCAAGATTTTACGTCGTCAGCTCTCGAGTTCCATTATGTTGCCAAACCGAAACTCATGAGAGCGACTCCACTCACATTCCCAACGATTGGGGGAAGTTTGGTATATGTGACGGGATCCAATATGATCTGGGGCGGTACGAATTACAGTGCTTCGTGCGGTTACACGACAAGTGCAGGTACTGCAAAGTCATCTATACACGTAATTTCTTCGGCGCTCGTCGTGTGTGTGACGCCCGAAGGCAAGGATGACACTGCTTTACAACTTGTATACAACGACGTGGAACAAAGTGCGGATTTCCAAATAACTTTCATTCTTCTTCCTGGACTCGAAATAGATCACCCAGCTGCGCGAGGATTGGAAGCCGGCGGTGCTGTGGTTGACATCTATGGAGACTTTTCCACGGATTTGAGCGTAATATCATGCAAAGTTGGTACGATCTCTGGAATTTCCCTTACGCAGGGTTCATCCGAAAAAGTTGAATGTATCCTGCCTGCCCATTCACCTGCGACAGTTCCAGTGACTGTGGCTATGAATGAGCGTGACAATGCGGCGACGACACTTCTGTACGAATACATTGCCAACATAGATCTCACTGAGCCATACCGCACGTCGGTATCGTTAGATGGGGGATCTTTGGTGGAGCTTATGATTTCACCGAGCACATTGCCTTCTTCGCTAGCGACCTTACCAGTCGCTTGCGTGTTCGATCTTCACGCGGCAGTTGCAAAAGTGGAGTCAAACGGTCTCGTTTTGTGTCTCGCTCCAGCGCACAGCTCCGGTTTTGTCGCTGTTGGGGTGCAAATTCACGACGTGAGCGTGTGGGATTCTTCGCAAATACAGCTCAGTTATGAACCTCATGCGCAGATTACTAATTTGCAGCCGTATGATGGCGCAGAAGCTGGAGGAGAAATAATAAAATTGACTGGCGTTCACTTCAACGAAGTCACGCACAACAAGTTTGTTTTTGGAAGCACCAAATTCTCTCCGGTACAGTTTGTGTCAAGTGCTCTAGTTGTGATCGAGCAACCAGCGAATGATGCTGGCTCTGCAGTTCTCAGTTTTCTGTCAAGTGGTTCAACAAGCCTCACGGACGATGAATTTGAGTCCTCTGGTATTGTCTTTGAGTACATCAAGGAGGAAGATAATCCTTTACACGTGTCGCCTCAAGAAAGTAACGAAGATGGAGGGTCTATTGCGATAATTTACTACAAAGTTGATCCGTATCAGCAATCATTTGACAATTGTGCTTGCAAATTCGGAAGTCTTGGTCCCATCATCGGACAACTGACCGGGAATGGTCTAGAATGTCGAGTTCCCGCGCACATCGCGGGTACCATTCCCATGTATGCTCGTTTATTCGGTGAGATGTTCACGTCGGTGAAACAACCTTTCAGCTATCACGAAACCGTCGAAGTGTCTTCCTCGGCGGTGTATCCGTCATTCGGATCCGTGAGTGGAGGCGTTGCTGTTCGTATTCTCCATGAAAACCCAATGGAAACTTCTATTAAGTGTCACGTCGCTGGATTTTTCGTCTCAGCCACGTCCATCTCCACGAATCCTTATGTATCTGAGTGTATCATGCCCGCGTACGCCCCAGGGTTCGCTCAAATAAGTTTAGGTGCCTCACCTGGGAAAGATGAAACCGATTCGTTGTTCTTATTCCAACCTGATCCGATTCTAGTGTCAGCATACCCAACTTTGATCAGTAATTCTGGTGGTGAATTAGTCACTATCAGTGGTGAAGATTTGCTCGATGTGGCTGGTGGGTCAGTGCAGTGCTACTTTGGCGACGTAAATGTGCCCGCAAAAGTTCATTCGTCGACCTTGGTGACGTGCGAGTCACCGTACTTCTCCAATAACCAAGGAAGAATTGCGTTATACGTCGATACTGGTGGAAGCTTGAACTACGACGAAATGGGTACAACGTCCATCAGTTACATTCCCGCTCCGACTCTTCTGGATATCTCCGCGGAAACGGTGGCAACCTCTGGAGGTGACACGATACAAATTTCCTCGCTAACTTCTGTCGGAATACTTGAAGAACTGGTGGATGCGCCCGCTGGACACGTGGGCTCAATCGGCCCGATGTATGTGCGAAGCTCGGGAAGTAGCTTTGAATTCGTGACTCCGGCGCACTCACCGACGTCGCCCGATGCCATCCGGGTCTGGCTGTCATCTCACTTGACGTCTTCTTACTTTACCAATTTTGTCTTGATTTATTCCGAGGAGGATATGACGGTCATGCATGTCGTGCCAGGGAGAGCTTCGAACGAGGGCCTTGCTGACGTAGTCCTTGAAGCCACCGGGCACAGTTTGAGCTCGACGCCAAAGGGATGCATGTTTGGGTTATTTCCCGTTCTATCGTCACAGGCTGTTCGGACATCTACGTGTTCCGGCGGTAATCAAAGAGACTGTGTAAGATACACGCTCAGCTGCCCCGTTCCGATTCTTTCGGCGGGATTTGTGGAGTTATCTACCATAGGTCTCGACGGCGTCGGGGTAGACTTTGACATCTTTGTGCCGCCTGTTGTCACAAGCATGGTTCCGTCGGTCGGGTTCTACAGTGGATCCTCCGTGATCCACGTTGCCGGAGAACACTTGCACGAGTCAAGTTTCTGTCATTTCGGTGATCAAAACACCACAGCGTACGCCATTTCGTCCGCTCTCAGTGTGTGTACTTCTCCTGTCCTCAGTGGGAATTCGCCCATGGTTTCGCTTGGCGTCAGTCCCCGAGATGATGAAAATTATATTTCCGAGATAGTTGCGGCGTTCCAATATTTGGATGACTTCGACTTTCTTAGTCAGAGTCTGGAAAACCCATATCTGTCGGAAAACGGAGGCAATCTGTTCACTTTTCATATTGGAAACTTAGCGGAAGACGCCACCGAACAAGAAATCTTCTGTCGGTTTGGCACTATAGGTCCAATCAGCACCTCGGAACAGCGTTCGTCGACGTCTGTCACTTGCATCTCTCCTGCTGGGCTCAATGGTACTGTGGTTGTTGGCTCTTTGACGTACAACTCAAAGGATTACGCATCGGTTGGTAGCTTTGAATATTTCACTCCACTCGTCCCATCTTTTGTCTCGCCGAAGAGGAGCGTTGCGGCCGGAGACACAACGTTGAAGTTGATGTCCAACAGTGCAATATACTTGCCACACGGCGCGTACCTAGGCTGCAAACTACATGGACAGGTCGCGCAGGCGACGTTTGAAGATCAGCGAACGATCACTTGCGACACGCCGCCTTCTGGATTCGGTTTTACTGTTCTTGAAATCATGGTTTTGCCCGACGCTGCAACACCGATTGGATTTGAAGTTTTCATGCCACCTGTCGTTCTCAATGTTCACCCTAGTATTGGTACGGCTAGCGGAACAACCGTACTCCATGTCGACGGAGATAATCTGCACGAGTCTGGCTATTGTTACTTTGGCAACGAGCAAACAAGCGCGCACGTGGTGTCGTCTGCGCTTGGACTTTGCATCACTCCACCTTGGTCTACTGAGCGCCGAGTGGGCATTGGAATGGCTCCTCGTGACGATCCGGGTTTTATTTCAAGTTACGGTACCGCGTTCGAGTACATTGACGATTTGATGATTTCCGCTGTGTCTCCCGAGACAGGATCGGAGAACGGTGGAACCACGCTCTCGGTGTCTGTGAATGGCCTGACCGATGGCGCGCGTTACAGTTGCCGCATCGGCACCTTCTTTCCAATTACGTCATACAACACTCAAAGCGACGTCCTTACGTGCATCACGCCGGCACGAGGATTAGGAATTGCAGATATTAGCATTTCTGGGAACGATCGTGATCTTTCGACCATCAACACGGCAACGTTTGTCTACCAAGTTCCACCAAAAATTTCTGGTATCATTCCGAAAGTTGGTCTGAGCGGTAGTCGAAGCCCCATTTTCATAACTGGTTCAAATTTTGTCAATACTTCCAGTTTAACGTGTCGATTTGGACAAGAGCTTGCGACAGCAACTTTCTTGTCATCCAGATCTATTCTTTGTGTTGCGGGCGTGGAGCAAAGTGGCACTCGTACAGTGTTCGTCGAAGTCTCCACAAATGGAGTCGACTTTTCAGAACAGCGACTGCTGTTCCATTTCGCACAATGTCCGTCTGGATCGTACTGCCCTGAAAGTGAAGCCATTTTATGTCCACGAGGCGCATTCTGTGGCGGTGGAAAAAATTTCACCTTATGCCCGCCAGGGACGTTCCAACCCAGAACCGGCCAAGCTGACTGTCTTCCAACGCCAGTGGGCTACATTTCGCCAGACGCGGGCTCAATGATCCCGATCATTTGTCCGAGGGGTGCGGTATGTGACTCTACTGGCCTTACTGTACCGAATAAACTATGTCCACCCGGCCATTATTGTTTGGAGGGTACGCGAACGAGTAACTTTACTGACTTCACTGTTGCCGAGCGGCCACTACCTTGTCCATTTGGCATGTACTGTACCGCCGGTGTTGTGTCGAGTGCGAGTATCGCATACAATTTCACCACTCCACAGCAGTGCTATGCCGGTTATGTTTGTGAACCTGGTTCTATCACACCGCAAGGCGTAGGTCCGTGTCCTCCAGGACATTACTGTCCTCCTGGTCAGCAGTTGAGATGCCCAAAGCGAATGTATTGTCCAGGTGTCGCCAACGCCGAACCGAAACCATGTCTTCCCGGCGAGTACAACTCCGATTATGGCAAAGACTCATGTCAAAAATGTCCAAAAGGCACGATTTGCCCAGGTTTTGCTCGTGAGGCGCCCGAAGTGTGCACACCCGGCTTCGTGTGCGACACTGAAGGTCTGGCCGTCGCAGGTACCCGTTGTCCCGCCGGACATTACTGCCTTGAAAATACCGTCACCCGTGATCCTCTCGCAATTATTGATGTGGCAGCTATTGTCGATGCATCTCCAATTGCGTTGAACGTTGACAACTTCCGACCAAAGCCGTGTCCTCCCACGACGTTCTGTACGGAGGGTGTAACAACTTCGATCGTGTTGGAGGGTTCTTTCAAGCAACCGCAGCCGTGTAAGGAAGGAAGTTTCTGCGAATGGGCTACAGGGGATTCCACTGTGGTTTCTGAATCGGCGACGGATGTATATAATCCAATGAGACCTTGTACCGAGGGTCATTACTGTCCGAAACGTACTTACATTCCGATTCCAGCGCCGCGCGGTTCATACACATCTGGACAAGGTAACTCCGCAGCCGTTACATGTCTTCCGGGCACCTATACGCCTTACGAAGGGTTCCAGGAGTGTCTAACATGCGCTGCAGGCTACGAGTGCGTCGACGAAGGCACATTCAAACCAACCGCATGTCCTGCAGGTTATTTCCGCTCTGCGCGGGACTCCATTGCGTGCCGTCAGTGTCCGAAAGGAACCTGGTCGTCATCTATTGGCTTGACCGAAGAATCGTTATGTTTGCCGTGTAACTCAGGACTTGTGTGCGCCATTGATGGCATGAGCAATAACAAACCTCGTGGGCAAGGTACAGCTGCGTTAAACGAGTACTCTGCTTATTGCGATGCGGACAACACCGAGGCTTACGACGCCTCCAAGTGTGTTCTTTTACAACTCGATCCAGAAGGTGAAGCGGATTTGTGTCCGGAGGGTTACGTGTGCGACGCTCGAACATCGATTGCCGAACAAAAGTGCCCCGACGGATACTTCTGTGGACCGGGTACTACTCCGGAAACACAATTTTTCAACAAATGTCCCGCTGGTTACTACTGTCCCGCTGGAGCGTCTTACTCTACGCGTACTCAGTTCCCGTGTCAAGCTTGCTTCTTCTGTCCGACGGGAACTGGACAAGTGCTCAACCGATGTCCCACAGGGACGGCGTCGTCTCCGTCGGCACAAAGTTTGGACGAGTGCTCTGCAGATTTGATCACTTTCTGGAGAGTCATGCCCGTCAGTTTTGACTTGATTGAGAAAACATATTACAAAACAATCAACGCCACAGGTCGTGACACTGAATGGCTTCGGGAAGTAGAGAGCCAAATCGCTGCAGGTCGCACTCTATTGCAGATCGATACGACGAACACTTCTAGTTCAAACGCGACAGGACCCACCGACCCATTTGACTACATGGGCATGGGCAGTTGCACAAACAAAAATTGGGAACTCCTGAACCCGACATTCATTCTGTCAGATGACAACAGCATCGCCGCCGTTGACGAGAACAATATCCCTTTGATGAAGTTCACTCTACCTCGAGGTCATACGGCCAAATTGAGGCTTGATTGGCGGACAATCAACGAAAATCTGAAGTACGGCGAACATTACGAGCTGCTTATTTTCACAAATCCAGTGATTGATGACACCTTGTGCCCTGCAAGCGAATACAAGTCCGTGCCATGCCCGCCATGGGATGTAGGCGATGGCATAACATGGCTGAATATGAAGGTCATAGCCGGTGAGGAGCAGGAAAAGAAGTGTCCCGCTTCTCAAGAATCTTTAGAGTTGCCGTTCTGGTTTGCGAGAAATAGCGATGGTACTGCGACGGGCTACAACGTTGAGAATCCAACTTTTGGGAACTACGTTTGGAAACGCGGTATGCACGAACTATCCATTCAAGCTTTGGATGATTTGCCTTTCAGAATTGAACTGAGAATGCTGGATGGTAGATATCAAGAGGATAATCGTGCGTCGTTCTTGAACAGTATTTGCATCGACGTCGAATTTCCAGAGCGTGCAAGTGCAACGCCGACGTATTCCGTGCACGCCATTTTGCCATTCGAAATTGACGAAGAGTATCAAGCGCCCTTGAATGCTCCTGTGGCCTCGACAATGTATCGATCAGTGTCGACCGATTACTTCGAGTGCGCCAATATTAACCAAGATCCTGGTTGTAGAAGGCTTGATGCCCGTGCCGCCATCGATTACAACTCTACGTATGGTGCGGAGTGGAAGAAGTTCAAATATCTGCGACAGCAAAACGTGCTAACAGCCGAAGATTCTCCCAGCCAAGCGCACATTGATTTAACGTCGACGCAAGCAGAGGATTGGGTGATAGTGAACGAGGATGGCCAAACCGACGAAACTATCACTCTTTCACTTCCAGACGTGTACGAGCAAGAAAAGTATCTGCTCAATGAAGGTTTGTGGGCGGCTGACCAGACGCTGTTCGCGATGGACTACTTGCCTTTCTTTTCTGCTTGCCGCGGATTCGACAGTCATATTTTCTTTTCGCACCTCACTGAAAACCCGTACAAGCCCGTCACGTTTGGCGAAGATCGCACGTTTGTCAGTTATGGTGAGACCACGTTGGTGCCAAAAGAAGAAACAGTCTTCATCAATCAATACTCTCCGCAAGTTCAAGCAGCAGTTGCAGATGAGCTCGAGTTAACCATCGATTGTTTCTATGAAGAGGCCTACACAGAAGCTTCAGCAAAGAAGCGTTGGTACGAAGCTGAGGGTGACACCTTGTTCTACTTGACAGCGGAGGCTGAAAGTCAAGACGCTCTTTTCGAAGCAAGCGCCCTGGCGAACGACCAGACGGAGCCAGCCGCAAATAAAGAGAAGTACATGGCCGATATCACGGCGCAAGAAAATATTCCTGTGATTTTTGCGCCCGTCGAAGGATTCGTTTTGACGGCTGGTTTGATGCCGACGAAGGTTGAATTTGAGATCTTGTACTATCAATTCACCGACTCAGACAAACGAATCATCGCGGCCACGGTGACGATGGACGAATACGTATCCGCTACGGCTCACGATGGTACTTACACGCTTAGCGTGGCGGTATCAGCGCTAGGTTGGTTCGATTTGCTCAATTTCTTTGCTTTTGATTTCCTGTTCTACTTGGCGCTTTTCTTTGCGATCGGAATGCTCGTCGTGTTGTTGATCTTTTCTGTGTGGGTGGTCGTGAGAATCTTCACACTATTGAAAGAACCACCGAGATTCCGATTCTTACCATATCTTCGAATAATGATTGGTCCACCTCTGATGGGTGTCACGCTCGGCATGTTACCGTTTGCGACAGCGCAGTTCGGACTCCGGGCCGTGTTTGTCGCGTTCCCAATCATTACAGAGTTCCCGATCAGTATTGATAATATCGGCCGTGAAATCGATCCAGCTGTCGTAGAAAAAGCGACCGCTGGTCGATACGCAGTCTGCTTTTTGACAGCTGGTATGTATATGATGGGATGCGCCGCCGAAATCTTAGTCCCTGCCGAACTGAAAGACGAAGAAGAGAAGGAATTGGAGGACGAGCGCTACGTCGATGAAGTGATGTTCAAACCAGAAGTCTGGAAACGAAGTCATTTCGTTTTGATGAATATCTTAGTTAACGTGACAAATGTCTTCTTGATTGAGTTCTCGTTTACTGATACGTTCGGTGTCCAGTTCTTTACCATTTTCTTCCTCTTGAAGGTCGCTCACGTAATCATGGAAATGCAGATAGAAACCGCGTTGGGAGAAGCTTTCTTACTCGCTCCAGTATCGGTCGTACTTGCTTCAGCCGTTGGCGTTGCGACGATCGGAGCCGATGACTTTACAGATTTCACCCTTGGTTTCTTTTTCGAGACTATCATGGGTATGGTCGAGTACGTATATCTTGATGCGTTCATCGCGTACTGCGCCCTCGTACTCCCAGACAAAATCAGCGCAGTCGTGAACTACATCATGAATTTGTTACCATTTAACTTTGGTGACGACGATGACGTCGAAGTAGAGGAAAAAATCGATGCAGAAGATACGTTGGTCGAAGATTTAATGGGCTTCCTCGCCGCTTACGGCGTAAACACGGCTGTTAACTACATGACGCCTTTCTTCATTTTCTTTTTCTGGGATTTCAACGACCAGCTGAGACTGTCGTACCTGTACGGTTTCAGAAAGAAGGATCTTTTGATTTATCTTCTCTTCTCTGTCGTGATTATTCCGTTCTGGATTGTCATGGACATCATAACTTTCAACATTCAGGAATTGTTCCATGGCTGGAAGGTGTACGAGTATTTGAAGTACGCTCGATATCGATTCATCAATCGTACGTCGCGATGGAAAGGTTTCGAACGCGTTTACGATGAATCAATTGACCCCGGTCTTCGCGCGATTGATCAAATGTGCTTCTCGAGTCAGTTCTACTTTGTGCTTGCGCTCGGCGGCTCGGGATCTTTCTTGTTCGTCCTCGCTCTCTCCATGATGCTCCGAGCAAACTACAACATGTTTGAAGATATCCTCTTCTGGGCTTGTGTTCTCATGGTTCTCGGCGCATCTTACACGGCAAAGCGTCTCGCCCTCCTCTTGGCAAATCACTTCGGCCTCTGGCGAATCACTTCTTCGATCACGTCTGGGGAAATCATCATCGAGGATTCTCTTGATGAGGATTTTTCTTCCATTTTCGTACCTAAAATGGCAGCCGTGATTGAGGATAGCGGTGGCGACAGCCTCCAAACGATGGATGTCACGACGGCCGACCTCACGAGTGATCAGTTCCGCCATCTTTTCATGTCAAAGAATAGGGACTGGGTCATTGATCAGTTACAAGAAATTCTATCTCCTCGTACTGCAAGGCGGCTGAAACTCGGAAAAGCTGTGCGTCGTAGAATGAAGGCTGGTGAGATGTCAGAGTCAGACTCGGATATGGAAGAAGACTTCGGAGAAGTGAAGCTATCAGTGGGTGCTGAAGCAGCCATGCGAATATGGCTCACACACGCCGCTTCGAGAGCATCTGGACGCGGAGTAAATCTCCGCATGCTCTCTGATACGTCTGAAAGTGAGACAGAGGCTGGTCTCCAACGGTTCCCGCCTGTCAATCTTTCCGAAGCTTCTTCTGCCGCCCTTACGGGTTGGTTGGCTGCGGTTAAGCAACTTCGTGCAAACAGACAATCGTCGCTCACGAATACTGCTGTGTTCTCTTCGACTGACTTCTCGTCGGAAAGTGACACTGATACAGAACCCAAGTACGCCACGACTGAGCACATGAGTCAAACTTCAAAGATGGTCATGCGAGACTGGTTGACGAGAGCGAGAGAGATGCGCGCAAGCGTGCCTCCGTCTGCACCGAAAGCGAATCTTTCGGATGATTCCGGTGATTCGTCTTCTCAGTTGTCCAGTGATTCCGCCTCACCAGAACGCCAACCAGTTTCTTACGTGGCTGCTTCGGTGATGAGTCAATGGTTGCAACGCTCGCGCGCAGAAAAGGAAATGAGCCTCGCGAATACGCCGCTGTCCGGAGGCCCAAAACGCCAAGCGCTCACTTCCGACTCTGGTAGCTCTTCCGATCTTGAGTCATCGGACGATCCGGAGTTGGCATTCGATACGAGACGTCCAAAAACACTCAGCACGGCGTCGGCGAGTATTTTAACTGGCTGGCTTTCGTCTGCTCAAGGAGTGTTCCGAAGACGGTCAAGGGCAGAGGCTAGAGCTGGCAGCGACGAAGACAATGGCTCCTCCCCAGAGAGTCTCAAACCAGAGTAATCGCTGATATGGGCTACATCACCACAACAATTAGCTAAAATACTAGAATCCTATCACTAGAGACTTAGACTTTGCTCGCAGTTTTGGTGCAATAAGGTAAATCCAAACTCTTACTAACTAGATTTCGAGTGACGCGTCGAGCCAGAAGAGTAATTCCTCGTTCGGATCGAGATCGACTTGCACCGCGGTCGCGTTGATTTGACGACGCCCGTTCCAGTCTCGTATCCGCCCTTGCACTCGAGCCAGGCTCCCGACCCGTATGTCCCGCGCCACCGCCGCCGCTCCGTCCGCCGTGCTCGCGATGCCGAACAACTCCATCTGCTCGCCCGACACCGCGTCACCATCTTGCGTCCACACCACGCACTCCACGCACCCCGACCCATCATCCACGGTAAATATCACCTTCGAATCCTTCCTTCGTCGTTTCTCCACCACGAATCCACACACTTCGACCCGCCGCGCGACGAAGCTCGCCTTCGTCTCGCTCGCCTTCGTCCCGTCCCCCTCGCCCTCGCTCGCCCGTCCTCGCATCTCGTACAGCTCGCTCGCCCGTCCATCGTCCACGCCTTCGCCCCCATCGCTCGCGTCGTCCACGATCGCGATCTCTCGCGCCTCGAGCACGTCGCGCACGAAACACTTTGTCGTGCACCAAAACTGTTGCTCCGTCCCCAACCGTTCGGCGTTCGCGCGCGTCACGCGCGCGCGCTCGGGCAATCGCGCGCCGCGGACGGCGCGCGCGGCGTCACCGTCGACCGCGTCCATCGTCGCGCGCGTCGACGCGGCCTCGTGCGCTCGCGCGCGCGCGTCAGTGCGGACGAACGACGCGCGCCTCGGGACACATCGCGACGCGTTCGTCGCGCGCGTCGCCTCGAATGGGCGACGCACCGACGCGCGATGACGCGGTCGACGACGCCGCGTCGACGTCGTACGCGAGCGCGTTCGGGAACGTCGCCCAGGGGTGGAACACGCAGGAGTGGAGCTTCGATTCGCTCACGACGACGATCAGCGCCAAGGCGAGCGAGGCGCTGCAAGAGTTGAACAGCGTCGACGTGCGGGCGATGGCGGAGACGATCGCGGAGCGGGCGAGCGAGGCGGCGAAAGAGCTCGAACAGCGCGCGGACGAGGCGTTCGGGATGAAGGAGGGGACGGGAACGGGGACGGGGACGACGAGCGGGACGAGCGGGACGAGCGCAAAGGACGAGGGAGACGCCGTCGCGGGGAACGCGCCGGCGACGGAGAAAACGCACGAGGTGAAAGAAAAAGCGGCGCCGAAAGCGACGCCGAAAGCGGCGCCGAAAGCGACGCCGAAAGCGACGCCGAAAGTGGCACCGAAAGCGGCGCCGAAAGTGGCGCCGAAAGCGGCGCCGAAAGTGGCGCCGAAAGCGGCGCCGAAAGCGGCGCCGAAAGCGGCGCCAAAAGCGGTTGATAAGGCGGACGAGAGCGATGACGAGGATACAATCGAACCCGACATCGATGGTAGTCGTTTAGAGGCGACGTTGAAGGAGCTTAAAGCGGTGAGAAAGCAGCTCACCGCGCGAGAAGACGAAATCGCCAGGCGAGCGGAACAACGGGCGTCGTTGGACGCCGAACAGGAAGAATACGCCGAGCGCGCGGCGCAGGCTGAAGAGTCGCTCGCCGATGCCGAAGCTCGAGTGCGCGAGCTCACAGAGCAGTGCAAGACTCTTAGAAAACAAGCCGAAGCCGGCGCTGGAGCGGACATGCTCGTCAAGGAGAAGGATGAAATTATCAACGAAGTCATGGCAGAGGGCGAGGCGCTCAGTAAGAAGCAGGCGGAGATGGAAGGTATCATTAAAAAGCTTAGAAAAGATTTGAGAGAGCGTGAAGAGGCCCATCAAGGACTAAGCAGGGAGCTCGAAAGCAAAGGCGCGTCCATCAGCAAGCTCACGGCGGAGTTGAAAGCCGCGCGCGATGAATACGTGGCGGATAAGACTCGTCTGACGACGCAATTGAACGAGCAAAAGGAGTATTATTTATCGAAATTGGCGCAAGCGAAAGAAGAGCTAACGGATGTTGAGATCAAGGCTAATGTGGCGCGAAGCGAGGATTTGGCGAGCGAGCTCAAGATTGTGCGCGAACGCGAGCAGAGTCTGAAGGATCAACTCGCCGACTTGCAACATTCGTTGCAACGCTCGAGCGCGGCTTTGGAGCGCCAGGAGGAAAGGTTCAAGAACGATCTAGCTGCCGTCGAAGAGCGTTGTCAGCTCGCAGAGAGTAGTCACGATGAGTTACTCAGGAGAATGCCCGAAAGCACGCGTCCGTTGCTTCGGCAGATTGAGGCGTTGCAGCTGCAGGCGACGGAGAACGCCGACGCATGGACCGCGACAGAGAGGGCGTCGGCTTTGCGCCTGGCTGACGCCGAATCGCGCGCAGAAGCAGCTGCAGAGCGCGAAGCGACGGCTATAGATGAAAAGATGTCGGCGATGAAGGATACGCAAATCGCGATGAATCGAGCAGAGAAGCTTAAGGCGGAAATTGACGCCTTGAACGCGGAGCTCGAGGTGCAGCGTGCGAAAGCCTCGGCGGAGGCAGTCAAATCGGCCAAATTTAGTGAATCTTTCGCGGAACAAGAGGGTCGACTCTCCGTGGTGGAAGAAGAGGCTCGCGAACGCGAGTCTAAGGTGAAGCAATTGCTCGCACAAGAGCGTGGTAAGCATAAGCAGCTCGGCGAGACGTGGGATCGAGAACGCGCCGAAATGCTCGCAGCTACGGCCAAGCTGGAGAGCGACTTGAAACTCGCGCGCGATGAGGTGGATTCTTTACAAAGCAAATATGATGGCGATCGCGCGAGCGAAAACTCGGCGAAAGCCGCGCCTGCACCCATGCTCACCGGCGGCGAAGCCGGCTTGAGTCTTGCCGTGCGCGATACTTTAGCCGCGCTCAAGAGCCAACTCGCCGCGCGAGACACCGACCTTCACATCGCGCACGACCAGATCAAAAAGTTAGAACAAACGCGCGACTCGCTCGCGAACGAGCTCGTGAAGAGCGAGCAGCTCGCCGACGGCGGCGCCGCCGTCGGCGTCTCCGCCGCGCTGGAGAAGCGTTACGCCGCCGCGCTCGAAGTCATCGGCGAGCGCGAGGAGGAGTGCGACGAGCTCCGCGACCGCATCCAGCACCTCCGTGCGATGTTAGACTCCCAAGCGCAGCGCATCTCTGCGCTCGAGCTCGCCGCGTCGACGTCCTCGAGCCATCAGTAGCGCGCGCGCGGCGTCCGATGTCAGAAATCTCACTCCCGTGGGGCCAAGAAATCCGAGTCCGCCCCGTCGCGCCCGCGCGTCGCCCTCGCTCCGTCTTTCCGCGCCTCGCACGTCGACACCATGGTGGCCACCGCTATAAGCAAGAAGCGCAAGGTGCGTCGAACGCGCGCGGATCTATCGTTGCGCCCGAGCGCGCGCCGTGACTCGCGTCGCGCGTCGCGCGGCGCCGCAACGCGCGATGCCGCTCCGGCGTCGCGCTTAGGGTCACCGTCGCGATCGATCGATCGCGAGTCGACGCGCGCGCGCGCGGACGCCGTCGATCGCGAGCGCGGACGCACGCGAACGAAGACTAACATTACGTCGTTCGTCGACATCGACTCGCAGTTCGTCGCCGACGGCGTCTTCTTCGCCGAGCTCAACGAAATGCTCGTCCGCGAGCTCGCCGAGGATGGGTACTCGGGCGTGGAAGTCCGACAGACCCCAATGCGCACGGAAATCATCATCCGCGCCACGCGCACGGCGAACGTGCTCGGCGAAAAGGGTCGACGCATTCGTGAGTTGACCACGCTCGTGCAGCGCAGGTTCCAGATGGCGGAAGGTTCGGTGGAGCTGTACGCGGAACGGGTGAACAACCGCGGGTTGTGCGCCATCGCGCAGTGCGAGTCTTTGCGATACAAGCTTCTCGGCGGTCTCGCCGTTCGACGGTGCGTGTGTTCTTCGATCGATCGCAAAGAGTGGTCGCGCGTTAATTTTAGTCGTCCGCGTCGACGCGCGACGCGGACGCAGAAGCGACGGACGAGGCGTCCGAGCGCGTGCGATGGGCGCACGTGTTAGGGCTTTGAGAGGTTTTCAAACGCGACGACGCGGCAAAACGAGAGGGCTTTGGCGCGCGCGACGCGAACGCGAGATGATGTGGTCGACGTAGACGAACGCGTGACTGACGATTGACATTTTTTTTGCGTGCGCAGTGCGTGCTACGGCGTGCTTCGATACATCATGGAGGCTGGCGCCAAGGGTGCGGAGGTCGTCGTCTCTGGTAAGCTTCGCGGCCAACGCGCCAAGGCGATGAAGTTCAAGGACGGTTACATGATTTCTTCCGGTAACCCGGTGCGCGAATACATCGTTTCGTGCACTCGCCACGCCTTGCTTCGCCAGGGTACCATCGGTATGCGCGTGAAGATTATGCTCGACCACGATCCGAAGGGCCGCAACGGTCCGTCGACGCCGATTCCGGACACCGTCGTCATCCACACCCCGAAGGATGACGAAGACATGGCCAAGCCGTACGTTGGTAAGGAAATGGAGATGTAAACGGGAAGGTATTCAATCAATACGACTCGGTTACGTGTTCAATCAGTTAGGTGTGTCGAGAAACTCGTGGCGATAGGAGCGGAAGAGCGCGTCGCGCTCTTTGCATTAGTGAGATGAGGTGTGTTTAGAGTGAATGTTTGCAGTAAAAATCACCTTATTCAAATCATCGTGCGCTTATCTTCGTTACATAAATCATTTCCCCGACGCTGCCTTCATCGCTTTTTGAACGTCCTCCGCTCGAGGGCGGGCGTTGTTCTCGCCCGCGGTCTGGCTCACCATCGCGAATAAGGATGGCTTCTTCTTCGGTTCGGACGCGTTCGGTCTCGTTGGTCCCATGTTCGTCGAACCGAAAGCGCGCGCATCTTCATCGCGACCGATTTCCTTGAACGTGGTCGCGGGACCCGAATCGTCGCCTCCCCATTGACTTTGGCTATCCGTTCGGCCGAAGACGTATGAGCGTGAAGCCTGGCTGTTGCCGAGCAGCGCGCCAGTCGCCTTGGTGACTTGTCGTTTCTTACCCAAGAACGTTTTCGATGATTGACGGGCAAGCATTGCAGAACTTCCGCTGCCGAGATGGCTCGACGTACGGACCAAAGCCGCGGGCATAGATTGCGCTCGAGGGAGCGGGGCTTCCCATCCTTCCGCTTGCGTGGTGTCTTGCGACTCGCTGTGGAACGAATTCATGCGAGGAGCCTTGATGGCGGCGTAGACTTCTTGACTGACGTTACCTTCGAACGCATTTGGTAGCTCAAGAGACTCTTGTGTACCGGATTCGTGCAGGGCACGACGACGCTTGGCTTGTTCGCGCCACTCACCGTCGTCGTCGTCCGATAATTCGACGGCCTCTTCGGGACGCTCGATGACGGGACCATAGTCGACGTCATCCGAATCAGATTCCTCTTCGCCGTTAGCATTGCGTCTCTTACGCTGCCACGCGTCTTCAGAGTCGAACAGACCATTCTTTTTGCGTTTGAAACCGTTACCAACCATCTGCTTCATCTTTTCGAGCTCGTCGTCGTCTTGGGCTTGCTGCTCCTTTGCGAAGGCGCGCGCACGAGCCGCGGCACGGCGCTCGTCTTCGGGCTGTTCTTCGCGGAAATCGATAGCGTCGGCGACATCGTCAACGTCATCCTGAATATCATCATCATCATCGTCGTCGGTGTGCCCACCATCTTCGGACATCTCCGCTTCATCTTCAAAGACGTCGCCCGTGGTGGCGGCGGCTCTGTGCGATCTTCTATCCGCCTTGATGAATCTCTTCGCCGCCTTACGCTGCATTCGACGCTCTTCTTCCGTCATATCTTCCTCCTCGGATAAATCATCTTCGCTGTCTTCTTCGGACTCGTCATCCGCGTCCTCTCCGTCCTCTTGTTCGACAAGCGTTGGTTCCTCAGTCATCACCGTTTCGGATGGCTTTTGCGCCACCGCGACTGCTTTCTTTGCCAAGATTTCCTTGAGTAATGCATCGTCATCTTCTTCTTCGTCGTCATCGAGATCGATTTCTACGACTTCGGCTGTCTTTGCTTTAGGTTCACCGTCGTCCGCTTCGTCATCTTCGGAGTCTGCAAGCGGGGCGACGGTGGGCGTGTCCGCCTTTGTGGCTTTGTCGGCCTCTTTTGCCGGCGAGTCTTCTCCCATAACTAGTCCGTCGTGCTTGATGTGCGCCACCGCAGCGCGAAGCTTGTCAATCAACGGTAAATAAGACACGCGCACCACTTCGGCGTCCCAGCCCGGGAATTTCGCCCGTCTTTGCGCTCGTTTCATCATGCGTTCCTGTTCCTTGGCCAACGCGTCTCGTTCCTTCTTCATCTGCTTCTTCGTCATTTTCCTCGGCCGACTACCGCTCGCCGGCACATCATCGCCCGCTACGGGTGATCCAAGCGACGAATCGGACGAATATCCCACACCCACTTCGTCATACGCTCCACGAACGGTCTCCTCTGCCTCGTCCTCGACGTCTTCATCCGTCAACCGCCCCGTCTCGGCGTACTTACGTTCCATCATCATCTCCTCATCCAATTCGCTCTCGCTCGAATCGCTCGAGTCACTTCCATCAACGTCTCGTTCGACGCGTTCACCATTCGCGCGTTTCAATCGTCGTCGTCGTCCTTCGCCTTTCCCTCGCGGCGCCTCGCCTTCGCCGTCCTCTGACCCGTCGCCCTCTCGCGTGTCCTCCTCGCTCTCGCTCTCATCCTCGCGCGTGCGCGCGCGTCGACGGATCCGTCCGAGATATTCCTCATCTTCGTCCTCGCTCGCGCTCTCGTCGCGCGTCGTCGCGCGTCGTCGCGCGTCGTCGTCGACCGCGCCAACGTCCGGAACGTCGATCGTTTCCGTGGTCGTCGCGGCGCCGCTCGGCATCGCGGCGGGCATCGATGCGTCCACGGTCGTCATCGTCGTCGTTGCGATCGTCGTCGTCAACGCTCGCCCGCGCGCCGCGCGCGCGTGCGTGTGCGGGCGCCGGTTTGAATTTGGAATTCAAACAGCCGCGCCAAGGATTTGAATTTTGAGAGGGCGCAGACGTCGAGTGGTCGGGTTGGGTGGTGTGATACGATGTATTGATGATATACTAAGCGCGCGTTGCGAGCGCGGTGCGCGCGAGCGCGCGGTGTGAACGTGTCGAACGGAGAAGACGCGATCACTCGTCGTCGTCGTCGTCGACGACGGCGCGTCGGCGACGCTTGGGAGCGGCGGCTTCAGCTTGGGCTTCGTCAGTTTCGTCAGCGGAACGCTTCTTTTCTGCCGGTGCTTCGACGTCGGCGCTCGGTTGCGCGTCTTCGTCTTCGTCTTCGTCTTCGTCGTCGCTGTCGGCTAAACCGGCCGCCGCGAGGGCTTCTTTCTGACGCGCGAGTTCCTCGGCAGTGGGCGGCGCGCGCGTCTCGGGTGCGGGCTCGTCATCGTCTTCGGAAAGATCGCTCGTGGCCTCACCGACAGGAGCCGCACCGAGACCCTTGGCACCTTTCTTCGTCGGTCGCTCGACAGCTTGTTCTGACATCCATCGCGCTTGGCTTTCTTTGAAGCGACGCTCAGACTGCGCAGCGATGGCTTCGAGTTCCTTGGCGTGCGTCTCCTTGGCGAGTTCTTCGGCAGCTTTTTGGGCGGCGCGGCCTTCTTCGATCGCGCGGCGCGCGGTGAGTTGCGCGTTTTTCGCTGCAGAGATCGAAGCCTCTTCCTTCTGCGCCGCTTCCAAGTGCGGTTTGGACTTGGTGAGCGCTTGCTTGCAGAAGGACACGTGAACGCTCGTGCGTTTGGCGTCGAAACCAAACTCCGCCTGGTTCCCAAGCGTTTGCAATTGCTCGAAGAGCTTGAGCGCAGTGGTCAAGTCTTCTATCGCACTTTCCACTTGCGCCAAACGTCCGTCCGAGCTCGTGCTCTTCATCGTTCTGTTCAACGTGCGCTGCGCCATCTCTTGAATGACGTACGCCAAGTTGAATCGAATTCTGTGGTTCCAGGGCGCGATTAACAACGCTTTGCGAAGAATCTTGCGCGCTTCTTCCAAGTTGCCATTCTCATAATGCGCCCTCGCTTGATAAAGCATGACATTTTCGTTCTGGTTAAAGTAGAACTGGCTTTGAGCGCGCTCGTAAAGCTTGCTCGCCTGCACATATTGCGCCTTGGCCAAGTACACGTGACCTTGGTTGATGAGAATATCCGGGTTGATTGAGCCTTTCGCAGCCATGCCTTCTTGCACGATCTGAAACACCGTCTTGGCTTCGTCGATTCGCCCTCGCTCAGCAAGAATAATCCCGAGACCATTAGCGGCGTAGACGTTGGAACCATTCTTCTGGAGCGTCTTTTGGAACAACGAGTAAGCCCGTTCGTAGTGCTCCTCCTCGCGCTTGAGCACCTTGGGATCGTTTCGCTTGAGCACACCCTCTTTGATAGCGCTGTAATACGCCGCGTTCGCCGCGCTTACCATCGCATACTCGTCGTGCGTCAATGTTTTTTCCTTCGCATTCGCCGCGGCGTCGGGTTTGGGCAAGTTGCGCAGCGCGGCGAATTGTTGCTCCGCCTCACTCCATCGCTTTGCCTTGAGCAAAACCCAACCAGCGAGGGCGAGGGCATCGGCACTATCACTTTTCGCCGCAATGGCTTCATTCGTGCGTTCGAGCGCCATGTCGTAATCGCCCCGTTCGGCCCGAATTTTCGCTTGACGCAAGATGGAATCAATGTAATCCGGTTGCGCGGCGAGGATGGCGTCGTATCGTGCCTCCGCCGCGGCGTTGTTTCCTTGCTGTTCCTCTAATAAAGCCAAGTTGAACGCGATGGGCGCAACGCCTGGCTGTAACGCCTTCTTCGCCTTAGCACCTTTCAGTTTGCCCTCGAGTTGATCGGCATCGCCACCGAGCGCCTGCAGCGCCTCGGTGAACGCCTCGCGCGCCTCGTCGAATTTGCCCAACTGAACGTTCAACACGCCGATGTTGTTCTTGATGGCGGTAATTGGCCCTTCTTCACCCTTGGCAGCTAGCATTTTCAGGGCGGCACTGTAAGCCTTCAACGCAGCCTTCGGATCTTGAGTCTCTAAGAGTTCTCCGAGTTCTAACATCGCGTCGACGTCGTTTCCACCCTGTTTCACTACTTCGCGGAACATCTCCGCCGCCTGCTCGCTTCTACCAGTCGACGCGCATAAATGGGCAAACATTCTAGTCACGGTCATGGACTCTCCGAATTCCCCGTGTGCTTTATCCATGTAGTTCCACGCTAACTTCACATCACCCTTTGCAAGGGCGATTTGACCCAAACCAAAGTACGGCGGCACGTAGTGTTCGTCGAGGTTCGTCGCCGTCAAGTACAACGCTTGCGCTTGAGGCACCTGTCCTCGGGCGTGCAAGGCGCGCGCTTGGTTAAACGCCGCCTTCGCTCGGTTCCTCGGCGTCTCCGCGTTGTTCTGAAGCGCCAGTCGCGTGAGTTTCTCTACTTTTTCGTAATCATCCGCCATGAGCAAATTGTCCGAGATGACGTTGTTCACCGCTTGGTTGTGAGGGTCGTGCATGAAAGCGCGCTCGAGCAGGCGCATGGCCGCAGCTACGGAATCCAAGTGTTGCTGACTACGAATGTCATGCAAGCTCAATTCGCACAGCGCCAAACCGAGCATGGCTTCGACGTTGCGCTCATCCAACTTGAGCACGCGCGCAAACGCAAGCTTCGCCGTCTTGAAGTCGCCCAGCTTGTATTGGCACGCCCCGATCCCCAAACGCACCGGTGCGGGCGCGGAAGGAAACGCGCGAAGTGCGCGTTTGTACCACGTCAACGCGTCTTGGTAGCGCTCCTTCTTATACAATAAAACCGCCTTCCACAGCATCGGCGTGATGTTATCCCTACCGTCGTCCTTGAGCCCGAGCGCCTGGTCGATGAGTTTCTCGCCCTCTCCCGTCGCCCCGCGCGCGAACGCCAGGTGCGCGCGTCCGATCGCCACGATCTGTTCCGGTTTCCTGTGAATTCCCGCCGCTTGATTCAAGTACGCGCCCGCCTTGATGAACCCCTCCTCTCGGCTCACCGCGTCCGTCTCCCGCGCCGCCCTATTCGCCCAATACGACGCGTACAGGCACAGCACCGCCGCGCGTCCGTACGCTTGTTCCCTATACACCTCCTCGATCTCTATCGTCGTCCGCGCGCGCGGTCTCGTCAGTCACCGCGTTCGGTCGACGCCGTTGAGCCCGTCGATCCATCATCGCTCGATCGCGCAAACGTTCGCGCGCTTTCGTTCGTTCGTTCGTTCGTTCGCGCGCGCGTCGCGTCCCGTCGGTCGCGGCGCGCGCGTCCACGCACCCGGCGCGCACACCATCTCCATCAGCGTCTCGAACCCTCGCGCGTCGCCTCGCCTGAGGTACGCCTCCGTCACCTCGATCCACGCCTCGAGCGGCGCGAGCTCCGCCTGGAGGACGCTCGCGACGTCCTCGACGTCCGTCGGCAGCGCGTCGAGGTCGACGACGACGCATTCGTTCGGGTCGTTCAGCAGCGCGACGGCGACCGCGTTTCGCGGCGACATCGCGCGCGTCGTCCCCGCGCCCGCGTGTGCGTCGTCCCGGCGTCGCCAATCTGCAATCTTCAATCGCCTCGCGAGGGCGCGCGTCTTTTTCGGGTCTTTCTCGTGGTCCGTGTGCGCGTGGGTTCGATCCGCGTCCATCGCCGTCGTCGCGCGACGTCGCGTCGTCCGTCGCGGCGCGACGCGACGACACCGCGACGTCCGACGACGACGACGCGATGGCGACGCGCGCGATCGTCGTCGCGCGCGCGTCGTCGCGCGCGGACGGCGCGTCGGCGCGCGCGACGGCGACGACGCGAGGACGACGCGCGATGTGGATAAAATCCAAGACGGACGCGCGCGGGACGACGCGCGCGCGATCGGGGCGAGTCGCGGCCGAGGGACGCGCGAGAGGCGCGCGGGAGACGGGCGCGACGCGCGGCGCGCGCGCGGCGACGACGGGGGAGGAGGCGACGGCGACGGGGGGGGCGGCGACGGCGACGCGCGAGGACGGCGACGCGGCGACGAGGGAGGCGACGACGGAGGCGACGACGGCGACGAGCGCGCGCGAAACGACGAGGAAGAGCGATAAAGAGGCGGTGGTGCTGGCGGTGAGCGCGCTCGCGGTGGGGGCGGAGGTGGTGGCGCTCGGCGGACCGGCGACGGCGACGGCGACGGCGCGGGACGCGCTCGCGGGCGCGGCGCGCGGCTTGATCGCGAACCACGCGCCGGGCGTGGGCGGGATCATCGAGGATGGATTTTTGGGATTACTCACGGTGGGGACGGTGTACGCGCTGTGGCGCTCGTCGGTGATTCCGCGACCGATCGGGAATCCCATCGCGCGCAAGTCGAGAACGAACGCGAGTTGGATTCACGTCGTCACCGGCGCGGGGGGGCTCGCGATGGCGCTCTACGCCGTTGGGTTGGAGCGAATCTATCGTGAAAGTCCGGGATGGACGTGGATGTGGGTGTCGAGCGCGATGTTCATGGCCAACGCGCTTTCGTACGGGCCTCTGATGAATATTTTCAAGGCGAGCAAGGAGGGCAAGTACGCGATGCAGCTCGGGTACTCGTTCGTCGCGTCTTTCCAAGGCGTGGTTTGGATCGCGTGGAGCGCTCAACCCGATGCGCCGGAGTGGATGTTTTGGGCCGTGATGCCCTATTGGTACTTTTCATTGGCCAAGCTTTGGGAGTCCACTGAATTTGTGTTGGCTTTGACGCCCAAGCCCGCCGACGCGGATGGGTTGTGGGCCAAGGTGACGTCGGGGTCGCGCAAGCGTCTCGGTCGTATGTCGCCCGACGCTGCGACGTTAACTTACGTCGGCTTGAATGCAGCCGCGGCCGTGTTTGATAACTGCTACATGGCGTTGTACACTTTGCTCGGGCCCGAGCAATTTTGGCACACGTCGCAAGCTTTCAACGACAGCGATTTTCATCTGCGTCTCGTGAAAGGGACGACGGGATCTCTCACCGTGGCTTTGCTCATTTTCATCTCCACCCTCGGATGGAGGAAGCAGATGCCGATGAAGTACGCGATTTGGCTTAACGTCGTTCTCGGCTCGGTCGGACCTTGGATTGTGCTCTTCTGGCACAAACTCCTCGATCCGTCGGAGATGTGGTTTCCACAATTCGTCTTCGACCCCGATTTCGCTTACCACGCATATTTGAATCCGTCAATGTCGTTATTCGGTCGCTAGATGGTTTCTATTACGAACTATAGCTAAAATGTAACAACGCTCTGATTGAACGCATCATCGCCGCTTTTGCTTGCGCGAGTGCGCCTTTTTCACTCGTTGGAAATGACGCGACATCTGCAACCACGCGAGGGCGACAAGGGTGACCACGAATATGACGAACACTCCCGCATCTATACGCCCGGACGATTCGCGCTGCAGTTGCCTTCTGGCGATGAGTAAATGTTCGTTCGCCAATCCGCCGGCGAAGGTTGGATTGACGCGAGTCAACGCCTCGAGCACGACGATGGCGTCGTGCCACTGCTCGAGCTGCAGATACACCAAAGCCAAACTAAACGTCGACGCTGGATCGCCCGGAAACGTCTCCATACCTTGCTTGAAAATCCCGATCGCTTCTTCGGTGCGCTCGGTCACTACTAAGCATGTGCCAAGCAACTGATACAGCTCGGGATGTTTCATGATTCGCAACGCCTTGGCAAAGCACTCCGCCGCCTCTTTATTCTCCGCCATGATCCTGTGCGTGTTCCCCAGGTCCGCCCACAGCACTGGATTATTCGGATCAATCTCCAACCGTCGATTGATCGTCTCAAACGCGCTATCTACCGTCCCTCCGTACTTGTTCAACATGTGCTGCAGCGAAGACGCGCTTACGCTGGACATAAAATACTTGTTCTTCTTCTCACGCAACGCCTCATCTCCGTCGTGCCTCTCCTTCTCATCCACCCCATCACTCTCACCGTCATCATCGCTCGCTTCGACGAGCACTTTACGATCGAACTCGTTCGATACGCCCACGTCGATCCACGACCGCTGCGGCGTCGTGTACACCACCGGCGCCGCCGCGGGCACCCTCGCGAACATCCGATTCATCTCCGCCCCAGTGTACGCGTGTCGCACGTGCTCCGCGCTCCCTGACTCGAGATCCCACGCGTCGGACCACCCTTCGCCGCCGATCGCGGCCGTTTCGATGCGGCGCACGCGCGGGCCCGATGTTCGCCCAGAATCGTCCACGTACGCGCGCAACCACGTCGCACCGAGCGCGCCGTTCGCGCGCGACGCGACGCACGACGCGCACAGCACCACCATCCACGTCGCGACGCCCTCGAACGGCGCGCGGCGCCTCCGCATGACGCGCGACGCGTCGGCACGTGACGTCCGCTGCGATCCACGAGCGCTGCAAAGTCGCGATTCGCGTCAGATCTCGCCGCGCACCGCGCGCCACGACGCGCGCGCTCGAACGACGCGTCGACGCATCGATAAAACGCGCATCGACGTGCGCTCGGCCGCGACGTGAGCGACGCACTGTGCGCGCGCGCGCGACGAACACGCGCGAACGATGGCGGCGACGGCGCAAATGGAAGCCCTGGTCGCCGCGCTGCAAGACCCGGAAACGCGCGAGAACGCGCTCTTGGACCTGAGTAAAAAGCGCGACATGTTTGCGGATCTCGCGCCGACGCTTTGGTTCTCGTTCGGCGTCGTGCCGGCGCTGTTGCAAGAGATCGTGGCGATCTACCCGCTGCTCAACCCGCCGAGCCTGACGAATCACGCGAGCAATCGCGTGTGCAACGCGCTGGCGCTGCTGCAGTGCGTGGCGAGTCATCCCGATACGCGAGGATTGTTCCTCGCGGCGCACATTCCGTTGTTCTTGTACCCGTTCTTGAACACGGTGAGTAAGACGCGGCCGTTCGAGTACCTGCGGTTGACGTCGCTGGGGGTGATCGGGGCGCTGGTGAAGATGGACGACACCGAGGTGATCAACTTTTTGTTGAGCACAGAAATCATTCCGCTGTGCCTGCGAACGATGGAGTTGGGGAGTGAGTTGAGTAAGACGGTGGCGACGTTCATTGTGCAAAAGATTTTGAGCGATGAGGTGGGATTGTCGTACATTTGCGCCACGGCGGAGCGCTGCTACGCGGTGGGGACGGTTTTGGGGGGGATGGTCACGCAGCTCGCGGAGCAGCCGAGCGTGCGTTTGCTGAAGCACATCATTCGATGCTACTTGAGATTAAGCGATAACCCGCGGGCGAGAGATTGCTTGAGACAGTGCTTTCCGGATCAGTTGAGGGATCCAGCGTTCACGGCGTACCTGAAGGACGACGTCGCCACTCAAAAGTGGTTGGTTCAGTTATTGCACCAGTTGGGGTACACAACCTGATTGATTGACTAGACGAGCACCGATACCCTAGCGCAACCGCCCTGAACGATACCCTAGCGCAACCGCCCTGAAATTTAATTAGCCTTTAAATCGAAAATATCCCGTTGTCTTGACGTGCGCGCGCGAGTTGTCTTTTTGCGAGACGTCTAAATGCGTGATGATTACAGCTGCTGCATACATGGTGTCGTCTTTTCAGACTTCTGCGTCGGCTTTCGGATTAGATCTAAGCCTTTTGGTGCTGATCGTGCGGAATCCATTAACTACGACCCCAACGCCCAATCCAGCGCCTAAGATTACGCCCAAACCGACGCCGATGCCCAAACGAAGCGAAGCGTCAAACCAGCTCAGCTTGACGGGATCGGCGGGATAATCGTCCTGATAGTCCATCATGGACTCGTATCGCTGTCGCATCTTACTCAGTATGGCAAGATTATCCATATCGCCTCGATCGAGAAACGAGGACCAGTGCGTCTTGTGGTGCTGCCTCGCGGCGGCGTTGACGGCGTCGACGCTCACAGAAGCTGTCGATATTCCAGTGTGCTCGTCGATCGCGGGCAACATCGCGCTAGTCTCGCCCACCATTACCGGTGCGATACGCTTTTGCGCGCGCCCTAAAACTTTCTCCAACGGTAGATCGATCTGATTCACCAAACACACGCGTTCATCTTGAGACATCCCGACGATGCCGAACTCCACCCGGCACTCCGCGGTTTTCGGCGACTTCGGGAGCGCGCCCGCCGCCGCGTAAAACACCCGCTCCGCCTCTCTCGACACCGTTCGCGTCAGCGACGCCCCGGGCGTCATCACCATCGACCACGTGCCGTCTTCATTCTTTCGACCCGTCCCCATCGCCCACATCTCTCGATCGAGCGCGAGCTCAAAATCAAAGTCCCCGACGAAGCGCACCTCATCCATGCTCATCCACGCCCCTTCGCGTTCGCGTCGAAACGTAATCTCCGCCTCTCCACTCGCCACCGCCGCACCGTTGACGCGAATCGACGACGCGCTTCGCGCGCTCTTTCCATCGCCCGTCTTCCCATGCCTCGAGCCCGCGTCGCGAAACCGCGCGATCACCGCGCCTCCGTCGCCGTCGCCTCGTCGCCGTCCCTCGCCGCCGTCGCCGTCGCCGCGCGCGTCCGCGAATTTCACCTTGACGTACATCGCCCGCGTCCGCAGCGCCGCGTCCGCGTCGTCGAACGCATCGTCACCGCGCGCGTCTTCCGCCATCGCGCGCGCGTCCGCGCCGTCCGAGCGCGCGCGTCGAGCGCCGTCGTCGCGTCGTCCGCGTCGGATTCGGTCGGTTGGTTGGAATTCGACGATTACCGCGCGTCGCGCGTCGCGAACGCGCGTCGCGCGTCGATGGAAGACGACGAAACGCGCGTGACTCGCGTGACTCGCGATCGGCGCGGTCGACGACGCGTCGGACGCGGCGATGAGTGACGACGCGCGGCCGGGACGGTCGGGGACGGTTGGCGACGGCGTCGCGAACCTCGCGCGAACGCCGACGACGCGCTCGAGACGCAGAGACGAGGAAAGAAAGCGCTCTAAATTGAGTAGAAATCGCGAAGGTGGGCTAAGGCTTGCTCGTTCGTGTCGCACGCGATCCAATGCGGGGCGAGCTCGTTCTCGGCGAGCGCGCCGTATCCGACCATGTCGCGCCTTAAAAATTCCAACAACCCGTCGTAACATCCATCGTAATTCATGACGATGAACGGCACGGGATGACTTGTGCCGATGCGTTTGAGCTGTAGAAGCGCTAAGATTTCGAAGATTTCGTCCAGGGTACCGACGCCGCCCGGTAACGCGACGAAGCACGTCTTTTCTTCGAGCGCGGAGCGCACGCCGGCGTCCACCAATCCGTGCTTACGCGCGCTGAAGAAGCTCGTGTTCAGGTAACACTCGCGCGGTAAATATGGATGCTCTCGAGTCTCTTGTCTCGCGCCGCCCGCTTCGAGGAGGATCATGAATCCCGCGGCGGCGCGTTCGGCGTCGAGGGCGCCGCGCGTCGCCGCGTCCATGAGCCCGGGACCTAAACCGGACCACGTCGTGCAGTCTAGTAACGTCGCGATGTCCTTCGCGAGTTCACGCGTGCGTGCGTAGTGCGAGTGCGTCTCGGGCACGCGAGCGCTGCCCAGATACACCGCACCGCGCCCGTGACGCTCGACCAAAGCGAAGCACTGGGACATCTCCAGTTGCACTTTCGCGGGACTTTCGCGAGCGGACGCGCGCGCGCTCGTCGATGCGCGCGCGCGAAGCGATGCGAAGCGTCGCGAAAAGTCGACGTGCGATCGAGCGCGCGTTGACGCGGTCATGGGGGCTCGATGTGCGGACGCAGGCATGGTGGTATCACAAGCGAAGCTTTTTTCTAGCGCCGCCGCCGCCGCGGCCATCGGTGTCGTCGCTTCGTTTCTCCTTCGAAGCCGCGGGGGCGGTTTGCTTGGGGGCTTTAGACTTTTTGGATTCGTCCTCGAACGCAACGTCGTCTTTTTCGCCGAACTTGTCCTTGACGAGCGCGCGGATTTTGCTAAACTCGTTGCCGAGTTGACGCTTTTTGCGAAGCGCGTCCTTCTTCGCCGCTTCTTCGCTCGCGCCTTCGCCGTCGGCGTTGCCCTTATCGCCGCGCTTGTCAAAACCACCGGTGTCGTCCATGTCGACATCGTAGCCGGGGTAGCACTCGTCGTAATCACCGAACGACGCGAAGGCGTTGACGGGGCGGTCTTCGTCTTCCTCTTCGACGTAGTCGTCGGCGGCGATTTGCTTCGCCTTGGGCGCGGGCGCACTCGCTTCGTTACCAAAAATTGCCCGCGACGCGGTCGCATCTTTATCACTCGCCGCCGTATCCTCTTTTTTCTCGTACGTCGGTTCGTAATCTTTTCCCGCATCGGCAAAGATGTCTTCGTCGCTCGACGCGTCTCCCGGCGCCGCATCCGGCGCGTCGACGCGCGCGGCGCGCGCCGCCGCTTCAGCCTTCGCCTTCGCCTCTTCCGCCGCCGTTCTTCGCTCTTCCCGTCGAAATTTCTTGATTGCGTTGGTAGAACCCAGCGCCAAGTAGTGCATCAACTTGCCCAAACGCACGAGAAGAGACGCATCCTTCGCGGGATCGACGTACGCTCGAAGCGCGCGCACACCCGCCATGCCGTCATCGTCCGTCGCCTTGTGCAACGTCGTCGGCACATCTCGCCTCGAGTTCGCCGCTAAATCAAAACTATAACTTACCGCACCACTTGCTATGTTATGCGCTTTCCCACGCACGCTTGCTTTCGATCCATTCCTCATAAACTCATAAATCGCTCGAGCCGAAGCTGTTGTAAATCTCGGCTTCCCGCCCTCTCGTTCCGCCGTCGCGGCCACCCGCTCTTCATCTTCCATCGCCTTCGTGTCCTTAATCTCGCTCCGAACCTTATTCAACAGCGCAAAATCTAATCCTTTCACTAAATGCGTTCTTTCGACGTCTCCTCCGAGGTATTTACTCTCCTCAATCGTTTTCATTCGAGCGTACTCCGTCGTCGTCGCCGTCCCGTCCCCGCGCGTCGCCGCGTCTTCCCGCTCGAACACCCCACGTTCGCGTCCGAGCGCGGCTTCCGCGCTTGGGCCGTCCAGAGCGTCATTCGCATCGTCACCGCGTTCGCGCCGCTCGCGCGCGCGGTCTCTGTACGCGTCCTCGTCCGCGCGCGACGAATTCTTTCCTCGAACTTCGTGTGGCTTTTTCGACGAGTTTTTCGACTTTTTCGCACCGCCGCGCGGTTGCTCGCGCGATTTGCCGCTTAAAAGCATCGCCCTAAAGTCATCGTTCGTTTTAGGGGGGTCCCCGGACGGTGGCGCCGGGTTGGCGTAAGGTCGGCTCATGAGGCTGATTGTGAGGCGGCGACGGCGAACGCGGCGCGAACGCGTCGTGCGTCGCGAGTCGCGATTTATAGACAAGTTAAGCTAATCGCGCTTGGTGCGAATGATTGCGGTACGCCCGTTCACGGGCAAAGCTCGCGTGAAGATCTGGGCCAAGGCTAAGAATGGTAAAATGGTGACGACTTGCGTTCCCATCAACGCGTAACGCGACACACTCGAGCCGATGTCGAGCCAACTGCCGACGGTGGTGATTTGAAAGAAGAATCTGACAGCCATGATGTCGCTCAAGATGAGAAACATGAAGTACGACTCGAACGCAGGAACGCGGGAGGATTTCAAGACGACGAGAAAGGCGGCGGCGACGGTGATCATGGGGAGTAATACCTTGAGGACGAGGAGCGCGCCCATGAGGAACGGGTTGAAGCGGGTGGTGAATCTGTAGACGCTGCTGAGGTCGAAGGATGCGATGGATGCGATATTGCCCGTGCCGAAGAAGGCTGCATCGATGAGAAATAAGAACATAGCGGCGTGGCGGAGATCGCTCGGGATGATGGTACGGGTGAACATTTTGGACTTTGCCGGTGAGGGCGCTTGTAAGCCGCGCTCCAGAATCATCCACGAAAGAAGACAAAACCCGAGACAAGCGTAGAACAGGGACTCGTACGACACGGAGAACAGTCCATACGTCGATGCAAACCCAAGGAACACACTAATCATTCGCGGCAGCGTTCGCGGTGGTGAAAACATGGGCAAGATGGGTGCCATCAACGCGACGATCCACGATGCGGCGTGCATAGACGTTGGAACGGGCAACTTGTCGCGCTGTAAACCGTCGACGGCGGTCACCAATACGCCAGTAGTAAGAACCATTAATATTTGCAACGCGAAAACAGTCTGACCCGGTCGGCGCTTAGTTTCCCTGTCGACGGCGTCGTCCTGAAAAATATCAAGCGGCCGAATCAAAACGTGCGTCGTGGTGCCGAGGAGCGCACTCGCAAGCAATCCTGAGACGATCATCTCCGTGTTCGCTTCCAGCTCAATTGAAAGCATGGTGAACGGCGCCAACATAGCTGTGCTGATAGCCATCACAGCGGCACGTGTAGCGTTGTCAAAATCTCGACGAAACAGCAAGCGTATCGCGAGTGCGACTAAAAGCGCCGACCCGAATGCAAACGCGTATGAAAACACGAAGCGATCGTGAAAACCGTTACATATCGTTTCAGCCACCGCAAACGCGCCGACAAGACAAATACCGACGTTCAGTAAGCTAATGTCGGCGATACTTTCTATTTTCACAGCGGAAAGCGTGTTCACGATACCCAACAAAAAATACGCCGGGAGACCGAAGTACAAAAAGTACGTGGGCGGCGCGCGGCGGGCCAGAAGAATCACGCTCACGACACCGGCATAAATCAGCGCCAGCGTCAACGGTATACCAGTCGGCGTTTCGCATTCCCCTTTTCTTCGCGGAAGCAAATTGACTGCAAGTAAAATCATCCACGTCGCAAAACACGACACGACGACGGCTTGCAAAAGCGCCCGGTCGTACGTGTGTAAATATTCCAACCCTCTCAAACACGCGCGCGCGACTTGATTTGCACCGCGTGTCGCGTCGTCGTGTCGACCAAGCCGGTCGAGTCGCTCGTACTCCGCGACTTGCGATGAGACGCTAATCATATCTGGGTGGAGCTTGAAAGAAAACAAAGCGCTGAGCGCGCGCTTTGCAGTGCGCGACGCCTTGAGATCGTGAAGCGCCAGCAATTGCTTGGCGTTCGCAATCATCGCGGACGACTTAAGATCTTCGGGTTTATCGCTCAAGTACGCGCTGGGGAGCAAGCCCGAGTTGTGACGAGGCGGTGGAAATCCAATGAGCGTCGCACCCAAAGGCGCGACGTCGGCTTGATCAACGTCGCACCTCGTCTCGGGATCCATGCCCCAATCCTTCGGCGTTTCGGGCGTCCCACGACACGCTCCCGCGACTTTTTGTGACCCACTGGCGACACCCGCGCCCCAAACCACCAACGGTGTTTCCGTGCACCCAGGATCGCCGTCGCCGTGCGCGCCTTTATTCGACATTCCGTGATCGGCGGTGAAAACAAAAGCAGTCTTTCCATCATCCCCAAACCTCTCCACGAACGCCGCCTCCACTCTGCGAACACCTTCATCTACTATCCTAATATTTTCGAAATACTCGCTCGAATGCGGTTTGTGCGCGTGTCCACTCGAATCCAAGCCCAGCAAGTGCAACAGAAACACGTTCCCGTCGCCGTCCAGCGCGTCGCTCTCGCTCGAGCCTTCCACCCCATTACTCTCTAAAAACCGCACCACGCGGTCGAACACCCACTCATCTAACGCCCCGTGATCGTTCGCGCTCGCAAAATCTTCCAGCGTCTCGTCGTAACAAAACCGTCTCGCTCCGTCGACGCCGTCGGCGAACAGCGGCACCACGCTCGGCGCGCCCCACGCCCACGCGTTGTTACTCTGATTCACCAGGTGATCGAACTCCACCGGGTTCGCGCTCCATCCTTTCGTGATCGCGCTCGGGTCCTCGTAGAACCCCCCCAAGAGCGCCACGTGTCCCGGTCTCGATTCCGTCGGCGCTCGCGCGTGCGAGACGCCCCACGCGCCGCCGCGCGCGCGACTTCGCACGTGCGCCGCGCCTCGCGCTTCGTCGAACACCGCGTCCGCGCGCGCGCCGTCGGCGACGAATATCACCAATCGTCTCGCGGGCGCGCGCAGTCGCGCGTCGGCGCGCTCGACGCCGGCGACGAGCGGGGACTGGAAGTGCACGTCAAACGTGGCGTAGACGAAAATCAAGTGCACGACAAAGGCGTAGAGCACGACGAGGCGGGGAGACGCGGTGACGCCGTGCATCGTCGCGCGCGCCGACTCGCGGCGGCGCGCGGACGGCGCGCGCGGGAGAATGCGGAGGAGACGCGCGGAGCGGCGGGACGACGCGAACGCGAACGGACGACGACGGCGTCGACGGCGCCTCTGGCTTTCGGGCTGTGGACTATTGTTTCTGCTACACCACTGTATAATTCTGCTATAGTCTAACCGACGCGAGCGCGCGTTCGCCGCGCCGTAGGTTCCGGAGTCGCGGCGGCGATGACTAACCGCCGCGGTCGCTACGATCTCACGGCGTGCGCGCGAGCAACGCCTCGATGAGCTTCTTTTTCTCCGCCGGCGCGCCGCGCACGCCCCAGTGACGAGACAACTCTAAGAGATCGTCCACGTCGAGCGCCGAGAGTTCATTTTGCAGCGCACGTCGCTTGACCAAGTAAGATTTATCGCCGCGCTTCAACCGTCCAGGACCGCCGGGACCGCTCTCTTTCATCACTCGCAACAACTGCGGTCGCATCTTCCGTTGCGCCAGATGTCCACCCACGGTGACGTTCCCATCATCGCGGATCGAGAAATCAGCCCCGAGATCGAGCAATGCGTCCACGGCATCGGCGCGTTCAAAATACGCCGCCAATATCAACGCCGTGCTCCCCTCGCTTTCGTCTCGGGCGTCGATGTCGCATCCGAGCTCCACCAGCGCGCGCACGATTTCTTCGCGTCCGAACGCCGCGGCGTGATGTAACGGCAAGCGTCCATCGTCGTCTTCGACGGCAAAATGTTCGACGCCGGCCACCTTGCAGAGCTCGCGCACGAACGCGTCGCCGCCGCCGCCTCGCGCGCCCGCGGACAACGTCCCGAGCGTCGCGCCGCCGCAAATCCAAACTTTAGAAACCGGGTCCAGCGCACCGATGCGACGCGCGTTGACCTGCGCGACGGGCATGCCGGCCAACACGCGCAACGCGGCGGGATTTTCGCACGCGAACCAGGACTCCAGCCAGAGTTCTCGGTCGTTGGCCACGGTGCGGACGACGCCGTCGTCGCGCGAGGACGACGCGGAGGCGTGCGAGCGACGACGACGCGCGTGGAAGTGTTTGTTTTCACGCTCTGGGGGCGCGCGGATGCCCACGCGCGGACTCCACGCGCGGGACGTCATGAAGTGCCGGTCCCTCGCTCTCTCGCGCGCGAAAGCGAGCGGGACGACGCGTTGCGACGGCGTTTGATTGAATCTAATCATTTTCGTTCGTTTCGTTTCAACACTCATACGAGTAACTGTGATTTTGCTGGTTGGGATTATCGGCGCGGCGGCGGGCGCTTGAACTTGCGCGGTGGCTTTCTTCCGCCCTGCGAGGACTCGTCGCCGGCGCCCAGGGAGAAGCCGCCAGCGGGCGCGGGGTTGGCGCCGAACGGATTCGGCGCTGGAACCGCGGGTGCGGGCGCGGCAACGCCGCCGAAAGGGTTGGCACTCGCCGACGCACCACCGAATGGGGCAGCAGCGCCGCCGAACGCGGGCGTTGAGCTTGCACCACCGAATGGGTTCGTCACGCCTGCCGACGCGCCGGCGAACGGATTCGCGCCGCCGCCGCCAAACGGATTCGTCGACGGCGCGCTGCTCGCCGGAGGGGCGGCAAAACTATTCGTGGACGCACCACCGAACAGGGAACTACCAGTTGATGCGGCACCTAGAGGCGACTTGCTAGATTCGAACGGACTCATCGGTTCAGGGGTATTTGGTTGCTCGTCCGGTTTCGGCGGTTGACCGAAGACGCTCGCCGCGGGTTTACCAGTGTTCACGCTTAAACCGCCGCCGAATGGTGTCGAAGCCGCGGTAGTGCTCGAAGCGGCACCAAACGTGAAGCCACCACCGCTCGCCGGTGCGGCTGGCGGCGCAGAGGCACCAAAGGTGAATCCGCCGCTCGAAGCGGGCGTGGTTGACGCACCGCCAAACACAAACGGCGCGCTCACGGGCTTGGCGTCCTCCTTTACCGCCGATGATGCAGCTCCGAACGCGGGCGCCGCCGTGGCCCCAAAGCTAAATCCGCCGCTCGCTGGTTTCGGCTGTTCTTCTTTCTTCTCCGCCGAAGCACCCCCAAAGCTAAATAACGCGTCCCCCGCGGGCTTCGTTGCGTCCAGCGCCGGTGCGGCGCCAAAGGTGAACGGCTTGGCAGTCTCCGCCGCTTTCGGTTCATCTTCCTTCTTCGACCCCGCGGCAAACGAAAAAGCGGGCGCGGACGCCGAAAGCTGTGATTTTTCCTTCTCTGGTTCGGCCGCCTTCTCTACCGGTTTCGCCCCGAACGTAAACAGCGCCGGCGCCGCGGCTGCGGCGGGTGTCGCCGTGCCGAACGTAAACGGTGCGCTCGCCGGTTTCGAACTTTCTGGCGCTTTGGTTTCGCCGCCGAAGGAAAACGCGGGCGCAGGATCGGGTACTTTCACGGGCACATTATCAGGCGACTTGGGTGGCGCGCCAAATGTGAACGTGGGCGCAGTCGCAGGTTCACTTGCTGTTTTAGCTTCGCTCGAAGACGCGCCCAAAAACGCGAGTAAACCAGACTCTCCCGCCGGTTTCTTCACTTCGGTGGTTTCCGCTGGTTTCACCGGTGCCGTGGATCCAAAAGAAAACGCTGGCGCCGAGGCCGGCGCCGAGGTCGGCGCCGCGGGCGCGGTGGAACCGAAAGTAAACCCGGACGCATCAGTGCTAGGGGCGGGCGCGCTGCTCGCAGCGTGAATACCGAACGAGAACGCCGGCTTGTCCCCGGCAGGGGCAGACGGCGCAAACGGCGACGGTGCAGGCGGCTTGCTCGCAGCTTTCTCTTCTTCTTCGATCGCCGCTTGCACTTTCTTTTGATGCTCTTGATTCTTCGCCAAGAAATCCGCACTCCAGAGATTCATGACAGGTTTACTCGCAGCGGGCGCTTCCTCCGACTTTTGCGTGACCGCCGTCGGTTGCGCCGGCGGCGGTGGCACCGTCGTCGTTGTTTTCACTGGCGCCGCGGCGACGGATTTCTTCGTAAACAACGGAGTTGTTTGACCTTCTCCGAACGTGAACTTTATCGGAACAGAAGCCACAGGCCCGGACGGCGCTTTTGGTTTCTTACCGGTGGCGAGCAAGGTGCTATCTTCGCCGAACTTGAAGTTTGGCGTCTCAATCTCAGGCTCGGCACTCGTCGGGTACGGCGTCGTCGGCGCGCGACCAGACGAGGATGCACTGATGAAGGGCATCGGCGAAGTCGCAAAAGAAACGCCCGATTTGGGAGTCGCAACAAAGGTAGCCGATGTCGGCGTGACTTGCTTGTCAAACGCGGCGCCGACGGGCGACGGCGCTTGCACAGGTTGCGTGGGTCTAGTCGCAAACAACGAAGGTCTCGCCGCTGCGACACCCATAGGTGTCGCCGTTCGCGCACCTGCCAAGCGATCCAAAGTTTGCAATATACGTTTCGCTGTATCCGTCGTCACCGCGCTCGTCACTGGCTTGGCGGAGGGAGTGTGGTACGCCGGACTCGCAGACTCTCGCGCCAGCGCTCCCGGACCAGGGCTGTGCGCGGCGGACTCCAATCGTCGAGGCGTCGTCACGCGCGCTCGCTCACGCTCAAGATCCATGATAGTCAGCTCACGATCACGCTTCAAGCTCGCGCGAGGCGGCGTTGGCGTCTGCTCCATTGGCGGTTCCAGAATCGTCGGTTTTATCGCCGTGCGACCGCGCGTACCGAGAAGCGATGGCGTCCCCGACGCGCCGTACGATCGACGCACGGACGCGTATCCCGGAGAACTCGCGCCCACACCCGTCGTTCCGGGCGTGGCCATCTGCGCCACCATCGGACGCTCCCGAGCCGGAGTCGCGTGTGCGTCAAACGCCGGCGCGCGCTCAAACGGCGACGGCGGCTTCACCGCCGCACTAATCTCGCCATACGCCCCGCCAGCGCTCGATCGCGCCATTCGCTCTCTATCCATCTGTCCTCGGCGCAAGAACTCCCTGATCTCCGTGAACGGCGTCGGCGAATCGCTCGCCGTCTCCGCCGCCGCCGCCTCGTTCGCGAACCGCGTCGTCCTCGTCGCGCCGCCGACCTCCCCGATCCGCCCCGTCGTCGTCGTCGTACCCGCTCTCGCTCCTCCCGCACCGTTTCCACGCGTTCTCACGCTCTGTTCCTCGTCCATCGCTCGTCCGACGTCCATCGTTCGATTCTCCTTCGCCCCGCCCTCGAAGCCGTCGCCCTCGTCCTCGCCCTGCCAAAAGAATCCACCCACCAGCGCCGACGCTATCTTCGTCGCGCTCCGCACCGGCGTCGCCACCTTGCGCCACATAGTTTTCGCGTTCGACGACGGCGCTTCGCGCGTTTCGTCGCTCGCGCGACCGTCGTTCGACGACGGCGTCATGACGTCCGTTCTGGTTGATCTCTGATTCGACGACGTTTGCGTCGTGCGCACGTCGAGCGACGCCGTGCGCGGCGTTCGATCGCGTTCAGCGCGTTGAGCGTCGTTCGCGCGATGACGCGGTGCGGCGACGACGCGCGCGCGGACGTCGTGCGGCGTGGTTTGAGGACGGTTGTCGCGGCGAGCGCGCCTCTGTTCAAACGCGGCGAGGCGACGGACGCGGTCGCGGCGAACGATCGATGCGTTTTGATGTATCGAGCGAAAAAAGGGCGCGAGAAAGCGATGACGACGACGATGGTGGGCGAGCGCGCTGAAATAGATGCTTTCATGATATAAAACACTGCTGCGCGCGTCTGCTCATATTCACGCTCGCGAGCGAAACGGCGTCGAAACGCTAGTCTGCGAAGGATGGCGGCGATCGGATATCGTCCATTTCGCCGATGCGGGCGCCACCGCGGCGTCCGTCTTGCTTAGGAGACGGAGATGAACCGCCCAAGAAGCCAGCGGGAGGGGCGATGACGCGCGTGCTTCGAGAGCGCACGGCGTCTCGAGCGGCGTCCTCCTTTTGCTTGGCGAGCGCGGCGTGCAGAGCAGCCGCTTCTTGCGCTTCGCGCTCGAGCGCGATGCGGTACTCTTCGATTTGCTGGTTCGAGCTCGTGTACGCGTTGTACAAGTTCACCGAATCTTGCTTCAAGGTCTCGTAGTTTTCTTCCAGTTGCGCCCGAGCCTGCTTTTCATCGGTGAGCATTTCCTTGTAATCCTTCTCCATCATTTGCGCCTTGTGCTTGAGATCCTTTAATTCGTTCTGCTTAGCTTCCAACGCTTGGTCGGCGAGCTTTCTGGTTTGCTTCTCGTCCGCGGCGAGCGCCGTGGCCTCGGCCGCCTTTCGGCGCGAGTCCGCGGTTTCGTTCTCGGCGATGCCTCGATGCTTTTCCTCCTTCATGCGCTCCTCCTTGGCGGCTTCAGCTTCGCTTCGCGCTTGTTGCATCTCAGCCTTCGCCATGTCGGTCTCGCGTTGCCATTGCACGCACTGCGCGCGCGTGTTGTCGAGCTCGGCGATCAAGCTCGCATTCTTCGCCTCGAGACGGTTGATGACGTCGCGTTGCTTCAGCACCTCGGCTTCTTGCACCTTCATCCCCTTGTGCTCGGCTTCAATCTTCGCCAGCGCGTCCTGGAGCTGCAGCTTGAGCTCGGTTTGAGCCTTCTTGAACTCCTCAACCGTATCTTTATGCCGGTTTTCTTGTTGCGCGAACTGCTCCTCCTTCACCTTGTCCATCTCCCCCGCCCGTTCGAGCTTGGTTTGCATGATGATCAGCTGCTGCTTGAGCTCTTGCCCGTGTTGTTTCAGCGCGTCTTCGTTCTTCTTCTTCTCTTCGAGCGTCAACTGAAGCTTTTGCGTCAAATCTCGGATTTCTTGCGCGGATTGTTGGTTCGCCTATCGATTCGTCGCGCGCCGCGTCGTTCGTCAGTCGCTCCTTCTCTCCCTCGCGCCGCGATCGCGTCGCCCCCCCCCTCGCCTTCCTCCGCGCGCGCGCCTTCCTCCGCGCCCCGTCCCGAACCGTCCCAAACCGTCCCAAACCATGAAATCCCACATCCTACCCCCCCCCCCGTCCCTCGCCGCTTCTCCAGACTCGTCGGCGTCTCGTCCGCGTTCGAATCGCGTCTCGCCTCGCCTCGCCGTCGTTCTCGCGCACCTCCTTCGCCTCGCTCCGCGCCTCTCCCAGCGCCGCCTTCGTCTCCCGCAGCGCCGTCTCGCACTGCGTCAGCTTCGTCTCCAACCGCGCGCGCTCGCTCGCCTCTCGCTCGAGCGCCGTTCGACTCTCCTCGCGCTCGCGCCGGCGCTCCCTGAGCGCGTTCGCCGCCGCCGCCGCGACGCCGTCGTGCGCGCTCCGCAGCTCCCCGAGGTTCGCGCTCAGCGCGTTCCGCAGCTCGTCCTGCGCGCGCGCCAGGTTCGCCAGCGGTTGCTCCATCTCCGTCTCCATCGTCGACGCGCGCGTCGCACAGCGCCGACGCATTCGATGCATTCGATCCGATCGAATCGTCGTCGCGTCGGTCGGTCGATCGGTCGCGCGCGCGCGGTGTTTTTATGCCGCGCGATCGCGAGTCGACGCGCATTGTGTGTGCGTGTAAGTCCATGTATTTAAGGATCGATGGCGATTTTTTCGATATTCGCGTTCGTGTGGGTAAACAGTGCGATACTCGGACGCCCGGTCGGTCGGTCGGTCGGTCGCCGCGTCCGCGCGTCGCGGCGCGCGCGCGATCGACGATCGATCGGCACCGCGCGACGCCGCGCGCGCGACGCGGCGCGCGACGCGCGAGGACGACGCGCGCGCGGTCGCGGTCGATCGGGCGCGCGCGCGTCGACGGGGCCGTTCGCCGTTCGCGACGCGACGGACGATCGATCGGGCTCATAGAGTCATCGCGACGCGATGGCGACGCGACGGGGGACGGGACGGGACGCGCGCGCGAGTCGCGGTCGAGCGTCGTTGGCGCTGGTGGCGGTGCCGGTGACGGTGCTGCTGGCGCTGAGCGCGTTCGGGGAGAACGCGAATGGGTCGACGCGGGGAAGGGGGGGGCGAGAGGGACGGGGCGCGAGACGGTTCGGCGGCGACGCGGGCGCGGCGAGCGCGCTGGCGATGGCGAGAGACGGGGACGAGGGGCTCGGGCGCGCGAGGGCGCGCGCGGTGGATTACGATAGGGTGCTGCGCGAGAGGAAGGGGTCGACGACGACGACGACGACGACGACGACGAGGGAGGACGCGGCGGAGGCGACGCGGCGGTACGCGGTGGTGCTCGACGCGGGGAGCACGGGGAGTCGCGCGCACGTGTTCGCGTTCGAGCGCGCGGGGCGAGGGTTGAAGCTGTTGGACGATCACTTCGAGGCGGTGAAGCCGGGGCTGAGCGCGCGCGCGAGCGATCCGAAGGCGGCGGCGGAGAGCTTGCGAACGTTGATGACGACGGCGATGAACGCCGTGCCGGCGGCGGATCGCGCGGAGACGAGCGTGGAGTTGCGCGCGACCGCGGGCTTGCGTTTGCTTCCGGGGGACGCGTCGAGCGATATTCTCGCGGAGTGTAAAAAGTTGCTCAAGGAGTATCCGTTCAAGTTTGACGACGAGAGCGTCTCCATCATGGACGGCGCGGACGAGGGCGCGTATCAGTGGTTGACGATGAATTACTTGCTCGGCAATCTCGCGAACGGAGGTGCCGATCACGACGGCGACGTGCAGACGGTGGCGGCCGTGGATTTAGGCGGTGGATCGGTGCAATTGGCGTACCAAGTGCCTCCGGAGAGCGTCGCGAACGCGCCGGATGGGTACATTACAAAACTGAAAGCTCTCGGGCACTCGTTCGACGTGTACACGCGTTCGCACCTCGGGCACGGTTTGATGGCCGCGCGCGCGGCGGTTTTGGCGCAAGCGGAAGAGCGAGGTGGATCACCGTGCGTGCACGCGGGATACGACGGCGTGTACGAATACGCCGGGAAAACGTACAAAGCGTCGGCGCGCGATTCTGGGAGCGATCACGCGTCGTGTTACGACGTCGCCGTGGCCGCGCTCGGCGTGGACAAAGAGTGCGAACGACCGAAGCAGTGCTCCTTTGACGGTGCGTGGGGCGGCGAACCGGGGGCGGGAAGCAAGCGCGTGTACATGTCGAGTTATTTGTGGGATCGCGCGGTGAACGTCGGCATCGTCACCGACGACGAAATCGATGGACGCGCCGCCGTGAACGACTTTAAGGCGGCCGCGGAGAAGGCGTGCGGTGTCAGCGTAGCGGAAGTCACGACCAAGTATCACGGCGTCGAGCCGAAGGACGCCCCGTTTCTTTGCATGGACCTCACGTTTGCCTACGCCTTGCTCAACGTCGGCTTCGGCAGACACGGATGGCGGGATTTCACGCTCGTCAAGCAGATCGAATACCAAGGCAAGCCCGTGGAGGCGGCGTGGCCTTTAGGCGCGGCGCTGAACTCGATGTGAGGGACGCGACGGATGCGACGATACATAGCAGTCATATTAATATTCACGGCGCTCGCTCGAAAATTTCTTCACCGCGACGTAAACGCGTGCGATCGTCCAAAGCTTCCCGGCGCGCACACGAGCGCGAGCGTGTACATGAGCGGCTGCAACTGATCGGTATTTAACTTCTTACGATCCGCTTGCCTGACGACGTCGAATTCCCACGTCTTCGTGGCCCGTCCCGTGGACGCGTCCACGCCCTTGTTGAGCGTCCCGTTTTTAACCACCAACCCGCTCCCCGTGAACGTGTTCCCGATCGGATACAGCGAGATCGCGCTCGACACCGCCTCGTCCACTCGCACGCTCACGTACGTCGAATCCTCGTTTCTCGTGTTATCCACGACGACCCCGTCCTCCTCCAATCGCTCCTCGTTCGTCTCCGCCCCTCCGTCCGCGCACCGCGCCAGGTAATCGTACAGCCTGTCCCGCGTCAAGTCGCAATCCACGATCTGCTGCTCTCGCGTCCCGCTCGACCCCGCGCGCTCGGTGCACTCAAACGCCATCTCCACGACCCCGTTCGCGTCCGTCGCGATCGCGCACTCGTGCGCCGCGAGATCCAATCCGTGCAGCACCCACGCGACGCTTCGCAGCAGCCCCGGGATCGACTTCACCCGCAGCTTGATCGCGCTCCGCCCCCTCGCGCGCGCGCTCGCGTCGTCGTTCGACACGACGACGCGCAATACATCATCCGCGACCTCGCACTCGTCGCCTCGGTGCTCGAGCGTGGGCGCGACGACGCCCGGATCGATCCCGCGACTCGAATTCGACGCCTTCGCGACGATTCGCGTCGTTCCGCGCCGTCCTCGACCGCTCGCGCGCGTCGCGCTCGATCGCGAGCGCGCGGGCGCGATGATTCTCGCGATCGGCGTCGCGCGCATGTCGATCTCGGACGCGCGCGCGTGTGCGGCGCGCGCGAATCCGCGCCGATCGCCATTCCCCGGTCGGCGTCTCGCGCCGCATTCGAGCGCACGTTTGGACGATGTAAAAATAACGACCCGTCGCGATAAACGTGTGGACGCCGAACCCTAACCGCGGCGGCGTCACACCGCGACGCGTCGGCATGCGCGCGCGCGCGACGGCGCGCGCGCCCGCGCGCGTCGCGACGGCGCGGCGCGATGCCCGCGCGGCGTCTGGGCGCGCGCCGGCGCGACGACGACGCGCGACGACGCGACGCGACGCGATGGATTCGCGACGGGACGGGTTCGCGGCGGCGGCGGCGGACGCGCGCGCGACGCGCGACGACGGCGGCGCGATGGCGCGCGAGCGCGCGACGACGATGGAGACGCCGGTGATGCGCGCGCGCGCGATGCGCGTCGGCGCGAGGACGACGAGGCGCGGGCGAGAGGCGCGGGAGGTGACGACGGCGGCGACGCGCGGCGACGACGCGGGCGACGACGACGACGCGGAGGACGAGGAGGACGGGTCGGAGGGATTTTACGACGAAGACGAGGACGCGCGCGATGCGGACGACGATGACGAGGATGAGGATGAGGAGGAGGACGAGGAGGAGGACGTCCTCGCGGGAGGGTTCGCGAGGTCGATGTACGACGACGACGACGCGGGGGCGGGGTTCGTCCGGGACGCGGACGAAGTCGCGTCGTTGTTTGACGACGACGACGACGACGATTTGTTGCTCGATTACGACGATTACGACGACGACGATGATGATGACGACGATTTCGGGGTCATCGATCACATCGCACGCGAAAAGAAGGAATTGGGTGACGAAAACATCAAGCGCGAGGTGCCAAAGTCGGCGTCGCGACACTTCACCGACGAGGCGGGCGCTTTGCGGGGGCGGGCGCTTTATGTCTGTCAACTTAACTGGTGGCTGCGAGTGAAAAACATGCAAACGTACCCACCGACGCGAAAAGAGATCGCCGAGTTGAGCGAACGCACGGATGTCGACGAGGAACACATCGTGGCGTGGTACGACGAGCGTTGCGAAGAGTTTAACAACATGACCGTCGCCGAGCAAGCGCGATACGAAGTCGATTGCGCGAGGAAACAGAGCAAGATCGATGAGCTCGTCGCGGAAGATTTCGCGGAAAGAAGCGCGACGCACTTCATCGAGGAAGACATCTTCTACGATGAAGGGGATTTAATGAGCGAGATGGATATGGACGAGGAGCCGCTGACGCTCGCGATGGAGCGCCTCGACGAAGCGCTCGAAGAGGAAGAGGCGCAAGAACGCATGGAGACCGCCCAAGACAAGAAAGATGAGGAAGATGAAGGCTTGGATGAATCTCAACTCAACCGAATTCATCAAGATGGCTCGCCAGAGGCTCCATTCTTAATCAATCCCAGACGAGCGCAAGGCGACGGAAATTGGCGACTCGTATCGCGTCACGACGCAGAGGACGACTTTGACGACGATGAATGGTTGAGTGACGGTGGCTGGGACGCGCTGCCGCAGCATGAAGCCGTGAGCGCGTTCGATGGCGCATCGCTTTCCTACGTCGGCGTACAAAACGAAGAAATAGAGAGCGGACAAAACACGTGGATGCGCGAACGCGCGCTGAACACGAGACATTTGGCCGAAGCGCGAGAAACGGACGTGGACTCGGTTGACCGAGATCCCACGAGACACTTTGGAGATGTATCGCGACAGATGCACCACACGATTGAACTTGATCAAGTGTTGAAGGGTAAGGTCGTCGCGATGGATTTATATCACGGCGCTTTAGTGGACTGCGGCACCGAAATCGACGCGTTGCTGCCAATCAACGAGACGGATTGGATGACCATGCGCGACCACATCACTGTCGGCACCGAGCTTGAAGTCAAAGTCACCGATACTCGAAGCAAATGGTGGAGGTTTAGGTACCCATTGGAAGTCATGCCCACGAGGCAAGACTTATTGCTGATGCTCGGTCGCCACCCGCATCCGTTTGGCTCGCCCATCAACGTGTACGCCGGGGAAACGTGGGAGGAGGCGTGCCTCGACGCCGGACGCAAGGTTGTGCCGCGATTCAAAGACGACGACGAAGATAAAAAACTCAGTAAGAAAGAGATCGAAGAGATGATCAACAGGGCAACCGCGGGGGGAAAGCGAGATCTCACGCAGTACGAAATTGACATGCTCGAAGCGGGCGTAGACGACGCCGGCACGAATATCGAGTACACGAAGCGCTTGGAGGCTCGGTTGGTGAGTGACGCTGACACCGATGATTACGATGATGACGAAGATGAGCTCTTCTCTGATGATGTCCTACCTCTCGCGAACGAAGACTTGGACGGCGACGACGACGACGACGATGACGACGACGACGACGACGACGCGCGAGAGCCCGTCGACGAAGTGTCTTCAGATTTGCGCGGCGGCTCGATGCGCATTCGCGACAAATTCATCGACGACGACGATGACGACGACGATTATATCGACGACGACGACAACGATGACGACGAGTACGCGGGCGCGCGATAGATGATATGATTAGAGCAATGCTACAATACAATACACTACACAAACTTGTGTACAACAATACACAAACAAAGTCAGCTCGACGCGGTTTCGCCGTCGTACGCGCCGAGCGTTCGCCGTCGCCTAAAAAATTCTCGCATCGCCTCCCCCGTCTCCTCTGCGAGCACGCCTCCCTTTACGTCCAAGTCCGGCGTGAACGGATGCGCGCGCACAGGCGCCCGCTCGCTTCCTCCCACATCCTCGTTTCGCAGCAGCGCCGCCCAGCTTCCATCCGCGCCGAGCAGCGCGTTTCGCGCCCCGTACGTCACCCCTCCCACTCTACTCTGCAATATCGCCCCCGCACACATCGCGCACGGCTCTAGCGTCACATACATTCTCGTGCGCTTCAAATGTCGCCATCCTCCGAGTTTTTCCGCGCCCAGTCGTATCAATAGCATCTCCGCGTGCGCCGTCGGGTCGCCGTCCCGCTCGCAGCGATTCGCCGCCTCCGCCACCACCTCCCCCGTCGTCGCGTCCACGAGCACGGCCGCGATCGGCACTTCGCCCTGCGACCCAGCGTCGAGGGCGAGCGCCAAAGCGCGCCGCATGCGCGCCTCGTCGACGCTCTCCTCGCTCGCGCGCTCGCCGGTCGAAAAAGCGACGACTCGCGGACGACGCCTCGGCGCGCGCTGCCGACGCGCGCGACCGTCTTCGCGACGCGCGCGATCGGCGATGGACGCGCGATCGAGCGCGCGAAGTCGCACCGCGCGCGCGCGGAGCGCCGCGCGAAGCATCGCGCGCGCGCGTCGTAAAGTCACGTCGCGGCGCGTCCCGACAAAGCCCGACGCACGCACGCGCGTCGCGTCGCGCGCGCTCGACGTCTCGCTTCGTCGCTCGGACGCGCGCGCGCGCGAGGTCACGATCATGACGCGCGCGCTCGCCCCGACGCGGGCGATGCCGCGCGGCGCGCGCGCGCGTCAACCAGCGTTCGGCGGCTCGACGCGCGCGCGCGTCGTCGCGCGCGCGAACGCTCGTCGCGCGATCGCGCTCGGCGCGGACGTCGCGGTCGACGAGACGCAGTTGAACGCGTTCCTGGACTCGCTGAAGTACGACGATAAAGGGCTGGTGTGCGCGATCGCGCAGGACGTGGACACGGGCGCTATCTTGATGCAGGGCTTCGCGAGCCGGGACGCGGTGGCGTACACGCTTCGGAATCGCAAGGCGACGTTCTGGAGCCGCAGTCGCTCGGAACTGTGGTGCAAGGGAGAGACGAGCGGTAATTTCATCGGCGTTGAATCCGTGCACGTGGACTGCGACCGGGATAGTTTGATTTATTTGGGCGTCCCGACGGGGCCGACGTGTCACACGGGCGCGCACACGTGTTACTATAAGCGGGTCGATGGAAGGGATGGAGCGGCGGCGAAGGTCGATGGGGGTCGACACGCGGCGGAGGAGGCGCTGACGACGTTGTATGAGTTGGAGGCGACGATTGAGGCGCGAAGGGTGGAGGCTGTGGCGGACGACGTCAAGCCCTCGTGGACTCGAAGGCTGTTGGATAACCCCGAGCTGTTGTGTAAGAAGATTCGCGAAGAAGCGGGAGAGTTGTGCCAGACGTGGGAGGAAAACGAAGGCAAGGAAGCGGCGACGAACGAAATGGCGGACGTGCTCTATCACTCAATGGTGATGTTGAACAAGCAAGGCGTGCCGATGTCCGACGTCTTGGCTGTCTTGCGTAGACGCTTCGGCACGAGCGGCGTCGACGAAAAGGCGGCTCGGCCGCCGAAGAAGTTGATCGATCCCTCCAAGTGATATCGCGCTCTCGATTAGTACTTTCGCATTTCTCGTTAGTTTGCCTCGGTTTAATACAACGCTCGTTTCTGAGAGAGTTTTGCTCGAGTGAAAAAACGGCAAAAAAACGGCTGAAAGTGGCTCGCGCATTTCGAGGCGGGCGAACGCGCGCGCGCGCGCTGCACACACGCGCGCCCGACACGGCGACAGAAACCGAGAAAACACGATGCCGTTCGACCTCGTGGTGCGTGAAACTCGCGACGCGGGCGAAGGCGCGCAAAGGCGACGACGCTGGATCGCGTCCGCGCGTCCGAGGCCCCTCGTGCGCGATTCCCGAGTCGACGACTGACGAACGAACGCGAACGCATCGCAGACCGGACGATTCATCCCGGAAAAATCCAATATTTGGCGCGACTGCGTCGATGGCTATTACGACTGGGTGAAGGAGCACATCCACGAAGGCGCGCCGATTAACGAGTGCGACCACTGCGGGGATCCTCCGCTCGTGCTCGCGGCGGGCAACGGGCACACGAAGGTTGTCGAACTGTTGCTCAACGAAGGCGCTGACATTCAACAGAGCGGATTGATGAAAGATACTGGGTTGCAGCGCGCGGCGCACAACGGACACTATCACACGGTGAAGTTCATGCTCGAGCAAGGCGCGGACGTGGACGCGCTGGATATGGGCGACAACACCGCGCTGCACTGGGCGGCGATGCGTGGACACGTGGAAATCGTCAATCTCTTGCTACAAAATGGTGCGGACAAGAACATCAAGAACAAACAAGAGTGCTTGCCCATCGATCTTTGCAAGGCTGTGTGGAGTAACTCGTACAAGTACGTGCGCGAAATCCTCGCCCACTAAGCGCGGCGTGTAATCGAACCGCGCTCAAACATTTCGTCTTGATTCTTTCGCATCGTTTCGGTCATTTTCTCATCTCATGACGGATCTTTGTAATGAAATGAAGTTATCAACGCGCGCCTTTGGAACTTTGATCGTCTTCGTCGCCTAAGATCAAGTCTTCCGAAGACGCGGGCATCGCGGCTGGAAACACGAGGATGGGGATCTCAGATTTGTCGATCAGGTACTCGCTCACCGATCCCGAGAAAATTTTTTGGACCCAGCTCTTATGATGCTTGATGACGACGAGAATTTCGGCGTTGGACTCTTTCGCTTTGTTGAGTAAAACCTCGCCAACGGGCTCCCTGTCGAAGGTTGATAAATATGCGTTACGTATATCAAGTGACGCGTACCAGGTTTGATCCAAGATGCAATCGAGTTCGATGGGCGGACGAAACGGCGTCATCTCTTCCCCTGCGTCGGCGTCTTCGCCGATGATGTGGGTGACGGTGCCGTCGAGCATGCGTTCGGTTCTGCGGATGCAACTCGCCCAGAATTCGTCTTTACGTTCCCAATCCAGCTCGCTTCCTGCGATCTCCGTTCCGGGAGCGCCCAGGTAGTAAACTCCTTGTCGTTTTGGTCAGTCTCTCCGAGTGAACAACGTCGCGCGACGCAGCGTACCGAACGATTCCGGAACGGCGACGTGGATCAAGTGCAGGAGATCTCCAGAGCGAACGACATTTTGAATGACCCATCGTGCGGCGTCTTCAGAGGCATGTGTGCCGTCGACGGCGAGCATCACGTGTCTCGAGAACGTGAAATCGCGCGCTTCGCTTGGGTAAAATTTCGAGAACTGAGCTTGGCCTCGCACGAAGGCGCCTGATCCTGATTGGTCTGTCGCGTCGGCTCGAGTGACGAGCGAGCGAGCGGTGTTGAGACGCGGCTTAACGCGATGCACAGCGCGAAGTCGAGCGGTCAATGTCAATGGTCGGAGGAGAGAAGCTTTCATTTGGCGTGTCGTTTTGTGTGGTGCGCCTCGTTTGACGACGTCGAATCGCGTCTCGAATTGTATGTACAATCAACGAGTCTACTCGTTGATCCCTAATAAGTTGCGGAAGAAGTTCACACCTTGGAGTGAAAACTCCACATCATCTCGCGTGGCGAGCAATCGTAGCTTGCGCAATCGATCGTTACTCGCATTCCCAATCTTAACCAAACAATGATCCGAGAGCGCGCTGCACATGTTGTGGAACTCACCTTGAGATAGATCCTTGACACCGGCTGTCTTGCAAGTGATGACGTATCGATCATGCAAAGCCCCTAACGTCGTCTCCATGGCGTGCGTACTGCTCAAAAGTTTTATCGCCGAACACAGGACCATCTGTTGCATTTGCGGCAATGCCCGGATTGAGTCCACGACTGGCGATGCGTACGTTTTTGAAAGCGCGCGCGCCATGTGGGAAATCTTCACAGTGCCCTTGGCCGAGGCGGGCGCTTCGCTACCATCCTCTGAGATCTTCGTCGCTTCTTGCACGCATATGTCGACGGCGGTGGCGCACACGTTGAGCGCCTTTCGCATGTCGCCCGTCGCCGCGCCTACTTTCCGCGAACACAATTCCAACGCAGAGTCCTCGAAAGCCTTGAATGGAAGCGCCGCGAGGCGCTGTTTCAGCAATACCTTGAGCTGCTTGGCATCGTACGCAGAAAACGTTACGAGTGCAGGCTCGCATCCACGAGCGCGCAATCTAGGCAGCACGCGATCGGTGAGATTGATCGCGTTGGAGACTCCCGCTAAAACGCATCGTGATCCCTTGAGTGCGGGCAAAGCAAACAGCTCGTACAAAACCTCTTGATCTCGTGTTTCGAGTTGATCCATCTCATCGAGCAGAATGATGCACATTCCACCGTTCATCGAAGTCACTACTCTTCTCAACGCCACGACTTCTGGGATATTGCTGTATTCTATGGATCCCACGCTTGGCGCTCGGTCTTCAGATGCAACTCTTTCGCCAAGTTGATCTAAAACGACTCCAAAAATATCTTTGGCGTTGTGCACGGACATGCAGTTGATGAAAGCTACACGGGGTCGAGTCTTACCTACGATACCCCATCTTTCCGTTGTTCTCTGAACGTCTTTGAGCGTGAGTGTTTTCCCCGTCCCTGGCAGTCCGGCGAGATACAGACTGCCCGGTTTGTGATCACGCAAGCACCCTTGAATCAAATCGATCACTTTCGCGCGCTCATCTTCGCGACACCGCACTTCATCCGGCGCCGTTGATGTATGCATGGCTGCCTTGAGCGTCGTCACCGAGCTCGTATCAGTGGGATCGAACGGAGGCCTGTCCTCAGCGCCGTCGTAATCAATCTCAGTCGTGCTCGGTAAAAGTTTGATTTCCGCCGCCGTTCCCGCAATCATGGGCGTCGCTCCGGCGCGCGTACCCCCACGCACAACATCCGGAACCGATGTGTCTCCCAAAACTTTCGGTACGCGCGCTTCACCTCTCCAATCGGCTTTGGAAGCATCTCCAAGCTTATTCATGATTTTGCTTTCCTTCTGAAAGCGTTGAATTAACGCCAACTGATCCGCCTTCTTCGTCTCATCGACTTCCTTCGCGGCGTAGCTCAGCCCATTTGGCAGCGCTTCGAGAGAAGGTCGCGGCGCGCGCGTCGTTGGCGGCTTGAAATTGAACTCCATCGCCTCGTTTTTCGCCGCCGCCCGAGCGCGCTCTTTATTCACCATTTCCCGCAGCTCTTCCAAGGTTTCATACACCGGTTCGAGTCCGGTGATGTTGCTAAATTCAACAAGCAACCGATCCTCATCCATATCATCGTCTAATTCTAGGCCAGTCACTTGCACGGATTGCGTGCGCGCCGGTAACGCTGGCACGGCTCTGGTAATCGCCGCCGCGTGCTCTTCTGTAATCTTCATTTCCAACGCTTGAAGCTCCGCCTCGGTCGGTTCCGCCTCCATCTCCTCCTCCACGCTCCCATCGTCACGACGAATCTTCTTTTTCGATTGCGGCGACTTCACCCCCGCCAAGTACACCATCACCTCCTTCATCGACCGTACTTTGTTCCCGCACGGCGTCAAGTAGTCTTTATACACCTGCCCAGCCAGCGCCCCCGACTTCCGCTCCACGAACACCACGCCCCAACCGTGATGACGTATATCACGACCAGCCGTGTTCTTCACGTACGCGTACAGTTTCTCCAGCGCGTCCGCCTCGTTCTCGGTTTCCGCGCTCGCGCTCGGCCTCCCCCGTTTCGCCTTTCCATCGCCCTTCCCGCTTCCTTTCTCCTTTCCCGATCCCGCGCTCGCTTTCAGCGCTTTACGCTTCATCCCTCGAATCTGTTGGACGTGCGCGCAGACTTCTTTGGCGCTTCGAAACCGCGTGCCGTCGGGGGCGTAAAACTCTTTGTAAAATGTCCCCGCTTGCGCGCCCGTTTTGCGCTCGGTAAACGTAACGCGCCAGCCGCGCGCGGCATCGATCTCGACGCTCTCGTCGCGCGCGTGCTTGCGCACGTCGCGCTGGAGTCGCTCCAGGGCGTCGCGCTCGGCGGCTTTCGTCGCGGCGGACATCTGACGACGGGATGTGCCGTCTGTCGCGTTCGAATTTTTGAATTTTTTTCAGTAATGATTGAATGTGATGACAAAGGCTACTCGCTAGGGCTACAAGATGTACACCGTCCACTGAGACTCGGACTGGTCGTACATGATCTTGTTCTGCTTTTGCATGACTTCTAAAAACTTGTTCACTTCTTGGGGGTCGTCGAAGCCGGCTCGGGCCGCGTGATCGACTATTTCGACGACGTTCTCCACCTCGAGACGCTTCTCGGAGAAGTATTGACCGAGGAATTGGGTGAATTTACTAAACTTGATCTTGATTTCGTCCATCTCTTCAGTGCTCGGCGCTGATCGAGAGGCGCCCGCGCGTTGAGGAGGCTCGGCGGCGGCTTCGGCGCGAGGCGCGCGAGAGACGACCGGAATCTCCTCAGCTGAGTCTTCAGATTCGTCGTCTTCGGAATCGTCATCTTCAGATTCGTCATCTTCAGACTCGTCGTCGTCGTCGTCGAAAAAATCATTAAAATCCAATTCCTCATCCAAATCATCCTTGTACTGATCCGTCTCGTCGAAGACGTCTCGCAACAGTTGCAAATACGGAATCATCGAACTCCCGTACACCCCGTCGTCTCTCAACGCCCGCATCTTCTCTCTCAACGCCGACGCCGGACACGACACGATGCACTTATTAATCGCCGACTTCGTCTCGAACCAATCCAACAATCGCAAGCGCTGTCTCGTCCACAAATTCCCCAACTCGAGCTCCGCGTTCGTCTTCCACTCTCCCAACGCCTCTGGCAGCGTCTGCAAATCCATCTCTCTCGCCGCGCGTTCCTTCCCGTGTCGCGATTTCGCCTTTCCCCGCGCGTCTTTCGCCTCTTCCTCGGTTTCTTCTCGCGCGCGCTTCGCGTCGATCATCGTCGTCGCGTCGTCATCCTTCGACGCGTCGTCAACAGCCAGATTTTGATTTTGAATCCCCGCGTCGTCGTCTGCGCCCGCGTCGTCGTCGCGCGCGTCCTTTTCGTCGTTCGGTTTCATCGCGGCGTCGCACATCGCGTCTCCGTTCGTCTCCGTCGCGGCGTTGACGTCGCGATGCGCGAGCGCGCGCGCGTCGTCGTCGGCGGTGCGCGGCATCGTCGGGCACGCGTCGAGGTGTGCGGGGCGCGGGGCTGGAGGCGGCGCGAGCGCGGGATTTCAAGACGCTATCCGGTCCACTTTAAAAAGAAATTGTGGCCCTTGTCGTCGACGACGACGAAGGCGGGGAAATTCTCGACCTGAATCTTCCACACGGCCTCCATGCCGAGCTCGGGGAACTCGAGGACGTCGACTTTTTTGATGTTGTTTTGAGCGAGAATCGCGGCGGGGCCGCCGATGGAGCCGAGGTAAAAACCGCCGTGGGTTTTACAGGCGCGGGTGACGGCGGCGGAACGATTGCCTTTGGCGAGCATGACCATGGAACCGCCGGCGGCTTGGAATTGATCGACGTAAGAGTCCATGCGACCGGCGGTGGTGGGACCGAAGGAACCGCTCGCCATGCCTTCGGGCGTCTTCGCGGGACCGGCGTAATACACCGCGTGATCCTTCATGTATTGGGGTAAATCCTCGCCGCGGTCGAGCTGTTCTTTTAACTTTGCATGCGCAATATCGCGGGCGACGACGAGGGGACCGGTGAGCGTGAGCCGGGTCGTCACCTCGCACGCGCTCAGCGTCGCCAAAATCTCAGACATCGGCCGGTTCAAATCGACGTGCACGACTTCGTTGGACAGATTGTCCTCTCGTACGTCGGGAAGGTACTTGCTCGGATCCGTTTCCAGCGCCTCTATGAACACGCCGTCTTTTGTGATCTTCCCGAGCGCTTGTCGATCGGCCGAGCACGAAACGCCGAGGCCGATGGGGCACGAGGCGCCGTGACGCGGTAGGCGAATCACGCGCACGTCGTGACAAAAGTATTTCCCGCCGAATTGCGCGCCAATGCCCATGGTTTGTGTCAACTTGTGGATCTTTTCTTCCCACTCCAGGTCTCTGAACGCGCGCCCGAGTTCGTTCCCGGAGGTGTGCAAGTTGTCGTAATACCGCGCGCTCGCCATCTTCACCGTCTTCAAATTTTGCTCCGCGCTCAGTCCACCGATGACGATAGCCAAGTGATAGGGCGGACACGCGCTCGTACCGATGTTTTTAATCTTTTCTTCCAAAAACGACAGCAAACTCGCCTCGTTGAGCACGGCTTTGGTTTGCTGGAATAAAAACGTCTTGTTCGCGCTTCCGCCGCCCTTCGTCATAAACTGAAAGTGATACTCATCACCCTTCGTCGCGTACAGATCGATCTGCGCCGGAAGGTTCGATCCAGTGTTCTTCTCCTCGAACATCGTCAACGGCGCCACTTGCGAGTAGCGCAAATTCGTCGTTTTGTACGTATCGTACACCCCGCGGCTCAGCGCGCGTTCGTCCTCCCCATCCGTCAGCACCCTTCCTCCGCGCTTCCCCATCACGATCGCCGTTCCCGTGTCTTGGCATCCCGGTAGAACCATTCCCGCCGCCACGCACGCGTTCTTCAGCAGCTCCAACGCCACGAATCGATCGTTCTTCGACGCCTCCGGGTCGTCCAGTATCCCTCGTAACTGTTTCAAGTGTCCCGGACGCAACAGATGGCTCACGTCTCGCACCGCGCGCGCCGCCAGCGCCGTCAGCGCCTCGGGCGCCACCTTGACGTACGTCTCCCCGTCCGCGCCCGCCGTCGTCGTCACGCCGTCGCGCGTGACCAGTCGCCACTCGACCTCTTTCGCCGCGCGCGTCGCGAACGGCGCGTCGTGCTCGAACGCGTCGCTCGCGCGGTCGCGACGTCGGATCGAGCGCGCCGCGCGCCACGACGCGTCCGCGCGCGCCATCGCCGTCGCGTCTCGCGCCATCCGCCGCGCGGCGCGTCCGAGCATCGCGCGTCGCGTCGTGTCGATGCGTCGCGGTCGGTCGCCGCGGTCAACAATCGCGCGCGCGGCGCCGCACAGCGCGACGCGACGCGCGGGCGCGCGCGACGCGCCCGCGAACGCGAGCGAACGATGCGCGCGTCGACGTCGCGCGTCGACGAGGGCGCGCGCGCGTGGTTCGAGGCGCGCGACGGCGCGACGCGACTCGACGCGACTGTTCGCGTCCCGAGCGCGCGCGCGACGATGGACGCGTTCATGGACGCCGTGCGAGAGATGGCGCGCGCGGACGCGGCGGAGGCGCGACGACGATCGATCGAACGCGCGGCGGAGGCGCGGGCGGCGAACGTCGGGACGGAGGAGGCGGTGGTGGAGACGCGGAGCGCGAGCGCGCAGGCGGAGGCGGCGTGCGAGGCGTGCGAACGACGAGAACGCGAGCTTCGAGCGGTGAAGAGGGCGCTGATGGAGCGCGAGCGAGCGGCGCGGGTGGTTGGGAAAACGCGAGGGATCGCGTGCGCGGTGCGACCGCGACCCGCGGTGGGGGTGCGGGCGGTGGAGGTGAGGCGCGCGGAGGCGGCGGGCGCGGCGCGGTCAACGCGAGTCAACGAAGTCGACGCGGAGAAGGATCGCGATGGGGAAGTCCCGATCGCGTCGGTCGGGCGGGAGAAGACGCCGGTGGATGTTTCTGTGATGCGCGCGCGAAAGCGTCACGCGCGACGCACGGCGGTGCTCGCGAAGAGGAGTCGTGAGAGACGCGCGGCGCGCGCGGCGGCGATTTCCGGCGGCGTCTCGATGGAACCGCCTCGGCGCGCGGGGAAGCCGCAATGGAACGATTCCGTCGATGTCGACGCCACGCCGCGGAAAAAGACCGATAAAGAGTACTTCGACGAGCTCCACAAGCTCGTCGAAGCGAAGGAGGCGGAGGAGGCGAAGGAACGTTTGAGGCAGTTGCAGAAGAAGCGACGGCGGCGGCGAGCGCGCGAGGCGGCGGCGGTGAAGATTCGATTTGAAAAATCCACGATCGATTCGAATCTGGACCCGCAGTCGACGATATCTTCGAAATCGATCACGGCGCGCGCGCCGCGATCGAGCATGGATAGCACTTCGTCGTTTCAATCCGCCATTGAGGGCGCGTGCGCGGACGTTCGGGACTTGGCGCTCGACGCGTAGAGTTTCTTAGGTTCGGCGTCCCCTTTCTGTGTGAGGAGAGTGCTGAATATGAAATAACAAATCGCTGGCTAAAAACAATTGAAATCTCGCTCACTTATCCTTCTTCGAATCGCGACGAACGTACTGCTCGTCGTCGTCCAAGTCGTCCTCTAATCCGAGCAAGTTCAAAATACCCCCCAGCGCGTCGTCTTCGTCGTCGTCGTATTCCTCCTGCGAAGATCGCATCGGCTTTTTCGGTTTTGGTTTCGGCTCACTCTTCGGCTGCGTCGTACGTCGGTTCGCTTGTATCGCCATGCCACCGGAAACGACGTCCGCGCGCTCTCGTTCTTCCTCCGTAATGTCCTCGACTTCCTCCCCTAACTCTTCCTCGGGCGGACCCAAAATCTCCTCCGCGATGGCGTCCGTCACGCCTTTGATTTGCGTCGAAACTTCGAGCGCCAAATACGACATCTGGTTCGCGATCCAATTCCACGTCTCATCCTGTTGCCCCGTTCGTCCGCGAGAATTCAGGTAATCGTCGTCGCCCGTGAGCCAGCCCCACAGCGAGTCCTCATCCTCCCTCGGCGGCGGCACGTTGGAATAAAAGTCATTACTCCCCATCCCTCCACCACCGTTACCGAATCCTTGTCTGTATCATCGCAACATCGCCGTCGTCAGTCATCATCGCCGCATCGCTCGAGCGTTCGCCACTCGACCTCGCCCCGCCGCGTCGCCGCCCGCCAGCGCGATCGCCCAAACTCGATAGATCGTCCATGTTCATCCCACCAACGCCCTTCCGCGCCCTCAGCGACCGCACCGTTCGATCGCACGTAATCTTCACCACCGTTTCGCGTCCCCTCGCGGTCAAACCCACGCTCGCGCGCGCCGCACGCGCGTCTTTCCACCATCGAATCGCGATATCGCGAGGTCACCACTACGCACCCGTTTCTCCCCCCCGTCGCGCTCGGCGACATCCCGACCGCCCCCGGCGCGCCGAATCTCGCACCGCCGTATTCTTGTCCACCGTTTCGCCCGCCTCCGTGCGCGCTCGAGCCGTTCCCGCTTCCGCGACGGCTCATCGCCAACAGCTTCTCCACCGCGCTCTCCATGTGTCCGTCTCGCGCTTCGAGCGTCGCGCGAACGACGACTTCGCTGAGATCGGGGAACATGCTCTTGAGGGCGATGACGGACTCTTCGAACGACGCGCTCATGGCGCCAGCGCGTCTCGTCGACGCTCGCGCGCGACGGTGTGGCGTCGCGCGCGCGCGCGCGCGACCTCTATCGAACGCGCGCGGTTAAATACGGGATGCAACACGTACTGTACTATATATATCGCCTCACTGAATACACATATACGAATGCACGACGGCGACCGCGACGCCGCGTCACACGCGCGCGCGATGCGCGCGCCGCGCGAGCGCGACGCGTTCGCGACCGCGCTGTGCGTCATCGTCGCCTTCCGCGCGCTCGGCGCGATCGTCAACGCGACGACGTTCGATTGCGACGAGGCGTTCAACTACTGGGAACCGCTGCACGCGCTCACGCACGGCCACGGCCTGCAGACGTGGGAGCACGGGAGCGCGTACGCGCTGCGGTCGTACGCGTATTTATTCCTGCACTACGCCCCGGTGCGGGCGGCGCGATGGGCGCTCGGCGAGGACGCGGGACGCGCGGCGTTCGCGTGCGGCCGCGGGACGCTGGGACTGGCGAGCGCGTGCGCGGAGGCGGCGCTCGTCAGCGCGGTGCGCGCGCGGAAGGCGCTGGTGGGGTCGGTGTTGATGATGATACTGGCGACGAGCTCGGGGATGGCGATCGCGTCGACGGCGATGCTGCCGAGCTCGTTCGCGATGACGTGCGTGACGGCGGCGTGCGCGGCGACGCTGCGAGGCGAGCACAGGCGGGCGTGCGTGGCGTGCGTCGTGGCGGTCGTGTTCGGGTGGCCGTTCAGCGGGATCGCGGTGGTGCCGTTCGGGTTGTGCGCGGTGCACGCGATCGGGTTCTGGGCGGTTTTCGGGTGCGTGGTCGCGGCGACGGCGATTTCGGCGGCGATTTCGGTGGCGTGCGATACGTACATGTATAACGACATATCACGGTCGGGAGGTTGGAAAATCGTCAGTTCGGTGTACAATTTGCTAAAGTATAACGTCGCGAGTGGGAAGAGCGATTTGTACGGCACGGAGAGCGCGACGTTTTACGCGAAGAATCTGGCGTTGAATTTTCAACTCGCCGCCGCGCTCGCCATCTTCGCCCCGTTCGCCGTCGCTTTGGCCGTGGCCGTTAAGGCTTTGCGCATGCGGAAGCTGTTGAAAACAAAAAAGTGCGACGCGAAGACGGCGCTCGCGGAGATTCGCGCGTACAGGAACAATTGGCGCGCCATGATTGCCGTGTGCTCGCCGTTTCCAATCGTCACCGCCTTCTTCACTTGGATTCCGCACAAGGAGGAACGGTTTTTGTACATGATTTATCCGTGCCTGTGCTTGAGCGCGGCGATTACGGTCGGTGCGCTCGCCGAAAGTGCGTTGGGTCTCAACGCGCACGCGTTCGGGAAATCGCGCGTCGTTAAACTCGGCGTCGTCGTCGGCGTCTGCGGCTGCGTCCTCACCGTCATGGTGCTTTCGCTGTCGCGCACCGCGGCTTTGCTGCAATATTACGGCGCGCCGGCGAAGATGTATCACGCGCTGCCGATGCCGTCATCGCGCGCGAACGGGAACGCCTGGCCGGCGTGGCTCGCCGAGGAATTCGCCGCGGGCGGCGACGACGCCACCGTCGACGTGTGCGTCGGGGACGAGTGGTACAGATTTCCTAGCTCCTATCACTTCCCATCGAACAAGTATCGCCTTCGTTTCCTCAAGGCTGGTTTCGACGGCGCGCTCCCGATGCCGTTCGATTTTTCCAAGGGTGGCACCGCGCACACCCCCGAGGGCTTGAACGACGACAACCGGGCGCACCCAAACCAATACGTCGACCCTTCGTCGTGTCGTTTCCTCGTCGAAGCCGAATTCGAGCGCGGCAACGCGCACAGCGCCTCAAAAGATTTCGTCCCGGGCGAATGGATCGACGTCGCCGTGGAAAAGTTCATCGATCCATCTCGAAGTCCCACGCTCACGCGCGTCTTTTACATCCCCGGATACTCGGAGAAGAAGAACGCGTACGTCGATTACAAACTCAAACGCCGCGCGCGCGCGCCGACGTCCCCGACGGACGCGTGAGACGTCGTCTCCATCATCACCCCGATCGCTCTTAGTCCTCGCGCGCGTAGCCATCGCTGTAGCATCATCCATCCGCGCGCGCGCGATCCGCCGCCGACGCTCCAATCGCGGCACCCAACTGGGCACCCGCGCGCCGCGCGCGCCGACGCCGTCGCGTCCCTCGTCCATCCTTCGCCGCGTCCGTCCGCGTCCGCGTCCGCGCGCGTCCGCGCGCGAGAGAACGATTCAAAGTACGCGGGAAGCGGAAGCCCGCGTCGGGCGACGCGACGACGCGACATTTTCTCTCGTCCGAACGTCATCGCCGTTCGGATTCATTGTTACAGTTCCGGCGAACAGTTCCGGAGACGCGTCGCGCCGCGCCCTCGCGCCCCGCACTCGCGCGCGCGATGTCCGCCGCCGACGCCCGCGCGCGAGACGCGCGCGACGCGTCTCCGGACGCGCCCGCGCCGGCGAGCGACCACGACAGCGCGCTCAACGTCGCCGCGCGCGCCGCGGATTGGCATCGCGTCGAGCAACTTTTGAACGACGACGGCGCGGCGCACGCGCCGGACGCGTGGACGGCGGCGGCGTGCGCGCGGCGCGGGAACCTCGCGATGCTGACGATGCTCGTCGAGACGCACGCGTGCGCGTGGGACGAGAAGACGGCGACGGAGGCGATCGAGGGCGAACACTGGGATTGCGCGAGGTACGCGGCGCGCGCGGGCGCGCTGGGACGCGACGGCGGCGCGTTGACGACGGCGGCGTGCGCTCGGAAGGGCGCGTTGGATCAGTTGAGGTGGATGCGGGAGCGAGGCGTGGCGTGGGACGCGTCGACGTGCTGGAGCGCGTGCTTCAACGGCCATTTGCACGTTTTAATTTGGGCGAGAGAAAACGGTTGTCCCTGGGATACGCGGGTGGTCACGGAGAGCGCGAAGAAGGGATACATCGGATGTTTGACGTACGCGCTCGATCACGACGCGCCGATGCCGCAAGGCGGGGACATGAAGCGTCTGATTAAAGAGGTGAATAAACAGATTGAGAATGAGAATCGCGGGAACGGGCGAAACGTCGTCGACGAAGACGCGAGGACGTATGAGAAAATTTTAAAACTGCTAGAACCCGAGGACCCGGTGATGGAGGATCTGCAAGGCGTGATGAGTTTCATCGAAGAACTCGCCGAGCACGCGCCGGAAGGCGCGTACATTGAAAATTGCGCGCGCGCGCAACGAATCTGGATGCGACTGAAAGATGTCACGTCCAAGGTTAACGAACGCGAGCGCCGACGCAATCGTCGACACCTTCGCGAATTATTGAACGACGCGCCGGATGCGGCGCAGTTGCGCGGTTTGAACGGTTGATCACGACTACCTATCGCTATTTGCAATACACAGTACTATACGACTGCACTAAAAAATCATTTGCCGCGCGATTTCGATTTCCCTTTCTTCTTCGACGTCGCGATGTTTTGAATGTCATCCGCAAAGCGAGCGAAATGGTCGGCGATGAGACTGTCGTCCCGTCTCGCGGGCGCGCTTTCGCGACTTTCAGGCTCAAGCGTGGAAACGCTCGCGCCCAAGTCACCCGTGACGACGACGCGTTCGCGTTCGCCAATGAACACTAGACGACGAATCGAAACCTTGGCTTCGCGCTCGAGGCGCGTGATTTCAGACGCGAGCTCGGGTCGGGAGATGAGCAACGAAACGCCGGGCACGGCGCACCCTGGACGCCCGGCGCGTCCGGCGCGGTGCGAGTAAGTGTCTGCAGATTTGGGCATGTCTGCGTGCACGACGAGCTCGACTCCGGGTAAATCGAGACCACGCGCGGCGACGTCTGTAGCGACGAGCACGTCGACTTCGCCAGAGCGAAGGTTCGCGAGCGTCGCGTCGCGCGCCGGTTGCGGCAAGTCGCCGTGTAAAGACGCCACTCGCCGAGTTCGTTTGCCAGTGTCGAATTCCTACGCGCGAGAAGGAAAAGGTAATCAGTCATCGCGAGCGCACGAGGGTCAGATCGGTTGCCTCGCCCGCATTCGATGGCTCGGCGGAATTGTTGTGCACATCGATCGAAGGATCCTCACCCCTCGATCTCGACAGTCTAACATGTGAAATAAGGTGTATCTTCATCGCCATCGAACGCGAGCGAGCGCGCGCGTCAAAAAACTAACGCAAAGCAGTTCCATCATCTTGAAAGGTGTAATCACCGGTATCTCAGGGAATGTAGATAAGAATTATTCATGCAATCCTCTGGAACTCGGACGAGAAAAAATTGAACAAACGCGCTCGTCTGCGTCTGCGTCTCGAAGGTCGGCGTCTCGGAGAATTGTAGTCTATTGGTACGAACATGGAACGGATTCCAATCTCATAAATCCCTTAATAGTTTGTTCGTCATCGACGACCGACTCGATCGAAAAAGAAGAGAAAAATTCAAAGGCACGCACCGTCGTCAACATATTCGTCAGCATCGCCCTGACGCGTTCCGCGGTGGACTTTGTCTCCGTGAACACGATCGCCTGACCACCGACTCTCCCATCCACGTGCTCACCCGCGTAGTGCTCTAACGCGTCCACGACCGCCGATCCGACGGCGTCGTCTCCCGACTTCGTGGCGTACGCCAAGTGCTCCACCATCCCGCCCACGTTTGAGCCGCCTCGTCCGGCGACGACCACCTCCGCGTACCCGGGCACGAGTTTACGATCTAAAAATCTCGACAACGCCGCAGAGATCGTCGCCGAAAAACAAAGCGTCTGACACGTCCCGGGCGGTCGCATCACCGCGTCGATCTCGCCCTCAAACCCTCCGTCGAGGAGGCGGTCGATTTCGTCCAACACCTGAATCTCCACCGCGCGCGGTTCGATCACCCCCCGATCGATGAATTCCTTCATCCTCCCCGGCGTCCCGACGACAATCTTCGCCCCACCCTTACGAATCGCGTCCTCCTGCGCCTTCGCGCTCGTCCCTCCCACGCACAGCGCGCTCGACCCCTCCCCGCAGTACCGCTCGCACTGCGTCCGCACCTGACTCGCCAGCTCCCGCGTCGGCGTCACCACCATCGCCCGCACCGCGCCTCCGCCTCCGCCTCCCCCCGATCCGTCGCGCGCCGCCCTCTCCAACATCTTCGCGATCGGCAGCACGTACGCCAGCGTCTTCCCGCTCCCCGTCGGCGCTCGACACGTCGCGTCCGCGCGTCGTCCGACCGCCGCCTCGCACACCGCGAGCTGCATCGCGTTCAACGCGTCGATCCCGCGCGCGCGCAGTCGCGCCCGCGTCGCCGCGGAGACGTACTTTTCGCTTCCGTCGCTCGCGCCCGTCGTCGTCGTCGCGCGCGCCGTCGTCGCGTCGTCGTCGTCGCCGCCGCCGGACGGTCGCCGCGGCGCATCCATCGTCGCGCGCGCGCGCCGTCGCGCGTCCTCGTCCTCGCGCGGCGGTCGTCCGGCGGTCGAGCGGTCGAGCGATCGAGCGCGCGCGTCGTCGGCGCGCCGTCGAGTCGCGACGCGGGACGCGCGACGGCGGATCGGGCGGCGCGCGCGCGAAACACCCGGGTGTGCGCGCGCGAAAACACCCGGGTGTGCGCGCGCGAAAACACCCGGAAGTAGGCACGCGCGACGAGGGGAACGATCCAAACCGACACCGCGGCGACGAATGCGTGCACGGTTGACGATTGCGATTCGCGACGCGTCACGGCGCGACGCGCGCGACGACGAACGGCGAACGCGCGCACACGACGACGATGGTGTCCGCGCGCGACCTGCTCGCGGTCGAGGAACGCTACGAATCGCTGACGGACCACCAGAAACGATGCGTCATCGCGTGCCAGGCGAAGATGCGGGGCTGGGCGCAGCGCCACAAGAAACGAAAGGACGACGGGCGCGCGTCGCGCGCGAAGGGCGGCGTCTGGGCGCTGTTCTCGCTGAACGCGAGCGAGACGGTGGTGGAGACGTACCGGGCGCATCTGGGCGGACCGATCGCGAGCGGGACGGGGGATTTGTACGTCACGAGCGGGCACGCGTGCTTTTATTGCGAGACGAGCGACGCGACGAGGCGGGACGGGCTGTTGTTCTCGCCCTCGAAGCGGCGATCGAGCGGGAAACCGATATCGCTGAAGATTGCGTATAAAGAGATCGAGCGGATCGAGGTGAGGAGCGAGGGATGGGGCGAGAGCGGGGTGGCGCTGACGATGCGAGACGGGAGCTCGATGTGGTTTGGGGGGTTTTACTTTCCGTCGAGCGTGAAGGCGCTCATGGAGGCGGAGTGGACGCGGGAGACGGTGGAGAAGTTGAATCACGCGCGGGCGTTGCGGACGGAGTTGATCATGGCGCGAGGGCGCAAACGTCAAGAGGCGATGAGCGCGAGTCAGGAAAAGTTCAACGCCCTCAACGACGAATTGCGCGCCGAACGGGAAAAGACGAAACGCGCCGAGGCGCGCGAGCGCGATCAAATCGTGGAGATTGAAGTCTTGCGCGAGAACGAAGAGCGCATGGAGAGGCAAAAGAAAAAACTTGTGTGCCAAGTTCGCGATTACGAGGAGGAGTGCGAAAGCCTTCGAAGCAAGGCGTCGGCGGCGATGGCGGCGCGTCGCGCGGCGGAGAAGAAGTTCGCGGACATGGAAGCCTCGTTCGATAAGAAGATTGACGATCTTTTAGAAGAAAAGAACACGACGATCAACGAGTTGAGCGAAGAGGTGAGTAAGTTCAAGGAGATGTGGCAAGAAGATAAGGCGCAGATGAAGGCGGAGAATGAAAAGGCACGACGCTCGGCGAGCGAGTTGCGGGATCAACGCGACGCGCTCGTCAGCGAAAAGTCCAAACTCGTCATCGAGCTCGGTCAGCTCGAATCGCAGCTCACGAAGTTCTCGGAAGTTTCGGCGAAGGAATCTCGTCGCGTGTGCGAACTCGAGGCTGAGCTCGAAGGTTTCCGATCCAAGCGCGAAGACTCTTCTGCGAATCTCGAAAAGCTTCAAAACAAGTACGAAGAGGCCATGAAGCACATCGCCGCGCTCGAGGCTTCGAACGAGGCGCGCTCAACGCGCACCGCCACCGATGCCGAAATGAGTGTCAAAATCACAGAAATTGAATCGCTCAAGGCGCACGTCGAGGCGCTTCGTGGACGACTCAACAAGAAGGTGGAGGATTCGGCGACGTTGCGAAGCAAGTACGACGACGCGATGAATGAAATCGCCGAGCTTCGAGCGGCGGTGCAAGAAGAGCGAACGATGGCGAAGCCGTCGAGCGACTCAAATATTTCGAACGACGCTGCGGAGATGATGCGAGTGAAGTCGGATTTGGAGACTCAAGCCGCCGAAGTCAAGGCGCTCCAAGCGCAAGTGGATGCGCTTCGCGCCAATCTCAACGACAAGACCGTTTCGTCCGCCAAGCTTCAAGTCAAATATGAAGAGGTGAAGAATGCCCTGAAGACCGCGCGAGAAGATAAAGAAAACCATATTGAAACCGCGTCGCACGAGGTTCATCGTCGCGAAACGGAGCTTAAGAGCGCCTTAGAAAACAAGGTGACGAAGATTGAGGCGCTCGAAGCCGAAATCGCCGCGTTGCGTACCACGCGAGAATCGTCGGGCGCTCACGTGGCGACTTTGAAAGCCAAGTACGACGAAGCGAAGAATCAAATCGCTACGTTGCGTGCCGAAAAAGAAGACGTGACGAAGACGAAGTCTGCCGAACTCAACCATCGCGAGAGTTTGTTGCGTCGCGAGCTCGACGCCAAGTCGGCTAAATGCGACGAACTCCAGAGCGAAGTCGACAACCTTCGTACTCAGCGTGAGGCAGCGGCCGTGGCCACGGCTACGCTACAATCGAAGTTCGAAGAGGCGTTCAGCAAGTTGAGCGAGGCGAAATTACAAAGAGATGAGGACAGGGCAAACTTTGCGCGAGAGCGCAAAGAACTCGAGAGCGCTGTCGTCGACGCCAAGGAGACGAGCGCCGCCGCTCTGCAGGCGGTGCAATCTGAGCGTGAGAGCATGCGAGACGCCAAGGAAAAGTCCAACATGTCTCTGGTTGCTTTGAAGGCGAAATTGGAAGACTCCAACAAGCAACTCGCCGCGTCCAAGGTTGCGCTCGAAAACGCCGCCGCCGCTCGCGAGGAGGCGCTCGAAAAGATGCACGACGCGCAGCGTTGCGAAGAAGCCACCAAGGTGCAACTCATTACGTCTGAAAAGGCGCTCGTGCAGCGCGAAACCGAGGCAAAGTCGTTCCAAATGGAAATCACCGCGTTCACCGCTGCCGCAAAGTCCGCGGAAGAACGCGAGCGAGAGGCGCGCGCCGAACTTCAAGATCTCCGACGCCAAAACGAAGCGCTCGTGAAGGAGCACGGCACTTTGGAAGGTCGATCCAAGGCACTGGAAGAAAAGGCGGATCAGCTCGTGCAAGTGGAGAAAGAAATGTCTGCACTCAAGGCGGAGCTCACGGCCACGGCGTTGCAGCAAGAAAAATGGAAGCAAGATGTGGAGTACGCCAAGGCAGAGATTGAGCGCTCGCGTTCAAAGGAGGAAGCGAACAACGAAAAGTATTTGGACATGTTGAAGAACATGTCTGAAGCCGAACGCGAAGCCGCGTCCGCTCGTGCCGCCGAGTCAGTCGCGCGTGATTACGCGTCTCGAAGCAACGAAACCGCCAAGGAAACTCAAGCGCGCGAGCTTCGCATGCGAGACGAGTTGGCGACGACGCGCGTGGCATACGAGACACTCTCGACGGAATTCCGCGCAAAGACGGAAGAATTCTCCCGTGAAGTCAGTCGCTTAGAGAAATCGGTAAGTGATGAGCACGCCAAGATGCAAGTGTTAAGCAATAAACTTGATGAAGCGCGCGAGAAGATCAGTAATCTCGAGTTATTGAACATTCAAGCGACGAATAAAATCGCGAGTTACAAGGACACGTTGCATCGCCAACGGGAAGAAACGAAGAAGATATGGGAAGACTTGCAACACACGCAAGCCGATCTCGACGAGAAAACGCGTCTGCTCGAACGAGAACAAACGGAAACGCGCGACATGCACATGCAAAAAGCGCTCGAAAAGCAACGATCCACGGCGGCGCTCCTCAACCGACCAGCCGGAGGTTTCGGCGCGGTTCGTCAGCCGCTCGCCGACGCCAATCGAGGTGGTTCTCCGCTCAGCGGTAGCGTGCGCGCGCTGCCCAGTATTCGACCGATCGAAGAGATGCTTCCATCCTTGGCGCGCGACCTCTCTGGCGGCAACGCGATCAAAGCCATCGCGGCGTCTCCGACGCCCGCGACTTCGTCGCCGCGTTGAAACTCTCGCAAACGTAAACACACCTTCTGTAAATCATAATCGTAAATCATACACTTACATGCGACTAAGCTAATTTGACGATCACTTTGGCATATCCTTTGGGCGCGCAGGCGGCGCGCGAAGCGTCTTGTATAATCGACCAACGTTTCGAGCCACATCCGCAGATTTCAAAGCGTTTCGCGCCGCCGTCACACCCTTCTTCGCCGACTTCGCCGTGTTCGATATGATGGGTCCACTGTACGGTTCCATGTCTGCGCGCTCCTCCAACACGCGCACCGTTCCAGTCTTTACCGATCCCACGATCGGTGTCGCTCGTCTTCGAACCTCAGGAACCGCCGCCGCCGCGTACCGCCCGACCATCTGCGCCGTGTTCACGCTCGCCGTGATGCCGCGTCCGGCGCTTCGCAAACCTCCTCCGACGTCCGCCGTCAGTTCCCCAACCTCCTCCATCACGTCCGTGAGCTCCAACCCACTCACACGCACCGCCGCGAGCGTATCTGGCACCTCCTCGCGCACGCTCGCCGCGAGATACGCAATCTCATCCATCGTTCGCCGCGCGCTTCGAAGCGTCGGAATCAAACTCAGCAGCACCGCGCTCAGCGCGCTTCCCAACAAGCACCCCACTCCACACAGCGCGTACACCGCGAAGTTCGGCGTCATGAATTCCACATTCTTCGCCTCGATCGGCTGCCGCACGTACGCCACCGTGGCGCCGTGCGCGGTTCGCGGCGCCAGCGCGCTCGCGTCTCGCCGCGCGCCCAGTTGACTCACCACCTCCCGCGTCGCGCGCGCGTCCCGCGTCATCCCTCGATCCGCGCCGGCGTCCGCGGCGCGAACGACGCGCGTCCGACGCGTCGCGCGGTGTCGATCGACGCCGTTCGGGCGCGCTCGGACGCGCGTGGACGCGCTTTGAACCATCATCATCGCTGGGACAGATTCTAAACGTTTGGTTTGCGACGCCGCGTCGTATCACCGCGCGCCGCTCGGTTCGCGCGAGCGCGACGCGAAACGATCGACCGCGCGAGCTTTTACCTCGGCGCGCGCCACGGCGAAAGTTTTTTCGCGCGGGACGGAGTGCGGCGCGCCGAAGCAGTGAGCGAAGATTAACGGCCAAAGTCGGGACGACGGGACGACGCGCGCGCGCGGACGTCCGAAAACTCGACGTCGAAAGCGACGAACGCGGGATCGGCTACGGGCTAAAATAAAACTAAAAAAGAGCTACGTCTTGCGGTGGACGATGGCGTCGACGCGCCCCCAGCTGAAATCGATCTCGTCCTCGGCGACGACTTCGAACGCGTCGCTCGGCAGCGGACACAGCGCGGTGACGAACAAAGCACCGCGTCGCATCTTCGCCGCGTGCGACGCCAATCGCGCCATCGTCGCCTCGTCCCACGTCACGCAATTACAAAACACGAAATCCGCGTCGATCCAGGAGAGATCGACGAAGATGTCACCGAGCGAGACGGAGACGCTCGGAGAGACGCCGTCGTCTCGCGGCGCCACGTCTCGCGAGAAATCCTCCACCAAAATTTCCGCGATCGCGTGCACGCAAGGCAAGAGCTCGATTCCACGACATCGCGCGAAATACGGTGACAACGCGGCGGTGAGCACGGATTTTCCCGCGCCGCTGCCTAAATCGTAATACGTCAGCGCCGCGCGCGTCGACGCCGTCCCGCGCGCGTCGCCGCGTCGCGTCTCATCTCCCTCTTCCGCGCGTTCCAGCGCCAGCGTCCGCGCGTGCGCGTTGATAAACTCCAGAAACGCGCGCGGCGCGCACTCGCCGTACACCATGACGTCTAGATCGCTCTCGGGCGTCCCCTGAAGCGATTCCATGACTATGAGCTTTATGACGTCGGGACGCGCCTGTTCGAGCAGCGTCTCTAAGCGCTCGATCGCGCGCGCGCGCGCGCAGCCGGATTGCACGGACCAAGCGCGAAGGTCGAAGCGTTTGGCGACGCCGTTTTCGACCAAGGCGCGGAGACGCGCGGTGGGGTCGGTCATGACGCCGGACGGTACCGGCCGCCGCGGTGTGCGGGACGCGAACGAAAGGGGAATGGGATGGGTGCGATTAAAACAATGCGTGGTGTCTAATGATCGCGAACAACTCACATGTCTGGTCCCATGGAGTCGTAATCGGTCATCTCTTCGATGGTGAGCTTTTGACGCTCGGCTTCGACGCGCGCGGCGCGTCGCCAGAGCGCTTCGCCTTCGGCGATTAAAACTTTTTCATCCTCGGGCATGCGCTCGATTGGGATGAGTTCAGGTTCGTTCGACGTGGCGTCGTCGTCGTTCTCGTCGTCGTCGGCTTTCGGTTCATCATCGCTCGTCGCCGTGGAGCCGGCTGGTTCCACGGGCAGGGCGGCGGCGGCGATGAAGGCGACGGTGGCGTCGACGGCGTCTTCGCCTTCGTCTTCGTCTTTGGATTCCGAACCGAATCCCATCATCGCCCCCGCGTCGACGCCTTCTTCGTCGAGAATCTGCGTGAAGAGCTCCGTGGCGTACGTGCTGACTAAGATGGAAACAACCATGATGGCGACGGTTTCGAACACGAGCGCGCCTTGCGCCTGGTCCTTGACGGATGACTCGTCGAACACCGCGGTGAGCAAAATTGAACCTAAATACGCGTCGATGAACGCAGTCTTCGAGCTTCCGATGAAGTGCGCGGCGAAGAACTCTTTGAATTTGAGAGGCGTCAGCCCGCACACGTACCAGTTCCCACTTATCGGAATCGGTAAAATCGGGCACAGCCTGAGCAAGAGCGCCGACTTGAACCCCTCGGGCACCGTGGACTCGGGGAATTGCGACGAGTCGAATCTTCGACTCAGCGCGGCGAACCACTTTTGCTCGCCCACGGGATCACTTTCGCCCCACTTAAAGCCTAATATCTTATCCTTCAACACGTACCGCGCGAGGAAGAAATTGACGCTCGCCGCCAGCGTGCTCGCCAGCGACGTCACCATCGTCCCTCCGAAGACGCCGCCGAACACCACCGGCGACACCACGGGCAGCACGAAGCCGATCGGCAAAAACTCATCCGTCATCGTCAACTTTTCCGCCACGAACAACCCAACGTACACCGCGAACACCGCCGCCACGGGCAACGCTCGCAACTGATCCAAATATCCGCTCAACTCGCTCCTCGGCGGCAACCCAAAAAATTCAGTCAACTCGTCGAACCCACCCACCGCTTGCAGCGCCGCGACGCGCGGCAAAAACAACCGCAGCACCACCCCCGCGATCGCCACGTTCACCGCGCTCGACATCAACGGCGCCGCGTCCCGCACCGCTTGACTTTCAATCAGCGCCTCGCTCCTCGCTCGCCAATACGTCCCCACCGCGCTCGGAATCGACGCCCGCGCCCGCGCTCGCATCTCCTCTCGCTCCGCGGTCCACGTCTCCCCCGGTTCGGGTCCTCGTCGCGCCAGTTCAAGCGCCGCCATCAGCGCCACCGCCTCGATCGATTCATCCTCTCTCAGCGGTTTATACTTAATCTCTCTCCACAAGCCTCGCAGCGCGTCGCCCGCGTTCACCCGCGCCCGCCCTCGATTCCGCGTCCGCGCCGTCGTCGCCGTCGTCGTCGCCGCGTCGTCGTCCCTCGGCGCGGGAAACGCGCGCGTCGCGTTTTTTCGCGTCGTTCGCGCGCGTCGTCGTCGCGCGTCGTCGCGCGCCGTCGTCGTCGTCGTCGTCGTCGTCGCGCGCGTCGACGTCAGCGCCATCGCGCGCGCGGCTCCCGCGCGCCGAGACGACGCGCGCGCGGTCGAGGCGCGCGCGAGCGCTCGCGCGGACCCTCGGACGCGGTCGTCGCGCGCGCGGGAGACGCGGGCGCCGCGCGGCGTCGCGTAGTGTCGCGACTCGCCGACGCGGCGTCTCGGCATGTCGCGCCCGCCCGACGCGCGCGCGCGCGCGCGCGACGCGCTCGTCGACCTGCGCGCGCGACTCGACGACGCGACGCGCGGCGCGTGCCTCGCGGCGTACTGGCGCGCGGTGCGCGCGGCGTGCGACGACGCGCAGCGAATGGGCGCGGAGACGTTCGCGCGCGGACGGAAACGCGTCGACGACGAGGCGGCGCGCGCGTTCGGCGCGTCGCGGAGCGCGATGGCGACGCACGCGACGCTGATGGAGACGCTGGCGCGCGCGGTGCGCGCGAGCGCGGCGCGAGCGGGCGCGGAGGCTGCGGACGAGGACGACGCGGGACGACGACGCGGGAACGAGGGCGAGACGAAGACGAACGAAGACGCGCGGAGACGCGCGAGCGATGGCGGCGCGGTGCGACGAGCGATCGGGAGCGGATTCGCGACGGTTGTGACGAAGAAACGGAGCCGACGGGCGGAGAGAGCGGGGAAGGCGAGCGAGACGCGGACGGCGCTGGGCGCGCCGCTGGGCGAATCGAAAGCGAGTCGAGACGCCACGGGAGGAGCGCTCACGGCGGCGCGATTGCGCGCGAGATTAGCGGTGGTGAGTCGAGGGATGGCGCGCGGAATGCGGGTGCGCGCGGACGTGGGGAAAGTTTTGGCGGCGGCGGCGAGGGCGCGCGCGAGGGACGTCGCGAGACGAGCGACGGCGCGCCTCGAGCACGCGCGCGCGGTCGACGGCACGCGGTGGACGTCGTCGCCGTCGAATCGATCGGTTTCGAAAGCGCACATCGCGGCGGTGATTCGCGAGGAGACGGGAGAGGTGATCGTCTGATTCGCGACGCGAAGCGCGGCGTTCGAGCGACGAGACCCGCGAGGGGTGTTACGGTACCTTTTTCTTATTGAGACAAAATTCTAGTACATTCTAGCCATTCAGTTGCTGTATACATATTAGGTTTTCTAGCGCACGCACCGACGCGCGCGCGATCGGACGTCGACGCGATCGGACGTCGACGCGTTCCCCGCGATTCGACGTCTCGCCAGCTGTCGCCCGCCGTCTAGTCGAACAACGCCCGCAAGTTTGCGTTCGACCGTCGCGTCCCCGCGCGCGTTCTCGGCGTCGTCAACAACCCCAACGTCGCCGTCTGCGCGTGCGCTTCCGCGCCCACGCGCCACGTCATCACGCGCGTCGCCTTTTCTTCGCTCGCGCGTCTCGTCCGCGCGCTCAAACCGTCGAGCGTCCCGCGCGTCGTCCCCTCCCGCGTCCCTCGTCGTCGTCGTTCGCGCCTTCGCGTCCCCCCGAACTCATCCAGCGCGTACACCACCAATTCATCCGTCATCGCGTCCCGCCGTTCGCTCGCGGCGAGCGATTCCGCGCGTCCTCGCGCGTCGTCCCCGCGTCGTTTCGTCTGCGCGATGTGTCTTTGCGCCGCCGCGGGCGCATCCGCGGGCGTCGCGTCGATCGTGCGTCGTCGCGCGAGCGGCGACGGCGCGGCGAACGTCAGCGCGATGGCGGCGCGGTGCATCTCGAGCGCGTCGTCCCGTTCGATTCCGCGCGCGCGCGTGGCGACGCCGCGTCGTCGTCGATTCGCGTCAACGTCACTTTTTAAAAAAGTGCGTTTCGGGCGGGAAAATCGTGACGATTCGTATCGCAACACGGACCTTTTAAAGGCGATTTTTTGCGCCTTTTTCGACGCGACGGTTGGCGTCGCGCACTCCGAGACGGTCGACATCGACGGCGGCGCGGCGGCGATGGAGCGCGCGAGCGCGGCGCGCGCGAGGCGGCGGTTGCGACGGGCGTTCGCGGCGATGAGGCTCGAGGCGGTGGAGAACGAGGATGATTATGCGGTATATCGGGCGGATCATGGTCTGGACGCGCTCGCACGTGTCGGGACGGCTGTGATTGCGACGAGCGCGGCGGTGCCGGCGTGCGCGGCGTTTCTCGGAGACTTGGAACTCTTGCGGTTGGCGCTCGAGCTCGGGTACGAGTGGAACTGGGAGACGTGCGCGAGTGCCGCCATGAGTGGACAGTTGGAATGTTTGAAGTACGCGCGCGAGCGCGGGTGTGATTGGAGCGACTTGACGTGCGCGAATGCCGCCGAGAATGGACATTTGGAGTGTTTGAAGTACGCGCACGAGCACGGGTGTCCTTGGAACGAGGAGACGTGCGGTGCTGCCGCCGAGAATGGACATTTGGAGTGTTTGAAGTACGCGTACGAGCGCGGGTGTCCTTTATACGAGGAAATGTGCGCGTATGCCGCTTCGAATGGACATTTGGAGTGTTTGAAGTACTTGCACGAGCGCGGGTGTCCTTGGAACGAAGAGACGTGCCAGAATGCCGCTGAAAAAGGACATTTGGAGTGTTTGAAGTACGCACACGAGCACGGGTGTCGCTGGGACGAGTTGACGTGCGGTGCTGCCGCCTATGTGAACGAGATTGAATGTTTGCGATACGCGCAAGATCACGGCGCGCCCGATTCAGCGCATTACGTCGTCGATTGGCAACGAATGTACGTCAGCGCGGTGGAATTGATCGTCCAAATCGCACTGTCACATCAACGAGACGGCTACGTGTCGCTACGCGAGCTCACGCCTACGGTGAACCGCTTCTTGCGCGCGTGGCCGGAACTAGATGTGCGCGAAGAAGTGATAGGACAGCTGCGCGAATATTTTGGCTTTGACCCCCTTGAAGAACCACCCCCACCGCGCGAGCGATTCTCGACAATGATAGACCTGTACGCCACGAAATGAAATCCGCGATCAGTCCACTCGACCGTTCGTCGTGACTCGCGCATAGACCTGAAATTTGACATGACATTTTGGCTACCTACTCGTCGTCTTCGAAGTCCTCGGGACGGCGACCGCGGCGCGGACGACGCGTGGAGGCGTCGTCGACGCGTCGACCGCGAGATTTAGATGATGACTTGCGCGGCGACTTGTCCTTGGAAGTGCGGTTGAGACGAACGCGGTCGTGGGCGGCGACTATGCCGTGCGCGTCGTAGTCGATGGCGGCGTCAAAGCCGACTTGCTTCAAACGACGGACGACGCCCGCGGCGACGCCGGAACCCGACGCACTCTTCGGATCGCCAATATAGTGGTACAGTTTGCCTTTAGGGCGCAAGATGCGCTTGAGATCGGCGTAGAATTCGGCAGAGTAGAGTTCGCCTGCGAGAGCAAACGTCGGCGGGTCGGTTATGATAACGTCAAAGCATGAGTCTTCAAACGTCTTGACGACGTCCGCACCGTTGCCGTACAACTGCTCAATTTCGCCTTCAAACAGTGCTTTTGAATGTGGGTTCATTCTGCACATCTTTGTCATCGTGCGATCGAGTTCAATCGTGGTGACGTCGGCGCCTCGAGCGTGCGCCATGCACGACGTGTACGCCAACCCCGTGCAAATATCGAGCAATCGCGCATTCTTGCGTATGGGCGCGACCGCTCCCAACTTTTTCTCCGTGTCTTCCTTCGGATCGACGCCGACGCCGAACCTATGCATGCTAAACCCCGCGATCAACGCCGTGGGCCACGTGCGCTCGCCGCTCGGCATCAACGAAACCGCTCGTTCGGTGTCGTCGCTAAACGTCACCACCTTGCGCGCCCCACCTCCGAGCCAATCGTCCTCATCGGCCGGCTCGTACACCCCTCGCTCATCGCCCGCGATCGTTTCGATCGCATCCCAAGCCATGAACACCTCGCGGTCGCCGTCCAGCGTCGCCCTCGCGCCGAGCGCGTCCACGCGCGCGTCGTTCGGCGTCGTAAAGTGAAAATCCCAGCTGACTTTGCACGACGTCTCGCCGTTCGCGCGCGCGTCGAGCAACCGCCGCGCTTCGTAGTGCGTGATCAACGGCGGTCGAGGATCGAGCGGAGGAAGCGGCGGGGCGTGCCGACGCCTCGGCGCGTCGTCGTCGTCGCGCGAGGCGCGCGCGGTGGCGCGAGAGGACGGCTGGCGGCGGCGCGAACGCGCGCGCGGCGCGCGCGCGCCGGTGGCGTAGGACGTCGAGCACGCGTCGAGCGCGGCGCACATGTTTACGCGCGGGCGAGCGATCGAGGCGCGCGCGAGAGTGATGTCTAAGTCGGTTGGGTCTACGACAACGCTACGGCGGTTGACTGAGCGGGACGGGACGAAACGTCGGGACGTTCTCACAGTCCGATCGCGTTGGACGCCGCCTCGGCGGAGAAACCGTGATTGTCCGGACTCGTCGATTGCTTCACTGGATTTCGCGGGGCGGTCTTCGGTATTTGAATCGCGACGCCGCTCTTGTTGGTTTGCGAACGCGCCTCGACGAGGGCGCGAAGCTCTTCTCCTCCTCCGCTGGCGTTGATTAAGAAGTCCTTGACGAAATTAGCGGCTTTCTTCTCGCTTCGCATGGCACCGAGCTCTCGCACGCATGAATCGAGGGCTTGCTGCGTCATTCCGGGAAGACTCATCAAGATTTGTACCACGGATTGCGTCTTCGGGGTGAGCCAAATGATGATGTCGCGAATCAAGCCGAGAATGTCGGCTTGGTGCGCGGCGTTGGAGCTTTGCGTCAGCGCCACGAGGGTGGCTTGGAAGACATCTGAACCGACGTTGTCTCGCAACGCTTGCGGTGCGTTCGCGCTCCCGGCGGCGGCACACAGCCCGCGCACAAAGTTCACGGCGTGGCCGGTGGATTCCGCGTCTTCCCACGTGAGCGCGGCGGCCCCCGTGGCGATGCCGGCGCGAATCGCGTTAGCGTCACCGTGCGCGATCCAATCCAATATGTGTTTCCCTCCGGCGTACGATGTCCCTAATAGCGTGTTTGACATATCACCCATGACACCAGTCAACCCACTCCCTTTGGTCTTGCGCCCGAACGTGCCTTCGGGAGCCGCGACGATGGCGAGCATCGCGCAGTGGTCCCGCGTGATGTCGCGAAGAATTCGTTCAGAAATCAAATCATTCACCTCGACGCCATCCGTCTCGTCGTCTTCATCTCCTCTTTCTTGCGCCTTGGTCGCGTTCACCACGCGCGTGTTCGCCCATTCCTTGGCGAGGCGGTCGTGCAGCGCCGCGCACAGCGGGTTCACGAGCGCCGTCTGCCACATCGCGCGATGCGCCGCCGGACACCGCCCCATGATCGGTCGCACCGCCGCGTGCACGACTTGACGAACGTGCCTGAGCTCCATGTACGGCAGATCAGCTAACATAGACCCACCACACGCGCTCGCTAAGGCTTGGTTCGGGTAAAATGCCGCGGGAGCGTGAATGCTGAACAACGCGAAGACCGAGTACGAGCAATCGCGCAGGCATCGCATCCAATCGCGAGACGCGCTCGCCGTCGTGCTCGTCCCGGGTTCTTCCTCGTTGAGAACTTGCGTTCGCGCCGGACCGTGAATCAAATACGCCGCCTTCTCTTCGGGGCTCATTCCAAGCGCCGCGCCTAATTGGCAACTGTGCATCGCCGCGCTCCCTTGCGGAGTCCAGTACGAGTGAATTCTTCGCGCCAAGCACGAGACGAGCGAGACGGCCCATTCCATATGATCCACTGCCGGACATTCCGATATCGGTGGCGGTGGGTCCACGGGCTTCATCAAACCTGTCGGTACTTTAGCTGTTTCCGCATCACCCAAACTCCGTCGAAGACAACGCTCGGTGAGTTGTACGTCGTGAAACAGCTCCCAGTGCGCCGACGACAAGCCTTGCGTTCCGCCGGCGGCTTCGCCCGCCGCCATCGTAGAAATGGCCAACAGATGCTCAACCTCTGGCGAGAGCGCACCCCCAGGAACCCATCTATTTCGGACGGATGACAGCAGCCACTCGAGAACTTCGCGCACGCGCTGCGCGCCGGACGGCCCAGCAACCGCGAGGAGCGCCTCGGCGAGCGAACCTCGCTCGGCGCCGCTCAGTCGTCCGGAAGATTTCATGGTTTCGATTTGAGAGGCAAAAGCCTCCAGATGTGGGTTCAAAGCCTGTTGCCGTGATGTGAAACACGTTCGCGTTGTCCGTCAGTCGATGTAATCTCGAATCGCGCGCGTCAAAAATATGTGGCGACCACGAATCGAAGAGAAGCCGCCGAAGAGGCTGCGCTCGAGCCGCGTTCGCGAATTTATTTCGCGCCCCAGCATAAATCGAAACGAGTGAAAAGGCTCGTCAAGTTTTCTAAGAGGCGCTTTGGTGTCGAAAATCAGTCGAGCGCATCGATTGACGTACCGTTGGGGCCGCTGAACAAACTATGAGAATCGCCGCGCACACTTTTTGTCTCGCCGCCTGGCCCGTGCGCCCGCTCGCGACGATGTCGCGCTGCCGCACCGGCGGCGCTCCAGATTGTACGTCGGCGGGCAATTCATTCAAAATCGTAAAAAGTCGACTCATTATCGTCAGAGCCACTTCTGGACGCGCCCGGGCAAACTTGCCGAACGTTTCGAGCAATTTGGACACCTGCGCGTTGCTCAGCGGCGCCTTGAAGTCAATCGCCACGAGCTGGCCGAGGAGCGCCTCCAACGTGCTAGCGAAGCCCATAAACGACGGACCCTCGGTCGGAAGAGCGACCATGATGGCTTCTAAAAACGACGTCGCACCCTCCAGAGCCGCGCATTTCGTTTCATCCGAGCTATTCGCCAAAGGTCCGCCTGGTTGCGTCCACGAAATCACCATCAGCGTGTTTTGCGACGCTTGATTCGCCGCGCTGCTCGGACACAACGCCGTGCACAACTTGGTGATGTCCATCCATTTCGCCCGAAGCTGCACCCACGTCTCGCGAAGCTCTACCACGCTTTCGAATTCATCGGCCCAATCTTCCGCTTTATTACCCGGAATACCATTGGTGTCAAACCCAGAGGCGATGCCCGCGCCGGCGTTGAGCCACACGCGCGAGATTTCGAGCAAAACCTCGGGAGCGCCCATGGGAAGAATCCCGTTCGGCTCGAGCTTTTGCGCGTTGTATGGATTATTAACTCCTTGCGACGGTGGTCCTCGCACGAACGTCTTGGGAAGCTCGGCACCCATGGCGCGGAGCATCACCGGCCACGCGCCGATAACGACGTCCAAAACCTCCAAACTAGGAAATCGCGACAGCCCCATCAATCGCTCGAGGAACACGTTACGCGTGCTCTCGTCCGTGATCGTGCTGAGATGGTACCCCGCCATCGATGCCATCGTCTCACCCAGTCTCTTGATGAACATGACTTCTTCTGGATCGCTCACGAGATCGGCTTGGTTCGGGTGCGAAATCACGCGTTCCGCCGCCGTGGACATCGCGTTCGCCGCGAGCGTCAAACCCTTGATGATATCCTGATCATCTTGCTCGTCCACGCCTTGCGCGACGTTGGCACGGCGAGCGACGACGTGTCTCAAAGCATCGCACGCCGCGCAACGAAATTCATCGCTCGCCTGCGGTTCGTGACGTCCGGCGCGAGTCAGTCGAGAGTCAAAAAAAAACAAACACACCGGCGCTTTGTCGTTCACGCGCGCCTCGGACAGTACTAGCAAAAATTCCACATAGGGATGTTCGGATGGTTGATCCTTATTGGATTATCATCATCGGCGTCGTGCGTGTTCGTGTGTTGGACGAAGAAAAAAAAGACGCGCGCGCGAAGAAAACTAGACGCACCAAGAGCATCCCACACGCCTCGATCAAACCGCTCCGCATGATTGGCGCCAACGGAGCCCACTCGCTGTACACCGCAGCCGCCCCGAGCGCCGCATTCACCGCCGCGGCGTGCCTTTTCGCCACCTCGCGATCCGTCGCCGCGGTCGCCTTGGTGTAATGCTTCTCCATCAGCGCGTAAATCGCCGGCAAAATCGTCCCCACCGTGCTCGACAACCCGCCCAACAACTCTCGCATCTTCCCACCTATCATGTCCTCGTTATACACCGCCACGTCCTCCGCGACGTACCGTATGACGTTCACCCCCATCTCCGCCCTCTGCGCCTCGTCCCCCGTCGTCATGCTCACCAAATCCGGCACCAACCTCGTCCACAGACTCGCGCCCTCCTGCCGCACCGTCTCCGCCACGAGCGTCGCCGCCTTTGATTTCACCGCGTACGCCTCCGCCGCGTCTCCCGCGCTCACCTCCAGCAGCATCCCGTGCGCCAAGCTCGCCATCTCCATCCGCTCCTCCGCCGTCAGCCCTCGCCAGCGCGTCCGCGCCACGTCCCGCAGCACGCCGAAGCCGAAGTGTCGCGCCTCGAGCCCGCGTCCCCGCGCGCACAGCGATCGACACGCCTCCATCGCTCGTCGCGCGTCGCCCGTTTTCAGCTTCGCATCGCCATCGCGCGTCATCGATCCATCGTCAGTCACCGATCGCGTCGCGTCGCGCGTCGTCGTCGCGTCGTCGTCGCGTCTCGTCGCGTCGCGTCGTCGCGTCGCACCTCCCGCGCGAGTTCGACCGCCTCCGCGCGCGCGCGCGCGCCCTCGGCGCCGCGCGCGGCGCGCTCGAGGGCGTCCGCGCATCGCGCCGCGACGTCCGACATGCGGCGCGGTCGCTCGCGCGCGCGCCGCGGTGCGTCGTCGCGCGGCGTCGGCGCGCGGCGTCGGCCCGGCGCGCGCGCGCGCGGGAGTCCCCCTGTTTCTGAGTCACGACCCGTCGATGCGTCCGATCGACGGGTATCGTATTCGCGATATCGTTTGTGGTATGTACTTTTTAGTATAAAAAATAAATCGGTGCGGCGGTGCGGCGACCGACCGCGCGACCGACCGACCGACCGATCGCGCGATCGCGCGCGCGCGTCGCGCAGACGCGCGCGCGCGACGACGCGCGCGACGACGACGCCGAGGGCGATGCGGGCGACGCCGTCGACGCGTCGCGGCGTCGCGCGGGCGACGCGCGGGCGCGCGGCGCGACGCCGACGCGCGATGCCGACGGCCCGACCGCGCGCGACCGACGACGCGACGGCGCGCGACGCGCGGACGCGGGCGCGGCGCACGATCCTGGGCGTCGATCGAGCGACCGGGGAAGCGATTCCGGACTGGGACGAGTGCGCGGAGTGGCGGGCGCGGGCGCCGCCGAGCGCGGAGACGCTCGAGCTGCTGGACGCGTCGATTTTCGCGCTCGCGCTGCCGGGCGTGGCGGAGCTGCTGTTGGATCCGGTCATGGGCGCGGTGGACACGGCGTTCATCGGAAGGCTGACGGGAGACGGCGCGGCGGAGGCGCTGGGGGGGTTGGCGGTGAGCACGACGTGCTTTACGTTTTGCTTCAAGTTGTTTAACTTTTTAGCCGTCGTCACGGGACCGCTCGTGGCGGCGAAAATATCGGCGAGCGGGGGGCGGGATTCGGCGGAGGGGCGGCGGGCGGCGAAGAAGACGGTCGGGAGCGCGATGGCGCTCGCGCTCGCGCTCGGGTTCGCGACGATGGGGATCATGGAGGTTTTCACGGATGATTTATTGGCGTTTTGCGGGGCGAGTCACGAGGCGTTGCTCAACCCGAGCGAAGATTTGCTTCCCGACGCCGACGTGCCGACGATAAAGGGGATGTTGGAGTACGGGGAGGATTACTTGCGAATTCGCGCCGCGTCTTTGCCCGCGTGCTTGATCGTCATGGTGGGCGTCGGCGCGTTTCGCGGGTTGTTGGACACGCGGACGCCGCTCTACGTCGCCGTCGTCACGGAAATTTTCCACCTCGGCTTGGATCCGTTTCTCATTTACGGCATCGGCCCGTTCCCGGCGTTCGACGTCGCCGGCGCGGCGACGGCGACGACGGTAGCGGAATGGGTCGGCGCGATTTGGTTTTGGAAGCTCATGATGGATGAGGAGATTTTAGATTTTCAATCCGTCTTTCGTCTGCCAGACGAGTCCAACGACGACTTGGGTACGCTCGTCAGCGGATCGACGTCGCAGCTCGCGCGAACGGTGCTTTTACAAACCGTACTCGTTCGCGCCACGTCGACGGCGGCGATGCTCGGCGCCGCGGGCGCGCATCAAGTGTGTTTGCAGGCGTGGTGGGTCACGCTGTTTGGCTTGGACTCTGTCGCCGTGAGCGCGCAGGCGTTGGTTGCTGCGAGTCTCGGGAAAAATGACGTTCCCGGCGCGCGCATCGCTGCCGATCGAGCGCTGAGCTGGGGCGTCGGCGCGGGCGTTCTCGTCGGCGTCGTCGTGTTCTTGTCCGCCGATCAGTTGCCGTATATATTCACCAACGACGCCGAAATCGCCGCGCAAGCGGCGACGCCGATACGCATCTTATCCCTCTTGCAGCCGCTCAACTCCGCGGTTTTCGTCGGCGACGGCGTGTTTCAAGGAAGCGCGGATTTCGACTTCCTCGCCAAAGCCATGGCTATTTCCGCGGGAGGGGGCATCTTAGCGCTGACGGCGGCTGGGCAAATGGAAGGCGCTTCGCTCACGTCGGTGTGGCTGGGGATGGCGACTTTGATGTTCGGTCGAGCCGCCACGCTCGGTTGGCGTTATTTCAAGGACGACGAGTCTCCACTCTACGTCACGCCATTCGAGTGCGCGGTTTACTATGACGATTTACCGAGCGTGGACGTCGACTTCGTCGACGTCGACGCGAAGGTTTCGAAAGACGAGACGACGAAGCCGCGATGAGCGTTCCTCGACGACGACGACGCCGACCCGCGTTGTCGTTCTTGTCGTTGTTCTCGTTGTTGTTGTACAGTACAAACGTGTTGTAACCTATTTAAGCGCGCGAATTGCACCACCCACGCCGCCCACCGCGCGCCGCGCGCGTCGCGATGTGCGTTCGGATACGGTCCATGGGTAGACGTACCGTCTTTATATACACACTGATAACGTATAGTACCTCCAATTGCGCTATATATATATGAAAACCATTCGGGTCGCGTCCCGGCGTCCCGGCGGCGCACAGCGCGACGCGCGACGACGGACGCGCGCGACGCGCGGCGACGCGACCGCCATGGCGTCGCGCGCGATCGCGCGTCGCGCGATCACCGGTCGCGCTCGCGCGCGCGCGGGACGGACGACGCGCGGGACGACGGCGAGGCGACCCTCGCGCGCGAACGCGACCGGCGCGGGCGGGGAGAGTTTGGATTGGATGAACGACGATTTCGTGCCCGCGGGGAAGGCGAAGAAGAATAAAAAGGTGCCCAAGAAGCAGACGCAGGCGGCGTCGGCGTCGGCGGCGACGCCGAGGGCGTCGGCGGCGGCGGCGAAGCGCGAGGGGGGGAACGCGAGCGCGGCGGGCGCGGGAGGCGCGGCGGCGGCGGCGGACGACGCGGGCGCGGCGGTGAACGACTGGGAAAACGAAGAATTCGTCAAGCCGAAGAAGAATAAAAAGAAGGGACGGACGAAACCGGCGTTCGTGCCGCCGCCGGTGCCGAAGGAGGAGGAACCGGAGGCGAAGGAAGCGGTGGCGGAGGAGGCGCCGGCGCCGGTGCCGGAACCGGTGGTGGCGAAGAAGGCGCCGGAGCCGGAGCCGGAGCCCGAGCCGGAGCCCGAGCCGGAGCCGGAGCCGGAGCCGGAGCTCGAGCCGGAGCCCGAACCCGAACCCGAACCCGTCGTCGCGAAGAAGGCGCCCGCGCCCGAGCCCGCGCCCGTGCCGGCGGCGGCGACCGCGCCGGTCGAAGCGACCGCCGACGAGACGGAGGAGGTGAAGCCGATGTTTGATGAAGATGGCGAGTACATCGGACCAGCCATCGATTGGAGCGAACCCGAGGAAACGCCCGAGGACGACGGGAACCCGATTCCTGCGTACCTGCGCGACATCTTCGCGAAAGACGCCAAACCATCGGTGAGACGTAGCTCTGGGTCCGTCACTACGGGCGTACGATTGGAAAACGTTCGTAAGACGTTCAAGAATATGCCAATCTTGGACGGCGTGAACTGGGATTGTAAAAAGGGCGAGCGCGTCGGATTAGTCGGCTGGAACGGTGCGGGTAAGACGACGCAATTGCGCATCATCACTGGTGAGATGGAAGCAGACGAAGGTGAAATCATGCTCGCGGATGGTGTGAAGATTGGTTACCTGACGCAAGAGTTTGAGGTCAAAGAATCCAACACGGTTCGCGAAGAATTCATGGCGAGTTACGGCGACGAAACTAAAATCATGGCTGACATCGAACGCATCAACAAAGAACTCGAAAACAATCCAGGAATGGAGCTCGTTCAACTCTTAGTGGACAAGCTTTCTGATTTACAACGCCAGGCCGATCGTCTGGACTTGTTCAAGATGGAGCGTGCGATTGATAAAATCATGCCAGAGCTTGGCTTCGTGCCCGAAGACAACGATCGCCTCGTTGCCTCTTTCAGCGGTGGCTGGCAGATGCGTATTTCGCTCGGTAAAATTTTACTCCAAGAGCCCGGGCTTTTACTTTTCGACGAACCGACAAATCATCTCGATCTGGACACCATTCAATGGCTCGAAACTTACTTGAAGTCGCTCGACGTCCCGATGGTCATCGTCTCGCACGATCGCGAATTCTTGGATCAACTGTGCACAAAGACTGTTGAAATTGAGCGCGGCAAAGCGACGACTTACAAAGGTAACTATTCGCAGTACTGCGCCGAGAAAGAAAGCAGAGGCGCGCAACAGATGGTGGCGTACGAAAAATGGCAAAAGGAAGTGCAGCGCCAACGCGATATGATTTCGCGTTTGGCGGGCGGCGGGCAATCCGGTCGAGCGACTGCGGCACAGAAAGCTCTCGATAAGCTTCAAGAAGAAGCAGTTGAAAAGCCGTGGATAGCAAAGAGACGTCGATTCTTCTTCCCCGACTGTCAGAGAAGCTCGCAAATTGTCGCGCGCGTCGAAAACGTTACTCACGGGTACGATGAAAAGACGCTCTTCAAAAACACATCTCTTGAAATCACGCGCGGCGAGCGTGTGGCCATGATCGGTGATAACGGGTGCGGAAAATCAACTCTCATGCGATTGATTCAAGGACGCGAGACACCGATTTCGGGTGTCGCCCAAATTGGCGACTCTGATTTATGCAAGGTCAACTACTTTTACCAAAACCAAGCCGAAGGCTTAGACAGGAACAAGGGTGTACTACAAACCCTCGTCGAAGCGGCACCGGACGCGCAGTTGAACGACTTGAAAGCATTGCTCGGTCAAATGGCGTTCAGCACGCCGTTTCACGAGAAGCCCGTCAAATTTCTGTCTGGAGGAGAAAAGGCGCGCCTGGCGCTCGCCAAGTTTATGGTGACGCCAGCAAATGTGCTTTTGCTCGACGAGCCAACGAATCACTTGGATATTCCGAGTAAGGAAATGCTTGAAAACGCGATTCGCCGGTTCGACGGCACCGTCATCGCCATTTCGCACGATCGTTACTTTTTGCGGCAAATTGCCACGCGCGTATTGGCTTTTGACGAAGGTGCGATTACCGATTACGCCGGCGATTACGCATACTTCTTAGAAAAGAACGACACGGCGGGTGCTCGGGACGCCGCGCTCGAGTCTAAGAAGAAAAAAGTCCAGCAAGATCAAATTGTTTCGAAATCGAAGATGAGCAAGGCAGAAAAGGCACGATTGAAGAAGGAAAAGGCGAAGAACTTCTCGTCAGGAAGCGGCGCGGCGAAAGCAAAGAAGAACGCAGGGCGCTGGAATTAATCGAATGTACATTAGCGATTCACAATCAATTCATTTTAAAAATTCTCAACCTAAATCCATCTAACTTGTGCCTTTACTTTTTCGGCGTGGGTAACACGAACACCGGCCCGGTCTTGGCTCTTCTGCACGCACACGAAGCTCCGCATTCAGAGCGCATCTCGGCAAGATCCGCCGCCCACTGCGAACGTAAACTTAAAGATTTATCTTGCGTCGATTCCGTATCCGCGTCCAAATTCTGACCAGTTCGCGCAACTGCGCGATGTATCGTGCCGCTTGATGAGTCCGGCATGATGAGCTCTTCGACGGCCGTGGCGCATCCTTGTTGAGGGAGCAGTCCCCACACGTTTTTCAATTCCGCGGAGATGTCAAAATGCGCGTCTCCCATGCCCAAGGCGTGCTCGGATCCGTTTGCCGGTACTGGATGATTCTTTGCGTGAATGTGCACGCTCACGTGTCTACTTCCAGGTGCGAATGGCTGAATGAACTCTCGGCACCAATCTGCCGCCTCTCGCTTTGAGATTTCGGAGATTATTTGCGCCACATGACGACCGCGATGAAACTGGTACTTTTGATTCACGAGATGCGCCCAGTGTCGTATGGCTTCTTCGCGTAAGTTGACATCGTCTGCCAATATATCATCGACGACGCTTTGGCGAGTCTTTTCATAAGAAGCGTCATCCATGTTGTCAAGGATCTCGGGAAATGATCGCAAGAAGGCTGCCATGCGACTCGAAACGAAATGCGGCGGGTGGAACGCGGACTCGACGGAAACTCGATAACCCAAGATTTCATGCGTCGAGTCAAACGAGCAGCTCACGCTATAGCCGAGAGTCTCCTTCGTTCTGAGCTGGTCGAAGAGTTTTTCGTGCATGAGCGATTGCATCAAAATGATGAACGCCCGACCTCGCCACGTGCTCTCACCGAGCTGAAAATAGTACAGCACCACGTTATTCGTCTCGTCAGCGTTGATTGCCTTGATGCTAAACAAGTGCGCACCCTGAGGTACGCGCGCGATGCGAGTTTCCGGCCAGCTGTTATCAGGAATCGGCGCGCCTGGAAGGCATGCGCGAATGCGTTCGCCGACGTCGCAGGCTTCATCCTTTGTCAAGTTGCCAATCATCAGACTTTCGACGTGCGCATGCTGCCAAATTCCATCCGCAAACGCTTGCAAATCCGCTGCGGTCATCTCCTGGAGTGCATTTGCTTTGTCCTCTTGCGTCGCGTCCTTTTGCTTGAGCAATACCTCGAGCGCGCGCTTTGCGTGCCTAGCGGGATTCAAGCACAGATTATGGACGTCTCGCAATCTTTCTTCTTTGCGCTTTTCGAATCGATCAGCGTCGATCTTTAACGAAGTCATCGTTTTGAAATACGACAACGCGACCTCGCCGAGCTTGTCGCTCAAACCTTCGAGTGAGAGCACGAAACCAGAATAAGAAGCCGACGCGCCGATGTCGACTTCCATTCCAGCAAGATGCGCAGGGTAATACACGGACTCGTTCACGCAATCTTCCACCATGGCGACGAAAAGCTGGATCAACATCATACCGAATGCACCCTCAGGTACGTGCGGCAGCGATACTTGAAAGTACATGCACGACCGTGGCTGGTTGAATCGGTCATCAAGACGATGCCAGATGCGACTGACTTTGCAATCGTGCACGATCGTGGGTGAAAACAACGCGTCTTTGTGTTCGCTCGCCGGTGATCGTAACCTGAAATCACTCGCAATGTATGGGTTCGGTGATGGATAATGTAAGCGCTCGCCCGCGTCTGCGTTTGCCCAAGTCTCCAACAGCGCCGAATCTAAAGCCTCCTTTTTGTATGGAAAGTTAATCCATCGCTCGTGCTCAACGTTCTCGCCTTCGCCGTTCCACGCATGATTTTGCACGACGATGATGGCCTTTTGAGGCGTCATCAAATCAATAATTTCTCGAATTTCTTCGGGCTTGTACGTTTCAAATAAATCCGCTCCGCGCAAGATGTCTTCGGGGGCGTACTTTCGAATATCTGCCACCAAACGTTCAGAGTACTCGCTCGCGTCTTCGGGTTCGCGAAATCTAAAGTCAATATCAGCCAATTGCTTGATTTCATTCCAAAACCACTCCTGCGGGCCTTTGGCGCGAAGCATATTGACGTACGCGAAAAACAGCCCGATGACATCGTCGACGTGAGTCAAACCATCATCCGTGAGCTTGATCGTAGTGCCAAAGAGCGCGCCGGCGGTAGACGAATCAATCCCACCTGCGCCCACACCCGAACGCAAATCGCTCGCCCATCCTCGACGCTTCAGCTCAGCAAACAAAGAACCGTGTCCTTCGTGTCCGATCAAGGTCTCCATGTAAGTCGCCGACTTGTGCTTGTAATTCTTTTGCGTCCAAGCCGGGAGTTCGTGCGTGATAGAAACGTGTTGACCATCCTTCACTTGCGCCGTTAACACGCGGATGGGTACCGCGTTCGCATACGGTGAAGAATGCGCGATGTTTAAATCAATCACTTCGTCCCCGTCGTCGCGCATGTCACCGAAAATCTCTACGATCCAACTCTCAAGTTCGTCCAAATCCTCCGCCCCGACGAGCGCAATTGACATGCGCTTGGCGTGATAATGCCTTCTCCAGTGCTCCAACAACACGTCACGCATGCGACCTTCCTTATACGGCGGGCTTTGTGTCAACGACGCGCGGTTACCCCATCCAAATTTCGTGTATGGGTGCCCTTTCGCCGCCAGCGACGATAACAACAACTCGGCGCGCACCGTATCGTTATTCACCACGCGCTCGAACTCGCTCTCCACCGCCGTCACCTCGCGATCGACGCTGTCCAGCTTCACCAACGGATTGACAAAGAACCCACTGAATATCTCCAGCGCCTCTCGTAGATTCTTCGGATTGCATTCGAAATAAAAAATCGTATTCTCGCTATCCGTCGACGCGTTGTCCGAGCCCCAGTGCTCGTTCAACCACTCGCCGAAGAAATTCTCCCCCGGGTACTTTTCGCTTCCCATAAACACCATGTGTTCGAGAAAGTGCGACAACCCATCGCACTCGTCCGTATCCGCGAAGTAGCCGACGTCGAACGCGATCGAACACGCCGCCAGTTTCATTCCGCCGCCGCTCGAGCCGCCGCCGTCGTCGGAATCGTCATCACCCTCCTCCTCCTCCCCATCCGTGTCTTCGTCGTGATCCATCCCCGACGCATCCTCGCTGGCCGAACCATCGTCCTCGCTCGCGCCCGCGCCGGCGCCGTCGTCGTCCGCGCCGCACAGCGTCGCGTCTGAAATCAGCAACACTTCCAAACCATTGCTCAGGCGGCATCTTCTGTACTGCTTCTCGTCGCGTTCGGGCGTCACCACGCGCGCCAATCGCGTCACCGACATCGTTCACCGCGCGCACCACCGACGACGCGCGATCTCGGTCGTCAAAAGCGCGCGACGGAGCGGAGATGCGTCGCCGTTTGACGCCGAAACGTCACTCCGAAGCGCGTCTTCGTCGTCCTCATGCGCGCCAACGGCGCTCGCGCGTCGCCGCGCGCCGCGCCGACGCATCCGAGGCATAAAAAGCACCGCGCACCGTCGATTCGCGCGATCCGCGCGTCCGCCATCGGGCCGAGCGCGAAGTCAACGATCGATGCGTTGAATGAAAAGTTTGCCATCCCGGGGTCGGTGACGTTCGAAAACGGTCGCGGTGACCTTCCGACGGCGCTGCTGACGCATAAAAACGGATCCACGTCGCGCGTGTACCTATTCGGCGCCACGGTGACGTCGTGGACGCAGCCGAGCGGGGATGAGGTGTTGTACGTGCGCCCGGACGCGGCGTTCGACAAGACGAAGCCCATCGGCGGCGGCGCGCCGTTGTGCTTTCCGCAATTCGGCCCGGGCGCGATGCAACAGCACGGATTCGCGCGAAACGTGGATTGGGAGGTCATCGGAACGTCTGCGGACGTGAATCCGGATGATCCGGAACCTGCGGTGATGATGCGATTGAAGCCGAACGAGTACACGCGAGCGATGTGGGACGAAGCGTTTGAGGCGACGTACGAGGTGACTTTAAGACGGGAGAAGCTGAAGATGGAGCTGTGCGTGAAGAATACGAACGAAGAAACGAGTGGAAAAGCGATTGATTTCACCGCGGCTATTCACACGTACATCGAGGTGACGGATTGTGCCAACGCGGGGGTGTTCGCGCGCGGTTTGTCGGGAAAGACGTATCTGGACAAGAACGTCGACGCGAACGATCCGCCGAAAAAAGTGCAAGATTCGAGAGACGTGTTCTTCGGGTTAGATCTCGTTGATCGCGTGTATCTTGATACTGAGCCGGAGACGTTGTTGCACGTCGGGAGTGGGGCGGCGGTGAGCGTGGAAAACACCGCGGGGTGGACGGATACGGTGATTTGGAATCCGCACACGAACATGAAGGAGTGTTATAAAAACTTTTGTTGCGTCGAGAGCGCGGCGGTTTCGAGACCGGTCGTCGTGGCCCCGGGTAAGGTTTGGCGCGCGGAAACGAATCTAACCGTGATTGACGTCGTCTCGAACGATGTATAATGTAATACGCGAGCAAGCGATTCTATCACAAATTCCTCTAGGCTAGCGATCGGCACCGTTCCCGATTCGAGCGTGGCAGACGACGACGCTGATGTCGTCCTTCTTTCCGCCGCTATACACCATGTCGAAATGCTCCGTCGCGGCGAGAGAATACGGTGTCGTTCGCGATTTATCCATGCTCACCTCGTACGCTTTCGAGAGCAAATTCCTCGCCGCGACGTCCATGAGTCTCTCGTCGATGGACGCGCCCTCGGCGACGGACGCTTCGACGCTCTCCAGCACTTCGACTTCGCTCAGGTTATCCCACAACCCGTCCGAACCGAGGACGACGATGTCGCCATGTTCGAGATATAACTTTGTGCGCATCGCATCGCTCGCCTTATCGCTCGCTTCGTGATGTCCGAGCTGAAATGGACAGCCGAAATCGTGCTCTTGCGGCGGGCTGCGATGCGCGCAAAATCGCGCCCCCCGTTCGCCGCGAATGAGCATGAATCCGCTATCACCGACGTTCGAGCCGTATAGCAAACCGTGTTCGCTATCGATGACGACCACGCACGCCGTGGTACTTCCCTTCATGCCCGCCGCGGTCACTTGCTCGTACGCGTGCGTGAGCATGGCGGTCGGTCGATTCTCTTTCCCCGACCGCAACGCCTCGGCGGCGTGGTTCATGAGTAATCGACTGTACTCGCCCGCGTCGATACCTTGCCAACGCCACAAGTACACACCGTCGGCGATCCCCATGCCCATAGTGTTATCTGGTCCACGCGCGGTGAAATACGCGTCCTCTCCTCCGTGTCCGTGCGTTCGTCGCACGAGCGCTCGCATGCCCTCGCGCTTCATCTTTTCCGGATGCGGTACCGCCGCGCCGCTCGCCACGCACTCAAATTCCCCGCGTTCTTTACGAATGTCCCCTTCCATCCACAACGGCGTGCGAATCTCATCCGGTGACTTCGCCTCGAGATCTTGCGTAAACGGCCCCGATTTCCCATCCCCCGCATCGCTCTGCCCGAACCATCTATGACACGGAAAGAACCATTCGTCTCCCGTGCTCTCGCACGTCACCTTGATGTCCTCCAAAAACCACCCCCGCCCAACCGACGTGAGCTCAGGCACCAATCGCACGCGCGTCCGTTTCAAATCTCCCAATCTCGCGCTGCTCGCGATTCGAAACGGCAGGCTCGACGCCCTCGAAAACGTCGGATTTATCCCGCTTTCGTACTCCAGCGCCACCGGATACGTCAACCCGTCGCCGCCGACGAACGTCAATTCCACCCGCCCGCTCGTCCCCGCGCCTCGATTTCGCCCCGTCGTCACCTCTACTCGATATTTTCCCGACGCCTTCTCTAAGTCTCCGGCCGCGATCACCACGTTCGCTTGTCGCGGGGTGAGGCTCGAGACGTATTCCTCGTACTGCGCGCTCCGGCCCGCCGCGCTCCCCGCGCCCGCCGCGCCGCGGTCGTCGTAGTCCAGATCCACCCCCAGCCCGACGCCGCCGTCGTCGTGCACGTTCACGAGTTTTTGGTGTCGATGCGGCGACGTCGGCGTCGGCCCGCGCGCGTCGTCGTCGTCGCGCGCCGTCGACAGCGCGTTGAATCGCCAACTCGTCCCAGCCTCGACGACGCTCGAGATTCTCGTCGCGCGCGCGACTCTCGCGCCCGCGCGTCGCGCGATCGACGCGAACGACATGACGCGACGCCGCCGCGCGCGCGCGACGCGTCGCGACGTCGACGCGCTTCGCTCTGCGGCGATTGGTCGCGCGTCGCGAGTAATCGCATCGGCACAAATCGTCGCGCGTCACCGACGCGACGCGTCGCGCGCGCTCCCGATCGCTTCGGAGCGGTAGAATCGCGCGCGCGCGATGCCGTCGACCGCGAAATCGCCGTCGAAACGCGCGGATGACGTCGCGGAGCTGTCGAAAGCGTTGAAACTGTTGAGCTCCAAACAATCGGACGACGACCGCGCGAACGCGCAGCGCAGACACGTCCTCCGACGCGTCCTGAACCTGCTCACGATCGCGGTCGACGTGTCTAAACTGTTCCCAGACGTCGTGCTGAACGCGCACACCGTGGACGTGGCGTGTAAGAAGTTGATTTACGCGTACATTTGCCACCACGCGCGGCGCGAACGGGAACTGGCGACGCTGGCGGTGAACGCGCTGCAAAAAGATTGCGCGAGCGCGAATGAAACGATACGGGGATTGGCGATACGAAGCATCGCGGGATTAGGGGTGGATGATTTGATCGAGTACGCGACGGCGTGCGTGATGGCGGGGTTGAGAGACGCCGGAGGGTATCCGCGAGCGGTGGCGGCGATGGGGGCGCTCAAGGTGTACGATTTGAATCCAAGCGCGGTGCGGGAGACTGGGATACTGGATGCGCTGCGAGAAATGCTGGTGAACGATACCGACGCGGGAGTGGTGGGGAATTGTTTGATCGTGTTGAGGGAGATTGACGGGATCGAGTCGTTGGCGACGAAGCCCATCGTGTACGCTTTGATTAATAGAATTAAATCGTTTAGCGAGTGGAACCAGGCGTTGATTTTGGAGTTAGTGGGGGCGTATGAGATTCAGAACAAAGATGAGACTTTTGACATCATGAACGCGCTCGAGTCGAGGCTGAGCGCGCCGAATTCCGCCATCGTTTTGGGCACGGTGAAGGTTTTTTTGAACATTACGCTCGAGATGCCAGACGTGCATCAACAGGTGCTGGAGCGCATCAAGGCGCCGTTGTTCACGCTAGCGAACGGCGGAACAGTGGAAACGAGCTACGCGGTGTGGGCTCACGTGCGGTTGTTGGTGAAACGCGCCCCCATCTTGTTCTCGACTGATTACAAGAACTTTTATTTCCGCGGGAGCGATTCAGGGGCGGTGAAGAGTTTGAAGCTTTCGATGCTCGTAGCCGTCGCGGATGCGCAAAACACATACGACATCGTCACCGAACTCACTGAATACGTCACCGACGCGGATATCGGTATTGCGCGCGCCGCCGTGCGCGCGGTGGGGGAAATCGCACTCTCGGCGGCGGATGATTTGGAAGGCATCGTCGACCGCTTGTTGCAATACTTTGATTTAGACATCGAGCACGTGACAGCGGAAACGATCATTTCGGTGGTAAATGTCTTGCGCAAGCGTCCAAAGTACGCGGTACAGTGCGTTCAGGCGATCAAGAACATCGATCTGATTGACGTCGTCCCGTCTCGCGCGCGCGGCGCCTTGGTGTGGATGTATGGCGAGTACGGCGAAGATATTCCGCTCGCGCCGTACTTTATCGAGCCTGTACTCACAAACTTTGGCGATGAGCCGAGCGCCAATGTGCGATCACAACTGCTGTCGAGCGCGATGAAGCTCTTCTTTAAGCGCGCACCGGAGATGCAAGCGATGCTCGGCGCCGCCTTGCTTGCGGGCTCGTGCGACACAAACCAGGAAGTGCGCGACTTGGCCAGTTTGTACTATCGCCTGTTAGAGCGCGATGTGCGCGCGGCGGAGAAAGTAGTGAACTCGCGTGATAAGTCATCGCCGATTTACACCTTCAAAGAAACCGTGATAGAGGATGAGACGTTCGACAAGGTGTTCAACGAATTCAACACATTGTCCGTGCTGTACGAACGTCCAGAAGTGAAATTTGTGGACCCGGACGCGTTCACTCGTCGCGCGCGCGTGGATGCCGACGAAATGGACGACATCGCCGCGGGCGGTGGTGGCTCATTGATCGACCACTCGATGGATATGATTGACCTGGGGGACACCGACGAGGAAAAGGCGTCCGCCAGCGGCGGTTCGGCGGTGGATTTGCTCTCGCTCCTCGACGTAGACGTACCGGCGGCGCCCCAATCTGTCGATGCGCCGCCGGCAGTATTCGCGCTCGATCCACTACCAGCGCTCGATTCGACGAGCTTTCAAATGAAGTGGACGTCCGCCGCAGTGGTGGCGACGGGATTGCAAGCGACGCTGCGATCGAACGCGCTCGCGAGCGCGGCGCAAGTTACGCAACATCTCGCACCTCGAGGCGTCGCCACCATGGCGAGCGGTGGACCGTCGAATGCGATGAAGTTTTATTTCTACGCCATCGATAATGGAAACCGCGAAATCTTTCTAGTGGAAGCGCTCATCGACGCCACGGCGCGTGCGGCGACGTTTACGGCAAAGTGCGACGGCCGCGGGACGAATTTCGTCGCGTTTCAACGTCTCTTCGCCGAAGCGTTGTCATCGATTCCTTAGTCGCAAACTGTAACTGTCACACCAACCGCGCATAAAACAGAAAGTATAATATTATTACACACAAGCAAAGAAGTGCGAGAGCGGTACACGCAAAACAAACAAACAAAAAACGGACGAGCGCGACCGTCAGATTTGATGGACGACGACCATGTGCGACGCGGTTTGATACGCGGTGTCCGTGATGCGCTCCGCGAGGGCCGCAAACAAATCCATGTCGCTTAGAGCCGAAGGCTTCACGCGCATGAGCTCGTCCATGCCGACGGAGTCGCATCGCTTGGTTGCAAAGTAGTTGAAAATAAACTCTCTCGCGTCTTCAACGTTTGATGGCTTCGCGTCAACTTTCGACGACTTGGCCTCACCTTTGTTCTTACGCAAACGCTCGATCTCCGCATCCTTTATCGCCAATTCCGAACGGATACTCCACGATTCCTTCGCCGTTTCCAAAAGTTCACGACCGAGCTCGCTCACGGTCTTCTGCACCGCCACTTGCTCGCTCGCCAGCGCCGCGCGTTCCGAGTCCATCTGCCGCGCATTCTTCTCCGCCAATCGTTTATCTTCGCTCAACGTCTCCACACGATCGTGCGCTTCCCGCAACGCCTCCTTCAGCGCCCGAATCTCCTCCTCCGCCGTCGGTCCCTTCGCCGCGCCGCTCGACAGCAAATTTGAAAACAATCGAAACACATTTTGGCGGGAAAGCATACCGCCGCCCCTCCGCCGCGCGCCCGCCGCGCGCGCGTCGTCCGCGCCGCCGAGCCGTTTCAAACAATCGTTTTCCTTCCCTCGCGCCGTTTTCGGCGTCGCGGGCGAGCCGAATCGATCGCCATCGCACGGCGTTCGCGGCGCGAGCTCGACGCGCGCGCCATCGTTCGGCGTTTTCGGCGTTCCCGGCGCGCGTCGCGCGCGCTTCGCGTCCGACGCGACCGCGGCGGGGGTGTCGAACATCGCGCGTTTGTTCGCGCTCGTCGTCATGGCGTCGTCGTCGAGTCGACGCGGCGCGCAGTGCGGCGTCGTCGCGAGCGCGTCCCACGTCGTCGTCGGGACGACGCCAGTGGACGACGCGCGTCGTCGAGCGACGAACGAGCGCGCGCGCGGATCGCTTGCGAACGCGCGCGACGCGCCGGCGCGTCGAGCGCGCGCGCGATGGACGACGGGCATCGCGAGAAGCGCGCGAAGCTCGAGCCGCCGGCGCTCGCGAACGAAAGGTTCGAGGCGTATTACGCCGCGCAGGGCGTGTGCGAAGACGCGGGCGACTTTCGAGCGATGATGGAGGCGTTTCGAAGACCGCTGCCGCTGACGTTTCGACTGAACGCGTCGACGGCGCTCGTGGAGGCGGTGCGGAGGAAGCTGGAGGGCGACGTGTTGCCGGCGCTGAAGCGCGAGGCGTCGATGAAGCCGCCGAAGTGCGTCGCGTGGTATCCGGATCGTTTGAGCTGGCAGATAGATATATCGCAGAGCGCGTCGTTGAAACAGAGTGAATCGCGCGGCGTGCTCGGGTTGCACGCGTTTTTGAAGAGCGCCGGGGAGACGGGGGCGCTGACGAGGCAAGAGTTGGTTTCGATGATTCCGCCGTTGTTTTTAGAGGTGAAACCGAAGCATCGCGTGATCGATATGTGCGCCGCGCCGGGAAGTAAGACGTCACAGTTATTGGAGATGTTGCACGGCGCGACGAACGCTGGGGAGACGCCTCGAGGGGTGGTGGTAGCGAACGACGCGTCTTTACAGCGAGCGAATTTGCTCACGCATCAGTGCAAGCGAAGCAACTCCCCGGCACTCGTCGTGACGAATCATCAGGCGCAGTTGTTTCCAATTTTACACGACGCCAAGGGAAAGAAAATTAGGTTCGATAGAATTTTAGCCGACGTCCCGTGCAGCGGTGATGGGACGCTGCGGAAATCGCCCGACCTTTGGAAGAAGTGGAACGCCTCGAGCGGGGTGGATTTACACACGCTTCAGCTTGAGATCGCCACCCACGCCTTGCGCTTGCTCGAAGTGGGTGGGCGTTTAGTCTACTCGACGTGCAGTTTGAACCCATTGGAGAATGAGTCCGTCGTCGCGGCGCTGTTGAAGCGCGCGAAAGGCTCTGTGGAGCTCGTCGACGTCTCGAAGAGCTTGCCCGAGCTTAAGCGACGACCGGGGATGAAGAGATGGAAAGTCGGTGATATATACGGATGGCACGACTCTTTCGAAGAGACTGGGAAGAAACGCATGAAAACCGTGGCGAAGACGATGTTTTGGAACCGAGAGTATGACGCGATGCCGCTCGAGAGATGCGTTCGAGTATTTCCCCATCTCGACGATACGGGTGGATTTTTCATCACCGCGTTGAAGAAGACGGCCGAGTTGCCTCCGGAGATGGAGCAAACGCCGCAAATGGACGCAAACAAGACTTATAGAATGGAGCGTGCGAATGAGCAGTGGAACGAAAAGAAACGTGTGGCGCCGGTGATGAAGGTTGAAGACAGATCCATCGTGAAGAGCATCAATAAACATTACGGCGTGCAAGACGCGCTCGATCTGGACGACGCGTTGATGACGCGTCAGCACTCCGACCTTCCGGGTGTCACTCCAAAGCGTCTATATTACTTGTCCGACGGCGCACGAAAAGTGTTGACGGCGCGGGGAAAGGATGGCAAGAACGCTGGTTTGCAGGTCGTTGCGTGCGGCGTTCGTGCGTTTGAACGTCAAATCGTCGACGGCGTCGAGTGCGCTTATAGAATCACGCAAGAAGGCCTCGACACCGCACTGCCATGCTTAAAGAAGCAAATCGTCCGCGTTCGTGCGAGCGAGCTGGAAATCATTCTCGCGCGGCAGCAAGACGAAAACGTGGGCGCGAATTCGTCGTCGCGATCGAGCTCGGACGACGTCCCCGAGGAAATCACGAATGCGAAATCCATCGAACATCTAAAAAAGGTGTCCGATGGGTGCGTTATTTTAGTCCCTAAAGCAAGAGACGACGACACAGAAACCGAGGCCAAGGCTCTGGCCGTCGCCGCGTGGCTCGGCCGCGGTAAAAAAGGGAAATCGATCTCGGTGTTGGCCAGCAAAGCGAGCGGGGGACAGTTATTGTATCAACTTCGCGATTGTATGTCGCGCGGCACGGTGGTGTGAAAGAAGAGAAAATTTTGTATTCGTATCGTTAGGATCATCGTAGCTTGAACCGTACCCTGGGGCGCTCTGTTAACGACCTCGTCCGTATCCGCGCGCCCCCGCCGTTCGCAGCGTGCGCGATCTTCGCGGATTCGCGCGCCCGATTCGAGCTGACGCGAGTAACTTTCGCGCCGGCGCCGGCGCTGGCGACTCGGCGTAATCGTCGTACAACGCTTCATTTTCTTCTTCGATTTCCACGTCAACGGACAGATCGCCGTCGGGCTCAACTTCGACTTCTCGCGAATCGCACTCGAATCCAGTTTCTGGTCGCTCCTCGTCGGACAAGCCGCACGCATACTCGCTCGGTGCTCCGGGATACGGCGTCTCCATCAGGCAGTTTTCTGGGTACATGAATTCACACACCGTGACGTTCACCGTTTTTTGCGAATTTATGAAACCGCTCGATGCGGGTATGAAGACGCCCACTGCGACGAAACACGCCCGCGTCGGCGGCGTCAGTCGCGCGCGAAAATCAATATTAAACACAATCGTTCTCAAACGCACCGAGAACTTTATCGCGCGAGAACGTCGGCGCGACGATAGCTCCCGCGCCCTCTATCGGTTCGCCCGTGGTCGCGTTCGTCATCGTGTACTCAAAGTTCGCCATTTCGTCCTTCCAAAAATCCCGCAGCATGTCCTCTTTCGTATCGTCATCGTCCGCCTCAGCCGCGAGCGCGCCGGACGCGAGGACAAGAAGCGCGCATAGCGTCGCCGTGAAAATTTTCATCGTTCAATCTCGATCGTCGTTCGGTCGAAAGCTCGCGCTGACGCGCGTCTGTACGTCGAATTATGCCGACACACGGTCCAATGTGTGTCCCACACGGTCCCACACTGTTCGCCTCGCATGGCTTCAACCGCGCGCTCGCTCGCGAGTCACGCGCCGCCGACCGCGCGCGCGCGTCGAAGCGACACCATCGTGTGTCGCGCGAGCAAACGCGATCGCGATCGCGCCCGTCAGTGCTGGTTACAGACGTCAAACGTGCAGTGCGTGCAGACGGCTGCTGAATTAGCTCTAACCACCACGGTGGTTTGCGCGGCGCGCGACGCCGAGACGTTCGCAAAGTCGGTGAATTGCGAATTACTCGTCGCCGAAGACGATGGTTCGATCGTCGATCGCGTCCAAGGCGCGCGCAGAGGCGCGTTCGCGGTGATAAGATCGCCAGAGGAGTGCGCTCGCGCGGCGGCGGCGGCGGCTTCGAGACGGGACGGCGACGTGTTGGTCATGGACTGCGTCGATGGTTGGTCCATCATTCCCGCAGAAAATTTAGTCGCGGCGTTTGCGGGAACGCCGATAGACAGGGCGCTGTTCGCGTGCGTGCACGACGCCGCGGAGGCTCGAGTGATGCTCGAGGCGTTGGAGACCGGCGTCGACGGCGTGTGCTTGCGGACGAACGACCCGGCGGAGGTACGCGCGTTAGCCGATGCGATGCGCTCGTTCGGTGGGGAATCGAGTGAAAAATTAGAGTTGGTGCCCGCGCGAGTGACTGCGGTGAAACGCGTGGGGGCTGGTGATCGATGCGCCGTGGACGCGGCGACGAACTTTGAGCTCGGCGAGGGCATGCTGGTGGGATCGTTCGCGAGCGGTTTGTTCTTGATTCACGCGGAAAACATCGAGTGCGGCTACGTCAACACGCGTCCATTTAGGGTCAATGCGGGCCCGACGGCGTCATACGTGCGCGCCCCGAACGGTAAAACGTCCTACCTGAGCGAGCTGCGATGTGGAAGCGAAATCCTCGTCTGCGCCGCCGACGGCCGAACGCGCGTGGCCAACGTCGCTCGCGTCAAAATGGAGCGTCGTTCGATGCTTATGATCGAAGCCGACCACCCGAGCGGGCCCGACGTCGGCACGCTCGCCGTTTTACTTCAAAACGCCGAGACGTGTCGTCTCGTCCGTCCCGGCGGCGCGCACGTCTCCGTCGCCGAGCTCGTCCCCGGCGACGAGGTCCTCGTCGTCTGCGATCGCGTCGCTCGTCACACCGGCGTCGCCGTGGAAGAAGACGCCTGGCTCGAGCGTTAGCCCGGCGCGCGCGCATCTTCGGCCCGCGTGCATTATTTAACGAACGAATCCATCCAAAAAATCCGTAGAGACGAGTCCGTCGACGCGCGACGCCGCGAATCGAATCCATCCGTCGAATCGAGCCGCCGTCGCGCCGCCCGGACGGTTGAGGGGGACGATGCCCGCGGCCCCATCGCGTCAGTTTACATCGCGCGCACCGCCCCCACGCGCGCGTCCGCGACGCCCGCGAGAGAAACGTGCGTCGCGGGCGCGCACACGCGCGACGGGCGCATGTCGTCGATCGTCGGCGACGCGTAGAGACGAAACCGTCGACGCGTTGCGAAATGCCGAAAGAGCCGCGGCCTCGTTTCGCGCGCGTGCGGCGCGCGCTGACGCTCGCGACGCTCCTCGCGCTGTCGGCGACGGCGTTGATAACGCCCGCGTCCGCGCAGACGTGCGCGGCGGGACAGTTCATCGATGACGGCGCGTGCGCGGACTGCGCGGCGGGGACGAGCGGCGACGGGACGGCGACGTCGTGCGCCGACTGCGGCGTCGGAAATTACGCCACGGGCGCGAACGCGGTGTGCCAGTGGGACGTCGCCACGGATTGCGCGGGGAACGCGATAGATGAGGCGAATTGGGTGACGGCGCTGCAGGAGGCGTATCAGGCGAGTCACGGGCTGGACGGGTCGAAAATCGCGGCGACGTGCGCGTACGCGGAGGGCGGGTTGAGCTTTTTTAAAGAGCAAGCGGCGACGTGCGTGATCCCGCTGCCGGATTCGGGGACGATGACGTTGACGTGCGCGCCGTCAGTGAGCCCGACGGGCACGATCGGGATGGTGTGCGAGACGGCTGGGCAAGCGGACGGATTCGTGTCGGGGTGCGGGGAGGTGACGAATAACGGTGCGGGATTGGACAACGAGGGAACGACTGTGACGTGCGTTTTCGAGGGAAAGCAGTCGTCGTGCTCGCAGTGTCCGGCGGGTACGGAGTGTGAATTGTTGAAGACGTCGATCGCGGTGCCGTGTCCGGCGGGAGAGTACAACGGCGCCGCGGGAGGATCGTGCGCGCCGTGTCCGGCGGGCTACAAGTGTGCGAGCGCGGCGACAATCACGCCGCAGCCCTGTCTCGCGGGTACATCGTCCGCGCAGGGATCGCTCGAATGTTCGACGTGTGATGCTGGCACGTTCGCGGCGTCGGCGGCGTCAGCGACTTGCACAAGCTGTACGGCGGGCTACAAGTGTGAATCGCCGGGCACGGTGACGCCGGAGATTTGCGCCGCGGGGTCGGCGGCAGCCGAGGGAAGTTCGACGTGCTCGCCTTGTTTGGCCGGGACATATGCGGCTACTGTGGGAAGTACGTCGTGCTTGCCATGTCCGGCTGGTTACAAGTGCGAGTCGACTGCGGAAAGAATTACGCCTTCGGCGTGTCCCGCTGGATCGTACGCAGAGGAGGGATCGACGTCTTGCGAACTGTGTGATATCGGCACGTACCAGCCCAGCTCTGCGTCAGGAAGCTGTCTAACGTGCCCGGTGGGTAAGTCGTGCCCGACCGAAGGGCTCACTGCGTACCAGGAGTGCGGCGCGGGCACCTACAGCGGCTGGGCTCTCAAGGATGTCGCCGTTGCGTTTGCGAGGCCTTACAACGACACCGACCCACTTCGGCAGCCGACCGCGGCGGCGTCCGGCGCAGGATGTGTAACGTGTCCTGAAGGCTACTCGTGCGCCGATGGAGCGTCCGCTCCGGCTTTGTGTCCGATCGGCACGCAGTCTTACGCAGGCGCGCAGGCGTGCTCAAATTGTACCGCGGGATCGGCGTGTCCCACGCCGCTTCCGGGTGATCAGACGCAGTGCCAAGCGGGAACGTTCAGTTTAGGGAGAGCTGCAGCGTGTACTGAGTGTGATCCAGGGCGCTACTGCACGGATACAACGCAGGACATACAGCTGAACTGCGCGTTAGGATTTTATAGTTACGGAGGCGCCGTGAGCGCGTGCACGAGGTGCGAAGTCGGCAAACAATGCCCTGCGACGGACGGTAGTGGTAATGCCGATTGTGCGCCCGGGACGTTCAGTGAAGGTGGTCAGACACATTGCTCGTTCTGCCCACCAGGGCGGTATTGCAACGACACGAGTTCGGCGACGGCGCAGTACGACTGCGCGAAGGGGACGTACAGCTTGGGCAGTGTCAGTGCTTGCAGCTCGTGTCCTGCTGGAACGTTCGGGCTCACGACCGCCGCGGTCTCGGACGAGGACTGTACTAAGTGTCCTGCCGGAATGTACAGCACGGCGACTGCGGCGAGCGATTCGAGCACGTGCGTATTGTGCCCGGTGGACACCAGCTGTCCCAACGCAGGCACCGTCACGCCGACGCCGTGTGCGAGCGGTTCTGGAACTTTCGGTGACGTCGGGCAGACGTCTTGTGGACTTGCCCCACCGCCACCGAACCCACCACCCTCTCCTCCACCATCACCACCGCCGCCATCGCCGCCGTCGCTGCCGCCGCTCAACGTGACGATCAACGTCCCTGAGATTTCTTTGCGATTACAAGGAAACGTCGAAGGTTGGACGGAGACCGACGCGACCGCGTTCAAAACTGGTATAGCGAGCGCACTGAGTGACGGAACAACCGCAAACGATGTTGAAATCCTGGGAATCAAACAAGGCTCGGTGATCGTTGTGTTTACGATCAATTCGCTCGCGATGTTGCCAACGAGTTACGGCGGCGACTGGAATCAAACGTACCTCTCGCAAGCGGTGACGAAGATTTCGGACGCCGTGACGGCGAGTACGCTGAACGTAGGCGCAGTGCCTTTGTCATTACCGTCAGTTGATTGCGCAGCGGGCTCATACGTGAGTTCATCCGCGAGCGCCGCAGTGCGAGAGTGTTCTTTGTGCAATCCGGGCTCGTATTCCACGACGACGAACGCTGCGCAGTGTTTGACGTGCGGTGCGGGCACGGCGACTGGCTTTCGTGGATCGACGGGTTGCCCCACGTGTGTGCCCGGCACAGTGGCACCACTAACAGGAGCGTTGGAGTGTGCTCTGTGCCCGCGCGGGACGATTCAACCCGCGAGCGGCATGACGTCTTGCGTGCAATGTCAAGATAATTTCTTCGCGGGGTCGTTTGGATCCGTCGCGTGCGTGGCGTGTCCATCGGGATTCGTTAGTGGCGCTCCTGCGTGGGTCGGGGAAACGCCTCGCATGCGTGCTGACGGTGTTTTGAGCGTAGAGGTGCAGGAAGCCATTGATGGCGTGCGGTGCATCCCCGACGGCACGTACGAGCTTCCTCCACTACCGCCGCCACCGCTCGGAGTGCGCGAAGCCGACAAGACGTCGTGGACCGTGGGAGGCATCGCTCTCTCCGTGTACGGCATAATTCTTTGGATAATTTCTAGACGGATATGGGCTCGGGAAAAGCTCACACTTCAGTACGCCGAAAACGAATCTTTCGTGGACGCTATCACACCGTTGATGGAAAACACGGCGGCGTCTCGCGGCACCATAAAGGAATTTGAAGACGAAGACTTGCGCTATGCTATCGATTGCTTTCGAAGAGGTGGTATCGAAGAAGCCGAAGAAATTTACGCGCGAATGGCAGAGAGGAATCCGGGAAACGCCGATATCATGCACGGCTTGGCCATCTGTCGCGCATTCGCCGGTGATACCGAGTATGCGCACGCGTTTGCGCAACGGAGTGCAAGTCTTACCCTGACAGCGCAGCGGCAGATTACGCTCGGCAATATTTTCCTCGCTCAAGGCAAGCTCGCAAAGGCGAGCACGGTGTACGCGATGGCAATTCGTCGCGATCCGGTGAGCGCGGTCGCGCACTTCAACATCGGCAACGCGCACTTCTTGGCGGGCGATGCGGCGAGCGCGCGCGTGAGCTATCTCGCCGCGCTCGATCGTGAACCGAATTACTTCAAGGCTTTGTACAATCTCGCAATCGTCATCGACTCCATTGGTTCTGTGGGTGAGGCAAAAGAATGGATGAAACGCGCCGTCGACTGCCGTCCGAATGATTCACGCGCGACGTACGCCCTCGCGCTGTTGTACGTTAAGCTTGGACAATGGAAGAAAGCCGAATATCACTTTGAACAGACGTTGAACCTCGACGCCAAGCACGCTCCGTCGCAAGTTAAGCTCGGGAACTTGGCCTTCAGGCGAGGCGACTTCCAGCGCTCCGGGGCGAATTACCTTAATGCGTTGGAAGTTGATCCGGGCAACGTCGAGGCGTTGACGAACTTGGCCATGCTCGATTGGTGCAAGGGACTATTGAGCGCGTGCAACGAGCAACTCAGGCTGGCGTTGACGATTAATCCGAGTTACTATCCGGCGCTGTACAATCTCACGCTTACTCGACTCTCTCAAGGTCGAATCGAGGATTGCATGAAATATTATCAGCGCACACGCGCGTGCGCAGACAGTTCGGCTTTGTCCAAAACGCAAATGTTCAATCTGAGTATGGCACTTGCGGAACTCGACGAGTTGGACGACGCAGACGTGCCAGAGGAATTCACGCCAAACACCGTCGAACATCAGCTCATGAAGATTGCACTGGCAAAGATACAACTGGCGGCGACAACAGACGATGGCAAGAGTTCGAAACCCGCGACGACAAAACAGACGTTGAACCCGATCGTCGCGACCGCAGACGTCGAGCCGCAGCCGCCAAAGATGAAGCGTTCGAACACCACACGCGTGTACGAATCTCTCGTGTTTATCTCAGACGCGATGAAGTTTCCCGAACGCCTGGAAGCATGTGCGCTCGACGACACGTGCGTTATCTTGTACGAGCACGACGTCAACAGTGCGATGCTTTGTAGAAAGCTCATCGCGAAGGCTAAGGAGAGACTATCGACAGCCAGTGGCTTGCAACCTGTAGAGCGCGTCGCCGTCATCGCGCCAACATTCCCGGGCGGTGTGCGCTTGGGCGACGACGTGATCATGGACAAGAGAACAGTGATGCAGACTGGTGACATTGCGTTATTCCTCAAAGGTCTCAACGAGATTCTCGGCTTGCAGCAGTGGCGAGGCAAACGTCTCGACTTCTTGACTCTCGACTACTCCCTCGAAGAAAACGTGAGTTTGTTGCGCATGATCAAGTATGAGCATCAATTTGAGTGCGAAGTTTCGTGCAGCGACAAGATGGAATCATCCGAAACGTACGATTTGACGGCAGAACAACTCAAAGCGATGCAAGGCGCCGCTGGTGGCGCGTGGGCGTGCTTACGTTACTTCGTCGCGGGCTCGCTCGAGGATTGGGCCGCGTTGCCGCAAGCGCCGCCGCGACACAAGGTGATAGAAGCATCTGGTGGCGGTTTACTCGCGCTCAAGGAGAGTGAAGAAGAAAAAGTGAAAGTTTCATGGCGCACGGCGGCGAAAATGGCCATGTCGATCGCGCCTAAGGCACAGACTATCGTTCCGATGGCAAAGGCGAACATTGAGCCGCCGCCTGCGGTACTAGCTCCAGCCGAAGTCGACGTGTTCGGCATACGCCGTACAAAAAAGCATCAGCCTACGTCGCGCACGAAGTCGCACATAACCCACGTAGACATCGAGGTCATGACGCACATGCCCGTGGCAAAGTTCAAGTCTCACGCGACGCAACTCTTTTTCTGCAAAGAAATCGCCGTCGAGCTCGGCGTCGACGTCAACAGAGTGCGCGTGGCGCGCACGGATGACATCGCAGATACCGTCACCGTCCGCATCACAGAACGACGTGACGGTAGCAATGAAGGTGGTCCTTTGGAAATACTCGTAAATAAACTTCAAAACGCCATCAAGGATGGATATTTCATCATCGACGAAGCGTTTGGCGAAGTCGACGTCATGGGTGTGTTTTGGCCTCCGGCTGACATTCCCGAAGACGACGACGGCGAAGAAGCAGTGAGTGTGGTAAGCGAAGTTTCCAGCGGTGGTGAAACGCGCGCATCGCACGACGAAAATGCGACACCGCACCTAAGCGAGTTCACCGACTTCGACGTCTCGGACACCGTCGGGCGCAAGACTGCGTTCACCGTCGCCTCTGCATCTTTGGAACCGACGCTGAGTGCGAGGTCGCTCGAGCCGACGAGCGTACGACAAACACCGCTTACGTCGACGATTCCCGCGCAAGATTTCGTAGAGATCGAGTATAACGACGCCGACGGTTCGCGGGAATCACGCGCGCGATGGGATTTCGATCGAAACATTGCAAATTTACGCAACGAGCGCACGGGGATTTGGGACACGGGCGACCTTCGATAACACCGGAAACTGTAATACTACCTAGATTCTAGCTACTCTCTCTTCGTTCCTTCTAGTTCTTTGCTTTTTTCTTCGCGCGTTCGGCGTCTAAATCAAACCCACCGCTCGTTTCTTTCAACTCTGCTTTGAGCTCTTCGGCGTCCGGCGCGGACGCCAAAGCCTCGTCCAACGTCTGCAACGCGAGTTTGTACCCCAAACTCACCTGCATCGGCGTCCCCGTGACCTCAATCGCGCGCACCACCGAGTGTTCGTTCCCTTCGTGCACCTTGTCCTCGTCAGATATCACGATTTTACATTTTGAAACGCCCTCAATCTTGTGCACGTGCCCGTACCCGCGTCCGATGAACGCTCCCAAATACGCCTTTGGACAAAAGAACCGCTTCGACGTTCGATTCTCCGTCTCGCGCACGAGCGATTCTATCAACTCAACGCACTTTTGCACGCTCTCCGGCGGTCCCGTGATCGCGATCCTTCGTTTCTCTCGCTCGTCAAAATCCTCCTCCGCCGACGCCTCCGTCGTCGTCGCCCGCGCCCCCGTCGCCGCCACCGCCTCCAGCACCCCGTTCGACGTCTTCGTCATCAACCGCACCGCGACGCGTTGTTCCACGATCATCACCCTGCGCGCGTCGACCCGTATCGTCGCCGCGTCCTTCGCGCCGTCCTCCCTCGCCGTCTCCGCGTAGTACGCGTCGCGCCGCGTCTCCCGCAGCGCGTCCGCCACCGCGCGCGCCATCCCGCGCGCCGTCGTCCCGCGCATCACCGTCGCCCGCGTCGCCTCGTCGTCGTCGCCGTCCAGCGCCGTCATCACGTCCGCCGCGCGCGGCAGCGCCGTCGTCGTCGTCGGTCGCCGCGCGACGCGATGCGCATCTTTCGCCGTCGTCGTCGCGTCGTCGCGCGCGCCGGCGTCGCGCGCGCCGTCGTCGTCGCTCGACGACGACGTCGACTCGACGTCCGCGGCGCCGTAGAAGAGGCTCATGCCCGCGCGCGTCGCCGGCGTCGCGCGGCGCGTCGCGATGTGTCCCCGACGGGACTCGCATCGCATCACACCGCCGCGCGCGCGCGATGCGACGCGCGCGCCGCGACGCGGGGCTTCGAGACGCGCTGCTCGACGACGTCGCGTCGACGTCGGCGCCGCTCGACGACGACGCGCGCGACGAGCGCGACGATGACGACGACGACGAGGCGGAGGCGTACCGAGCGAAAAGATTGACGCGCGCGCGCGCGACGGCGACGGTCGCCGCGCTCGGCGCGCCGCTGATATTCCAGTACGTCTCCACGTCGCTGTCGACGGCGTTTCAGCTGTCGCTGGTGTCTAGGGTTTCGGGCGCGCGCGCGACGGCGGCGTTCGGACTGGGCAACGTCGTGACGTCGGTGACGGGACACGCGGCGGTCTGGGGACTCGGATCTGGCGTGGACACGATCAGCGCGCAGGCGAACGGGATGGGACGAATCGACGTCGTCGGAGAGACGTTCGCGCGAGGGATGGCGGTGCTGTGGACGCTGGCGTGGGCGCCGGGGAGTTTGACGTGGTGGAAGAGCGGGACGATTTTGCGCGTCGCGGGCGTCGACGCGGAGACGGCGGAACGCGTGGAACGGTTCGCGAGGTGGCGCGTACCGGGATTGTTTTTGCAGTGCGCGACGTGCGTGATGCTGAAGACGATGCTGGCGATGAAACGGAGTCGTCGGGTGGCGGCGCTGAGCGTGTGCACGACGCCGTTGAAATTTATAGCGCCGTTTTTCTGCATTCGGAAGTTTAGAAATCTCGAGGGCGCGGCGATTGGGTTGACGCTCGTCGACATCGGGACGTTTAGCATGTACGCCGTGGGTTTCGCGACGTCGGAGACGCTGCGAGGCACGCTGAAGAACGTGCGCGTGTTTCCAGACGCGTTTCGAGACTGGTGGGGGTATTTGCGCTTGGCGATTCCAGGGATGGGGATGCAATGCATCGAATGGTGGAGCTGGGATTTCAACACCGCGCTCGCGGGGCTGTGCGCCGATCCCACGCTCGAGCTCGACGCGCAGGCGTTCTTGTCCAACACGTACTTTTTCTTTTACTCGTGGGCGTGCGTGTGGTCGAGAGGGGCGTCCACGAGCGTTGGGAACGCCGTCGGCGCCGGGAAAACGCGAGACGCGGCGACGCTCGCGGCGAGCACGGCGGCGTTGTCATTTTCGTTCGCCCTCGTGTGCGCGATGGTGTTTTACGCGAATGCGGACGCGGTATTCGCCGTGTACACGAATGACAAAGCCGTCGTCGAAAGGCTCGACGCGTTGGTGCCCACGCTCACGTGGTTCATAGTCATCGACGCCGTACAAGTCGCCACCGCGGGGATCATAGTCGGCGCCGGGTACCAAGGGGTAACCACGCCGATTTTGATCGTGTCGTACTGGGTCATCGGCTTACCCCTCGCCGCGTATCTCGCCATCGGTCGCCCCAAGCTCGGTTTGGTCGGGATTTGGACCGGCATAATCGTGAGCAGCGTGCTCCATTTGATGTGGAATTTAGTGATCTGTTTTACGGGCGCGTGGGGCGTGCCGTTCGCCATTCGTTGGCGCGAAGCCGCGGACAGAGCGTCGCGGCGTCTAGATGAAGAGGAGAAGGATGAGGAAGAGGAAGAGGAAGAGGAAGAGGAAGAGGAAGAATAGATAGCTCGTAGAAGTTGAGAATTTAATCGTTGTTGATAGTTTTACACGTAATAGGAGATTGATCAGCGCGCCTTCTTTTTGCGCGAAGACTTGGACGTCGACGCTTCCTTCGCCTTGTGTTTCGGCAACTTCATGGGTTTGATTATAGAGCCCGTTGGCTTCAATACTTTCGGCGCGTTCAACTTTTGGAACATGCCGTGCGTGTTGACGTCCAATCCCAAAGGTTGACGCATCGTGCCCTCGTACGCCGCCTTGCTCGCGTACCCGTGCGGAAGCGATTCCACGTTGAATTGCGCAGCCTTTTTATCGTACTTTTCGCTGATTACGACGTGCTTGAGTTTGGCGTCGCGACGACTCTTCAAAGCCTTCGCGCGCTCAGTTTTCGCCTTTTTCTCCGCGTCCTTCATCCATTTCGGAACGCGCTTGTCGCTCGCCCACGCGCCCCATCCTGGAAGATTCTTCGGCATGTCCGTTTCAGGAAGTTCTGCGCTGACATCGGCGAGCTTTTCCTTTTCGAATTCTGCTTCGATGTCGTCGTTCGCGAACGCTCGCCGCATCAAGTCTTCGTTCGTCGTCCCCGCGTCGCGTTCCTCTTCGAGCATCACCGTCGGTCCGTCGTCGGCGTCTTCGTCGGATTCGCCAGACTTGACTTTCACCGGCGCCACTCGTGCGGCAGCTTTCGCACGCATCTTCCTCGCCGCATCTGATATCTCCGTGATAGGTTTTGCAGTTGACTTTTTCGGCTGCGTCGACTGTTTCCCGCTGGAATTTTTCGCGGGCGCGTCGACGTCGTTGTCGCCCGTGCGAGCCTTCTTTGAAGCAGACGCTGTTCGGGCGTCGGCGGCGCGCTTCGCATTCGTTGTCATCGCGTCCCACTCTTCATGATCATCGTCGCTATCGCTGAGCTCCTCTCCGTTCTGTTCCATTCTATCGAGCTCATCAAGCAGTTCTTGCGCCTCTGCTTTCGTCTGCGACTTGCGTTTCTCCATCGCACGCGCCATGAAGGGCAGTTTGAACAAGCTGTCGTTCGCTCCCTCGACATCGTCGTCGCCGCCGTCCTCCAAAGCCTTTAACGCTGCGGCTTTCGCCCTGAGCCGTCGCTTGCGTTCGGTTTCGGGGTCGTTGGGATCTTCGTCTTCAGAGTCTTCGGCGTCCGTGCTCTCTTCGTCGAGTTCCGTCGTCGTCGTTCGAGTGCCTTCAATCTTTTCCTTCAATTGTTGGCCGATGCGCAGCTGCTCCTGCAACTTTTCTCGCGTCCCGGCGAGATGGGCGATACCCTTTTTAATCGCCCGTTTCGCCCACCTCGACGTGTTTTTGTGACGTAACAGCATGCGCTCTTGCGCGCGAAGGTACTCTCTGCGTTCCTCCGGGGTGTCGCCCTCGCCTTCGTAATCGCTGTCATCCTCGTCTCCGATCACCTTGAGTTCTCCCTTGCGATTGTGCCTATGGAACGCCTTAGACTTGATGTTTTTCAGTCTTTTCGCCTTTTGCTCGTGATAAAACAAAACCGCACGCATCTTCGCGAGCTTGGCTTGGCGCGCCTGTATGTCCTCGACGTCCAAGTGGTTCATCTCGAGCAACTCGCCGCGCACGACGTCTTTGGCGCTCGCGTGCCCAGACTCTTTCAAAACGCGAGCGATTTCCAACTCAACCTCCGATCGCGGCGTAAAATCTGCGGCGAGCGCACCGAGCGTGTCCTTGCGTTGCATCTCCTTGCGCGCTGGCTCAAACTTGAGCGTTCGCTTTTCGCGATTTTCCTTGACGACGGCTTGATACTTGCCGATGTCCTTGCTCGTCTCCGCGTACGCCGCCTTGCGATCGATACGCTCTTTAATCGGTCGCGCCAAAGGCGCATCCACCGCCTTAGTCTTCGAAATCTTATTCAACCGCTTCACCGTATCGCGATCGAGCGCGTCTTCGCCGAGCGACGCCATGACGTCCTTCAGCGTCAGCTTCTCCTCGCCCTCGCGAAGACGAAGCGGCACCGCCATCGGATTCTCCCTCCCGACCTCCGTGATCACCGGTCGATACCGAGGATCCAGCGTCACTCGTTTACGCGCCCCGACGAGTTCATCCAGCACGCGCTCGCGTTTTTCGTCGTCGTCGTCTTCGCTCGAAACCAACGCCTCGACGTCCTCCTCTTCGACGACCTCGCGCGTCGGTTTCGCCCTCGTCCTCGACGTCGACTTCGCCTTCGCCCGCACCGCCTCCTCCGCCTCGTCATCGCTATCCATCAACTGATTTAACCCATCGTCGTCGTACGAGTCGTCGTTCGCGCCGTCTCCCGCGCCGTCGTCGTCGTCTTCGTCGTCCCACGCGTCGTCGTCGCCGTCGTCGCCGCGTCCCGAGCCGAAAAACTCCCCGAACGCTTCCTCGTCCGCCTCGTCGAACGCCTCGTCCTCGTCGATCTCCTCGTCGTCGAACGCGTCGTTATCTCGGACGTCCTCGAAGGCGTCCTCGTCGCTGCGCGCGTCGTCGTCGTCGTCGTCGGTCGAGTTTTCGCCGCCGCCGCCGCCGCGACGCGCGCGATGAAAACGCTTCGCGAGCTTCATCGCGGGCGCGCGCGCGCGCGAGCGCGCCGAGGCGCGCGATGGGTTCGCGCGCGTCGACGACGCGCGCGATCGGGGACGGCGACGCGCGCGGGTGAAGGCGTCGCGAAATGATGATTTTCATTTCGAGCGGCGACGCGCCGCGGCGGCGCGGCGAAGGCGCGACGAACGTCGAGCTGAATTACAGGGATTCTAAACGGGTGGTTTCGTGGTTTCGTCGTTTGGTTACTGGTTCGATGAGGTCGGCGGCGTCGCGCTCTGAGCCTCGACGGCGGTGATGACGTCGTCGCCGATGACTTCGCCGTCGCACGAGGCGCCGCGCGGGCAGACGACGCGAATCGACTTGGCGTGCGTGTCCGTGCGCTCGCCCGAGCAGTGTTGCTCGCAGTGGATGCGAACGCTGACGGCGGTGACGTTATTGACGGTGCCCACGGCCACGGGGTCGCTTCGGACTTCGGCGTGGCAGCGCTCGGTGCGAGGGATGAGACGGTCGCACATGGAGTACGATTCGCCGCGCACGCACGAGAGCGTTTGGGCCCAATTCGACGCGTCGTCGCCGACGCAGTTGTCGGCGAACGTGGAGCCGAACAAGCTCGAGGGTAAGCACTGCGGCGCGGGACACATGGCCACAGCGAGAGTGTCGGCGTACCCGCGAGGGTTCCACGCGTTGACGCGCAAGGCGTTGGCGAGCACGGGCCTGCTGACGACGGGCGTCCCGGGATGGACGCGCATTTGGCACGCGAGCTCGGGTCCGGGGTTGTAGTCGCGCGTCAGGTCACCGTTGGCGTCGGTATACCACGAGCCCCAGTGACCGCGATCGCCGCCGTACGGGGCAGAAAATTCGCACTGGCCGTCCGCCGTGCATTTGCTCGGCCACGGAGAGCCGCTGTAGTACGCGCTCGACGGGACGGCGCCGTCGGCGCCCGGAACGGTGACGACGGAAACGCGAACACCGGCAGTTTTCAGTTCCGCCGCGGCGACAGGCACCGATCGAAGCTTGTATTCGCACGTTGTCATTTCTTCACCGCTCGGAAGCACGTTGAAGGGGTGATCTCGCGTCAAGTCACGGAATTCAGGTACACTTATGCTCAAACAAGTCTCGAACTCCACCGGCGTCGATGGGTGCGAAGCCGTGACGAAGATGACGCTTCGCTCATTCGGCGGAAAGATGCCGAAATCGCGGAACAATCCGTTCGCAGCTTTCAAACCTTGCGCCAACGGCACGCTTCGGCCGCAACACGCGCCCTCGTCCGCTCGCATCCTTTCTAAACTCGCGTGGAAGTCCTCGCTCGTGTGCTGCTGCAACGGAATGTAACTCGTGTAGGCGTCGCACACGTACGGGTTGCCAGCTCCTGGGAGTAGCAAAACGCCGACTTGCGATCCCGTGCCTTCGATCGTGCAGTACAAATCATGCAACATGTCGATCATCTTCCCATAGAACACCTCACTACCGATGGCTTCGCTGGCGTCGACTAAGATGATGATGTCCCGCCCGGTTTGATGCGAGCACAGCGGAGCCTGAAACTCGCCAAACGTGGTGTTTCTCGAGCACCACGCGTTCATGGGCACGGTAGATCGATCATTCTGAGTCAACGTCGACCACTTGTACGCTTGTGCCGACGTGCACTGTGTCGGGTGATTCGCGGCGACGTGTGCAAGGATGACGTCGTTCGGCGGCGGCGGCGCCGCCGGCGGAAGCGGGGGTGGCGGGCTCGTCTGCGCCGTGGTGACGTCGAGAACGAATTGCTTGTGACCGTATGAAAGATATGCGGCGCGTCGAACCAGGGGAGCTGGAGAAGCTTTGACGAAAAGTTGCAAACGATCACCGTTACTCAAGGTGATGTCGGCGTCGTCTTGCAAGTCGCCGTTGACGTAGACTTCGGTCCACAACGGCAATCCAGAACTCGCGAGTTGAGCGTCGTTGCCATTCTCCATAAAGTGCAGCGTCAGTGGTTGATTCGGCGATTGCAGCGTCTCAACTGTTTTTGGTGGATGGAACATCACCGCTTTCGAACCTGCTTGCATGGTGACGTTGTGCACGTTAACGATTCCAGGAGGCGCCGGTGGAAGCGGCGGCGGCGACGGGCTCGGCGGCTGCGGCGGACTCGGCGGCGGCGGCGGACTCGGGGGGGTCGTTGGCAGAGCTGGCTCGCTCGCGCTCGATGTCGCGTCCGGCGTCGTGGTGTTCACGCTCGACGGGTAGCCAGACGTACCGTTCACGCTCGACGGGTACGCAGACGCCGGCGCGAAGTCAGCGTATGAGTCGTCACTTTCTGGCGGGGCGTCGTCGAGGCTCTCCGTCGGCGCACCCGGCGTCGGTTCAAAGGCGTCGACCGGCGACTGCTGCGGTGCTGGCGTCGGACTCGGCGAAGCCGTGTCGTCCGTCGGCGCCGGCGTCGGACTTGACGAAGCCGTGTCGTCCGTCGGCGCCGGCGTCAGACTCGGCGAAGCCGTGTCGTCCGTCGGCGCTGGTGTCGGACTTGACGAAGCCGTGTCGTCCGTCGACGCGTCGTCATCCGTCGGTGCTGGCGTTGGCGTTGGCGTCGTCGGCGTACTAGTATCGTAATACGACGCGTCGTCATCCGTCGGTGCTGGCGTTGGCGTTGGCGTCGTCGGCGTACTAGTATCGTAATACGACGCGTCGTCATCCGTCGGTGCTGGCGTTGGCGTTGGCGTCGTCGGCGTACTAGTGTCGTAGTACGACGCGTCGTCATCCGTCGGCGTTGGCGTTGGCGTTGGCGTTGGCGTCGCACTCGGCGTACTAGTGTCGTAATACGACGCGTCGTCATCCGTCGGCGTTGGCGCGCCCGTGTCGTAGTATGACGCGTCATCGGCCGCTGGTGCCGGTGTGGAACTCGGCGTGCCCGTGTCGTAGTACGAAGCATCGTCGTCAGCAACTACACTAATCGGTGATGGTGGCATCGGAGGCGACGGCGGCGCGGCGGTGAGAACACGCGGCGGCGGCGGCGATGTAAACTCTCGCGGCGGCGGTGGTGACACCATGGGTGGCGCCGGCGGTTCCATCGCGTCCATAGTCTCCTCGAGAGATGGCGGCGCGGCAATGTCCAACGTAGTGAGAACAACTTTCGGATGCAAATCTCCGATGAGCATCTGTGCCATTCTACTCGAGTTTGGCTCACTGGGCGCACGAACACGCAGCACGATGCGATCACCATTTTGAGCGGCGTACGGCAGCGCATGTAACTGGCCGTTCACTCGAATACTAATCCAATCCGGCGGCGTCGATGACGTGTCCATAACTGGCGGGTCTACGAATTGGCTGTCGCTAGCCCCGAGCTCAGCCTCGGCGCCGTTATTCCCTGTCCAACCGAAGCTAAACATGATCATTTGTCGGTGCGGCGTGTTGTCGGAATCGAAGTCCGGCAAGCCACTCACCGTGAAATGTCCATCAGTGGGTATACCGATCAACATATTGGGTGGAACAGGAATAACCAATTCGTTCGCGGCTAAAATATCTTCCTCCTCAATGCTCACGATCGCCGGAGCAGGTGGTGGTGGCCACGCAATAGGCGGAGCAAAATAAGCCGGCGTCGGCGCTGGCACATTCGGTGCTGGTACATTCGGTGCTTGCGCCGGAACTGGCACATCCGGCGCTGGCACATCCGGCGCTGGCACATCCGGCGCTGGCACATATGTCCCTGGCGTCGGCGCTGGCACATTCGGCGCTGGCACATATGTCCCTGGCGTCGGCGCTGGCACATTCGGCGCTGGCACCGATGGAGTGTCCGGATGCTCGACGATTGGCCATCTATGCGGCTGCGTCTCACCCGTCCTCGCATCTCCGTTGGTGTTCAGTCTAATCAAACCCCGTCGTTGCTTGCGCGCGCCGCCCGCGCCGGGATCGCGCCACGTGTATCGCAATACCACCGTGCGTACATCGTTCAGAACGTTGTGAGCTTGTGCGTCAATTTCGAGCACATCTAAATTTTTCACCAAGGTATTCGGGCTCGTTCGCTGTCCGTTCACTCGCATGACGAGCCCGGCTTCGTTCGGCGGATGCTCGCTCGCGCCGCGCGCGAACAACTCGGCGTCCGCGAACTCGACGCCCTCGGGCAACTCTACGACTACCGTTGGTGGATACGCCCAATCGGCGGGATCGATGTAATACGAGTAGCCGGTTCCAAGTCCGAACAAGTCACCACCCGTGGTTTCGATGGGCGGCAGCGGCGAGTGTCCTCGTCTCTGCGCTCGCGGCGCCGGTCCAACGCTCGCCGGTTCCATCGGCACTCGCACTCGCGTGGGTATCGGTACCGTAACCGTCCTATATCTCTGCGCGCCGCCGTTCCGCGTCGACGCGCCTCCCCCGCGCGCGTCGTTTCCGTCTTCGTACACGCGAATGTACGTGTGTCCCAGCGCGCCCTCGGCTTCTCCTCCTCGACCTCGCCCGCGACGCCCCCGTCGCGTCCTCCGCGCGGCCTCGCGCTCGATCACGCCCATATCACCGTACCTCGCATCGCGCGGGACGTCCGCGTCCTCGTATTGCGAGTCGATCAACCCCCCGTCGGCGGCGTCTTCGAACGCGCGTCCCGCCCCGCCCGTCGTTCCCGCGTCGTCGTCCATCGCGCCGTCGCGCGTCGACAGCCATCCGCGACCGAGACCGGGCGCATCGAGTCCGCGTCCGCGCGCGCGCGTCGCGACCGCGACGAGCGCGCCGCACGCGAGCGCGCCGAGGGCGATTTTTCGCCATCGAGACACCTTTAGTGTTGACGGTCGATCTCGCGTTGAATCGTCGCTCGTCGACGCCGATTCGCGCGCGCGCGCGCCGAGGAGCGCGATGCGCTCGCTCGACGCGGCCATCGGACGTTCGCGGCGCCTCGCTCGAGGCGCGCGCGACGCGCGGTCGTGTGCGGCGACCGGCGCGTCGCGCGCTGCGGGTGTTGACGAGTATCGAGGATAAACACGGACGGGTGGTCGGTCGCCGGCATGAACGCGACGAATGCGCGAATAAATGACAACGCTACGCGGCTTCGAAGCGAACGACGCAGTCCCAGATCTCGCCGCGCGGACCGAAGAGCTTCTCGGCGAGACGCTGGTTTTTAATCATGGCGAGCTTGATGGTGTCGCACGAAAATTGGGCGCGATAGTTGGTGTGAATGGCGCGTCCCATGCCTTCGAGGACGATGAGATCGGCGTCTCGAGCGGCGACGCACGCTTCGTTGGAGAGACGGCGGAAGTCCAAGCAGGGCGAACCAGAGCCCGAGCTCACGACGGAGAGCGCGCCGGAATCGATGGCGATTTCGAGCTGCGAGTCGAGAGACTTGGTGGCTTGTAATATCCCCGTAAGCTCGGTCGCGGTGATGTCGTTGATGGCGGGGAGGGAGTTGGCGACGAGAACGACGGACGTGCCTCGCTTCAAAAGCTCGCGAGCGAACGGAAGCATGCCCAAGATGATGTCGGCGCCGGAATTATCGCAAAAGAGCAACGCTTTGCGGTACTGCTTCGCATTCGGAGCGTTCAATCGATCGCGCAGAGCGTCGTAGTCATCGATGGCCCACGGCCTGTTCACCGTGCTTCTCGCGTTGCGATAGATTTCTAAAATCGTACCGTTGCGATACAAATCGAGCGTGCCTTGGGATCCCCAATCGAAAATGTTACCCGCCAAAACGCCCTCGACGATGGCTAACAGCCGTTCGTCGTCGTTCAAGCTATCAATTTCAGCGAGCAAGTCGGGAAGAACCAAGAGCGCGGACTCATTCTCTTGCTTTTTTACGTCTTCGTACACGTCGTTAAAGCGAAAGAATCTCAAACACTCTTCGCGCATCTCGAACAAATCCGCGAGACCGATGCGTCCGTACGCCGCCGGCTCTTCGCGAAGTCGCGACAAGTGCGATTTAAACACGTTGTCAAAATTTTCTGCGCGTTCTTTTGCGTCAGAGCTCGATGGTTCGCTCACTAGCGCGCGCTCCACGAGCCCAGATTGCAAGCGTTCCAGCGTGTCCAACCAGTAATCTCGTTCAGTGGTATTGGTGAGCATGTCAAAGATGTTTGGGTCGTAATCGCGCCCTTCGCGAAGCAATGGAAAAGTTTCCAACGTCGGCTCGAGGTGCAAAACACCAACTTGTAAGCCTGCAGAGTTGAGCAACTGCGTGGGATCGTTCCGATCCGACGGCGTTTCTTCTCCTGAGGAGTGCTCTTCCGATGACGCGACATCTCCAGCGACGCGCGGCACGCGGACATTGGCCAAGTTGTCGTTTGAGTACGTCCTCAAGGCACCGTCGAAGCTTACTTTTCGCATCGCTTCGCCAATCGTTTCTTCTTCACTGTCGCGGCGTGCCCTGGGCGGCGTCGCTGGCGTCGTCAGACTACCTTTTGATGAGTGCGACGTTCTGGCCGATCGTTTGCGATCCATGCCTGTAGGCGGCACCGAACACTTGATAAACTTCTCGATCCACGTCCCTTGCTGCGCGGCATTGCTAAGATTTTTCTGCGCCTCGACGTCTTGCAGAAATGCCCCTAGGGCGCCGAGGAAGCCCTCGTGACGCAGGAAACTCGCTTTCAATGATCCTTTAGACCAGAAATCGACGGCGAACGAAATTGTGTTCATCGTGTATGCGTGGTTTCGGATGAAGTAACCTCCAAAAAAGATGCGCTTGAGCCCGTATTTGACGGCGTTCATGGTTGAAATGTGCGCGATGTTGTACGAGATCATACGCAACAGAGAAAGCGTTATGTCGGCTTTCGAGTAATCTTCCAAGCTTCCTTCGTCCATGACGACTCGCCCGAAAGAACTCGCGATAGTCTCGCTAGACAGACCGATGTTGGGGTAGTCGCGGCCGCCATAAATATCCCCGACGAGCATGTCCACCTTCGCATTGTCCGCCTGCGCGCTCAACTTTAACATTTCATCGTAATCCTTGAGCCCGGTCAACAACCGGCACAATCCCCAAAACGTCCCCCCACCTATATTACTACCACTCACGCGCTCGTGCCCATCCTTATCAACCTTGATGATGCTCACCCCGCTCCCGATGTTCACCAACAGGTACGGAAACAACGATTCACGCGTCAACGCGTCTTTTGATATAAATGCCTTCTCATCATCAGTATACGTAAACGCCTCGTCGCGAATCGTCTCCAACAAAAAATTCGCCCCCGCCACCGCGCACGCCATCTCATCCTCCTTCTGCAGCGTGATCCCCAACCGATCCTGAAACGTCTTTGAAAACTTGTACGCGCCGCCCCCCGTCGCCTTCACCGTCACGCCGCCATCCTCGCCGTCGCCCTCCGTCGTGCCCGACCCTCCCACGTGCAATTTTTTGAACTCTATAAAGTCCATGCAATCGTTCAAATGCGCCGAGGGAAACTTTCGAAAGTGCAATCGTCCTCCCGCCACCGCGCGTCCGCTCGCGTCCGTCCCGCTCGGGCTAAAGTACACGAGCTTCACCAGGGACCCACCGAGATCCATCGCGAAGTGTCGCACGGCGTCGCGCTGCCGCGGCAGCGCGATCGCGGGCGCTTCGGGCTTGCTCGACGACGACGCGTGGCGCAGGGGAGAGCGCGAACCGGGCGCGTCGGCGGCGTTTCTCGCGTCCGGTCGGTTGCTTTGTCCCGGTGGGTCGATCGCGGCGTCGGTTATGTCGATGCGCAGGGGCGCGCTGAGGCTGCGGTTGCGCGCGTGACGGACATCGCTCGGTCCGGACCGAGCCGAGGGCTCGGCGTCGGACATCGCGGACGAGGTGTGAGGCGAGGCCGAGGCGACCGCGAGCCGGCAAACCCGAGGCGACCCGACGCCCGTCGCGCGCGAGAGCGAAGACGGACCAGACGAGAACGGAGCGATAATGACGCGATATTTTATTCATTTGGAGGGTGGTGTCGTTCGCGAGGTTCGCGGGGGTGGTGGGGACGCCGTCGGCGGCTCGGCGTCGGCGACTCGATGTCGGCTATCCGCCTGCTTCTTGAAGCTTTCGTAAATCGTCGACGAAGGCTCGCGCGTTTAAGACGGTGGAGCCGCCGAGGACGACGGTGACACCGGTTTTGAGGGCATTAAACTGCTCGCATACCTTGGTCTCTTCGTAGCAAATGCCACCGATGATGAAGACGATGAGTTCGGTGGGCTTGGCGGCGGCGGCGCCGTTGGGCGACGGGCCGACGAATGGATAATCTTCATTTTTCAGCGAGCCCTTGGCGGCGGATTGAATCGTCGAACTTAACAGCGGTTGGTGCTGCGTGTAGACGTTTTCGACGCCTTTGAGACTGCCGACGACCTTGCTCGCACGGCCGAGGAATGAGCGGTTGCCGAACAAATCGCCCGTGCGCGCGGCTTCCCCGCCGTGCTTTAAAATTGTGCGCACGAGTCCGATGCGCGAGCGACTGACGCCTTGTTGCATGAGAATTTCCGTCAAGTCTGCGATTTGGCTTTGCTCATTTTCGTAGCGCAACGCGAACAGCAGCACGAGTTTCAGTCGCTCCTCCTCTAGAAGCTGTGGATTGCGTAGCGCGTCGACGACTTGCGTAAACGCGCCGGCGCGATCCGTGCCGCACACAACCTCTTGTTCAACCTGCGACGCCGCCATCAGACGCCGCTGTGATATCACAGAGCTCAGTTCGGACATCAGCGCGACGTGTTTGGAGACATTTCCACTCTTCGCCCTAAACTCTGGGTACGATTCCACGAATCGCGCCATGTCGTCTATGGATTCAATCTTCTTGCTCATCTTTGTCTGTTGTTGGAACTCATCCACCAAAGCCTTGACGCTCGCCCCCAAATCGCCGTAGTTGGCGTACATGTTCTCTGCGAAAAATGCATCCTCGCGCGCGCTCAGCACGAGTTCACGAAGCTCTTTGCTCAGCGCCTTGACGTGCCGTAAATCTACTCTGTTCGTGCTCGAAATGCCAAAAATCTCGTGCACCATGGCTTGATAGGTCCACTGCGACAGCAGCGGCGTGACGGCGTCGTCGAAACGATCGAGAACTAATAAATGCGCCGCGCCATCCGCGCGAGGGAAATCAAACAATCCCGCCTCTTGCTCGTACACCACTCTCGCGACGTCCGCCGCCAGTCGTCTCGCCGCCTCACTCGAGCGCTGGTGCCTAATGAACGGTCTACGCTTCAGCGACAGCAACACGCTCGTGATTCCTTCCACACATCTATCTACCGCCATCCCCACGCTGCGAGACCACTGCCCCGGGTTCATGAGCGCGCTATTCGACTCTCCCAACTCTAGCGCAAACGTGTTTCGATCCACCGCCGTCGCGTCCGCGTAATACTCTTGCACCTGCACCACGAGCTCGTCGTCATCCTCCGCCGCGAGCTCCTGCAGCAATCCTTCTGGGCACACGTTCGAAAAGAAGACGTGATACTCTCCGTACGTCCGCTGTTTCAACTGTTTCCCGAGCGTTCGCACGTTTTCCCTCGTCGGCCTCACGAACACCACCGCCTTCAGGTGCGGCATCTCCTCGTGCGGGCGCTCGTGCAACTGCTCGATCAAAAACACCTAGAACGCGCACAAAATATACGAGCATCAGTCTCGCGCCTCGAATCGGCGCTTCGCGCGCTCGAACGCGACGTCGCGCTTTGCGCGCTCGAACGCGTCACTTGTCACTTTCAACATTCCGAAATCGCGCGCCCACGTCCTCGCACACGCACCTCACGCGCGAGAACTTCGCTCTGTGACATCACCACACTCAATATGTTCACCTGCGTCGAACGAATTCGCCGTCAGTGCCTCGATCGCGTCGCCGTCGCGTCGAATGCGTCGTCAAATCGCAAAGTCGTTGAGTCGTCGATCGCGCGCACCGTCACCGGATCGCACACCAGGGCCTTCATGCCGCCCTTCGCGACGTCGAGCATGCGCTTGACGTATTCCTTGTGCGCCTCCGAGAGATCCATCGCGGCGACGACTCGCGAGCGCGCTCGCGTGTGGGGCGCGCTCGCGACGCGGCGTTTCGTATGGGAACATTTCTTTACACGTCGCGCTAAGGCATTTCTTACGTTTTACGTCCTCTCTTCGACGTGTGCGGCAGGTCGACGTTGAGCGCGGCGTCGACGTCGTCGAGATTGCCTCGCGGCGCGCGCTTGCCCTGTCCCTTCGCCGCGTTCTTGCCTCGCGGCGTCGACGGTCGCAGCTTGCCGTCGTCGATGAGTTTCTGCAACTTTCGACGTTCGTCATCGCTGAGCGGTCTGTTTTTCCCGAGAGTCTCGTGCAACAGTCGAGCGCGCTGCGTGCTCAACCACGAGCCGAGGTTGACGCCCTCGTACTCCTCGCCCTGCGGCACGTTGTAGTTGACGCCTCGCGTCTTCTCTTTGCCCCATCGCAAGAGCAGCGCGAACTTCTTCTCCCACACGTCGTCCGGGGCGTGCACCCAGAGCTTACCGGCGTCGATCATCGCTTGCATTTGCTCTGTCTGCCAAGGCGTGAGCGGCAAATTCTTCGTCGTCCCTCCGCGGAACCGCTGTCGCTGCGTGTTCAACCACACCCCCACGCGTTCGTCGCCATCCTTGTAATCGTACGGCACGTTAAAGTGCTCCCCGTTCGCGCGCTCTTCCCCCCACTTCAGCACCAGCGCCCACTTCCTCGGCCAAGGATCCGCTTTCTCGCACCTCAGCACCCCCCTCAGGACGAGCGCGTCCAGCGCCGCCGCTTGCTCCGGCTTGAGCGGTCGCCGCGCGTTCTCGCCGTCTCTTCGCCGCGTTCGCTGCGTCGCCAACCACGCCCCGATCTTCGCCCCCTCGTGCGTCGTCCCGACCGGCGCGTTATAATCAACCCCTCCGTTCGTCTTTTCCGCCCACGCCGCGAGCTTCTCGAGCTGTTCGTTCCATCCCTTCCGTCCCGGCGCGTCGATCCACAATCGTCCCGCCGCCGTCAGCGCGTCCAGCCTCGTCGCCCGCTCCCTCGGCATCTTTTTCGCCCTTAGCTTCGCGCGCTGGTTCTGCAGCCACGCGCCGATGTTGAGTCCCGCGTGCGTCGCGCGCCAGGGCGCGTTGCACGCGCCGTCGCGGCCGTCCGCGACGGACCACGCGAGCAGGGCGTCGTGGTGCGCGTCCCACGCGTCGTCTTCCGCGCGCGACGCCGCGCGCGCGGCGACGTCGAGCGCGGACGCGCCGTCGCGCGCGTCGCCGGGGGGCATGACGGCCGTCGGCGAGTGCGGCGCGGCGTCGGACGCGGAAGACGACGCGATTTCAATCGCAATTTGCATTTCAATTACACCCGGTTTAAATAAACGCTCGGGACGGCGACGAGCGCGAAGGCGCGAACGACGGCGAAGGACGCTCGGGACGCTCGGGACGCGCGACCGGAACGGATCGGATTAAACGCGCGATGCGAGCGAACGTCGACGTCGGGGCGACGTCACGGGGCGTCGGGGCGGTGGAGGTGGAGCGCGCGGGCGACGTCGGCGGGGACGCCGGCGGCGGCGAGGAGACTCGCGGCGGGACCGGCGCGCGAGGCGTCGGCGGAGGCGCTGTGGAGAAAACCGCGCGCGAGGGCGGCGGAGACGTCGGCGTCGGTGGCGTCGGATGGCGTGACGTCGAGGTCGGTGGACGCGAGTTGTCGGCGGAGGACGGCGTCGTAGTGGGCGGCGAAGGCGTCGTCGTCGTCGTCGTCGTCGCTGTCGGAGGCGTCGTCGCCGACGTGGACGAAGTCGGTGGAGTCCGCGTCGAGGGAATCGGAAGACGACGCGAAGAAATCGTCCTCGGGTAAGTCGTCGGAGTCGCGCGCGCGGCGACGCGCGGCGTCGGAGTCGGAGTCGTCGGGGAAATTGAAGTCGTCGTCGGAGTCGTCGGAATCAAAGTCCGCGCCGTCGGCGTCCAGGTACCGTCGCAACTTGTCGTCGTCCTCGATCGCGAGCGCCTTGCCGAGTTCGCTGAGGAACTTTCGAGCGTCTAAGCTGAACCCGGCATCGCCGTCGGGGATGTTTAAATCACCCGGACACGCGCCCGGCGCGGCGTTGTGATTCACCCGCCGCGATCGCGTCTCCACGCCTTCGAATCCGGATTCGCGCTCGACGAACGATCTCGCGCTCCTCGTCGCGTCGCACACCGTGCGCTCGCGCTCTTTTTCTAGCTTGGCTAACTCCTCGTTCAGCGCTTTGTCGGCTTCAAGAAGCCAAGTCTCATCGCTCGCGTCGCTCGGCGAAGCCGCGCGCAACGCGTCGTCGTCGCTCTCGGGCGCGGCGAGAATCTCGCGAACGCGTTCGGCGGGCGCCGAACGTTGCGCACGGCGAGACGTCGACGCTTGTGGCGACGCGTTGTACTCGCGCACCGCGTTCGCCAGGAGCGTCCTGTACATCGCGCTTCCAACCATTTCGTTTCTAAAATACCCGTTCTCCGTCAAACTCGCCTTAAACGTCGTCCACGCCCGATCGTCCACCGGTTCGGCGTCGCTCGCGGACGCGTCGACGACCGGTCCGCGATCGGCGAGTAACATCTCGAACCCGCACGCGATCTTCATCCCGAGCTCGCGCGCGATGAAATCATCCGCGCTCTTTGGCGGCATCGGATATCGCTCCGGCGCTTCGAAACGCTCGCGACTGATTTCCGAGAACAACCATCGCGACATTCGCACCAGCGTCGGGTGAAAATCCACCGGCTCGAAGTGCGTCATCTTCGCCGCCGCGCGCACGCCCGCGGGATCGCGCGCTCGCAAACTCTCGATCGCCGCCGCCACGAGTTGCGGTTCTCGTCGCAGCACGCGCGCGACGCGCCTCGGCGTAATCGCAAACGCGTCGTGACGATTTTCCTTCGCCTTGCGCGTCGCCGCGTCCGTTCTCGCCCTCAAAATCTTCTGCGCTTCCTCCGGCATCCTCTCCGCGTCGTCGAGCGTCTCCAACGCCGCGTTCGTCCGCGCTCGCGCGTTCGCCCCGCCCCCCGCGCGTTCCGTCGCCCCGCCGTCCCGCACCACCAGCTCGCCCTTCACCAAAAACGTCGTCCCCGTCGCGCGCTCCGGCGTCACCCACGCCGGCAGCGCCTCCGCGGTTTCGATCAGCGTGAACTCCCCGTCGTCGTCCCAGACTCGCACCGCGCGCGCGACGTCCGCGCGCTCGCTCGACGTCTCGAGCGCGCACGCCGCCGCCAACCACGCGTCGTCGACGTCGTCTCCGACCCACACCGACCACTCGCACGCGTTCGACCCCGCGATCGGCGCCACGCGCGGCGCATCGCGCGCCCACACGTGTCCGCGCGCGACGCGCGCGATCGTCGCGCGCACCGCGTCGCAATTCGCGTCGAGCGTCGAGCGATGTCCCGAAAAGTGCACCTCGACGCGCACGCGATTCGCGTCGTCGTCGTCGTCGCGCGACGCGCGCGCGTCCGCGGCGCGGTAGAAGACGTCGTCGGGGTCGAGCTCGAAGCGCATGCGCGCCGGCGCGCGCGCGGTCGAGCGCGCGGCGATGTGACGCGCCATTCGTCGCCGCGAAAAGCGTCATGTTCGCGGCGGCGCGCGCGCGTCTCGCGGGCGAACCGGCGCGCGAGGGCGCGGCGAAGCGCGCGCGCGGCGCGCGGCGCGGCGATAACCGACATCGCGACCGCTGGGCGGCGTCGCTTCGCCGAGGCCCGCGAGGCGCGCTCGAGGACCCGCCGGGGACGCTTCGCGACGTGTGCGTGATATTCTGCTCGCCCAAGACGGCGTCGAACGTCGGGGCGATGGCGAGGGCGTGCGCGGCGTTCGAGTGCTGCGATTTTCGCGTGGCGACGCCGCTGTGCGACGTCGAGTGCCGCGCGTGCGTGAACGCGGCGAAGGGGGCGCAGTGGTTGGTGCCGCGCGCGGCGGACGCGCACGCGAGCCTGGAGGACGCGCTGCGCGGGACGGTGGGAACGGTGGTCGGATTTCATCCGTGGAGGCTCGACGACGCGGAGGCGGAGGCGTCGCGCGCGCGATTCGACGATTTGGCGGCGCTGACGGCGGCGTATCCGGGAGGAGGCGAAGACGGAGGGAAATTGGCGTTGGTGTTCGGGAACGAGGCGGATGGGTTGTCGGAGCGAGAGCTGGCGCTGTGCGACGCGCTGTGCAGCATACCGATGGGACGCTTGATCGAGTCGTTGAGCGTCACGCACGCGGCGGTGATCGCGTTGTCGCGATTTTTCGAGGCGCGAGAGGCGAGCGCGGAGGCGCGTCGGCGGTTCTAAACGATGCGCGCGTTTGTATTCGTATTACCAAAGCTATTTATTGTACATTTACATTTCAGTTCTACTTCGCCGACGACGGGGGAAGCTCTTTGCGCTCGTAATACTCCATTCGTTCGAAGACGCCGTGCTTGAGAAAGAAATCGATTTGCGCGCCCATGGACGGTCCGACGTGCTGCACTTTGTCGGGACCCGCTTTACTCATCTTCGCGCCACTCGTGACTTCGTACTTCAACGCGCGAATGGACGTCAACGCTTTCGCATACGCGTTCACTTTCATCGGCTCCTCGGGCGAAAGCATACTCGCTTCGTGGAGTCTCTCGAGCGCGGCGCAGAGCGCGGCGTTTTTCTCGCACCCCAGGCCGCAGAGGAGATTTTCTTTTTGTTGAGTTTCCTCGTGCTTTGCCGTCGACCCCGCCGGCGCGTTTCCGTCGGATGCGCCGCGAAGGCGCTTAAAGAATCCATCCACCACTCGCACGCTTTGATTGACGTCGTCGGACGCCTGCGCGTTGTTGCGAATCCATTTAGAGATGTTGTTCAGCATCCAACGACTTTCGCGAAAACGCGAGTCGACGAGGAACAACGCGGCGTAATCCTTCGGATGGCGAATGCAACGACCGAGCGCTTGGTTGTACGCGCGGTACGCCTGCGCGCGGTACCACTCGCCGCCCGATAGCATGCCTTGCGCTCGAGAAACGGGTAAATCGTTAAATTCTTTCTTCGCCTTCACCTTGATGTCGTAGACGCTCGGAAACGGAATGCCGACGCAAAACACAGCCCGCGCGCTGTCGTCTTTGAAATCGATACCTTCGGACACTTTACCGCGGTACACGGCAAGCATCAACGATCCTTTACCGTTCGTGTTTCCGAGATTGAATTCGTTCAGGGTGTCCTGGAAACCTCGCGCGCCCCGCGTTTCCACGACGACGCGTTTGTAATCGTTCATCTTCCCAAACAAACCAGTCACGTGCCATTCGCGCAAGACGCGGTCGATGAGACTATACTTTGGAAGAAACACGAGCATCCCTCCCGGGATGACTTGAGCGTATTTCAACAAGTATTCGCCCAACTTTTTCGCGAACTTCGGTCCTTGGACGTGTCCATCTGTCGCCTTGTACGTCACCTCGCCAATCGCGCTCGTCACTTCGACGTACACGTGATCGTTTGGCACCACGTGGGGCGCTTCGATTTTCGTCGGAAACTTCTCGGCGAGCTCCGCCTCGAACGTATTCATCGGCGACAACGTACCAGAGGTGATGATTACCGAGCGCGCTTTCTCCGCAACGGCGTGAAACGCGACTGACGGCTTCATGCACTGAATCACCATACCTGGACATTCATCGCCGTCGATTTCAACCCGCGAGCCGATGAAAATGTTGTACGCAGCCGCGTGCTTGACGGCGTTTTGCAAAACTTCGGCTAGATCTCCGGCGAACGTAATGTGCGGCGCGATGATAGGCGACATCAAATTGCTGTCCTCAGTGAGTAACTTTTCTACGACGTCTATGATGTCCTGCGTGTACTCACCCACCGCGTTGAATGTTTTCAGCATGTCGTTTACGAAGTACTCGAGCTGGTTCGATTGAATCACCGTCGTCGGCGCGGTGTTGGTGCAGAAAAGACCCTCCATGAACGCGGAAATCGCTCGAAAGAATCTGGCGATCAAACTCGTTTCGTTGTTGATTTTCCCCCAAGTCTTCGACAACTCATCCATACCTTTTCCGATGGTGTCGAGCGAAAACTCAATCGACGAACCTTCTCTGCACACGTCTTCAAGATTGTGCCCTTCATCGATGATGACGGCGGCGTCCTTCAGATCTATCTTCATCTTTCGTCGAATGTTCACGTCAAACAGATAATTGTACGGGCAAAAGATCAAATCCGCGGTCTTCACCATCTCGCGAAGCGCGTAAAACGAACAACCTTCGATTTCATTCACGACGCGCTCAAAGTCTTCCATGTCCCACGCGCTCGGAAACATGCCTTCTTCGCCCGCCTTCGGGTATCGCTCCATGTTCGACGACACGTGCTTGTGTCGATTGAAAAACCCGCACGCCGTGCGACCGCTCTGTTGAGCCACTCCAGTGCCGAGTAATTCTTTGCACTGCGCGTCGTTCTTTTCCATCGGGCACATCCGTTGTCTCGAGGACAGCACGCTGTACCGCGGCGAATACCCCGTTCGCTTGAGTTCACGCAAAATTTGATTAATCTGCGAATGCGTTCGCGAACAGATGAAAATCTTCGGTCGGAGCGTCGAACCGTGCGGATTCGGAAAATACGGATCATTCGAGGCCCAACCGACGCCGCGCTCCACCGTCGGCGTCTTCCCGTTCTCCACCGCGTCTTTGTACGCGTTCCGCGCCGTTTGATACTTCATCTTTTCCGACCAATAGCCCTTGTTCTTCTCCATCGAAAGCGCCACCTCTCGTTCCTGCCACGCCAACGCCCCGCACAACAGCGCTAACGTTTTCCCCGTCCCCGTGGGCGACTCAATCATCGCGTGCTCGCGTTTCGTCAACGCTCGAATGATGCTCGACATCGTCATCGTCTGCGCCGGATGTGGATTCAGTCCCTCCGGAAACTTCACCTTACATCCCCCGATCGCCTTCGTCGTGAATTCGCGCCTGTCCTTTTCGAATTCAATCTTCACCAACCCTCGCCGACGCTTCGGCGAGGCGTCCTCCGGCGTCGTCGCGTCGCCGTCGCGCGTCGCGTCGTTTGGTTCAATCTTCTTAAAGTACGACTTGACGCTCAGTTCCGGTTTGAACCGCGCCGCGCGCGCGTCCGGCGCCGTGGACGCGCCTGGGAATGCTCGCGTCGACGTCGTCGCGTCCGGCGCGTCCGCGGACGCGCGCGCGCGCGGCGTCGCGTCGTCGCCTTCGTCGATGCACACGACGCGAACATCATCGCCCTCGTCGTCGGCGTCGCGCGGCGACGCGATCTCGCGCGGACTCAGGTCGCAATCTTCGTCGCGCGACATGCTTCGCCACCGCGCCGCGTTCGGTGGGGCCGCGGAAGACGCGCGCGACGCGCGACGATGTGTGAGGCGCGGCGCAGCTGTCGCGATTTGAAAACGGCGCGCCGCCGCGCGGGACGGTGTTCGTGTATTCAATTTTCATCGATGTCGATGATGACTTTACCGACGGCGCGGCGCGAGCGCAAGAGAGCGAACGCGTCGCGAACGCCGTCGTTCGTGAACGGGAAGCGATTACCGACGCGCGGTTTCAAGTCGCCGGCGTCGTACATGTCTCGCAAGTAGCGCAATTGGCGCTCGAGGCCGCGGAAGTAGATCCAGAACGGTGGCGCGCGCTTGTGAAAGTCGGAGAACGGCACTGTCAACCCGATGCGACGAATGTGGGCGAACGCCCATTGCGTGGGCGTTCCTCCGAACTTTACGTAGCGACAGTCATCGTCGACGATTTCGCGCAGGCGCGAGCAGTAATCGTACTGCGCGTCCACCGCGGCGTTGGACGTGACCGTGTCTAGTATGAGCTTGAACTTCTTGTGACCGTGCCCCCATTCGGCGAGGTGTTCTTCCAACGTCGAGTCCGGATCGTCGTACGGCGCCGCGGCGTCGACGCCGAGCGAACGCACAAACTCCAAATTTCGCGCCGACGAAACGCCGACGACTTCTGCGCCCTCGCATTTGCAGATTTGCACCGCTAAATGACCCAATCCACCAGAGGCGCCGATGACGAGCACGGGTGACGGAACGACTTTGCAAAACGCGTCGAGCGCTTGGCAAATCGTCGCGCCGCACAGGCCGATCGCCGCGGCTTCGGCGTGCGTCATGTTGACGCTCTTCTCCGCGATCATATCGGCGTAGCACTCCACGTACTCAGCGCACGCGCCCTCAAGCGGCGGTGCGACCCCGAACACGGCTTGACCTCGTCTAAATTCCGCGTTCGCGTCCGCCTCGACGACGACGCCGCTAAAGTCAAATCCCACGCCTCGGCCGTCCACGACGCCGCGCACGAACGGCCGAAACATCCTCGGACACTTATCGCCGTACAGATACTTGGCGTCCACCGGATTCAACGAGCACGCGCGCACCTTCACCAGCACGCGCGGCCGAGGCGGATCGACCTCGCCGTCGCCCCAAACGTTCGCCCAAAAGCGCGTCCACGCGCGCCGCGCGAAGCGTCCAATCTCGCGCGCGAGCGACCGCGCGCGCGGCGCGTCCGACGTCCGAAACCTTCGCGACGGCGCGACGGTCGCGACGACGACGCCCGCGGGCGCGCGCTTCGCGAACACGGCCCTTCGGAATCGACGCATGGCGCGCCGCGGTGTGCGCGCCGTCGCCGTCGTCGTCGTCGTCTCCGATATTCGTCGTCGTCGTCGTCTCCGATATTCGTCGGTTCGCGTTCCGCGCGAAGAAACCGCGAGCGACGACGCGCCGTCGCGCGTCGCGCGCGTCGGATCGCGAGCGCACCGCGCGACCGCGCGCCACCGTCGCGACCGTCACTTTTTTCCCGCGTCGTCGTCGCGCCCGCGACGTCCGAGCCGTCGCGTCGCGCGAAAACAAAAGTCAACGCGCGTCGAGCGCGGACCGACGCCGGCGACCGTCGGCGCGTCCCCGGATGTACGTCTTAACGCGACGCGCGAGACGCGCGCGCGCGCGATGTCGCTGCTGAACGATGAAAACATCGCGCCGAGAAATCGCCGCGCGAACGACGCGACGCCGTCCGCGGCGCTCGCGCGCGAGGACGCGCCGATGAAGAAAACGCCGAGGTGCGACGGGACGCGATTTGAAATTTGAAATTCGCGATGACGACGCGCGCGGGCGAATCGACGGCGGCGCGGGCGACGAGGGCGCGCGGTGAGGATCGAGAAACGCGGTGGTAAGCGCGAACGCCGACTGACGGTCGGAGACGCGGCGACGGCGACGCAGGCAAGATCGAGCGAAGGAGGTGAGGTGTCCGCGCGTCATCACGGAGTATTACGACGGCGGCGACGGCGCGAAGCGGGCGCGGCGGTACATTCGAGGACGCGCGTTAGGGAAAGGAGGGTTCGCGGTGGTGTTTGCGGTGCAGGAAGCGGCGACGGGGAGGTCGTTCGCGTGTAAGGTGGTGGCGAAGTCGACGCTGGAGAAACCGCGGGCGAGGAAGAAGATGGTGACGGAGATTCGGATTCACAAGAGCGTCTCGTGCGATCAAGTGGTGCGGTTTGAGCGTTGTTTCGAGGACGATAATCACGTGTACATCTTGATGGAGATGTGTTCGAACAGGACGTTGGCGGATATCGTAAAGTCTCGCGGTGCCATGAGAGAGATGGCGGCGGCGTGTTACATGCGAGAGGCGGTGTCGGCGACGGCGCACCTGCACGCGATGCGAGTGATTCACAGAGACTTGAAGCTCGGAAATCTGTTTTTGACCAAAGAAGGGTTGGAGGAGATCAAAGCGGAGGGCGGCGGACCTGGAACGGACGCCGAGTTGAATAAGCTCGGCGCGGCGAAGCGAGTGAAGATTGGAGATTTCGGTTTGGCGTGCGCGATGGATCACGACGACGAGCGGCGAAGGACGATTTGCGGGACACCGAATTACATCGCACCAGAAGTTCTCAAGGGTAAAGAAGGTCCCGGTCACTCCTACGAAGTCGATACGTGGTCGTTGGGGGTAATTCTGTACACGTTGCTCTTCGGCTCGCCGCCGTTTCAAACCAAGGATGTCAAGTTGACGTACAAACGCATTCGAGCCAACGAGTACGACATACCAGATGACCCTCCGATCGCGGACTCTACCAAGGATTTGATTCGCGCCGCTCTGAGCGCCGAGCCCGAGAAGCGACCGACATTGCAACAGATAGCGGCGCACCCGTTCATGAAGCTCGGTGCGGAGGACTGGAAATTAGCTGACGAAAAGCCGGCACCGTACGTCGAACGACGATCAAAGACGACGACGGTATCGTCACCGAAAAAGCCGGTGACGAAATCGCGCAGACTCGACGCTCGAGACGGTGACACAATCTGTGCCGAAGCGCCATCGAAGGCGACGAATCCGTCCGCGGCGACGCAGCAATTGCGTTCGCCGCTGCAAAGTTTAGATCAGAATAGGCTCACGGCGGGCGCGCACGCGAGGGCGATGGAGAGAGACGTCGTAGCGGTGGAAAGCGCCTCCAATGGACTGCTCGCGACGAATCGGTGTCGCGAACCGGAGTACGCGAGCGCTTCGACCGACGGTGATATCGAGACCGGCCACCCCACGTCGCTTCTGGGCGACAAGCTCGACAGTTTGCAATTGCGCACGGATTCTGAAGACGAATCTCGCGCGATGGCGAGCTACTTCCCGCATCTATGGGTCGATTCGTGGGTCGATTTCACATCGAAGTACGGCATGGGGTATAAACTGAGCGATGGCACGATTGGCGTGGCGTTCAACGACGATACAAGAATGATGTTTATGGAGGGGACCGCCGACTCGCCCATCGTGTACATGGCGTCGCCGCACTCGCAAAACCCCGATCCCCCGATCGAAGACACCGTGATCGATCCTGAGAAGGCGCGAGCACTAGGGAGCGATTTCGGTCGCATGCTTGTCTATCCCGCAGAGGCGCGAAAGTATGGTCGTGACGTGGCGAAGAAGGTTTTGCTCGCCGGGCATTTCCGCGAGTATCTCTCCGACACCAAACATCGCGGCTCGGTGTACCAGTCCATCGGCGGTCTTTCGCACGACGGCGAGTCGCGCGCGCGGGATCCACAAACGATGCCACCATACGTAAAGAGCTGGCTCCGCACCTCCAAGGGCGTCATGTGGCGTTTATCCAACAAAACGATTCAAGTCAACTTTTACGACGAGCGCGAAATTCTCCTGTCGCCGACGTTTCAATTGGTCGTCCACACCGACCCTGTGAACGATCGCCGCACCGTGCACAGCCTCGACTCCGTGCCAGAATCTGAAGAGCTTCTCGTGCGCAGTTTGCAGCACATCAAGGACGCGTTACCGAGACTCGTGCCGAGCGCGCGAGCCGCCGCCGCGCCGCCGCGCGTAGCCGACGAGCCCGTCGCGTAGCGCAGCCCCGTTCTGTAGTACCACCCACACACTAGCCAGCCCACGCGCGCGTGAACGAACACACACACAGATCACATATCACTACAACGATAATCTAACGCTTTTTCGCGCTCAGTCGCGCGTTGCGAGCGTCGTCCCGCGCGTCGTACGCCCCGTCCCGCGCCTCCGCCACCACCTGTTCCCTCTGTCGAACCGTCTTGAACGCGAACGGTACCGCCGCGATCGCGCACCCCGCCAGCACGCCGACGAGCACCTTCGCCTGCGACGCCGCCGGCTGCGCGAGCGACGACATCGAGCGCGGCGTCGGTTCGCTTCGCGTCGCGGCGGCACCGCACCGCGCGCGTTAAAGTGACGCTCTCGCGGCTCTCCTCGCGCGCGACGCGCGCGCCGGCGCCCGAACGCGCGCGCGTCGATCGCGCGCATGTCGCGCGACGCGCTCGCGTCGGTCGCGCGCGCGCGCGCGCCCGCGCCGGCGCGCGAACGCCGCGCGAAGTCGCGCGTTCGGGACGGCGGTGCGTCCCGAACGCGCCGAACGCGCGACGCCGCGACGCGCGCGCTCATCGCGCCGACCGACGCGCTCGGTGTTTGGACCGCGGTGCTCGCGTGCGGTGCGTTCGGGCTTTGGGCGGAGAAGCGCCCGTGGGGAGCGAACGCGGGCGGCGCGCCGCTGGTGAGCACGCTCGCGGCGCTCGCGCTCGCGAACGCGGGAATCATGCCGACGGACGCGCCGACGTACGGGATGATTAATGGGTTCTTGTTACCGCTCGCGGTGCCCATGTTGCTGTTCACGGCGGACGTGCGACGAGTGCTGCGCGGATCGGCGCGCTTGTTGCCGTGTTTCGTCGTCGGCGCGCTCGGGACGACGCTCGGGACGCTGGGGGCGTTCGCGGCGGTGCCGATGACGGCGCTAGGAGCGGAGGGGTGGAAGATGGCGAGCGCGTTGATGGCGCGACACATCGGGGGGGCGGTGAATTTCGTCGCCGTGGCGAACGCGTTGGAGATGACACCGAATATCATGGCGGCGGGTTTGGCGGCGGATAATTTGATGAACGCGTTGTACTTTATGGGATTGTTCGCGCTGGCGAAGGGCGTGATGCCGAAAACGCGCGACGGCGGAGACGTCGACGCGCGCGAGAGCCAGGGCGATGGCGACGTCGCGCTCGACACGGTCGCGCTCGTTGAGGGCGAGGGCGCGGGTGAGCCTTTCAGCGCGTTGCGCGCGTCGTACGCGCTCGCCGTGGCGGCCTCCGTCGGATACGCGGCGAAGCTCATCTCCGCCGCGCTCAATCTGCGTGGCATGGACATCCCGATCATCACGTTGATAACGGTCGTTCTCGCGACGGCGATACCTAGACGTCTCGGAGCGCTCGCGGGCTCGGGCGAGGCGCTCGCGACGCTCGTCATGCAAGCCTTCTTCGTCGCCGTCGGCGCGTCGGGATCCATCACCCACATGCTCACCACTGCGCCGTCCTTATTCGTCTTCTCCTGCCTACAGGTCGCCATTCACTTAGCATTCCTCCTCGCCGTCGGCAAAGCGCTCAGATTCGACAAAGCGAACGCTTTACTAGCCTCCAACGCGTGCGTCGGCGGTCCCACCACAGCCGCCGCGATGGCTTCGGCGAAAAATTGGAAATCCCTCGTCGTCCCCGCCATGCTCGTAGGCGTTCTCGGGTACACCGTCGCCACCTTCCTCGGAATCGCGTTCGGCAAAACTGTCTTAGCTCGCATGTAGCCCACGCACGAACGTCACCGCTCGACATTACGCGTCGCCGTCCGTCCCGCTCGCCGCCGCCGTCCGCGCCCCCTCCCCTCCCACCTCACAATCCGACATGGCGTCCATCGCCCGAGCCTCGCCGTTCACCCGCGGCGCGATGCGCACGACGAGCGCGACGCACTCGCCGCGTCACGCCGTCGCGCGCGTCACCGCCGCGTCGCGCGCGCATCGCTCGAACGCCATTCAGGGTCTAGGTCAACTTCGCGTCGGAACCCCCCGTCGCGCGCGCGTTCTGCGCCGCGCCGACGCCGACGGCGCGGCGGAACCGAGCGAAGAAAAGCCTCGGTTCGTGCCGGCGCACGAGCGCACGACGCTGTCGAAGATTCTTCCCGAACAATTGCTCGAGGGCGGCGTGCTGCTCAGGGACGCCCCGGAGGAGTGGCGAACGTCGTTTACGGGATTTCTGTCGTTTGAATTCATGGGCGTGCGCACGAACGACATGCCAGGGCTGCGCGTGTTAAACATCGACCCGCCCGTTTTCACGGTGGATGACTTTTTGAGCGCGAACGAGTGCGATATGTTGACGGCGAGCGCGGAGGCGAGCGGAGGGTTGAAGGTGAGCGCCATCGGCGGCGCGGCGAACGAAAACATTCGAACGTCGAGGACGGTGGCGCTGAATTCGCACGGGTTGGAGAATCACGCGACGAAGAAGGCGATTTTGAGCCGCGCGGAGTACTTGTTGCCCGCGGTGGAGGGGTTGAGTAAGGATGCGGATGCGTTCCGAGCGCCCGAGGCGGGCGAAGGCAAGTGGTCGTTTGAGTTGCCGCAGGTGGCGCACTACTCTGGCGGCGAGTATTTCAAGGCGCACGAAGACGGCTTTCCGATCGCTGTCGCCGCGGATAAGGGGTATCAACGACGCGCGACTATTTTGGTGTACCTGAACGACGTCGACGAGGGTGGTGAGACGCGTTTCGAGCACCTGGGCATCGAAGTCGCGCCGAAGAAGGGCAAGGCGTTGGTCTTCTTCCCGAGCTCCGCCGCGTGCATGCCGGACGCCCGAACCCTGCACACCGCCACGCCCGCGAAAGAAGGTCACGAAAAGTGGGTTTCTCAGCTTTGGATCGCGTCCTCGACGCCTCCCGTGCCGACGCCCGAGGAGCTCGAAGCCGACAACAAGCGCAAAGCCGCCGAAGCCGAGTACGCCAAGCTGCCGCGCGCGCAACGCCGCGCCATGGAAAAAGAAGCCGCCAAAGCCGCCAAGAAGAAATCCCGCGATTCAAACGGGCGCAAGTGAGTGAGAAATATTGTGTCGCGTGTCGTTGTGTAGCATAGCCCGATTAAACGTTTTGTTTCGCCGATTCGACGCCGTCTCGTCGTCCCGCTCGCCGCTCGCGCGCGCGCGTCCCGCACACCGCGACGCGCGTCCACGCCCGGCGTCGCTCGCGCCCGCGCTCGAAGCGAACCGAGCGACTCGCGCGCGCGCGGCGCCATGTCGTTCCTCGGTTTCGGCAAGGTGTGCACCGTCGACCTCACGCACGACGCCGGGGACGCCCAACCGATGGTGAGCGTGAAAAACGAGCAAGGCACCGCGCACGAGCACCTCCCGCTGTTCTCCACGGGACAGACGATCGTGGGCAAGGTGCACGTCGCGCCGATACCCGGCAAAAAGTTTGAACACCGCGGCGTGCGCGTGGAGTTGATCGGACAGATTGAACGGTACGGCGATAGATCCGTCGTCGATTTTTTGGCGTCGACGCGAGACCTCGAACCGCCGGGAGAACTGAGCGCGCCGAAGAGCTTGGGATTTGAGTTTAAACACGTCGAGATGCAGCACGAGAGTTACCACGGGATAAACGTGCGGTTGAGATATTTTCTGCGCGTCGTCGTGAGTCGGTCGTACGCGAGCGGCGTCGCGCAAGAGTTCAAGTTCTGGGTGCAAAATCCCGTGCCCGCGGTGCCAGAGATGAATAATTCGATTCGAATGGAGGTTGGGATCGAGGATTGTTTGCACATCGAGTTTGAGTACGCCAGGGCGAAGTATTCGTTGAAAGACGTCGTCGTTGGGAAGATTTACTTTTTGTTGGTGAAGATAAAAATCAAACACATGGAGCTTGAGATTCGGCGACGGGAGAGCACGGAGGGCGGAGCGAGCGCGCACAACGAAAGCGAGACGATTGCAAAGTACGAAGTCATGGACGGGGCGCCCGTGCGAGGAGAGTCGATTCCGGTGCGGCTGTTTTTGTCGCCGTACGATTTGACACCGACGTACAAAAACGTAAACAATCGGTTCAGCGTCAAGTATTATCTCAACCTCGTTCTCGTGGACGAGTGGGACAGGCGGTACTTCAAACAACAAGAAATCACTTTGTATCGCGCGATACAGTGAAAGCATAGCACGAATTAGCGAGTTTAGACCCTGTAACAACGCTCTTACGCGCCGCGCGCGAGGCTTCGACATCTCGCCAACCGAGTACGCACGCGACAAGGATCCATGGGATCGATCTCGAGCGCGAATTCGTAATCCTCGCACGCCCGCGAGTACTTCTCGAGGATTTCGTACGTCCCGCCGCGACGAAGGGTGGCCTTTAAGTTTCGAGGATCAAGCTCCAAGACTTTAGTGCAGTCTTCGACGACGGCGTCGTACGCGCCAGCTCGCCGTCGCGCTTCGGCTCTGTTGTTGTATAGCGCCACGAGTGTCGCTCCCGTCGCGTCGCCCTTGTCAATCGCTAACGTGTACGTCTCCTCCGCGCGCACGGTGTCGCCTTCTCGAAGAAATGCATTCCCTCGTGCCTTTAATTCCTCGGGCGACGCCTCCTCGCGCGCCGTAGCCGCCGCGAGCGCGTCCAATCGACCCTGCATCTGCGCGTTGACCCCACACCGCGCGATTCCACGCCTGTACACCTCCATCGCCTCGCGCTTCTTACCCATTTTCTCATACGCCACTCCCATGCGGTGGTACCCTTTTCTCCACGCCGCGTTTTCCTCGAGCGCGCGGTTCGCCGTGGCCGCCGCGAGCTCGTACTCGCCCAATTCCAAGTACGTCGCGCTGAGATTGGTGAGCGTGGCCACGTCTTCGCCGTACTTCTCGAGCGCATACGTGTACGCGTCGATGGCCTGCGGCGCGCGCGCGTCAGTCGAGCGTTCGCGCTGACGGTCCGCGCGGCGCCTCGCGCACCTGTTGAAACTTTTGCGAGCGAAACGCTTCGTTGCCGATTTCTTTCAGCTCGACGCGCGTGCGCGGCGCGCGAGGGGACGACGAGGACGACGTTCGGGACATCGCGCTATCGTCGAGCGAGTCGCGGCGTTTCATCGCGCGCGCGGCGCGTGGGCGCGCGCGAATGCGTCGCGTTGTGTCGCGCCCGCGCGGGCGTTTTTACATCGAAGCGTTTTTTTTGGTTGATCAAAGTCGTTATTAAGTTGAAGGGTTATTCCGGAGGCTCCATGACGCAAAACTTGGGTCCAGTGGTGTCGAGCAAATATAGCGTCAACAAGTACAGGAACGAAAGAATGTTTCCCTGCGCCTTGAGGCTCGACATCGCGGTGGCGTCTTGGAAAGAGAGACGCGCGAGAACGTCTTCGCCGGTTTTTTGGTCGAAGGGGCGCTTGGCTTCAAACTCCAGCCCGGTGAACTCGTTGACGCACAAGCCTTGGAACGCCCACTTAATGAGCGAACACTTGTTGAGCCACTTGAAATAGATCGGGACGTTGTCGGGGTTGACGTAGTAACCACCGAAGACGATGAAGAGAACCATGACCGCGGGTCCCATGGCGACGGCGGCGTCGGTGCTCGGCGCCACGGAGCTGATGGCCAATCCCATCGCCGCGGAGGAGAACGATTCGAGAGTCAAGATGCCGCAAAATCGTGCAAAGTGCCCGAGCGTCGGATGCAAGCCAGCCATCGGGTACACGCACGCGCCGAAGGCGAGTGGAAAGAAGGCGCCGATTGGCAGCTCGGCGACGAGCTTTGACGTGAAATACGGCAAGACGCCGTACGCCGCGCTCGCGCGCTCTCTGTTCACGATGACCTTCTCCTTCGTGAACGCGGTGAGGGTTTTCATCAACGCGCTCATCGCGGCGTTGATCGCGGAGACTTGCAGCAGGCCCATTCGGTCCTGAATTGCGGTTTGTTTCAGCGACATTTTCCAAAAGATGGATCCGAAAACCATGGCGCTGTTGAGCGACGTCATGAAACGCACCCGGTTCGTCGCCTTGTCCCGAGTGACTTGTCGCCAGGAACGCGTTAAAAGTAACGGAAACTGTCCCCAAAATCCGACGCGCTTGCCGTCGACGACGGGTAAAGCGTCGCTAGAGTCTCGCTTCCCGGCGTCCGCGCTCGCGTCGGCGAGCCTCGGCGGCGACGACTTCATCGCGGCGACGATGCTCGCGACGCGCTTTTCCGTCGCCGTTATCGTCTCCGCCGACGTCGCATCGATACTCACGAGATCGATGAGATACTCCGCCACGTTCACGTCGGACGGTATCGCGTGACCGGCGGTGGATCCGAACCACTCGCGCGCCGACTTCATCGGTCCAAAGTACGCGCATCGCCCGCCGGCGAGCAAGTACAAGTCATCGAACAAATCCACGATGCTCGATCGCGGCTGATGAATCGAACAAACGATGGTTTTACCACCCTCGCGCGCCAATTTGGACAGCGTCTTCATCACGCGCTCGGCTTGGAAAGAATCCAACCCGCTCGTCGGTTCGTCGGCGAAAATCACGCTCGGCGCGCCAACCAACTGCACCCCAAGCGCCAACCGCTTCTTCTCTCCTCCGCTGATCCCGCGCGTTTTCCCGTCTCCCACGCGCGTATCCGCGCACGCCACCAACCCAAGATCGTTCAACAACCGCTCCGTCGTCGCTCGCACGTCGCTCGCGCCTCCCAACCGCGCCGCCGTCTCCAGCGTCTCCCGACACGTCAGCATCGAGTAAAACGCATCCTCCTGCTGCACGTACGCCTTTTTAAACCCACCCCCACCGTTCGCGCGCCGTCCGTTCGCCTCGAGCGCGCCTCGCAGCGTCGCCCTCGCGCTCCGCGGCGTCTGTCCCGCGAGCGCGTTCAGCAGCGACGACTTCCCCGCCCCGCTCGGTCCCATGATCGCCAGCAATCGCCCCGCCCTGGCCTCGCCGTCGCACGCCTCGAGCACGCGCCTCGCGCGCGTCGTTTTCTTGTCGCGAATCGTCAGCGCGACGTCGCGCCAGCGCAGATCGACCGCGCGGTCGCGCGCGCCCGCGTCGTCGTCATCGCGTCGGTGCGTCCCATCGTCGCGCTTTCGCGCCCTCGCGCGTCGCGCGACGCCGAGGACGACGAGTCCCGGGAACTTGATCGCCGGCGGGCTCGCCCACAGCGCGACGCCCGCGACGAGGTCGAGCATCGCGCGCGCGTCGGCGAGTGTCGGAAACACCCGGGCGTCGCGCGCGCCCGACCCCCCTCGCGTTGAGTCACCACCCGTCGAATACACGCGCACGACACGTATACTCTACGCGCGCATACGACTATCAACGTAAACCCTAAATACATACACCCGACAAACCCATCCCGCGACCCCGCGCCGCCGCGCGGCGCCGCGCGCGGCACACGCGCGCGCGCCGAGCGACGCTCGCCATGGGCGTCTCGCGCACGAGCAAGATGCTCGCCTTCATCAACCACCGCGTGCGCGTCACCCTCGTCGACGGACGCGCGCTCGTCGGCACGTTCACCGCGTTCGATCGGCACGTCAACGTCGTGCTGAGCGATTGCGAGGAGCATCGGAAGCTGCCGCCGAAGAAGGGCGTCGACGAGGACGAGCGACACGTGCGACGGGTGCTGGGATTCGTGCTGGTCCGGGGCGAGGAAGTGGTGTCGCTGACGGTGGAGGGACCGCCGGTGGGGAGCGGGAAAAAGGCGAGAATCGCGAGCGCGGGGACGGGGACGGCGAGCGGGGCGGGACGAGGGATGCCGCCGGCGACCGCGATGGGGGCGCCGCGAGTGGGAGGACCGCCGGTGGGGATGATGATGCCGGGAGGAGGACCGCCGCCGGGAATGCGACCGCCGGGACGATGAGGGGGGGTACGACGAGACGCGCGCGCGGGGCGGAGGAGACGCGTCTTCTTTGTGTAATAATCGATACAGAAAAACGACGTCAATACGCGCCTTCGGCGAGCATTTGTCGGAACACGGCTTCTTGTTGCACGCCGTGCATGTACCACGCGCCGAAACCGAAACCGAATGCGATGGTGACGAGCGTGAAGAAGCCGAGCACGGCGGTGGCGTCTTCGACGTTGGAAGACGTCGCATCCATGCCGTCCACGTCGAGCTGACGCATTCCAGGCACGGAGTAATAATCGCACTTTTCTAGCACCGCGTCGTCCCACGCTTCTAACGACGTCCCGGGAGGTTTGCGGCAATCGAGGTACTCGAGTAGGTCTCGCGCGACGCGCTTGTTGCGAACGCGACCCGCGTTAATCGCGGACACGAGCGTCAGCGATTCCTCGTGCCGCTCGAGTTTTCCGCCGTCAAATACTAGGCGACTCGCACCCTCAATTTTTGCTATCGGGATCCGCATCTTTCCCTCCAGAGCGGCGCGTTTGAGCAGAGCGAATAACGCGCGATACGTAAACTTGCTAATCTCGCCTTGTCGATCGAGGATGTCTTTCTTCTCGATCTCCAACGCCCCGAGCGGCCAATTCAGCGCTAAATCGTACAAAAACTTCATCTTTTCTGGCACGAAGGTTGTCGACCACTGCACCACGTACTCGTTCTGCGCCACCGCCCGCAACGACACCGTCGCGTGAGATACTTCTCTCAAATCCGTCCCGGCTCTCTCAACGTACCGCTCGTGCATCGCCGCGACGTCGTCGCGCCCGCGCGTCGCGCGTATGTCTGTGATGTGTACGCAATTTTCGGCGATGTCGTCGCGCGCGAGCGCGAACGGCGTACCGCGCGTGGTGATGACGTCTAAAACGCGCGACAGCTCGGGACACGAGGCGCTCGTCGAGGCGACGGAAACGCCGCGACGACGGCGCGCGTGCGCGCGGTGCGGAGCGCACGCGGTCGGTGACGACACCAGGCGCATTTGGTCTACGAAGGCGAACTCGAAGGCGCGAGGCGGTGTCGTTCAGCGTGGCTTTGTGAGGCGCTGCGTGTTAATATTAATGAAACGCGACGCCGACACGACGAAATAAACAATCAACCTCGGAAGGCGAAGCGGAAAGACGCGCGCGGCGTTTGCGAGGTGGCTTTGTCGACCACCTTAGTCTTGAGTTGACGCACGGTTTGACCAATCAACGCGGCGATACCGCCGAGCATGCCGAGACGAATGACGGCTTTGACGCCGCGCGCAGAAATCTTTGGCGCGGCGGAGAACACAAGCTTGCACATCGCGTTGTCCGCGACTTTGAGCAAGATGCCAGAGTTATTCCGTTCAATCATGATTTCGAGATCCGCAGACGTGGCGTCGAGCTCTTCGTTGACGAATTGAAGTTCCTTGCGCATCTCGTCGCGCACTTCGGCACTGTGCTCGCGCTCGACGAGTAAGAGCTGCAAAGTTTCTTGGTACTTGGCTTCGAGGTCGCAAATGATTTGCATGTTGGCTTCCATAGAACGTTCGGCAGCGTTCAGCGTTTCAGTCAACGCCGCTTGCGTTCGCTCAAAATCAGCGCGTTCCGATTTGAGTTGGTGCTCCAAAGACCGCGCGCGTTCGTTCGCTTTATACAGGTGCTCAGCAGCGGCGCGAATGGTCATCTCTGCGACGCCACCCTTGCGCTCGAGCGCGACAACCTTCTGGGACAACTCGTTTCGCGCGATCTCGGTTTCTTCCAACGACGCGCAGAGGTGTCCGATTCGTTTCTCTTGCGAGACGACTTGACCCTCCGCTTGCGATAACTTGACGCTGAAGTCTTTCGCCTCTTCGCCGTGCTCTCGCGCGAGTCGGGTGAAGTACTCAGCCGTGTTCGTGAGCTCCTTGAGTTCTGTGCGCATGGTTGCAATGATGGTATCTTTAACTTTGTTGGCTGTAAACGCTTCTTGTAAATCTCGCGATGCCGCAGCCAAATCAGTCCATCTCTTGCTCGACGTGCTTTGCGCGTCGGCGAGCTTTTGCTCGAGCGCTTTGATCTCAGCTTTGGACGAGTTCAACTTCTTCGTCAAGGCTTTATTGGATGCTTCGTGCGCGGCTACCTTGGATTGGAGGGCGAAGATATGTTTGTTCATCGCGTTGGCGTCCTTCTTCGCGTCGCTCTCCGTGAGCTCGAGTTGCGCGACGAGAGATTCGATTTCTTCGGCGCTTCGCCGTTGGTCTTCAATGTGCGCCGCCTCCGATCGTTGAACCTTTTGCAGGTCCAAGTTGGCGTACTCGAGTTGGCGCTCAAGCGAGTGGGTCTGGGAATGCATTTGCGCTTGGAGATTGGCCAAACGTTGCGCGGAGGCTGAGTTTCCGGATTCCATCTCGGCGCGCAGCGCGAGCGTCGTCGTCGCGTACTCCTCGTCCTTCTCCTTGAGCTTTTGTTCAAGCGCGGCAACCTTCGCCTCTTCTGAACGAACCGTAACTTCGGCTTGAGTACGCGCGGCGGCAAATTCAGCGTTCAATGCCTCCGCTTCGAGCGCAGCCTTCTTGGCGTTGTGCAGACGTTCAATCATCATGTGATTCAGCTCACGCAAGCGATCGACGTTGACGTTCGCCTCTTCGAGCTCTCCGTGGCGCTTCTCCGCCAGAGCACGCATACCCGTGGCGTCGTGCAAAGCGTGTTTCAAATCGGCGTTCACACACATAAGCGCAGACCATGCAGATTCGAGTTCGTCGTCTTTCGCCGACAAACGCCCTTTGAGACTAGCGCACTCTGCCTGCGCGTCGAGAATCGCCTGGCGCATCTCAAGCGTCGCTTTCTTCTCGCCCTCAATCTCCGCTTCCAACGCCTTGATCGACCCGTTCAACTCTGCATTCATCGTTCTCAACTTTTCGAGCGATTTTTCGAGCGCCATCGCATCTTTGCGACCGATGGCGAGCTCCTTCGTCGCCTCTGCCAGCTCCGCCTTGACACTCGCAAGCTCAAGCGTCTTCGTGTCGATGAGTTGTTGGAACTTCTTTTCCTGCTCCTCCTTTACCTCGCCCATGCGCTGGATGATGCGCGTGTTGAGCTCGCGCAAGTTGGCGATTTCACTTTCCGAAACCTTTTCACCTGTAGCCTTGGCACGCTCGGCGGCAGCGAGTTGAAGCTGCGCTTTTTCGAGCTCAGCTGAGCGCGAGCGCAAGGCCGCGGTGAGAGACGCATTCTCCGCTTCGACGGATCGCAACGTCTTCACTTGCGCGATGAGGACAGAGTTCAGCTCGCGAAGCTTGGATACGTCATATTCTGCCGCTTCGAGTTTCGCAGCCTTGGCCTCGGCCGTCGCGAGAGATTCCTTGACATCGGCGAGTTCGAGCTGTTTTGCTTCGATTTGGCCGGTGAGATGCGCGTTCGTCGCCATGTTCTCTTCAGCAATCTTTTTCAAAGTCGTGACTTCGCCGTCCAACGCCGCTTGTCTCATGCGAGCCTTTTCGAGAGCACTTTCGGACGTGCCGTTGGACTGTTCGAGTCGCGCGAGTTCGACACGCGCGCGCGACAACTCGGCATTCTTGGCATCCATGTCCGCCTTGAACGCTGCTCGATCATCCAAGGACGACTTCTTCAGCGTTTTGACTTGAGACATGATGACGGTGTTCAATTCGCGAAGCTTCGTGACGTCGTTCTGCGTGCGCTCTTGTTCCTCTTCGACGAGTTCGAGCGCCATTTGCGCCGCCTCGAGTTCCGACTGCTTGGCTTCGAGCGCCGCTCCGTCCACCTCTGAATTCTCCTTAAGCGCGGAGATTTGTTGAAGCAACGTCACGTTGAGTTGTCGCAACTTCATGACGTCGTCCTCAGCCGCGCTCTTGGCGTCTTCAGCAACCTTCAGATCATCGCACACCTTGGCCAATTCGCGTTCCTTGCCCTCGAGCGCGCGAGAGACGTCGAGCGCCTCGTCAGCCTTGAAACGAAGAGACTTTATTTGCTGCATCAGCGTCGCGTTCAGAGAACGAAGGTTATCAACGTCGGATTTCGCGCCGCTCAGCGCATTGACCTCGTCCTCCGCGGCCGCGAGATCGGCCTTGGCCTCGATCAAGGCATCCGATTTGGCGGCGATTTGCGCGCGCAGCGCCTGGGAATCGCTCGCCGCGGATTCGCGCAACGCAGCCAACTCGCCCATCAACACCGCGTTCGTCTCGGCGAGCTTCTCCACCTTCATATTTGCTCGCAAGCTATCCGCAGCTCGCTCTGTCGCCGAAACTAGCGCGAGTTGAACTCTTTCGAGCGTCCGTTGCTTGGCGTCAATCTCAGCCTCGAGCGCGTTGGCGCGCTCGTCCGATTTCCCCGCGATTGCCTTCAAAGTCGCCTCCTCGTGCTCTCGAGCCTTCACCACCGCTCTCGCGATGGAAACCTCCTTCATAAGCCTCGCGTTCAACGTTCGCAATCGCTCCGCCTCCGCCTTGACGTCCTCCGCCGAATCCTTACTTTCCTTCTTCGCTCGCTTCGCCGCCGCGCGCAGCGCCTCCGCCTTATCCTCCACATCCTTCGCCAGCGTCTTCGACTTCGCCACCTCCCGCGCCATCGCCTCCCCGAGTGTCTCCCTCGCGCTCTCCGCCTCCGCCGCCGCCGACCGCGCCGTCGACAACTGTTTCAACAGCATCGAATTCAGCTCGCGCAACCGCGCCGCGTCCCGCTTCGTCGCGCTCTCGCTCGACTTCACGCTCGACTTCACCATCGAGCTCGGTCGCGTCGGCGATATCGCCGCTCGAAGCGGCGACGCCAACTGTCGCTGATCTCGCAGCAGCGCGCTCGCTCGCGGCGTCAGCGTCGCTCGCGGCGTCACCGCGCCCGTCCCTCTCGGCGTCGACATCGCGCGCGTCTTCGCGTCGTTCGGCGTCGTCGTTCGACCTCCATCGCGCGCGTCGCGCGCGTCGGGAGAGTTCGTCACCTCGGCGCCGAACGCGCGTTTTCGCATCGTCGTCGGCGTGCGATTCGCGCGCATCGCGCGCGCGTCGTCGTGTGTCGCGTCGCCGCGCGCGTCGCCGCGACGCCAACGGTCGTTTTCGCGTCGGCGTCGAGTCCCCGGACCGTTGAGTCGTGATCCGTCGGTATGCGCACGCAGTGCGACGTGCTTTACGATTTCGGCGACCGACCGCGCGTTTGGTGTTACGCTCGATTGCCGCGACGCGCGCGCGCGTCGCCACTCGCGCGCGCGATCGACCTCGTTCGACGCGACGACGCGACGGTGAAAGACGCGCGCGACCGGCGACGCGCGAAACCGGCGACGCGATCCGCGCGCGGCGTGAGAACGTTCCGCGAACGACGCGTGCGAACTTTCGACGCGTGCGAACGACGCGAGCGAGGACGAAAGCGCGCGGGAACGCGAGGACGTGAGAGATGGGTCGGTATTCGGGCGCGGGTCTCGGATCTCGAGCGCGCCTCGGATTTTCGGGCGCGGACGCGTCCACGCCGTTGTTGGGGGAGACGCGGACGCGAGGACGCGGACGCGGCTGGGGATTGGACGCGCTCGCGTGCGTGCTGGGCGTGACCGTGGGCGTCGCGCTCGCGCTCGACGGCGGGGAAACGACGTGGAAGATGAGCGTGGGACGATGGATTCCAACGACGACGACAGCGGCGAGGCCGGAGACGACGGCGTGGTCGACGCCGAGCGCGCCGAGCTTGGGGACGACGGCGAGCGCGAACGTCGACGCGGACGCGCTGGTAATCTCAACCGAGGGCTCTGGGAACGTCGTGGGCGATCCGTCCGACGATACGGAAACGGATATTATGTACAATCAGGTGAATTCGTACGATGCGACGTCGCCGGGTAGGATATTTTCCGATTTAAAGTTGACGTTCCCGTGCGCGGCGACGTGCGGCGGCGACATTGACGTCGAGTCGACGTGCGATCACGCCGTGAGTAGTGACAATGACGAGCTCATCTCGTGCATTCACGACGCGTGCGGTTGTCACGAATCGTATCAACTCATCGAGGCGTTGTTTTACATTTGCGACGCGCCGATGAAGGCGGACGGAAAGTTTAACGGCCCCGAATACGCCAATTTTCTGGACGAAACCGTCTCGGCGGTCGAAGCGCACTGTGGAAAGGCTCACAGTGTGCTCAGCATTCTGACCCCTATCCGAGACACGGACGACTCTGGCAATATTAAGGCCGCGCCCTGCTCGTTGCCAGCGGATGATCCGGCGCCGGCGCACTGCGTCGCTCAAGCTAACGTCATCTCTACTTGCTCATATGAGGCACCAATGTGCGGCGCCAACTCGTCGCGCACGGGTATTCTTCGTGTACACGGCAGCACGACAGAGAAATGGAGCTGCCCGGCATACACCTGCGATACGTGCGATGGTGATACGTGTTCTCGCTGCACTTGGACACGTAGGATTTGCACGAGCACGCATGAAGCATACTCCATGCCGTGCGCGTACGAAGGAACCCGCAAAGGTGAGTGCATCGAGTGCGAGTACGGCTGGTTGATGAACAGCGAGACGCGTGAGTGCGACTCGTGCGATCAATATTTCAAGATGGACAGCTCCGGGGCGTGCGTCGAGGATACTGAAGCTTTGAAGAAAGACTTCAACATGACGGATGAGGACTTGAAGCAAGCTGAAGAGATGTTCAAAGCGTCGATCGATACGTCGGACCCTGAGCTCGGAGCTAAGCTTCGCGTAGCTGCACTCGGAGCATTCTGGGACGACTGGGCGTCAGAGCTGGACTCTTTGAAGAACAAGATCGACGATGGTTTGGATACCATAAACGATTTCAAGAATGATCTCATCGAAGACATACACGGCATCGGGAACGCGATCGCGTCTCTCGCGGGTGACCTCGCAGATCTCGGCTCAAAACTCGCCGATTTGGTTTATGACGAAGTGTCAGCCGTTGTGCCGAATGCCAACGCCCTCATGAACGGACTCAGTCAGGCTGCGGGATGCAACAACGACGACAGCGCGTCTTTGGGCGCCGATCGAAAAACAGTGAAGTCGAGGCGGCACCACGACGTGCGCAAGCGCGTGTTGGAGGCAGTATACGGTGTGGAAATCGCATCGCACTACGCCGCACCTTCTGAAAGCGCTCCACTCGGAGGTTCGTGCAGTCACAATCTTTGCGCAGGCGCGCTGTGCTACCAGCTCGACGTCAAGGACATCCTAAAAAAGCACCCAGATTACTCAGATGGCGTTTTCTCACTCACCAAAACGAGCTCTGTCCCGGACGAGCCTCGGTTTGAGCGTTTCCAACCCGATTACGTCAAGGCATTTGTCGATGGCAACATCAAAGCATGCGCCGGGGTAACGCATTTTGGGTTGGACATGAGTGTGTTGAACGACGTCGCACTTGAGTTCGTCAAAGTTGTCGAGCCGATCGTCGATGACGCAGTCAAAGCCATCACGGGTTGGGCCGATGGAATCACCGACTTCGTGAACGAAATCGGCGAATCGCTCACGGACATCTTTTCGTCGGTGAAATCGACCGTCGCAAACATTAACGTCCCGGGCTTTGGACGTAAGCTCTTGTCTGGTGACACGCAAGAATTCGAGCAACTAACCAAACACGAACGAGCGCTGGTGCTTGGACACATCGTCGAGGAGTACATCCAACGCGTCAACTTGATGCAGAAGAAGGCGTTGAGCGCTATTGCCGAAATTCATAACTTGGTTTCGAATGATCCGCACATGCACAACATGAAACCTATGGCGGATCCCAAATCTAGAGCGCGCCGAGACATCGCCCACCTCGGCGGATTCAAGCTCGACTTCAGCGTCATCGAGGACGGTATCATATCAGTTCTTCGAGGCGCCTTGAATACGATCTCCACTGGCGTTTCTTTCGACGTCGATTTTGAGCAAACATTGGAATTCGACGCCAAAGGAGCTCTCTTTCAAGAAGGTGATCTCCTTGACGGCCAAGCCAATCAGGAATTGTTCAAGATCACACCCATCGGCCCGACTGGATTCGTTTTGGTCGTCGGAGGCGTCGCGAAAGTTCAACTCCCATATTTCTTGCTCGCAGAAGGCAGCGGAAAGCTCGGGTACAAGATCAAGGGTAAAAATGTTGGTTACACGGTGAGCATCTCCGACGGCGTCGCCACCGTCGCGCCTAAGTCTTCGGCAAGCTTGGACATCACGCCGACGATCGACGGCACGATTTCCTCGAGCCTCAAGGTCGGCGTCGTGGCAGCGCTCGAAGAATTCCACATCAAACTCTGCTGGGGCGGCATCATCTGCATCGGCCCCGAAGTCACAATCAAACAAGGGATTCAATTCGGCGCGGATTCCGTTCTAAACGACGGGGTCGGCGCGTCCACGGACTCCTCTTGTTACAACGGACGCACCGGTTTGTCTCCCGTCTTTGGCGAATTCCTCACGTCCTACCCGACAACTTCAAACCAATGCAGCGCAAGTGCCAACGTCGTCGGCGCCGGCTTGTACGTCGAGTATCCCAAACCGTTCGTGACTACCGATATTATCACCGAAGTACGCGGCGACACCGAGTGCGTCCAGCCTCTGTCGCTCTTGGACATGACGAGCCGCGCACAGTATAGATCCAGCCATTCGACGTCGTGCGCTGCCAGCACAGATCCTGTGGAGGATTGTGGCGCCGCTGTCGACGCGTGTCCGACCGACTGCCCGATCTACGCCTAGCCGTTTCGTGCGCGCAGGGCCAATTTTCACGTTTTAATCAAAAGTGTGCACTACTGAATATTTCATTACACCGTAGGATAGACGAAATGAAAAGCGCAATCGAGATCTTTGCGCGTGTGAAAATTGTGCGTCACAACGCTATGAGTGGCAGCCCTGCGCGCGGGCGGTGTCGCATGCCGAACACGACGACGTGACAAAGTCGCCGTCGCCGTCAGCCGGCGCCGCGCACGTTTTGCTGGTTAAAGTAGCCATCTGTGCGTCCGAGAGCCAAGACTCGCGGGCGGAGTATTCGTAGAGCGAGACGGGACTGACACAATCCTTGTCACCGAGCACGACGGTGGTGAAGGCAACGTTAACATCGGGTTTGGGGATTTCGACGTATTGACCGGCGGCGTTGATGCTGCCGCGTTGGCGCAGTCGGCACTCGCCGCTGTTTTCGTCGTAATACCCGGTGAAGGTGTCGGCGAACATGGCTTTGAATTCCGTCGCGCCATTGAAACATTCCTCATCCGTCGTAGCCGATAGACTGTCCGCGCCAGCGCTGACACTTTGGAAGAACTGCGCCTCGATGCCAGAGCAAATGATGTCGCCAAAGCACACGGAAACCTTGAAATCACTCGCACGAAGAGTAGTCGATACCTTAAACGATACCGAGCTTTGCCCAGTGCCAGACGGCGTGATAGTCACCTGCGGGTTGTCGTTAAGTCTCAGCACGCCGCTACCTTCGTCGGAGCCGAACTCGACCCAGAAATCGTTCGACGCCACGTTGTAGGCAAAGTTACCGGCACTTTCTGCGATGAAGTAGTAAGGCATCTTAACATCAAGCCGACCGGTGATGGCGATGGTGAACCCCAGACCGATCGGGATGCTTTGATCGATCATCATCGTGTACCCTTCACCGTTGTTCAAGAGATCGTCGAAACGATAGGCAGTCGCATCGGTGTTGAACTCGACGTTCAAATCCAAGACCAGTGTCGAGCGAGCAATCATCTTCATGTTCTTCATGTCTTGGAAGGCGAGCTTCATCGCGTTCACGAGTCCGTCGCTCGCGTCACTGAGAAAATTACCACCAAGATTGGCCGTTGCGTGATTTGCCGCGCCCTTGTGCGTCGGATGAGCGTGCGAAAAGTGCGGAAGCGCTTGGAGCCTCGCTCGGAGCTCATCCAAGGAGAGCCTGACGTCTGCTTCGGTTTTTTCACGAAGCCTGTTTTGCTGAGCCATCAGACGACCGAGCGCGAACGAGACGTCGATGAGATCTTGGTCTGACGGCGTGGCATCGGCGAGTAACCGACGTCGACCTACCAGATTGTTGAGCTTATCCGGGATCCCTTGGACAAATCCAGCCATGTCGTTTGCGCCGTCTTCGACGGCGACGGCTGCGTTTTTCATGCCTTTTGCGGCGTTCTTCCCCCACTGTTTGACTTCATCGACGCCAGCGAGTAGGATTGGTTTGATTTGATCAACCAGAGCATTGACGATTGATTCGGCGGCGGTCGTAGGGATGCTGAATTCCGTCATCTTGACGCATACTGAGACGGGGTTCGCCGCCACGTTGACGATCACCGCGTCCGGCTTATATTTGACCAAATGGATAGAATCCGGAAAGGGCATACCGTGATCAGGCGTTTCGTATGTCATTGCCGGTATTGTCGTGGGCAGACACATCCCAGCGCCGCAATGAGCCACACACTGTCCGACTCCGAGCGAAGACGTATCATCAGACCGCCATTCTTGGATGGGAGAAACTCCGCTACGGGATTTGCCAAAAATATCACCAAGCTTTTCCTCAAGCACGTGTGAATTCGCCGGATCGAGCAATCCAAGGGACGTTGCTTCATGTGCGCTGATTTTGGTGGAGCCGAGCGCGGATTGAGCGTTGTCACACGAAAGGAGGGCGCTCTCGATTGCTTGCAAGAAAGTCGCCGGCTTGATGAAGATGACACTGGAAACCACTTCATCGGCGAGATCCGTCACTTTCTGCGCGATTTGATCGGCGAGCTCTGTCAGTTTCGTAACCGCCGTATTCGCTTGCGTCTTGACGTTCGTGAACATGTTCTTAATGTTGTCAATTGTGTTCGGGATGACATTTTTGATGTATTTGATCCCTTGCTTCACGGCGTTGATGCCGTCGACTATGGCTTGAATCCATCCGTAAAGTTGACATCGTCCATTGCGTGTTACGCGGTAGCCGGGCGAGCAAATATCGCATTTATTTTGCCGATAATATCTATCCTTGCGGCACCTCGGTCGATACGTTGGTAAATGCCAGCAACGACGGCACCATCTCGTGTGGCAGCTGCAGCGACAGCGCCAGCGCCGACATCTACAACGGCAATGCACCCCGCACGGGAAGTTTACACATCGATGACAGCACCAGCCGCAATGCTTCCAACGGATGGGATAATCCCAGGAGTTGCATCCGCGTCTGCAACCGGCCCAGTAGTCGCAGCGTGCAAAGTAGTACTTGTGGACTATGCAATTGGCCACCTTTGGGCGGTCGCCGCCGCGGTGGCATCCTTGACCCAGCGCAGCGGCGGTGACATTCGAGATAGTCGAGTCTTGATCTTCGTTACTGTCGCAGTACGTGTTCTGAGAAGAAACGACTGAGTCAAGAAGATCGGTGACCTGGCACTCGTCGATCGCGTCATCCAAAGTGTCGACGTAGAATTGGTTGAGTCGAACGAATGAAAAGTTCTTCCCAACCTCATTCGCGTCACAAACGTAGAGCAAAGTTTCGTGTAAAGCCACGGCTTCCTCGCATGAACACTTTTCGTTCAAGCACTTGAAAACGTTGTCGTTCGCTTGAAGCGCAGTGCAGCCGGAACCGCCGATGATTTGCGCGACGTCGGCGTCGTCGGCGCACTGTTGTACACATGTGTGATTCCCAAACTGTGCCGCAAACACCGCATCCGGCGACGAGGTAATCACCGAATCAACGCTAGTCTCGATCTTTTCTTCAGCGTCGTAATTGTCCGCGAGAAAATCTTCAGTTTGATTTTGTGGTGCGGCTTCTGCTTCCTCCTCCGAGAAATCAAACGCCGTCTGCGCGCCCTTGGTCTGCGCGCTCGTGAACGACACATCGGAGAGCGCGTTCGGCTCTTCGTCATCATCCGTCAATACCTCCGTGATCCCGAGCTTGGCCAAGCGATGCAACTTCCACGACTTTGAAAGAGTGAACGTCGTCTCCGATTGCCCGTTGCCGGCGCGCGCCGCTTTGCGCGCGGCGCGCAGCGCCCGCGCAGCGCGGCGCTCGTCGCGCGTCAATCCCGTCGGCGCGTCAGCCATCGCATCGTTGAAGAACGCCTTCAGCGGCGCGTGTCCTTCCTTCGCCCACATCGGCGCGCGTCCATCGTTCGTCTTCGTCGTCGAGAGCACCACTCGCGCCAGTCCCTCTCTGGTCGTCGCCACGCCCGCCACCGCGTACGCCACGATCGCCGTCGCGGCGAACACCGCGACGCGCCGCGCGACGCCACCATCGCGCGAGCCCTTCGAAGACGACGTCATGCCGCTTTTCCCGCGCGCTTTCGTCCTCGCTCGCGACTCTCACGCGTCGAAAGTTCGCTCGCGTCGTTCGCACGCGTCGAAAGTTCGCACGCGTCGTTCGCGGAACGTTCTCACGCCGCGCGCGGATCGCGTCGCCGGTTTCGCGCGTCGCCGGTCTCGCGCGTCGCGCGCGTCTTTCACCGTCGCGTCGTCGCGTCGAACGAGGTCGATCGCGCGCGCGAGTGGCGACGCGCGCGCGTCGCGGCAATCAGTGCCAGTGCGTGCGTAACACCAAACGCGTGCTGCCGCGTGGTGCTGACGCGTGCTGACGAAAGGGCCTTTGCCATTTCTCTGGTAAATAGGTATACGCACCGTCCTTATATGAACGCTGAGGTACTAGAATACCTCCAATGACGCTCTATAAAAAATGTCAACAGAGCCGCGGTCGGTCGCCGACACGTGTGTGACTGTTTGCGCATACCGACGGATCACGACTCAACGGTCAGGGGACTCGCGCTATCCGAATCGCGCGCGCGCGCGTCGCCGCGGACGCGCGCGCGCGACGCCGCGACGCCGACGTCATGGCGCCGGCGGCGACGACGGCGACGCGCGTCGCGCCATCGCGCGTCGCGCGGGCGCCGACGACGGCGCGACGCGACGGCGCGCGACGAATCGCGCGCGCGCGCGCGCGCGCCGGCGGCGGCACCGACGGGACGCGCGACGACGACGCGACGCGCGACGACCGCGATGGACGCGCGCGAGCGAACGCGACGACGCGGGACGCGCGCGCGATGCGACGGGACGACGGGACGAGCGCGCGCGGGGTGGGGGAGGAGACGCGAGACGAGACGCGCGGCGGCGGGGTCGGGACGACGCGACGCGCGAGCGACGCGCGAGCGCGAGGGACGGGGACGCGTCGAGGGCAGAGGTACGCGCCGGCGCGAGGACGGACGGTGAACGACGCGCGCGCGAGGGAGGGAGGACGAGGGAAGGCGACGACGGAGGTGGATCTGAGGGTGACGAAGTCGTCGCACGGGGCGCTGCAGAGGCACGTGAACGCGAGTAAGAGGGAACCGACGCACGCGCAAAAAAGGGAGACGAGAGGCGGTGGACGCGGGGATGGCGCGGCGAGTGGAAGCGGGAGGCCGCCGTTGCGCGCGGGGGAACGGATCGTGCGGGCGATGGAATCTATCGACGCGCCGGCGCAGGGCGAACGCATCGCGTGGGACGTCGTCGCGAGCGCGGTGAATCCCGAGGGTGGGAAGTTTAAATTCACCACGTCGACGCTTAACTTTGCCATTAAGGAGCTCGGTGAGCGTGGGAGCTTCGATCGCGCGCACGCGCTGTATTTGTGGATGTCGCGCAAGCAAGGGCGGTACGCGCCGAATGAGTTTACGTACGTGTCGCTCGCCAGCGCGGCGAAGACGCTGACGCAAACGCGAACGGTGCAAAACTTGTGGCAGCGCGGTATCGCGGAGAATGATGAGAGCTTGATTTGTAACGAGATCGCGTCTGCGGTGATCGCCGCACTCAATCGCGTGAGTGATTGGAGCGGGGCGTATCAAGTGTTTCGGGACATGGGCGACAAGGGCAAACCGAGAAATTTGTACACTTACACAGCCGTGCTCACGGCGTTGAGAGATGAGGCGAAGCCGGACGAGGCGTTGGCCGTACTCAACGAGATGGCGCGTGAGCCTGGAGTTCAACCGACGAGCTTAGCGTTTTCGTTGACGCTGACGGCGTTCGATAATTGTCGACGCTGGATCGAAGGTAACGCGGTCGCAAAACGTATTAAAAAGTACGACGTGCGTCCGGACGCGACGTTGATGCATGCCATCATCACCATGGCAGGACGTGCCGGCGACATGGCGCACGCGAACGAAGTTTTCGACGCTATGCGCAACTCAACGATGATCGTCACGACGTACACCTTCAACGCGCTCTTGGGCGGATACGCGAGGTACGGGGACTGGGAAGGATGCACTGAAGTGTATGACGAGATGAAACGCTCGAAAATCCAGCCAGACTCGTACACTTTCACGCAGCTCATATCTGCTGCCGAGCGAAGCGGAGAGTACATCGCGGCGGACGGCGTTTGGACGGAGATGTTGCGCAACCGAATCATCCCGCACACCGTCATGTGCGGAGCGTACATTCACTGCTTGGGATGCCAAGGTCGAGACCTCGAAGCGGAGGCCGTGATGGAGAAAATGCGCAACTATTGGGATGTTCCACGGAACGCTGCGGTGTACAATGCTCTCATCGGGGCGCACGTGCGAAGCGGCGAAGTCACGCGAGGACTCAGCGTGCTCGACGATATGCAACGCATCGATGGACTTATGCCCACCGAAATCACATTCGCCGTGCTTATTCGCGCATGCCAGGAAAGTGCGCTACACAAACGCGCGGAAGGTTTAGAAGGCATGCGCGCCTCGCTCGCGAACGCTGGACAACTCATTCAAGATTTGTCTGGCGCTTCAACCTCGACGGCGAAAGCATAACCATTGTAGTAAGTCAATCGCTAATTCTTTGATCATCTTCCATGGACGCTAGTTGGGCCACTCGGAGCCTCAGTACTTCAAGCGTGCGCTCGAGCTCGAGTACTTTACGACTCTCCTCGGCGGATAATTCATCGTTGCGTCTGATGGCGCGCGGCTGCGCGGCTAACTCGTTCGGCGCGACTCTTCGATTACCCGCAGAAACCGTGAGTTTCAGGTAATGTAGCTCGGAGATGAGCTTGTCAGAATGCGGTGCGCATGGTGGATGTTTAAGCGCAAACTTTAGTGCACACAAAGCTGCTCGCGCGTTTGGATGGAATCGATCGTAGTCGAAATCATACTCCGCGCTCTCCTCTGGCGTTTCAGTGATGAAAATAGCCTCGCGCGCCACCGGTTCGTCTTGGAGGACGGCGACGTTCTTCTCAGGGGCATCTTCGAACGATTCACCCACCTCAAATAGAGGGAGGAACTGCGTTGGAACTTTTTTCATGGCTCGAAGCTCCTTGACCTGCATTCTATTTTTAGTGTGACTCGTAAACGAAAAAGGATTCATATTCTTACACGGAGCGTCTACGCGAGATTAATTTTCTTTGCCCTGTTTGGTCGGCGCGCGACGTTTTGCCGCGGCCGCTGCGAGTGCGTTTGGCGCATCTGGACGAGTATTGTCTTCCTTGTCCTTCAAAGCGGGCACCGATCGCGTCACAGTCGATAAGCCATCCACAAACTTGGTGCGGAAAATAACATTTGCGTTGTTGAACATGCCTTCCTTCAGCGAAACGACGAGGAATTGGGAGAACGGGAAGTGCTGCTTGATCATGCGTCCGATATTTTGCGTGTGCGAAAGATCCAGCGCAGCATCGACCTCGTCCAAAATGTAAATCGGCGCAGGCTTGAAGAGCAAAAGCGCGAGAATTAAAGACAACGCGAGCAACGATCGCTGACCGCCCGAAAGTTCGGTGAGCGATTCCTTCCAAACTTCCCCGAAAGCGACCTTGACTTCCAAACCATCCATCACGGTGCATCCTTCGGGAGGTTGGAGCTTGGCGCTCGTCCCTGGGAGCAAAGTGGAAAAGATGGAACCAAAGTCCTTGGTGACCTTTTCCCAAGTCAGCTGCAAAGCCTCACGCTTCTTCTCGTCCAACTCGGTGATCACCTTTTGAATCTTCGATCTATCGTTCAACACGATGCGACGCTTTTCTTGCAATTCTTTGAACTCGGCTTCAGCCTTATCAAACATGGCGATGACCTTCTTGTTCACGCGCTTCCCGAGCGTCGCCTGCGCTTCTTCGCACTCTGCAAGTTCCGCTTGCGCTTGCGAAGGGGAACGCTTCTTGAAATCATAATCACCTCCGGACTGACCAAACAGCGCGCTCTCGCTCGCGACCCACTGATGTTCTTTCTTAAGATTATCGAGATGCGCCTCGGCATCCTTCGCTTCGTTTTCATGGCGCGTGATTTGATACTCGAGCTTCTTCATTTCCAACCCGTGTTCCTGCGCTGCGGCTTCGAGTTTCTCCTTGCGCTTAAGCAGCTTAGAGATTTCGACATCGCACGCAGCGACACGCGCGCGCCGGTCTTCAAGCTCAGCTGCGACGACGTCGTATTCACGTTGCTTCTCCGACACGGCCGCTTGCATAGTCTCGACTTCGGCTCGCAACTCCGCGACGGCGGCGGCGCGTTCGTTGATTTGCTCATCGAGCGCCGCGCGTTCCGAAACCGCAGCTTCTTTCTCGATCCGCGCGCTAGTGACAAACTCTTCTTTCTCTTTAATTTGCGCTCGAGCTTTGGTGACTGCGTTTCTCGCCTCTTTCAAAGCCTTTTCAGCTTCTTTCAAACGTGAATCGCGCTCCTTTTCAAAGCTCTTGATTTCTTTCTCAAGCGCCGCAGCTGTCTGTGCAGCCTCAACCTTCTTCGCCTTGGCCTCCTCCGTCGTGTTTTTGGCGTCAGCTAGATCTTGTTCGAATTTGCGAACTTTTTCGGCGAGTTGATGCACTTCTGAACCGCTGACTTTCTCCTTCAACAAACCGAGCGCGTGTTCGTGACGATCCAACTCGTCTTCCAACTTTTGCGCCTCTTTCGCCTCCTTGGCTGCCACCTTGGCGGTTTCCAACGCGGACTCGGCGCGAGTCTTAGCTTTGGCCAATGCATCTTCAGCCTTGTACAACGCGTGAAGCTTAGTCAGCACCGCGCTGCCGGTGTTACGAGAGCCTCCACTGATGACACCGCTGGGGTTGAACATGTCGCCCTCGACGGTGACGCAGTTCAACATGACATCTCTGTCATACGCGACAGCCTTTGCCGTGGTCTGATCTTTGCAGACGAAAGCCTTACCAAAAACATACTTCATCACGTTTTGCACGTCGTCGTCATACGTCACGAGGCTGAGAGCGAGAGAGGCTTCGCCCTTGCTTACGCTCGACGCCGCGGCAATTTGACGATCCGTAGCCGTTCGGCTGTCGATTTTGTTCAACGGAATTATCGTCACACGCTTCTTGAGTTGACCCTTAGCCAAAAGTGCTTTACCGGTGACGTCTGTATCAACGACAACTTGGTGCAGCTTACCTCCGGCGACGACTTCGAGCGCGGTGACCGAGGCAGGGTCCTTCACTTGCATGAGCTTAGCGACGACGCCTTTAACGCGTTTGCGGTCAAACTTCGCCTCGGGATCGCGGAATTGAAAGTCGCAGTCACCAAGCTTAGAGTTCAATACATCAACTTCTTGCTGTAATTCTTGAACTTCCAAGTTTGCCTTGTCGCACGCCGCTTCGAGCTCGGCCGCCTTGTCACTCGTGCATCCACCAAAGTTGGCGAGATTGGCGCGCGCCGTCTCCACCGCGGACTCGGCGGATTGAAGTTCCTTCGTGAGCTTGTCGCCTTCCTTTTGCTTCGTACTCAGTGACTTTTGCGCGACCGCGAGCTCTTTCTCGACGTGCTTGATTTTGAGTGCCGCAGACTTCACTTCAGCATCGCAGGAGGATTGCGCGGCGACGGCGTCGGCGAGTTGCGCTTGCAACGATTTGTCTGCGCCCGTTCCCTTGCCAGATTGCACGCCTTGGAGCGTGCGCTCAGCCATGTCTGCGGCGGCCACTTTCTCATCGAGCGACGCTTGCTCGGCGGCGGCTTCGGCTTCGAGCGCAGCAACTTTTTCGGCGCGCTTGGACTCGGCGGCTTCCATTTCCGAAGCATCCTTCAACAACTTGTCCTTGGCTTTTTGCTCGCTCTTCACTTCGTTTTGCTTGTTCGTCAAGGCGGTGGTTTCCTTCACCAACTCCTTGGACATCGTGTCGGTACGAACGACCAGGTCTTTCATCTCTGAACCCATGCGCTCTTCCTTTTCGGTTTGCAAACGTTGCGCGTGGAGCTCGAGCTCCGTTTGCTCGCGATTGGCGTCGTCGATGGCGCTCTTGTGCTCTTCAATCTTTTCGACGATGCTCGATGTTCCCGCGTTTGCCTTCTCGACCGCTTCTTGCGCCATCACGAAATCGTACGCGATGCAGAATCGGCGCAAGCGCTCGAGATTATCGTTCGCCGCCGCCCACTTCATGTAGTCGCCACGTTCTTTGCGTAGCTTTTCAATCGTCGGCAAGATTTCCTCCTCGAGCAACCTGTCAATCTCATCAACCTTGGTCTGCTTCTTATCCAGCGTCTTCAGCGCGCCTTCCTTTTTGTTTTCGTACATCCGCGTTCCCGCCGCCTCTTCGAGCATCCCCAAAATCTCCGGCGGTTTCATGTTCAACACCTTTGTGATTCGTCCTTGCATGATTAAAAAGTGCGGATTGTTCACGTTTAACTGCACCGAGTGAAACAAATTCTGCACCCGCGTCGGCTGCGCCGTCGCGCCATTGATCATGTACTTATTCTTCCCACCAATCACGATCTGTCTCGTCACCGTGATGCGATCGCAATGCTCGTATCCGACCGGTGACCGCGTCCGATCCTCGTTGTTAAACGTCACGCTCACCGACGCCTTGGTGACGCCCGCTTGGCCTTGCTTATACACGAGCTCTTGCAAGCTCGCCGCGCGCACCTGCGTTCGACCGAACGCGCGCACATCGTCAGTCAATCAATTTTACGCGCGTCTGCTCTCATCGCTACCGCATCGAGCCGCGCGTCAGCGATCGATCCCCTCGCGCGTCGACCGCGCCTCGCGCGCGCTCGTTCCCCCCGCGCGCGTCGTCATCATCTCCCCCCCCACGCGTCGCGCGCGTCGTCATCCATCGCGGCCGCCGAGCGCACGAAACTCCATCCAACGTGCGCGAGCACCGACGCGTCGTCGCGGACGTACGTGCGTGAGATTCGAAATCCCGAGCACGAAACAAATCGAATCCAAGATGTTCGACTTGCCCGAGCCGTTCAACCCGGTGATCGCGTTGAATAACGGATCAAATCCCGGAACGACGGTGCGTTTGGCGTACGACTTGAAGCCATCGATGCATACTTCCTCGATGTACATCGCGCGGGCGGCGTGCGGGTCGCGCGCGCCGACGAACGCGGCGATGTGTGCGGTGATGACGGTTGGATTCGCCAAACGGACTTTTGAGCTCTGAACACGTTGGACTGCGCAATAAATTAACTAATTCCACGGCGCGACGCCGTGACCGATGAAAGAGCGCGCGGGAACGACGACGCGGCCGTCTTCTTGCACGTACATCTTCAAACGCGCGCGGAAGTTTTCGGAAAATTCCCTCCACAAGGCGTCGTCCGACGCCAACTCTTCGCCGTAGGGGCCGACTTTGGCAATGTCCACGGCTTGGGTCAAGTCATCGAAAGCGAACGTGCCGTCCTCGCACGCGACGTCGGGATTGATGAACCCCGCTTCGATCAAGCAATCTTCTAATTTCGACACTCCGCGACTGTCGGTGTTGGACCAGCTCATCGGTTTCACGGCGACGTCGACCCAGTCTTCGCGCCCGACGTCTCTGAGCGCCTCGCCGAGGTGGTAGATGATTTGATTCTCGCTCGAATTCGCGGGCGCCCAGACCGCGCACGTGAAATGTCCACCTCGTTTCAAACTCGACAGCACCGCTTTCATCGCCGCCGTGGGGTCCGCCATGAACTGTAAGCCTTGCTGACAGTACGCTCGATCGAACGCGCGCCGCGGGAGCGTCGGCGCGCACGCGTCGAATTCCAAATACTCGATACCTCTCGACGCCGGATTCGCTTTCGCGCGCGCCAGCATCCCGGGCGAGTTATCGATCGCCGTCACTTTACCCTGCGTCCACCGAACGCGCGCGTCCGCGGTCAGTCGCCGTTTCGTTTCGCTTCTTCGCTTCGGGACGCGTCTTCGCGGCGCTTCGGGACGTCCGCGCTCGACCGTCACCCACCGATTCTCCCACCAACGCCGCGCACTCGCGCGCCACCACGCCCGTGCCGCACGCGACGTCTAAGACCGCGTCACCGGTCACCGGTCGCGACGTCGCGAACACGCTCTCCGTCCAGGGCTTGAAGACGCCATCGACGAGGACGTCATCGTAAAACTGGGCTTGCGCTTTTCCGAAAGAAAACGTCGCGTCGTTCGCCGCGCTCGCGATCGCGCGCGCGGACGCGGGCGGCGCGGGCGCGGGCGCGGGCGCGGCGGCGGCGCGGGCGAGGAGGCGGGCGGCGGCGCGAGACATGCTCTGAGGACGAGCGCCAGAGGGAGGTCGACGTTCACGTCGCGTGACTGTTTGCCCAGTGGAGGAAAAAATCTAGAAAAATCTCGACGGGCGCGTCGACGCGGACGAACGATGGACGAAAGAATACCGCGATAAGTGAATTTAATCCTCTAACGATGGACGCACGAGAAGCCAGCACGCCGGACCGAGGACGGGGACGCTGGCGAACGCGAGGGCGTTGGCGTCGTCGACGTCTCTGCGACGCATGTCCTCGGCGATGGCGGGCGCCACGCACAGCGAGAGGACGATCAAGTCGCACGTGCTCACGCACGCGAGCATGGATTGCTCTTTGAAAAGCGTGGCGAAACCGGCGAGCGTGTCAGGCGTCACGTTCGAGGCGCCGTAAAAGGCCAGATACGCCGCGAATCCTAACAACGCCGCCGCGTTGAGCTTGCTCTCCCAAATATTTCTCGTCACGAATCCTAATTCGCTCCTCTTCACCCTCGTTCGCGGCTCGCGAGTCACCAAATACGGTCCGAGCGCGAAAAAGCCGAGGGCAAAGCTCGCGCCGACGCACAGCGCCGCGGGAAACGGCGACTTATTCCCCTTCGCGCCGGGCATCATCAAGCACGCGTACGTCGCCGGAACGACGCCCAGCGAATTGAACAACGCCTCGAACAACGGGTTCACCGCCCCCGTGAACGGTGCGCTCACGAGCGATTTCACGAGCTCTAAATCGAACGCCGACGTCCCGCTCGGCGCCCCGAAGGTCGCGAACGACCCGAGCGCCACCCACGCGCACGCCGTCGCCACGCGTTGCGGCTCGCGATACCACTCAAAGCTCCCATCGCTCGCCTCCCGCGCCTCCGGCGTCGACGCTCGGCGCGTCGTCGCGCATCGTCGCGCGCCGCGCGCCGTCATCGCGCGCATTCGTCGCGCGCGGTCCGTCGTCGCGCGGTCCGTCCGAATCGTCATCGTCGTCGTCGTCGTCATCGTCGTCATCGTCATCGTCGTCGTCGTCGCGCCGTTCGCCCCGACGCGCGCTCCCGACGCGCGCGCGCGTCTCTCTCGCGCCGCTCGGCCGTCGTCGGCGACGATGCGCGCGTCCTCGCTCGGTCGCGCGCGTCGTCGAGTGCGACAGCGCGACGACAGCGCGGCGACGGCACATCTCGCCGCGAATCGTTCGTCGCGATCGTCGCGACGCGCGCCGAGCGATCGATCGACCGACGACGCGACGATCGACGCCGACGGACGCGCGCGAGCGACGGACGCGCGCGCGCGCGCGCGAGCGAGCGAACGAACGATCGAGCGAATTCACCGTTGGTTGACTGGATTGCGCGTCTCGACGGCTCGGCGCGACGACGATGGCGACGCAGATCGTGACGTTCGACGGAGAGTACGTCGATGAAAGTCTGCGCGCGGCGCTGCCGGCGAACGCGAGCGGGTGGGAGTCGAAGTATCAAATCGTCGCCATCATGGGACCGCAGAGCTCGGGGAAGTCGACGCTGCTGAACCACGCGTTCGGGACGGCGTTCCGGGAGATGGATGATAGCCTCGGACGGTCGCAAACGACGCAAGGAGTGTGGCTGTCGCGAGCGGAAACGTGTGAAACGACGCCGACGCTGGTGATGGATCTGGAGGGGACGGATGGACGCGAACGAGGGGAGGAGGACACGGCGTTCGAGAAGCAGACGGCGCTCTTCGCGATGGCGAGCGCGGACGTGCTGTTGGTGAATATGTGGTGCAACGATATCGGTCGGGAACAAGCGAGCGGGAAACCGTTGTTGAGGACGATATTTGAGGTGAACTTGAAGGTGTTTTCGCCGGAGAAGAAGACGGTGTTGTTGTTTGTGATTCGGGATAGGTCGAAGACGCCGTTTGAGCGGCTTGTGGAGAATTTGCGCGGAGATTTAGAATCGATCTGGCGCGGCATCACGAAGCCGGAGAGGTACGCGAACAGTGCGATTACGGACTTGTTTGAGTTGAAATTCACTTCGCTGCCGCATTACGAGCATGAGCACGAGTTGTTTGTCGCAGAAGCGAAGGCGCTGCGCGCGCGCTTTGACGCGCCGGCGAACGCTGCGGACAGTTTACGCGACACCGCCGCAGCGGTACCCATTTCCGGTTTGGGGGTTTCATTGCGTGAAGTGTGGAACACGGTCAAGGCGAATAAAGACTTAGATCTGCCTGCGCACAAGATTATGGTAGCTACAGTGCGATGCGAGGAAATCGCCGACGCCGCGCTCGCGCAAATTACCGAGTGCGACGAACTGGCGAATCTACTGAAGGAAGCCAAAAGCGCCAAGGTGTCGCATCTTGTGTCCAAAATTGAAAAGTTGACGAACAAAGCCTTGACACCTTACGACGACGAAGCCAAGTACTTCGTGAAGGAGGTGCGCGAAGCGAAGCGCTTGGATTTGAAAGCGCGCGTCGCCAAGACGCTCGGCGAGGTCGCATCGATGCATTTAGAACACGTGCGTCAAGATATTGTCGAGTCGCTCGTGCACGAAGTGAACGCGACACTTGGTGACGCCGCGGCGGCGTACGTGCCGGGGAAAAAGCGAAGTGAAGATAGAGTTGGATTCGCGACGTTTTTGAAGGAGACGTTTACCAAGCTCGACGCGCAGTGGGAAGAAAGACTCGACGAGTCTTTACCGACCGATGATCTCGCGTGGGCGGATTTTGTCGTGGAGGAAACAAAAAATTTCCACAAGACCATCGATGCGATCGTGGACTCGTTGCGTAAGGAACGCATGAACTTGACCATTCACGCGTGCGAACGTGCGATGGAGCGCGGCGTCAGCGCGCAAGCCATCGGACTGTTGGAGGAAGCACCGCGTGACATGTGGTACAAGCTGCGCCAAATGCGCTCGAGCGCTGCGGAAAAGTGGAATTCGGAAGTGGCGGATGCTGTGAGTGAGTTTGAGCCCAGCGATGAGGAAGTAGAGCGCGTGCACCAGAACATGCGCAATAGAATCACCGAGGTAGTCGACGGGAAATCGCGCGACGCCGCCACCGCTGCGTTGGCACACATGAAACAAGCGTTTGCTCGAGTGTTTTCGAAAGATTCCAAGGGTTTACCGAGAATTTGGCGTCCGCTGGATGACGTGGCGGCGATAAATAGAAAAGCACAGCGAGAAGCTCTGCGGGTGTTATCGCTCCTCGCGGTGACGCGTCTGGACGACCGTGCAGATAAGAAGGGCGACGACGCGGCAATTAAATCGATCGAAACTGCGCTTTACGGCCTGATTCCATCGGATGCGCCGCTGACATCGGGCGTTGAAGACGGCGACGATGCGACGGAAACGCCGTCGACGGCAGAACCAGTCGCCGTGTCGCTGCCGACGGAATGGGAAGACGCCGCCGATGACGCCGTCATCTTGACTCCTGCCGAATGTCGAACGATTTGGCTTCAGTTCGAATCCGATACTCTCTACGCCGTCTCGCAAGCCATGGCGGCGAAAGAAGCCGCGCGACGAGCCCTCACCGGAGGCGCGCCAATTTGGATGATTGTTCTGTTGATAATCTTGGGCATGAATGAAATCAAATGGTTGCTCACGCATCCTTTGACGCTATTCATCATCGTCGCTCTGGGCTTATACGCTCGCGCGATCTTTAATCAACTCGACGTCACATCCGCGATGCAGCTCGGCATGGTCCCGGGCTTGACCGTCCTCGCGGCGAAAATCGTCCCAGTTGGCGTGGGCATACTGAAAAAACTCGCCGACGAGGGCGCGCGCAGTTGGTCGCCCGAGTCCACTCCGATCCCCGCCGCCCCGGTCGGTGGCACCGTCGCCCACGCCGGGACCGATCCAAACTCTCAATTCGCGCACGCGAGCGGGGATATCACGTCGCAGGGCGTCCGGCAACGCGCGAAACCGCGCGAAACCGTGGGACGATGACGCCTCTCGATTCGTCGCATCGCGCGCGAGCGTAAAAGCATTCGATCACGTCTTTTTTAATATCACATGCGCGAAATCTCGCACCGCACAACCTATTCCTCCTCCTCCGAGGCTCCGCCGACGACGACGCTCTTCGCCCACGCGAACGACTCGTCCCCGATCAACCAAAACAACCCAAACACCGCCACTCCGCCCCATCGCGCGGCGCCTCTCGCGTGTCGCATGCTCTGCGCGCGGTTCAGCGCACGAAGCGCGTCGTCGTCAGTCTTTTCTGTCGATAAAACGAAGCTCACCCGAGCCGTGTCCCGAGCGAATTAAAACGTCGCGCGCGCGCGTCACCGGTCACCGCGCACGCACGGGCATGGTATCGACGTATGTGGCCGCCCACTGCTTTCGCGGAATCACTCGCTTAGCGATCTCTCGAAGCATGGCGCGCGCGCTTCGGGAGTCTCAAAGTGCGGACAAGATCGCGCGCGGGGTCGTCGAGCGGGACGCGAGGACTCGCGAGCGCGATCGAAGATCGATCGCAAACGTGCGCGGCACGAGTGAATACAAAGAAAGCGACGGCTATGTGCGCGAACGACGCGTCGACCGGCGGTCGATCGGCGTTCAGGGCTAGATAGATCTACAGTTCGCGATATCGCGACGCGCTACGCGGCTTCGGCTCGGCCGTCCTCGGCGCCGTACCGCGGCGTCACGAATGGTCCCGTGTGGACGGCCTCGTTCGCGTCCTCGACGTACCAATTCGCGGTGGTCTCGCTCTTCGACGATCTGAGCGCGACCAGCATGTCGAAGCTCGCCTTGGCGAACACGCACGCGCCGAGGAGCAGCGCGCCGCTGACGGAGCTGACGCGCAGGTAGCACCAGCACGACGTCGCGACGACGCCCGACCACATCAACGCCTGCAGCGTCGCGCGCGTGTGGGATCGGCGCCAGTGAACGGTGCGAGCGCCGATATTGATGTGTCGAGTTTCCTCGGGCCAGCCGTCGAGTCGACGCGGCGACTGGGACCGACCGACTGGGACCGAATGCGACGCTTGGTCGGCGGTGCTGCGCGTCGCGCGCTCGGCGTCGTGAAACGAAGGACGGCGCGATGGGTCGTCGGTGGTCGTTTTCGTCTGTTCGTGCGGGGCGAAGGCGCCGCGGTCGCGGAACGCTCGGAAGGTGGACGCGTCCATGCCGGCGAGCGCGTCGCCGCTGCGCGCAGTGCGGTGTCGACGCGCGAAGGCGGGTGCGAAAATCGACGCGATGGAAGCGGAAACGCGATCGGCGCTAATTTGCGTGATTAAAATCGAGCGGCTGCGCGTTGGCGCTGTTGGTTCTATGAGCGCGGGCAGGACCCGCGCGGTGCTTTCTCGCCTCGGGCGGCTCACGGAGAGCCGCCGGAGAAGAAGTACAGGGAGTTGGCGGCGGCAGTGGCGATGATGTCTTCTTTCGGGTGCCAGGCCATGTGGAGGATTTTGTTCGCGCGGAAATCAGCCGGAGGAAGGTTGAAGATGTCACCGGCGCCGCCGTGATATCCGTTGCCGCGCGTCTTCGGAGTCAATCTGCCCCGCGGATCCTTGGACACTTCAAATTGGCCTCCCGATTCACCCTCGTCGCCGATAGCGGTGTTAAAGCTCTTGAACACGTTCCCGTATGAACCTGTGGCGACTTGAGAACCGTCGTGGTTGACGCAGCATTGAAACTTGTCGAAAATAGAATCGTTCTCGTACAAGTCGCACAGTTTGGGACGAAGGTGCTCGTGCACGTTCACCGTCGCCACAGGTTTGCTGTCCATGTTGACGTCCCAAAGTTTCATGGTGAGATAATCTCGCGATAATATGTATCGACCGTCTCGACTGAACTTGATGTCGCTGATGCTGGCTATGATTTCCGAAAAGAAACTTCTCTTCTCCGCCGGCTCCGGGAGTTCAAACAGCTTACAGTGCGAATCGCACACCGAGTGTTGACGTAAATCCGTCAAACGTATGGTTCCTTTGCTCGACGAGAACGCCAAATAGTTACAGTGCACCGGGTGAAATTCCGCGGCGGTGATCACCTCGCTCAAGTCTTCCATGTTCGTAGGTTTGATGTCCACGATGTTGAAACTTTGCTGCGTACTCTCCAAGTGCCACAAGTTTATCCGCAAATCATCCGCACTAATAAACGTCTCTCCATCGCTATTCACGCTCAGCGAGTTGATGTGATACGCGTGCGCGTTCGCATACATTCGCCGGTTTCTCGCCGTGAACACGCTCTCCCCACGCACGACGGAGGGAATCTTCAGCGCGCCCGCGTGTTGCTCATTCGCCAAAGCGCCAATGCCCGTCGCGCTCGTCGTGGCGGCCTTCCCACCATTCGTCCGTCTAAACCCGAATCTATCTTCTTCTCTATGGACGTTGAACCCACTCACGCACTCTAAGTGCTTCTCATATACCTTCCAGAGCTTGATCGTCTTGTCGTTTGTGGACAACAAGAAATTCGCGTCGTTCGCCCCTTGGTGACACCACTTCAACGTATTGATCTTCTCCTCAATCTCCAGCGACTTGAGATAATCAAACTCCGGCTCGTGCGATTGAAACTCGGTCAAGTAACGATATTCCACCGGTTCCTTGCGTCCACTAAACGCCGCGTCCGTCCCTTTCTCGCCGCCGTCGACGTCGCTCGCCACGCCGCTCTCGTCGAACCTCGAACGTAACTCCTCCATCGCGCTCTTACTCTGGTACACGCGTTCAAACAGCACGACACGCCCACCGCGATCACCTGTCGCCAGTTTTTCTCCATCGGCGTTAAACTCTACCGCCGATATGACATCCGCGTCCTGCACCTCCTCCCCCGGCGCGCGTTCGCCGAAAACCTGGGAAAAGTCCCATCCGAGCTGACCGGGCGTCATCGTCGCCTCCATGCTCGCCGCGCTCGAGCGAGGCATGCGCTAAAAGTTACCACGGACTTCTCAGCGCGACCTCCGTCGTCCTCGCGAAGTCGTGCGCGCGCGTGAGGCGTAAATCTTCAAACTCGAGCCGCCGCCGCCGCCACTCGACGGATCTTCGCCGACCGCGCGCGATCGCACCCGCCCGAGCGCGCGAGGCGGATCGAACGCGCGGTTGGACGCCTTTCGCGTCGTTTCCGCGCGCTCGCGTGGCGCGAGTGAGGGGCGCGCCGCACTGTGCGGTCTCTCACCGAGACTGCGCTCGGGACACGGGCGAACAGTGACGAGACATCATTCGGTGTCAAACGAAGCGCGAGGAGCTCTTGGTTAAATTACAACACGCGCGTGGCCTGGGTCGGAATTCGGTAGAAGACGTTCACTGGAGCGAGCGGCCTCGGGTCGAAAACCGCGGATTTGGGCTCGAAGATTTCGGCCTTGTCCTTGCTCTCGACCTTGGCGCCGGCGCTGGAGGCTTGGGCGGCGGCTTGGGCGGCGGCGCGGCGAAGACGCTTTTCTTCCTCGATCGCGGCGGTGGCGGCGTCGGGTAAGATTGCGGGATGGCGTAGAGCGAAGAGGGTGGCGAATGAAACGCCCCATTTGATGGCGACCGGGGAGAAGATGGTGAAGAATGTTTTGACGAAGACGCCGACGACGACGGTTGTTATGAATCGAATGACGGCGTCGATGAAGATGAAAGCCCAAGCGATGAGGAAAAGACCGACGACGACGCACGCGGTCACGCGAGGCTCGTCCCAGTCTAGTATGCCCACGACGCGCTCGAGAATACCGGCGGCGTCATCCAAAACGACTTGGGCGTCAGTAATCATCTGTGTGATTTCATCCATTTGGCGCTGCAACGCCGCGAGCGGATTTAGGCTTTCGAACGAAAACACTTCGCGAGGCTTCTGAATTTCAGATTCCTTCTCTTCTTCTTTCTTTTCCGCTTCCTTACGCTTTTCTTCCTCCAACGCGAGTTTCTTCGCCTCTTCAAGTTTTTTCTTTGCCTCGGCTTCGCTCGCTTTCTTCTTCTCGAGCTCTTCTTCGGAATCCGGTGGAAACGCCAAGCCGACGGTGAGCCAATCGTCAGGTACGCAGCGGTCGAGCGTGCGCTGGTAACGCGATGGAAACCGCATCAGCGACTGGAACGCGATGCTCAAGAAGAACATGGGAAAGAACATGTGCGGATGATGAATGACGTACACCATGACCAGTTGCACGAAAATAGTGAGCGGGATAGACTCCCAGCTCAGCGCGTACGAAAGATTATCGCCGATCGATGTCAAATTCGTTACGACGCGCTCCATCCGTGCGATTGAGCTCTTGATACTCTTGATGCTGACATCTTGCTTGGAAAAGTCGAGGAGTTCCTTGGAGACAACTTCCGGGATGGATGGATTCGAGTTGTAAAGTCGCTTCATCATCATCATGGAATGCGCCCTGAGCATGCGCCGTCGTTCGGTATCCGAAAGCGGCTGTATATACCACTTATCGGGAAGTACTGGCTGCATGTAACGACTCGCGAAAGATGCAGTCGATTTGTGCTTGAACGTAAACGAACAGCGCAGCGTGCCATTCGTCACGACGACACCGCTCCTGTTCACCGTCTTGAGCGGAAAATCATCCTCGTAGCGCAAACCATCGTCTAAACCAGAGAGAACACATCTTATCTTTCCAATCATAGAGCCATCAGATAAATTGAACACCCCGACCGTCACCGGTTCGCTCGGTTCTATGATTGGGTATCTCAAACGCACGTTCCACTGCGGATTGCTTTGCGCCTTTTGATCGGATAATCTCGACCAATATGGCCCGGTTTTGACCATGACGTACGTGTCCGGCGCGCCTTCTAAGTCTTTTGCCTCCAAAACGTCCAATGTAAGCTTACCTACGGCCTTACTTGTGTTACCACCGTGCAAGTGCTCGAAATATTCTTCGTCGAGGTAGGCCCTGATTTCAATATCGCCGTACTTTGTGCCTTCCTTGTCGCAGTCTTTGCCCTCAGCGTCGAGCAGGGTGTACCACTGCGAGTCTGGAAACTTTGTGATTCCTTTGTGCGTTTGTAGTTCACTGATCGGTATGCGTACCATGCCGATCAAATCGTCATAACTTGTCACGCCATCGTAATCGTACATGCGAAATACTAAATCTGCCTTGTACGGCTTTGCGGCGATAAAGTTGAAGGTGCTGTTCCATTCGGGATCGGTCGCGTCGTCGATGTAGTGTGTTTGATGTTTCTCCTCTGTCCCATCTGGCTGAACTACAGCCACTTCAACGTATGGATCGCTTCCGTCGTCGTCGTCTAGGTTGATTATGTTTCTGCCACACTTCACCTCGACGCGCAAAAGTGCCGATACCGGATCGCAGAAGTGATTCATCGCTTCCCCGGCTCGTGGATCAGGTTTTCTCAATAACGGCACACCCGCAATCCTGTAGTCCGCGTCGTGACGATTCCCGAGCCAGTATTCAATCTCCACCGTACCCGTGATTTGGCGCTCACCCTCCCAAAACATGAGCTTCTCCTTCAAGTGATTGACGTCGAAAAAGTCTGGCTGCTGGTCGGCGGGAAGATTTTTCAACTCGAGAGTCATCTTCGTGCGCTTTGAGCTGTACACGCGCGTACCGGTGAGATCGAGTTTAACATAACCTATGAAATCATGGAGCGCGACGTCTCGATCAAAGATGTGCATCTCTACGAAATCTGTTTCGTCCAACGTCGTCTTGTTGGGGGGTACTCTGAACGTGAACACCTCATCCCATTCCGGGTCGAGCGTTTTCCAGATCGTTTTTGACGTCGACTCGAGCCCACGGTAGCGCACCGACGCGAACGGGTCCGACGTCCCACCCGAATCCATCGCCACGACATTCGTCGCCCGGACCAAGCGAATAAACAGCGCCCTCGACACCTCATCCTCGACATCGACCATCGGCATTTTCGGCGTCGGCCGCGGTTTAGCCCCAAGTTTACTCGCCTCCTCTACGAAACTCCTCGCCTTGATCTCCATCGTCTCTTTATACTCCTCAAACAAGTCCTTGCCGTACTCTATCAAATTCTTCGCCTCGGCGCCGCCGGACTTCTTCTTCCGATGCAATCCCGGACCGGTGGCGATTCGCACGTCGGCATCCGCGCGGACCAGCTTCCAACTCGTCGCTAAGCAATCAAACGCCGGCGCACTATTCGTAAAACTCAGCAACAGCACCTTATCGTTCCTCCCCGTAATCTTCAACGCCAACCGCGTCGTCCCGTCCACCTCGCTGACGTCCCGCAGCTTCATCTTGACGTTCGTTCCTCCGAAATTCATCCCGAGGATGTTCGACGTGAACGACAGCGCGGTTTCGAACACGCTGAGCTTCCCAGGCACGGGCGCGCGCGCGTCGGGGTCGCGATACACGCAATCGAACGTCCCGAGTGGTTTCGCTGAATTGGTCTTCGCGGACGACGTCGCGCTCGCGCTCGAACGTCCCGCCGGCGGCGTCGTCGTCATCGTCGTCGTCGATGACATCGTCGCGCGTCGCCGTTCGAGCGCGAGCGCGAGGGCGATTACCGCTGAAGAGTGAAGAAAGAAAGATTTGATTCGCTGGATTGTGCTGTTGGCGTCTGTAGGTGGTTGCTGACTTCGTAAATATCGAATATCGCGTCGTCGTGTAGTATATAGTAATAGTATCGCATCGCTCGTCGTCGTGACGCGCTCGCCGCGCTCACGCGTGCGTGATGATGTTTCTCGCCGGTTCCCACGTCGCTTCGTCTTCGCCGAACCCGCGCCACTTGATGAGAAGCTGCTCGCCGCGACCGCGCTTGCGGCGAGCCAAGACGCGCTCAAACTCGTAGACGTCTTCGCCGAGGTGCGCGATGGGTTCGGGCGTCGGTGGCGCGGTCTTCGACTTGATCGACTCGATCGGTTTCTTGACCGGCGTTTTGATCGAAGGGCGAGCCTTTTTCTTCGGCGACGCGGACGCGCGCGGCGACGCGGCGGGACGCTTTGTCGGAGTGCGGCGGACGACCATGAACTGATCGTCGTCAGATCCGCTCGAATCGTCGTCGGAGTCAAAAGGTGACGGGACGTCTTGCGCGCTTTCATCGTCTGCGGAGGAACCGGCGGCGACGTCCACTTGTCGCTCCTCTGATTCGGACTCGGGATCCGCCGCGCACGGGGCGCAGAAATCGTCGCGCAACCATTTTCCCCATGGGAACGAAAGCTTGCGCGCGGCGATTTCTTTCGGGCCTTCGCGCGTGGTCTGAGACACCAAGTAATCGTGCACGTTATCGAATCCACTCGCGCGCGCGAGCTGGATGACTTGGTGCGTCGGCGCCAGACCAGCCTTTTTCCGGCACGGTCCGCAGTTGCAGCACGTCACGCACCCTTCGCCGCAGGATCCGCGGCATCGCGGGCACTGCCAGCACCCCGACGCGACGGCGTCGTCGATGTCCTCCCCGTGACGATTTCTCAAACACATCCCACAGAACGACAACGGCAACCGCGCACCCTGGCACGCCTCCCCCGTGCACGCCACGTGCGTCTCCACCGTCTTTTGTCGACACCAGTGACACGTCACCCCTCGTTCGCTATCGTAAACCCGTCCCCCGACCGAAAACACCGCCCGCGGCGCCCGCGTCGGCGCCCGAGCCGGTTTCGTGTACCCACGATCGCTCTTATCCTGCGCCCCGTCATCCATTCCAACGTACGAAATCTTCGTTCGCTCGCGCGACGACCGTCGGCGTTCGCTCTCCGGCGTGATCGGTCTACGCGTGTACTTCATGCTCAGCTTTCGCGGCGTCTGCGTCGTCGCGAGCGTCATCATCCGCGCATTATATCGTCAGTCATCGTTTCATCGCGCGTGCGACGCCATCGAGCGTCGATCGACGCCACCACCGCGTCGTCTTTCGCCATCGGCAACGAAATCAGCGCGCGTCTTCATCGTCGCCGAACGCACCTTTTGCGGCGACGCGCGCGCGGCGAGATCGCGCGCCATGCCGGTGATGCCCATCTCGAGCATGCGTTTCTTGTTCTGCTCGATGCGTTCGAGGCGGGCGAGCTCGAATTCGGAGAGCATGGCGGAGGACAATGCGGCGTGAAGTGTCGAATCGGTTTTGGCGCGAAAACTTAAAATGCGCGGGAAAACAAACGTGATTTCTTCAGTGATACAATTCGCGATTGGCGACGCCGCGGTTGCGTCTTCTGATGTCCAGGGGCGACGCGGTCAGACGGCGCCTGCGCGTCTCAAGGCGATCCACGTGCGGAGCTTGGTGTACCACACGGCGTCGCGCTGACGCTCGGCGTCGAACTTGGACGCGGAGGGAACGTCGCGAATTACGTCGGCGAGAAACGCTCGCGTGCTCGGCGCGCGCTCAGCGACGACGTCGACGCGCTTGCTGAGTTGAACGTCGGCGAACATGGCGCAGTCGCTTTTGGTTAAGCGTTGCGACGCGGGGAGGTAAGACGCGGCGCGATCGTAATCCAGCGGTTTGGCGTGCAGGAGAGCCTCGAGCAGGTGGTTGAATACCGTCGCCGGTTGAACCGCCTTTGGCTGCGTCGTGAGCGCGATCGTTTCGACGTGTTCGCCGCTCGTGAAGCGCTCGTAACTCACCTCCCAATTCGGTTTCACCATCGTCCCGCCCGGTCCTTTCTTTGGTTTGTACTCGGCGAGATGCCATCGCGCGTTGGGCGCGATGGTGCCGAGCGAAAGCTCCAGCGCTCCATTGCTCGTAGTTTCGACATCAACCTTTGGCATCGCATCGTTAATCAACTTACTCAGACTTTCGACACCAGTGACGCGAACACCAACAGCGCGCAATGCTTCGACCGAACGCGGCGCGGTGTACGCAATCTTTTTGCACAAGTGCGCGCTCAATACCGCTGCAGGCGCCATACCGAGTTCGCGCGCGCGAGAGTCTCGCCACTGCTCAATTTGCGACAATAGATCAACGAGGGCCTCGGCGCGTGGTGTGCCCCTGTAATACTCCAGTCGATTGATCCACTCCAATTCGGCATCGATTTGCTCGCCGCGACCTGACGCGAGCTCGTGCGCTGGAATGCGCGCGACGTCGACACCGCTGCCCACCAATCTAGCTTTGATTTCATCCGCCTTCTTGGCCATCTCGCGCTCGGCAGCGAGGACACTTTCGGGGCAGATGAGCATCAACGGCGGTAATTGGTTTGAATTTTGCTGCTGCAAGAAGTCCTGTGCTTGTGGGTCGAGATCGTAAACTGGATACGTTGAGTGAGCGCCTTTGACGGTTCTCGCGCGCACCAAACCAACTTGAGACAACAAGCTGAGCATTTCCTTGTAGAACTCGCGCGAAGAGCATCCTGGTTGTAAATCATCGAGTCGGCGGGCGTTATCGATCGCTTGTCGCTGCCAAGGTTGCAAGCTCGCTGCGTTCTTCGTAGTACCCATGATGGTATCCAACAAGCGCGAACTCGGCTGACTCCCGGCGTAACGAAGCGCAAAGAGAACGGGCAGCGCCTCCTTTGCAAAATTTCTTCGTTCGTCTCCGCGCTCACTTCGCGCACAATTGTCGCAAGTACCGCCACACCTGACGAAGGGCGCAGTTTCCCCGAAATGTTTCATTATCATCACCCGTCTGCACGTTTCGCGATTAAGCGCAAACTCTTTGAGCGCATTCGTCGATTTTGCTTGAGCGTCGCGAGCTTGAGGCGTGAGATCTTTCGTGTAAAAGTCTGAAGCGTAGCGCGTGAAATCGCCGTCCGTGAACAGCATCGAAACTTCGGACGCCAGTCCATCGCGGCCGGCTCGACCGATTTGCTGATAAAACTCTTCCATCGTCTTCGACGCGCCTAATAACGTAATCGCTCGCACGTCGGGCTTGTCAATACCCATCCCGAACGCCGTCGTCGCCACGATGACGGGACTTCTACTCGTCAAAAAATCCATGTGCGCATCGTGTCGCTCCGGCGGTGACATTTGGCCGTGATACATCCGAACGACATCGTCGCCTAAGCGCTGTTTCAGCGCACCGGCGACTTTGACGACTTCCGCAATCGTCGGACAATAAACGATGGCGGGCGACACGCGCGCACCCGCGCGAACGCGCTCGACGATGTAATCCAAGTCTCTTGAAAAATCCGTCCGGCGCACGACGTTGATGTGTAAGTTGGTGCGATCGACGGAGTTCACGCTCACGTACGGATCGCGCAGACGCAGAATCTTTGAAATATCGTCGCGCACGTGACGCACCGCCGTCGCCGTGAGCGCCATGATCGGAACATTTGGGATCGCGTCGCGAAGCATGTGTAACTGCGTGTACGACGGACGAAAATCGTGCCCCCACGCAGAAATACAATGCGCCTCATCGATCGCGATCAACCCCAACCGCCCTCGCGCCGCGAGACTTTTCAACCCATTCAAAAACGAATCGCTCGCCGTCAACTTTTCCGGCGTGCAGTACACTATTTCATACGCCCCCTCAAACACGCGCGCCTCCGCGCCGTGATCCATCTGTGCCGACCCCAAAAACACCGCCACGTCACCATCTTTCCCATCACCGCGTCCGACCGTGTTGTTCAACGCCGTCACCTGATCCTGCATCAACGAAATCAACGGAGACACCACCACCGCGCTCTTTCCGCTCGCAAACGCCGCGAGTTGATACGGCAACGACTTCCCCGAGCCCGTGCTCCAGAACACGCACGCGTCCCGCCCGGCGAGCACCGCCTCGACGACTTCGCGCTGACCGGGGCGAAACGCATCGAGGCCGAACCGCGCTTTGAGCGTCGCGCGCACGTCAGCCGATGGTGCCACGTTCTCATTCGTCTCGACGCGCGCGCATCCGACGTCGACGCGCGCGCGTTTATTTGCCGCCGCGCGCGCGATGCCGTCGACGTCGAGCGCGTTCAGGGCGTCGTCATCGAGAACGTCGAGGGCGTCGAGCGTCATCGGTGACGCGAAGCGGCGACGAGTGCGGTGACTGTGACTGTCTGTGGCTGACTGTTTTTGAATTTTTCGTCGCGCCGTCGAGGCGTCCACGGCGAGAGGGAACTGTATTGAAACAAATGCGCGGTGCGCGCGAGTCTAAACGATTATCTAAGCGTCGATCGTTACGCGAGGTAGTTGTACTTTTGAGCGTCCTCGCGGTCGCGCTCGATGTACTCGCGCTCGATGAGACTCTCGATGCGCTTCTTTAAATCGCTCGCCTTTGTCGGAAATTTCAGCTGCGCCATGAGCTCGGAGATGAGCAAGGCGTGGGTGAGCGACTTTCGGGTCTTCATCACGCGAACGATCGCGGCGTCAACTTGCTGTTGACGGTCTTGGAACACGCGCTCCATGGTTTGCTTATTTTCCTCCGTGGTTTCTTTGATTTGAATCGAATTGACCTTGATGCGGAACAGGCGCTCGTTGAGCGCGGCGTTGACCTCGAAGACGTCGCCCGCGTTGACGTCGCGAGATTTCGGCTCTTTGTTCAAGATACGGACCTTGGCACATGCAAGGGACTGCAGCGCACGCTTTAATTCTTTCTCCTCTAGCCCACTCTTCGACGCTATGTCCTCGTAGGAAAGTTTTTCGGCGTCATTGAACAACATGAGTACGACGCATTGAAAGAGCGACACGCTGAGCTCCTTCATGCCGCTACCGAATCGCGCCTTCAGCACGCAGTGGCCTTGTGAGTTTTGCCACGTCAACTGTCGCCCAGAGTGCTTTCCGAGGTAAAAGTCTTGAAACTTTTCCTGTAAAACAGCGAGTTGCTCGGGAATATTGACGTCGATAACTGGATACGATGGCCAGCATCCTTGCGTGATGACGTTTACGTTCATCTCTATACCCTTTGTCAACGCCTCGTCGTCAAACGTCTGTCGGAACGATTGCATGATCTCGCGACTAAGATCGATATCCTTGAACATACCCTCGAGATGCTGCGTGAACTGGCTCCCGCACTCCGCCTTCAACTTGCTAATCATGCTCTTCTCTGCGTCGATGCTCGCACTCTTCGCGTGTAACAAACGCTTGGCGAGCTCCTTCTTGTAAAAGCCTTCAAACACATCTTTACCGACGATGTACCTAAACAGCGTCAACGCTTTGTCTAATGTTGTCTCCAATTCCTCCTCGCTCGCGCCTTTGTTGCCGCTCTTGAGCTTGGAATCGATGTACTTGGCTATGAGCTCTGCGGGGACGTTTTGACGACAGTTTATGAACGACTCAAACGACTCCTTGACGCCGTTGATGAAAATATCGTTCGATCCATCCGCGGCGGAGCGGCCGAACGATTTATTCAACACTTCGTCGACGGCGCTTTTCATCGCCAGCAAGCGTTCGACCATTTCTTTATCGTTCGCGTCGTCCTTGACGATGGCGGTGCCTTGCTGCTTGAGGTACGTCACGAAAGCCGCACTCAGGCGATCTAATCCGTCCATGCGCGCCAAGAGTGAGTGCAATCGCTTCAAGTCGTCTATTCGATGCTGACGCATGAGATCGACGAACCCCTTATCGAGGATATCCCCGATGTGTGCCTCTATTAAACCTTGCTCACACACGCGCATCAACCCTCGCGCCGTGCTGGCGTCCAAGTAATTCGTGCAGCGCTCCGCCTCCTCCTCCAATCGTCGCTCGCAGTGCTTCAAATAGTCAGAAACATCCGTCTGTGCCCCGTACTCGTTCCCTTCTTTACGGTAAAATTCCTGGCTCGCCTCTATGAAGACGGTGTCAAACGCCTCGCCGTACACGCCCAACGCGCTCAGCGCGCGCAACACGCGCTTGGCGAGCGCTCTATCAATCTTCTCACCCATCCTCTCGCGCTCGATGAGATCGAGCAATCCGCGGACGACTTTCCCCTTCACGCTCTTCGCCGAATTCTCTAAATGTTCGTGAAACAACCGCAACGAAACGTCCCAAAGCGTGCTCGCCTTCCCACCCCCGTTCGCGCGCGCGCGGTCCAAATACAAAAAAATTGACCGCAGCGTCAACGCCTGCGCGCAGTACTCTCCCCAAACCTCATCAAACGTCCTCAGAAACACCATGGAGTCACCTATCTTCTTCTTTTCCAGCTCTACGAGCACCTTTTCGCTCCGCGCGTCCCCACCCGCGCGAAAATCCTCAAACGCGTCGTCGCCGCGCTTGTGCACGCACAAATTCTCCACCGCCCTGTACAGCGTCTCGTGGCTCTCCCTCGTCTGTCGTTTCTCTTGCACCGCCGCGATCGCGTCGCGCAGCATCGCGCGCGCATCGCTCGCGAACTCCTCCGGCACCGCCGGCGCGCGCTTGAACGGTTTAATCGTCAGCGCGCGCGTCGTCGTCGTCGGTCGTCGCGTCGTCGGCGTCGCCCGCGGCGTCGTCCTTCGACGCGGCGCGACGTCTTTCCGCGCGCGCGCGCTCGCGGACGGCGACGCGATCGAGATGGAGGCATCGCCGCGGTCGCTGTCGCGATGGACCGGCATCCCGCCCGCGCTCGCCGGCGTGTGCCGCGCGCCGCGCGTCGCGGCGCGGCGTCGCGGCGTCGCGTGTGTTCGCACTCCTATGTGTATTCAGTGACATTGTGTTATCCAGTCTATCATTTCGTACGCTCTACGACGCCGAATGTCCGAACTCTCTTTTATCGCGCGGGGGAAGGAGTCGCGCCGCACACGACGACGCGAATGGCGTCGCGACGGCCCGACGCGGGCGATCGCGCGCGGCGACCGGGCTCGACCGTGCGCGTCAGCGTCGTTCTGCGATGCAGGTGCGCGCGGTGACGAACGCGATGCGACGCGCGCGAGGAAGATGTCGACGCGAATTTCAAATGCAGTCGTTGAGCGACGGCGACGCGCGACGCGCGAACGCGAGCGAAGGAGGCGCGGAGGACGCGCGCGCGATCGCGATCGATCGAGACGAGCGATGATGAGACTGACGACGCGATAAACGACGCGCGCAGGCCGCTGAACGCGAACGAACGCGCGGAGAAAGTGCCGGAAGTGATTACGGTGGACGAGCACGCGCGCACGATGGCGGTGGCGCGGGGCGGCGCGGGGACGTCGACGACGAACGGAGGGAAGCGAGAGACGTCAGAGAGTAAGGAATTTGCGTTTGATGACGTTTTTGGGACGCAGTCGACGCAGGAACGGGTGTATGATTCCGCGGTGAGACCGATGGTGAAGGACGTGCTCGAGGGGATGAACTGCACCGTGTTCGCGTACGGGCAGACGGGGACGGGGAAGACGCACACGATGAGCGGGGCGCACGATGCGGAGTGCGATGTCTTGAGCAGCGAAGCGGGGGTGATTCCGCGGGCGATGTCGCACATATTCGAACATCTCAAGAGTAAGGAATTGGAACACAGCGTCAAGGTGACGTACCTCGAGCTGTACAACGAGAAAATCACCGACTTGCTCGGCGCGTCGACGGACGGGACGAATGCGACCGAGCACGCGTTGATGGAGGATGGTAAGAATGGTGTCGTCGTGAAAGGTCTAGAAGAAGTCTACGTCGGTTCCACGGAGGAGGCGTTTGCGGTGCTGAATCGTGGGAACGCGCTTCGAAAAACCGAGGCGACGGATATAAACGCGCACTCGAGTCGGTCGCACAGCGTATTCAGCGTCACAGTTCACTGGACCGATGTGTCGCCCGATGGCGAAGAGTTCGTGCGTACTGGCAAGCTGAATCTAGTAGATTTGGCCGGAAGCGAAAACATTTCGCGATCTGGTGCCAAGGACAAGCGTGCGAAGGAGGCTGGGGCGATTAACACGTCGCTCGTCGCGCTCGGACGTGTCATCACGGCGCTGGTCGACAAGTCGGTGCACATACCGTATCGGGACAGTAAGCTCACGAGATTACTGCGTGACGCGTTGGGCGGAAAATCGCGCACGTGCATCATCGCCACCGTGTCCCCGGCTTCGCACTCGGTGGAGGAAACGTTGAGTACGCTCGAGTATGCGCATCGGGCGAAGAACATTAAAAACTCTCCCGTAGTGAATGGCAAGAAGTCGAAGAGTGACTTTTTGAACGAGATGCAACGCTGCATTGAGCATTTGCAGGCCGACTTGTTGGCGACGCGAGAGAAAAACGGGGTCTATATGTCAAAGGCAAACTACGACGCCGAGCAGAGCGAACATACGACGACGAGGCGTCGCGCAGAGGAGCTCGAACGCGAGTTGGCGTCGATGAAAGCTGAGCACGACAAGATGACGCGTATGTTTGACAAGACGAAGAAGAACTTCTTACAGCTTAAAGAACAACACGCGGAGACTGAAGTCGAGCTCGGGGAGACTAAAGACAACTTGCGCACCACGTCGGTGGAGTTGAGTGGGGCGAAAAAGAACGTGCGCGAGAAGGAGTACTTGCTCGACGCGTTTGAAAAAACTCACGACGACTTGTCCACGGCGACGAGCGCCATGGCGAAGGATTTACTCGCGGCGAAAGACGAAGCCACGGCATTGTTTGAGAAGATTAATCGCAAGGAAAGTGTGATGCACTCGAACGCGGACGCGATTCGCGAGTTGAGTACGTCCATGTGCGATAGGTTGGAGGCGCTCGAGAGAAACTTGGCGGGAATTCAGGAAGTCGAACGCGAGTCGCGATCACACATGAAGACGGTTTTAGATGATTTTATGGTTCGCAAAGAAAACGAAGTGAACGCACTGAAGGAATCTGTGGCGAACATGCAACGCTCCGTCGAGCAGTCTGCGCGCAAGGCGAGCGAGTACGCGCGCGCGAGCATGTTGAAGCAGGCAGACATGTTGATGGAAGCCGCAAACGAGCTGCGCACTGGGGCCGAAGCGACCGCTGAGCACGCAGTGGCAGCAGTCGTCGCTTCTCGACGCGGTTGCGATGAAACTGTGGATTCGTTGAACCAGTCCCTCGCGAGCGATCGCGCGGCTTTCTCAGACTTGGCGAACACCGTCGCCGCGACGTCTGAACGCGGCGTCGCCGACTTCATGTCCAAGCACGTTCGCGACCTGACGTCCATCCGCGAGCAATTCAGCTCCGAGCTCTCAACCGCGGTTCGAGAGGACGTACCGACTGGACAAACTCCCGCGCGCGAGTCCGCGCGCGTTTTACTCGCCGAGCCCGTGACGCCGAGCGCCTTTAGTTTCAACCGCGACGAAGCGCTCCGAAGTCGTCGACCGAGCGTCGACGGCGCCAAATCCGCGCGTCCACCGCTCTCGCCCCTCGGTGGCGCGAGCATCAATCAAAACTAGCACTGCGACCGTTAGATCAGTCTCGCAGCACCGAATAAAATATCTTAATTTCTAGCCCGTCCGGGCGCGCGCTCTCTTTGAATCTCTCTCCCAGCTGTCAAAAGCGCTGATTCAAAATAGACACTTCGCACCACATCGCGCCTCGCGCGTCGATCGCCTCGCCGCGCACGCGCACGCACGCGCGCGCGAGCATGGACGGTGCGTCGCGCGCGCTCGATCGCCCCGAAACCGCGCTCTACCGACGCGCGCGACGACTCGACGACTGACGATTTCAAAATTTTCGCGCGCAGCCGAAGGTGAAGATTACGTCTACGACGACGCCGATGCCGAACCGGTCGTCGACGCCGATCTCGAAGCGCGGCGCGCGCGAGGTGTGACGCCGAGCCAAGCGCGGGCGAAGTTTGTGGACTTTTTGCGAAACTTTCGAAGCGCACCAGACGCGAGCGCGCCGGACGGGCGACTCAAATACAGAGATGAACTCGATCGCGCGACGACGCCGAAGGATTTGAAGATATGCTTTGATGATTTGATCGCGCACGATGCGGAATTAGCGCGAGCGATGCGAATGGAACCGAACGATTACTTGCCGATATTGGAGGAGGCGGTGCAGGACGTGTTGGAGAGCTTGCGACCGAGCGACGCGTTGGCGGCGGCGGATGGGGACGCGTACTTAGAGGAGGAGGATCGCGCGTCGAGAGATCGGGCGCCGGGACGGGCGAGCGTGCAAGTGAAACTTACGTCGAAAGAGATTCCGCGCCCGTTGAGGACTTTGAATTCGAGCGATGTGGGGACGTTGGTGTACGTACCCGGTATCGTCATCGCGACGTCAAAGGCGAGAACCAAGGCAAAGCATATGGCGCTCGAGTGTCAGAAGTGCAAGAGCACGATCTCGGTTCATCTTGGTGCAGGGTACAGCGGGGCGAACGTTCCTCGGTTTTGTTCAGCGCAGGTTGGTAGGGATACACAGGTTGGGCAGGAGGCGAATCCGTGCGGGACGGATCCGTATCGCATCGTTCCGGAGAAGAGTTCGTTCATCGACCAACAGAATATGAAATTGCAAGAGAACCCAGAGTGTGTGCCGGCGGGGGAGATGCCGCGGAACATGACCGTATTAGTCGAACGTACAATGGTTTTATCGGTCGTTCCAGGCACGCGCGTGAAGCTCATGGGCGTATACGAGACGACGAACGCAGGTGGAAGTAGCAAGCGCGACCGCGGCGGAGGGAAAGTCGCCGTGCAGCACGCCTATTTGCGAGTCGTAGGCATCGATGAAGAGACGGAAGGTGCTAGAGGCGACGCACATTTCACTGATGCCGAGCATACTGAGTTCAAAACCTTTGCCCATCGCCCGTTTAAGGACGTTGTGAAAGATCTTCGCAGTCGCGTGGCGCCGGCGATTTTTGGGAGCGACGACATCAAAGCGGCGGTGACGTGCTTGCTCTTCTCGGGCACGCGCAAGGAGCACCCGGATGGCACAGCGCGAAGAGGCGATGTTAATGTGCTTTTGCTCGGTGATCCTTCCACTGCCAAGTCGCAGTTCTTGAAATTTGTCGAACGAACGGCGCCAGTGTGCGTGTACACGTCGGGTAAAGGTTCGTCCGCCGCCGGTCTCACGGCGTCGGTGATTCGAGACAGCAATGGTGAGTTCTATCTCGAGGGGGGTGCCATGGTACTCGCAGACGGCGGGTGCGTGTGCATTGATGAGTTTGATAAGATGCGCGACGAAGATCGTGTCGCTATCCACGAAGCCATGGAGCAGCAAACGATTTCCATCGCCAAGGCGGGCATCACGACTATGCTCAACAGTCGAACCGCCGTGCTCGCCGCGGCGAACCCTCCAAGTGGGCGGTACGACGATTTGAAAACGGCACAAGAGAACATCGATTTGCAAACGACTATTTTATCCCGTTTCGACATGATTTTCATCGTCAGAGACGAACGAGTGTACGAGCGCGACATGCAAATCGCGGATCACGTGTTGAATATTCACGCCGGCGGTGGCGATGAGCTCGCGCTCGCGGCAGATCCGCAGCAAGAAAAGGAACGTCAGTTCTTGAAACGCTACATCGAGTACGCTCGAGCGATGTGCAAGCCGCGCGTGGGTGAGCGGGCGATGCGCATGTTAGAGGATTCGTACGTCAAGTATCGCGAGGAAATGCGCGAGCGCAAGCGCACGGGTGGCCACGCCGCGGTCCCGATCACCGTCCGTCAACTCGAAGCCATCGTGCGAATCTCTGAATCGTTGGCTAAGATGTGCCTTCAATCCACCGTCACCGAAGAGCACGTGCAAGAGGCGTTGCGCTTGTTCGAAGTGTCCACCATCGACGCCGCGCGTTCGGGCGTCGCCGATATGGTCGTCCTCAGCGCCGAACAGCGCGAAGAGCTCCAAGTCGTCGAAACGCAGATCCGTCAAAAGCTCGCTATCGGCGCCACCATGTCCAAGCGTCACCTCATCGACGATCTGTCCCGCATCGGCGTCAACGAATGGGCCGTCACCCGCGCCTTGCTCGTGATGACGCAACGCGGCGACGTCGCCGAACGCGCCGAGGGTCGTCGCGTCACCCGCATGCACTAGCCTCGATCGCGCCGTGTCACTCACGATATTTTCATCCGATTCGCCCGTCGCGCCGCGCGCCCGTCGTTCGACGCGTCATCGTCTCCGGACCCGCGGCTCGAAAAAATCTCCTCGCGCGTCGGCGGCGGTTACTCTCAGAGTGGATAAAGCCCATCGCCCTCGCGCGCGCCGCACAACTCGTCGTCGCGACGCCACCGCTCACCGCTCGCGCACAGCGCTCACGATGTCCACCGTCGCCGTCTCGAGCGTCGTCGCCGTCGCCGTCCGCGCGCGCGCGATGAAATCCGCGCGCAAAGCGCCGATCGCTATCCAAACCTCGCGTCGCGCGATCGTCGCGCGCGCGGGCGATCTCGAGCCCGATAACATCTCCGTCTTGGTGTGCGGCGGAAACGGCGTCGCCATGGACGTGTTCCGGCAGCTCACGGAGAAGGGGACGTGGGCCACGGTGCTGCAAAGGCACGAGACGAATCGCAAGGAGATCGAATCCGTGGGAGGGTTTCTGGTGAAGGGCGACGCGCTGAACGCGAAGGATGTCGAAAAGGCGATGAACCAGAGCGATGAGTACGACGCGGTCGTGAGCACGATCGGAGGGACGCCCGCGGAGCCTCGGGCGGATAGCGAGGCGAACATCGCGCTGATCGATGCGGCGGCGGCGAAGGGCGTCGGGAAGTTTGTGCTCGTGACGAGCATCGGAACGGGCGATAGCGCGGACGCGCCGCCGCCGAATGTGTTCGACGCGTTGAAGCCGGTGTTGATCGAGAAGGCGAAGGCTGAAGAGCACTTGAAGGTGGTGAGCGCGAAGACGGGGATGGCGTACGTGATTGTGCGACCGGGTGGCTTGAAGAGCGAACCGGCGACGGGGACGGCGGTGCTCACCGAGGACAAGAGCATCTGCGGCGCTATTCATCGCGAAGACGTCGCGGATTTGGTCATCAAGTGCGTGTTGAAGGAAAAGGCGAATGGGAAGGTGTTGTCTTGCGTGGACAAGGCGCAACTGTTCGACCAACCGGATTTCACCCCGTTCGAAGTCTAAACACGGCGCGCGCTACGGTAAAATTTTTAGGTAATCGCGGAAGATGTTATTCAGAAGACGACTATTTCTATTTCACGCCGCGCGACGCGGCGTGCGTTAGTGTACAACAATGCGACTCGAACGCAATAAATAAATATTCATCGTCTTGTCGTTTATTTGCGCGAGTGCGCCGGCACGAGTTTCTTCTTCAACTCGTCGCTGAGCGATTCCAGTTCGCCGTCTGAAAAGTTGAACAACGGCGGCAGCGGACTGCCGTCCGGTAACGTTGTCGCCTCGTCGCGAAGCTCGTCGAAGTATTCATGCGCACACATTGTCATACAGTCGAAACGGCTCTCTGGTACGTACACTAAAATTTTTGAAATCAAATCGAGCGCCAGCGGGTCGACATTCTTCGAGAAGACTTTCGACCACGAGTGGGGCTTGAGTTGAGGAAACGTAAACTCGGTGTAGCCCGGATTCATGTGCATTATTTGCTCCTTCGTGGGAGTTCCCAAAACTTTGATGATTTCCACGAGCTGATCGACGCCGCTATCGCCCGGGAACAACGGGGACCCGAGCAACATCTCCGCCATGACGCAGCCGGTGCTCCAAATATCAATCGCCGTCGTGTAGTGCACGGCGCCGAATATCAATTCGGGTGCGCGGTAGTATCTCGAACAGATGTAAGAGATGTTCGGCTCCGTCGGTGCTAAAATCTTCGCGCTACCAAAGTCGCAAATTTTCAACACGTGCGTCTTCGTATCCACGAGTAAATTTTGTGGCTTGATGTCGCGGTGACAAATCCCCAGCTTGTGCACGCTCGCCAACGCGCGCGCCATTTGATACGTGTACAATTTCACCAGTAACCCCGGCATGCGCTGGTTATTCTTGTGGTAGTGCTTACCGATTCTGTAAACGGTATCGGGGACGAATTCTAAAACCAAATTCAAATACACCTCGTCCTCCTCCGTCGTGTGATAAAAGCTATGTATCAACTTCACCACGTTCGTGTGATCGACCGCCTTCATGATTTGCAACTCACGATTTTTAAACCTCTTATCTTGCAACACCTTCTTGATCGCCACCTCCTCGTCGTTCTCGCGACACCTCGCCTGATACACCACGCCGAAGGACCCGTGTCCGACGACGCGCACCGTCTCGTAGCTAATCTCCCTCGACGCCCCCGACGCGCCCGTGTGTATCACGTGTCCGACCTCATTCGGATCACCATCGATTCGCAGCGTCTCGTACACCTGTTTCCATCGCCATCGTCCCGTCAGTCTCTCGTTCGCCCCCTCCCTCGCCGCCCCGCGCGCGTCCCGTTCAATTTAAACGTCTTGATTTCGCATTCGCGTCATCCGTCGCCATCGCTCGCGTTTCTCTCGCTCATCGCGTCGCTCGCGCACCGCGTCTCGCGTCGCCATGCTCGCGATCGTCAGCGCCTCGATCTCCTTCGCCTCGATCGTCGTCATCGCCGTCGCCTTCGCCCGCGCGTCGCCTTCGCCCGCGCGTCGGTCGCGTCGTCGCGTCGTTTCGTCGATTCGTTCCGCGTCGTGCGTCGTCGCTTCGACGCCGCGCGCCTCGTCGCGGTCGCGCGTCGCGTCGTCGCGCGTCGGACGTTCGCCGTCGCCGCTCGTCGCGCGTCGTCGCCGTCTGTCGCGTCTTCGTCGTCGCGACGATTCGCGCCGCGCGTCGCGTCGACGACGCGACGGTCCGTGTGGTTCGTGTGGTCGTCTCCGATGGTCCGTGTGCGCCTGGGTTCGATCCGCGGGCGTCGGCGATCTCGGACGCCGTTCCATCGCGCGCGCGTCGCCGACGACCATGGCGACGCTGCACCCGCGGATGAAGTGGTGCGAGCGCGAGGATAAGGTGTACCTCACGATCGAACTCCCGGACGCGAAGGACGCGGAGGTGACGATCGAGGCGCGGGAGTTTACGTTTCGCGCGACGGCGGCCGGCGCGACGTACGAGGAACGCATCGCGCTGTTCGCGGACGTGTCGAAGGAGAAGTCGACGTACGCGGTGACGGAGCGACAGGTGTTTTGCGTGCTGATCAAGGAGGAGGCGAAGTGGTGGGAGCGGTTGCTGCGAGAGGGGGAGAAGAAACCGGCGAATCTGCACGTCGATTTCGATCGCTGGGCGGACGAGGACGACGACGCGGGAGACATCGATACGAGCGGATTCGACATGCAGAGCATGATGGGCGGCGGTGGTGGGATGCCGGGTGGCGTGGGCGGCGGTGGGATGCCGGGAGGGATGGATTTCTCGCAACTCATGGCTGGCATGGGGGGGGGCGCGGGCGGCGGCGCGGGCGGCGGCGCGGGCGGCGGCGCGGGCGAACCGGACATGGCCAAGCTCCAAGAGCTCATCGCGAGCATGAAAGCCGAAGAAACTACCAAGGCGGGGTCGACGCTGGAGTCGGTGGAAGAGGGCGACGAGGAGGACCTGCCGGAACTCGTGTAAAGAGTCTTTGACTCGCGACGACTTCGACGCGACATCGAACGCGTAAAATTTTCTTTTAAAACAAACAGTATGAGTTGAAGAGACCTCGTGATCGACACTCGCGACGACGACGACGATGACGACGATGGTGGCTCGTACGCTCTCGCGTGCGCGCTTTTTGTTACATTCAGGACGCTCGAATGATGAGCGCGCTACTTTTGCTTTGCGCCTTTGCGCGTCGCCGCGCCTCCCGCTCGCGCCTTTGAAATCGATCGCACCACCGCCTTTGATTGCGCGCGCGCGCGCTTCGCGCTCTTTGGTTCGGGAACGAGCACTTTCGCCGCGATGGCGACGATGACGGAGCCGGCGATACCGCCGATGACGTACGGCGCGATGGCTTCAAAGGCTTCTCGCGATTTCAAGTCGCCCGCCAACGCGTGACTGGCGATCACCGTCGACGGGTTCATGTACCCGCACGAGTACCTGCACCCTTCGATCATCATCGTCATCACGTAAAACCCGCTCACGAGCGTCGGGATCAGCGCCGCGGCGAACGCGCGTTCGGCCAAACCGAAGAATAAAAAATTAGCCGCGACCACGGCTGTCTCCGCCGCCGCCGCCGACGCCGTCGTCCCCGTCGGCACGATCGGCGCGATCGCGCCCTTACCCGGCAGATACTCTGGGTGCGTTCGCATCACCACCATCACCGCCTTCAGCGCGCAGACGTGCGCCAGCACCGCCGCGCACGCGTTCGCGCACGCCCGCGCCGCTCCCGTGTCGCCCAACATCCCCTTCAGCGCGTACGCCGTCGGATTGTTCGTCGCCCCTCGCGTCAGCGCCTGATACGACGGCGAGAACACGATCGCGAGGTTCACGAACAGCAGCGCCAGCGTCACCGCGGCGTCATCGTCCGCGAGCGCGCGCGCGCCGACCCGTTCGAGGATCGGGCCGAGATATTTTCGCGCGAGCGTCGCTTGGACGTCGAGCGTCGCGAGCGCGGCGCAGACGACGAAGGAGGACGCGAATTCGAGCGCGAACGACGGCGTTTGAGACGCGCGAGGGCGGGGCATCGCGCTCGCGGGACCCGGCGGTGCGGTGTGCGGCGCGCGATGCGAGCGATGACGCGACCGATGGCGCCGCGAGCGGCGAGCGGCGAGCGGCGAGCGCGCTCGAATGACCGAGGGAAAGAATGCTTACGAATGGATGAAACGGCTAGGCGCTCATGACGCGGGTGCGGGCGCGGCGACGACTAAATCGGGATGCGAGGCGTTGACGATCGGGACGCATCGTTCGCACAGGGTGGCGTGCTTGGCGTCGACGCCGACGAGGTTGGAAAAGTTCCAGCATCGAGCGCACTTGGCTCCGGAGGCGCGCGCGACGCCGACGGAGACGGTGCCGGCGCCGGGGACGTCGACGATGGATTTAAAGTCGCATCCCGCGGTGGCGGCGTCACTTGATGTCACGACTTCGACTTGACTGACGATGAAAAGGTAACGCAAGTCTCGCGCGATTTCTTCGCGGTTGAGCCTGGCGACGAAATCGGCGTCGGAGCAGTGCAGGGTGATCTTGGCTTCGAGCGACGCGCCGAGGAGTTTGGCGTTACGAGAATCTTCGAGCACCTTGTTCACCGTGTCGCGAATCTCCAAGAAGGAATCCCAGAACTTGACCTCATCGGCATCGATCGAGGCCCAGGTACTGGGTCTCGACGGCCATCCGGCGATGAAGACGGAGATGGCGTCGCCGGGTTTGTCGTAAGGCAACGCTTGAAACGCCTCTTCAGCCATGTGCGGGGTGAGCGGGGCGATGGCGGCGATCAATCGCTCGACGATGGCCGAAACCACGGTTTGACACGCCCGGCGCTTGATGTCGTTCTGTTCGCCAATGTACAACTTGTCCTTGCTCACGTCCAAGTACACGTTGGACAGGAACGTGGTGAAGGAGGTGATGGCCGCGACGACGCGGCTGTACTCGTGCGACTTGTACGACGTCTCGATCTCCTGCATCGTCGCATCCAGGCGGCTAAGAATGTACTTCTCGAACGCCGGCAGCGACTCGTACGCCACGCCCTCGGTTGGCTTGAAATCGTCCAACACGCCCATCAAGAAGCGAATCGTTCCTCTGAGTTTGCGGTACGCCTCGCTCGTTTGCTTGATGATGTTCATACCGATGCTCACATCACCCGTGTAATCCGTGCTCGCCACCCACAGTCGTAAGGTATCGGCGCCATATCCAGGCTCTGTCTTTTGGTTCTTTCCTCCCTCGATCACCGTTCGCGGGTCGATGACGTTCCCCAAGGACTTTGACATCTTGTATCCTTTTTCGTCGAGCACGAAGCCGTGTGTCAAAATCTTCTTGTACGGCGCTTGACCGGTGGACGCGACACCGGTGAGTAAACTCGACTGGAACCATCCTCGGTGCTGATCGCTACCTTCTAAATACATATCCGCCGGGAACGAAAGACCGCGAGATTGCACGACGCCCGCCCAAGAGCTGCCGGAGTCAAACCACACGTCCATCGTGTCCGAACCGCGCACGTAATCATTCGCCTTGGCCTTGTGTTGCTCGGGCAACAAGTCCTCGACTTCTAATTCCCACCACGCATCGGTCCCTCGTGTGCGAACGATTTCAGTGAAGTGCGTGATGATGGATTCGTCCATCAAAACCTCATTCGTGTCCTTGTGGTAAAACGCCGGAATCGGCACACCCCACGCGCGCTGGCGCGAGATGCACCAGTCCGCGCGCCCACTCACCATCGGTCGCATGCGCTTCGAACCAGATTCCGGAATGAACTCCAACTTATCTAACTCGCTCAAAGCCTTCTCACGGAAGCCCTCAACAGAAGCGAACCACTGCTCGGTGGCGCGGAAAATCGTCGGCTTTTTCGTGCGCCAGTCGTACGGGTACTTGTGATTGTACGCCTCTTGCTTGAGCAACGCCCCAGCAGAGGTCAACTTTTCGATGCACAAAACGTTGCCATCGCCTAAAACATCTTTCCCCTCTAAATCACTCCCCGCTTCGGCCGTGAACAAACCGGCGTTATCCACCGGAGAGTACAACGGCAAGCCATACTTCATGCCGGAGATGTAATCGTCTTGCCCGTGCCCCGGCGCGGTGTGCACCAGACCGGTACCGGCTTCGGTGGTGATGTACTCCCCACCGATAATCACTGGAGACTTGCGTTCGTAGAACGGGTGCTGATATTGCACGTTCTCGAAGTCTTGACCCTTGAACGTGCCCAGCGTCGTGAGCGTGGTTTCCAACTTGCTCGCCACGGCTTCGCGTAAACCTTCGGCGACGACGAGCGTCGCTCCCGTCGATTCCACTCGACAGACGGAGTAATCGAGCTTGGCGTTCACCGCCACCGCGGCGTTTGCGGGCATGGTCCACGGCGTCGTGGTCCAAACCGCCAAAGACGCGCCGTCGAGAAGCGCCTTGAGCTCGCTCGGCGTCGACTCGGGAACGTCGCTCACCGGAAATTGGACGTAAATACTCTGCGATACGTGGCCTTCGGGGTACTCCAGCTCCGCCTCCGCGAGCGCCGTCATGCTCGAAGGCGACCAGTGCACGGGTTTTTCCCCGCGATAAATGTGCCCGTTGAGAAACATCTTCCCGAACACCTCCAACTGCGCCGCCTCGTACTCGGGCAGCAGCGTCATGTACGGCTCGTCCCAATCCGCCCAAATCCCATACCTCTTAAACTGCTCCCGCTGACTGGCCACCGTTTTCATCGCGAACGCTTTCGCCTTATACCTCAGTTTAATCGGCGTCAGCGCCTTCCGCGCCTCCGCGTCCATGTTCTGCAAAACCTTCAACTCGATCGGTAACCCGTGACAGTCCCATCCCGGCACGTATCGCACGCGCTTCCCGTTCATCATCTCCCACCGATTCACGAAATCCTTCAAAATCTTATTCAACGCGTGTCCGATGTGTAAATCCCCGTTCGCGTACGGCGGTCCATCGTGCAGCGTGAACGCCGCCCCGTCCTCCCTCGCTCGCAACCGCTCGTACACCCCGCGCTCGGCCCACCACGCCTGCATTTTAGGTTCCTTTTGCACGCTGTTCGCCCGCATCTCGAACGTCGTCTGCGGCAATCGCACCGTCGCGCCGTACGCGTTCTTCTCCTTCTTTCCCTTACCGTCACCGCCTTCGCCCCGCGCGCGTCCCGCGACCGTCGCGCCCCGTCGCGTCGTCGTCGTCGTCGTCGTCGTCGTCCATCGCGTCGTCGTCGTCGTCGTCGTCGTCGTCTTCGTCGTCGTCGCGCGCGTCGTCGTCCATCGCGTCGTCGTCGCGGCGCGCGCGCGCGTCGCCGATCGCGTCGTCGTCGCCCGTCGCGTCGCGCACCGCTGCATCATCGCGCGCTCGACGAAGCGCGTCGTCGCGAGCATGCGGCGTCGACGTCGCGAGGTGACGCCGCGGAGGCGCGGCGCGGCGCGCGCGCGCGACCGCTTTCGTCGCGTCTCGCGCGATTTCGTCGTACGGAGACGCGCGCGAACGCCATCGTCGACGACGAAATCGACGAAATTCCCGTCGTGGGTGCGCCGTCGATGGCGCTTACGGGCGCGACATCGCGACATCGCGACATCGCGACGACGACGACGAGGACGAGGACGAGGACGAGGACGCGCGAGACGACGGCGCGCGACGGACCGGCGGACATGTCGCGCGACGCGAGCGATGACGATGGGTACGACCACGCGCCGACGCGCGCGAGCGACGACGAGGACGAACCGCGGACGATGAGCGACGAGGACGACGAGGAGGAGGATGCGCGACGGATGCGAAATTTAAACTTGGACGAGGCGTTCGAACCGGTGACGAGCCCGGTGATGCGACTGAAGCGCGCGTGGGTGCGCGAAAGGTTGGCGCCGGAGATGATGACGCGAGAGGACGCGCTCGTGGAGGCGGTGAAGACGGCGGTGGAGGCGCAGGAGCGAGCGCTGACGCGAAGGGCGGAGACGCGCGCGGAGCGAGGCGGAGGCGCGGAGGACGCGAGCGAAAAGTTGATGGATAACGTCATGTGGGTCGAGGTGAATCGGATCAAATATTTGTTGAGGGAGTACGCGCGGACGAGGCTGCGGAAGATTGAGGCGCACGCGTTTTATTTCTTACGGACGGAGGAGGGGCAAGAGCGGTTGAGCGAGCGGTTGAGCGAGGCGGAGCAAAAGTACGTCCGCAAGTACGCGATCGCCGTGTCGGAACATTACGAGAACGTTTTGAAGGAACTACCCGACGGTTATCGCGACGCCGTGAAGGAGTTCGCCACGAAGTTCGCCACGGACGAGGAGGAGGGGTCGGCGATGATTTCCAAGCCGAAGACGGATTCGTTTGTGTTTTTTCGTTTTCGCGAAGACGTCGTGAATTTCGTGACGGGCGAAGACGACGACGGCAACACAGATTCCGTCGACTTGAAGCGCGGCGCGATTCTTTTGGCCAAGTACTCCATGTTCAAAGATCTCCTCCACACCGATCCGCCCAAGGCTGAACTCGTGTGAGTTTCGGACGAGCGGAGCGGCCGAGCGCGCGCCCGACGCTCGCGCGATCCACCGTATAGTCAGCCACAATCGACGTAATACTAGCTCAGAAATACATAGCGCGCGTAAACCTTAACCATCTTTCCCTCGCGCGTCTCCACGCGCGCGAACTCCGACGCGTGCGTTGGCGCGTTTTGTCCTCGCCGACGGCGTCTTCACTCTGAGCAGCGCGCGCTTCGCATGCCCGCGCGGGTTCGCGCCGTTCCCACCGCGCGCGCCATCGCGTCGCCGCGATGCGCGCGCGTCGCCCGTCGCCGAGTCCCGCGACCGCCGCGCGCCACGCCGCGCCCGGATTACGACCCGAAGACGCTGTTTTCGCCCGCGGTGATGAGCGATTTCGTTCCGACCCACGTCGGTGAGATGTACGGCCTGGAGAAGCGTCCGAGCCCGTTCGCCGAGGGTGGATCGCTTTGGGAGTTTGGTTTAGGCCAGAGATTCATCGATAACCGCGACAGCGTGTCGCTGAACCCGCTGAGGACGAGTTACGTGGGAGGCGAGGACACGGCGTTTAGCGACGAACGCGCGGTTCGAGCGGGGGCGCGAGAGGAGATATATTACGACCCGAAACGCGTGAAAGCGGCGATCGTGACGTGCGGTGGGCTCTGCCCAGGCTTGAACGACGTCATACGTAGCATCACGACGACGTTGGAGGATTACGGATGCGAAGAGATTTTGGGCATCAAGTACGGCTTTCGAGGCTTCTTCGGCGACGAAGCCGCGGACGCGAATCCGTTGGAGGCGCCCATGAAGCTCACGAGCGAAATGGTGGAAGACATTCAAATCACGGGTGGGAGCATGCTAGGATCGAGTCGAGGCGGGGCAGATATGCCGGCCATCGTGCAAAAAATCGAAGACATGGGTATCGATTTTTTGTTTGTCATCGGCGGGAACGGCTCGCACGCGGGGGCGTTAGCCATCGATAAGCTCTGTCGCGAGAAGGGTTTGACGACGAGCGTGATCGGAGTGCCGAAGACGATCGACAACGATATTTTGCTCCTCGACAGAACTTTTGGTTTCCAAACCGCCGTCGACGAAGCCGTCAAGGCGATTCGGTCGGCGAACATCGAAGCGCGAAGCGCGGACAACGGCGTCGGATTGGTTCGACTCATGGGTCGTCAGTCGGGTTTCATCGCGATGCACGCGGCATTAGCTTCTGGGAACACAGACGTATGTCTTATCCCCGAGATCGATTGCCCGCTAGAAGGTGACGGAGGCGTGTTGGCGCACATCAAGCGTGTCGTCGAACGCCAAAACCACGCCGTCGTCGTCGTCGCCGAAGGCGCCGGGCAAGAGCAGCTCGGCATGATTGGTGAGACAGACGCGAGTGGCAATCCAATCTTACAAAATTTCGCCAAGTACTTGCAGCAAAAGCTCAAGGACGCGAAACCCGAATGCGACATCAAGTACATCGATCCCACGTACATGGTTCGCGCGTGCCGAACGAATGCATCGGATGCCGTTTACTGTTCTATTTTAGGGCAGAATGCCGTGCACGCCGCTTTTGCGGGTTTGAGTGCGGTGACCGTGGGTATGTGCTCCGGCCACTACGTGTACCTACCCATTCCGCCGGTGATTAGCGCCGCTCGCACCGTCGATCCCGAAGGGCGAATGTTCGAACGCCTGCGCTTCGCGATCGGTCAACCTACGTTTTCGAAAACTTGATCGCGTCGATGTAAAATAAAATGAAATACTGATCAATCAATTCGTTCCGATATCAATTACATGATGGATGTGAAGAAGATGAAATGTTAACGAAGAGAATATGTGCGGTGCGGTGCGTATGTGTGATTGTAAATGCGAATATCCTGCGGATAAAAGAGTACAGGAGGTTTATCATGAAGTCGGCCGTTGTCGTGCGAGAGTACAAATGGTGTACCCAGCTCACATTGAGAATACTTCAGTGGCTTGATCCGGCTGCTTGGAATAATAATTACCGGAGACCGCCGGCCGATTTCAAGGATAAACCTGTTCGGTGAGAACTGTTTCGTTCAAACCGACGCAATTTGGCTAGAATACACTTAATCTGCGTGCTAGAGCTGTAAGACGCGCGTCTTTGCTCTTTGAATTATTGATTTGCTTGATTATTGGCGAAGCTCTCCATCCGTCCCGTCCAACACGCCTTCGATCATACCAAGGTGCTGAAACGAGGAAGAGTTGCGACGCATGTGTGCCTGCCGCACACCGTTCGGTGGTAAAGTAAATAGTTTGGCGCCCGCGTACAATCCTTGTTGTTCCGAGATCGTGGATCCTCCGCTTCCACTGCTCTGACTTTGGACCGACTTTAATCCCGCGCCCACACCACCAACGTTTCCGCCCGCCATGTACGCCGCGGAAGTCTGCTGCTGCGGTAACATCTGATGCGCCTGTAAAGATGGATCCGCTTGATTGAACATTCCATTTCCTTGCATCATCGAGCTGTAACCGAGCGGGAATGCGCCCTGCATCGCACCCTGAAGATCGCCGGTGACGCCCGACATCCCCGACATTGACGACACGTAGTTGGCCATCATCTGTTGCTGGTGGAGCTGCTGTTGCGGCATCGTCGGCGATTGTCCGTGCTGTTGCTGCGACTGTTGTTGTCCGTACTGTGACTGAAGCAACATGGAGTCCACACGAGGAAGTGGTGGGAACGACATGCCCGGAACGGCGCCGTTGGCGGCGAACGCGCCGGCGCCGGCGCCCATCATCGCGTTGCCCTTGAGCATCGCCGCAGCCATGTTATGCGTGCTATCGCTCTCGCTATTGCGCGCCATGGACCAATCGAGCGATGCGCTCGATTGTCTCGGCGAGCCATTCTGCGGCGACCCACTCCCTGTGGGCGACGGCGTGTTCGGCGACAGGTTGCCAGTCGGGTTCCCGTACGCATCCGTCGGTACTCGAAGCTGCGACGTGTGGTGCGCGAAGAAGCACGCGCGACGATCGCACGCCGCGCCATCCTTGCATAATTGCGTGCGATATCTCGATGGGTGCAGCCAGCACTCGAAGACGCCGTGCGCGTATTCGCAGACGTCGCCTTGCGGGCACGAGCCTTTGCGGAATTCCGGACACGCCGTGCCGCAGTAGTTGAACCTCCTCGGATCGCGTCGGCGCGCCTTCTCGCCCGGATGCGTGTACGGACACTCCGTCCAATCGTGCGCCCTCGTCCGCGAGCACCTTCGAATCTTAAATTCGTACATTCTGAATTCGTCGCTCATCAGCGTGTCGTCGTCCGGATCTTGCAAAACCACCCCCTGCGAGTTCACCGCGGCGCCCGAACCAGGACCGCCGTGCCCTCGCCCGTTCCCTCCCGTGCTCGCGCTCCCGCCCGAGCTCGAACCACCTGCGTCTGAACCATTAAAATTCGCCTCGCTCGTCGTTCCGGGGAGACAATCCGCGGGAACGCGCCCATACGTGTCTCGCGCGTTCCTATCCGCCCCGAACAACAGCAGCGTCTTGATGGCGTCGGTGCTCAACGCCGCCCCCCCCGCCGCTGCGCAGTGCATCGCCGTGCACCGCTCATCGTCCTCGCTCCGCATATTCGGGTCAGCGCCCATCTGTAACACATACAACAAAACCTCCAGCGACCCGTGCGAGGCAGCCACCATGCACGGCGTTCGCCGCTGTCGCTCCAAGCCTTTCCCGCCGTTTCGCGGCTCGGCGTACCAGTCGCCCATGAAATCAACCGGCACGTTTTCCCGCTCGAGCAACCATCGCACCTGGGCGAGATCGTTCGAGGCCGCGGCCGCGAGCACGGGAGACGTACTCAACGACATCGCACGCGCGTCTCACCGTCGGAATTCCGCGAACTTCGCTTCTGCGGCGAGCCACCCTGTCCGCGTCGCGCCTTCGTCAGTCTCTCTTCGCCTCGTTCTTCGCGCCATCGCCGCCCGCGACGCACGACGCGCGCGCGAGCGCACTCATCGACCATCCATCACCGCGCACCGCGTCGGCGCGCGACGCCCGCTCTCTCCGGACCCCGTCCCGCGCGTCGCGCGCGCGCGATATCTCCCGCGCGTCCCGCGCGCGCGCGTCCCGCCGCCGTCCGCGCGCGTCTCAGCGTCCGCGCGCCCCCCCCCCGCGCGCCGCGCCGTTCCCCGCATATTCCCTCCCCCATCGCCGCCCTCGGCGCCCCGCGCCCGCGGTCGCGCGCCGTCGTCGCACCGCCTCGAGCGATCGCGCGTCACCTCCGGCTCGCATCCGCGGCGCCGGAGCCGTCCCATTCGATCGCGCCGCGCATCGTCCCATCGCGCGTTCGCGCGCCGTCGACCGCGCGTTCGCGCGCATAAATATCGTCGCATCGATCGTCGTCGCGCGCGCGCGCTTTCGCATCTCGCGCACCTCGCAATTCGACGCCGATCGTCGTCGCGCCGTATCGCGAATTGTTTTCAACCGATGCCGCGGTGGCGCCGAAGAGTGCGCGCGCGGTCGCGACGCCGCGCGGTCCGACGCGACGGCGCGCGTCGATTCGCGCGGCGTCGCGCGGACGTGCGCTCGCGCCGATGCGGACGTCGCGTCGCGCGCGTCGCGGGCTCGCGTCGACGCGGCCGCGCGCGACCAACCGCGCGGGCGCGGGCGACGGAGGCGCGCTTACGCGGGCGCGCATTTATCGCGATCGGGGGGTCATAGTCGCATATTCGAGCGCGCGCGAACGCCATCAGAGGTTTCACGGCGCCGTTCCGCGCCCGGGAAAAAGATACGTCCGGCGCGAAACAGATATTTTCGCCCGGGGCGATTGGATTGCACTGCTGACTAGTTGGTTTTTTTGCCTTTGGAGGCGTCGTCGGCGGCGGCGGCGGCGTTCGCGGCGCGAATGGCGTCGGCGTTGCGAGCGATGAACTCGCGCCATTGCTTCGCGGCGGCGTAGTCGCCGGTGAAGAAGAAAGCGGCGCCGACGGCGCACGCGCCGAGCCAGACGCCGAGGACGAAGACGGCGACGAGGAGCTGGGGATGTTTGCCGACGACGCGGGCGTAATCGCGAGCGATGCCGCGAGAGACGTCGCGGAGGAGCACGCGGAACGGTGGTTTGGCGAAAACCAAGGCGTTGGTGGCGTCGTCGACGGCGTAGGCGCGACCGAGGGCGAATTTGGAGGGCGAGCGCGCGAAGTCGACGAGGTCGTCGACGGCGCGCTTGCCCGAGTACTCGTACGCCGCGCCGCCCTTGAAGAAAAACAGCGTCGGGAACCCCTGAACGTTGAACTTCGCGTTCAGTGCCTTCGCGTTCGCCCCACTGGCGTCGACGGACAGCGCGATGATGTTTTCGTTCGCCCCGCGTCGGGCGAAGTCGTCCCACAGCGGCGCCAGCGTCTTGCAGTGCCCGCACCAAGGCGCGTAAAACTTCGTCGCGATCGTCACCTCGATCGGCGCCCGCGCGAGGTAGTCTTCTAAATCATCCGCTCGCATCTCTATCGCGCCCCTCTTCGCGCCCTCGTCGCCGTCCCCGCGCGCGCCGCGCGTCATCACCGCCACCGCGACCGTCATCGCGACCGTCATCATCGCGCGCCGCGCGCGCGTCGCGCGACGCGTCACGTCGCGCGATCGCGTCGTCGCCGGGCGCGTCGCATTTTTCGTCATCGACGCCCGCTCGCGACGCGCGCAATCGCGCGATCGCGCGCGTGTGCGGCGCGCGTTTCGATTCGTTCCCCGGACGTCGCGACGAAAAAGTCACCTCGGGACGGACGGTTACGAATCGCGCGCGCACTTCGCGACGCCGAACGCGCGCGCGAGCCGCCGAACGACGCGCGCGCCGAACGAGCGCTCGAATGATGTTGTCGACGCCCGCGCGCGCGGTGCGCGCGCCGCGCGCGGTCGCGTCGGCGCGCGCGACGACGCGATCGCGTCGCGCGGGGACGATGCGTATCTCGGCGCGGCGACGCGATGACGACGCGCGCGCGGGCGAGAGGGACGCGCGCGAGGGCGAAGATCGAGCGAAGACGCTCGATGCGAACGCGCGCGGGAGCGACGGGGCGAAGGCGTTCGATGCGAACGCGACGATGCGGAAGATGGCGTCGTACGATTGGTTGTCGAGCGGGACGGGCGCGGTGCTGTGCGCGGGGTTCTTTCACTGGCGAGGACAGAGCGTGGGGACGGCGCTGGGCGTGGCGTGCGTGGCGACGATCGCGTCGGTGGTGATTGAAGAGTTATTGGAGGATCGCGATCAGCCGTGGGTGTGAGGAGCGACGGCGCGTCGACGGCGAAGGCGGCGTTCCGGCGGCGCGATTACGCGCGACGCGGACGACGCCGCGAAGCCAAAAATTTAGACATTTTATCGCCGCGAGGGGGCGGAACTTTAGTTACGTTACATTAGATTACATTACCCTTGAAATTGCTCGCTTGTTCAATATTACCTACATTACTTGTCAATGTTTCGACGCGGCGTCGGATTCGACGCGGCGAAGGAGCGCTCGCCAAGGATCTCGGGAAGATCTCACGTCGTCGCGGGCGTTTTGAACGAGCGCGAAGAGCGCGCCGGTGGTCATGCCCGCGGTGGCGTAGCACGCAAGCGTGGCGCTCGCGTCGTCGCCCGTGCGTCGACGCGTTGGATCGACCGGATCGACCGATATCGCCTCCAAGGCTTTGGCCAGGATTCGCCGACGACCGCCGTAATCCGGCGGCGGCGCCTCGAGGCGAAGATTGAACATCTTTTCGAAACCTTTTGGGTCGCTCGACGATGCCACGTCGTTCGCGATCGTTCGCGTACATACGACAGTGACGCGCGAGCCTGGTTTCAGCGCTTTGATTTCCTTCATCAAGTCTTTTCGAAGCTTGCGAGCGCACTCCGCGTCGGTTGCTTTCGTTTTTTTGCTCTTCTCGGGAAAGTACGCGTCGACATCTCGAATGAAAATCACGCTCGGGGCGATCGTCTTCGCGGCTTGGAAGACGTATTTCATCAGTGATTTGGGGTTTTCTCCGCTCGCCTCGGCGCGGGCGAGTCGATCGGGCGAGAGATTGAACAGCGCGCATCCGGATTCGGCGGCGCACAGACGCGCGAGGTACGACTTGCCGCTCGCCGCTAATCCCTCCAAGAGCACGCACTTCATGTGCGGCGCGAGCTCATGCACACGTTGCGATGTGAGTGGAATCGCCACCGACACCGCGAGAACATGGCGAAGCTGAGCGACCTCGAGCATTGTGGAATCTTCGTGTCCTTTACGCCGTTCGCCGCCGGTGCCGAGATAGTCATCAAGACGGCCATCGAGTGGCGTCGGCTCGACCATCTGCAATCTCGCGAATGTTTTTAAGAGATCAGGATCGATCGTTTCCATCCCTCGCTGTCTTTGTTGCTTGATTGCGCCTTTGGATTTCTTCGACGGCGCCGCTTTACTCTTCGTCGAGGATGACTTTTTCGCGCCAGGCGCCTCAGCCGAACCCTTCTTCTTCTTTCCAACTTTCGTCTTTTTATTTTGCGCCTCCAGCGCGCGAGCTTCGTCCTCGATTTCAGCTCTCAGCGCATTCGTGACTTCCTGCAACACACTCGATCGCACGTGATCGATGTCGAAGGCGTTCAAACTCACCTGCGAGCAATCGGCCCAGCGCCGACGATACTTTTCCACCGCGCGACACAATCGCGTGGGGACGTCCTCGTCGTTCGAGGTGATCGCTGTGGCATGCGCGTTATCGTCTGTGATAATGATATCGAGCGCTTGCGCCTCTCGCACCGCTTTAATTTCGTCTTTGATGCTCTCGCGTCGCGAAGAGAGCAAATCCCGCCGAATGTTTGCCTCGAGATCCGCGAGCTGCTTTGCGCTGCGTGAACGCAACTCGTTCCGCCGCTTTAACTCGCTAAAATCGTTGAACTTTCTTTGTGAGTGCTTCGCGCTCGCAATCATCCCGAGATGCTCGAGTTCACGCCTGGCTTCGATGTTTGTCCTGGAACGAGAGCGGAACCCACGAAAAACGGCTTGGATTCGCATCGCGGCGTCCTCGGCCGAGAGCCGACGACCCAACCTAGGCGACGGTTCATGCTCCACAGCTTCATCATCTGTGAGTTTACGTTCCATGCCGTCGTTTTCATCGCCTCCGAAGGCCTCGATCGCGTCGTCGCTCGACGCCTCCATCGCTTCGTCGCTATTTTCGTCTCGCGGCTCTCGCGTCGCCGCGAGAATATTTTCGTTCCAAATCTCCCGCCCGCGTCGACCGCGCTCGACCGTACCGCGCGGCGTGAAATCAATGAACACGTCCGGCGTCGCCTTGGCGTCCACGAGCGCGTCCTCGAGCTCTCGCGTCCCCCGCGCCAACGCTTTAAAAGTCGATTCAATTCGCCTCGCCAAATCAATCTCCAGCGCCTTCAACGCCTCGTTCGCGTCTTCCCACCGCTGCGCGTGCGTCATCGCGTCCACGCACGCCTTGAGTTTCGCGTGCGCCTTGACTCGCGCGACGTACGCGTCTACCTCGGCGTCCATCGACGCGCTGACCGAGCCGGGCGAACCGTCGCTCGCGCCGCCCGCGGGCGCGTCCACGCGCCGTCGCGCGCGCGCCGCGAGCGCCGCCGCGGCGTCGCTCGCCTCGAGAAACGCGCGCGCGATCGACGCCTCGGACATTTTCGCGCGTCGCTCGCGCGTCGCCGAGTGACGCCGTCGCGGCCCGACCGCGTCACTCCGAACCGCGCGACGCGAAGCGACGCGACGCGACGCGACGGCGACCGGCGCGCGCGCGCGAGCGACGCGCGCGCGTCATGCGCGCCCCGAAATCCGCGCGCGCGTCCAAGGCGCCCGCGAGGACGAGCAAACCGCTGCGCGCGGTGGACATTGGAAAACACTTCGTCGGCGGCGGCGACGTGAAGGCGCTCGTTCGGACGCGCGATCGAGACGCGGACGGCGACGCGGACGCGAGCGATGACGCCGCGAGCGATGTGGACGTCGACGCGATTCGCGCGTCGTACGCGCGAAGCGACAAACACGTGACGACGGCGGACGGGTTTGACTTCGCGCGCGGGTTCGAGCCGGAGACGGCGACGTGGTCGTTGTTCGGCGGTTCGGATGCGCGGAAGGGAGAAGATGGCGCACGGATGACGACGACGACGACGACGATGATGAGGGAGGGAGACGAGACCGCGCGGCGCGGCGATGGCGCGCGGGACCGAGATGGGGTCACGAAGCGCGACGCCGCGAACGAAGCGCCGGCGAGACGGAAAAAACGTCGGAAAGTCGTTCGCGATGTGCGCGAAAAGGTGAGCGCGGCGGCGGTTTTGGGGATCGATGAAAGTTCAGGTATCGATGCCATCGCGCGCGCGTGGAAGGCGCCCGAGGAAAAGGAGATGTTGGAGCGATGGCACGAAGAGAGAGACGCGTGGCGGGAAGACTATAAGCGCAAGAGGCGCGCGGCTTTGCGGCTTCGCAAGGGTGTCGGGGCGACGATTCTGGCTTAGATTTAGACTTTAGCGGGCATTAATAAGGCATAGATTACACAATAACCGGATATTTAGGGTTTAGGGTAACACAATGATATTTGTTACGCCGCCGTGGAGGAACGATCGTTTCGACGACCGCGACCGCCGCCGCGACCGCCGCCGCGACCGCCGCCGCGACCGCCTTGGACGTAGTGCACCGGGCTTCCGCCCCATTCCATGTCCAAACGCGCGAGCTCGCCGCGAACTTCGTCGAGTTGGTCGTACGTCACTTCGACATGTTCCACTTCGTACGTCTTGATGCACGACTTGACGAGAATCATCGCCGACTTGACCGCCGACGGCGGTCCGCGAATGAAGACGGCGCTTTTGTCCCAGTCCACCTTGATGTTTGCTCCGGTACGCTGCTGAATGTCGTTCACTTTGGCGCCACCTTTACCGATGATCATGCGCAACGCCAACTCTGGCACGTCTTCGATGCTTTCGTACGCGACTTCGAGCATGTCTCTCGCTCGAGACACTTCGGCGGCGTCCGCGCCGACGATGCGAATCGTGCGCTTTCGAGGATCGACGACGACGCGCTCGACGTCGCACACCTCCTTGACTTGATTCAGCTTATCGCCGCCGTCGAGCAGCAAGTCTTGCATCGCCTTGTACCCGAGCGTGAATTCGCAACGAAGTCCGGCGTCGATTTCCGCCTGGATTTTCATTCGTTCGTTTTCCAGCATATCCGCCACGCCCGTGCGTCGACGAATGCGCACGCAGTCGTCGAGCTTCACTTCCACCAGAGCGTGCACGCGTTGCAGGGCGTGCGCAAACTTTGCTTCGCCGCAGTGTAAGCCCACGAAAAGCGCGCCTGACCCGCTTTCTTCGCACACCTGCATCGTCACGTGACCGTCGCCGCAGGAGAGCGCCTCTTGCAGCTCGCGCGCGAGCTCGCGCCCGCCGTCGGCGCGAATCCAATCCCGAATCGACGCCTCCACGCGCAAAGCCGCGCGCGTGGTCGAGTTCGACCACTTCTGCACGCTCTCCCCCCGCGTGATCGTCATCGGCGGTCCCACCGCGGGCGCGCGCGTCGGCGTCGCCGATTTCGCCGCCGGCGCCGCCGCGCGAGGCGCCCCTCGCTCCGCTCGCGGCGTTCGCGCCTTCTTCACCATCCCCGTCGTCGTCGTCGTCGTCGTCGTCCCGTTCGCCTCCTTCTTCTTCGGCGTCGTCGTCGCCGCCGTCGCCGTCGTCTTCCCGCGCGTCTTCTTCCCGTTCTTCGCCGGCGCGTTCGCCTTCGCCTTCGCCTCGACGCGCGGATCGTCGCCCATCGCGTCGTTCGCCCAATCCGTCTTCACCGCGTCCCCACCGACGCCACCGTCCCTCTTCGCGCCGTTTCGCGTCTTCTTCTTCGTCGTCGTCGCCGTCGCCGTCGCCGTCGTCGTCGTCGCCGTCGTCGTCGCGTCGTCGTCGCGACGCGCCGTCGTCGCCTGCCCCGTCGTCGTCGCCTTCCCCGTCGTCTTCTTCGTCGTCTTCGCCCCCTCGCGTCGTTTCGCCGCCGTCCCGTCCGTCGCCGACGCCGTCGTCGTCGTCGCCGTCGGCATCGCCGTCGTCGTCGACGTCGTCGTCGACGTGTGCGACGCGCGCTCGTCGAATCGTCGCGCCGACGAATGGATGGGCGGCCGCGTGGATGGACGTCGACGCCGGCGTCGACGCGCGATCGATCGCGATCGCGCGATCTCGATCGACGCGATCGCGATCGACGGCGTCGCGCGATCGACGGCGTCGCGATCGACGGTGTTCTCAAAACACCGATCGGGCTGTCGTTTTCATAAAAATCCCCGTCCCGGATCGCGCACCTCACCCCCGACCGCCGCGAAAGGTCGACCGCCGTCGACCCGGCACTGCGCGCCGACGACATCGCACGTCATGGTGACGAAGGAAGAGCTCGAGAAGAGCACGTTCATCGGACGCAACGCGAACGTGTGGTTCATGACGGCGTGGGCGCTGATGATGTTCATCATCGACGGCGTCGTGTACGCCGTGGACCCGCCGCCGGGAGAGAGCAAGTGGGGGTACGGGCCGACGGTGTTTTTGCTGTGTCTGGTGCGTGGGGCGAGGCGAACGAACGACGCGTCGAGGGCGAATCGAAACGCGACCGCGAAAGACGCGCGAAGGGGAGGACGAATGGCGATTCGCGCGATGCGACGACGAAAGCGACGGGCGGGGCGAATCGTGACGCGAACGCGAACGCGACCCCGCGCGCGAGATCGAGCGAGGTTTACGAAGAGACGACGCGAGGGGCGACGGGAGACGACGAGGGGCGAATCGGGCGAATCGGGCGAATCATTCGCGACGACTGACGGTGAACGATGCGTCGAAACGCGCGCAGATCGCGTCGTTTCTCTGGGGCGCGGTGTCGATTCGTAAGACGGAGCGAGCGCACCGCGGCGAGCTCACGCGCCTGCGCGAGACGAAGACGCTCGCCGAGTTGATGTCGCTGAACATGGGCGCGTAGACGACGACGAGGGCGACGATGACGACGAAGATTACGCGAAACGAAACGACGACGAGGCGCGCCTCGTCGTCGGTGTTGCAATTTTTAACCCCCGAGGCTAGACGAACGGAGACGCTTTAAACCCTGGTGGCGTCGCGCGACGCGCGCGCGCCGCGCTCGAACGCGTCACGCGCCGTCGCGAAATTCTCGAGCGCCCGAATTCGCGCGCCGATGCCCGCGCTCGTTCGCGCGCCGCGCGCCGCGCGCGTCGATCCCGCGACGTCGGCGTCCGCGCGGCGTCGCGCGGCGTCCAGCGCCGAGTCGCGCGAGCGACGACACCCCGCGCGGGTCGCGATCGGCGCGCTCGCGGCGACCGTCGTCGCGCTCACCTCGACCGCGCCCGCGAGCGTGGCGCTCGAGGCGAATGAGACCAACTCCGAGTTCGTCGAGCGCCTGCGGGCGCGGAGCGAGGAGAAGCGCGAGGAACGAAAGCAAGAGCGGTTGGACGACTACTACAAGAAAAATTTTGGTGATTACCTGCGGTGGGAGAGCGGGGACAAGGCGTTGCGAGATCCGAGCGCGCTGTCGGAGAACGACAGAAAGATTGCGGCGTATCTGGAGAAGATTTCTTAGTCGGACGCGCGTCTGAGGCTCGGAGCTTTGAACGCGCTTCGCGGGGTCGCTTCGCGGGCGCGCTCGAGCGTTGTTAATAGATTAAAATGTCCACCGCTACCTAGGTCGTTCGTCGCTCTCGCGCCGCGTGAAGACGCTTTCTCAGAGCGTGGCGCCACCGCGGATTTCCTCAGCCTTGGCCTTGAGCGCGGCGAGACCTTCCTCGGGCGTCTTGGCTTCGCCGAGCGCGCGCACGAGCGCGGAACCGACGATGACGCCGTCGGCGCCCCAATCCACGATTTGCTTCGCGTGCTTTGCCTCGCTCACCCCGAACCCGACCGCGATGGGCTTATCCGTCACGCTTCTCAACTCCTCCACCAATTGCTCCACGCGCGTCGCCACGTTCGATTGCACGCCGGTGACGCCCGTGACGGAGACGAGGTAGACGAACCCCTTCGTCGCCTGCGCAATCTTCTTCGCCCGTTCCACCGGCGTCGTGGGCGTGGAAAGCAGAACGAGCTCTATGCCGTGCTTACTCGCGATCTCGCTCACATCGTACGTCTCCTCCAACGGAATATCCGGCACGAGCAATCCCTTCGCCCCAGCCGCGGCGATGTCGGCGCAAAATTTATCCACTCCGCGTTGATAAATCGGATTGTAATACGTAAACATCACGATCGGCGCCTTAATCTGCGGCGTCATCTCTCGCACTAAATCGATCACCTTATTCAACGTCGCCCCGTTCTCCAACGCCCGCGTCGCCGCCGCCTGAATCACCGGTCCGTCCGCCAACGGGTCGCTGTACGGCACGCCGAGCTCGATGACATCCGCGCCCGCGTCGTCCAAAATCTTCAGCGCCTTCTTCGTGCTCTCCAGATCGGGATCGCCCGCGCAGATGAACGGAATGAACGCTCGCTTGCCATCGTCCAGCACCGCCTTGAACGCCTCGGACACGCTCGCGCGCGTCGCCACGGCGCGAGACGCGGCGCCGCGTTCAGGGTTACGGCGGGCGCGGGACGCGCGCGGCGCGCGCGGCGCCGCGCGAAGCGCGCGGGACGCGCTCGCGGCCATCGAATCGCGGTGACGTCGACCGCGTTCAACGATCGAGCGCGCGTCGTCGAGCGCGTCGACGCGACGCGGTGTGAGGCGATCGGACGATGACGACGCCTGGGACCCGCCCGGGACGCGCCCGGGACCCGCGCCCGGGACGCGCGCGGCGGACCGACTCTTCGACGACCGAGCGAATCGCCCGAAAATCGGCGGACTACGTGGACTAAGAATCGGCTAGAATGGCTAATAACGCGACGTTCGATGGATTGCGGTACGCGGCGTGCATGGCGGCGGAGAAGCCGTCGCGGTCGCGAGGCGAGACGTCGGCTCGACGCGCCGAGCGGAGCAGACGCGCGGCGTCGAGCGAATCGCCGGCCGCTGCGTGCATGAGAGGCGTCATTCCGCGCGCGTCTGGCGCGTTGACGTCGGCGCCGGCTTCGAGCAATATGCTCATAAACGTCGTGCCGAGCGTCGGCGCGCGGCGAGACGCAAACGTCAGAGGCGTCCAACCCGTGACGGCGTCGATCGCATCGATTTCGCCGGGACGAAGCGATAGCGCCGCGGACAACGCGTCCTCATATCGCGCGCGCGTTTCCGTGATCACGTCCGCGTCGTCCGGTGAACGACTTCCGTTCCCGAGACTCGCCTTGCTCAGCTGCGTCGGCGCGAGCGCTTGCGAGGCGCCGACGACGGCGCACATCGCCGCCGACGCCGACGTCGACGCCGACGCCGACGTCGACGCCGCGCCTCGACACAGCGCGCGAATGCTGTCCCCGGCGCCGCGTTTCGCCGCCCAACACGCGACGTCGTACCCGGTGTACTCGTCCACGAAATCCGTCGTCGCTCTATCCTCGCGCGTCGCGCACGCCGCCAGGCACTCGCACAGCGCCTCAAACGTCGCGCGCGTCCGCGCCGCGCGCATGCACGACACCGCGCCTCGTCCGTTCGCCGTCTTCAGCGCGCTCAGGTACGCGATCGACGCCGCGTTGTCGCTCGACACGGCGTCGCGGAGCCACAGCGTCCAGCGCCGTTCGGCGTCGGAGCCGTCGTCGCGCGCGCCGTTCGGCGTCGCGCGCGGGCGTCGCGGACGCGCGAGAGACGTGGATGACGGAGCGCGCGGCGCGCGAATGCGCGCGAGCGATGCGACGACACGCGGGGTCGTTGCAAATGGAATTCGTCGCGCGGGCGATCGCGGTGGCGGATAAGACGAGCGCGATCGTCGAGACGTGGCTCGATGATCGCAGCGACGCCGTGGAGCGGTTGGCGTCGACGCAGGCGAGGTTTCAACGCGAGTGCGCGGCGCTGAGATTACAGCTCGAGAAGGCGCTGGCCGCGGCGCGGTCGGCGAAGCGAAACGGCGCGGAGGACGCGAAAGAGGCGGTGTTGCGATGCGTCAAGGGGTGCGAAGCGCTGAGAGTGGGGTTGTTGAGAGATATGCGCGCGCTCAGCGCGCACTTGACGGCGGAAGAGGCGCAGTTGAGTCGGAAATTTGTGACGGAGTGGCGCGCGCTCGAGGACGCCGGGAACGAGGCGCTGCGAGCGTCGATCGATTTCGATAAGTTAATCGCACAAGACGCGACGCGCATCGACGCCACGGCACTGTTAGCGCTAGTAGAGGATTGCACTGGATGTGCGGCCGTGGGCACGATCGCGGACCCGCGCGCACTCGTCGAGGCGTACGAAAACGAGTGCGTATTGATGTGCGCGCGGCGATTGCACAACTTCGTCGCCAAGCCGCCGCCGCGGGGGGGCGAGGAATTATCCGCGGTCGTCAAGGCGATGAAACTAGAATCACAACCGAGTGCGTCGCCATCGACGGGCGAGGGTTCGACGACGCCCGCGGCACCGTCGACGCCCGCGAAGCGTCGCGAAGAAGCGGCGAAGACGCGCGAATCCGTCGCTTTAGAGTTCGCCGCGCACCTCCGCGGCTATTTCGGCGCGCGCGACGACGCGCGCGCCGTCTTAGACGACTTAGAAGACGCGTGTGCCGATTTCATCGCCGTCGGTATCGCGCAGTATTAGTCTCGCATTCGTTCGTTGTATTTATCATGACGATTCGCGTCGCTCGCGTCCTTCGCGTCGCGTCCTCGGCGCAACCGACGCCAACAGTCTTTTCAAACGACGTCGCATCCGCGCGTCACACGTCGTCGCGCGTTCGCGACCGCGCGCCGCGACCGCGAACGAGACGCGAACATGGACTCGTTGGAACAAGTCAAGGCCGCCCTCGACCGCGGCTTGATCGCGCAGGGCGATTACGACGCCGCGAAAGGATGGTTTCTGTTCACCCACAGGATCGCCCAGGCGAACCAATCTGGCGTTCTGCGCGCGCACGACGTGGAGTGCGTGCGACGAGCGATGCTGGAAGCGATCAAGAACGGTACCGCGGATGTTTCCGCGCACGTGCAAAAGTTGTTGGACGAGGCACTGCGCGGAGATGGGGAACGGGGATTCGACGCGGCTGAAGACGCGACGGTGTTGCGAGAGACGACGCAAAAGTTCAACGTGAAGACGAGCGTGGCGGCGCAACCGACGTTCATGACGAAGATTGAGGACGCGGAGCGAGCTTTAAAGGTACAGGACGGGGAACGCGCGTCGGCGAGCGGCGAGGATGCGAGCGTCAAGGCGGCGCCGCCCGCGCCTCGAGCTCCGGCGGCGCCGCCCGCGCCGCCGCCCGCGCCGCCGCCCGCGCCGCCTGCGGCTGCGTCGACGGCGAAGAGCGCGCCGGCGGTGGAGGCGAAGAGCATGAGCGGCGTCGCCGTGGCTGAAGATTGCTTGTCGGTGTTTAACAAAGTAAAGATGCGCTCGAACGGTTTGCAATGGGCAACGTTTCGAGTCGAGGAGAACGAAGGTTCGGTGTTGACGGCAGCCACGGGCGAAGTCTCGGGAGATTACGACGATTTTATCGCCGCATTACCGGAGAGTGAATGCCGATACGCGATTTACGATTATAAGTACGTGAACGCGGACGACTGCGAGTTCAGTAAGCTCGTCTTCGTCGTGTGGAATCCCGATTCGGCGCGATTGAAGAATAAAATGCTGTACGCCTCGACGAAAGACTTCTTCAAGTCGCGATTGTCGGGGATTGCGGTCGAAATTCAAGCCACGGACTACGACGAGGTCAGCGAAGCGGAACTGCGTGAGAATATCGGCATCACGCTGACGCGAAAGTAGACGATTTGTAAAAAATTTGCCTTGCCACGCTTGCGTTATACTATACACCAACCAAGACTATCTATGACCTAAAGCTGACGGGGTCCGTAGGCTTCGTAATACACCCCCGACCCCGAGTGCGCGCGAAATCGAGGCGCGGCCCAGGTCAGGAACCAAAACTTGCCGCGCTCGTCGAACGCCTCTTGCCAGTTCTTCGCCGCGCCCTGATCGAACGGCGGTCTCATCGGCGGCGTCAGCCCGCGCGCCTTCATCGCCTGCTTCAAATCCATCCAATTATAATAATCGATCGTCGTCTGCCCCGTGAGGGCGAGATACGCTTGCCAATACACCATGAATCCCAGCGCGCACAGCACCGCCGTCGCCATGACGGTGACGAAAATCACCCGTCGCAGCGTCTCCGCATCCGTCGGCCCGACCTCGTTCGCCCCGAACAGCACGAACGCCCCTCCGATCGTGGCGAACGCGCACCCGACCCAGGCGTAGGCTATAAAGTTAAAAAAGTACCTATAATTCCTCGCCCCCACGCAGTTCATCACCCACGGACAGTGATGGTCCATCTTCAGCACGCATCGCTTGCACACCGAGCAATGATGACACAGATCCGGCTTCACCGTATCGCACGTCTCGCAAAATCTCCCGCGTTCGATCGCTTCTCGCAATCCATTCCCCGTTTCGCCGCCATCCTCGCGTCGCGTCTCGTTCGCTCGCCGTTCCATCGCTCGTCTCGCGCGTTCATCCTTCGGCGTCCCCGGCTTTGTCCACGCGCACATCGCGTGATTAAACAGCGCGTTCACCGCGCACGCCGTCGCGCACGCCGCCACGACGTTCGCCAGTCGTTCTCGCGCGCGTCGGCGCAGTTCGCGCGCGGTCGCGTCCACGGTCTCGCGCGCGATGCCGAGCACCAACGCCACGCCGAACGCGAACAACGGCGGTCCGGCGCAGCGCAGCGCAGCGTCGCACGCGCGCTCGGCGTCGGCGCACGCGCGCGCGAGCGCGCGCTTGCACGCGCCCATTATCGCGCGCGCGCGCGATCGAGGCGCGACGCGCGCCCGACGTCGTCGCGCGCGTGTGACGACGTGACGACTCGACTCGACGTCGAAACGCGTCCGCGAGTGGGCCGCAGAGGGCGACGCGCGACGGCGCGCGGTGACGATGGACGGCGCGAGCGATGGCGCGATACACGACGTCGTCGTCCTCGGCGCCGGGTTCGCCGGTCTGTACGCCGCGCGGTGCTGCGCGATGGCGACGCCGGACGCGCCGACGCGTCCGGGGGCGAGCGGCGGCGAGGCGACGAGACGGCGCGATTTCGAGGCGCTGCGGTGCGTCGTGCTCGAGGCGTCGAGCGAGGTGGGCGGAAGGGTTAAAGTCACGCGCGATGTCGCGCCGTGGGACGTGAATCTCGGACCAGAGTTCTTGCACGGCGATGAAAATAGCGTGCTGAAGCGATTCGTGGACCACTGCGGGTTCGCGTGCGCGGAGAAGGAGTGGCCGGATCGGTACTATTTAGGCGACGATAAAGCGCTGTTGAGCGCTGAACAGGCGGAAACGACGAATGCGGACGTGAAGCTGGTGCACGAGCTGTTTGATAATCTCCCAGGGGCGCCGGGTGATGGAGATAAAGACGTCACGGCGTTGGAGTGGTTGACGAAGACGGTGGCGGCGCCCGAGCGCGTGATTAAATTGGCGGAAAATATCTATGCGAATGACTTTTGCGCGTCGCTCGGGAAGTTGGGAATGCGCGAACTCATCGAGGAGAAGAAGGGGTGGATTTATGGGGAAAAGTACTTGGTGCTGGATCGTCCATTGCGAGAGGTGGCGCTCGCGCTCGCCGACGGCTTGGACGTGCGATTGAACTGGGAGATTGAACGCGTGGATTACTCACAACCTGGACTCGTGCGCGTCGTGCGTCGAGGTGGGAAAGATGTCATCACCGCGCGAAAATGCATCGTGAGCCTACCCATTACCGCCCTTCGCGGAGGAAACGCGAAGAATCGAGTAGAATTTATTCCGAGGCTGCCGGCGGCGAAGACGCGAGCGGCGGAAGCCATAGCGATGGGAAACGCGGCGAAGATTTTCATCGGTTTCAACAAAATTCTCTGGCCGAGCGACATGTTTGACGTTGTCTGTACAAACTGTTTCTTACCCGAATTTTGGATCACAGAGTATCCGAAATCACCCCTAGCGAGAGAGGCGAAGACGAGCGAGGAAGCGGAGCGAATCGCGCAAACTGTGGGATTGGTGACGTTCTTTATCGCCGGTGATTTGGCGAACGAGATTGACAAAATGGAAGAAAAGGTGGTTTTTGACCGAGCGATCGAGCAACTTGATATGATTTTCAACGTTCCGTGCAAAGAACACGTGACGACGAAGAAAATTGTCAGCTGGTCGCGCGAGCGATTGGTGCAGGGCGCGTACACGCACCCAACGGTGAACGCAGGAAATTCGAGGACGCTATTAGCTGCGTCTATATCTGACACTTTATTCTTTGCCGGTGAAGCGACGCACACTGGGGTTAACCCGTGCTTGCAGGGGGCGATGGAGACGGGCGCGCGCGCGGCGGCGCAAGTGCGCGCCGCCGTGTTCGGCGTCGGTTCGAGCAAGCTCTAAGTCTCCGAGCTCTTTTAGCACGTACTCGCGTCGGGGCGTACTCGGGGGTATTACGACGGAGGCGGACTAGTACAAGGATTCTTCATATTAGTTTTGGAATACGTAAAGCGACTCTTCTGATATAGCGACGCGGACGCCGCCGTCGCATGGCTGCTCCGACAACCGTACACACGGCGAGACAGTCTCCTGGTCGACTCTTCTAGGCTGCACTACCGCTACTCGACGGCTGCATTTTCTCGACGATTGCTCCCATCAACTGCACCTCCAGATCAGACGCTTTGTTCTTTTCCTTGGATCCGTCGATGAACGCCTTGATGCGAATCTTTGGCGTTAGCCCGTCAAATTCCATGTTGACGACGGGCGAGCGCACGCTCCAGTCGTCAACTTTATCAAATACAATCTTTTTGACGTCTGCTACGTACGTTTCCATCGAAGTCTTGGACTTGACGTAATCAGGGAAGGGAATCGCAAGCTTGATGGGCACGTACTCGCGTCGCGAAATATTCTTCAACGCCGAGCCGAGAACATCTGTATTCGGGACGATGTAAGAATATCCATCGTCGATGGATGCTATCCGCGTGGAGTGCCATCCGACCATTTCGACGCGTCCATCAATGCTTCCGAATTGCACGTGATCGCCTTCGACGAAAGGCTGAGTGACGAAAATTAAGATACCGCCGATGCAGTTGCTGACGAGTTTTTGCGCCGCGAAACCGACGGCGATACCCGAGACCCCGCCGACGGCGAGAAGACCAGTCATGTTCACCCCAAGCGCGCTCAAGCACCAATAAGAGGTCAAAAGATACGTCGCCACGGTTAACGCTTTGTCGATAAGCGCGCTTCGAGCTTGAGAATCCCAGGACACGCCTCGATCGCCTCTCAAACCTGCGTAGTGGTGTCGAAGCGCTTGCGACAAAAAGTCTTCGCGGTCGTAACTCGATCCTCGAGTTCTCATCTCTTGTATTGTCGGCGCCGCTTTCAACGACATAAACCATCGGCTGAGATCGAGAAAGTAGAAGCACCACAGCAACCGCAAAGTCTTGGCGACGAACCACATTTGCACCTCAGTCGTGGTGACGACGCCGTCGTTGTTCGCGTCGAACATCGTCGTCAAGAGCGAGTGCACGTGATCGACACCATCGGCGGTAGTTTCGGGGTCAAACTTGATCAAATCGATCCCGAGCGGAATCAAAGACCAAATCTGGTTCCCGAGGCTCCAAACGAACGTATTTCGGATGATGTTGGTCACGTGCTTGATGGATCGCAGGCAAAACAGAGAAACCCACCAAAGCATGTTCACGCGCGTCGGTCGCACAAAGGTCGCCGTCGTCGTCAGCGCGAATTCTACCGCCTTTTTAATCGCTCCCGTGTACAAAACCAAAACCGTAATCGCGATGTTCGCCCACACGTCGTCGAACACGAGCGTGTACAGCACGTCGGCCAACCCGCGTTCGGCGTTCATGGAAACCATCGTCACGAGGTACGTCACCGACGCCACCGCCGCGACGAGCGCGACGAGCAACATCACATTCTTCGTCGCCTTTTTCGTCAGCACCCCCGCGACCAACTCATCGTCGTCGTGTTCATCGAAATCGCTCGACGATCCCGAGAACTTCGCCATCGACGTCGCCTTGACGCTCTCGAGCTTTTTCGACAGCTTCTTTTTCAAATCATCCGGCGAGCGTTCGCTCCCGTCGTCGCTCCGCGCCCCTTCTCCCGCCGCGCCCGCTCGCGCGCGCGCGCATCGTCGCGCGCGCGCGTCGTCTCCGACGCACACGAGCGTCATCGATCGTTCGCCGCGCGTGCGTCGTTCGACGCATCGCGCCGTCGTTCGTCGACATCCGACGCGCGCGCGCGGCGTCGGACGCGCGGCGGCGTCGGGCGCGATTCCACGCGCGCGCATCGCGCCGCGCATCGTCGCGTCGCGTCGTGAAGACGCCCCGACGACGCGATCCTACGACAACCGTATCGCGCAATCCAACGAACGCGGTCGGTCTGTCGGTCGGTCGGTCGGTCGGTCGGCACTTCGCGTCGCGTCCGCATGCGGTCGGCGCTGTCGACGCTGATCGCGTGGACGTTCGCGTGCGCGGCGATCACGCACGGCGGCGCGCTCGACGCGTGCACGCGCGCGTGCGCGCAGCCGTTGCGATACTTTTACGTCCCGCGCGTCGACGACGACGACGACGGCGGCGACGCCGCGCGAGACGGCGGTGCGGATGCGAACGACGACGGTGGGTCGCGACGGCGGCGACGCGCGCGAGAGCGACGAGAGAAGAAAGAGGCGGACGCGTTCGCGCGATCGGCGGTGGCGAGCGTGGACCTGGCGTTCGAGAGCTTGCGACGGAGGGCGTCGTTCGCGGAGGCGGACGCGTGTTGCTTTTTGGGCTTTTTGGTCGCGTGCGAGAGCGTCGGAGCGTGGGCGCTGCGAGCGTGCGCGAACGCGCCAGACGATGCGCTGACGCCGGTGCTCGCGGCGGCGGGCGTCGTCACGGCGTGCGCGTCGCTCGTGGCGGCGTACGCGAATAGAGAGACGACGCCGAGCGGCGAGCGGCGAGTGGCGTGCGGCGTCGGATTCGCGGCGTGGATGGCGTCGACGTTCGCGGTGTTTTTATTACCGACCACGGTCGTCGATTTTCGGCACGTGGAGTCAGCGGATGCGGTGAACGAGGCCTTGGCGCGCGGCGGCGCGACGGCGCGCGCTTCGACGCTGCACGCGGGGTTGGCGCACGCCGTCGTCGGCGCTCTGATCGCCGCGCTCACGCTTTCGAGCGCGGTGCGCATGACGAAGAGTTATTTAACCGCGACAAATATCCCCGAGTGGGCGGCAACGTACGCGGGGACGTCTTCGACGCCACTGTGGCGAAGGTTTGTGCTTCACACCACCTTTGCGGCGCCGCTCCTGACGCTCGTCGTCAGCGCGCCCTCGATGTTAGCCGAGCCATTGCGATGGAGCGATCAGAGCGCTCGCGACGCACAGAGCATATCGTTCATCATCGCTGGGTTATGTATGTTCGCGTCGATGCAACCGCTGACGCAAGCGTTCTTGGACGGCGGATTGATTGCATGGTACGAAGTCAAGGAAGGAACCGACCGCGAACGACTCACCGAACGCGAGCACTTCATCGTCTCGAGAAAGCTCGACGTGACGAACCATCTCGTCGGAAAGGTTTTGCTCCAAGTCGCCGCACCCGCGCTGCTGTTGCTCTCTTGCGGCATCGGCGCTTGGTCGTGTGGTTGGACGAGCGCCAGCGACGCGTCGCCGATATCCATCGTCGCCGCCGCGCTCTTCACCAACATCGGCTACTTCGCGTGCGCGTGGTCCGTGATCACGGGCGCGATCACGATCGTCATGTCCCAGCCTTTGTTCACCTCGCGATGAGTTTAAGTAGGCTTCGCGATGAGTCCTAGGCCTTTAGTTTTAGCGTTGAAAGTTAGTTTCATCTAGCGTTGGACGCGTGGCGCGCGTCGCCACCAATCCCGATGTCACTCGACGGCGCTCGACGGCGCTTTGATTCGTCACCGGCGTCGACGCGCAAGCGTTTCATTCAAACTTGTGGCTCGTCGCTCGTCGCTCGTCGCTCGTCGCTCGTCGCTCGTCGCTCGTCGCTCGTCGCTCGTCGTCGTCGTGAACGATGCGACGTCGAGACGATGGTGAGACGTCGACGAGCGATGGTAAGCGCACGCGCGATGACAGGCGCGATGCCGCAGACGATGACTCGAGTGATAGTCATCGCGAACCTCTCGCAGAGACGTTCGGGCGAATCGTGCGCGTCGGACGGGCCTCTTTGGCCCATCACCCGAGAGTGCGCGCGCTTCGTCAGTTGGTGAGCGGGACGAGCGCGGACGATTTGCCTCGACTCGCCGAGTTAGTGATGCTCGGCGTGACGTACTGGAGCAAAGACGACGAATGTAATGCTGAGAAGTATGACGACGCGAGAAGGGCGTGGGAACGCGATTGGGGGTCGAGATGTTGGATGACGTATCGACGCGGGTTCGAAGCGTTGGGAAGAACGAAGTGGAGGACGGACGCGGGGTGGGGATGCACGCTCAGAAGCGCGCAGATGATGGTAGCAAATGCGTTGAGCATACATACAAGAGGAAGACACTGGCGTCGACAGGTGAAGGCAAAAGAAGACGATGAAAGTGTCGATCGTGAGGGCGCTGGCGACGAGCTTGACTCGAGCGACGAATCTCCGACATCGTTTCTGGGTGGCGTGGTGCGAAGATTACGAATACCCGAAATTCAGCGCACGAACGCGGGATGTGACGCGCAGGAAGATGTTCTGAGCATGTTTATCGACGACGCGAGCGCGCCGTTTTCTATTCATAGCGTATGTGAAACGACCACGGCGTGGGGCGCGCCGCCGGGACGATGGTTTGAGCCGAGTGTGATGTGTCGCGCGTTCTCGGCGTTGATCGAGGCGAACGGCGATCTTCGTAATCAAATTGCCGTGCACGTCGTGGGCGGCCAAAACGAAGATGACAGCGCCGGTGGTGTGCCGACGATCGATGATGGCGAGTTGCGAGCGAAGAGTGCGGACGTCGGCAAGGCGTTGCTGCTTTTCGTCCCGCTCGTTCTCGGCGTGGGAAGAAACATCAACACTCGCTATATTTCGCAGCTTCGATCGATAATCGCCTTCAAACAGTCCATAGGTGTCATTGGTGGTCGTCCAAACGCGTCGCTGTACTTGGTTGGACACTCGGACGACGTCTTCTTTTACCTCGATCCTCACACAGTGCAGCCGGCGAATTCGTTCGCCGAAGCCGTAGATTTCGATTCTTACTATTGCTCGACCCCGTTGCAGATGCGCGGCGAGCTGCTCGACCCAACGCTCGCGCTCGGGTTTTATTGCCGCGATGGCGATGATTTAGACTCCCTCTTCGCGAGCGTCAAAGCGCTCGCGGAAGCGAACGCCACGGCGCCAGTCCTCGACGTTCGCTCGGCGACCGAGGCGAAGGCGTTCGACGCTCGCGCGTCTTCCCCGTCCACCGCGCGCGGTCGCGCGCTCAAAGACGACGAATTTCACGATTGGGAGTTTCTCTAACTAACGTCCGCATCGCGGCAAACGATTGATTGTATTTCTACAGTGTAATTTCCGTTCCCTCGCCTGTCGCCTGAACACTAATGCTGAAACCGCACATCGCGGCGTCATGGTGTCCCGAGTCCGTCTCGCTCTTTGCGCGTGCGTCGCGCTCGCCGCCGCCGCCATCGCGCGCGCCGTGGACACGCACGTCTTTTACTACAACGACGTCACGCGCGAGTCCCGCTGGGACGACCCGGAAAGTTTGGCGACGCACCTGGATGACACCGGTCGACCGTATTGGGTCGATGCCGACACCGGGGAATCGACGTACGACAGCCCGAAACACAGCGCGTGGCACGCGGTGGTGAGCGAGGACGACGCGAGCGCGGGACGGGTGTATTACATTCACAAGGAGACGCAGGAGACGACGTGGGAGAAGCCCGAAGAGCTCGCGTGGCGCAGAATCGAACAGGAAGTCGACGCACACGACAAGTGGCAGCGGGAGCAGGCGCAAGGCGAGAAAGACGTGGGCGAAGACGTCGAGATCGACGGAGATACCATCGACGTCGGTGAGGACGAAATCGAAGGCTAGCGCGGCGCCGACCCGAACCTTGTAATGCGCGACACATTTCGTAGACCGAACTAAACGCGCTCGGCGCCTTGAAACTAAAATGCGAGCGAGCCGCGAGATCAGCGCGCGCGTCATGCTGCCGACGACCACGGCCTCGCTCGCGGGGACGCCGAGTAAGTCTCGCGCGCGATTCCGCGAGACTTCAGCGCTGTGGGACGCCCTGACGCGGCGACGCGCGTCGTTCGGCGAGGGTGAAGATTACGCGAATGGGAAAGGTTCAAAACGGCGATCAAAGCGCGGTTTGGCGCTCGCGAAGCAAAGCGGCATCGATTACGCCTTAGGCGCGTGCTTGTTGATCACGCTTTACGTCACGCGCGCGCTGTTGGTGCGCCAAGATGGCTTTGTCAACGCGAGACCGAGCGCGGTGCGCTCTGGGCGCGCGCGAAGGATAGGACCGATGGACGATCTAGCACTCGCGAACACGATTCGTTTCGACGCTGCGAACGGCACGCGTCCTTTGAGCTTGTACGGACGCGCGGCGCTGTTGAACGCCCTGCCAGGGTTCCCGGAAACTCCACCTTTGGTGTTGAGCGCTACGCAGCCAAAGGCGTACTTGTTGCGAAACTTTCTCAGCGCGGAAGAGTGCGATCACTTGATGAAGCTGGCGAAGAGAGAATTAGCTCCATCGACAGTGGTCGGTGAGGCAGGCGATTCGGTGCCTTCGGACATCCGTACGAGCGCGGGCATGTTTCTACGCAAAGGACAAGATAAAATCGTCAAAGCCATCGAGGAGCGAATAGCGCGCTTGAGCGGTACGCCCGTCGACAACGGCGAAGGCATGCAGATTTTACGTTACGATGTTGGGCAAAAGTACGATCCTCATTTTGACTATTTTCACGACAAGGTGAATCCGGCGCCGAAACGTGGAGGTCAACGCTTGGCGACGATGCTGATCTATCTCGTGGACACGGACAAGGGCGGCGAGACGACATTCCCCAACGCCAAGCTCCCGCAATCTTTCGAAGCGGACGAGCCTGAGAATCCGTTCGCGTCGCACATCGAGCACACAGATTGCGCCAAAAAGGGCATTCCGGTCAAGAGCGTTCGTGGAGACGCCATCTTATTCTTTTCGATGACGCAAGACGGCGTGCTCGATCGAGGCTCGCTTCACGGCGCCTGTCCGGTGATCGAGGGTCAAAAATGGACCGCGGTGAAGTGGATTCGCGTGGGTAAATTCGATGGGAATTATCAGGAAGAGATCCCCATGCCCAAACTAAGCCGTCGCACCGACGAGGAGCCGTGTGTCGACGATTGGGACGAGTGCGCGAAGTGGGCGTCACAAGGTTGGTGCGAGCTGAACCCAGAGTTCATGACGACCGCTGACTCGGCGCGCGATTCCCAATCCGCGGCGTGCGCAAAATCGTGTGGGTTGTGCAACCGTCGGTCTTAGTTTCATTTAGTTGTTGTAATTAGGTAATTAGCGCTCGCTTCGAGATAGACTCTGTGGCTCGTTTGTTGTTTTATTTTCACCGAAACGAATCGACTTTTTCGAAGGGGGAACGAGGCGCTCGGTGGCGCCGTCGCCTCATTCGCCGTCGCGCGTCCGCAGTTTCACCGCGCGTTCAGCGTCGAGCGAAGAACGAAGTCGTTGTGAATACCACATGTCCATCGTCGCGCAGTTAAAGCGCGTCGCCGGCGCCGACGACGACGCGACGCCACTGGCGACGCATGGGATTCTTCGCGACGCGCCATTCGTCATCGGTCGTCAACACGGCGTGGACGTGCGATTCGTCGAGGCCGCGGTGAGCCGACGACACGCTGTGTTTCAAGTCGTGGACGGCAAGATGGTGCTGAAGAATATGAGCAAACTGAATCCGGTGTCGTTGAACGATACGATTTTGGACGTGGAGACGGCGGTGACGCTGCGACACGGAGACGTCGTCGGAATACAGTTGTCGAGCGAGGAAGAGGCGACGTTTATTTTCGAACAGCTCGCGGATTCGATCGCGCGATCGCCGTTGAGAGAAAACGGTGGGAACACCCCGATGAGCGTGTCGCCGATCAAGGGGTCGTCGAACGCGTCGATGAAAAGTCCGGCGTCTCCAGGGGGAAGCGACGAAAACGAAGCGCCGCCAACGCAGCGCAGGTCTACGCCGCGACGATCTATGAATTTAGGCAAACTCACCGGAACACCGATGCCTTCGCGAGATATTTTGAAGCAAGTTTCCGCGCTGAAGATGTCGGAGACCAAGGGCGACGCGTCAACGAAGAAGTCGCCCGCAAAGGCGTCGACGCCAAAGCCGATTGACACCACGCTCATGGGACGCGATTTCGATGATGAACTCTGTGGAACGCCCGGAGAGAACGTCGCGATGACTCCGAAGTCGCCGGCAAAAAGTGCGCTAAAGGCACCAGAAAATCGACTCGCTGTTCGTCCGAGCACGATTCGAAGACGTTCGATTTCTTTCGCCGGCGCGGAGGAGCTCGAAGCGATAAAATGGATCGCTCCGCACAACGGCAGGGTTGAGCTGTGTGGCAGAATCGCTCCGTTGGCTCTGAATGCCCCTCGGTCGCCTCGACAGCGACGTACTCCGTCAAAGTCGCCGGAAAGCGCGACCAAACGCTTGCCAGCTCCGGAGGTGCTGCTCGCGTTGCCGGCTCCGGAATCAAACCAGTCGCCGGCGAAGAAACGACGTTCGAGCATTTCCTTCAAAGCGGTTGAAGATGGTGAAGAAAACGAAACCCCTGAAGCGAGCTTTACGCGAAGTGGTAGTCAAATGCAGCGTAATGACACGCCGCGTCAAAAATACACAGCTTCGCCCGGTATGGAGTTCACACCGATGGGCACCATCGGCGGATCTGACTTTGACGAAGACGTCGATCAGACGGCGAGTGTCGCCGCGATCACGCCACTCGATCAATCAAGCAACTTGATGGATCGCATGGACTTTGTCGCCACGCCAAGCTCTGAGTTCAAGCGCCCTCCGGCTCCCCACAACACACCAGTTGCGAACGTCGCGCAATCTCCAGGCGTCGAATTCAACTTGGACGGGTTCAATTTGTTCCGCAACACTCCGGGCTCGATGCCACAAGCTCTGCGTGGATTTTTCGAACAAGATGATGCCAGATGTGATGCCATCATTCGCGCTGTCGAAGCGCTCGAAGCTGCGGCAGAAGAAGACGTGAACGTTGCGGGTGAACTTGACGGTGCACTCGCGCTGTTGCCGACGCCGCCGAGCACGACAAAGCGAGTGGATGAATGGTTGCGTACAGACCTGATGTTAGCCGACGTTCCGGACGACGACGAAGGTGACGACGAAGTGGAAGTGCCATCAATTACGTCTCGTGCGATGCCATCTCCAGCCAAGTCTGTCATCGTCAAATGCAAAAAGCGCAAACGTCGCGAAGGCAAGAGTACGGCGAACGGCTTGAGCATGCGCATGCAGCAACTGCATCGTGCACTGGCGCTCAGCCGTCGGGCGCTGCTCAAAGAGCGTAAACGTAGCGCGGCTTTGAAAGAGATGTACCTGGAACTCATGAACACGAGAGAAGATGTGTGCGTGCAGCATAATCCAGAGGAGGCGAAGACGCCCAAGGTTGCGATGCAAATTAACGTGAAGGAGGCAACGCCGCAACCTCAAAAGACGCCCAGGGTTGCGATGCAAATTAACGTGAAGGAAGCGACGCCAAAAACACCCAAAGTGGTGCTGAACATCAACATCAACGAGCCAACACCGCAAAAGACCGCTCAAAAGGTCGAGTTATGCAAGCCCACGATGGAGGAGGAAAAGAAGTCGGCGACAGCCTGCTGCTCTGTTTGCTCCGTCGTCGACAAGTGCAAAACTTTGACGTGCGACGCGTGCGCAGTTATGTTCCACCTCAAGTGTTTGAAGCCTAAACTCACGCGAACGCCGAAAGGTCCGTGGACGTGTGCGTCCTGCCCGGATCCGGCAAAGGATACCGCGACAGACGCGCCGAAGCGCAAAGCCGCCGATACTACGGAGGCGCCTCCGACGCGATCGAGCCGCCGCACGAGACGATCTTAATTCTTCACATTGCGTATTATCAATGAAATGTATGATGTATGACTAATCTACTCCACATCGGCGCCATATTATGCCGATGTGCGCCACTAAGTATTCCTCCGCCGCGAGCGCAAGTTTGAAATCTTCTTCCCTTCGCCCTTCGCATCCGCCGCCGACGTACGATCCTTCTTAATCGCCACGCCGATGGCGTGCGGGAATAAAGGTAGCGTAGCCCAGCTCTCATCGAAAGCAATCGGCGTCTCAAACGCATTCGTGGCTTCGATGGCGTCGAAAAGCGACTGCCCTCGTTCGCCGTTGGCCGGTTCGACGAACAAGAACCGACCTCCCGGGCGTAACACTTGCGCCGCCTTGCGCGCGACGGTACGCACTGACTCCGTCGTCATCTTCGCTAAACATCCAGTGGTGACCACTGCGTCCGCACTTTCACGCGCCTGACCCCAAAACAAATCCCCCTCGCCGCTGCCGGCGATGGGCGCCGACCGCGGCAGCACAGGCGTCGACGTCTCGATGGCTATTCGATTCACCAGTTCTGTGTTAACATCCGGCGCCACGCACACGACCAATTTCGTGGACTTTGGATAATAGTACAAATTCTTAGTATCCACGCCGAGCTCGATGACCACCGCCTCCGCCGGCACGCGCGACGCCAACTGCTCCGCGACGGCGAACTGCAGTTTGCTGTACAGCGCCGCTCGAATCGCCCCGTACCCGACGCCCAGCGCCGCGACGGGCGCGAGCAACGTGACGTCGACCGTCATCGTCCCATCCAACGCCGCGTCCGACACCGGTCGCAGCAGTTCGTCCGGCGCGCCGTCACCGTTCGCGAAGGCGCCGCGCGCGCGAGACGTCGAACGCCCCGCGCGGTCGCGCGCGCGCGCGACGCCGCGCGCGATCGCGCCGCGCGCGGCGGGCGTCCTCGAGCTCAAAGACGCCATCGTCGCGTCCTCGTTCGCCGTCGCCGTCGCCGTCGCCGTCGTCGATCCCACGCGACGCGTCGCGTCGCGCACTCGCGCGCGCGCGCCGGTCGCGGGACCGACCGAGCTCAACACCCTCGCGTCGACGAGACGATCTGTCGGCACCTCGCGGCGCGGTCCGACGACCCGTGATCGTCGAGCGCGTCGACGGATACGAAGCGAAACGCACCGCGCGATGACGCGCGAAGACGACGGCGCGCGCGTGACGACGCGCGCGGGCGAGCGCGCGAGCTTGCTCGCGCGCGAAGACGTCGAGCACGGTGTTGACGCCGACGGGGCGGTCGCGAGCTCGAACGCGGGCGCGCGTAAGGCGCTCGTGGGCGCGCTGTTCGGCTTGGCGTTGATTTGTTTAGGAGCGAGCGTGAACTCGCGCGCGACGGCGTTGCCGTCGCTGGGGAGCGCGCCAAAGTTGACGCTCCCGATTTACATCATGGGCGACGGCAAGAAGGGCTCGGAGGACGCGACGAAAATCGCGAAGGCGTACGCGTGGTTGAGTGGACTGTTGAAGACCCAATCGGGGATGAGCGAACACGAAATAGGACGCGTCATCAACTTCCAGCAAGCGACGTTCCCGTCTCGCTGGCCGGAGACGCACGAAGTGGCCGTCGCCGCGACGTCGAGAATCGATCCAGACTCCCTGGAAAAGATTGCTTTCGTCGGCGGCGCGGCGTTCGATAACCCCGACGACTGCGGACGTGCGTGCGGCTCGCAGTTGAGTCATCACACCGGTTGTCTGCTCACCCACATGGCGGTCTGGAACCGCGTCATCGACTCGGACGACGACACGTTTGTGCTGTGGGAGTCTGACGGCGCCACCTTGAATGCGGTGCATCCGCTCGATTATCCCAAGCTCCGTGAGCACGTACCGGACGATTTCGACATCGTGTGGTTGAAACCGGACGACCATTCAAACGGTCAGCTCATCAAGCGCTTCAAATCCGCGGCGAAAGGCTTGTGGGATCCGACGATGGACTCGAGGTTGATCAACGGAAACGACGTCTATCTCTACAAGTTCGACAAGGCGTGCAACTGGGCTGGGACGCCTTCTTACATGATGTCACGTAAAGGCGCGAAGAAGATCATGAAGTTCATCAAAGAAGCTGAATTTGCGGACATGATTGACGCTTGGCTATCGAGACATTGCATCACACGTTGCGATGATCCCAAGGTGTGCCTCAACTTGAACTGCTACATTGCGGGCAATCTCAAGGTGCCGAAAGGGGCTCTCGGCGGTTACGTGCCTGATTGGTACGACGTCGAGGATGACGAAGACGTTCGCGAAGTCGATTCGCGCATCGTGAGTATGATGGATGATACGAGTAAGTTCAACCAACTCGGCTGCAAGCACAGCAAATCGTACGAAGGATTCGTTCCCACGGCTTGGGAAGGCGGGTATGGCATCACGGACAACAGCGTCGTGTGCGACTGCTGGCACACGCCCAAAGATGGTACTTTTGACTTTTGCGACGCCAAGCTCAAGTATCCAGTCGAAGCACAGAAAGCCCAGCGTGGAGAGGCCACGCTTGGGGGCACGAATGAGGGCGGAACTCGAGAAACTATCATGGGATCGTACGAACGAGGATTTCGCGCGCGCATGGCGCTTCTCGACTGGCCGCTTGGATCGCATCAACGACAGGACTGATTGTATCACGCTTTTACTCAACAATACTAGTTCTTTTCTACTCCATCATCGCACGTCGGAGCATCTCTTCTCTTTCATAATACCCGATCGGGAGTTGTGCGTTAGCCGTCGACGTCGTCGCGCCGCCAGGCCCCCCTGGGGCGATCGCGTCGCGTCGCGTCAGCGTTGGGTTGACGAGTCATAAATACACATACATCGATGTAAAAGTAGTAATATACGTACATTCGGACATTTCGGATAAAATAACGACCCATCCACGTCGGTGGTTGGTTATTTTATCCGTCCATCCAATGCGCGCGCGCGCGTCCGCACACGTCGTCGCGAACGCGTCGAGGTGCGTCGTCGAGCGAGTCGGGGAGTGGAGGCGCGCGCACGATCTGAACGACTCGCGTGCGCGCGACGCGTCGTCGACCATCGCTTCGCGCGCGTCGCGTTCGGTCGAGGCGAAGGAAAAGCTGGGCGCCTCGCGACGCGCGCGCGATCGAGACGATCGCGCGGCGTGCGGTCGACGCGCGCGCGCCGTGGAGCGTGAGAAAGGCTCGAACGATCGAACGAGACGAGGTCGTTCGCGAGGGCGGGACGCTTGGACGCGCGCGCGCGCGCGCGGCGCGGTACGGAGCGAAGCGCGAGCGCTGGGACTGACGAAGAATCCACCCCTCTCGCGCGCAGCTTTCACTTCACGTTTTCCGCGCGCAACCGCTTGCATTCATGTACACCGCCAACGCTACCCAAGTCTCGTGCACTCGAGCCAACGCCACGCGCGCGCTCCGACGCTCGGGCACGAGCACGACTCGTCGCGCGTCCACCGTCACGCGCGCGTTCACCGAGCACAACGAGGGCGACATGCTCGCGAAGTACCCGCTCGACGCGGATACGTACAAGGTTGAGCTCGACTGCTCGCAGTCAAACATCCAACTCGGTTTGCTCCTCGAAGCCGGCCCGGACGATCGACCTCGGGTGAAAACGATTCGCCCGGGAGGAAACGCGAAGGGTAAGGTTAACGTCGGCGACGTTGTGCTCGCCACGACGTACACCGTGCTCAAGGGCGTTCGCGACGAATCCTGGGGGAGCTCCATGCGCGGCTGGCTCGACACCGCGGAAACGACCTCCGCGCAAGCCGAAGCGGCGATGACGACCAACTCGTCGTCCGTCGGTTTGATCATGTCCCGCAACTACAAAGCCACCGGGTTGAAGAGGGCCAACGTGGACGAAGACACGCGCTCGTGGGCGGCGCGCGTCGCCGCCGAGGCGCGCGCCAAGCGCGAGCAATAATTCTCCGCGCACCCTCGCACACACGGCGTGCACCGTCTGGGCGATGAAAGCGTCGCACGGCGGCTCGGCGTCGCTCGCGCTCGTTGAACACACATAATCACATTTTAATACGCAGTCGCGACACTCGCGCCGCCGCGTCCAACTTCAACTACCGCACTCGTCGTCGCCTCGCGCAGAGCGTCATGGCGGCGACGTCCTCGACGGCGCCCGCGATCGATTTCGATGGTATTTTCTCTCAGTACACCGGAAACGCCATCGTCGATCGCTTGCTCTACGTCGCCGATCACGCGCGCGACGTCGGCGTCGTCACCGAGGCGCTGCGTCACGCCAAGCGCGCGCTCGAGGGCCGGGTCGATGCGTTTAGTTTGAAGCCGACGACGTCGAATGGGTGCGCGTACGAGCGAGCGATGGCGATCGCGAAGAAGCGCGAGGTGGACGCAAGCGTCGTCGGGTTCACCAAGGCGTGGTTGGAAGAAAACGCGAGACGCGCGGACGGGGAATTGGACAAACTCGAAACTGGGCTCACGGACTTGTTGACGGAGCGCGTCAAGGAGAACCTACGCATGCAGTACGTAGAGCTCGGCGATCACTATTACGATCGAGGTGAGTTGAAAAAGGCGTTGGAGTGTTACATGAGAACGCGGGATTACTGCTCCACGCCCAAGCACGTCGTGTTCATGTGTCTGAGCGTCGTGTCGGTGTCGCTCGAAATGGGAAACTTTGCGCACGTCAACGTGCACGCGAACAAAGCCACGGCAGCTCTGCAAAACATGGACGAAGACGCCAGCGTGCGTACCGATCAAGCCAAATTGGCGTGCGCTTGTGGAATAGCAGCGCTTCGAATGGGAAGATTTCGAGAGGCGGCGATCAAGTTTACAGAAATAAACGTCGAGATAGGAACTCATTACGCCAACGTGTGCGCGGCGAGGGATGTGGCGACGTACGGGACGTTGTGCGCGCTCGCGAGCTTTAACCGAGAAGAGCTGCGCGATTTAGTTTTGAACAATCAGAAAGGAGCGTTTCGCGCTCACTTAGAGACGGCATCAGACATTCGAGAGGTGGTGAATGATTTTTACAACTCGAAGTACACGTCGTGCTTCGCCACGCTAGATGGCATGCGCGAAGCGCTCACCTTGGACATTCATCTCGGTGCGCACATCGACGCGCTGTACAAGCGCATACGGGATCGAGCTCTCATCCAGTACGTCGAACCATACGTCACGGTGGACTTGTGCGTGATGGCACAGGCGTTCAACACCACGGCAGAAAAAGTGCAAGACGAGCTCGCGCGTTTGATCGAGGAGGATAAAATTCGAGCCAAAATCGATGCGAGCGAATGTACCTTGCACGCCCTAAAGGAAAACCCTCGAGTAAAGGTCGTTGAGCAAGTCATCGCCGATGGCGAGCGTTTTGAGACAGAAACTCGCGCCGCGCTGCTCAAGATGTCCCTATTGAAGAATGATGTCGTCTCGCGACCGGAGCATGACGGCGCTCGATCGCACCGCTCGCTGGACGAGTAGATTCATAGCCGTAACGACGCACGACTGCTTATCGAGTACTCCACTATCAATTGCTTTTAATGTCACGAAATCGTCTAGACCCCAAGGCGTTTGCGTTTGCGCGCGCCGACGTCAGGCCGACGGGCTATTGCTGATTCCTCTGGTCGATGGAGACGAAGCGCGGCACAACCGCGCGCGTCGTCGACCGCCGGCGATCGAGCGAGGACGGCGAGAGCGGTTCGGTGTTCAACGTGAATCGTGCGTCGTCTTCGTCGTCGTCTTCGTCGCAAACGTCCGACAGAAGCGCGTCGTCGTCGTTCCGGAGACATCGTTCGCCTTCGCATCGAGTCGTCGCCGTCTTCGTCTTCATGGAGAACTACGAAAAGGTTTTGAAGATTGGTGAAGGGACGTATGGTGTGGTGTACAAGGCGAAGAATTTGCGCGACGACACCATGGTGGCGTTGAAACGCATACGACTCGACCAAGACGAAGAAGGGGTGCCGTCGACGGCGATTCGAGAGATCTCCCTCCTGAAAGAGCTTCGACACGAAAACGTGGTGTCGTTGCTCGAGGTGATTCACGAGGAGACGAAGTTATACTTGGTGTTTGAGTACTTAGATTTGGATCTTAAAAAACACATGGACTCCTCGCCTCACATCTCAAACGATCGAATGGTGGTGAAAGGATATGTGTATCAGATATGCGCAGGCATCGCGTTTTGTCACTCGCACCGAGTCTTACATCGCGACTTGAAGCCGCAGAACTTGTTGATTGACACGACACACAACGTTTTAAAACTTGCCGACTTTGGTTTGGCTCGCGCGTTTGGGATTCCCGTGCGTGCGTACACGCACGAAGTGGTGACGCTGTGGTACCGAGCGCCGGAGATCCTCCTCGGCGTGCGTCACTACTCCACGCCGGTCGACGTGTGGAGCATTGGATGCATATTCGCCGAAATGATCAACGGCAAACCATTGTTTCCGGGAGATTCTGAAATCGACGAGCTGTTCAAGATTTTCAAAATTTTGGGCACTCCGAACGAGACTCTGTGGCCCGAGGCCCAAGAACTTCCCGATTATCAGCCAAACTTTCCGCAGTGGCCCGCGAAACCTTGGGAGTCGCTGTGCCCGGCACTAGACGAGGACGGTGTGGACCTATTGCGTCAAATGCTGCAATACACACCGGAAAAGCGGATCAGCGCCAAGCACGCGATGCAACACAAATGGTTCGACGATTATCCGCGAAAATGAAAAGGAGGAAACGCGCCCGCCGACGTAGAGACACATACATCACATCAATAGATGCCCGCGGTTTGCTGTTAGAGAAACCCACTTGTACTATATTACACACGAGATATTAGCGATCTATGCACCATCTACGCGCTGCAAGTTCGTTCTATGCGCTCACTTGCGCGAAATCTTGACGTCCTTCTTTGCGCGGCTTCGCTTTTCGGGCATGCGCACCTCGCCCGTGGCTTCGTCGTATTCGCACGGCAACGCGGCGGCGGTGCCTTGGAACACGTTGAGCACGGTGAATGCGAGAATCGGTGACAAGTCGATCCCGCCCAACGGCGGGATGATCCCTCTGAACAAGTTCAAGTACGGGTCGCAAATCGTCGCGAGAGGATACATGATCTGCCTCGGCGGGTTCGGGAACCACGTCAAGATCAATCGACCGATGATCAGTGTGTTGTAAATGTTCAGCGTGGAGAAGATACCGCTCGTGATCACGCTTTCCACGGCGCTGTCCCCAGGTATCATGGCTGCGAGAAATTTACCTCGCAATCGTGGGTCGCACCGCACGACGTTCGCGTCGCAGCGCGCGCGTCCTCGAATCACCCGCGTCCCGCGTCCGTCGCCACCGCGAACGCTCGCGGCTTTCACCGCCACAAACGCAGCCGTGGCCGTGGCGAGCTCGCGCGCGCCCGCACGCGCGGCTTCGTTCAGTTCGCACACCGCCCGTCGCGCGCGGTCGACGACGTCGACGCCGTCCGCGTCGGCGTCACCGCGTCGCGCCGATGTCGCGCTCGCGAATCCGCGTTCGAGCGCGCGCGCGAGAACCATCGCGTTTCGATCGCTTCCCGTCTTCGCGCACGGAACGCGCGCGTCGTTCGTCGCCGTGTGCCGGCGCGCACGCGCACGCTGCCGCAAAACTCCGTCGTCCGTCGTCCGGCGCCCGTCGAACACGTCTGGTGGCGTGTGTCTCGATGGCGAGTTCGCACCCGCCACCGACCCCCCCCCCAGTTGGTGTGGTTTTTTTCACCGCGCACACCCGGACGACCGTCAGGCCGTACCGAACCGCGAACCGCACCGCACGCGCGTCATTCGCCGACGCGTTCGTACACGACGCGATCATGGCTACCTCTTCAAGCAGCGCGGCGGTGCGTAGATTAATTTTTCGATGCGCTCGCGACGCGCGCGCCGCGCGGACGGCGCGCGCCGCGCGGACGGCGACGGCGACCCCGACCGACGGCGGAGGCTTATCGCGACGTCATCCGGCGGCGGGACGGCGCCGACGCGAAGCGAAGCGCGCGCGGGTGAACGCGCGCGAGCGATGGACTGACCGTGAAGACGAATCATTTCTTTCGAATAGTTCGCCGCTCGCTCGATCGTTTCCGCGCACGCCGCTCGCGTGTCGTCGAGGTGCGTCGAATGCGCGGCTCGCTTTTGACCCCAGTCGAGACCCTGTGCATTTTATCCAGAGCGAGGACGACGGGCGCGAGACTTTGGAGCGTCCTCGCGCGCGAGCGTCGATCGACTGGACGACGACGATTATTTTCGAAAACGCGAAACACCGACTGACGGTAAAACGTGGCGTGCGAAACAGATCCCAAACGTGCGTCGTCGTCGCGCGACGCTCGGGCGTTGTCGCCGCCGTGAGCGAACCCGCCACCGGCGCCGAATCCGCCGTCGGGGACTCGGACAAGAAGCCACGCCGTCGATTCCCGCGCAAGAACGTCACCGTCGAAGATTCCGCGGTGGTTGTCGGCGCCGAGTTTTCCGGTAAGGTGAAGCGCATCCAAGACTACGGTTGCTTTGTGGACTTCGGCGCCAAGAACGACGGCTTGGTGCACATCTCCGAACTTCAAGATGGCTTCGTCGAAAGCGTCGCGTCTGTCGTGTCTGAAGACCAAGAAGTCAAGGTTTGGATCAAGGAAATCAAGGAAAACAAGATTTCTTTGACGATGAAGAAGCCGCCGACGGAGGAAGAGCTCGCGGCTGCCAAGTCTGAGCAAGAAGCCAAGTTTGCGGCGCGACAAGAATACAAAAAGGCTCAAGACGCCAAGGCACAAGCGGTGAAGGGCTTGAAGAAGGGCACGAAGGTTGAGGGCGAAGTCATGTCCATTCAACCATTCGGTGCTTTCGTTCAAGTTGCCGAGGGTGTCGAAGGTTTGGTGCACGTCACCGAGCTCTCTGACGACTTCAACGTCAAGGTTGAAGACTTCTGCAAGGTTGGCGAAAAGGTCACCGTCACCATCATTGGCATCGATGGCGCCAAGGTCAAGCTTTCCATGAAGGAAAAGCTCGATGTACGTATTCGTTCGATTGCGTCACCACCGCTCGAATCATGTTTTTCTCGAGTCGTATCACTTTCTGATTATTTTTGAAGAGCGCGCCGCGTTGAGAAACTGACCATTCGTCGCCCTTTCGCTTTGATTCACGCAGTTGTCTGAAATGAACGCTGAAGCGTCCGCTGCTTTCGACGGTGCCGTAAGTGCGATGGAGTTTGCGCTCAAGAGCAAGGGTATCTCCGCGGACATGTTTCCGGCCGGCTCTTCCGCCCCGGCTGCCGCTCCCGCTGCTGAGGCTCCGAAAGAGGTGAGTTCATAAGCAACGTCGCGGCTTGAGTTATCTCATCCGCCGTTGTAATAACCTAGTGCTATTTATTTTGGAACCCTTTTACTCACCTACTTTAAATCTACAGGCTGCTCCGGCTCCCGCCGCTCCGGCTGCCGTCGCCGCCGCGGCTCCGGTTGAAGAAAAGAAGCCCGCCGCCGCCGCCGCTGGCGGCATCTCCGCCGCCACGGTGAAGCAGCTTCGCGACTCCACCGGCTGCGGTATGATGGATTGCAAGAAGGCGCTTCAAGAAAACAACGGTGACATCGCCGAAGCCACGGCGTGGTTGCGCAAGAAGGGTATGGCGTCTGCGGACAAGAAGGCGAGCCGCATCGCCGCCGAGGGCGCCGTCGTCTCTTACATCCACGCGGGCTCGCGCATCGGCGTCTTGCTCGAGCTCAACTGCGAGACCGACTTTGTCGCTCGCGGTGACAGATTCAAGGAGCTCGCGCAAGATCTCGCCATGCAAGTCGCTGCGTGCCCGGAAGTTGAGTACATCAGCCCGTCCGACGCCGACCAAGAAATGGTTGCGCGCGAACGCGACATCGAGATGCAGAAGGAGGACCTCTTGTCCAAGCCGGAGAACATTCGCGAAAAGATCGTCAACGGCCGCATCGAAAAGTTGGTGAACGAGAAGGCGCTCATCACCAAGGATTTCATCAAGAACACGGACGTGACCGTCGAAGATCTCGTGAAGACTGCGACCGCGGAGATTGGTGAGAAGATCTCCATCCGTCGCTTCGCGCGCTTCAACCTCGGTGAAGGCATCGAGAAGCGTGTTGACGACTTCGCCGCTGAAGTTGCCGCGCAAACGCAAGTGAAGGCTGCCGCTCCGGCTGCGGAACCGAAAGAAGAAAAGAAAGAGGAGAAGAAGGAAGAAGACGCGCCGTCTGTCAAGGTTGACGCCAAGCTCGTGAAGCAGCTTCGCGACTCCACCGGCTGCGGTATGATGGATTGCAAGAAGGCGCTCGCGCAGAACAACAACAGCGTCGAGGAAGCCACGGCGTGGTTGCGCAAGAAGGGTATGGCGTCTGCGGACAAGAAGGCGAGCCGCATCGCCGCCGAGGGCGCCGTCGTCTCTTACATCCATGCGGGCTCGCGCATCGGCGTCTTGCTCGAGCTCAACTGCGAGACCGACTTTGTCGCTCGCGGTGACAGATTCAAGGAGCTCGCGCAAGATCTCGCCATGCAAGTCGCTGCGTGCCCGGAAGTTGAGTACATCAGCCCGTCCGACGCCGACCAAGAAATGGTTGCGCGCGAACGCGACATCGAGATGCAGAAGGAGGACCTCTTGTCCAAGCCGGAGAACATTCGCGAAAAGATCGTCAACGGCCGCATCGAAAAGTTGGTGAACGAGAAGGCGCTCATCACCAAGGATTTCATCAAGAACACGGACGTGACCGTCGAAGATCTCGTGAAGACTGCGACCGCGGAGATTGGTGAGAAGATCTCCATCCGTCGCTTTGAACGCTTCAACCTCGGTGAAGGCATCGAAAAGCGCAACGAAGACTTCGCCGCTGAAGTCGCGGCTCAAATGGGCAAGTAATTGGCAGCGTGCGCGCATTAGGAAAGAGCTATTCTGTTCAATACATCATTCTTGAAATTCATTCTACCACAGCTAGCAGCTCGTTCGGGTCTCCACCAGCGTGTCCGTGCGGGCTAGAATATAAACGTCCTCCCGTCAACGCAGAGAGTATCTTGCTCGCAAGTACGCATCGGCCTCCGTCGCCTCTAGGCCCAACTCAACGAGACCTCGAGCGATAACGTCGTGATACCCCATACTCGGCGGATTAACTTCATCCACAACGCCACTTCTGATCGCTTCCAGTTCAACAGGCGGCAAAGTAAACGTTAGTATTGGCTCCACAGCGCCGGCCTCTGTGAACGCGCCGAGTGCCTTGACGTAACCGTACCACGATCCGTTGCCGATCCGATGATCTCCACCTCCTCGCTCAGCCATGGCTAAAACCTCTTCCTTGGTAAATCTTTCGTGGAATTCGGCAGGATGTAAACCGTTCTCCTGCGCGAAAACGTCAGAGAATTGCTCTAACGAAATCCGCCACAAACGCAGGTGGGTGTGAAGCTCCTCGTTTTCTTCCTTTTTTTCGCAGTCCAAGAACGCGACTCCACCGTTGCTCCACCACGGCGATACCTTGGCGAAGAACATTCGATGTGGCACGACCATGCTGGCCGTCGGGCAATCGCTCGTCGGCGGAATTCGAAAAGGGACGTGCGTGTCTCGTGCGCCAGGTTGTTGAATGGACATTCCTGCGACTTTGCCACCTCTTAAATAACACGCGAATCTCTCGCTGTTGAGGTTGCTACCGAACGAGCCGTACCAGACGTACTGCGTGTTCGTCGCGGAGGCCATGGCGTCGGTGTCGCAGTTTGAAGATGGCGGAGGCGGAGCGCAGCACAGTGGGTCGCGGGACAGATTTTTACATTCTCGGGCTATTAGAGATGAAGAGGGCAGGACGACAATAGTATGGGTAATGCGATCTACTCCTCGTCGAGCGCGCCCGTGGTCTTCAACGCCACGCCGGCTGCCGCGGCAAAGCCGGCGATCCACAGCGCGGCCAACGCATAAAAGTTCTCAAAGTAAAGGCACGCTCCCGTACCGGCGACTGCGACGACGCCGGCGACCGCAATCGCGCCGCCGAGTTGGCTTGCGTCCATCTTACCAGAGCTGTCACCTCCGGATGCCATGGAGCCGCCGATACCTTCACCCTCCACGTACATCGGCGTCTCGACGGCGAAGACGTTGTTGTTCTCCAAAGACGTGTTCGAACCACCCAAACCGATCGGGGCAACGAAACCCGGGCCGAGCGAGCCATTCTTGGCGTCAAGATAAATACCATCATCTCTGACCTCCACCGGGAACACCTCCATCGGGCGGCACGTGTCTTGCGGCGTCAACGCTTTCAACACCGGGTTTTCCGGATACCACTCCTTGATCTCGCCCGTCTTCAAATCAAATTTACTCTTCGTCGTCGGGCACTCGATGCAGGCATCTTGCGTGAGACGTGCCTTTTCGAAACCTTCGCTGTACGCTCCTTCGGCCGGCGAGCGAGATTCGATAGCGAACACGGTGTCGCGATACCAAAACATCAAAATGCTCTTGCCGAGCGCTCGAACGAGCTTGCGATCCCCGCGTGGGAGCTCTTCCAACGCGCACACACGAGTCATGCTTTCCGCACCATCCGCGCTCGCGCTCACGCGCACGCTCGCGCGTCGTCGCTCAACGTTCGGTGACGCGACGAGCCCGTGTCGTCGCGAGTGGACGCGCGGAGCGATCGTTCGCGTCGTCGCTGCGATCGTCGTCGCCGCACGACGATGCGCGACGCGAGTCGTCTTGCTCGTCGACTTCATCGCCGTCGACGCCACGGTTGTCATCGTCGCGTGCCTCGTCGTCGTCGTGAACGTCATCGCGCGCGGCTCGTCTCGCGCCGGGTCGTTGTATGACGTCGACGTCCCGCAGTCCGGCAGTCTGGATAACGCACAACACAGGTGTGGTGCTGTCAGTCGGGTCTATCGCGCTCGAACGACGACAAACGCGCGTCGTATGATGGAAGGGTAGTATTAAAAATTCATCTACGCAAATCCACCTCTACGAAATCCACCTCTACGGCGCGTCCTCGACCGCACTCGCTTTGACGCTCACGGCGTCGCCGGGACTCTCGTCGCCGTTTTCGGCGCCGCCGAGAGGGAGAGGGACAAAAGATTGAGCTTCAATCTTCAGTTGTGAAAAGTTTGCGGCTGCTTTCTCCGCTAAACCTTTTCCGCGCCCCATTTCAAAGCCGCGAGTGCCGTCGGGGCCCTTGGTGATTTTGAACTGCGAGCCCGAGAACTGATTGTCTCGGTTGACGCGAGGCGAATCAGGGCGACTTGGCGCCGCGTTTGGATCTACGGGCGCCGCGACGACGACTTTCACGCGCTTGGCTGCAAATTCATCTGCTTTCCGTCCAACTTGAAGCGCATACTCGAGCTCATCGCCGACGTTAAGCTTGGATTGACCCTCCACCTCAGCCCCGTGCACGAAAGCCTTGCCTTGAACGCCCGTACCTTGATCGACGTGCTCGACGAAACCGTACAAGCCGTCGCTCTTCGTCGACGTCACCTTGCCAGTGAAACGCATGATTTGCACTTTGCACGCCGACGCGACGTTTGTTCGCTTGTCCGTTTGCACGCAAAACTGTACCAATTCTCCTTCTCGAGGGTTTTGCCGAGCGTCGAGCAGCCCACTACGATCAAATGCAAATTTTTTCGTTTCTCCATCTCGACCCGTCATTTCTTCTACCACGCCCTTAGGAGTCGATCGATCGCCGTCCTTGGAAGGGAACCCTTTTGTGAACATCAGCTTCGTCGTGCAAACCCCACGACACGGTCTGTCGTCGACCGTCGCGAAAACCGCGCTGCCTTTCGGCGCGAATCTCACGCCGGCCGCGACGACTTTTCCAGTCCTAGGCTCCGTGGTTACCTGAAAACTCACCTCCTGTCCCGTTCGCGCCGCATCCACGTCTTCGTTTAATTCACTAAAATGAAAGAACAAATCTTTCGGTCTAGAACAACACTTGATAAATCCATAACTGGACTTGATTATGCTAATCACACCAAACTCGTCCTCCGCCAGCGGGGCTTTTTCTCTATTCCAATCATTGCTGTCCACGCCCGTGGCGGCTTCCGCCGAGTTATCTGACTGTGGGAACGCTTCGCGAATATCTGACGCGCGCATGGCGCGCGAGTACGGATCGAACGAAAGCGTGAACTTCACCTTGACGCCTTGCCTGAGCTTTGACAGCCGACACGCCTCGGCGAGATCGGCTCCGGTAAACTCGATTTCGTCCTTCATGGCGTCCATGTCCACGGCGCTCTCGTCATCTTGCTCAAGTTTCGATTCTGCATCGCGTCGGGATTCTGACTCTTCTTCCGTTGACGCTCTCGCGTCGCCTTCGTCGTACGCTTGGTACGCCACGCGCCCGCCGTAGGCGTCGCGTTTCATTTTCCCTCTCAACGTCCTCGACACCGCCCCGATGACGTTCTCGCTCACCATGCGCCACGCCACGTCCACGTCGTCGCACTTTTGAACGTCAAACGCGTTGAGTCCGTCCCTGTTCGGGCTCGGTCCGCACACAAAGCTCACGAGGTCCCCAGGATCGAGCGCCGGTTTGTCTCGGTTCGCCAGCTCGCGATGGAACTCGCTCGCGTGGAAGAACACCTGCGCCTCGCGCGGCGGTCCACCTCTCGCGCGGCGATCGCCCTGCGACGGGTCCTCCACTCTCGCCCCGCATCGTATGAATCCAAAGCTTTCCTTGAGCGTGACGACGCGCCCGTATTCGCGCTCGCCCTCGCGCACGGGCTTGACGGCGCCGCCGATCGCGGGTGCGCGCCGATCGTGCGCGCGCGCGTAAGACACCATGTCTCACGCGTTAGATCGATCGCGTTCGCGAGCGATTCGTCGGTCGCGACGCACCGCGCGCGCGTCTGCGGCGTCGATGAGACCGCGAAGTCATTTTTCCACCACCTTGTAAAAAGGAAAAGTACCTGGAGTCTTCGACGTTTGACGTTACATTCCTCAGCGCGTATGGTGACGACGACGGATGGAGGCGTCGCCGAACTCGAGCGAATCTGAGTGTAACCGACGTGGTGCTTGTGGTTCACACTCGTTCAGTGGCGTCGACCGTCGCGCAGCCACGGTTTCGTTCGCGCTCCCGCCGCCATGGCGAAGTCCCGTCACAGTGCATCAAAACATCGGTGAAGTAAAGGTCGACGCAACGGCGCGATGGGTGTGGGATACCGCTCCCGTAATGTGCGAGTTCTTGATCGATCACGCCAAGCGCTTGCTCGCTGGACGAAGCGTCGTGGAAGTTGGTGCGGGAACTGGGCTACCAGGACTCGTCTCGGCGAGGTTGGGTCCGTCGAGCGTAGTTCTCACTGATTTACCGAGCGAGTTGGAGCTACTCGAAAAGAACGTTGAAGTAAACGTTGCACAAGGAAAGGAGGCCGATGTTACCGTGCGCGCGTGCGCGTGGGGCGAGCTCGATGAGTGGCAGGGCGAAGTGTTTGACACTGTTCTATGTTCGGATGTACTGTACCACCAACCCCGGAACATTTTAAAGGCGTTGGCGAACACCTTAGAGGTACTGTGCTCGAAACGTAGCGGGGTCGTGGTCTTTGCGTACCACTTTCGCGAAAACTTGATTCACGACGCGCAATTTTTTGAATTCATCGACGAGCTATTCGACGAAAGAGCGCGATTCGATTTTGGCGATGTTTGGATGTTCGAATGGGTCCCCAAGCGCGGAGAGGCGTGTTAAATTTCTAAATGGATCACATCATTCAGCAAGTCATCTTTCGGTTCTATTTCACTTTACTGCGCAAACGCTCTATAGTCGATTGCAGATCGAAGATGATGCCACCTACGAGCGCTGGTAGCGCGCTTGCACCGTGGCCCTCTTGTCGAATCGCCGTGCGAGAAGAGGACCTCTGCAATCGTCGCGCAGAGCTTTGAGCTCGCCTATTGGCTCGCATTTCAAGTCTCGCGACGTCAACCTTCTTCGCCGATTTTGGCAGTGTGGGGGTAACACCTTTTTTGTCAGGTGGGTTGACTTCGCCAACCCAACGCGGCCCGTCATCGTTGCTGTCTTCTTCATCGCTTGGTTCTGGCATCGAAATCTGTTTCGTTTTCCCAGAAGCCGATCGTATTTCAATCGTCTCAGTTATCTCATCAACTACGACGTCACCGCCGTCCGTTAACGCGTCGGACTCGGGGACTGGCGCCGATACCGTCGCTGCCATCTGTCGTTCGTCGTCGTACGTCTTCTGTACCGCTCGGCTCGGCTTCCGAGAAACTAATGTCAGCATGATAGCGACGACGAAACTAGCAGCGCCGAACACTTGTAGCGATGGTAAAGCCTTACCGGTCGTCGACCCGAATGTCATCGTCGAGTGTGAAGACCGCTGTGGTGACCAAACGTCTCGAAGAAACAGCTTTCGCGTAGCCGGCGTCGTGCCCACACGGCCATCTGTGGCGCGCAACTTTGCTCTAACGGCGAACGATGCACGATCAATATTCACCGGCACGTGAAGCGACTGACCGACCTCTATAGATCGTCGAAGACCGAGTGCGTTCGCTTCGACGAGGTCGTCTGTTGAGACGCCGTGCGACGCGGCAATCGAAAACAAGCTATCGCCGCGCGCGACGACGTAGGACACCATCGTCGGTGCGGCGACACCGCTCGCGTTCGCACGCGTCTCCGCCCCGCCTCCGCGCTCGACGTAGCGCGCTTCGGTTGGGGTTACAACCGACGCGTCAACGTCCGAGTTACGGCTTCCGCTCGACGAAGTCGACGCGAAGCTTCGCGTGCTTCGTCTCGCGAGTTTGACTAGACGTCGTCGACGAGGCGTTGACGCCGAAGCGAGCACGCGTGTGCTCGAGTGCGACATCGTCGTCGGACCGCGCGGACCCCCTCCGCGAAATGACGCGGCATACCACGCCGGTAGGTTTGGACGCGGCTAGCGCTGCTTGCCTGACCCAGCGCTCGAAGACGTTTGACAACGCGCACTCGGTGGCTTGGTTCGTATTTCATCCCGTCGCGACGTTTCGAGAGCGAGCGCGCTGACGAGATGCGCAGTACTTCTTGACGACGACAATCGGGGTACTGTCGTCGTCGATAGGTTGTGTCAAGGCGCTGACGATCATTTTAACGCACGATGCGCGATGACGCGAGGCAGGTGTGACACTCAGGAAGGAACATCGTCGTACCGAGCGATGAAGCGGCGATTCGGCGAAGACGATCGTCACGAGCGAGCGAGATTCGGTGCCCCGGGACGCGATTTCAACGACGAACGCGACGAGTACCGCCGGGAGTACAGACAGCGAGACTATGAAAGGAGCGGATACGACAAAGGCTATGACTATGATTATGCGCGTTCGCCGCCTCGGCGAGATCCTTATCACGATCGACGGTCGCCGCCTCGGCGACCACCGCCTCGGCGAGACCCCTATTACGAACGACGCTCGCAGAGACGCTCGCCGCCTCGACGAGATCCTTATTACGATGGACCGCCGCGATTTGGAGGTGGTCGCGACCAGTACGACGTGTGTGACGCCGATCGCGATCGCGTTCGACCGCAATACGAGCCTGTACGCGCTGCGCGCGAAGACGCGCGCCGTTCGAGCGCTACAGCATCGACGTCGGCGCCAGCGACTGCGAGAGATTGGGACTGCGCAAGTTGCGGCAGTTTCAACTTCGCGCGCAGGTCGGCGTGTTTTCAGTGCTTCACGCAAGATGAAGCTGACAAGAAGTATAGGACAGATGAGGTTGACCGCGCTGCCGCCGATAAGCATCCGACGCCCGTACTCTTCATACGAAACATCCCAAGCGACGCGACGGAGGAAGAACTGGCGAAAAAGGTGAGTGCAATCGACAAAACGCTTTTTGTTCGCTCGATACAAATGCCCGTCGAGAGGGAGACTGGGTTTCGCAAAGGATTTGCGTTCGTTGATTGCACGTCGATAGAGCAGGCTCGAGTGGTGAAGGATTTGCTCGATGGGACGGCGTTTCGGGAAGGCGATTGGACGAACGGCGCGCTTTCGGTGGAGTTTTCCATATCAAAGCTGTCTCAGAAACTAGCGACACCGGTGAGCGCGGCGGCTCAGGTTGCTATTCTACAGGCCACCGCCGCGTCTGCGATGACGACCGCCGCTTCCGAAAGCGATTACACCTTCGACAAAGCCACCGGGTACTATCGACACAAAACGACTGGAATTTTGTACGATGCGAACACGGGGCTGTTTTTCAATGCGATCACGAACGCGTGGTACTCATGGAACGAAACTACGCAGGAGTACACCCAAGTTGGATCGAAGAGCGTAGTCGAATCGCCGCCGAAAGAAGAGACAGAGCGCCGGCCCGTCGTCGCCACGTTATCCTCGGCGCCGAAGCCAGAACCGTCCGTCTTGAAGGAGGACGTAAAAGTCGTCATGAGCTACCGTGATCGCGCAAAGGAACGTCGCAAACTCCACCGCGAAGGCGTGGCGCTCGACCGACTCGTGAGTGGCGAACCCGCCGCGTCGGCCGTGAAAGGTCGAGTGACCGGCGGGAAAATGAGGGCGGGGAAGAGGGGCGGTAGCTGAAACATAGAACATAGAAATTCAACGTAGGCATGGCGAATAGTAAAAAAGAAAGAACAAATCTCATCAATGAAATCATCAAAATGGAAAACATTGATAGGAAGTCAAGAAACTTGTATCCAAATTCGACCGCTCACTCACTCACTCTTTCACTTTCAAAAAAATCAAGGCTGGATTTAGCCATATATTAAGAACTAAGCAGCCACGAAAAGTTGGCTCTATTTGGCCAGTTCGGCACTCTTCAAGTCCCCTTTGACAAACGTTATCCACGTGCCGCGACAAAAGGCGACGGGACGGGACACCGCGGCGCGCGAGCGGTGGGTGATCGCGGCGAGACCTCGCGACTTCTCGGCTCGCCTCTCAGCGTCGGCCCGACACGCCGACGCGAACGCGTCATCGTCTTCTTGTCTGCGTCGATCGCGTCGCGCGCGGACGCCGTCGGCGACGACGCGTCGCGCCAGACGCACGCGATCGGACGCGTGGCGTCGATACGTTTACGAAGGTTCTCTCGAAGCCGACGACGGTCTCGCGCCTCGAGCACGTCGTCCGCGGCAGGATGAAGCGGGCGCGACGAGGCGATGGCCGTCAAGCCCTCGTCGCGGCGCTCGTGGGGGCGCTCGTCGCGATCTCGATCGCGCCGCTGCGCGCTCGGGCGGCTCCTTTCCCGGCGGATGGTGCTAATCTCGGGACCGCTATCACTAACTGTCTCGCGGCTGATGCGACGGGTGCGTGCGACTGCTCGTCGTCGTCCGTGGACTGCAAGGAAGGGAACGGTATCGCAATCGGGTCGTGGAATACGTCGCAGGTGACGAGAATGGACGGCATGTTCTATGGCGCCGCAGCCTTCAACCAAAGCATCTCTGCTTGGAACACGGCGGAGGTGACGACGATGGCGTACATGTTCGCGTTCGCCACAGCCTTCAACCAAGACATCTCTGCTTGGAACACGGCGGCGGTGACGAATATGGAACGCATGTTCCATAACGCCGCAGCCTTCAACCAAGACATCTCTGCTTGGAACACGGCGGCGGTGACGACAATGTTCGCCATGTTCGGGAACGCCATAGCCTTCAACCAAGACATCTCTGCTTGGAACACGGCGGCGGTGACGACAATGCAAGCCATGTTCTATGACGCCGCAGCCTTCAACCAAGACATCTCTGCTTGGAACACGGCGGCGGTGACGACAATGAACTCCATGTTCTACAAAGCCACAGCCTTCAACCAAGACATCTCTGCTTGGAACACGGCGGAGGTGACGACAATGGAACGCATGTTCTATAACGCCACAGCCTTCAACCAGGACGTCTCTGCTTGGAACACGGCGAAGGTGACGACCATGACACGCATGTTCGATAACGCCGTAGCCTTCAACCAAGACGTCTCTGCTTGGAACACGGCGGCGGTGACAGACGCCGCGTGGATGTTTAATGGCGCAACCGCCTGGAATTCAAAGTACGAACGCAACGATGCCAGTACATCCACTGATGGTCCACCCTCGGCATGGTCTATCCGCATGTGTCTCGCCGACCAGCGCGTCGTCGCCAACGCGTGCGTGTCGTGCCCCGCCGGGACGACCAACGCCGCGGGCGACCTCCGCTTGGGTACGGACACGGCATGCGACGCAGCTCCGTTGTCGAATGCAAGAACGTTTACGCACGCTGAAATTGCCGGTGTCGTCGTTGGTGTCGTCGCGTCCATCATCGTCGCGGTCGCGCTCTGCGTTAGGCGTCGCCGCCTCGCCGACGATAGGCTCCGCGCGCGCCTCGGCATCCCCACCCACAGCGCGCCCGTCGGGTTTCCGCCACAAGAGCCGCAAATCATCATCGTTCAGCGATGAGCGCGCTCGCGACGAGCGACGTTCGAGACGCATCGCGCTCGTCGACGCGCGCACACATTTCGAGGGCGAGCTCACAACAGTATCTCGATTAAGCGACAACAGAATATATTCAATTCAATTCAATTCAATTTTTTCTCAAAGACGACGATTCACGGCGCGCGTCGTGCTGGGTTTCGAGATGGCAACGAAGAAATTTGTGTGAGAAAGCTTGCGGCATAACGGATCCGCCGCAGGCTTTCCACTCAAATCGACTGTGTGTCACGCAAGAGGAGTGCTTGGGGTTCCGTTATTTTCACAGAGGACAAACTACGACTGGTCGTTTGTCGTCCAACACGAACACTGCAGAAGGAACTTTGACGCAAGAGTCCGGAGACGTCCGGAGCGTCGAGGGGGAAGTCTGCGGTGCCGTGCTGGTCGACGAGTGATGGCCGTAGGGTGTCGTGAAGGTGCACAGGAAGGATGCGAATGCTAGTGACTTTTTAGGGTTTAGTACGGTTTAGAGAGACTAGGAGTAGGTGTAATAAATGACTTAGCTAGTCGGTCGGTTACGGCACTTCTCCCGAAGCGCCTCCCTCCCTCATGCGTAGGGTTTAGGGTTTCGGTTTAGGGTTTAGGGTTTAGGGTTTAGGGTTTAGGGTTTAGGGTTTAGGGTTTAGGGTTTAGGGTTTAGGGTTTAGGGTTTAGGGTTTAGGGTTTAGGGTTTAGGGTTTAGGGTTTAGGGTTTAGGGTTTAGGGTTTAGGG